AGTCTTAAATAAAAATTATATAATAAAAATTATCTTTTATTAATATTTACTATAGTAAATTACTTACTATAATAAATTTAATTTAATTTATTATAGTAAGGATTTATAGTAGTTTTAACTTACTTAATATCTTAAGATATTTAAAATTAGCACAATCTATTAGTTAAATCTAGGCTACCGCTTACTTATCTCCTTTAGGTATAGTGTAACTAACTAGTTAGTCTGTGCGTTTTAAATTTCGGAAGAAAAAAAAAGGGTAAAATGCAGTATTTCATGAAATTAAAAGTAAATTTCTGAAATTTACCACCCCTACTTAGTAGCTACCGCTTTCCTAGCGGAGCCCCGCATTTAAATTTTCTTAACTTTGACCGCTCTCGGAAAATATTGAACCCCTCTATCTAAAATAGTGAGGACTGCGAAGGAAACATCATTCCCTATTATTGCATTAAGGCAACATCCTCGGCTTCTCTAATCTCCCATACCGTCTGGAGAATAGATTCTCACATCCAGCGCCCGACTTGGAAGGAAAAAGACACTATTTCATCGCCCCTGCGAAGATTCGAAAGATGACCCTCCAGGCGATCAAGTACGATGGAACACAGCTGTCGATCTTAGATCAGCTACAGTTGCCGCACAACCTGGAATACATACAGATCCGGTCAGCCGAAGAAGGATGGCATGCGATCAAGGAGATGAAAGTGCGAGGCGCGCCAGCCATCGCTATAGTAGCGGCTCTCTCACTTGCGGTAGAGCTTAAGAGTCTCATGACGCATGGCAAGCTATCGACGAGCGCTGAGGAAGTACAACTTCTTATTCGCGAGAAATTACACTATCTCACAACGAGCAGGCCCACAGCTGTTAACCTGAGTGATGCAGCTCGCAAGCTTGAGGCCCATGTATCGACAGAGGCCAAGAAAAGCGACTCTACTGGAAACTCTGTGGCGTCAGCCTTTATGGACGCAGCAGCAAAGATGTTGACAGATGATTTAACCGATAATCAGAACATTGGCAAGTATGGCGCGGATTGGCTCATCCAGAACACGGCTGGAACGGGACAGCAGGAAATAAATGTTCTAACACACTGCAACACTGGGTAAGTGCTCTATTTAACATCCACAGTTCAGTTGCGCCTAATAAGATCCCATAGCTCGCTTGCAACTTCTGGATATGGGACTGCGCTGGGTGTAATCCGCGCACTCCATTCCAAAAAAGTCCTTGGGCGCGCCTACTGTACCGAAACCAGACCATACAACCAAGGATCACGCCTAACAGCGTTCGAATTAGTTCATGATAACATCCCCTCGACGCTCATAACAGACTCGATGGCCGCGGCCTTACTCTCTAGCAAAGAGAGAAGAGTGTCGGCAATTGTAGTCGGCGCGGATAGAGTAGCCGCTAATGGCGACACTGCAAACAAAATCGGCACGTATGGTCTTGCAGTCCTTGCTAGGCATCATGGCCTGAAATTCCTAGTCGCAGCACCTCGCACAACAATTGACCTGCAGACGAAATCGGGTGAGGACATCATCATTGAAGAGCGTCCTGCTGCAGAGGTGACTCGGATCAAGGGGGCGCGAGAAGGATACGAGGGGAATGACTCGATCGCAACAATACGTGTTGCTGCGCCCGGTATCGATGTGTGGAATCCTGCATTTGACGTCACGCCCTCTGCCTTGATCGATGGAATTATAACCGAGGTCGGTGTTGTGGAGAGAGGCGCGGATGGATCCTTTGATTTCGAGCGCATTTTTCAAAACTGAAAACACTCCGTGACCATTATCGAGGCTGACTGCTATGATCTTGGCTGCCATCAATGCTGTTTCTGTTTCCCCCCGTTTCCTTGCTGGACTGCCCCTGCGGCTTGCTCATTACGTTGTCTCTTTGTTCAACGGTTGCTAGGAGCTCTTCGATTCGGGATTCTAGATCTGTCAGATGTTGTTCTAGCGCTGCAGCTCGGATCTCGCCACTATTGTAGATAGATTAGGCGTTGCACGTATAGACGTTTATAGACACAGGCTTACTCTGCCAGTTCTCTGAAGGCCTACAAGCAGTTAGTAACATGTGCATAGTATATCTGTGAAAGACCACTCGAGAACGAGGGCCTCAGCCGAGATGGTGACTGCGGTGTAGAGCTTACCTGCCCAAGATCAACATCCTTATCTTCTTCGGTTCGCGCCATCGCTCAAGTCTATTCAGCGCTATCCTCAAGAGTATATACCTCAAGTGTGTGTAGGGTGACTTTTGCCCGGCGAAGCAATATCGAGGGTTGCAGGGTAATAATTAAGAAGCCGAGATTCCCTATTATGTATTACGAAGATATGCCAAGTATCTTAGTTCAGCTAACAAGTGACGCTTAACTATATATAGCTTAGTAGAAATGTTTATGGTAGGAGGAAATGAACAACAGGAACCATAAGGATAACATCACTAATATACCGTATTGTAATTTTAATGTGAGCTACTACTACTATTATCATTAAGATTTATATTTTATATTTTTATAAATAGCAAGCAATTAAATGTTATCTGAAGTTAATTGTCTAATTCAAGCAATGCATAAGTTAAGTAGGCCTCCCCGGATAAAATCGTAGTTAAAGAGATAGTAATAACTAAGTTAGTGGGTTACCCTTAAGTACTTAGCTGCTGGAGCTAACTATCACTGAATGAACACCTGGTAATAACTGATGTCTTAAAGATAAAGTAAGAGCTTTCCCAGAAAGAGGCCACTTATTATTATTATCTTCGAGAAGACAATAAGGCAAAGCGCCGAAGGTATTAGTCCTTTTCAAATAATTTCCGCAACGTGGCCTTTTTTCGATCCTCGACACCGCGGCTAAATCGTCATAAATAAAGGCGCACGCGGTCCATCATCGGAGAGGACAACTACACATCACAAGCTTCCTTGCCAGATCGCCGTGTAGGCCTTGCGCGCACGTCTAGCTGCTCGAAAACATGGTATGTATAATCTCTTCCACGACAAAGCATCAATTATTCGAAAGACTGACATTCTGCCTATCTAGGCTCAAACTCCCCAGCAACGACGAGCTAACGAGAAGTACGCGAAACAAGAGGCGGCCAAGCGTGGAAAGCCGGTGAGCGCGGTCAAGCAGAAGCAGAAGCCTAAGACTCCCGTATCTACAGGCTGGATAGGTTCGTCCTTCTCGAGAATGAGCACAGGAGATAAGAGAAGACTAACGAGCTTGAAGTGGTGCTTGCTTTTGTAGTATGCGGAGGTGTGATTTTTGAACTCCTCAGGGTCGTCCCCGAGATCTGGTCCGTTGTCGCGTCATCATTCGGTCGCTGGCTGGGCTAGTTCAACCATCGGATGGCTTCGACGAAACCGACTCTTTTACATTTTTCGAATAGAGGATCAGAATTAGTCGCTTATGGAGCACATTGGCAGGCTGGCGCGCCCGCGGCCAGCCCGGTATATTAGGGGCCTGTCCTGTTGATCGCCCCCGGGCAAAAACATCTTTTGAGGAACGGCGACTGATACCACTTTGCATTTATTCTTGTCTGTCTTAATACATGAACGGGGAGTGCTATTTTTTCTATGAATTCTGTACGGGTAATCATTGTACGCGCGAATTAAGCCAGTTTATTATGCGGTTTGGTACTGAGATCAATCGACATGTAGATCTCTCCAATATTACATCCTATATGTTTTATCGAATGAAATTTACAATAGTATGGTCTAGTCGCTAATCAAACGGAGATATGGCCTCTATCCCTCATGAGCTCCCTCGCTCGCAGCCGCGGGCGCCACCTTCTTTTTCTTTTTGGTCTTCTTCGTGCGCGTGGGGTTGGCAGATTCTTCATAACCTTTCTCTTGGAGCTCCGCACCATGCTGTTGATCATCCGCTTTGATCGACTTCTTTTTCTTCTTCTTTTTGACCAGCGCGCCCTCCGCTGGAACGCCTTGTGCATGGATGCGTTCCGATGCCCTTTGCATCTCCAGACGGAGCCTTTCGACTTCCTGCATTGCTCTTGCCATTTCCTTGTCTTCAGCCTCTTTGCGCAGTATGTTCTGGGCCACATCAGGCACTAGTTGAGTCTTATCTTCGAGCGACAGGCTTCCAAGACCACTTGAATCGACCTGTAGTAAAGACCGCTTAGCTTTATTAGTTTCGCTGCTTTCGCTAGCACCACCTAAGGATGGATCATCAGGTCCGATAGTTTCGTCTGTGATCACCTCGACTCTTGCGTGTCTTGGACCAGATTTCCGCCCAAGACCCTCAGGTGGAAGGCTGGACCGTAATTTGTCTATATCCTCGATGGCCAGATCAACAACGGGTATGGTATTGACGTCCAGAAAACTGCCACTTGAAGTGTCGTAGACATTGTGTGAGATAAATGGTGTCTCTGATGATCCGTTTCCAGCTCCGATATAGAAAGGGTCATCCTGGTAGCGTTCTCTGCGCTCTGCCCTTCTCCTTTCCAACCCGGCGGGGTCCTTGAGCAGATTCTCCGAGGCATCTTGGTATGATATTGGCTGGTATATATCGTCGTGCATCAACTCATCGGATTTGGTCGACAATGAGACATCTTGGTAATAGAAATCGTGGAATCTCTTTTCACTGTCTAGATGAAGTGAGAGATTACTGGATTCGCTGAGAATCATATAGAGTCTGGGGTTGAAGGGTTCGTATAGATCAAGGTTTTCGGGCACAGGAACCTTTCGCTGGGCATTTGCGGCGACCGGGTTCAGCTCAAGACCAGAGAACAGTCCGGAGAATGCGCGAGATATGAAAAGAGGCACTTCCTCGGTTTCCGCGCTTTGTGAATGCACAGCCTCTGTTGTGAGTCGCAGGAGCTCGAGAAATTCAGAAGCCCGTTCTTGCACGTCCAGATCAGGGTGTGTGGTTAACAACTCTAGAAAACTGACAATGCGTGCCAACAGAAGTGATACCTCGCTTCGACGGGCGCTGTTCCATTGTTTGGTATCATGTGACAAGGAAAGGAACAAGAATAGCTTGGGGATGGCCTGAAGATAGAGTGATAATATCCTCGCAGGTAGCGATATGTTAGATGAGTCAATGAGAGAAGTGAGTGTCCGGTCAGGGAAAGCGAGGCAGTTCGCATACTCCCCGACTACCCATGCGCAAGGACCGAGCACACCGAGGCCGACAGTGGAGGCCGTCGGAAACAAACTTGTCCTATTGTCAGATAGGACAAGTGCTTCTGCTGCTTTTGCTGCGTGCCACCGAGCACTCTTCACGCGGACGGCAACATTCCGGATTTCCTCTCCAATTCGTGACGCAATCCCCGGTCTGGCGTCTTGTGCTGACGCCGTATGAGCACTTCCTGGAACGTAGTGATTATCGTATGTGTCCCCAGGCGGTATAAGTTTCACTAGCTGCACCAGTACGTTGATATACCACTCGAAATCGAGCACTTCTGAGTAGTTGTCGCGGGAACATATGTCCAAAATTCGACTTAGGACTTCATTCCGATAATCATTAGGTAGGGAGGGAATAGTGTTGGCTTTCGAATCATGCCGTCCGGAATCAGAATCGTCACTTCCAGCAGACGGCTTGATTTCTTTTGCAACCTTGGGTTTGATTGAAAGATCCTGGGTTGCAATGGGGGAACTTCGCAACTGAACGATCAAACGGTTCACGACCGACTGCAAGCTCTCGCTAGAAACCATTTTCACAGCAAGCTCAAGAGCTTGAAGTCTGATGGATATATCCGGATCGTCAAGACAGTCCAGAATCACATCCTGCTCCATCGCAACCAACGCAGGGTGCGAAATTGCAACCCGGTTAAAAGCGAGAAGAGCAACATATTTCACTGCAAGCGCTTTTAGTATAGGACGATAAATCTTGGGAACTACAGAACTTACGGTTTGGGTCCGTGTCCATGACAATCATAGCCCTTAGCTTTCCCACACATAGCCCGGCAATCTCGTCTCTTTCTCCAATGTCTCCGGTGCCGTCCAGTATACCACCTTGGATTACACCGTTGATACATTCGTAAAGCAGTGACATGGCCGTAGTCGTCTGTATTATCTTCGTCAAAGGCCGAAGAAGTTTGCGGATTAACCGTGGTTCCAGGGGAGTGAGGGTTGCAAACTAAAGTACCGACGATCAGCAAAGCACCTACGTGGGGTAGGCAAGAAGGATACATACAAGCTTTATTATCTTGATAGCCATCCAGTTGTTTCCTCCATCAACGAGTAATTCAAAGAACCTCGGGGCAAGGGGCAGAAAGTCATGTGGTCGCCTCCATCCCAATTCACATACAACGTTGATTATCGCAGCTGTTACACTGCTGTCTTCTTGATCATCCAGTAAGCGGTCTTTGATCTTCGGCCATGCAACTCGAAGTGTTTCCGGATAGACCAAAGCAAGCCTGTAAAGACAAACAACGGCCTTTTTCCGGACCACAGCATATGAATGCGAAAGGCGAGGCAAGACATCAGAAAGTAAAGATAATGCAAGTGAAGGCGTGATGATATGCGGCAACGTCACAAGTGGTAAAGACATATTTGGTATGTCAGACGACACAATATCCTGCATCAAAGTCAGATCATGATGCCGCTGCAAAGGTGGACAATTTTCATACCTTTTTCAACAAATTTGTCGCGAGCATGAGCACCTCCGTATCTGGGCGGAAGCTCTGTACGGCACCAAGATAACCAACTCTCTTCTGCATATATTTGGAGGACGACATAACCTCGAGCACATGGAAGGCTGCCCAGGACATATCATAGCCGAACATCTCGAGGTATATAAGTTTCAATAAAGCAGTAGCCTTTTTATCTTCATGATATCAGCTCCTGATCTCTCACTGGACGAAAGGCAATGGTATGATGCAAGGTAGGGTACGAAAGCACGAAGTTGTAGGAGACGGAGGGGTCGCGGGGGAGGGAGTTGCGAACCCATGTCTTGCGATTTTATTTCGATTCTGCATTCTCGGAGACTGTCCTGAATGTATTCCACCTCGCTGCCTTTATGATTCCGCAGACCTCTGATGAGGTCGTACAGTGATTTCTCGAACCTGAATGTACCTGGATATTAGCTATCGATCCTGGATAGACAGAGTATCCAGTTACTGACATGATGAGAGATTCGCCGGTAATCCCGCCGACGAAACAGCACTCTTTTCCGCAGTATTAGACAAAAGGTACGGCTGTATATCGAAGGAGCCTCTAAATCTTGTCATATGCAGGGCGAGTAGTTCCGAGCGAGCAATCCTCAAGAGATCACGATGGACTCGGAGGGGTAGCCTCCGTCTTTTGTGGTGGCTGCTAAACCACGCATGTGTGGGTGGTTCTCAGGGTTAAAGGATCGTAGCGGTCGATTTCAAATTGCGCAAAACCACAAACTCCAGTGAGACTTGAGAGCCATATCTCCTCCAGTTGGATTCGCGTCGCAAGCAATCCTGAGCACGAACTACCTCCGCCAACTCCGCACTGCATCTGGACCTCCGGACCGTGACTTGGCACTAGACTAGTACTTACTAGGACAGCTTGCCCCGAGTCCAACGCTGGCCTCGTAATTGATACTGAGTTGATATAAGTGAAACCTACTATTTTCATCCAACAAAAGAGGGAAAACGACCGATAGAGTCCAATTCTGCCTTAAAGAGCTATCCCTACGCGAATCTCGTCAGAAGACGTCTCTTGCGCTCATTTCTGGTTGGATCATCCGTTCTTAAACCGACAGTCTAGGCATTCTTAGGTATGCGCGTCACCCTTCTGCAGTACTGATTAGCTGACATCTGCCTATTATATTGTTTCCACAGCTCACTCGCCGGCACAGACTGCGATGGGTTCACAGAATCTCCTGGGTCCAGCGGATCCCGCTACCAGTCTTCGTTTGTCGCAAGAGGCGCCCGGGTTCTTGAGAAATAATGCGATTTCAAACGGACGATTCCCGTCATTCCTTAAGTCTGAGAATATGGGAGATTGGATAGCGCACGAACAGCATCTCCTTGCCTGTCTCAGGACAGGAGACGATAAATCCGCTCATATTTTTCTTGACCGGTTGACCGCTCGCTTTGGCCCTTCCAATGAGAGGGTTATGGGTCTCCGAGGCCTGTATCAAGAGGCTGTTGCAGAGGATGGGAAAGCCCTTGAAGGGGTCCTCCATGAGTACGACGAGATTCTCGAGAAGCAACCGGCGAATGTGGTCTGTACCTCGTGTGATTGAATGTTCGCAGTGACATGACTGACTGTGCGACTGGTAGCCCATTCTAAAACGCCGCATCGCGCTTCTGCGGTCAATGTCTAGAATCTCAGACGCTATATCTGCTCTCGTGGAATTTGTCGAGGCCTTTCCTACGGATGCGGAAGCCTGGTGCGAACTGGCAGATCTATACCAAAGCCAGGGGATGAGCTCGCAGGCGATATTTTGTGTCGAGGAGGCTCTCCTTATCGCACCTAATGCTTGGAACGTGAGCATCCGCGCCTTTATCGCTTGAGTCCTGATCTGCATCTGACTCGAACTCTTTAGCTCCACGCCCTCCTCGGCGAATTGCAGTATATCGCCGCTATTTCCACACATGCCGATTCAGAAGAGGACCAACAAAGGCTTCTCGTCAATTCATTCAGGCAATTCTGCAGGAGTGTGGAATTGTGCGATGATTACCTTCGTGGATTCTATGGAATCAAAGTGGTATGATACCTTTTGGCACTGCATTTTCCCTCCGATATATTGTAATCTGACATGGGCCTTACTGACTCAATTCTTCCGCCCTAGACGTCTTCATACCTGCTAGACCACTATTTGCAAAAACCAGACAATAAATCCGGGAAAGGCAATGATAAGAGCCTGTCGAAGGATGTGGTTGAAAGACTCAATATTCTGGCAACGAAGAAGCTTACGGATGCTGTAGAGAAGCGCCAATTGGACATTCAAGGGCCAGGGCCTGGTCAAAGCGAACTTGCAGCAGTCCAGGAGCTTCTGAAGCATCATTGAATCCGTGGGCCTCTACAGCCCGACCACGATGTTTCCTTTCCTTTTTTCCCTACGTGCCTGGTGATGTCTCTGTAACATAATTATTGCGTTCTGAGTAGCATGTAGGTGCTATTAATACACTGCACCAACTTCCCATTCGCGGGATGGCGCACAGACTGACTGTCTGTATAGGTGATCTAGTTGTCTGCTCGGCTAAGGCACTAACTAAGTATCGTCCTGGTTGTGCCTGATCCAGGTACCCTGTTTTTCATTGGACTGTATATGATACCACCTCGATCAGAAATAATATTAGCAATACTATACTGCTCATAATCGAGTAGTAATTAACTGTTAGAATTATTACTGCTATTATTGTGTTCCAGTACGCCACATACTATAGATACCTAGATAGCCAATACATACTCAGTCTACTATGATCTGGAAGGGCGGTGAAGCGCGATGGAGGGGGGACTTGATTTCCGAGAATTCCCCTCCACAAGTTCGTTCGCGACGATAGACAAGTTGACTTAACTTAATTCCTTGGTCTAGAGATGGCGAGAAGACCAGATTAATAGGTATTATTGTCACTCTATAGGTTGGAGTTCCCGGATCTTCGATCCCATTCTTTCTCTGCGCATTCCCGCATTGGCGTGGGATTGTTATTGGGCGTTTGGGCACCAAAAGACGGTTTGGATGTTGATAGTTTGCCAGCTCAAAATGCATGAGGCCCTTTCCCCCTCGCAGCCTCACCATGCCCAACTCCGCCACCAGGTCGCTTGTTGATTCCCTGCCCTGAATTAATGTAATTATTCCCATATTCCATCACTCTGTCCGGCACACACACATTCCTCTTCGTCGCTCCTCACAACACTCCCATCAGACCTCAACGCCATTGAATCCTCTCCACATCTCTCTCTCTGTGTGTTCGCAGCAGTCTCTCCGATAACCCCTCCCCTCGAATGCACGCACAAATCCCCACTGTCCTCGAATGCTCACCATGAGAATCCGACTCTTCATGCTGTGACTTGCAACCTCAACTTGATTCCAGCCATTGAACTGTATGGACCACCTCTACCCCGGTAGTACAAGTGTATCCCAATTACCCGCGATAGGGAACCATCATTTCGAGCACTGGAGGCTGATCCTCTCCGTATGTTTACAGAGCAATAAGCGCGTTTATTGAAACCGTCAACCGTCTTGGACGTTATCCGGCCTAAGGATCCTCGTCCGCTAGAGGACTCACTCTGAAGAGGGCGACTTCCAACAAATCTCTATGACGTGCGTTCTTTCAATCCCGTCAGCATAGATAATCGCAGCGAGAGAGCTCTCTGCTGATGAACATCTTTGGGTCAACAGGTTCAACATCACCATTGATCACTCCAGTCCGCACGACTCGGATCGCTCATCCTTGTCTGACGAAGAGGACTCGTCGGGCGTACAGGTCTCCCCTCCATCCATAGCAGGAAGCCATGATTACCACGACCCGTACGATGATGGGGGCGAATGGGCGCATCTACCGTATCCTGACGAACTGAAGCCGTCCGACTCCGCATCTCGGCCCAGGACTCATGCGTTCCATGGATCGCGTTCAGCCTCCCGTCGCCGCATCCCCAGACGACGAGACGTCATGCATGAACGAGAGAGTTACTCTCGTCGTACGCGACGACACCATTCACCACCACCGCCGGCCTCTCCTGAAAGTAGTGATTCCGCTGATGAATACGAGGGGGGGTATGCGCATGCGCCTCAGGACCGCCGATATTGGCCGCCCGTGGCGCATGCCCCTCCCACAGGGTACGCACATAGTACTTCGTCGGGACCTTCATATAATCCCTATAACCAGGGCGCTGTACCACATGGCGCATTACCACATGGCGCATTTCCATATCCCGGCGGGCCTCATCCGCCACCTGCATCCGATCAATTGGTGAGGCTAGGTCATCTCGGAGGCCATCCGCCGCAATACGCCGGTTCCCCTCCATATGGATATGGTTCCCAGTTTCCCCATGTTCACAGTCCTCCCACCGTGTCGCCTTATTTTGGCCATGAGCACCATGCCGACTACCTTGGACACCACGTGCATCGCCCTCCTCCTCCTCATTCTCATCACTCTCATCACCAGGCAGCTCACCCCCGCGGTCGACGCCGTGCTCATAGCCCACCGGAACACGCCATGTCGCATACAGTCCCACCGCCCGCTGCTGCACCATACGGGGCGCCTCCTTTTGGCCCATCCGACATGGTGCCATACGGACATCCTGGCTATCTCCAATATAATAATCCATACCAGGTAGTCCCAGGAATGCCGCCGCCGCCGTATTTCAATCCTTACCCCCGTGTTTCTCCACCACCGCGCGCGGCGACCACCCCGTCGGCAACATCGGAGGCAGATACGGCAAAGGATGAAGCAATTGCTAGACTCGAGAAACTCATTCTCGACGAGCGATTAGAGAGAGAAGCCAGAGAAGCTGCCCGCCAAGAAGCTATCGAGAGAGAGGCGGCTGAACGAGCTGCCAGGGAGGAGCGAGCGGCTGCTGAGAAGAAGATTGCTGATGAGGCTGCTGCAAAGGCTGCTGCTGAAGCAAAGGCGGAAGCAGAAAAGAAGGCTGCGGAGGAGGCTGAAAAGGCGAAGAAAGCGGCCGAGGAGGCAGCCGCGGCGGCGGCGGCAGAAGCAGCAGCAGCAGCTACAGAAGCAGCCAATGCAGCGGCAGAAGAGAGAATTGCTGCTGCTGCTGCCGCTGCCAGCGCCGCAGCAAATCAACCTCCGCCGGAGAAGAAAAAGCCCATAAAATTTAAGGATGCAGTTGGTCGGAAATTCAGCTTTCCTTTCCACCTTTGCTGCACCTGGCAGGTAAGATTCTCTACAGCATGAGCCGTTTGTGACTTGAAGGGACTGTTACTTACTATCGTCCGTCCGTCAGGGAATGGAAGAGCTCATACGGCAGGCATTCCTCCATGTCGAGGTGATCGGACCACATGTCGCTGAAGGGCATTACGACCTAGTAGGGCCGAACGGTGATATAATTCTCCCACAGGTCTGGGAGACTGTAGTTGAGCCAGACTGGACAATCACCATGCATATGTGGCCGATACCCGAAAAACCAAAAACTCCAGAGCCTCCACCACCACCTCCCCCTCCCCCTCCGCCCGAGCCTGTCGCGGATGATAATGCCATAGTCACCGTTGTGGAGGAGCCAAAGAAGGCGGAATCAACAGGTATGATAGAGACTTCCCGAATTCTCTCTGTCGTCGGCTTCCATTCTGCGCGCTGTTTCTGTGTCGCATTGCTCCATCTGGCGTTGTCGTGGAATTTCTAACCGATGTCCTGCTTTAGGCCCTAAGAAACAACGTGTGAAAGCCCCTGATCCAGGCGCATTCGCTATGTGGATGGTTGGTGGTAGTCGGGCGAGGGCTATCAAGTCTTTAAAAGCGGCAAAAAAGCCTGAAGTACTTTGACATATGATCTCTGCTGTGTTGTAAAACTGCTCCAGCTGCTCAGGAGAACAGTGTTCAAGGCTGTGGTGGAGGCTGCTGGGTAGTTGTCAGTTGTCAGTTGCAAGGCAGCGAACCCCCCTCACTCATTGTTGATGCAAGATTTTGGCCTCTTTCAGCAGCCCCTGAGGAGCAGATCGCTGTCAAAAGATCCTGTTCAGCTGGTGGTTTTCATACCATCTACTTGACGTGATGTACTTCAGGGGGGGCATGGCTTTTCCTCTTGGTTTAACCGAGATTGGTTTCTCGTGCCTTTTTTCTAATGTTTTGTTGGGGAGGATGGATGTCGTTGCATTCTTTGTTTACGTTACGCCAATCACGAACTGCTTGTTGTATCATACCCGGAAGCGCTCTAGATGCTGTTATGAGATCGGCCGAAGAAAATATAGTTATAGTTTTCTATTTACCAATTTCTCCTACGATATGTTACTATACTGATCAGGGTGCACTGCTTGTATTGTGGAGGAAATACGACAGGCTGACACTGGGCCTCTTATTTTCTTTTTTATTTCACCGCATGGATTACTTCTCCCTACTGGTAACTGACTATATGCGGTTCAACGCGCTCGGAAAAAACGGACTATCCCTGATTGATGTGGCCAGCCACCCTGTATATATTTATATATGTAATTCGCAACTATTTTATCTTTTAGGCACGAGAGGCTTCCAGCCACTCATATCATCCGCATCGTTGTCGAGAAGATTATCTGCAAGAGCACCCCTGGGCGCCCCATTATTCCTTATCGGTAAGCCCGGGGGCACATCGGCACGCGGGGAGGAGTTCTTTGACTCAAAGCCCTCTACTCCACGCGCTGGAAGCGCAGGTTTCCGTCCTTGTAGCTCGGCGGTGCGATAATTTGCGCCACCAGAACTGAGAGACAGACTAGAGATGGAATTTGTGTCTTTCTCAAAACTAGTGCTAGAAGCCAATGATGCTGGTTTTCTCGGTATTGGTGGTGGAGCCTTTAGCTCTTCTGACCGGGCCAGGTTATTCTCTGGACTTTTCGACGCATCGATATCGTGTCTCTCGAGACCGTCCAGTTCAGCGTGTAGCGCTGTCTGCCTGCCTTGACGTCTTGGTGCTGGCGGGGCTGGCGGGGTGGATTTCTTCCCAGGCGTTGATAGAGATGTGGAGTCATCCTTCTTTCGAAGAGGCAATTCTGATGGGTATATCCAATCAGGGATTCCGTCGGGCGAGAAGGGGTTTGATTTCTGATATATGTTTGGAACTTGGCCATCTGCAGGCGGCTTGATTGTCGACCTGGAGGGGACACCTTGTTCATGTTAGTTTGACCATTTACGGGCATAGAAAAAGGGGTTTTCTTTTTCTCTCTCTCAATACTTACCAAGAGGTTCAAGCCACCACTTCTGACGGTCTGAACTAGGCGACGGCAAGTCAGGAGAGATGGGTACGAGTTCTTCTCCCCCTTCTGTATCTGCGGATCTGCCGAGATCAGGTATCAAGTCGTCTGTACCGTGTTTGAACTTCTCGTAGAGAGAGCGACTGAGTCTTTCCTTCAGCTTCTCATCTATGACATGTATGGTGCAGTCAAACATAGCCCAGACAGGACGATGGTCTGAAAAACGTAAATCTGCCGTCGCATAGTGAGATTGTCGGAGATTCTTGCCCTTCCACAGCACTCTGTCGCACCATGCGGGAATGCGCGCTTTTTCTCTGCAGTGCGTTAGATTATGCAAGGTGGTTTGATTCGTTTTTCTTTTCTAATTCAGGGAGTCCTTACGAGGTGTCGTATTCATCAGATCCGATGTCGTATTTGTAAGTTGGTGGGAATGTAATTGGCGCTTCGGAATAGAATTTAAAAGTCCTTCCTGCCATCATCTGCAGATTTAACTAGAAGATTGTCAGTGGACAATAAGCGCGATGAGGAAAGTAGATGATGGGGTTACCTGATCATTTTCATAGAGTTTATCGAACATTCCTAGCTTGATGTACTCCCTGACTTTGTGGTCACTGAGGCCTATGCGATAGTTGAAATCACCAAGCCAGATGACGGTGTCATGGTCTTCGATAGACCTATTCCTTTGAAATCTCAGACCATGACTGATAGTTTCATAATCCCGATTCCTCTCGTCATAGTTCGCAAATCCGGCGGCAAGATGTGCAGTGACAAAACACATTCTAGTGTTCGAGTATTCGAACCGAATAGCACAACCGCCTTTGTTGCCTCCCATGCCAGAAAGACCGGTCTAGTTGCGTAATTAGCCTGGTACAAGCAACAGTGAGAGGGAAATTTGAGCGTACCTTTTTAACACTTCCTTCCACGTTCTTAATGTCACTAAGGGCATCGGTTCTCACGTATATGAGAAGAGCGGCCCCAACGAGTTGGCCGCTACGAAGAAGCACGTATCGTGAGGGCCCTTGCCTGCTAGCAAGGTCGTTTAGACAAACTTTGACAGCCTCCTCCCAGACCTTGCGTGTCCGTGGATCAGTAGACATTATTTGTTGAGGGCTCAACTCCACGATCTCTTGAAACCCGACAGCTACTATGGCCGGTCCCTCCCCATGCTCATCAAATGCAGAGGACAGCCAGGGTGAAAGGTCAGTAGATGCACCTTCGCTCCTTCCATTGAGGTTGAAAGTGCCAACCCAGACGCGGATAGATTTAGTCGAGGAGTATTCCGTGAGCTGGCGGTTCATCTCAGCAGTGACCATATCACTGATCGGGTCATATAAGTGAACAGACAACTGGTTCGTTAAGCGACCTAGCAAGAGATCTATCGTGTTTTGTCGAGCCTTATCCGTAAAATTATTCACATACAAGCGCGTGGCACTCTTGCGTGCGTCTGCAAGAGCACCTGCCAGTGACATTTTGCCGTGTCTAGTAAATGAGCTTTTGAGAGCCCCAGTTCCAGCGTAGATCTTTGATAACGCGTCACCATTGTCGGCCCACAGACTTGAATGCCTCATCTGGAGGTCTTGCGTGACTCTTCCGCCATGCTGAATCAAGAAAGTATCAAGAGCCATCAGACTAATGATGGTCTGTACGAGGTTTGTCCTGTCCAAGCAATCAAGACAATTGGTTCGGAAAACGCCTTCTTGCTGGATAACAACCGCCGAACTCTTCGGGTAGTGTTTCTCGTTTGTGGGAGACTCTGACTGACGGAAGACATCTTCCGACAAGAAATAAGCAAATCCATCCAACGAGTTTTCAACCTCAACCCGAATTTGACGGCCGACATCGTAGCCAGCCGGACCGCGAGCTTCAACATGGAAATCAAACTCAGTAGCTCGCAATAGATGATGGTCTGACGAAGAGCCCGGGGCACCTCGCTGTCTGAGTGAGCTTCTGGAAATATGTTCACGGAATTTGGCGGACAATTCGGCTTCCCCTGACTTGAGCGCGCTGAGAAGGTTGACCACATGTACTGCTCCGTACTCGTGTTCAAGGAACTCAAAGTGCTTGTCAAACGCATGCTGCGTCGCCTCGAAAGAGCGTGTAACCTCGATTTTTTGTTGCCCAGGGAGGAGGCCGGGGGTCTGCTCCCAAAAGATAGGAACCGAACCACGTACTTGAACGTAAGAGAAATTTATCCCCGGGGGACTCCATAAAATGAGCTCAGTCTCGACGAAATTTGAGACGTTCCCATCGTCATCTATCCCTCTCGAGTTGAATCTGGTGCCAGCTCGCCGCCACGATTGACGTGATATGAGGGTCAATGTTGAAGGGAGATTTGACCGCACCTGAGGAAGCGGATGGGCTGACGCAGGGATGGTCAACGTCCCGGCGAACCCTCGTATGACAGACGTTAGAATTCGAGAGGCATCGAGCGCCACTCTTTCGTGGCTAGCTAGGCGGCTCCTGAAGAGAAGAAGAGGATTGATCATATAATGATTCCATAACATGTCTCCGTCGAGACTATCGATATCGAAGGCGGTCGACTCATTGTAACTGATAGCTCGTCAGCTTGGCTCCTTTGGACCCAGGCAGGTACGATGTCTACTCACCGGTCCTGGAGGCGATCCGTGAGGTTGAAGTCGAGGCTGTAGTAGAAACTGCCATCATTCAGGAGTTTTTTCAGAGCAAGGAATGGATGGTCTGTAACAACATCTCTAGGGTCCTGACTGAAGCTACGGCTGGTATCCTCAGCTCCCCATTGGGAGCCTGCTTCATATTCCAGTCCATTCTCATAATCGGAGCGATTTAGACAATCTGCCGGAATCAGCTTAGTCCTAGGGACGTGTTCAGAGATATATACTGACAAAATTCTACGTTATCAATTCTTAGGACGGTCTCGCCTGGTCTAACTGTAGCCGCCTTCGAAGAGGCGGTAGCAACGCAGATAAAGACGTCGTGATTCAGTGTGATAAGACCCAGGGTACCGTGCCCCTCGCCCAGCAGTCTGTATTCTCTTAGATTGATCGAGGAGGCACTGCAGAACTCGACCAGGCAGCGTGGGGTCTCATTATTGCCAGCTTCCGGTATCCCATTAGACGATTCCCCCGCAATCGGTGTGTGCCGGAAGATCAGCGCATGTTCGCTCGTTACGAGGGCAATTGTGCGATCAGGCTGTTCTCGACAGAGAACACGAAGGGTCGACATGATCTAGGGGAACTGTGCGTCCACCATCCAAGACCAGATCGACCGATCATGGGGGTGGAGGGGAGCGGTTTGCTGGAGGGGTTGAATGAGTTGAGATGTGGTGAGCTTGAGCCGGCGATTTGCGTCAGAAGGCTTGCGCGTCGCTCCGGGGAGGGCGATTACTGTGACAGATCAGTGCCAAAATATAATACTTAACATCACTGCGCCTGGAGTTTTCTCGCAGAGCGCAGAGAAAGTCATCGATTGATGGTCGTGTTATTAGACCTTTAATGTACTAGTTAGTGTTGGCCAATAACTAGTTAAGTCAAAGTAGGAGTTCTTAGGTCATCAGCCAGGCTCGTGCCCCGTTGCTGGTTTAAGCCTTACGGTCTTCAAGAGAGGGATTAATTACCAAAACAGGTAGATCTCTGTATAACTAAGATAAGATAATAATAATTAAGTTAATGAATTGAAGAATACTAAGCTAGTTAACTATATAAACGTATTGTGGACAGGACTCTCACGTCTTCCGTGAGATGAAATAATGTCGACTGCTCAAGGTGACTCGAGATGGCTTCCAGCAGAGTTAACGAGGACCTGCAAGTCACCAGCGACACGTTTACAGGAATCGTTCAAGCGTTCCACGTGGGCAAGTATGAGGCTTTCTATCTCAGCACGCCTCTGTATGAGTTCAGCCAGGCGTTTAATCCGAGTCGCCCGGCGCCCGGCGCTAATCTGGCGTCAGAAACCGAGCCAACTTTCTAAGTTATAGAAGCTGGCTGACATACATAGAACGCCTGCTAGCGATAACTCGATTATGTAGATGCAGCTCGAATTCTTGTGCTCTCGATTGGTGATGTTCCTCAAGCGCCTGTTTGTGGCGTCTAGCGCGCTCTTCGAACTAGTCACGGACGGAAGAGTGTCAGCGTGGCAGCGATGTATATATGTCTTCAGACCAGAAGACACTGTGATACTACTTGGCTCACAGATGCGTCCATGTCTTTCAAGGAAAAAGACATATCAGCGGACCCTTGGGCCGCCTGTCTTCGTGACAATGGCTGCTGGCGCCCCGAACGAGCGTTGCCGGGTTTTTTCTTAGCAGCCATGATCAGAGTATTTCCAGCGTCAAGAACAAAGAACCAGGCTAATCACACAGCTCTCTGGTTGGACAGTGAGACGAAGTTCGAGGGCAAAAGTCTGGGTTCCGATCGATAACTAGTCAAATGAACTACTCCGTAGTGAGTTAAGTGAACTACTTAAAACTAAGCGCTGGACGGCAAAAAAAAAGTCTTAGTCATCACACCTATCTCCGCATGGTTATTTTCTTCAAGTCGCTAGAATATCTCAACGCCAACCACGGGTTGATTAACGGGTTGACGAGGGGATTCTTATAACAGAACGGGCCTTTTAAAGATACAGATTATCTCGTCTGTTCCAATCCCAAGTGGCCCAAAATGGGTCTCGCAGGCCCTCGAAAGTGAGTGAGCAGCGCTAGGACGACGTGCGACTGCGACTGCTGCTACTAATGCTAATGCTAATGCGCTTATTTTCCAGGAGGACCAAGATCTCTCATGACCCAAACAATACGAATTGGGCACGTTCGACTAGTGGCTTTGGCCACAAAATCATGAGCTCGCAGGGGTGGACTCCTGGCAGTCTCCTCGGCGCTCGCGATGCTGCGCATGCTGATCATTTCACCGCAGGCAGTGCCTCTCATATCCGGGTCTCTCTGAAGGATGATACTCTCGGATTAGGCGCGAGACCGAAGCGCGATTTAATTGACGGCCCGACCGGATTGGACGCTTTTCAGGGCCTGCTGGGTCGACTCAACGGCAAAACAGATGCGGAGCTGGAGAAGGAACAGCGAAAGCGTGACGACGTCAAACTCGCTATCTATACTGCAAGAAAATGGCAGGCAGTTAGATTCGTCAGTGGCGGTTTGCTCGTCCCTGAGAAGATGGAGGCGCTTCCCAACAAGACTCGAGAGGAGCCCGATAAGCAAGGGCCTAGCGCTGCAGACTCTGCTGAGGAATCACAGCCGGAGTCAGAATCGGAAAAGGAAAAGTCTAAGAAGTCTAAGAAATCTAAGAAATCCAAAAAGTCCAAGAAGGGTGATTCCGACGTCAAGCCAGATGCAGACAGTCGGTCGTCTTCCAAGAGCAAGCGCAAAGAGTCTAAGAAACGGAAACACGGTGGTGGAAGCGATCAATCCGATGATAATCAAGAAGGCGACGAAGAACAAAAGGCAGTCCCCAAGCCTTCCAAGTCGAAGGATGCAGAGACCAATGGGTCCCAGACTTCTTCAAGATCTGAAACGCCCGCGACCTCGAGGGAGCGCATTCCTATGGGAAGGCATATTTTCCGAAGCAGACATATCCAGCAAAAGAAAAAGGCACTTATGGACGATAAATCGCTCAATGAGGTAATTGGCTGCATCCTGCCTTCCATATCGTATGTGCTCGCATCATCTAATTGTCACGGCAGATATTTATGATCAAATCCTGAACACCTGATCTAATCACGGACATACCGACCTACTATAGACGAATCAATCTTCGTCACAGCATTTCCAGCGGCAGGCCGCTGGATATACAATTGAAATTCGATACCAATAGAGCATCTGCCATCTTATCTGAAAAAGTTGTCACATGGGTTGATATCAAAGCCTCTGGCCCCTCACACTCCGCCATTTGTCTTTGCAGGCTCAGTGAGGAATTGTATAGAGTGATATTCAAGAGATTGAAGAATAAAGGGAGTAGATACGCGCTACGAGTAGGAGTGTGAAATCAATCTAAATATATATATATATATAAATAATATGGTATAGAAGTTTCTAAATATGGGATCTGCCCGAGAAGGCAGGCGGTGTAGAGTAAACCGAGTGTAACAACGTCATCCAACTCCGAGTAGAATAATAATCAACGAACTAGTTACAACTCTCACTTGCGCTCCTCTCCCCTGCTCTTTCCTTGACTCTCTGCTGCTTATAATTGATTTCTCCCCCAGCGGACTCTCTATGTCCTTTATTTGACATTGGAGGTTTTGCCATTCGCCCTCCTCCCTTACACCTACGGTCATAACCTAGTCTGCCGCGGTACTTACCGGGCACATGGCTGCGGATTATTAGACTCGCTACGTTCCACATCGTTCTCCTTACCGAGCTCAACACCCCCTTTGCCAGGTATATCGCCTGCTAGATATTGTACTCGCTACATGAAAACTCTCGCGCGACCACGTCCATGTCCTCAGTTCATATCCTTCCTCCGGAGCCTTCAGGCGCCCGCGAAGGTGTCAATGTGACATCCAAATTCAGCGATGTCGCAGCTGTAGATGAAACCTCAGAAGCTACATCTACTATCGGTATAGGAAATGACACTCAGCTGGAGGGTCAGCCCGGACAGTTGTCAGACGTCACAAAGGGCCCAACAGCGGACGGTATCGCCCGTCATCCCGACAGCGGCGAGAAGCATGCTCCAGAGTCTCGTAGAGACCCTGGTGGCTTAGCAGCACCTTCGGAAACTCCTCAGAAAGAGGCGGTCAGATCCATCACAATTGAAGATCCGCACAGCAGAAATGCGCCTGGAAAACAGTCTGGAACCACTAATGGAAAGAGCCATGGGTAAGAGTCAACTCTACTTTTCCCTTTTAACCCCCCCTCGCTTCATGGCATTCGAGCTGACGATCAGACTGCAGTATCCGCTGGGCGCCACTGAATGTCGGCCTAGAACGGCGCCTTCAGACGTTCGTCGTCCTTTGCCATACACTAACTATACCTATCTTTTTGACTCTTTTTTTCTTCCTGTGTGCCATACCCTTGTTCTGGCCTCTACTCATCCCGTACTTGATATACATTCTACTTTTCGCTGACGGTGCCACATCCGGGACTTTGCGTGGCCGTAGTAATTTTCTGCGTTCGCTTCCTGTTTGGTCGCTGTACGCAAACTATTTCCCTGCCCGTCTGCACCGCTCGGTGCCCCTGGAGCCAACTCGAAAGTACATATTTGGGTATCATCCTCATGGCATCATCTCGCACGGAGCCTTTTCTGCCTTTGCTACAGAAGCTCTTGGCTTCTCTAAACTTTTCCCGGGGATCACGAACACACTGCTTACCCTGGATTCAAATTTCCGGATCCCCTTCTACAGGGAGTATGTCCTCGGCATGGGACTTGCGAGCGTTTCCCGCGAGTCGTGCGAGAACCTGCTGACCAAAGGCGGCATTGATGGAGAAGGGATGGGCCGTGCCATCACGATCGTGGTAGGCGGGGCTCGGGAGTCTCTTCATGCGCTACCTCATACTATGCGTCTGGTCTTGAAGAGCCGCAAGGGGTTCGTGAAGCTGGCAGTCCGGACAGGAGCGGATCTTGTTCCCGTCCTAAGCTTTGGGGAGAACGAATTATATGATCAAGTACGCTCAGACGAGCACCCTCTCATACACAAATTGCAGATGCTGGTCAAGCGGACTATGGGATTTACAATCCCCTTGTTCCACGCTCGGGGAGTATTCAATTATGACGTGGGCCTGATGCCTTATCGACGGCCAATGAATATCGTTGTTGGCAGGCCTATTCGCGTGGTTCAGCAACGGAAGGGGGCGCCCCTGGATGAGCGCTACGTGGACGAGCTGCATGCCAAATACGTCCAGGAGTTGGAGCGGATATGGGAAGAATACCGAGACATCTTCTCCGCCGACAGAGTCTCAGAGCTGGAGATTTTAGAGTAACCAGATTTTCTCTGATACTATATTCCAGAAAGCATGTTTTCAGGTGCGGCTGAGCGTATAGGTCGATTGACAGATCGGAAGCCCTTCCTAAGTGGTCATGGCGTTTGTTATGAGAAGTTACCTTTCCCATATATTGAGTCGAGAGTATTAATGCTATGAAAAGGCTGGACCCTTAACAGCGCAGTACCCACTGCTGCTGCTGCCAGTTCTGAAAAGTCGAAAGCGCGAGACATGCTTGCAGGGTCGGTTCTTATCAATAATGGTTTCTCGTGACATTCTCCTTTAGTTAGATAGATAGATACATGTATGCATAAGATAACAATAAACACGGCGCTTCCAATGCACGCTTCAGAAAAACAACCATGAGTAGATGCTCCAATCCTGTAGAAAGCAACAAGCAGCTATTCTGAAGAAATATATAGCAACGATCACTGTTAATTTGGGCGACGGAGAGAAATAGACTCTTTACTCGATGCACAATCTTCTCACCACAGCATGCCGTCCCAGTGGCCACCGCCATCGATATTCTGCCACGCAGATTCTTTTATAGCCTTATCCCATCCCAAGATCACAGCCAACAGACGACATGTCATGCTACTGACGCCGCAAACCACCATATCAGTCTGACCCAGCACCGCCAGGTCAAGTAGATAGGCACGACCGATGAATTTCCGCAAATAGAGAGCGTTATCATTCCCGGCCGCGTGATGGTTGTTTTCCGAATCAGATACGTGCTCTTGCAGATGCAAGAAGTGACCTAGATGCCTCTTCGAAGCTGGTGGTCCTGCTCGTCGGGTGTATGACAAACCCAGAGACCAAAACATATCTTTGAAAAAGCCGCCTTCCCATCCGATATTGTCGTCGATAGAAGATTTCTTCGCTTGGCCTTGGGACGCCGAGGCTTGATCTAGCGTTTTCTTAGTTGCCAGAGAAATGAAATGTTGTGCCTTTTCAGCACCTGAGAACTCGGTATTGTCATAGACGTCTGGATCATCCGAGGCTAGGATCAATTTTGAAGCTGTTCTCGCTTCGTTGATAGAATGTTTATTATGGGTTGCAGTCAGTGAACTTTCAAGTATTCTTTCGGCTGCCTCTCTGTATTGCTCTAGGGGTATGTAGGAGTCTCGATATTGGAATTCCCGTGGATGGAGATCACCGCGGCGAACGTGGATTCCGACCTGCTTGCCTCCATTAGACTGCACTGCAGATTTGAGTTCGTCGGAACGACTCTTCGAGTAGGACATGTCTTCATCAGCTAGTTTGAATAATGATTCATAGCCTGCTCGAAGGAGAGAGAAGATGTGTCTGTGACGTTCGACCCCTGTCTTGCCGCGGTCTGTAAACTGCTTCTGGAAGCTATCACCAAAGGTCCAAGGCGCCGTTGCCATTGACACAACCAGATGGCGTGCTTCATGAGGACAAGGGACTCTTTCTCTGGGAGGAGGTGGCAAACAGTCTGGTTTTGGAGGCGGTTGGAAATACGAGGTGTAGTTCCCATACGCCCAATTCGTATCATCGATAAAGAAAGATCGTCCTTCCTTTTGAGCGAGACCATAGCCCATCCACAGGCCCCATAGGGTCTTTCCAAGTCCTGCCTCCTCGCTCTGCAATACGTAAGTCAGACTCTTCTTGCAGACCTGGTTGTTCGAGTGAGAACCGACGGCCGTATCTTCCTGCTGTCCTTCATCCAGCGGCGGTAATAGGCCTTGTTTCGCAGCGTCGGAAATATCCACGAAGCCCGGATCTTTCTGATAGTAACTGTGAGAATGACCCTGCGGACTCCGCCCTGCCATCTCCGCGACACTTCTTGAGATCTCCTCGCATTGAGAGCGGAGTCTAGCGTATTCCTTAGGGGTAAGTGGAAAAGCCAGATCCTGCGGGATCGAGACCGTCCATTTCGGCTTCCCTTCTAAGCCAGTGATAGCGATTGGAATCGGCTGCTCGGGCAGCGTCTCCGTCCCAACAATCTCATACGCATCTCTACCCGTGGGAACGAAATCGACGACGTCCACAAACTGAGATGATAGAAGAAACGCAACAACCCTCTTAATCAGGATGAACACAACTATCAAGGCAGATATATAGAATAACAATCGACGAATTCTGCGGTTCCATCGCGGTTGGAACTTCTTGCCCTTTGGAGGAGCTGCTAGAAATGGAAGCCCTGGTGACGGAAGAGGCGAGTCGACTAATGGTATTCGCAGATTATGCTGAGATGAAGATGTCTCGGGAAAAGTGCTTCGAGTGGGCGTCTTCCGAAGAGACAAGCTCGAAGGGGGCTCACGGGACGATAGCAGCATGTTTTCGTTTTTTTTTTTTCGTTCCCCGTAGAGTGCAGTATGTGTCTCTCTGTGCGTGTGTATGTATATATATAGAGAGAGAGAGAGAGACAAGCAAAACTGCTTAGGCTCGAGAAAGCAGAGCCGTCATGCCATTTATCAGACGAGCGGTTCTTCTGATTGCCCTCGAAGAGATAAACACGATAATTGACCTCTGGATCGCAAGAGGCGATCTTGTAAACAGAAAAAGTATATATCAGAGACTCCCCGAGTCTGACATGCACTTCAGATACCAGAAGATGCAGGGATCAAGCAAAAGATGTCATCTTGCGAGAACAGCGAGCAAACCCACGAGCCCGTTCGTCCTCAATGTCGATCAGAGAGAGACCCAGTACTTACTTAGTAGGTAGTCTAGTCTCTCAGCTGCAATTGGAGTGGGTCGCTCATGTCCAGGAGTAGTAATGAAGGAACAGTGCAATGATACCAAAGAAATTAATGGGAGATGGATTGTCAACACTATCTTGACGCTCCAGAGCGCGACTGACAGTTAGTCCATCTGCTAAAAAGTAGAAAAAAAAAGAAAAAAAAAGAAAAAAAGGCGGGGAGCCGTTTGGCCTATGACTACTTCGAGTAGCCAGGGGACAACCAGATGTCAAAAGAAAAAGAATACAAGGATTGGAACAGAAGGGCCATGTGTTGAACGTACAGTATAACAAGATCAGGAGGAGTTTCGAGAAAGCCGAAATGTTTCATCGACGGCGGAAGTTTCCAGGTGCGAAATGCCGGGTGCAACTCCATTTTTGCCTGCGTCAGTGTGGAGAGAGAAAAGCCCAAGTAGCTAGCTAAAGGGAGAGAGAGCACCACATACTCTACGCCACCCACGCCTCATCACTCATCGCCCATGTCACTTCACAAGTTCACGATGGCATGCGAGGCCTACATTATTCGCTGTTAGCTCGAGCGCGACCCGAGACGGCGGTTTCAGGGTCTGACAGGTATTAACACTGGGAGATCGCCAACGGGCTGTCGACCGGAAATCGGGCGCAGTTGAAACCTCCACTGGATAGATAGACAGGGTCCAGGGAGAAACATCAGACTGGGGGTACTCTACCATAGAAATCTCCGGAGCCTGTTGTCATTTGAATTCGCGCTTACTCAAGTTGCACTGCATGCTACCATCTGGGTGATTGTTTTCCTCCTTGAAACTACTTAAGGATCCTTGACTATGTATTACAGTACACCGAGGTACTCGTTCAAAGTTCTAGTCTAGGTCCAATACGCCTATGCGACTGAGAAGGCTGTAGCAGCATCCAAGGCGGACAAAATGTCTGTCAAGACTCGAACAATTGATGTACAGTATTATTATTAGACTCCTGCCATCATATGGATCAACCACATCACTCTCTCATGCTAATATTATACTATACACTCGGAAACAGGAGAATAGGCAAAATTTGAAACACTATACATACAATCGTTCGAATTATGGCAGAGAACATAGCCAAATTATGACACTAATCATTGCTCATATCCCACCAAGAACGGTCATGACGACAGCCTGGGAATAAAGATCACATGAAAACAGTCGATTAGATAAAAAGCCGTCAATAAATAAATAAAAAAAAAAAAAAAAACGCTATGGAAAAGAACACGTGGGTATCAGGAGATCAGAGGTCAAGTAATACGCAACAAGAATGACAAGGTAAACACTCAAATCCTCCAAGACGTACGCCTTTCCGTAAACCAGACTCCGTAGCAGATGGATTGCGTGCTCAGGTCGACTGCCTGTCTGGGAATGGCACTTTCGGAGTCGGGGTCGTATTCAAGCCCGGGATTGTTGTTGCTGAAGCCGAAACTGGTCGGCTCTCGTTGGCAACGCGCATACTTCCACGCGAACCCTTTATTAGCTGGCCGCTCTCAACCCGATCCTGGATCATCTCATCGAGCATACGGGACATTTCGTCCACACTCCTTCTCTTTTTTGCTTTTTCCTTCTCGGACGTCTTTAACGAATCGTTGTTATCACCTGGACCACAAAGAACTGCAGACGCTGTCTTGGAGCTACTGTTGCTCCCGGTACTCCGACGTACCAGCATGGTTCTGTTTTCGGGCGCAATTAGATCAGGAGTCATACAAGCCAGATCTCGCTGGCGAGCCGCTGACCGCAGTGCAGTAAGCATGCGATCCTTGTCATCAAGTTGAATCCGTAGCTCAGCTATTTCATTATCCTTCTCACGAAGCAGGTTCACAACATCAGGATCATCCGCAGACACGTTTCCAGATTTGATCTGCTGCTGGAGGCCCATAGACGTCCGCGAATGGCTAGAGCGTCTTGCTTGCAGCAGTCGTCTTTCAAGTGTGGATATGTACCTGTTCTTGTCTGCAAGATCCGCTTGCAGAGCACTAACTTGCATCTGAAGACTAGCCGTGCCATCCCCGAATTCGCCCATGGTGTCCTCATCGTCCTCATTCGGAGAGGACACTCCGGGATAGGAAGCACGGATCGAGCGATCGACACTGTTGAAGGACATCATGGATACCGTTCGATTCAATGAATGCGCACCCAGTGTGGATTGGCTGACGGAGGAACGTAGAGATCTAGTACCATCATTGAGGGTGCTGGACATCCTCGACAGCCTACCCAGTGCAGACATTGTGCCACTATTCACACCCGTAGATTTTGAAGAGAGAATAAGGCGGTTAAGATGCTCAATACGCTCTTTCAAAGCCGTCCTGGCCAGCTGCATCTCCAACATCTGTTCCTCGTGACGGACCTGAGCTTCGTTCTCCAGCTGCTTCTCCTCCATCTTAAGCTCTTTCTCAGCCTGGGCCTTAGCCTGGCCCTCGAGCTGGCTGCGCAGTGACTGGATCTCCATGCGATAGCGTTCCAGAAGGACACGACTCCCACCATCGCCAGAGCTACCAAGCGCTTCTTCAGCCTTCTTCGCATGACTGACGATGTTGTTCTTGGCTCTAGCAGCGAATTTCATGGTATTCAGCGTCTCGCCCGTGTGTGAGTTCGCCGATGCTGCGCTGCCAGCTGACCCTAGCTGGATCGTACAGAGGATACTGACCAAGGAGTTTCCGGACAACGCAGGTTGCAGCAGCCGGGTCAGCTTACTGTCACGATATGGCAGATGTTTTCCATCTCGGTCCGCCCCGTTCTTGTCCTTAGTCTCAGAGAGCTTCGAGATAACCGTGCCAAGCGTGAGCAAGCTCTTGTTGATATGGGCACCTTCTTGACGTCGTTCCTTATTGTCGGCGGCTCTCTCGGAACCCGCCAGATCGATAAGACTCAACGTTGATACCCTTACTCCACCGGGTACAATTGCCGAGCGCTTATCGTGCGAAGCACTGCCTGGGGGTGCTCGCTCTCTGCTTTCCACAACGATCTGGACGACGGCATGACTGCGCGAACTGCGAGCGTTGAACTGAGTGCTGGCAACTCTTCTGGCATGATCACCTCGAGCAATGACTCGAAGCAATTGAGTAGGGCTCTGCACGATCTCCTCCTTTAGGGGAGTAGCGTATACACCTCGTTTGCTGTCTTCGCGTAATTTGATTTCTTCCTGTTGAGCGATTCCGGGGCCGTTTTGGGTGGAAGCAGAAAGCAAGTCGTGGATCTTTTCGTTGTAGATCTCCAGGTAGCTAACGCGCAGAAGGAACTCCCTGTGTGGGGTTTCCCTAATATAGGAGAAAATATCTGTGATGGCCAGCGGGATTACTCCAGGCGATGTTGCTGTTCCCTGCATAGAGAAGGTCTTTCCCGTTCCAGTCATACCGTATGCGAAAACCGTTCCGTGGTAACCTTCCATGACTCTCCGTACGAGACGCTTCGCTGCGGCATCGTATACCTTGGCATTGTTGTCGTGGGTGGTGAATACATTATCTTGAGGAAGAATTCAAATTAGCTCAGCTCTCCGCTCAACAACGGTATATTGATTGGATTAGATTGGCCCTTACCGTAATAGTAGTCACCGGCTTCCTTGCCTCTGAAAGAGATTAGAGCCCTCCGTCCATCTACCATCCACTCTCCATCCGGTTTTGAAGCGTCGGAATTGCCCGCATCAGGCCGAACTCGGACACTGACAAGCACATTGCCTTTCGCATCTTTAGCTTTACCAGTCCCCTTCGAGTTCCCGCCAGCCTCGTCAGCATCGTCAAATGTTGTCGCACTAGTGGAATACGAGCCTTGCGCAGACGAGCTCCGGCTCTGTGGCGGTGATGGAATGTTGAATTGGCCCTCCGGATCCACGCTGGCAGCGCCGAGTCCTAGTAGAGATGGAGTCTTGGAACTGCGGTAGCTGCTGGTAGTGCCAGTGCTCAGCCTGGAAAGTTTCTTCGACTTCGAAGTAATCGATGAAGCGCTGGATTTCAGATCTGGCGTAGCGGATTTCGGAGGAATACCGGAGAAAGACGAAGACGGGGAAGGACGGGTACTGCCAGCTTTGGGGGGCTGAGGGAACGCCGCGATGCTAATCGTCCTCCGCAGTGTCTTGTCAGGGCTGCTGGGAGTGCGTCCCGCTGAGGTCGACCTCAGACTGGGAATGTCGGTCGTCGAGCTCGACTGACTAGATTTGGCAAGCTGGGGTCGAGGAGACGCAGGCGTCCGTAGCTTTGAAGGCGTGGGTGATGGTACCCTTGACCCTCCTGAGGGTACCGGTAGACTCTTTCTCGCTTTCTGGCTCGGTATTGAAGTTGGTGGGTTGTTCGTCGCACGGGGACGCTGCGGTAGAGCCGAGGTTGACGCCATGTCTTCTAAATCTCAATGCGGACCCCTCTGTACGTTCAGAATGGTTAAGACTCAACAAGACCAGTCTCCGGACGAAGTGGCCATACGCGGGACCGATATCTCTGTTTGAGTTGTATGTAGTCTGCCAGCGACATGCAAGGTTCGAGGCGCAAATGGAGAAGTATCGTAACTTGAGGTTGCTGGCCACGCGTGGGGAAATATTCGTACCAGTAGCTCGTGCACGGAACGCGATGACCTGAGAAGGACTCCTCGTTCCTGGATCAGAGAAAACCGATTAGTATAAGGTCCATCTGCAGTGAAGTCATTCGGGCGCATATGTTTACAACACCCAACCGCAATGGAGGTGATGATAAAACATCAACATGCAAAGCAGATCCCACACACACACACACACGTGGGAAAATGCGGGTTGAGAGTTTCAGGGCCACGTCGAAGATACTCGATCTGAGGAAAAAAGAAGCGAGGACTTACTTACTGGTCCACCAAGCCTCTCAACACTGCTTGATCGTGAAACAAGAAAACACAACCGCTAGAAGCTTCTTTGAGAGCAAAGTCACACGCCGCAGAAGCCTAGCTATGGGACTCCACCAGAAGCGATCTCAGAGGAATGTCCCTGAGAAAAAACACACACAAAAGGCAGCGTTTACTTTTCTGCAACAATAGCACCCGGTGGAGCGGCACGTACGGCTGAGTCGCAGCGAGAGAGAGACAGAGAGAGAGCGAAAGTAGAAGCGCAATAAGGTCAAACAGTCGTTTCTATAGAAGTTGATGTAAGCGTATGCGCCTAGGCGTTCTCTGTCGCTCTTTCTCACTCTCTCCAGAGAGACAGACGCCAGTGTGTGAGGACTTCGCACACAAGAAGTGGAAGATGGCGAGGTGAGAGAGTGGACGCGGGACCCTGGGATCAAATCGATGGCAGATCCCCGAGAGCAGCCAGCCTAGACCAGGGAGCGTCACGGCAGCGCAAGGAGAACCGCCGTTGAGTTATGCGTCTGTAGAGACTAGGTGAATTTAGTCTGTTTTACTACCAGCTAGATATGCCACCTTTGATAGGTCATACAATACACGCGGTTATTACCATCTGCGTCTCATCACGGTTAGTTATCATCATGATTATTGTGAATCTCTCTCATCAACTAGAGTCTAGAGAGCGAAAAAATGAGGCCGGCGCGGGGGCGATCTTTGGCCGATTTGCTCGAGGAAGCCTGTGCCAACTATTGCCTCGAGTCTTCGAGGCATTCGCATGTTATTATTGATTGATCAGTGATCTACTCTGGATGATCTCTCAGCCTCCACGGTTCTTTTTGGGCAAACCGGCCAGCCCACTTATCACACCGGAGAGAAAGGGCCAAAGCAAGCTATGGCCGCCGCAAGACATTATTCGCTACAGATCGGGCACGGTCATAGCGACCTGGGCTCTTTTCCGACGCGGACACTACATTGTTTGTATGTATTATTGCATGCAGGGTTGCAGACTCTGGAGCGGAAAAGGGGCAGTGGACGAGGCAAAACCTACTTAACGTGCCTGGCGCTGAGACGGGCCGCCATAGCGTCTCTAGTGTTCGCCAGAGTTCCTGGGAACGGTGAGATTTAGTGTCAAAGTCTCCCTCTCACAGTGTGCCCTGTGGTTGGGTACCATCTCTCTTCATTCCTCATCTGCATGATAGGAAAGGGGGCTTTCTGCGGCACGGCCTTCTTTGGCTCTTCCTTGCGGGAGAATAGTGGATTTGGTAACCAGTTTGTGTACTGCCAACTCCATGTGTCCTGGTTAATGATGATGTGATTTAGCTGATAACGGGAATTAAAACGTGAGAAAGTCCGTATATACCAGGCTTGACTCTCTCTTTTGTGCTGGGGCGCCGTTTTGAACGTTCGTTCGGGGACTAAACTGTCAACGGTCTTGAAGCTATCGCGAAATTCTCCTCAGGTGTCTTGCGGAGTCTTGAAAAGCACTGATTGGGTCCCGGAACGTCGGGAAGAGGGCAAAAGTCATGGCTTCGGCATTACTATTATTATTATTGTGACTCCTCAGGTCCTACCACTGGCATCAATAATGCAAGGGTTGCCCTTGTCCTTCAGGGTTGTCATGCTGGCTTTGCCGGTGATTTTTTTCAGGTAAGCGGCAGGCACAATAAATGAATGTCCTTGATTAATTAGCATCACCATCTTCAAGGAAGGTCACTATTATTATCAGGGTCTAGATACGGTTAACAGTTCCTCCTACATAGTTCGGGTTCGACTAGAGAACGGAGTATGGTTATCGACCCATATTAATTATCAGGGACCATAGGGATCTCCGATGGGGAAAAGATAAATTAGTTGACACGCAGCATGATCATTATTTCTCCGTCTCGGACGCTTATTATTATTAACCACTACCAGGCAAGAATGCATTAAAGCCGTGGGCTCCCCCGGAATTGCAGCTATGGGTATGATGTGTCCTGTGCGGCCAGGACCCATCAGTCCACGGTATCCAGGGCTACAAGCGAGCGGGAAATCTTCGTTAGAACGAAATTAACTTAGATATCTGTTAGTTAATTACGCTGGAATCGGCGTAGGACGACGGCCATGACCCGAAATTATGGATCATGTTTCATGTGTCTAGAGCTCCAGGGGGTTACCGTACAAAATAGGGGATTCTTAGTTCTTTTCAAATTCGCAGTATCATATTAGCCAGGAGCAGCAGTGGAAATAATATACAAGTGGCCAAACGCCGTAATATATCCGAGGACTGCCCGTGATAATCGGATCTTTCTTGTACTCTGTACAACGCCAGAAATCACTCCAGCGCTGGCCATTTGAATCCCCGCAACCCCGTAGAAACGTAGTACACACTTCTAATTTGACTACGTTGATCATGACGCATGGATAATTGGTCACTTTTCCATTGAGATTAACATCCGGATCTTCCATTTGAGATTGCTTATAATATATTTTGATCGTCACTAACAAGATCTAGACCAGTGACTTTAGAATGGCCACCATCTGACTTCACCATGGTTCTTTTACTTTCCCGCCTCATCGAGCAACCGAAGAGCCCTTGAACGGCTCCGGCCTCCCATCTTGATCATCAGCTCCTCCACCAAGTTATGGCATGGATAATGTGGACCTATCGAAAGAGCTCCCAACTGCAGGGTAGGAAAGAGCAACTCCTTGACAGATGGGTATCTCGCACCGTGCATCCTCCGCTCCAGCTGGCAAGTGTCATCAATGCAACGAGAGACGTATATGAAGCACTCGTTTCTCAACGGAGTGTTTGTAGACCATTCCACCGGTATGATACAGTGGAAGTTAGGGTGTCATGTCATCGAACTAGCAACAGCTGAAAAGTCGAGGGGACCCCAACTGAGAATTACCATTTCGGGGCGGGGAGCCGGGGAACTTACGTGCGTGCTCGACGCGCCCCATCTTGCCCCCAAAGTTGTGTAATGATATTCCAAAAGCAGGCCATTCGTTCTGGTCAGGCGTTGGGCTTGCTCACTTCATTGCACCGAAATCCAATTGTCTTGCAGCATTTTTGAACCGACTATCGTCGATTCTCTCAGCACCGGCCCTGCTCAAATCTTCACCCATTTTCTTGCTACCACCCGACTTCTTCGGAAGGTCTTCTTTCTTTGTCGGCTTGGGCTCAGTGAACCACCACCTATGTTCAAGGATCTGTCGTGCCGTACTTCGCTTTCTGGGATCCAACTGACACATCGACATCAAGAGATCGGCTCCTACAGGACCGGCGGTAGGAAACTGCTGCTGGTAGAAGTCTCGACCTCTGACTGGTATGATATAGTTTTTGTCCACAGGTACATAGTTAGGAAGCTTTGTGACACCGGGCCAGTTGTCCTCCGTGGGAGTGCCGAAAGCCTCGCATATTTTTGTTATCTGATCCATATCGGAGTTTCCAGCAACAAACGGGACACGGATAAGCAGTTCCGCAAAGACCATCCCGACGGACCAGATGTCCACTGCACCTGAGTACTGTCGCGCTCCGTAAAGGAGCTCAGGCGGTCGGTACCATCGGGTTATCACTTGATGCGTCATATTCAGGTATGGGTCGGCGAAAGACCTCGCCAGACCGAAATCTGCCAATTTGACCTCTCCATCAGAGGCAATCAACAAGTTGTTCGGTTTGATATCTCGATGTAGCACGAAATTCTCATGGCAGAACCACACGGCTCTGCAAAGCATGCCCATCCATGCCTTCACATCTCCAGCTCCATATTGTATATTCTGGTCCTTAATGAGCATCTCGAGATCACCGAGAGGCAGGAATTCTAGGACGAGGTTCAAGTTCTGGTCTTTCGACGAGAAGACGTCATGGAGCGCAATGATGTTGGCGTGAGACAACTCCTGGAGATATTTCACTTCGCGAATGGCGTCCATGGACAGCCCATCCTTGTACTCGGTGTTGACCTTGATCTTCTTGATAGCAAAAAGGGAGGACGGATCGGTTCGTAGATGTGCAAGGTACACAATAGCATAAGTACCCTCACCCAGCTTTTTATCTTTTACGCTCATATTAGCCCCATTCTAACCCCAAGATATTCATGTTAACATATATGCGTTGCTATACCTTTTACGTATTTTCGTCTGACATCTTCGTTCAACTGCTCTGCGAGCTCCCCCTCCGCGGCGGGTGGCGCAGATGACGATTCGGCCTTTTCCTGCTTATTTTCCTGCTTGAACGTAAAACCAGCGGCCAAGCTCTTGGCCTTTGAGGAAACAGTATTTGAAGTAGTCCCCACGGAAGGTGAACGGGGAACGAGGGGAGACACAGCCATAGTTGCTTAGCAAGGCCAATCTGCGAACCGGAAAGGAGAGCTAGCTTGTGCGCGTGGCCGTACCTATGGCACCAGACTCTGTAGCCCGTCTGAGGGAGCTAGCCAGGGCATAGACAGCTTTCCAAACCGTCGATTAAATCTGTCACGAGAAAAAAATACCTTTTGTTTTGGTGTCTCATGCACTTCCAGTATGCAAGAGACCGACTTGCGGAATCTCGGAGGTCAACAGCTCACGGACTATCATTAATCCCGGTCAACCGCAAGCTCTGGATCGTAAACTCCGCAGCCTCGAAATTTCCCTGACCAACCCTCCGCGCGGTATCCCCGCCTGCAATACGGCAAGTGTCTCTGAATTCTCACTCATTCTGTTATTACTGAATGTATAAAATCCAATTGCGTTCAAATTTCTCATAATTTTCCTCACCGGATACCCCTTTGTTCCCACCTGGAACCGTTCAGGACGACCGCTTTCTTCCTACAACCATGGCGACGATGCGCAACCCACGCCTCGCTCTCCTCTCATCACGCTTCGCCAATCCCCTGAGTATCACTCAGCAATGCATCCGCTGCCTGCACAAGAATGCAGCTCCTCGCCCTGTGCCATCACCGACCCCTTTCGTCCCTGATGTGCCGACCTTCCTCACCCTGATCGGGCGTGACATGTCCAAGCACGCAAGCAAGCTTACGTCCTGGGAGCAATTATTCACACTTTCATCCTCGGAACTGCGAGAGTTGGGAATCGAGCCCGCGCGTCAGCGACGATACCTTCTACGACAACGCGAGAGGTTCAGAAACGGAATCTACGGTCCAGGTGGAGATCTGGAGAACGTGGTTGATGGCGTGGCACAGCTACGTGTTGTTGAAGTGCCTCAGGGGGAACAGGACGTGAACAATGCTAGTTCTTCCAAGGATAGCGCGGATGGTGCTGCCGCTGCCGTTACGGCCTCTGCGACCCTGTCTCCGTTCACGAAGAGGGCTATCGTCAATCTCCTCCCGGACGCAACCGAATACAAGCATGAAGCCTCGAAGCCACTGAAGAAGTTCGCCAAGATGAAGATCCACCGCGGGACGATGATCAAGGGCCCGTTCTTGAAGCCCATCAAGGGAACGAACGGTTCGGCGGCCTTGATCCAGGTCCAGGAGGGAATGTGGGAAGACAAGCAGGGACACAAGGTTGATGGCGGTGAGCGAAGACGTGCGGAAGTCCGGGCAAAGAAGAGAAGCCAGGAGAGGAAAGAGAGCACCGCTTAGAAGTACACCACAAACTACATATGACGGCGCTTAACTGGCTTTTATCGATCTTTTTCTCTCCCTCCCTACCGCGGAGTAGGGCTGAAGACACCACATGTATTCTATTATGACTTGTACAGACTATCTATAGTGCTCTTGTTCAATCCTGTGACATGCTTCCCTTTTCATCTCTTCGGTTTATCAACATTTTGATTTCTGTATACACAAAAGCTTTGGCGAGATCTCCGTAATGGTATCTCGGCGGCCGAATCGTGACGTTAGATAAATCACGTAGAACAGGGTGGGATGCCGCAACCCGGAGTATCTCGTAACGTTCGCGATTAATTAAAAAAAATACGGACATAAGATGGGATCTGGACTGGAGCCAGTTCGGCAAAAGAAGAATAAGTGATCAGAAGCACATATAAACGCGATGAAGACCAGATCTCGTGGATGGCATGATGGCATCAGCAACGACTTGTGCAACTCCCCTTCGTCCCAGACACAGCTGAAGAATAGACAGGCATGGCAAGAATTAAAGGGCCACTCCCTCGCACAGGGAGGAACGGAAGCTTAACATAATACTGACTCGTGAGGTTTCTATGCTTTTTCGGACAGTTGACGCTTCTCAAACTGCACTTTCGACTGGCCGAGAGGCTTCGAGAACAAGGACTAAAAGAGAGATTAGTCACTGGTCAGGGCAAGGAGTGGTCGCAGATTTGCGAGTGCTTACCGAGAAATCCGTGTCTGGGATAGTGTTGACTCCTGGCAGGTTCCTGAACTTGAACATTCTCACCAGCGTAGCCGTAATAGTACCGAGCTGCAGGTAGGCGAACTGCTCGCCAATGCATCTGTGTCGTCCTGCGCCGAAAGGAAGGTAGGGGCTGCTAGTACCCTTGCTGACGAGACCGTAGCCGTAGTCGATTTGCTCTTCGTCTTCCTTGTCGGTAGGAGCCTGGGTCTCATCATCCCAACGATGAGGGTTCCAATCCAGAGGATTCGGGAAGAATTCAGGCGTCCTCGACGTGACACCAGGAGAGGAGAGGACATTGTGCGAGGTGGGGATCACGTATGAAGTTCCTTCCACGGGCATGGGATTCTTAACGGCACGAATGATTGAGTGAATGGGGGCATGGATACGTAGAGTTTCCTTGATGACCTTTGCTTGCAGATCGAGCTTCTGAAGGTTTTCGTACGTCAAAGGAGGAAGGTCAGAGCCAAGCACGCGGATCTGTTCCTGGTAAAGCTCCTCCGTGATCTCTGGCTTCAAAGCAAGATTGAGGACGATCCAGGACAAGGTAGAGGAAGACGAATGCTGACCAGCCATCAAAAGCGCGATCATCATATGAGCGATCTCACGGTCGGGAATTGGCTGGCCATTCTTGTACACACAGGACATCAGGTTCCACACCATATCCTCAGAGTCCTTCTTGCTGTCGGGCTTGCGACGATTTTTGATGATCTCCATGTAGGTCTCGGTCAACTTCTTGTGGGCAGCATCACGCTTGCGGTTGTGGGGCAAAGGTGCCCAGGGGAGAATGAAGTTAATGGGAGCAAAGCCCATGTCGAGATCGTGATAAAGCTCGGCAAACGTAGAGTCGAATTTGCTGCGAACCTCCTTTCCCTGCAGCGAGCGCGAAGCGGTGTAGATCGTGATCTCAGCAACAGTCTTGCAGACATCGAAAATGCCCTTGTCACCCTGGAATGCAGGAGACGTCTTGACGAAATCTTCGACCTCCTGAACAATCAGAGGCACGTAGGATCGAAGGGCCTCCGTGGTAAGACCATACTTGACGAACTGAATAACTGTGAGCAAGGATGCGCAGTCCATGTGGGTTATCTATCGCGTACCTTCTTCTGCTCCATGAGCTTCGAGTTGGGGCAGTCGTATACGACATCCTTTCCGAACACAGGCGTCGTAAGTGGCGAGTAGACTTCCTCAGCGCAGACGTCCTTGAGCTTGCCATTGAGGATGAAGTCATTGCCCTTGGTCCCTAGAAAAACCGTCGTTTTCTTTCCAAGCAGTATGAACGTGAAGATGTCGCCGTACTGTTGCAAGGAGCCGAGTCAGAGATGGGTTGGGGCAGTTTGGGGGGATTCTGGCCTACCTTTTCACGGCAGCTGAAGAAGAACTTGAAAGGGTCAATGCCATAGCTGACCGTGCTGCCGATAATAGGAAACCAATGAAAGACCACTGGAGGCTCATTGGGGTTCTTGAAGAAGATCTGGAGCGCGACGTTCACCAGCACGGAGAGGGCCACAAAGGACACCAAACCGATGCCGCCCAGAACCCAGAGGGACTGGGACGAGCACTGCTCGCAGAACTTGTCGAGCACAGCGGAGAGCAACCCCATCGTTGCGCCACTGGTCGCGGAAGAGACAGGTGAGGGCACAAGGAGAAGGGAAGAAAGGCGTACCAAGAGATAGACCTGGATGAGGGTGATAGGGACGAAGTCGACTTAAGGAAGAATTGAAGGCGCGCGGCAGAAAGATAGGGTAGAGTCCAGCAGAGCACGCCTTGCTATTCCCGGTATGGGGTACAGAACGACACCCTTTAGATGTTCCACGGGTTGTCCGCACGGGCGGGTGTCAACCTAGGATAATTCGCACTTAGTTGAGCTGGATCTTGTCGCTCACTGGCGCGCCCCTGGAAACGAACAAATTCACAGGGGGAAACAAATCAGAGACGCTGCAATCTTGGCCATCACGCCACTCCGGGCGGTGAGGATCACTTGGTCATCACAAAGAACATCCATCTAACTAGTTAATAGTTAATTATCTTAACCATTCTTGGTTGGATAATAACAATAAACAAAAGGGACCAAATGAAGAATCAAAAACTAAGAATCTAGTTTCTTTTGCTCTTGAAAATTTGCGCCTTCGTAAAATATCTCCTACTGTACTCGACCTCGGTCATCTCCTGATCTTTTGTATAGGTGGCTCTGTACGAAAATTATGCTGACTGAATCGCAGCATAATTTTCGAAAGGTTTGAGACCAGGTGGATCAGATGGGCGAGAGACTAATGCCGCCAGTGCGCTTCCGCGTGAGAACTAACTGACTGCCTATCCTTCATCGTGCAATGACTCGTCGAATCCAGCAATAGTTGCTAGTTATCCTATTTGATAGTACGGAGTATTACTGTACAAAAGCCACTGGCGTAAATATGCAAAGAGTCCCTCGACTGCATGTAAGAGAACAGTTTTCCTGCTAAAGCTGTAGCGAATGCTTTTGAACAATAAGCCCAACAACATAACCGTATGAAAACTGCGACTTCCAGACAATGGCCTCATTAGAGATAAGAGATAAAAAAGAAGAGGCCCGAAGCATTTCTAGTTTTCATGACCTTTTCGTGCATCTATTGAGCTGGCATGCAATTGCAATCCAACCGTCGGCACCCAACAAAACCCAGGGAGGTAAAGAATAAAAAAAGGAAACAACTAACACGAGAGCTGTTGCGCTACGCCAAGGACCGCTCCATAAAAATTCCAACCAGCGCAAAACTGAAGAAGACCGTCCACGGCGGTAGTTCATTTCTTTCTCCCGTTCTTGGCTCCATCTCGCGCGTAGCGACTGCCGGGATCGTCTGAGAACAAAACCGGATCACCGCGATCTCCAATGTTAGCAAAGTCCTTTGGGTCACGGTTGGCTCTGGGGGATAGTTCCCGCTGCTTCTTGTCCTTAATGGGTTGGTTGCACACTTTTCGACCCGCGTCGTTCTTATGGAAGACCTTCACACGCGCGCCATTGTCTTCAATGTGTTCGCTGACGTCGACATCATTGACGCTGCTTAGAAGCGTACGTTCTCTCTCAACTTTGCGCTTCGAGAAGTCCAATTGACCTAAGGCTCCAGTGAGTCCATCAGTACTGTCGGCAGTACTGGGATATGTGTTGGTGAGCCACGGATGCTGAAGGCACTCATCAACTGTGATTCTCTTTTCGACGTCAACAGTGAGCATCCGGTCAATGAGATCCAGGGCCGGGTCTCCCACTGAATCCCAATAGGGCGAGGGATAATCGAATCGGCCCATTTTAATCTGCTGAGCCAATGTGTAGGGGTTCTCCCGCGTGTAGAGTTCATCTGAGAAAGGAGGGAATCCACACAGGCAGATGTAGAGGACGACTCCAAGTGACCAGATATCCACGGCCCTGGTGTATCTCCGGCGACGTGTTTCCTCCAGAATCTCGGGGGCAACATCTGCTAAGAGTCAACACGGGTCACTGTAGACGCGTTTAGTAGGTATCAGCTTCACTTACAGCTTGGTGTTCCACATCTACAGGTGGACAATGTCAGTGCATCGTTGCTATCGTTGTCAAAGGACAGGGTCACTCACAGGGTTGTAGTAAACGAATCTTCACCGATGATCTTAGCAAGGCCGAAGTCGCCCAGTTTCACGGTTAGGTCTTTGTCCATAAGCAAGATGTTCTCGGGTTTGATGTCTCGATGGACAATTCCGCGATCATGCTGCAAGCTAGGGATTAGCGAAGAGCTCAACGGGATCGTTTTCAGAGGAGCGCCTCACCAAATATTTCACGCCATGGAAGAGTTGAGTAAAGACCTTTCGAGTCTCATCCTCCGTCAACTTTTGCTTTGCAACTATCAAGTTGAATAGCTCGCCTTCAGGCGCAAGTTCGAGGACAAGGTAGACCCCGTCATTTTCGTCGAAGGTGTCCTTCAGGCATAAAAGATTTGGATGGTTAACACTCTTGAGGAGAGCGATCTCTTGCAGCAGAGCTTCCGACTGGGACCTTTGTGAGTCCCCCGAACGTCTCTCAAACACCTTGACAGCATACTCGTCTCCGGTGGCCCGTTCTGCACAGAGATACACAGTAGCGAAATGGCCTTTCCCAAGTTGCTGAAGGATACGGTACTGCTGACGAAATCCATTTGTGACCCGAGTCCGCGGGTACCGGAAAACGAAGCGAGCTTCATCCAAGATCGTGACTTCGTCACCGTCCTCGAGCTCCCGCTGCTTGTTTCTGCCTACGATGGCTTCGTTGACGAAAGTACCGTTACTGGATAGGTCTTCCAGAATCGCAACGACATGACCTTTCTTGTTTTCATTGAATATCAGGCAGTGGCGATTAGAAATCGTAGGAATATTGAGCACAAGATCTGCAGTCTCAATGTCAGCCACATAGGTGTATATGAAAGGGGAGCCTCTACACGTACCGCACTCTGGATGACGTCCAATAAGATAGCCACTAGGAGGATAACTCTTTTCCCGGCCAGTTTTCTGACCCTTGCTTTGTTTCTGGCTAGCTCGTCCGTTCTTTTTGTCGGACGAAGCGTCCTTCTCGTTCTTCTGTTCGTGACAACCCTCTCTCTTTCTCAGCACGAGAGCTTCGCCGACTTTGTCATCGAGCGGAAGCAGATACCCCCATACTCCCTCAGCTGCTTCATCTTCCACGTCCTCCGCAAAGGCTCTGGGAGGATAGACGAACTGAGAAAAGGCCTGTGTGTCTCCCGGCGGCGAGGAGTAAGATTGCTGCCGCTCCGGTGAGGTTGGTGTGTGTTGACGCAACTGGCTAGAGCGTCTCTCCGGAGGTGTAGCTGTGAGCTCATGATCAATATCGGTAGCAGTAGTCGCCTGCTGGGTCACTGGCGTGGGCAGGTAATCCTTGATCGGAGGAGCTTGGGCCTGTGTTTGCGAGGAGATTCGTTGGGAGCGGCGCGGCTTCTTCTGATCTTGCGTCTCATTGTCGACGCTGACCTGAGCACAACAAACCTGTTAGTAGAAGCCTCGAAAGAAAGGTAGAAATCTGGGCGGCGGAGACTGGTATACCCGTCCACGCTTCAAACTGCTTTTCTCATTTTGAGGCGCCATCCTCTCCCTCGATATTAGACGGGAAGTTCGTGAGATCAACAGGCTTCAGCCGGAGCCTCAGGCTACTTGCGGCGGAAAAGAGAGCCAGGCAGTCTGTGCGGTGTAGATAGCCAGTTAAATTGTTGGTTGCAGCATTTTCTTTGAATCTGATAATATTAATTGATCTTCTCCGCGGTAGTTAACAATTACGCGACGGGTCCGCGGCTTGCCAACATTAATATTAATGGGTCCACTGGAGCTAACGAATGGAGCAAAAATAGAGTAACGTAGATAGTTAGATTGACTAGTTACTCTACTTAGTACTTACTGTACGGAGAAAACGGGGGGAGCAACACATGAACGCCGTCGGCCTTAGGGCGCTGCCTTCCCGAACAGTTGGTGCCTTGTGCTGGATTTGGATCTCGACCTCGGCTTGGAAGTCAATTCAGGAGGTTCAACCTTCTCCCACTCACTACATATCTCGTGCCAGCACGCTTGGTTTTCTGGACAATCTATGCTGAGCAGACCCGTTTGATTGTTGGCGGGGAGCCTCACGCATACCCGCAATGGACGTGTATGACCCCCTAATGACCTGGATGGACAAGTTGCACCGCTGACGGTTGCAATGGACCAGTTTCTCCACAAGTGTTCGTCGTTCCGCTTTCGATAAGCTCGCAGCGCTTGCTGTGAAGTCTCCAGAGTACGATGGAGAAGAGGACATCAATCGATTGTTGAAGCCATACCAGCGCCATGCGCCCCGAGCTGAGGTTATTGACGGCCCTCTTAAAGACCATGCCGCGACGTCGCGGACGCCAATGGTACAGTTACCATCCTCCAGGAAAGCCTGAGCCGTTGCGATCGGGGCTAACGATGAATAGAGCATTCGAGAACTAGACATCCTTCTGGCTGTCTGTAAAGCCTCTCCTTCCGTTTCAAATGTCACCCACGCAGAACGACTGGTTTCGCAGCTATCCAAATACCTCCCCGAATCGCATGTCCAGCTCTTTCGCCCTTCGCCATTCCTGCACGGAATCAAGCCGTCTCCATGGGAGACCTTGACGCAGCAACTGACGACGGCCCTCCTGATTCTGGGTCTGAACTACCCGACCCTGAGGAACACCGTGGAGAACAGTGTGTATAGTTATATTGATCAGTGTTCTCGAGCTGTGAATGCTTTGGTGCCACTATCGAAGCAGGCTGCCCCGGTCGATGACCGGGAATTCCTACGCGAGTATGCAGATATAATGTCAATTGCCGTCTCTTTGGTGGGATTTCTGGACGCATCAGCGACTTATTCTCATTTCTGGTCAGCCGCCGGCAAGTTGGAACTGGTCCGATGCGTGCGAGACATATTTTCGGAGGGATTCATGGTCGCAGTTGAAGCTGCTTCATCTTCCTTGCGTAATTCAATCACGCCAGCCCGGGGATTGCGAGACTGGAGACGATATGCTCGCCGTTATGCGGCACACAATCGGCCCTTGGGTTCCATGCTCCTGCAGCAGAGTCTGATGCGGTTTATCAAAGATTGTGCAGCGTCGGTCATGATTAATGAGCATAGCCTTACCGATGATAAACTTCTAGACAAGTATCTCGGAGAAGCCAGCGTTACGGGCAAGCCAGATGGTGCTGAGCATGCTCTGTTTGAGTACCTGGCTGACGCCATTATGGAAGAGATTCGTCTTCTTGATGATGGGTCTGACTATCTGAAGCTCAGTTCAGCCTGGCAACAACACCTGGCCTTCTCGGTCAAAGCTCATGCAATTGTTGGCTTCCTCAGTTGCGTAATCGGCGACGAGGGACTGGTAGACACAGACACACTCTTCCCTTGGCTAGAAGATGCCCTGGCAGATCCGAATCAGATGGGCAACCTCCAGTTGGCTACGGCGACCCTGATGAGCATAGCAATACTTGCAAAATACTTCCCGTCTACTGCATCCAACTCTAGCCGCTTGCTTGTCCGGTTTATCGTTCAGGGCGGCGCTACTGGCCCTACTGTTGACGTGGCTGCAAAGTGCCTTGCCCAGACTCTCAGTCTCATGTCTCAAGACGCTGTTATCACAACCCTATACTCTTTGGGTAACGTACTGAGTGCGGGACCGAACAGTGACAAGGGATACCAGATTCCGTCGACATCTGGCGGAGAAACCGGGAACCAGGGGACTAACTTTTCTTTCCTCCAGCCGGCGGACGGCAGTCACATCTCTCTTTCCTTCCAAGGCGGAGAGGAAAGTACACTGGCACAGCGAAATGTCACACATGCTATTGTGAAGGTCGCTGCTAACTGCGGGGATGAGAAGATCTCTGCGTTGGCTCAATCAATGCTTTTGCAAAAGATTGGGAAGACCAGCATGGTGATTGATGCTTCAATAATCGAGGAGACTTCAGTATTGGCTCTCACCAGCGGCCAAACTGAATTCCAACTTCTCCTTAAATTCTATACCCGTCTCTACCGTGAAGGATACTCCAAGGGCCAGAACATTATCATGGACGCCGTTCAAAATGCTAGGGCTTATCTATCTGTGAATCTCGATCCAACCTCTACGCTTTACCGCGCCTATCTGACCCACTTGCTCGAAAACATCATAAATAAAGGTGACAGTACTGACCTGGAGCACGATCGACAGAAGGATGTCGTACTGTCAGTGGATGAAGTTAAACCTTTCATAAAACCACTCGCTTTACTGGTTGCTTTTGACGATGGCTCGAGAAACCTGCCTGATATCCAGGATCTAGACGAGGACATTCAGTCCATGTTCCGCGATGCGTGGTTCAATATTGCCGTTCATGGGATATCGATCAGTTCGAAAGTCGGACAGAGCTGCCTCTCTGAGCTTCGGGCCCTAGCCGAGCGCTCCCCTCCCTTGGTTTCCCAAGAGCGTGCGGGAGTGCTAGAGAGCGATGTAGAACTGAACCCTGTTCTTCGCAGGGGCATGTGTCCTTACCAGATTGCGGAGCAGAAAAGGCTGCTTACCAGTGAGCTCCCTGGTCGGGAGACAGAAATCAAAAAATTGAGTTACCCGAAGGCGGTTTTCCTGAACGCTACCTTGTTGATTGAAACTTTGCGGGCGTCTTCTGGCGAGTGCACTAAGATCTTTAACTATTTCCTCGATCCAGCTGTGAATACGTCCGAAATGGGCACTTGCATGAAGGCTGTCGCGGACAAGATCGTATCAATGTATCTCAACAAGAGCCTGTGGGGCCGACATGAGAACTTCTCAGCCCAATGTCTGTCAAAGCAATTGGCAGAGATATTCATTGCATGCTGTCATCGCATATCAAGAGTACAGGATGTCGCACATGCGTGCGCCGACAAGATAATCGCCGAGGCCCCAACTGCTTTATGCGAGACACATTCACTTTTCACGCTCCTTGAACTGCTGACAGTGATGTGGTCGTCCTGTCTCGAAGGGGAATTGGATGAGTTCGGCTGGACGTCAACTTTTGTGTCCCCCAGAGGTACTGTGCGTATTCAATTGTCGGATAACTATGAGTTCAGGAAGGCTACGTTGCATTCCTTCCACACCAAAGCTAGGCAATGGGTCTCTGCTGTTATGGACATTGCCCCGCTTGATGTCAAGGGTCTCCTTCAGGTATTATCCCCTGCCGCTTCCTCTTTGTCGATATAGCCTAATGTATATCCAGACATATCTCTCCGATTATGAGGACGATGGTGCTTACGGCCACATATCCTTGGGCAGATCATTTGCTCTGGAGATGGGCTCGCTCATCGCGCGCAGCGATCAACGACTTGGTAAGTCCTCCCATGGCCATAAACCGTTCCTGATTAACACGCCCCCTTTAGGCTCTATCGACAGTCATGGGGAACCCCTGGTCAATGTGGCTTCTGATTTCGTCGCCCAGTATACTACCCGCCAGGAGTATCGATACATGGAAGCTTCCCCTAATGGGCGAGGTATGGTAGGATACGGGGATCACGGTTAGTTTCATGATCGCTCTATGGTTCTTCGTGTTATGCTGATTGTTATGTGTAGTACCAAACGGCGACGGCGTTGCATTTGACTTGTCAGAAACAGTTAATGATGTTGAAGCCACATTATCTCAACTGTACGAGCGTACGTCTGTTGACCACGAAGTTTCCATCGACGAGCTTCGAGAGGCACTGCGAAGGGCAGCAGCACTTCTGTGCAATAGTAACGATAGCCAACCATCTATCATTCATTTCTTGGTTGGAATACCATTCCAGATCTTCAGCAAGGAATCCATAAAGCTAGGTGTCTCTCTGTGGCTCGGCGTCATCCACGAAAATCCGAGAACAGAGCCCAGGATATTGGCAGAAGTGGCCGAGGCGTGGGAGCGAACTATTCGTCGCAAACAAGGAATGTTTGATCCTTCATTCGAGTAAGTGCATAGTAAGACTGGTCCCTAGTCCTCAACGGCGACTGACGAGAGACAGCTACGTCGATCCCTTTTTCACCCCGATCGAACTCTTGCCCACCGATAAGGCCCTCCTTCTCAAGAAGCAGAGGAAGGCCCGGAACATCCTCTCCCCACACTTCCGTATCCTCCAATTCTTCGATAGCCACTTTAACGCAACGCGACTTGGAAGCCCCAATATCCTGATGATCTTCTATCGTTTGATAAGCACCACCCTTGTAGGTTTGAAGGACACTCGTGGACACCCTCTGGCAAGAGAAGTTCACTTCCAGATCGTCCTTCTCGGGCTGAAGGTATTGAGGTTCTGCAAAGTAGAAAACCAATACGCTCTGTGGAAATTGAAGGACCAGATTTTGTCTGCGGCGTTAAGCTGGTTCAAGCACTTCCCAAAGTATGTTTATTGCTGTTCGTGACGACTACGTCTGAAAGGTGCTGACCGGTCTCCTCTAGGTGGTCTTTTGGGGGAAATCGTTTGCAAATGAAGGCCGAAGACAAGCTCATGGGTGATGTTGCGTCTCTTCTCGACAATGTCGCTAGTATAGGCTCTGTATCGGGGTCATTTAAATCTACGAAGGCCAAGCAAGATCTCGTTCAGATCCTTATTGAGAACGAAAGATCCCGTCTGAGAGTTTGGCTCTTTCCCCTGTTGCAGGAACGCAAACATTATCTGCCGGGCTATGGCGGTAAAAGCGGTTCGGAGGTAAGTTGCATCTGTCGAGCTCTCTGGTTAGACTATCTAATCCTATAAGCAGGATGTTACCTCTTTCTTGCGGCTGGCGTGGGCAGAGAGTCCGAGCTTAGCTGTCCAGTTGGTTTCTCGGTTCCCATCTGCAAAACTGAGAAGCGATGTTCGTTGGCTGCTCCTGAACTTCCCAGAGAAGGCTCTGGAGGAGCCTGCTAGTCTCGAGATCATGTTCGGTTCGGCCTTGCCTTCAGATGTGTCGTTCCAGCTGAAGGTATGATTCTTCCCCCCCCCCCCCCCCCCCTTCATTTCTTGTTTTTTTTTTTTTTTTTTTTTTTTTTTTTTTTTTTTTTTTTTTTTTTCGTGTTTCACTAACAACTCGCAGTACTTGCTGTATTGGGCACCAGTGAATCCCACCGAGGCCTTGACATACTTTCTGCCCGCCTACGGAAACCATCCGTTTATTCTCCAGTATGCCATGAGAGCCTTGGAAAGCCATTCGATGGATGTGAGATTCTTTTTCGTTCCCCAGCTGGTGCAGGCGCTACGATATGATGCCTTGGGATACGTTGAACGGTATATCTTCGAGACCGCGAAGCTATCCCAGTTGTTCGCCCATCAGGTGATATGGAACATGAAAGCGAACATGTACAAGGATGAAGATTCCCAGATCGTAAGTATTCTCTCTCAGCGTCTGCAGATATTGCCGCGCAGAGACATTTTGAGTACGTTGCCTTGGACTCCTACTAACGGATCTATAGCCGGATTCTGTCAAGCCAACGCTGGATAGGTTTATGGACATGCTGGTATCCAGTTTCACAAGCGAAGAGCGAGACTTCTACGAAAGAGAATTCTCCTTTTTCAACGAAATTACGGGTATCTCTGGGAAGCTGCGACCCTACATTAAGAGAAGCAAGCCAGAGAAAAAGCAGAAGATCGAGGAAGAGCTACGGAAGGTCAAGGTGGAGGTTGGAGTCTACCTGCCCAGTAACCCGGATGGTGTTGTCGTGGGCATCGATCGCAAGTCTGGCAAGCCTCTTCAGAGTCACGCGAAGGCACCGTATATGGCAACCTTCAGGATCAGGAAGACCAAACCCAAGGTGGATGGTGATGGAGCCGGCGATCCGGAAGTCGGCCTCCCTGATGTACAAGACGACTCTGCTTCGGTCGTTTCAACACCGACTGAGCAAGGGTCCGAAACCTACGATGTCTGGCAATCGGCCATCTTCAAGGTGGGAGATGACTGCCGCCAAGATGTGCTCGCTCTACAGATGATCGCCGCCTTCCGGAGCATCTTCAACAATGTCGGGCTCGACGTGTGGGTGTTTCCCTACCGAGTCACTGCGACGGCTCCTGGCTGTGGTGTTATCGACGTGTTGCCCAACTCGATCTCCCGAGACATGCTGGGACGGGAGGCCGTCAACGGGCTGTACGACTATTTCGTCTCGAAATATGGCGGCGAAGACTCGACTCGGTTCCAGGAAGCGCGCACCAACTTTGTCAAGAGTATGGCGTCCTACTCGGTGATTTCCTACCTGCTCCAGTTCAAGGACCGACACAACGGCAACATCATGATCGATGATGCGGGACATATCATCCACATCGATTTCGGGTTCTGTTTTGATATTGCGCCTGGCGGGGTTCGGTTCGAGCGGGCGCCCTTCAAGCTCACTCCGGAGATGGTGGCCGTCATGGGTGGCGGACAGCATCACCAGCACGGGGCCGGCGTCAACGGCCAGAATCCGACGAGTACGCAGCCGTACCAGTGGTTTGAATCGCTCGTGATCAAGGCATTCCTGGCGTCGCGTCCGTACAGCAACAAGCTGGCGCATATTGTGTCGCTGATGCTGGACAGCGGGTTGCCGTGTTTCAAGCCGGAGACGCTGAAGAACTTCCGGGACCGGTTCGTGCTGGAGAAGAGCGAGCGCGAGGCCGCCGACCACATGCGCGAGCTTATCAGGAAGAGTTATGCAAGCATCTCGACCAAGGGCTACGATCAGTTCCAGCTGATGACCAACGGCATTCCCTACTGACGAGAGAGGCTTGCTCGAGTTTAGTCCCGAAGTGAGCGTCCATCCATATTATTATCATGATATAGGCTAAATTTACGAGGACTAGAGATTATTGTCTTGAATAGTAGGGTCTATTATTTGCTCGCATCCATAAGATAAGGTCCACTGTCCCCCACGGGGTCCCGCACGAGATGATTGCATTTAGCCGTAGTTCTGCTCTAATTCTGCACAATGACGAGAAGTTTGAGAAGACTGCAAGTGCCTTTGATAACCACCGAGATCGACGGTTCAGATTGCCCGAGTGTGGTTACGCCGTTGCGGTCGTGTTGCATTAGTTAGTTAGTAATTCTCTCGGAATCTCCCCAGGCGCAGGGACCAGGAAGGTGGTCAAGAAGATCGAGAGAGAGGGAGAGAGAGAGAGAATGGAGTAGTCTACTCCGTGGCCATATGATTATTATATTATGGTTCTGATTATGATGAATATTTAATATTATAATTAAGGATAGCTGTGGAAGAGCCGGTTGATGGACTCCACGACTGACCCGTGATCGGCAGGTGGAAAATTGACTAATTCGGCCATCTCCAGAAACTCCAGAACAATCGAGCGTTTTTTTTTTTTTTTTTTCTCTTTTTTTTTTTCTCTTCTCCGCATCTCCGGCTTTTCTCCGCGTCCTGTCAGCCGGGTACGGAGAGGGACGGATCAATAACTAATCAGTCTTTCATCGACTCTGCTCCTTGCGCTCATCTATTAATAATTGTTAACTATGTTCTGTTCTGTTCTGTTCTGTGCACGGTATTATTATTGACTACGATGATAGCTTTGTGTGATACGGCCCGATTCCCTGTTTGCGTCAACGGGATCTCTGCGTCAGAGGCGTTCTTCTCGGCATTCCCCTCTCTCTCTCTCATTCTTTCTCTCTGTCTGAGATCCGATCTGCATCCGGAGACCACCGGAAAGAGAGAGGATGCTCCCCGCTCTTTGGTGCCGGCCGATGACTGCTAGTGACTACCGGGATGACGGATAATACATAATAATAATCATAAAAATACTCCGGAGATGGTGTCTCAGGACTCATGGGGACCCAGCTCCCACCCCGAACCCTTGCGGAGGCCCGGCTTTCTTGATTATTGATCATCATCGAATGTTTCTCGTCTCAGCATGCCCGGTTCAGCGTTCGGCACGGGCTCGGCCTCGTTACGCCAAACGGCTAGAGCCATCTGGATTCTTGGAGTCGATGACAGATCCCGGGGCCGACTTGAATAATAATCATGAATGGATGCCCGACTTTGCACCGCAATCCGGAGCCCCACGGCACGGATTCGGGGCCAGAACCGATCGAGAAGGAGACAGAGATGGCCGGATCAATAACGCTTACGTCTCGCTGTGCCGGTCCTTTGACTCGTTACCCAGTCTTCGGCGTGGCGAACTCGCGTGGTTGGTTGACGATGCCATTCGTTACTCCCAGAAATTGTCCCCTTGTCGTCATGTCTCGGTGCCACTATGCCCTCGTGGCTCCTCGAATTTTCCGTCCGGGGCTGGGTCCTGGGGAAACATATAGTAGGCCCTGATGGACCCCGTCTGCTGCTGCTGCTGCTGGTCTTCTCCGATCCTGCACTCCATCTCATCTCGAGCCATCCGAGGGAGAAACACAACAGACAATCACCATGAGGCTCCCATTCCGTCGAAACGGGGACGACTCTATCGCTCAGGTGTCGGAGTCGTCGCCCTCCATGACTGACCAGGAGAAGACCGCCGGTCCCCTGGAGGATAGCCCGGTGCCGTTTCTGACTCTGAGGTCCTTCTTTCTGGGAGCCTTTGTCTCCGTGGGAGGTATCATTTTCGGATATGACACTGGACAGATCTCTGGTTTCTTGGAAATGAAGAACTATCTGCAGCGCTTTGGACAGGCCAAAGGCGATGGAACATACTACTTTAGCAACGTCCGGTCAGGTCTGATCGTTTCCTTGGTGAGTCAACTTCTATTCCTATCACGATCTGATAATGTTATGTTCGTTACTGACGCTTTTATCTCAGTTGTCCATTGGAACCTTGGTCGGTGCCCTGCTTGGCGCTCCCCTTGCGGATCGCATCGGTCGTAAATGGTCGATCAGCTTCTGGTGTCTTATGGTAGACGTAGGCTTGATTATCCAGATCTCTGCCCCGGAGCACAAGTGGTATCAGATGATGATGGGACGTTTCGTTACCGGTCTCGGTGTAGGCGCCTGCTCGTTGGTGGTGCCCATGTACCAAAGTGAAAGTGCACCGCGTCAAGTTCGTGGTTCTATGATTGCGTAAGTACTTTACTTATCCTGCACACACTAGGAGCGAGGTTGAGGTTCTAACGGAAGAAAAATATAGTTCATACCAGTTGTTTATCACATTGGGTATCTTTATCGCCAACTGCATCAACTACGGAACGGAAGCCATAGAGAACACGGCCTCATGGCGGATCCCGCTAGGCATTACTTTCCTCTGGGCTCTCTTTTTGGGATTCGGTATCCTTCTGTTCCCAGAAAGTCCCCGTTACGACTTCCGACATGGGCGGGTCGACAGGGCCAAACGCACCATGTCCAAGCTCTACGGCGTGTCTTCCAACCACCAGGTCATCGTCAACGAACTGGCCGAAGTCCGTGAGCAGTTTGATGCCGAAATGGCCTCGAAGAATGAGCCTTGGTACGAGATCTTCCGGGCTCCGCGCATGCTATACCGTATTCTTCTGGGCGTCGTGCTGCAGGCATTCCAGCAATTGACTGGAGCAAACTACTACTTCTACTACGGCACCACCATGTTCAGGGGCGCTGGCATCAGCAACACTTATGTCACGCAGATGATCCTGGGTGGTGTCAACTTTGGCAGCACGTTTGGAGGTCTGTACGTGATTGAGCGATTCGGCCGACGCAAGTCTCTGATCACGGGCGGTATCTGGATGTTCGTGTGCTTCATGGTCTATGCCTCGGTGGGACACTTTGCACTCGACGTCAACGAACCCAGCAACACGCCCGGCCCGGGTAAAACCATGGTTGTTTTCGCCTGTCTCTTCATCTTCGCGTACGCCATGACCTGGGGTCCGATGGTGTGGGCCATCGTCGCCGAACTCTACCCATCCCGTTACCGCGCCAAATCAATGGCCATGGCCACCGCTTCCAACTGGCTCTGGAACTTCCTCATCAGTTTCTTCACCCCGTTCATTGCTGGCGACATTGACTTTGCCTACGGCTACGTCTTCGCTGGCTGTCTCTTCTTCGCTGTTCTGATCGTCTACTTCTGCGTGCTCGAGGGCAAGGGCAAGACCCTCGAGGAGATCGACATGATGTACGTGATGCGCGTTGCTCCCTGGAAGAGCAGCAAGTGGGTTCCCCCACCGCTAGAAGAGCGCATCACCACCGGAGTCGTCCAAGACGCTCGCGTTGGCGACGAACCGGGCCGGAAACGGACTATCGCCGAAGGTACTGAGAACACTCACACTGAGACCATCTCATAGTACCTAGGTCTAGGTCTGGGGACTACAACGAACCAAAAGAAAAAAAAAGACAGGAAAAAAAAAAAAAGAAGAATCACTTTTATTAGATTTGGGGGGTTATGGCGCTATATATCTAAGATATACATATAGCCGGTTGCATGGCATATTCTTTAGCATTGGGTTTCTTCTCATGCATTGTGATGATATCTGAACCAAAACTTTATATCAAAACTTTATCTCTCCTCTTCTATACATTGTATAGACTTTGATACAAGATTTGAGATAGAAAATTCGCATATATACTATACTGATACATACAACATTTTATACTTATTCTTGTCCCTTACTTATTTATCCTGGAGTAAAAAGTTGGTATATGTATTTGTATGTCGCCGTTAAAAGTTCAAGTAGTATTACTTATTGTGGGAGCGATCTAGTTACTGGAACATGGATTTCCGCGTAAAAGTAATGTATTGTTTCTCTTGGTGTTGTTGCAATTTGCCCCAATCTTGGGGCACAATCGTACGTGATCATGGAAATCTAGCGGTCATATTTCTAGCCTTTCCATATGCCATTCTGTATTTGCCATTCTTTAGTGAAGATAAATGTGTCTTGAGACCGAAATCACATGCGACTCTTGTAGAGACAGTAGACTTCAAAGGCCCTAAAGACCATACCAGACAAAATCTCAGTCTCGCAATCTCAATTGACAATCCTTATAAGGCCAAGCAGAGAAAGTGTAATGAGGTTCTCGCGGCCACCATACCATTTCTCCATCAAATCCCACATAAGAATAAATGGTGAAGTGATACAAATCCGGAAGAAAAGTTATAAAGCCCCAGAGACAAAGAAAAATAATACCTCGCGCAGAAATACATCGAGAAAGAGAGAGACTTCGCTCGACGGGCAAAAGGAGACCCGCGGGACCTGAGTTGTAGCCAGCCGCCGGGTCACAATGTCGGATTTGCGTTCTCTATGGACAGAGATGAGACTGTCCGAGAGGTGGCACTATGCACCGACGGGAGTGGAGATATCCTTCATTCGACCACACTCTGTCGGTGTCGAAAAGATCCTCATCACACCATATTTTCAGAGATGAGAGGAACCAGGAATCACACAATGTTTTGATCAACTCAAAGAGACAAGAAACCATGAGTGCAGCGTAGGACATGAAAGTTTGCAGCCGATTCATCTGTCCAGTGAGTATACTCGAGATTCACATATCCGATAAGAAATCATTGTTGCCATATATACTTGGCTACAATCAATCCATGAAATCGGCTCTCAGGATCTTCTCCTGGAAGAAATCAGGCGTCTTTCGACGCGGTTGCTTAGGCGTCTCGCGGGCTGGGAAGTCCATGGAGGCGATGGAAGCCGACCGGTGATGGCCTCCAGCGGGGGACCGGTCAAGATTCATCGGCGGGGACGAGGCACCCAGAGAAGGGGCGCGCTCAGCTCTGGTCCGAAGAGACTCAGACCAGTTGAAGGCTTCGCCTACAGGTCGAAAAGATAAGTTAGATCTCTTGCTCGAACGCAAACTCTGGTCTGTACTTGCAGCGGTTGGTGCAGGAGCCATGCTACCGGACGACGTAGTCTGTCGTCTCGTGCTGACGGAGGTAAGAGAAGAAGAGGATCTACCGTTTCCAGTCTTGTCCCGCAGAGCCTGCGCGCCAAACGAGAACCGTCGTGCAAATGGCGATGTTGCCGAGGCTGGAGGGCTATTTTCGTTCTCCATCACTGCTACCTCATCGAGATAGGAGCTAGAGCCTACCGAGCTCGAAAGGCTGCCCTGCCTCGCGGTTCGACCAGCCAACTGGGACGCCTGGGTGGGTGAGCCTGACAGACCGAGAGTGGTGATGGACATGCGTCGTCGCTGGCCCGGCTGCGCGTTGGCTGCCACCGAATTGCCAGGTCTCGCGAACAGCTCCGAGAGAGAGGCGCCGGGCGAGAAGGAACCTCGACGCTGCTGAATGGACGGGGGGTAGGCAGGATCCTGAGAACGGTCTGCAGACATGGCCGTAAAGGGTCCAAGTTCAGATGAATCTGAGACTCAAGATGTGGATGGATGGAGGGATGAAAGTGTGGCAATTGAGAAAAAGGTCGAGAGGTCACTAGACGGGATCAAAGGATCGCCCCGATGGGATGAATATTCACCAACAGAAGAACGATCAAAAGGGAAATCAGCCCGAGTCCAGACCACGAGAGAAGAGAAGCTACAATGCCATAACTTCCTCGTGGGCAGTTAAGCTCGTTGGTGACGTCAATGAGATGATAAGATGGGAACAGCTCTCTGATCGAGTCTTGAGGAGGCGAACTGGACAAAGAAGTAGTTAGCGGAGGCCAGCGGAGGGGTCCGGTGGCGGAACCAGAGTAAGGAAGCGTGCGAGGTCGATAATGTGAATTGTAAGTATGTAGCAGTTCAACTGACACAGATCCTTGACAATCACTCTGTGAAGAGTTGCGAGAGTCGAGACGATGGAACATGGGAGGTGGACTGATGAAGCTCTTATAACCTCCGGATCGGTGAACGGGAATGAATAAGCACGCAGTTCAGTCACCGAGATTACCTTTTTGAGAATCCCTCGTGGGCGAATGATACGCTTGGGCTTGCGCGATATTAGGGCGATCTGAGAAAGTAAGAGAGACGAAGAGTGAAAGGAGAGGCGGGGTGGAGGGGAAGAGAATGAAGAGAAGAGAAGAGAGGAGAGGCAGCCAGATTAAATGGCGAGATACGTGGATGATGGATGCATCCCCGCCATCATCGACTCGACAATTGAGAGTTAACAATCAATTAATTTATCTGGATCTTCCTTTGGTCCTTTCGTCTATTAAATTAAATTAAATTACCCCACAAAACCTTGGCTGATCGACGGTGGCTGGTTAACTCAAGGGTCTAACTAACTAAAGTGTTAATTATCTCTCCATCTCGCTCTGGATTTGGTGCAGGTTTCCCCGACGGCTGGTTTGGCGCATCATCAACAGCATCATCGATGGACGGAAGAGAGAACGTTCATCCATCACCCAAGGTAACTCCATTCTCTCAAAGGACATGAAACTGACTCTTCCACGGTCCATCGCTAACTCACATGCATCGTCTCGAGATCAATTGGATAGAACCCAGACACGTCCATCCATCCTCAACTGCGAGATGCAGCCCGCAATAAAAGCCATCCATCCAGATCCCCTGGTGAAACATCGTCAACTCTAAAAAGACAAGCCCAGACATGAGGGCAAGAGACTAGATTCTCCCTGGTCTCCACTGATCCTCGGCCGCTATGGTGATGGAGATGGATATACCCCGGAACTACGGACAATGGCCCAGTCAGCCGTGACTAGTTTCGCCCGTCATCATCACTTCCCCGCGTTTTGACTCGAGGCCCGCGGTCAATCATTTTAGTTTCCATTCTTCCTACACGATCTAGCTCGCCATGGACAGCTGCTCATTCGCAGCCAAAGTGCACGGTCCTTTCCACTCGAAGCAAGCCATGGACCCTCACAAAAGAAGAAAAAGCTTCCTTTTAAAAAGCGGGAGGATGCTGTGCGTCTGACAGGCCCAGACATACGACCGAAAGGAAGCTTGTAGTAACGGTGGCTATCCGAAAATCCAAAGATAAGGGTCTCTTTACCTGACAGTCGCGCGATGTCGAACTAGCAGCCTATCTATCTGCAGAGAATGGCTTGGTGCTGCTTTCGAGAAAGATTCCCTTTTGTGCTTACTTCTCGCCGCGGGATCGCGTGTAGCGAGAAAGAATAGACTCTCCTGTTGGAGATTATAACGTCACGAGTTCCAGGAATAAAGCCACATTGTCCGAGTCCGTGTCGATATCCTCTCCAAGGACAGACATCCCAGTCGAATAACCAAGGACTGCTGCACCACAGCGACAAGACAGCAGGGATTTCGACACACCAACCGACGGCATCCTCCATACTTACGACTAACCTGAAACCCATCATTCCTGGTCTGCCAATCGAGTCCAATCCTGCCAGCAAACCCCACACGGTTATATATCACAGCATGTCGTAAAGGGAGCAGTCTAGCACACGAATGGCCGTCTTCAATGCAACATCATCACTACGACGACAGTCAAATCTCCTACTCTGGGAAGTTGCTCCACGTCAATCATGCAGTCCCCGAGTCATCTCATCCATACAATAGCCTTTCCAGCCGCTTTCTCTCCGTAACCTTGTAAGCACGTTGCAAGCAGGGAGTCGATAGAGCGACACTGCCTCAGTAGTGAGTTCTCATTGACCCTTCGGTAAAGGAAAAGAAGACGACGAGACGATGGGTACTTACTAAAGTCACGTATATGCAGAGAACACGCGTGATGACTTGGCCGCTGTTTACAAGGGCCCCATATTCTTTTTTATAAAATAGGACTATATCTTGGACAGAGTTATCTAGAAAATCATTAGATTGAGACCTAGTCAACATAGAAAGTGTCTCCGCCTTTCTCCGGATGATGGATGAATCCTACCATTAATAGGACAAAGCCAGGGAGTTGAGAAGAAAAAAAGAAAGCGCATTTCAATATTCAAACTCTGCGTGATAAGATCAACAGACCCAACGCTCTTTTTACACCCGCCATTATAAGTACCAATAAATTCTGAATGTGACAGGCCTAGCAAATCTAGTCTCAGTAGGCCATTTCTTTTTATAATTTATATTTTTTCTTCTTCTTTTAAATTGAGAATCCAATCACACATAAATAGGCAGGGGAAGTTAGTGAGTGGTTGGATGAAATCCCATCGGCTGGCTGACTGGAAACGTGGCTAAAGCGAACTACGTATCCCGATAGTGAATAATCTGCATCTTTATATGTCAGGTTGGCATGCATTCATAGAGTTCGGCTATCTGTCCAGACATACAGAGTCTCAGATCCTCGAACAAAATAAGACATCAGTTGATTATCTCACGAAGGGATATCTGATAATACTTCCATATCCTTCTCTTGTGTGTTGGGATGATAAGAACTGTCCTCAATTCCTGCACTAGCATGTCTCAATGGCTTGCATAGGACTTCAGTGCCAGAGTCTTACGGTTAATTACTTTCTGGTTCCCTAGAGGCTGATCTACACAGCCTTAATAATTCACCAAAATCAATAAAAAAAAAAAAAGAAGAAGAAGAAGACGTTAGACACATCATCATACATTCTATGTCCCTGAGCTAGTTTGTTTGGAAATCTCCATTATCGAAAGATATACATCAACCATCTGTTAGACCTGCTGCATTGACATACAAGAATTAAATCCTGGTTATGAACCAAGAGGAATGCACCAAGATGTAGAGTCGCCGTCGCTCGCACCATTTAACATATGGAGACCCTTCTGGAAAGAAAACAGTCTTCGCACACATTGCATGTGTCATGTACTTTAATATGGAAAGCTGGTGTTTCTGATCCAAAGCAAGTAAGAGTAGTGACTGAACTGAATCAGAGCTCGATCTTGTAGTATATACGAGTCTAATAGACCCATCGCACGATAATAAAAAGGCTCTAATTGTGCATCCATCAAAGAAGCAGACAGGTGAACCCGTACTATATTTTGTAAAATCAGAAATACTGAGAACCTGAAGTATTACCATTTCTGGTTTACTCCTATCTTTGACATAAGCCCGCGCTACTGAGAGATGGTAGCAGGATACCAATCGAGGAGAAAAACCTTTGTTGAAGGCGGGTCTCATCTGATTCGATTCACTGGTAGTCGATGGTAACGACTTCTTCTTGGATAACCCAAGAGAATCCGGTGGCTTCGTATCTGAACGAGATCCGGATACTTTGTCCTTAAACCTGTCATATAGATAGACGCGCATGTAAAGCGTCGATACTCTTGAAAAGGCCGCTGGAAGGAACTGAAAAACCGCGTGATTTGAATATGGGCCTGTTTCATGTAGGCTATTCGAGTTGAAAGAACCCTATCGACTTGACGTACGCATGGCGATGTCTCCGTCATTCGAGCAACCATGATCCCTTTCAATTTCCATATCCAAGACCAAACGAAACAGATCTTCTGTCTCCCCCCATGCATAAATAAAGATCCATCACCTCTCATATCAAGCTTTGCGCAAACTCTTCTCATGTGAGCGGTACTATGAAAAGATATACCGACGGTACGCGGGGGTTAATTAATTAATTAGCTCTGACAACAACGGTCAACCTAACTTCTAAGTAAGAAATGCGGGGTTCCCCGGGTTTATGCAGCTATCCGAACCAATCGGATGATCGGTTCCCGATCGCCATTGAGATAAGTATTTTGTGTCTCCGAGGAAAAGCTTCTAGTTGCCTATTACTCTGCATTAAGTTACTTGGAGTAGATTACTGGGTGGGGGGGGGGGGGGGGGGGGGGGGGATTTGTTGGAATTACACGCCATTGGCTGCTATGAATATTGTGGCTTAGGTATCAATATACTTAGAGCTGAGAGTATGAACTAATCTCTACATACATACATACCGAACGGGTACGCAACTGCTGCCCAGACCGAGTTCTAAGATATATTCGATCTAAAGGTTTGCAATTACTTATTATGTGATTTTGACATACTGTGAGAACCTCACCTTTAGCCAGGCTAGACATTTAGGCTCCAGGAATCGCACGATACAGTCGTCGAACGCAGCCTTCTTCACAGCAATTACTAGAACATAGCCTGCTATAGTTAACCAACACCTTGAAGAAATATCCACCTACCTATAATCCAAGCGAACTACGTCGGTCCTACCAGCTATCTATCTACTTATCCCATGGTATCGAGTCCTTCTGTTTATATCCAAATTCACAGTAATGGCAATTGATCCGCGTTTCAGATATATTCTGATCCATACCAGGCTTCTCTCTAGACGAATCTTCCAAGGTAAAGTAGAATAAGAAAGTACCTACCTACCTAATAAAAGAGTCGCGATAGAAGTTCGGAACGCCAGTCAGGTGACTCGCTGGCGAGACATCGTTTGTATTTAAAAGGGGTGAACTTAAGTCTATAAGATAGATCGCATTCTAAAAATTCAATACAAGAATACAAAAGTATTCTGCTACAAGTCTTTCATTTGCTGGATGCTCTCGGATGCCCTGAATAACAGCATATTCACAGCTCACATTGCTCGATGAAGCAGATGACGTTGAGCCGAAACACCAGCAATGCCACCTGGAGACACACCAATTCGTTGTATCGTGGCATATTCACATGTCTCTGTACATGAATAAGACGCTATCAAGTAAATACTACGCCACTTGATCAGAAAGCGCTCGCGTGTGTAGACTCCAATCCCATACGGAGCCATTCATTTTACCCTTAGGGCTTGAGCAACAGCTGACAGCGGGAAGCGGGTCCCACCCGGCCATGTAGTTACTCTACAATCTAACCACATGCGAAAGACAGTTCGGTATGTATCGAGAAGCAGGAAAGGGCCCGAGAGTGACAAAGCCATGTGATAGCCACGGTCACATCAGGATAGCCCCATGTGCGTGAAGAGTATATTTGTTTGACGCCGTATCCACTCTATTCCATCTGGCCTCCCAAAAATGATTCGCCACGCCTTTGCTGAGGTATCTATGTCTAATGCTGTCGCGTATATGTAATGGTATAATGTAGGGGCATCGCAAGAAAAGAAAAAAGAGCCAGTGTTCTATCAGAAATGACTCTAAGGAGGCTGCGACGTAAAGAACTTGAAAATGAGAGAACAGTATGCAAGAACAAACGAGACTCGAATTTGTCAAACCCCTCCAAATAGCAAGTCTAAGGCGGTGAAACACATGCGGAAAAGACTGCAGTATATACTGAGACAGCTGGCAACAGGCTTTCTCGAGACGTCCAACTCCCGAAACAACCATGAGCATTCTGCAAAGATGCACAATGATTCTGCAGAAAACACGACTGAATAGTCAGAGGGGAGACTTGTCTATATAAGATCAAAAGAAACCCGCAAACTGTTCATGATTCATAACACCGTAGACGTCGTCGAACTGCTGGGGATCGCATCAACTCATAAAAAGTGCCGTCTGAAAAGAGAGAAAAAGCAAAATGAAAAATAAATATCCACCAGGACGTCGTCGTGTCGCGTAATGCATAAAAAAAGTAGATGAAGGAGAAAAGAAGAAAGGGGATTTATACATATAGTTAGTACCAAAGAAGATACAAGAAGGGAACATCAAATAAATATAGAAAGTGTAAAATCTGTTGCCAGAATTAAGAATTGAAAGGCAGAGCTCTGACTCATGTGCGTTATCTGCATTATCCAAAAAAGGATATCAGAAAAAGAAACGAGAAACAATAAAAAAAAATTACATGATGATTGTTGTCTTACCCGTTTCCCGTTAAATAAAAATGCATGACTGCTTTTTGGTATTGCTCTTTGCCCAGATACCCCGAACCCATGACCCCAATTTACGACCGCCTCTAATGCAAATTCGAACCAGATCATTCCGTGCATTATATCATGAGTGAAAAGAAAGAAGCCTTCCCGGTGGGAACGGCGTTCTGTCTCAATAAGGAGACTGCGGCGGCAGGTGATAGGAGTGCGGTTGTCCGCTAGATGAGCCCAGTGACGTGGATGAAGCCGTAGGTTGGACATGGAACAACTGCGTAAGCTTCCTTCCGACGCTGGGTTCGATCTCCGTCCCGTCTCGAGCAATCTTGACCTCGCGGTTGGCGTTCCACGGGTTACGGAGACCGCGTGTGCGATAGAAGGGAAGACGACCAGTCGACATCCACTCAATCCTGAAGGGCTTTCCGAAGGACTGAGTACCGGTTGTCCCAGCTTCTTCGGTCGTCTCTTCCACGCTTTTCTCGCTCCGTGTGCCGTCGTCGTCCTCGTCTTCCGATGAATTTGCCTCCCAGAAGATGGTTCCTCGGGCAGAATCATCGATGATACGGCCCTTAGGTGCTGTCGCCGTTGCCTCCGTGGCAGTGACATTCAGGATCTCCGGTTCGGCTGGTACGTTTGGGCGTGATGGCATTTCTAGCGTTTGTGATTCCTCGTCATTGATTGGAGATATCATCCGTGCATACCCGAAATATTCTCCAGACTTGTTGGCAGAGAATATGAGATAGACATTGTCCGCAGTCTGCAGAAGAGGAAACGGGTTAGTACTTATCCTGGGATCTCGAGAGCGTCCGGATCTGAATTCACGAATCGATGCGTTTATACTCACCTCATATGCTCTGTTCAGGGTAGCTTCGTTATGAGCCTGGGTAGCCCAAATGCCACTCTGCCTGCTCAGCTCAAGATCTTCCACCGTCAAACTTTTGACGATGAAGTACCTTTCCGGAACTCTGGCCGTGGAAGGCGGCTGGGGCTTCTCTGGAGCACCTTCGTTTGCAGCTCCGCTTTCTTGAGAAGATCCAGCTTCTTCGTCCACAAAATCAATGGGGCCTTCTTGGGTCCGTGGGGATTGTGTCGCTGGTGATGATGGAACGGTCGTGGTTACACTGGAGCCCGGTATGGTTAAACCCCTTCTTAGTCTGCAGACAAGGCGCACGCCTTGGAATCTTGAATCATGGAATCTAGCCATGGCAGCGGTGCATGCGGCATCGGTCTTATAGTTCACAAAGGCGCAGTTGCTCTTCGAGATCAGAAACACGCTTTCGATGTCGTCGGTGGCGTCACGAGAGAAGTGATCTTTGAGGTCGACAACGTTGGCACCCGGGGGCAGGTTTCCAACCCATAAAGCATGTCCCGACTGTTTCGGCTTCCTGGGAGGCCCCCGCGGAGTACTTGGCCCTGAGATTGACGGTAGCCGTTGCGGGGATGAGTCTAGAAGTCGGGGATCAGTAAGGAATAGAGGTTGAGATTGGTAGAATCCGATGCGCCCAGGCGCTCTTGGCTTACCCTGCATCTGCGACATCGCCCGGCCGGTCTGACCAGGAGAGGATCCATCCACGATCGTGCTGGCAACATCGTAAACTGCCGTTGACGGACGACGTTCTGGTTCTTTTCGAGGCGCAACTGTCGCAGAGCTGGGAGCCCCCTGGTGAGTCATGTATTCTGTAGCTTGCTGGCGCTGGTGCATCGGAACCCCGGCTTGCATAGTTTGACCAAACGAAGGCGCATATGGCTGAGGATGATAGTAGGCTTGGCCGTAGACCGGGGCTTGACCTGAGACCACCGTACTCTGGTGGGCCGGCGAGCTTTGTATATATGGTTGATATCCAGAAGCACCATGAAGATGCGCATGCTGAGATTGCTGACCGTAGGCAGTCTGGAATGCTGGAGAATAAGGAATATTATAGGCCGGATTCCCACCTGGTACCTGCCCAGGAAAATGGGACATCTGTGGAATAGGGTATACCATGCCCTGAGACTGATGCAGAGAAAGGAAATGCTGTTGCATGGATTGCTGGTCGAAGGGCATGGCTGGTGGCTGATAGCTAGGCAATGCAGAACTCATCTCACCCATGCTTAGGGCAGATGGCCGACCACCCTGGCCGGTTGCTGTTGTGACAAAGCCATGAGGACCGGCATAATACTCGACACCTACCGGACGTAACGCTTGGGCAACCGACTGTGTCGGTGTCGACTGCGTGTGGCCCGGTGGATTGGTGTCTGTAGGAGAGAAGGTCGGACACATCAGCATGAAAAGGTCCCAGGTGTTGTGCTGTGGTGCGCACACAAATGCCGTTTTGGGAAAGTCAGACGACATACCATGTACCCTCGTCGACACAGATGGTTTTCGCGTAGATGAGGCTTCTTCCACAGCTGCTCCCCGGGGTGACTTGGTCTGATCAGAAGGAACATCGCCCATGGGGCCGTCTTAGGAGGTACCAGACGCTGTAATCCAGAGAGAAAGAGAATACTTTCGTTCTACAGTCAGTGGCCATCCGGTAGAAAAACAAAACCACAACCAAAATGAGGGGTATCCTCTCTTTAATCCCTCGCGGGGAGACTCACACGAAGAGAAAAAGAGAAGATAGCACGACAAACACTTACCGTTCGCAACGTGCCACTCTGCACCGATATGTGGCCACCGATAATCTAACACTGGAAATACAGACCGGTCAGGACTCTTGCTGGAAAACACACTTCTATCACAAGAACGCCTGTTTCTTGTAGAAAAGAGACGACGAGACAACCCAGGATAGATATATGAACCCAACGCGTGGCAGCCAAGGCAAAGGAAAAGGAAACGAATATCAAAAAGGACCCAAGAGGAAGGCCGTTATGCAACGGCAGTATCCGAGATCAGAAGAATGATGCCGGTAGAGAGTCCTGAAGCCGACAGTGGGTGGACAAAGAAAAGAGGACTAGCGAGCGGAAATCTTATCCCACGGAGCGAGGCTCACGCCAGACAAGAACCCGGTCAACCTTCTTTTCAGTTGTTTAGCCTCCCTAGACCACGTCGAGCGGGGACGTGCCGGCTACGAGTCGGGGGTTATTCTCAAGAGGCGGAGTGGAGCTGGACTGTGAGGGGAGTGAAACGGTTTTAAAGGGGATCAAGAGGCAGCAGACAAAATGCAGAGAGGGATGAATGAGGCAATAAGTCGATTGGGGATGGAGAACAAGCGACGGGGGCAGGGAATCAGTGGCGGACTGCCCTGGCCAGACGCTTCTTTGCTCGCTATCTCTCTGTCTGTCTGTCTGTCTGTCTCTGCGATTCTGGTGCTATCCTCTGTTTTCTCCTCCAATCGCCCGACAAGGCCAATATCGGAGATGACCCCCAAAAAGGACGGTGGTATAGGCGGGAAAGGATAACGAAGAGGGACGTGGAAAGAAGATGAAAAGAAAAGAGGCACAGTGGCCGGTGGAACGGTGGAGGGATCCCTTACTACAATCCTACGCCGCAAATGTCGGGTGCCGACCTGAGAGGTCGTTATTTTGCCCTTCTAGATTGGTCAAGTAACGATCACTTGAGTCGATGAGATGTTGGTGATTGTCGAGCTCCCAACAGAGATGACCTTTTTTTTAAGATATCTCAGGATTCGCAGCTCCAATGCTCCAATGGAAGTTTCCGGAAGTTACCCGTATGGAGGAGAAACCACCACGGGTTCTTTAATGGGAGGCTACTTCCGGTTTCTGGCTCCGTCAGTGTCTCTGGTATATCCAAGACCTTTCAGATTGCAATCAGCTTTTCCATCAGCTCTCTGGATTGTCCCGTGAGGAAGCGATTAATATTGGTAGCAGGCGAGACGGAATAAATAAGAGATGAGATGAGCGAGAGTCGACGTCAACAAATCACCGTTATCATTTGACAAGTCCAGAAAACGTCAAAGCCACGCGCATACAAGTCGTGCAAGATGTGGAGAAGCTCGTCAGGTAAAGATTGAGGGAGTTGGAGGGACAGGCACTGCTCGTTTTGCATACATGCCACGCTCGCAAAGAAAAAGAGACGCCGCTGGGTGGCGGAGTTCCCTACCGCTCTGGAGGATCTGCGTGGGCAAGCGACAGGAACGTTGCCTCGCCGAGCTATTGCCAGATGACAATTATGCGTGCTCGAATGGGGTACGCACCAGAGATCCGCAGCTGTTCGGTGGCCTCTCGTGTTTTTTTGCTTTCTCTGTTGCGTGGTCAAGCTAGCGGGACCGGGTCAATGCCCGGACGAGATTTTGGCGATATGGGGAAGGCCAGTGGTTGCGCCTAGGGATGAACGGCTGTGGCTGGAGCAGAGTAGCAACGGGGTCAAGACCAATGCACACCTCGTTCTCTTTTTTCCTTCAGAATGCCTAGAATCTCCCAAGGGCTTTTGTCTTCCAGATTGCAATTGGCCGGGGACTCTACCGTTCGTGACCAGAAGACAGGAATTAATGGGTGGATAAGTTATCTGGGGCTAAAGAAGGAATGGAAAGAAGCAAAATTCGGTTCAGCCCCGTTGAAGATGAGCGACAAGACTCGAGGATTATTGGGTGATACCATGTAGCTTTGTTCTGGGGTGCATTGCGGATACGGTTGAGCAGTTCAATTTAAGCCCCCGTCTATAGGAGTATACCATACTCCCAGGAACGGAACGGGCCAGCCGAGAAGGCAAGAGAGAGACATGGGGGGAGGTGGCAAATGGGAACCATGCGTGGTAGAGTAGAGTACCAATGTATGTGGTGATGCGCTTACTCCATAAGAACCCTGCAAGTGGGATCACCATGCACCTTTTTCTCTCTGTCTTCTCTTCCCCCTTTTGCCAGTCTGACGACACCGGTCTTTATCCCAAAGAAAAGGACCGATCTGAAGTTCGGTAGGATTTCACGATACAGAATTCGAGATTACTGTTCAGTGGCGGAGGAATTGATATCCAGCTGCCCCGTCGTACCATACATACTCGATTGGAAACTGCCCGGAAAACGAAACACACATGGCTTCGTTGGAAGCCTTCTCAGACAACAACATAATAGAGTGAGTTGAGTTGACTGAGTTGAGTGAGAGAGCGTGTGTGCGCGGCAGCGTTGAGTATCAGATCGCCCTTTTTGCCACAGCACAGCACAGCCTCGGCCTGAAACCGAAACCGCTGCATGCTGATGTCGTAGAGTAAGTAGGTACCATACTCTAGTAGAGTAATAACGAGTAATATGGCTAAGCTAGCGGTGGGAGCGAAGCCCGGGCAGCAGAGTAGCGTTCGAGAAAATACCATTGGCGGCGTTCCGAGCCGCGGCGATAGATGATTGCATCGACCGTTTTCCAGGCTGATGGATGGATGGAGTTGGCTGGGTACATTCCCACTAGGCCGACGCTTAGTGACCCCCGGGATGCTGCGCCAAAACCGGTTTTACGGGAGAGAGAGGAGAGCGAGTGCGCGCAAGAAGAACACTGCTCGCTCGCTGTCATATTATGCTTTGGGTCTCCTTTTAAAGAGGCGGGGATTTCCCCGGTTGTCTGGCCTTCCTGCGTTCTTCCTCTTTCTCGTCCTGAAAATGGCCGTCAAGATGGCCTGGTCGCCATCAGCTCGACTTCCACCCACGCACCTCGTGCGCCCTCTCGTCCGGTAGCTTCTCCCCCGTCAGCAAAACCCCCCACCGCCAGAACGCCAGGAGAGAACGAGATGAGATGAGGTCGACCGCAAGAGAGCCTGATTGGCGGGATCGGCTGCCGGGCGCTTTCTCCTCCCTCGAGATATTCATAGTCGTATCCACTGGCCTGGGATGATCGCGACAATCACTGGTTGACTGGTGGTGCCCCTCAAAAGAGCCGATGACCGGCGGTGGCAGATCTAGGGCCTCTAGTAGGGACCTCACGGTTTCATTTCATTTTCTCCCTAACCAGGTTTAGATACTATAGACTGCGGTAGATTACGAGCCTTGCCGAACCCGAAAGCTAGAGTACGACACTCATCCAAGAGAGAACGATTGGTTTCAACTTACACTACAGTTCTAGACCCGTCTGGATGCTGTCCAGCACGTTTTTATCCCCTTTTTTCAATACTGTCGTGCTAAGGGAACCACGGAAACTAGTGGAGCGCAGCACTACTGCCTCGTACGGTTGTCTTCTAAGTTCTGAACGAGGGCTTTGTTTTAGAAGACTCAGCGGTTTCGGACGAGAGACTGGATGATGAGCTAAGAGGCTCACTAGTCACTTTGGGTCGAAGAGGATCTTCTTGTTTCAATAATGGCGCGCCATGTGGAAAAAAGTAAAAACAAAATTAGTTAAATGAAAATAAAAATATGATACCTAGGTAGTTAACTAACTAGTTAACAGCCAGAACGGATGTGATTAGTCAGCAGACCTGAGGCAAACAGGTCATGACTAATCACTCAAAAAGTTTAGGAAATTCATCCTGTTATTATTATTATTGTTGTTATTATTATTATTATTACCATTACTTGTGGCAGAAAATGTAATAATAATAGTTAGCTAGTTAGCTAACTAACTATATCCGATAGTCAGCAGACACTACTTGCATCTTCTCTGCATGGTCTTTGCGGATTTTTGATCGCCCGTCTGCCCCGCCTGGTCCACCAGCGGGCATCTAGTACCATAGTAGTATTCTTACAAAAGTCTACACATTCCGAAGTATTAATACTCTTACTATGTTACAGAGTAGAGACTCCTAACTACAGTAGTAAGCTTGTATGCATCCTTGTATATACCAATCAATGAAAGCTCTCATCCCTGCGTCCCCTCGCCACGATCGTCTTGGCCCGTTACGCGCTCGTTTGCGCGGAGACTCCAACCGGTGGCGCTGATTGCCCCGGTACGTATCTCGATCTCAGCCAAGTTCCGGGGACGGGAGAGACGATGGCAGCGGAGAGTTCTTGACGTCAAAGGGTCCAATAGGGCTGACCTTCCACTGGGTATCCCGCCGTTTCGATGAGGATCCCGCTTGGTGGTGATGCATCGAACTGTCATGTCAACACGAGGGACCCTCAGCTATGAAAACAGCACTCTGTCTCTAGAGCAGTGATGGTGAACATCTGTGTGCATCTCCACTGATCACTCCCCTCAAGCCTTTCTGTTCACTGAAACGGAGTATGTACACCCCCGACTGGGCCCTGGGGACGTTCCAGATCTTCGTCTCAGCTTCATCCGAACTTCTATAGGGCTATTATTATCAAAGTGCCACGGTCTCAATTTTGCGTCAATGACTCTGTACCATAAACTCGAGCCACTGTGTCCCGCATCACTAGAATGGGCGACTCAACCCGTCCAGACCGGCGGGAGCGCCAAAATTAGCCTGGGGCTGCCACGCCGTCGGGAGAAAACAACATAACAAGCATCAACAGGGACTACTCGAGATTTTCACTCGATTCTCCAATCATATTATGCGGGCTGAGGATTTCCGCAGGGCCCTCTTAGCTTCTTCGTATTGTTCCCTCGGTCCAGACTCCGCTGTACCCGGACAGGGCAACGTTGCCATCGCCGAACTGCTCAGGTTTCACGGGCAATTGACCTGGAGATAGGACCACCGGAGACCACTCACTTCTTTCTCCTAAGCCTCACTCTTCGACCATGGAGGAACCCTCCGGGGCCAATTCCGCCCCACGATTTGACGGCATCGCAGTCCACAGCTATCTGCCGGACTGCCTGAGATGCCCAGAGCGGACGTGATAGCCATCTGCAGTGTGGCGTGCACAGCAGCGAGCGCCACATGGGCCTACCGGTACGTTCCTTTGGATCGACGTCCTAAGTTTCAGAAAAGAATAGTCTACCAGGGTCTCCGTGGACTCCGAGAGTATGGTATACTCTACTCCGTAGAGTCCTGCGCCTATTCTATCTTTGTTCGAGACCTTGTTCGACCTGTTCCACAGCCGCGGGTGCTGCTAGGCCATTAAACCCGGGTCTGATGGCTTTGACGTATCGCCACACGATCGATCGTAGGTGCTAACTACTATTCTTGGGTTCTTTAGAGCGCGTTGTAGACTCCCATTCATCTACGCCCGCTACTGCAAGCGGGTTCCTCTGAACGGCGATGCGGAGCTCGTCGATGCTAGAATAGGACGATACAGCCGATGGCCGGACTCAGCCCGGTGGCGAATATCGTGTCTCTGACTGGGAGAGACGAACTTTTCGAGGCTCGCGAAAAGCCGGCAAGTAAGTACGGTATAGATAGAGACGATCACAGCCTTTCCGATGCCAGCCCAGGCGTCTCGTGACCGCGTCAGCTGATTGGCCGGAACGCAGCGGTTGAGCGTGGTGGCAAAACGACGTCGAGTCGATCTGCTCTGCTCATATCCCAGTCATGATGTGCATGCTTAATTCGACGAAAAAAGAACAAAAAGAACTCATTCCACGGAGTCTTCCTTCCGTTGCGTGCGAATGATCGTCGACACTTGCAGTCATCAGAGCGTCCCAATGCGTCCCCCCTTGCGTCCCTTGCGCCATGCCGCCCTCCGCCGGAGATCTCGAACTCTCGTCTAGTCAGTTAAGTATGTACGTACTGTAGTTACTCTACTACGTACTGACGTCTGATTAAAGATTACGGAGTAAACAAAACGGATAGAATCCGGTTCTGTTTCGAAGATCCCGCGCTACAGTACTTAGCGTTGCGTCGCCACCCAGACCCTAGTAGATCTACGAGTACATCATCCATGAACTATGCTAAAAACTCGAGTAGATACCAGAACTCCATGCTCGTGCTTATGGTACATTGCATAGCAGCCTAGTTAGTTATAATTAGTTATCAGCACTCAATGCCATAATGAGTAATCAACGCTATCAAAACCGCCCGACGCGGTTCTCTAATAGACTCCGCTCCAATCGCCTTCCGCCATAGAAAGCGTACAGAGTAGTACATACATCGGATGCTAAATCGGTTAGGCGGAATGAGCGGAACAAGAGCATTGTTCCTCGGGCTCCACCGCACTGCGCCATGCAATATACTCTGCACCATTGACCTGTCAAGGATTAGTCTAGTCTAGCATAGGAGAAAAAAGAAAGAAAAACCAATACATACCATACTCAACTATCAGACCCTAGTCAGCAAAAGTCGGGGAATATTCGGTAGGGCACCTAGTTATTATTCTACGTATAGGTATACGTCTTAGCCGGTGGCCTAGTTAATTAGTTAGTCTGGTCAATTCGATATGAGTCAAAGTACCGTAGACCATGGTAGAGTATTATCTATCGTTAACTATGAGATACTCGAAAGCAGACATGGCATACTTGCGGAATTAGCAATTAATCAGTCTAGTATTTTTCTTTTCTAAAGGTATGAACTATGGAAGTCGATTTTTTTTCCCCCTGATTTAAGTAACCAGTATTATAGCCAGGAGTAGTAGAGTAGTAGTATACTTGAGTATGAGAATGGCAAGAAGAAAAGGAAAGGTAACTCGAGTCCTTTCCTTTTTTTTTCTTCTTGTTCTTTTCTTTTCTATAGTGTTTTAAAATTTAAAGAGTCCTGTTACAAGTTTGTTTGTGTACAAATGGCGATAATTTATTATATTGACACTATGTATTACAGTAATTAGTATGTACATCTGGTTACTTAATAGCCAAGTAGATATGTAGGAAATGAGACAATACATAAGATAGATATATTTACCAGATCCCCGTTCCACATCCTAAGGAAAGAATTAATTATATCCGTCCCTACTATAAAAGTTCACATAGGTATATTCTAGCATATACCTAATTAGGTAGCTGCCCCCCTCCGCCAGAGGATAGGGATTTAGCTTCCCTTCTACCTTCACTTCGTCAAAGACTCAATCTTCCCTATCACCCAGCATCTAACTAATTCTATCGAATCCCAACAAACAGAAGCCAAATAAACTATACTGAATTTTTATCTCTAGCAGATATCTAGTCGAATACGGTCCAATTAATTACTTTCTTGAATCTGAAATTACTAACAACTGCTGCATATAACAAGCAATATGAACAAATTAACTAAGTTAACTACCCTACCCTGCGCATCAGTTAGTTAGTTAGTTAGTCTTCGGGTACCGACGGTATGGTATAATTGAATGAGTTCTGCGCGTGGATAGTACCATATAGGTTTCATTCATGTTATCTCGCTATTTATTTATTTTGACTGATTTATTCTCACTAAGTAAGCGTACCGATATCCCCGAAGAAAGTCAAAACAATAGCACTCGTTAGCGATCACCATTGATTGCGCAATTAGCTGTACCCCAATCTGCAGCGATATGATCCTTTAAGAAAGCCATTTACAAGAAGAAAAGGAACTACCCTCTTCGAAGATGAGTATAATGGACTATATTTTAAGTGAAACAGGCCAGTCAATTACACGCCTCCCCTTATTACCATATACATGAACTCGTCTCCATCGCGACCTTGAGACATCACGATCAGAAAAGAAAACGGGATATTCCCATATTTAGTCGACACAGATAAGTGGGAAAGAAGTTGAAAAGGAAGCGGGGAGAAGTAAGAGGGAGGAAGAAAAAGAGAAAGTAGACTGGTAGGGAGACATGTCATAACACCCTATGAAGTGGGAAAAAGGTAAACACCAAGTAAAACGATATAGAGAAAAGAAAAGGGAATGCAAGTACAAGTAAAGACAATGAATTATGTCACAGAAGACACATTAAGTAGAAGTTAGGTATAATTACTTGCGCCGAGGCTACGCTGCCTGTGGCCTTAACGATCAACAGTAAGAGATGCGACCTTGCCCGCAAACCTGGCGCCTGCGCTGCCTCGCTTGTGCAACTTTTCGCGCTCCTTTCCGTCTAGCGGAGCTAGCGCCTGAGATGCTGAGTGATCCGACTGTTCGCTTACGGAACCTTTGCGAGTTAGAGGCAATGAACTCATCGTCTGGGCTCCGTCTTTGCCGTTCGGCGATACAGTTGGAGGCATGATGCTGGGCGCCCTAGCCGTCCTCTGGTTGAGATAGAGCTGGGCAGCAGGCGACAACAAGATGGGGGGAGGTGTAGAGGGCACCTCTGCTCCATTTTGGACCAGAAGCTCGGCGATGGGGAAGGGAATCGCCTTTGGAGGTGCCTGCTTAGCCGATAAGGCGTTTGGGGTCGAGCCAGGAGCTGCAGGATCGGCTGCTGCCAATGCAAGAAAAACAGCGTGAGTGTTACGAGAGCGATCCGTCACATTGACATTCGCCCGCAGCGCGATGCCGTATAACACGCCCTGGATGTCATTCTTCTTGATTGACGCAAGCAGTGTTTCGTCAGGAGTGGCGTAGCGTGACTGGCCCGCAGTCAACGGCTGAACATAAGCCCTGTCACTGTATTTCGCAGTGATGAACTTCAGTCGCTGCTCACGAGTCGAGAGTGCCGTCGGCTTGGTAGATTGATCCAACGTCGCCTCCCACACCATGTTGCTCACACGGTTGCCGATCTGAAGAAGTATCTCCACAATGTCGTTCGAGAATGAGTTGACATCCAGCGTAAGCGACCGAACCTTCGATATATGTGTACCGAGAGACCGGTGAATGCCGCTGCATTCGATACAAAGAATAATACCGAGATTGATAGAAACCCACTCTACCTTGGACGTTGAGCCACAATCCGCACACCAATTGTTACCTTGATCGGCTTCCTGAATGGTCTGCAGTAGCTTTGCTGGGTTCTCTTCATAGCTGTTGCTGTCACTGCGGATGTAGCTTGGTCGCGCCCCAACAGTGGTTCGGCGACCGACCGAATTATTATTATTATGATGATTCGATGCGGAAGAATGAGAGTGCTGGCCAGAGAAAGAGGAACTCTTGCCGGTAAGCACAGAGCCTATATCGTGGCGGATAGAGGAGCTCTCTGATCTTGATGAGGGCGGCGCCGCTGGAGGTATGCCACGACCTTCGACTGCGCTTTGCAAAGCGTTATTAATCGCTGTAATCCAGTTGCTCATATCCTCTTCCGACGTCGCCTGGTATATGCGCTTGAAGTAAGGAGTGATGACTTCAAAGCAGAATCGGCGTTCTGCGTTTCGCGCCTCCCGCACAGATGCCATGCGCAGATCTATAGGATCCATATGCAAGTCGAGCTTTTGTTTCCAATTACTATACTCGGAAAGCTTGCCCTGATCAAGGACAATCCAAAACCTGGTCACGAGTCAGCCACTATCTTCATATCCAGCGGAAGGATTTCCTTACTTATGCCAAGCCTGTTTATTGATCCCCTTGGGATCGATATGTGACCCGGGCCGAGACAGTGCCCAGAGTAGCCCTTCTTTCCTTTGCGCGCCCCCACACTTGTCGGAACCTGCAACCACTGGCTCTTCCAAATCGCGGATGCCTTTGAATCGATTCTGGCCTGGTGATACTATTGAACCAACGGGTGAAGTTAAGGAGCTGCCGGACGGTGCTCCCAGATTCACGTTTTGCGCTGAGTTCGAGGAGTTGTTACTAGGAACATGCCGCAGTTGGGAGCCCGTACTATCTGCGCGACCAAGATCCGAATCCGAAACTTGGGCGCCGCTGCCATTGCCCGCTGCTGGAACACTTGCACCGGGATTGGAGAAACTGTCAGGCTCGACGTACATCTTTGTACTTTTCTCCAGAACTCTGCGTTTTTCCTCTCTCTCAGTTCTCTGGAACTGGAACTCTTTGTCCGCCTGATCGACTTCATGGATGAGAGCCTTCAACTGCGGGATCATTTCCTCGATCTTTTTGGCGGTTTCAAGGTAAGTCCTTGCCTGCGTGTCGGCATATTTTGTCAGATGGGAGAGCACCTCTTGCTCCTTTCTTCCTCCATGCAAATCTTGCATGAATGAAGAGTAGTCGAATCGCTTCAGCTCGAAATTCCGACGTTTGATCTGATACTTTGAATCACTCTCCGCGCGTTTCTTCTCCTTCAAAGAATCCTGCCGTTGGCCGAGATATCGACCAACATACGCGTAGTAATCTCTACTCTCTTCCTCGAAATCCTTCTTCTTAGCCTCCGCTTGCTTGATATCGTAGTTGTAGAGCTTCGTCAGGGGGTCGATGATGAGTTTCTGTAGATTAACGGTGTTGGATTGCTCGTAGTGCAGGATTTCCTTGGCGATCTTCTCGAAATAATGCTCCAGGGCCGGCTGGATCGCATTCGCATTGGACGTCGAGGCATCGTTTAAAGCCGTAATAAATGCGCCTACGGCTTCGTTGCAAGAGACTTGTGCTTGCTGTGCCGCTTCGGCTTTCTTGAGTACTTTCTTGATCTTCTGCCGCATGCTGCCTGTTTTCTGTTCGAGAGCCTTCATCGTAGCTCTGAACAACGGGCCATCTTCAACTACACTCATGTCCTCTGCAGGGCGAGGGCAAGGAAGATCAACTTTCACAGGGGGTGGAGGGGGAGGAGCGGACATAGGAGGAGGGGGGACGCTCTCATTGGCGTCCGGAGGCGTGTTGGGAGGAGGTACACGAGATTGCGACCATCCACTATCGGGTTCACTGATCTGAGAGAAGATAGACTGTGAGGATGGCATACGATTTCGACCAGGGACGGTCAGTTCGAAATTGGGTGACGGTAACAGCGGGCTGGGCAGTGGACGTTGAACACTGTGGACCCAAAATGTGAAGTTCGCCAGCGTATTCAGACGATTCGCTCTCTGATCATATTCGAGAAAGCTGCAGCTGTTTCGCCAGCCACCACCTTTGTCTTCCGTTGTCTTCGGCGGCTTCCACTTCCACGACCATTCGAACTGCACCGACGGACTTCCCGCCGTCGAGAAGTCACCCACATGCTGGACGTTTGAATTATTCTGTAGGTTCGGGTTTGCGTGAAATTCCCTCGTAATCAGATTATCGAGTTCCTTCGAATTCGACGCATGCGCGAACGTGAGGCCCGTCAGCTGCGTGTCGACGGCTCCAGGCAACGAGGTAGAGACACCATTGACTGTAGCATTAGCCACCTGGCCCGTCTGCACCTGTCTCATCACAAAGGAGAATTGGAAGTTGAGCTCATCCTCGTTCGTCAGGCGCAGTAGAAAATGTGGCACTGGTGCTGCCGCGGGGGGCTCGGGGTCCTGAGAAAACGCGAAAAGTAGATCAGCCTCCGCGAGTCGCAATCAATTGTCAGTCTGGTCTGATGGATGCATTGCGCACCTGCACATATTCGATCGGACTGTCGTCGCCCGCATCCCGCCTCGCGTTGTACCGTGCTGCGGGAAAAGAATTCGGCGCAATATGCAGCAAGACTCGACCACGGGAGTTCGTGATGGTGACGCCTGAGATAGTAACTGTGGCCATATCAGCATCCACCGCACTTGAAGATCGACGACTGAGGGCATCATCGCGCTGCACTGACATTTGTTCTGATCTTTGAGGAATAGGTTCCCGGAATCGTCCAGACGACTCCCGACGTTCCCCATGTCTACAGCACGCAATCAGGTTTCAGATCAGCCGTTCGAAAGAGAGTCCGGAGTGCCGTTGGGAAATATAGAGGCCGTCATCGACGAGGAGCGATGGCAGCGTCCTATGCGAAGACAGCTCCGACTCGAGGCGCGGACGAACAGCGTGCGGCTGAGGCAACTGGCAGAGAGAGAGTCGACGATGATCGGTCATCCAGCCCGCGTTCCGGCGTGGACGAAGAAGAGAGGTGATCGCTCGGACGCTGTGCAACAGCAGCGTGCAGGAAGAGTCAACAAGCCAGATAGATAAATAAAAGATCTGTCTCACGACCCAGCAGGATCGAAGGAATCAGTCATCGCCGGGCGTTTTGGCTTGTGACGAGGAGAAGATCCAGTGGCAGTGGGGGGAAGCCTGAACCCTCGGACTAACAATTAATTAGCCTCTCAATGCGCAGATCTCAGCGCTTCGCATGTTGTCGAGGGGAAACTGATCTTGCGGGGTCTCAAGGCACAGAGGAACTGCCTATGATCTTCTCTCTCTTCCCCTTTGACCGCAGTAGCGCTGCGCTTAATCCCTAACTAGAGTACCTGAACGCAGTCCCCGATCAAATTCATTATTGCAACATACTACATTTGGCATCGCTTGTCGGAACCACTGGTGAACAGCAACAGCAGCAGCAACAACAACAACAAAGCTATCTAGCCCAAACAAAAGAAAAGCCCCAGTGATGGGATCCGTCTATTCTATCAAAGCGCTTTCATATTGCTGCACCCATGGGACGCTGAGCTAGTATTCTTAGTACGTAGTGGATTTTCTTTCTCAGGTCCGTCCGCTGACATCTCCAATAATAAAAATAATAAATACAGAGTCAAAACCAGCCACCTCAAATAAACAAACCAATCACCACATCTTTCATCATTATTATTATTATCAGCATCTATCATAAATATAGAAACAGCACATCCCAGCCACTTCACTACTTGGTACTCTTGTTTCAAGGCCATCGTCAGAAGGAATTCGTTGCGCATGCAACTAAAAAGAGTACGGCGCATAGTTGCACAGACAACCGCCTGACTTGTTCTGTTTTTAGCATCAGATACTAACATTGATTAAGTACCTAATCAATCGTCAACTAGCCAACCAGCAAATACTCTATATAACTAACTAGCTCAGTTCAGAGCTAGACAGGATGCATTCCGGTTTAGAATTATGCAGGGAAAGGAAAAGGGAAATGGGAATATAAGCGGCGAGAATAGAGCACTGGAATACCGATTACGATATGCAGTGGTTCTACAAAATATCACGGCAGGTATTAATCAACTATTTAATGTCCTGGATGACTGTGAAAATTGCAATGCGTTTCTAGAACAGGCTTCTGAAAGAACAAAAAATTTGTCAAGGGGGTATAATCACACAAAGTAAATAAACAAACAGAGTCCGCTGGCATAGAGGCTCGCTCATCGAAGAAATTAGACATGGTTATACCAAACTAACGACAAGAACATGAATATCAGGGGATCGAAGCTTAAATAATGACAAGAATGAAAACCTCAGGCAGTATCGCTGTGCTGCAACGAGTAAGATCGAGGGGTATATGGGGGTATTAATAATTATGGCATGAGGAAATAGTTGAGAATGATAAGGCAGGTCCATCTGCATGATGGTGTTCCCTGCCGTTGTCCTGCGGTGCTGGTGAAGCCTCGATTCATCAGAAACAGAGCCTCAATGCTCCGTTGGGGGCTTGCTGGGACCATCAGGATGATCTCCCTCCATGGCCCAGTCCCTGACATTTTTCTTGACATCTTTCATATCGTGAAATCTCTGTGAAATGCCGCTTCTGTGCTTGGGATGTCCGTTAACACGTTCGTCAAGTTCTGACTCGTCCGAACTGGACAGACTAGAATCTGAGCCACTGGACGGCTGCATGTAGGCAAAGTTTCCTTGGGCGCTCTTCTTCTTGATTTCTCGTTGTTCCTCCTTGAGATGGTTCATTCTGTCTGCATCCTTCTGGCAGTCCAATGTTATCACTCGGAGACGCGGGAAGTTATTTGATAGAAACTCTCTGAGCAGAGGAAGCAACTCTGCATTGGGCCGATATGTGCCGCTGTCATTATCGATGAAGAGTTCATAATCAGCGGGATCATGGGATGGATCTGAGGACGTCGAAGCTCGACGTCGATCTTCCGTCGGATCACCAGCTACCGCCTGAGATGACCCAGAACCAGGTCGATGATGTCGATGCTTGGCGCGACGGACGAAAAACTCGCCAGAGAATGCAATATAGATCGAGACATCACTGTGCATGGTGTGCTTGCTCAACAAGTCAATTCCAAACTCCTTGCCTGTTTCAGTAAAGCGAAGAAGCCCGTCGAGTGTGAGCACATAGGTAAAGATACGCCCTCCCTGGCCGTAGTGAGCAAACTCGAGAAACTTTTGCGCCATTTCAGTGCAGGGCCCATTGAACAATCCGTGCTCGGTGGTTCTATCGAAATTGTAAATGCGCGCATGCTGGTGATGCAGAGCTCTGTTCAGAATGCGGCCTCGGAGACTGTGCGATGTGAACATGCCGGCTACAAACGGTCTGAACTCAACGTAGCGATGGTACAGTTGTGACGGCACCGGGCCTTTCAGCTGCATTTGGATAGCTTGGAAACTAAGAGAATTATAACCATCAGCCTTTTGTATGTATAGAGTCGGGTTCAGGGGAGAGAGAGACAACGCACTTGTACCGTGTGATTTCTTTCTTACCATCCGCACTTGGGACCGAGTCTTTAGTCCCAGTCAATCTCCCGATGAGAGGAGAGTAATGTTTGAACCAGTAGTTCGGACCAATAGTGTACATATGCGCACCCTCATCCCCTGGGGTCTTCCCCAGACACTCGACACTCACAACTAGCTGCGCATCCATGGCGCGAAGATGGCAAGCAGCCACCGCTAGAGTTCGAAAGAAGTACGCGCGCTTGCTTGCCATGCGCTTCTTGATTGTAAACGATTGTTCCTTGATCCCCTCCCATGATTCCGAGATGGATGATGCCGTTACATATGCATTTCCGAGTCGGTCGTCATGGTCGGCAGGATCCTCGTCGTAGACGCGGCATTTGAGCTCAAATCCAGAGGCAGGCACATTGGCAACAATCCATTCCGCATCCCACACCGGATTAGTGCTCCTTCTTATGGTAGGGGTGCGGAAGATGGGAATGGGATCCTGCTTATGCCGGCGGGGCAGATCAACCTTGAGCTGCGCGGTAACGAACGGATCAGACGATAATGTACTGAAGTCTGCGAATGGCAGATTGACGGCGCGATGCAGCACAAATCGCAACGTGTAACCGGACGGCGCGTCAGGAAATGGAGTGCTGTCGAACCCTCCAGCGGGCTGATGCTCGCCCGCACCGTTCGTCAGCCCCATCGCGCGGTCATGTATCTTCTCTGCTTTGTCGACGAATTTCGGGCCATATTTTTCGGTGGGATGCTGGGGTCGCACTTGGGGTTTCACTTGTTCGTCCATGGTCGATATTTGATATCGCGGGTTTCTGTGCCGCTCAGAACCAAAAGACCGTCCTCGGGATGATGTAGGTTGGAGATACTGTGTTTCTGGCGCATGGCACACCGTATGACACTGTCGCAGAGAGAGTTTCTTCCGACTCAGGAGAAGGGAATTCAGGTGGCCTGTCCTGATCGTATTATTATTATGATTGAATGGGGTGATCTCGAGGGCTAGCGGCGAGCTAAGACCGCCTGTGAAGATCGAAATTCCGCGACTTTTAACTTTTGCTAAACACAGAGAAATGACGAGGCCTGGCGGCGAAGTGGGATGTCTGACCTTGGCGACACGCTGCTACACAAAGAGGACCATTAATATTGATTAACAATTTAACCGCCACATGTGGAGGCGGATAGGGCTGCACGTTGACGTCCTCACAATGGGTTTATCGATTTTGGCCTAGAGTTACTACTAATTACAGGTCGAATATTCTCTATGTATCACGGCCAACGGAAGTCATGGTCTCCACTCACGGGGCTGATAGCGCTGTGGATTCTATGCACGAGCGAGATGTCGTAGTTATACACTCGATTACATGCATACGCTGATCCCGTCGGTTACTGACTGCTTGGCTCAACGCTCTCGATAAAATAGTTTACTTCTAGAAATATTTATTAGCTAGCTGTCGTTAATTGATAGACTTTAAAAAAGACATGTCTGGTGAAATAAGAAAGAGCCCGCAGCCTGCGGACCTGCTGCTATGGTAAGCCGGATAGGCACCCATGTTGCGTGAGCTGGCCAGTAGTACCTCCTCCTGGCAGATGTCCGGTCAGCAATAAACTAAGATCCCCGGAATAAGAACTGCATGTCTTCCGGAGTCAACTTCTCCAAGGCCTCGCCTTGGTCCTTGTTGATCGTTCCATTGATCATGTTTGCTTTCTTCTCCTGCAACAACACCATCCGAGACTCGACAGAATCCTCGATGCACAGTCTTGTGATCACGCAGGGGCGTCTTTGGCCGATGCGATGGCAACGGTCTGCACTCTGCCATTCAGCTGCAGGGTTCCACCATCTAGCAAATCATGTTAGCACCTAACAGACAACCGGCGGGGGACAAGAAGGAACCACGTACGGATCCACGATGAAGACTCGAGAGGCTTCCGTCAAATTCAGAGCTACACCACCTGCTTTGAGAGAGACGAGGAATACCTCAACGTCCACATTTTTCATGAAATACTCGATTGAGTTCTGACGTTGCGCTGGAGTCATGCTGCCATCAAGCATGACAGTATTGAAGCCAGCCCGACGGAGACGCCATTCGACAAGCTGTAGCATAGAGGTAAACTGGGAGAAAACAATCGATTTGTGGGTTTGTTTCTTGCTTCTGAGCTTGTACAGGTCGTAGACAAGCATTTCGATCTTGGTCGAGGACGTCCATTCCTCCATACGGATCCGGTTGATGATCGAGTTCTTCTTCACGTTCTCCTCTTCCTGTTCTATATCAGGCTGTTCAAAATCAATAGAAAGCGGAATGTGGCACCTGGGGCAGTCCACAGTCGTGCCGGCATCGAACGAATTGATATAATTCTTCGCGCACTGGCGGCAGAATTCGTGATGACAGCGAGACCGGATTGCTTCTTCTGCTGGTTCATCACAGATGCAGCAGACGAGGACATTCTGACCTCCCTCCGCATGTTTCTTGAGGATCAAATCCGGATGATTCGCAACCTGGCGCATCTGCATGATGAGACCGAAAATGTTGGCGTAATTATTAAGCATAACACCCCTGCTCACATATGTGTCGAACTGCCTGGTGGTGTTGGTCATGATGCTACTAGAGAAGTCTCGTTCAATCTCCCCGAAAAATTCATTATGGATGATCACACTAAACAAGTCAGCTACAGGCTAAGACAAGGAACTAGCAAGTGGACAAGAACTTACCGCTTGGGTGGGAGCTCCATCGATGATGTGTGGTCTTTCTTCACCCGCCTCAGCATAATCCTATCCGTTATCAGGCGCAGCTTTTGCAGAGCTTCTTTCCTAGCGGTAGGGCTGTTCCGTTCCGTGACTGCGATAATATTAACAACGACCCAAATATACCTAGAGTACAGCAGTGGACATACTAGGGTTGAGGATTTCCTGGTTGAAGATCGAAACGTGACTAAACCCACTGCAAGGAGGTCAGAAGTTGAAATGAGGCGCCTTGTGATGAGGAGCCATACCTGTGCTTGCAGTGAGTGCATCTCTTCTCCTTATCCTGGGACCAGTGCAGCTCCTGGCATGGGCATAGCTTGCAGAAGTAACAGGCAAATGGACGAATTTCGAGAAACCTGAGAAGAGAGAAGAATTCTCCAATACGGTTCTGCACCGGGGTACCAGACAAGCACCATTTGTAATTCGCCTTCAAGGCAAAGCAGGCGCGGGCCACACTTGTGGTGCGTTGCTGTCTACGGGTCAACTCGCGGAAATCAAAAAACTGCCAGGGGATGATCTCACCTTAATACTGTGTGCCTCGTCTAGAATAAGACGATGGAAATGGATCGAATGTATGACGCCTGAGCGATGAACGTTAATAGCAGATATGGAGCCATGAAAGCCAGGACGACCCACTATCTTCCTTCAAAATACCGTCATTTCGATTCCATCCTTTGAGTTCCTTTCGATGCATAGATTCAAGGCCCGAGTCTAGATGACTATGGTCAGACAATGGCTCTTTTACGTTGAGAATTTGGCACCGTACATGAGATCATAATCACATCGTATTCTTCCAGCTCGGACTTGCTCAACAGCTTCACCTTCGGGTTCGAATTATGGTAGACAAGGACCTTCAACTTGCCATCGGTATATGCCTGGTAAAAGTTAACATCACTGATCATAGTGTAACCGTACTACCAGAGAGTTGACCTTGATTTCTGACTGCCACTGCATCAATGCAACTGGGGGCACGATGACTAGAGACGGCCGGCCAGCGGGGTAATCCGACATCAGCAGCGATACCGCCTGAATAGTCTTTCCCATTCCCATTTCATCGCCGAGCAAACCGCCCTTGTACTGCGTCTTTTCCTGCCGGATCATCCAATCCAAACCTTCAAGCTGGAAAGACTTCAGTTGTCGAGAGATCCCGGCAGGCTGTTGCGCTGGAACCGGTGTGATGGGAGGGTCCTTCTTCAAGTCATCCCACATTGTAACAACAGATGGATGCTGCTTCTCGAGCTTTTTGCGTTCCCTCAGAGCCTATCCCAGTGTTAGAGGCATACAGGACACGAGAATAAAGTACGTTCTCTCTTACCCGACGACTCATCCATGATGGCGCAGAAGTCCGCTCAGAAGCTGCGCCAGCCCTCGCACCTCTTGCTCTAGTCTGTCTAGCCGCCTGTCGCCTGGTTCCAGGCGAGCGGGATGCCAATGGAACTTCATCATCCGCAGAAGCCGAAGACGACTCATCATCGTCACTTGCTTCAGAGGAATCCTCGTAGGTATCTTCTAACTCGTCCTCGAGATCAGGTCCAAGACGAGCAGCTACGTCATCTAGGTCTGAGAGCGATGAATCTTCACTATCTGGGATGACCCTAGATCGAAGGGCTCGTTTCTCGCCGCTGCTCCGTGCCAGCGACTCGTGAGAATCCATTATCTCCAGAGCCGATGTATCATTGGTACGGGAGGTCTTCCTCCGCTTCACGTCGGGTGCCTGATACTCCTCGAGCTGTAGGGAACGGGCTAGTGCTGCATCCGAGCTTTCTATCGTAGAGTGATCATCCAGGAGGCTAGCAGCATCTCGCTTCAAGTTCTTCGCTGCATTCTGCAGGGAAAATGTACTTGATCGAAGCTCTCGAGCACGGGCTGAGGCACTGACACGCTTTTTGGTCTCATTATTCGTGACTGGAAATCCGGGTGTCCCAGTAACGCTGGTAGCCGGCGTGTCGTATCCATTCGTCCCAGCTCCAGAGGTCTCGCCTGCAGAGACTGGAGATGAGTCGCCAGAGGAAGGCATCTTCTTGACAGGAATCGCGACCTCGATTTGCGTACCATCCCTGGCAGCCTGAGCCGTGCTCATACCCATTCTTACACCAGCGTCATAATCTTGCCAATTCCCATCAGGGGGCGGAGGTATACCACTTCCATAGGTGGCTCTGTTCGTGGCAGCATTTGCTATTCTTGAGGATGTACGTCTGGTGCGCGACTCGACAGCGCCTGAGGAAGAAAAAGAACATGATGGCGTCAGTTTATCAATTTACGATTTGAAGGGATGGGAGAAAACAGTCAGCTTACTGCTTGTGTTTCGGGCAGACGAAACTGCTCTCTTCACCGGTTTCCTCGCCATTATTTCAGCGCTTACTCGGACTCTGCCCGTAGATAGCTCCTGATGCTTGAATTTGAATTGAGAGAACAAGAGCTGTAAAGAAAGGAAATCGCCAAGATTGGTGCCTGGCGAATCGACAGGCTTATCAGCCAACCTTGATCTCCGATAACGAGCGACTGAAGCTTAATCAGCTAAAAAGAAGGCAGCAAAGGGGAAAATTTTCGACGCCACAAGTCGATCGTCGCCTGGATTCCCAGCTCAGATCGGCTGTGTTGCCTAGATAAACGCCGAGTGAAAGGCGACTGGATGCTGACTTTTTTCCCTGGAGTATGGTACTGTTCGATTGCCGATAAAAGCACTGATTGGCATCGCCACCGGCTGGGACCGCGTAAAGTGGAACGCGAAACTGTCACGGGATCCTGTGATCTCGAAGCCTCGCAACCTCAAGTCTGCTTACATCCTCGACAACATCTTGCTGGTGCTCAAATCTGAAGTCAGAGAATCGTACAGGATAATGTAAGTCATCTACTGATCTACGTGATTTCAGTCTTCTCTGGGGTTTTACTCACAAGCATACTAGGGCGGGAAGAAGACAGGCGGGGAACCAGATTCGGGGCCCGTATGTGAGCGCTCTTATGTTCTGAGAGCTTGAGCTAACAGAAATTTTGTGCAGACATTCTGCTCTTACTGATTTCCTGGCCGTAAGTAGAGCTTCTGCTACATAATGAGCTATTATACTGATATTGGGAAATGGAGTCCAACAATATCTCCGCTGCCCAGATTGCCAACGACTACCAGCAGCGTGTGAGGGAGGCGGAACGCCAGGCGGAACTAGAGAGGGCTAATAGCAGAAACGACGAAGAAGAATATGAAGAAAGCGTGTCTGAAACTCCAGAGGAGCGCAAAAAACGGAAGAGAAAGGAAGCAGCTACCCTAAACAAGATCAAGCAGAGCAAAGCGTTCGCTCGTCGCAAGTCTCGCTATGGCGACGATGACCCTGACTACGATGATGAACTCGCACGGGATATGATGTACCAGAAGTCCCGGCCTCTGCCCGGTCAGTTCGATAACTGCGAGAATTGCAGTAAACGTTTCACCGTCACTGCCTACAGTAAAACCGGTCCAAATGGCGGTCTTCTCTGTGCCAAATGTTCCAAGGAACTCGCAGATGAAGAAAAGAAAACGATACCGAAGAAACGCGGGCCTAAGAATAGCCGCCGTCAGAATCGAAGCAATCTCCTCGATGGAATTGTCCAGACCGGCGCTTTAAGCCTTGCTGAAATGTGTACCAAGGTGAGGAGGCGTCGGTTATGTGTCCAGTTAAGGCCATGTCCTAATTCACGTGCAGAAAGTTGCCGACAATATAAACGATGTGGAAGAGTTTGGGGATCTTCCCCATCAGCTCCTTCATCGGCTCAGTCAAATCTTATCAAAAAGGAGAGTTCTCACTCCCAGGACGCTCAATCTTTTCTTACGTCCTGATCTAGACTCCATTAACATATATGACTGCGGCAGTGAGTTTATTCCATGCTAAAAGATTATTGTCGAGCAAGCCACTAATGGTTTCAGAACTTGAGACGGACGACTTCCGGAAGATCTTCACGTTTATGCCTTCTCTAGTTGACGTCAATCTCCGCTTTGCCGGTCAGATGAAAGACCCAGTCCTTGACTATGTCATGGATCGCAACCTGAAGATCAAAAGACTTCAATTGGATGCTGCTAATCTCATTTCTGATGATTGCTGGCGGCGGTTCTTCCAGAAAATGGGACCGCACCTTGAGAGCCTCAAGCTGTCTAACCTTGATTCATCCCTGGACGATGAGACGGTGAAGGAGATCTGCACGCACTGCACTGGTCTGCATCGTCTGAAGCTAAAGGAGTGCTGGAAGACAGGTGATGACTCACTACGTGCGATCACCAACTTGAAAAGCCTCGAGCATCTGTCATTGGACTTCCTCCAGGATACGCAGGCTGAAACCATAGCCAATCTGGTCGATCAGCTGGGGCCTAATCTGCGGACATTATCCTTGCATGGATTCCGCAACGCCAATGACACCCTTCTCGAGTGCATTCATCGCCGGTGTAGTAAACTGTCAAAGCTTCGCTTATCAGACAACGCAGTATGCACCGACAAGGGCTATGCGAATCTTTTCACGAACTGGCCAAACCCGCCATTGACCTTTGTTGACTTGTCTTCGACGCGAGATGTCGACAATGCAAACCCCAGCGGCCCTCCAGAACCGATAGGTCTTGCTTCTGAGGGATTCGTCGCCTTGATGGAGCATTCAGGACTCAAAATCCGGTCTTTGAATATCAGCTCTTGTCGGCACATATCTCGCGACGCATTCGAGCAAGTCTTTGGCAAGAACAACACATATCCACACCTGGAAGAGCTGGATATTTCTTTCCACACTGTCGTAGATGACTACCTTGTCAATTGCATTTTCAAAGCCTGTCCTGCGATGAAGAAGCTGGTTGCATTTGCATGCTTCAATGTCAGGGACGTGCGTGTTCCTGCCGGTGTCGCGCTGATTGGAGGCTTGAATGCACAAGACTCTATTGTCTTGGAAGGCGGCTTCCAGTAAATGCACGTCAACTGCAATAAATCGGCTTTTTCCCTGTATTAAATAAACGGCCCGTGGCTAACTTTTACTTTCGATCGGCGTGGCTGGTGGGATTATTCTCCGGGGAGGCGCTGAATCCTGGTTTCTTATTATTTCTGTGTTTCTCACGGAGCTACTGTACGTACACAGGTTTGATACTGCAGCTGGCCGTCTCAGCTAATTCAAGATATCAACGCTCTGCTATTCACCAATATAATCCTCATGGTTACCGTAAATTCACAGTCTAAATACATAAAGCATCAAGCCAAGTCCCTAAACTTTACCACTATTGTTTTCCAACGCTCAAGCCTAAGACAACGCCACAATTTCCTAACAATCACATTCAAGATTTAAGCTCAAAACAATACACTCGCAACCGTTATCCGAAATAAGGTCAACTGAACCGATCGGTCGCTCATTGACACTAATATACACACACAAAAAGCACCCCAAGCACTGGCGATATAGTGTACACAACCAGCCCGTCTCCAACTCACATTATCTGCGACGATCTCCGCATACGCCTAAACAACGCACAATCCAGCGATCATCAGCTTTGAATTTCTTTTTTTCTTACCGTTGCTTGCTTGGGTAGACCAGGTCAGATTCATCACCCAGTTAACTGTCAGGCAACGCTGGAATGCGGCGTGTGTGTATGTTGTTGTATTTCCGTTCCTGGGAAAAGAAGATAGATCTATATTATTACTTGTTTGACGAAATGCAAAATGTTCCACCTTCTTCTGCCGAGTACGAAGCTCAATCTGCTCTAAACCAGCTATCGATTCGTTGATGAATCTTTGCAGAATAACCTACACCTCCGGAATGCTACGGTTGTTGCGACACGCTTGACAGTCGCTGCGGAGACATCGTGCCAAGCTCGATGGCTCCGCTGGAATTGACATTCCAATCGATAATAATTTTTCTTCCTCGTTGCCTGCCTGGAGCCTTAGATTGTCTCCATATTTCCATTGTTCATATCTTTGCCGTCATATTGAAGGCCTGTGTGTTGTGTCGACGTCAATATCGGGGGGTGATGAAGCTTACAGTAACTGTCCCACTTGAGTTTGGATATTTCGAGTTGTTTTTTTTTTTCTCTCTGGAGAATAAAACACGCCTATGGCAATGAGCAAAATAGTGAAGGCTGGTCAATATGAGCGACCAGAGTGTGTGGTTGAAAAGTGTCAACATTGTGTACTTTGTGCTCTGCTCCATCGCATGGCTTCTCTTACGCCTGGTCAGGAGATACGATTAAAATGAGCTTTATGATATCTCAGGAGCTGTCAAACCTTACAGTGTACGCTAGTAGTACTAAGTAGTAATGACCCATCCAATTTCCAAACTTTCGTCCCTTTTTGTCTGAAATGGGAGCGGCTAAACACTGATAGTAGACCTCGCATGATAAGCGCGGAGTTGCGCCATCCGGAGTTTCCCATAAGAGCGGTCTGCTTTCCACTTGCAATTGGGGAATTCAATCATAGAGTATACCTGTCTGCAGGAGTATAAAATGCAATAACCGCTAGGGTTACGTTGCAAACGTAGTCATGGCGCATGTTGATGTACGCCTACGGACAGAGCGCAGTGTGCTGTGCACCGGCTGCTCCCGGAATATGTTCAGTCACTTCAGTGAGATATCCAATCCAATCATCCTGGAATCCCATAAGCTTTGTAGACTTCTCATAGTTGCGGGGTCCAATATGTACTAATTCGCAACCGATGTGATGGGGATCGAAAAGGAAAGCCACGTTCCCCGATCGCTTACGGGTCCATTTCCGACGATCTGCTGATTTAGCGCTGCGGCTGGGAGATCAGCCCACGGAAACGGAAAGTTGTTGTGGCTTTCGTTCCGTCACAGCACGAACAGCGGTTGGGATGCGGAACGCACAGTGTTTATGCCGTCCCTGACGACAGGATGCTCCCGCCAAGGAGAATTTTGCCTTCAGCTGTAGAGTAGGTACCTGAAGCAGTTCGAGATGCTCCTAGAAACACAGTCTAGACCCAGAGCACCGGCCTCCTGTCAGGAGAGAAGAAACAGACGCGCAAGAAGCGCAACAGGGAAACTTGACGAGAGGTGGATCTGGACCATCCGTCAGAAGCAAGCTCGACGAACTGATCTTTCGTTCGGGATCTGCAGGGCTGCAAGTGCAGGGCCAGCAACGAGCGGAAACTGGAATAATAATAGCGAGCTTGATCGACTTCGTCGGGTCAAATCCACACATGCTCAAAGCTGGTGTCTCGGACGCCCACGGGTCATCCGAGTCTCCAGACGGCACGCCATTCTTCTGTGGTTCAGTTCTTGTTGTGTCCGTCTGCGTCCAAGCTCTTCCCCTCTCTGGTGGAGCATGATTCTCCAGTGTCCGAGTCCTGATAGCATGACGAACTGGTTTATCGTTCCCAGGCCGTCGAGGGACCGTCCCAGCCGCCGTGAGGCTGGATGTGTCGGTATGCTCTGACCATTGGCTCTCAGTAGTGCCCGGGTGCAGTAAACAGCAACAGGAACAAGCAGAATTCGGCGTTGGTACGGATGCTGGGGCTATGTGGCTTTGCTGGCTATGCTGGGTGGGATTGGTGCACAGTAGAGTAGGTCGCACTAGTAGCAGAGCGCAAGCCCAGAAGCCCCCAGAAGACTCCCACTCGATGATGTTTCTGTTTCTCCTGGCCGTAGTCTGCTAAGACATTCTTCCTCTTGGTGCGGTCAGAAACGTCCGGGAAGGAGGAAGATTGTCTTTTTTTTCTGCTTTTTTGTCTTTGTCTCCTGGTTTGTGCTTTCTGAACTGCTGACGGGGCCCGTCTGTGTTTGTCGCAGCAACCACAGCTTCGCCTCCTGTGTCCGTCTTCACATCAACCCTTTTTTTCTCACTCTAGCGTGCTGTCGAGGAGTCAAGCCACAGCTTGCAGTGGGTAAGCAAGTTCTCCGACCCTGGAAATCCCTCCCCTTCTGCGGTTCTTGTCTGTCCCTGAAGGCCAGCACTTCTATATTTGGATTTCTCGGTCTTCACTGCACACTGCAAGCGCGCCAGACTGCTACCGAGTCTGCACGTCGTTGCTCACTTGCTTGCTTGTTCATCCATGCTTGCAGTTGTGCATGAGGACATTCTCTCTCTAGCAGTTTGGTCGAATTCTGTGCTGTTGCGTGCTTCGTCCCAGGTTTGAGACATAGTTTACCACTGTCTATCCTCGAGCGAGCGAGCCCGTAACCTCTGCACCCCGCTCATCGATCACACTGCATCTACGCTGCACTACGTGTTTCTCATTTTCATTCCTGCTTTAATCTGGTCTCTGGCAGCAGAAGCGTCTTGTCACTCTGTGTTACTATTCTGCAGGACCGTGGCATTGACTCTAGATCTCGGACAGACCTCCGCTTCGATTCGTCTTCGGCACTCGCTCATGCGTTATTGATCCCCACCTGCGAGTATCGCTGCCGTCCTTCTCTTGCGGAGATCTTTTTATCAACAGAAGAACCAGACGGATTTGGGAACCTAGTCGCTTGCTAGACACGGTCGCCGTCGGTTGCTCGAGCTTCCTGTCCAGTGTCCCCTTGTAACGGGGCGTTCTCGAATATCTAGAAATCGAACTCGATGCCTATCAAGATTCCGAAAGGATTCGCTCGCCGGAAGTCGTCCGGTAATGCCCTGGAGGAAGTGGAAACCCCCCGGGAGCCCTCTTTTCGGGTGTTTGAACGGCCCTCTGCTGGGGGAGTCGACGGGGTCAACGCAAAGAGAGCCAGTGAATCGAATCTATTAAATCCGGCTTCTGATGACTCTGATAATATCTTCGCGGACCTCGAGAAACGCCAAGGGAAAGATCGGTAGGGCTTCTGGAAAGCCCTCATGGTTTGTCTGTATGCTGACTGAAACCAGTGGTAGTGGTGCGACCAACAACTCCGACTCCACAGCTCCCTACGATAGCTCCTCCTCTGCTCGATACAGCTCATCCTCTACACTGCCGTCGACGGACGCACCTATCCACAAGGAACAGGGGAACGGGCACTCGAGGCCCTTCCATGACATTCCTCTACCTCCAGTGATTGGGTCGCAGTTCTCTTTTCGTGCAGCCGGACGAACGTTCTCCTTCGGCAGCAAGGCTCCTAGGGTATCAACGCCCCCATCACGAGGCTCTGCGGTTGCATCTGGCGCACGTGATCGGGCCATGACCGCCAGCACCGCCAGTACAGCCACGCCCCCTCGACTGCTGGACTCCGATTTGAAGCTGGAGAAAGTGGAAGATGATGACTTTGGAAACATGTTCCAGGACTTCGGGAAGTCCGAGCAGGCGTCTTCGAATGTGCAAAATGCGGTATGACTCTCGATGCCGTGCTTACTATTGCGATGCTAATTGACGTTGTAGGACGTGACAGATCACCCCCCGCCAATGCCAGCCAAGGGATCTCGATCCTCTCAGCTACCTCCCATCGAGGTCGACAGATCGAAAGAAGTGGAGCCGTCTCCGTACTCGTGGGAGAGCCGTAACTCTCAGGACGGCCTGCTAGGACAAGAAGATAACATGTTCGCCAGCAGAAGCTTGACCCAATCCAATACCATGCCGCTCACCGGAGGACGGCGATCTTTGACTCCATCCAGCTCCATGCCACTACCCACAACTTCTCATCGAGCTTTGGACAAGCCTAGTCGCGACTCGACACTACGAAGGAGCACTGCTTATACCGGCAGACGTGGCTCGACTCCCGCAGACGAGCTGGATGTGAGACTGGTGATGGAGGCGGTCTCGTTGAACTCCCGGAGTCAGACTCCAGCAGTGCTGGAAGAGGACAACGACGAAACGTCATCTCTGTTCGACAGCAGAGACGCCGATTTCACGAGCACTTGGCATCACGGGAAATCTAGCCAGGCTGTCGATGGTCCTAACGAGTCCTCTATAGCCGATCATGCACGGTTGGCGTCACAATACGAGGATAAGGAGTCCACCACCCCCCAAGCGACACCTAAAGTTATGACGCCGGCCCAGTTCGAGCGGTACCGACAGCAGCGAGAGCTCACAAGGACGAAGAGTGATGCCTCCATGAGTGACGCATCCGATGCTAGCAATGATTATGACGACGAAGATGAAGCAGAGAAGAACATGGAGGCTGCAAGACAAAGGCGCAAGCAAGAAGCTCACCTTTCCATCTATCGCCAGCAGATGATGAAGGTGACCGGGGAGCAAGCTCCTGGTCCCTCTCTCCGTCCGAATATGGACCGATTGAGCAGCAGTACTCCTAACCTCATGAACCGCATGTCCTCGTTGGGACTTCCTGCCGACAAATCAGGCAGTGGCAAGACTAGCGAGGCTGACGACGACGATGACATTCCTCTGGGAATTTTAGCGGCACACGGATTTCCTAACAAGAACCGCCCTCCGACACGCCTGGGCACGTCGAGTTCGATTCCTAATCTTCGAGCCTCATTCGTTGGTCAACCTGCATCACCTGGCTCCGTAGCTGGGGATGGCTCTGGCAATAGAGGAAGCTTGCCTCCCTTTGCACGGAACCTACCACGAGACCCTTATTTTGGTGCTAGTATAGTCACCCCTGCGAATAGGGAACCGCTTGAAATTCGAGGAGGAGCATCTGTTTATGGCGGACCCTCCCCAGCATTACCACCCGGGGGCCTTGTGGGAGTCATTGCAACCGAAGAGAGGGCGAGAGCGATGAGGCGAGGCAGTCCGAACACGCAGGCATTTGCACCATCTCTTGGAACGTCACCCGGAGGGTTACCGAGACCTCATACAATGATGCATATGGGACCAACTTTGGCTCCTCCTCAGCAGGGAATCTCCCCCGCAGAACAGGCGCAACTCCAGATGTCTCAGCAGATGACCCAAATGATGCAGATGCAGATGAATTGGATGCAGTCCATGATGCAAATGCAAGCTATGCAGAGTGGAGTGCAACCGCCGATGAACAATGCTAACCTTGCTCCTCCCATGCCACCTGTTAATATGCGCCCGATGTCTATGCCCGCAGCGGCGGCTCTAAACAACCCTCCTTCTCGACTGGCAGATCAGCGCACACTCAGCATGCTAGATCCAAGCATGTCTGCTCGCTGGAATAACAGCACATTTTTGTCCCCCAACGGCGTTAACGGCCTGAATGTGCCTCAAGGGCAAGGTTATGCTCCATCCATCGCCCCTTCGGAGCGTAGCAACGTCGGATTAGCCCCGCGATATCGACCAGTATCCACGATTCAGCCTGACCAGAAACCGGCGAATCGCGCGTCCACTTTTACATCCTCAACCTTGAAGCCCTGGAACGATGAGAACCAGAGGCCCGGATTTTCGCCCCGTTCAAAGTCGGCCAAGCCCACCTCCATGGCAACTGTTACTGTCCGGCCGATCAGTAGTACAGACAGGACGTCCACTCCTAGCAGAAACGCCGCGTCTGATGACGATGATGAGGAAGGCTGGGCGGAAATGATGAAGCAGCGCGAAAAGAAGAAGAGCGGTTGGAAGCTGAAGAGAGGAACAACCGGTAACTTGGGGGAACTCTTGCACGCGGTGCACTAATTACAGACACTGATATTTCTGCGATTTCGGCGGATGTACGAATTTTGTGGCAACAATTCTCTTGATACGATTTCAATTCTCCGCTTTTCAGCCCCGAATGCTTTCCGAGGCATTTCACAGCACGATAACCGATAACGCCTTCCTTTCGCCTGTTCATTCATCTGGCATTCAGTAGCCAATGAGATTGCATGGCGTCTTGTTTCTTTTGAGTTTCAAAAAAGAACATCGAACGCAGCATTGAGAACTTTAGACTTCTTTTTCTCTCTTAATCTTAACTTTAATCAAAGTCCGACACTGGCGAACGAAGACGGCGTACGGATTGACATGGTGGCATTCTGGAAACAGGGTCTTTCTTTTTCATCTTTGAACATGCAGCTTGGCGGTTGTTTCTTGTAACTAGTACGCCCATACGAAATAATATCTACATGGTAATCATACATTCGACATTTCTCTTTTTATTAGAATGGCCTTCAAAACTATTATCATAGTGAAATAATATCGGATTGCCGACTTCCAACTTAATTGTCGTACTGTTCGGCAGCTAGATTCTTAGTCGTCCGCTCAGCTTCAAGTCGCGTATTCCTAACAATCTCCCCAGCCGGTAGGATATCCTTCAGAAGCCCGACCCCCGTACCGGCGTAGGTCGTCATCCTCCCATCCGGACCCCATCCCGCATCTCCCTTCTTGACCTCTTCCTCGTATAATCTCCTATTCTCCTCATCGGGCGTGCCTTTCTCTACCGCATCTACGTAGGTCCGATTAATGACTCCCCGTCCATTATACCGTTCAGGCCAAGACGTAAAACCTCTAACTTTGTCGTAAATCTTGGTACGGACCGTGCTGATACCCCCATCTGAAGCGCGGAGGAGTTCCATCTGATATCCATGTGAGATGTTGGCTTCCTTCGACGCAAGGAAACGAGTGCCCATGACGACTCCCGAAGCACCTAGGGCGAGCGACGCGGCTAAGCCGCGTCCATCTGTGATTCCACCGGCCGCGATCAAAGGAATATGGCCCTGATTGCGTTCCCGGAGTGTATCCTTGACTTCTGGCAGGAGGGCCATGACCGAGGAGGAGCGGGCGAGGCCATGTCCGCCAGCGTCGGAGCCCTGAATGACCAGGACGTCGGGCTGGAAGGACTCTGCCACTGAAACAGCCTCAGATACGCTGCCGACTTGTACCCATATTTTGGTCCTGTTGTTAGTGGCAGAGCGGATTGCTTCAGCCCATGGGATGAGATCACCAGGTAGTGACGCCGGAGCGAAGAACCATACGGCGCAAGGTGTGTATCGTTTAATGGCGGCAACTGCTGTCGCTAAGTCTGCGCCCCAGTTGATGAAGCCGACACCGATGGGGAGGACATCTTTCTTGTCTCTCTGGTCAATTGGGGGATCTATTTTCGCGAGCAATTCCGCAGAGTGCTTTAGATTCGCTTCCAGATCTGAGAGGTCGAACCCCGCAGCTAGGAACCCCAGGCCGCCTGCTCGAGAGACTGCGACAGCTAATGGTGCTGTTGCGATGCGAAGCATCGGAGCGCAGGCGATCAGTGGTGTTTTGACCCATGGGTAGGCTGAGCGTAGTGCCGATAGTGAAGCCATTGTGAGTTATGAGTTTCGCGGGGGTCTCTTAATAAGTGTTCTCTATAGAAAACGTATACATAGACACATGTTCCCTCAGGGGCGAAAGAGAGGATGAGAGTTGATCAGATCAAGACACTTTGCAAATCTCTTGGAGGGGTTCCAACTTGATTCTACCTAGGCTGAGTCACGGGTAAACACGGACAACGAGGTCGACCGGTGGAGCTTCAAGTTGACGTGCTGTGTTACCTTTTTCCGAGGAGCAAGAATAATACAGGCAGCGTTGCAACCCACAATGATGGCATGCTAGTGTCAGTGGATATCCAATAGTGATTCTCCAGTTAGACAATGGAAATGAAGATTTCCATCACCCAGGTTAGATATTCAGGGTTATTATTATTATCTCCTCGTCGAGAGTTCAAGTGTTCAAGATGATGACTGTTGTGCACCGCCTCAACCCCGGATCAAGAGGAAAGTTCGCTGTGGCTGAGAAGGTCACGTGGTGATTGTGATAGCGTCGGGAACAATCGTGCACTTATTTCCAGACTACAACTGTCGCCTGGATGAAAGAATGGTCCCGAGGCATCACAGTCAGTGACAGTTAGGGAGATAAATCAATACTGTTCACTGGAGAAACCCTGTATATTGTGTATACTTCCTTATCACCGCCCACTTTATCCTATATCACTTGCATCTCTCAGTTTTGATCTTTTTTCCCGGTGCTCTTTTGCTCTACCAACGCCACCTTGAGGAGTCATCTGTTATTTGAGAATCTTCGCTATATACGACTTGTTATATCCCTTCTTCTTTTTGGTTATTTAAGGACTGAAAGATAGCGTCTTTTGGTTATCAGGGGGGTCATAGTCTCGTCCCGGCCCTGAGCAGCAGGCCCCTGGATTTGGAGGAGCTCCGACTCTGAAGAAGAAGCAGACAGAATGAACGCCCCAGACAGGTAAGGAATCTAGTCTGGATTTTGTGCTAAGGCATTTTCATGTTATAACATCTTGATGAAGTCCGGAGCTCTTTCCCTTCTAATACTTTGTCGGTGTTCTGCCCTGGTTGGCTTGCACAGGATGGACTGTCCGCCTTTGGGGGAAATCACCTGTCTGGCAGGCGGGCGTTGCATGTCATGATATTGAGTCGTCGTTCTGCGTGATGGTGTTTGCAGATGTCAACTCTAACCTGCTCTCCGTTTCCCCCATCCTCTTCCAATCTTGTTTTGTACCCAGCTTCTTCCAAGCACAGTTCTTCCTATCCCCAAAGGAATAAGCACCTCTGCATCATTCACCATGTCGCCCAAGACCCCACCCAGTGGCTCTGGTCAGCAGTATATCATGCCTACTGACCAGGCTTATGCCCGCTACAAATGGCGCGTCCCTCCAACCTACCCTCCTGGCTCGAGCATCAAAGAAGTGGGCCGCGATGAGCAGCAGAGGTGGGCTCTCCATCTGGAGGGGTCTCCTGCCCTCTACATTTCTTCAGAGAGTGGATTTCTGGTTCTTGCGTTGATTGCCATCTATCATCAATCTGTTTTCTACAACACCAAAGGTCCCAGAAAGACTGACGATGATGAAATCATAGGTTCGAGTCGTTCGTTCTGGGGAACGGTGAGAAGAAGGTCGAGGTTGAAACAGATACTCGTAAGGGTTCACTGTGGTCATCTAGCTAAACCCGAGGGCTGATGGTAACTCTTCTAGGTATTCCTTCGTCTGCCATCTTCACCTTTAACAAGGAAGATCATACTCTGGGTAACCTTATTCGCTCCCGTCTCCTCCAGAGTTCTCACGTCCTCTTTGCCGGTTACAAGGTCAGTAGATCCCGCACATTAATTCTCATGCTTGGCCCTCGCATGCTAGTGAAGTGGGCTGCTTGGCTAACTCGCACATCATAGGTGCCGCATCCCTTGGTCCCTAAGTTTGAGCTCCGCGTCCAGACTGATGGCGAGATCACCCCGAAGGAGGCGGTAATCACCGCCTGCCATGAGCTGGTCAAGGACCTCGGTATCTTCTCGCGTGAATTCACCAAGGAATACGAGCTGCGCAAGATGGTGGGTACCAGTCAGGGACAGAACGGCGCCCCGGATGGCATCTGAGTTTCTGGGAGCTTTGTTAATCACCAAGTACTCATAACGATACGGGGTTCTTGCTTCTTGCATGTATTTCTCACGGGGTGATTTGATCCGGCGTCTTCGCTTGTCTTCATTCAGCTTTAATCCTTGCGGTGGCCTCGTTGGATCTAAGCCTTGTCATCACCTCTTCTGGCGCTCTCGTGGCGTTTCTGGCTGAGGAAACCGATCCGGAGACAGAGGACGAGTCAAGCCACTCTGGGAGCTGCTTGTTTTTTACACATTAGGCCAGACTACTCACCACCCCTACGTTCTATGGGGTTGATAATATGGGAGATCCAGGCCATGTATGGTTGCTACAAGCAGATAGAGTACAGCTAGATACCTTTGCAGATAAGACATGCTTCTTGATAATTATAATTATCGCATGGTTAAATTCCGCGAACAAGTGTGGTGCCTCATTGCCCCCCCGTTATTATATGTAGCTTAGGATTCTGGTCAACTCCAGTCCAGACAAACGACATCCCTACAAACATTGTAGAGTATTTTCAGAAAGACTGCAAGTTCCCATAGTCTCCCAAAAGCATCTCATCAATACTATCAACCGTTAATATAATATAATAAATAATAAATAACCCATGGATTCCGCCGGCCGAACGAGCACGGACTCGGGAGCCCAAACCGGCTAGCGTGACACTCCCAGCTCGTTCCTGGACCTCCGCGTCGTCACCATCTGCCACCTTCTGCTTAACCTGCTTTCGCTCCACGGGTGATTCTGCTCACTGTTGTCTCTCCTTCATTGTTATATGTCGTTCTCCATGCAACTGCTCGTTCTGTGATGTACTCTTCATCCAACTCCTTCCTGGGCGGCGCAAGTGGCGCTCGCCCAGGATCCTCGCCGTTCGGTCAGCAGCAACAGCCGATGTACTCTCAGTTCCCTCAGGGGCAGCAGCCGCAACAGCAGCAGACGCCATTCGCACCACAACCCACGGGCTTTGCTGGTGGACAACTCCAGCCTCAACCGACTGGATTCCCTGGAGGACAGTTGCAACCACAATTTACCGGTTTCCCAGGGGCTGCGTCCCAGCAGAACTTCCAACCAGCTCCGCTACAGCCCCAGTTCACAGCCTTCCCGCAACGACCTCAGACGCAGCCGTCGTTGCAGCCGCCCAATGTACAGATACAGGCTCCGCAGCAGTTTCCTGCTGCCACGGGCGCGCCAGCTCCCCTGGCCCCCCAGAAGACCTCGGCCCAGATGGCGCAGTCGTTTCAAGATCTGAACCAGTCTTCCGTTACACAGTCAGCTCCGAAGAAGACCGGTTCCAGGATTCCCAATATCAGACTTTCGTTTATCACGGTGCAGGATCAGGCCAAGTTCGAGCAGCTCTTCAAGTCAGCTGCGGGTGATAGCCAGACACTGGACGGTTAGTCGTTGGAAACCTTGGAGGTCCAAGACGGACATGGATTGCTGATGGATGGTTTACAGGAGAGAAAGCTAAGGATCTTTTATTGCGATCGAAGCTTCCAGGCAGCGACCTATCCAAGATATGGTAAGTGTAGCCAGCTTGAATGGGCAAATATCTTTCTACAGTACAGTTGACGTGGGCTGACTGCCTTCAGGACGCTTTCGGATACCACCAAGTCGGGACAGCTGTTCTTTCCCGAATTCGCCCTGGCGATGTATCTCTGCAACATCAGACTAACAAATAGGGATCTCCCTTCTGAACTTCCGGAGCGTATAAAGAATGAAGTGTCAAGTATGGTGGACATAATCTCTTTTGGCGTCCCAGACGATCAGCCCGTGTCGCAGAGGACGAATGTGCCCAATTTCGATGCGCCATTGATGCAGAATAGCCTGGCCCCTCCGGCACCCCAGCAGCCGCAACCGCAGCAGCCATCGAATAGCCAGCTTTTAAACCAACTCACAGCGCAGCCGACGGGATTCTATAACCAGAACACCGGATTCCAGCCGCAACCGACGGGGATGCCAAATCAAAACTTAGGCCCGCAGCCGACGGGCTTTCCAGGACAGAACCAGCAGCATCTTCAGCCGCAGCCGACTGGTTTTATGAATCCCCAGCCCGCTGGTTATACTGGACCTCGTCCCCCGATGCCACCGATGCCTACCGGCTTTGGATCGAACCTGTCCCCGGCCCAAACAGGATTAACTGCACAGCCCACTGGACTTGTCGCGCAACCCACTGGACTTCCCGGACAGTGGGGTTTTGTTAATGCTCCCGCCACGGGTCTACCCAACATAGAAGCCCTTAAACAGCAACTGATGCCCCAGCCTGGCCGTGAAGGAGGATTTACCACCGCAGGACTCTCTGGAAACGCGACCATCCCGTGGGCAGTCACCAAGGAGGAAAAGAACATCTACGACCAGCTATTCAGAGCCTGGGATGGCCTCAAGAAGGGCTACATTGGCGGTGACACGGCCATTGAGATCATGGGCCAGAGTGGACTCGACCGTCAGGACTTGGAGCGGATCTGGACCTTGGCCGATCCGCACAATAGAGGAAGGCTCAATATGGATGAATTTGCAGTGGCTATGCATCTGATCTATAGAAGATTGAACGGTTATCCTGTGCCTAACCGTCTCCCACCGGAGCTGATTCCTCCCTCCACAAGGAACTTGAATGACTCTATCGGAACGGTAAAGTCTCTCCTCTCCCAGGACGCTGAGAGCCGTAAATCTTCCGGTGCTTTCCTGCAGCCGCAAAGGACGGGTGTCAGCTATCTGAAAGATCATTCTTTCCGCGGCGGTAATACAACTTCAGGGTATGGTCGTAAGGATGCGACCATGTTCAAGAATAATGACGAAGCCGGAGGCTACAGGTCCAGTGCCCGTCGCCGCGCTGGAAATGGCAGGCCCCAGTCTCCCGCGCAACAGCCAGCAAAAGGCAATGACGAATTGTCTGTCGAGCAGCTCAAGAAGAAGATCCGTGAAACCAAGGTTATGCTGGATGCCGTGGATTTCCAGGACCAGAACCAGGCCGAAGAAGAGGAAGCTCTGGACCGACGAGACCGGAAGGAAGCAGAGAGCCTTATGGACAGAATTCGACGTGTGCAGGATGACATCGATACCGATCCAAACGCCGCTCTCCACAGCCTTGATTCCGGCGCCGAACGCCGGGCCCTGCGCCGCCAGCTCCAAACCTACCAGGATCAAGTTCCTGAGCTAGCATCTAACGTCCGCAGGGTTGAACGGGCTATCGCAGATGCTAGGCTTGAGCTCTTCCGATTGAAAGATGCAAAGGCCCATCCGAACAGCGCTGCGAACATCGTCGGCACCGGCCCCGGTGGTGCTGTTACCGAGGCTGACCGTATCAAAGCCCGCGCTCGAGCGAGAATGCAGGCTCGCGCTGCTGAACTTGCCGGACGCCCTCCGCCAAGCACTGACGACGATCCCACAGCAGCAGCCCGCCGCTTGGAAGAAGAGAATGCTAACATCAAGGCGGAGAGAGAGCGGAATGATAATATGACTCGGGACGTCGAGGAGAGTGTGAAGGAGTTCGCTAGGAGTCTTGAAGACAGCCTTCGTGATGAGGGTGAGAGCTCTGTCCATGAGCACGAGAAACGTAGATGGGAGGATGCCCTGGGCGTCGAGGATACAATCAGGGATTTCATCTATGATCTGCAGCGGAGCAGCAGAACTGCCCGCGTTCGCAAGGAAGAGTATGCTCGAATTTACCTATATAGCAGAATACCATTGGCTAACAGTGACGCAGTCGGCAGAGGCCGCCTTCCAGGGAACAGCCTCCGGCCAGATTCGATGGCCACGCAGAGCTTCAATATCGGCCGTCTCCCGCCCCGTCAGCTTCTTCCACGGGATCACTCACCGGAAATACGCATGAGGACCGTGTGGCAGCAGCAAAGGCACGTGCTCAACAGCGCATTGCTGAGCGCATGGCTGCTGCCGGCCTTAAGCCTCACACGGATGCTGGGGAGACCTTGCTTCAACGTCAAGAACGCGAGAAGAGGGAGCGTGAAGAGAGACTTAGGAAGGCGGAAGAAGAAGATGCACAGCGAGAGAAAGAGAGACAGCGCCGTCTGGCTGATGAGCGTTCTCCAGCTCCCTCGGCAGCGAAGCCAGTAGGCAAGAAGCCGCCTCCGGCTCCCCCATCACGCAAGGGCAGGACGGACAGTACAGGGCATGCCGATGCCCAGGCTGCCAGAGCGGCCCAGGCAGAGCAGGAGGGCAAGGAACGAGCCATCAAGGAAGAACAACAAGCTCAGGAAGCCGAGAGGAAACAGCTTGAGTATGTTACGGGTTTCCATTCTGAGGGTAAATGTAATAATGCTGACTTTGGTTTAGGGAGGAAGCCAGACGCCAGGAAGAGGAGATTGAGAGGGAGAAACAGGCCCAGGAGGCTCGTCTGCGTGCCCTCGAAGAACAAGTCAAGCAGGGCAAGATCAAGAAGCAGGAAGAGAAGCGTCGGAAAGAAGCAGCTGAGCGGGAGGCCAAGGAGAGAGAAGCTAAACTGCAGGCCCAGCGGGCAGAGCTCGAGGCTGCAAGGGAGAGAGAACGCCAATTGCAGCGTGAACTGGAAGGTCTCGGGGATGAGAGCTCCTCTGACGATGAGGGTCCGATCAACATGACTCCCCAAGACAGCACGCCGACGCAGAGCCAGGTGTTGCCGACAACTACAGCAGCCTCACCGCCGCCTCCCCCTCCGCCGCCACCTGCTCCAGCTCCAGCTGTACCGCAGGAACCGGAACATGTCGAGCAGCCTGCCGCTCCCATTGTTGGATCGCCTTCCAGCAGCCGGGCCGATGCATCGGAGTCTAAGAACCCCTTTTTCCGGAAAACTAGCCAAAGCGCGGATGTGCCGACCATATCTGTACCTCAGATGGCCGTCAGCTCACCTCCAGTTGAGGTGCAGTCTACCAACCCGTTCCACCGTCTTGCGCAGCAGGAGGCATCAAAGTCGACATACACTGTCCCTGGACCTATTGAGCGCAAGTCCCGTGCTCGTCCAGAGGATGACGACGACTGGTCCGTAGCTGAATCAGATAATGATTCTTCTGATGAGGACGACCATCCTGGTGGTGGCAGCGCAAAACAGCTTGCCAGTATCTTGTTCGGTACCATGGGACCGCCTCGACCTCTGAGCGCCATGGACGACAAGTCTCCTTCGAAGTCCGCTACCCCCGTCCAGGATAGCCCGGCGTCCCCTGCGCCTCCTCCACCACCACCACCCCCTCCTCCAGCTGCTCCGGAGACAAATGGTACTTTTGAGGCACCGTCCGCGCCTCCGCCTCCTCCTCCTCCCCCGCCAGGTGCGGCGCCTACTGGTGCTCCACCTCCACCCCCTCCGCCCCCAGGACCTCCCGGTCCTCCTCCGCCGCCTCCCTCTGCAGCTCCGGCTCCTCCACCGCCGCCCGCTGCAGGCCCGCCCGGTGGTGGAGCTATGCCGGACCGCAGTGCCTTGCTGGCATCTATCCAAGCCGGTAAGGGCCTGAGGAAAGTTGAGACGAAGGACCGCAGCACCAGTTCAGTGGCAGGTCGAGTGTTGGATTAGAGGGACATCAGCACATGGGGAGATATAGGGGGTTTTCTGTTCCATGTTTCTTCATTACGGAGTGGTCTGTTTTGATATAACTCGTCTCTCCGTGGGCGAGATTCTACTATCTGTTTATTATTACATTTAACTTGCTGTCACAACTTGTAAACCGTTGTAAATTGAGCGACCAATATAGGGTCTTAAGAGAGAGAGAGAGAGAGAGAGAGAGAGAGAGAGAGAGAGAGAGAGATAAATTATCTCCGGTATCCTAATTATTCTTCCCAATTTATAGATTATCTTGTACACAGGCGTTAGAAATAGTATTGGCGGACTGGTGAACTACAATATACCTACCACCTTGAACTGGGTTTTATACAATACATACCAACGAGGAAAAACATTAGCAAAAGGCTCAGCTGAGCCGACCCTAGAGTATTAATTACCAAAAGACAGTGATCTATCTATTCTGATCCCCTAAAAAGCCCAAATGACATCTAATCAATCGATAAAAAAAACCCCAATTCAGCGACGGTGCCAAGTTCCGTGGTAATAGAGATTGTGAGCGCAGAAAATGGTGAAAAGAACGTCGATAGGAAAACGAGCGAGGTGGTATACTCGATAGTCAGTTCTTACCAGAGGTAGTCGATAAGGAGTGCCTTTCTGATGATGTTTTTGGTTTTTCCCCAGGAAATGCGTCTTTTGTACCACGGTATCACTGTTGATTGCATGTCAGATCAGAACAACAAACGTAGCAGTAAGTAATCATATACAACTTTTTTTCTTTTTCCTAGAAGAAAAAGAAAGAAAGAAAGAAAGACAAACATACCCGGTCTCAAAATCTCTCTAATCCCCACAATCGCATCACTAGGGACACGATGCAAAACCAACGCTTCACCCTTATGTTGCCAAATCAACGCACTCAACACATCCCCCTGCTGAACATCAAGAGTATTCCTCAAATCCCAAACACTATAAAACCTCGTCGTATCCGGATCCATCTTCGTCGTATCGATTTTAAACAACCAACACCTTTCCCACTCTTTCTTATACACACTTCTCCATCTCCTTGCCCAGAAATCAGCCGAGTTCTCATCCGCATATAACGCCACGAAGGGACTATAGAACGATTCATCATCGCGCACGTCCGCGAGACATTTATGGACTGCGTCTCGGAAAGGTTCGAATTGGCGAAGATCAGGTTGTGTTTCGGAGCATCGGGGATGCCATGCGTGGACGTCTGCTTCGAGACCCTTTTCGTTGAGACGTGTTCGACTCCCGTGGTATTGGACGCGGTACATGTAGCGAGGCTCGAGGGGGAAGGAGGCGGATAGTTTGTCGCAGGCTGGGTAAGGGGGGTGGATGTGGTCATGGTCGTCGACGGAGGGGTCGTGGGATGGGTTTCCTTTGACGGTGACGAGGGTTCGGCCGATGGGGACGTCGTCGGTGGGGATGGATGATTTGGTAGTTCGTTTGAAGCGGTTGGATATGCTGGAGGTGTTGTTATTGTTGTTGTTTTTGGTAAAGATGGAGGGAGGGGTGGGGAGATTCATTGGTGATAGTTTGATAACGATTGTAGTTGACGATGGTGATATGACATGCTGTATAGATAATGAAGTGTCTTCAATGATCGTGATCTTTGTTGCTTGGTCTTGAGGTCATTATCATGATGATTCTGCATGGTAAGGCTTTTTTTTTATTCTTTGCTGGCTGGTACAGGGAATCTGCAGGTGCAACCAAGGGCTGTGGGAGATGGGTTATTGGGGAAGGAGGTGTCTTTATTCATTGATCTAGAGACTCGACACCTTACGGTGAAGATTCATCTATAAGGTAACAGCACTAGGAAATACAACGGATAATACTTGATAGTTATTATTGAATTGTACATGTACAGGACCATTAAATTCAGTAACCAAGACGCAATGGATATGTGAGTGGTAGAAATCGAATTGAGAAAACTCAAGTCATCCGGAAAATGCGAAAGCTTCATACAACACACTTATGCACGGGATATCAAGAAAGCGGTTCATTAACGCGTATCCAATCATCAAATAATCGACCAATTAGCGGACCCCTTCATGTAAAAATCTCAGCAATGACATTCCCTACAGTGCTGACGCACCAAAGAGCAACCAGACCCCAGCCGATCTTCCGATCCATCTTCCATCTGTTCAGTGGAACGATGACCAATAGCCCGACTAAAGTGACAAGCAATGTGCTGCCACTGATGACAAGCGTTTTGGATATATTCACGTTGTATTCGCTGGTCGTCGTGGACATACCAGACTTCGAGTTCAACGTCATGTACAGTCCACCCAGCCCAATCCCGAGCAAAATGTTGAGCATGGGGCCTCCGAAACAGGCGCTGAGAGCCATGACGGGGTAGCCTAGGCGAGCGACGGTAACATCTGCCACAAGGTCGCCTAGCGAATTTCCAACTGCAAACACTGTAAGGCCTAGGAGCGAATCACTGATGTCGAGAATAACTCCGAAAGTTTTAAGTAGACTAACGACCTCCGTCGCAATCGTAGCGATCCATGAAATGGCAACGAGGAAGCCCAGCAAGGCCAGAAGCGGACGAGTGCTGGCGGACAATTGAGAAACGTTCGCACGTTTCGTGATTATAAGGAGACCAACAAAGCAAACCAGGGAGAGCAGAAGAGAGATCATTGCTGGCAGCAGGAGATTGCGCGCCTTCATCTCGGGATCCATATTGGTCCATGAGATGAGGACAATGAAGAAGGGTGCCGTAAACAACTGTATACAGATAAGCCACGGCTGCCACTCTTTTGATGTAGCGTCACTTCGCTCGAAGTCTGCCGGGTGTGCTGGGAGCTCGGAATCTAGTCGGCGTCTTGATGTTGTTGCGGATGGGTCCTTCGAGTTTCGAAGGGTAGTTCCGTGAAAACTGCTCTCACCTCCCTCGGCGGTAAGAACAGGACTATCTTCCGGCAGCCGGATAAGCGGCGGCCGCATATTATCGTCCGACGATTGGTCTTGGATCACAGGCTCAGGTTTAGATGAGGATCCCGACTGCGGTGGTTCCGCTACAGGAAGCGTCACCGTTAGCAAAAACACGCTCGGAGCTGCGACCAAGCCCAAGAACTTCTCGCCAAGGCTCTTGGTTTTCCAGTCGCAGATTGTTGGAAACAGGGTTGAAAATATCACATGAGGCAAAGGCAACATATGAGAGGGCCACCATCTCAAGAGGCGTGATCCCCCGGGCTGCGTCTCAAGTGGGATGCTCGCCTCTGGAGGCAGCGCTGCAGGAGAGAGAAATATACTGGCTGCTCTCGATGACGTAGAACCCGCATCCGAGAAAGCAGGAAACGGGCTCAATGGACTTTTTGGCATCATCTCTGGGCTCAGAGTTATCTGAGGGATATTCGTGGTCCCTCGCGGAGAGACGGCAGGCGAAGACAATTGTGGCCCTTTATCCGACTGATAATTGAGAGCCCTGAGATCGTCTACCGGCGGTGCCAGATGGTCAGGAGACAGTATCCGTTCCGTTGCCGCTGGGCTTCGGTTACGCAATGGATATCCGGATGGAGATCGCGAGTCTACCAGAACGGATGGCCCCGGTTGAGAGTGATCTGGGACTCTGAGGGCCTCCTCCGGGGCACCCCTGACCAGCTGGTTCGGAGGCCGTGAGAATCTCTCGCCTAGGAAGCTTGTATCAAGCCGTAACGCCGTAGCGTGGTCTGCTGAGACGGCGCGCGCTCGAGATAGCGATTGCCGTGCGGGGGATAGATAACGGCCAGAGTCAGACGGCTCCGTTGGCGGGTTAGATCGGATTGAGAGGTTGTCTTGATGTTGGGAAGACGAGGCATACGGATCATCAGAGTAGCTCCGTAGATTGATGGGCATGTTCCTCGCTCGTCTGAGAGACGATAGAACGGACTGGAACTCTAGGGCGCCAACCAGACTCGGACGGATGGGATTGAACGTATTCTTTCTTCTCGAAGCCCCAGGCCGCGTGATATGCATGTTATCACTGATCTCAGCCAGATACCTGTCGCGGGTTTCGTCGTCTTCGGTATCGTCCTTCCAAGCCGGCGAGGCGGATCTCTCGAGGGCGTCAAATTCATCTCTGGATCCACGAAGAAGACTAGTGTCCTCCTGTGCAACGCGAGGATCATCGTCTTCTGGTCTCTCTTCAATATCCAATTCCTGGTTCTCGGGAATATGGAATTGTGTCCGTGCTGCTAAATCCCGTTCGTACTTCTTCCGCTGCCGACCCAAATACCAGTGCCATGTTACAACCATTACGACGTAGAAGAGGTATAGTGCCACCATTGCGGCGCATTCCCACGCGTGCAGCCGGCCATCCGCCAGGACGATCATTGTGAAACCGATGGCAATGACAAAGTATCCCACATCACGGACGAAGCTTCTGCGGGCAACGCGGAAGGGTCGAACCAGCGCCATCGAGCCTGCAACGACCGAGGTGATGAAGCCTGCCGCTCCCACCAGTTCTCCCACCGCCAGGCTGCCACTATTGGACCGCATGGCTGCGAAAGTGGAAAAGACGTCGGGACTGCCATTGCCAAAGGCCAGGAACGTCACTCCGGTCAGACTCTCGCTCATGCCAAGGATGCTGGCAAGAGTGCTCAGATTGATGCAGAGGAAGTCACTGGCTGCAATTCCAATGGTACTGAAGAGGAGAGATAGCCACAGAACGAGAATAGTGAAGGCGACCGGTTTCGCGTCCGCTAGGTTGCAGTAGTAGAGCTGCAAGTAGGAGAATAGGCCTTCTTCATAATCCGGGCAATTGTTCTTCACGAAGGCACATTTGTCTCTGGCTTTGCGTACGAGGTGACACTATGAGCCAATCCCGTCAGTCTTCTCGCCATCTGCTGAGTCAATAGTCCTATAATGATAATAATAATAATAATAATACCTCTGGTTCATTTCCTCTCCGGAACAACTCCGCTTCAGTTCCCGTGAACGCTCGAGTCCATCCCTTCGAGCCATAATGGCTGATGCCTGCGGTCAATGATGTAGTCGAAGACTTCAGTAGCCAGTTCGCCGCAATGATCACCGTGAAGAAGCAGATGGTGAGGTAGAACGGGCGTACAGAGAAACGTCGCCGCCTAGGCATGATGGCCGGACGATGGTCATCTACGAGCGATCCCAGCATGACGGGAGTCGCATCATGGAGGGTTCAAGGGCGAAAAGAGCCTGCGGCAGCAGGCAATATCGACCAGAGGCGGTGAAGAACATATAATAGAATCAGTTGCCGTGGGCCTTTGGCATCAATCTGGGGAATTTCGCAATCGGACGGAGGGGGAAACGGCGTGTATTTCTTATCATGTCCAGTTCCCAGTTCGGACGGTGACTGATGTCAGCCATGGGTGGAGTGTGGCGGTGCGCAGTGGAGGTAAAGATTAAGAGATAGATAGTTAAGTAACTAGTTATGTATGGTATGCAACTAGGATGAAACAGAAGGCAGCGAATAATAAGAGGGATCAGGAAGGATTAATCCAGTTTGTGTGGTTTATGGTCATATCAATCTCTGTTATGATAGAATACTGGGTAGCCTCGTCATTCTCCATGATGCAGCACACGTAGAGGGACCATAAGACTGTGGTACCTGGTACTTGTGATCCCTGGAAGCCCTCACCATTGCGCAGGTACCGGATACTTGCTCCCGATGCACCGGCTAGATAGATAGCGTGAATACCGGCTGCGCACGTGGTGTGTATCGGCCGCCGTATGTTTTGTTGACAGCCCGCGAGTTGGGCAAGAAGCGACTGTGCCACCGTCGTATCGTCTCGTATCGTATCGCAGCTTCATTCCATCCCTCCATCATTATTATTGCTGAGACGCATTTTGGGGTCTCTGTTTTCACTTGTCCTGCAGTCGCTCAGAGAGATGGTCTGACGCGCTGGTTACCTACCTACCTACAACCACCTGAACTTTTCTGCTGGCCACCATGCCGCGACCGTCGAAGACTCATCACCGCCGCTCCAATGGAGCGGCGACACCGCACAAGAACTCTCCTATAAAGTACGTATAAATGAAGGAATATATGTTTCGGGGGAGTCCGGTGTGATGGAGACGGGGATGGCCGCTGACGAGAAGGCTGACACAGGATCCCCCTCAATGATGATATGGGCGAGAAAGCGGCGCGCATGCAGTCGCGCCAGGCAATGTATGATCGCCAAATGGACCAGATCAAAGCCGCTGTGAAGACACCGATGCCTCCTCGCCGGGCAAACGCCTACGATCGAGCGGGCAGTGACAGTCCAAACACCCCGCGGGCTTCCATGCCGCGGGGTCGCGAGAGCGATGTTAACGGTCGCATGGAGCGCGCGATGACTCCCATGAAGAGAGTACCGATTCTAGCCAATTTTGAGGAATGGATGAAGATGGCGACGGATAACAAGATTAACGCGAACAACTCGTGGAATTTCGCCCTGATCGACTACTTCCACGACATGTCACTGTTGAGAGAAGGAGACGGAGTCAACTTTCAAAAGGCCAGTTGCACCCTGGATGGCTGTGTGAAGATCTACACGAGCAGAGTCGACAGTGTTGCGACAGAGACTGGAAAGTTGCTCAGTGGCTTAGCAGACAGCCGTGACCGTAAAGCGCAGGAGGCGGAAGCGGGAGGAGAAGATGGAGAAGATGACGAAGAAGAGGACGAGGACGGAGTGCGGAGGAGGGGCAGAAAGAAGGTACAGAAACCACCTCCATATGCAGTTGATGCGTGAAAGCAATATACTGACACGGAGGCAGACTCAACGGACACATGAAGCGACCCTGGCACCATCGTTCGCTTCTTTGCAGCTGAAGAAGTTCGAGCTCGAGTTCGCCGTAGACCCATTGTTCAAAAAGGCCTCCGCTGATTTTGATGAGGGAGGCGCAAAGGGTCTGCTGTTGAACCACCTCTCCATCGATGGACAGGGACGAATCGTCTTCGATAGTAGTGACGATGCCTTAGACGCCACCGCCGAGGCAGAAGCAAAGAACCGTGGAGAGACCGAAGAACGAGAGACCGAGGAGCCGGATTCCGCTGCCCCAGCTGAGAGTCAAGAGAAGGATCAAGAGAAGGAAGAGGCTGACGAGGGAAGCGTGCAAATCGACTTAGCCCCCTTGGCTAGCAGATTCTTCCCGGATCTGGGCCGTCTAGACGAACAGGACATATGTCCTTCCCTCAAGAACTTAGATCTTGGAGATCCCAGTGGATCCCTGGATATTCCTTTTTTGAAAGCACCAGAGGACTGGCGAAATGATAAAGACGACGACGAGGATACCAGGATGCGCGATGCCTCGGGTATCATGTTGGACGATGACAACGCAGTTGGTTTTGACGACGACGATGCCACATTTACTGGATTCGATCTTGGTGGAGAAGCCGGCTTCGGTGAAGGTGGTGAGGCATGGGCCAGAGATGCTGCACTGGAACCCATGCTCAAGGTACAGCGTGTTGACCGAGATGACGACGACCCCGACGGTGACGGCGAATTCAACAATGAAGATGCGTATGCCATCTCACTATCTCACCAAACGGCCAGTAAGGAGCACGAGAACATCCTGAGCTACTTCGACAACGCTCTGCAGAAGAACTGGGCCGGTCCAGAGCACTGGAAGATCCGAAGAATTAAAGAGACAACCGCTTCCAGTGCGACAAACGCGGGCCCCAGACAGCGGAAAGAGAAGGAACCTTTTGAGATTGATTTTGGAGCACCCTTGGATCCCACGATTGCGGAATTGATCTACACCCAGGCCAGCTCAAATTCTACCATCTCCCTGCCCAAGACCCAGTGGAAGACCAAAGGCCGTAATCTCCTCCCAGATGATAAACACTTCAACTCACGCCAGCTACTGCGCCTCTTCCTAAAGCCCAAGGCCCAAATGGGATCCAAGAAGTTCGGCCGGCAGGCAAACGGCAATCGACAACAGGCACAGGCAGCTCCCAATGGCGAGATGGATGAAGCGTTTTGGGCCAACCACAAGACGGAGGACGACAGCGCGCGAGCGGACGAGGGTGCTGCAGGTGCCTACGACGCCGACTTCTTCGCTGATGATGATGGGCTCGCTTTCCCCAATGGTCTACCTATTGGGGATGATGACGATGATAATTTCGCAGATGCGAGAGAGATGTTCTCGCCACCCTTGGACTCTGAAGCACGCCCGACGACGTCTGCCGGTGGTGGGCCTTCCGGACTCAGTGCGCTCTTGAACCTGGTGGGCGCAACACCCGCATCATCGCTACAACCCAACGCTGGCGGCTTTGGTTCCCAACTGGTGACCCAGGGTGGAAGGAGACTGCGCCCGGAGTACGTGGCATACGCACGAGTAGCCAAGAAGGTCGATGTCCGGAGACTGAAGGAGGAACTGTGGAAGGGCATGGGCGACTCGTTGATCGAGTCGATGGATTTCAACTCAGCCTCTGGTGTGACTGCACCTCCTCCTCGTCCTGCTGAGGACACCATCATGGAAGACGCACCGCCTACTCCCACGCCGATCAACCACCTTAAGAGAAGCGCTCCGGCCGACGAGGAGACGCCACCGGAGAAGAAGGGACAGCTCCGCTTCACTTCCATTATGAACAACCTGAAAACCGTCTACCCGGAGCAGGCCCTGCGGGATATCAGCACATCCTATGGTTTCATCTGTCTGCTCCACCTGGCCAACGAGAAAGGTCTTGTTCTCCAAGGCGGTGACCCTTGGAATGACGAAGACGGAGCGTTAGAGGAGATCTACATTGCGAAGGATTCAGGAGCTGTGATAGAAGGCGAAGCAGCCATATAAGAAGGGGAGGAAAAATTCCGGTTGGTGAAATGCATTAATGGTCTCCTGTTTTGCAAATGAACTTGGATGATGAAGTAGCGGGATTGTGGCCAAGGGTGCTGCTTCTGGGCGTTTTCTTGGAGTTTTATTCTATTGTAATATGCACACCTTTCGTGATGAGTGAGAAGAATCCAGGAAAAGAATTATTCTGAATGTTCCCCGCTGAAACTTGTCTTGGGATAGTAGTAATAAATATTTACCTGGTATTAAGTTATTTTTTACGCAAAGAGCAACTAGGGAACCTAACTAGGTGTGTTGGTGCTTTTTTGGTTTGATTAATTGCTGTTCACATGAAATTGTGATGGAAATTACTTATCTACGTTCGAATTGTGAATCAGGTAGTTAATACTGTGTAGTTACCAAGTTCCCTGTGGTGCATCTAATATTGTATCGGCAAAGGTAGTTAAAAACAACCTGAGGACTAGCGACTATCCCAAATAGACCGCTGTCAATATATGGTCTTGGTTTCTTGAGTTCTGTGGATATGGATTCCCAGATAGTACTTAGAATTTGGTAATAATGATAATGATAATAATAATAAATAGATGGATATCATATTTAAGTAGACTCGGCTCGGATCCAATCTAGAAAGAAGATCAGGGCCAGCTGAGTCAATAGAGAGAATGGAAGGAAAGGAAACATAAACGCGCTATATATGACCGATGTATATAGAGAGAGAAGCATGGATGGATGGCCAGATCGATCTCTGGAAAAAGAAATTTCATCCGAAATACCAACGCCAATAGCCCAGCGGTTTAAATTAGCCGAATTTGATAACAATCTTCGTCGAGCCTGTTCGAACCGGGGTTTCTGCTCTGTGATATTTCTGATTGATTGTTTGTTCTTGTACAAGGCATGTCTTCGTTATGATGTCTGCTTCCGCATTCATAATGGATTGGGCGGAGGGTCTATCGACCGCCGAATCCAGGATGGATATCAGATGCATTTCCTTGTGGCACTGCATGAACAGGAGGAGGGTAGCTAGGGCTCGCTACTGGGGTCGAGTATGCCCCTGGGATAGGTACGGATTCGTACGTCTTCTCGCCTGGTGCGGCACCCACGTGCTCGTTGATATTTTCAACCTGCGGCGGTGTTGGTGCTCCTACAGGCGGGGGAGAAGGTGTGCTCGTATGTACCGACGGAGCGTCGAAGCCTTCCTGTTGTTGTCTCGGGGTAGCATGCTGGACGCGAATCGGCGGGGGTTGCAGCTGGAAGGGCTCCGGGGCTCGCATAGGAGATTTCGGAGTCGCATATTGCACAGAGTAGTGCTCGCCGTTTTCCGCGGACGAGTAGGGATCGTGCACTGGCGTCGCTGAGAAAAAGGGAGATTTGGGAGTGCGAGCGAACCCAGGGGTGTTGGGCGCAGACTGAGTACGAAGCTGAGCCAAGTATAGATCGGATCTGGCTTTGTCGCGCATGTCCATGGTTTTTCGCAGTCGTTGCTTGCTGTAGAAGCGGTAGAAGATGATAGCGTGAATGAGAATGACGATCAATTCAATGACAATCTCGATGATGGCGCAGACCAGGCCCCAGTCCTAGGGTTTATAAAGTTAAAAATCTGGCAACAAGATGAGAGAAGCGTCGGAGAGAGCCCTACCTGCATACGGCAAATAAGCGAATACTTCACTTCCTGGCTGAATAATTGTCGTCGAACATTGTCTTTGCACGACCAGCCCCAGAGATCTTCTCCATTGCCAGTGGCCTTGCTATTCTGAAAGACTGCAGCGCCAATAACCCACATCACCGTGTTGAGGGCGAAGAAGCAGACAGAGAAGACGGTGTAGTAAACCGCTACTTTCTCTGCGCGTCGATGGCCGCCCTTCCAATAGCCGTAAAACACGACCAAGCAAGTGAGTAGGGATACAGAGGCCATGACCAGGAGGAGGACCTGCGGCCATGGATTCGTGCCCACTGCCCATGGCGGAAGGTTGTTTCGTGGAGGAAGGCTCTTCGTCGCATTGAATATCAGGAAAGAAGACGACATGAGTGAAAGAACAATGAGACTGCAGCTGAAGTTGACGAATCGTAGAAACACCTTGGCTAGCCGTACGCGCGTTTTAACTTTCTAGACCAGGGTCAACAGAGGAGATCGGTCTGAAGTGATTACTGTCTTCATCCTGCTTACCAGATCTTTCTCGTTCTCCTTCTCCGTCAACTTCTCCTGCTTCTCGAGTATATACTCTTCACGAAAGGTTGGGCTAAGAGGATTTAATGTCCGGGCAGTTCCAGGAGTCTTCAGAGCGCTTTTCAGCGGGGAAGCCGGCGTCATAGGAACATTCGCATGTTGCGAAGGCCCATTGTCCGCAACATATCCAAAGCCAACATCGGACACATGGTGCTGAGGCGCCGTCTGGACCGGAGGGTCTGCGAACGGGGATCGCGAGCTCTCAGTCGGTCCAATAGGAGAATGGACAGACGTCGCTTCTGCAAACCGGGCTGTTCGAGGACTCTTCAATGACGATGCCGTCGACTCTGATGAACTGCGTGCTGCGGGAACTCTGCCATTCTGGCCGTTGTTTGCCATCGTTGGGTGTGGTTGCCCGACAACTTCGATAGGGCTAACTGGTTCGTGAGGCAGCGGTCCGTTGAATGTCGACATTGGAAATATTCCGTCTTCGTCCTATGCAGTCAAGTCTTGTCGAGTCGGTAGACCAGAAATTATTAGAGTTGAAAGACCAGCTCTCAACGACAGTGCGACAGTAGGGTCGATAATTTGAACAGACCCGATGGCTGTTTACCTAGATCGAGCTGGGTTCTCAGTCGCAAAAATGCCCCCTTTTGATACTTCACAAAACGGAGCAAACTTGCTGTGCAATCAGTTAGCACGAGTCCAGCGAAGCCATCTGGATACAACCTACCGAAAGAAAAAAACAACCCTAAGCTAGCTCAGGTGTCACCTCGAGTAAATATTAATGAGGTTAACTCCCTTGTAATCGAGGCGATTCTCGGATCTGCTACAAGAGAGAGTCAGCGGGGCTTTGGGCGAATAAAGAACACTATTATATGCGCCGATCCGACAGAGGTCAGGGTCTGGTGTATAGTACAGTATCACTTACCTGATCTGGAACCCGTCCTGTGCGACCTTCCGCGAGACCTGCGCAGGTTGGAACAAAATGTATACAACAAAACGCCTAGACGAAGAAGCATAAGCTGTGAAATAAGAAAGGAAAGACGATGACAAGAACACACGACTTTCATGGCCGTAGTCCCGGTGCCTCTCAATATCAATGATCCCGCGTCTTGACCGTCTTCTAAAAAAAGCGGGGGACAGTCGGGCAAGCAACCTCGAATGAATCTGTTGGCGCCGGAATCCATGCTGGAGGGCGCCAGCCAGAGGGCACCAGCAACGGTATCTCTGGGATGATTGGACTTGGGAGCAATTGAGCATACTGCTAGAAGGAAGAAGACTCCCAGGATGAACCGTTTCGTTTCCAGCGACAGGCAGTGGATAAGCCAGATGACTGGACAGAGCGACGGACGCTAGAGCGGACGCTTTGTTCATCACATCGACGATGAAGCCACTCGCGGCGCAGAAACAGCTTCTTTTGAAGCCGATGCACTTGCTTTCACATCCTCGAGCAAATCAGCATCGCGATCATCGCTGCGACCTGCAGTGCCGCTCGATACAAGCCAACCACAACGCCCTGTTTGGCGCCGAGAGCAAGTCCGCCATGTCTAGTACCTACTCCGTAAGTATAGGCAGAGTACTCACGCCTCGCCAGTCTTTCAGTCATCGGGGGGGATCAAGCTCAGGACCAGCTGAGTGGCTACGGGCATAACTCGGTTGGTCGCATATCTATACTTCCGTACTCGAGTATCGCTATAACGATAGTTACCCAGGCATGCCATGGAGCGGCAGGACTGGTCGCCTTCAGTACTTTGTGTGTTTCCCCTTCTAGGCCAAGTAATGAGTGAGCAGCTAGCTGACTATGGCACTTAGCTCTAATTATGAGGAGCCAGGATTCTGCACGGGGATCTCCTCCCGCTGCACTAATGGCACTTTAGCTGCAATGCAAGTCACACGGACTGGATGCCGTCTTCAATAACCCAGCACAGGCATCCTAAGGCGAAAGCCCGGGGCCAGTCGTGAAATCCGGCTTGCATTAACCTTGGACTTTGTCCTTCCTTCAAATCACAACTGAAAATAAGTCCTTGCTATCCCTCCGAGGAGACGATCTGAATGGACGGCGCTATGGCTGTCGCCAAAAATAGCCCATCAGCACTCCTCACCCCAGATTGCTAGCTGATCGATTCTCAGGCCTATCGGGGTGAAGGATGCATCTCTGAAGAACCGCTGGTCTCTATTTATTCCATCTTCCTGTGGACTCCTTGCCGGGAATGCGCCTCTAGACCCTGCAATTGACGCGAACTGAATTGCTAAAATATGTGGCTGCCACAGCAAGCAGTGAATTATGGCCTTGATTGTTTTTAAAACTGCGAATTTTCAGCCACACCTGAGAACTAATCTCCTCGCTTGATCTATGATGGCTTCTTGGATTCATTCATAACTGTGAGAACGATTATCTCGATCTCTGCTGTTCAGTTCAGGTGGATATGTATGTACATTATCACGAACACATTTCCACCCTTACTTCTTCCTAGATGATTGTGCTTCACCTTTGTAATGCGCCACGCTGTTGCAGTAGAATACACTTTTGAAGAAGTAAGAAGTAAACATGGATATCGTCTATACAAGAGACACATGTCCTTTTCGTAGGCGCTAGAAGCTAAGAAATCCAGACATCATATCCAAATCACTACCCATGTTGTACTACTGTAGCTGTCTTTCTACGATTTAATATATTTCTCGTCATATAAGTCGCTTGTCTTCGCACGCATATTATATACCGGTAGTACATTACAGGACAGAGTGATAGGTTCTTCAATCGCTATCCACCCGCGTAGCTCTCCATTGGACATACTCATCTACATCGGAAAGCATCTTGACGTGGATATTAAAATCATACTTGATACACCAAACAACATGATGCACCTAGAGCACCCAGCCTTACGGTACAGCTATACTACTTCACTAATGATTTATCTCCCAATAACAAAAATAGTCAAACCCCAGTTTACAATATCATCCTTACATCCAAAAGTCACAAACATACCATCCTTATTTCCCTCCCAATAATAATAACAACACCGCCGCTTCTTCTTGCCATTTGGTAGTAGCTTATAATATGATACACCAATTAAGAGTTAGGATCTAGATTTCTAAAACACTTGGACCAATTATCTCTCTGCATCGGCAAAACTTACCGATGATTAAAACCGAACGGCGCGCGCTAACTCAGCCATTATTATTCTTTCTCCGTTGGGTACCTAGGTAGGTAGGTAGGTAACTACCTAATTAGGCCGTCTGGTTATAAATTATAGTAATCTGGATTATATCATGAGTAGAGTGTTTTAGAAGGTATAAATGACATAACTTAGTTACATTATTCTGCTAGGTAATCGCCCTGTTAAATAGAAACAACATCCTAGCTGAACCTCTCTCTATATAGTTATAATTTTCTCCTTTTTGCTTGATAATATCTCGTATCGAGAATAATTAGAATAATAACACAAGGTTATCTCCTACCAGTTTATCTTATCCCATCCCCATCCGTATTAAGAAACATATTTCGTTAATTAATTAGTTAACTATGTACATATATACATAGTCAACAAGCCAGCCTAGAAATCGAAATACGTAGCGTTAAGCCACACTTATCTTCCTAACTCGGTGTCTAGTCCCGATTCCCGAATCTATACCAATTTAAGGGTCCAGGGTCCTGCCCAACGGTCTGGTCTGTCTGCCTGACTAACTGGAGACAAGATAGACTAATTGACAAACTAGTTGACTGGTTGGCTGGGCTGCGGCGTTGCGGCGTTGCGGCGGCGTTGCGGGGCACAGAAGCAAGAAATCAGAGGGGTCAAGAATAATAATGTACCTAGTTAGTTAGACTAGTAAGATATTTTAGTTGGGGCAAGATTCAGCCAGCCCAAGCTGCCACTTACATACTCTAGTTGAACTACTAAGTAAGTTACTTGCTGGCTTGGAACAACAGTAACAGGAGAGGAAGGAGGGTTTTAGTTTGGCTGCTCTCTGTAATACATCGACATTCTCTAAATTTACTGTGATCGTTCGCTGATATTGTTCGGTTCGGGGTCCATGTTTGTAGAGTACAGGAACCAAAAGATAACTATTAAATAAGCCCCGAGTTCGTGTCTGATCTACAAAGGTGGATATAGCGGTTCCTTTTGCCACCGAGTAGCAATTTAGTTGTCAGATTGATTGCCGTCAGCAAGGAAGGGGATCCAGTTATTGTATTCCTGGATGGGGTGCATAAGAAAGATTTTTCTCTTCTTGATGTGTAATGTTGTTCATTAGATAATTTATGATCGCGGTTTATGAGAGTCGAAGATGATTGGATGTTTAATGGAGGAGGTCGGGGAAAAAAAAAAGCAAGTTGACGGGTTCCTGTGTATTATTATTGAGATGCAATTCGACAGCTTAAGATATGCATGGCGGACGTCAGCAAGAACGGGATCTCCGCCCACATACCTATACTTCGTACATGACTTGGTATATAGGGGGATAGATGTGATAGATCCTGTTATATGCAGCTTGTCCCTGGATGCTTTGCCCTTTGAAGGATGGCGAAAAAGAAAACCAAGCTCGAATCCAATTATCATGACAACAACAGATACTTACTGGATAGCGGGACCATGTGCCTGGTTACTACTACGGGGAAGAATTGGCCTCCCGGAAGTGAAGGCCGGGAAGAGCATGGGTCTGGATCAAGGAACTCCATCACCTTCCCATAAAACAAAGCCCAAGTCGCATGCCTTACGCTGAGCTAGAGGAAGCCTAGAGGAGCTGAGTAGTTTAGTATTGCCGCCATGCAGATTGTTCAATAGATCTGATCTCAAACTAGGATTGTTGGGGGTCCTGGAGTTCAGGTCGCTGCACAACATCGCCCTCTTTGGTGCGTTGATCTACGGTCTGTGCCATTCCAGGTTGCTATGACTCGGCCAGATCGACGGGTTCAGCCATCCCCCAGGGATCGAGAACAGACGCGGACGAGAATGAACTGGACGAAGAAGGCCCTTGACGGATCTAGCACCCTGCCTGACAATCATAGTCCAGGGGAAAGAGAAAAACGATGCCTGGATGGGCGTTGATTCGTTGTGTGCGCCGACAGAGTCTGACGACAGTGACGACAAAGTGGATAACAGGGAACTCTTAGAGTCTTGAGTTTGATCGAATCATGACGGACAATATGAGAAGATGAGGCGAAAAAGGGAAAAGAGGTCAGGCCAGGGTCGCTGATTAAGGTGTTTTAGCTGGAATGGATGAATGAATGAGTGAATGCGTCGCCAGCTCTGTCTGCCTTGCGTGCCGATACGGAGCCCTCTGTTCTTTTTGACTTCTTCTGATTCCCTTGACTCTATCCAACTATCCAACTATCCAACTGTCCCTTTCCCCCAGGGAGAGAGACGTTTCAGCCTATCAAGGGTTCCGTTCGGGGCGGGTTCGATCGCGGTCCGACAGTGTGGCGGCCATGTCTCCTCCGTCTGCGCCTCATAGCCTACCTAAGCCGGTATGCGGGCTTGTTTTCGGTTGAACTTGAACACAACCAGAAATAAGCAAGAGAAAACCGCTACTAGCCTGGCCCGTGACCCCGTTCCATCATGGTGCGCCGTCGGGACCCCCTGGGGAGTGGGCCAAGACACCGTGCGATCTGCTGGTCCAGGCGGTTGAGCTTCGAGTCAGGAGGCATCATTATTATTGATTGATTCATTATTTCACTGGATTTGTGCTGGACCAGCCACAGAGACGATTTGTCCGCCGCAAGCACACAGCCTCATCCGTCCGTGTCGTTCGTCCATCCGATGGCAACCAGATGGAGCCCGCGGCCGAAGTCTGCCTGCTCCTTGAAACAGGTTGTGGTTTTGCTGAGCGGTGGCGTTGCGCAAGCCTCTCTTCCAGAAGGGTTACTGCGTACTCCTAGGTTATTCTTATTCATGGTTCATGTTCAATCATCAATAGTATGACTCGTCCAGCGTCCGCCGCGGTGGACCAACCACGTCTGCAGGAACTGCCGCAGCAATTAGTTATTGCTGTCTGCTGTCTGTCAGACAGTCAGCAATCTTAATCTGAGTTAGTTAACTAACTTAGCTAGTAGTCAGTTGGGGATCGATATTATTCTCCGTTGGCAGAGTGGCGTAGGTAAAGACAGGCGGCTCTAGTGTAGGCGACTATTGTCGAGGAGATTTCAATAATAAAGGCCCGAGTCGGTATTGTATGTATTGCATGGTACTGTATGGTACTGTATGGTATTATATGGTATTATATGATATTATATGGTGTCGTATCATACACACGTGACCAGCCAGGCTACGCGAGGCTGCGTCCGTCGCGTCATGCCGCTGTCAGCAGCGTGAAATCGAATTACCATACATACCGTACGCCAAGCCCGGGCATCGACCCGAACCAGAAAGAGAAAGAGAAACGTCCAGCCACCCGATTCCAATTGAATTGAATTGCAATAATCCTCATCGCTGCCAGAGAAGAAGCAGAAGCAGAAGCAGAAGCAGAAGCAGAGTCTGGAAAGATCAGATCACTCCTACTCCACCAGAGAGTCAACGGGGAATCAATCTGAGAGTCGCTCTTTTCTCCTTCGCTTACAGACGAGGCGTCGTGAACATCTCTCCACTACTAGTTACTACTGGCCTCTCTCTGGCGGCTCTTGTTACATTCTGCGCAACCACCTTCTCCGCCCATTGTCCCCTCCCTTACCCAATTCTGGCTTGTGCCACGCCCTCGCTCTCTCCTCTCTCTTCTCTCTTTCAACTCGCCCTTTCGGGTGCCATCTCTGGTGCTCCCCTCGCAGAGAAAAAAAAAAAAAAAAACATCGTGCCCTCGTTCCCGGGTTGTCCCGCCCAGGAATCGAAGCAACCGTTGTCGCGTTTGTTTCGTTTTCCTTTTTCCCCTGCCCGACGACCTAGGTGAAACCGCTATCACGTCCTTTTTACTACTATTTACAGTACTGCTACTACTGCGACGACGACGACGACCACGACAGAAACGAACACCCGCTCTTGTTCGCCCAGCAACCTTATCCCGGTGCCCGCCGCCGCCTTTGCACCGCCTGATGGCCCAGCGCATCTAGCGGAGCCTCAGTTCCAGCGCTTGATCGCGTTTCGCCAGCAGGCTGACTAGCTATTTTTGTTCCGGCATCTCCCAAGTGTCGCGAAGAGAGCCTCGTCGGCAAAAAAGCTGCAAAAAAACGGGGGGGAAGAGGAAATCAGAAAAAGGTGATCAAACTTGAGCGAAGCTGAGCCGTCAGCTTGCGCCACACTCGGTTCCAGGCGCACGCCCCACGCCCCGGGTCGTTACCAGTATGTCGCTCGTCCATTTCTCTTAGACTCTCTTCCATCCATGTCTCTCGCGGGAGGTGATCAATCTGTAACTCGACTATCTATTCATCTCCCGTCCTCCCCCTCAAGTTCAACGGCTGCGATCGCGTCTGCAGCTGTCTTGTGTTGCTAGATCCCCCTCGACTGACATGACATTGGGTCTAGCTTCTCACTACCATCGCCAACCCTTCCAGGCTGGCCCCCGATACAACAGTCCGTTCATGGCTGGGCCAATGCAGTCCAGTAAGGATCCCGTCGCCATTTCGAATCCCCTGCCCGGGAATTCCACCTCGATCCTGACGAATCCTCCCGATCCACTCTCCTATCTGAAGCATTCGACCTCGAAACCAGAGTCCCATCTCAGCTCCATTGCCAGCGCCGGATTGCGCACATCGCCTTCCCCAGGCCTCTCGAACCATCAGAGACAGACGTCCCCGCGGATGGCTTCGACGACAGCAGCTGCCGGTCCGGCGGAACGGCCGCTGGACCAAGAGAAAGAGACCGACCAGAGTCGCTCCCAGGCTCCCAAGGACGCTCCAGCTCCCGGCGACAAATCCCACGAGTCGACGTATTCTTCGCATACCGTGAATGAATCCATGGATAGTGCAAGTAAACCAATGCACGTGCCCTCCGAGGACATGCAGGTAGACCCTCAGTCGAACGTGCAGGACACGTTCGGGACGGGCGACGGTCAAAACACATTGATGAACAATGCCACAGTCGCTAGCCCTGGCCCCATTGAAGACTCCGCGTCCCAGGATGGCGATCGACCCCATCACCGCGGTGAAGCCGACATTCGAGAAGAAGCTAACAAAGCCTTTTCGTATCCAATGCCTGCTGCAGGCCTATCAGACCCACGTCGTGGCCTCAGCTTGCCTCATTCGGGATTCCATAGGGGTAGTCCACGCTCGCCGTCAGCGAAAAAACATCGGTGCCCGTACTGCGCGACTGAATTCACAAGACATCACAACCTCAAGAGCCACCTGCTCACCCACAGCCAGGAAAAGCCCTACGTCTGCCAGACATGCCAGTCCCGCTTCCGCAGACTGCACGATCTGAAGCGACATACCAAGCTCCATACTGGAGAGCGGCCACACATTTGCCCGAAATGCGGGCGCAGATTCGCTCGTGGAGACGCTCTGGCACGCCATAACAAGGGCCAGGGCGGCTGCGCTGGGCGGAGATCCAGCATGGGTAGCTACGGAGGAGAGGAGGAATACGGCGAGGGCCATCCTGGTGGTCCGGAAGATGCTATGGATGGTCTCATGTACACGGCAGAGCCCGAGCGGATGGACGAGGAGGATGAGCGACGACTGAGTATACCCGGCATCAAGAAGTACGATGCGCCCTCAGACTCGCTTCCGCGCTCTACGGTCCCTCCGGCGAGCTACCAGGCTCGCCAGCCCAGCACGTATCCCCCAATTGCTGCCGGTCGACCTTCTCCCGGCGGTCTCTTCCCTCCTCCTCCGAGCCACGGCGGGTCGAGTTCGTCGACTTCCCCAATCTCCCAGAGCGGCAACATGACGTTCCCGCCGCCGGGACAGCACTCTGGCGCTGTCTTCCCTCCGTCAAGCATCACAGAAAGCCCGAAGCCTCTGTCGCCTAATGCGATGTCATCGCATCAGCTAGGCCATGGCCCTGAGGCTATGCATCTCCACCGTCCACACTCTCCCGGTCCCGCGCAACCGTACCAGCAGCAGCAACAACATTACAGAGCGCCTACACAACCTCCGCCAACGACACTAGGCCTTCCTCCGCCGCAGCCCGGTGCTCCGCAGCTCCCTCTACCTCCCGGTCTCACGCCGCCCGATGCTCGGTATACATTGCATAGTCAAGCCCCTGTTCAGCCACCCTCTTCGATACCCTCGAAGCACGCTCCAACGCAGAGCCACTCCAGCAATCACGGTGCTCCCGCAGCGAAGGAGCCGGTTCAGAATAGCGGCAGCTCGTACCCGGGGATTCACGATACCAATGGCGGCGATCAGTCTCGGGAAGACCTGTGGGCGTACATCCGGTCCGTGCACGAGGAGGTTGCCGGATTGAAGGCTGAAGTAGCGGCCTTGAGGGCACAGATTTCTGCCAATTCGAATGCAACCACCAGCTCCACAATGGTCCGTCCTCAGCAAGTGCAAGGAGAAGGGGTTGGCGGGAGTAATCAGCGATGAAATGGCGTCCTAATCGGTCATCTATCCATCGTGGAGCTACTTCCCATATTCATTCTTCGCACATGGTCGCTCTGACCAGTTCTTGTGATCAGACGTGCTTGTGACATTAGCCTCGACTTCATACCCTAATCCGTGACGGTCCATTAGCCTCTAGGACGCTCGTACTCTGTGATGAGATACGTCGTCTGAAGCTTGTCGAACGACCTTGCGTGCGTTATACCACTTGTCTATACCCCGCTCTTTCTAAAACTATTTCTCCTTAACTTTTATATTTCTTCCTGTGTCGAGTTCTAGATATGAGAACGGCGGCGCCCGTGTCATATTTCGTGTCGTGTCCACAGGGTTTGATATCGTGTTGTTACGTTTTAAATGTGTCTGATGTGATGTCCACCTAGCTAGGCGTTTTCCGTGTCGTCCATCTTATCCACGTGCTGGTTGATGTTGTTTATTCTCTTCTAACTTCAGGTACTTTCTTCTATTCTTTGCTCTAGGTGCCAGGTGGTAACCGGAGGGCGGGGTTTTACGGAGCGTTAAAATATGGCAGTTTGATTCTTGATCATGTCGGTTGGTATTCTTTTTTTCTGTTTGTTTACTTTCTTGAGTCTAAAGGACTACCACTACACTATTACTTTAAGCCGGATGGGTTGGCATAGGTCTTTGTTGAGTTGATACGATATTAGCACTTGGAGCAGCAAATTCATTTTCTTGCGACGTGGTCAAAAAGTTACTATGTATACTGTCGCATCATCATTAACCGCAAGTACCAAACCGCTACATTTCCGCATTAGGCTACCAGACTATCTTGAAGCAAACGATCGGGAGCCAGAATATGATATAAACTTTTTAACTCTGGATATGACGCCCGTCTTCCAAGTCATTGCCTCCTAATTATCTCGCCACCCGACCAGAAACCAAGAAGCCACATATAGCTTAACTGAAGTGTATACTGTCCAGATTCCCGACTCCAGAATATCGGGAAGAACGTCAGAAAAGAAAAAAAAAGGAACATGTCCCAATCAATAGAAACCCTCGCCTTCGAAACGATAGTTAGTGACAATAACAACGACAGACTAGATCCAGACCAGACCAGATTATTCCTGTTATTCAGTGGCAAGTACTGGTAGTAGGAATTCGCCTATATTCTGATTTCGCTTAGTAGCGTAGCTAATAAAAAAAATAAAAATAAAAATTAGATCCCAGATCCAGATCTAGATCCATATTTGTCTGGACTTCTTCTAATATATGACGTTCTTTGTGTGGCTGGTTTCCTTTCTTCCCGCGGAAAGTTCAAAGCCACGAGGGAACGAACGGACGGACGGACGGGTTAGGTTGGGTTAGGTTGGGTTCGATCGATCGATCCCATGAAACGAAACGAAAGGAAGCGCGGAACCAACGGAGATGGGAAAGATTAATTATTATTATTATTATTATTATTATTATTATTATTATTAACTAATGAACAGTAGAAACGAGGGGGTGTTGTATAGTATAATACAGTATGGTTACAGTATAGTAACTATAGAATAGGATAGGATACTGTATACTGTATTATTGTATGACTTGCATAGTAGACATAAGATTTTTATGATCGATTCCATTCCTTAACCGTTCCGAGGTCAAAGAAGGGGGATAGTTTAGTTCAGTTCAGTTCAGTTCGTTGCTTTCTTAGTAATAACCATAGTTGATATGTAATTGATATATTCTATCATATATTCTATCATATTTTACTTTGCCGTTTTGGGTTCGATTTTGCAAATCGTTTTCGCCCCAGTTTGCCAGCCTCACTTTTTTTTTACAAGGGCGGGGTTGAGTCTTTACTTCACTACTACTAATCGATCTATGTATTATTATGGAGTAAAAGACGGTTAACTATTTAGGTTCGTTTACTTAGTTGCTTAGTTGGCTGGTTGGCTGACTAGGTCTGGGGAAGGGATGGTGTTTTTTATAGAGTAGTATATACATGTATGGTAGTTATAGATTGGGTGTATGTGACGATGGGTCAGATGATAAGATAATATTGAAAACATATTATTATTAGCCACTTTATGGTACTGCGTTCTGGCGATTTTATTATTACGGTATTCATCACAACTCCCGCAATTCTTCCTCCTGTCTCTTCCTCGCAACCCATCCCAAGAATAACCCCACATCCGCCACCACGGCCTTCGGCACCCCGCCCATCGTCCAGCTCCGTTGGACCCAGGAAGGGATGAGCCCGCCGGCATCTGACGTGGTTGCCATTGTCCATTCGATGATCGCCGAGCGGGGATTTGACGTCGGCTGGGCCGATCCAGCTGCGGAGATGGGCCTAGTAGTGTTTGAGATAGACGGCCGGGAACTGAACATGGATCCGGCGCGGCTGCGAGAGACGTCAGCGCTAGGGCGCGGGCTCTTGATGATGTTGATGTTGGAAGGCAGTGAGAGGACCCGCTCGACACTGGCGTAGTTGGCGAAGATGGTGTTCTTTGGAGGCGTGGAGACGAACTTGGAGACGATGGCAGCGTCGGTAATTTCCGAGGAGGGATTCGAGGGTGGTTCAATGGGGATTTGGATCGTGACGAATTCCTTCTCTTCGGGATCGAGTCCGTCGTGGGAAGATGCGCCGTCAGAAATGTCGTTGTTCCTCGTGGAATCGGAGCGGAACGCGGAGATGACGCATGTGGTGAATGTTCGTGGGGAGATTAGGATCGAAGGGTGAAATGTATGGGTGATCATATTTACTATGAATAAGTTAGCATTTGGTCTCTATATTTCTTCTTCTTCTTTCTTTCTTTCTTTTTTTTTGGCGTTTCTTTGTTTTTTGGACGATAAACAAATACACACTCCATGGAGATGGTATCAATAAGACATAACAACACCAGAATCCATAACAGGGTATTCATATGCACGATCGAGCAAAACAAAGAAAAGAAAAGAATAATATACTAACCATGCATCTCAACCCCACTCCAACCACTACCACTTGTCTGCTGTCCTAGATCGATATCCTTCCACTCCAACAACGTGACCACGCTCGACACACTGGGCGTATACTCCATCTCATGCTGCGAATGATCGAACCTCAACCCATTCTCAAACTCCTTCCACGACGCCGTCCCTTCCTCAGGCGCGTCGACATGGATGCTTTTTCGACACACCCAGTACTCTTCCTCATCGGGAGTCTTGCGCTTGTCGCCCTTCGCTCCCGTTTCCGTTGAGACGGGTATCACCCGCGACGAGAGCTGGACCTTCGCGTTCGAAGGCGGCGAGGAGCGCAGCTTCTTGTCGACTTTGAAGGTCAGCGGGATTGTATCGGATAGAAGAGTCTGCGCTTCGTCGAGCGCCTGTTTGATAAACGCAGCAAGAGGTGGGCGCGTTGTTGTAGTTGTAGTTGTGTTATTATTGTTATTATTACTCTCGCCATTCTGTCGCGGTCGCTCCGCGAGCGCCGGGTGAGATGGAAGCTCAGACAATGACAGCGGAGTGAGGCGGATGAGACGTTTCTGTCGCGTCTCTGGCGATGACATGATTATGACTATCTATGGATTAGTGATCGATTTAGCTTAAGCTTCTGGCACGGCCCAAAACTCCTGGTTGATGGATTTTTAGTTATGCTTCCGAAGATAAAAGATCAAAAGAAGAAATAAAATGTGGGGTTTAGCGGGGGGGAGGAAGGGGGAATGGAGGGAATGGAAAAGAATCAGAGTTATAAGCAAAAAGTAAGATTGGATACTGGTGATACAATAATAATAATAATACGCGGTTCGCGGTTGCTGGGAACCAAGGGGCCGTTTCAGAGTTCAATCCTAATAATGTTGTGCACCGAGTTTCAAGGTTTCCTGGCGACGATCCATCCACGATTTGGGGGCGGTAGTTCGTCCCTGGGATGAAATGCCGACTGGGGGAGTTGTTCAGCAGCTCAGGAACGCTGTGGCGTTAGTTAGGTATCTAATTATTATTATTATTACTTTAATACTAATACTGTGGCGCGTTCTAACTGGAATGGGTATTATGATTGCCTTTATTTCGACTCCAGTCTGGTTGCTGATCTATTTTTTTTTTTTTTTTTTCAGAGACCTAGCTGCAAGATGGACTTTTATCGCGTTGAAATGAACAGATCGATAAATAATATAAATATACAGGGTATCTTGAATCTATGCAAATCCCTCGACTCCAACTGCTGTATCTCAGCTGTCACTAGGTGTGACTTTATATAGTAACCACCGCTTAGATGTGGAGTGTAATCGACGATGCCCCAAAAGCTGCGACGACTCAGCTCATCAGATGACGAGACGTCTCTATAATTCTAGAGTAAACCGGCTTCGAACTGATCATCATGTTGACGACCTAGTCCGTGTTCTGTTCGCGCCATGGAGGCGCTTAAAGCTCCACGAGTCCGTCCCCGGACCAGCTTCGCAGTTCTTTGATGAGGATACATACGTAGTTGATGCGGGCAGATGATCTACGGCTCCATGCAGGCAGGTCTCTGCTCGATCGTGCTCGATCGGTTGATCGTCCCCGCTTGTGGACATGTTCGCTTAGAGACAGCGTACGCCAGGACCGACACTGCCTGTGTCAAACAGCTCGATCAGGCCAGCGCCTACGGCTTCCTCCAGTACCCAGTCAAAGTGCATGCCGTAGAGCTGCTTCCATTTCTTTGTCCGCCCCGGCAAGACGCCTGTCGACTCTCCTCGTGCCCTCTTGGCCAGAGCAGATCGGGTGTCTGACTCGACCGCCCCATCCCAGCGGTCCCGGAGCAGATAGAGCGGCGTTTCGTGGAATTTGGACTTCTTCAGCAGATCCACCAGATGGGACCGTCCCTGGCCCAGAAGACGGAGATAGGTGCCTGTGTTTGGGAGGGAAAGGAACATGGTGGCGCTGCGAAACTGGCTGTCACTAGGCTGCGCTGCCTGGAGTGGCTGAGTGCCAGCATCACTTCGACTGGCGGAGGAAGCACCCAGCGACGCCGGCACCGCGGGCAGTGAAGCCACGTTCAACGATCCCTTGGCCAGTGAGGACGATGAGACGAGAAAGCCGGCGCGGACGAGAGCCATCGAATCACCAGATGAGAAGACGCCCGCTGGCACTGCTGACGCCGTTCCCATGAGGCGCAAGAGGTCCAGGAACCTATCTGTATGCAAGTCAGCACAGTCTCCAGCGATGACACCGGACAAAGCAACCATACCTTTGAGGGACTGGTCCAGCACAGCACTACGCCTTACGAGCTCCTCCCAGTCCTCCGTCAAGACCAGACAGTCCCCCAGCCCCGCCGCATCACTTCCTCGTCCGGGGACGATCAGACGTCGAACCCGGCCTGCGTTGACCAGATCCACGATTTCTTTTTCCACCCTGGTGGGCGCATGCAGCAGCGTATGGACATGCGCCACAGAAACCAGCGGTGGCAGCGACCGGCGCAGGTTGAGGACCTCTGCGATGCGCGTGCTGTTCATCCCCGCGCGCACTGGCAGCTCTTCGAACATGGTCTTGTGAATGTGCCTGATGGCATCTTCGACGCTCTCCACTCGCGCATTCTCCGGGATATATTGTGATAGTCCCTGGTCCGGGAGCTGTTCCTCGTCCTCAAACATACCAGTGTCTCTGTCCACCTTGTCGCGCGCGGCAGGCCGCGAACCGGGCTTTTGGCGGGCATGCTTTGCAAAGGGAGAGTTGCGAGGGCGAGGCACGGAGGCCTTTGTCTTGCGGATACCGGCAGTCGGCGCGGAAGTGACACGGAGGGGCATCGCAGATCACAGTAGAATCAAGGATCGGAATCAGAACCAGAGAGAGCGAAATAACAAGAACAATAATGATAGACACTGTACACTCTCAGAGACGAGTCTGCAGGCTTCGATAAGAGATAAGTGCACGTGATCGGCGGCGACCCATCCATTGGCGGAAAGTTGCCCGATCGGGGATTCCGTGGTTGACATCAAGAGTTAGTTGATTGACTGAGACGAAGACAAAGACCAGGAGAGCCAAAGTGCTCCAGTGGCGATACAATACATGCTCTCAGAATAACAGCTCGTTCTGGCCCTTTTGTGCCCTGCTCGACTGCGCTGCAACGCTGTATATTTTGGTCGAGGGCGTCTTTTCACATGACGTAGTGATGAGAATCTGGATTTCTGCCCCGCCGCTTCTCTCTCTTCTCTTCTCTTCCTGCGGTTCTACTTAATCAATCCATAATCCCCCTTCCCATTCATTATATAGAACTCGACCATTTCGCCCTCGACGCTTTCCACAACGCGCTCAGACCCCTCTCTTGAGAGATCCTCTCTTTCGAGGCGCTGAGGTTGCAGCATTCTTTCGTGGTGATTCTCTTTCCAGCTGCACCCCTCACCGGCCACACCATGACGGTTTTCATCGCGTCCCTGTAAGTGGTGTCCTGCGGCCAATCTCACAGCACATCCATCACCGTACTGACTGGATACGGTTCCTACCAGATTCCTGCCGTATACGGTCAATTTCCATCTGGACCAGGCTCGCAACCGGTCCGCGCGCTCGAGCCCCAAGTCGGCCCCGTTACAGGAATCCTCACCACAAGTGCCACAGCCCGCAAGCGCTGCGCTGAGTCTATTCGAGAACCGTGGTAATGTCGTTGCGAATCCGGGGTTGACCCCAGGAGCCACCACGGAGGACGAACGCATCTTCCTGGCAAACGCTGAGAAGGAACCATCTGCATATCCGTTCCCGAAAGACGCCAATGACCTGCACAGTCTCAGAGAAAGTGAGGCACACTCTCCCAAATGGGGTGCAACCACCACGTTCGTCCAGCCCAAGGCTCAACCGCCTCCGCCGCCCTCCCCTTCGATTCTGAAACACCAGGCTTCGGAGGCTGCGTCACAGCCGCCGCAGAAGGCGAAGAAGCAGGGCTCGGGTGTCGAGGCGCTCAAGGAAGAGGAGCGCGCAAACCGTCCCGGCCAGGGCCGTTCCATGTCCTTCTCGAAGGCAGACTGGACCGTCGAGCCAGCTGAACAGGGCAATGGAGGTCTGCGCAACGCCGTTCGATCCGCGACAGAGGCCGGATTCCTGGGGGAGAAGATATGGGTGGGGACCCTGGGCATGCCCACGGACGCGTTGAAAGAACACGTCAAAGCGGGCATTGCAGAGAAGATGGAGGACGAGCACGAGTCCTTGACGGTTTTTGTCAAGGATGGTGACTTTGACGGACACTACACCCACTTCTGCAAGACGATTCTGTGGCCCGTCTTCCACTATCAGATCCCGGACAATCCCAAGAGCAAGGCATACGAGGACCACTCGTGGATCTACTATGTCAAGGTCAACCAGGCGTTTGCAGAGCGGATCGCGAAGAACTGGAGGAAAGGAGACTCCATCTGGGTCCACGATTACCACCTGCTTCTCCTGCCGGCCATGCTCCGAAAACTGCTGCCGGACGCGAAGATTGGGTTCTTCCTCCACATTGCGTTCCCATCCTCCGAAGTCTTCCGCTGTCTAGCACCGCGAAAGGAATTGCTGGAGGGCATTCTGGGGGCCGACCTCGTCGGTTTCCAAACCGACGAGTACTGCCGCCACTTCCTCCAGACCTGCAGCAGGATTCTTTGCGTCGAAGCAACAAACGATGGCGTCCAGCTCGAAGACCGCTTTGTCGACGTGGGAACCTTCCCGATCGGTATTGATCCGACGTCGTGGGACGAGAGGCGCAAAGCGGACGATGTCCAGAAGTGGATCAAGACCATCAGGGAGCGATATGGAAATAAACGCTTGATTGTCGGTCGTGACAAGCTGGACAATATCCGAGGTGTGAGACAGAAGCTTCTCAGTTACGAACTCTTCCTCAACACATATCCAGAATGGAGGGATAAAGTAAGTTGGCTGTCATCGCTTCCTGCGCGATTTCGTGCTAACGTTAGAAGGTTGTTCTGGTACAAGTCGCTACCACCACTACGGAACAGCCAGAGCTCGAGGCAACCCTATCTGACATTGCCATGCGGATCAACTCGACGCACTCAACTCTCGCCCACCAACCGCTGGTCTTCCTCAAGCAGGACCTTGCATTCGCTCAGTACCTGGCATTGATATCGATGGCCGATGCTCTTATGGTGACTAGTCTGCGCGAGGGCATGAACTTGACCAGCCACGAATTTGTCTACTGCCAGGACGGGGACTACAACAGTAAGGCATATGGATCACTCATCCTGAGTGAGTTTACGGGCAGTGCAGCTTTGTTTGACGGCCACGCTCTTTTGGTCAACCCATGGGATTACCGCCAGTGCTCGGAGGCTATCCACACTGCACTCACGATGGGTGAAGAAGAGAAGAAGAAGGTGTGGACCGCGTTACATGAAGCCGTGATTCAGAACTCGACGGGCAATTGGGTCAAATCGTTCAGCGACACTCTGTCGAAGGCGTGGGACGAGCACTCGTCCCGCGAGACCATCGCAGTACCACGGCTGTCCGTGTCCAAACTGGAGGAGCACTACAAGCAGTCGAACCGCCGACTCATCATCGTCGATTACGAGGGAACACTGGCTTCTTGGGGTTCGCCGAAGAGCATCATCTTGACTACGCCACAGCGCGCCATTACGACCCTGACCGACCTGACCGAAGACTCTAAGAATATCGTCTACGTCATGAGCTCCAGAATGCCCGAAGAGATGGAGCGCCTCTTCAACCGTGTCTCAGGGCTTGGTCTTATCGCTGAAAATGGCTGCTTCCTACGCGAGCCTAATACGGATGCGTGGATTAGGCTCACCGATGCGAACCGTGTCAGAGCCTGGAAGGCAGGAGTATCTAGCATCCTCGACTACTTCCATGCACGGACCGAAGGCAGTTGGATCGAAGAGCGACACTGCTCGCTCGTCTTCCACTATGGGTCTGCAGATGACCAAGCGTCTGCTGCCCGTCAGGCATCCGAGTGTGCTGACCACATCAACGATGCCTGTGAGAGTCAGCATGTCCACGCCGTGCCGGTCGACGGCGCGTTGGTGGTTGAGACGGTGGAGACCAACAAAGCATCAGCGGCGGAGATGATCTGGCGATACTGCCTGGAGAGGGGAAAGAGGGACGGTCAGGATTACCGTCCAGACTTCCTCCTCGTCATCGGAGACTCGCGCGAAGACGAAGTGGTGTTCCGCTGGGCCAACAAGCTGGCTGGTGCCAAAGCGATCCCGCGTGTCATGACCGTCACCCTCGGATCGCGCAGCACGGAAGCCATGGCCACATTGACACAGGGCGTTACAGGTGTGCTCTCTTGCCTTCAGCGACTGGCGGCATCGGGTTAGAGCTTCAAACGATGGCATAATATTATTTCGACTCCAGCATGCAATTCGGTCACTCTTCTTTCCCTTGTCCCGGGGCAACGATGGGTTATTTGATATCTCGGGAGTTCTGATCGTGGTTGGGTCAACCTGGACGAAAATTCACGTTACGAATGTATGTAGACGTACGAAAAGCGATTGCATTTTACGCACATAACCACAGCGAGGCAACGACGTTGTGTTAATCCTCCGATTCTGCGGCGGGCGTTATTATCTGTGTAACTAGCAGGAATATCTCCATTCTTATGATAGAAACACGATTCTGCAACACTGCATCTTTATCAGTCGGATTTACCCATGATCGCAGTAATAATAATAATGCATGTACTGAACTATATGATCTACTCTGCGTCTGGGCATTGTTTTAGCGGGGACGTCCGCCGATCTCGAGATGCCGCGGTCCAAGTCAACAGCCTCGCGATCATAACTATCTATCAACTTCTACCATGTATCATCGTAAATAAAAAAACAACACTCTCTCGGAAGCCTTTGATGCGCTCTTTACCCTATATCCATATGGTTCATTCCCCATAACTAGTTATCGGTATATTGCGTCACCTACCACTGCCGCTGTCTGTAGTCCGAATTATCCACATGCCGAGGTTAAACTTGTCTTATCAGTAATCGATCAAGTTGTCAACTAATAATACCCAGAAACACTCGACTAGTATTCAACCTAACTACTTAACTACTAACAGGTACTTTTGTTCTTTTCACCGACATCTACCTTTATATTAGATTTTTACTGCTCAGTTCGAGCCTCGTTTTCCCCCTGAGCGAAGGTGGTGTACCCAACATACTGGGACGACATCGCCAACTGCGCGCGCAATCTGCTAGAGCGACCTGTTTTCTTTCGTACTGGAACAAAAATACCTTTTTCTTATCAAGATCTATAGATTCCGGGCTTTTTTTGCGGGAAATTGCATGCATATATATATATACATATACGGGCATAACTAGAGGATACACATCCAAACAACCATGCCACTACCAGCTCACACGCAAGTCTTCGAGGACGCCATAACCATCACCCCGGTCTCGTCGCATGTCTACTCGGCCTATCTAAGGGATGAATGGTGCATTGGTGCAGGTATATCTATCTATCTATTTAGTTACCGTTCCCTGCTTCTTCCAGATCCTTGCCTAATCGAGGAAATACCTATCTCTCACCGAAACGAGTGGATGAGACTGACAAAGAAAACAGTCCCCCATGGCGGTTACACGACCAGCGTGTTGGCGAAACTGGCAAAGACGCACTTTGCGCACACACATCCCAATCTGTCGACCTCGCCTGCTACGCCGATTAGTATCCAGCTTAGCTTTCTCCGGCGGACGGATGTCGGGCCTGCGCTGCTGACGGTGGAGGATATGAAGATTGGGGCTCGCACTAGTACGATTCATGTTCTGCTCAAGCAGCGATCCAAATCCAAATTCAAGAAGGAGGAGGGGGAGGAGGAGGTCAAAGTCGCAGGCTACATCACGCTCAGTCCGGCAGCTGCAGAAACAGGTATCACTGCCCAAACGTCCTGGGCGCTTTATCCGCCGCCGCCTGGACCGGTGAATCTGCGCGCTCTAGCTTCCACCGGCCGTGACGGGGCTTGGGTCCGAATTCCTGCGCCATTTGTGCAGTTTCGTCGCGCTGCAGCGAATGTCGAGTTCTACGGACCGGATCCAGCTCGTCTCGAGGCTGAGGCTGGTGATGGGCGAAGAGCAATTATGGTCGATCAATGGGCGCGATTTCGTCCTCTCGGACCAGACGGGAAACCACTCGAAGGCTGCTGGACGGACGATACGATCGGGTTCCTCGTCGACATGTTCCCCATGATGCTGGATGGGTTCGATGTCATCTCGTCGGCGGCGCAGGATCCCAATGCTGCGGCGCAGAAAGGGAACTCGCCCCGCGGAACGTTCTGGTATCCGACGGTTACGTTGAATGTAGATTACAAGAAGCGGTTACCTGTTGAAGGGGTCGAGTGGTTGTATAGTCGAGTTCAGACGAAGGCTGTCAAGGACGGCAGGACGGATATAGATGTCACGGTGCTGGATGAGAGCGGAGATATCGTGGCGTTGAGCACGCAGGTAGGATTGGTAGTCAGTGCCAGTCGGAATTTAGCAGGACGAGATCTGAAGAAGGTCAAGGTGGATGCGCAGGGGAAGGCGAATTTGTGATAGTATATATATATATATATATATATATATATACATATAGATGCGTGTGTTTCCTGTCTATCTAAGAATATAGTTAATACATGTCTGTATATACATGCCAATGCCATAGTGGCTTCCAGGGAAGCGCCTTATATAAACCACTCTACATGACCGTTTCTCTCTATCTATCCTCGATCATCAAAAAACTGCCATCTATCATCTTGCCGAGCAGCTCACTCACTCACAACTTCCCCTTCGTCTGCAACCAGAAACCCAACGCCTCCGTCCTAACCGTCTTCCTCTTCACCCACTCCAACTGCCCAGCACCACTTCTCCCATTCTTCCCCTCCTCACCCTCTTCCTCCTGCACCAACTGCCCTCTCATCCAATACTTCCTCCCATCCCTCGCGACGCACCAGGCCTTCACGACCGCCAACCCAGGCACATACACCGGCCTCTTATACCTCACATCCAACTGCATTGTATACAACGCTCCGCGCGCCTCGGCCTCATTCTCCGCATACGCAGGCACATGCAGCGCAACACACAGCGAGACAACCTCATCTAGAATCGTGGCCACCGCGCCCCCATGCGCCGTGGACGGATGACCACTGATCCCCGGATTCGACAGCATAAGCAACGAGATCATATCCGGCGGACGGGCGGGCGCACTAGGCGTGATCGGTCTGCCCTGCGCATCGAGGCGGATCTGGGGCGGATCCCGCGGCACAGAGGGGATGTCTTTGCGACGTAAGGTCAGGACATGAGGGATGGTGGAGTCGGTTCCGAGCGTGTTGGCGAAGAAGGCGTCTTCGCCGCTTGGTTTGGCGGTTCGCGACCACGTGCGGATCGGAAAGTAGTCTGGGTTCGAGAGGAGGGAGTTGGACCAGGGATGGGCGCGGAAGGCGTCGAGAGTCGAGGCTGGTGGGTTGAAGGGTTGGGATATCGTTGCGCTGGGAGGGATGGCTGAGGGGGGGAGGTCGTCGGAGGACATGGTGGATAATAATAATTAACCAGTGGTGTATCAATTTGAGAGAGAGGAGATGGTAGGTATAAGTATTTTTTTTAGAGTATGTATGTCCGATAGATAGATAAATAAATAGAACGGCGAATGAAATCAATCAGCTGGCTCCTCCGGTGGTAATCATGAGTGTGAAACGAACAAGAGGTTTTTTTATTTTATCTTTAAGAAACATCATTTTAAGCACAGTACCTCGGCTCGTTCTTCTCGGACGGTTGGCATCCACTTTACTTTTAATCTACTCCCGCCGTCCGCGAGTCTATATGAAATTAACTTAACAACAGAAAGGAATATCGAACTTTCGATGACTATGACAACACATACTTTGACTCCAAAACTTCCAACCGAGCATCTGCACTGCTTAGCAAGTCAGTTTAACTAACTAGTTAACTGGTACATAATAATAGCCAACTAATTGAAACGCGATCCGATGTTCGGAAGGATGGATCGGGCTTATCTAAGCTAGCTGCGTTACTTTGCATTTATTCGTATATATTTTATATCCACTAGAGGAGGATGAAGTACTGTATATAGAGCAGCTATAGTAGATAATATCCATTCCAGTGTATACTGGTCGAAACTGGAGTGAGGCAGGATTGATTAATATACTCTAAAACTATGTATATCTCTGCTACTAACTAATTATCCTCAGATATTTAGGGGCGATAATCTTAACATAATATATCTAGCACGAGAAATTCTGTATAATAGAGTTTATTCATTCGAGCTTCTATAAGAGAGTATAAATAATCGAGAGAGAGAGAGAGAGCTAAGACATGTCTGCATCACTAGAAACCACAGTAGTAAACATCAAAGAAACCAGCTATATACCCAGAACCACACACTTAAGACAACATACCATATGTTAGATCCAGCTAGGACCAGACCTCTGAGGAGTTCTCCTTTTTGGTCGAGTCGTCTAGTCGACTTCCGATACCATATAAGAGAGAAAATTCGAAAAGCTCTACCATATAATATTATCCTACTATATACTAACTATACAAACATACAATAAAGGAAAGAAGTAACCATAAACCCTATCCAATCTATATCTCCTAACAAACAAACCCAATCTAACAATTACCGAGAACATCTATATTCTTCATTTAGCTCATTTCCTCTAACGAAAACAGAGGCTGCGCCACATAACGCAATCTACTCCGTATGCAGGAGACTAACTCTGGTCTCAGGGTCGCTTCCCCCGTTTAATCCTGCGGTTATAGCCGCGATAGTAGTTAACCAATAGTCTACCCTTGCGTTCCCTGAGACTGGTCCTAGTAGTTGGTTAGTGTATTAGTTGACTGATTAAGTCCCATAGACTTCTAGCGCTATCGTTGGTAAGCTACTTAGGATAGTTAATTAGTTAAGTACCAAGTTATGTAGGGGTTTACTACCTATATATAACTATAACTATGACTATAGGGCGTGCTACAAAGTAGGTAATTTAATTTAAACAAACAATCAAGCGATTCCACTGTCTCAGAACTGCGACTACTTACTACTTACTACTCCTATCTTTATTCAGGAACAGGACTCTGAAACATGTTTCTCTTTCTCTCCTGTCTGTGAATCTGGTCTTGAAATACCCGCCCTTTCTCCACAGCATCCACTTAATCGCTGCATTATTTACTGTAGTATAATATAAACACAACAATCTCACCGGCACCATCTACGAGACGGCTAGTACCGAGTCTAGAATGAATCAATGGAATGGAAATACTATAGTATTCGATTCTGTCTGATTCTTGGCAAACGTTGACTGACATCCGGTCTCACATTCCACGCGAGGAATTCTGCAACAGTTTGAAGTAAGGCGTCGAGAAAAGCGCATTGGGAAAAAGCAAAATATTATTGTACATACAGCACCTGAAAGCGGTTTGTTGACATCGTCTGTTGACATTGCAATACCATGATTGTTCGATTCCGATGGTTTGGATCTAGATACTCCGTTGCGCCTTTTTTTTTTTTATTCGGCACTTATTGGCACTGATACTTCTTGACTCTAATTTCCAGGTAGATTAAAGGGAAAGAATATTCGATTTTGTTGAACCGAAGTGATATGTTAACCGAACTACAACTCCGACTAAGATGCGGTGGACAGGACTAATATTGCTCTGACGTCGTGGTGAAGACCAGGTTCTGTCCGTACTTCCGAGTAGCCGGTCGCCCTCTACGGAGTAGTCTGTGGGCCAGAAAAGGATTCCCGATTTCCCAGGGCCTAATGTTCGAGTCCGCGTGCTTGACTGGATGAATTATCGTCAATCTAGCCCAGACAGTAACAATAATAATAATTAACACTGCGACATTTTGCCAGGATCAGAAAAAGCGGCTCAGAGATCCGCGTGCTCGGTACCTCGCATAAACGGGATAATGGGTCTATGACTCTATCAGAACTTCGATTAACTACTAGTATCTCCGTACTCCGTAAATCTTCCAACCTCCACTTTGGCCGCGGCCTCGGCTCCAGCTGTTGCTAACTGTAGGGCTGCACGGTGAAAGCTGGTACGGCACATGCCGACCACTCGATGCCGCTCCACTGCAACCGACTCAGAAGGATGCTCGTCGTTCGTTCCTGATTTTGACAGACGAGAGAACCTTGAGGCCGTTATCCAGTTCACCGTTGAAGTATTGCATACGTGCGAGTAGATGTTGTCACAGAACATCACCTGTCGCGACCAATCGCCATGCGCCGTGACCACTCTATCCCAGACGATAATAACCCAGGTTTCATTAGCCAGGTCGCAGAGCAATGCTGGCCCCTGTCATATGATATCGAACGCTCAACCCCAGACGGACAAGGAACGAACTCTGGCCAGTGATGTGACGTCCGGTGTCGAAGCTTTTCTAGCTGACAGATGGTGTCTGTTTTGTCGCATCTCCGTCGACACGGGCCCCATCGAGTGGCATGGGCGCTTTCATACCGAGACTAGAGCAGGCTACTCATTCCTGCTATCATTATTGTTTTACTATTATTATTGTCCTTGCTCAGAACCCCGGGCGCAGAAGAGCGTGGCTTGATTGTCTTCTTTTTCTCTCTCAGCCACCGTCTCTTGGGCGAAAAAAAGAAGCTAGATAAGTGGAACAGCCTGTTGAGAACTCCCAAGGGCTGGTTCCTGGGCGGCCAGTTCTTCCATGGTGCCGAATGATGGCCAAGTTCCTTGAGTAGTATTATTGCTAGCGCCAATGGTTCTCCAACTCTCCAACAACTTCTAGCCGGGTAGCCAGACCAGACCAGACTAGAGGATTAAATTGCAGCGATTCCGGTATTCCTACTGGGCCAGACGATGGTCGGCGCCGCAACGAGTGGAGACCGCAGTATGTTATCTGTGTTTTAATATTCGAGGTGGGCAAAGCCAGAATTTCGGCGAGCAGAGGAGGAGATTGCCGTCCATCGAGACATCGTAGTGTCTTTCCCAGAACAGGGTAGGCTTATCATGCCGGCAGAGCAACCTTGTCGGGCTCCAGCCACCAACGCACAGGACTAGCGAGCGGAATGAAGCTGTTGCGGCCATTATTGGGCATTGCTTGCAAGCTTGCAAGCGGGGAACCGAGCTGCTAGTAGTAGTTAGTTAGTAGTAGCAACCAGCATCGACTGCCGGGGGGAGGGGAGCACAGAAGGATACAGCGAGCACAACCATGGTAATTGACCGGGAAAACTGCGTAGACAGGAACAGTTCGTGCAGGAGAAACGAAGCAGACGTCTAGAGTCTGGATAGGACTGCCAGGGCAAAAAATGGATTGGAATTGGGGGATCCATGGGAAGAAGAAGCTCCCAAATGGACTGGTTTCTGCTCGGATGTTGAGGCTTTCCTCTTTCGGCTCTGGCGCTGGACCTCCCAGAAGACGCTGGAAAGAATTTAATTAATGAATCAATCAATCATTATTATTATAACAAGAGTCCGTCGCAAACAGGGAAGGCCGCAGAGCTAAGGGAAGCTATAACCATCCTAACTGATAAATAAAGGGAGCCACGACGGGGCTCTGGCGTGCCTTTTTCCTTTCCTCTTCTTCTTCATCTCAGCACAACAAACACCAACCCCGCAGGTGCCTCTTTTTTTCTCTTTCTTTTCTTTATCTCCTCCCTCTTCCCTCTCCTGGCCCTGCTCTTCATCCTTCTGCGTTCCCAGCAGCCTCTCATCGTTCCTCCAGACATACTCGTACGGTAGCAGACTTTGTCTACATACACCACACTCCGCAGCCATGCGTTCCTCAGTAGTCCTGATGGTCTCTGCCTTCGCGGCCGGCATTGCCGCCCAGGCCAACTACACTCTGCCTGCTGGTTTCAACCCTGGCGAGGTCTTGTCCACTGAGAAAGGTATGTTGGCCTGGATGCCATCAAGAACGGTGTTTCGACCGTTGTCATTATTATTATTATTATTGATTCAAGGTGATACTGACTGCGATCCATAGCTTCCTGGTGTACCGGCCAGCGTAACCTCTGCCCGAAGATCTGCGGTGGAGTTGCTAACGTGAACACATGCGATCCGGTATGTTTCCTTGGAAGCCCTGTGTAATAGATAATTGATTAATACAATTACATACTGTACTACCCGGTAGATCGTGGGCCACCGGCTGACAACGTTCAACCAACTTTAGGACTCGCTGAGCTTCTCTTGTGTCTGCTCGGACGGCTCTGTCCCCGACTCTGCTGAGTACACCCAGTCGCTGCCCTACTTTGTCTGCGAGGCCAACTTCGGCCAGTGCATTCAGAACCACCCCAACGACCTGGACGGCCAGAACCAGTGCAAGGAGCAGGCCAAGTGCGGTACCAAGAACGCCACCAGCGATGCTGCTTCGACTTCTTCGGCTGCGGCCACCAGCGGCACGGCGGTGGCCACCACTCTGACTACAGCTACGACGACTGCTGGCGGGCAAGTTGCCACGACCACTGCTGCGAAGGCCACTGCGTCTACTTCGCACTCGGCGGCCTCTGCTGTCAAGGTGGCCCAGGACTACTCGGCTGCCCTGCTGGTCGGAGGTCTCCTCGCGGGCTTCCAATTCGTTCTGTAAATATTTCGGGAACGGCACAGCGACATCCCCTCTTGTTAAAAGCATACACGTTTCTCTGCGTAATTGCAGTTGGGAGGACGAAGCGCGATATCCTTTTTTCTTTTTCCGAGCATGGAGTTTTCGGCTTTCTAATTGGTTTTAATTGTTTATTCCCCCGACCGTGATGGTCTTTTACTGTCCTTATGATCGTCCATACGACTTATGTCTGTCCTTAATGATTGCATATGATTCGCGCTGGCTGTCCGCGCCTAGCAGAGCAATAAATAGTTAATACGGCCGATTAATCATGGATTCTCTGTCTTTTGTAGATAACCAGTCCAACAGGGAATGTCATATTGTATGATTTCGCTACTTTCATGGAGATCAGATCAGATCTGCGTCTACTATCAGTGAGTGAGGAAATGAATGATCTGCACCGTGTTATATACAGTTGTATGCACCCCAGACTGTTTGGTAATTCTGGATGATTAACTTATTGCTTGCTTCGACACTAACCAACTGAGAAGCGAAGAGAGCGGGCAACCACACCGTATACCAGCAGCCATACCTCGATAGTCCAAAGAAAAAAAAGAAGGAAAAAAAGCCTCGAGTAATTGAATTAATCACAATCGATATAGAATCCAATTAATGAACCAAAAATCCTCTGTAGCCTCGATCCAGCTGCGTGGTGCTGGCTCTCCTTCGTCTCCGCTGGAACTTCGCCAAGAGTTCTCACCACACACTGAAATTTCTCCCCCAACTTTATCGATAGTCTCCAACGCCAAACCTTTCCCTCCACCAACCTATCCCCCCCCAATCCTCCATTCTACCAGTCAAGCCAGCCCAGCATGCCGGCTCCGACAAACACCCTCCTCATCGAGGGCACTTTCACCGAACTGTGCGAGGAGCTCGCCCAGTACATCGACGTCCTGCGCAAGAACGAGGGGCCCAGCGTCCACGCCGAAGTCGCCCCGCTGCTCGAGCCTCTGCGCCAGCAAGAACAGAATGAGCAGGAACCCGACCTGAAGCAGCGGGATGAAGTTCTTAAGAAGATCGTGTCTGCTGCGGCCGTTTTGAACTCGGCGCCTGAGAACGGTGGGTGGGAGTCTTTTGCCCGGTTGAACGCGTTGATATGATTTTTTTGAAGGAAGATGAGAGGCTTACAATATGGACCAAAAAAAAAACAGAGATCATCTCCGCCTACAACCTCCTCGTTCACCTGTCTCACCAGGCTGAGAAGCCGGATATGTTCCTTTCTCGCATCTGCACCTATCTCGCCAAGCCCATCGCCTCGTCTCCGCAGCAGGGCCCGTCGATAGCCCTGTCCATCCTCTGCACCATCTTCAACACCCTCGCGCCCAACGACTCCAGCCGCTACCACGTCTTCCTGGCCATTGTCGCCGTCATCAGACAGTCCGGATCGTCGTACGCCTTCGAGGCTTTCAAGCCGCAGCTGACCGCCCAGCTGCCCGGATGGATCGCCGCGTGGGAGTTGGATGAGGAGGATGCGCAGAAGGTGCATCTGGCTGTGGCCGACGCTGCCACCGCTGCCGGTGATAATGAACTCGCCTACACCCACCTGGTGCAGGCTCTCCAGACGATCCCGGCCAATGAGGCCTCCAGCAAGGAGTCTCGCGATCTGGCTATCCGCGCCCTGACGGCGGCTTTCTCGAACCCGGCCATCTTCGACTTCACCCCCTTGTCCGCTTCCGATGCGGTCCAGGCTCTGCGGGCCAGCGATACCTCTCTCTTCGAGCTCCTCGAGATCTTCGCGGCGGACACGCTGGATGCCTACGAAGACTTCGTTGCCTCGACCCCTCTGTCCTCCATTTCCGGTGGCGTCCTGGCCGACGCTGGAGAGACGCTGCAGAACAAGATGCGTCTGCTCACCCTTGCTTCTCTGGCTGCCTCGACCCCCTCTCGCTCCCTGCCATACTCCACGATCGCCTCTTCCCTCCGTGTGCCCGCCGAGGACGTTGAGAAGTGGGTTATCGACACGATCCGTGCCGGTCTCGTGGAGGGCAGGCTGTCGCAGCTGCGGTCCGAGTTCCTGGTCCACCGGGCCACCTACCGTGTGTTCGGTGAGAAGCAGTGGGCGGAGGTCCAGGGCCGTCTGATGGTCTGGCGCCGCAGCCTCGAGAGCGTTCTGGGCGTCATCCGCTCGGAGCGGGAGCGTTTCGTGCGCGAGGGCATGCAGGCTGCTGCGGAGGAAGCCAAGTCCAACGAGAAGGGTGGAAGGACCATCGAGCGACGACGGAATCAGCAGCAGCAGCAGCAACCTCGGGAGGTGGAAGTGGCTGGCGGTGCTGAGTAGATATACCCCTCCTCGCAATATCGTCGAAGCTAAACATGAGGGGGGGTGAAATCCACCTCAAGTCATATCCTTTTTTTTCACTCTTCCGCCGCCGCCATCTATTTACCTTTTTTTTATGTCATTCTTCTCATGTTGCTTAGATAGGGAGCCCTCTGTATGCATGATGCTTTTTCTTTTTTTTACTTTTTAACTTAACGGATCGGGACAGTTCGTTTCATCGTTCCATTCGATCATCGTCAAATCGGATAATGAGTCACGTTGTTTAAAACAAAAACGGGTCCTTTTTCTTTTCTCTTACACTTGCTGGTGAAGAATAAAATGGGAGATGGAGGACAAAGCAGAATTCAGGTTAGGGAGCAGGAAGGCCGATGACATACGAGACCACTGTGTTAGGTCGAATAGGTTCTTATTCGAGAAACTAGAGGGGGAAATAAGAAAAGAAAATGGAACGAACAATTGAACTGTGATTACGAATGCCCTTCATCATATCCACGACCAATTCAATGCTTGGAATTGGGCTTGTTCTATATCTATCCTGTAGGACGCATCCGCTGGATGAAGTATTTAATCCAATCGTAGGGACCAAAACGGGGTGGTTTTGTAAACCAAAAAGAAAAAAAAAATAAGTCAACAAATATTTATATACTTTCTCCTTCAAGATATCCTTTACAGCGGGTTGATTCCCTTGGCCTCAATACCCTCCCTGATACGAGCGTATACATCCTCCTTCGTCCCCACCGCCTCGATCGCAACCACCTTACCCTGCTTCCTAAACTCATCCACGACCGGCATGCTCGTGTCAATAAAGGTACGGAACCGCTTCTTGATCGATTCGATATTATCATCATCCCGACCGGAAGTCTCCCCGCGCTTCAGCAGACGCGCCTCGAGCACATCCTCCGGACAGCTCAGGAAGAGCGTGAATTTCGACGGCGCAACAGTCTCTTCAAAGAAAACCGCCTGGTCAAGCTTGCGCGGAAATCCATCGATCAGGAACCGAGGCTTCGCCGGCTTCTTGGTGTCGGAGTCGACGCCGCTACGACGTTTGGCCAGCGTGTCAGACATGGCGTTGGACAGCAGCGCAACGGTGATTTCCATCGGCACGATCTTGCCTTCTTTGATGTAGTTCCGAATCAGGTCGCCGTATTGACTACCCTCGCGGACCTGTTCGGCGCGTAGCAGGTCACCGGCAGATAGGTGCGTGAAGCCATAGTCGCGAACGAGGTTCTCGGATTGCGTGCCTTTACCGGCACCGGGGCCGCCGAGGACGAAAACGACGTCGACTTCGTCGGGGGCGAAGCGGGGAGTGTTGTTCTTGATGGAGGTTTCGGTGGCCATTTTTTATTTTTATTTCTCTCTTAAGGCGTAGGTAGATTGATTTCCTTTCCCCCTTTTTTTTACTCTGACTTAACGGCTGGTTTGGCGGTGCGAGATTTGACCAGCAGGATATATGCGCCCGTACCAACAGCGAGGAGCACAATGAACGGAACGACCTTGAATTCCGAACGACGGTTCTGCGGAGGCGGAGAAGAAGAGGTTGAGTAAGGTGTAGTAGTTGTATTCAGACGCTGGTGAAGACGAACGAGTTGTTGTTGTTGTTGGTGGTGGTGGGGCAGCGATGATCGACCGGCGGCGGCACGGGATGAGGAAGATAGAGCTCGCAGAGACAGAGAGCTCAATGCTGGACGAGCCAGATGGATGGGCATTGGGAGGATAATGGTAGGAGGAGTACAGTACAAATGCTCGTTGGGTAAGGATAGGATAGGATAGGAAGTTAGAAGCAGAGAGGAACTCCAGCAGGCGGCCCGGGGGAAAAGGTGCGGTGGCGGAACGCTGGAATCTTCAACAATTCTCCGCGTGTGGTTAGCGTAGCTATGAGATCCGTTTGATTAGCAGGAGAAGTAGAGTATACTACTATCGATGCATCAATACTTTTGCATGCTCTAGGAAATGCATTGGTTCTGCATGCTATGGAGGGGATGGAGATGTGCTCCATATTTTGGAGGTCCTGGTGTAAGTATACAAAAGGGGCTCAGTAATAGATGGGATGCCATCAAATGAGACCTCACACACCAGAACATCTTCCCAGATAGCAGCCTTATACAGATTACAAGAGACATGTTACATTCACTTCAGAATGAGAAAGATTTCAATCTCACATAATTAATCATAGGGCATTAATCCACACAAGACGCTGCAGCTACCCTTCACTCATACTTGACATCAGTTACCTCTCCCTCCAACCTCCCCAGATTTCATTGTGTCTGTCTCTGAATGGAAGATAATAGCCGATCTGAATAGATGAATGAGCATTCACTTGTGACGTGAAGTGCGTCCATTTGGCACATCTCTTCTCTGCTGGTACTACTTACCTTCACCCGTCTATTCAGCTCTGTTCTGTTCCTGCCTTTTACAGTCCTAATCTCTTTCTTACTCTGAACAATCATCCAACTTATTGTTGCTTCAGATATGAGACTTTGAGGATTTCATCTAATCTCACATATTGTACCTCAGCTGGGAACAAAGAACTGAAAGTGTCGTGGCTGGTGTTAATTCTGAGAAATCAGAGTGGTACACCCCGTTCTTTTTCAAGTCCAAACTCGAATATATCAACTACAACTATCATGTGCAGACCGGTTGGTACTGTTTGTCCTTCTCTGGACTCAGCTCCGATGGAGCAAAATGATGGCCATACCCGTGGTCGCGGTCGCGGGCGCGGGCGAGGAAGAGGACGAGGACGAGGACGAGGACGAGGTCCGCGTGGGAGCCGCGGTCGAGGAGGCAGCAATGGTGGTCAGGAAATAGGAAATTTAACTCAGGTTAGATGATTCCATTGTCTATCTTATCTGATAGATAAAATACTGATCGATCGTACAGGGTCAAAGTTCTATCAACCCGCAAAACATCCAGAATAGGGACAACCAAAACCACACTGGACATCCGAGAGGTACGGATAGAGGAAGAGGCTCGAACAGGGGCAGGGGCAGGGGCCATGGGCGCAGAGGATCTAGAGGAAATCAACAGCAAGTCTCTTCAGTGGGTCCGTATAGATCTCTGGTCGTCGAAAAGAGACCGGAATCTCAGTCGAATGCGAGCGTTTCTGGTCGACGTGGAAAAGATACCCCTGAAAGAGGGAACTGGATGCCACGACGCAATCGTGCATCGAGAGGGAATTCTACGAACAATGATCGCGCAAGGAGATCTTCTCGAGAGAAAGGGAAAGCCCCCGTTAGACAGCCCGTGGTTGAGAATGGGGGACAAGGAAAGATGCAACACCACGGCACTGCTGTCCCTGCGAAGGAGACTATTACTCCAGTCGCCCTGGACAAGATAGCAGAGCCATCTGGAATAGTGCCAGATACTCAATTCGACGAAATAGAGCAGGAAAGCACGTGGGAGATGTCTTCTGTCCAGGTTGAGATCGACATTCAGGAACCAATTGCTCCTGTCACTCAGCAAACCATCAAGGCAGTCAATCAGCCAATCCAGCAGAAGACTCTCTTATTCAGACTGCCCGGGGAACTACGTACAAAGATCTACGAGTACATATTTGGCACCTATAGAGTCTGCATATATCGCTTCCGGGCGCCAAATACAGGAAGCTCGAAGCGCCAATACCGTCTGCGTCACACCTGTCTTCCCCCTTACCATCCGACCATCCATGACTTGATCCCAAGGACCAAATCCACTCCGGCGATCCCGAGTGCCTTGGTGTACACATGCAGGGAAATTTATCGTGAGACAGTCCTGTTCTTGTACTCGAACACGCAGTTTGTGTTCCGCTCCACCAAAGTCATCAACACCTTTTTGAGAAACACGCCCATTGTCGCACAGAACGCTATTCGGCACCTAGAGCTCAATTATATCGGATACAACGAGCCACGACTCACCGAGTTCCGCAAGTTCAAAATCCGCAGTGATCTGGCCTGGTATCTAGCGTGTAGCACCATGGCACAGAACTTTACTTCCTTGCGCGTGCTACACCTGCACATAACTATTTGGGACTGGCCGATGAAACTGGACCTGAAAGAAAGATGGGCCATCCCGTTGCTTGAATTTGCTAGAAAGGGTGGCCTCGACCATGTAGATGCGAACCTGCGCATGCACATGTTCAACACTGATCAGTTGCAGGAGGCTGCGCGCAAGCTGGAGAAAGCGCTTATGAATCCAAGGACGTATCAGATCAAAGATGACAGGCGCTTAGCTATGAGACTGCAAGGCCCAATAAGAGCTGGAAAGGTGCTGAACATTGTTTTCTAGTTGGTCGGCTGCTTCGACGCATGTTCTGGAGCATTGGACATCCCCTCGTCCTTTGATCACTCTATGCCTTGACAGCTGGATTCTGGAAGAATCCAGAGACATTGTTGAGATGAATTTACGGCTCACTATTCCCAGACTTGTTCTCTTTTACGATATCTCTTTTATGGTGCTTGTTCTATCTTCCAGGGTCAGTGGACACGTACATGAAATGTCTCCACGATAATCCCAGCAGCAGTTCGCATTGGGGTTATCCCAATTCCCATTATGAGATTTCCCCTGTTTTCGGCTTCCAGTAATCATTCCAACCTAGCTAGTTAGTTAGCACTCGAGTATCAGCTTATCAATATTTTCCCCTGTTTTCGATGATATACACAGAAGTAGTATTTCCATTTCCTAGAGTCGTAGACTTACTCCATTGTAAACCCTCATGAGGGAATCTACCGACATACGTATATGACAAGTCAACGGTATTAATCAAGTTCAGAAGTTGATATGATACATCAATATACTATTGAGATAGTTCTAATCCGATCCGATCCAGACCAGTTAACTTAACTTATATACATTGTGATAGCATGATAATACAATGCATAGACATAGACATAGAGATACAAACGCACAGAACACACATCGAAGAAAAAGAAAAGGATATAAAAAAGGCCCGTTAATAACTCTCAAGATGATACCCCCGCACCTCTCTGTAGCTAAATAGGGAAAGAATATAGGTATATATAGCTAGATAGGTGGTAAGATGGTATGTTGAAAAAAAACGCCATTCACGCCTCGTCTATGCATATAAGTGAGTTGATATGATATTACTGGTTCCAGCCCTGCGTCTCTTTTTGCTTTGGTTTTTCTCTTTTTGTTGTCTTCGACTTTTTTTCTTTTCTTTTTTAATGCTGAGCAGGAGTATCAGCCGCCATGGGTGTAGTAGGGACAGTTTCCTCCAAGGGAATCTGAGCGTATGATCGTCTAGTGCGTCGTTTCAGACAACATGAGAAACAAGCCACGATGCCGCCGGCGGAACAAGCGACGAGGACAAAGATCAAGAGACCTCCGATACCGCCGACGAAGTCGTATGCTTTGTCGGCTGCCTTTTGGGCTTCTTCCTTGTCTTCGACTTCTTCTTCGTGCTCGGACGAGGTGACGGCCATGGGGTCTTCAGGGACGGGGATTCGGTTGTCGGCGTGGTAGCCGGCCGCAGCCCAGTCTGGAGGCACGGAGCTCTCGTGCACGTCGGACATGCCCATGGGGTTTCCGTCTGCGTCGAGGGGTTCGGCGGAGATCCAGTTCATGTAGCCGTCGGCGATGAACATGGTTTCGAACCCGGCGTAGGGGACGTTGCCGATGAGGACGCGGGGACTGGCAGCGTCGGCTTGGGCGAAGAAGTTCCACGATGCGACGTCAGTTGCGCCGTTCCAGCTGACGTAGATAACGGTCGAGACGTCTGTGTCCTTGGCGCCGTAGACGAAGGCTTTGAGGGCTGGTGGTTCTGCGGGACGGCCGTGGAAGTCGTATTTGTACGCGCGGTAGGTCGAGTAACGGTCCGAGGTGAAGCGAGCTTCCATGGCGCAGGTTCCGTCCGGGGTGAATTCGCTGTGGTAGCCTTGCTCGCTCCATCCAACGAAGATGTTTCCACTCTTGAGCAGCTGGACATTGCCGCGGAGTCGTGACAGGCCTCCGTCCGGGCGGCCGTAGCGGTGGACGACGGTGGCTTTCATGTTCACCGTGTCCAGCTGGACGATGAGAGCCGACGAGCGGATGTCATCTTGGGACTGCTCGTCCGAGGCGTTGTTCAGGAATGAGATCGTTGTGTGGGTGCTGTTGTGTTCGACGAATCGAGCGTGATGCTGTCGATAGAAACGGAAGTCGATGAGCTCGAAATTCGACCATTTGCCGCCTAGTCGCCAGATGATGTCTCCAGTCGCTCCAGAGATGAGGTAGATGGTATCAGTAAAGCGGCAGGAGAGAAGATAATCTCCATCGGCGTTCTTGTCGACGGAGTTGACGTGACTGGCATCAGTTTGTCAGATTTTTTAAAAGGGTCCATAGAGAATTAACAATACCAGTCATCTCAAACTTACATATAATCCCAGCCGGGAGGATCCATGACCGGGGGCTCGGGACTGGGGAAAGTACTCTCCTCCAGTGGGATGTGCCCAAGACTTCTCCATTCGTAGACGACATCTCCCGTCGCGACATCCAACTCGACGAAGCCTCCGGTGTGCACCCATCCATGGTCATCTGGGCGACCAAGCTCACCGTAGTCCAAAAACTCCGGTCTGTACGCAGTGGCCAGAGCGGTTTTTCCACCTTCCAACACATTGAATTCATGGATATCGAACGCTCCCAGGTCGTTAGTCACCGGAACCACGTCCTCGTACTCGAGACGGCCGTCGAGAACGATGGCGCCGCCCTTTTTGTCGCCGTGCTGCTGATAACCTTGCTGCACAATGAAGGAGACATGAGTATTGTTATCGATGTTATCGATCGCCTTGAAATCGAATGTATTCCGATTCTCGAACAGACACGACCCAGACCAGACCAGATTCTGCTTCTCGTCAGCTTCTTCTGTAGACTTCTTGTTTCGCCAGGCTCATATGCTCGCGTACCCCATCTCCATCGTAGATATGCGGGCCAACCTGGCACGGCATCCACTTCTTGGTCGGAGGTTCCATCTCCAGGACGGTATACGGGGCGACGAACCAATATCCCGGCGTCACCAGGCGTCGGTCATGGTATGTGATGTCGAATTTGGGCGCTCTGATCTCCGGCCGCTGGAGTCGTCGTAAGCCGTTTTGTTTCTTTTTCTTGTTCTTCGCTTCTTCTTCTTCTCTTCCCGCTGGGAGAGATATGGATTGCGCTCAACTTACAGTAATAAAAGTGAGCAGATCGTCGTCCGCGATCTGAGCAGCGACATTGCGACTGAACAGAAAGGGAACGATCCACCATAGCGATATCATTGTCGTGGAAAGTTGACCTTAACGAGGGACCGGAACAGAAGGTAAGAAGAGGGTCCAGAACACCCAACACAGAATCACCATGGATGGAGAGGAAAGAAAAGAAAGTAAGAAAAAAAAGAAGAAGACACTCTTCCCTACAAGACCAAACAAAAACACGTAATATAACAGACGGCGACGCCGCGAGGGCGTTTTGGTATCTTCTTCCTCCTCAAGCTGGGGCGGCGTGTCTTGGCAGGTGTTTTAGAGCGGGCCGTCCGGCTTCGTTGCGACTCTTGGATGGTCAACTCTCGCCCCAGGAGTACGAATCTCTCCGCTGATCGTTCGGCTGTCTCCAGGGGCACTGGATGACTTGGTCTGTCTGTCAATCAGGTACGAGAGTATAATTAAATAAATATATTATATTATTGACTATAACTAACTAACTAGTTATATGCCCGGTCCAGCCCCTGCAAGTGCAACGCCATGACAGTCCCCCATCTTCGCCCGCTTTTTCCAACCTCGTTCTTCTCGCGTTCTGTGGTGGAGTGATGCTTCGACCCCAGAGATCCTTATCTCCCGCCTGTGGAACTGCCTAGACGCCAAGAATGCTCCGACTGATCCCCGCGTCGTCAGACAGGGGGAAAGTTGAGAACAACAGACAATAATACCACCGTAACATGGGGTCATCATTGAACTGTTTCCAGCTGCGCTCTTTGAATCCATCATTTCCAACCAGAGAAGATAGCGGTGGCGAGAATATGTCTACCAAGTTCCAACACCTTTTCGCCGTTCTGGCCAGTAATATCTCCGTGAGATGTACTGGATGTGATATTCTCCGAATAAGGAAGGCCATTGACATCTAGAACATGGCCAGTCTCCCCGTAGACATGAAAAGGAGCGCTATCTGGAGTATTGCCTCCCTGTGGCGTTGTCATACGTTATCCGTCTTCTCTGGTCTATCCTAGTGTCGTAGCTCTCAGACGATGCATCTTACGGCCTAGCGAGCATATGCCCGGGGATAGTACCACGCAACGATTATCAATAACAACGATGGACGTCTAAATAAAAAACCCATCGACAGTCTATAAAGTTATCTAGAGTATCGCCCCTCTTCAGCCTTATCGAGATCACGTCAAGTCCAAGATCTCCAATCGGAATCTACCGAGAGAGCACGCCATACCGAGAGAGCACGCCATAAGGGCCCGAACAAAAGCTGTCCAATTAGCATCCCCATTGATCCTAACTGACATTATCTTAGTGTAAATATACTGTACTATTGTTATTGCGGCATATTCCCTAGCTAGAACGCGGGGTGTCTGGCCGCCCCCATTATAAATAAGACGTACTTCTAGCTCGAAAGTCCGTCGATATATCGTGCCATTCGCTGTATCGAGTTGGACAACCGGCCCTGTAAACCGGTACTGTGAAGACAGACTGAGATTCATTGCATCGTCAAGAATATTCTCGATCCGAATGACAGTTGCACAGGGCGTGCTTCAATACTGAATTAGAGCCAATTAGCGAAGAAACAAGTCAGAAATAGAAACAGAGGACGAACCACACGCCGGAGAGAGCCATTGTTGAAAGGTCTCTAGCTGGCAAGAACCTATCTTGCCCTTAGGGGCACAACCTGCAAACTATCTTAGTGTCGATGCTCAGAAACGATGAGTCTCACATAGTTACGTCCTCAACCCATGGCTGACTTTCCCCATATGCCTCAGACCATGCCTGTCGTTCAGACCTGATCTTGTCCCAGAGTCCTTCGCGAACACAAGGGCCAAGTACCATCCTTCCTGCGAACCAAACCGTTACTTTATCTGTATCCACCTTGAGCTCTCCGCGTCGATATGCGTCCAGTACAGCGCTTATGTTTCTCATATCTTCCTCAGGCATAAGCCCCGGTAAAGCCGGAGCCGGAGAGCCGTTGCGGTATGCGTATCTTAAGACCCCAATCCTCCATATAACATCAGGATCTAGATTCTTGGGTACATCTGGATAGAAGCTAAACCCAAAGTTAATACATTTCAGATCATACTTAAAGAAGAGTCACTTACGGTGCTTGTGGTGGAATTATATGATCGATCTGATCCAGGGTCTGCCTGCAGATATCGGTATTAATTCCACGATGTATCGATTCCTCTAACCCTGCTATTGTCTGAGCACGGTGCCTAATATATAGTCAGTCTGGCATATTCACTTTTTCAGTCGAAAACAAGACCATACAGGGTAAAATCTCTGTCGAGAATGGCCCTTTCGACTTCGATCTTCGGATACCGTTCCAACATCTCATCTATGCTCATGGTGCTGCCTTCCATCGGTCGAGTGCTGATGGAGATACACTTCCGGTAAAAATCAAGTGTCCGCGGAAGAGGTGAGGTGAGGTGAGAGGGGAGCAATCGAGGACCCGGGAAAGTTGTCAGCGCACAAAGCGAACGCCAGGTGATCTGTTAATTCATCCGTTTGCAGCAGGTTCTCTGGATCTTAATTATAAGATAGAACCTGCTAGATCACTTGATTACTACCTAGGTAGATCCTTTGTATAGGTACCTATAGAGATAAATATGGGTTCAGATCCCACCCTAGAACTAGAAGCGAGCAAGGAATGCAAGAGGGTTCAAATCAGACTATGCTCCCGTGCTATTCACTATTCGACACAAGTTAAGTCTCTGTCGTTGCTGCCTAATTGTTATTAGAGTCGTGGCTGGGAAGGTAATAATATAGAAAGGCAAGCATTCAGCCCCTCCGACAGCCTAAAGTTGACGGTATCAACCCCTCAAGATTATGTGGTCATCGTCGCAATGGTCAGGAACGTCACCCTTATCATTACAGCCAAACTGGCGTCATTATGTCTATAATGAACATAGACTGGGTATAAAGATAGTCGCAGTTTACAGTAGAATAATCCTTTTCCCTTTTTTTGACAGTTACCGGCGCGGCTTCCTCATCAGGAACTATATATTCGAATACTTCAGGCGAGACAAAAACTCTTTGGATAATAGGAAGCTCTTTTCCATAACGCTATACAACAGCACTGCTCTAATATAAAGATGCATCTGTCTGAGGATTCCGACTACATCCCAGTAGAGATGCAGTGGGATACGCAAGACAGCACCAAGGGCGAGCCGACTGAGGACGATTTATCTCAGGATCTCGATAAACTGGGGATCGACAAGGAGAAAGAAGCGACCAGCAACAACATTGAAGCTGAAGGGCAGGATGCGGCATGGGAAAACCCCGTCTCTCTGGCCGACACGACTATTGATCATGGTGACGAAGTTGCTCGGGAGCTCATCGAGATAGACCCTGAAGGAGACGCTGCCCTTCGTGTAGAGTCCAAGGACCTTATTGTATCATCAAAGATCCTAAGCATGACATCTACTGTGTTCAATGAAATGATGAGGAAAGATGACACTGAAACCGCTGATTTGGGCGCACTCCTGATTCTGCGCTTGGAGGGTGATGATCCTAGAGCTTTGACTCTGCTGTGCCAACTTTTGCACTACAGATTCGATGCTGTCGAGTCCCAGCCGAATCTGGATCTGTTACTGGAGTTTATAAATCTGGCCAACAAATATAAGTGTATACCGTCAGTTCAGCTCCAGGCATCCCACTGGCTTCGTGGTGAGGCCAAATCCCCGTGGCTTACCCGTGAAGAGACGAAGAAAATGTGCCGTGCGGCATTTCTATTGGGAGATGGAGAAGAATGCCGCAAAATCATGGAGTCTTTCACAGCAGATGAACTTGAAGAAATGCTGATAGACTCTGATCTTCCTGCGGAACTGATAGGTATGTATCCCAAATCGTATGAATGTGCAACTGCCAGACGGAAGCTTTACTGCATATGCATCTAAGTTCCTTTTTATGATCATTACCTGACACAGCTACAGTCGAAATATTCTCTCTTCGACGCAGAAATTTCGGGAGCTATCTCGCCGCAATCGAGAATGCCATCCTCTATGTGCAGCGGGAGAGTAAAAGGAGGAGATGGTCAAGTCAAAAAATCTGCAGCTCCTGTCGGATGCTCAAGCCTCGACAAACAAGAGTGTGCGGTTCGTGCAGAGGGCGCGAATTCGAAGAATTCGACTGCACGAGCGCTTCGCAATTAGCCGCATTCATGAAGATCCTCGTATCGTGTGGTGTATGGCCGTTGAATGAGCGATTTAACGAGGCCACTGCCAAGATCAATGGTATACTTAAAGATGGGACTGATGAGCTTTATAGACAGGGGAACACCATGCACGATTGTGATTACGGGACGGACTGCGTTGTCCATACGGCCCTATCACGGTTGATACTAGATCTGAGGGCCATACAAGGTGCCTAAGTGGATGATGCAAGGCGCGAGAAGAAGTCCCTCATATGGCCACGAGCGCGGCAGTATGCTCCTGATAATCGAATATCATTGCTACTAAGGACTTATTTTATTGATTCATCCAAAGGAGTAAAAGAGGAAGGAAACTGTAATTGCAAGTAGAACTCCTAACCACAGCCGATATTCGGTACAGTAGTTGGAAGTAGTTAGTTACGGAGTAGTTGAAACCGTGCACATAGGTACTTGAGCGCACGAGCCTCACCGCCTTCGGAGTTTCCTACCAACGGCCATCTATCTACTCAAGCATACATACAACTGCATGAAAACGACAGTATAGCAATACCATCAGTAGAGACAGTGACGATTCCTCTTTCTCTTGTAGCCACATATTTCATCACATATATACAAATCAATCTCAAATGCGTTCTTCTCTCCGTCTCCTTGCTGCTATCTCGCGCAGCCAACCATCGAAATCAAAGAAGCCCGCTCTTGGTCTCGAGCATGTAAGTACCTAGCCACTATGATCGAAATCAAAGTAATTTGATATACTCACAAGATGCTAAATTTTCAAATACAGTTCCTACAAAGACAACGTGTTCTTGCTTTATGGAGGGAAATCGTCAGAGCTCTGAATCGTAAGTATCATGTTCATTGCCGTCCTTCTTTTTCTTACCCTTCTTCCTATTTCATCCTGGAGTCAACGTTGGATGCGATTATTTCCGCGATGAGCTAGCTACTTGTATATCAACTAATTTCAACAACCAGAGGTTCCCAAGTCGCCAACACGCGATGAACTGCGCGCCTACGCACGACAAGAATTCGAACGAAACAGAAATGTTGAAGATTTGGTAAATCTCAGTTCCTTCCTGGATTGTTCCTTTGTGTATGTGAATTCTTTTCAAGATGCAGGACTGACGTGTTTTATGATGAAAAGTCACATATTCGATATTTGGTTTCTGTAAGTTATTCTTCTTCTCTGGGACGTGTGGTTAATGGGATTTGCTTATGATGACTAGACGGGGAAAGCGGAGTTCGATACCATGAAGAGATATATTGATGAGCAGGCTGCGCGGTAGGGATTGTCTTCTTGATGAAAGGGGTTGGGGATCTTTCCTCGGCGGTTGGTTTCTGATTTTGATTGCTGGTTGATGTTCTTCACCCAGGGCTTTTTGGTGCATGATGATTTATAAGAGACCGGACGACCAAAAAAAAAGGTCCAACATGAAAATATGGGGGGAATGCTCTTTTTGAAATATTTTTTTTCTTATGCCCGGGAATCAAGGAATATATGTGCAATACAATACATCATAATAAAGCGGAGATAGACTGATATAAAAATTCGGCCACCTTCCTTATCCTCTTTGCTCGCCCCCCTCATCTGCCTCCAGAAATCAAAGACCTCACTGCATCCAGCACACCTCCACCCTTCTTCTCATCCGAGGACTCAACAGCCGCCCTGTTCGTGTCCTGCGGTGGAGACGCCGGCTGCGGCTGCGCGGACTTCTTCTCAGCTTCCTTTGCAGCAGCCTCGATGGCCGCATGGCGCTCTCTCCAATCTCTATCCTCCTTGTCTCTGACCTCCAGCTCGCGCAACCACGCATCCCGTTTCTCCTGCCGCTTGCGTTCATCGAGCACCTTCTCGAACTCCTTCCGCTGTTCACGCTCGGTCTTATAGTACATTCCACCAGCGACGACTGCGAGAAGCGTAAAGAACTGGGCGTAGATACGCGCTCGGAACATCCGGTTCATCTCGACGGAATCACGGGCCCTCATCGATTTGTACGCGCGGTAAAGGGCATAACTGGTGGCACCGCATCCTATAGGATTATACGAAAAATAAGTCCGAATCCATCAATGATACCACTCTGGAAGTTCCTTTTTATTCCACCCGTTCCGGAATGGCCAGAACCGTAAGAACCAGGACAAAGAAGTGACCAGACATACCTAGCGGAATAAGAGGCTCTTCCTTAAGACGTCTCTTGAACTTCTGAGCCGATGTCTCCTCCTTGAATTCCCTAAGAAAAAAGAATCCCCAATCAGCCCTTTTTCCATTCCATCGAACATTTCGGAAGGATTCCGCGAATTCAAGCTATGGGTAAACGTACATCTGGTCAAACGACGACGGGAGAGGGTTGTCGCTCATCTTGGGTATCGATTACCAGGGTTTCTGGTTTATGTAGGGAGAATATGCGAATTCCAGGTTCAGTTGACCTGCAGAGGGGCTCAATTGGTAGTAGTTTGACTCCGGTTGAGTCCGTGGAGTCGTGCGGGATTTCGTCGTCGGCGAGGTCCTCAAGCTCCGATGCGCGAACAGTCGCTCTGCGCTGAAGGGTAAACGCTCAGTATAGAATGGGAGAATTAATGGACAGGCAAATGTCGCTTGCCCTCGTTTCGAGCGGTGATGGTAACTTCAGTCACGATAAGCAAGCAAATGCCTCTCGGCATGACGTTCGGGCGAGAGACGGATGCCAAGGACTTTGCTGTTTTACAATACGAAAAATACACGACAGAGACGGATTTTGCAGGTATGTAGTATTGCCTGATTTTTACATTGTGGACTTGTACATTAACAGTCAATAATTGACAATCGTATAACTACAGATGCTATAGGGCTAATTGAGTCCTGGTAAATTGGGTTACTCGTGGTCTGGTGATACATTGTTTATAGTATTGACCTGGTATCTCTGTGTACGTAGTACTACGTACTGGGACGTATATAGGCGGCTACCTACGAGCTGGAATATGGCGGACCTCGTGTATCGCCGCCCATGAGTTCTGTTATGATATGAAGACGGTCACGGGCATCGCTGACCTCTTCTTCCCAGAATCGTAGCATATCCATTGCACTCTTCACAGCCTCCTGCCATCCCTCAGGCATAAGATCCTGTGCTTCGCGACTGTGAGATGCTGCAAGAAGGATTAGGGCGCTCCGTGTGCAGGAACGAAGCATGAGCCACGTGCCATGATGGCGGTGGTTGAAGCCCGGCTGGTTTTTGCGAATTCTGTCTACAGACATCTGCAAGCCTTTCCGCGCGTATTCATCGACGGACGGATCACGTTGACCGTGATTGATCGTTTCCGCCATGAAGGGAAAGTACATCCATTCGTAACAATCCAGCAGATGGCCACGGAGGACGAATTTGAGCATGTCATCATCCTTCTCCGGCGTTGCTAATGAAAACATTTGAGGAAGTGAAGCCATCCTAGAATTCTTGGTAAGCGGATTGCCATCGAGTCAAAGTCAAGAAATTCTGGTACTTACCAGTCAGCCGCCTGCGACTCGAAGGCGGCAGTGGAATCAACCATCTGCTTAATGCGGAAGAACCTGCCTTCCTCTTGATTTCTAAACAAGTGATGTAGAATCCGGTTGGCCAACCTTCTTAATGCAATCTCCGCTAGATAATAGTACCAAGCCCGAGCTGCACCCTGTTCCAGATGCTCAGATGGAGGGCTTGGGAAAGACGTGGGATAAGAAAGATCCTGCAACCCAAAGCCCGGTAGGGACAATTCTATACGAACTTCCCTAACCACGTGATGTCAGTTCCTCCTATGTGAGATTAAGGACCTCGTGAACCTACAGTTCCGATTTCAAACACGTCCAGTACATGCTTTCCTGCGACGCCCGTTCGCGTCTAGCTTCAGGGCTGGTCATTGCCTCAGGGCTCAAAGGCTTCCGTGGAAAGTCGAATCCCTGGGAAGTCGCTGCTGCTTGAACAAAAAACCTCCATGCCTTCATTGGCTGCTGAAGAGTCATCAAATATACACCGGCGTAGAAGAAGCACTGTGCCTCGAGCACGCCTCCCTTATGCATAAGGCAGCCCATTCGTTTTTCTGCTGCCTCAAAGTACGAATTCGCAAGGACAAAGGCTGGCGAAGTTCTCGCCAGAATCGATTTGGCCTCATACCGACCCTGGAAGGCTTCTGCTATGGAACCAAGGGCGCATAACAAGAGCTTGACAATAAGGATATGTTAAAAAGTCTCTTCCAGACATGATGTGGCAGTGATGAGGCATTATCAGTACTTACCACGAGACAGGATGGCGTATCCCAGCCGATTCCGCTCACGCACGCTTGATGGACAAAACGACGGACTAGAGGAACATCTAGAATGGGATTTGCGATGTGAACTCGCTCCAGAAAGCTATCGAGCAATCGATTACAGCCTCCTAGATCGAGATTTTCCACGAAGGGACCAGGATCTACCGCCAGGGACCTGCCGTGCGCGGCTGAAGGATCCGATCGATTGAGTAGAGCTTTCAAGTCCAGACGAGAGTCAAATCTGTTGCGGAAAACTGGCCATGAGAGGACCGTTTCGATGGTAACCATGCTAAAGTCTGGACCGTAGGACAAGTTGGACACAGGTGATCCATACTCGATGGGAGAAGTCTCCTGCTCGAGCGCTGCGGCTCTGTTCAACTCCTCTTCCCCCGGTTTGGTGCGTATCAACTGCTCTAGTCGGTCCAGCTTCTCTAGAATCGCCAAACTCGCCGGATCAAACCTGTACGGCGGAGATCAGCCTTGGTCTCAATGGACGAGAGCCTCTGAAAGGGCCAGCTGCAAGCGTGGGAGATGGCATACGATGACAGATCCGTCGGGCTCGTTATACACTTGGCGCCTACTTTCTCGCAGAACGAACACGAAGGCTTCTTGTTGTCGCATTTCGTCCGACGGGCTCTGCAGACCTGACAGGCCTTGTTGGCACGCTTGCGAGGATAAGCGGCCGTCCCACGTGGAGCAGGGCGTTTCCTCGAGGCCGTCGCATGGCTGCTGCTATTATCATCATTGTGATTCTCCTGGCTGCTGTCCCGTCTTAGATCCTCCGGGAGATTCTGCGGGGTTGGCAGCGCACCGAGCGACGGGAACTCGGGCTCCACAGCATGAAGAAGATGCTGCAAAGAATCGTTCATGAAGCTCGTCGGATAATTGGGGTCAACGGTAGGGCTGATGAGATCCAACCTCTGGGGAGCATTGGGGAAGGGCGCGGAGTATCGCTCCTGGTCCGTTCGGGGCGAGGGGAAGAGAGAGAAAAACCTGGGGGCGATATGGACGAAGGGTCGCACAGGGCTACGGGGGTTGAGTACGCATCCCCAGAGTGTCCAGACCGCAGCTAAAGGCAACTAATTTTTTAAACAACAGCTGCCCGGTGGTCCGTTCTCGCCTGGGCTTGCCTGGCACCAGCTTAGGCTCTGTAAGTGCCGGGAAGGGAGAAAAACTATCACGGAGTATCCGCAGTTCCTGGTTGTGTTCATGTCGCTAGCCTTGGACCCTGCTCCTGGCACCTGTTCCAGATCCCCTGAACTTGATGGAGTGCCATGAGTGTGCTCAGAGACTACTACTACTGAATGTCCACTGCGCATTATTAACCATATCACACTCATCTGCTGCGGGCTGCGAAGCTCTCTGTGGAAGTTCCGACCATCATCCGTGAGGATGGTTACTTCCGCCGTCTACACTTCACTTTGAGGCAGACTGCCCAGGAGCAGGACTATTCCTGTCTTTTGCGCTCTGGAACTGTGTGAATCTTTCACCAGCGATACGATATCGGCAACTGACGATGAGGTTCATTTCGGGGCAGAAGCCCCAAAACGCGATCGTCGAAACGCGCCAGGAGATCCCCATCGATCAGCTCTCCGGCAAAGAAGCTGTGGCCGACAATAACGAAGAGGAACGTCAACTGTCGCTCTGGTATGTGCTTCTACATCATAAAGCACTCGTCTGGTGGTGTTTCTTCTTCGCTGTAAGCGCGATCGGATGGTATGTACTATTCTGCTCTGATCCCTTCTACATTTGCCGGATCAGCGAACGCGTCAACCGCGTGGCAATTCTGCGCTATCGCTGTTTTTACACGATTCTTGGTTTTATGCAGGGCTGAGGACCGTTCAGGGGCTTCGATGCACAGGTGAATAGCGCCGTTATCTCGGTGCCCGCATTCCGCACACAGTTCGGTTATCTGCACCATGGCAAGCAGATAATCCCTGCGCCATGGGTGAGCGCGTTCAACATGATCTCCTCCATCGGCCAATTCTTTGGCGGCTTCCTCTGCAGCAGCGTCGTGGACCGTATCGGCCGACGGCGGGGGCTAGCGATCGGCATGGTCATCTCGTGTGGAGGCATCCTGGGCGAGGTCTTCTCCACTCATCGTGTCGCCTTTCTCGTCAGCAAATGGATTGTAGGCGTCGGTCTTGGCTTCTACTTGACCATCGGCCCGCTGTACTGCTCCGAGGTACGATTGTCCCAGCCGGGCTTGTCATGTCAAGCTACTACTATCATCTCCATCTCGTCTATGACTATATAATTGCCCATGGCTGACTGGACGTAGGTCTCACCCGTCGTCCTGCGTGGCATTACCACTGCAGGGGTGAATCTGGGCATCGTTGTCGGTCAATTGTTATCGAATGCTGCCATTAGAGGCTTTGGCTGTCGGGACGATAGTTGGGCCTACCGGGGCCCCTTTGCCATTCAGCTGTTCTTCATTGGTATGTTTCATCATGATGTCCTGACTGGTAAGACAATGAGACTGACGGGACGGTACCAAGCTTTCTTTGTTTTTGGTCTTCCGTTCTCTGTAGAATCGCCATGGTATCTGGTGCGTCGCAACGATATCGACGGTGCTCGCCGCGCATTGCAAAGGCTATATGGCAAAAACACAGATGTCGAGACTAAGCTGAAGGCCATGCTGAGCAGCACTGCTGATGAAGCGACTCTCCAGAAACCGAGATGGGTGGACTGTTTTCGTGGCACTGACTGTCTCAGGACCTTCATTTCCATTGGGGTCTTTATCTGCCAGCAACTCAGCGGCATTATCTTCGTTATGGGGTTTTCGACGTATCTATTCCAGCTTGCTGGCGTGGCGGTGTACAGCTCTTTTGATTTGGGAATCGGGGTCACTGCCTGCGGCGTGATGGGAACCATTGTCTCCTGGTTCGTGGTCAACTCCTGTGGGAGGCGAAAAATCTTCCTAGCCGGGATGGTGGGACTTACGGTATGTCTCCTCTTGATCGGAATATTGGATGTGGTCCCCACGCGGGCAGCGGGTTGGATGCAGGCATCTTTTACGGTCGTCTACGCGCTCATATACCAAGCCACCATTGGATCAGTTGCATTCGTGCTTCTTGGTGAAGTCTCATCCACGAGACTACGAGCGAAGACTACCGCTCTTGCTACAGCGACACAGTCCGCTTTCGGAATTGCGATGAACGTTGCTGTTCCATATATGGTCAATCCCGATGCGGGGAATATGAATGGGAAGGTAGGGTTTGTCTTTGGGGGTCTGGCGCTGGCATGCACAGTCGTTTCTTACTTCTACATACCGGAGTTAAAGGGGCGCACCTTCGACGAAATCGATACACTGTTTGTCAACCGTGTTTCGCCGAGAAGGATGGGTCATTATCTGATCAACCACTACTGATTGTACTACTTCTTATGACATAGATTCAGGGCCGTGTATCTTTACTACATGGATTTTAATAACTAATCCTCTAAACCAATGAAAGAGTGTGGTTTCCTCAAGAATGATCCTGACATATTCTACTGTAGTTAGAACAACAGGAAAAGTGATTGATGCATATAAGATACCGTATACTGGTACACTGATAGTCGCGACCGAAAAAGGAAATCAGGGCTTTGTGTTAGGGTTGATGACTCAGGATGATCCCCCTCCCGCTTTTCGGCGGCCGTCATTTTTCGTGTAACGATGGCGCTGACGGACAAAAAAGTTGAGGCCAAGTCTTAAAGAATCGATATTCCTTCCGGCCTCGACCGCGATATCCCATTTCTGTTCTTAGAATTGTGTTTGGTCGTTTCATTTGTTTTTAGAGATAATGTCTGACGAGTCGTCGACCAATAGCGCTCCAACGCCTGGCACTCCCAAGGTCAGCACTCTATCACTGACCGAATATGCGGCAACCCCAACGCCTCCCAACGAGCGGAGTGAGCAAGTCCCTTCCGGACTGCATCGAGACTGGCAGATCCCGGAGGCTTTTCTTCTTCCCAATGGATACCCTGATGTGAGATCTTGTCGAATCTCCAAGGATTATCTGCGACCAATTCCTAACCGTCTGGATTCATGAGCATAGTATCTCCGTTTGATCCTCACATCCCGCGTCTACGAGGTTTTGGACGAGACCCCGCTTCAACATGCAGTGAACCTGAGCAACAGGCTTGAATGCAAGGTGCTCTTAAAGCGGGAGGATCTGCTGCCGGTTTTTAGCTTCAAGCTGCGCGGAGCTTACAACAAAATGGCTCATCTGAGTCCAGAACAGAGATGGAAGGGTGTCATTGCGTGTTCAGCAGGTGAGTCTCATTCTTTCACTGATTAAAACCTGCCTGCTAATGTTCCATTTTCTCTAGGTAATCATGCGCAGGGCGTCGCCTACTCCGCTCGCAAATTGAAGATCCCCGCCACTATTGTGATGCCGTCCGGTACACCCGCTATCAAGCACCTCAACGTTTCCCGCCTAGGCGGTACTGTGGTGCTTCACGGAAACGACTTTGATGCAGCTAAGGAGGAGGCCCATCGCTTGGAGAAAGTGCATGATCTCACGAACATTCCTCCCTTTGACGATCCCTATGTTATCGCTGGTCAAGGAACTAGCGGTATGGAGCTGCTACGCCAGGCCAATTTGCAAAACCTGGAGGCAGTGTTCTGCTGTGTCGGTGGAGGTGGATTGATCGCCGGTGTTGGAGTGTATATTAAGCGCATCGCGCCACATGTCAAGGTTATCGGAGTCGAGACTTACGATGCCAATGCGATGGCCCAGTCCCTCGAGAAGGGCGAGAGGGTCACACTAAAGGAAGTCGGACTATTCGCCGACGGTGCAGCTGTCAAGGCCGTTGGCGGGGAGACCTTCCGTATCTGCCGCGAGGTCGTGGACGAGATCATCCAGGTCAGCACTGATGAAACATGCGCCGCCATCAAGGATGCTTTCGAGGATACTCGTTCTATCGTGGAGCCTGCGGGTGCGCTTGCTATTGCAGGTCTGAAGAAATATGTTGCGAAATACCCAAACCCGGATCCAAAGCGGGAGTTGGTTGCTATCACTTCAGGCGCCAACATGGACTTCAACAGGCTCAGATTCGTCGCCGAGCGGGCTGCCTTGGGAGAGAGAAAGGAGGCACTGCTCAGCGTCACCATTCCCGAGTGCCCTGGCGCGTTTGCTAAGTTGATCGAGGTCATTATGCCCCAGGCTGTTACCGCGTTCAGCTACCGTTACGCCACTGCAGAGTACGCTGATATACTCATGGGTATCTCACTATCTGCTTCGACTAGTAGAACCGACCTGGCCAGTATCGTTGCCGAACTGGCGAAGAACGGCATGGCCGCCACCGATCTCAGTGACGACGAATTCGCAAAGACTCATCTGCGTTACCTAGTCGGTGGTCGCAGCACCGTTAAGGATGAGCGCCTCTTTATGTTCCAGTTCCCCGAACGCCCTGGTGCTCTGGCCAAGTTCCTCACCACTCTCCGTCCCCACCAGAACATCTCTCTCTTTCATTACCAGAACTATGGTGGAGATGTTGGCAAAGTGTTGGCAGGTATCCAGTGTCCGGACCATGAGAAGACCGAACTGGAGGCCTTCCTCCGTGACCTCGGGTATCCTTTCAGCGAGTGCACGGATTCCCCCACCTACCAGAGGTTCTTGCGCGATATCTAGATCATCTAGAGATCTTCGTCTGTCTGTATTCATACGACTTCACACGACCAGTCCGCTTTTCAACAAGTATTGTATCTGGCAATGGAATTCAACGGCCGAAGATGTATTCTGCATGTGGAAGATTTGCTTGGCGTTAGGGTTAAAGGGGATTAGTATCTGTCCTGTAACTATAGAAATTGCATCTTCTTTGACTAGAATTTATAGTGATATGCTCAGTACATAAGGACTCCATTGCCCTGTATTCCTCATGGAATGAAAGAGTGTGGTGTTGTATATGGTGTAGATCGGGCCAATCACCGTCTCGCGTTGTCGGAACCGGAAGCGCGGCGATACTGAATCGCCGACCAACATTTGCTGCGGCCCGGAGGCTCCCAAGGTGACCATCTCACGATAATCTGATTGCCGACGCCGTCAGACTATTCTAAAGCCCTTTTCGACAGTGTCTTATCGAGGAGAGATATCCAGGGCCGTCGGAGCCCTCTTTGATATCAATTCGACTGCCGAGATCACCATAATCGCGTCCAAGACGCTCGCCGCAATGTTTCCCCTCCGGTCTCTTCTCACCTCCGGGTCTTCTTCCCTGCGTCAATTCCTCACCCGTCAGACGCTCTCTCAGTCATTCGTCTCGAGGTCATTTTCACAACTATCCAGAATCTCCAGCAGTAACGGCCTGCGATCCCTGCGATTCTGGAGACCGCAGGCCGGAAATGGGGCGGTTGCAGGTGTCGGAGCTCTCGAGCAGGTTCGGGGAATGAAGACGCGGTCTTCTGTTAAGAGACTGTGTGATGGATGCAAGGTATGGATTTCCTCTTGGATAATGTAGTTTGAGACATGATTTTTTATGTGTGATCATCTCACATGCTAATCAACACTCTGGAACTACTAGCCCGTTCGGAGAAAGAACCGTGTTTATATCATCTGGTAAGTCTCCTATTCTCGAATCAACCAATGGAGCAGACATGGAACTAATCTGTTTCTCTCTTCTCTCAAATAGCTCCAAGAACCCGAAGCACAAGCAACGACAAGGAAAATAAACGCTGTATTCTAGTTTTGGGATTTGATAGGGAAATCGAGACGATGGAAAAGAAAAAATACCCCCCGATAAATAACAGGCCGGTCACTCACAACATGATATCGATGTTCACCAGTGTCGAACTTACACTCCGACGACGTACGAACGATCTTCCCTAGGTCGAGGACGGGCACTATGCATGCGCGTATACAATAAATTCTTCGTCTTCGGGTACGTTTCGACGGTGGACATAATGTACGACTATGGAAGTTTGCGTTTGTCTATGACATACTTAGATCCCTGTTATCCGACGCTTTATGTATTATAGCAAGGTCATTTTGGGTTTCATGCTTTCTAAGATGTCGTTCCCCCGGACTGCGTACGGCGCACACGATGCATATTTTAGCCTATATTGTTGCGAACAAAAGAAAGACTCCTCTATAATTCCCTGTTGTCTTTTCCTTAATAGAAAAATGTTACTGGATGGGGTTGGTCTTGGACGTGCTCTAAGCAGATCAGTTTCGAAGCATTCAGGGGGGGGGGGGGGGGGGGGGGTAAATCGGTCATGCAGAATGAAACTCCCTCCGATTTAAATAGATACGGTGAAACAAAATTTCAGAAAGAGACAATTGGCAGCTCTCTCTCCCTCATCAGTTTATGATCATTGGGAGAGCTTCATGGATGGAAATAAGCGCAAATATATTGCTCGGAATTGGCTCGACAATGCAGGGTTGTTGTCTATACTTAGTCAGATTCTGATCGATGTTTAACTATGCCAGAACAACATTGTGCATAGAGGACCAAGTATTACATGATCCGTTATTGTGGATAGGTATCGTGCTACGGGATACTCTGCTGCTTCTAGGAAGAGAAGAACCCATGATTCCTGCACGATCGATTCTTACATTGTCGAATCTTTCAGTCGGAAGTAATTTCTATCAAATCCGACTAACTTGATAAGTCCCATGACGGGCTCTCAATTATGATGTGAGAGGCTTGAATCTACTCACCTGGCCTATCATACTGCCTAATCCACTTCCATGGGAAGCCCTTTCGTTTTGTTCCATTCCATATTAGGCCGGGGGTATCAGGGCTAAAAAGAAATACCACACTTGTCGACTACCGCCATTGACGGGGGCTAAAGCTCCGCCCGTATCTTTCTATCACAGTTGCAGCACAATGACACTTCCTGAACTAATCCAATCGACATAGTAACAGTGTTGTTTGTGGTATAAACGAGACAAATCTTGTCTGCTCCGTTCGCGACAAGTCCTCGGAAGTGACCGAGCCAGCCGACAGGACCACAGAACTGCGTTCTGGGCACAATGGACATAGCAAAGCAGTTTCTGTTGAGCTTCGTATAGATGTCGACACCATCCATGGATTCATTGTTCAGATCTTGAGTTCAAAGTCCGAGGCTTTCCATCTGGCGACCAGAAGTCATCGACGATTAGCCGCTTTTGCTCGATGTCTTGGACCATGTTTCCGAATGAGGCGAGTTCTGTATCGGCGTCTTGATTGAATCCCAGATCACAAACCAGCAAATGGTTCTCAGAAAGATGGGTTGTCGCGATCTTCGAAACTGAAGGAATCGTGTTCTTCTAAAGATTGTATGCGTATTATCCTGAGAGGGATTCTTCGTGGTTCGCTCATGAGAAAACAGCCGTCTCCCTGTCGTATCCCTTCGTTGGAAGGGAGAGATGAACTTTAAAACGTATTGTACATTATAGTATGCAAAAAGCACCAAAATCAAAGTAGTGCTTTTGAATCATCGTGTGATATCAGACAGAGCTGATGTATGTGAAACAGCTGGAGTTGAGAGTTCGAACATGAATCATAATAAAATAGTACAACCCAACAATGGAAATGGGAATCATCATCGCGAGAATAACGCCATTTTGAGATGTGGGGACCTGAATATCGTTGCAGAACTGTATATCATAAATCTCTCATGGGAAGGAGCGTGCTACAACTTGCGAGATTTCGTCTATACTTCCTGTCAGCATTTGCATTACAACAGCATGGTGCACGAATGTTATACCTCTCATTCCCTGCATGGCCTCAAAGGCGATCGAATAATTCGACAGCCCCTTTATAGCGAGCTGCAGGCCTTTGTAAAGATCATTTATGAACCCTGCCAGAAGTAGGCTCTCGTTGTCGCCGTCTCCATTAGGAGAAAAGGATGTACCGTTCTCACGCAGGGTACGCGTCTTGAAACACAGCATGAGCAACGCATAGCTACTCTGCATTACACAGCAGGCGAACGTCGGCATCGTGCGGGGTGCTTCGATAGTTGATAGTTCTGACAAACATGGCGGGGTGATGAATGATATTGAGTTGTTCGGATTAGGATAAGGTAGATTGTCAACAAGCGTGACAATGCTGAGAGCCGAGTGCAGGCATATCTTCGAAGACGCATGGGCTGAGAAAGAAAACCGCAGACCAAGGTCCTCGGCTGATAAAGATGCATAATCGCGTGGCGATAGCATTGGAGATGAATTCATCATGGGCAAAGAGCTCATATCTCCTCGACAACTGCATCTGTCCTTAACCCTGGATTCGTTTGCAACTCCAAGGTCACAGTGCCGTTTGAGGAATATGGGGACGTCCGAAAATGCGCAGAATCGGTGGGTCTTAATTCTCGCACTGCCAACCGTCAGAGCAAAAACAGCACATAGAGCATGTAGCCCTTACCTGTGTAGTTTTATTTCCGCTATTAATCGGGTAGCCTTGGCGACTACGGCTTCAGATGAATCTACCGGCGCTGTGGCTGAGACCTGAGCTAAGGAAGTCCTCTCTTCCTCATTGAGAAGCGCTTCAATCTGATCGTCTAACTCTAGCATCCGCTGAGGGATCCATGATAGGTCCGACCAAGCGTTCAAAGATTTGTCGAGATCATGAACGAATTTCGTGGCAGCAAGGATCGTCTGTTGGGATTTTATTAAATATGACCACCCCTTCGGAGGTTAGTATCGTTCATAGTATAGTAAGAGTTACATGACTCACCTGGGGGTCTGAGACGAAAGTAGGAAATGGCGTGACGAATCGCTCGTCATATGGATCAAAACAAGCGGGCTGCAAAGAGTTAAGCAATGTTCCCATATATCAGTTAGGCATTACGTACCGTGTTACTGACTATAGAGCCTTGACACGCGGTGACATACTACAATAAATTAGACAAGACCCACAGGAGCGATATTGGCGAACTCACTGTCATCCACCAGGCTCGTCTTCTTGCTTCCGCGAACTGATCATTCTCAGTAGCCTCGTGCAGTGACATGCACATTGCCGTCGTTAGTGCCTGTCCGGCACGGTTCTTCATTTTGGTCATATTTCCTCTTTGCACGTATTCATACACGCTGAGCAAGTTAAGTGCTAGGATGCTTTCCAGGTAGACAGGGACCTTTGGGTGGAAATGTTCTCGGTTGAACTGATGAGTTCCTTCAGAAAGGGCATCGGAGGGGTTAATGCTAGAATGTAGAAGCTCGGAATCCATTTCAATCGCCTCAAGGGCCGACTGAGCAAATGACTGAGCATAGTCCCTTCTTAGTCTTACGTAGTCGAGCCTCGAAGGGTCGTTCTCGAATGGATGTGGGATGAGGACCAAGAGAGCCGAAATAGCTAGACTCAAAGGCGTCGACGGTTTAAATAAGGAATTTCTGTCTGAAGCGAGTGGCCGATTAATGACTGGTAGGCGCTCCGGAGGAGGGAGTAGAGGATAATAAGGGTGAATAAACACGTAGTAGGCATCCAATCTGTCCCACAACTTTAGTTCAGTAGACCAACAAGGGGAAAACAAGGACTCACATGTCTTCATCGCTGCCGTATACTTGGACAACGTCTGCTGGAAGAGAACTGGATGCGGATGAGGAGATGTCCTTCTCCCTTGGAGGAGCGAATATCGTGTCAAAGATATTCTCTATCTCTGAGATCGGCATCTCAACATTGGGAAGTCCAGCGCCCGGGTCAGTGAGACCAACAAGCTGGTTGAACCATGCTATAGTAAAGGATGGTAAGATGGAATAACATCCAATTGTGGGAGACTGGTGGCCTACCATCGTCGGTGAAACTGAGGTCAGTCGATGTCTCACTGCTATTCCTCTCAGCAGGCTTTACATCTTGCAACTGGTCCTGTTGCTGTGCAGGTTCATGTCTTGTCTTCTTCTTATAGACACGGGGGCCTCCGCGCCTACTTGGGATATAACAGCATGTTATGTCCCTGGCAATGCAATTCGCACATCGCTCTTGGCCATCGCAACGAGTGCGTAATGACCGACTGCTCAAGTATCAGCACCAGATCTAGATCCAGGACAATTATAATTTGGAACTAGATAATAACAACAACGTACCAAGAAAGACATGCCAATTTTACAGGGGGTTTGCTGAACTTGCGCCGTTTCTGGGGTTGAGGCTGTGGCGTACTCGAGCTCTGAGACCGGTCTTCACTCGATGAGATCGACGCCATAACTTGAATGCCCAGTTGCCAAACGTACTTGCAGCGCCCTAGACTTGACCGTCAATTGTGTGGAGAAGCTGTCGTGAGGGCATTCGCCGTCTTTTAGGGATTCGCCGGCGCAAGCAAATCCCGCCTGGGACACAAGCAAATCCCGTTCTAGATGTCGTCTCGCCACCACCACAAGGCCATCCTCCCACGGCAACTCTGTGATTAATTGCCTCAAATTACCGCTCAAGCAGACAAGATATGTGTTCTTAGTCAGAGTTTTTTCGCTGCTAGTCGTCTCCAGTGAAGATGGGCTCGCTGGAATTTGTCATAATAGACGTCGTGTGTACCTATGTATGTATGTACCTTCGCCAAATTATAGCAGATGAGTCTCATCCACATTTGATGAGTTATATGCATTTCCTGGGCGTTAATACTGTTGAAATAAGATTATTCTCGGAACATCAGCGCCAACGTGACGTGATCATATCGCTCGTTTACGCTAACTTCTAACAGGTATGATAGTAGATAAACCTAGTAGCCCTATGGTACACAATCTCATCCTTGAGCCCTATAAGCCAACAAAACCATGTCATCCATTGCTATGATACTCGCGATCAGCCACGGATAGAAGTAACAGATTAGACTCTCATATACGTGAGCTACGGAGGCCCGAATTCTATCACCTTAAGCGTCTTGGACGATCATTGCCATTCAATACTAGGTGAAAACATAATGAAGCCGAAGCATTTCTGCACAGAGACAGCCATAGCTCTGGCAACAATAATATCCACCCCTAATCAACAAGATCAAGGCCATCAGTATTCTGATCTTGGTTTCGATCGCGATCTAGGACGTGACGCCGTCGCCTGTCCTCCAGAGCTGCGGCCTGCGTTTGTCGACTGACTTGAATGTCTCCGTGATCGCGACCCGTGTCTCGGACCACGCTTGTTGTTAGGAAAAGTGGCCGAATCGTGCATTTGAGCGATGTTGGTCTAGGCGTTGAAGCTCATATCAGAACGAGGTTGTACTATCAGATGTTGGATTGGAAACCCTACCAATACGTTCACATCTCTCTGCAATTAACGGATTATATTAGTCGACGCCATCAAGGTAATTCCTGGGGGAACTAGGAAGAAAGCAATACAATTCTGTCTGGATCTCTTCTACCAATCTGATCTCCAGGGTCGCCCTGGTCGCCTTCCGAAACACCTTCGCGTGGAAGATTGAGTGTCTCGCTTGAGTTTGCTCTTGCAGTTCCTGCAGCCATAATCAGAACGATAAATTGTAATCTGATTTATCTAATAAAAAAGATGCACGTCAAAAGGTATACAGGCCTCCCTTAAATCAGGTAATCAACAAATAACTCATACTTTAGATCATCTTGCGCTTGGACGCAATAGACGTCTGATCTAATATTCTGTGACGGTCTGGTCATGATGGCGTTTGCTAACGTCAATATGACAGCCAATATCGACGTCGTGGCGGGAGAAGAAAGTATCTACTATAATTTTGGCGGAGGTTGTCTCCGAAAATTGCCTCGAGACGTGGCTACTCTCAAAGAGCCCCATTGCTAGTCAAGTCATGATCACTTCTGCTTTCCAAGTATCATGGATGCATTAAATGCGAGACATAGGAGCATACTGATGGTTCTCAGATGCTAGTTATTCAAATCATGAAGTTTTCCTACTTCCCGCAAATCAAATGATCCATGCGCTAACAAATATTACTACGGCCAGATATACAATATCGCTCTCACTGTGCAGAGACATCTTCTATCAGAGAAATAGCAAAAACAAAAACATACAACAGCAGGGATTCGCTGGTGGTCACCCACCCAACTACTAACCTGCCGGCGTGTGGCTTAAGTACGGCTGAGCGGACGGGAAGCCCTGTTTTCCACACCCTATGGTCGTATGTGTTTGTTTTCTGTGAGTCCTGCATTATATAGAAGAGTATATGGATAACTGCGTTCCCAAGTACTAGTACTAACTCCAATATCAATGGTCTATAGGTATCTTCCGGGGAATAAAGTCACCTTCACAAACTTCATGGTCTATTAGTCAATCGATAACAACAGGAGGATTGGGACCTATAGATATTCCAACCTTACTTACTTATTAGAACAGCTCATTACTTTTTCTTTCATTGACCCTGCTGTCATCACTTAGAAGATTAGTGGGGGAATTTGAGGCATCCTTGAACGTCTGCGCGTATCTGAAGCAGAACCATGTTGCAAAACCATAGGTCAGCACTGCCGTCAGTGTTAAGTTGTAGGAGACGCGATGATGGATGTTTATAGTTGGTTTCGATATTCCCGGCAGGGTCTCGTGCTTGCAAATAACTAAAGCTCAAATCGTGAGCTATGGTCTAAGCAGATCTTTCACATCGGAGGGCCTGTACTGAGTTTGGTATGAGACTATACTCGATATATCCGGGATCAATTTCGCAACGTCTCATATATAGTCTCATCAAAAATAGGGTTTGATTGCCTCCTAACCAGCGATTATGCCGGAAACCTCGCTGTATTGGACACCGTAATATTGGCGAAAGGAAGCCTTCCACTTTCGCAGCCGGTCGCTTTCTTGAGGATTTTCCGCATACCAACTTATTGTCGCAACATCCATTGCGGCTTTGGCTCCATGGGCTGTATTATTTCTCTCGTTGACACCATCCCGATCTTCCAGGGAACTCCAGGTATCCAATACGACCTCTCTAACGAAGTGCATATGTTGTCTGAATTGTTAACAAAGCCGCTAGCCATAGTTATTGTTGAAATTCTAGACTAGACGAGTTCGAAACCATCCGGCAATGGCTCGTTCTAAATCCAGTACATGGCAGCTTGTGCAAATATTTTCGGTTCTTGTCTATTCCAACAATGGTGTATATTCTTATTCTGATTCCTCTGCTCTATTCTATTACAGAAGGCTGTTGCCTGCATAAGTATGTAGTTCATGATTGTCGTTTAGTTAATCGATATCCGGAGCTGCTTACTGGCTGGCGGAGCGCAGATCACCACGTGATCTGTTCCTGGCTCCCCGAACTTTTTCTCGGAGTCTGATCGGAATCGAAAGACGCTGCTGGATTCAAGGAGACAGATACTCCGTCAATTCAGTCAGGGGTTGTTAATCACAATGAGGGCCCATTCAGTTGTCCGGTCACAGATTCGCGGCCTTTCCGGCCTGACGAGGGCGCCAACTCGACTACAGACGCAGAATCTCCTCTGTCGACGATGCGCGTCCACGGCCGTCCTGCGTTATCCCGCTACGGCGCTCTCATACCAGCAACCGCTGAGCAGGCGCTGGGAGCAGAGACGGAATGCTTCTGCAGCTGCAGCTGAGGTGTAAGTGAGCTTACAATCTCATTTTTATCGCCATAATAATGATCCACTGACCGTGAACAGCCTGGAAAAAGCCGCCGCGGAGCCGGAGGGTCTCTCCCAGGAAGCCATCATCGACAACCTCGATCCCATTGAAGCCGCACGCCTCTCCAAAGTCAGGAATATTGGTATCGCGGTATGATAAGACTTTGCGTTCGTATTGGAAATACTTTTCGAGGATCTAATCTTTGCGATAACAGGCACACATCGACAGCGGTAAAACCACCTGTACCGAACGTGTTCTTTTCTATACCGGTCGTATCAAGGCCATCCACGAGGTTCGAGGTCGCGATGCTGTCGGAGCAAAGATGGACTCCATGGAGCTTGAAAGAGAGAAAGGTATCACCATCCAGTCTGCCGCGACTTTCTGCGACTGGGTTAAGAAGGGCAAGGATGGAAAGGATGAAACCTACCACATCAACTTGATCGATACTCCAGGTCACATTGATTTCACCATTGAAGTCGAGAGAGCACTTCGAGTTCTTGACGGAGCCGTCATGATTCTCTGTGCCGTGTCCGGTGTTCAGTCCCAGACGATCACGGTCGACCGGCAAATGAGAAGATACAACGTGCCTCGTATTTCCTTCATTAACAAGATGGACCGTATGGGTGCGAACCCATTCAAGGCCATTGATCAGATTAACAACAAACTGAAGATTCCCGCTGCTGCTGTTCAGGTGCCAATTGGTGCTGAGGACGAATTCAAGGGCGTGGTCGATCTGATTCGCATGAAGGCCATCTACAACGAAGGCTCCCGGGGTGAAGTTATTGTCGAGAAGGACGAGATTCCGGAAGAAGTGAAGGCAATTGCGGAAGAGAGGAGAAAGATCCTTATTGAGACCCTTGCGGACGTCGACGATGAAATGGCGGAGATCTTCTTGGAAGAAGCCGAGCCCACAGAGGACCAGATCAAGGCCGCTATTCGACGCGCCACCATTGGTTTGAAGTTCACACCAGTCTTCATGGGATCTGCCCTCGCCGATAAGTCGGTTCAGCCCATGCTGGATGGTGTTGTTGACTATCTGCCCAATCCCTCTGAAGTGACGAATTTGGCCCTCGACCAGAAGCGCGATGAGGCTTCTGTCAAGCTTGTCCCCTACAACTCTCTCCCATTTGTTGGTCTCGCTTTCAAGCTTGAGGAGAGCAACTTCGGACAACTCACGTACATCCGTGTGTATCAAGGAGCCCTCCGCAAGGGTGCCAATGTCTTCAATGCCCGAAACAACAAGAAGATCAAGGTGCCACGTATTGTTCGCATGCACTCCAATGAGATGGAGGAGGTGTCTGAGATCAGTGCTGGTGAAATCTGTGCGGTGTTTGGTGTTGATTGTGCCTCTGGAGACACCTTCACCGACGGCCAGCTTGCTTACAGCATGTCTTCCATGTTTGTGCCAGAACCCGTTATTTCGCTGTCCATCAAGCCCAAGAACAACAAGGACTCTGCCAACTTCTCCAAGGCCATGGCTCGATTCCAGCGTGAAGACCCAACCTTCCGAGTCTCCTACGACTCCGAGAGTGAGCAAACCATTATCTCCGGAATGGGTGAGCTGCACCTTGACATCTACGTCGAGCGTATGCGTCGTGAATACCGTGTAGACTGCGAGACCGGTCAGCCTCAGGTTGCCTACCGTGAGACACTCGGCAACCGTGTTGAGTTCGACCACCTGCTCAAGAAGCAATCCGGAGGTCCCGGTCAGTACGCTCGTGTCGTCGGTTACCTCGAGCCTACTGGATCTTTGGAAGACAACAAGTTTGAAGAACAGATTGTTGGTGGCAGTATCTCGGAGAAGTTCTTGTTTGCATGCGAGAAAGGTTTCAACCTGGCGACTGAAAAGGGCCCTCTTATCGGACACAAGGTCCTTGGTACCAGGATGGTCATCAACGATGGAGCTACCCACATGACCGACTCTTCTGAAATGGCTTTCAAGAATGCTACTCAGCAGGCTTTCCGTAAGGCATTCATTGAGAGTCAGCCGGCCGTGCTGGAGCCTCTCATGAAGACTGTTGTTACCGCCCCGGTCGAATTTCAGGGTGATGTGATTGCGCTCCTGAACAAGCGCAACGCTACCATTAACGACTCTGAGGTCGGTGTCGACGAGTTCACTGTTTACGCTGACTGCAGCTTGAACGGCATGTTCGGTTTCAGTAGTCACCTGCGTGCGGCTACTCAGGGCAAGGGCGAGTACACCATGGAGTTCAGCCACTATGAGCGAGCTCCTGGACAGTTGCAGTATGTTGCTTCCCATCAATTTTCCTTTCTTCCGGTATAATCCTGATACTAACCACGTGCTATCTGTAGGAAGGAACTGGTTCAGAAGTACCAGAAGGCACAGGCCGACCGTCACAAGAAGGATCCCAGTGCCGCAAGCGCATAAATATACAAAGACGCTGTGTATGTGGATCGACTGTGACTGATCTCTTGGAGGAAATGGTCCTGCCTGTGGCACGGCTTCATAAAATCCATTTTTAACGACTCTTTTACCGTTAGACTCGAGGATGTGTCTTATATTCCCCCTTTGTCATTACTACGCCAATTTTCTCGCATGTGAATACTGGAGGACGCGGCCATATTTATTACATTAACTCATGTCACACATCCTAGAGACCACGCTGCTTGGTAAAAAAGAGAGAAAAAAAGAAAAGAAAAAGTGACTACTGTGACGGCCGCTTATGGAAGGACAGCCCAGGGAAGAGACTCTGGGTTGATGCTGGGTTGATACAATTATGTCATGTAACAACCACTGTACCTACAGGAAGGGTCCTGACAATACTGTACTATTGGATAGGCGAACGGCTGGGAATTGATATTCTTTATACTCCCCTCTTCTCATACAGGCAAAAAGAGCGATTTCCTTTTTCAAGCAAATTGTCTATTTCCACTATTTCCTGTTTGACTAGTATATTCTCCATCTTCACTCTTCAAATGCTCTCAGAATCGCGAGAGAGGCCACGGAGTACGTTGCGATGCGATTATGACCTGTAGAGTTCTCGATTAGCATGTTATTTCAGGGTATCTGAGGCCTCTGAGGGCACATGCAAATACATACCCCCATAACCAACTCTTTCCCACCTAACCCTCTTCACTTTCTTCTTTCCTGTTCCCTTCGAGGATCCAGAGACAGGCCTCTCCCAGATCTTAATTTCAGTACGACCATCCTCCGCTATTCTCTGATAAACGATGTCCCCAGGTGCATCCTGAAGACCCTCTCTTGTAGCTGCAATCCAATTACGTCGACCCTCCCTCCAGGGAATCTCGTAGTCGTCCCGAGCATGAATAATGGCGAGGTCGAGCTCCTTGTCTGCATAGGCAGAGTCGGACTCGTTCTGAACAATCCCAGTCAGACGAGCAAGGCGAGAAGCCGTATCCCAGCGGTCGACGATGTGGTCGAGTGCATACTTCTGAGCTGGGGGGTATCCGACCAACGGAGACAGCATGGGCGGAGTGAGACCCTTAAGACTGTACGACTCGATCAGTTTAGGAATGTTACTGAACGATGCGAGGAGGATAATGCCAGCGAAAGGCTCAGGGTCTTTGATTGCTGGTTGAACGGCCTTCGGGTCTGGCGAGCCGAATGCGAAGCGCTCCGCCACTGCAGCAGTCACTGCGGTCCCGAGACTCTGACCGATGATGACGATCCGAGACGGTGGGATATTAAGAGGTGGAGAAGTGAGGAAGTTGAGAAGCGTTACAGCATCTGTGATGACTCCTTCCTCGGTCGGGAAGCCCGTGGAGAGTCCGAACCCACGGTAGTCTATGGCGAAGACATGTACTGGATTCTGAGGTGTTGAAATGCCTAGACCCATGCGATAGCCGTCTGAACGCAGTTCGAATCCGATATGTCCGGCATTTCCGTGAACTGGAGCGGTCAGTTAATACTAGAAACGAGCAAGGAGCCTCTCGATGATAGCGCGCTCCAAAACTTACAGCTCACGACTACCCTCGCATTCGGATCTTCAGCTAGAAGCTTGAACGCGGCGGTCTGAGTAACATCCTCGGCTGGGCCAAAAGGCTCATTTGCATTAAGGAGTTCCTCGTGTTCGCGGCACAGGTGAATTGGTAGCATATGCCAGGCGTAGATGGTCTCGCCGTCTGGCGTGGTGAGGTTGAATGGCTGTACCTGCGTTCCTGTTTCCTAACAGTCAGTGCATAATTCGAACATATGATTGGGAAGGGGAGATATACTCAGGAACCCGAAGTTCTCTACATCGTTGACATTCTCCCAGATAGTTGGATTAAGCATATGAGCATATAGCGCGCTGTCAAGAACAATCAGTCATTGGACTTCAGACGTAGATTAGACGGATGGGATGTCTAGCGCACAAACGTTGGATAGTTGGAAAGGTCAAGGAGAAGATGATAGATACGTATATGAGGCCAGCAATGGCCAATGACCAATAGGCCTTTTTGAATATCGGCTGTAGTTCAACCATGATAGATCCTAGGACTATGTGAGCCAAGTCCTATATAGCGGAACGCGTCATTTTAAATTGGGCAGATATAATAAAAGTAAAGGTAAACAAGAACTGAGTAAATAGGTCAACACAAAAGGAAAAGACCCATTATCTATCATAGAGGACAGTGTATGCGATTCCAGGTATGAGATCAGGTTGACGCCTTAGGAAGCTGGCAAGATAACAAGACACTGATGACTTCATGGCGTTGGAAATAACTAACAAGAGGATGAAAAATCCAGAGAAATCTGATGAGAAGCTATTTAGCAGGCATTCGACACTTACCTTACTCGAACCAATGTCCAGGATCAATTGCAAAGAAGACCAGACAGCAGCCCGTCCGAGCGCTGAAGTCGGCCAAGGAGAGCTTCTTTTCTTTTCGCCTCCGCGCTCTCCGCCCGTCACGATCATCCCGAAAGATTTCCCTCCCGCCATCACGCGCGCGACGTACGCCCCTCTTCATCCCTTTGGAGGTCATCCTTTTGGTAAATTTTCTCTCCCTTCTCCGTCGCGGCACATAGCTGCATAACGCTGCGTGCTTCTCTGCGATGGTGGAGAAGCGCAAGCTGCCCGCACGCGATCGTCGTGAGTCCGCGGCGAAGAGACGAGCCTCCGAAGCTACTCCGCAGCCTCCAGCTTCTTCAAAGAAAAAGGCGTCGACGCCTATTACGCTACCTCCTCCCACGCCGGAACCGGTGCCAGAACCTCTGCCAACAAAGATAAAGGATGGAGAAGCTCTTCCGACGGTGTCCAAGGCGCAGGAGCTGTCCAAGCTCTCCGCGAGGGAGTATCAGTCGATCGCAGAAAGGTACGAATCAGGCTGCTAAGATCTGTCAGGCTGTTTAGAATATGGACGAAAGCTGATATTTTGATCGATGCAGTGCGGTTCTTCTGGTCTCACTAGAGCGTTCTAAGAAGAAATGGCTGAGCGACGGCATATTCGAACGATACTGGACGAAGCCCAAAAAGACCAAGAGAGAGCAGATCGAAGGAAAGAATCCGCCAAAGGAGTCGATGACCAAGGTCGGGCCTTGCAGCATAGTCATCGAACCCCATCACTTCGATGGTATGCTGTATACCGTCAAGGACCCGAATGCGCAGCCGCCCATTCAATACGCACCTCCGCAACGGCCGATGGTTCATTATGGCCATCCAAACGGGTTCCACCAGTATCAGCCGTACCCATCACAGAACCAGATGCGCCAGCCTGCTTCATATAATCATCATCCTCCACCACCTCCTGCTCAGAATGTCTACAATCAGAGAAACAACCCTCCACCGCATAGAGCTTCGCAACCTCCCCCAGTTCAGCAACGACCACCGCCTCCGCAGCCTCCTCCCCAACCCCCCAAATCCAGTCCAGACCCGGTTATCCAGATGTTGGCTACGAGGGCTGCTTCGAACCCGGAGCTAAAAGCGCTCATGCGGGTTGTTGCGTCCAGCAAGGCATCTCAGGAACAACTGCGAACTTTCCAGGCCCACATAGACGAGCTTAATGCGATTATAAGGGCCAGAGAGCAGCAGCAACAAGCGCAGCTTCAAAGACAGCAGCAGCAGCAGCATAACCAAGGTATCCAGGCTAATCGTTCTCCGGCTTATGGACATGGCCAGGCTCAGAGCCAAAGCCCAAGGCCGACACCGACACCTCAGGGACAAACTTCCCAAGGGCCTCCCCAAAGACCTCAGGGTTATCAAGGACCTCCTACTCAACCACACACTCCTCAGACCCCAAATCCTACGCAACAGGCTCCTCAAGGACCTGCTAGTGCCTCTCAGGGAAGGCCTCAGAGTGCGCAAGGTGCTCAGCAAACTTCCCAGGGTCCTTCTCCAATGCCCCAAGGACCTGCTCAGCCTCAGCAGATCGCTCAGACTCCTCAAGGTCCTGCCCCGGCCACACTGAGCCCTGCGCAGACCCCCCAGCCAAATAACGACAGTTCATCGAGACCCGCGCAGAGTTCTCAGGGTACCGCCCAGCCTGTCCAGAGCACGTCTCAGTCTCCCCAGGGCCCTTCTCAGACTTCAACAGGTGTCCCGTCAAACCCTAAACCAATGTCCCAAGGTGCTCCTCAGATAAAACAAGAACCAGGGATGTCTGCGCCAGCAGTGCCTTCACCGGCTGAGCCTCGTCCAGCAGTGCCTGCTCCTAGTGCAAATCCCGGTCCCCCGGTCACAGCAGCTGCGAGTTCTAACCCTGGGCAGCCGAGTTCTGCGATACGGCCTCTAGCAGCTCCCGCCCATCCAACACAAACTGCTCCTAGTCAACCTCATTCCCAATATCCGCCTACTTACCCCCCTACATATCAAACTCCTCAGGCCCCTATCAGATCACGTCCCCCACCGTACGGCTCGTCGCCTGGATACTATCATCAACCAGCACCACCTCCTCCACCGCCTCCGAAGCCGAATATCAAATCCGTCGTCTTTGAGTTTACATCTCCACTGACACCATATGGCAGCAGCACTTCAGGTCACGCAGGTTCGGGTGACCGGTATCTGTTTCCTGAATATACTATCCTGGAATTCTTTCCTGGCGGAAATGCCGTTCTCGCTTCTTTTCTCATTGTGCGCAAGGTTGACCCGAATGCCCCGTTTCCTATAGAAACAGCATCGGACGTTGGCAATAGACGGGGTAAAAATGCAAAATCTAAAAAAGCGGACAAAAATAAAGATAAAGCGGGTGCTGCAGCACCAACTGCAAATGGGGGCACTCCATCTGCTACACCCGCACCGGGTCAAGAAACGCCTAAAGGAACCGACTCCAACGAGCAAAAAGGGCCAGCCACCTCATCCACAGTGGAAACAACGACATCTACGGATGCTGGTGACAAATCAAAAACTGAAGGCACAGACAAAGAAAAGACGAAGGACGAGAAACCGAAGCTGAAAGAGTATTACCAGCCGGTTACAATGCGCATCTACAGCTCCAACCCTCGTGTCTTGGAACCACTGGCTCGCGTGGTCAAACCTCCCGACGAGGTCCGCAAGTACATGGAGGATGTTATGGACCGTGCGGAACGCGCCCCGGAGGGATTCCTTGCCTTACGCCTTCCGCGAGAAGAAGAAGCGGAAGAGACGGAGCCAAAGGAAAATGACAAGGACAAAGCGGCTGCTGGTGCTATCAAAACTGCTGCGCGCAATCGCACCAAAGGCCATGCAACAGACGATGATTCTGGCGTGGAGATTACACGCACCGACGAAGACGAGGAAGAAGAAGAGTTGAGAGATTTCTACGATGCGCCTAGCGGACTCGTTCCGTTAGGAGTGGCATAATACCGGTAGACCAGGGCATCTTTGATGATTTGATTATATGAGAGCTCCCTACATGGGGAAGGCGTTCTCGATCTAGCGTCTGAGTTTCTATGTAATAATGTACTGTACTATATCACGAATCATCTTCCCATCTGGGCTATCTTTGCTCTTATATCTCGTCTCACTGTAGGGAAATCAAACAACTGTGTGCAAGTCATGGATCTAAGAGGCTATGTCATCGTGGATAGACGAGTAGATAATAAGAAGAGCAACGTGAACCAACGCGAGAAACCTTCAAACAGAACAATACAACATTCTCTATATTCATTTACGATACTAGAAAGAGAATACGCAAAGAAATACTTTTACAACTCCCAACCATACCTATATACACATACACATACACATGCCTAACACTGCCTAACTTAACTCACGTCCACACCTTCCCAAGAAGGAATCCCAAAAAAACTACCATAGTTTACCACCATATAGGTAGCTGACAACCCCTACCCACTCACTTCTTTATCTTAGAGAGCTTATGAGGGTGCTATAAACCCCCGACCTTGCTTTCTGCGAGCAGGGTTCTCCTTCTCTATCGATCACCTAGGGAAGGGATGCTCTGGGTCATGTTCAGGAGAATTCGATATTGAATATTAAATCATCAATTCTGGCTTCTTCAGCCACATGAGAGCGTGCCTGGGAGGGAGGGAGGGGGTTGTTTTTTTTGTTGTCAGGTAGCTAGCTATGTTTATCTTGGGAAGGTATAAGTTTCGTGCTCATGAGAGGTTCTACAGATCGAAGTGGTGATTATTCCTTGAGGAAGCAAGTTGACAGACAATGTAATTAATCTACTGGATACTCCTCATAAAGAACTACATATCAGACGCTCCCGCCGCCTTTCCCGGAATCGCCTATGATGCCTGCCATTTCAAGCAGAGCTCTAGCAGTTTGCGTATCAGCAGCTCCTCCAATCTTCGTGTTCACATTGCGCCTTCGTTCCGCTTCCCGCGCCTCAAAGTCCCATCTGGAGCGCTGGATAGCAATGGCATCCAGTTTGGACTGGTCTGCAGATGGTTCAGGGGCGGGGACCAGACCCCAAATTTCCAGGTCGTAGATGTTGATACTGGTCTTTGACGCTGGGAAAGCGTTTTCTGGAACCGGGGGCAGAAAAGCTCCTGACCGATTATCAAGAGAAATATGTAGATCAGCAGTTTCGAGACTTCCATCGATCAGTAGGCTCCCTGCCCCCTCTGGCGTTGGCTTGGACACTTTGTTGCGAGATGAAGGTGGAACATGGCAGCCAATTGCGATACCTGTGTTTGTGGAGAAGTATGTTATGGGTTGTGTCGGTTTATGAGCTGAAGATGAAGGGTTTCCTTTGAAGACAGCATGGGTAGGAGATAGCTGGAAGAGACAGGGAAGCGTGGAAGGGTCAGAAGGGTTGATTGAACTCTGAGCAGAGCTGGAAGGTTTCCAAGCCTGAGGCACATAAACACCTATTGTTATCAATTTCTCGTCATCGTCATCTGCCAAAGCACCGCGCAGTAATAGAAGTGTAGGCGACTGCCATGATAGGACATGGTGAGAAAAGGAAGTCAAAGACTGCCCATGGGCTGCAATTGAGAATACCGGATGCAGCCGGGTGCGGCTGTAAAAGAGATTCGGAATCGATGAACTGACTGACAAGAAGAACGATAGATGAGACAAAACAGTCGGATTGAGGATTTCGGAAGTAAAGCTGCCCTGTAGTAAGACGGGTGACGGAGGTGACGGTGCCATATCAGATGCTTTTTCCTCAGGAGCTGGGTCAGACGAGTTCGTATTGGCCCGCCGCCGAGAAAGATCCAAGTTCTCGCTGAACAACAGATGCTCGAATAAGGGTGTCAGGGGATCAAATAGATATGGTAGCGTTTCCGAGATCGTCCGGGCGAATGATTTATAACTAATTCCGCCTGCAGTCTCTTCTGGACTGAAAGCTGCCAATATGCTGTCAGCTTCTTTACGGACGGCTTCTAGATGTTCACTCTCTAGATGCGAAGTATATCTCGACACTGGTTCCAGCGGTTTCAGTGGCGCAATGACGAGAAGCAACATCAGAAGCCGTCGAAAGGTGTTCACCGAAATTCGTGCTTCGTAGACGGCCTTGTCGATGCGCTGATCATGCTTGAAGACCTCGATTGCATCTAGCGATTCCAACGCAGATAGCACCAGATCATCATCGTCATCCTCATACTCTTCATCATTGACAGGGTCATCAACCGCGAAGCCAGCAACATGTGAATGAGAAGCTGCCGCATCATCAGTCACCTCTGATGATTCGTTTTCCACTTTCTGCTCGGTCTCTTTTCGGCCGACGTCTGCGAGGCTCCCAAAGAGCAATTTGATCCTATCCCGGCGGCCTCGCCTAAGCACCTTTCCATACCTCTCTGTGAGCAACACGGCCACTTTCACCATAGCCTCAAAAGTCAACACGCTAGGCGCGAGAGTAGTCTGGAACGGAAACGCCCCTAGGTAGGATACCATTCGAAAGATGACCGGCCCCGGATCGAGCGGAGAGTCGTGTCCAGCACCACCGTCCACTCCATCCGGTATCCCAAGAAAGTCAGACAATATCTTCTCGTTCCAGTAGCGAAGTCCAGCTTGGTCCACAGCGCGAGTATAGAAATTGTCTTTAAAATGGGTGAGTTCCAGCGGTGTGAAGCATTTCGTTGCAAAACGCTCGGCAAGCACATGGCTTAGCTGTTCTGTTCACAATTCAGTCAGTGACATCCTTTCATCAGAAAGAGTCGCTTGGATGCCAGTCTTATAGAAACTAGCCACCTCGAACTTCCACCGCGATGTCCTGGGGAGAAAAGCTAACCGGGAGACCCGTTGCTTGCGCCGTCAGTCGATTGTCCAGCACCCATCTCGCATATGTATATCGAAGGATGACTGGTATATCAATGAAGAGGATGCGAAAATACTGGCAGCTATCCCAGTACACTATGTAGGTGTCGGCGACTCAAATCCACCGTTCTCAAGCTCAATCTGTCCTTTGAACCTCAAAGCTCCGTGATATTGCAGGTTCATCCCAGGAGATCACCAGGATATACAGCTGGCAGAGACCTGCTGCAGCTCTCTACATGCAGCCAGTTGATTGTGTCCGATATCTCGCAGGTAGTGGGCAACCAGCGAACTCGTAGGCAGAAACGTGCAAGCTATCGCGCAAGCTCCAGAGCTGACATGCGGAGCTTTCTATGCGTACATTTTTTGGTCAATGCAAATCACAAAGAGTTCAGCACTAAAAGTCCGTCTAATTAAGTAGTAGCCATGAAAGATGGAGCTGTGGTGGAAAAGGAGGGGCCGATGGACCGCGGCGATCGAGCTGAGACAGACTCCGGATCCGACCAAAGAACGTCATTTGGGATACTTCATTCATTTATGCGATAAGCAGCATCCCCAGGTCAATTCCCCCCGCATTTTGCATGGAAATAACAACTATTAGGTTATGTACAGTAACAAAGCAAGATATACGCCTCATACCATGAAAAACATCCGTAAGAAATTACCCCAATCGCAATCCCAAAAAGATCGTTCCTTCCAGCGGGGTATCGTAATACGGCTCGATCTCCCGGAACCCGAATGAATGATATAACCTCCTCGCAGCCTCCATCTTCGGAAGTGTATCCAGTCTTATTTCACTGTATCCCAAACTCCTCGCAGTCTCGATGATCACCTTGACTAGCTCTTTGCCCAGCCCACGACCTCGACCCAGCGGGCTGACGTAGAGACGTTTCATTTCGCAGATACCAGCAGGTCGGTTGTTGCCTCCTTGTGCGCCAGCTCCGGGTAGGGGTCGCAGCGCAATACAGCCCAGAGGTGTCTCTGTTTGAGTGTCTCGCGCGAGGAGTAGTTCGCCTGTTGGAGGAGCATATTTTCCAGGCATTGAGGCCATTTCTGTTTCAAAGTCCTGGAAGCTGAGATCGAGATCGAGCCAGTCGACATAGGCGGTGAAGAGAGCTTTGGTTGCTTCGAGATCTGTGGTTGTTCGGACGGGAGTGATTGTGGTGTTGGATCTTTGGCTGGTCATTGTGGAATTGGTCGTGGATGGTTACTATATTGTTATGCTGTGACCGTCACGAGCGTAGATTCTGTCGTCTATGTTTCGCGTAAAGGAAAATGTGATATACTATAAGAGTACTTAAATGACAATAGAAGCGGAGGAACCAGACTGAAGGAGAATATAGAATTGTGTCGGTGACAATGGCCTTAGATCGATTGTTATAGAAGGTAGTCAAATATGTTAAGAATGTCCAATGGGAAAGACTTCGTGACTCACGCGACGTCAAAACGTCTCCATCAACAGATGAATCCGACATCGGATATCACTCAAAAAGGTAAATATACACACAGTCTTCCATACTTATCCTGGAGTAAGAGGATCAACTTGATTTATCTGACGTAGTGGTCGTTCGCGATCGCTGTCCGCATCTTAATGCAATCAATATATGCTGCGGGCACTAGATCCACAAACCTCTACTGCACTAGGGTGTCGTTGTGGACTATCATAACCATAATATCATTTTTATTCTTGTTAGGGTATTCTGTGAGCTATTTTCTTCTCTTCAACAGCTATAGCACAACGCGGTCGACCAATAGAGATCATCTCGCAGACGCCATAAAACCGTGTCCCATACCTGCTGTCTGCATTCTGCCCCAGGCAATGCATCGATTCTATTCCTTTTTTTACAAGAGAACAACACCCACGCCTCCTCGCTTCTTATCATCCGGAAGGTTCCTTTCGTTAACACCACCCGGAACCGGGGAGGTGCGGTAGTTGAAGAGGTAATAATGAAGCTGTCCGTCACCAGCGCCGAACTTGAGCTGCTCAAGGAAGAGAGGGTTGTCGTGGATAGTGAGAGCGTTGAACACGTCGAAATGAGCCTGCGTGCTATGTCAGTATTTTATTCGATGGACCGGAACCTTTTCTCGGTGCGGACTTACTCTCTTAGCAAGAATAAGCGCATCATTGATGAGAGTCAGTAGCCGCTCCTTGAGGACCTTATCGTCATCCTTGAATGCTGCCTCCGTTGCGTAGTAGTATAGGTATGCCGCTCGGACCTCCTTATGCTTCGGGTTCTGAATAACCGAAGAAGGCAGAGAGTAGAACGAGACAAAATCGGTAATCTTATGCGTCTCTGGGTCTTCTGCGACGTACGACCAGACAACCTGCTCCTTGTCTGCCTCTTCTTTGTGCACCAACCAATGTTCAATCTCATCTTTCGAGTAGGCCTGGTTCAGTTGGAAACGTTTCAAGTAGCGTTCCAGGAGGTCGTGAACATCATCGACATCCTTGAGCTCCATTGGCCGGATTCCCGGAGTCGATGTTTCGCTGGGGAGGTGGTTCTTCGTGATTTGACGAGCCTTGGTCGAGCCATGAGGAAGGGGAGAGAACCCAACTTCATATAGCTTCAGCCAGTCCAACGGGCGGTGGTAGTATCTGCACGAAGCTACAGGTTTAGGGAGGACGACACCACCGGTGTAAATGGCCTGGTAGACGCCATTCAGATAACAGCGACGGGTAATCTCTTTGATAAGCACTGGGGTCAGGCGCTTTGATCGCAACTTCTTGTGAATGCAGAGAAAGTTGATCTCGCTGACGTGAAGAAGCTGATCACGCACACGGATGTCCGCAGGCACACCGCAAATCGAGGCGACTAGTTTGCGAGACTTCGAGGCGCGGACACCGACATGCCATTCTGGCCTCCATCCTGGGGCCTTCAAGGCCCTGGTTTAACCTATCAGTCATACAGTCCCAACGTGTAAATCAAACGCCCTGAAGGTGACACGTACCAGTCAAGGAAGGATCGCGAATAGTTGAAACGGAACATGGCATTGTCATCCTCCACGTAGTGGTTCGTAAGCAGTTCGTACAGCTCCTGAAGCTCCTTCTCGTCCGTCAAGTCCAACGTAACCCACTCGAAGCCTTCCAGGAGAGGATCAGGCTGCTTGGGCACCTCGTCCGGATTGATGACCTTGATGGGCCCCTCGACCATCTGTCCCTTCTCATCGAACCGCGGCACCGGCTGCGTACTCCAGAACTTGTAGGAAGCCATATCCTTCTGGTTCTTGCCTCCAATCGCCAGGCCCGTCAAGAGTTCCGCGATGTTCATATTGCGCAGAGCCTCGGTTTTCTTCTTCTGGTCCAGCCCCTCCAGTTCACCTTTCAGAGCAGGGTTCTTCTCCAACAAGGACTCCGCCATACCAGACGTAAGCTTCTTGCCTGCTGTCGCCGGACCTTCCTCTGCTCCATCCTTTGATTTCTTTCCGAACAGCTTCTTCTTCTTTGTCTTGTCTGCGGAGTCGTCCTCGGCGGCGGAAGTGGGCTGCGCTTCGTTCTCCGCGACGGAGGAGGGGTCAGCGGACTCGACGTTGCCGGTTTCCTCGGGGGCGGCGGCGGTGGCCTTGCCTTCAATTCCCTTGGATTCGGACATGGCCGCGGTAAGATGTGAAGGAGGGAGAGAAGATTACCGTGGCCTCGATGGGACAGTGTGGTGGATTTTGAAACTCGGGCTTGCTTGACGGTTGCTTCGCTCACAGCCTCAAGCGCCCGCCCCACGTCGAGGCTAAACAATAAGTAGTACCGGCGTTGACTATCCGCCCTATCGTTTAGGATAACCGTTGGACATGCCATGGATATCGCATGCAAGAGTCTTCTTTGGGAAGTAAATGTCCCGGGATATAAGTACTAGACCGTTTAGACTATAATGTCACATCACATCACAGCTATATGTTCACAGCTGCACTTGGAGACTCAGCTTCGACGCCAATTTACAGCGGGTTTGGTTTGATAGAAGAACGAGGAAGCTTCGTGGATGCATATTAGAACGGCCCGCGGACATAGAAAAAGTCTATGATCAATGCTTTTCTCCATCCAAGCCTTAAGTATATCGCTAATCCAAGTGTTGAAACCTCAGTATCCATCCAAGTCAGCTGCCATACAGGAACAAAAGGATATACTAGTCAGCGCTCATGGTCAAATCCATGGCTCAGGAAATAAGAGAACGCCGATATTGCCAACCCCACCCAGCGATGCGTTGAAGCTGTACGCGAAAGAAGAGATGCCAATGCAGAGAACGGTATAAAGTAATTAACGGGTCTAATGTCAACTTGATGAGCACAAGCATAAGGAGCAGTGCCCGATCACTGCGGGCCAGGCTTAGTCTCGACGACATCGAGGAAGCCACCCACAAGATGGAGACTGCCTGTGACCAGAGTCATGACGGCTGATTCTGACTCAGAAACTTGGTGTTGATTTTTCTCGGCCAGATCCCTGACGTACTCGACAGCCTCTTCAATCGTTCCCAGAACTTCAACGGTCGCTGTGGGATCAATCGTCTTCCACGTTTCGGCCAAAGTATTTTGTACACTCAGTTTTTCGATGTCAGCGGAGTTAGTGTTGATACTAACCAAGTCTGGCCGGTATCCAGCATCCTTGTAAGTGACATTAGTACAGAAGATGGCATGGGTGAAAGGCTTCTCAGCGCCCAAAGCCTCAGCAAGAGTCTGGTGTAGAGCCTTGGCCAAGGCCACGCTGTCGCGTGTCTGTTGATTGAAAATGAGCACTCTTGGCTTCTTACTGGCTGCCTCAGTAGAGGAAGAGTGAGCGAGAATCTGTGATGCGAACCACTCTCCCGCTACTCGGATACTCTCCAGGGTATGGCCTCCATCAATATACCACGAGACGTTTTTCTCGTGTCTCGTTTCACATCTCCCTCCTAACTGAGTCTGTTCGAGACCTCTCCGGAACTCATCAGGTAACGGGGCCCTCAATATATCTTCGGGGATGCCTTCAATTCCACGTTTCCTCAAAAACTCCCCAGCCACGGCAACAGCCAGGTTGGCGTTTGTGTATTGGAAGTCACCGGCAAGACCCAGCTTCAACCCGCTCGTCTTGTTCAATTCCGGATGACCCTCTGCAACCCGCAGCTCAACGCCCTTCTCTGCTGCCCTCTCAAACAGCACCTTGAGCGCCGCGTCCGCTTGAGGAACAGTGAAAGCTTTGGCCCCAGGTTTCATGATACCAGCCTTGTGCCAGGCTATTTGCTCAATGGTTGACCCAAGGACGGCGACATGATCAATGCCTAGGCTGGTGATTCCGCTGACGGCTGGCTGCACAATGATGTTTGTGCTATCGTGCTCGCCTCCAATTCCACATTCAATCACGGCAGCATCCACGCCCTCACTCATATACGTGTGGAATGCCATAAGAGTGAGGAAACGGAAATATATCGGTTTAGTCCCTGGTTCCTTAGGGTCTATTCCTGCAGCGCGGGCAGACTCTTCCAGCCGATCCCATGTCTCGAAGAAATATTTCGCAAATTGTTCCTCGGACAGAGGGGTGTTGTTAATCTGAATGCGTTCCCGAGCAAAGCGAAGGTGAGGAGACGTGTAAAGGCCGACCTTGGTGATCTTCGATGATGATCGTGAGGAGGATGGGAGGTATTGGGCAAGAATATAAGAGACGAAAGCCGAGGTTGAACCCTTCCCCTTCGTACCGGCGATATGGATTGGGTTCAGACGATTCAATTCTGCGGGCTATGAATAAGACAATTCGTTTGTCAGTAACAGACATTACTAAACGGTCCCGTTGACAGAGACAAAGGCCGAACGTCTCCCAAAGTAATGGACCACCCACCTCGTAACCTATCTTCCTACACCACTCGATCATCTCCGGAATGGCCTGCTGGTTCATAGCCCGGCCCGACTTTCTGATCGCATCGACAACTGCGAAATTCGACTGCAGCGAATTAAGTGCTGCAATCGCATCCTGAAAGACCGCGCATCAGCCAACCACATTATCAAAAGAACAAGAAACACCGCCATTGCAGTATCCAGAAAGCTAAGAGGTGTTAAAAACAAACCTCGTAACTCCGAGCCATTGCGATGCGACTGGTCGAAAAGAGCCTGGATCGATGAGGTGCTCTGAAAGGAAGATGTTTCCAAAGCCCTTTCATGGGCGTCTGAAGGGTTTATGTTGGAAAAAGTAGTCGTCGTTCCCTGCGCTTTGAGAATCTAGACTGTAGGAGTCATGATGGAATTTAGCGGGGATTTTCCATGCATCGAAAAGCGACAGGTTCCGCCTTCGGAGAGCTTCTTATCGGTTGCCCCACGTGAGCGATAAAGATACTAACTAGTATGTACACCACGGTTTATCCTGCCATCTTGCTTGATTCCAAGGGGCTCCATAGAATGTATTTATATAATTTCCAAGTTCGGAATATAAATACATTCACAAGATTAGACCCATAATAATTGATGTTGAATAATTGTTGAAAACACAAGGTAAACTAGAAGATACCTTTCATCATGCAGCTAGTCCTCCATCCCGGCCTCTTCATCCACCATTGAAAAGAACAAGACAAAAGATCCATTTTCCCATCATCTACTCGCCGCAAAAGCAGCCGCATAAACATCCATATCCCTCACAAAAAACCCACCTCTCTTCGGCTCCCATCCCAAGACCTGCCTCGCGCGGATCGAAGATCCCCTAAAAGTCGTACTCATAGCCTCATTAAACAAATCTCCACCATGCCCAACCAATTCCACCCTCCCCTCGAACCCGAAATACTGAGCCAACGCATCGAAGATATCCTTCATACTTTCCTGACTGGTCACGAGGTCGAAAACAGGATACACGCCCGTTCCGGAAAGCAAGGGTAATTTCTCTATCGCGCGTTCAAACCCCACTGCGGCGTCATCCACATGGACCAAGGCTGGTTTGGATGTTGGATCGAGTGGGATGTGGATCGTTTCGGAGCTTGAATTTTGATTCTGATTCCGTGCAGCTTCGTACAGCGGAGCGATGTAAGGTGTCCAGATGGTATGTTCACGGCCGTAAAGTAGAGCTGGACGAAGGATCATCACGTCTAGGATGTTAGATGAGTTGAGGATGGAATTCTCAAGTGCTACGCGCCAAGCGACGAGAGGAGCTGGAGGTGTGATGGCTTCTGGCCCGACGAGGTCTAGGTCATTAATTCTCTTCTCGGTCGATCCATGAACCCAGGAACCGGAGCAGTAGATGAAGCCCAGTTTAGGACCTTTGATTCCAGTTTTGGTGTAGTTGTCGAGACGCTCCTGGCTGATGGATTTGATGTCTTCGAGGATCTTGTATGTTCCGTCATTGGCGCCGGCGACGTCTACGACGATGTCGATGTGGGCGGAGCGGATGAGAGAGAGGTAGGCAGATGGTTCGTTGATAGGGTCAGGACATAAGACTGGGATGATCTCCTGGGCTGCTAGTTGCTTTGCTTTGGTTGGTGTGCGAGCAACGCCGTAGACGGTGTGTTGACCGTTGCGAACTAGGATATTGGCTAGATTATTGCCTAGGTAGCCTGTGGCTCCGAGAATGAGAACTTTTGTCATGGTGGGATTGAATTGACAATCGGGATAGAGTATAGATATCTTGCTGTGGAATGGTTCGGGTATAGGAACTCGATTTCAATGAAGCTTTTCTTTCATAGTCTTTAGGTACAGTACATATCATGTCTTGTTTTGAAACTACGAATTTCTGTTCTTTTTATATCTTAGTCCTGAGCCAACGGTACATGTCTCAATAACTCCGGACTCGGCGATAATGTGCGGAAGATATGATGATATCCTGGTCCTATAGAGTTGATGTTTCCGAATCTAGTCCAGGTGAGTTACAAGTCAGATGCAAGCTAATGCCAGATTAGGAGAATCTTGCAATGAAGGGGCTGAATAAATAATAAGCACTAGTATGCGTCAGTATCTTCGACTAGTTAGCGTAATCAGTTTTGCAGATATCCTGGGGATGCGGTGACAGTGTCGGGATTACCGAGACTGGACGTTCGCAAAGGCCGACGGGGTTAAGCGGAGTGTCCAGTATGTAGATCACGTCCCAGCCAAAAGCACACGAGATGTGGTTGTATGAAATAAATGTCGGGAAACTAGTTTCGAACAGCTAAGAAATGTATCCTGTCTAAGTACGGATGCGGTACCATTAAACAAACAGTTGAGGAATAGTCATACAGTGCAATCGCTCCAAACATCCCGAAACACGGGGAGCAAGTGGAATCGAGCAAAAGAAGAGAAAAGAAAAGCCTAAAAGGCAGAATAACGCTGTCCGTGGGGGAAATGGTGAAATAAGAGTACGAAAAGTAAGTCTTCACTCGATTCTCTTCTTCCCTTCCTCCATGTAGCCAAGGCGAACATTACTGTATCCGCGTTGGTGCCTCCGTCCTGATAGCAACTTGCCGATGACTGGGTCCGACCGCGCTTGGATCAGAGCATCCTGGTAGCCTTCAGAGGCAGCTGCGGGAGTATTCAACTTTGGCCAGTTGACCTGCAAATTGGCGTCAGCAAAAAGTAGAATGGAAGTGACGGTCCAGGATAACTTACATATAGCATTCCGTGCGCGAGAACGAAGCGCAGGCACCATGCGCCAATGATGATCCAGAAAATGATAAAAAGCCTCAGCGGCCAGGAAGCTGAATCCGGCAATTGTCTTGTGAAAGTAGCCAGCGTGACCATAAAGATACTCGCAGCCAAAACGTAGGGGATGGCTTGGATGATAACAGGTCTACGGTCGACGAAGAGTAACATGCCAGCGAACGTCGAGTCCGGCGGGAGATAGGTGCCCAAGAACACATCGAATGCATCTTGTCTGGGACCGTCCATAAAGTTGTTGCGCACATATCGCGTGATCGAGTTGCTCAAGTCCTGAAGCATACCTGCGCGCGTACGCTGACCCGTTCGGGTGAAGTCAGTCTTCAACGCACCAGTGCCCGAATAAGACTTGGAGACGACGTCGGCATTGTCAGCCCAGATGTTGCGGAACATATCCTCAAATTCCTTATCATCGCTGGCTGACTCTCCGGGTCGAAGAATTCCCACGTCGATCAACTGCCGGGTCACAGCCCAGCGGCCCAGCATGCTCTGAACGACATTTGTGCGGTCTAGACAATCCATGCAGTTTGTTCGCACAACGCTTGTTTGAAGAGAACGGATATCCAACTGCCCGAGTTGATCACCGGGCGTTTCGACACCGCGGAAATAGCCGCCACGGTTCAGTCCATCGATCAGACGGTCCAGTAGAAGCTGAGCCCGATGCCATTGGAGACCTTTTGTTTCATTGTGGAAATCAAAGTAGACGTAGTGCAGACGGTCCATCTCTTGCCTCTTCTCCGCTGGCTCGACAACATGTACCTTTTCGTCAGATATGTTGTCGGTCTCAGTATGCTCCTGGGGTGAAGAAACCAAGACACGGACCATCTGCTCGTAAGCCCGCTTCACTCGCTCTTCTCTTCCTTTTTGATTCACCAGGTTCACGAGATAGTTCTCCCCGTAGATCCTGATTTGTTCGGAAAAGTGCTTCCTGGCAGCATCCACAGCAGTCTCTACCCCTCTGACCTGGAGCTTGGGGGTGTACTTCAGATTGTTAACCTCGGCCCAATAGACCGGCACGCTTCCTCTTGTCTGTACATAGGATAGCACCTGCAAGTCCTGGCCCGCGCCGTCTCCTTTCATGGACTGTCCTCCAGCGAACCCGGACAGACCTCCAGCCGCATCATTCAATATCACCACTTGTTCCGTCTCGTTGTAGTTCGAGACATGGCCCTGTTCATCTATACCGCGCGAGAAGTATCGAGTACCCCCACGATGTCTTGATCGTCTCGTTATGAGAGCAAAGGTAAAGGGGCTCGACTTGACACTGGTTGAGGTAATACGCATCATACCGTACATGACTGGTAAGATGAACGGGTCGACCCCAGGCTGTTGGCCATACCGTATGCCCGCATTGTCATTGGCACCCTGACGGAAATCAATCAAGTCGGACTGGACAAAACGGTTCCAAAAGAATCGGTCGTCTGCTCGTTTCCAGAGGGGGAGACTGAGATCACTCTGCGCCTGTCGCTGGAAGCTGTTGGTGATATCGAGAGAATAGGAGAAGAACAGAGGTCCACTGCGGAGTAGGTCCTTCAGGAGAGTGAGGTAGGTATCTTCATCGATGTCATGCAGTGGTCTTTCTCGGAGGGGTAGGAATTCTGTGGCCACGACCCTGTATACCATGTGGCCCCGCAGCCTTCCCATGGGCTGCGCCTTTGTTATGACAATGATGTATTTATCTGGTTCTGTAAGTCCTACGACACACTATGCAAAGCCACGGGAATTCGCATACCCAGCTTTAGTTTTATGATTCCCAAGATACCAGCGATGCTGGAGACGCGCTTGGCGCCCAGCAGGGTCCCATCGTTCAGACGGATGTCGCCAGTCGGGCGCTCAACAACAAGCGTAGGAGAGTCGGGAGACGAAGGAGAGGTGAAAGCATAATGAGAAGCCGAGGCGTGAAGGTTAATATCACGGAATGGGAGGATGGGACGCGCCATAGTGAGCTGCGGTCCCTTAGATTGTCTGGATCACTGGAGAGCAGACGAAGTAGATGCGTGTTCAACGATCGCTCTGCATGGTAGGACGACAGTTGAACCCGAGCCCCAAGACAACCTGGGGAATAAATCAAACAGATCTGCTTGTGAATGTGGACACGTCGCTGGCCGAGGGTTGACTCCCTGAGCTGGACGATAGATCACTGCCCATTAGTTAGTTAAGTGAGTTAAGTTAGGTTAGTTCATCTTCTTATTACAGCTGCACCGCCCCGCCCAATAATCAACTGCTGTGGCTGGGGCGCTGGACAAGCCGCTCTCCTCCGTCATCTCAGCAGGCGGCCATCGTCGTGCTCCTCTCACTCCATCTGTCCACTAGCACTCAACCTCGCCCTCTCAACGACCCTTCTACAAATCCATAATTACCAGATTCTTCTTCATCTTCCGGGATTCACGATCATGGCTTCTAGAGCGCCTGCGGGAGCCCGTCCCGGTGCGAGGTTCGCCCAGTTCAAGCTGGTCCTGCTCGGTTAGTCCCTCTGGCGTTAACCTGTGATATTACGAGTTCTGGATCACTGACAGGAGTTGCTATGTAGGAGAGTCTGCTGTCGGAAAGGTTAGAGTCGCTGGTACTCGTTTTGCGCCCGCTGTCGATTGCTGACTTGCCACTTCCAGAGTTCACTCGTGTTGAGATTCGTCAAAGTACGTTGAAAGGCGACCCAAGAATATGAAGATCATCAAGGATCCCTGAAGATCGGGGCTAATATGGCTGCAGGATCAATTCGATGACTACCGGGAGTCTACAATCGGCGCCGCTTTCCTTACGCAGACCATCTCACTCGATGAGAGCACAACGGTCAAGTTCGAGATATGGGATACCGCTGGTCAGGAGCGCTACAAGTCGCTAGCGCCGATGTATTACAGAAATGCCAACTGCGCCGTTGTGGTTTATGATATCACGCAAGCCGTACGGACCCAGCGTCTCTCTCTTTCTTGCGCCATCAGAAGCTAACCCGATCGTGATTACAGGCGTCCCTCGACAAGGCCAAGTCATGGGTGAAGGAGCTTCAGCGCCAAGCAAACGAGAACATCGTCATTGCTCTTGCTGGAAACAAGCTTGATCTCGTTACCGATAACCCTGATAAGCGTGCTGTCCCGACCGCAGATGCAGAGGCCTATGCGCGCGAGGCCGGCCTACTTTTCTTCGAGACCTCCGCGAAGACCTCGACGAATGTCCGGGAACTGTTCACCGCTATTGCCAAGAAACTCCCTCTGGACCAGGCAGGACCCCGAAATCTGAGAACGACGCCTCGATCCGGTGTGGACTTGAGACCAGAAGCGCCCGGCACCCAAGCCGCTGGTGCCTGCAATTGTTAGACATATCTTGATGATTGCGCACTCTTGTCCCCCTCGCCTTCCGTATTATCTTTCTCTCTTGCTTGGTCGAGATCCGTTCCAACCGTGAACCTCGAGGGTATTTGCTGCAGGTGACTGAGCTGATGGTATGCTTTTAATGCTGGGTGTGCCGATTGAAATCTGCGCAACGTCCGTTGCGATCGATTACAGTCGACACTGGAAATATTATCTTTGTCTCTTATTCTCATTTCTTGCCTCGTGCTGCCCTCAGTCTGCGTGCCTACCCTGCAAATCGTCATGGCATGGTACGAGTCGCAGCCAGGTATTCATTTCGCATATTATGCTAGACCGTACCCTGCAGGGATCATCATATTACCTATTCGTTGACGTGTTCTATGTCTGTTCTCTCGGCGTCAATTGTTGTTCTTGTGGGTTAAGGTCCATATTACTTGCTCTCTTGCTTTTCTTGTCGACCGTTACAGAAATCCTTCATATCCTCTCTTGATCTAGTTATTCAGCCGCTACGTCCAATCTTTTATGTCCATATTTTCCAAGACGTAACTCTCCGTAGGCGTAGCCCTGTATTTTTAACATGTCTAGCCTATGCTTGGCAGTAGCTTCTACTAGCAACCTAACCATACTAGCGTTCAGCCCTGCAATCACTCTGCGAGGTATTCCGTCCAAACTTGAGACGTAATAGCCAACTATGTCTCCAAAGGCTAGGCCCTCGAAGCCTCCTCAATTACTATTATCTCAAGCTCTCAAGCTCTCAAGACTACCTAAATAACCAACGACCCTTGTAGCACAGGTGATATCCATCTCCCACATAATGTACGTAGTGGAGTGCTCCGTTCCAAGACGTGGATCTAAATTGACTGGCAGATAATACTGACAGAGTTAGAGATTGCGAAAATCTCAATTATTCTCTCAGTCAATAAGTGGGAAACGGTTTATAGTTGAGATTCATGCTCACAACTATTGTGTTCCAGACCCTAGTTACCTGTACAGCGTCCACAGACGGTTATGCAACAGGTTGGTACATACAACACGTGGATTACTGTACGGCAAATAGGATAGTGTTACTGGTAGCTTGCAAAAGGTTATATGAAGAATAGAATAATGAAATGAAATGCATGCGCATCTGCGAGTCTATAATTAAAAAGAAAATGTTAAAAGAAAAAAAAAAAAGAATGATTAAATGATGCATATGCACTCCCCCCCCGGCCTTGATGCTTTTTTCCTGAAAACCCAAATCCCCGACCAACTTTGCCTCCCAATAGGGGGGAACATGAGATCCGAACGCCCCCCCTCCTGTTTCCTGAAAGCTTCGCCACGGTAGTAAACTTTTGTTGTGGAGTCTTGTGTGTCTAGGCGTTGTATAAGAAATTCGATATTCTGTAAAGCCTCGATCAGAGGAAGGATGTGTGGGGCTGGGTGAAAAATTGGTTCGTAGCCTTTCAACGACTGATGTCTCTTTAGGAAATATGAAAGGGGTATATGTTGACGGAAATAGGTCCTCGAAGTTGGTTGTGTATGTACCGCCTTAGAAGGGTGATAACCTTGGCCAATCGATGGCAATAAGCAATGGTTTGTTGTTGTATCTGTTTCTGCGCATCCTCGTTTTAGGATGTCAAGAGCGAACAGAAGAAAGTCTGTACAATAGCAGTGCAGTGATTGGAGGCGGTACCAACTCGTTTTCCTCAGGGCTTTTTTTGTTCGGAAGGTGAGCACATCATGCTGCCAAATATATATTGATGTTTAGACCATGTGGTTCACATTGTGGACCTGGCCGGTTTGGTACGCAACACTCGGGTTTTCAACGCTTTCGTCTCCCACTTCTGCCTCTTTCTGTTGAGCCAGCTTCGCGCCTTGATCAAGACCAACTGGGGAGTTTCTGCCGTAAAGGAACCAAAAGCTCAGACCCGCAGGGATGATTCCTCCGATGATATTGCCGATCGTAACGGGGATAATGCTTTGGTAGATGAATTTGCCGACTCCGAAGTTTGTACCGTAGAACATGCCGATAGGGACCAGATAGTAGTTGGCGATGCAATGCTGATAGCCCATGATGACGAAAGCCCAGACAGGGATCCAGATGGAGTAGATCTTCGAGATGTGGTCGTTACAGGCAGTTGCGAGGTAGCTAGCCAGAGAGACGAACCAGTTGCAGCCGATACCTCTAAGGAAGTTCACCGACCACTGTACGTTGACGCGACCTTCAGCTTGTGTTCCTGCGTACGCCTTTTGTTCATCTGTCTGTAAAGTGTTTGCCCACCAGCAGAAAAAGCCTGCTATGAAGAGGCCTGCTGCCATGTTGCATATATAACCGGTCACCAGGACTCGGAGGGCTCCCAGGATCGAGGTCTTTCGCTGACAGGTCGTGAATGTCATGAAAAACAGACTTGATGTGAACAGTTCGGCATTGGTCAGGATGATGAGAACGAATCCTAGTGGGAAGGTGAACCCAGATATCATCGTCGCCAGAGCGGGATTACTTTCCCGCAGTTGCGGGCTCCCGGACAGGACGAGAAGGTCGACATGTGCTCCGAAACTAATGTAGCAGCCACCGAGGAAGGCTTTCAAGGCCAGACGAAAGAATGGAAGAGCTTCTCTCTCGACGCCTGCTCTTGTGAGAAGGATAGAGGTCTCTTGGGGTGTATACCCGTTAATTCTTTCGAGAGACATGGCGACGACGGAAACAGAATGCAGCTACACAAAGGCGTCCGGGGAGAATTCTGGGGGTATATCATGTTAATAATGTTTGTTTATCCTAGGCCAGACCCTCTATCGCTCTGATGGAATATACACATACCTCTTATTGTTATTGGATAGAAACCACAGAGAGCATCATTGACTGTCTGCTCCGGCGACGATTGATCGATCCCAAAGACTCGGCAAGGACCCTCACTCTTATAAGTCGCCATTTAAGACCATTTTATTCAGCCGCATCCGATTAGGGGTGCATAACACTGAGGAGAGCGTGGCACTAACAGATGGGATCCATCCTTACAACGTTGCGTAATACAGCGGATTCTAACCAACTTAGGTCTGACAGTTCGCTATATTTGCAGCCCCAGACTGAACCAGACTGAAGCTCCAGTCGAAGTTATGACATAACCACTATCATCGTTGTGTTCTTTTGGGTTCGTCGAAGGTTACGACCTATTCCGGTATCGCGGAAGCTCCGGATATCGTAGCACGTACGTATGTAGTTAGATGTCCTAACTGTTGCATACTCCATACTCAAGCGGAGCAGAGACCGACATTGCTAGAGACCGCTCCGAAAGACGGACAATCCCCATGGGTGTTTCACAAGTGCCGTCAAGCTCAGATAGCTTCGACGAAAGACTGACCTCACATGCCCCAAGGAAGTAAGGATAGGCTATCGGTCTGATGAAGGCTGCAGAGGCGTTCAAGCGAGGTTTATCCGCTATTCCCGAATGGCAATTAGGGCTCGGATTCTGTGGAGTCGCGGAGACACGATCGTGAGTTGTAAAGCCGGATCAAGACGAAGGTTTACTCTGTTTTAAGTGTTAGCGTATACCACAAGTCTGATGTTCTGGGGCCGAGGCTTAGTGCTTCCCTCAAGACTGCCACTAGCTATCACATATTCAATCAAAGCCACAAGAGGATCGTCCGTGGGTCCTGGGCAATCTAAGAACTACGTACATGCCAGTATATATATTAATTAAGTACCAGCAACAGTCGACGGAAAAGTCTGAACTCAGCTCCAGGGGTCTGAAGCTCTCAAAAAGACAGCGACAACATTTTATAATATTTAATCCCATTCATCACGCACAGTTTAATGGTAAACTCGGGGAAGTTCTGACTTCTACACGCCACGTCGCATTCCTTCGGCGTACTCGGAGAATGTTCGGGCGGATGAGCGGGTATGGATTTGAATTGATGACGCGACGACTCAAGAAGAATAATATGGGCTCTCGACAGTTATAAATCAATTAATATCTTCTTCATCAGATAGATCGGTTCTTTCTGCCTTCTCGATCGACCCGTGAGACATTTTTTTCGACACGCGCGCGACATTTGTTGGCAGAAATCAATCTGGCACCCGAAATATGGTAACTACCATATGGTAGCCATAGCAGACCAGACCAGCTCGGTTTCACATTCTCCACAGTCCCAGTACCAGTAGATAGTCCTAGTCACTTACTGGGTCCTCGCCGTGGAAGTTGTTGTGTGGAAAAATGAGCATTCCTGAATATCCGAGTAACGGAGTGTTTCTATGTACTACTAGACTCAGGCATAGTTATCAATAGGCCGTGGAAAAAGCAGAACGATCGCACTTGGCTCCGATAGCGGAATTAACTTGTGAAACCGTCTTTTAGACGGCTGTGTTGTATTATTTGTATAGAGATCTCCCTCATCGTCAAAAGTTACCTTCCAGGTCCGGCTTTCGGAGGTAGTATCGATCTTCGAAGGCGTTTACTTAGACTTCATGTTTTCATTTGACCAGGGGGCTATCATGATGAAGATCATCTTAGATAGACCAACCCGAGCTCTCACCACTCCCTCGGGGCACGTAAAGTCGGCTCCCGCTTATGCACCTAAAAAAGGCTTGATCGGACCGAGTCTCATTGTCAATATAGGAGCTGAAAGCCCAAGGGTCCGATTCCGATCCCGATGCGAAGCTTATTATTTATGGAGTATGGAGTATGTACTGGTAGTAGTACTGTAGTATTATTATTATTATTCAGGTACCATAGTCTGTCACTAGCTTATTTTATGACACGGACCATGATAGAAAAGATGAATGCTGAGAGGACAAATAGTTGTACTCTTCTGAGAGATATTCCCCGGGTTCTGGGGCGTCCCATACTGGAGTGGGGGCTCTGTGCGATGTTTCCAGATCAACACGTATGAACGCGTACCAAGCTTCTTTTCGATATGAGGAAGGTATCTTTTGCGGGATTTGTAGAACGGAAGCAGGACGCTGAGTGTCCATTATTAGACCAGCGTATGGTAGATGGTAGGCCCATACATGCATGGGACGTCGTCCAACCCATCGACCGCAGTTTCATGTACTGTACCATAGTAGATAAAGGACTCCCTATTATTGATTAACCAGCATGGGTATAACTATTTTTCCCCAGCCGGTAATTCCGAAGGTTAAGCTTAGTCTTTCTGTAACTATGCCATGTGGCGCGAAATTTGACCAGGTTCATCTCCACATTATCTCGGAGGCTTGTTCGACTTCTCAACCTTTTAGCTCTTCAAAATGACTTGAGTATAAAACGCTTCCCAGACGGATCTCAAGCTATAGAGTTTTTGATATCCAAGAATTATTTATTGCCGAACTATTGACGATATCTGTACAAGTTCTGAAAAAGGAAATCCGGGTATGTCGGCAGAGACGATGGAGTACATTCAAATATTCCCGTTTCTGGATGTTTCATGCGGCACTTACGCTATGATAGCAACTAATCTTTTTATTATTATTTGTGGAGAGAACTGCGTTGCTTACATGGAAAGGGGTGAAATTCATGTTGCGCATTAGATTTGATACTACTCCAGATGTATCTGCGTTTGAACTATCCTTTTTTTTTATGACAAACAGGAAGCCACCATGATCATCTCCTGAAAAGTACTGTACAATGAATCGAAAGCGCCAAATCCATGAAAACAGCCAGTCCCTCTCGCATGGGATCTGAAGAAGCGCTGCATACCGCACTCATCGATTTCACATTCCGTTATTGGGATCGATAGATGGATCCGGTTGTACCGTGGTGTTTGTGATATTTCGAAGGATGCGGTGCATGAGTACTCTCTCTACGGCCGGCCGCTCTGTTAGGAGGACTGGGTGGTCGGTTGGCTTCGGCCTCCTCCTGCCTTCGCTGCTTGTAGTCCATATCGACGGGGTCGTCGCTCCTCACGGTTCCGTAGACCTTCTTTGGTCTGGGTTCTGGTGACTCGATCGGCTTGGATGGCATGTTGTTGGTTTTGGTTATGAGAATTAAGCTGTAGGGGTCGTCTCTCTCCCTCTATGTGTGTGTGTGTGTGCCAAAGGGCTAATTCGTGGGATATTTGCTCAGAAGTATCTCGATCGAGCAACAAAATATCTCAAAAAAATCAGTATCTCCTGGGGAATCAAAGGTCAAAATTAGGGATGGCCGCATTCTCTTATGTTGTGGTTGTTCTTAGGGACATGGCCGTGATGGCGACTTTCCGTGAGCGCATCATGATGCAACGTCTTCCTTCTCGAAATAACGACCATGGATCCATTAACGGCTCAATACTTGGAATCGAGAATGTGTAAACGAATAGGATAGTCTCCCATTTATTTCTGGGATATCTACTCCCCATACCTGGTGTCAATGTTACGCGGGAGCTTTCACAATGACACCAGCTTTGTTATGGATTACCTTATGGCAGAGATAGCAGCCCTACTTTGGCCTTCACGAGCGTCAGGTATATTTCAGGCTGATGCTAATCTATTAGTGTTGTTACCCGAATACCTCCTTGCCTCTGTCGTTGGGCCTTCAAGGGAGACGCTGATTATCAATGCTACTAGACGCTATCCCGATCAGGGACGACATATCGAAATGAGGGGATGAAATCAAGGATATCGTTTTATCATAATCGAGATGAACACACAAAAAGACTCTTCGTTAACATTATGGTTGGCAGGGGCATATTTTTGGAACGGTCAGAATCAAAACGGAAGATAATAACAGTTACGCCTTCACCATCGGCCTCACGTGTTGTTTTTGGATGCCGTTCACATGTGGATGAGCATGGCCATGGCCATGGCTATGACCGATGTGCTCGCTAATGCGGTGTTTTGCAGGCTTTGTGTCATCTGCTCCATGATCGAGTTCGCAAGCTTCTCCTTCGATTTCGAGAGGTGGCCACGCTTCCCAGCCGTCTTCCCACATGTGGCTAAGCTTTTCGTCTTTCTCGTCTCTTGACAGCTTCTCATTCGCCATGACTTCTTCCCATCTGGCCATGTCCTCATCATCGAGTAGGCATTCGTTCAGGAGTGAGGTGATCTTTTCGATATCGATGTTTTCACCGATGAATACGATCTCCTGACGCCGGTCACCCCACGGTCCTTGGAAGTCTCGCTCGATGGACTCGCAGACATCCTTGTCTTCCGGCCAGAAGTCCCGTGGGACTTCCGTAAACCAGGGACCGCCGCAGCCGACGGTCAGCATCCCGCCAGCCTGGCTCCATTCTCCAAACTGATGAGCTCGAGTTGCTAGCCAGAAGAACCCCTTGGAGCGGAGAATTGGACCAAATGCTGGGTGGGCACGCTTATTGGCCAGGATTTGAGCAGGCTCGGGCTGCTCAAAGTCCTCGACCTCGTCTACGTCCATGTCATCCTCCTGTCCTTCGTCATCCTCTTCCATCTGGTCGTCGTCCTCACCTTCTTCGTCGCCGTCCTGTAGTTCATTGTTTTGCAGTAGAATGAACTTGTCGTGTAGAAGGGCAAATATACGACGAGGATGAAACGGCCTTCGAGCAGTATAGACGAAGTTGTTGATCCCATACCTGCAGGAAGATGACGAAGGTTAATACTAGCCTAATAAATCGAGTTCCATGTAGACTTACTCCAAGGTCTCTGGCTTGGGTGCCAATCTCTTCCCGGATCCGGTTTCCCTCACAGTCATCTCATGCAAGCTTCTCAGCCATCCCGCTCCTGAGGCTGCCTTAAGGAAATCGAATTTTCCAGTGTTGACGATCTCCTTTACGTCGATTCTGGAATAACTGGCCTCCAGCACTTTAGCATCAGGGTTCAGTAGCTTAACTAAGTTCCTGATCCTCACACGAGTAGGCTCGTCAATGGTCTCAATCTTGTTGATGACCACGACATCGGCGAACTCGATTTGGTCAATCATCAAATCGGAGATGGTCCGTTCGTCTTCAGGGATTATCTCCTCAGACCCATAACGGTCAGAGAGGAACTCAGTCGTATCAAAGTTGTGAAACAAATTAAAGGAATCAATCACAGTAACGGTTGTGTCCAGTTTTGCCAAGTTGTGTAGACCTCCCATGTTCGCGCTGGGGCCAGCATGTCAGCCCTGGGAGAGTGTAGAAGGTGATTTCAACTTACATTTCAGCGAGGATCTTCTTGCTATCCTCGTCTGTCTCCACGCTGTCATCATCCAGCTCCATCATCGCAGAGCTAAATTCGGCTGTGAACGTCTCTGCCACCTGCATGGGCTCACTGATACCAGTACTCTCGATGACCACATATTCCACTTCTTTCGATCTGGCTAAGCGGGCGAGTTCTGACAGCAGGTCCCCTCTTAGCGTACAACAGATGCATCCATTCTGGAGCTGAATGAGCTTTTCCTTTGTCTGGGAGACCTTGTGATTGGTTATCAGAGCGGCATCGATGTTGAGTCTATGAGGAGTTAGACAAGCTTGAGAGACAGATCGGAAGGGTCAACGGACTTGCTCATGTCATTGACAATGACGGCAATCCTAAGGCCATGATCCGGTGACTTGAGGATATGCTCTAGTAACGTTGTCTTTCCACTTCCCTGTGATAGATATAGAAGTTAACATAACATAAGAGGTATTTCTCATGCCAAGTGAGCTAGCCACTTCGCTTGCAACCTGGTAATAGGGGACAAGAGAAAAAAAGGATTGGTAACAGTACCAGAAAGCCGGAGAGCAATGTGACTGGCATTTGCCTAATCACCGCGCCATCCTTGTTAATCTCGACGCCGTTAGACCCCTGTGCATGGTCCTTTCCCTGAGGAGCATCTGATTTGATGGCCATGATGAAATTCAGAAAAGATCAACACCACTTCAGAATGACTTTCTAGGGCAGAATATGAAAAAAAGACACTGCTAGCAAGGTTGTAACAGGAAAAGAATCAGAAATCGAAAACACAATGTGCGTTTAAGTACCCTGAAAGATTCCTAATCGGGAAACGAGTACAGAATGAGTGCTTAATCATACTGATAGACCAAACGATTCGTACACCTCGCTCCCAAGGTTGATATCCTGTGGAGGATATAGTATACACCAGCAGACCATGTTTGATATACTTGCAAATTGGGGCGTATTGATTGGATGCGACGTCTGCCAGGCTCCAGGACATGGGTCTTTGACCGTCGTTTGGCGGTTCTCCAAGGTACTCGACACGCTGATGATTTTCCCCGTAGGTCCTCATCTTCGGGTAATCAGAAATAGAAGCATTAGCGATGGAGGAAACGTGACTGAATTGTCCCAGATGGAGGGTCGTGTAGCAGTAATTCGTCTTCTAACAGTGAAAGTTCAGTAGAAATTGTGCCCGAGATAAACAATGCTCCTTTTAAGTTCGGTCAAGGTTATGTATGACCTTGGAAAACGCAAAAGACAACCACATACCACATAAGGTCATCATAACCCAAACTTGCCTACATGGAGAAGAAAGACAAGTGTACTAGAGTCACGAAGAATATGCGCGAGGCTGTGCTGAGCAAGCTGTAGTCCGAGGTTCTTCCTGGTTTTTAGGAATCACAAGCCACTTGTTCCTTCAGGAACACATATATATCATAGGAACGACGGTAAGAGAGGATGCGAGGATCCTCATTTGGGGGTTTTTTTTTCACTGAATTGCGCAGTTTGCTATCGATAGCTTAAAGCAGTCGATTTTGATAACGTGGAGACATATATATTTCACAGGAATAGTTGTCTGGATGTTCACACAGAAAGGCAACACGAGGAAGGGAGGAAAGGAAATATCATTGTAGACCTATAGTCTTTAGTGTTCTCCTGGAGATATTGTTAGCTCAATATCTGCTTCATCGATTATTGCTTAGACGACCAGTGCTCCTTTCCAGGTTATGAGGATGAATTAATTGATTATTGGATCAAGAGGAGCCCCTAACCAAGTCCAGAGGTTAGTAAGGCGTAATACGGCAACCCGGAAGACTAACATGGCAGAATGTTGGCACAACGAGATCCACAGCCAGATATATTGCTTTCACCATTGAATTGTCCAACGAGAGAGGCTTTTACTCTGATCAGAATATATTAATTGTAATAGTGCCGCCTCCAGACAAGTTCGAATCGAGTGGCCGTGTGCGTTCGGAGCTGATCCAGCAGGGCTACCTCATCAGGGCCCGCAGGGATCCTCGGAGCGGACCGTAAAAGCATCATCAAATCTCAGTCCGCGTCCTTCTTCAACCTCACCACCGCCCACCACACCTTTCCTCAGCACGACAGTTCAAGGAAGTGCAGCCCGCCATGCTGCGCTCTGCGATCGTCCCGAGCCGGCAGCTGCTCTCGTATCCGGCTCGCCAGCGTGCAGCGACACAATGGCTGCCCAGAGCTGGTGTGAACGGCCGGATCTCCGGCCAGGTATGGGACCATTGCCCTGCAATTGCACAGCGTAAGAGATGCTAACAACTTGGTCGATTGCACAGCGATACTTCGCAGACCCGGCGCACCAGCCGCCTGTCGCCCCGACGCCTGCCACGCCCTCGTCTGACACGACGATTCCTCCAGAGAACGTACCCAAGCTCCCGCCAACCCCGAGTACGCAGGGTCAGAGATCTCCCCCGTCTACAGTACAGCCGCCAGAATCTCCTACTAAGACCCCTGTAGGAAACACTACTCCGCCGCCTCCCCCGCCCCCAGCACGCAAGAAGGGTGGTTTCCGGCGGTTTATCCTGTACCTGATCCTCACTTCCGGACTCGCCTACGGCGGTGGTGTGTGGCTAGCTCTGAAGTCGGACAACTTCCACGATTTCTTCACCGAATACGTCCCCTACGGAGAGGAAGCTGTTCTCTACTTCGAAGAGCGCGATTTCTACCGCCGGTTCCCGAACGCCACGAGACACCCTAACCGTCTGCCTCCTATCGAGAGAGAGCCGGGAAACAAGGTCACCATTCCTAGCAAAAGCGGGCTTTCCTGGAAGGTCTCTGAGCAAGAGGCAGCTGATGCTACAAAGGCTGAAAAGGCTGAGAAGAAGCCTACTATTCAGAAGGCTAAGGAAGATACGGCTGCCAAGAAGCCTGCAACCCAGGAAGCACCGAAGGAGGAGGCTAGAAAACCCGCCGTTTCTTCTGTCTCGACTCTCGAGCTGCTGAATGTGAAGGAGGGCGATGAGCCTATCGTGCAGGAGCTAGTGAAGACCTTCAATGACATTATTACGGTCATCAGTGCTGATGAGGCTGCCGGCAAGTTCTCGGCCCCGATTGAGAAGGCCAAGAACGAGCTGCAGAACATTGGAGAGAAGATTACCGCTCTGAGGACCGATGCCCAGCGTGCGGCCGAAGAACAGATCAAGAAGGCCCACGAGGAGTTTGAAGAATCCGCCAAAGAACTCATCCGCCGCATCGACGAAGCGCGTGCCGCAGAGGCTGCCCAGTACCGTGAGGAATTTGAATCTGAGCGCGAGAAGCTGGCCCATTCTTACCAGGAAAAGCTGAACACCGAGCTTCAACGCGCGCAGGAGGTTTCTGAGCAGCGTCTGCGGAATGAGCTTGTTGAGCAGGCCATCGAGCTCAACCGCAAGTACCTCAATGACGTGAAGGAACTGGTCGAACGGGAGCGTGAGGGTCGTCTGTCTAAGCTCAGTGAACTCACCGCTAGCGTCAACCAGCTGGAGAAGTTGACGACCGACTGGAGCGACGTGATTGACATCAACCTGAAGACCCAGCAGCTCCAGGTGGCTGTTGATGCTGTCCGCTCCGCCCTCGAGCGTCCCGACATGCCCAGACCGTTCGTCCGTGAACTGGTTGCCGTCAAGGAGCTTGCCGCTGATGACCCTGTCGTCTCTGCAGCCATCGCTTCCATCAACCCTACCGCTTACCAGCGTGGTATTCCTTCCTCTGCCCAGATCGTCGACCGCTTCCGCCGTGTCGCCAACGAAGTGCGAAAGGCCAGCCTTCTTCCCGAGAACGCTGGTATCGCCAGCCACGCGGCTAGCTTGGTTCTGAGCAAGGTGATGTTCAAGAAGGAAGGTGTTGCCACCGGTAACGATGTGGAGAGCATCCTTACCCGTACCGAGAACCTCCTGGAGGAGGGTAACCTGGACGCCGCAGCCCGCGAGATGAACTCCCTTCAGGGATGGGCTAAGATTCTGAGCAAGGACTGGCTGGCTGACGTGAGAAGAGTATTGGAAGTGAGACAGGCTCTCGAGGTAAGTCATTCTAGCCACGCATTACCCATCGACGGTGCGTTCTTGGAAATCAACAAGCTAATTCTTATTTCCGCGACAGGTCATTGAGACTGAGGCCCGTCTTCAGTGCTTGAGAGTCGAGTCATAGACCAAGAGCCTGTAGCTCTCTTTTCTCATTTATCCACATATACAGGACTGTACCTATAGCTCCATGTACTTTCTCTTGCCTGACGTAGACCCAATGCCAGATTTTCTTTGTTCTTGTTCAGCTTCGTGTAGTAGCGTCTCATGTCGTCTCCTTTTCTTCCCCGTTGCATCTCAGCGACGCTATATCTGACATTGTAGTGACCGCCTTAATATTGAAGGTCAGCCAGATTAGCTAGAAACCACATAAGATATTGCCATCCAGTTAGTTTTGTTGCATTTATCACTCATATAATATAACTCATTGTATTGCCAGGGGGCTCATCTGCCTAACGATGTTTGCCGGGTTTGCACGTGCCGGCAAGGGAGCGCTTGTATCAGTTCACGAGCCGCCGTGACCTCCGAGATGTGTGATCGCCCAGATGGTTGTCTCCGGCCATTATTAGGTGTGCGGTCATATTTAATGCTTCCATTGAGCTATTGCTTCGTGGCTCCTGCTGTCTGACTTGCGAAGATGCTCTAGTTGTCCCTCTGAGTTGTTCCGTCACTCATACATATCGCTCCTCCGCCGCGGCATCGCCTTCGCGCCTCCGATGTCGTCACCCCAAAATGGTCTTCACAGGCAGCACTTAATATCGCCATCCGATGGTCGTCCGTCTTCGCATGAGTCGTCAAGTCCTCTTCGCCAAGATAGGGACTATGACTATGCTGCTTCAGAGCCGCGGGACAGTATGCAGATGGATGACGGCCGAAAGAGCGGGGAATTGGAGGGCAGTACACTGGGCAGCAGTTCGCGCGAAGGGGAAAGGAGGAAGAGACATCGTCAGAGCCAGAGGTCTGGGGGATTCTTGCTAGATACGCCGTTCATACCGTCTTCGAAGCTTCTACGGTCGACGCCTCAGCAGCGACAGCATCAACATCAGCCGCAGCCCACGGGTGCTGTGAAACGAGAAGCACCTGAACCAGAGATCGTCGTCCCGAAGCGAAAGTCGCGTCGTCCATGGCACCGTCATAAACACTCCGTGGGAAGTTCACCATTAGCTACAGCCGTCACCAATGCTTCGAATGCTGAAGAGATCCCCCAGCATACGCTGGAGCCGTCAGGGTTCACTCCTAACACGCATGCTGCTCATCGGCCTGCTTCCGCTACCATTCCCTCCCCCGTTGTTGGTTTGGACACAGACCCGGCCCAGATCGTGAATCTCGCTTTGAACCTGAGCGAGTCTCGAAGGAGAAACTACGCTAGCCGTTTCCCATCGACCCCTGTACCTACGAGCAGAAAGATAAGCCAACCATCTTTCGCACTTGCGGAGAACAACGCGCATAGATTGAGTGGAGGGTACTGGCAACTGAATCCATATGGGCCTCGTAGTCCCAGTTACGCGCAGCCTGTCAGTGCCTACAGGTCCCGTCATGCATATACGATTCCGAGAGAATTCTCCGATACAACAAGCTTAGCTCCTATTGCGATCGATAATGACTCACAGTCAGATTATGAATTTTCGGACGCTACCCTGGCGAGAGCTGAGAAGGCCCGGAATCATTTCGAACTCTTCTTTGAGTACCTACGGCTTCTTCCACATCTGCCTCCCCTTCGACCCTCTAGACGGGGCTCGTCTTCGAGTAGTGAATCCTCGGCAGAAGACGAGGCACTAACGGGGCGTGTCTACAATCCGTTGCAATGTATCCGCAACAGGAAGGTGCGCTATCGGGAGAAATGCCCGATAGATACTGAAGCAGAGGGATGGCAGGACGTGTCGCGCGTTCATGAATGGGTCAACGCCATAGAAGCGAGAGATGAAACAGGACTTGACGACCCTGACACGTGCGTAAGACTTCCCCCTTTCCAATATACCCATATGGAAAAACGCGAAGTGGACGAAAAGGATGCCGACCGGTCGACAACCTCCCCATCATCGAGCACGAGACGCCCGTTTGGTACGAGCAATGTGAAGACACGGCGTCCGAGACTTGATTGGATTGTAACGCCTGCAGAATTGCTTGCGGATGCTGCTTGGTTGGAAGACCCGGTCAACAAAGCCAAGATCTTGGATAAAGACAACAATAAGCTTTATCCTAACCCAACCATGCTGAAACATGTTGAATGGAAAATATCCCACTCAATACCGAACAAGGAGCCGATCAGCGAGGAGCAGGAAGCCCCCGAGACTGGGAGATATGACCTATCTGGCTCTTTGCCGAATTTTCAGCGCAGTACACAAAAAGGCAGACATGTTGGCCGTGGACGCCACAGGCATAGGTTGCACGAATCTCTCCGCCACGCTACTAGCCCCAGCAGCTCAGATAAGGACGGAAAATCCAGTTGGCGAAAGTCTCTCATGCGATCTGACAGCTCTTCCAGCGACACATCCGATGATGAAAGCTGGCGGGGGCGGGCTCGCCATTCCCACTGGAGACAACGCTTGCATGGGGTCCGTGAACGCCCAAGAGATGACGACCAGCCTCGAAGGTCTGAATCACTCACAAGGCAGTCACAAGAATCATCAAGGAGGAACGATATGGCTGATGGTACTACGAAGAAAGATGCGTCCGGTGCAGCCTACGCTTCTTCTGTCTCCCCTCCGGAGTTGAGGGTCGACCGGGGCAGGCCCCCTGCTGTGAAGAGAGTAAGGACTTCAATGTCATCGACTGGAACCATCGGCGATCGAGAGGATGTTCGGAAGTCATTAGAAGATCAAGATAGCACGGCACCAAATTCTCCGCTATGTGGCAGTCACTTTCCTAGTATTGCGGTCAACCTCTCGCCGCCATCGAGCCGATCTCCGTCCCCTACTAAAAAGGCGTTGCCTAAGCTTATAGGCTCATTACACGAAAGAAGTCGCAGCAAGCAACGAAACAAGTTTGAATTCGAGGCCCCGGTATATGACACCTCACCCGAGTCTCCGACAATAGACAAGCGCAGGACGCTCGACAGTATCGACCCCTTAGAACGTGTTGAAACGCTCGAGCCGGTATCAGCGACAGACGCATATCCCGCAAGTCCAGAAGGAAGAGGGAGTATCCGCAGAGAGGGGCCAAAGGCAAACAAGCTCAGTCAAGAGTCAAAGCTGCGTGGGATCTTCAAGGGGGGGAGAATTGCTGAGCTTGTTGGAAACGAGGTCTCAAAAGTTGGAGACCTGATTCGGAAGAAAGATTCGCACGGACATTCCCGGAAATCTTCATCTGCATCTAGTATTATATCGGACTACAATGACTCAGATGACGAGAAAGGAAATGGCGGACCCAAACCAGGTGCGAAGAATATTATAAAACGCCTGCCGACCTTTTCGGACGACAACGGTCGTCTGTCACGCAAAGAAACCGAAAAGGATATGCCAAGAACTGTCAATCCAAACCTTCCGACTTTCACGTCTCCATTCAAACATGATGGTGACAACCGGAAGTCGTCGGACGCTGAACCCTCTTCTGGGCTCCAGGGCGCGAGTGCCGAAAAGGCAGAGAATGCCGCACAATACGGACCTGACGCCATTCCGCAACTATCTCCAGGTATACCCAAATCTAGGTTTTCAATAAACGACCGGAGAGATAGTTACGCATTCCGTCCTGCCTTAAATGTCTGGGGCGAGCAGATCTCTCCTGGGAAGGGACAAAACCGGGACACCTACGAACCTTACGTTCATAGTCGTCCTCCTGTTACCGGTCTAGCGAATGCGGATGTATCTTCCATCTCATCGCGTAAGCGAAGGCCGATTATTTCGACACGAGCTTGGAGCATTTCAGAACGCAGCATTACTACTATCGGTGAACCCAATCTGACAGACAAGAAGGAAATTGAACGAGTTAAGGCTCTCCTTCTATCATCAGGGATCAAGGCTCGTGAAATCTGTCGCCGCGCCGAGTCTGTTCGCAGCCCTCCCCCAGAATTTCTCATCAGAAGCTTGCCAAACCCCAACGATCCTGTTCCGTGCTTCCCTGAGTTCGAAAAATTCGACTGTGCTGCAAAAAACTTCGTGCGTACGTTCGAAAGCCGTAGATCATCCCTTCGACAATCTATGGATCGATTCTCCGGCGTTACCTCCCCTTCTTTGAAATCTGAACTGGAGAAACTCGAGACACTGGTCAGCCAGTCTTTGACACCGCGTGTACGGGCTGCTGCTATTGAAGCAGAGGCATTGACTACCCAACTAAACACCACAAGTACTCTTGCCATAAAAGAGCTCAGCGATGCCCTTGATAGGGGCGTACGAAAACGCAACCGAAGGTTCCGCTGGGTGCGACGGACGGGATTTGTACTGTTGGAGTGGTTGCTAGTTGGCGTGATGTGGTGGGTCTGGCTGATTGTCATGATCTTCAAGGTCGGCCGCGGTATTTGGAGAGCCACGGTTTCAAGCATCCGATGGGTGCTTTGGCTGTGATCGCGATAATACAAGATAGATTATCGCGATGATCTGCTGGAGCTCTTATTTCTTTTACTCCATTTCTCTCGTGTCAACCAAGGTTACGATTACAGCCGCCGATTTTCCCTTTCGCATTTTTAATTCATGACGCTGTACCAACGACTTTTCTTCTGGCTGTTTCCTTTTCGACTCTACATACTTAGCCCGGTATGCTTTAATTTTTTTTTTTCTTGCGTCTTTTCTCTGTATTTAAACCCACTCACAGGTATACCCACTGCGCGAGATATGTGGCTTCTTGATATATATGCATCTTAATTATCACCATACCTGGCTCCTTCTTACCTGGCCCCCGGATCTTTGTACAGCTTTTGACTGTAGGCCACAAATGGATATAGAGTGGATATAGCATTACTGTCAAATAAGACATGAATTATAGCCTTTCTCAAGAAACAAAGGGTCTCTCATCAATACCTGCATTAGATTCTTTCCAACAGCAACCATACCTGAGTAAGCACATGAGTGCCTCTTCAAACGTTTGATTCTTTTGAAAGTTTTCCATAGGAGGATCTTCTCGTACAGTGCGATTGCTAGCCTGTGACAAGGGTTAATACACAAACGTACAAAAACCAATGACAAAGGCTAGCTTTTGAAATGGAGATAGTTTGTTAGTATTCAAGTCAGTTTTTAAAGGGAACAGGGGCTATGTTTTATGTCATTGTCAGCCGCAAGTTCCCTTGCTAATTCAAGGGCTGAGAGCTATCTGCGGATTGTTCAAGGTTCACACAGTATACGTTCTGTTCTTCAAGTCTCCTTCAAAGTTCGAAAGACTCCTGCGAAGTTAATAGGCTTCAACAGAGGAACTCGCCATTCATTCGTTCAAAGGACCTAAAAACTAGTAGGGAGGCCCCCCGATTCTCAAACAATGAGATTGTCCTCAATACGTACAATGCTGGGTGACCAGTTTACTTCTCTTGGCTAGTCAATACAAATGTCCCTATTCAAGTAGCTATTCACAATGATCCTTCAGTAGTCTTCTGCCTAGTCAAGCAACACCGACGGGGGAGGGAAGAGGACATAGGTGAATTGTACCGCTTCTGTGAAGCAGACTAGGCTAGGCTACTCAGTCATCCCACCAAGCTCTCGAGTTATTTCACTGCAAGCGTTCACTCTCACTTCTTCAATTCGACTGAAAGGCCACACAAACAAGAGCCAAGTGTTTAATCCAGTCTATTTTTGCCTGAGAAACGCTTCTTCGTCCCTGTTGGTGAGGGTATCAATCATCAAACTACCATCCACATGCCCACCATGATTAAAAAGGGACTGCGGAAGTTACTTGGGCGCAGAGATACTTGGAGATTGATCAAGGATCGAGGTCGAAAACTATTTCGATGCCTTGTCAAGCATAAACGTCCATCTCGTCCTCCTCCTCCACCATTTCCTGCTCCTTTTTCTCCTGGACCCCTTCCACGCGGTCCGCCTCCTCCACGTCCTCCGCGTCCTGCCAGCTTGTACTCCGTCCGTGATAGCTGGTTCGAGAATGCTTCTCCTGTATTCTCTCCAGAATTGAGACCTTGGATAACCCCTAACTGGGATATCGAGGCGAAAGAGACAGAGATCGACCTCAGAACTCTGGACGAAATACTATCTTTCCCATCACCAGTTGTGTCTCTTGCTTCTTTGGCTCCGAAGCTGGTAGCCACTGATGAAGCAAAGAAAGACCTGGACATGTACCATAGCGGTACACATCCAGCTATCAACGGACCATGGCCGTGGGCCAATCTACAACAGTTCCGCGACGTTCTCATCGCGTGCATCACGACCAAGATGACCATGTGCGAGATTGGACAGTTCCTTGAGATCATGTGTTATCGCAAGGACAAGCTCCTGGACTCGCTGGTCACTGTTATGGTCAATGATCAAGACACCTACTGCGCAATCGGCCACACTATTCTCATGTGTTTTGGTCCTCGAGACGGACACGGCAATCCTTATTATGGGGGCATTGAGAACGGAGATGAGAACATGAGACCTGCTCCGCCTGACAGGGAATCTGCCTTGATGGCTGACATTGATCCTCCCCATCAAGAACCGAAACACAATCACGAAACGAGATATCTCAAACCGTGGAGCATCTCAGACCAGGGCATAGACAATGGAGGAGACCAAGGAGGTAAAGTGGTTACAGATGGACTTCAGCTCAGACGGCTCCCGGTCGTGGTTCCGAACACGGAAAGGATAACTAGGAGCAGGTCATTGATCCCACGCAGGGTTACTGGAGTTGAAGGAATGGACAAGTTTTTGAAATCACATAGACGAGCCATAAGCTCAGTGGACCCAGACATGAGACCTATCTCACCGTTGCCCAACGACAGCGAGATAGCTCCCGTCAACGAAGCAGTTCCTGTCAACGAAGCAGCTCCCGAACATCAATATAATGAGCGTTCAGCGTGGAGTGACGACAGTGATCACGAAGAAGAAATTGTCCTTAAGCCCAGGCCCTGGAGCTTTCGTCACACCAGGACTCTGAGTTGGATGTCAGGGTCTTCGATGAGGAGAAAAGCTCTTTCTGATCCTGGAGCTAGTTTCCATGGCAGCGCCGAAGGAGAGTGAGGATCTAAATAGTTCAGACGAAAACTGAACTATACACTCACTATCGATCATCTCATTGGCTTTCTTTTCTTTTCCCACGTGCCACATCAGACGAAGGCTAGACCCAGTTTGTACTGTCTCTACTTCCCACATCGTCTCATATCAGACGGATGGGCTCCTTCAGTTCAGATGCATGTTTCTCTTTATGCTGTCACTATTTTCCTTGTGGTCTACGGATCACAGATGGGTGGGCTCCTCAGTTCTAATGCTTTTCTTTGTGCTGTTTTTATTTCTTTACTTTGTTCCTAGCTGCATTTTGTTGAGCAGATCGCCCTGGATTGTATGATATATTTATCAATACTTTCCTCGGTTTCCGAGACACGGACGCTCTAACGGCCAGATCTAATTGCTCAGATAGCCCCCCATCAGACGGCCTCGATAGTTTGAATGAAGATTTTGTTTTCACTAAATAGCAGTTTCCAGTACTCAAATCTCAAGTTGTACACGCTCGTCTGAGATTATCATATTCTCACATACAGACACCACACCACACTACTATCACGAAATTACCACATGTCGAATCTAAATGATGCGGACGCAAGGCTAGGACTTCAACCTCTAACAGCTCACAGTTAGGTTACTTGCTTGACTCTTTCCTCGATAAAAAGACCTGAAGCTCTCCAGATACTAGCACTCACTCTCTGGCTATGACCCTACCCTGCGGTAACTAGCTCTTCTGGCTGGCACTCGCATCACTGGTCTCGGTCTGGAATCTCTGGTGTTTACCGTGGTTGATCATCGTTGACCATTCGCGTCTCGACATGCGCTCGATTCCATTCGATCAATAGTGGTTGGTTATAGCTTCCAAAATGGAGAAAAGCAATCGAATAGTCTGCTCGCACGTGGTTGTAGTGTTGCCTTTAGAGAGTAACAGATGTACGGCAAACGAACCAATAAAGATGGATATTATTTATCGCGCCTGACAGAATAGATTAAATCTGGACCAAATCCAGAGCTCATGTAAGTCTCCAGAATCGTAACGTGTCCCATCCTGGATAGCAAGCAAGCAAGCAACCAGGATTCGCCAAAACAAAATGCGCGAAACGCAAACAGAGACTTCGCTCCCTCCACCTTTCCTTCAGCAAGGAGGCGCACAGAGGACGGACAGTCTCTATCTGCTCCCTAAACTGGCAGAGTAGGGGTAGCTAGGTATACCAAGACTTGGGGGGCTAACTAATGTCACTGAAGCGAATGTCACTGAAGCGTCTTGCTGGATACAAAGATTATTGGCTGTCGTTCTGTACACACGTTGGGCGTAGCATGTTCCCAAGGTAACGCGTCTTCCAAGTGAGATGTACGCGTCCGTGGTATGTATCTATTTGGGTACTACGAAGCTAGCAGCTCATCCTTCTTCTCCAACCGCCAGCATATAGCTGACAGACTGATGAAAAAGAGAGAATTGTTTTCCACATAGTGGAGGGTGCCAAAGAATACGCCTGCCAATGACCCGAAGGCCGTTGGACGGGTTGTTCCTCCGCGCTGTGCAATGCAGGGACCAACCCGTGGTGGACCGCCTTCATGATCGCAGCCACCCAAACAAGGTAAGTATGAAGAAAAGAAAGAAGAAAAAAGTCCAAAAGAACGGCGGGTGGGCGAAGTATTTATGCCTGTCGAGGGCCACGCTAAATTAAGCGAGTTTCTTACAAGGACCCTGATTGGGTGCCAGTTTGCGGCTGTGATGAGTAATCGTCATGTGATCAAACCTCCGCGGACCGCCGATATGCATCACGTGAGATCGGGCTCCCAGTGGCTTTTCGAAGTTTTGATGCCGGTGAATAGCTAGGAGAGCAGGAAGTCGACTTGCTGTCTCAACGCCGCCCATCATGAGAAACAGGGCTACGACGCCTTTGAAAGGCGGGGCGGTAAGCCTAAGTTTTCCTTCGTCTGAATTATTGGTATTTCTTTGCTAATCTGGTCATGCCGTTATAGAAAATCCGACAGTCATGGAGCAAGTACAACTTGTATAACCTCAACCGTTTTCGAAACCCACCAACCGCCAACAAGACTTTCTTCCAGCAAAAATGGGCAGCCAAATCAATTGCTCGATCATACCACGGTGAACAGGTCCGGGAGAGCCAATGGGAGCGCATGTTCTCCCGTCGGTTGCGCAGTGTCGTGCCTATGAACCCTTCTCAGTTGGCTCAGGACGATGGCTCGCAGATTTCTGCAGGCCGTGGATCTGGCCTGGAAAAGCCTGGTCGCAGATCTGCCTCGTCTGTTCCACGAACTCCCTTCACACAGATGACTTTCGCTCCCTTGGAACGGCGGTTGGATGTAGCAATCTTCAGAGCTATGTTCGCTAGCAGCACCAGACAGGCCCGCCAGTTTGTCGTCCATGGAGCTGTCACAGTCAACGGGAAGAAGGTACAGAATTGAGCTTATGGAGATTGCTTGCAATTAATACTAACTCGGCCCCAGATGAAATTCCCCGGCTACCTATTGAACCCCGGCGATCTCTTCCAAGTCGACCCAGAAAGAGTCATGTTTGCCACCGGTGCCCCGAAAGATAAGCATGAACGTCGCGAAGGACGTCTTGCGAAAAAGTCCGCTGCCGCTGCTCAAGAGGCCGAAGAAGCAAATGCGGAAGAAGAGGCGGCTAAGGAAGCCAAGGATGAGGAGAAGCCAGAGGATGCCAAGGACGAGGATCCTCGGGAGACGTTGAAGACGCTCCTTGCCCAGGCCAAGACAATCATGTCGAGCAGCAAGGATGTTCTTCCGGCGAAGCGCAAGCAGGAGATCCGAGGCTTCCAAAAGGCTGTCAAGAGAGTCCTCTCGCGATCCCAGTCGAGCAGCGTGCTCACTGACAACCTGGAAGCTCAGTTCTCCGAGCTGACCTCTCTTCTCAGGGCGAAGAGAGCCGAAAAGGTCGAAGCGAAGGAGTCCAAGTCGGAAGGCGCTTCTGCCACCGAGTCTACGAAGTCAGCGAATGCTGCTACGGCTGCATCAGATGCCAAACCCGGTGAACAGCTTACTGAGGCGTTCCGAAAGGCCGCGCTGGATCCGGAGGGCCTGGATGGGGAATCCGCTTCAGAGCTCTCTGACGTCGAGTTTGACGTGTTGAAGCGCGCCCTTGAACAGCTTCGTGACAACCCTATCGACAGCACCAAGCCCTACGCGACCCCGTGGCGCCCGCGTGACTACATGAGTGCGTTTGCGTTCATCCCGAAATACCTTGAAGTGAACCAGAACATCTGTGCTGCAGTGTATCTAAGACACCCCGTTGCACGTCCCGGCTTTTCGGAGGTTCCTACACCATTCGGAGAGGGTGTTGGTACCGCCGCATTTGCCTGGTATCTCAGGCGGCGGTAGATGCCTCGGAGGGAGATGTTCGTCGTTATTATACCTTTATTCTCTGTTTTCAGGACGTCTGTATTACTGGGTAGTTCTTTTTCCGCTTCTGCTCATGGATGTGGACGTCAGGCGAGCTGTCTTTGAGCCGCTATTTCCGGAGTTGATATGAGCACATCTGTACAACATGACCATGGCGACCGTGTAAATGCATCGAATAAGGAACCAATCTCTCATCTGATTCGTCTCTGACGATATTTTTGACACAACGTCTGTCTATGCGTTAAGCAATGGTATCCCTTTCCGAGGTTTGGCTTTGAAACCCGGCGAGAGCTGCAGCAGCAGTCCGTAGAATTACCATACAGTAGTCCCTGCCTCCTCGATTGCCAGGAAACCCCAGTTCCAATGCGTATCTATCGCAATGCGTAATCCAACGTCCTGACTGAGTCTCAAGACATCGCCCTCATCTCTATATTGTCCGCAAAGGTGACATCGTCCCGAAGCTAGGTAATGCCCTCGACTGCTACGGTTCGGATGGTCCTGTGCTAAAACATGTACTGTTTACCGATGGTTTCACGAGAGACCTAAAAACACAAGTCTTGGCTGCAACGCCAACTTCTTCATTCGGCAGGATACTGCTCAGAATCGATGAAAGGTTATCGAGCACTGGTTTTTCAGTTGCGAACTCGTGCGCGTGTAAGCATCTCAGAAGACATCAATTGCAAGATCGTCATAACACTCATCGTAGCTCATGTGGACGAATATTAACTACATTTTGAATTCATGCACAGTTCCGGAAAACCCCCTATCTAGTTTTGTTTACGGCCGTTTCTGATCGTCGAGGCCAGAAACAGGTGAATAATATGCTCACCGAAAGAGATCTAACTATTGTCCCAGAAGAGCTTGACTAAGATTGGAGGCCTGGATCGTACTTCATGGATACTGCCAACTAGAGGTGAAGATCTTGAAACGTCGTGCGATTCAAAGCTGAAGTGGCGCCATGTGAGAACCCTATTCTTCCTTCTCCGAAGCTGGCCATTGCTGCTACAGGTAATAGCCTAGTTATTCTGATAGCCAGCCGCTTACTGCGTGCGGCCCCTTCGCACGGGGCCGTTTGAGGTCGAGATATTTCAGCAGTCGGGCGTTTCATCCTTGCCCGTGAACCCTCAGAAAGCAAAGATACCACCGAGCAGAACCCTATGAAGCACGGTTTTTCATAGATGCAACTTCCGGTTAGTATAGCACGGAGCGAATGACTCTGGCGAGACAGGGTACATTGATACCGCTGTCCATTTTCTTAGCCCTTGGGGGACCTTCTAGCGTGAGCTTGAGAGGGCCATGATTCTCGACTCGGGATGCAAGAACAGGACAGGACAGGACGTTTATGCTTCTGGTCTCAGATGTGAAAGACCTACTCCTGGCGCTTATTCCTTCCAAGTGTTCCTCACGATGGGCTCCTGCAGTATCAATGGTTTGACCTTTGATCGATCTCGGAGGTCTGACTATAGCTGCACTAGGGCTGTAATCGGATAGGTCCCGATCGGCTTGATTCAAGTCTTTACCCAACTCCAGCAATGGATAAGACTTCAAAACATTCATGATACAATTCTCCACCATGGCGGGAATGAAAAAGGATTGTGAAGCCGAAGGAAATACCGATTAAACGGCATGCCTAAGCGGGAAGGGGCAATATCCTCACTATGTAGAAGGGGTACTTAATGACGATGGCCGGCTTCAGTCCCCTCGTTTTTTCTTGATCATCGTGGTTGAGCCAGATCTCCAGTGTAGTGTGTTTATTTCTTTCATTTCAAAACTTTCATTCTCCATATATTTTTTTCTTTTTTTTTTCTCATTCACCCGTGCAGGTCACGGCATATTCATTCTTCGCCATGTATTATCCATGTCTTGTTGCACTCTTTGGCCTTGCTGCGGGCGTCCACTCCCACGGAGTAATTCTAGCAGTTGCGGGAGAAAAGGGATCCCCGGACAGTCAAGGTTTCCTTGGTAAGTCTATCTGTTGGAGCTCTATCTGTACTGAAGGTCCATACGTGATACTGATTCTTGCTATCCTAGTGAACACTACTCTGCCAAGGAACTGTATCAACATCAGCCCTTGTCAGCAGGACACTACCATCCTTCGTGATGAGGAGATGAACCAGAATATCGTCAACACCTGTGGTCGCACTGAGCTTGCGGGCAATGTTGATGTCGGTCAGGAGACTGAGAAGGAACTCGCCGCCAACCGGGTAACATCAGTCCAGAAGGGCTCAACTCTAGCGGTTACGATCCATCAGGTGGGTTGCTTTCTCAAAGAATTATATATATTTTTGTTGGTGTTTACTGACCTGCTCCTTTAAGGTCAATGCTGATGGTGCCGGCCCTTATACCTGCGATATGGACCCGACGAGTAAGTCCAAGGCCACCCAGTTGTTATTGCGAACCCGTATCTTAACAAACGTGACGTATAGGCAACTCTTTCTCTACGAATGAGTTCATCAAATTGCAAGTGTCGAACAATGTCCCCGGCAAAAACGGTCTCTCTCAAGCCAAGTTCCAGAACTTCACCATGAATGTCCAGTTGCCAGACAACCTAAACTGCACTGGAGGTAAGATATACTAAAGACGACTGGGGATCCCAACACCCTGTCCCATGGGATATCCTTGCTGACTCCGAAATAGCTTCTACTGGAAACGTCTGCACCATCCGCTGCAGAAACAATGCCCTTGCAGGCCCGTTCGGTGGCTGCTTCGCTGTCAAGCAGTCGGACGGTACTGGTCGTACGAACTCCACTCCTGAGGCGATTACCACGGCCGCATCGCTGAGCGATATCCAGTCACAGATTGATGTCGACCAGCAAGACATTGGCGCTGCCCTTGAAGCTGCCAAGGAAGCCACCGCTGCCGGCCAGGATCCCAGCCTAGCAGAGATTTCCGGTTAGTAAATATCATGTTCCTTCTCTAGTATTGTCCAACAAGCTATGCGGACCATAGCAATCTTGCTCAAACCAATAACTAACAATGCATGTCTAATTTAGCTCTCGCAACCAACGTTGCAGCTACTCCTGCAGCTACTCCCGCGGCCAGCAGCTCAGCTTCCAAGAAGCACAAGGGCAATAATGGCAACAAGAATAACAACAAGGCCAACAAGGGCAACAACCAAGATAACCAGAACAACCAAAGAAACCAGCGCGGACGAGTCCGCCGCATTCGCTCCCCCGGCTTCTATTCGTGAAGTCCCACATTATTCTCTCCTGATTTCAACAGTCAACCGTAGCTTTACAGAAGAGAATAGATAGATGGAGGATGAACGAATGGGTGGATAGTCTAGCACTTGATTTTGTTTTGTATTCTGGTTATATAGGTAGTTTTCTAAAGCAACTCGAGATTATTTTTAACATGGTTCGACTTTATTTGTATTTTTCGTTCTATTCTCTCTTTCGGTCCCTACCTACCTAACGTTTATGTGGAAATACTGCACTGTATTGTTAACAACATTAACGCATGGAGTATCTCGTTACACTGCCTGTTCATAGTCTGATTCTTTTACTTTTACTCTAGATAGAGTATTCTTACTGTGCTCTCGATCTTCGTTTGAGTCAAGTATGGATCATGTATAGTACCGATTATCATCAAAGAAATTCTTTTTTTTGTTGAAAGTTACATGTGTAATAATCCGATGTCAAACTACAGGAGAGAAAAATGGCTAGAGGATGTGGAAAAAGGCCCAGGAAAACAGCAAAGCAGATCTGGATTAGGAAGATTGTTAAGGCTTTTTTACGCAGGATCAGGATCAGGATCGAATGCGAGGTTCGTTTCTTTATTGCGTGTTCATATCATGAGAATATGTGTATATTAATCTTGCATAAAGGAGGAGATGAGATGCACCTTTTATCTACGCGAGATGACGCAGATTAGGTTACATAAAAAGATAAATGGTTAGTTAGGGATTGATGGCTAAATTACAGATGACTACGTAGGATGCGTTTCGCTTTTCACTCAAGCTTCCGAGATTCACCCCGGCTCCTGTCTCCGTCTCCGTCTGTTGCGTCCACATTCATGGCATTAAAGAAGAGGGTCTCTGAGACAGCATCTAGTAGTAGAAGGTCTCGTCGACGGTGCGGCCTCTCATCCAGCGGGGCTCACTGCCACGGACGTAGATGTCCTCGTACAGGATGCGAGGGGTGGGGTCTGGGGCAGCCATCTGCTCAGCCTCGGCGACCTCAGCGTCAACGTTGGCACGGGCCTCCTTGTCGATACCCTTGAGCTCCTCCTCGGTGACGACCTTCCAGTCGAGCATCTTCTGCTTGAGACCGGCAATGGGGTCGTTGGTGCTGCGCATGCGCTGGATCTCCTCACGGCTACGGTAGGTGGTACCCGGGTCGGACATGGAGTGACCACCGTAACGGTAGGTGACGAATTCGAAGACCAGAGGTCCCTTGCCAGAGGTGGTGTACTCCTTGCCGTACTGGACGGCAGCCTTTGTAGCAAGGACATCCATACCGTTAATCTTCAGACCAGGGATGTACTGGCCACGCTTGTAGTAGTCGGTGAGGGCGGAGGAACGAGCGGCGGAAGTACCCATACCGTACTTGTTGTCTAGTTGAAAGTTAGTCTTCTGCAATGTACCGTCAAAGGGCATCTTGTAGGAACTTGGGGGTAAACGTACTCTCACATCCAAAGATAACCGGAAGGTTCCACAGCTTGGCCATGTTGAACGCCTCGAAGACCTGACCCTGGTTGGAGGCACCGTCACCGTACAGGACGATACTGGTGGACTTCTCCTCATTGTACTGCTGGGCGAATGCCAGACCAGCACCAACGGGAACCTGGGCACCGACGATACCGTTACCACCGAAGAAGTTGTGGGTGAACATGTGCATCGATCCTCCCTTGCCGTAGGCGATACCCTCGCGACGGCCCAACAGCTCTCCGATGATGGACTTGACGGTAGCACCGCGCATCAGCGCATAACCGTGGCATCGGTACGCGGTGATGACCTTGTCGTCTCTGTCAATTCCGTGTTCGATACCGGTGGCAACCGCTTCTTGGCCGGTCGACAGATGGCAGAAACCTCGAATCTTCTTCTCCTTGTACAGACGGTCGGCGGCCAACTCCATACGTCTACAGCAGAACACAGGTTAAAGACGGTCTCCCCAGGGATACACGATCTATCTCTCGATGATGCCTACCTGGTCGCAACCATATCGTAGTACATCTGCTTCAGCTCCTTCTTGGTGGTCTGCAAGGTGTATGGAGGCGGGTCGAGCTCGTAGGTCTCGAAGCTCTCGTCGGAGAGCGTGACAGTGAAGGGCTTGTCATCTTCCTACACGGCAAGAACAGGTCAGGTCGTGGTTGTCCCACGGAGAGAAGCGAGTTTGGTCGACGTACCTGGGGAATATCCTCAGCATGCGACGAAGCAGCATCAGTGGTGACAGATCGACGAGCAAGAGGAGCAAAGGCGTGACGCCTGAGCGGCGCAGCCTGGCGCGCCCAGATGGATCGCGAAAACATGACGGAGAGAAGGATCGGAGACAAATGAAGGGCGATCCACGAGGAAGAAACAAGAAAGATAATATAATAATATCTCTCTCTCGCGCTGGGATGTTGGGGATCTTTAGTTCCCCGTCGGGATTCGGCCGCCTTGCCGATTAGCTAAGCTACCCTTCCTCTTGGGGCCGCCGGTGTGCATATTATCATGCTTGTTATTTGGTTGTTTTTTTATTTTTATTTGGGGAGAGTTGTCTTGTCATTATTTAATACTTTGTTGTCGACTTTGCTCTGACAGTCTAGATACACTTGCCTGTCGAGACCTGTAGTCTCCCAACACGGGGATGCTTCTGTTTATCCAGCAAGAAGTGAAGTTGCTCATTTTAAATACACTCGAAGACAATAATAATATTCACCCGGTCTAGATCGGACAAACCGTTCATTGCCGAGTAGATTCATCGGCAGTGGGTCCCGCCGGTTAACATCCCTAGCTTCCTCCGTTTCTACCCGCTTTATCAACTACATTTGTCTTGTTATATTTCTCAGCTGGTCTGCTAAGTTACGCAGTATCTAATTAATCATTACTTTTGTATCAACTTAACTACGCTTAAGCGATGACTCAATTTCACCTACCTGCCAATGATCAACCAAAAAAGATTTGCGAAAGAACCTCGAAAAGTTCACGGAGCAATAGATATTCCCGCCGTGGTTATACACCCAGACCACAGATATATATATATATTCATTTTTACCATTCCGGGCCTTAGACCACTACAGCCAACGAAGATGCCTCAGAGTTCTAAAAACTAATACAATTGCCTTTTGAAAACTCTATTAAAAGAGGAATCATCGCCAGCACTAAATAAGTCTTCGACTCTTAACTTTCTATCGTACGTCTGGCAGTTTGCGAAAACAAGGCAATAAAAAGTTCGAGACCATTATTACAATATCCTACGCCAAAGCTCTAAATTTTCGCTTAAAAGCCAAGACCCCAGAAAGTTCCACTCGTCCCACAACTAGTCCAAGCCTTAAAGACCGGATAGTTATAAGATTTGGATTTCAGCTTATACTGAAGGATAGTATCTAGGGCCTCTGCGACTTTCTGGACATTATAGAAGATAGATCGAACTATAAAGCGGGGGATATGGACCTGGTCTCGTATATCGGATCTTGACTACGCTAGGTTCGAGGCATACATTTAGTTGGTTATCTATGGGGAATTGGGGCAATATTATATCTACTGTAAGGGTCTTGATGAGACATGGGAAGGAGATCCTGTCAAAGTGTGGATCACCGATGATAAGTGGTCTAACGCTAACCTTATTCAACCGATCTCTTTAGGTCAGTCTCCCCTTGTTCATTCTTATATTATATGCAGATGCCATCTCTGGTGGACGGGAGAACGAAGGATTTGACGAAGTGTTAGTTGGAGAATGACCTGGGCTCTTTAGGTCAGGCTTGAATTAGGATTCCTAGATCACCCAGATAGATTAAACTGACTAAATCCGATCCACCAGATGAACCAGTCAGAATGTTGGTCAAGCAAAGCTATATTAGCACGCAAGAAGTGTGGAAAATAGTACTTTGCTTAGATTATAGATCATATAATAGTCACATAGTTATAAGTCAAAAGGGACCGACCAATGAAAAGACAGGCGTTAAGTTCTAGCGTTTTCTAAGAGTAGTAATATATTGCTGAGCGCTAGCAAAGCGATAAAAGTAAGAAGGGGCTTCGATACTACCTAGGTACGTGCTACTGTAGGAAACTGGACCATCTCCATCCGTAACAAGACCCTGGGGCTAGGAGTCTCAGAGAATGTTTAACTACAGTGTATGCATTCATATGTGAACATGTGATTGTGATTGCACTGTACATATACAAGGCGCATAAGGCGCATGGAACATATGACATATTTCTGTCTCATGGAACGATCAAGTTGCATAATATACCATGCGAAGCAAAACAGTTTTGAATAATGTATATTCAGGGTTTAAGACGAGATACCTGTGTCTTTCAGCAGATACTGTCTCGTCATCAGGTCAGCAGTCAAGAGAGGCACTCTTTGGGGTTTAATAGATCTATCAGTGCGATTCAAGTATACACAAATACACCGTGTATATAGATAGATGTACTCTAGACGTTTAGATCTTCATGAAGCACGGTACCTCGGGACTCCATCATTTATGCTTTTACCAATAGCATACCGCGTAGAAGAACATGGGTCAATTATCGGCCTCTCTCGACACTTTGAGTACCAGGAGGCCGAACCCGGCATTTTGGGACTGTCTTCCGAGAGGTCAAATGAGTCCCTAGACTCTTTCTGCCCTGTTCCAGCGCGCTGGACTATCCATGCGCTGACAAATTTTGACACTGCATGACCCCAAGACGCGGATAGATACTTCCGGAAACAATCCCAGTAGTAGAATCATCGTAGAGGGGTCTCAAAACCTGGTATTACAGGATTTCATGCATGAAGTGCGTATTTTGGGCCCAGGAGTAAGGACAGGTCAAGTCTATTTTCTGACAGATAAGAATGATCACCGAAAGTTTGAGTGAGGAGGGCGGCTGAACGGAGAAGACCGGTGTTCAACTCTCTGTGTCGACCAGCTGCGCAGGACCGTATGTGGTTGAGATTGAGCACAGATGGCTCAGTCCCCAAGATTATTATGGACGCTGATCCTCTAGAGAATCCCGACTGAATGGGAAGGGGGATTACAAGCACAAATGATTTGACCCGAATCTTTGGTGGATGGGAATGAAATGTATGTACAGTATTTTTGTTTGCCTTATGGTAACTATCTACTCATTATTTCGACCGGGAAGACACCCCATTCGTGGCGAATAAATCAAGTCTTAGGATGAACATTGACGCTAAGAACGAGGAGAAAGCCAATGCTGAGAGTTTCTCGGACATCTTCCCGTCGTCCCGCACGTTTCATATCCGTCAGTTTACTTTAGCTGTCATTTCCCGCAAGACATCGCTTCCGTCTCCTCTGAGTCTCTGACATGTTCGACCATGTGGGAATTCAAGCTGGCACCGGGCAACGCCCAATGATCCTTTTTCGAACGTCGTGGGGGAGATCCAGAGTGGGTAATAATAATATAGTCTAGACGAATTCAATAATAATACGAAGGTTCTGAGGGAAACGGCCGGACGGCACAAGAGCCCCCAGACACGGCCTATTTCTCTGACAGGCCCGACCGTTAGAACTTAGTAGAGTATAATAATATCTCGATTCACGCGATCGTCCTGTTGAAGCTGAGACGCTACTTCTAGTTCCTCTCACACCAAGGACTTGGGGAACCGGTTGAATCTTCCGCAGGCGCCGCTATAGGCATATGTGTCCGGTCTGGACTCTTGAAGCTGTCGCGTCTCCCGACAGGCTGACATTCAGCTTGTATGGCTAACGTGCTAAAAATTAAGACGACTCCAAATCACTGCTGATCCGTTGCTCAGGAGTGTCCGCGGTTGCATGCAGCGCAACGAATGCATACCCCGTGGATATTAGTCATAAAAATACGGACGATACGTATCTATGCTCATTTCCATTATTATCTTTTCGATCCGTCCCGTCTCCATCCTGAGATGGGCCCCATCTGATGGAGCTTTCGAGGAGCGTCTCCAAAGTCAGATGATTGCTGTATCTATCCTGTACTGCCATGCTGGTTTGCTGTCAGGCACAATATACCTGACCAATTCGCGGCATTGCCGCGAGATGATACGTGACAAAGTCGAAGATCGGAGCTGGTTGGATTCTGCGATGGCCTATACGTCACGGAATCACACTCATATCAACAAGCAAGGATCTTGATAGCGTTTGAATGGATAGTGCCATGTCTTCGTGATGATACCATGCAGATATCTCTCCGACGTACGGAGTATTATCATTGTATCTGTCTGCATTAGGGTTCGTGGCAAGAGTGTCCACGCGGGAATCAGAGAGTATGGACTGTACCATACGGAGTAATAATAATAATGATCGCTGTCCTTGCCACAGCTGGCTGTGGAGGCAACAAGTTCGAGACAAGAGAGACAGAAAATCTCCGACCTCCACCGGTTAATCTGCTAACTAGACCCAAATCTGCAGTGACAGGTCTGCTGAGCAGGCTTCCGCGCCGGGAGTACATCATACGAGTCTCAGTCGCAAACATTAGTTGGGCGTCAATCCAACCCGCGCGCTCATATTCTGAAATCTCCATATCGTATTCAGCAAGATAGAACGATCTTTTGGATAAGCCGTTAGCCATGCCAGGCAGGGTTGAGTTTTCGCCGTTTACTCGGTGACTAAATAATAATCAAGGAGTAACTAACTAACGCGGATCTGTGGCTCTGCTGTTTGGGACCAAGGGCAGCGATAACCAGATGCAGTAATTTGAGGAATAATAACAACTCAAGTACGTGTTTTCCCCGGCGGTACAAAAGTGACCCCAAGAATAGCAAGGAGCCTCCTTGTCGCGAACATCCTGTTCACCGAGCCGTCGTCCATGCAGGGGTAAAGCCTTAGGACTAGTTGTCGTTCGTGAAGATCCGACGGTCTGGTCCCAGAGCAGGTTGTTGTGAGGTCGAGGATCATCGCTTAAAGGAATGATGATGCCATATACGAAAGCCTGAAAGTCTGCATCTTGTTTTTTCTAACGGCTGCCAAACGCTTCTTTTAGGAAGTTTGTCCGTTTTCCAAGCATTTTTTCTGGCAATTATTCGCCGGTCAGGGGAAGGAGAGAGAAGTAATAATAATGTTGATTGGCAAAGATTGCGGGCACGGAATGTCTTCTCCAAAAGCCCTTTGGGGCTTTGACTTCCACCGGTTGGGATTTAGCTTCTGCGCTACAAATGGTTCTGTGCTTGACGTTCCCTGAAGGTTGAACGGCCGCTGCGTGACTTCAAAATTGTGTTTCTCGTAGTTTAATCAAGCTGGTGCGAACTTTTGATCTCTCGCTAGTTATGCAGGCTTGGAGTCGTTGTTTCTACGGAACATACCGGTCGCAGCGTGGCCGCCAGGGCTGGATGCATGTATCTACTATCTAGTGTCGCTTCGGCTGTTTCGTGGTCTTCCCAGAACTAAGGAAACTTTCCCAGATGTTTGAGGACGCTTGCTGATAACATCCCGTTATATACATCACGGCACAATGGCATGTGTACTTTTCGTTTTGCGGAAACATATCAAAATGGGAGTGCTTAATCGAGCATTAATATATCGAGGAAAATAATGATACGTATAAGACGTGCTAGCCGCAAAACTACCGGCAGACTACCATCTGGAGATTCGGATGATGAGATAGAGACGAGACTTCCGGACGACCCCATACCCCCCTTAGACAGGTAAGGATAGACATTGCGATCCTCAGGGCCGAGTGGGCGAGAAGGTGGCCAAGACTCAAATCATCACACCAAACGGGGCGGGCTGTTCCATAAAGTGCAGTCAGTGGAGATCTCCCAAAGAGCGCGTTGTGGATCTCGCAAAATAGCTTAGGGAGCTTAGCACCAAAGGCAATAACCGAGAAGTCTGGCGGCAACGAGAGGCAAGCTTACTCGTGGCCTCTTCCGAGAGTTAAAGACGCCAATAATAATGGGTTAAGCCGGTTCGACGAGCGAGCTGAGATCTACTAATTCCGACATCCTTCAGACGAATAACGGAGGTATACTATAGTATTTCCCTTGAGCTGTTGGCCAGTGCAGTCACATATAGAATCACAGTCGCGACGTATAAACTGTAGTTCATTGGGACCGTCCTATTCGTGGCTAAGGGCCAAAATGCATAAGTCTACATAGAATATCACCGTGTCAGAGGGTAAAACAGGGGTTTGTCGGAAATCAAAAAGGATGACCTGCTTGGAGTTCCCTGCCTCGAGGACAAATTCAGCCACAATGAGGGCCAGAGCATGGCTCTTGCATGCGACGAACCTAATACAAACCCCAGAGATCCCAAGTGCCGGGACATAGCGTGCACCGAAACATGTACTGAGTAGTCATCTGCAAGACTGACTGGATACCGAGTCTGCAGCACGGGCGCCCATCGATTGTTTGGACTTTGAGTTTGGAGTGCTGTCGTCTCTTGGTGCTGCGAGTCATGAATATCTCACTGTGCCGATCCGGTCACAACAATGAAAGGGAAGTTATCGCACATGGATGGACCTCTTCTTTGAGAGAACTCAGCCACATCCCAGATAGGTTACATACAGAGCCGTTACTTGCGCACGTAACTGCTCCAATAATAATGAAGGCAGTATTATTGTCAGGGATAGGGGGAAAGAGAACAGAACATGTCATTGCGCTGCCGATGACGGGCTGTGACAGTTGTAGCATCGATACTACGGCAAGTGACGTGACAGGACAGGGCTACCTGAGCCTTTCCCGTGTAGTACTGGAGTTTGAAGTGCCGTTCTGGGTGAAAAAAGAGTATCAGGATCAAGTCTCTTTCTCTCTTTCTTGGCTGGACGAGGTCATGTCTGGGGGGATGATAGGCCAGGATCAGTAGTCATCCTCTAACGACGCAGGAGAGAGCTCACGAGGTTCACACTGCTGTCTCCGTAATAATGAACTTACTCGTCTCTTTCTGTCAAGTCTTTCTTCTTTTTTACCCCTGAAAAAAACCTTTCATGGTCGTTGACTCGCTAGCACGAGGCCGTAGCGGCTCCCCCGTTCCGCCTTGCGCCAGAAATCGTCCGGCCAAAAGCAAGTGGAACCTCAACGACGCCCCCGACGAGCTTCTCCCCGTCGACCAGTCGCTCCTCCAGCTCCTCCACTGCCAGCCTCATAGCGTCCCAGGGCTTACATGGGACTAGTTTGGGTCCTCTAGCCATGCAGACTATGATCTCCTCCCTGAAACCGGCGTCTGTTCGCACATACACCGGTGTAACGACTGTCATGAACAATCCAGACTCCCATGTTGAGCAGTCTCAGTGACCATTGCCAGCCGCTGTTGGACTTTGCCTTTGCCGCTAGCAACTATCATTATCACGCTCATCGCTACAACGGCTGGCCAGGAACGCTGTCACTCTTTTGTTCCCTTCCCCGGATCCCCTCCCTCTGTGAGAGTCAAGACATCTCTCCTCCAGGTCCATGTGGAAACATCGGCTCTCTTCCAAGCCGGACACTTCGCCTCGGAACGAGACAGGCATTCAATTCTCCGAACGTAGTAGTCTCTTTGGCCGCTCCAAGAAAAAGCCGTCGTCAGGTAAGCGCGTCCCCGAAGCTACTATCTACTATTACTATACTGGTCTTTGCAACAACCTCTGAGGGCATGGAGCAATGTCGTCTTGTTTGTCTCAAAAGCGCAGCTCCATTCTGATTGAAAACCCACTTGATTCATTGTTCCTATCATCCGTCTTGGCTTGCCATGTGTGGCTGATGAACTCTTCCCACCCTGAACTCCAGATCTCCCGTCTCCAAGCTATCTCTCTCGTTCTGGTTCACAGTCGACCACCCACTCATTTCGTTCTGCAGCTAGACACCTTCTAGACAGGCCGGAGAGCAGCCTTTCTGGTCAATCGCTGTTCTCGCGCGCCCGCGCTCCCTCCGCTTTCAGCAACAGGACTCTGCAGTCGGACGTACAAGGTCCCGGGGTCAGTTATACTCCCCATACCAATCGTTCGCAGACATCTCTTAATTCTCGGCCTGGACGGCATATGTCGGGAATGATGGAGGTCGAGCGGACACGGACACGGAGAGACAGGACGTTTGTAGGGAGTGAATGTGCTGTCTGTGAAGAGCCCCTGGAGCATATCCTCCGCGGAGAGAGAATCCTCCAGTTCTCCTGTGGTCATGTCTCCCATGAAGCTTGTTTCTATGAGTATATCAAAGAGTTCGAGTCACAGTATTGCCCGACATGCAATGCGCCGTTGGGGCTGGACAGCAGCAGGGGAGGCAATGTTCTGGATCTCGGTAGGTCCCCTCATTCCCTGGAAATATGGTTAATGCAATCGTGCTGATTCACCTGGCAGAGAAACTCAGCAACATTGTACGCTCTGTCGCTATGAGTGACACTGCAACCCAAAGGACCGGCATGACTACACCCGCTCCATGGGATCAACCTCCTCCCCGTCCTCGCATGGGAAGCACAGACGAGCGGTCGATGATGGATCGCTCCATGATGGATCGCTCTACCATGGATCGTTCCATGATGGACCGAACGATGTCGATTAACCGCGATTCTCGAGACGCGTACAGTCGGCGTGACAGTCACACTAGTGCTCAACGTGATAGGGTCGAACGATTAACTGTATCTCAGCAACAGCATTCCCGGAACGACAGCGGTGCCACCGGTTCTGCAGGCGACTATCCTGACGGACAGCATCATAGCACCGGCAGGAGACATGATTATGATGTCCAGGCAATGGAGTCAGATCTGAGTCCCCGACAAGGCACTATGAAGAACCCGATTCCGCCCCCGATTGTCACTGTTCGAAGCGAGTTCCCAACTCTCAACCGGTCTCGTCAGCAGCAATCGCTCACATGTCTTGTTACAGTGGAGGTGCCTGACGGGAACTGGCGTCCAGACGTCGAGGACCTGCGACATACTCCTCCTGTACAATCCCAGCCCCCGGAAGACATCCACAGCCCTGTCAGAGCACCATCTGTACAGGGTGCACAGTCATTGCAGTATGAGCCCCAGGAAAATCTAGAGGAGATCACAGAAGATCTGCGGACGAGAGTCGATAACTGGCATGGACTTGAGTTCCAACGGTGAGTGATTCACTAGCCATTGCTAGAATCTCGGGTTTGGAGTCGCTGACCTTTGTCCAGTTTCGGAAAGCTGCGTCTGCATGGCAAAGTCCACGTTGGCAAAGACCGCGAGTCATGGCAGGAGCTGGAATGCTATCTCTTCGCAGAGATGCTGATCTGTGTAAAAGAGAAAAAGCACAATGATCACCACCGTTATGATGAGCAGAGGCCCAAGCGCAAGCCGCGTTGCACCCTGAAGGGATCTATTCTTATCAAGAAGCATCTCAGAGAGGTTGAGTCTGTTTTAGGTCGGTTGGAACTGTTTTTGTGACCAAGCGTGCCCAGCTAACCAGTATCTAGATGAACTCATCCTTACCCTGAACCTGTCCGTCAGCGAGTTGCCTTGCTTCCATCTGCGATTCCAGAACCGTAACCAGATGGAGATCTGGCGACGGGCTCTTCTCGACCTCCACCGACCCGAACCTGTGACTCGTAATAACGTTGATTATGACGTTGATAACTCTGGCGCGGAAGAGGACGACTATCGGACGCTCCAGACGAAGAGACAGTCATCGGCTACTTCGTCGTATGGAGCGGGCAAGTCTAACAATACGGCCTTGACCGAATACACCAACTCGGGCAGGGAGACCGTTCCCGTCAGTTTCCACGTTCCTCTCGACCTTGTGGTGGTGATTCCAGTTTCTTCTTCGATGCAAGGGCTCAAGATCACACTCCTGCGGGACGCTCTCAAGTTCCTTGTGCAGAATCTTGGCCCAAGAGATCGCATGGGATTGGTTACATTCGGATCCAGTGGCGGAGGTGTGCCTCTCGTCGGCATGACTTCCAAGGCTTGGACAGGCTGGAACAAGATCCTGAACTCCATTCGTCCTGTCGGACAGAAGAGTCTGCGTGCAGACGTGGTTGAGGGTGCAAATGTTGCCATGGACCTTCTCATGCAACGGAAGTCCAACAACCCCATCTCCACCATTCTGCTGATCAGTGACTCTTCGACATCTGATCCGGAGAGTGTCGACTTTGTCATCTCGAGAGCAGAGGCCGCTAAAGTTGGCATCCATTCATTTGGCCTTGGTCTGACCCACAAGCCAGATACCATGATCGAACTATCGTCACGCACCAAGGCGTCTTACACCTACGTCAAGGACTGGATGATGCTGCGAGAATGTGTCGCGGGATGCCTCGGATCGTTGCAATCGACGTCGCACCAGAATGTGAAATTGAAGCTGCGCTTGCCTGAGGGATCACCCGCAAAATTTGTCAAGATTAGCGGCGCTCTTCATACGACCAAGCGGGCGACTGGACGAGATGCGGAAGCAGCTCTGGGAGACCTGCGCTTTGGAGACAAGAGAGGTATGTTCGTTTACATTCTTGTGAAGGGACCAAGAGACTGATTCTTCCCAGACATCTTGGTACAACTCATTATTCAGCCTGATAATGCCACCCAGGAACAGGTGCCCCAGGACCCTTGGGAAAGTCTCGTATCCGGCTTGGAGGCCCTCGGCGGATCGGACGGTGACGAACAACGCGTGGTCAGCATTGAAGAGGTGCCTTTGATCCAAGCGGACCTTACATATGGGGATATTCTACGAGATGGACATCTAACGCATACACCCCGCCCGTCTCTCCTGGCGATCACCATGCTGCCGGCAAACCCCAGGGCGAAGAGTCCAGGAGCCCCAATGACTCCCTCTATCCCACCTCATCCGTCCATCGTCCAACGCCGTATGGAATTGCTCACATCGGACATGTTGAGTCGGGCTTTGACGCTTGTCTCTCGCGGTCAGAATGACCGTGCGCAGCATCTCCTTACTGAAACGCGAAGTATCTTGAAGGGCCTCGGAAAAGGTGGCCTGCCTCCTCTGCCTCCAGGTGCTAAACCAACAGGCACAAGCGATTCAGGAAGTGCAGCCGGAACGCCGATGTCCTCATCTCCCCGCTCATCGTCCCAGTTTACGGAAGGTCATTCGTCCGCATCCGAAACTGCGACGATTACTCCTGTTGCTGCTGTCGATTCGCAGACCATGATGGCCCTTGATGCCGATTTGGAGGCGGCCTTAGAATGGATCAACCACCCGGCCGTGTTTGGACGCGACTCGCGTAAAGCTGTTCTCCAAACGATCGGTGTGATCTCGTCTCAGCGCGGGTATACCTTCAGGACCCCTTCAGAAGCCCATTGGGCGCAGAGAGTCCCAGGCGTCAGACGCGTGACCGAAAGATCAAAAGAATGGCGAGAGACCGGTGATGATGCTTTGACTGAAGAGTAGAATGACCCGTCCGCTTTGTTATGGCTGTTTGCTCTATGATTTGTGTGTTCTTTTTTTTCCCCGAAAATATTGTTATTTCTCCCCCACAGGTTTGGTTTTGTATGATACCATTTTTGTTTCAGGATTATTTTACTGCGTGATACCATGAGCCGGTCTTCATCACAATGTTTGAGGTGAGCTTGAGTGTGTACATGACTTTTCCAATATGTGTGCCTTGGGATCATCTCACGCTTTGTCGTGGCAAACGACCTTGGCGTGCTTGGACTTCTTGGAGGCTAGTACTCGCTTTGCTGTCTTCCCCATTTAGCTTTGTTACCCCCTTTGATCTATACTTCTATATTCTTGGGACTTCTTTTCATTCTGCCCACCATATTTTATTCACATTGGATATCTATTTTTCTTTTTCTTTTTCTTTTCTTTTCTTTTCTTTTCTTTTTTTTTTAATCATCTCAAACATGTGGATTTCTCGGTCTGTTGAATGTTCATTATGAAAGGGTGAAATAAATGCACTTCGGATTCCGGATCGTATGATTCTGAATTGTTGCCAACTCAGTTCGAAGTTATGACTTCCATACCAGTATTCCCGTGCCTTTGCGGTGTATTGTAGGACTCCGTGACGGTAAACGCCGAATCTCATCATAGAACCTTGGTCAGAAAAGCGTTGATACTGTAGTGCTGACTGATTTCGGATCTTCTTTGCTCGTGGGGGTGCCAGCGCAAGGAATTTTTTTGGTCGATAGATATTACCATTTGTAGTTGAAGTTGTCTTTTCCATTCGGCATTATTTTCCAATGACATGTCAGCGAAGTATTGATACTGTAATGAAACCGTACAGGCCCGTGACCTCCGGTTGTTATCGATAGAGACCAACCTCGCTCGAGCTCCATTATCATCTTACGAAAGTACTGGCGCCGGTGATCAGCGCAGTACATACCTTTGTTTGCTGTACATACAAAGCCTGAACTACAGGCAAAGATCATCGATGCCGCCGCTCCCATCTTTACCGTCGGCCGTCTCGTTCCTCCGCGGCGTTGCGCCTCGTTCGCAGTCCGCTGCAGGCCAGCTATTGCCAACCGCTCGGCGTGGCGCTCCCAGTGCATGGTACACGCACTCCAGGCGCTTTTCATTTTCTGATAGATCTTGTTCGGTTTCCTTGAGAGGGTTATCGCAGTCTCAGTCGCAAGCATGGAACCGGTGCGCTGGGAGGCTGTTCTCGAGCTCGACTCGGCAAGCTCCGAGCTACCAGTATAAGCGATTCCAGCCGGGAAGGATACCATATCCTGGACAGCAGGGAGGAGGAGGAGGAGGAGGAGGAGGAGGAGGCCCTCCGTGGTGGGCTATCTATCGGAATGAACTGGTCATAGGAGTCGGCATCGGTGGGGCTTTCTACCTATACAACCTGGAGACTGTAGAGGTAAGCACAGGGTTAAATAATCCATCATCCTTGACCACAGTATCTGTAGTAGTGGACTGGAAACTACTATTCGCTCAAACACATCCCATTTGTGCGGTCCTATATATCATGTTTGTAGCTTTCGCTTCATTGCTAATGTCTGCCATTGCTGTTGGCTCTATAGATGACCGGTAGACGCCGCTTTAATTGCGTGTCCACCGCCCAAGAATTGAAAATGGGAGAACAGAGTTACCGGGAGGTTATGCAGCAATATCGGGGGAGAATACTGCCGGATAATCACCCCTTAACGATTATGGTTGCTCAGGTAATGAAGAGGTTGATTCCGCAAGCCCCAATAGAAGGAGCGGACTGGAAAGTGCATGTCATTCACGATGACTCGAATATGAATGCTTTCGTACTTCCCGGGTATGATATGACTATCTTTTCCGATCTCAGCAGACTGGGATTGCCTGGTATAGTCTGTGATAGGCTGACATTTTGTTCCTAGAGGCAAGGTCTTTGTCTTCACGGGCATCATGCCGATCTGCCGGGATGAGGATGGTCTTGCTGCTGTGCTCGGACATGAGATTGCTCATGTTGTGGCGCGTCATCCAGCAGAGAGGATGAGCAATAGCTTTATTACAATTGGGCTAGCATTTGTTGTTGCCGCTCTTTTCGACGTGTCCGGGCAGATTCCGTCGATGCTCCTCAATTTGGTATACGGCCTGCCAAACTCGAGGACTCAGGAGGTTAGTTACGATTTCTACTGTTCATTATACCAACTACGTCATACTAATACATTGCAGGCCGAGGCAGACACTATCGGACTAAGTAAGCTCTGATTCTTTGTGGTGCTTTCGCCGGTACTAATTTGGGTTAGTGATGATGTCCAAGGCTTGCTTTAATCCAGAAGCTGCAGTAAAACTGTAAGTTTTCCAAGTTCCCTGTTGACTTCAATGATTTGTACATTAACAAACAGCTAGATGGGGCCGTATGCAGAAAGCAGAGAAAGGGTCGCCTCCACAATTCATGTCGACGCATCCTTCGGTAAGCTCATAGTCACAACCACATGTGTAGTTTTCAAGTCGACGCCAGGGGCTGATGAGACGATAGAGCTATAACCGCATGGAGGCTCTCAGTGAAAAGTAAGTGGCCCCTTAGGGAGATTCATTTACTCTATCCAGCTGACTGGGAGCTATAGATTACCGAAGGCAGAGGCAGAGTATGAAGCAAGCGGTTGTTCCGTGCCCAGTAGATACAGTAAGTGTCCACAGACTCTGTGAATATGGGATTCGTACTAATCCACTTCTCTCCATTACAGTGCCTGGTTTCAGACAAGCCTACAACACATATGATGCGTATGGCACAGACGATGGACATGATTCATACTTCTGGTAATTTGGGTTAGCAAGGTTGAAACATAAGCGAATATAGCATGCAATACGAGCGGGCGTCAGTATGCGGGGTGTACTGTACATTGCAAATATTTCCATTAATAAACTCGACTGTCAATAATACGCATCTATCTTTGCTCAGTACTAAAGATAGCAAAGATGTAGAATGATATAGTTAGACTTGTAGAGCTCTCCGCCGTGGAGAAAGCCCTAACCCCTCCATGGCAGGATGCAAACCGGACAAACAATCCGGTCAGGGACATGTCGAGCTCATCCAAAAAATCACCGAACGGCGCGAAGCTCGAGTTGCGTGTTCTCAACAGTCACGCTTCTTTGATATTTCCGTTTCTTTATCTATCATACAGATTCCCTCTGTCAGCGGAGGTAGCAGAAAGTAATCATGTCGCTGGCGATCCCTGGACCCTCGCAGGCGGGTCTCTTCAAGCCTGGCTATCAGAGGTAAGCCACAACATTGAAGATCGCATGCACCTCACACAGTCGACTATGCGCACACGGACACCATAAAGCTGACTCGCAATTTTCATTTTACAGTTGGGACGCTGAAGATGGAGCCGTTATCCGCAACATCGAGGCCTGCCGGGCCATCTCGCAGACCGTTCAGACGTCGCTAGGCCCGTATGGCCGCAACAAGATTGTCATCAACCACTTGCAGAAGATGATCCTGACTTCCGATGCCGCTACAATCCTCAGAGAGTTGGACGTCGTACACCCCGCAGCGAAGCTGCTCGTTATGGCAAGTCAGCAGCAGGAGGCGGAGATGGGTGACGCGACCAACCTAGTCATCATCTTGGCGGGAGAGCTGCTCAAGAAGGCGGAGGAGTTGCTAAGAATGGGTCTGAAAACGAGTGATATCGTTCAGGGTTATGAGAAGGCTCAGAACTTTGCGCTGAAATGTCTAGAAGGTGGGTTTTTTTCCCTTGCATAGTGATAATGATTGTCGTGGTCTATGAAATCTACGAGTTTTTGAGGAGTTTATGCTTACTTATGATTTGTTTTTTATGGGATAGATCTCGAGGTCGATCGTCTGAGTGAAATTCGTTCCACCGCAGAGCTTAGCAAAGCTTTGCGCACAGTGGTTTCCAGCAAGCAGTCTGGAGCGGAAGACATTCTGGCATCTCTGGTCGCTGAGGCCGTCCTTGCTGTGCTCCCTAAAAACCCACTCAACTTCAACGTGGACAACGTACGAGTAGTTAAGATCATGGGTGGTAGCTTGGAACAGTCAAAAGTGGTCAAGGGTATGGTCTTTGGCCGGGAGCCCGATGGACAGGTCAAGAAGGCCAAGAAGGCCAAGGTCGGTGTCTTCAGCTGCCCGATCGATACCTCTCAGACCGAGACCAAGGGAACTGTGCTCCTGAAGAATGCGCAGGAGATGCTTAACTTCAGCAAGGGCGAGGAGGAGCGTCTTGAGGCCGCTATCAAGGAGTTGTACGACTCCGGTCTCCGTGTGGTTGTTGCTGGCAGCACTGTCGGTGAACTCGCCCTCCACTACCTCAACCGCTTCGGAATCTTGGTCATTAAGATCTTGTCGAAATACGAGCTGCGCCGTCTCTGCCGCGTTGTCGGTGCTACCCCTCTCGCTCGTCTTGGTGCCCCTATGCCCGACGAGATGGGTTCCATCGATGTTGTGGAGACCACTGAGATCGGTGGTGACAGAGTTACTGTCTTCCGCCAGGAGGACTCTAACAATGTGACTCGCACAGCGACTATTGTCCTTCGTGGAGCGACCCAGAACCATCTCGACGACGTCGAGCGCGCCATTGATGATGGTGTCAACGTTGTCAAGGCCATCACCAAGGACCCGCGTCTTGTTCCTGGAGCTGGTGCCACCGAGCTGCAGCTGGTAGAGCGCATCTCTGCCTTCGCCGATAAGACCCCCGGACTTCCGCAGCACGCCATTAGAAAGTACGCTGAGGCTTTCGAAGTCATCCCCCGGACCCTGGCCGAGTCTGCTGGTCTGGATGCCACCGAGGTCCTTGCTAACCTATATACTGCACACCACCGTTCTAACGGCCCGGCTGAGGAATCATCCGACGAGGAGGAAGAGGGCTCCTCTTCCGAGGAAGAAGAGCCATACTGGACCGCCGGTGTCGACCTGGACTCTTCCACGAATACCGGCACCATTGACGCTGTGGAGGAAGGCATTCTTGACCTGATGGTCTCCAAGAGCTGGGCTATCCGACTCGCAACTGAATCAGCTAGAACCGTCCTGAGTGTCGACCAGATCATTGTCGCACGACAGGCCGGTGGGCCTAAGCCTCCAGGCCCCAACCCCAACTGGGACGAGGACTAAATGCCTCCAAGGGGGAAGAATGCAGTCAAGGAGGTAGATATAAGGAAGACAGACAAAAGAAAGGACCACGAAGGTCACCAATAGCATCTATTGACCAAAAAAAGGTAGAGGATGTAATCTTGCACAATACGTATTACAATCTACACGCAAAAATCGTATTAGAAGTTCCATTCACCTGTATTTCTTTCGAATGAACTTTGCATATTATCTACAATAATAGAATTACGTTCAAAGACCTGGAAGTAGTCTCAGTATTATGTCCTCTTATCCTTGAGGTTGATAATAGTATTACGGATGAGGCTGGTGTTGCCAGGTGTGACCAGGGATTTAGACAGAAAGGCATTCATCCCTGTGTTAATTCTCTGTTTTCTTCTTCGGTTTTCTATTTATTTTTTATCCTTTCTCCTATGTCTAGGGGAAAATAACAATCTCTGATTTAAATCAGAGGGAACAACGCAGTATGTCATTGGACCAAAAACATGTGACGAGTAAAACAGTAATTGATGGGTATAGGAGAGTACTGGCTTTTGTATACGCGATCGCTGTCCATGAAGAGAATATCTCTGATTCCAAAATTATCCTCCGGTCGCTCAGTAGAATCTTTTGTGGGTATCCGCATGACAGAAACAAGCTTCGCGTTCCAAACGAGTCATCGCTATATGGCGCTATGATATTGAGCGAAACAGATGAAAAGGAAAAAAAAAAAGCGAAAAGAAGGGAGACACGCTTTTTGTTATCGTAATCTCATGATGTTGTGCTAGGCAGTTGAGCCATGTTAAGCGCTCATGATGTCATGAGGCGAGATCCACCGTGATTCGAGAGTTTGATGAAAATCGGACCTCAGCTCATGAGTGAGCGAGAATCCTCGTGGATTTAGATATATCGATAGGTATGATGTGCTCGCAGCTTTTGCTTTTGCCTGACGGCCGGTTTCGTTGTCGAATGCTACTTATGGCGTATGTTCGAGATGCGGCCCGTCGATCCCAACTGTAACTGCGAGCTTGCTCCTGCTTCTTCTCCGTATAGTCTCCCGTTGATTCTGTATGTTCCTGGTAGCGTGCATTTCCGAAATCTGTGCGCCGAGCCGGGTATATGCACATCGATCATCGATGTGACACTGAATCACTGACGGTGTCGCTTCCCCACATAATTCCGGCGGGTAAATCGGTGATCGCGTAGCTTAAACAGGGCCGGGTAGTCGGGAGCCAAGAAAGATCAGAAGCTAGGATCTAGAGATGTTCATCTTGGAGATTGCCTTAAGCTTCCATCCTCCAGTTCTGAGGGGGCATGGCACGCGAGCTGCGACGTCGTTGATGACGGCGGAATTCAGCTTTCTGGACGCTGTTGCGCATGTAGTGCACGAGGAAGCTGCTGGAGTGGAAGGAGATCCAGACCAGCATGACCCAGCTGGCCAGCCATTTCTCCTGAGGCGAGAAGTAGAGATCCATGAGTGAGGATATCAGCGATCAGATCAGATGGCTCTCAAGATGAAAATAAGAAAGAAAGACGGAGAGTAAGACGGCGACGACTTTCGTACTCGACTTTCTCCGCAATGATATAAGCCGGGTCAGCAATCACCTCATTGCTGGGCGGCAGCTTAGTTCGGCATCTGCCTGATACCGTATCGCGAATACCGTATTGAGACGGTCACGCTGTAATATTACGGGCGCTGTTGTTCACAGGCATCACGTGACGCGCCGTGGATTTTCCGGCCGCGCGAAGTTCGAGTTTCTTTTCTGAGCGAGATCTGGATATCGGGAAAAAGAGCTTCAGTCCCCATCTTCGTTTCTCTATCTGTCCGCCCTTTCACAGCCAGGTCTCCGCCATCATGTCGCTCTCCTCCCAGACCGCAGCTCGATGCTGCAGACAAATCGTCCGCCCTTCTGCGTCCCTGCGCATCTCTTCGTCCACATATCTCTCCCAGCGCCGGAGGACGCCCGCTCGGAGATGGCAGTCTACCGATGCTGGTGCTGCCACTGCCGCCCCTTCGAACCCGAAGATTACGCAGATCGTTGACCAGATTAGCCAATTGACCTTGTTGGAGACGGCTGACCTCGTCGCCAGCTTGAAGGTGGGTGGAACTGTTGTTGTTGTTTGAGTCCGCTCTGCCGCCTGCGGTTGCGTGAAGAGAGATATCACCAGTCCCAGAAAAACATGGCGAATACACATGAAACAGTGGCTAGACGAGCGGAACCAGTGGCACTGGATAATGAAGAAAATTACTGACGCGGAATTTACTTGTAGTCCCGTCTGAACATCCCCGACCTGCCCGTTGGCGGCTTCGCCGTGGCCGGTGCTGGAGCTCCTGCAGCTGCCGCTGCTCCCGCCGCGGAGGAGGAGGAAGCTGCCCCTGCTGCCCAGGAGAAGACCCTGTTCAACCTCAAGCTCGAGTCCTTCGATGCCGCCGCTAAGCCCAAGATCATCAAGGAGATCAAGTCCATGCTCGGTCTGTCTCTGGTTGACAGCAAGAAGTTCGTCGAGAGTGTCCCCAAGGTCATGAAGGAGTCCGTTCCCAAGGAGGAGGCCGAGAAGATCATCGAGACCCTCAAGGGTCTCGGTGCTAAGGCTTCCATGGAGTAAAGTCGCTTCTCGATGGGCTCTGTGGTGTTCGGGATGTGGCATGAAGAGCGGAATCCGGTGTTCCTGTTTTCCCGATTTCTCCGTCATGATATGTTTTTAATGGCAGCTAGCAAAATCGGCGGAAAAATGTATATTATCAATTGATCCCAGCGAATTTGGATGTATACGGAGAAAGGACTGCTTTTGTCTCCAGACCTTCCCTCCATTACTTACTTGTCTTATCCAACGATTGGGTGAGAATTTGGCCAGCATATGTGTTCAGGAAAGTCGAGACATAGAATTTTTTTTGAAACTGTGTTTTACTATTACCCTGGGATATACTCGATCTTTTTTTCCTAGTTGGAATGCACGCATATTCTCTTCTCAAGTAACCGCGCGCCGAAAATAATTCAATTCTTTTCTTCAGACTTTGTCTACAGAAATATCCTACTTACGCAATTCTTAATGGCCCTATAGTGCGACGTTCGAGTATAGTTGGTCCATCGACTTGTCATTACGGCGGAATCACACACCGACTGACTTTCATAGTAGACGACTTTGAAACCTGCAATGTGGTGGACCGCCCGACCGAGAAAGAAGGGAGCCTACCTAGTCGGATTCGAAACCCTTTTCAATATAATCAGTACCAGAGGTCACAGAATGGAGACTCAAGGCATCTAGGAAATGAACGTGGAACATAACGAGTATGAGCACGAAGCACCAGAAAGCACAACGGAGAGGGCCTACTCGATCAGGTTCCCATCCGGATCTCTGATATATATGCTTCTGAGAAGGCTTCTAGCCCCTGTCTTCTTCACTACCTCCTCTCCGTCAAAGGCCAAGACCTCTACGCCCATCTCCTTTAGGCGCCCGACAACTTCCTCGACCGCCGAATCAGTTAGGAAGCAGAGGTCCGCACTACCAGGTGCCGGGACATGTGCCTTTGGCTCGAACTCCTTGCCGGCCTCATGGAGGTTAATCTTGGAGCCACCGAACAGGAGCGCATGACGTGCAGTGCCAGTAGTGTCGGATGGCGGAGTGAAGGATTGATGCGCCATCCCCAGGACAGACGTGTAGAACCTGATAGATGCTGGAATTGAACGGACAGTGAGGACGAGATGATCCAAAGAGGAGAGAGTACAGGCAGGACTTGACGATGGTGGTGAGGTGGGTGATGTACTGGACATATTGCGGAGGAGCATATGCGGAGCGCGGAGTGGAAGATTACGAGGATGGAAGACCTGGAAGTTGCAAGTCCAGAGACCTGTTCTTTTATAGATAATCGTGCTGGAATTCATGCTGTTCTGTCTTCTTCTTCTTCTTTTCTGTTCACTATCAAAGATAAGATAATTCACAATAGTCAGTTATGGTAGGAGAGGAAGATGACGCGATGGCGGGAGGATGCGGCGAAATGCTAAAAACACCAGCTGGATTCCCAATCGGGTAACTTGCTCTGCTTCCGCAAAAACCTCCGACTTCTCTCCGTACAAAAAATAAATAAACCCAAGCACCTCAATCACCCACCATGAGTGCCTCGCGCATCATAACGCCCCATAGATGGCCTCCAAGGTCTCTGGGGCAACTGTGCCTTCATGGAGAGATCCTTTCGGAGCGTACGCTTCCTGCGAATTCCCGGAGACCGTTTCATTCAACCTCGATTCAAAACGCAGCTCGCGCAGCACCGCGCTCCCCGACAGTAAGACGCCAGCAAGCAGGTGGAAATGGATCGACTGCTACAGCCCCTCGCCAGACCTACGTGGATTTAGGCATTCGTGGCCAAACAGAAAATTATGATCCCGAAGGTCTACTTGCTCTCTACTCGAACTTCGGACACCGATTATACGATTCGGCCATGAGAGCCGGTCGCTTGCCCGATATCAGTGCTGAGACCTACATCTATATCTCCAAACGCATCATCGAAGAGGCGTGTTCTGGACCTCCCACCGCGATGGCGGCAAGGAGAATATCAAAAGGTACGTTGCCAGGATCTGCTCCCCGCACCTGAGCCGCTTCAACGACATAGAAATCATCTAATGGGCAGTTGGCAACTAGACCTTGATACCGTCTTTGCAGTTGCTGCATCATTCCCCACCGGTCGCCCACCACATCCAATGGCCCGTTGGACCCTCACTGCAACCGCCTCAGCAGGCGGGTTTCTCGCCGTTTTGCATGTCGCAGCGGAACATCTGAAGCGTGTTCCGACAGCAGGCCGGACGCCTATACTGGACCGCATTGAGCAGTGGGCTACTGAATCCGAGGACCCAGACCCACGCGTCACGATTATGTACGCTCAAATATTAGGCCGGCGGGGACAGTACCGTGAGGCTATCGCAGCTATGGAAAAGCTCATGCAGAGGATCCATCCGACTAAGCTGCTACCATCGATGATGGAAGACATATCCATGAACGGGAACCTAGAACCCCCGTGGAAGATATACGCCTGGCTGACGGAGAAAGTCGGTGATCGAGCAGCCACCGACGAGACACTGAAAGTCGCTGCGCTGGAATACCAGGACCCCAGTGCGCTGGTCACATATGCGCATGTGATGCAAACGCAAGGAGATCTGGAAATGTATGAAGAATGCATGAACAAAGCTGCAACAGCCGGCGATGCAGAAGCATGTCGAAAACTCGCCAATTTCTACTACCTGACTCACCACGGCCGGTTTCCACGTCGCGAAGATCAGAATACGAGTGGTATCCGAAGCCGCATTGTATCGCTTTTCAAGCAGTCACGGACGAAAGACGATTATCGTAAGCTAGCGATAGATTGGTACGAGTTATCCTTCAACCATGGAAGCAAGAAGGCTGCCCTGCTGCTGTCAATGCTTCTGCGCGAAGATGGGGATTCCGACCTCGGTCGGGAGTTCCTTTCATTTGCTGCTGCGGAGGACAAACTGCTGTCACTGACAAAGAAGCTGGCAGACAACTGGGACAATAAAGACTATAACGTGAAGATCCCAATTCAATTACTTGATACTTGATGTCAAATACAGTGAAAAATGTGATAATCGACGGCCTCGCTTTCTTGGGTGGCTAGATATCTTGAGCCACAGCTGCCTTTGACTGCATTTTGCATCTTCTGGAAGTCTCTCTGAACACCGTCTACACCGTCATATCACCTTTTCCATGATGTTCGGGTAGGAATCTCCGCTCTGCCTCGAGTCTCACGCCTTATTTGCGTTTTTGATACCCTGTACGATATATTCTCACACTTAGAAGAAAAAGCAAAAGAATGGTTTATCTTCGGGAAAGAAATGATACCATTCCACACTATGAGCTAGTGAGAAGCGACCTTACAAGCGCAACACGATACCTGTATCAGTTATCCCTATATCTGCGCAGAAGTTTCGCAACTCCCATCCAGGATGAAAGAGGGTCGAAAGCTACAGTATGTGTTCAATAGAATGCAGAAATTCTCCAGAGAAAATCTGTGCCTGGAAGCCCATATGCCGTATCATCTTGAACAGCATGGAATAGGAAACCAGAATATGAGAAATACAGGATCTTTTTTTCTTTTGATCCTCGGATCTCCCTATCTGCCTTGTCCCTTTCCCTTACCTTTGCTTCTGGTTTTCAGATCTCCGACTCCCAGAGCCTTTAATTGCTCTGTTATCCGTGACGATTCACGCATACCTGGAAAGTCCTTTGCAGGATGCACGCGGAATGTATCTGACCAGACTTCAGTCAAAATAGGCATGGACTCGCCTGTCTCTTCAATAAATCCCCAATTCATGAGCCGGAACTTGAGCCGGTAGAGACCTGCGGTACGGACGGACAAATCCGTGAAAATAAAGAACGCCGCAGGCAAAGGCTGCGTCGAACTACCAATTTTCTGTCCTCCAGTGGATGTTGGATACATTGGAGCAGTTTCCGGATCGGGATCCTCCTCGACGAAGAAAGGAGAAACGAAAAGCTTGCCTGAGAGCACTTGCACGGATCGGCCTTGTGGTTGACCACTAGGATTTCCTCCCATGCCCGCAGCCTCATTTAACCTGAATGGTTCGACAATTTGTGATCGGTGTATCCGCTCTTCCCACTCTTCACCGTGGGCACCACCGTGAGATGATGACGGAGTCACCGAATACAACAGACACCCCACGGTAAATCGTGGGTCTCTCAGTAACTCCATATCGCTCTCTGAGGAAGGGTCAAAATCGGCCAGCAACATTTGCACAATCGGAGGAGGGTCGATAGAGCGTCTATCCTTGTCACCGGCACCACAAGCTCGCGCTGCAATGGGTTGTTGCCGAATATGCAGTCGGAACCGGGACATAGGCGTCTTAGCCTTTGGCGATGGGGAAGTAGCAAATGAAGCTGGAGCAGGCGGTAGAGGGTGGAGGATCTGTTCGAATCCTGCGGGGACGCCAGATATGCTCCTACCTCCGCGACTAGGTGATCTTGCGCTGGAATGTGAAGTGGTCGAGTTCGTTGATGTTGGGGAACTACTTAAACTATCAACGGAGGACTCATCAGATATCTGACACAACAGCACAATGTTTGCAGAAGATGGCGATTCTGAGTATGTCAAAACGGAAAAGGGTGATTCTTAGAAAAAAGAAATGAGACTTTACAGGGAACTGCTCTGCGCTTTCTCCCTTGGATCGGAGCTTCTGCGCCTACCATCGTGACTCAGCGGAGAGATGTACGGATTCCAGTATGGGCTCCAAGCTTCGTGCGAATTCCTCCTCGGAGCAACGGACGTGTTGTGCGATGAACTAACAGAAGTGGACGGCATCGCTGGCCATGCTCCCTGGTATGCAGAGTAGTCAGGATGGCGAGAACCGAGGCTGGTAGCTGCAACAGCATACTGGCCATGGCTGGACCAGTGAGGTGATGGTGAACTATAGGCGGCTGTCGTGGATGAAACCGTTGGGTTGTATGCCTGAACATCAGGGTATAAGAACCTCGGTGGTTCTTCAGACGGCGAAAAGTGTGATGATCTCTGGCGCTCTGGGCTGGACGATCTCAGTTCTCTTCGAGCTGTCATATGATTCAACAACGGCGCTCCTGGATTGCCTGGTGCAGGGGGTTCTTGCTGTTGGTCACTTCTCGGGGTCTTTCGATACAGATCTCCTTCAATCTTTCGCATTGTCGAAAATCCCCTTACTTTTACGTCCCCTTGGGTACGATTGGCAGACACGATAGATTAGATCCTGGTCCCCAACTCCTCTTGAAAGACATCCGCAGTTTGGAGAGACCAATGATGACAAGATTGAAAAAAATACTACCGTGAGCACCCGTAGAAGATGATGAGAAGAGAGAGAGAGAGTGCAACAGAACCATTAGACGAACATAAATTTTCTTCTGTGATAAGTAATCTGATAGCACACTAAGTGTATCAATAATACTCGAGAGTCGGTTTTCAGTCCGCTGACCCAGTTTTTCCTGAGCGCCAACTCACCATTCCTGCGAGTAGCACCTACCAGTGCGTCTATATTTGATCAAAAAACTGCAGTGACGTGCAAGAAGTAGCTGCAACGTTGGAGCCCCGCAAGTCCAATTAAACTACGGACGGGGGCAAACCTTTTAATGAAGCCGATTTTCTTCTGTGTTCTAGGAACCCTGCAAGAAGAGGAGCTAGAGCCATGGCCTAGCAACTGTCTGACGGCGTTACCGTATATACGGGATGGTATCCGAATATCCGGAACGAACAAGCAGTGGCAGTGCAAATTTAGCATGACTATCTGGGGAACTTGGGGAGAGCGACCTTTGTGTGGTCACACATATCTGTCTCACGGATGATGATTTAGACATCCAAGAGCAGTTACATTGTGCGTCCCTGACAGGTTGTTGTGGCGCTTGTCTAACCGCAACAGCTAGTTAGCATTGGCGATTGGGAGAGGACCTGCTCAAAAGGGAATGAAGGAGCGAGCTAGACCTTGAGAACGGAAGAGAAGAGATATTGTTGCTCTCGTGTCCTGGAATTCCAAAGGGCATGTCACGACGCAAAGGCCTTCTTGCCCGCAAGAAACAGGTTAGAGAGACATCCACGCTCCGAAAAGATGGGCGACCCGCAGTTGGAACTTGGAAGAGCGGCCCGTCCGCTAGTCCCCGTTGTCGAAGGTTAGTTTTAGTACGTTCGTAGCCCAGGAAGGCTATTAAGAGGTCTGGTCAGGTTCTAGTCGGATTAAACAAAACCGTGGCTGTGGCCATGGTAAACTAGCAGAGGATCCATAACTCCAGTGTAACCAGACACTGTCCGGTTCATGCATAGCTCATCAGCTATGACGAAACTCAAAGCCTATGGGAAGTCCCCAGCGTATGTATCTGCATTAACATGTATATGTGCATGCACATATCTAGAAAGAGTATTCTCTCTGCTTGAACGACGTCTAGCGCTGTGCATCGGTTCCTCATCCTCTCTTTGGCGGGAATTTGCAAAGGAAGCCCCGGTCTCACATGGCTATGCATTACTGAGTCAGATTGCCATGGAGTATGCAGGGCTAAACGAACCAGCACGATAGCCTCATTGGTGCGAGGAACCTAATTAATTGATCATGTTGCATAAGCGGCTGGTACGCACGATTTCTGTCCCTTGGACCCATATGGATGGCTTAGTTTAGTTCCTCGGGGATGACTTCTGCTCTTCTGTGGAGAATATACTTTCGCAACGTTTGTTGCAGCACTGTAACGAAAAATCTCTTCTGTGGGATCAATCACAGGCTGCTTGCGTTCTCTGCTAACGTATTGTCGAATTAGCAGTCGCTACCATGTCATCTCCAATTTGTTAACCCGAGAGCGGCAATCAAACGGTGACTACCGAACGCTTAGTAAAAAATGTGACAATCACTATTCTATTTTAATAATAGCAGCCGGTTCGGAAGTTCCGGTCATATACCTCAGTCTGGGGTGGCAGATACCATTCTGATCGACAGTCGTTATGTGGTATCATGTAGGGGAGTACATATTAGGGTCGTTGTACGAAGTATCACCACCTATTACCCTTTAGTAGCCGTGTAAGTAGAAACAGAGAGCCACCACTTAGAGTGAGAGTTCTAGAACCCCAAGATCTGACGCGATCTGTGGCACCGTCAATTAGGAACCGAACTTTCTCGCATCCTGCTAAGTCGTAGGAATAGTCGAGCAAATAAGTCGGCGCATTCAGGAATACCTCTTATCATGAAAATATTCTGAGTAGTTGGCCGAACCGTGATTTGACGGAAACTCCTAAAGAACAACTGTGGACTCTAATTGAAGCGGGGTTCAGCTTCTATCGGCCAACTTATATAGGTGCAATGGGTAACATAGGACTCTTCAGAGAGGAACTGGATGCTCCAGCTGGAAACTGTCTTGACGTGCATAGGCGGCATGCAACATTGTTTCTGATGACATATCTCTCATCGCTCGGTTTGCTGTTCCTGGTGCAATCTGCCTCCCCGTGTCATACCTCTCCGGCGGGTCCAAGGCTCCTTTTATCCACCAAGGAGATGAATTGGCAAGTCGCCAAGAGATTCAGTGTTGTGATGCGTCCCTGTTAACGGATCTATTATATCTGCTCCATCTAGTAGCTCGATATAGGTCAAGCCCTTTCTGTTTTGTTGGCTTTGGTGTATAATACTACACGGCTGATCCATTCCTTCGAAGTGTAGTTTGTGCACATGATAGTTTTCGGGATTGTCGTATTTCTGTCATTCAGGTAGGCTACTGCATGTTGAGCCGAATGTTGTGTTTCGCTGGCAGGAAGAACTCTCGAAAATGAGGGATGATGCATCACATTTATGGCCCCGTCAAATTAGCGTTTAATCCATGTAGTTAGGTGAGCAGGTATCTTGCTCCTGTTAGATACGATGTCCTACAGGTTGTCCAGTTCATGATCGCGTCGTGTATCTCGCATTTGCCTTCGTCTCTAACGGAAATGAAAACAAACCTGGCCATGATTAAGTGCTCCGAGTGCAGTTCATGTCTCGTACGAGCTATGGTTCCGCGTTCTCCATGCTGCAGAACCAGTTCGATTATCGCATGATGGGTATCTCATCGTAAACCTATCGCTGAAGGAACCCACTTGTGTCCATTCATTGGATCACATAACCGTTATGTACCGTGTAATATTTGTTCGACAGGTAATGGTCAAGTCTCCGATAACAATCTCAGCTATGGCGACTTAGTATCTTAAATGGTCCCGGAAGGTCCTGCACCTAGCCAAGCACCTGGTAGATAGTTGCGCCACAGCCAAGGAGCCCCTCTTTCTCAGCTGAAATTAGTTAGTTAAGTCTTGTCACCGAGATGGCTGACAGGAGCAAGTTAGGAGCCCCATGTCCGTGCTGCTGCCTGCACCTTTTAGTTCGGTCGACCAAGTGGGCGGATATCAGTTAGTCCTGGCGCTCGGACGTAATAACTAGCACGATTTTCTAGACTGCTTCCGACGGTCCGTAGAGTATCTATGTAGAGTACTTCTCCGTCCAGACTATCAGGCCGTTAACTAGTTACGTGAGAATTCTAAATTGTCATCAGGCGTGATTAATTAGTGTTTTGATACCTGTGGTATGACTAGAAACGCGGATCATATCGTTGTATGGATGTGCTTCTGTGCTGTGATGCCACAGAGAGTGAGGTAGTGGTGCAAATGATTGACAGTACTGGTCTTATCGCGGTGATTAGAGTAATGCGCAATGCTAATAGTAACTGTAAAACGGCCTGCTTACATCTCTAGAACAGATTGTCAAATGGCGGAGGTATGTGATGTCTAATTGTAGCTCGGGCCGGGGCGCGTTCCGAAGGTCTATGTCAAGATCGTACTCTTTGGTATACTCCGTATGCTTTTGAAGGGGATCCCCGAACCCCTTGCTTCGTTACTCGAGTAGCCTAACGGTTCAAGCTGGCCAATTATCTCGGAGCACGTTCGGGTATGAAACCAGTTGATCTCGACTACCACTTTCAGAAACCTGAAAGACGTTGAACCTTATGTTAATACGGGGACAGCATAGAATCATGTTAGCCACGGGGACAACAGAATTTCAGATATACGCTATACTGCCAAGCGAATATCGACGACTTCCACCTTCGTGGTCCCCCTCCTGTAGTCCTTGGTACTTCCTCTGTGATATTTTCTGCAATGAGGGTCTTATTGCGCCTTCCAACCCTCACTTGATAGGATAGACTGTAATTCTTGGCTCAGAGTCCCTCAGTCGGGTTAGCTATGTTTAATCTCATCCCTTGAGCATGGGTCCGCTGTAGAGTCCCTGTCTGAGGCAGGTCACGAGATGATCTAACGATCAATGCGTTGTTGTAGGTCGTGGCAACCGACAAAAGTCCCTAATCGCTCAACGACAGCAAGTTTGCCAGACTTTCCACGACAGTTGGCAGAGATGGCCCAGTGCTTCATGGTTTTAGTCCTCGGCTTCGATCGACGTCGAGGTGATATAACCCCTGTGCCCTTTGAAGTACGAGAGACGCCTCTATACTCTGCTTGAACCTGTAAGAATGCCTAGATATGACGATCCTCGAGAGGGCACCAACCCTCGAAGGCGAAGGCAGAGATGACGGTAGGTAACCAGAAGAGATGACCCCATGACCCTTGCCGACGAATATGGCTACAAAGCCGCCGTTCACCCGATCCCACGCGACAATATGTCCAGAACTTATCCACTCACTCTGCTCTATGTCGGAGGCGGGTCGCATGCATAAGTAGCCAAGTTGCAGCAGGTGAAGGGTGTGCTCGTCTGCCATAGGCTTTCCCTGGCAGTCCAACCGCGCACAAACCAGACCTAATGAGGCGGGGTCCCAAGGGATGCGAGTATTGTGTCCAGGAGCACTTAGGCAATGGGAAAACTCGATGGGAGAACGCTGAGGCATCCAAGCAAATTGGTTGTCCCAAGAGCCCATATGTTGAGTACAAAGCGGTATATCTTCCCCTTCATGTTCATCCAACAACTCGGCGATTCTACCAAGATCAGAGCTTGAGTTCGAGCAACCTAAAGCACGGATTTCTTCCACAAAGCGTTGCGTCGTATGGAGACCCACATGATCACCATCCACAGTAAGGAAGGGCTGAGATCCGATAGGGTGCAGAGAATCGTCGATCATTGAATGACAAGATTGAGCATTGTGCCATCCTAGACCAAGTCTCATCTCGATGGTTCGTAGCTGGGAGTCTAGAAGGGCCATACAATTTTCCTTCCCCGCGAGTTCGAATAACTTGTCTGACAAGTGGTGATCAATAAGTAAATGTATCAGCCGAGATTCCGTTGAGATTTCTGGTAATGTATTGCTTGCACGTTCCGATATTTCTGTAAGACACAACATGGCTTCCTTCAGCCGTCCCGTATCGATAAATGCAGTCACACATGCATATGAAGCAGCGATTAGCCTTTGGTTGCAGCCAGGAATTAGATGCTGCTTCAACGTGTTCCATACACTCTCCAGTGATTGTTCGGCTTGTAGCATTCCGAGAAGACAGGCATACTTTCCGATGACCCCGGCAGAGTCCTCCTTACCTGAGAGGTCGCATAGAACGTCACTCAATGTGTATTGAATATTGTGAGAACTCTGACCTTCTCCTGTGAGTAAATAGACCATCTGATTGTTGGCGTAGCCCGGATCCTCAAACCGTATTAAGCGTAGCGTGGAGAGGAGAGAAGTGATTAGCAATTCACTATCAGCCGGTTCTAGCCTTTCATTGGTGATGCGTTTATAATCATCTATATGGCCTTTCAGTGCGAGAAACGAAAACGACAAACAAGCGAAGTGCATTCCTAAGAAGGATATGTCCTTGGATATTGGTGTTCCGAGTTTATGCAGCCGCGTCACTAAGGCGTTCAAGAATGACAGTATCTCTCTAGATGGGTGATGCTGGTGACACCGGTGAAGAGCTTGACTGAGAAGGTTGCAATGTTTAAGCAAGAATTCGCCATCTATATTCGTATTTATCTCGCGCTCGACGTATAGATAAAGGTCACGCAAACATGTTGCATTTTTCAGTGTTGATTGATCCTGTTGATGAGTGGATGGGATGGCTCTCCTTCCAAAGATACTCCATGGTGACAAAGGGGGTTTCAAGGCCCAAGGCGCGACAATAAATGACTGTAGCAGCTCATCGAGTTCAGATTCATGTAGAGTGACCTGCGGTTGTTGTGTAGTACCAGATAATGAGAACCGAAGCAACTGAGATGGAGTTGGCTGTGGGCGACCATTGCTATGCCCGTTCTTCGTCAGGTTATTAGGGAGTTTACTTTGAGATATAGAGCGTCGAAGGTAGAGCTGTAAGTTCTTTGGGGGCTTAATCCGGGGCAACTGATACGAAAACATAGATTATTGATGCTTTACAAGCTTAATAAGATGGGAACAAGGGCAACAATGGTAATAAGCAGAAACCCTTTGACGATGATGGATGCTCAAAAGCCGTCGAGGACGCAACGCTGCTGGTCAAGTGCGGCGGAAGTCACGAGGAAGGGCCAAATACAGGGGAGACGGATACGGTAACGTATCGTCACCCGACGTCACACCTGTTTCCTGTAAACCTTCTGGCCACCATCCAACGTCTTAACAGTCTTTCGACTATTACCGCTGTGCGTTGGGATCTGATTCTATCTTACCCACCTTTTATTGGCAGTGAAAAGTCATACCTATTTGCCCGCGGACGATGCCTAGAGAAGATCGCGACGACAGCTCTCCACAGGGCGCAGAGCAAGAAAAGCCTACCTCGGCGGAGAAGGAGGTAATGGATGCCAAAGCCGGCGCAGCTTCAGATAACACTGGAGCAGACGAGTCCAAGGAAGTTGATGCTGCTGCCAAGGCGCGTGAGAGGCAGGAAAGGTTCAAGGCTCTCCGCGCTCGCGCTGTCAGTGCTCCCCGCCCTACCCCAATAGCGAAATTTATCTCCCAATATGATTGCTTCCTAGGTTCATCTTGACTGACATTCAAACAGAAAGCGGCGACTGAGCGAAACCTGAAAGAGACAGCGGCGGAGTCTCAACGTCTTGCAACCGATCAAAGTCAGCTAGCATCACTATCTCGCAAGCACGCATTTGCGTCGCACAATCTGTTGAAGGCAGATACTGAAGCGTCCGGGGAAGACTTTGAGCGAAAAAGAGCTTGGGACTGGACAGTGGAAGAGTCAGAAAAATGGGATAAGCGCATGGAAAAGAAACAGCGACACCGTGATGACGTGGCATTCCAGGATTACAGACAGGATGCACGAAAGGTATATAAGAGGCAGCTGCGGGAGATGCAGCCTGATCTGGAAGGATACGAGAGAGAAAAGATGGCTGCAATTGAAAGAGCTGCCGCCAGCGGTGGCTTAGAAGTCGTGGAGACCAATGACGGCGAGCTGGTAGCCGTTGACAAGAATGGAACATTCTACTCAACAGCCGACTCGACAGACTTCATTGAGAACAAGCCTGACCGATCTGCAGTGGATAAGCTCGTCAACGACCTGAAAAAGGCAGAAGAAGTTCGCCTCAGGAAACGCAGGGAGCGCCGCGGAGAAGACGAGCCAGATGTAACTTATATCAACGAAAAGAACAAGCAGTTCAACCAGAAGCTTGCCAGGTTCTATAACAAGGTATGGCTGGTCTTATACGGTATGAAGCAACCACGAGACTAACGTATGGTAGTATACTGCCGAGATCCGCGACAGCTTTGAGCGCGGCACGATGATATGATTACAAAGATAGACTGGATCGACCCTGCACCAGATTACACTAACCCGTCATCAACCTTTGCCCAGCGCCAAAAAACCAAGGACAGCGTCAGAAACCAGGCTTTTCGCACAACTGCGCCTTTATGAATTGATTGGATAGCGGATACAAGCCATATCAAAAGGAAAAAGCAGAAAAAAGACCCAGATTTCCTTATATCTGTAGCGGCTTGCTACGGTGTTGACCATCCGTTTTCCGTCACGAGCTCAATGGTTCGAATCCGTTGGTTTGTCTGAAAGCGATTCGGGTGCTTCTTTATGATTGCGTGATCCTCTGAGGGAAATGGGCAATTCGCAGCAGTCTCCAGGTCCCGTTGCGAGACGTGCAGCCAACCTGGGGAGGTAAAACGATGGACCATCGTCACAGAATAAAGATTGAGAAGTCCTGTATACATGGTTGGCTCTGAGTCAAGACGATGATGCGGACACCAAGTTGGCATTGAAGTCGTGTAACTGCGCAAGCTTTTGCCGAGGAATTCATGTATGGAGATCGTTCGCACAGGTACTTCAGGATTTATGGATATGAATCACATATTATCTACTTCTAACATTGCGAGTCAACCGGTCGCCGACTTTCACAACTTTTGCAGCTCCATCAGGCTGACGAGGGTGCATTGATAGAAGCGTCGATCTCAGATACTATGGAAAAACTGATTTCGCTGGTTTCTTATGACTCCTTGCTGCTATCTACAGAATGAAGAAGGATTCGGTAGACAAAATCTCTGGGCGACAAGGTGACCACGAGTTTATAGGACAATACATTTCAAAGGTTTCTTTATATGGAGAGTGTCTCTGGAAATTGATGAGGCGATGGATTTTCCCAAGATAGTGTGATTACACAACTATCATTTTGCAGACTGGTAACTAGTGACTGTATAGAATATAAAGACTGACACTGATCTATTACAGAAGATTTGAGGTAGCAATGAATGCACATATTCTGCAAATGAACGTCTTGAGATCAACTAATTTGACACACAAAGTCGATTCGAACTTTGGTCCTTCCCCCTTATTTCAGATACCTTTCTTCTTCTTCTTCTTCTTCTTCTTCTTCTTCTCCTGTGCTCACTTTGGAGTAACTTTGTCAGCTAGGACAGTGATTTTCTTCACTAGCATGGCCGGTTGGCTCAGCATGGGGGAATGACCGGCGTTGCATCGATCAATTTCCGCATTTGCAGCGCGTGCAAATATCTCTTGGAAGTTAGTCGGAGCAGCTTTATCATTTTCACATATCAAATAAGTCGAGGGAATGTATTCGTAAGCTGCCCGGGAAAGAGGGGTTTCCTGGACTTTGTATGACTGTGGAATCAACCGTGACTCCCACAGGGCCGCTTCCTCTGCAGGAAGGTCATTGTACAGTATCTCTGCACCGTTCTTGATGGTAAAGGTGCCGTCATCCTGGAGTTTCAAACGTTCATATTAGCGATGATTCCTTACTTTCTCAATGCATAGCTACTGAGACTTGATGGCAAAAAGAAAAGAAAAAAAAAAGCAATGGAATATCAACTATCTTACCCGAACGTCATTATTAGGTGATTCGCCAAAGGCTTTCAACACAGATTGTCCTGGGGACAGTACAAATGCAGCGAAATAAAATAGATGAATCACACCACCTGGTGCACCTGCTTGTTTACGGCTCTCGTAGCTGAGTTCCTTGGGGACGGCATCGCTTCCAACCAGGCCACCGTACGAATGCATAATGACAACCACGTATTTCCCATCCTTTTCTATCAGGGATTGGAGCGCTTCAGTCACGGCGCGCGAGTCGTCAGCCAATGTACGCGTAGGAAAGTCTGCATCGCCTGGATTGCAACTAGGAAGTTGAGGATGAACAGTTGGGTATCCTTCCGCTTCCAGACCCTTTATGAGAGTCTCATAGACCAGAGGAAGTTGGAATGAGCCCTGTACAAGTAGTAGGGTCGGTTTGTTGGTCACCGATGATGATGATGATGCTGTAGCCATGGTCGACTGAAGGTTAACTCCGAGCCTTGGTTACTTGTTGGAGTTCCAACGTTAAGAGGGGAAAGACGGCTGAAGGAAAAGATGATGGGATGTAGAATATTCTACAGATACTGCTGCTCCGGTCAGTGACTGATAGAATAAGTTCTCGATTGCTTGGGTTCGCGATAAATGGCCACAGTTTCAGGCAAATGAATAAAAGGTCTACCTCGAGACTTGACCACTCCCCTCATCTGATAGACCAATACAGCGTAACACTAGTGATCTCCAGCTCCTCGAGGCTAGTGTAATAATTCGTGCAGGAGAATGACATTATTTCTGCCCCCACGGGACATTATCAGGCTACCTGACTGAATGTGCTCCGCGATCTTGATACCAGTTTAGTGACCTTTTGCGTTTAGTTAATGCTGGCCTGCCATTAACATCGCTGGCTCCATCAGTAGACCGTTGTCAGGAGCTCAATTTATTGATAGACTATCTCGTGTGTCGCTTGGGTGCGTAGCTTCAGCCCACGCTGCACCTGATAAAGAAAGTTTACAGACACAGGGGCCAAAACTATGGCGATCCTCAGCTCTTAAAAACCGTTCTCGCGTAGCTCATCCGATATATCCACGCTTGTAATTGCTGCTACAACCTAACTGGAATACCAATCTATGTGTTGGCAGACTTCTGTTCGGGTTGTGTTGTTGCTGTCTCGAGAGCCGATAAATCCGGTAAATCACTTATTATGATATTTTTAACCTAATATGGGATTATATCTGCCTGTCTCTCAGTGGTGATTCACTCTGCAAAGGTGCTCTCTGCGAAGAGGCTGAAATATATCGGTCAGATCGTTTATCCAATTCCCTATCCGCAAGTGACAGTCGTGACAAAATATGGAGACTATTTTCTGTTTACTGGAAATGGCCCAAAGAATATCAACCCATACCTGGATTGGTAATGTATACCACGCGTCAGCCGGTATGTAGCCTGTTGCAGTTCATGAGTCCTGAGATCGGGTGCTTCGATGTTGACATCCCTACTTGTGCAGCAGCTTGACGGTCCTTACCCGAATTTCTCTGTCCTAGCTTGGATTCTCTAAGTATCCTGAAACAAGCGAAGCCATTTCACATATGCTACTACGCAGTAGGGTACTGATAGATTCTTATAGTTCACGGGTTTAGAACAAGACAAGCAGTGATAATTATAATATAACATATTGGAGCAACCATGCTGAAGCCGACAAGACTAACTACAAGAGGTAATCCACAGATCCTCCCTTTACGCGCTTTACAGGTGGCATATCTACTTTGATTGGGACTTGACGGAGCTCTCATCGCGTTTTGGAGTGAGCACTTTACTGCGTCTGCTCACAACATGCTCTTTCTCCACGCCCTTGTCGCCAGGGCCTCGATCTTCTGGATATTGAGCGCGCCGCTCATCGCGTCATCACTAATTGCCTCAACCACTGCTTCACCGACCAAGTCAACCTTAAGGGGCTTCTGAGCCATCGTCCCTAAGAATCCCAGTCTACCACCCAGGAGAGTGTTGAGTTCCGAACCCACGATCCCTCCCAGCGCGATTGGCAACGTGAATTTCCTGTTTGAATCGTACATAAAGCCTGGTCTGACGAAGATACTTCTCAAATCAGGTAGTGATGAGGCAATGAGGGTTTCGGCTTCTCTTTTGGTGGAAATGTATCGGCTGGGAAGGATAGGCGCTCCCGCAGCAGCGGATATGTATACGAATGTCGGAACGTGTTCTCGGGAGGTCTCTTGTGCCAATGCAATAGCTGCCATTAGGTTAGCCTTAGATCGGTAACAAGGACGTCTGAATCCGGGCACCAACCTGAATCTCTGTTCATGAACTCATAAGTCCATTGCCCATCGCTCTCCTGGGGCTTCAAGGGCTCCCCTTCCTTTCTTTTTAGCGGATCCTGGCTTCCTAGCTTCGATGGACCAAAGGCTCTCTGCAATCCACTGATTATAGATTCCCGTCCTGAAACCACTCCCTTGTAGTCTGCCTCCAGCAGTATACCCATTGTGTGCACAACAGCGTTCGCATCTTTCAGGAATGGCTTATAGGTGTCGGGCCTAACAATGTCGGCTTTTGCCCACTCGACAGAATTTGCCCACTGCGGACGTCGAGGTGAGTCGATTAGATTCTCCCATCGCGGCTCGCCCGAACGACTAGGGATATCAGCAGTGGACTAGCAGACATCCATATTGAAATGATATATGCACCTTAATGAAGTTACCGACCAACCCCTTGCGACCGCCGCTTTGCAAATCCTAGAACCTAGCTGATGTCAGAGCTTCCAATTGAGATGAATTGAGAAGTCACGCTATTTGATGAATGACTAGATCTCCGTACCTAGAAACCCACTCCCACCAGCAACCACGATCCTTTTCGTAGCCATTGAGTACGAAAAGATCACAGCTAGGAAATTGAATTAACGAAATAATCGAATAGTGATTGTGTATAATGAAGGACGTGCCTCAACGGACCATATTTTGTCGGGGGGTTCGGTTTCCGCAGAGCCCGGAAGCTCTGCTGAGCTCCGCGACTTTTGCTCGGAAAGTGACGACACCGCGTGGGCCGGCCGCGTGGTCACGTGCTTCAAGGCGGAGAGATCGCGGAGGATCGTTTGCGGGCATTCTCCGCCACGATCGATAGTATCTTTCAAGGCCAGCACCTATTTTCTGTTCATCTGGCTGCGGCCCACTAACTGTACAATATACCGAAGCTTATTTAGGAGATTTCAGCTTCACTGCCTAGTATGCCAGCCGCCACAGGTACAAAGCGCGTCAGGGTTGGTAGTCCCTTTTCGCTACGCCACTCTCGTTACAGTAATGGCTGACTCGTTTGCTATAGGGCGTTTCAATATTCAGACCTTTCGGTATGTTGAATGATACTTTTCAGTAGCACTCTATATCAATACTTGCCTGTCCTGTTAACACAGCATACAGTCTACGGCAGCGAAGCCCAGCCCTTCGACCCCGCAAAGCGACCACCTAACGCGCCCGAGGACCACACGCATCAATGGCGCGTCTTTGTCAAGGGCGTGAACGACGAAGATATATCTTACTGGCTAAAGAAAGTGCAGTTTAAGCTGCACGAGACATACGCGCAGTCCGTGCGGACGATCGAGCAGCCTCCCTTCGAAGTCACCGAGACAGGATGGGGTGAATTCGAAATCCAGATCAAGCTCTACTTCGTGCCAGAATCGAACGAAAAGCCCCAGACGCTATGGCATAGTCTCAAGCTCCACCCGTACGGACCGGATGCTGAGGGCATGAAGGAGAGGAGGGAAGTCGTCGTCAGTCAGAACTACGAAGAAGTCGTCTTCAACGAACCTGTCGAGCAGTTCTACGATATTTTGACAGGTGGCTCTACCGGGGCGCAACCACAGAAGGGGAAAAGTGGGAAGAATTCCAAGCAACAGCAACAGCAGCAGGGTGGAAGAACGGCAGAGATTCCGTACAACGAGAGTCCGAAGAATCCATATAGCAGGACAACCGAGAGTAAAGAACTCGATAGACTGACAGAGGCTACCAAGACGGTTGAGCAGATGCTTAAAGAGGAGAAGGCGAAGCTGGCTGAGCGTGAGAAGAAGCTGCAGGAACTGAAAGAAAGCGAAGGAATACCCCTCGCGACGAAGAAGAAATGAGTTCGTTTTACGATACACACGACACGTCGTAATAATGACGGCGACTGATGGTTGTTATGCCTCTCGATCCTGAAAGCAAGGATCCACCCCTTTGCATATACTCGAGCCATGTTTATCAGGTCGAGATGCTACATGCCGTTCAGCTTCAGTCGAAGCACCATCCATACAGAGCAGACTCTTTCGGCTTGATCGCAATACCGATTGTTCACATCGGAGCTCATGTCCTTGTCCTTCTGTGTCCTACAAGACCTATTACAAGGCTGAGGCATAGAAGAAATTCCAAGACAGGGACCGGATCGTTGCAGCGTCGACATCTCTGTGGAGACACGGGTACATGACGATTCGGAAGCGAATGAGACCATTGTTGTTGCTTCAATTAGAGACCAACGTCGGTCTTAACTGTACCATATAGGATCCATCATCAGATAGACATTAGTGCGTCTTTCCACTTCTACACCTTCCGGGCAAGCTGGTACCATATAGATACCAACTAAGCCACGATACCTGGTGCAATACAAAGCCAAAACCATCGACAAAAAGTTGGTATAAAAAATTACATAGACTTCCTCATCTTCGTATACTATGAAGTCCTCCTCCAATTAAAGACCAGTCCTTTCGATGTAGATTATTCACCGCAGTCTTATAACTAACTAACTGGTCAACCAATATAAGACGTCTTGCCGCGGGCTGATAAGGCCGCCCCCAAGACAACGTGCCCCCAACTTTATTTACATACTTGCACCAAGTTCAAAAGTTCTGGATTCATTCACTAAATTAACATCTAGTATCAAGCGTATTCTGCGCGCAACTTAACGTCTTTCCCAGCCTTTTATGAAGTATCCGTTATCTTGACAGTACCAATCAAGAATTCGTCATTTATCAGATACGCCGCTCGTGCCATAATCGTAGATATCTCGTTGTACCAGTTCAGTTTCTCTGCTAAAAGCCCCTATCTTAGTACCAGGCCAGAACGAACTATGGAGGAACCGAATCAGCTTAATGACGAGGTGTATGAAAAGCACGACAAGTTCCGGGTTTTGAGAGCCTTATGGGAACTGTCCACGAGATCACCGTTCTCTACGGCATGGTAATCCCTACCTATCCAGGGCCTTTTGAGGAATGAATGTAATATTCTGCCATCGAATCAATTTCGAATTCGGACAGTGGAAATAAAAAACATTAATTGATTCATTACGACCATGATAACCTAGACATTCCTAAAACTCCAGAAGCAATCTGTCCTCGGGGTTTATTCCCCCTTTAAGACTGCAATGTAGCCTAATACTAATGATGGTATCGATGAAAAGACAAAGACAAAAAGAATGAGAGCATACAGAACTCCCGAAAGGTACCACTCGCGTAGATATAGATATATCTCCTACGATGGCTCCTGCCTCAGCAACTCCAAGATCAAATCCTGCGTGCGTTGGACAGCGTCCAACTTCTCCTCAAGAGCAGCGCGACCCTTTTCTAGTTCTCGCCGGAACTCCTCACGGAGCTCTTCCTTAAGTTCCTCGAGCTTATTCGAAGAAGATGGAGCACCGGCAGAGTCATCGGGAGAATCCGCTGAAGCGTCCCTGTCTGCAGCGGCTTCTGGCTCCGCGTTCGATGCCGCCAATGCTGAGACAACAGGAGATGAGCGTGGGTTCGACGCTGCCGCGTCAAGATGCTTGTTTAGCTTGGTCGTCAAAGTCTCTACAATGGCGGAGGTGACGTTGGGGTCTTGCGGCACAGGCGAATACGGTGAATAATAGCCTCCCTCCCTCGCTGCGTCTCCAATACCAGCCAGAAGGGGTCTCGAGGAGAACATAGTGTCGAACCCCGGGGGCAACCTCACTCCTTGTGAAGAGCCGGGGTGATGCGGATGCGTTGGAGTCATTGGAGGTGCCATATATTGATTATCAGACGGACCTGTCGGCGCCCTCCACCTGTCCGTGGCCACTTCCCACGGCTTCCATGGACGGTCTTTTCTCTTTCTGCCCTTGCGCGCATCGCGATTTTCAATCCGCTTGGCTTCGGCCTCTTCGAAGCGTTCCCAATTCGGAATCCAAGCATCAACAACAGCCCGCCATTCAGGGTTCGATGCATCCTGGCCTCCATTTGCTCTCTGCTCGGACAAGAATTTGATGCGCTGTTTAGAGACGATTTCAACCTTGCGCCGCACTGAATGCCATGAATATGGATGACCCTGTTGGCGCGTGAACTCATTCGTTACCGTCTGCCACCAATCACACAGCTTGTTGCGTTCTCCAAAAGTGGCCGCGTGCTGGTTACAGATCTCAAAAAGACACACTTCCTCCTTCGTAGTCAAGCGTTTTCCATATTTAGGCGTACTCTCAGCTGCTTCCGCCCGTGCCGCAAAGCTGGCGAGAGCAGTTCCGGAATCTTCGCCCTGCTGAGCGCCCGGAGCGCTCAGAGTAGAGTAGTCGTCATCAGCTGGAGCATCTTGCTGAGTAGGACCCCTGGAATCAGGACGGCTATCTGAATCATTGTTGCCAGAGCTGGCCGGAGTACCTGGAGCCGGAGAGTCTACGACTGGAGCAGGGTCCGATGCCCGAGGCCGCAGGGTGGACGATATAGCAGGCAGCGTGTTGGAAGTACGCTGAAACGCAGAGGGAAGCCACCGCAGTTGCGGGACCTGGTACGAAGAGGAAGACCCCGTAGAAGTAGACGGTGGATGACTTCCAGAATGCGTGTCAGCATTCCACGGGAAAAGGGACATCTTTTAAGATAGAGCAGGCGTGGCTGGCCCAGATGTAAGTAGTATTGGTCGGGAGTTGAAAATTTTGAGATGGCGTTTCGAAATTTTCAGCTTTGTACGGCGACGCACAGAGTCCATTCGCCAAGACAAGTAATTTTTAGCCCGGCCGTCTTCCCCACACGGCATTTGCGCAATAATATTCGTTTTGGTCGACACATTATTATTCTTTAACAACTACGAGTCGATATGTTTTCTATCATTAGTCAAGTCGCTACATCCTTATGATCTCTTTCGTATGCTCATAAGGCGGTTCTTTATTCTAGACTAATTCCATCACTTCCATTCATTGCTAAATAAACGCGCCTATATCTATCGATGTACGTGTACATACAACCCAACAGCTGCAGGGCCAGCAATCGCCGCTTGTAGTAGTCTATTTCTACTCTATAATAATTACTACACGAGCCAATATCCTGCTTTATCTAGATCTTTCCGTAGATCTTGACGCGCTCGTTGATGGGCTTTTGCGTCTTCTCGCCGGGCTGGCCCTCAGGCTTGCCAAAGACAAGCTGTGCGATCAGCTTCCACTCTGCAGGGACGTTCCACTTCTGAGCAACCTGGGCGTCAATAAGAGGGTTGTAGTGCTGAAGGTTGGCGCCGAAACCGAGGGACTCGAGGCCGACCCAGACTGTAGGTACAGGTTAGCGAGGAGCACTTCCAGAAATATGGAAACAGAAGATGAAAAGGGAAACATACGGAAGTACTGGTGCATGGCATTGGAGTCCCTGGCCCAGGGCTCGAAATGGTCCTTGTAGAGAGCGAATTTCTCACTGAAGGGCTTGATGTGAGCCGGGTCCTCGTAGAACAGGATCTACAGATGACGCGTGGTTAGTCCATTGACAACTTTGTAATTCAAAACCCAACAGAACAAAAAAAAGCATGACAGGATTAAGAACTTACTGTTCCAACAGCAGCCTTCAGACCCTGCAGCTTGGGCAAGGTCTGGTTCTTCCACAAGTCCTCAGGGATGGTACCTGTCTTGACAAGACCGGCGAAGACCTCGATAACTACGTCCCACAGCTTCTCGTGCTCCTCATGCAGGAGGACGACCAGGCGGGTCGACTGGGTGTTGAACGAACTAGGGACATTTTCGATGGCAGCATTCACGAGCTCCTCGATCTTGGCATCTGGCACGGGGCTCTGGTTGGAGAGCTTATAGATGGTACGGCGGGCCTTGGCCAGCTCGATGAGGGTGTCGGTGTGAGCCATTATGGGGGGTGTAGCTGCGAAACGGCGAGTATGGGAGCAGGAGAAGGATCGCGAGGGGATTGTGACAGACAACAGAGGGGCAGGCCAGCTGGTCTGACTGAGCGCGGGGCACGCGCGAGTAGATATAGGAGAGGTGCAGCGGACGGAACCCGCGACAAAGAGTAGAGTAGAACGAGATCGAACCACCAGACTGGAGGCCATAGTATATGATTGGATGTAGAGATCTAGGATATTGTTATACAACGAGGCACTGTTAGTTTGGTGTGATAGAGACCTTCAATTGGTGGCAGACATTCAGCGGATAAATGGCACAAGTGTATATACCTAATCCACGAGACTTTAGCGGGATGGACGGACTGCGGAAGAACTCCTCGCTGGTTATAAATCGGGACGGAATTTGCGACGGCAAGCCTGCTTGTCGGGAGTTCTAATAGTAGCGGCTCTCTATCGGCTTCGATGGCCCGGAAGATCGGCGGGGCCTGCTTGCAATCAGAATTATCAGATTGTCTTTGGTGTCCGACTAATGCAGCTCGGGACAGAGTAGTTAAAGTAGGTTCCCATGACTAGGTAGTTACCTTACATGAGAAGAATCAGTACAGTTAATGACATGTACACCACAAGATATCTGGGGAAATCCGCACTAGACGTCTCAAAATACACCTCAACAACGGTATAGGTAGAATTGTGCCTTGGCTTATGAGGCGATTCATTCACATCTTCATCATTTGCTTATATCGTGCGAGGGTGCTATATTGGCCGAGGAACAAACCAAGCTTCTTCGCCTGGAGAGTATCCCTTGTGCGTCTGAAATTTGAATAGACCACCAACAAACATTGACTTGCTAGATATATAGTCAACTAGGACAAATCATACTGCCTATTGCCCAACACCTTCAACGGGAAGGTCCAGAGCGTATAACTTATAAATCTGGGTATAAGGTCCCTTTGAAGACTGGAGAGAATATCATATGCATAAACTTTATAAGTATAACGCCTGTCCACGCAATAAAATAGATTTAATACAGCCGCCTTTATTACCGAAATAAAGAGGGTCATATATACCAGAAATAATCTTCCTACCTAGCTAGAGAACTTGAGGAGCGCATACACTCGAAGAACCTGGACGGTAGGTTTATATAATGCATCCATTTCCAACTTAAAAGGTATTAAAAACTTCCAAGCAAGTACTGCCAGCTCCTATTTCCCCCAGAAGTAGGGGGTGATAATAAACATAATAATCCAGCTAGACGCAATTCCTTTCTCACGCCGAGTTCTTATTTTACGCTTATGCAAAAATTGAAAGTCACGGGCATTGAAGCGGTAAGATATATAGTTGAATTCAGAATTTCCAGCCCTTCGCGTAAGAACTGGAGGCTTTGAATATTCATTTAGAGATTGCTCCGCTATAACCGTAAAAGATTACCTAAAGTAAATAGACACTAGATAAGCTTTTCTACTGATAAATCAATCATGAAGAATGGCTTCTATTCTGTTGTAAGTTGTAGCGCAGATAGCAATAATAACAGGTCACAATGCGCTTGTTCTTTAAGTATGCACCGACATAGATATCAGCAGCAGGAGCAAACAATCGATAATTTCCACCAGATAAAAGATATATCATCCATACATATCGCTTCCAGCCAAATATTTGGTGATTTCTATGTCCTTGCTTGTTCCTATTACTATATCCGCGCTTGCCAATCGCAGACCCCTTCCCCCGGCACCGGATATTGACTATAGGCCTTTACCGTATCTGTGGTAAATCAAAGCACCTTTCCTAGTTCCCCGCTGAAAAAGGGTTGAACTAACTAAGGCGAAATAATATGACAATCGAAACTGAAAGTAAGGGTGAGCAGCCCTTGTTTCCAGAATGCCGCACTAGAAGCAACGGCGGTCATGGATACTTAAGACTCGTCTAGAGTTTCAAGCTAAGTAGGTAAAAGACACACCTTGGAAAAGCCCACGCGCGCAGACTCCGTATCAAGGATCAAACATCTCACTATTCTCTTCTTCGCGTACGATTAAGAATAAAATATCATAGTAACACCACGGGGAGCAAAAACAAAAAAGCAAGAATAAAAATGTCTCAATTCTCCAATCCCACTCATTCCATTCCTGAAATCTCTATTCGCGCTCCGTCATCAATCTCAACCTCAACCTCAAATGATAATACCAAAATCCCTTCTCATCCACCTCCTCCAACGACTTTCCTAACCTCCTCTCCCTGGAGCGTGACATACTCCACCCTCCCAATATGGAGATCCAAACGCAACGTCAAAATCACATACCAATCTCTCCCGCAAGGGTTTCTCGATGATCAGGTGACTTATCAGACCTGTCAAGGAGGTAGTGTGAAGACTGTTCATGGAGTTGATCGTCCTGTGTTTATGTCTGGTCAGCGACAAGATCTGGATAAGCATGGGAATGCAAATAGCGACTCTGATGCCGAGGCGGGGAGCTGGGCTTATCATTGGCGGGGGAAGGGGTGGTTGATGATTGCGTCTTCGAAATGGGAGGTTCTTGGGTATGGGTCTGTGCCTGGGGATGCTGATGGTGGTGGTGGTGGTATGGGCGATGAGGGGCAGTCGATCGATTGGGCTGTTACTTATTTCGCCAAGACGCTGTTCACGCCTGAAGGCATTGACATCTACTCGAGGCCGAGTGCAAAGCTTCCTGCGACGTTGGTCGAGCAGATCAAGAAGGGGCTGAAGGCAACAGGAGATGAATCATTTCAGCGGCTGGTGGGAGATTTGTTTCTGGTCACGCATGATGAGGGTTAAGATTCGTTTTAAATGATGCTTGGATTGGGAAGTTGGCGCAGGATAGAGCCCCAAGCCAATTCGACGAATTATATTTCTGGTATTATGGTACAGGCAAAAGAGAACACCTCCCCTCCCAATCCGATGAAGAACCAGACCACCAACTATTGCAAAGTCACACAGAACGCCCCGACCATCTACTATACAGCTACCCTGTATCCGATATAATGACCGCCCCTATGGCTTCAAACCGTTGTTAAATGGACATGCACATTAGTTATTACTTGAGAGCACCACGAACGCGGTCCAAGGCGCATTCGCTCTGTTCCTGGCCTCGTCTCTCCCCACGATACCAGCCCTCCCGGATGAGGCGATTCTCGATATCGAGCCAATACTGCGCTTTACCTCCCGCAGCTGTTTTGAGATCCAGATCCCCAAGGCGGGACTCGATCGGTTCATTTTCGCTAAAGGGCATCTGTGACTGTCAGCGGACTCGGTTCCACGAAAAGTATTTATGACAGCTGAAATTAAGACTTATGGAGTGCTTGAGCTCTTTGGAACGTGATTTCGGTTCCATACCTTGATGAACATGGTGCAGTCCCGCAAGGTCATCGAAAGCGACATGTCATTCGACTGTGCTGGCTGCCCGGAGAGGCCTACTTCTTTCATGACTCTCTGGTGTTCTCGTAGTTTCAGCAATGTACTATTCCGGTACAGGAAACGTGCCAACCGATATCTGTCTGCACAGCCCTTAATAAAGCGAGTTGCACGCAGCACATCCTCCGGATTCTCCGACACGAGATCGAGAGGACAGAATGACTGTTCTTCCTGACCCCCAGTCTTGCGAGCGTCGCTATTTTTCATCTCGCGTAGAGCGCAGGTCCGACAACGCCTGGCATTTGGTGGAGCAGAGGGAGACTGGAAGAGCCACTTGGGCTTGAGTTCCGCCAGAGTGGTTCTTGGATCATGACTACAAGTCATATCTGTAATCAGAAGGCCAAAAGGCTCTGTTGTGGATAGATAAACCCCGTGACGCTTTTTTGGGCGTTTTCTGAGTTTCTCATCTGCGCGGAGCTGCTCATTACATTTCTGAATGAGCCCTTTCGGAAGCCTAACCAGCGTCTGATCAATAAGTTCCTCTGGGCTGAAGAGAGGCCGAATGATCCTGTCGAAGTTGCGCGCGGTTTCTTGATAGGAAATGCCTGAGGATATGTGCTTACGCAATCGAAGCAGCTTTCCTTCTAACGGCTGACGATCGTCAACATCCTCTATCTCGGTAGGTGGAGGAGTCCCCGAACCATAATGAGCCTTTTCTGACCCTATCGATATCTCCACAGAGGGCGCAATGATCCGATATACAATATTGGCACCACCCTCTGCTAGATAGACCAGCTGAGCTCCCAAGGGAAGCTCTAGTGTGAAAGGCCCCGACATTCGCTGCATCGAGTTCTCTGTGGGAGTCCTCATTCTATCCCACACAAACCTAATCAGGTTCTATGTGGAGAGAAAAGGAAAAAAAGTATGTCGTGATGAAGTGGCTCGTCGGGTATCTGAATAAGTGGGACCGAACAAGTCGCAGCCAGAACTCAGATAAAGTTCCGAATATGCAATTATAAGATGCAAGCAATAAACAGGGCAGCAGCAAACAATGCAGAATAGAATTTCCCTCGTGACGAAACGCGGGGAAATAAACAAGACAATAGCCTCCCAAAATGCAAGAAAAAGTAGCAAGCCCAAATGCAGGCTTATACGAACAGGGAAAGGGGGAAGGACGTCTGTACAGAACAGTCCGTGGCACCACAGAATTGGGTATTCAAGAGAAGCTTCACCGGTCCACAATACAGATGCACTACTCTGAAGTAGCAACGGCTGAGGATGTCTGAGCGATAGGCTCTATAGGACCGTCACGGGAACCCAATGGCGTTGGCGGTAAGATCCAGGATCTAGCGATGCAGGCCGATGCAGGGTTTCGCTGTCTTTGCATCTGTAATACCTTCGATCTCTCCATGCCAACCAGGGGAGCCAGTTCCCTCGTTAGATCGTCGGACAAGGCAGACCAGTGGGCAGACTTGCACGGAGATGCTTCGTGTGCGATTGGAGAAATACACGGATGCCGAGAAGCAATGAGCTCGCCACAGTCCGACGGAACGATTGGGTTTCAGAAATGTGTTTTACAGGCAGATGGATCGGCCCGTAGCGTCAGTGAATAGTTTGTCCTGCAGCACGAGGCAGACCACAGTCTGTCGAAGTATATACGGGGGACACAGTGGTAGATATGCCAGTTTTGGCAGAATGTTGAAGTAGTGAACGTGGTTAGGACCCGGCGGATCTTAAAATAGGAACAATTCGGTTGCACGGGGGCCCCTAATTCGAAATTGTCTTGGAAGAACGAATGACGGCATCAACAGGCGCCAGTAATGAACGGCAATAAAGTTGGAGAAGCTCTGGTGGCCAGATGCCTGGGCGGTTAGACCAGACGCTGACTCGGTCGATCCCCCAAGTTAAGTAGAGCCAGTCTCTTTTTAGGCGGTCGGGCCCCTGGAAGGCTTCGAACAGCTGAACCTTGGACGCTGAAACTAGGTATAGTAATGGAGGTTCTTTGCAATACGCTCCGCCAGGCCCAACGCCTGGGCTGTCACGAGCTGAGCTTCAGCTCAATCTTTTCCCAGAAGGAAAAGAGCTCCAGCGAATCTGATGCAAGAACAGCACCTGGAAAGTATGACAGTCGAGGGTAGTCTAGTTGTAAATTGACCGAGGCTGGCTGGCTGGCTGGCTGGACCAGAATCTTGCAGACTCACGATCTTGCGTCCCTCGGAGATCGTGGCACTTTGTAGTCCGACTGCCTGGATAGCGGGTTTCTGGAAGACGCAAGCGCACGTCTGAGACCGGGATAATTCTGGGGGAGCCCTGGGGGAGATTCTTTTCTTTGGTCTTAGTTCGAGCCTTAAGACTTTAGCTGGCGTTGAGCGTGAAGCGAGCTGGTTCGTGCGCCTGATCGAGACCGGCGGTTGCTGCTTCTGCCCCGCCACTGCCGTCACTTAACTGTTGTCTATTATTATTATCATTATCGACTACAGAACGAACTTGAGTACTTACCAGAGACATTCTCATCATCCCATCTGATCTCAGCAAACTATCCTCCCCGTTCTACTCCGTACTGCCGTTCCAGTTTGCTCCATCCGTCCTGCGACTCCTCGAGGATCTCTCCCTCTGCAAAAGCGAAATTATCCCGTGGACCCTCGACACGCTATCAGCCTCATCTTGCCAGTCGTCGATCACCACGAGCCATACGGTCCGCAAGGCAAAACTAGTCTGACACAACAGGGTTCTTAGACTAATTAATCGATCCAAGTATCGTGCAGAGCGCTCACGCCATATCAACCATGGCATCCACCTCGACGTTAGATAACATTGCTTCTATCCCCACGCCGGCGCACTGCACGGCCGATTTCTGCCTGATCCCGGTAGGTGCTCGCTTTCATTCCGTATTTCGATCCTGAAGAATTTTAGTTGCATGTTTTCAGTACTTCTTATGATGTTCTTTCTCCTCCTGGCCAGAGAGGGACAACAGTCCATTCCTTCCTGATAAGCCTGTGGCTTATCTACGGAAGTGGTTCTGCTCAGTAGTTATAGGGAACCGCGAAGTATATATCATAATTAAGAAAGCTCACTTGTTGAATGACATACTAACCGGCTGAAATCAAGATGGGAACGGCATCCCCATCTGTCTCCGCCCAGGTGGCTGACGTGCAGCGCCTCGTGGAGCGATCCGGCCTGAAGTATGTGATGCACTCGGCTGGCACCACTTTGGGTACGTCCTCAAGTCTTATCCATCTATTCAGGCAGTTCCTCCTGTACAATTCGCGTTATACACTGACTGACCTTAACTTCCCATTGCTATAGAAGGCCCCTGGGATAAAGTTCATCAAGTCATCGGCCAGGCGCATACCATCTTGCATGAACAGGGCGTCCTTCGGATTCAGACGGATGTTCGCGTTGGAACAAGGTTAGTTGCATGAGGTATATTACTATCCCTGTTCACCCTCTGAAACTTTTACAGGACGGACAAGCACCAGTCGTTCGAAGACAAAGTCAACAAGATCAACCAGTTGTTAGGAAAGCAGTAAGGAATACAGATCTAGGGGTTGAAGTACGCTCCTCTCTGGCGTTTGATTGCTGGATTAATACGTAGCGGATTATACAATAGGATCTACTATTTCCAATTCGAAACCATGAATAATATGCTATCTACCAGATGAATCTATCTACATCATCAACAGAAGTGGACGAGCAGTGAACTCAAGAGGATCCTTCCTGTTTCCAACCTCGTGATCTCAAGCAGCATAATAACACAACCAGTAACGCCTCGCTATGCCGAATCACGACAGATTATATGGTTGCCGTGCAATTATCATCCAATGAAAAGCAATATAGAAATACCCAAGCTTGACGTATAACCTAGAAACCGCAAAGAACGAGACCTTATTTTGAACGGTGCTGTGAAATGTATACCCAGGAATAAATCAGAGCGAGATACCACCATTGAGCAGACCGCCCCAGTTACCACCAACCCAGACCCAGTTTCCGATCGATGGTTTTGCGCCCATCTTGACCTCATCGACTAGATCAACCAAACCCGAGAAGACGCCAGAGCTAGAAGAGCTGGAGCTAGACGAGTCAGAGCTCGGAACGGGAACACGTCCCACAGCACTGGTAACATTGTTCAGCTTATCAACGGTGGAAATGGCCGGGCCCTTGTTAAAGAAATCGACCAGGATGAAAGTTGGCTGGCGTCCCGAGTAGGTTTGTTTACAGGTCGTAGCGGCCGTCCCGAGATTCCCTGTACCCCCAGACGGAGCATTTGTGGTGTCGATGGCGTCGACATCGGGAATTTCAATTCCCAGCAATTCCTCCTGATCTAGGAAGTGGTTCATAAATGGGAGTAGTCTCGAAGAAAAGGCCGACGCAGTATTTCCTTCGACAGATGAGGGGCGAGATGGAAGGCAGGAGAAGTTCGCTGCAGCGGTGACGTCGTAGGGGTTCTCGAAGATGAACGTGAATTCGTCCATCAGGTAGGGCGCAACGGTGTTCGACGACGGGTCCAAGGATGCAATGAAGGTCATCATTCGAGTTCCGTTGTTGATCAATTCCTGCAGCGTAGGCCAGGTGGTGGGGGCTGAAGACTGCGAGGGCGGCGTGTAAGCATATTTGACGATGCTGGCAGCTTCAAATTCGCTGTTGAGGTCAGAGGCAGAAGCGTCGTCCGAGTTGACCAGAAGTACAGTGATCACTGCGTACCGCAATGGGTAAGTATCAGTAACCATTATTTTTTTCCAATGACCGTTGATTCCCGATTCCACAACAAACACGCACCTTCATTAGGATTATCATCTAGCCATGTCTTGATCGATGATAACCATGCACTCAATGTCCCCGCGTCCAGTAGATCGCAGCTCGAGTGGCAGAGATGCCACTCATTGTTTTGTTTGTGCACCTGTGCCGTCACCAACCGTACACCCGCATCCAGCTGAACCGTCGTATTGAAGAATCTGTGCGACAGCCAAGTCAGTAAAACAAATTAAATCATCTTAAAGACAAACCCCAGAGGCAGGTTATCAAGATCGCATTCCCACATAATGATAAGACTTACTGATTCCCCGACGTAGAGTAGTCCGTCGACGCATCTCTCACGAACGGACTGTCATGTGCTCCTAGATGTGTGATTTCTCCATAAGATTTGGAGCAGAGATCGGGCGAGTTATTGCATGCCGTCGTTCGTGGCGCGAGAGCCTCTGCAGAGACGAGAGGAGCGAGGAGCGCTAGGAGACCTAGTCCTAGCATTCTGAATTGTGAATTGTGAAATTTCTCAACTGCTCTGCAGTAGTTCGAGAAGAAAAACCCAGAACAGAACCGGGTCTGTAAAATAATATATACAGAACACAAGTCTCCTGAACTGTGTCCAATTGGGGACTTTTAGCTGGCTGGCGACGGGTAGATAGGGAAACGCGCAACAGGGGCGATAATTAATCGATCTATCGCGGTGTTGGAATCGCACGATGGGAAAAGCAGGACATCAAAGGGGGAGGACGAGAAGGGAAGATCAAAAGAGCACCTCAAACAAGAAAAAGGTCCTTGGTTCAACATCTCTCAGTCTGACACGCGCTCTGTGCCACAATAGAGTACGACAGTCACCCTACACTAATTAGCCCTGCGCCTCCCGCGGTCACTGAGGGCAACCACAGATCTCCCGCCAATTACGCCGTCCAGGACGATCTAATTACTCTCCCGTATTCTCCTCTTCTCTCTTCACCTCTCCTCTGGCAGGGTGTACGAATACAATAAATTAGTCTAGTCTATACCTATAGATACTTGAAAATGCTAAGCTGTCCCTCTAACAGTTTACTTCGATTCTGTCAGTTATTCTATTAATTGACGCGAGTCCCTTCTGTGACAGTTGGTGGATTTGTCTGACTCTTGCTATTCTTAGTAACAGCCGCGTCGGCAAAAACACAAGCCAACCCAATCCTGACCCGCTCACTTTAAAGGCAATAACTAAACCCCCCGAATGGAGACTGTAATATACATGCTGCCTTGTTCTTGGATCCATGAAGAAAACATATGGTATTTACTCTTACTGCGGTATTTGTCCATGTGATTAATCAAACCCACCAAAAGAGGACAACAAGGTGGTGGAGAAGGGCCGTGCCGATCAATCACGATTTGCTTCCCCGGCTGTCGTAACTGAACTCTCCGCTGTAACTTACCAGGTCGCAACGGCAACGATGATCAATAATGATCCCCTCAATCTTCCATGCGGGCTGGTCAACTCTACCTTGATCATTTAGTTATGTAGTTTCCTCAGTACATTCGAATGGCGTCAGCTGCTTTACATTATTCTTGAAGATTGTATGCCCTTGGTAACAATTCTATTAGGTCCAAGCGCAGTTATAGTAAATGGTGAAGACGCCAGATTTCCTGCTGCTATCCTGGCCATTTAAAGAGGAAGTATACTCCGACATCAGTATCAATTATAATATGAAGCATTTGTCTCTATGCCAAGATAGGGTATATATAGTCTGACACCACATGATAATATACAGAAACGAAACCGAGCGCCAGCCAAGTCTAGGAAGAGAATAGGAACCATATCTGTAATATACAAGAGCACTTGTTGGATGTGTTCGCTTCAAATGTGAGGCTGTGTTCGGTAGAGCCTATTGTTCCAAACCAGGCGATGGCTCCGCCGCAGCGACATCATTGAGCTTCGCGGGTTCAGCAGCCCTTGGAGATCGCGACGCTCCTGTCCGAGGAACAAGGAAGGCCCCCAGACCTTGAGCATGTCCCCAATGACCCTCGTTACATCGTAAGGGTTTTCCCGTCGCAGCAGTCGGTTCATCCGTCGGTTGGAATAACGTGGTGGACCAAAAAGCACGGCTAGACGATGTCGACAGGCTCGACGAATCCATCCCGTTTCCAGTCGAACCCCTTCTCGCTCGAGATCACGAAGAAGTACCAGCCCACGGACCCAGGGTACGAGATTCAGGCCTTCCACTCTCAATGGATTATATACTTTCGAATCAACATTGCTTGAAGGTCGTAGCTTGAAGCCCCATGCCACAATAGCCATTTGCATCCTTGGGTTAAAGACGGCTCGAAGCACATCGCCTGGAAATGCTGGCTCCGTTATGGTGTTAGTGCCCATGACTGTGTTCCTTGCGGACGAGGCGACGAGATGCGCGACAATTGCCTTCCTCTTAGACGAATACCGATGGGCGAGCCAAAGAGCGAGCTCACAGAGGTCACTCCAACGATTCTTCATTCCTAGGCGCTTCAAAGACTCAATCCAGATGTCAGAATCCACAGGCACACCTGTTTCTGCGGCTCTCCGCAGTACTCGAGTCACAAAGCCAATCTCGTCGACCGGATGGAGATGTCGTCTCGGCGAGGGACCCATTCCTTTTCTCCGGGGACTGAGCACTTCTTGGATCATGAAGTCGATGCTCTCCTTCGAAAGCATCCTTTTGCGGATGAACATTTCGTCCACAATACGGCTGGCTGAGTTCCATTCTCCAGCGTTTATGTGTTTCCGAAAATGGATGTTGAACAAGTCCGGGTCCTCTTGGACTAACTCGACCAAGATGGCAAGCGTCATGTTGTATTGGCGCCAATCTCGAGCCATGTAATATGATACCAGAAGCGCCTCTTGCGTGGCTGCATCCTCGAGTGTGTCTGGATGTTGGTCGCTGTGGAGTACATCGTACAGCACAATGTCCCTGTTCTCAGACGCTAGTTTCCGAACAACCCTCGAAAACACTGAGTCTCCAATGGAGATGCCGGCCTTCTGTAGACGTTTGATCTTCTCCAGAATATCCTGCGAACCATGAGCTCTCAGCGCCATCTCCCGCAGAGACTGCGGCCCGATAGCAGAGACCCCGAACATCTGGAGGCCCCCAACGATAACATCAGACGTAAAAGCTTTTGTAGCAAAAAGCCGTGCTCCGAACTCATCCTTAATTGGTCGTTCCTGGGGCCATGAGACTACAGCCTCATCCTTCTCCGGCTGTTTCTGCGGCAGTGGCTGGTCTTGCACCTCCAGTTCTGGGAGGAACCGAGCTTGGCAATACTCTTGGAACTTCAGACGCATTGTAGATTGATGTAGCTGCTTGATATTATCGAGCAAAGGTTGCACTTCGTCAAAGCTGTGGGGATGGTCGCCGCGTTCAACTAGAAAGTCGTGCATCACCAAAGCTTCGAAGACCCGTCCACGCTTCATAAGAGCGGGAACGACTAAGCCGTATACTCTCTGCCCCTCGACAGAGCGGCATATACCCTGGAGAGCCCGGAGCCCGGTAGATAAATGGTATGATTTGCCGTTTCTGAGACCGGAAGAAGGCCAAGTGATACGGCGTGAATTGCACTGTAAAGCCCGCTCCAATATCCGCGTCAAATCATCGACGTGAAATAATTGTCTTTTCTGTAGTCTTTTATGCCACTGAACAGCCTGTTTTGGCCGGTCCCGATCCAGAAAGCCGCCCACAATGGCTTCATAGAACCTGCTCCATTGCTTGCCGCTGGTTTTCTGTAGCTGGAATGCGTAATCCACCAGATCATGCAGAAATTTATCTCGGACCAATGCAGCATCAACAAAACTCTGCCAGAAAAAGTCCGCCTGCTCTCCTTCCACAGGGAGTGATATATCAGTATGCCTCGCTGTTAGACCTTGCCAGATGTTTATCGTGCCGGCTTCCCCATAATGACGCTGGCGATACCGCAGCAGCTCCTCCCAGAGAACAAAATCATTTCGAAAATGTGACTTATCGACCAATCTGCTCCCAATATCGTCCAAGTGGCCTATGTCTGATTCGTATTCCAGGTTTTCTGGCACCAGAGTCCAGTCTGCAGCAGACCTCCGAGCTGCCACCGGATCCGACTCATGCACCGCTTTCGATTCGACGAAATGTCTCGCATTTTGGGAAGAACCGAGATCGTGTATCCGAAGCTTCGATTGGAATTTCGATTCAATTCGCGCTTGATTGGGTGAAGGTTCGCTATCGGCATCCAACGCGGGAAAGGGTTCGTGAGCAGCCACAGCGCGACTTGCTCGACGTGTCTGGCATCGTATGCACCGCTCTCTCGAGCCCAATTGTTCTATACCGATGGATGTGCTGATAAGGATATCTAGAACCGAGACAGCTGATGGCCTCTTCAAGAGCCTCAGAAGAGCTGGGCGCATCAGGTGTAGAAAAGAAAAGAAATAAGAGCGCGAATGGAAACTCAATCATCCTCATTTGCTTGATATACCATGGAATGTCATAGCGCCTTCTAGCCGACCACCAGGAAATTATCCACAGTGCGATCCTGCCGACGTTTTGATAGCAATAACCGCTCCGAAGAATACCTGTTCGCACTCACCTTTTCCATAACAGCCCAAACTCGATGCAGTTGTGATTAGCCGGTGTCACATCACGTGATGTGAGTGACTAATCCGGGTGAGCTGACGGGCGGACCGAAAGATTCCCGGGCAGAAGGTCGGACGTCGAGAACGACAGAGCACGATCACCAGCGTCTTCTTTCTTCCCATTGACTTGCACCACCGCCTCGAGTACCTATTCTCTCAGCCAGAACCGCCAAGATGGTTTCTCGCACTGTCCCTAGACTCGCTGGGTATGTGGATTCCGTCTACTTTTCGATGAGGGCCGCCTCGCACGATCCGTGCTAAGCATGACCTCAACCTCCCACTTTGACGTCTACACGTCAATTGAGCGAAACAAGCACCTTCAATACTCCAGACATGCATCAGCTGCTAATGCGGATCCTTTAACCTTCTAGATTCGTGTTCCGCGAGAACCGCGTCCCTTTCTACCAGCGCCTCTTCCAGCGTCACGACGGCAAGCGCCAGTGGTACAAGGTCAGTTTCGAGAAGGAAAATTAGAATCTACAGAATGCGGTCTGACACCCATTCTACAATTGATAGACCAACCGCAGTGGCTACATCCTTTACCCCTACTGGATCTCTACCTACGGTCTTGGTCTCGGTGAGTTCTCCTAAGCGTCGCTACTAACGCACTATGGCTGATTACTCTCTCCTGCAGCTACCACCTGGGCTATGTGCCGGATGGTCTTTGTAAGTACCATTGTCTATGATGTGTGATGCTAGTGGTTTCCGTGATGCCTACGGAAGCCGTTAGCAGCGACTTGAGAATCAACTGCTAACCGGTTCAATAGGGCCACAAGACTTTCTTCGGTTCGGACTAAGCGCGTTATTTGAAGGCAACTCTCATCCATCTGTCTATTAGGCGGCGGTGTACTTCTAATGCCGGAAGGATAGATTGTGAAGACTTGGTTCGCGATTGTATATAAGACAAGCAGGGGATCAATGAAGAATCTATCCGTTTACTGAGTTATTTTTGATCCACTATATTCGTGCCATCCGCGTATCTATGGAATTTGGAACCATATTGTTCTTGACCGGGCTACAGGATCTCTACTTCCGACAAATAATTTCTCCATGTGTCACCGTGAACCATCCATCCTTTGACCTCACCCACTCCTTCCAGCTTTCCGAGATCCGTTCTAGGTCGTCCTTTTCACAAACACCGCCATTCACCGCATTCTCTACGTACCCTGGCGAGATGACTCGCTCAGAGAACGCTCCACCCCAGTATTGTCTGTCTTGAGGTGAACTAAAACACCATGCACCCGCCGTGCAAGTTATATCATCTCTCGCGAATCCAGCTTCCTGTGCCCAGACATGAATATAAGACCCCGGATTTGGGTTCCCACCCTTTTTCTTCGCGACTTTCATATAAACGTCAAAGAAATCATCCAATCCCTTAAGTCGAGGGTACCACGTCATGTCTGCAGACTCGCGCGCTGCTACGATTCCACCTTTCTTAGTGACCCTCCGCATCTCGCTAAGCGCTTTGACAGGATCAGGAACATGCTGCAAGACTTGATGCGCATGCACAACATCAAAAGTCTCATCTTTGTAATTTTCAAGGTTTAGGACATCTCCCTCTGTGAAGCTGACGTTTTTGACGCCCGCTTGCTCTGCAAACTTGCGAGCTTCGCCAAGTGGTGCGTCCGTAGTCTCAATACCGGTAACGTGTCCGTCCGGGACATGACGGGCAAGATCAGTTGTAAGAGTACCTGGCCCGCAGCCTACGTCCAATATGGCCATGTTAGGCCGCAGGTAAGGAAGCAGGTAAGCGGCGGAGTTCTTCACAGTTCGCCACTGATGGGTGCGAAGCACAGCTTCGCTGTGGGTGAAGGCGTAGACATTGGATGCAGGTTGCTGGGACATGGTGATAAAGAGATATTTCTGTCCGGGGTATAGAAGCCAATTGTATGGTTATGGGTATGTTCCCTATCGTCTCGTTAGTTAGTGTCGTGCGTTATAGAAAGTAAGATCCGAGTCTCGGAGTCGGATGAAAACTCACTTTGGAGATTGATCAACGCAGTTATTGGAAATTGTCTGCAGAATAGGATAACATGATATTGGAGGTAGTAGATATATCGTTGGCCACTTTGCTCTTCTTATAAACATAATCTAAACACCGCCCCGCTTGCTTGTAGGAACTCCGGAGCGGGTGACGACACGGCACCGGAGTTCCGAACATCTCTACTCTAAAAGGCCCGATGAACAGCTAAACACTTCAAAATAGAGCAACATAACTCAAACATAAGATAATCTAAGCTGTATTTAAATCCGTTATATTATATATCAATGCTAAATGATGCCATGATATTCATATAAGCTCAAGCGTATTATTTTTACCGCTATGCAAGATAACCCCGCATAAAACTCTCATAAGCCGTAGACAATTAGCCATCAAGATCACAGATAATTCAATCATAGGTATTTATGCCAATGACAAGCTCAACCTAGTCTATATCACTCAGGAGCTTACTTGCCATAGATTCACGTCCGTTCCATCAATTCTTAGCGAAGTTCTCTTCCTCTAACTAGTTAGGTCTGATCGGATGAGCTTAGTCAGCTTTCTCTATCCTTTGACGACACCAACTATTTCCGGAATAATGCCGGCTCTTGAGGGACAGTAATGAAAGAAGGCCCGAAGCATTGACCTTATAGATATGGTGATCTGACAAGCAGCGTTTGATTCATGGTTTCGGCCTCTATGCATTCCTCGTTGTAGAATGCCTCCCGAGAGAACCCCCAAGCGAGTACGTCAAGCATGTGAACCATGTCGGTGAGTAACTACAACCTGAACTTTTAAGCACCAGCAGATACTGCCTGGTATCCGATCCTTAAGTAAGGTACTTATATCGCATCGTTGTACTGACATATAACATAGGCGTAAGAAGAATAAGTGCCCAGGAGAACAGCCAGTATGTTCGCACTGTGCGCGTTTACGACAGGAGTGCGTCTATGCTGGACAATCACGAGATTCAGTTGGCAACCGGAATAGTTCGGCGGAGAGGACCCCAGTAAGAGCCATAGCAGCTCCATATTCTTCTCGGAAATGGGTGCGTACTCTTTCTGTTGGGGTTGCCCCTTCTGAATCGTTCATGCAATTGATTGTATTATCTGGAAAGGAGGAACGCTTTGCCGACTTGGAAGCAAAGGTTACGCGAGTCCTTGAGTCATTAGGGTGAGCTTCTATCCTAGCTAATTGAGAAATAATCTCCCTAATGGAAAACTGCAGTCATCACAATGGGGCTGATAACCGCTCCGCTTCTAGACATCCAGGGAGAGAGGTGTCTCAGACACCAACAGAACCTACCATCAACATACCAGCAGTCGGTCTACCTCTTTCTCAAGAAAAGCTAGAATCACTGGGGGAATTATATCTTTTATACTGTGACTGTCAGCCCCTCCCGCTGTTCCACAGAGCCAGCTTTATGAGAACCCTTGGCAGCAGGGATCCTGAAGTCATCTATGCTATACTTGCTCTCACAATCCGATTTTCAGACGAAACTTTTTCAGCGGATAGGGATTTCTCTACTCTCGCTAACAAATATGCCGAAATGGCACGCACGCTTGTCATGGAGAGAGTATCAGAAGGCCCAGTTGAACTTTCAACACTACAGTGCCTGTGTCTCTTGAGTCTTGTGGATTTCACCAGTAAGATATCGTTCTCGTGATATTGGTCTAGTTTTAACGATAAATGATAGATGGAAATACACATCGGTCCAGCATACATGGCAGCCTTGCGATGAACTTAGCGCAATGTGCCAATCTCGGTTCTGAGAGGCATATGTTTGTCACTGATGTGGCTCGGGAAGAACGCCGCCGCTGCTTTTGGAGTATCTGCCTGCTGAAGCGTCTTCATGGCGAAGGATTCAGCATCCTCGATCTAAGCGAAAACTCACCTCCTTTCCCGGAAAGCACAGGCAAACCTCCAGCAGCTCATCTTGGCGAAAGGGGTGTTGTTCAGGTCAATCAAGCCAACAACAGTATGAAAGACGAAGGGATCGTCGGCTATGTGATCATTCTCAGTGAGGTATTCTCGAAAACAGCGAGATATGTAAGGCATCGTGGCAGACCGAGCCATATACCTCCTTGGTCTCCGCAGTCCGAATATTCTAAAATTATCGCTCTTCAAATGGAAGTGGAGACTCGAATGCCCTCTACACATCGTTTTAAGACCGCCAATCTCGCAGACAGATCTCTCGATGAACTCCAATCGAACAGAGATTACTGGGGTCCGTGGTTTCTGAACCAGTTTATGTATCACACTATCTTATGCCTGCTCAATCATCCGCTTCTGTTGTCATTAAGCCTCCGTAACTACCGGAGCTCCATACCGGAAATCTTCCTGCAGCATACATCTGACCTGATATACTCTCATACCAACTGGATTATTCATTTCATCAATTTCTTTGTCGAAAAGTCGTTCAGAGTCTCCGATCCTTTTCTCGGTTACAGTGCTGCGGTTGTGGCCACCATTGAGCTACAGTTAAGTTTCACGGAAGACCAGGAAGTTAGAAAAGGGAAGCAGGATCGATTTTGGAAGTGTGTCTATTTTGTCAGGGGATTTGGGGAGCAGTGGCCGCATATGGCACAGTTGGTATTCATAGACCTCCTGTCTATTCCTATATTACATGCTGATCAATGTGCTGGGTAACAGGCAGAGAGATTGGAGAAGTTAGAAGACGCCATATCGACTTCATATCAGTCAGACACCGCTGGAAACAAAGGCTTGTTGATTGACCTTTCGAGAATCTGGGAGATCCTTGAATATCCACCTAGCACTTCGCCAGAATCTGCTAAACGCCTTTTCGGAGAGAGTCTCTATTGCGATCCCCATATTTCCAGAGGCGAGGTATCAAATGCGTCACCATTGCCTGAACCTACCCGCCTGAGCTCACCACGAATGACCACACACGCAATGCCGCAGGGTCACAACTACATTTCGAGTCCGCCTATAGTTACTAACTATCAGGGAGGGCTCCCAAGCTCGCAAAATCTTCTACCACCCGTCCACGACGAGTTCTCCATACTGGCTGAGAACTTCTTTTCACAGGGACAGGATTTCCTTCGTGGCGTTGACGATTGGCCGAACATAGGTAATTTTTAAATTATCTGTATTTGTGGGTTTGCAACTATTTCTACTAGCTTGATCATGCCCGAAAAAATGAACATGCTTGGAAAGGTCATAGCAGGCGCAGGTCTAGTCGCCACTGAGGTGAACACCTTAGTTGGCCTCAAGTGCCTGTTTGAAGACCTGGCAAAACGACCACACTTCGGTAAAGCTGTTGTACAGGGGGGCAGGAGCAACTCGGATAACATCAGGTTCACGCTTGTCACAGATGATGCCGGCATCCTGCAGAGCTTGGGAAACCTTTGGAAGAAGCCCTGGCTTCAGGAGGAGACTCAGTTGAGCTCCACGTGCCATCGGGTCTGCAGGTGTAATGATACGGAATTGACGTGTCTCATCTGTTGTGCCGTCCAACAAGAGGTGCTCGAGGTACGCAGTTATGAGAACAGACTTCTTCCGGATCTCCACCATGGATGTCTCACTGAAGACAGAGAGTGCAGCGCAAAGAGATGCCAAGTCTATGGCAGAGGGGTTCGAAATTTGGAAGCCTCCTGCGCCAGGAATGGGGCGAAATTCTGTTTTGCGATCAAAGAATAAGTTTCCCTGAGTCATGCCCTTCATGGAACATATATACTAGCATATTTGGAAGACTTACTGTTGTCCATCTTGAACCTTACTGCCCTGTCACCACCATACCATCCGCTCAGACGGGGTCGATAGCGTGGGGAGTCTTCTCCCTGGCTGTAATCAACGACGCCATGTCTTTCATGGACGAAAAGACCACCCATGGACCCAGGGCCTGCATTTCCGTACTTGTAAGTACACCAGGCCGCAAAATCCACGTTCCAGTCGTGGAGTTTAAGTTCGACATTGGCATAAGCGTGCGCTAAATCCCAGCCAACGATGATGTTGCGAGCACGCGCATACTCAGTGATTGTCGGTATATCAAAGAGCTGTCCAGTATAGTACTGAACGCCGGGTAGAAGGAGGACGGCAGTTTCCTCAGCATGTTCATCAATGGCAGCTAGAATCTTTGATGTCGAGATAGCGAATTCGCCATCATCCGGTCCAAGGAAGACCATGGATTTCTTCGGGTCAAGACCATGCCAGGTGATTTGCGATTCGATGGCATACTATCTATGCGTTAGGATCAAGGGCTGGTAATTTACCGGTATAAGGAGTCTTCAGGGAATGCTCACATGGTCGCTGGGGAATGCCTTCCAGTCCAGCAGGATTTTATGCTTGGTCTCGGAGGGCTTGTAGAAACTTGCCAGCAGCAAGTGGAGGTTCATAGTCAACGTGCCCATAGCCATGACCTCTTTATGGGAAGCTCCGACTATCTTGCACATCTGTGCTGAGGCTTCCTCCGCTAGCAATTGCCATTGCTTAAGGGGTGAATCTTCCAGATCGGTGAAGTGGCCCAGCACCCCGATGGACGACCAAGTGTCGAGCTGGGCTTCCAGATACTTTGATGTGGCTTTAGGCTGAAGACCCAGCGAGTTACCACATAAGTATATGGAAGATTCAGGTGAGAGACCTAGAAAAAACATCATCAGTGAAGGTAGGGTTTATGCAGCAGGAAATGGAGGCATACCAGGCTTTGCTAGCTTCTTGGATCTTATGTTGGCTACCGAAGGAATAATGAACTTCTCTCGAAAGCGGCTTAGAGCATCTTCGGCATCAAGTAGCTTTGCATATCCAGCTGTCCCAGCATGACTGGGAAAGACTGGTTTCGTCACTTTTGACGCCGGGTTGAGATATGTTGAGTTCGTCATATTGCTAGCAATGAGGATGAATGGAGAATAGATTTGTGCGTCCCTCTGGCGTTTCTATAGATCACAGATGGTTAAATTGCTCTAACGGCGATCAAACAGATTCTTCGTGATTATGTATGTCCCGGAAATACCTTTGCAGTGTAACACCTTCGCTTAGAAGTCCTCGTTGTCGTCTTACACCATCCGCTTCCGCTTCCGTATCCGCCTTGGGAGATAAGCAGCTACCCGTCACTTTCTCAAATCATTCATCCGTGTGCTGCCATATGTTCACAGTTACCCCTGGTGGTATCATCCGCTAGAGATAACAGACTAGCATGATGATCCTGTGGTTCATGCACCAGATGCTTGTGACAGGTCGGACAAGCATTTGGTCTTTAACCCTCGAGTCCCTCGCCCCATTCCAAGTACTCATCTTTCTTCCTCGTCAATTTTTCTTTTTGGCAAACTCAAGCTTGATCAAAATTTTATCAAATAGAAGAACGAAAGCTCTTTTTGTTATTCACGTATTTATCTAGGCTGGTCCACAATGCTGGCAACACCAGGTGCGATTCTAGAGGACTATGCAGTTTCACTTCGAAATGGCTTTCTTCCGGATACAACACCTCTAGCTCATCTGCCCGAGCCATACTACAATCCCTGGGAAAGCATTGCAGCTGATCTCCCGGATCTTATCAGAACCGGAAGAATCAGAGAAGAAGTTGAAGGCTTGCAAATCCTTTCGACCGATAAGTTGCATAACGATGCGGAATGGCGGAGAGCCTATGTTGTCCTAGCTTTTCTCACACACGCTTATATATGGGGTGGCCAGAAGCCTAAGGATGTTCGCGCCCTCTGATGTCCTTTTCCTGCGTTGAATGGATAGAAAGCTCACAGAGTATATACAGGTCCTTCCCCCTGTGATATCTCGTCCGTTTCTGGAAGTCTCGGAACATCTAGAGCTGCCTCCTTGTGCAACTTATGCCGCCCTTAACCTCTGGAATTATGCTGCTCGCAGTCCAGATGGTGACCTTACTGATCCTGATAATCTGATGGTCACAAATTCATTCACCAACACGATTGATGAAGAATGGTTCTTGATGGTATCAGTTGCTATTGAGGCTCGTGGTGCAAAGGCTATTCCCATGATGCTCAATGCAATTGATGCTGTGAACATGAACGATTCTGTGCGTGTCACGGATCTTCTAAACGATCTTACCCAAGCCTTGGGAGAGCTCGCTGTCATTTTAGAAAGAATGTATGAGAAGTGCTCCCCGCCCGTATTCTACCATGAAATTCGGCCATTCCTGGCAGGAAGTAAGAACATGGCTGCAGCGGGACTCCCAGACGGTGTCTTTTATGATAGAGGCGACGGGAATGGCGAATGGCGCCAATACAGTGGCGGAAGCAATGCTCAATCCTCTCTTATACAGCTTTTCGACATTGTGCTTGGAGTCGAGCACCGGTCCACTGGCGAGAGAAGCTCTAATGCTGGACCCCAAACTAAAGACAGGCTCGGATTTATAGAGGTATGTTACTATCCGAACATTGAAACCTCATACAGAGACTTACTGGTATCCGGTAGGAAATGCGAAACTACATGCCCGGTCCGCATCGACGCTTCCTCGCCTTGCTGTCCAGGGTTTCAAACATTCGGCCATACGCTATGGCCCACGCCTCATACTCTGATGTCAGACGTGCATATAATGAAGCCGTGCTTATGCTTGGCGTGTTTCGAGACAAGCATATCCAGATCGTCTCACGATACATCATCATGCAGTCCAGATTGAAGGAGAACCACGCAGAAGCCAGACGTGTCAACCTTGCAACTGCATCTTCTGAAATGTCAAGCAGGAAGAATGAGCACTCTCATAACTTGCATGGGACCGGTGGCACATCCCTAATCCCCTTCTTAAAGCAGACTAGGGATGAGACTAGAGGTACAGCAAGGTACACTGATTGAAAGCGACAAGCGCTCTATTGCTATTCTGTCATGGTGTTCTATTAGGTCATATATGGCAAGCGATGACTATTTCTTGGTTACGGATCTTAACGTTCTCCCCTTTCTTTCGGCTCTTGTTTGGTTTAGCTTTAAGTATATTGTTTTCTTTGGTTTTCTTTCCATATTCTACAGTTGATGACGAGGTAATGATGAGATCTTGTTCGCTCGTAAGAGTATTAAAGTGAGAATCAACGAAACATCTCTTAACTAGCAGGCACCTTCTCTCAGTTTGAACAAAATCTCCATACCATTTCCACGTAGTTTTCTAGCTCCAGAACAACCGAATATCACAGAGTCATGAGATCCCAATAACTTGTATTCATCCCGAAGACTCACAAGGATCCCGACCAGTGTTCAACCATTCAGTTAAGTAATAGTTACTACTAGTTAAGTTATCTAGGTAGTACTACCAAGTATCGGTCACAAGCTACTCGGTGCTTCGAGGTAACCCGGATACGGATACGGATACGGAAACGGAAACGGAAACGGATGCGGAGGCTGATATGTTAACTCCGCACCGAAGTACAGAGTTACTGATGCACCATCCGCTAAGTTCTCCGTATACTACGGAGTACGGAGTACAGTGGGATGCATCCCACTGTAGGTAACGGCTTGTGGGTGTCGTCAGACCGTGCATACCACGGTAGGTCGTACCGCGTAGTAATTATTCCGTAACTCTCGAGTGATTCATACTGTTCTTGGACTTCGTGCTGACGGGACAGGGATACAAGTGCGATGTACCATCGTTAGAGTGAGGCAGTTAAAGTGTAACTTATGTGCATTGTTGTCCATGGAGGACAAGAATACGTATGACCAATTGTCCATCTATTTCTGTGATGGGGTCCAATAACCTATTATATCCGTGAAGACATTCCCGGCCCGAGAATTAAGTGCGTTTCAAGATTAATACGATAGTCAAGTCTATTTCAGAGATTATCTACAAATAGTCTATAGTATGCATGAGAAAAATACTATACAGTGTGTACTAAATGAGAAAGATGCGAACTTGATTCTCCCTCCAGAGTAGGATTAGGATGATATCCTGAGTCTGTAAACGCCCCCTAAGAGCAAAAGTCCGTCCCGACATATGTTTCTGAAAAGTCATATATCGGACCAGTAATCAAGCAGTCGGTATTTCGTAGTGTCGATGCTCGTCGGTTGCGTTATCTTCATGACGACTATAGCATATCTGCGGCACCTGAGTATCTTTACCCTAGCACCAGACTATTCATCAATCATGTTTCGAATATCGACATGCTCGTCATGCTCTGAATAGTCATATGCCGATTTAGAATATAGTTGAGTGACTTCGAACGGCGAGACGTATGCGTTTGGCTCATTTCGACGGATAGTAGTCGACTATACCGGGCCGACAGTTCATTCTCTTCTTTCGACACTCAGCTAAATCTGGTGGGGACTTGAATGTGACAATACCTTATGCTGTCGATCTTCGCCGCCTTGTTTCCAATATACGGTGATATATAGACGGCAAGCAAGCCAATATCCGCGCAACCACATTTTCCAACCTCCCACCTCACTCGTAGGGGAAGTTGTCGGTCCTCGGCTGGCCCGCATATCTCCCTTGAGGAAAGGTATATTCAGCAGAAAGATGGCTCTTTGCGGGCATCAATGGGGCCCACTCCGCCCATTTTGCACGGATGGCTTGCAGACTGAAGAGTTTCTTTAGCTTATCCTTGAATGACGACATGGCTTGGCTGCGGGGCTGTGTCGAAACGAAACAGTGGAATATAGTTATGGGAGATTATTTCTGTGGTTTGGTTTTGTTCCCCCAAAACAAACACATTATTCTATGGAAAATTTCTGGAAGAGATGCCCCCCTTAAATATCGACCTGACGTAACTTCAACGGCGCGGAAATCGGACCAATAGGAGCGAGCATTGGCCTGATAGCCTAGTGGGGCGCGTGATGTTACCTATTCGGGTAATCCGCAGATCTCTGGATTATATAATCCATGTACAGATTAAGTTAGCGTATAAGGTTCATACAGACTCCGGCCCCGAAACTGGGCCGAAAGCCGTTCATTTACTAGATTGGAGAGACAACATAAGAGTGTTTTAGTATGAGACTAGTATTTACTATCTGCAACTACGACCTGATGCTAGAATGATTATCAGGCTTCTTTTATGCTAGAACAATTATTCGTCAGGGGAGTAAATGACGACCCCGTACCTTTTGTTTCTCCAACTTCTAGAACTTCTCGCTTCTACAGTACATCACTCACTATGCAGCCAATCATGTGCATAAACCAGTTGTAGAAACTACTTTCCGTGTACGATTTAGGAGTTTCTAGGCTCATCTGTTTTTTGATCTCGATTTTGGCATGCTACCCTCCTCTACTCCCATTCCACTAGCGCTCTGTTACTCCTCCACTTCTCCTTTACTTCCCCACTAACTTGCGTCTCTTTGCATCCAGCGACCACTTCGGGGGTTAAGATAAAGCGCACAGGCCAGAATCAAATAGCTGAAGAGAGATGCGGTCTGGGAGTATGGTTCTCGTCCCGATCCAACCTCCGTACGTTTTCCAGGAAGAGCAACTCCGGATAAAACCTAGCCGATAAGAAGAACTTTGGGCTATTCCGCCTGTTATGCACGAGTCCTCTTCAATATATCATGGAATGTTTGCAAGACATTAAATCGGTGGAAGAATCTTAGCAGCTCTCATTCGGTCAAATGAGGTAGTATACCCCTTGACAGTTGGGATACTCTCCTCAAAGCCGATCGAGCGCGCTTTGTCAATGGAGTATTCCCTGTTGAAATCACCAGCTTCGATCAAGAAGGCCACAAACTTCCAGTTTGTTATCTCGAGATAACCTGTTTTCAATCCATGCTTCTGAACCAGGTTCTGCCAGGCACTTTTGTTCTTCTCCACAAATTCTTCGACCGGTGTGGTGTTTTCTGTAGGACCGCTGCCCTTGAGACCGAAGTACGAGCACAGGCCCGGCCAAACGTCCGCCCAGGTTACAACCTCACCATCCGTGATGTTGAAAATGGACGCATTTGGACACTTATCACGGTTAAGGGAAACATAGATCTCCATCTTGGCCAGAATATCCTGGAACGTGTCGGTATGGGTGGCTCTGTAACTCTTTTCCGTCCCTGGGAATGGAACAGTGGCGCCTGGGCCATTTACTTCACGCTGGAGAGTAAGATAGAAGGCGACTCCTTGCACGACATTCATCACGTTTCTACCGGGAACGAAACCCACAATCGCGTCTGGCCGAATCTCAGAGAAGGTCCACTTCTTTCCCTGAGACAGTTCTTTCAGAACGTCATGCTGAGAGTAGTAGAAGATGTTGCTCGCCCAGGGCTCCGGGATACGAGGGGCATCCTCCTTCAATGGAGCAGAAATGGTCACCTTATCGGGGAATTCAACGCCATAACTCTTGCCACCGGTTTGCAGGATGACAGTTTCCAGATTAGGGGCGACCTCGTTGATGGCCGTGATTGCGACACGGATAAGCTCCGTATTAACCTTCCTCAGTGATTGGAAGTCCCCGGTCTGAATGTATGCTAATGTAATTATGAGCCTCTGTCTTCTTCAAGAAAGCACATGCAGAGAGTTCTAGGACCCAGCGAAACATACCGCAGAAGTATACAATACTGACTGTCTCGACTTGCTCTACTTTCTCCTTTAGAGCCTTCACAACGCTCTCGACAGAACCCGTGAGATCAATACCCGAGACCAGATTAATGCGGGGATCCGCAGGAAGGTAAGCAGCTTCTTTGGTCAATGGCCTGTTGCACAGCCCTGTGATTCGATGAAACGTCGTTGGAGAGGGGTAGTTGACACTCGCATTCAGCAGCGCCCATCCTGATATGCCTGAGGCTCCGAAGACAAGACAATGCTTTCCGTTTTGAGACATATTGCGAAGCTGAAATGATTCCTTTCTCCGGAGACGTTGAAGTTAAGAAGAGATGCAGTTTCCCAGATGCCTATCAAGAGAAGGTCCCTCGACTTACCCCTCCAGCACTTATATAATGAGTGGGTCTTCGGTACTTGATTCATCTTCTTTGATCCCGGATAATTGACTGCTTGGTCCTGTATTTGTAATCCGCCAATCAGACGGGTAAAGTGGGCTTCACTCCGAGCCTTAGTTGGAGATATAGTACAGACAAGCTGCAGGAAAGCAACTGTCCTTATTTGCTTTTGATAGTCAGAAGATAGTATTAGAGATCATTCCGGAGTGCGATCTGCGGAGGACATCTGACAAACCTGAACGTAGCAGTCTGTCAGAGTCTGCTGAATAGTCAATAGATCAAAAGAACTGCATGTAGCACTTGCTTTAGATACCGATACAAGATGCCCAATACACGAGTTTGGTTTATACAGCAACCTTTGTTGCCTCAGCTCACTTGACTTTCCCAGAGTGTATATATATATATATATCAACCTTGGATTATTCTATTTAACGAGTCAGGACTGCGGGCTCCTTTTTTGAACGTTTCTAAATTCTGATCTGAGCGCGCATCAAATTATGGTGACTAGGCCGCATCGCGAGTACCCATGATCAAAACCTCAATACATGGCAGTTGTACGAGCTGGTATATGGCTTCAAAAGCGGTGCATTCTGGAGTATTCGATGTTGTTATTGAAGTCGAGGTCCTTTCCGTTCTGGGCGATACCACCAAGTATTCTGCCGCAACTTACCGCCTGCAGTTGACTTCGCCATCGCGAACTGGGTCGAAATTCGTTAAGTCAAAGCTCCGTAAATTAAATTGCCAGCCAGATCTATTTATTGTATCGCGACGTATCCCGGTCAAGTCGTACCTATCTCAATTGATCTCATCCTTCCAAAGATCCCGGACATCTCACGATCCTCGGAACACTCGCCAACGCGAATAACGCCTCGAAAGCAACGCGCTCGTGAGCGCTGAAGAGGTATTGGAGAAGTTCCCTATCCAAACCTCCAAGGGAGAGCAGAGAAAGCCAAAATGCCGAAATATAAGTACCCTTTTGATCCTTGGAGTTGCCGTGGACGTTGACTGACCTGCTGTGCACTCTTCTGTAGGTCCTTCCATCATCAAGCCGCAAACGTCAAGCATTCAGCAGCGCGAAGTGCCCTGTTAGCAAAGAAGATATCGAGCTGAAATACTGACCGGATTGACTGTCTCAGGCGATTATTGTGATGTCTACTTGACGCACGACTCGATGAGCGTGCGCAAGGCGCATAATTCGGGAAGAAACCATCTGAGAAACGTGGTGGAATACTATCAACGTATGGCTTTACTACCCTTTTGGGCTTGCGTTTTTCGACGACCATATAACTGATTCGTTTCTGTTAGAAATTGGACATGAAAAGGCACAGTCGGTTATTGATTCTATCACAAGCTCATATGCTGCGGAGGGTCAGGTGAATCCCATGTTGCAACAAGGCGCACCGGGAGCATACCCTCCCCCTCCTCCGTTTGGCTTTCCAGGTAAGTCTGCAATTCAACAAGACCTCCAGTGGATGTTTTCTAACTCATCCGTCCCTCAGGTCGACCAGGCCAGCTACCGCCACCACCTTTCGGCATGCCTGGCGGACCTGGTATTCCGCCGCCCGGCATGGTACCTCGTACGTCTCCCCTTTCCTATAACACCTTTTGTGTCTCTCCATCGCAGTAAAGCCTAACTATTTCCCGAATACAGCTCCTGGAGGTCGTGGCCTTCCTTTCCCTCCACCGTTCCCTCCTTCAGCAACAGGAACACCACCAACCGGTGGTTTCCCACCCCCATTGCCCAACATGCCAGGTGGTCTTCCTTTCCCTCCACCACCAGGAGGTCTGCCTCCTAACTTCCAAGTCCCTCCACCCGGTGCCCCTGGCGCCCCAGGCTTTCCACCTGTTCCTTCGATTCCCGGACAGGCAGGACCAAGTCCGAGTCCCGGCCCTGGTGCAGCTGGATCGCCTCCCCCAGGCCCGGCAGGCTACGCAGCGCCTCCTGGTGGTGCACCACCGGGCCTTCCGGGTCCGCCTCCCGGTCTGGGAGATAAGCGATGATAAGTTCTATATGGCATAAAAAACTTTTCTTTTTTCTCTATGTTTGGTCTGGTCTGTCTGATACCGAGTTTCACATTGTGTTTTTTCTTACAATTTTCGGCATGTAATGCCCTATGTCTTCTTTAAATGAGACTCGCGAAATATCGCTTCTAGCAAAAATAAACCCTGGCAGCTAAATTAATAGATATGCTAGGATATAAGCCCAAATAAACGGACACTCTTCACAACATCTACCCCTAAGGCATATCACATCTACACTCACTCGAGACTAGTGCTACCATTCAATCGCCCCAACAGGCTACAAAATATGGTTACATACTACAGGTGAATATTGAAAAATGATTGTAAGTGAAAAGCGACATCTATTCGTCATTCCCAGAATAAGCACTAATAATAACATAAATGTAGTATGGTACAGATCCGGACGAATCAAGGGACACGAGGAAGAAAAGTAGACGGAGCCCAGTATGGCCAAAAAAGGGAAAAGGGAAAAGAAAAACCGCATAACAATAGGAGAGTAGCAGAGGGAGAGACGCGGAGAGTGGGATCAGAAATAGATAGATCTATACGGAACTTTCGGGTACTCTGATGGGTGGAATAACTTTCATGTATGTAACCTGAACGATAGTCGGTAAACTAAGGTAGGGTCAAGGAACTAGAAAAGATAATAGGTGAGGTATGCTCCGGAGGTTGAAAAAGGACCCTGACTTCTTTTTTCATCCTTTGCTCTCGAGGCGGGGGGGCTGCTCCTCTTTCTTAAGGGTATATGCTGACAGAAGAAAAATCCGCGAATTACAGCGCCAGAAGAAAAGACCCCACCAGGAAAAGGGAGCTGTCTTCGATGGAGGTGTCAGTTGCGTTTTTCTTTTAATAAAGACATCTCTCCAATTATGAAAAACCATAACCAGTACTCCTCGAGGTCAGCATGCGCCCCAGGGGAATGTGGAGTTCCCCTCAGAACGGAACAGGCACACGAAGTCCCACAAATGGCCCCAAGGCCAATTTTAACATGCATGCATCAGAACGCCAGTTGTAACAATACGAAGAAGAGACTCTCCTGACAAGGACAGAATGAGAAAGAAAATGCTTAATACATAGGATTCCCACGGATAGAGATTCGACGAAAGTAGAACAGTCCGATCAAGAACCTTGATTAGTCAATACAGGAGAATGCAGCGCATGCAAAGACAACTGAGTATGAATTTGCCGTATCTTCATTTCGAACAAAGTGAAAGGAATGAGAACATTCTTTTCAATGTTCGTAGCCTGCCCCTCTCTGCCAAGGACTTGCATTGTGCTGAGCCCTGAATGCCTGCGGATTTGCCAGCGTTGCACCGCCGCGTGATCCCGGAGCAGGAGAGGGAGTCCGCCCAACGTACTCCGTTGTTGAGTACCCATTATTGTAACTTGGGGGCGGGCCTCGACTCTGCGACGAAGAGTTGCTGGAGCCGTTGCTCGGGAACAGCGGTACCGACGGGTCAACAGGAGAGTGCGGAGATTGTCTAGCCGCATGCTGGGGCACAGCAATGCTATCATCGTTCTGGCGGCCGATACTGGCGCCGTTTCCACTAGAGAACGAGGTATCATCATCGTCGAACCCGGACTTGTATTGACCAGGTTTCAATTCTCCTCTGGCTGTAGCGCCCAGAGCATCGAGCTCAGTTGTCAACTGGGTTTGCGACTTGATGAACGATCCACGGTCGTCACGCATGGGCTGGTAGCGAGTGTCCGGATCTTTCGAGACGACAGCGTAGATAGAAGCGATCAAGACGAGGATCAGAAGAGTCAAGGCGAAGACTGCGTTGTAGATGAAGAAGACGACGCCCATAACACCTGTCACAATACCAGGCTGGTCGAAAACGTCACTGAAGACAAGGAGGAAGATAACGTTCAAGAAATTGACAGCGGCAATGGAGATGTTGTAAACGTTGGTCTTCTTGTCCATCCAAGGTCGGAGAACACAGACTCCAATGAGGACGAGTGCTTCAATGATCACGAGAGCGACAGCTTGCACGGTCGGTGCTGCCTGGCTAAGACCAATAAACATACTCTTCACCAGGATGTAGACAAGCACTGGAACGACGAAATAGTATGCAGTGGCTCGATACTGGACGTACAAGAAACCCCACTTGTTGAGACAAGTCGGGTCCGAGTAGAGGATATAGGCCGGGTTCTTGTGCATGGAGACGGATCGCTTGGCCAGTCGGATAACCTTCAGTGCAGCCCAGCCCAGGGCGCCAGTCATTGAAACGAACATGATGACAGCCAAGAGGACTTCGGCGGCAGAGTCGCGCTTGGTGAACTCCCACAAGCACAGGACGCACATCTGGGGATAACCGATCAGCGTCAATCGGAACAGAATACCTCTCAAGACAATCTTCCAGCCGTTTCTGAAATCCTGGAATTTGTCGCTCTTCATCTTGCCGGACTTCACAAGAAGCTCACAGATTCCCTTGAAGAGCGCGACGAAGAGCATGACAAACCCAACAAAAACGATGAAGAAGATCAGACCAGTCATGAAGATATTGGTCTCCTCGATATCCGCGCGGAACCCGACTCTATTGATACCCCTGACAACGATCGCTTTCGTATTTCCGCTATCGCTGTTCGCCCTTTTCATGATATGGTTACCGGCTCGGACAGCCAGATCCTGGACATATTCCAGAGATCTCTTCTGTACGGACACGGATGTGGTAGCCAACTTCGTCAAAATCACCGACGGCGTACCACCTGTCGACCGCTGGTACCAAGTGCAAATAGTCTGCATGAATCCAACGTGAATGATACCCATACTCCACTGGAAGTTCTGCGTCCACGACTGCACGATGGGCGGTAGATGTATAGAGGTCAGGCCGATCATGGCCTGAGCTTGCATAAAGCTGAAGAGAGATAACGCGTTGGCGGCAACGTGAGCCGCAGTGTTCGAGTGGCCAAGTCCAGAAGTGATTGCAGAAGCAGCCAGACCCAACCCAGCAATGACGGCGGTGGCCCAGCCCACACCCTTCTGATATACGGTCTTGCCATTGGACAGATCTGCTTGTACACATGCGATACTTTCCCCTGTCGTAGTAGAGTTGATGTAGACACGCACTTCGCCGTCCAGATCTGGGACTTGAAATGCGATACCTAGAAGTGGCACCATTAGCAAAGAACCGAGTGCCTCACCCTGTGTAACAGAACTCACCCGGAATCGCGTCGATCACGCTTTGGGGGATATCGAGAATGTTTGTCTTGATGTTGATTTGACCCGTGTTCATGGGACAAAGACCCTCCAGATTCATCTCACAAGGGTTCAGAGTCTTCGTGATGGCTGTATAGCCATAAGCAATAACTTCCAGCTCTGCGACGACATGTCCGGAAATGGACGACACTCCCACAATGTCGATGGCTATCGATCTGTTGTCTGGCGTGAATACAACATTGAAAAGACTTGCAGTGAAGCTCGAATTATCCTGGCACGGGTTCAACGAGTTGGATTCGATTAACCGGATGGCAGATACCAGCGGGGAGGAGCACAGGAAGACGAGGCATGACAGAAACGGGAGCAACCGCATGATGGCGGCTGTCGTAGATTAGCAGTCTCCTAGTAAGACTAATGCAGATGTTATAAGATTTTTTTTCAAGAGTGAACGTGACGACGTTCAACGGTCGATGAACGAGGGAATACGGCGCTCCAGAGCACCTGTCGAAACGACCGAATGTGGAAGTCCCGTGATGTACTATCCTATCGGGCGGCTGACCCGATAATCCAACTGCAGTGAGGGCAACACGATGGACGCGCGCGCGATATGGTTCCTTTTGCGCTGGTCGAAAGGATCTCTATATGTTCGTATCGTCGACTCAGGGCGTCATTGAATAGGTCGGATGTAGCGGTCGCTGGGATGATGGATAGGAGCGTATTCCCGGAAGATGCGGTAACGACGTAAGGATTGCAAGGTGATTGACCAGAGACTCAACCAGCGAAGAAACTTAGTGAAAGACCGTGGATCTGCGAAAGATCAAAAGAGACGATGAAACTGTAAACAGCGAAGTGGTTGAATCAGAGTAGTTTTGAGCGAGTGAGGGCGGCGACACACAGTATAGCCTGGCGGACAAGGGGTGGTTCGTTCGTTCGTGACGGAACGGACACGATCTCGATTTCGAGGTCGACGAGAGAACGACAGACCGGCGTGCAAGTCTGTCCGTTCTGGCTGACTCTCTCTCTCTTGGCCGTTGTCGAACTGCGAAAGGAGGAGAGTGACAAGGAGACACAAGCGTCCAGCCCAGGAAGCCGGGAGGGTTAGTGAGCCACAGCGTTAACTAGTAGTTAGCCTGAGGCCAGCAGGGTGAGACGGGGCGAAGAATGGACGGATGGCGAGGAATGAATGGGCGCGGCGAAGGGGGCACACTGGAAAAAGGGCGCCAAGCAGCCAGCCAGCGGTCGTTCTCGGTCGTGCTCGAGGCCGGCGTCACCAGGAAACCGACACCTCTGCTTCTTTGTTGCTTGTTCTGGGCTTGTTGGAGCGAATGCGATAGCCTCGAGGGTGCAGTTACGGGGAGACAAAGGTGACTTTACTCTTGAGGGAGCGTCGATAGAAAAGGGTCGTTTCGCATCTCGACGTCGTGTGGCCTATTCTCGAGCCAAGTGATCTCCCCCACGGCAGACGCAACCAGTATACGCGCGTCCCAGGATGAGGAGCCGCCCGGAAGCGAACAATGTCAGAGGCTGACCGTGGGCAAACCTTGAGAGGCGGGAGAGCCAAGATGAGGATGTACTGTGGGGTGTGGGCGCTGCAGATGTCGTGATGGATGATCGATCGAGGATGACGGCGGCCAGTCATCGGTGCTCTATCTCATTCTGCGAATCTGCGTCTTATTAGGTCGCCGCGTTGCCAGTCTACTACTCCGTAGTAGTCGCTCGACTCTGCCATTATTATCGACAGCAATTTTCTCTCTACAGCCAAGAACTCTCTACAGCCAAGAACCAAGAGAAACGCCACGGTCGCTGAGTTTCTCTCAGGCCAGGCCACCAAGCCGTGACATTTCTTGGGTTATTACACCTGGAAGCATCGGAGGTCTCTCATTATTCATATAATGAGGTCCCTCAACTGATGGTAACCCGCAAGCTGACACCAGCCTCATATGTTCATTATGTTTCCAATGGAATCAGACGAGTAATGTACTGATGGCTGCTGCTTCTATCTAGAGAGAACTAATAACAAGTCACTTGTGTACTGTATAAAGTGAGTGCTATACAGGCTACTCGGCTTCTACATCGTCGCGTCTAGATTCTACCACCGCTTCTGGAAGACAACTTATTGCTTTCAAGTCAATGCTTTGACCATGATTGGAAGAAGTTACACTCCTAACACTGGAGACAGACGGCATCTAGCACCTTTCTGGGTTAACGAACAGCTCTTTAATGGCGTCCGGCAGTTAGATAGTTCGCCGTACCAGTACCCTAAACCCCCTAGCATGTCTCAAAGCGTAAAACGCCTGGGTCGGTGCACTGCCTCGCTCAGGAGAACACGGGTCCCTTGGCCATTCAGGTCGCCCAGTTGCTGCACAATGGGCCTCTTTCGAATCGATTGCTGCGTCATCTTGGTCTCCTGGCTTCCCCCGGATGTCTCCTCGATCCATGTATGCTTCTGGAGCCTTGACCTTCTATTCTTGGTTTGGTCTCTGGTAACGGTTTCTGATCGGGTTGACGGTCGCAATTATTATTATTTTATCTACCTGGCACTGTGCCCCAGGAGAGCGCGAAACTCTTGCTGATTCAGTCCTACTTGGAACAGCAGAAGCTGGCGTGTACATCCTTTGATCATGTTCACATTTTGATCTGCATTTAAGTCGCATTACGGGCGAGCAGATCGTTCCTCACCGTGCCGCTTGCGCAGTAAATCCGTACATTCATGACGTCTTTTAACTGAGGTTTCTTCCTCACTGCCCCACTGAGCTCTCAAATTCTTTGCGCGGCAGGTCTGATAGTGCTATTTTGAGTAGGACTCCTGTTCAGAACGATTTTGTACAGTTCTAGCTCGGCCATAGCCGTAGAGTATATAGGCGGAGTGCGGATACTCCACGACAGGAGATCTACTATACTCCATATGCGTGGCTGTTATCATCATAGAATTAATAATAGCCTATGGAGTAGTTAGACCGCGAAGTATGTAAACCCCATTTTCATCTCTTACGGAGAGTCCCTGTCGTATCCGTATAACCGCCTCGGGACTCCGTCAAACTCTTTCATTATTGAAAGCGATCAAGTTCCACGGTTCGCCCACGGCTTAAAATAGAACATCTATGAATAACAAACTTCAACACTGGCAAAATTAAAAAAACCAAATGTGCGTTTCCAAGGATCTGTACCATATAATTTCCAGCGTCGTTAACTCGTCTGCCTTATGGATCCTTTTTTCTCTTTTTTGCCTCCGGGGAACCATTCCCGTACAGAATTCGGATAGCCATTCAAGACCATTATGTATTCCTCTTCAGTAATCCACATTCCAGAAGGCGGGAAATTATTATTGGAACTCTTCCCTTTTTAATTATTATTATCCACTTTCTCCGTGGTTCACTGTAAGATTTACTCGGGTCGGGAAAGGCAGACCGCTTTCTCTGGAGTTAGTTAGTACGGAGTAGTTTGTCTAATATCCAGGGTCCTGGTCCGTCCAGAGTCCGTTTGCAACATGAGTGTCTCGGATCTTAGGAAATGAAACAGTTCGACGCTTTGATTTGAGATGTTTGCTTTCTGAGGCAGACGGAAGAGTCTGGATCTGAGGTCTAGATGCAGAAGAGCGACTATTTGAAGCAGGACTCCTTGGCCTTCATCGCTGCCGCATGGTGACCTTTCTCAGTCGTCTGACCATGAGGGCAGTTGATTCCGAGACATGGTTGCAATCTTGCTCCAATCGCGTTTTTCTCTGGACTTGGCGCTGTTGGTTGAGATGAAAGCCCAGTCATAAGACAGGCTCATGAGAAGAGCAGTAAAAGTGACTACACAGTTCTTTGCCAAACCGGTGCAAACGTCTACATTCGTAAAGATAAGCTAATCTTCAATAGGAAATTTAACTGAATATGGATATTCCCTCGTTTCAGAGTTGGTAGACTAACAGTGAAACCGTAAAATATCCTTATGCCGTATGGAACCTACGTATCTACCGAACATCACGCAGAAGTGGATCTACAGATAGATACCTAAATGAGCATAAAAAAAACAAACAAAAATGGCAAATCCAGACCTGTTGACTAGGTATCTCATGTAGCCGAAAGGAATGAATACACTAAAACTAAGTATCCATCTCCATCGCCAAGCTGAGATATTTCAGCGGCTGTTCCCTGTCCTAACATCCTCATACGCCCTATTTATAGGAGGAGGGACTGCTATTAGAACCTGCCCTCAGATTTCTAGATGTCATCAAATCGCGTTGCGGGCTTTGGAATGAGAGAGATCATGTCCTCTCAGAAAGAGAACCGAATCCACTTTCGCAATTCTTGATCTATATCCTCGAGTTACATATATGTCCATTGAGCGATCCCTTCATATTACGCCCCTAGCTTCATGCGGGTATTTACACTGCAGATTCATTCGCAACATCTACATGTGTCTTCTGGATGACTCGTCTCGCGTGAGAATTTATAATTACCGAAAAGATGACTTCGGAGCAACAAATCTAGTCATGTTCAAGATTGGGCTAGATCAAGCGAAAAGATCATTCAGGCCTCTATTTCCGGATTTAGAGATAAATGGTCGTTCATCAGAGCTTCTCGGAATGCTGGCGCAGATTGTATCCTCGAGAGAAGATGGATGTCTTTTATTTTGTGATGATCGGGGATCGCTGCAGTCGCTAGAATAAATAGGCCGCATGGAGAAGTAGTCCATCTGTATCTGGATAATACAGCAATCGAGTATCGTGGCAAAGGAGTCCATAAGCCTCTAATCAAGGCACGATTGGTTGATGCAAACAACAACTTGGCGTCAATTTTGCCAATCTAGTCACTGCTCCAGGGAGCGGTAGTAGTCGTAATGCTGAAAAGGCGGGATTATGACTTGCTTATACAAAAATTAGTTTTTACGTAGCGATTTAGTTCATGGTCAAGGCCGGTATTGGCTAGACTCTAGATTGAAAAAAAGTGACCGGCTATTCGCGAGATGGATCGTTTGCTTCTGTGCCATATAGGCTTCGACAATTATGCTATATGACGATAAACTAGTCAGTTGCCTCGTCGACTTTTTAAAGTAACAGATACAAACGTGGACGATATTTATAGCTTCCTCCACAAGTCACATATCCATAGCTGCTCATCAACGCTGCCGAAGTTTATAGTGCTACAGTCACTGACTAGTTCCTGCTGGATATATAAGTAGGTACTCGAGACGTCTCTGTAAATACGCATCTTGCCTGCCGTTGAGTGATCTAGATGGGCGAAATGATGCTGAGTATTGATGAATCCAGCTTGATCGATTTTGCGTTGCCCATCACATGTATGCAACCTCTTTCAGAGAGTCGGACGATGCTCAATTTGGGCCAATCGATTGGTGCTTCTAATTCTCGTCACGTATTTGACTGCGTCTTTAGTTGATTGGACCCTATCAATATTACGTCTTAAAATAGTCATAAATTACCTAGACTAAAAGTGGCTTCCTTTGCAATGATCCTGGTATTGATGGGCAAGGCTCTTTATATATTGGTGCTCAAGTTTGGCCAGCTGACCTTCTTCGCTGAATCCAATTCCCAGCTGATATACTACCTGTGGTCTGATACTTGTCTAGGGATGACGCACCGTGAGATTGTTCGGTTCGTAGTCTTGCTTTCGTAACTCTACTTATATGCCGTCGTACTTGTGACTTTTCCTTATGATGGATGATTATCTCAGGAAAATAAGAATGTCTTCGGCGGAGCAAAATTCCTGTTTCCAGCAGCCTGCAATAGTATCTCCAGATAGAACTGTCTCGGTATTCGGGAACCCATCTTTCTGAAATAACAACCAGATAGCTTCATCACTTAGTCCTTCGTAAGGACACTGACCAGTCACGGTTCATGGTGTGAAGAACCGAGAGAGAATAAATCTGATTATATGTCTCGGTATTCCGGGGCATAAACTAGCTGAGCTTCTCAAGTCCATGAGTCTGTCTCGCTTCTAATCCAAGGTGAGGCTGGGCATCGAGTCCCAATGCGCTGAAGTCGCAGATCCGGGAATTGAAGTCCTCATCCGCGAGCCACTGGTCAAGTCTGAGGTCGGAATGTCTCATTCACTTTGAACAAACATATGCGACACTGGGTCGTTTGACGGGCTCAACACTTCAAATCTGTCTCTGTCTCTGTCTCTGCGATATGCACGCGAGTTCTGTTGATGTATTACTTCAGATTACCCTTTGGATAGTATTCGAGTTCGACTAGTCCTTACCAGGATCGATAGACAGACACTTGGCGACACGCGGGTGCATTCCCGAAATCAAGTACATATCAGCTTCGTAATCCCATCGTCATCAACAATCAACAAAATACATGACACTCCTTTCTAACGATGTTCTGGATACGATAGGTTTTGGCGCTCATGACCTGCAGAAGCAGTCCGCGTTGCGACATGGTATCTTGCGAATACACTCATCAGCGTGCATCTGAGAAAAGAAGAAGGAAAGTCGGTTTGAAAAATAGATAGAGTGCCGGTGCACTAGCATCCATTGATCATGTCGGATCTCCATAGAGCCAGCTAGACTTATGGGGCTGTTCCATGATAAACAAGTTCTCGCGACTGCTTTCTTGCGTGCAGTTCCTATAATTATTCTCTTCAGGTCCGACTGCCTTATCAGATCGCAGAAGAGATGACGTCCTAGAACCGGCGCGAAGATATTCAATTGAGTTTACGGACGGAGAACCGAACCATAGAAGTGAAGATCCGCGACTGCATGATTTTACCAGGTTTATCCCGCTTCGCCCAGAGAACCTGTAAAGTCGAGGCCATCGACCTTGTGTGGCTGGACGGCGGACAGAAAGTGGGTGGTTGGACCATTGATGGTCCACTGCCGGCCGAACCGAACCTTGTCGCATGGTCCCGAGGAAAGAAAAAACATTGTTATAGTCTACGCCGACCTCGCAGTTGTAGGCAGGACGACGGCATAGAAACATGTGCGTATCCTACAGGCCCTGGAAGGCAGCGAATGTTCCGACATGCTCATATTCCGGTCTGTACGCCGTAAAGACTCGCCCGCAATAACGATGCCGTGGACTGATTCGATTGCTGCGCGATGGTGTGCAGCGATGAGTTGGCAAGTGTGAGATGGAAGTTGCCGACCAATCGTGAGTCTGTGAAGCTCCCTGTCGTCTGGGTGACACCGGGACAGCCAAGCTGTGTGCTAGACTGCGAGTGGAGGTTGGCCTGGGGTTTGGTGGCTCTAGCTTGCGAGGAGTGGATTTTGGTCAGCAGCGGAACCGCGGATGCAACATCGAAAATCAGACTCGACGAGGTTTAACCAGCCTCTCGAGGGCGTTGTAGAAGGTACCGAGTAACAGTATCATTATTTGTGCCGGTCGCTCAAGTCTCAACTGCGCAGGGATAGCGATGATCTCTTTCACAATTATCCCAGAATGTGCAACATCACACTTTAGAGGGCGCAAGCACGAGCGGAGAACAGGGCCATGTGTCCATCGGGCATTATTGACACCTTTCTTGCGACTGCCATGATAATTGCGCGTCTCAGAGCGGTGAGACCGTAGGAGAAACAGTATGGTATACGGAGTCTAGGACGAATTGACCCGGCCACGTTGACTCTTGCCGGTGCTTCGGTTACCAGACTGAGCTGTGAATAGCGGAGGTAATCACAGTGATATAAGTATAGGTACATACCATTGACACGGATGTGCCAGCAAGGAAGCATGACGCTTGTCGAGTCTCAGGTCTTTATGTGATGGGCAGCTTTCCAACCCAATGTGGTTGTACTCCGTACCTGAGCAGCACAGTTCATCGAATGTGACTTGTGAGATGAGGGAAGTCGTGGCGTCGAGTCGAGATCTGGCTGCCATACCTAGACTATGCGCAGCACTGGTTGCAAGGAGGCCCCGGGACGCATCCCCAGCCACTTTTATCTTGTCTGTCTGTGACGGGGACCTGTAAATCAGCGGTACGAAGTAGAGGTTGGGCCTGCGCCGCGAAGTCCACTGTTTCTTGACGCCAGCAAGTATTATAGTAGTCCAGCAACACCGTTGACTGGTCCGCGGAGCTTCTCCCATAAGGCTCTGAGAGGCGAACGCTGGGACAATGCGTGGTAAACGATCCGCCCCGAGGATCCTCTCCTAGTCGAGGCTCCAACCACAATCTGAACTGACCCCGTCAAAGGCGGCGTTTGTTGTCGCCGCTAGTGAGCTGGGCTGCCCTCATGGGTCTCTCCGCCCAACTGGCTGTCCATCGTACTCTTCTCCCAGCCCTCTTCTTTCCCCGATCTTATTCATTTCACCCCTTGTATCTTCGATCTTTCCTGCTGCAACTTCAGAGGTTGTGGTCTGGTGGGAGGTCCCGTGGTCTTGAACGTTGGACTCTTGATCGTGTTGGTGCTTATCGGCCGGCGAGGTGAAGAGTGAAAGCGAAAGCCCCGCTGGTCTCTGGTAGCAGAACGCAGCTGCTGGGAGCCCTTGGTTGACCACCATAGCAACCTTCTGATCCTGTCAGTCAGGATTCTCACTGTGTTGGAGAACACCGAATCAGGATAAGGTTCGACCTCTAACACACCAGAACTCGAATAACTGGTATTCTTTGACCGATCTTACTAACACCAGACTGCCCTACTAGTTAGTCTAGCCTTCACACCAGCTATTGTGTTGCTGGCTTTCGATATCATCACGCAACAACGATCTTCTCATCATATCTAATTTACAGGGTATGCAGCTATCTGCTTGAAAGCTCTCACAATGGGTGTCGACGCCCGCAGACCTATGCTGCCCGCCCCCACTGAGTCCATCACTGGGGGGAGCGCAACCGGAACAGATCTCGCAACAGACGTCTCTCGACGTACAGATAAGACGTCCTATTCCATCCCAGATGACGGAAGTCCCATCACGATACCGACTCGTCGCAAGTCACGTAACCGTGACAAAGACGAATCCTCCAACAAGCTTACTCGCTCTTCCCATCAGTCACAGACCTCTCTTCTGATAGAATATTTCGAGGGAGGGAAAGGGACTGGAAGCTTGCATTCCAGGCCGAGTGTGAGAGTCAGGGTGACCCCATCTGCAGCGAGAAAGTTGAGGGACCAGACCGATCACATCCAAATAACGGAGTCTGGTGGAAGCCGGAAACCAGTCTATACCCGGCGCATTTCTCTCGGAAACTCATCGAAGCAAAAGCAGCCTCCAGAAGCAGCTATCGACGACCAGAGCATCAGCTCGTACAATTCTGCCGGCGACGAAGGCAATACAGCTCCCCGACGCTCGCCCCTCGAGATCGAATTCGTCGATCGTGACCAGACGAGCGAAGTGTCAAACGTATCCCGGGATGCAAGATACATGCTGCCCACATCCGACATATCATCTATGCCACCAGACAGTTTACTGGACGGGCCGTCTGTTCAAACCCCCAGGCGCAAACGCAGCCAAAGCCTCAATAGAGAAGGCGCTCGAGAAGTCGACGACCTTCTAAAGGCTCCTTCGCGACGTCGTAGCCGCAGCCTGAGCAGGGAACGAATAGCTCATAAGGTTGCTGAGAAACTCAATAATCCGCCGCGCGACACGTCTGGCAACCATGCCAAACGATTGGAAAAGAGTATGAGCAGGGCCCACAGCAAAGAGCTCCTTGAGACAGACTCCAAATCATCTAGGCGGAAACTGCAGAAGAGTCGGGAAGATGACATCCCCGCCAGCCCAGAATCAAGCCTGCTTAGTGCCTCAGCAGTATCATCTCGACGCAAGTCGGGTGACCAATATTCCTTCCGCTCGGGTACGTCGAGGTCGTCTATCAACAACCCTAAACTGCTCGAGACAGTTGAAGATGCGATCCGACGCTTGATCTTACCAGAACTGAAGGAGTTGAAGAAAGATCAGAAGGTCACCTCCAATACCTCCAAATTTGAACGTGAGATGGGTGCATCTCGTGGTTCGGGCAGCTCGGCTTCCAGAGATGAACTAGGACGACGTCTATCGAAGCATGCTAGTGCACCGGACGTGAAGAACCCCACGGTTATTCTTCACAAAAGCAGCAAAGACGAGGGCATTATTCTCTCAGATGATCGATCGACAGAGCACAAAGAACAAGAGAAGGAGAACGAGGTGACTTCTCCGTCGGGTAAGACCTACATAAAGGGCGCTCGTCCTGACTTGACGGAAGAAGAGAAACTACGTCGCCAGAGGAGCAAGGGACTGCGTGACGCTGAGGCTGCGGCTATTGTTGGAACTGCCCTCACAACTGCAGCACTCAAACATCATGATTCCCAGTCCAGTATGGACAGACGAGAGCGCCGCAAGAGAAGGAGCAGGGGCCACAGCAGAGATCCCAGCTTTAACGAGACTGAACTCGTGTTCCAGAAACATAATGTTGCCCCCATGCCAATGCGCAGCGAAATTGACTCGGAGCTGACTCGGGAATCGATCCTTTCTCAGCGAACAGCGGGAACAGAAACATCCCACCAGGGAGTGGAGGTTCGTAACGTATCTCATGGCTCGCCACGAGGAGCTGGGTCATCTGGCTCGAGCACACCTACTCGTCGTACTCCTCGCGGTGGTAGACAACTAGGCACCTATCACAGCAATATGTCAAACGGTGATCTTAGCATACACAGTGCTTCTGAGCGCGAGTTGCACAAGAGAAGTCATTATTCTCTCGCAGACTCCGACAGTGGTACTGCTGGTGCCATTGCAGCAGCCGCAGCAGCAAACCTCTTGGACGACCATCAACCTTATGATAATGAAGCTGAGCCAGATTATGCAGACCAGAGAGCTCTGAGCCCTATTCAGAGTGTCGCGAGCGACAACAATGATACCGAACGAGGTGGAGAGTGGCACTTCGAGACTGCGGAGCATGGTGAACCCAGATTATCCATCGACTCCCTATCTTCTGCACCTAGTACGAGCCTTGCAAGGTCCAAACGATTGGCAGAGGCTAATTTTGCACAAGGAGATGAGACACAGGACCGATACGACAAAGCTGGGGCGGAACTCGGGTACGAAGAGGAGTCCCCCAGGGAACCGAAAGAAGGCCATTGGGAGGAGGAGTCTGAAACAGACGAGGACGACACATACCGCCATTCAACAGCCCGACCCAGTATTGAGGACATTGGAACCGATGAGAAACGGATGACGAATTACACAGACGACAGCCTTGACGCCTCCTATGTGGACAAGGCCGCTGAGGGACGGCAGGTTTCTGACGGCGTTGCCGCGAAACCAGAATATGTCCATCCCCCCGTTGCTGTGGAATCGGCAGTGGCATCACTCCTCGATCCATCTGTTCTTTCAGGGACTCGTTCAGGCGTGGATTCCCCCAATCAGCACTGGGCTGGAAGTCCAAAAGTTGGTGGAGACGCGGCCGGGGACATGTATGGGAGCGACCGCGGAAGTCCCCTCAAACAGAGACAGGACGCCGCTACCCAGGATGAGACGTCGTTCCCTAAGCGTATGGGTGTTACATCTCCTCCTCAGAGCGTAGCTCAGTCATTTGAGGATGAGGATGAAGACGAGCAGCCACGAGGAGACACGACTGGTGTGACAGATGCAGAAAGCCCCATGCCTGAAGATGAACATGTTCCTGACTCCGAGTCAGAGATCAACACAAACCCTTCCATTATTCAGGGTCCTATTGCTGGTGTCCCGCATGATAATATGGACCATTGGCCCTATAACCCTACACCTCCAAAATCCTTGGGAGATCACTACTCCGCTGACCGAGACTTTGACAATAACATGGCTGACGGCGGCATGGGATTTACGGATCCCACTGGTTATGATACCTACTATCAGTCTCCTTATGGGAATAGTTATGGGCACGATTATATGGCAGGCAATATGTATTCGACGCCACCCGGAGCGAAAGACGAAGGGTACATATCAGCGGCCAATCCACGCTCTCCAAGTATCGCGACGCCGGAACAGAAAGACAAAGAATACACTGGTCTTTTTGATAACAGCCCTGATGATACGTTTACTCCAGGCCATCAGCGCCAAATTAGTGGCTATTCGCACGGAATCCCATCTCCTTTATATGACAGCGCCACTGGAAGGGGCATTGAGGCTATACAGTCGAAGGATATCGTTGCTCTGATGGATCATGTAAGTGCCACTCTCTGCTAGAAAGGACGCAGCTGCTAACATTCACCACCAGCTCACTGTGCGGGACGCCCAGCGGAATGCCAGGGACACCGAAATCCTAGTTACTCTGGTACGGAGTGCAGCCGAGATGCGTAACTCATTCGAAGAAATGAAGCGTTTCATTGCTGCCCAGGATGGAATTATCATGGAATCCAACGAGAAGCAGCATGAGCGCACACATAAAATCATTGGCGGGCCGAGACCTCTTCCACCCAGTGGCTCTCGCTCGCGCCAACTGGCAGCAGAGGACGGCGAAGACTTGCGCTCGAAGAGGCGCAATGTCTTCAAACGGGCATTGAAGGGGCTAAGCCTCAAATCTTCCAACGATTTGACTAAGATTGAAGATATGCTTATGCAGCTTCTGGACGAAGTCGAGGCTCTGCGCACTGCGCAGGGAGGTGGAAATGCTGGAGCTGGACCACAGCCCGCGAGCGTGGGATCGACTGAGCACGGTCATAGCTCATACCAAGATGGTTATGAGCCTGAAGGCCAAGCGGGCACTTCTTCCACTGGAGATCAGTCTGGCTATCTGTCTAATTCTTCACGCCCTGTTCCCGAATCCCATGGCTTGAGCGGGCGAAGAGGATCCGAAAATCGCGTCAGCACTGTTCCGGAAGCAGATGAAGAGCTCGAGACTGGTGATAAGCATGACCAGGAATTTTCCGGTCGCCGCTTTTCTAGCGATGATCGATACTCTAGCCGCGAGGTGCGTGGCAACTCAGTGCCCTTATCTTCACCGCCACGAGTGCCCGTCGCATCCGGTGCTCTCAGCAACGAAACGTCGCCCAAGACAAATGAGAAATCGAAGAAACACAAGTCCAGCAGTTCTTCGTTCTTCCCGAAGATATCCCGGTGGTCGAAGACCACTGCGTCTTCCATGGGTGATAATATTCGCAACACCATCCAACCTAGTCGCAAGGAGCGCCCGTTTTCTGATGCGTCTCGCTCTGGCTCGGATCTCGTTCACGGACCGTACAACACAGAGGACTATTATGATCCGAATGGCGATGACAAGATACGCTCAACGTACACCCTGGATGAAGGACGACGACAAGAAAATCGACCACCGTCTCCTCTCGTTCCCTCCCAGGTCTCCGACAACCCCAAATATCAAGCGCATCGAGATAGTCTAGACTTGCAGCATCCACAGCCTCGCCAGGGTCCCACCGGACGGTATCAGTCTCAATTGGAGTCAGAGGCGCAGAATTTCACCCCTACATCCCCCAACTCCGAACCATGGGGTTCCAACCCTAGCCTTCTACATCCGGGTCAAAATCAGAACCGATTTAGTTACGGAAGCCGCCTTTCACCAATATCGGATGCAGGCTATTCAGAGCAGGCCTCTCTGTCAGAGAAGCAGAACGCCCCTCCAAGACCTCCCAAAATTAAGGATGATGGGCCTCTCGTGCCTCAGCGGCCCCCCAAGGTCAAGGAAGAGGAGCAGCAGCCAAGCTATGCGGATCGCATCGCGTCTCGGGTAAGTAATTCTGTTATACAGGGGCTTTTTGATAACGCGGAACTAAACATTCTACAACAGGGTTCCATGCAATCTACTCCCCCTCAGCGCAAGCCAACCGGACCTCGCCCAATCACTGGCTCTGGTCAGTACGGCTCGGGAAACGTCAGAAGACATCGATACAGAGGAAGTCCCGACCAGATTGATGACGACTACTGAACTGGCAATGCACCACTTCTCCCCGAATCCTCTCAACCATGGTGTATGATGTTACGCGTTATGATTCCTATTACTTTGTGGTCTTTTTGCTTTGAACATATGTTTTAGCGCATGAAACTAACGACATATGCTGGTTGCGCTCAGGTGGAAATGACCTATTGCATTTGGCTTCCACTTCTTTTCACGGGCAACCATCCTAATTGTGGATAATTTATGATGGAATGACTGCACGCTGGCTTTTGCTATCATGTGGTTTTGTTGTAATTATGTTTTCTACTTTTATTTTCCTTGCCTTTATCAACCCCCTCAGTTGCACATGTTTCCCCTATTCCCCATGTATCTATGCATTAACGACAAGCATACCCCCATCCGTTTACACTACCTTCTGTTCAAAAGCATGCAGAGATTCATATGAACCTTTCTTTTCAGATGAAATTGCTATGACAGCGTGCTGGCACTTGGAATGAAATGCCTACGCTCATATGATGATAATGACCTACCCTTTTTGAATCGTTTTGGCTTTATAGATTACCCACCAGAAATGGAATAGCTTACGCTACACTGCCGCTACAGTAACCTTGGAGGCCTCCCTCCAGTATGGTGTCTTTGATTTTGATGTAATTGACTAGACGCGTGTTGCCATAATTAGCTCTACGAGCTAAATTTATCCTATGTCAGAGGGAGTATGAAGATCTTCCGCACTGTCACAGTCAGAGATTTGTATTCAACTTCACGACGCGCTTTTGAGCTCTTATTCTGCCAAGATTTAATTGCGGCGTCACATCCGCTTTCCCGCGGGCAGAACCAAGGGTGGGGTGTTCGGCTTCCCAATGGACTGATATCCGCCGTTCGTCATATAAGAATGCGCCAAGGGAGCTACTAGAAACGCTGCTTATTTCATAGTTGGATACAAAATATCTTATATTATTGTATTGGACACTTTCTGCCCTTCTCTGTCTATTGAAAGAAATGAGCGATTCACCTCTAGACCTTCTGGTCTGTTCCACTTGTGGAACGCAGCACTCGGCGCGGTCGTTGTCTTCGTGTAAGATCTGTGATGATCCCCGGCAGTATTTGCCCGCAACTGGGTAGGTGTAGTTCTCTAACCATTTACCATTGATACTTGGACATAGTTCTATTTGGTTGGATACTTCCCCCGTGTCGAGTTTCGATCGCTGGTGGACTACCCTCGTTTCGCTCATCACTAACTCCACGATTACAGACAATCATGGACAACTCTACGCACACTACAGCAATCAAAGCAATACCATAATGAATTCGTCATGGACAAGAATCACTCGGGACTGATAAGTATCTATACTGTCCCGAAAGTCGCTATCGGCCAGCGCGCCATCTTATGCTGCACACCACAGGGAAATATCCTCTGGGATTGTATCACTTACATTGATGACGAGACCATCAAGCGGATCAAAGAATTGGGGGGAATCAGCGCTATCGTGATCTCCCACCCGCATTACTTCTCGACATGTATCCATTGGGCTCAGGCTTTTGGCTGCAAGGTCTACCTTTCCAAAGAAGATCAAGAGTGGATAATGCGGTCGGGTCCAGAGCAAGTCTTGTGGTCAGGAGAAAGGCTTCCTTTACCAGGGGTCCTCGATATCGTCGCGATCAAAACCGGCGGACATTTCCCCGGCAGCTCAGTCCTATGGTGGGGATCGGCTAGGAAGCTGCTTGTCGCTGACACCATCATGGTCGTTCCCAGCGGCGTGTATCACACTGACAGGCTACCCGGGACAGCCTCATTTTCTTTTATGTGGTCTTATCCGAATTTTGTTAGTTACACATGGATTTTTCTCTTTGCGGGAAGTTGCTAATAGTTGATCTCTTAGATTCCGTTACCACCCGATGAAGTGCACAATATATGGAAAGCCATCAAGGACTTCGATTTTGATGATGCCCATGGTGCCTTTGTTGGTCAGGATACCAGAGGAAATAGCAGGAAGAGGGTATTGGACAGCGCCAAATTAGTTGTCAAGTCGATGGGTTATGGTGACCATGCTATTCATGCTGAGGAAGCGTAGCTTGTGATTCGCAGAGTCTGAGTTGAGTCCAGCTTTGAGCCAGAAGACTCTGCTGTTTTGTTTATTGTGTAAATATTCCAGTCTAAGGGTCCTCCTTTTCCTCTTCTATTTTATCATGGCCATAACTTCCGATTAGTATCGCAGACAAGCTTTACATACGAGTCAGAACATGAAAGATCAAGTGGACAAGAAGAGTTAGGTCATGAAATAAGTCATGTGTAGAACTATCTCTAGATGAATGAATCGAATATCCCTCTTGGACATATAGTATTAGAATGGCCGTGCTGTAGCTTGATATATTCTTGGTGTTCTCTAATTATCAATATCAAGGTGTGAATGCGGGGTGGATTGACCGGGCGGGTGAAGCCAAAAACAGTTCACAACTCCACTGGCAAGTAGTTACTTGACTAACTTACTACTCTCTCTCTCTCTCTCTCTCTCTCTCTCTCTATGCAACTCAGGATCAGCGTACCTCTCAACTCGACCATCTGTCTTCCCCTTGCAAATTACAGTCGGTAAGACGCACTACTCCAATACGTCTTTGATAAAAGTCCCACTGTCGTTTATCCATGCTGAAGTCCTCCAGCAGAATATCAGCGTCTCTGGTTCGGACGATGTCTTCCGCTCCTGGATATTCGCTGCGACAGCGCAGGTTCGCCCCATTGAACCCTGAGCTGAGCGCGAAGTCGGATGCGCCGCCTCTGAAAGGAATCGTGTTTGATGTTGATGGGACATTATGGTTAGTATTCTTTTGTCTCTTTTGGATTCTCTCTTCAAGTAAACGGTCACTTCCATGAAGTGGAAATAACATCATCTATTTGCTTTCGGGCGCGAGAATCTGTGATATGATCAACGAAGATTACCATGTCTTCTTCATGTTATTCCTGTTTCGAGACACGAATAGGTGGTCACATCTGAAGTTGTCTTCCATGAAGAGCTAACTTGGATTGGATTTCTGCCATATCAAAACACATTTGTCTTATACTGTTTGGTCAATATTTGGATTGGGCCGAGTTTCTTCCTATTTCTATTCAACAATTCTCGATACCTTACTCCAGCCATGTACAAAATAAGAAAAAAAAATCACGAAGGAAATAAAACTAACTGCAAATAGTCTCCCCCAGCACTACATGTTCGGAGAGATGCGGTATGTCAACCTACCAACCCTTCAAAACATCTCATTACACCCTCTCTAACGTTCCCCTCTTGCTATAACTTCCAGTGCAGCACTAGGAATCGACAAATCAGTCGACATCCTCGAACACATCCGGGGGCTGCCCACTCTCAAAGATCGCATGAAAGCCGTATCCAAAGTCCAGGAAATCGAGCGTGAAGCAATGCTCAAACAGCAGCCCCAACCAGGTCTTGTTCAACTCATGGACTATATCGAATCTAGAGGCATGAGGAGGGCCTTGTGCACGAGGAATTTCGAGTATGTGGGCCCGTTTCATCTCTTCCTCTTCTTTCCTTGGTTTCAGATCACTGTGTGATATGGCATGAATCATGCCACACGTCCACAGCACATATATCATATCCCCTGGTGAAGTGCACAGATATATACTGAACAGTCACCACTCCCCTCGATGCCCCCGCATACATATATATAGACTCGAAGTGCAGCCCACTAATTTCCTTCTTCCCCCCAGGGCACCGGTAACTCACCTCCTCCAGACGCATCTCCCAAAACACGTCTTCCTCCCCATTATCACCAGGGACACACCCGACCTTCTTCCCAAGCCCGATCCAGCAGGAATCCTGCACATCGCTAGAGAATGGGGTCTCGATAACCGCGCCGATAACCTCATCATGGTAAGTCAAAGCAGACCTTACACACACACACACACACACACACACACACATATATACATACATACATATATCATACACCCTAATCCCAATCCCCATCTTCTTCCTTCCAAATTCCATATACCATAAATCCCATTTCCATGATACATATCTAACGACATAACTTGATAAAAATAATTTACAGGTGGGCGACTCCATCGACGACATGACAGCCGGACACACCGCCGGAGCCGCAACTGTCCTGCTCCTGAACGACCGGAATACGCATCTGAAAGACCATGAACACACGGATCTATGTATCGAGCGGCTCGATGATCTCGTTGATATTCTGGAAAATGGTTTCGTGGGTCATCGCGGAGGTGACAAGGCCTCAACGGAAGGGAGGGAGGAGGAAGCGTGAGTTTCTTTTTTTTTTAAGGGCTCAGATGCTGCGAATCTCGCATTGAGAAAGAGTAAAATAAAACCCGATACTTTGAAACTATGTCTTTGGAAGATGGCGTTTAGTTAGTATGGGACACAGCAAGGGATAAGAGATTATTACGCGCATTATGTTAATGTCATAATGCAAGGTTAAGTTGAGGACTAGAGTTTTCTTTTTCATATCTGAGATTATTATCGCAAGGTCCCGACTGGGGTCCCAGCTATGGTATTTTGCTTAGACTAATCGCCTATCATCATGTTTTACACTGTACATGGCCGGTTTGTACATCACGGCACCAGTATGAGAATCGAAATCAAAGCAAAGTCCGAGTTTTGTGTTAAGCCGAACGTCACAGCGCAAGAATGCTGGAAAGTATCCGATTTTCAAACCGGAGAAAAAGAAAGCTTTTATGCATCACCCAGTGGATCATTTGGGAGAACCACCCATCCGTAACTCCCGGCTCGTCATTATCATAGTCTATGCTTGTTCCAGGCTTTCTTAGCTGCACTTGGCATAGGACGATAGGCGTCCCCGTTTTGCCCACGTCTGTTGCCACCTCCACGGCCACCACCGCGGCCTCCCCTGTCAGAGCCTCTTCCGCGTCGAGGCGGAGGCTGTCTGGGCGGGCCACGGGGAGGGGGAGATCGAGGTAGAGGCGGTTGCCAGCTGTCTTTCACCCGCGACTCTCTGCCACGGTAAGGTTCAGGGTTAGGAGACAGAGAGCGCTGGCGCGTATTGTAGCCAGGGTATTCATCTCGATCGCGGTAAGTGTCTCTCGAGTCATATCCAGATCTACGAGTATCTTGGGGCCCAGCTAGGTTTTTGTCCTTACCAATTCCGCTTCCAAAACGGATATTGGGACGGCCTTGGTTCCGGCCTACTGGGTTTCTGAGGGCCGGTCTTGATAGCATGTCATCGCTATCTGGGGTAGGCGAGCGTGCATCGGCACGCCCTCTGATCCTCATTCCGCCTTGGCGGCCGTTCAGAGCGGCTCCGCCTTTCTGACTTGGGACCACTGCGTTGATGTTTGTAATCATGGAAGGATCATAGCCCTTCAATGTCCATGAGGAAGATCGCATGGGTCGCGGAAGGGAAGGGCAATCTCCAACTAGGTGACGATTGCTCGTGCAATAGCAGCACGACAAAGACACAAGTACGGGGCCAGGGGACGGATGCCGTTTGGGGAATTTCCACATGTAGTCACAATCGAGTTCCAGGTGATCTTGTGAACCGCAAAAGTCGCATGGAACTTCTGCTGCTGTGCCTTTCAGGGCCGAGGAACACGCTGCATGATCATGTCCTCGCTCACGACATTTCTGGCATCTTCTCCAGGAAGGACAAAAGTTACTCTCATGTTGATTCCAAGCTCCGCAGTGTTGGCACTGGACTTCGTCAGTATTTAGTTGACCGCAAGGGAATTTCAGCTCCACGATGGGATATGAACCATCGTGGGTTGTGAAAAGGCATGCAGGAGCTTACCTCTTTGGAAGGACACACCTCCGCCAGGTGGCCTTCTTGAAAACATTCAGTGCATGTAACTGGTAGCGTAAGATCGAGATCATTCTCATCACGACCATAGAACACATACTTAACCTGGGTTTGGAGATCTTCATGGGCAAGGTCAGCAAGGGTAGAGGGGGGTGTCGGGTATCTACTGGAGAAGGAACGGAAACTGTCCTCCTTTGAGTGCAGTTTTGATGCCTCATTTGCGCTGCTTCCATTTGTCGTGGCAGAAGAATATTGACCGTGCCCGTTCACTGTACCGTTGACGCCCCCTTTGTGAGTAGCGGTCGGGAATGGATTCTCTTTCGAGGAAACACCACCGTCCTGTCTTTGGGCCTCCATGGTATTCTCAGGACGGGTACCGACATTGACCATAATGGAATCGTCTCCTTCTGAAATCTCCCCGGATTCTGAATCGTCAGAATGGACAAAGTAGGGGCCTTGGCCAGATGGAGCGGTGCTGGTATCCTTTGGTTGTCCCTCTGCAGGATCTGCCTTGCTATCCTTATTCTGTGATGACGTGACGTCCTCTCCCTCTTCCTCTGCTGTCGAGACAGAAGCACTGCGAGTGCCCCAGAATTTCTTATTCACCTCATCGAAACCGGAAGTGGCGACGTTGCTGTCGGGTTTGGATATCCTGCTCCCTAATTTCGTCCTGATCGCGCTTCTGCTACCTTGATTCCAATTAATTGCAGGAGCTGAACCTCGCAGAGGTGGCTGGCCGCTTTGTTCCTCTGCACCCTCACTGCCAGACTCGTCGTTCGAGGAAGTATCAGAGCCTGAACTTGACGTGCTGTCAGGTTTAGCATCCAAGGGGATTGCGCTGAACTTGGCACCCTGGGGAACGAAATCGCGGACGTCTGAGCGATCCGCCTGGCGTCTTTTTCTTGGACGACCTTTTGCTATGTTGCTGTCGTGGGAACTGGCTCGTGACGCGCCACTGGAACCACTGGTGCGGGTGCGCTGCAGGCCGACGGAGGCAGTGCGCGAGTCATTATCATCGCCAGGGGAAGCCGGCATGCCGTAGAATAGATCAGGGCCCGTCCGTATATCGGACGGTGCAGAGGAGAAGCGTCGTAGTCCAATATGGTAGAGGGGGTTGTGGATTGAATATTATTATGCCGTTCTGGGAAAGCAAGAAGAACAAATTTACGGGGAGCGGACTGGGCCAGAGACGATGCGCCTCTAGCGTGGATGACAGACGGCCGGCAGGATTTAGAAACAGGCGATGGACAAGATATCTGAGCTAGACTCAGGTGGCTAATCAAGAACCAGCTAGCGAAGCAGAGAAGTGAGTCTCGACCGTCGCATTATTGTTGGCTCCGTGTCTGAAGCTGGTCGATAACGCGGATGGCGGCACGTGCGGCCTCCCTCACGGCTCAATAATAATACCAGTAGATAATCTTTCGTCTCCCCAAAAAAAGAAGACTCCAAAACCAAAACCTCGCCGTTTCTCGCCCAGTCAACCACTTTCTCTCCATTTCTTTCCTGTCCAGCTGGTCTCTGTTCCTTTCTGTCTCTCCATCAACCTCTTCTCTGCTTCTCTTTGCTCTGCCGTTCACGCTCGCTCGCCTCCCTGCCTCCCTTACTGCTCCTGTCGGCTCCCGTGACTCCCTGCGGATCCTCCATCTCACAGCCCGGAACTTCTTCATCCTGCTGGCTCCGACGCGAAGTCCTGCTTCATCCACCACCCGACTCCACGAGTCTTCTCTCGGCTATACCACCTTTCTAGACAGTTTCTCGACAATACCGCCAAGGTGTCTTCCCTACTAATTCCCCGGACCATCTCCTTCCCTCCCGAGCTCGACACGGGGCCCCAGCGGCTTTCCCCGGATTCCAAGATGAGCCAGACGAAGATGGGAAGGAGAAGAAGGTCCAGCAGCATTATCTACCAGGAGCCTCCTGAGTCCATCGAGCATACCAGCGACCAGGCCGCCCTGCCCAATCTCAATGCCAACTGGGTCAACGCCAAGGGTGAGTGTGAATGTCCAAGCGTGGAGGGGGAGGGAAGAGCCCAGAAGAGCTGACAGCAGAAAACAGGAGCCTGGACAATCCATTTCGTTCTCATCATTGCCCTCAAGATCTTCTACGATATCATTCCAGGTGTCTCGCAGGAGACATCGTGGACTCTCACCAACATCTCCTACATGTTTGGTTCCTTCCTGATGTTCCACTGGGTGCGGGGTGTCCCATTCGAATTCAATGCGGGTGCATACGACAACTTGAACATGTGGGAGCAGATCGACAATGGCGACCAGTATACTCCGACGAAGAAATTCCTGCTCAGCGTGCCCATTATCCTGTTCCTCCTCAGCACCCACTACACGCACTACGATTTGACTTATTTCATTATCAATTTCCTTGCAACCTTGGGCGTGGTCATCCCGAAACTTCCGGTGGTAAGTGCTATGTCCGTCCATCCATCAGTTGGTCAGTTTTTGGGTGCTGATAATTATGCAGTTGCATCGGTTGCGGATAGGCCTCTTCTCCGAGGACTCAGATGAATCATAGTTCTTCAGTTTTCTTACCTTATCAATCGGCTCGATTTCATTGCACCTCTCTTAGCTCTCTCCTGGATCTTTCTTTGTGTCTGTACCATCGATCGAGGCTGGATATGAACCCCCCTGCTCGCGATGCGCTTTTTTTTTTTTCTATTTTCTTCTTTTCCTTTTCCCATAAGAGCTCTCCTTCTCTGTGTGTTTGTTGGACAGTCACGGTTTAGATAAGAAAAGGTTCTCAATTTGCACTTCGATGTCTTTCTCGACTACGATAACGCATGCCTTTCGACCTGCGCTAGGAGCGTAGAGTAACCTGAACCGCGATCGTCGGGTCCGGATACCTCCAGCCTTTACTGCGTGATACTTTTTTCTCCTGGTTGTGAATAGAAAGAGTTTTCGTCCAGATATAGATAATAGATATCTTTGCCGATTATTGGCGCTACTTCTGCTTATCTTTCCCTTTGGAGGCATTGATTGATTGATGGTGTTGAATGCACATGGAGCATTGGTATCACCCACCCAGATTGCCCAGATCTCGGGCCGATAATTAATTCAGTTGCCTGAAATCTCACCGGTCGGTTTGTCATGGACAGAAGACAAAGGACAGGGTGCTCCGCCACCGCCACGAGGTGAGATGCTGGACTGGATATGGATGGTATTACATTCTGATATCGAAAGATAGCGGTGACACATCGCATCCTTCCTCCACTCTTGTAAGTTGTGACGCGTGGATATGGTCCGTGCGGCTCAGCAGTTCCCAAGTTCCCGAAGAGCTTTTTTTGAGGTTGCCTGATTACGATCCCTGCGTGCCATTATTACTATCTGTCTGAGGTGGACTGGTTGCAACCACTAGGAACTGGTGGAATCAGTTAGATCACGCTGAAAAGATAATCTAATAATCACCACAAGCAAATAACTATGTCTGATAACTAGCTCTACGTGGAGTCAATGCTAGTTGTCACCTGCAGTCAGAAAGCCAATTTGCACTTTTCCCTGTTACCAAGCTTTGGAGTGGCGAGACCAAAATAATTTTGGGGGTTCGACTAACTTATCTACCTAGCTATTATTATTATCCAAGAATGATGTGGAAATATAGGGATAACAATTAACTATCCGGCTAACGATCCCGGCTAGCCACGTTGACTATTCAAAGCACCGACGTTGGCGCTACTATTAATATCGAATTGATATAGTTACTGTAATTAAATATAACTAAGAATGGGCACTTGGAACAATAACGCGCGGTAAATCCGTCTAGCTTATTCTACGCCTGTTAACATGTCTCAGTCCCCCTGACGTTGTGGTAAAGAAAAGAATCACGTTGTGACTACTATGAGCTCCGCCAGACAGCAGTGGATCACTAGTGTTTTCAGTAGCTAAATTGCCTGTACCAGTAACTAGATCTCCTCCTCATTAGAGCAGCGCTGGTGAAGTTGCTTTGCTTTATTGTTATCTCTTGATTTGTTGAAACTTGCAAAGGGAGATCGACGGAGATCTGCTTATGTCATCATACACGTGAGATCATCAATCTACGCGCTCGAACTGTCAGGTTGGAAACATGCAGGATGTGATTTTATTTTCTAACTATCTGTCGAGAAATTATGCCTGTTTTTCTCTATAGTAGAATACTGACTGTCGTATGTGCATGCGAGTGTTGAGTACGCCCAGTTTGAGATATGGTCAACTGCGGCGGGCTACTGCTACTACTGCAGCTCCGTATCGATAAGCGTCGCGTACAACGCGACTTCGCATCCCCGATCAGCCAATCCGTTCATCCTCGCCACAGGAACTAGACATTTTCTCTCCTTTACTTCGTGGCCATGGATGACCAGGACGAGGCCTCGTTGCCTACCTATCGTCCTGTAAAACCTCTACCATTCGAATTGCGACAGCATTGCGGCATCTATTTCGAAGAGAAGCTCTGTTTGTCGTCCCGCGCGGTTCCTCACATTTTATCTGTATGCGCTGAACACTGACCAAGATAATATGACTAGATACTCAAGCTCTTGGTCTCCTGCTTAGTATATTAACTTCCGGTACAGTCGCCTCAGGGACTGCCTTTGTGCCATCGCCTCAGCACCTCGCCCTGGCGGCTACATTCGTCGTGCACCCATCCACCACGACGCGAGCCAAAACCACCGAGGAACGAGAGGCTGCCAACGCTGCTTTGCGATTGCTACGACTTACAAACACATTGGTAGGACCTATATCAGCCAAGTTGGACACGGCATTCTCATTCAGGCGATTTGACTCGTCTCGTCATGGAGGAAGGCGGCGCGCAGATGATACCGCCGTGTCGAGAGAGTTGCGCGACGAGGAGACGGAACCGCTGAACTTGGAAATGGGACAGACTGGCTCACTATGGTTTCGGGCGGAGGATTTCTGGCATGCAGTGGGCTGGGCGTTCAATTGTTCGGTCCTCCACCCCAAGCGCTGGGAAAGATGGCAACTATGGCTGCAGTTCATGTGCGAAGTGTTGGAAGACGATTGGAACGAGCGGATCAAACAGCTTGAGATAAATGCTAGCAGTGAACCCATAACGCCCAGCAAGCGACGGGAGCGGTTACTCAAGCAGAGCCTGATATACAAGTACCTGGCCTCTGGCAGTGCAGGTCACGGCCAGAACCGTCGGATCCTACGAGCTATCTTTGCGGACGGGAGTGGGAGTGCGAAGAATGAGTTTCGTGAGGTGTTCAAGAACGAACTGAAGGAACTGAAGCGAGATGATGAAACGCTTAAGAAACGACAAGCGGATGTCAATATCGATCAGGACGAATATGGTGATTATCTCTCCAAGGATGAAGACGAGTCTGACGGGACCGATAACACATCGAGGACGCGACCCAAGCGGCCAAGGAGGATGAAGAATAAGGGGTCGCCAGAGGATATTCCAGACGTGGCTGTCGTTATAACTAACCCACTATCCGATACGATATACGCAAAGGGCGGCGTGGCTTCATTTGGCGGATTCCAATCCCTCGCCCTTCGTCAACGCCTACTCCATATCCTATCCATGGTCTCTGAGCATTTGCCAAAAGCATTCATGCCCCTTGAGGAGTTATATCACCTCTTTGTCGAGAACATTCGCCATCTTCCCCTCCCTGCCTTCCAAGCATTCGTCTCACCAAACGTCCTCCCTCACTTCTCCCCCGCCGAGCACAGCACTGTCTGCGAATTCCTCCTCTTCCGCATGCGCGAGAGCGACGCACCAGAGACAGACGAACCTTACCTAAATCAGAAGAAATTGGAAGAATGCTACCTCCCCTGGGCAGCCAACACAACAACGGCAGTCGATAACGCCAAGATGTCCATTCTTCTAGAATCTCTCCTCAGTCTTCTGGCCCAGGATGGTCTACTCACTATCACTGAAGAACTGAAGCAAGCGGTCGTCCAGGGTATTCAGGCGCGCACTGACAAGGCACAAGATGAAGTTCGACGGAACCAGAATAGACGGAAAGTGGAAGATATCGAATGGTGCTGGTTAATCGAGAGCGGGGAGCGATTGATATCCCTAGTCGAGGACATTCTGCCTTTGGCAGAGCAAGGATGAATAGTTATCTATCCACCGCCGTGGATTCAGGAATGAGTCACCTCACGCTGACAATGCGCCTATTTTTCACAACGACCCACCTCCTCCAGGGTACGCAATCTCATCTCATGCGCGCGACACGGGGTGCAGAGTGAGTGAGTGAGCGTACGACAGTCAACAGTCTTTCACTGACCAACGAAGGGTTCCGACCAAGGCTCTCCGGAGAAACATAATATCTACATGATCCACGACTTCGCGACTACACCGTGGCTATTCACTAGTCAACAGAGCATATTCTCCTGTATCCCAAGCAGTCGAGCCTCGTGGTGTATACACCGCACCCGCTGAGACATGATCTTCTAGGCATTGAATGCCAGAGAAACAAGAGAGACCTCAAATAAAATATCATTAATACCCCCTTTCTAAGTATGCTCTATAACTGTATTGACTATTACCTATCATTAGCTGGAATAATGAATACATCATGCACCTAGCGTCTAACTCAGAATTAATACGAATAAAATAACTTGACTAGTTATAACATTGATCCGTGTCTGCAATTTACCTACCCTAAACCCCCATAAAACGAAAACATCTAGAATAACACTAAATTCTACACCGACATTTTAGAGACTTGACGTATCAATTTTTTTCTAATGATTCCTTTTTTTGTTGACCGGATCAAGAGTAGAACTAAAACACTAAGAAGCATTAAGATAGACTAAAAAGGGGGGAGGAAATATAGTATAGACGGGGAATATTCAGAACACTCGAAGATTGATGGTGTTTCCGAAAACACGACACGACACGACACGACACGACAGGAACAAAAGAGATAACGAAGAGGGGTAGTAGAGTGGTTGAAAGAAGGGACAAAAAAAAAGAAGTTGGCTTGAAGGGAATAAAGAGGGTAAGAGTTCGGGGTTATGTGATATGTGATATGTGCTTCGGGTTGGGAGGGAAATATGGTAAGATGGGGTAGTTTGCTATAGTCAAGTCCATCCTGCCTTTTCCCACTCGCGGATTGCCTTTGAAAGAAATGAAATATTTGGGGAAAAGAAGTTTATGGTGGTGGTCTCGGTCCAATAATTTGTCTTCTGGCTCCTCCGATTCCTAGACCAGGGCCACCTCGATTCTGATTGTCACCGCCCATGAAGCCATACTGGTGGACATCCCAGGCACCTTGGCCAGGACCAACACCGACATCGTCCTTGAGACCCTTCTTTGCGGCTTCGGAGGTTTGTTTCTGACCCTCTTCCCATTCGCGCTGGCGTTCACGTTCACGCTCCATCTCCCGCTCAAGGAGAGATTTGGAGGCCCAACCACCGGCGCGGGTCTTCTGCTGTGCGGCTATACGGCGGCTATTCTCTGCGTCAATCTCAGCGGTAGAAGAGTAGTCTGCTGGTCGATGGGATGATGGCTTAGGGGGGGATGGAGCTGGGTTTGAGGCAAGGAAACGGTCGGTGCGATTGGCGTAGGCGCCTGGACTAGGGAGCGGACGAGGTGAGGTCTGGGCAGCGACTTTGGGATCAGGGAGTGGTCGGGGTGATGTTTGTTGAGCGGCTTTGGGGTCAGGGAGCGGCCGACCTTGTCTGGGAGGTGTCATTGGCGGTGCTGAGAAGTCGTCTTGCTGTTGCTGCCATTCCTTGCGTAGCAGTTTGCGTTCTTCTTCGAGGGATGAGAGGTCGTAACTCGGTTGGACTGGACGCGGATGACTCCGGCTACGTGAGCGATTGTCTCTTTCTTGCTTTTCACGTAGGTCTAGTCTCTCACGTTCATATTGGCGCTCACGCTCCTTGGCCAGCTCAAGTTCCCGCTCAAGTTCCTTAATACGCTGGCTCTCCGCCGTCTCGACTGTCCTGGGCGGCGACTTCGGTTGGTGGGCTTGATACTGGCTGAGGAACTGTCCGTTGAGGCGGGCGTCACTCAAGCCTCGAGTGCGCTGTCGTTCTCGGTTGAACTTCTCCTCGAGTTCCTTTTCCTCCTGGAGACGACGTTGCTCTTCCTCCTCCCACTTCCGCTGTTCGTCGTCCCATTTCTTTTTCTGCTCCTCAACCTCGCGGCGCTCGTTCTCCCTCAGTCGTTCTGTTTCCTCTGCCCATCTGCGCTCTTCTTCTGCTCGGGCGTTAGCTTCCTCCTCTTCTCTCTGGATCCGTCGCCGTTCTTCTTCTTCCTCCTGAGCTTGCCTACGACGGCGTTCCTCTTCGGCTGCAGCCTCCCGTCTCTTCTTTTCCTTCTCGGCCAAACTGGGAACCGCTGGTAATGGACTGGTTATCTGCCGTCGCGCACCAAATGTGACACCTTGATTAGCCTGACTTGCACCGCCCATGTAGCCATACTGGTGGATATTCCATGCCGGTGCCGTGACCGTTTCGTCCGTTTTCCTGCTCCAGCTGCTCACTGGAGCTCTGGGCGATGGCGAGCCCCCCTTTCCAGGGCTGCTTCGCCCGGAAGTTGTTGACGCGGCTGCCGGACTCAGGGCACCAGGGTTGCTGGCGTTGCTAGCTCCTCGTGGTCTGGTGCCAAGCTGGCTTTGGCTTGAACCTGTCAACTGAGGAGTTACTGCACCTGCTTTGCTTTTGGCTCCCAGTGTCCGGGGGAACTTGGCGGGCTCGATAGCATTGGCCCTTCGGCTGAAAGCCCCCAAACACTGAAGTACCTGGGCAGGGTCCTTCGATTCGTAAAGATCGACTGTAAGGAAGACATCATGTGGTGGGAGACTGAGCGGCGGCATCTGAATTGCGCGGAGGAAATGGGAAATATTTTCCATCTGTACAAATGGCATAGACGACTGCTTGTACTTGACACCTGGAGAGACCGCGAGATTGACTAGCCTGGATCACGGTCAGTAAGCATCTGTAGCGCGGATGGAGACGGAAATGGCGTACTTGCAGAGAGCGACACCATCTTTCAGCGCAGCAATCAAATCCCCGGAGGACAGTTTCTCATGCAGCACTTCCTCAATCCATTCGCGCACTTCGTTGGCGGCCTGCGGGGTATACTTGGACAGGCGCATGTTGCGCAGGTCCCTATCCAGCGATGAGACTGACGCCATTTTGATTGATCACCAACCACTCTCAATTTCCTTCGACACAGATCTGATGGATCATCCAAGGGTGGCGCGTTCTCGAGAACTGGCTGTCCAGATGTCAGCCCAAGCTGGGCAATGTAATTTATCAGGCGTCAGCAATAATAGCTAAGCGGGGAATCCCGGCAGCGCAAGAGTATCGCGGGAGTACGGCGCGGGCAGATCAAGAGGGAGTGAAATTTGGAAGAGGACAGACAAACAGAAGAGTCTGTAATTAGCCAACGCCTCGAGAGAAAAAGGGAGTAAAGGGAATGAAAGACTCAGGAGGTCGAGTCCGAGAAATGGGATAGCCGCTGGCCCTCACTTTAGGAGTAATTATAATTAATTAATAAACTCCACCGGTTGATGACGTCCCTGCTGGTCCAGGCGCGGATTCTCGAAAAATCGCCGGACGACACTAGAGGCAATCCACCAGCAACGCCTGCTAGTCGATCTTCCCAATCGGACACTTGCCTGACTCGAAGGGGATTCTCTACGATCCGAGACACGATGACTATCAATAGTCTCTGGTTCAAATGGAAGGGCCTGCGTTTACCGTGGCGAAAATCCTTCTTGGTCGGTATGTTCCTTCTCCGCCATGTCTCACTGCCAGTGAACGGGTCTCTAACGGGGGTTCTCTAGGCCAAGATCTCGCTGGAAATACATATTGGGAGTTCAGGGATTCGTTGAACAGTGGGAGGTTCAGGCGTATTGTGAAGTACAACCCAAAGACGCACTATGGAGACGTTAAGGTCAACCGTGAGTACCATGTCGGTTCCTGACAGGAATCAACCAGCACTGACTCTGGCAATTTTCCTCGTAGCACAATGGCATCAATGGCTCCGTTACGTCCGCCCCGAGCCTCCTACGATCGAAGAGCAGCAGCAAGACCTCATCCGGCAACAGCAGCTCAAGAGACTGGCCCAACTAGCTGACGAACGTTGGGCCAGCAAGCCTTCCTACCTCGACAGACCACAGACTCAACAACCTGCGCCGGCCCTGCGGACAAGTGATGCAACAATGTCGGACCAGGGTCGTCCAGCTCCTAGTCCAGAGCAAGTCGGTGTCAGGAACGCCGTTGAGGACCAGGCTACACTCCAACAACAACAACAACAGAGCGGCACAGAGAAAGCTGCCAAGAATCCCTGGGCCAAACAGACTGGCGTACCAGGGGCGGATTTTGAGCCAGAAGCTTGGACACCAAAGGCCTCTCAGAGATAGAATTATTCTCTCCTGGTCCGGATAAAATAACTATACCCTTCTGATCCATATATTTGACCCATTCATTTGGGACCCTTGCATTACCATAGCGATCGAGACTATGTGATGCTTTCACACAGCCAGGGCGAGTGTCCATATTGTCAGCAGTGCACATAACTGAGTGCCAATCACTTCCTGACTGATTTCTCTGCGACCGCAGTAGACCATGACTAGCCCGCTGCATTCGATATATATCTCGATATGAGCAGCCATATTTGCTATCTTCGATGCTGGTTCACGTGAGGAAATTAGGTCGTTTCTACCAGCCAGCGGACACTCTACTTCATGCTTGATATGTGCGACTTGTTCTTTAAGAAAGAAACTCTATTGCTGCAAAACATTTTGTCGCACGTCTTTGACCGAGGTCCACATGGAGTTTTACTTACGATGTTACGGACAATCTGTACTATCACATAGTGTATCAATACTTGATATTGTTTCTCTTCTAATCATAATCGCATGTTACTTGCATCTCCAAAAATAGCTTGCTCGTTATACCCGTTTCTGTACCCTTACGGAACCAACCTAGGCCCACGGGATCCCTACCATGGACACCTCTTCGAAGGCATGCTTAACAATGCGGCACCCACATAAGAAAGATTGTCACATCCAAGTTCCATATCATGTCACCGGCATTTCCCCCCTTAAAACCCGGCCTTTTCTCCCCAGGCACGCGCCGGAAACGGCATAAGCCCCAGTCCCACCACAATGGCATAGGGAAATCCATCAAATACCCCATAACCCATTGTATTTAACTTCAACAGGAAATACTAATGCTTGCGGAAACCGATAACATAGTCTACTTCTTTTTTTTCGATTTTACCCAACTAACACACGACGACCCATGGAAATGTGCACCCGCGGGGAATCGGGAGATCACCACACCCACCTCGGTCCGGTACGTGGCATTCTTTTTCGAGATATGTGCAGTTTATTTTTACATTGTTCAATGTCAGTTGGTTGTGTAGGGAATTTTATCTTTCTACATAGATGTCTGGCCGGATCTATGCAGGTCTTGTGATTCATTGTGGCTTGTGCGTAGATCTTAGCTATCTGGCGCGGTGGGATATGATAATTACGATACATATTATTACTTTACGCCTGGGTTTGGATTCATTGCATTCATTGTGTGTATGAGATGCTGTTGTGCGACGGTGGCTGGTTTCATGAAATTATACGGGGTACCCCGTCCTCTTGCACATACGAAACCGAGCGATTATTTGAAACTGGCGTAAGTTAGAAGCTGTTCTTTTTTTTTTTGTCTGGCTTTCCCTGCTTATTATCTGCAAGAAATTGGTAAATATGGAGGGAGAGGAGATACTTTTTCTCAGAATTGAATATAATAATCGATTATGTTTCTAAGATATTAGAAACTACTATAGAGTATATCTCTGAACCCCACTGTATAATGCACAAATGTGTATAATGTTTATACAAGACCCAACCCATGAACCGGATCCGAACCAAAACCGAACAGAACGCTCAAAAACAGCCACCGGATGTAATATATCCGCTTCGCAAAAACACCGCACCCAAATAGTACAATTATAGCCCGGAAATTTCCCTTTAACATAGTACAGCCTCTAGTGCTTCCACATCTCCACCAGCTCTCTTCACTGCCATCAGGGCAGCTTCACTCAGCTTGCGCCGCTTGTCGCGGGCCTCCTGCTCTCTCCGAGCCTTCGTCTTAGAGCTGCCACTGGGGGCCACTCCAGTCAGGATTTTCCTGCTGTCATTTGGTGTAAAGTTGACGAATGAGACGCTAACTGTCTTGTTTGCACCGTTAGGGCTTCCAGCCTTGACTGGCTTCGGCGCGCTCGCCGATTGGGATGAAAGTTTGCGGCTGTGGTTGCGACGGTGGCCAGCCTTCATGTTGGTTCCGGTACGTGCAGCTGCCCCTGACTTCGGAGACGTAGTCGGGGAGACAGAGGGCGATCGTGGAGACGACTGAGTAGCGTGGACGCCACGAGGAGTCGTGAAAGGAGAGTTCTTGGCGAACGGTTGCTGGGGCCCCGGCACGTGAGCATAGGATCGGTCTTGGCCCGCAGACTGTAAGGTAGAGGAAGAGAAGGATGATTCTGGAGCCGACATATCGAACGACGGATCGAAATTAATCATTAGACCGCCCTGCAACAGATCACTGTGATTCGTGTTCTGAGTCGGTCGATGCGGGAGCGGTGATACCAGGTACGGGTTCTGAGCCTGTCCTTGAGTGGCTGGCGCGACTCGCGAGGCCATCGGCGACCACCAGGCCTGCGGATCATGACTCTGAAGATCAGGGGTGAAGGGCATGGAGGGAGTGTTAAGGGCATCTGCGTGCCATGAAGGCATCGGCTGGGGCTCCGAAGAATGCGGGGAGTGGAAGATCTCATCGGCGGAGGGGGTACTAGAGGCAGACATGGCAATAGAGCCGTGATGGCTTAGATATCTCTGGCGCTGAGGGATAGACATCGCCGATGCCTGATGAAACATGTTTGAATCGTAGTTGGTTGGCATTTCTGCCGAATCTCTCATCAAGCCACCGGAGGGAGCGCTGCTCGACATGTGCATCTGCGCGTGGTTGTCAGGCTGCATAGTCTCGTGCTGGACAAGAATGTCGGATGGTGGTGGCGAGAGAGGAAGACGCTCATCTGAGTTGCGGAAGTGGTAGTTCTGCAGCCTCTGAGCCCAGGCCTCTGGGTACGCCATCTTCGTCTTCTGCATATGCGAAGAGCGCATCAAGCTTGGAGAGAAACTGTGCTTGCGCAGTAAGGCACGACGATCATTCGTCTCGCGGCGGCGGATGGTCTTTGGAGTTATTATAGCGCTCTTAGAAGGTTTTCGGCTCGGCGTAGCCGGAGGGGTAGATGGAGATGTGGAGATTAGCCCGGGAGCTTCTGCAGGGCGGGACGAGGATTCGAGGTTCAGGCTAAGATCTGAGATCGCGGATGGATGTATGGTATCATGGAAGCTGAAGGTTCGTTGGTCGACAGAGGAAAGTCCGTCGTCCTGCATACACCAGAGCCCTTTGCTCCAGGGCTGGGGTGAGAGAGGGGGTTGCCTTGAAGAAGAGCCAATAGGTGATAGATCGCCACAGTCACTTGAAAAGGAGGCCGAGGGGAAGAGTTGCTCGATATCACTTGAGGTGAATGGTACTTCTTTGTTGCCGTCACCAGTCGAGTCCATGTTGACGTATTCATTGAATATATCATTGAAAGATTGGTCGAAGGATGGGGCGAACATCTTGATGGCTTTGTTTTCCGTTTGCGGCGATGGGAGGAAGGGTGCCGTTGACGAGTTGGCCAGAGTTGACGGTGATTGGTGATAAGGAGTCAGACAGGATCCTCACAAGAAGCCGGACAGTACTCGATCCACAATTGGAGTGCAGGTACTCCCGACAATCCGTCAACAGCAGGCAAACAAGCCGAATCGATTGTTGTCAATGTTTGACAGACTGTCAATCGAAGAAAACAATTGCAATGATGCAAAGAAGGCAAAGCAAACAAACAGAGAGATCGTGCTATTTGAATAGCACGGAGGAAGGGCATCCAGCCCCCGGGATTCACTCAACATTCCATCTGGTCTAAAGATGGGACGCTGGAATGTGCAGTTATCGGGGAGGCTAGCATTGACAGCCCGCGAAACGTCAGTCAAGCCAATCGTGGGAAGCTCCCGGCCAGCACGGCCAAGCAGGTGCTTGGGAAGCAGGAGGTTGGACATTCCTGGCATCCATTTCTTCCTACAGGAGCCACTCTTAGGAATGCAGGTACTAGTTTAGCCGAGTCAGTCAGACCTGTCGAAAACTTGGCGCCACTATGGTACAGCACGGCAGAGAGTAAAAATCATAATGCTCACCGATTCCTTACTAACAGTTAAGATTTGGAATTCAAGAGATGTATTGTCTGGATAGTCGGGTATAAGGCGAGTCACGAAGTGATTTATTCTCCTGGACATCCATCGATTGGTCCCCATCCTGACTTCAGGCTCCACCAGCTGGGAGTGTAAGCGTCACGACTTGGGTTTTGTCAATCCAGCTGATTGACAGGCAAGACAAGGTTAACTTAGTGCCCATAGTGGACTCGAATGATGAACTGCAGTTCGCGAGTCATGTCGATCAAGAGATCTCCTGCCAGGATCTTGATTTGTCCTCGTGCACGGACGGACAAGTTGGCAAGGGCTCTGGAATGCTGAGGCAGGACGGAATTCCGGCCCTGACCAGCAATGCTTAGATAATTTGGAATGCGAGAGTCACCCGTCCCGTAAGAATAGAAACACTCATTGCTTTGTTGGTAATGTCTTTTTCTTGTTTGTGATGCGACAGGAAAGATCTGCGTCGTATGTTAGTTCTATTTCTCGCACTCAATGCCTACCAAGTAATCTTTCTTGGTTGAATACACCTCTTTGGTGCTACCATATTGGCGTCTCTAGAAACTTTCGAGCTTGAATCCGCTATTGAATGCTGCGAGACGTCGCAATCTGTCAACGACTCTAGTTTCGCAGCCGCCTCCAGAAAAAACTGCAGTGACAATAACTTGGACATACCCTTCATGTTCGGCATAATCTCGTGCCGTTGGTAGGAGCCACTAAGCAAAGGGGAGTCAGCAACTCCGAGTTCTTTGTTGTCGTGGCTGTGATTCCAAGAGACGGGAATGGTTGCTGTATTGCAATTTCGTAAGAGCACCGGAGACGCTTTCTGGCCAGTGACCAAGTTAGGTATTCACAGGTAATGGAAGCTGGTTGTCTGTTGACACGGAATAGACATTCTGTTCATGGTCTTGAAAGGGCCTCGGTCTTCGCAGCCCAAAGGTCTCATCTTTCGCAACAGAGACATTAAGCCATTGAGAAGTATAGACGAGTTGTCCGATCACGAGACCATGAGTAAGAGCCAGATCGATGGAGAAACAAACAGACGACGGATGCAGAAAAGCACAAACCAATAGCTGACATTTCAATATTGTTTTTGACTACTGGGTTAGTCTAACAAGGTCAAGGCAGTAAATAACTCAGTAGCTTCGAAGCAGAAGCCAACTCAACAGAGTCGTTTCACCGGTGTGTTATCATCGCCAAGGCTTCTAAGAGCAAGGTTTCTCTGTTGATATATCATTATCCACGGGGGGTATATCTGTCCCAGACCACCAAGGGACTCAGGAGGAGCCTGTTCGTTGGCACTGGCCTCGTTACTGTAGGTAAAACACAACAGATCATGACGTAGGTTTAGGTGACAAAGACCTTAGATGATGAAGTATGATAAGTTCATGGCGCAGAGGACTTGATCATGAAGAAAGAAGAAGGCGGCACTTGACAATAATCATAATGTCCATCACGCTGTACAGTCGCGTTTGTGTTGTGGTTCTATTTCTGTGCCTTTTCTTGGCGTCGAATAGCTGAGTCAGCAAGCCCTAGAGATGCCTGAGTCAGCATGACGTTTCCGAAACCGGAATAACGTTCCTGCCGGGCCGAACGTCCCGGAAGCGCCAAGAAGACGAAAGGAGTCAGCAAAGGCAAGAATGATGTCTGATGTTCATCCCCAGAAGTCATCTTCTGTCCCTACTCTAGAGCACACTTTGTTTACCACTGCCTCGTACAGTCTGGGGGCTATTGACTGCGAGAAATTCCTTTGTTGCAACGGATTCACCGGACGCTTGAATACGCGCCTTTCATCGGACCCCACCTTTCTAGGCTACTCGGCTCCGTGCGGGGAACTGAGACTGCCACAGTGATTTAACTCATCTTCGCTGTCATCTATTCCATATAAACCTCCTGGGAAGAGCCTTGGGGAGTTTATTTACGGAACTATTTATCTTCTCAGCTGGTATCCCGTTACCTGCAGTACGAGACGCGTGCCATCCCATCCCGGATATCCAGAGACGCGTACCGGTCGACCGGTCAGCGAGCTTCAAAAACCGCTAACTATATGTATCATTGTATGGAGAACATCAAGAGAAACGTTCAGTTCAAAGAAGAAGTTGCAGAAAATAACCGAGTCGGTCCTAGTCGTGTTGGAGCAGGTCAACATCAACGGTGTCAGTATCATCGGTGCTCTTGTCGAGGCTATATTCGGCGTTACACCTTATGGTGAACTGAATCCCAACCCGTGTTACTATTGACTTTCCAACAATGTACATGGTGAAGATTTTGGCTGGGGTGAACCCTATTGTTCACCCTTAAAGCCAGAATCTCTATTCACATTACAGGATGGACTCTGTTGCCTGCATTGTCGGGGGCCGCCTGTGCCATTCACTCAAAAAGAAGTGAACAGAACACAAACATCACAACAACGAATCGAAGACCAGCCACCGATTTTACTCTCGAGTATCCTTACAACTCTGCGCAACGGAGCAATCTGTTTTCCACGACTTCACCTCAACCACCACCACTGCAGTTGCTTTATTATTCCTCCTACGCATCGAACTCATATTCGAATATCTAACTGAGGGATCTTGACTTCTCGGCTTTGGGAATAATTGTATCCTGTGGGTGCAGTCATGGAGTCTTTTCAGATTCAGGATGCTTCTTGGGATCGTCTGTCTTCCGTGTTTTCCAATCTCGATCTTTCCATGTCTCAGGACAGTTCATATGGATCCGATGTGCAGTCTTCCAGCACAGAACACACTTCTGTCACTACGTCTCCGGTGATGTCCTCTGTTCCCAATGCCAAAGTCTCTGTTACGCGACCACTCAAATCGATCCTGAAGAAGCCCGAAGAGGCGCATGGAAACGACGATGGTGACTCTGATTCTGAATCTGGATACGAATCTGAACCTTCTGAGTATGACTTTGACCACTCTCTTGACTCGGACCCTTCCGATCTTCATTACTGTGAAGGTAAATTTCCAAAACTACGAAGATTCAACATGCATCTGACATCTAACAGAAGAAATTTTCGACTCCGAGGACGACTCGGATGATTCCTCCGAGATTGGTGATCACTCTGAAGAGAGTGATTTCGTATTTGACGACTCCCTCGTTGTTTTCGAGCCTTGTGTTCGCTTCGACTCCAGGGTTAGCTACATCGAAGCGCCTTCTTTTGACGACGATGATGTCGATTCTCAACCTGAAATGACCGTCCATGAAATGATGGAACTAGCCCGGGCTTCTGGCGGTCTGAAAATCCTTCAAAATGATACCGAAGAAGACTACAGCGAAGATGAATGCTGTACCGACAGGGACATCATGGCCGGCCCCGAAGAGCACACGCGCGATGATGTCGAAATTGACAGAGAACTTTTTCTCGCTTATATGAACGGTATCAATGGAGTTCCTGACCACGTCTACAAGCCGCGCCTTCAGAGTCGCGCCAAGGCTATCAGAGAGGGTCTTGCGCACAGTCCGTTCTTCGAATCGGAGACCGTTTACGGCACTTACTTAGATCATGTTCTGAACCACGTCATTGGCGTTTTCCGCAATATTGTCGTTCAGGACGAATTATATGAGCTCATCCGTTTGAGTGAGTCGAAGGTTGCTATGGAGCATCAAGAAGCATCTCAACGGGAGGTTGAGAACTATACCAGGCATATCCTGGAGAAAATCGAGCTGTTGTTATCCGACCGTCTTGCTCAGGGCCAGCTCGAATTGGACCAAGACGAACTCAGTTTCTTCGCGGGAGGAGTTCTTTACGCCCTGGAGAATTGGACCATTTACACCAATGGCCTGTGACGGGGAAGCGCCACGCGCGATATAGAAGAGTCAACTCTCCTAAAAAAAAAAATTGGCAGAAAGAAGATCTGAGATTGAAAGGCCTACGGGCCCAAAACGGTAACGTCGTTTGCATGGGTCGGAGCTAGGATTACATCCCCATCACGCTGGCGTACATGGGGATGGGAGCTGGGAGCTGAGGAGGGCGTTTTTTTCCATTTTCGGTTGATAACGAGAGGGGCCACCAGGTTCCCCCTCGTAATCTCGGCACGACGACGCTGCTCATCGCACATGTGTAGCTACATTAGTAATCGTCAACTGCTTTGAAAAAAGTCATTCGTATATTGCTATCCATTCTTTAATCGAAGTGGGGTTTCAAATGAGTTCTTCGTAGCGGGCTGGGAGACCCTGGCAGAAGTGGACGCGCTGGTCCCTTGAAAACTTATCCATATGCGCTTGACAAAAGAGATTCCTGTGCCTTTTGCTTATTGGATGTAGTGATAAGACTATGAGATCATATGCTTATTGGATCAGACCTCTCATGCCCGCTACAGTTGTAAATATTAGTGCACAATACTCTCCATGTGTGAGCGATCAGATGAGGAAGCTCTCTGTTATAGAGCATTCGCTATTCTGAGCCGGCGTGTACATAGTTGACTCCCTAGTGATTTACGAACATGGCATGCGACTTGCTGCAAGGCTTGCCTTTACTATTGAGAAGTGAATGGATCTATCACTACTTAGCCATTAACCGTCGACTATCTATTGAATGACTCCCTGTCGATCTGATCTAGGCTACATGCATCAAACTACATCCTCGTTCTCTGAGAACAGTAACTTGGCATGGACTTACAGGTCTAAGTGAAAAGTAATAGCAGTAGCAGTAATAAAACAGATAGGCCAATAAATAAACTATGAATAAACGAGATAGATTGAATGTTATCGGTGTTTCTGTTGTTGACTTCGCTTGATCTGTTGGATGTTCTATTGAAGCCGCCCCTCGCATTGCTCATTCCAAGGGGAAAGAAGGAAAAGAAGAGACTAGATTTTCTACACATTAGACACACTCTGCTCGTTGAATACTTGTGATCCTGAAATATTAGGCGGGAAGGGATTGGACACATAGTATAAGCATGAATGCGCAATATTGCACAATATATTGGGTAGTTAATAATAGACCATTAGGTAGGTTTCCCGTAGTGTAAGTATTATATATTATGAATGACTTTTTGCAATGCGATTCCACGCAAGATAGTACTATGTGAGCGAGTAGAGAGGTTTTGGTCCGGAAAATTGTCTATTATAATGATTTATTATCTACTTGTCCAAGAGATAGTTAGCCGGCATGATAATTTAGTTATACAATACATACTCCGAAGATACCCTAGATTGGGTCTTCTGCCGTTTTCGAATATGTAACGTGGCACACGCCACGCGAGTATGCAAGTAAAGGAATTTGTCGTTATGGTATATCAGGGGAAATCTATCACCCTGTCACCTGCATGTTGAGTGGATTAGACGTTTGCGCTAAGCACGCCAAAGTACTTACGGAGTAAGTACACAATGTGACGAGTCTCCTTTGCCACAATAATAGGAATCCGATATCCGGAGTCCTGGGACCGCCCAGAAATAAGAAAAAGAAAAAAAAAAAAAAAAAAAGGAACAAAGAAAGAAAATTTTACTCTATAGACTAAAGCATAGTGGAAGGAGAAAAGGGTGAAAAATTCTCCGAAATGGATTGGATACTAAATAATACGCATATTCATCGTATTCTGCCGGCCTTGCCCAACGGCTAACTAATAGTTATTGCCTTCTTTTACGAAGCGGGCGGCGAAGAAGAAACCAGTTCATTGAGGTTTAGAATTTTAAGTTTGTTTCAGGAGCCGATTATTGAGGATTGTGTCTGCCACGTTCCTTTCCCCATGTATCTATCTAGGGCTGATGAAATCCAGTTTTTGGGACGTGCGAGCCGGCGGACAGACCGTCTGTTTTAGATTATTGATTACAAGCGCTGTGATTTGCAGATGAAAATAGCGGGACAAGGAAGGTAGATACATACAAGAAAGTGATATGCCAAGATCCTGTCGCGTGGGTATAGTGGATTCGTGGAGCATCTTCATAATGCGATTAATGGTTAACTAGTTATACATGTACGAAGCTCACTGACGGCGACGGGAAGTATACTTAAGGGTAGTAACTTATGGGTAATTCGGATTTTGCACATGTTGGATCCTGACCATTCGCCACAATATGCTGTTGATTTGATGAACAGGTCATATCTTTTCAGACAGGTGGTTTTTTGACTTCTGCAGGCGTTTTAACATGTCGAAATAGCGTGTATATCTATCTCCGTGATCTGCCGGACCCCTGACGCGGAGTGTTTGAAGCTTAGGCAGCTCTGCAATCAAAGTTCGAATTCTACGGAGTATTTATCAGACATAACAGCTAATGCTGGCCAAAAAAGAAGCGATGATCAGGAATAATGATATTAATTGATATGTCCTACTTTTGCTGATCTCTGAGCTTGGATTGGCTGGTTGATTTGCCTTGAGATTGACGTGACCCGGCGTAGTTGCAACTGGCCACGTTTTTTTGGATGATGGCCGTTTTTGGAAGAGGGTCGTCCTAAAATAACTACTAGACTAGATAGACAATTATTATTAGATTCCGTGCTCCCTAGACTCACAATGCGGGCAGGAACAGGGGTCTCTTCAAGACTTCATACTTAGTGGAGCGGCAGGATCTGGACAAGATCATCTTAAGTTCTACTCTAAGAGCAGTATTACTCGTGTACCTCGTATGTGAACAGGCAAATAATTTCTTCAAGATATCCACCTGAGCTGCTGGTTAGGTTGGCAGCCGTAGGATCCTATGTTCGTGACTCTGCCCTTGAAGCCTGCTAGGTCGTACTAAGGCTGCTGGTCCTTGCGGGGAATTGTTTACCGTACTGGTCGGATGTCTTCCCTGCCCGCGTTGGATTTCGTCTTTTTCAGCACACAATTGAAGATTACTAGGTGCGCTACGGCTAGGAGGGGCCGTAGCAAATAATCATTGAGCGTAGTGACCAAGCTGGCTGTTCTGACTAAGCTGGCTGCTGGCGCTGACGCGCTGGCAAAGCCTGGCAGGTAGGTTGATTGCTTAATCAGGTAATTTGCCAGGTTCTTTTAGTGTAGTAACTGTGGATGATAAATATTATAAAGAACTACCTAATAGATGAAGCTAGCTAATAATTGCTAGATAGTATGAGAAGCCGAAATCTATATAGAATAGGTAGGCAGAAGGGGGATAGGTAGGAGGGATTTAGCTGATATAGTCGATATTTCAGACAGACCAATAAGAAGCCAGTATTTAGATAGAAGAAAATGCTCTAAAAGCGAGCTTTAATAGGCAAAAGAAAGCAGGGGGTAAGGACTGCAAAGGGTGTAAATTAATTAAAACAGACGCGAACCTGTATAGGAGGTCAGGAAGAGTTGTTTTAATTTCCTGAATTAGAAGGCGGTAATACTGAGCAGTTTAAACCATATGACAAATCAAGAATCACGTGGCGCCGACTCAGAACCAACCAATTAAATCACGAGTCACGTGGCGCCGACTCAGAATAGACCAATCAGAGAGGTTAGAAAAAAGTGGAGAAAAAACAGAAAACTTTTGAACCCAGTATATTGTAAACATTTCGCTAGCGCTCAATGATCAAAGCTCTTATTGTGCGAGACGTGACCTGGGAATCGAATATCCCGATTTCAGTACGGATATCGAAAAGGAGGTATCGTTTATCGTGATCATCACTGAGGAGCCCAGTAATGGAGGCGGGAACGGTACGGATTGTGGATACCGGGGAGAGTTAGCATTATTGCTTCGGCTTCGACTGTAGTGCAAAGCCTACTCTAGCATGGTTGGACCGTTGGACTGCGAGGGTCTGGTTCCACATTCTGCAGAAAATAATAATGACAGAAAGATATGTATCCACGGACCGTCCGTAGAAGCTTCATATCACAACCATGGATTCCTCACTGCTAGCGGCGGAAGAACGACTTAAACACCTCCTTTTACGGAGTAGAGACTTCTTCTATTCTCGGGTATCTAGGGCCGCGCACGTCAGACAGAGCTTGGGGGCGACCAGAAGGATCGTATCACCTGGACTAGTAACGGAATGGGCTGCGGGAACCAGTATATGCTCCGTCTGCGAACCTGCGGCCAGCGAGTACAGTATCACATAGAAAACCCCCCGTTGGACTCTGCGCGGAGGAGCGTATAGAAGGTTGTAATAACGTGCCAGGATGGACTTCGATTTGGCCCCTGTCCAGCGGGTCAGGCGCGATGCACCATCGGGGTTGGCGTCTGTGAAGCAGTTAGCGGGTGGATTCAGCGTGTAGAGTCAAAGAAGAATCGATGAACGTGGCCGCTGTGCCAGGGAACAGCCGAAGAAGCGGTAGAATTGCTCTCCACTGGGGGCCCCTTTTGGCCCTGCTAACCGTTAAAACTGAAGTTTCCTGGCGAGCTAACGTGCGTCTCACGATGGTTCCTGGAGTGTTCCGGGGTTCGTCGTACTCTGGATAGGGCAGACACCCAGCCTCGCAGTCGTAGTCTGCTTTGTCGCTTTTTTCTGTTATTATTTGCCAGACTTCACTGGGCTGCGCAGAAGGATCTTCTCCTAGCCTTTCCCCCCTCAATGCTCGAGAGCGACCGGCACGTCTGTCGATCTGAACGGGCTGAATCAATCAGTTCTGGACTCTGGAGTCTCGCTGCTCTGCTCCACCCGAAACGACCGCCCAGCTCGAGTTTCAGCCGACGCGAGCTAGAGTAGTTATCGGCAGTCAAACCCCAACTCTGGGTCCCACCTCTCCTTAAGAGTATGTTAATCTTTTGAAGGTGAGAGACTAAAGCCGGGAGATATCCTGTGGCATCGGATGGGCATCGACTCCTGAATTAATCTCTCCTATCTTGCTCTTGCCTGCGTTTTCTCTCCTGTCTCATCCACCACTTTTCTGTGCTTTCTAACCCCCAGCGACACTTGAACAAGAGACAGTGGGTATTATTCCTGTACCCCTTGCCCGACTGGTTTCTTGGATACAGAGATGATGGAGTTGGATGAATGCATGGGTACGTACATGCTAAACCTGGTCTAATAATCACTCGTTTGTTGCCTCAGTCTTCTGGGTTGCCTTTCCTGGAGACAAGACGTGCACGTATCTTGTTTCGAGTCCCCAATGGATAGGACAAGGTTACGAGGGTTTGAATTCGTTTAACTTGATACTGTCTGCCCTGCGCGACATCTACTTGGATAAGAACAAAGTTCCAATGCTTACGATATCTGAACTTAGCATGACCTGAAATCCAAACTCTCCTTTATCGCGCAACCGTTGTTATCAACGAGCTCACACTGAATCTGTCGAGACTCGCCAATCACCACTTGATCGTTGCGATTCGCGACTCGACACAATGCATCCCGATCACCGACCAGAGCCTCTGAGGCTGGGCACATTGTCCCGTTCGCGCAGCGCAAGCACACCGAGCGATTTACATTTCTCGAAGAAGAGCGTGCTATCCCCGCCTCCAGTGGTGCCTAGCCCTGCATACGTTGCCGCTTCGGCCGCTATTCAAATCATCAGCGCAGGTGAGCACGATGCCGATCTGGACGGCGAAGAAGACGCAGGATTTAGCCAGTCTGTCTCTGTGACTCCTCCATCCCTGTCGCTGCTGAACGGATTCTTGGACCATATACTATTCAACATTCTGGCTGTATCCAAGTCAACGAGATTGAGCGCAATCCGGCCGGCCATCGCTGAGGTCCTAAAGCCTCGATTTGCCAAGGAAGTTATTGCTGCTGCTGACGACGAGCTCAGCGAATACATGAGCGGTGAAGATGATGAGGAAGAAGAGTTTGGCGGAAATCGCGAATCGCATGATTTCGACCTCGTCCGCTCGTGGAAACTGACCCGTCTACGCTGTATGGTCTATACACGTCTGGGGGACATGGAAGAAGAAGATGAGGACGAATATATTGAGCGGGAAGGGCTCAACGACATGGACGCTGCGCACCAACGATTCTCAACCTATCTGGGAACTATCACACCAGCGGCAGCTATTTTCCTCACATCCATCATTGAGTATATCGGCGAGCAGGCCTTGCTTATCGCTGGAGAGACGGCTCGATCCCGCCTTTCCTCGAAACCCAGCAGCATACGTGATGGCCAGGTCGAGTCTAGAACCGGTCGTGACTATCAGCTCGTCGTCGAGGAGAACGACATGGAGAAACTGGCGCTAAACGCTACCCTAGGACGTCTATGGAGAACATGGAGGAAGCGCATTCGCACACCAGCTCTGGCTCGGACACTTTCTCGAGAATCCATGCTTCGCAGAGGCTTCTATACACCATCCAGTGTCAACAGTAGGAAGAGCAGCGTGGCTACCATCGAGGAAGCCCAGATCCGCGAGTTCGCTACCCACCCATCAGCACAAGAACAGGAGAAAGTCGATCCTGCTTCAATAGCTTTGCCGATGAGTGAAAACGATGTAACCGAAATCGAAATACCAGGACTAGCTGCCAACTTTGAAGATGAAATCCAGACAATGGAGGCAAGAGTGGCCCACAAGGTCAGGCCTCGCAGTTTGATGGTAGTTTCGTCGGTTGGTGGTGTATCAAGTCAATCATCTCCTGCTTCTGCCTCCCCTCGTGTTCGCTCCGCTGTGGAATTGAGCTTTGGCAGCCATAATCGAGGCTGGTCGCTACCGACGCCTACTAATCCATCTCGCCCGAACCGAACGCCCGACGAGCGTGACACTGGAGATGAATTTGTCACTCCTAGCGAAGAGAAACCACAATTGGAGACGATGTACGAGAACGATGAGAACACAGCGCCCACCGAACGGGACGGGGCTTCTGTCGAAGAAAAAAGTCTCTCCGAGGGACGCAAGTCATTAGAACATACAGTGTATGCACGTCCCGAAGAAGTAAATATCGACAAAGGTGTTCGCGCAAAATCGACGGAAGTGGCAGAACCTGTCGGTCAACCTACTAGTTGGTTCGATAGTCCATCGGCCGACGTCGGTACGGTGGAGCAGGAGGTTATCGAAGGGCAAGGGACGTGCGAGAAGCAAAACCTATCGTCGTCTGTGCAACGACCTAAGAGAAAATCAAGCAGGGAGGTTTCCGTTAAAGCCAGCAAGTCTACTCTGGTCCAGGAGCCTAGCGAGTCTATCATGCAAGATGCCGTTAACGAAGAGTCATCTTCGATGCAAGCCACCAACTCCTTGCGTGAATCCAACGCCGCATCCGCGCCACCAAACGTCAATCATAAGGAGACCAAAAAATATGCTCCGCAGAAACGGGAATCAAAGAATATCATAAATGCGACAGCTGCTAAATCAGATCACAAGCAAGTCAACGGTGGTACCGCTCCATTGTCCCCTACCCCGGAACTCACTGAGGTCCCAGAGTCACCCAAAAGACCTCCTCCCCGTCACGTCTCCCATTCTTCAGAGAGCATTAACAGGCTTGCTTCAGTTGCTGATGAGAGTGAGCGCTCTTCTCGGTCTCGCGCCCGATCACGGACGAATACTCGAGCTTCCAGTGGGAGTCGGCATCGCGACGAGCGCTCAAGTCCTGCGGTTGGAACGCCCTCTGAGAGAGCTGGCGTCCAGCGTATAGCAGGACCCCCTGCTCAGCGAGAATCGAGTAGACGGCGATCAGAAAGCGTCGGTCGTCCGGCTACTGCGAGCTCAACGACATCCAGCAAACTAAAGGGATTTATGGGCCGCTCTCAATCATCCCAGGGTTCAAATCGCTTGCGTAGTGCATCCCAAGCGAGTAGATCGTCCGAGAAAGCTGGTGACGTCGTGGACGAGGACAAGTCCGAATTGGATCAGCTTATCGATAGCCAAGAGACTATACATTACACTCTCACACCTCGCAATATGAGGAAAATGGATGTGAGTATCTATAAACCCTTTTCTATAGATAGATGATACTGACCATCTGAATAGGCGCCGGACACTCGGAAATTTGACGCACCACGGTCCAATACTCTGGAACTTGCTGAGTTCTTGAAGAACACGGCTCCTCCTGGAGAAGACCAGACCCGACCTAACATGAGGGTAGTCAACGGATTGCGGGCCAATCCGCCGGAAAAATCTGTGACTGCGAAATACAAACCGATTGAAATACCCATGTCAGCCTCTACTTCCGCAAAGGCACCCAATTCGAAGAATGTGCAGCCGCGAGATGCTCGATCAACGGTTCAATCGACTCGCGACTTTGCTGACTTTCTTCGCTCGACTGGACCGCCCGGACAGCCAGTCAAGCCACATCTGGCGTCCGGCTCCGGCGCGCATGATGTGGAATCTAGAACACACACCCCTCTCTCACAGCAGCGTCCTGGTACGCAGTCGTCAAGACGGACCGGTCCTCGCCTGCAAGCGCGCCCAGCCACAGCCTCCAAAGAGGACCAGACATCCGATCTTATTGACTTCATACGAGAAGGACCTCCCACGGCAGGCGCTCGTCGTATACCTAGAACAGTGGCACCATTCAGAAATACAATGGATTCGGATGAGCTTCTGTCCCTCGGGCCTCGCGCTGACAAAGAAGCTACAGCAACGAGTTCCACTGGCAGCACCCGGAACAGTTCAATCAACGCTGCTTACTCTGACAACTCACGTACCGGTCTGATGGAGTCTGCAAACCGTGCGAATGTTAGGATAAGCCCAGCTGTCCAACAGTCTTCTTTGCCCAAGGGAAAGCCAAGTGGTTTCCCTTCTGAGGACGATGATATGCGCCCTGTGAGAAAACAGCGGAGAGTTCGCGATCCTTATGCCATCGATTCAGAAGACGAAGATGACCTGGAGGAGTTACTAGAGGGGCCCAAGGCAAAGCCCCAGCGCGAGGAAGAGAGCCTGCTGGATTTCTTACGGAGCGAACCTCCCCCGGACTTTGGTACTGATAGCGCCCCTCCGCAGCCGTTCATAATGAACGCTGGGCCGTCTAAGAGCTCCAGTGGTATGTCTGCTGCTTCTGCTATGAAAGCTCGCCTGTTGCGAAATGCCTCGCTAGACAGATTCCCGACCGCGAAACAAGCCAGGACCTCACTGCGTTCCCGGAGGCTCACCAATAGCACAGCCAACGCCGGACAAAACATTGTCCCACCGGTTTCAAGCTCCATACAGCAAGCACCATCAAACACAGGCGCTCTCAACAGATCTATACCCGAGAAAAGTGACTATACAAACAAGGTTGACCGGGAACAGGGTAGCGGAATGGAATATCCCCCGCGTAGACAGACCGAGACCAGTGCATTGGCGGATTTCCTGAAAAATACCGGCCCTCCAGAGCCTCCTGCCTATCGAACATCGCCAACATTGGATGACGAGAAGTCTAGTTCGTTTACGAAATTGTTTACTCGTCGGAAGAAGATCGAGGTTTAACCTACCCGACTATAATTCTCACCCCTCGCTCATGGAAGTCGAAATTCGGGAGATTTCTGTACTTGCGGGATGTCATATCCTTCGATGCTTATTCCCCTTCTTTCACTTTATGATCCTGCTGTTAATTCTCGTGGGCGTCGATATGCGCCATCATTTTATGTTGATGTATCTGCTTCGCACCATATCTCTTCTATTCTATGGACCTCCTTTTTTCCCTCCATGGCCATGTCATTTCCAATTTTTGCTTTTGTTCATTTCTGTCGATTTGGCCTGGCTTTCCTACATACCCTTCTCTTGTTGCGAGTGGATACCCCGAATACTCGACCTTCCCTTCATGTACAACTTTCTGTTGTGTCTTTAGCAGATTACCTTGGTCTTCTGTACCATTCACAGATAAATGACGATGGTGGATCTCCTATAAATGATCGTATGATCCTACGTGATTTCATATTCAAATATCAGTATTTCATTCTACCAACCGCTTTTCAGGTTGTGAGCTCCGAACGAGCAATAATTGTGACTAGGCAATTCTGTAGGGGTATGCCAGCTCCCGGGGTATAGATCGGTTATTCCGAGTAACCTAGTGGAGTTTTTGCATGCTGTAAACGATGTGCTTTTTATCATACACGAGGAGGATATACGATATAAGGATGTAATTTGCTAATTGACATTGTTAGAGAGACAGAAATTAAGAATAACCATGGTCACGAGCCGTCTCAGAAAATAATTTTACAACTAGAATATGAGGACCTGAGAAATCGAGGCCGAAAATGACCACCACTATTGAGGCCGTAAGTATACGGCCGCATTTCCACCCGTAACTCAGCATCGAGCCGCCGCTCTAAGTAGCGTGCTTTGCACCACACTCTTCTGGACCCGCCAAGTATATTATTTAGTCATAATGTAGGCGCTCAACTTCAGCGACGACTCTCTTGCTTCACGTTTCTTCCAGTTCACGACCACCAGAGCGCCGCCGAAAATGGCCTCCTTTGCGGCCAAATCCAGCTAGCTCCCCTCCAGTTTCGACCGTGTCGGGCGCCATATAAAATGTCACTTCGTCCTCACTTCGTCCTCTTTCCCTTCGCTCCTCCCAAATCCCCAAGTCGATCGGATCGTAAATGGCTGCTAGCAGAGAGTCCCTTCTCCCTAATATTTGCATTTGAATATTGGAAGACCTCTGCTTAGAATCGGGTTCCTTTCTGTCTTATATTTCTCGTACAGATATGATAATATCGACTTGGTGACTGGGCACTTTACAGCAGTTTTGAGCATTTTCATCAAACTGCTTAAACTTTTCAAGGCAGTTCAGAATCAATTCACAGTTAACTATAGTCAAGGAACTGCGGATGACAGCCTTCTAGGAAGAAGGGACCTACCACGTGGCTGGGATATAATAATCCTCCCAGCGGTCGGACTCAGCATCTTTGAAAGTATCGATAGTACCTTCTACCCCATCCGCCCCAATAGACCAGACGCCTTTTTCAACCAGTTTGCGCCAACAACCCAGCAAACGCTCCAGCCGCTGGGAGCGGTAGTAGTCACCGCCAAAAGGCTTATATCCATGTTGAAAGAGCTCTGAAAAGCGTCCTCTATCAACAAGGGACCCATCGCTTTTTCGTGCGCCCACGCTCTTGTCCCAATCACTATTAAAGGTGAACGGGAGCAATAGCCGAAATCCCTCCTCGGCCACGTCACGGCCGTTTCTCTCCACTGCCTCAGTATACAGGCCTGCAGAGACGCGAGATGGGGTACAAGTTTCGGTGGACCTTGAATAGAAGTCCGGCAATAGAAATGGAGTTGTTGTTCTCGTGAGCTGGATAGGACGGTGGTCTCCGGTATCAGCGGGGAAAAGACACACTGGCGGTGCGGTATACTTAGTCCGGGGTAATACGCTGAATGGCTGCGCTGCCGTAAATCCAGCCGAGTCAGCCGGTGGCAAGAGAAGGCCTGGAGCGATGTAGCGGAACTGGGGCCGTCTCGCGCGCGTCAGAAACGCACGGGCAAATGAAGGGTTGGGCACTAAAGCAGCGTCCAGGACAGTTGATGCGACCAATATTGATGGCTCTGGATTAATATTGTCTGCGTTAGAGCTGATCAGTGATAGTGGGTTTGGCAGCTGCGCCTCAATAGCCTGACACAATCGATCCCACTCGGCGACACACGTAGTAACTTGGGAATCGCTATAGGGCCGCCACTCCCAGGGCCCGATCTTCTCGATGTCAAATAAGGCTGGCTCTTTATGAGGCGAAGCCACAACTTTTCCAATATGAATAAGGTCGATCCAATTGGTGAGGAGTGTCTCTAGTGGATTCCAAACGTGTGAATGAGCCTCGACTGGAAAGCCATAGCCATAGTCATCAAGATGCATGAAGGTCGCGACGCGGTGGAAGCCTTGGTGGTAGATGACCCCGCCACCATCTTCCTCGGCCGATAAGCTCGTTTCCACAGCGTATAAGCGCACCAGGCTGTCAACGGGCTGATCGTGAATATCAGCTGTAGATTCCTCAAAAAGTCTTTCTGGCCCATCGATACCCCATGCAAAAACAAAGAATGGGAGGTACTCGTGGGGATTATCATAAGGAAAAGGAGACACCATAGCGGTGTCAAGGAACGCCACCAGTGACGGATCAAGCCTTGGGCGACAAGCCTCAGCTTCAGCTTCATCACCGAAGGCCGTGAAAAAGTTGCTGTTGGTATTCAGAGTTGCTAGTGGGCGGCCTTCAGCGAGCCAGGCATATTGGATCAGGTAGTTGTGTAGAGCTGCACATCGTGCGTAGTCCATTCCTTCGAGATCATCTCGTGGAGGGTTATCTGGCCTGACAAGCAGACTGGTGATGTCCGGAAGTTGAGAAAGATCCATTGAGATGCAAATGGGGTGTGTGGCTGTCAAAGGGGATAATAATAATATCACAGCCGCTATTCAAAACACTGAGGACCAGACTAAACTAACCCGATGTAGTAAATCACAGGTCCCAATATTAAGGTACCTAGGTACATGTCAAACTTTCTTAGCTGAATGGAAAAAGATCGCCTCGATAGAGGATAAAAGATTCTCGAAGTAGTAACTAAATCAGATAGACATGCCGGGATGATGGGAAATATTTCCATATCTACAAACGGCACACTAGTCCAGGCTCTACAGCTACTTCTTGAAGAAATTTGTAATACGCTGCGAGCCATCGACTGCCTTCTTTTCCGTCTCGTCTTTTCCAGCAGAGTGAGTTTTGGTTGTGCTTCGAGTTTTCCTTCCTGGAGTAGTTGTAGTTGTAGTCGAAGTGTTCGGAGGGGAAGCTGAAGCTTCTCTTTTCATGTCTGGGGATTTCGAGGAGTCCGTCTTTCGCGTCTTAGATGATCGTGGCGTACCTTTAACTTCATTATCAGGCGGATGTTCCCTCTTGATACCGGTAACTGGGATCGGAGCGTTGTCTTCTGTCCATTCATCGTCTTGGGTGACGCGTTGCTCGTCTTTATCGTGGACTATCTTCAGTTCAGTCTGATCTTCGACATGCTTCACAGGATGTTCATTGTCTTTAGGTTTCCCCTTCTCCGCATTGGCAAAGAAGTTGGCGATGCTTTTCTTGTTGTCTTTGCTGTTGATCGGGATCAGGAAATCAGGTGAGTTATTACCGACTTTTCCGACTTCTTTGGCAACGGGGTAGCATTCTAGCTCGCCTTGGTACGGCTTGAGGATGGATTGTAGCTCCTTTGACCATGTGGTGCGGGTAGGATCTAACCATGTTTTCATTTCAGGACTGTTGGGATCCAGTATCACTGGCATTCGGTCATGGAGGAATTTGAGGTATGAGTTGGAAGAAGTAGTGATAATTGTGTAGGTGTATAGCTTTTCATCTGATCCTGATATATGGAAGGCATGTTAGCAATCCAGATGCTGATGTTCAGAAAACACTAGAGCATCCAACTAAAAGACTTTAGAGAGGGAGGGGAGGTTAAAAGTCCAGCATACCTTCATAATTCACACAATCCCACAACCCAGCAAAATACATCAATTGCCCATCTTTACGCTTTACGAAATGCGGGATCTTCTCCTTACCACCAGGCCCCTTTTTCAGCCATTCATAGAAGCCCTGGCACACAACCACGCATCGTTTCCGCCTTTTCATCGACGTCCACATGCCTCTGTCTTCTACCAGAGAGTCGTCACGGCAATTGATCGTCCGCATCATTGAACCGTAGTCCGGTTGACGCTTTGTCCAAAAGGGAACCAGGCCCCATTTCATCGCCTGGAGTTTGTAATGGATCTTTTTCTTCTTGCTGCCTTCTTCATTGGTGGTTTTCTCTTTTTCATCTCCCTGTCCATCCTCTCCTTCTTGCTCTGCTGCAGTTTCTAGTCCGTCCGCTACCTCTGGCTCCTGGCCGCCGTAGTCAGGCGTGTCGGCACGATAGACGACTCCATGATACCCAGGAGCGAAATTGTATGTTTCCCTTACAGCATCATCATCTGGCGCTTCATCGACTTGCATCCCCTGCTCCTCGAGCTGTTGTCGGATGTAGGCCAGGCGCTGTTGACATACAAAGTCATGTTAGCGATGCTGTTGCAATTGAGAGTCTAACAGACCAGACCAGACATGAACGCACAACTCCTAAGGCATATCGTCCGCACATTTCATCAATATGAATTCGTTAATACTAAATACTTATCACGCTCGAGATCCAGACGAATAGCTGCCATCGAAGAATAGCAACTTCGACGAGTCGCATGAGCTCCCCACGGGATCCGCCTCAAACGTCATAAAGTAGAGAGCGGGAGGAGCTTGGACCACCTGAGAGAAAAGCCGCGAAACAACCATCGGCGATCGTCTGGAGCTGTTGAAATAATCGTTCTCTCGGCTGGACGCAAATTCTTTCAAAGCGTCACCGCTAGCAGATATTGATTTTTGAGGAGCAATTAGTCCTTCGCGAGAGTGGTGAGATACGACATCTTCGAACCACGATGCTCAGCAGAGCGCCGCGGCGCATAGGCGCCTTCCCACCACGATTACCTCTTCAATACCGACAATCCACGACTCGATCATTCCTGACCAACAGTCGACCTGGTGCTGGAATCAAAGACGGCCGGCCGCATGTCTCGCAGACACTGAACAGATACCCGCAGTCTCAGAATCGATCTCTCAGCTTCGCGCAGCGCATGAAGCTCGGCTTCCGGGAGGCTTCGAAAGGAATATGGCGCAAGAATCCGATCCTTCTCCCATTCGCCCTGCTATCAGTGGCTGGAGCGACTGCTTTCTTCGCATATGTCACCTACATTCGGCTCACGCGCATTGAACCAGTGTTCCACAAGTTCCCGCCGGAAGTGGCTGATGCCCTACGGACCGCGATCTACTATACGGAGATTGATATGGACCCTCAGAGGGCGCTGGATTCATACAAATTGGCCCTCAGGACAGCATTAGCGCATGGGATGCACCCGTACTCAGACGAGGTGCTGGGTATTAGACTTCAGGTCGCTCTTATGCTGGAAAAGGCCGGGCTGATTAAACAAGCGACTCAAGTTCTGGAGCGGACAAAGGCGGAAAGTTTGAAATGGGTTGACGAGGGACGGAAGAACAAAGCCATTGCCGACAAGGAACTTGCAGGGAAGACGGAAACCATTGAGATCAATGATCCTGAAGTGCTTGAAGAACAGCAGAAACAGAGAGATCTGGAGGAGTACGAGGAGCGACAACGGGACAAGACCCTCAAGAAGATCGTGGGAATGGGCATGAAACTCGCCGAGCTATATGCCGGTGACTATATGCAGGATGAAAAGAAGGCAGAAGCCGCTCAGATAGCTGCGGTAGAACTCTGCCTTAAGGAAATGAAACGCCGCCAGGATCTTGGTCTTCCCGTTGGAGGCGTGAACGAGGATAACGACGCCTGGCTGAACCTCTCGGAGATCGCTACGGCCCTAACCGAACTTGGGACGACATACATCAACCAGGAGAAGTACGAGCTCTCCATCCCGCTGTTCATGCAAGCGCTGGGCATGGTCAAGCAAGTCGATGGTGACGCAACAACCTGTAAACAAGTCGTTCTTTTGAACAATGTCGCGACTGCAATGGCCGGACGAGCACAGCAGCCTATTCGCCCATCGAAAGAGAACCCCGTGACGCGTGAGCAGCTCATCGAATCGGCCAAGAAATGGGCTCAGATGGCAATCGACGTCGCAGCCAAGGTCCAGCCGCCCGTGAGGGACGAGGATTGTGATGTCTCCTGCGTCGTGGCTACGTACAACCTGGGCGAGTTGGCGGAGTTGCAGGACAAGCGTGATCTAGCAGAAAAATACTACCAGGATGCAAAAGCATTGGCAAAGGGAATAGGGTTCGACGATGGAATCGATATGGCGGACACAGCTCTGAAGAGGATTGGAAAGAAATGAGTTGCTCTGGAACAATATATGTATGTACATGTACGAATAGCTGTGCAGACTTTTCTATTTTTCTTGTTCAGCTACCCTGGAAATAGAATCACGATTGGTAGCTCATATAATGATCTCATCTCTACATGTATTTACGAAGCAAATGCATGGCTCAAGAAATTCCTCTTTTTTGTGCAGCACCCCTAACGTGCCCTATAACCCAATATCGTAAATAGACAAAGTAACGCCGAGGCGATCGCCCAAGGGCCTAGGAGACGATGAGAGTATGGAGGATATAAAATTTTTGATGTCTTTTTTTTGTCTTGAATGGTATTAGAACATCACATGGCATCCTTTTCAAGATTCCAGACAATCGACTTTTTTCGTGAAGGAAAAAAATTCGAATACACCCAGACATGTCAGGATATCCGACACCCGAAAAATTCTTGGGCCGGTCCAGAGTGTTTCATTGCTCATCGCTCATCCATCCCAACCATTCCTAAATCTCCTTTTGCCCTTTCATCCGCTGCGGTGATCGTCATTTAAGCCCTCGACATAACACCCCAAGCACGGATCTTGTTGTCGGTGTAACCGGCGAACAGGGTCTGGCCGTCCGCAGACCAGGCCAGGGAGATACACTCGGGCTCGCGGCTCTTCTTGCCCTTCTCGACGTACTCGGGTCGGAGCTCGTCAACCTTGCTCTTCTTCTCGAGGTCGAAGATGGTGATGCTGCTGCTGGTGGCAGCGCACAGCCAGTAGCGGTTGGGGGAGAAAACGAGGGCGTGGATCTCGTCACCGGCCTGGAGAGAGTAGAGGTGCTTGGACTCGTTAAGGTCCCACAGCATGGTGGTACCGTCCTTACCACCGGAAGCGCAAAGGGATCCATCGGGAGAGATGGTGACGGTGTTGATGTAGCCAGTGTGGCCGATGTGGTCGGTCTGGAGACGGCAAGAAGCGAGCTCCCAAACCTAGAAGTTCATGTCAGCTCAATGGATTCCGTGACTTCTCTGCAAATAGAACCAAGCAAGATATATATCTTGTCCATCAGGGCATATGGTGATTGTTTGTCTCATGGCCCCTTTCGGGGCTCTGAAGTAGCAAATACGTAGAATGCAAAACATCATCTGGTATAAATTCCTCCCCGCGCACATGTAAAGTAAAATAAATCGTACCTTGACGAGCTTGTCCCAACCAGCGGACACGATGACCGGGTTCTGGGGGTTGGGGCTGAAGCGGACGCAGGAAACCCACTCGGAGTGGCCCTTGTCGGTGATGGTGAACTTGCAGTCACCCAGGGTGTTCCAGAGCTTGATCGTTCGGTCACGGGAACCAGAGACGATTTGACGGTTGTCAGCGGAGAAGGAAACGGAGAGGACATCGTTGGTGTGGCCGACGAAGGTGCGGGTGGTGTTTCCGGTGGAGAGCTCCCACAGACGCAGAGTCTTGTCCCACGAAGCGGACAGAGCGTAGGCACCGTCAGAGGAGATGACCTGGTACGGTCAGCCAAATATCCTTCCAATTCCGTCCAAAAACTCTTGTTCGAAACATACACAGTCGGAGACGATGTGGGAGTGACCCTGCAGGCTGCGCTTGGGGTAGCCGTAGGCCTGCTCATCGCGGGTGAGGTTCCAGATGATCAGGGTCTTGTCGCGAGAAGCGGAGAGCAGCATGTTGGGGCTATCACAGCAGTCAGAATCCCATTTCTTCGCTTCTTGCGACGGTCGTATATATCCTTACTTCTCGAGCGAGGTCGCCAGGCTGGTAACCCAGCCATTGTGGCCCTCGAGGGTTCCGCGGTGGATCAGCTGCTCAGCCATGATCGGAGTCAAGAGATGAAGAAGGAACCTCGAGACGGATGAGGAGGATTAACGGGCGGAGCAATGTCTTTGACTCTGGGGCTGGGATAAATTCGACGACGGCAGCGAAGAGTAGCAAGTACTACTAAGGTATCCGGGTAAGCCCTAAGCGCACTTTGCGCCGTGTGTGCGGGTTCGTGCCCTAACCTTTGCCTAAGCGAGCGGTTCGGCAAGCCGGTGCCACGTGATGGCTGACTCAGCCGTCAGGAACCGGGGTCTGTTTGACGTCACGCTAGCCCGTTGCGGAAGTGGCGTTGGACTTCCAATCGTTCATACATACCTAACCTACCTAGGTACAAGTCCTTTGTTAATTATTTATAGGGATTACTGGTTATCTCAGCAGATTTAAATGTGGAAGATCATTAAGGAAATTCCCTCCGGGCTGCTGCCATACCCTCAGTTCATCGAGGATTCTGCGATATGGAAGTGTATCACATGAACTAACTGCCTGATGAAGCACGCACTTTCCTCTTCAGGAGAAACCACAGAAGCAGCAACGAATGGTTCTTGACTCATGGTCTCAGTTCAACATTCGAAATGGTCCCCCTTCAAAGACTACTATCATTCTAAGTCATCACTATATCATAACAGTCTCGTTTCGTCCATGCTGCCTTCTACGCTCGTTCGCTGACAGCATGTCTCAAGTCACTTGAGATAGACACACTTTCTCTGCAACGGTTCCCTAAACAATCTCATAGTCGCAACTAGAGAGTACCGATACACAATCGGATGTCTACTTTGCAGCATCATGACTGGATTTGGATCTCATTTGGCGATAACATCACTTTTGCGGACATGCGTGAGGTCTCGAAAAGATGGGATTGTTTCAAAGAAGTCCCCCGACGGAGAGACGTAGCCCACTGACATGGAATGCTTTCCGAGAAAAGTTCAATCCTGAATCAGTAGGGAAACGGCGCGCATGTTTGAATAGCACCTTGTTGATACTAGCAGTCGTGTCGACGATTTCAGTAGTGTTCCTGGCGTAAGTGGCCTTTGGCAGCAGACTCCTATTCCCATTGACACTGCATAGGATATGGGTCTACCTTGTAACTGTATTGGTATCTCGACTGAGACCAATCGGCCCTCGCAACGGTCTTTCAGAGATTATCGAGAACTGGGAAGGTCCGCAGAGTGTTGTTGGGACCCTCTATTCTTGGCCCGACAATTTCAGTCGCGACATCAACCCTATCCCTTGTCACTCCCATAATGATTATTGGAGGCGGGTTCCACTTTTTGATGCATTATACGCTGGTTGTATAAGCGTCGAAGCTGATATTTGGCTGGATGGGACAGCAGAAGATATACTCGTTGGGCATACGGTGGTGTCACTGAGATCAGACTGGACCTTACAGACTCTCTACTTACACCCGTTGATGATCATTCTTGCAAAACAAAACATGCAGTCGCAAACAGATACGAATCGTCCTCTATACAATTCTGCTATTGGGGTCTTCGATAGCAGCCCTGACACCTCGTTGATACTACTCCTCGACATGAAGAGCAACGGCGCTGCCATGTGGTCATTGCTTCAGCAACAACTCGAACATTTTCGTCAAAAAGATTGGCTATCTTACTGGGATTGCCGCAATCGAAGATTTGTATCACGGCCTCTCACAGTGGTGGTCACAGGTAATGCACCCTTTGAGATGGTGGAGGCCAATTCAACACATCGTGACATATTCTATGATGCACCACTGGATGACATTCAGAATCCGAGATATACTGTCGAAAACTCCTACTATGCAAGCACTTCCATGCAGGCCTCGGTGGGTTGGCCACCGGCTGGTCGGTTCACTCCACGGCAAATTAAATCCATTAAAAAGCAAATCAGCATTGCTACGGAAAAAAGGCTGAAAGCTAGATACTGGAATACTCCTAACTGGCCAATTTCTGTGAGAAATAGTGTATGGAGTTTCTTGATCCGAAGCGGTGTCGGCGTTCTGAACGTAGATGACTTGTTTGAAGTGAGTCATTGGAACTGGGACTGGTGTATTGTAGCTGGATTAATCCTATGTGGTTGGCCATGAAATCAGATATTCTTAGTACCGCCTAAAAGTCCACATATTACCAGACATCGTCTAACCTTATGTATTGCCTGGGAAACTTCCATGCTTCCATAGATAGGTAGAGATACCTACCCGAAACATCCAAAAACTCCCAAAACGTAAAGCCAGCCCACACCTTGAGTCGAACAATGAATCTTCTCATAAAACTCTTAAGAGTGATATTCTCTAGCTACTAACCATATATACTTTTGTATAGTAAGCTTATGTATGATTTTGGTCTCTAAACATGAGGTCCGGGAGGTAAGATGTGATCACGTGATTGGTAGTATACGAGTACTGCAAATCAGATATCGCACCCTGTAACGCGAGCTAGGGGAATTATCGATCGCCATAATAGAATCTTGCTTTTTGCTAGGAGACTTGAAATACATAATGCGAAGAAATACATCTTATATGGGTTGAAAGGATAGAAAATATCAAGTGTAAGTTGTGGAGAGGCTTCCGCAACGGGAGGCACTGGAGAAGGAACCGAGAACCAGATACTATGAAAACAGTTCCCTCGGTACGGACAGATGGAGTAATTATCTAATTCCCACTATAAATCTGTTGAAGGCATATATCCAGTAGCAGAATACATCGCATTATAAAAATAATAGATCTACTGTACATATATGGATGGGACGGCTTAAGAATACCACGGCCCATCTCAAACCCTAGCATACATCACTGCCGTATGTATACGAACTTCTATAAGTTCAGAGAAAAGGTAGATGTCAAGAACTTAGCGTCCGAAGACCTGAACATTGGGCATACGTCCAAGACCGCCTCCAGTCTTCTTGTCCTTTGCAGCATGGAAGCCAGCGGCGCTCTTGTCGCGCACATGCTCTCTCAGCTCTTTCAAAATCCAGGAATCAGCCCATCGAGATGGAACGGGTCGATAAGCGGGCTTGAAAGCGCCAACGGTCTGCGCCCATTCGCCTGACTTTGCAGCACCTTCTTTCCAGTTCTCTGTGGGAACGTCCTGGGGCTCTTTCGACGGCGACGCGGCAGCAGCAGCGGCTTCAGGGCTCTCCGGGTCCTGAGTCGCCCAATAGTAAATATCCCAGTCGTTTTCGTCCAAGAAGCGGTCGTATTCCTGCATCTGCTCGGGCGTCATGTTGCCCAGACGAGCGTCCGCAAAGGTGGACAGGAGAAGATCGGTCTCGAGGATACCGCGCTTGCGGCTCTGGTCTTGAAATTATTATGTCTTGTCAGCAGCTGTTCTTCTAGCCATCGTCGACGATGGATTCTCATTCGGACATACACAACAAACGCGCCCTCATCGTGGAGGGATCCTCTCCCTCGCGCCGAAGCGGTTCAACCTTGAATGTCACGCCTTCGATCTCACCAACACCCAATTCTGGCTTCCGGGTTCCAGGCTGCTGTCTCCCGCCAGTGAAGTGTTCAATTTTGCCCGGATACGGATCCGCCGGTTTGTAATTGGGGTCAACCGACTTAAGAAGTTCGGGCGGAGCGTTCTTTTCTCCGACTTTGGGAAAGTCATTGGTCTGCGTAGAAGTGGTGTTCGTCACATGCGGATTCAGCGGCTTCTTCGTCTGATGTTCTCTGTGCTCTGGGGTAGTAGGGTGAGCGCGTTCATTGAGATCTTTGGATCGAATGGCCGTTGTACCGAAAGATCGGGTAAGAGGAGATGCGGAAAAGGCGGATGGCCGCACAAAGCGGATGAGTCTGGAGGCAGACATTGTTATTTGATTTTTGTGTTATTGGACCCCAGCCAGAAAAAAGAAAAAAACTAGACTGGAAAATAGTTGTTTCTGGAAATGGATTGATTCCAGTCGGAGGGTCTGGGGTAATGAGGTAGCTTTGCAAAATAATTACTAAACTCCGGCGGTTTAGAGGCGGACACTTTGACATCATACGGACTTCGCCAGTTTGCTCTGTTTGCACCCGCAGTTTCGGAGGTCATCAAAGGACTCGAGATTACTAGACTACAATAAATGTGAATACAACAGAGTAAGTTCAATTGAACCCCAGGTCTGTCATAGGAGCTGGCTTTTCAAATTTCTACCTAGGTAGTTACTTGTCAATATTATCTATATTTTAAGGCTGAAATGCCAAATTGAAATGAGCAACTATGCAACTATATATTTCTAAACCGATGTCATTCGTTATCTGATCACGACATCCACCACTGCGGATATCTTCCTGTCAAGGACTACACTGACTGCTTCCTTCAGTACCTCTTCCAAGTCTGCCACTCGCTCGACCTTCTTTGTCCACAGGTTCCCGTTGGCAGCCGCTTTCGCAACTTGACCGTAGTCTGGACCATCTTGTTCGAGGGAGATACCTAAGTCTGCATTCGAGACTCCAGTAGCCAAGCCCTGTGGATGGACATCTGTGATACACTGACGCGTCGCGCGCCAGCCTCCATTGTTCAATATCACAGTTAAGAAAGGACACCCATAACGGTAGCTGGCCCAGTAGACAGCTGTTGGTACAGAAAAGACGAAGCTGCCATCCCCAGTAATCATGCAGACGAATGGACTCGTCCCAACATCACCGTCTGTCTTGCGACGAATGTTCGGACGATCAGAGATGTCGTATAGCGCCGTCGCGAGTTTAACTCCGATTGCAGCACCTCCAGCCCAGCCCAGACCGCTGCCGCCCTTTGTAAGGTGTGAACCCGGGCGAGTGAGTTGAAGCTGTTCAGTCATGGGGACTTGGTTCGTCACTGAATCCGTGACGAATATTGTATCTTCAGGAACGGTCGAACGAATTTTGCTGCAGAGGAAGTCGATATTGCAGGGATGCTCCGGGGTATCTAGTAACTTTGCTGCTCGAGCATCAATGGTTTCTTTGCCTTGAGCATGAGAGTACTTCAGCTCTTCCCAGCGTCTGTCAAGAGTCTCTTTCAATGATGCGAGCTTCTCAGATTTCGATATATATTCATCAAGCTGTCCTAGAGCGGAAGCACAGTCTGCATGATACGTAGCAGATGCGCCAATGTCAAAAAGGTTCATTCGTTCTTTCCTGGGGTCAAGGTCGATATGAATGATTCTCGCAGATTGAGACGGTCGGACCCTGAAGGGGATCCAGGGGACATCTGCATCGAGAACGAGGATGACATCCGCAGTCTGAACTGCTTTAGCAGCACCGGTCCCACGAGTCACATAAGCAGGATGGTCTGCAGGAAAACACACTTCACGCAGTTCCGAGTCGAAGACTCTGATACCCTTAAGCAAATCAGCTAGACGGACCAGGTTCTTCACGGCTTGGTGATTCCGTCCAAGGTAACCGGTGATAACAAGAGGTGCTGTGCTCTGCAGCAAAGCATCACCAATCAGTTCCACTGCATCTCCTGGTAATGCTCCTAATGTGCAGGAAGGCAAAGGAGTCCGGCGAGAGTCAAGAGACTCGATGGGCTCAGCCAGAACCTCACGAGTTGCTGTTAGGTACACCGGTCCTGGAGAACCAGTTGTAGCCATAAGTAAGGCCCGGTGGACTACGGTCTGAACATGCTTAGCGGATTTGATCTCTGCACTGTAGCGACTGTAGGGTGAAACGATGGCGGCTTGGTTGGGGATATCCTGGTACCATTGCACATGCTCTCTGATCGGGACCCAGGCGCCTCCCCGTTAAGAGTAGAAGGCGCTATTCCAGCAAAGATCAAAACAGGGGCACGTCCACTGGAAGCATTGTGTAACCCTTGCCCCAGTGCCGCGGTACCGACATCGACATGGGCAACGACGCACGCCGGCCGATGAGTGATCCTGGCGTAACCATCAGCTGCAGACATTGCCGCAAACTAAGACCAAATTTTCCCTCATTAGTCGAGATGATCATCATATTAGGCGACTGGGCACGATACCTCATGCTGGAACAATATCATCCGCGGAAATTCCCGCTTAAGCACATTCTGTCTTCTGACATATGCCTCAATAATGCTGGGATGATCCGAGCCAAGAACAGTGAAGAGATAGTCGACTCCGCCCTGTAGTGGTGTTAGTCTCCTTTCTCGAGGAGGCACACAGACAGGTCTCTGCTTGAATTGCACCATAACGTACCTCCGCAAGAGCTTCAAGGAACGCATCGGCAACGACATAGGGACTACCCGTGCCTGACATGTCAGACAGAGTAGACATCTCAATTAGACAGACTGGGCTTGGCGTGTAGATAGGCAAATTTCTGCTCCATAGAACAGAGACAAAGAACGCGCAGAAAGCTCGAAACAAAACAGGTGTTCGAAAGATGATATATCTACCAACATCTAGCAGATTAGTATTTGACTAGTACTCTGAATTGCCTACTCAGATAGCCCAGCTGACTATCTAGAATGAGAAAGTCTCGGATACCCTCTGAAGAGATCGGATAAACGGCAATATGTCTCATTCAAAGAGAATTTTCACGTTCTCGATGCCTGGCCACATCCCTTCCGGAGCATGCGCTCGTCTGCAATTCCAAAATCCCATGATGAGCCCCTCACTCCTGCAGATGGAATCAGGCCCGCTATTGAGACCATCGTTATTATTCTCGCCTAGTGCGCTTCAGATCGAGTAAAGGCCCGTGTTCTGATGCCACATGGTATAGTTAAGGCCGATGCATATGTCCAATCGAAGCAGCAATGGGACCGAACCTGCAAACGTTCTCGTGTAACCCCACACGGAATCTAGAGACGCATAGAAATAGGTATAAGCATTTAGTCTGGATGCCTTAACATCAGACGCACGCCACGTTTCGAGATACTGATGGGAGAACAATGTGTGTGCAGCATGAAAGACAACGCGTTCCTGTGATTGGATATCATCTTGTTTCAGCTCACAGAAGAGATTGGACAGAGAGTACAGACTGGCTGAAACTATACACCCATACGATCTACTATTCACGAGGGGGCCAATGATAAACTCTATGAAATGTATTGTATGTACATCAGCCCCCATCATTAGGCAATCCGGGCTATTCCTTAGATGCAGACATTGCCTACTTCTAATACAGGACGGAATACTACTTCCCGCCATTTCTGTAACTGGAAAAAGTCGGATGAGACTGCTTTTTAGATGCATAATTCGGCACCACCCGCGGGGTTAACTTAAGCATCAAAGTAACGGTGGGATGGCTGGTTGTTCCGTTCCTAGCAGGGATCACAAACAGCCGCCGTATCCTCTGGCTGTAACGCCTTGTAACAATAAATACAAACTAGTATGCAACATGTATTGTCTAACAAAGATATTGTTCGGAAGGTCTAGACCACTACCCACTAATTACTCCGTCCTGTGAATTTCCTTATTTTCATCACGATCAGAGAGCACGACACCTATTTATGTGGAGAGTCTGGAGGATATCACAATTTGCCTCCACAGATAGATGAGTGGACCTAATCCTGAGTTCTGATCATAATTCTCGTGGAGGCATGATGGGGCATCACATTAGGAGACGAAAATCCCGTGGGGATCTGACGAAGTTTATTCTTCGGCCCGGATCACATATAACGCTAACTAGATAGATATGATTCGCCCTTGAGGATTATCATAATCTGCGATAAAAGGACCAATTGCCGGTAGCTATTGGTGTATTCTAGTATAGGCTATGATTGTGCACGGCGAACATGATATGTAAATAGCTCGGAAGGACTTTCACAAACCCAGAATTATCGGTACTCTTGTGAGCATCTAGGAGATTCCAGGAAAAGCCATTGTATTGTACGGGTCATACTATACCATATACGCTGACTCTTATGTCTAATGAAACACACATCCATCTTTTATATCTCACTCTGGGTGGTCATTTAGGTGTTGTAGCACTGAAAGTAAAGACGAACGATGTGTACCCTATATACAGTATTGTCTTAGGTAGCCAATGTTTAGTGCCGTAGAGAAAAGACACGTTGCCGTGCTATAGACTTGTACCACTCTCCGTAACTGCAACCTGTTGGCACATCTCTTAGACGGAGGACTTTTCGTTGCCCCTCGGCGGGAAAGGAACATAGTCTGTTTTCAACGAAATATCCGTCTTCATAATGATCTGATTGTGAGCAATTGGCTCCTGACTGCCCGTGCTGCCATTGTCGTTGTCGACATTCGTCCAAGCATTGTTAGCAGTATCGTTCCATGCGTCAGAACCTCCAGCACCGACCTGAGTTCTGTTCCTGGATTCCAGTTTGCTGAGTCCGTAGGTAGGTCTGCTGCGGGTTCTGCGACTGGTAGTAAATGAGGAGAATAAACGAGGGAATGCCTGTTTGATAGGGTGTTTGAGGAAAGGAAGACAGGCGCAGATGATTCCAGTACTGGCTTCAATAGCGCTCCAGGTCAAGGCATCAAAGGATCCCCACGTGGGATCATGCGTCGTGGTGCTTTGCTCCATGGCTTGCATGCGGATGATACTGGTTACGCAAACGAAAAGACCAAGACTGAACACAATCATGACGCCAATCTTGCGGATAGTATCCAGCTGCAATCTCGCTAGCAGAGGCATAGGCATCAAACAGATCCAAATATCCATCGCTGTGTTATAGCCAGCCCAGCTCCAGCGGAAGATAGTATTGTTGACACAGGATTTGTGCATGTGTTTGTTCCAATTGGATTCGATCGGAATGCACTGGAATATTGTCGCGACAATGAAGCTGAAGGTGCCCGAGATGACGATGGCCATAGTGACGAAGCATACGATGCGAAATTTCCTGCTGGGAAAGATCCTCAAGTAGAAAGTAAGGAAAGAAACCTTTGTGAGGCAAAGGACGGCCTTGTAGAAGAGTTGGAAGAGCCAGAAGTACTGAACATACCACTAGTCAATCGATGTTCCAGCAAGACGGGTTGGATTGTTCTCACCTTTAACCCAAGAACTAGGCTACCGCCGGATCGCAGAACATCTGCTTTATGCCGACCAAATGAATAATGAACCGCTTAAGGAAAAGACTTAGTTTTTGGGCCAATTCGTTGGATATAGAGTCGAACCTACCCATATCTCCCACAACCGTATTGATAATTTGAACAACCTCGAAAATGCAATTAGTCGATAATGACAATTGAGCAGAAAATGATCTCCACACACCATTGAAGCAGCTATTATTATATCGTCTGCTGCAATCCTTGTTGATCTCATCCATGCCCATGAAAGCCTGTATATCACTAGGAGGGCAGCAATGGAAGTCAATATGGAAGTCGAAACTGTGAAAATAGGGCCCTTGTTGGGCACAGAAATCGGTCCTTTTCCCTGCGTATCCATTCTGTCGAGGCCCGTAAATGATCAATGATTCATAAGTAAATCCCTTCTTGACTCTTGACAGAGCTGGTTGCAAGAGCCTATGCGTACTGAGCAGGCACGAGAAGCTCATATGCAGAGTGCTTCCATACTACTGGTACACTGAAGATCGCGTGTAAGACTACCAAAAAGTATAGAACATGAACAATATGTCTCTATCTCTGAGGATAACCCCTATTTTGAGACTCAACTTCTACTACCCTCCACTATCGGAGAAGGAGGGATGCAGGCAATAGCATGGTAACCATGTGTACAGAGGATCTAACCTGCTGGTTCATAATAACGGCATATCGTGGCATGGCACATGATCACGAATGAGGTCTCTGGGGCGATGCTTGCCGTCAGTTACGGATCGTCAGAGGTTTAGAGATGCCACATTATGCCTGTCAATGGCACCTATCTGAAGAGACCAGCAGCTAATCTTGACATGGAATAGACTCCTCATTGCTAGATCCTAGCCAGAAAGAAAATTTCGTTTTCACTAGAACCTTTCCGACAGATGATGTTGCAGTTCCTTGAAGAAGGAATCCGTCCAGGGATTCCGGACACCGAGAGGATCAGGGGTCACCACATCCAAGATTGCCAACTGTGTTGAAAGAGCCAACAAATCTTGTGAAGTTCGACATAAGGGCGTGATGAGCACGCTAATTTACTATCGACTTTTCGCCCTAACCTGATAGCTATCCTTCCATTATTCCATTATAGGACTCAAGACGTCTAGAACTAAGGCTGTAGATCGCCAACAGGAGCAATGCAACTATGTGACGATCTTCAGAGGTTGCCATCTACTCCTACCATAGACAGGGCAGATGTGGTAGCAACTCTGGCTTGTTAATATCATTCGACAACAACCTGCTGTGCTCGAATCATCTCCGGTTGAGCCTGATATATGCCCCTGTTCATGATCATTATTTGCGGGTGACCTTCCCGCGTTGCTACATTCAGACGTTTCCCATCTCACGAAAGAAAGAGAATATTTCCATCATTTTAATATCTCCGAGTTTCCAATACCCACGTCGATCAATGATCAGACATCGATTAGCGCGGACACCACGGGCGACCCCAAGTACCGAAGCCTAGAATGATGTGATAGCAAGGTGAGAATGCTTGTATACATGAGCTCGCAGATCACAAGCGGGAAGCCAACTGCGCATACTTAATACTTCCTGGAAAATGCCCTTCATACCTGCTAATTACTAGCAATACAACACCACTAAAACGAACACTAGCGTGGAGTGCGCGCGCGTCGATCATTTCTATAACGTGACAAGGGTCCGGTGCGGATCCCGATTCCCCAGTCATTCGGAGACAAAAAAAATAGAGTAGCATCGGCTAATCATAGGTGTGAACTTTAAAGCCTCGTCCCTGCATAAGACCCTAACTGTTATTGGCTTCATTAGCGCAGCTCTCTAATGGACCTGCGCATTGTCCGATTATGGTAGTCTTGCATGCGGATGGTTCCATGTAGTAGCACTGGGGTGTAGTTTGGATGAAATCAACTAGATGATAGTGGTTTCAGTGTGAACTAACTTCGCGGGAGACTCTGAATGGTAGCAATAGGACCATGGCAGTTAATGTGATAATTGATTACTTCGCGAGATGTTACATTTTGCTGTAACTACTAGATGTCATACCTAGGTCCAACATTCCGTACCTATGGGCTTCACAATTCAAATCTGAACTCAGGATGTCCTTCTCCAAGGCCCTGCATGCGATCCAGCTCCTCGTGCGTATAGCTCTTACCACTAACGCTTTGGAGCTTATCCCGGCGACGGTTCTCCTGGCGCAGGTACCAATAGTAGATTGTAACCGCGATGCTGCCAACAATGCCAAAGGCAAGACCAACACCGAAACCAACGGGGTACCGTGGCGACTGCGAAGCGATAAAAACATTGCTAGAGATGAGAGCTCCGCAGTTTCCAAAACCAGTAAGCAAGCCCATGGCGACGCTCCTTTTTACACCCTTGCCCACATTGACGCAGAGCCACACCACAATGGTCGACATCATGATAAAAGCTCCCGAGGCAGTAAAGAAGATGCCCGCATAGCGTGCTCCAGCAGCAGGCACTTGCGCGAGTTCAATACCCCAGCCAATGATGATCAATATTGACCCGAACAGCGTGAAGCTGTAGCGTTGTCGTAAGTAATCACTTAGCCACGCACTGCTGAGCGTAAGCACGAAAGCTACCGCATAGACTGGAATCGTATGCACTTGGGCGGATGCAGCAGTCCAGCCGAGATCTTTTAGAATAGTGGGCTGGAAGGCAACCAGAGAGCTAGCAGTCTCTTCCGCTGCCATGTATGCCAGGACACTGTACATAGATCAGTACCAGACGAGATGTTACAGCTACAAGATAACTTACCAAATCCAGATCTTCCAGTCAACGGCCATTAGTAGTACTCGACGAAAGGCAATCTTGTCGTTCTGGGCGCTACCTCCACCATCTTCTTCGAGACGAGCCAAGAGAAATCTCTTCTCGTCTTTGTCGAGAAAGCTGGCCTTCTCCGGGAACGGGACGATGATCCAGAAGCAAACACTACTCACAACGATGGTTATGATGGATTCCATGATGAAGATCCTAGGATTGGTTAGTGTTTGCATCAACGAAAACTTGATGTATGAACTTACCAACGCCATCCTTCGTATCCGCCAACACCGTCCATATGGGAAAGGGCACTGGAGAATAACTACTTCATATTAGCGACGGACTCTCTTCCTGGTCAGGACGGAACTTACTCCATTGAAAGCCCCTGCGGCCATGTTCGCGCTGAAGAATATTGCATATCGTCGAAGGAACTCATCTTTCTTATAGTAGCTTCCGATCAAGTAAGCGCAGCCTTATCCTCACAAGTCAGCGATCCGAACGGATGGATGATAGCCTTGCTACTTACCAGGAACGAAGCCGGCCTCGAACATGCCCATAAGAAAGCGACATGCGATCAGTCCAGATACAGTAGTCGTGAGCCCTTGTCCTAACGTGCAGAGGCCTAGCAATAGCTCATGAGTGAATGATCCCGCAATGCTAGAGAACATCACTTACCCCAGGCGAACATAAAGACTGCAAGTGTCTTTGGTCCAAATCTCTTGAATACCAGGTTCGCCGGGACTCCAAACGCAATATATGAAACTGTGAATACTGTCACGGCGATATTGTAATCGTTACCCTTCATATGAAGGGACTTGGGCATTCCTGCAATCTTCGCATTTCTTCTCCAAATTAGAACAATAATATTATTTCCGAAAAGGCATGACACTTACCCGACATTCGATCGATCTATAAACGAAATCAAGAACAGAAACCATAGAGCCGGGATCACTCTGAAGTCCAACTTCCAGAGGAGTTTCTTCTCCAACGACTTATCGGTTGAAGACCCAGCGAAAGGTCTCTCCGAGAGCCGCGACTCGGCTGGGGACTCTAGCACGCGAGGCTCTATGCCAGGGCTCTTTTCCAGTTCGAGAGACATTAGGGCCCGTGGACAACGAGGTCAGGTGGTTTTATGATAACATGCAACAAAGGAGTAACTTGAAGAATTGACGGGAATCAAAAACAAGAGCAGAGAGGACATGAACTTGTCAAAAGAGAAAGGAATTCACACTATTTCTTGCAAGAAACAGGATTAAAGATACCAGTCCTTTACTCTATGGAATAATCAGACCTACCTAACTCCCTGGATTCAGCCTGGGTCTCGAACGTTGACCGGACGCTTGGACCCATGTCTGTCACCAAAGGTCCTAAGAATGCTCCGAAGCACACAGAAGAGCCATGGAGGCCTGTCATCCGCCAATAAAGGTAGAAAAGCGACCTGCGCGGCATACGGTTGTTGGATCCGTGTAGCAACATCACCTGTGCATCGGACAGCCACGCGGGACAGACACTCTTGGGACTTAGTCGACGCTGATCATCTCCTTATCTCGAATTTGTCTGCTGTGCCGCTAAACATCGCAGCAAGACAAGGATAAAAAGCACACCACGTAGTAGTTACTCCGTATTTACTCCGTTAAAAGAGCTTTCTATAGTTTAGCAGGGATGTCAGCGCTAGTGCCACTAAGCGCGCTAAGCCGCGCTGACCGTTTTGACTCTGGCAGATCTTACTACTCTGCGTTACAGTACGGATCAGTTAGTTACAGGACCTTAGTGTATCGGTATGCTTGTACGCTTCGGTATGGGCTTGAGTTTGAAGACGGCTCGTCTCTTGTATAAGATAAGATGGGAGTAGTGGAGTCTACAAGAAGCCCAGAGTAAAACAATGCCTCGATGCAGCTTCGAGACATCTGAATCATCGCCAGCTCATCCGCCCATTCTGACATCCAATAGTAACAGGTCCCGAAAACCGAATATGCAGAAGAGCAGAATAGCTTCAAAGATGGTGTGGTTGGACGCCTAGGACGCCTAATCTCGAAACTGTGGGATGCTGGTACTTCTGTGCTTGGATTACGGCTGATAGGCGATGGCTTAGATTGTGCATAATTGTAGACTACAACTGGTCAAGAATCCGCATGTGCGACAGGCGAAAGCAGATTGTCGCGATTGACAATCGAATATATGTGGAATGTCAGTAATTTTTGCAAGGAAGCACATTAGGTGCCGTGATGTTCAACCTGATCGCTGTACCTAAAAGGCATAATTGCTAATATGCGGTACAACTCATGATATTGAGTCGCTCTCCCAGAATTAAGATACCTTCATTGTCTCGCAAGCTAAATTGTGATATGTAAAACAGTGTCGCGTGAAAAGGAAACGCGAGACTCCGAAGGTCGACATAAAATGTCTCAAGCAGGATTCAAGACCAAGTTTTGACCATCAAGAAACCATTCGTATCTCGTTCTACAGTAGGATAACGTCACGGACAGAGTAATCTAGATCAAGTGCTTCGATCTGCGGAGATGTTAGACCTCGTCCACTGACGATATCCCGGGTGCAAATGCATGGAAAGTGATCGTAGAAATGCTCACCTGAAGTACGCCCTCAGGTACACAACCTGCCAAGCGCCGAGTCCGACTAGCATACCCATCGTTCCAATGGCGAACCATTTCACTCGTTCATTCGTGCTCTCATTAGTGTCTCGCAGTCTCTGCTCGCGGAGTCTGAGGTACTCCATCTCATTAACGATCTCCGAGACCAGCTCCTCAATGCGTCGAAGGTCCGTCTCAACTGGCTTGAGCTTCTCGTGAGCCTGGATGCTGTTCCAGTCCCGCGCATCGGCACCAATGTCAATATCGAGTTCAATGTGACGGGAAGGATTCGCGACAGCTTCTGTTATTTCCATCAACGTCAGATAACGATCTCCCACCACTCTTCAGGATCGGGTACACGTACGGCGTGTAACAAGCTGGTTTTCGAAGCAAACATCGAATGCGGTGTCCGCGAGGGAAGTGAAGGTCTGACGAGTCTCGCCTGCAATGTCCTTCGGTCGACCATACTCGTTGCCAAGTGCGTCCTTGATCTAATTTTGTTTACATCGTCAGTTACCCCGATATCGTCCAATTAAGCAGGTCCTCGATTCGACTCACATGCATGTTGACGGATTGTCCATCACCTCTGTGACCGCTTACAATGGCGGTCACGACCACCAGCTGGTTGGCTGACACGAAATTCCGGATGCACCGTTCATTCTTACCACTGTGGCCGGAGACCGCAGGGAGATCGAACTTGAGAGCAGAAGAAAAGGGAAAAACCAAAAGCAGAGAAAGGAGGCTCAGAACAGACCTCAATGTGAAGAAGGAAGACCCCATCTTGAATGAGGAGCTCGCAACCGACGGGGATAGTGGTCTTGAACAATGGAGCTTGGATACCGGTGATGCCACGCTGGGGCTTACTAGGGGACGGAAAACAATGGGTGGATCAACAATGTTCCGCGGCCGCAGGCGATCATCAAGAACAGCATAAATGGCCACGCACGACCATCGCAATGCATCTAAGAATAATAAGTTGAGTTATATTTACATATCGCTGCTATATATACATATGAGCAGTATCAATAAATTGCTCTCATATTATACAAAAATACGTCGCAGAAAACAAGGGCGACCGGCCGACTCACCACTGACAAAGCTCGTCAAGGTTGGAGCCAGAGATGACGGTCTTAATTCCATACCACAATGCCGTCCTTGGCAAAGTTGGGCGCGCAAATGATGCGCCATCGTCACTCATAAGATGATTTAGCACCTACTTGTCTTGAGCTCTAAGCCTCTGGACGAGCTTTTCTCTCAAGAATGGACTGAGGCCGAGACTATATAGGGAGATTAGCAATGTTGGACATAAATCTTTGTTCCGAAACTTACATTCCGTTGCGGGTGACAATTCGGTATGTTCCTGTCAGCAGTCAGTCAATACCGATTAATGAAATAGTAGGGCCAGCACTTGTACCGCTAGGCTGATAATTTCCGTTTCCTCCCACAAACCCTCCATTTGAATCGACTTCCAAACTGCCAAATATATCTTCAGGGCTATAACACGATCAGTTCATGCCATACTATGTATCAGTAAGTTGGAAGTCCATACGATGCGATCCTCCCATACTCGGGAGGGTTTCTGGAATCGGATATGTGAATCCAACCACCTCTTCCTCCTGATCCAGCTCCTCCCTGACCACTTGCTCCTCCGCTAGAATCGCCGCCAGCGCCACCGCCGCCGCCGTACCCGGGTCGCTTCCTGCGGTGTTGTTGAGGCGCAAAGAAGACACCGCCAGAACCTAGGTTGGCCCCAGAAGTTGAAGCCATAACCTGAGCCTGCGATACAGCTTCTGGATCCTCGTGCGCATGCTCAGAAAGAACGTCTTGTAGTATTCTTAGAAAAGAAGGGTTTTCCTTGAAGGAAGCTGGAGTAGGAGGCAGTTCGTTTGTAGTGCCGATGGATAAGTCAGGATTTGGAGGTTCAGTAGGTAGGAGGGAAAGGACATGGTTGTCTGTATGTGTCTTATCGTCTCGAAACACATACTAAAAGTCTGTTAGGTATTGTTAAAAGATAGCTTCTTCGGAACTTACTATGTACGGATAACCATCCAATGTGGACAGTGACCGGATTTGACTCCATCGCGGACCTCTGAGCGCTTGGCGCGTAAAGGAGCCAAAGAATAACATAATTCAAATTAGAACAATGAAACAAAAAGCAGAAAAGGACGATGGCATAGGCGCAATGGAAGTTTCAAAATTTCAAGATCGAAATCAACGATGACGAAGGTCAAGATCGGAAGCAAACACGGCAAACTCATGTGACTGCGCGTATGCGTGTTTGCGGCGGCAGCTTCATCTAGCCGCCGAAGCTTCAGGACACTGGTCGATATAGCCCAGTGCTTCTCGTTCAAGTTACTACTGGCCCTGGAGACTCGATTTCAGGGCCAGCATAGGTCGCAATCTGTGGAAATCTCTGTCGCAATTCTCGATCTACGGCGTAGAAGAATAGATCCTGATTCAATCGCAAGACATAACTAATCTCAATTCTCTCTGTTTCGGTTTCCGATAACCAATTTTCACTGTGGCACATATATCTCTGTTCCTGACTGGCGATTGTGTTTACTATCTCGTCCTTTCCTCTGTGTTCTCCAAAGATCAAAAATGGCAACCCCATCTTCCAAACCCAACCCAGGGGCAACACCCACCCACCTAACCTCACCTCATCCTTCCTCTGTACCTATGGGTCGGCCTTTGTCACATAAATCACCCTCAATGAAAACCCCATCTGCTTCGGGGCATGCTCATGGTCATCACCAAAGCGCGTCTCATCAGAACGCAACCCCTTTGGCTGCTGCAACTTCAGCGGATGACCCAGTGACTTTCAGCTCTCCTTCAGCGCTGTTAGCGCTGGGCGGCTATACTGGTATTAGTCCGTCACCTGCAGCGCAGGACGCTCTCATCGGCTCTCATATGCATGAGAATGATATCCATGCATTAGGGATGCAGGGATTAGGGCTTGGAGGAGCACGAGACAATGACGAGGAGCGAAGGAAACATATCGAAGAAGTGGTTCAGCTACTTCGAACGCGCGTTGCAGGTCGAGGTGTGTGCAGGGAAGGCATCGAGAGAATTGGTCAGCTGGCGGGATTCGAATCGATATGGCAGGACAATAATCTTAGCATTGCTGGCAATTCAGTCGACCTGGAAATCGAGTTTTACCCAGGCCAAGACAGCGTGAAAGACGTGAGCCTTTCGTACGCCACTCCAGAAGCCCAGGAAAGTGTGAGGCGAGATGAAGCTACGGCTGTCTTGAAGCGCGATCTCATGCAGTCGGATGAAGAACGGCAACAGGGGATCTGGAAACGATTGGACGGTTTCTATGGAAATTTGGAGCGGCTCGCTAGGCTGGATAGACTCAGCCAAGAAGTAAACTGCTTCGAAGCGACCGAGGCGCTCTATGAAAGTCTTAGAACGATATGGGAAGAAGAAAAGAAACATCCAAGGTGGACGCCTACTTACGAGCACCTTTGTAAGGGCTGGGTTGGCCGCCCTTCGTTGCACAAAGGAAGACGTTTCGGATTGGGTTTGGAATATTGGGTCGAGCAACATCGAGCGTTGGACGCGAAGCAGAGGAAGAGATCCCAAGATAGTATGGTTGTTGACCAGGTCGGTGGACAAGAGATGGACGAGCAACCAATTTCGGAGGACGCCATTTGGAGTGTTACAATTGAATGCGAAGAAGGCTATCCGTCACTTCGAGTCTCGAAAGACTGGGTTGGCTCTGACGTACTGACATCCGTGGATACCGGTGGCAGAGAGTCAACGGATTCCCAAGCCGAGTCCTCGATCATGCTAGTCAACTGGGCTGAACCACCTCCTACTTTGACGTCGTCGGCTGCTGCCAACGCAGACTCCATGGCGTTGGATTCGGGCATGCTTGGCTCACAGACTCCAAACCGGAGGTTCGTGGCGAAGCTGGAGCCGGCTGTCAACGTTCCCATCCTGGCAGCCTCTGATATATACAGGCATTTGGGGCTTCAGTTGCCTCAGGAGTTCAAAATGGTTACGTATGATGCGCTCTTGTTGCCATCCTGGACGGCTTCATCGGAGGCTAGCACCTCGGACGAGGTGCATCGACCGGGCGGCAAGAGACTGAGAAAAAGCGTTGTTACATTTGATTCAGAGGGCAAGCAAGTGAATAAACAGCATTCCTACGCTTTTCAAGCCTTTGAGACCGTCGCTGGCCGAACATTGCGAGATCTTCCCTTTTCGCATCCCCGCCAACTTGCTGATATTTTCCCCGTGAGTATCGCCCTGTAAAGGATTATCTCGTGCGTGTGAGACTGACGAGAAATGTACTCAGATACTTCGCCAGTATGCACTGCTAGAAAGTCTCCTCCGTAATGTATTCTCTCGCTCGGGGGAAAACAATGTCAGAGCTCCAGATGCAAAGATTACGAGGGCAGCGGTTTCTTCCGACCATCCTTCGGGATCGTTGTTGTCTGGGACACACGTATCAGTCTTGACAAACCACGACCCTACAGAAGACAGGCTGGGTTCTCTTCTAAGAGATTTCGGTGAGAACAGAGCGGAGGACAGCATGGATATAACGGTTGATGAGGATCCGAGTAAAGAGACGGACAATCTCAAAGTTGACATTACATTACGGACTCAGATTGGACAAGCGCCCGTGATCATGCTTCTCTTTCCGATCGAGCGAGAGCCAGGAAAGGGCTCAGCGTTAGCTTCCGGAGGCAACGACGTGCGGATGGGTTCGCTGAACATCGAAATTGGGCTCAATGGACGTGTCTCGGTCAACCAGATCCAGGGCCTATGGGACGTCGAGGAAGCGCAAGACAGCAGTGCTCCGAGGCCGGAAGTCCAGGAGTTGCAGAAGAAGCTGGCAAAAGTCTTGGAGACGTCGGAAGATCTGGGCATCCTGGTGGAATGGATCCTCCGCTGGATGCGGCGGCGGAGAGACCGTGCATAAGGTGAACGTTCGGTCGAGCTTATGCAGGTGCGTTCTACAGTCTTGCATGAATATGCTCCACCTTGAGAGCTACAGAACCTCGTTCTTCAGGAGTATATAAGCAAGGGAGATCTCCCGGTCCGCGCCGGATCCTTTATCCAAACACGGTGGATCGCCGCTGGGATCGATCAACGGCCCAGCGTCTGCAGCCAGTCAGGAGTGTCCGATAACAAGAGCCCCAGAGCAACTATTCTAGAGGGCACCGAATGGAGACGATGGACATGCGTCCGGGGTCATTATAAAACGTGGCTAATTTCGTCACTGTGACATTGATGGTGTAGTCTGCCCTAATGGCCGAGTTACAGGAACAACGCCGCGTTGTGGACTGGGAGCGATATTATTATGCATTACGGCTTTTCAGCATTTATTATGGCTGACATGACGGAGTCCCGCCTTGTTCCATCTTGTTCTATTTATGAAACACCAGCTGGTGCCCGATAATTCTTATTATTGCACGTGCCCTCTGGTAGATCGATAGACACGCTAGCCATGCAGGTCCAGAAATACAGAAACACACACTTGCATAATTGATTACTTCGCTGCCAGACGTCCCAGGGAATATCCGTATGCCGAAATTAGACTATGTATACACCTGTCCATGCATACAAGTTGATTGGATCGTTGAATCCCGTCATCTCCACGATCCACAATTACCGGCTACGTAGCATAAGCATTTGTAGTCGTGTACAGACACAGGAATACTACTACAAGCAGCAAGAAATAAACCACCCCATACCTCTCCGGCTAAGGAAAAAGAAGGGCAACGAAGCCTCCGTAATTGCAGATCAAGATATTGATACGTTACAGCTAATAGACTCCGCCTCGGAGACAATATCATATCATAGATAAATTCAGGTTTCGAGAGAGTATATTGAACGGAAGAAACTAAACAATCATGGCTCCTCTATCCAATTCCGCAGAACATGACAATGGAAAAGAGAATGGGGGACTTCTGTCAGTCAGTTCACGCGGATGGAAAGGTGAGGAAGATCTTCAAGAACTTCTAGATGAGTCCTCTGAGCTTGCTTTCTTATTTGTACAATATAATCCGTGTCCAGATCCGTTGAGGATATAAATTCGTAATATTGTGAACAGAAAACAAACGCGAGCAATCAGCTAAGTCATTCTAGAGCGTGTGCATAACACTCCTGTAAAAAAAAAAAAACAGGATTTATCTAGTCCCGCTAACTAGACCGCCATTTTCTTATGGGCACGATACCTACTCTTGTCAGAGATCTGGAAAGTCAATATACTTTGACGATTGGCTGACTTTATCACGAAATGAGTTCTTTTGAATTGACGAATAGCAACTGGAGGAAGAAAACTGGGATACAGAGGTTAGGTAACTAGAACTTGACTATGGAATGTTTATGAGAATAAATTGCGGCTCGGCCCCAGCAACAGGGTTATTCTCTCTCGATGCCTAAGTGGACCCTCACGTTTGCCTCATTACGAGTATAAAGGGCATTATCTATGGCAAGTAAATTTAATGGTTTAGTTAACTTACGCTGATCGACCTTGGGGTCTATCGATCTACAGTATAATTTGCTAACACGAGGGGAGGGTGGGAAGACACCCATCGATAAAAAAGAAAGAAGCGGGAAAAGAAACAATAACAACAACATGTAATACGAATATTAACCCCATACCCAACCCAGTTACCTAACTAGCTAGCTAGCTAAGTTAATAGTTCTGTCTTTTTTTCTGGGGTTGTAAGATCTGGTTAGACCAAGAAAGAAAAAAAAAAAAATGGCTCATGGGGGGTGTCCTCCTCGGCACATGAAGTGATACGATGCGGTTCCTTCCTTCCTTCTTTCTTTCTTTCTACCTACTTATCTATCGGTAGATGCGGGTGTGGCGCATCAACAGTTGGAGCTGGCTTGTGAATATCTTATCTAGCGTGATTTCTTTTCGTGTCTTGCCTGGTTGGGCAGTTCGCTTGAGGTGCCCAGGTGGACGGATGGATGGAGCTGATAGATACTTGGGGGGTAAGGTTAGGTTTGGGCTGGTAGATAGGCTCCTATCGGTTGTTTTGGATTACGAGTAATAAAGAACGGCCATCATGTGGCTTGGATAGTACTACAAAAGGGCGCGGGATGCCATTCCCCGTGTGATAGACCAGGTTGAAGATAGAGAAAGATACCATAGACGGAACGGCTCCGAGGGTATGAGTATCTAGATATGGTAGATACCGGGAGGGAACAATGCTGCTCTTTTTTTCGTTTTGGTGGTTTTCCCAGTCCAACCCCGCACGAAGGCCTCCCCGGATTTTTTACTTTGCGTCGAAGGCGAAAACCGCCGATCCGCAAGAGGATAGTTAATAATATCTAGCAGGAAATCGGACGAGAGGATTATTTTTGCATGGCGCCTGGTTCGTTCGAGTGGGTGAGTAATGGCGGGCGATTGTGACGGGCAGAAACAAGAAGATCGAGTTCATCTGTCAGCATGGTGTGTCATGGAGCGGCAGCCAGACCAATCAGTGCCAGGCGATAAGCAATGCAGGGCCGGCTGGGCGAGCAGGCGCGCGGATTGGGCAGACATTGACCTGAAGGGTAATACTAATATCGCTCCGTCTCCAAACGATCTGTGTCGCGGTGAGGGGAAAAAGAAAAAAAAGGCAAAAAGAAAAAAGAGACAGGAGACTTGAGGGGAAATCACATAGAGAGGCATTTTTTTTTTTTTCGATTCATTTTACTATAGAGTATCGATTCCGTACTGTGAGTCTAGAGTGAGTAACTGACTAACTTATCCGATGGGGCTTGCCACTAAAGAGGCCAGTTCGGGTCTAGTCGGTGCCACCCGCAGCGATCGCGTTCCCACCGTTGAACTAACTACGGAGTAACTGCTCGATGGTACTGCTTCTATTCTTATGCCTTTTGACTCAGATGCTGATTCCTGGGAATAATCGCTCAGCCCTGGTGTGTTTTGTTCGATGCGGTTTTTTTTCCTGTCTTCATCGTTTGTCTCCTAGATAGATACCTAGGGTATCCATCCCACAGCCACGTTGGGAACTCGGCCGGTTGTGCGATGGCTGGACGATCCCAGATCGCACGCTGAGCGCTGTCGTTGGCCGGAGAGAAAGGGAGCCTTACCGCATCCGGAGTGGCCACGGCCGGTGTCGGGGTCTTCCAGAAAAATCATGGAGCCGACGTCGCCACATTCGGGCGAGAGGGACAGTGGAGATGATGAGGTTTCATGATGATGCTGATGCGGATGCTGATGCGGGTTATATGGTACTTATGATTCAGACCAGATACTCTACGCAGGGAGTAGATAGTCACGAAGCAGGGAGATGATAATGCAAAGATAGGATAGTCGACCGGTCGATGGCGGCTCAACCGAGACGGGACCACGCGAGATGGCGGGGGGTGGAACGCGCTGCTGATAACGAATGGCCGGCGCGGACATGGTTGCTGTCAGCTCAGGCACGAGCTGGTCGGGTCTAATAATCTCTCAAACCAGCTGTTCTAGCGTGTATTATTATTGTTATTCTGATCTCTACTAGAGAGTCGAGACTCGAAACAGAGAGAGAGATGCTATGCGAATCCAATCATGTCATTCCGGAATGGCCGTGACAGTAGAAGCCGGATGTATGCAATTCGCAGCGGCCGTTCTAGAGCCGATGCAAGGATCGCTCAGGTACACCAACTGCTGCTGGTCGTTGCGCGTCTGGACGAACTTTTCGTTTCAATAATTAATTTCTTCGCCCTGTCCTCCTGGTTACGTACTCGAGTGAGTCGTGACGGCCTATCAGACCCCGAATTCAAGCAGCCTGAAGCAGTAGTTTCATTAATAGTTAACTACCTAGTTTCGAGCAGGATGGATGATGCCCGACGCTGTGGTTTTATCGGGGAGATACACTACTAATAATAATATCTGAGTAACTACCACGAGCGTGGGGTCAAATCTCCAAGAGGGGAGAGGGCGGGAGAGAGAAAATCAAATGTGAGGGTTTGGTTCAAACTACATCACATCGTGGCGGGAATAATAGCAGTAGAGTAGAGTAGAGTACGAGTAAGTACCATAGAGTAGTAACTTGGATACGAGGATGAATTATTATTCGTTCCATTGGAATTCCAAAGGCACTTACTTCCCCCCAGATTCTTCCAGCCTTTACCCGAACAACAGCCAGGAAAGCGTAATGGAGTGACCAGGAAAAAGTGCGTGGTGAGAAGTGAAAGAAAAGCCACCAGCAATTAAATTTATCGGTTGGTCCTGCTTCGCCCCCCCACCCGGCGCATCCCTCTTCCCTTCTCCACCACTTTCTCGCTCTTCCTTATATCTTTGCTCGCGGGACCTCCCAAGACTCTCTGTGATCATCTACCATCTATCCACTGCTTCGTGCAGTCTATCGCTTTTTTTGCTCTACACTGTCGTTGTTGCTTCGTTGTTTTTGCTGTTCTGACATTCCAGTACTCACTTCCACACACACAACCCACACACACACACACATTCAGTCATCATGGTAAGATTCTGCTCTTTTTTTTTTCCTCGCCATGAGTCACCCATCGTGGTGGACGCGGACTGACGATGCAATTGCTTCCTAGGCCGGATCAACCGTCATCTCCAATGCGGAGAATGTGCGTGCTCAACACCCTTCAGCCGCTCTGTGCTGTGCGGCGTGAGGATTCCCTCCTGTGGCATACTGACTTTTCTGTTCGGTGGCGATAGCTCAGCAAGTACATGAGCCTTGACCAGCGAGGCAAGATCATGGCCGAGTACGTCTGGATTGATGCCGTCGGTGGTGTCCGCTCCAAGACCAGGGTATGCCATTTTTTTCTCTTCTTGTTCCTTTCTTATCTCTTTGGCGGCGGGGTTGCTCGTGTGACCGTGCGGCTACGGTATCGGGGATGCCTCCGCTGTGGGCAATTTCCCAAACCATCCCGCGCACACGCATTTCGGATCTACAGCAGCGCCTCAACCCGTGGGATAAGCACTATCGCAACGTCGCACGGGATGAAGTGCTGCTGCAAGAGAAAGAGATGACTCCTGCTCGCCAAGTCGGAAAAAAAACCTGGTTTCCAAAAGATGACACAATGCTAACGCCTGGGCGCTTGGATAGACTCTCTCTAAGCCCGTCACCTCTGCTGATGAGCTTCCGGAGTGGAACTTTGACGGCTCGTCCACTGGCCAGGCTCCTGGTGACAACTCGGATGTCTACATTCGCCCGGTTGCTATCTTCCCTGACCCCTTCCGCAAGGGTGACAACATCCTCGTCCTCTGCGAGACCTGGGACTCGGATGGCACGCCCAACAAGTTCAACCACCGTCACGAGGCTGCCCGTCTGATGGAGACTCACGCCAAGGAGGACTTCTGGTTCGGTCTCGAGCAGGAGTACACTCTCCTCGACACCGACGGCTGGCCCTACGGCTGGCCCAAGGGCGGTTTCCCCGGTGCCCAGGGCCCTTACTACTGCGGTGTCGGTACCGGCAAGGTCTACTGCCGTGACATCGTTGAGGCTCACTACAAGGCCTGTCTGTACGCTGGCATCGCCATCTCTGGTATCAACGCAGAGGTCATGCCCGCCCAGTGGGAGTTCCAGGTCGGTCCTTGCCAGGGCATTGAGCGTAAGTCATCCATCCCACTGCACCGGTAGTCAAGTCATTACTGACATCTTGTGTCTTCCAGTCGGTGACCAGCTCTGGATGGCCCGTTTCCTCCTCCACCGCGTCGCCGAAGAGTTCGGTGTCCGCATCTCTTTCCACCCCAAGCCCATCCCCGGTGACTGGAACGGTGCCGGTCTCCACAGCAACGTGTCCACCAAGGCGACCCGTGAGGAGGGTGGTCTGAAGGTCATCGAAGCCTACATGAAGAAGCTGGAGGCCCGTCACTTCGAGCACATTGCCGTCTACGGTGAGGGCAACGAGGAGCGTCTCACCGGCCGTCATGAGACCGGCAGCATCGACAAGTTCAGCTACGGTGTCGCTGACCGTGGTGGCTCTATCCGTATCCCCCGCCAGGTCGCCAAGGATGGCAAGGGTTACTTCGAGGACCGAAGACCTGCCAGTAACGCTGATCCTTACCAGATTACCGGTATTATTGTTGAGACTGTGAGTTTGCCCTCGAATCGACTTTCCTAGAGCCGTGATCGCTGACTTCTCTTCAGCTGTGTGGTGGTGTCTAAATTTGTGGAACCTTCTGGCTTAGCTCTTGTATACCCTCCGGCGTCAACCGGGAGTCGAATAGAGCGGCACGGCAGCGGGTGAAAAAGATGTTATAGTCCTTTTTCTTTTGTTGACGATAGCCTTATTAGTTATGGGTTTGTTGACCCGCTCGCCGCAGCCGGTTCTATCACTCTCTCCTTTGTCGTTCAGTTCCATTTTTCCTTTTAACTCATCCTCACGTCGGCCATGTCTGTTACGAGGAGCATAGATAGCTTGTTCTATCTGGATTGAATCATTGAATAAAAGAAGTTTCAACGGGAATCGTACGCGATCTGTCAGTATGACTACTGGCTATATATAGGCTGCCCCATAGGATCATCCCGGACATTCCAAATGGGATTAGTTTGGATAATGGGCAGCCTTGGCAGTAGCTGGCACTCGATATAGGAAGAAATACCGTCTATACATCTGCGAGCTCATTCTGGCTTCACCCAGAGGTTGTTAGCAGGGTGATCCCTGTGAGTCAGGTGATCTAGTACTCACCAACCTCATTGATACTCCGCCTACGGTCAACTACGCTCTCTCGGTTTGCGCGCCCATTCCGTTAGCACAGCTGCTGAAGATACTTCATTGTCAACTAGCTAGCTATGTGGCTCTAGCAAGGATCCTGCTGGTCGCCCTGACCACGAGATGTCACATGATCTAGGCCAGGATAGGCCCGGCCTGCCTCCTAGCTATGTAGTAATCCAAGCAGCTTCTCACCGCTTCCTTCAACTACTACTGGAGCCCCTAGGGGTACCAAAATGCTTCTTGTCTATGTGACTTGAAGCAAATCCAGCAATCGTTCTGCTCACTTCACATACCGTACCATATGACTGGACCATGCCAAAAACTAGACGTCTGCTACGTGGCGAAATCACGTACTCGGCCGCGAAGGACAAAGAAGTCAATATTCTTCATCGCTTGGAGTATTATAACCAGGAAATCCAGTTCTTCTCCCTTCTTGACAAAAGCCGCGACTGGATCCGCGCCGTTGTTTCTTATCACTTGAACCTGCGATCGTCGGACTATTGCCATGTAGCGGACGTATCGGACTGGTTGCATGGGAGCTTCAATGTATGTATACCAGTGACGATTGTTGATTGGAAAGGAAAACAACAGTCAGGAGACCGTGTTCTTATCCGATTTCCTCTACCATATCGAGTCGGTGAAAGCTACCACCCTGGGAATGGAGATGAGAAACTCAGATGTGAGGCTGCTACCTATTCTTGGCTACAAGATAACTGTCCCGACGTGCCCATTCCACAATTATATGGCTTCGGGCTATCTACTGGTGAGACTGTATGGGTCGTTACTCTACATCTTTAAGGGCGATTTCAAAGACTAATATTATCCAGTTTACACAAGTCACGAATCTCCCTCTTTGGATGCGCTGCATACACTTTCTGAGACGGAATATCCTTACGTTGGTTGGCTACCCACTTCCGTCGCGATATGTACGTCGTCATGGCAGTGCGGTGGCGTCGGGTGATGGGCCGCTGCCCTTCGGTTACCTTTTGACTGAGTATATTGAGAGTACAAGGGGGGAAATGCTTTCAAAAACCTGGGGCATAAAGCGAGATGATCTTAGATTACGAACCAATTTCTTGCGTGATCTGAGTCGAATATTTCTGAGTTTGGCAAGACACCCACTTCCAAAAATTGGTTCTTTTACCATCGATAATAACGGAGTTTTGTCTCTCACAAATCGCCCCTTACAACTTGAGATTCAGGACCTTGAGAATGAAAGAATTCCAACGGATATACCGCGGGACTACACATACTCAACCGTTGACTCATATGTGGCCGATATACTTCGTTACCATGATAGCCGCATACGCCACCAACCGAATGCTATAAATGATTCAGGGGACTACCTATATCAGATATCGGCTTTAACAGCCATGCGGGCAATATCTCCACTATTACTCCGACAAGATCTTCGCCGTGGCCCCTATATTTTTATGTTGACTGATATCCATCAAAGTAATATCTTTGTCAATAAGGATTGGAACATTACTTCTCTTGTGGATTTAGAGTGGGCATGCTCTATACCAGTGGAGATGGTACAACCGCCTTACTGGCTTACAGACAAGGCCGTGGATCAGCTCGTGTCCGAAGAATATAACGAATCTCGCTTGGAATTTATGAATGTCCTCACTGAGGTTGAAAAAGAAACTTCCACTTCCCTCAGAGGTAAAAACCAGACCACTACCGCTTTCAAATTATCTGCCATCATGGAGGAGACTTGGCAGAAAGGCACTTTTTGGTTCACACTTGCCCTTTTCAGTCCGACTGGGCTTTTTTCAATCTTTGAAAAGCAAATCCAACCACTCTTCACGAAAAGTTGTCCCGATCATGATCCTTTTCATGAAATTATGCCATGGTACTGGTCGCTTGATATTGTTAGTACTCTCAAACTTAAGACAGCTGATAAAAAACAGTACGATAAAGACCTCCAGCAGGCATTTGAGAGTGGATGTCTTACTGATTAATGAGAATCTTTACTTTCAATAACAGGCTGAGCACTATGCGAGCCTGAGCCGGAGTTCGAAAAAAGTTACCAATTGTCGGGAAAGTTTTGTGACGCCATCTTGGCAGATGTTAGGACAGCGACTGGAGAGGCTATGCTGCTCTATTCGGTCCAATACTTAGCAGCGTCAATAGCTTATGCTGCGTTGAGAGCAATCAACTGAACGGTGAGCAAATTAGAACCATAAAAGTATCTGTCTCAGTGCAGAACAATTGGATAAGGGACTCTCTCTCGTAATGGTCCAACTCAGCATGGAAAATGTGCGCATCAATGCCGCGGAGATGGAGCGTAGCGCCGATGAAAAACTACTGTGCAGGATTAACGCACCATACGACAGACTTTTCGTAATATATAAGGACTTCATCACGAATGATTGGGAGGAGTGCCTAAAGCTTAGGGGATTATACAAGCCGCTTTGCAATGGACTTGTAAAACAGATCGTACTGTCGTTGTTCATCCATGCCAAGGAGAAAGAACGGCGGCCTGTCACAAGTCGGTGCTCGTAGCATGTATGTTTTGATTGCTTCGTTATTACCCTGTCGCGGCATAGTTCCTGTTCCTCTCTGCTCTCCTTCAAGTTCTTCGATTGCCAATTTGTCTCGTTACTTGGAGCTGCTGAAGATTGTTTAAAAAGTTAATTGAGTTAACTACCTAAATTGGCTCTAGCAAGGATCCTGATCGCCACTGGAGGTCAGGATATCGAACGGTAATGTACTGTACATAATTGTTCCATTGAACCACTGTATTATTGTTTTGATTGCATGGGCCGATTGTTATTGTGTATTTGGATATGAAACTATTTTTTTTTTTTGAGTACCACACTCCCATTATTGAACGATGACCTTTAGATTTCCTTTATACTTACACTTTGATTGTGATGACAAGCTTAAACTGGAAATGATTGTGATTCCAACTACTATCGTGCATCTGTCGCTAGTCGTGGTAGAGATTCTGAATACCCAACTTCAAGAATAAAAGATGTGGTGGAAAAATTTGTTGTAGCCAAGGCTTTAATTCCCCATTGTTTATCAGGCTGTTTCTTATTCCCGTTCTAGATCTGCTCTGCTGTTCCCGCAGAAATCAAGGTAGCGAGGAGTTCTTCTTCCTCCATTTTGATGTGGAAGCCTTTGAATCAAGTTCCTAGATCTCAATTTTCCCGTTGAGAGATTTTAGAGTGAAACAAATCTGAGAAAATGACAATTTCCGAGCAATAAAAGGAGGATATGATAACTTATCTCGGCGCGTGGGGAACAAACAGAGGTTTGAAAATCTAATATGATGTAGTTGTTCCATTTGGGAGGAGTCAATCCAGTTGTTATATCTGTCTCCTTTGTGGATTCTGGGAATTTGTTACTCGATTCTGTTGCCATCCCGTAGACATTCGATTAAGTAAGTATGTACCTACCTACCCATCCCACAGACTTGACCAGAAAATCGACTCTACCGTCAAGTTTCTTCCCCATCTGGGTGGGAGTAGGATATGCGTCTGGTTCCACAATGCGGTTCAAAATGCGTATATCCACGACGACTCTTCCCTTTGGGATCATTGTGCCCTTTGACTTCGACGTTAAGCCATATCAACGAAGACTACTGGGCATTTGTACAAAGTTCAGTGCGATCGCGGCCCTTAGTTGTCCTTTCCATGTTTCTATATTTGCAGCACTCAAATAAATCTTGAGCCTAGCCCAAAAAGGAATTTCATCGATCCCTCTGGTTCTTGTCAGAGGGCAAAGGGCAAAAAGTGACATTTGTCTACAGGGTCTTGCACCTTTTCGACTATACAAGCACCCCTGTCTCTCTCTTAAGACTGTAGGTTATCAGCATTTATCATAAAGGGATACAAGGCGTCTCAAAAAAAGAAAAGGTGAGAGATGATATAAAACAGCTCACTGTTCAGAGATATGGCCAAGTCATAATCTTGCAGAAGGGGTAAGATATGGTAAAAACTTACGGCGCTCTTCGCAGCCTCGGAGTACTAGTTTATACTAAACTAAGTAGTCGAGACAGCCGCGCGGGACTCTCTGGCGTAAGTATGAGTAGTCGCGTATTCCATGCGTCCTTGTCGGCGAAGCTTGTCATATGTCTGGTCAACCACCTCACGGTCCTTGGGACCTAATAAGTATACCTAGCTTAGCATGCTTCAGAAAACTCGACTCCCGCCCCTGCTTGAATGGGATAGGCATCCATTGATCTAGAGGGATGCTGGTTGACCCTCGGTCAGACCAGATGTCATACGACCTGACCATTTCTTCAAGTCGAGGTACCGTAAACTGTGACGCCAATGTCGAGTTTCCGTTCGAGACTATTGTCGCCTCGTGCCGCTAAACCCTTTGCTTGGCCTGAAATAGACTCACCAGTCCATGTGCATGGCTACTTGGAGCATAAGGCAATGTATAAATCGCTCTCCAGTCACGATAGAAAGGTCTTGTGCCCGTGATGTGATCCATACTTTGTCATACAGTAGGTTCTTGTCAAATTCGTCTTCTAAGCGATTGGCCACAAGTACCTCCCTTGGGAAACTGAGTGCTTGCTGGATTTTGTTCTATTTCTATCCGACTGGTGAGACAGCAGTAAAATCCGAAAGTTTCTGAGTGGATTAAAGATAAAAATTCAGAATGGTTATAAGAGTTTTCGGCCGATATTAAGAGATATAATCCGTTTCTCTTTTCTAATGATCTCAGCCGGCTACCTATAGAAACAGTTAGTCTATCAGATTACGCAAAAGGGAGGATTGCCGGAACAAACTCCAGATCGGCTCAATGCACTCAGCATGTCATATAAAAAGGCTGGCTGTCTCAGAGTGAACAACCAAATGTAGTCAGTCAGCTCTAGAGAGAGCCGAAAGGACTTTCTGTAGTTGCTCTCGTTGTCGCTTGAAGATGACAAAAACGAGTGGGATGTGGAGCAAATGCTCGCATCGAGGCAACGTGCGAGGAAGACTGAATACCTCCGGCGATGGAAGGGATTCCCTCCTTCTGAGGATACGTGGGAGCCAGAGGAACATCTCGAAAGGGCAAAGGAGCTTAATGAATTTAAAAATACAGAACGGGCTACACAGAGAAAACGCCAGCGGACTTATTGATTGCCGCGAAGAACCCCCGAAAAACAGACCAACCGAACGCCCGAGATAGACGCGAGCGCCATGGCCATGCTCGTTAAGCAGGCCCCGAACAGTGTGCCTGTCTCTGTTCTTCTATGTCGTCAATCGAGTCAAGAGTGTACGTGCCAAGGAACTCGTTGATATTGTCCACCTCGGGTTCCCACCCATGTTCTGCCAATATCGAGGCGGCATCCTGCAGAGCCCGGATGCATTTATCTTACTCCGCCTAAGTATGTTAGTAACGAACTTAAGTTAGATTACGATCTACTTACCTTATTACGCACAAAGTCTTCCGACTTCGTGTTTGCCATATGATTCCTTGCCCACCCTTCACGAAGCGTTCTGATCAAGCAGGCTTTGATGCGCCTGTACTGCTATATGGCGCCGGTAATATCACTTAGCTTTCTCAAGAGATTGCGGCTGCGACCGCTGTTGAGCACCCAGATCTTCTTAATATGACTATTGTCTTGGAATTGCGCCCGTGCCGTGATTCCGCCGAAGTTTGTATACGCCTGCAGTTTATCTTCCTGTAATAGAGTTAGTTAAGGACAATCTAACTTAAGTCAGATTGGGATTAAATACTCTAGGCGCAAGCCTGCCGACCATCTCATAGTAACGGCATGATTGAATTCGTTGCGACTATAGAATAGACCAACGTCGGGTTTGTCGTAAGTGCGGCGAACGATTATTAGCATTTCCAAAGTCCGCTTTCAGTGGGATTCTATGGGCGCTCCATTGGCTGTTAATCGGTGCAGCTAACATGGCAAGATCTTGCAAAAGGGAATCAAGGATATGTTCATGGCAGACTCGGATCTGTTGTATTGCGGCAAGTAGAATAGGGGTTGGTGTGCGCGCCATACCAACTGGAAACTCAGGAGGTGACTAATGGCCAGAGGAGTGCAGTTTGAACATAAGGGTGATGTTGCATATATGCTCTTAATGAAGTCCATCTCATAGGGACATATTCTTGTATGTTTCCTGGCTTCGTCTATCACCAGAAGAGCTCTCCTTTGTCACCAGTTGTCTTTCAGCTCTGGACTCTCTGTCAGGTCATTCAACAATTTGAAGTATTGAAAGCTAGTGTCCAACTTTCCAGTGGAGTAGCTGGCCAAATGATAGTATATACAGCCATCTGCGGTCTGCGCTGTGGCACGTATATAGCCTAGCTAGAGTTGATGGAGAGGAGGAGACGATCTGACGGAGGAAACAGACCGAACGATCGGGCTTTTACTAGCAGGGGTGCCTCTGATATATACGACCCTCGTGTGTTCGATACGTTCCCAAAGAGCAGCAACGATTTCCATCCGATCGAATATGAGGTTATCTCCTGAACAGTGTGGATAATCTATAACTCAGAGTATGAGCGGAGATGGAAAGCATAGTAATAAACAGTTCTGACGAGGCAACAGCATCCTTGTGCATTGAGAGAGGATGAAGAGAGTCCGTGCAATTGCTCAAGGCATCATCTGAAGAATAATCGAACGTTCCATAGAAAGAAGGACACGGTACAGAGGAAGTGCCAAATTTCTAAAGCTGTGTGACGGGCCACGATATAATGCAAAGCCTCTTTACTGGGACGATGTAGCAGTTCCAACTAATGAGCTAACGATTAGGCATTTGGAAGAAAGAATGGATATATGATATTGGATTGTATCTTTTTGTTTATAACAGCAAAATCCTTAGCAGAGACAGTTCTTTGAAGGACTTTGCGGAAGGCGCATTTCTGTAGAGTCGTACTTGGGACTCACGGAAAATCCAGTATACTTACAACTTCTGTCAGTCTTCGTAACCTTCTAGGAAACCCGACTTTGGAAAGGCTCCCCCGGGAAACTCCCACGCGATAAGCAACAGACTATTCCATTGGCGTTGCGTAAATCGGCGGTTGTGATCGATTGCACCCTCATAATCGTTGGGTTTGGGCGGATGATATGCTTTTCCACAAGCTCGTCCCATGACCAGAGCAATGCTCGCTCGTTCTTCGTGGATGGTACCTTCGCATCGCTGTCTGATATTTTATACTTCAGGGTGCAAAACTAGCGTGTAAGAATGTGATTTCGAATAATTAGAGCTGAAATTTTGAGTCACAGGCCTTTTTTCCCGCACGAGGCCAGGGTATAAGAGCCTTGCCTCCCCTACTCTTCTACCGAAGGTCCATTGGGCGAAGTGGCAGACATAAGGTGTTCTCGATGTCACGACTTCACCAAAATAATTCAGTCTCTCGCTAGGTGCGATCGCAATTCCCAGAAGCTATACCGACTAGCAGAATGTTGATAAGCACTTCGCTCATACGCAAATACGCTAAGTACATTGCCGCGGTGATCATCTACTGTGAATCCAATGTCGCCAAAATTTTCCGCCTGCGACACGACCCAGTCCAAAATGACCACTTTTGCTTTGGTAATCGATAGTAGCGACTGTAGGTACAGCGTTGGAAGGAAGCCTGCCATCGGCAACGAGAGCGAAGAGACGCTGCCGATAGAAAAAATTCTGTGCTTTGTAGGGACTAATGATGGTTATCTCGTCTGCACGATACGCCCCTGCCTGGTGGTTCCTGAGGATTATTTCCATGACCAGATCGATATGCGGAACGTTTAGCCTCGAATTTGTGGCTTTATCGATCTGACAATCAGAATGCCTGGGCTCATAACAAGATGGCCCATGTCCATTCTCGTAGCATCTTAATAGGCAGAAGTTCACCCAACATCGCAGACCATTTCTGGTTCACAGAAATGGAATTCGTACATAGGTGAGAACGCATCTTACCTGCATATACCCGTTCATTAAGCCAATCAACGAGACGCTTTTCGGTGAGCTGCAGCATATGACGTCCCAGATGAGCAGCGAAAGATGTCTCGACTTGGTTGCTTTATTGATCTGGCAATTGGAAACTGTCGGGCTGAGCAGAAGATATCCTATATCCATGCTCGCGGCGCTCTTGATAGGCAGAAGTCCACCCAATATTCGAGACCATTTCTTAGTTATAGAAACGAGAATTCGTATATAGGTAGGAACGCATCTCATCTGCATATACCCTTCGTTAAGCTAGTTAACGAGGCATTTTCGGTGAGCTGCAGCATAATATGTCCCGTTCTGACGAGACGAGCATCGAACGACGTCTCTAGCTGCAGATCAAACTCATTGAAACCTGGCTCTTCTTTTGCAGAGAGGACGGTTGGCTGTAGTTGCTTCAGATCTCCGCAAAGGATTACGCCTTGGATTTTGTCCGCGTGGCCCATCTTAGGTAGGGAGATCCAACTGCTAGGCTCAACCTCCTTTGGATCCTCATCTCGAATGAGGATTATGCCGTTCGCACATTCGCCAAAGTGGCGTGTAGGAATTGACAGGCCAAGATAATCATTCGTGGATATGATGAGGAAAATACTGAAGAAGGCTGAGCTTATAATATATTGGCACACTTTCTTAAATGAAAGATCTGCCTTGCGACGGTCCTCCGCATCCCACGAACTCATTGGCTGCGTCTGCATGAGCTGTAGGTACTTGCGAAACTCTGCAAAAATGTCTGCTTCTTCCCCTTTTTCGAAGCCCGCATCGTAGGCTTCCAGGCGTCCTCTCGTGGAACACCCCTCGATACAGCAATTTGTTCAAATTGCTGTTCCTCTGAAGTGTAGTTGCTGATGAGTTTTGTCCCTGTCACTTCTGCGTCAAGAGCAGCCTGGACAGCATGAGCTTCCAAAGACATGTGCGGGAGACCAGATCAGCGGTCTTTAAATCCCTTTCGGATAGACTGTGCGAACTCAAGCATCTAAAATCGTTCCTTGAGTGTACTCTCGAGCTTTCAAGTTATTATTTTGAAGTTCATGTATAGCACTGTACTGTGGAGCATCAACGGAAGTCTTCAGGCATTGAAGAGAGGTTTGTTTGCACGATTGGCCACCACTCGTCTCTCGGTAAGTTCTCAGAGGATCGATCTGAGACCCCCTGTCTCTGTTGAACTTTTCAATTGCCTCGCAAATGGCGTCGGCAGCGTAGTGAGTCGGGGCCGACAAGATGACGTGCATGCCAAAATATGGACATCTTCTTTATGACCCCCTCCTTAAGATCGGATACGTCTTAAGTTTTAGGACAGGCGGACAGCTCTTGTTGTGGCCGATAATAAGTTCTGCTGTGACCTTCCCCGAGACTTCGTCACCGAATCTCAGAACCAGCGACCCCGTCACACTTTGAAAGTGACACGCTTCGAGTCGCTAATCGCCTTATCTCTGTGCTTCGTCGTATCGAAAACAACCGCATAGAAGGAGTCCCTCGGCAGAACAGACCCAACATTCCTCGTCATGGAGCTGGCAGGCAGTGAACCTGTTGGCCCCGAAAAGAGAGAGAACCGCCAACCCACTCCCCTAGCGAAGGGCCGCTTCGAGGCTAACAATCAAACGCCGGAACTCATCTAGCAGACCGCGAAGCTGGCGCAGCAGCTCCTCGACGTCATTAGAATCAGAAGAGGCATCGGAGGGCACGACAATCGGGGCTACATTCACCACGTCAGTAATGAACAACCCAACGGAAGAGCTCACTTACCACGAGGGCTCGAACCCGGGAGACCTTCAAGACATTAGCTCAGAATTCACTCGACCAGGACAGGAAGGAACTTACGACGCGGAGGCATCTTGATGAGGAGGTCTTGAGAATGTTCTTCTTGTTCTTGTTTCGCAGGGCCAACAGAAAGGTCCAGTCTCCACGAATTCGACCAATATGGCCAACATCGTTCTTCTTATTGGGGAATTGCCATCGCTGCGCAACGGCTGTGCTTGACCGTCTCTTTCCCAGGAGCCTGGAAGCTCATCCGCGCAAGATCGCTGATCTTCAAACAAAAAGCCTCTTGCAATTTCAATTTCGGTTCTGCGAACCTTGTGACAGCCAGGATTCTGTTATATGCGACGTTAAGGAATCCCGGACAGCTCACAGCGGGAGGAACATGGCGGCGGTGCAGGCGGAGATCGACAAGAATTCCTAAAGTGCATGTAAGCCTCAATCATCGACATCCTTGTGCAATGTCCAAACTTACCACTTCGCTCTCGCTGGCAGAGTATATATAGAACGCGGTCTGGGGTACAGGGCGCTTAACTTCTTCAACCCACTGCGTGTAGGAGTCAGCATCCATCATAAGCATTCAGGGAGAGACCCAATATCTGATGAGCTCACCTTATAAAAATAATAACCTTTGACAATTCAGTCAGGAAACTTCTCGACATGTGGGAGGATACCAGGTTGCAACGAGAACTCCCAGAAGGTATATTCACATACGACCTGATCATGTATTCCGATACAAGTGATCTTCCATATTTATAAAGATACATCTAATCCAAGTCGATGCTACTAACAATGATAATTATATAAGTGTTGGAGATAGGGAGGAAGGAAGCCATGAGGCATCTGAAATGGAAATATATATTGTAGTAGAGGCTGCATGTGGTAGAAGACGCATGGAATAGATAGTCTTGATATACACGAAGGAGCACATGTGCTAGCTGAACAAAGGTTCCTCTGAGAGGACTGCTCAAAGAGCCTCGTATAAACAAAAGTATATCCGATATAGCAGAGGATAGTTGTTCCAGATGTTGGAAGGCATTCAACAAAAAGATGCTCAAAGGCGCGTGCTGCGGTCTTGTCCGCCGACAAATCAGGCATTCTGTCAAGAAGCAAGAGGTATTTAATTATATAATAAGAAATCCAGCTACTCAGCATGACCGAAGAGAGTTGAAGAAATTGCGAAAGCACCTTAGACACCTCACTGAACAGTATCCATGTACTGCTGTGGTTGGTCATTTTCATCTCTTACCTCGTACGGTGCTTTCACCCGGAAGGTCTTGGTTTTCTTGGAGATCGTTGTACGAAGTAGGACAGTATTGTCTTTGAAGATGGGCAAACCTGCTCTGTCTAGCTTATCGTAGGCCAGATCTGAGACAAACCCGAGCGGTACCGTAAGCAGATACTGGAGGCCCCCTTGGTAGCTGAGACAATTCCATCAAATATAATCTATATTGATGAGGAACCTTCTGAAGAAAGAGATGGGGAGTGGAAAAGAAGAAGGAGAGCTACGGACCGAAGGACTGCTTAAATATCCAAGAACGGGGACTCTCGAGAGGGGAAAAGAGGGGTTGTTGAACAATTCACCATCGAAAAGTTCTGAGATGTCGGAAAATGCATATTGATTGTAGTGAATCCTACAGCAGGAATCATTCCCCTTCATCACTTCCTGAAGGATATCCCCTATACATCGAATTCACATATTGCGGGGAAGGGGAAGGTAATGAATTATGAGGATATTATCTAGGTCCAAGCGAAGCGAGATGCAAAAGAAGCTGCTGTAATCAAAGGCAAACAGGGTTGGAGTATTTTAATAAAAAACACCAGTGGCAGCGAAGGTTAAGAGGGTACGGAAGAGCGAGGTGGAAGTTGCGGAGGATGAGATTAAAGCATCAGGACGTGGGGAGCATTGCTCTGTTTTACAAATTTGACGGGGGGTTCCAATTGCATAAAGTATTTAACGACGCGCAGATCTTCGTACAGGAGAATATAGAATCTGTGTCCGGCTTTCGCACGCGCTGCCCTTTTTGCGTATAGACTTCTTTTTGTATACATTTTAGCCAACCCCATCTCAAGGTAAGGCTAAGAAGCCTTATAGACAAGCGCAAATACTTCCAATCCTTACTAGAAAAAACAGCACATTTCAAGCTTACAGGAGGCTGCTTCCCTCTATACAAGCACCACCAAGTGTCTGCAGGTCTGATCGGGAGAACTTGACTCCGGCTGCGCTACGATACAACTCTTGCATTCAAGGCTGGTCTCGTCCTACTGATGCGCTTTTATCCTCATATGATCTCGCGACAAAAGCAAGGTCAACTTGCTGTAGACTTCCGGCATGATGTTGCCCGAGATTCCTCCACCTCCGCTGTGAAGAGATGGTGCCCTCTTTTATCGGCCACCAGAGGTTGAACTGTGCGAAGACGCCGCGCGTAAAGGCGATCTAAAAAGGGTCAAAGAACTCGTCCAACAGCTCCTCCACAGCCATCGCCCATCGTATGAGACCATAAAGCCGCAGCCGGGGTGGTTGTACAGCTCGATCACCACCGCCATCGAGCGCCATGACCTCGACATGGTGCAACTCCTCCTTGACGAGAACGTCACAACGCGCGACGCCCTCCTCCCCTTCGAGGACGCGGTACGTTGTCGAGCTTTCGAAGTATTGAAACTATTCTTACAGCGTGGATGGGATATCAATAAACCCCTACATCGGAACGAGCCGCCCGTGTTAAGGTAACTCACCCATCTTAATCTCCATATTCCGCTAACGGTCTTTTCGTATTAGCATTCCTCTCTGTACCGGAGACAAAGAAATGGTCATCTGGCTACTGGACCACGGCGCCGACCCTAATGCCCGCTGCGCCTGGGACTACACCCCGACATCGCAAGCCATGTTGGGCGCGCCGCTCGATCTCATAGACTACCTCTTCACCCGCGGCGCCGATGCACGACGTGGGGAATTGCTGCAGTATGCCGTCCTGAGAGACAAGCCTGATGCACTGGATGTCGTGCGGCGCGCCGTGGAGCACGGTGCCCCGATCAACAAGGTCAAGTACGAAGACGAGCCTAAGGTGTTCCGGGAGCGGGAGCCGTTTGGGTTGGGGACACCGCTGCATCGCGCGGCGGAGCTTGGGAGAGTGGAGATTGTGAAGTACTTGCTCGAGCAAGGAGCCGATCCATTGAAGTTGGATAGTAGAGGGAAAAAGCCGCGCTACTGGGCGGATATCAAGGGCCATCCGGCCGCGGGGATTGTGCTTATTCATGCAGAGGATCAGTGGAGTAATATGCGGCCAAAGGATATGAGCAATTTGTAGGTTGTAGGTGTGCAGTGACGTCCATTTGTAAACAATAATCTCCTTGACAGCGAATAAAAGGAGAGTCTTGAAGAATATAGCTAGCCCCAATGTGGTAGGGGCTGCCAAGTAACCATATATATCATACCATGTGAAATCTGTTTTTGATGTCCTGGAGTTGCTTTGATCTGGAAATAGAATATATGGTTGACTTAATTGCCGATGTTTCACAAGGTAACATGTGATCTAACATCTCCGATGAGTGACATCTGAGAGCATAATATCGTCTAAGTCGTTGTCTAATATAACTTCAGCGAAATATTGTCTTGTAGGCTGTGAAGCCAAACACATGTTACAGAGGCAGCTTCACCTCCCAGAATGGGACCAGCTCAACCTCCCCCACAAGGCCATATGGCTGTGGTCCATAGCTTGCCGCATACTGTGACTGCTCCCAACTCTGCGTATTATTAAACTCCAGCAGACGATTTCTCAACGTGCTGGACACTTCGATTCTAACTGTATTTGTCCCGTTTCTGAGAAATGGCGAGATATTAACTACCGGATCGTCGACGTCGATTGGGGCCGTTTGGTTCTCGTTGATATGTATCTGTGCGGTGTTGAAAATTGGACGTGGAAGAGAAAGGAGGACGCCGGCGCTGAACGAGCTGTTTCGAACGGGGAACACGGACCAGGAGAATTGTGTGGTGTAGGTCCCAATCCCGGACATGTAGAATAGGCTAGAAGAGATATTGTACCAGGGAAAGAGGCGTGGTTGAAGGTCGTAGTAGTTGTGGTACTTGTAGATGGAAGTGTAGTTTTTCGTAGGGTTTGGACCAGGAAGCCATTCTTGAATGGTGAGGTTCCATGGTCCCAGTATTGTAGCATCTCTAGGGAGAATATGACTGGGAGAAGATGGGACGTATCGTATATTGCCGTTGCTGAGTGTTATGGAGTGATCCCTGGCATCAAATATTCTCGCGACTATGCAATTTTCAGAAGAAGAATACGCCAGATGGTGTATATCTGTTCGAGTAACATGAACAGGAGGAATTGGCGTATCTGGAAAATATTCCTCTGGAGCGAATGCGAATATAGTTGATTGATTAGATCGAAGAGGGACCCAGAGGTTATACCGATTGTCGTCTGTGATACTGTAGTTGAGTACAGCTGTGATTTCGCCCGTCCATGCATTAAGCTGATACGGAATTCCGCCGTTCGCCTTGATAGATACTTCTGTTTCATGATCGTTATATATATCGGAATTATAGACCCAGAAGTAGTCTACCTTGTTATTTTCATCCCAGCGATGGACGTAAAGGATCGGAGAGGGGGAAATATTACGAGCCGCGGGGAATATCTTCAGGTCTTGGAGAGCGGAAACGACTTCTGATTCGGATGAGACGTTTTTCACAGATGGGTATTGAAGTAGCTTCGTTACGGTTTCTTTAACGTATTCGTCGCATGTTGGACAATAATACGGTGTCGATTCTGGGACGCCATTGATGAAGATTATGGGAAATCCTTCCTCGGCATATTCGATGAAACGGCTCGCTGCCTCAGATGTGAGATTCGTCGAGTTGTCGATAATGAACGCAGAAAATGCTGGGCCGTCTTTTGCGAGAACACCTTCGGTTATGATAGCATTGTCCTATATCTGGCTTCAGTATGTAGAGACAATAGTTGGAAAGTCAATGCGGTTTCATACCAATTTGAGAAGAGAAGGACTAAGCGCGACATAACTGTACCCTGAGTTGGCCAAAGAAGGATCACCAAAGATATTCTCGGGAAGACCATAGTGTTTAATGTCAAGATCGATATATTTATGACGGTATATGGCAATATCAACCCGAGGCACGCCGGTCTGGAGAATAAGCTGAGTTCGGGCAATCCAATCACCGAATACTCTTGAATATTGCCAGCCGGGCTGTCTGGGACCCCACATCTCAGAATAGAGCCATTCGAAAGTGGTAAATCCAGGCCATGAAGCGTCTGGACGATATCCAGAGTAGGGGTAACCGTGTAGCACGACACGGTTCACGCCACCAGCGTAGCTGATCTTGCAGTCATTCAGGATCACAGGCCAGGTAATAGCGTAGGCTTCGTAGCGATGAGCTCCTAGCTCCGAAGAGACGATTTGCCTTCTGCCGAGAAAGGCACCTCCAGAGAAAGCACGATTAGCATCGATAACTCCATCGAAATAGTTAGACTCTGTCTCAGGGGCGTCAATGTATGCTGCCGAAGCGGTTAGGTCCCATGCAGGCGCGAGTATCGGCGCAGTGGCATACGGTTGTAGACTTCCTTGAAGGTCCCATTTAGAAGTCCAGGTAGATAGTCCTGTCAGATGATATTTCTCATAGAGTTCCTGGAGTGTTTGTCTGTAATCATTGCGCAACTTTGCACTGATGTCTTTCCCTCCCTCGTCGTTGAAACCAAAGTAATAGTAGCTGTCCGGAAGAGTGCTCGGGGGTACATTCGTGGTTCCAAAATAGCTCGGGAGAGCAGCAATTGGTGAATAGTTCCTCGATTCTTGGAAGAAGTTGATAAAGTTGTCGGTCCAGAATAATGTGGCTCTGAATTCCGCTGAATCCTCCCAGGCATAGATTCCTAGTTCGCGGATAAGATCAGCGTTTTCACCGCTCATGACATACTGCTCAGTGAAAGATGTCCAAAGGTCTGTGCCTGCCTGGCTGAAGTGGTCCACTACATATGCGAACCATGAAGCTGGATTGTTCGGATTTGTCGCATTGTTGAATGCACCTTGAGCTGCTAGATACCCGGTTCGACGTTGCCAGAAGGCAAAGAGAATATATTCTCCGCCGTCTGTTGGTGCCGTGTACCGGATGCTCCCGTTTGAAACCCGCGCAGTCACATCTTGTACACTATGATAGTCCAGTTGGACAACCCGAGGATCATCGGACGGAACTAAATACATATATCGTCAGCAGTGCTCAGGTCAAAAGGCCTCTTAGTCGTACTTTTACTCTTGCGTGCCACAATCGCAGAGACGAATTTGTTCGTGTAATTGACAAGAGGAGGGTAAAAGTCGGGCTTGTTCGCATATCCAGCATCGGTATTCTTTGGCTGAGGAAGCCATCCATCATATGTTTGGCCAGATGTTAAGTTGACTTGACCATATGCGAGTTCAGTATTCATTCCCTTCGTGTCAGGGTCCAGAATTGGAATGGAGGCCCCCTGAGTAGGACCCAATGCGAAATCAGCTGTCATGTTGAGTGCTTTTATGGCATGCAATATAGTGTTGAATTTCTGATACCACCGTGCCCCTCCATATCCGTAAAGAGCAGGATCAACAACAGCATCTTCGATGCCGTAATTTTCGAGGCAAATGATTTCTGCACCTCCTGCACCGTGCTCCTTCATCTGCTTCAGGTCAAACTGCAGTACATTATCTTCAACATCCGCATCTGGAACCCAGTAACGAAAGTATGGTCGCGCCAGTCCAACGGGATTATCGAACTGTTGCGACACATTGTAAGTTATCCATGTTGCAGGACGCTGCCCAAAACCTGGAGGTTTTGCGTTGTTGGCAACAGCTATACCAGCAAGGAGAGAAACAATCACCCATAAATGCATTTTAACGTGCTTGCTTTGACAAACGCTACGTCTATTATTTACCCCTGGTGGAAACCGATTCTTTATCAACCTTTGGGAAATTCTATTCTACTCAATGATTTATCTTTCAGACAAGCTCCACTGTCAAATCTCGTTCATCTTTGTTCCTCCAAGCAGACTCCCGATAGGAGCAGGGATATCGGCAAGATTCAAGCCCATACTATGTGGGATTTGGGAGGTAAAATAACGCAAATATATGTCGGAAGTTGCCGAACTTTCGCCTATAGTGCAGTGGTATATTTTGCCGGAAGTAATTTTCCCGCTGATAGTTCGAATATAGGAGTTCGCATCGCAGGTAGTATCGACTGAATGAAGACTAAGTGGGGGAATCTGCTGCAAGTGCGGAACAACGCCATAGAGACTGTATATTGCGTCTATCGACGGCTGACGAATCCTCCAATACCAATCATATCTCTACATCTCAGGCTATTTACTTGAAACAGGAACAGGATTTTAAGTAAATTAAGTAGAATGACAAAAGGATCGGTCTACTCGTGAGCACTGTAAATTTCAAACTGCAAAGAGCTCTATCGGTTACTCTGTACGTTGTTTACTGCATCGGTTTCTCAAAATGAAGAGTATAATATGGCTAGTTTCAATTATAATTTTTTGCACTGCCACCGCACTTGGTGCGAATCAAACATCCACGACGAAAACATGCGTTGTCCCAGCTCATGGCAACGGCGAAGATGACTCCCCATCGATCAAGGCAGCATTCAATACCTGTAGACACAATGGACACGTTATATTCTCAGAGAACCAGACATATAGCATTCAACAGGTTCTCCAGCTGCACAACCTCAGCAACGTTCATATCGACTTGAGAGGTACTTTATTGGTATGGACACATATACCTTATAACAGAATATTGATTTACTCACATTTCACTAGTACTCGACGGATGTGCGCTACTGGATCCAGCACGGGTCATACTATCCATTCCAAAACATATCAATTGCATTGGAGTTATCGGGAGATCACATCACTGTTGATGGACATAATACAGGCGTGATTGATGGCCAAGGCCAGGTCTGGTATGACTGTAAGTGACTCCAACTCACATATACAAAAATCGATCTCTGAGAACAAGAAGTGGCCCTTGGTGTGGGTGGATTGTTTGGACGACCCATACCATTCTCTTTTCGCAATGCGCGAAACTCAATCGCTCGGAATTTCGCCATCAGACAATCTGGAAAATGGTAAGGAACTATGTATCGACTAAACGATGAAACGCTAATCGCAAACCAAGGAATTTCGTCATTATCGAATCGAAGAATATCACAGTAGACAATATCAAGCTCACTGCACATTCTGATGATTATCAGGTATGAGGTATCAACGCGGAGAGACTTGCTATAGTTGACTGGTCTTCAGGCAAATCCTGGAAACCTTGGTAATACAGATGGTTTCGACACCCTTTACAGCGATGATGTTAGAATTTCAGTCAGTAATACAAGCCCCTCACATGATTGACAACTTTCTCATACGTTCATTAGAACAGCTACGTTGATACAGGAGATGACTGTGTCAGTTTTAAGCCAGGTACGAACGGACGTGCTAAGACAAATAAATTCTCTCTAACAAAGTTAGGCTCAACCAATATTCATGTCAAGAACCTAACTTGCGTCCAAACGGCTGGAATCGCCATCGGAAGTCTTGGTCAGTATCAAGGCCAGTTTGACTTGGTAGAGAATATCACAGCTGAAGATATCACGGTAAGCTGCGAACTTGAGGAGGAATATTCCTATATTAACTTCGTATACAGCTCAAACACAGCCGGAATGGCGCCTATATCAAGACCTACAACGGCAAAAGTGTCTACTATCCTCCTCAAGGCGGTGGTAACGGGACAGGTCTTGTGCGGAACGTTTGTAAGTAGAAAGACCTAAATTTATCACTCCAATACAGCTAATCACCGACAAATTTTCAGTATTCGAAAACTTTCACATCGAGGATATCACAGCAGCGCCAGTCTTACTCCAGCAGTGTACCCATTGGGCTGGTTGGGGTGTGCCTCCATGCGCTGAGTACCCATCGGCGGGCTTCACATTCAACAATATAACCTGGCATAACTTTACTGGATATGCTAATGAAGCTATTGGTAATACGACTATCTCTCTGGAGTGCTCGACAAAATCTACGTGTACGAACTTTCGCTTTTCGGACATCAATGTTCGACCTGTAAACGGTTATGCATCAGCCAAGTGTACGAACGTGAGCGGTTTAGATGATCGATGTCGACCGTCTAGTTAAGCAGGAAGCAGCTCAATCGTTAGTGATATTGAGATTATCTATCTGTTTAAGTGTGTTGAGACAGGCAGCTCGAAAATACATAGATTCAAATGCAACCACAGGAAAAGGTTTTTATCTTCCTCTTTAGTGTGATATAGGAAATAGTCATAACACCAGATCAGAAGATCTATCGGTTCTTAAGAGAATGAATATATAGCGGAGCAATGATCTTTTTGCCTCCCCGGTCAACTGGGATTGAGCTTGGTCGAGGAGAGCAGACCTCCAGACGGCCATGCGCTATAGCCCGGTTCGAAAATAATCCTTAACAGGAAGGTGAATTATCAAGTATTCTAGATCACTGATACTGGATAATAGTAAGTTGAGTATCTCAGAAGCGGGGCTGACTTTGGATCACGCAATTGCAAGGGCGTCTTGTGGGCCACGCGTTAGTTACAACCATTAGTTGAATCATGTTTTTGGTGGCCGACAGTTCATTACCCTGTCTATCTTTATTAGCCGGGGTTCTAAGCTCAAGCAACATGGAGATACATAAAGTATGCGGTTACCGTATTGGACTTGTTTGATCTTAGTCCTTAACGAAAAGATTTCTCCCAACGAGCAACGAAAAGTAGAGAACACAATCATGACGAATGACAACAACGCAGCGCCTAAACGGCCCAATCTCCTCGTTATCGTTGCAGATGACCTAGGATGGTCTGACGTGGGTGCTTTTGGAGGGGAGATAAACACACCTAACCTCGACAGATTAGCCAAAGGAGGAGTCAGATTGACGGGATTCCATACGGCATCGATGTAAGGTGTCTATTTATCGAAAGAACGACAGAGACAGCTAACCTGTTATCATTCAGGTGCTCTCCCACACGAGCAATGCTCCTCAGTGGCACTGATAATCACATCGCTGGTCTGGGCCAAATGGAGTTCTGGGGAGGTCCTTCTGCACCTTGGAAGAAGCGACCTGGATACGAAGGTTACCTCAATGAACGAGTAGCTGCCCTTCCTGAGATCCTCCAGGATGCTGGATACTACACCACCATGGCTGGAAAATGGCATCTGGGACTCACGGAAGATCGGACACCACATGCTCGAGGATTCGACCGTTCCTTTGCTCTGTTGCCAGGCGGTGCGAATCATTACGCTTACGAACCCACCCATCCGGATGGACGGCGGGTTTTCTCTCATTGGGCATCGCTGTATTATGAAGATCAGCAACGTGTAGATGCGAAGACCTTTCCAGAAGACTACTATTCTTCAGACTATTTTGCGACCAAGTTGATCCAGTTCCTTCAGGAGCAAAAGTCTGGAAGCAAAGCTGACGATCCCTTCTTTGCCTACTTGGCATTCACAGCACCTCATTGGCCACTTCAGGCCCCCCAAGAGGTCATCAAAAAATACGACGGTGTATATAATGATGGACCTGATATTCTTCGCGAGAGGCGTCTGCAGAACCAAATTAAATTAGGACTGCTTCCAGAGAATGTCGAGCCACATCCAGTGGTGGCTGAGATGAAAGACTGGTCTAGCATGGATCCTGAGGAGAAGAAATGGTCTGCAAAGACAATGGAGGTCTTCGCTGCCATGGTTGAGAGGCTGGACTGGAATGTCGGCCGAGTTCTTGATCACCTGGAAGCTACCGGAGAACTAGATAACACTTTTATCCTGTTCATGTCTGACAACGGGGCCGAGGGCGCGATTATTGAAGCCATTCCGATGACGGGCGACGTGATCAAGACATCCATCAACAAGCACTACAACAATTCGTTAGACAACCTAGGTAACGGCGACTCCTTCATTTGGTACGGACCTCGTTGGGCACAGGCATCTACTGCTCCATCCGCTATGCATAAAGGATATGTCACTGAAGGTGGAATCCGCTGCCCGGCTATTGTCAATTACCCTTCTCTTACGAAGGACTCTGCTTCTGCCCACTCTTTCCCAAGCAAAGGAGCTATTTCGCCAGCCTTCACGACGGTAATGGATATTCTCCCTACAATTCTTTCTCTGGCCTCCGTTCCTCTTCCTAAGGATACTTTCCGCTCCCGCGAAGTCGTCCCCGTAACGGGAAAATCTTGGATTCCCCATCTTTTCTCCCCTGGATTCTCAGTACCTGTCCACGACGAGTCTACAGTTATCGGATGGGAGCTTTTCTTCCACCAAGCGATCCGTAAGGGACGATACAAAGCAATCTTTACACCGGCGCCTAAAGGACCAGAGAAATGGCAACTGTTTGACCTTGAGACGGACATGGGAGAGATCCATGATCTGGCAGATGAGAAACCTGAAATCCTTGAAGAATTGGTGCGTTACTGGATAGCGTACGTTTCGGAGTTTGGTGTGTTCTTGTAAGATTATCCCCCTTTTTTTCTCTCTCTTTTTGATCGCTATCGAACTTTATTCGGAAACTAATTTTGGGTTTTTTCTTCATAGGAGAGAGGAGCTTGATCCAGATTATGTCCTTCCCAAGAAATAGAGAACATATCAATGATAAAATGAACAATATTGCCGAAACAATTCGTTACATGCAATCGATAAAGCTCGCCATAGATCAACGAGTAACTAGCATGATAAGGTGCCTGTCACTCTCCCTCATAACCCCCTCCTTGATACGCATTAATCTCAAGACCCCCAATAATACGACTGGGCGGCGAAATCAACATCAACTGCTCGATATCATCCATAACATCCTTGCCATGCTCTCGCGTCTTCCGAGGAAACATATCCAGAAATCCCGCAACCTCCTTTGAATTCAGGACTCGATAGCTCAGGACGGCGCCGTTTTTATCGAAGTTGCGCCACACACCGTCTTCGCCGAGGCCGGAGAAACCGTCAGGGTCTTGGCGTAGGGATTCCATGATGCAGAGTAGGTGTAGTCGGGAGAACGGGATGGAGTACGAGGCTGTGAATGATGGGTAGGGGGAGGGGAGGGGTTCTTCGATCTATTGGTGGGAGAGGTGTGAGGTTAGTTTTGATGGATCATCAGGTCTTGGGAAGCGGAGGGGTTTGTTTTACCATTATGTACGGTCCTTTGGGGGGCTTATAGTGGGGATATCGTTTTTGGTTTCTTGACCAGAGGAATGAATAACGAGGAGGAGCAGGAAATGTAGGCGCTCTATGGTAGATGGAGGAGAGGTGTGAAGGGGGAGAATTTAATGGATATTTCAGGCGGAGGTAATGCATTTCATGGTTTCACAGACAACGTCATATTCGTACTACTATCTACATATTAGGGTCTCTGCTATAGTACTTTTGACCACCGTGTGACATCGGATCAGAACAAAGCCAGTAGGGATCATTACGGAAGCAGCAGCAGCGCGGACTGCATAATTAAGGGCATCCTGCGAGGAGAAAATGCTAGCTGTAGTACAAATCAGGAGATGGATTATGTGGTGAATCCCTGGTTATTATTTTCAAGACTATTATTTTGGACATGCTGGAATGCTCGCTCACGCTGCATCAGGACTGGTCAGTCGTATTGGGTGTATCGGGTATTGAGTACTAGAGCGAATCCTAAGGAGAACACCCCGGAGGACATGTCAGAGATACTCATGCACACTTTCCTTTGCTTCTGTTGATGCACGTTCATAATACCCAAATCGCAGCTAAGCTGGAATTGTTGGCAAAACAGAGCTGAGGGTGCGTTCGTCCCGTTTCCGTTGTCTGTTTGACTACTATACCTACATATGTACTTCACCGCTTCATGATTGGCTTTTTCTTCCTCCTCCACGTTATCCAATACGAATTCTGATTCGACAAACTATGCAAATAATATTGCAAATAGATTGCTATGTACACGTGGTTTACAATTCCCCGAGATCGTCAGCCAAGCATTGCTTATCACTCACTTGCATGAACTCCATAAGCTTATCTACTCTGCGGAATGCAGATCTACACGTGTGAATGAAAGCGCCGATAGTTTCCAGCCTAGGAGTGGTATTCGTTTTCATTACGGGACGAGCCGTGATCGAGCTAAAGATACATACAATGACAAGGTAACTATGGGGTATAGACAATCCAGACATTAAAGACTCAATCATAATTTGGTAAGGCAAGCCATCGACCAGCCTAACCTGGAGAGAGTAGTCTCTGTCCGCAACGCGCAGATCGCAATGCAATCTGGTGCAGATGCGTAAAATGCTCGAGCAGCCCGCTGAGCTCCATAATGACTAGTTTAATGCGGGCAAAGATGCACGTTAGAACCGAAACAGAGAGAAAAGAAAATAGATCAGCCAGCCAGTGTTCGAGCCAGCGGCTGTGACTGGAAACGGAAAGTCAAGTCATCACGTCGTGCAACGACTGCTCCCGCAGCCCTCATAATATAATCATGGCTGTCCACTTAGGCGGACTGGTCGGGATCCTTGATGTGCTCGATATGAGCTTCACCGTTTTCCATGTGGTAGTCTGCGTTGGCATGGGACTTGTTGGTGATAATTCCCTTTTCGCCGGAAACATGACTAGCACGGCGCAAGTGATCTTCCGTCTCAGCGTAGTTGATGAGCAGTTCACCATTCTTGCCGTAGCGGCGAGGCTCATCCCGTGCAACCTTGACAAGGTCCCAGATAGAAGTGGTCTTGTGGAAGATGTTGTCCATCTCCTCCAGAGAACGGTAGGCAGTCTCCGGGTAGAAGAAGTAGACGACGGGGAAGATAAAAGCGTTACTGGAGAACAAGAGTCAACAATTGTTCACCCAGCGCATCAGAAGACGGGCAACTACTCACATAACTGCGAAGATAATGTAGGTTCTGTATCCGATGGAGCTGAAAGCCACAGGAGTAATCATGACGACCATGAAATTGAAGGCCCAGTTGGCGGAGGTGGACAGAGCGTTGGCGGGGGCACGGATACGCAGAGGGACCTGCACATCGAGAATTAGTATACCTATTTCATGGGAGAGAGACAATGCGGGGCTCTACGTACGATCTCAGCCGGGTACAGCCAGGTCATACCCAACCAACCCCAGGCGAAAAAGGTGTTGAAGACAAACAGGAAGACTGCTGCCACAATACCAGGCTTGGTCTGGCCCTCGAAGCTCGTAGTGATGGCCAGGACCACCATCGAGAGAGACATTCCCGCAGCGCCAACCAGCATCAGCGGTCGACGGCCAACCTTTTCGACGATTACGACGGGAAGCCACGAAGCCAAGAAGTACTCCGTTCCGTTGCAAGCAGCAAGGATACGAGAGAGCATACCGCTGAGACCAATGCTGTTCTCGTAGATAACGGCCGCGTAGTAAGTGATGAGGTTGATACCGGAGATCTGTTGGAACATCTGGTTGACGTAGGCCAGGACGACACGGTGGAAGTGCCTGTCTTCGTCCATGGTGAAAAGATCCTTGAAAGAGGAATCCTTGAGGGCCAAGACGGTGTCCTTGATTTCGGTGAACTCGGTGTGTATCAAGGGGTCATCAGCAGGCAGATCCATCAGAGCCGTGAGCACTGCAACGGCCTCCTCCTCTTTGCCCTTCATTATGAGCCAACGAGGCGACTCGGGAAGAGGCAAGACAAAGAGGAGAATGATGATGGCGAACAAGATCTGGAAGGCAATGGGAAACCTCCACGAGACCGAGGATGGCTCGAGGAAGGAGAATCCAAAATCCAGCCAGTAACTGATACAGATACCACCTGTGATGAGAGCGCCTTCTATCATGACGAGCTGACCACGGCGATGTGACTTGGAGCACTCTGATTGCCACGTCGGGACGGTCGAGGTATTCAGGCCATTTCCAATTCCAGTTACGATACGGCCGACAATCAAGTGCGCGAGTTCGAAAGCGGTGCACTGCAGGACCGCACCGACCACCATGATTGCGGAGCCTATGAAGATAGTCTTCCGACGTCCGAGGCGATCACCAATGAAGATACATAGAATGGCACCACAGAAACAGCCGACATTGTACGACGCAACAGCAATACCTGCACCATAGTGTCAGGTTTGGGGGGCCACATCAACAGATCTTTTGAGGGGTTCGAATTTACCTTGGATGGTTGAACGGTGGTTGACTTGGGACTGGGTGAGACCGGCCGTACCCTCCTTGGTAGTATCGATCGAAGGGAATGTTCTAACCCAAGAGCCCAGGGACAAAAGTCCTCCCATGACACCTCTGTATTTAACAATCAGTGACTGCTCCAATGGCACTCTTGATGCCAAAAGCTCTTACTGGTCATAACCGAAAAGCCTGGCAGACATGTTAGCACGTAGTCACCGTTGAAGGTTTAATGGATTCAGGGCCATACAAGAAATCCAGACCGGCGATGATGCCGATAGCGACGTTGAGCCTAGTGCCCTTAAGCCCCAGGTACCGACCCATGATGGCTCAATGGCTCGCGACCCCTTTCAGATCTCTTCAACAAAGGGTCAGGAAGAACAAACAGAGACAGATGACAGGCGTATCACCCCGGACCATACGCGGCGGATTGGCAGCGCGTCTCAAGATATCGCCGAAGATAGAATCTTGCGAGAAAGAAAAAGAGACCGGCCCGTGACCAGGGGACGCGAGGGTCTTTTTAAACACCTTTGAATCATCCGAGTACATGCTGCTGGGGGTTGACTATTCGGGCACTGGCCTTTGCGACCCCCGGCTTTTCGCCCGCAATTGACCATCTCCGGATCTGGAGGTGGACCTGATTAGTTGCGCTTCCCCAGCATCGGCCCCCGGGTTTTCTCCACCGAGTCTTCCCTGTGGCTGTTGGTTTGGAGGGGGAAGATCGGGCGACCAACGACTCCACTGTTACCGACTTGAAGCGCGAGGGTTGGTTGTCCGCCATCGGTTAGCCCTCTCAGACGACTTCAAGCGGCTCGGCGCAAACAGACGCCAGGACGACAAAGACGGCTATCCAGATGCTCCACCAGATGCCGTCATGGCGCATCCCAAGCCCTGGCCCTGCTTAACTTGTTTTGGCGAACCCGAGACACATCCCTGACGACGGAAACAGACTCATGGCATTGGATTCTAGCAAGCATCACTATCAACATCGTCTTCGTGCACGTGAGTTGCCGCCAGGCGCTCCGTTCTGTCCGCTCTCGCGGCGTGGTCGTTGCCCTCGCGTGGTGCCGAACCGCTAAATATGTTAATTTTTCCGGGGTTTGGGGAACTCCAGGTTTTGACTAAGTGGAGGTAAACCGGGGGAAGGGACTGAGCGGCGCTAGTTCTCCCAGCCCAGTGCCCGCCGGCTAAAACTGAGTGCTGGGTGCTCGTGCGCAATCTTCATTTTTTTCTTCGATCCCGCCAGAAGGGATTTCACGAGTTCGATGGGTGGCTGACAGGACGTCGAGGCCTTCATGTCCCGACCTCCAACAAGAAACTCGGGATCGCGAGCGGCACCGTCTGGGCTGCCGTGTGATGATCGTACGGGACTTCACGTTTGTGCTTGGCCTTGTCCGTCCCGCGTTACAGTACGCACGGTGCTCTCAACTGGACAATATCCTGATGACGAGGATTGCGCAGGGCCGTCAGCTTCCCGAGGAAACGAGCCCCCTCAATGCTCGAATAACCATGCCAATCCGAAATCGTCACAACGCACAGTGGAGTGTCAGGCAGCGCTGGGCGAATCCCACGAGGGGCGATTTATTGCGCGCAGAGTCCACCTGAACAAATAATATCTATCCTTGCGCGGTTTTATTCGAAGCCGAAATGTAACTCGATACACCGTGACACTCGGTGCACCGTCCACTTCTCCACCCCCAGCGGGGAGAGATTAAGTCTGAAGTTCGAGCCACTACGGCATCATTATTATTCAGCGATCTGTTCGGAGACGCCCGAAAGGGCCCGAGGCCGGTATTCAGACTAACTTAGCATGCTCGTATAGAGAGTCTCTCTGTTGCAGCTGCTGTGGCTGCAAGGGGTGCCATGCGAGTCTTATCGTCAAGTGTCGATAACTAAGTTAGTGGTTGGCCCACGGGGAATGCAGCCAGGGGTGTAATTCCAGAAGAAATCAAATGGTGAGAAAGTAGTTCAACGGAAGCAGAGGATGACCATCGTCGCTGCAGAAGGCCGATGCAGAAGTCCTGCCATCGGTAGCACACCCGTGACACGGGAAGTTGTACGGTGGAGTAATAATACCGCCTCAGTCACAAACTCTCAGACGATATACTTATTGCAGCCAATGATGGGTTCGCATTTCATCCTCGACTCGCTGAAACGTCCGCGGAATTGCCATTTGCAGAAGAGTTGCCAAGAACTGCCGTCGTACCATACTCAACGTACCCAGGTAATTTACAGCCGTATACGAATCGGGACTGCAATGGTAGAGTATGTAAACATACAGTATATACTCTTACCAAGAATCTTTTTCTGCGATGGTATCTACCTTTTGGGAAGCATCAGCTCTGTACACCATACTCGATCACTACGTACTCACTCTATGCCGTTGGGTGATGATTGTCCGGAAAGCCGGGAAAATACAGAGTAATATCACCTCTGTACCAGGTTGTAATTATAGGATATTCTGCCCCACCCAAGATGGCTCTGCGGAACTGCCTCTTTGGGACAATCGGCCCAGAGCTGTCATACTCGAGAGAAGACAAACCATCCATCGTTTGCCGGACATGCAGATTTTGTGGAACACAAAGAATCACATTCTCTCCAGAAACGCCTTCTAGAAGACTGTCTGCTGACACAGCTGCATTCAGTTAACCAACTAACCTACATTACATGAACTTCTTGACGAACGAAAACGGCTTTTCGGCATCGAACCGAGTACTATACATAACTCTTGTGACATGCGATATCATATCCATGTCTTTTTTGCATAGTTATCTCAGGAGTATTCTGTATTCCCTACTTCCGACTTCGAGGGGCTCTTTCACCTTCTACTGTTGGCTCGAGTTCTTACCAGCTCAAGTAATGTGGTTATACTTATTTCTTCCTCACGAGTACTCTACATCCATTGGGCTAATAATGGCTTTGATCGTCGCTCAGACCATGCGGTTGACAGGCCCATGTTGCGATGACAAGGCTGGGTAGCCACTTCCGTCATCGCCTGTCCCCCCTCTCTTTTGTTCCTTACTCATATTAGTGCAGCTTTTATCCATCCATTTCCTAGGACGTTTGTTTCTTTCTCCCGCCTTTTGGCCGGCATTTACTGTAATCCAATCCCCATTCAAGCCAACTGATGCAAGAAACCTTCCACCATAGGCAGAAATCCGTTAGAATCTGATAATAATCATCGACGGCTCAATGAAGTGGCTCGTGTTGCACAGCAGTCCAGTAGTTCAGTCCCTTGCCTGCCGAACTTACGTCTCCCGTCCCTTTGATTCGACTCGGCACCCTGCATGTACTGTACATAGATGTTATCTCCTAGTCATACACGCGGACACTTGCACAGCAGCCAGCCATGATTGGACTTGGTTAGGTTAGACCTATTCTGTAGCCCATATCCCAGTTGTCCCTGGCTTTCAATTCGAGTAACAGTTCGGTTGATATCGGACCACAATGACCCGAGGGAGTAAATGCTTCTTCTTTTTCTTCTTCCCCCTGGATTTATTTTTCCATCCTTTGCAATGGCTGCATTCATATCAAGTCTGCATGGTGTATTCTACGTACGGGTATCATATGAGCGAGCTATATGTCTTGAACATGACTCTGCAAGCTGATAATCTATACTAGGATCGAACATGACGATTAGTATCAGCATTTATTCATGAAATCATTTCCCCCGATTGATAGTCATACAATATCGCGTCTCTGCCTAAGAAGTGTTATTAGGAACTGTCAAGCCTACAAAAACAACCAGAACAGCCGCGTAAGCAGCCGTGCTCGAAAGAACGTCCTTCAACCCTTCAATAAATAAGGCCATCATAAGACCAAATATAGACACGAACACCGATGTGGAAACCAGAGCGGTATAGAGTGTCCTGTGGAGGACCATCAGCCACATAGGTGCTATAAGCAAGATACCTCCTACAGCGGCTACCACCAATCGTTGCCGGAAACCCTTGACCCAGCTCTGCCGCAAGTTTCCGTCTCTTGTACCACCGATAGGGGCTGGTCTTATGTTGAGCGCCTCCCACGAGAGAATAGACTTCTCCCAACGCAGCGGGTCTGCTTCATTCTCCTTGTTCCTCATGGCTACTTGGAGCATAAGGCGATCTATAGCTCGCTCTCCAGTCACGATAAAAGGGTCTTCTTTCCGTAATGCATATTTTGCCATATAATCATAATCTTGCAAAGCTTGAACTATGACAGAGCTGCATCAGTGGGAAAGGAATCCGAATATATATAACTGATTCGAACCAATGGTAGACTCACCATACTGTCTCAAGTCCTCAGCCCAGCCTGAAGGTTCCATAGCGTCGTATCGTAGGTCAACTGCGTGATAGACTAACTTATGTTGGAGTTGTCGTAATCGTAAGCGTTGTAGCTCAGAGAGATCGATATTGTAACTCTCTTCGTTGCCTTTTAGCTCAGAATTAATTGCGCCGATTCCACATTGAAGGTGTTGATTGTTGTGTTCTGGTTGTCGTTCGTCTGGCATGATTTCGTGACCACGACTACTCAAACGCCGTTCTGACTTACGGTCTGAATCTTTATTCATCTTAGAGCGTTGTGTAAATATCATGCTAAACAGAGAGCCAACTGGTTTACAGATCTTTGTGATGAGATTAGGGCGATGGTGGTCGATGATCCAGGAAGGGTCCTCAAAGTCCAGAAAGGCGTGCCCATCATTTTCTCCGTGATTGCCTTCGAGATCAGGCTCGTGCTGGGCTCGGAAAAACATAATATAATGATTTTGAGTGTCAATAGAACACCATATGCGAATACTCTATGGTGCAGAAATAGCGTGCAAGAACGCGCTTTCGAACGATTGGAGCTGAAATTTTGAGTGATAGGCCTATTTTCCGTTGTATAGCTGGCAAAAGGGGCCAGCATTCCCTACTGTGAGAAAGATTCCCACAGTGGGAGCAATGTCCCCGTTCTAAACTCCTATTATTATCTTTTCTTTTAGATATAATTTGGTTGTTAACATACTTTTTCCCTTTAAACAGGTAAAGGCGGCAAGCGAATAGTCTAGTGGCGCGATAAAGGTAGGAGTAGGATACGCACGCGTTTGGTCTTAAATAAAGAAATTAAAGATAGCTTAAGCGTTATTTGCTTAACTAAGTATCAGTAGTTATAAATCACTGGCCGTTTAGTTTGGCTTTCGAGCACTTTATGGTTCGTCTGGTCAGTTTAAGAGACGAGAGAGAGGGGAAGTTGTCCGTCGAGGCGAGAGCCTAAGAGCCTTGCCGCCCCCACCCTCTTGCCCATTATTTGAAAAAAGAAACCATTACCATTCTGCGGCGGTGCAGCTCAGCTCCTGGGGCTGAGCTCGTCCTCAGCTGGGCTGAAGTGTATGCCCTGTCCCGCATTTTCGCCTGATCGTGGCTACCTCTATGCGCAAACGATCCTTCTAATATGGTCACTAAGTAGGGCTCGCCAAGTGCAGAATTGTTCCCTCTATTCACCTCTACCTTACTATCATACCTTACTCGATTGATGACGGGATTTTACTCTGTTTACTACATACCTCAATAGTGTCTTTGAGGCGCCAGGTTTCCGGTTAAGCCAATCTCAATAGCGATTGAGTCAATGTCGTCTAAAATACTCATTTTAAACTCCATTCTCCAATAGCCGTATTCTCGTCGCTTTTTCATACCCGCCATTGGCCCACCGCTATAAAGAATATTTGGAGAGGCCTGAAAATGCCTACGACGACAAACATGAATGGGGAGTCATTATTTTGCAGAGACAGGTGGTGTCCATCGTCCTCCCCCCAGGCATAACCTTTGAGTCCCCAAGCGACTCTAAGGATGCCGTTCTGGTTTTCGAAGACGAAATGATGGCGGTAAATTGGGAAAAAAAAAAAAAAGATGATACTGTGGGAGAAGACTACGAAGCACGAAGGTCCAAAGCGAAGCATTTCACGGTCATTTACAGTAGGGCAACTCACCGAAAAGTTGAGTCTACCAAGACAAACATATCCGCTTTACCACACGGAACCGCTTTACCACATGCAGGCGGCAAGGCAACAAATAATGCCGAGTCCAAAACCATTTGGACAGTTTTCGGATTCATTTATAAGACAATTCAGGGAAGGGCAGAATTAGATAGCTTATGTTCTAGTTAGATATCAAAACTAGCACTTGCTTATCGTCTTCTCATATATGTATATTACCAAACCACAGCCCATAGAAAATGTTAGAGAGCCAAGCAAACCAACTAGGAATTCTCCTTTTTGGTTGTCTGGCAGAAAGCCGTCAGAAACCTTGATAATCTATTCGAGATAACTATGGACCGGGTCTCTGAGTAAGATTGTCACAAAGGGTATCCAGCATCGCAGGAGTTGCGCTTGGTGGCTCGAGTGCGGAGACTACTGGGTGGCTGCATGTATGTATTTTCGTATATTGGGGACAGAACGCTCGATACATTTGCTATCTAGTTGGCAATTCTGTAGATGGCCGCGCATCACACGGCCCTTATTATTGCTTACCTAGTTAACCATGGTGTGTATTATATGTACAAGCCCTCCGCTTGATCGGACTGCCATGCTACTCCCCATATGCGATCACGGATGCGTTGTTTTTCAATCTCTCCTTCTGACTTGCGTGAATTCGGGACAATACTTCGAAAAATTGAGCTGAGGGCCTCTTAGTCGCTGACATCACCCGGCATACCTAGGTACAATCGCCCGACTTCAAAGCGCGCTAGTAATTTAGGACAACCATACAATTTGGCCAACTACATCCCATGGAGAAGTCATTGGCAGTTTGCAACTGTGGTGCCAAACTATCGACGTGCCCACGTACTGTGTACTCAATTCTCCTGTTTATATGCACCAGATAATGCATATCCACGGCATCTTTCAATACTCAACTGGGTCCCGAAGGAGATACGCTAGGATTCTCCATTATTACTACCTAGGCCAACCTGGATAGCAGTCACATTTTCAGAGATAACTTTTGGCTTTTTCTGGGCATATCTTCATCCCGTTTAGGGTGACATGTCCGCTCTTCCACGTGGGGTGGATGAGCAGACGAAACACCACGGGAATGACTGCCAGATCGCAAATTGCATCATGAAAGGAGAGCTGATCACCGACAACACCATCACCAAACTCTGCACTCGGCACACCGCTACAGAAGAATCATTCCATTGATGCCCCTGGTTGTCATGATCGGACCGAGCCTTTACCACTCTCCGGCACTGGCCGCCCAGCCGCCACCATTGCCAGCGTTGCCAGCATTGTCGGTGTTCTCCTCTCCAAAACCGCCAGCATCCTCGCCCAAGGGGACATCGGGATCTCCTCCACCGAAGCCCGCGTACTCGTCGGTTTCGGCAGCAGGCTTCTGGCAACGCTTGGAGGTGTGTCCCACTTGCTACTCGTTAGAATTGTTTACCATAGCCAGAAGCTAAAGAAAGTGCTTACTTTCACCGCAGTTGTTACACTTCACTTTGTCCCAATTCTTTTTCTCGGTGCAGTCGCGGCTGTAGTGACCAACTGGCAATGGCCTAGTCAGAAGGGTCCTTGTATTTTGTCCCGGATGGGCTTCTCACCTTGATCACAGTTACGGCAGGTGACAGTGGAGACATCGCGAGGTTTGTCGCAGTCGCGCGCCATGTGGTCCTCAGATCTATAGACATTAGTGGTCACACTGGCCAGAAAACTTGTCTATACTTACCCGCAGTTACGGCAGGTTCGAGCTCCACCACCTTGTGGACAATCCTTCGCAAAATGACCGACTAGGTAGCGTTATCTGTCAATATTGGTTTTCTCTCATGGAAACGGCACCCCATACCTTCGTTGCATTTCTTGCACTCAACCCCTTCCGCAGAACGCGGCTCAGTGCATTCAGATGCTTTGTGCTCGGTGGAACTGCCCAATGTTAGTGATTGATCTAAAGACAGAGAACCTTCTCTATAGACTTACCCGCAGTTGCGGCAAGCAAACCGATCACGGCGCTTTTCAGTACAGTCTCGAGCACGATGGCCAACATTTCCACAGTTGACACATTTGACCTCCACACGTTCGATGGTATTGCGTTCCTGCTTGCAGGCTTTCGAACCATGTCCCATTTCTACACAACCCCGTTAATATGGTGATCATTTCGAGATTGTACACAGGGATTTACTTACCGCCACAGTTGGAGCACTTGGGGATCTGACGGTCATAGGGGAGCCCGGCGTCCGCGAGGCGCTCGATATTCTCTTCGGGGTTTGATGGCCAGCGGTCCTTGAGGTTTGCACGCTGTGGCTTCGGGCGGAAGTAGAATCCCACCACATATTTGCAGTCAAGCTTTCCCTGAAGATTGATGAGACTTCTGCAGTCGCCGACCTCTTTCTCCTATTTGGCGGACAATCAGCTCTCAGTTCATTTGTACAGCCTGTAAGCATGGTGATATTACCAGAGCAATGAGGAAAACTTTGAAGTCCTCCTCTCGCATCTTCTTTTCAATGTCCGCAAAAGTGGCCTGCGGGACCGCTTTGGAGTAAATCTTCATACCCTACAGTCATGTCAGCTGCATTGAAAGCCGAATCTTCAGGAGAGCATCTTACCTCACGGAAGTCCTCGAGATCCTGTTCATCACTAGCTTTCTTGAGGACAGCCCAAGCTTCTTCCGGGGTTTTATCAGGAATGTCGTTCAGGTCAAACTTGCGATGTTCAGTGCAGTCTTTGGCCAGATGTCCTATTACGAGATGACATCAGTATCTTCCACGACATATGCTTTGAAGGGTACTGTCACATTACCTTCTTTCTTGCAGTTCTTGCAAATATCAGCCGGTTTTTCCGGGCATTCGGAAGCAGGGTGACCTTCCTGGTTGCAAATACGGCAGGTCCCTTTAAAGACGCGAGGCTTGGTACATTCTGCCTTCGAGTGGCTGAATCATGTTTAGCACCGATTGAGAAAATCCCGCATGGCTCCCCAAGGACTCACCCTTCTTCACCACAGTTGAAGCATGCTCCCATCTTACGAGGCTCAGGGCAATCGCGGACGAAATGACCTTCTTGTCCACAGCTTTGCAGATGTGTCAGACTCTGTATGATCTTCGATTGACATCAACTTACTTGCGGCAGCTACCATCCTTCGCTGGACCATCTGCGTTGGGAGTCATTGGGTCCCAGTTCTCTTTACCACCCGCGGCTGGGCCTGCGGCAGGGTCCGCCGCGAAATCAGCATCCAGATTGCCATTTCCATAGCTGGTCTCTTTCAACGCCGCTATATATTATCAGACAGATTAGTTCTGATCAAGGTCTGCATTCTGTCTGAATGCGTGACACGAATGTCCGCTGTTGACACTCGAGACTTTCATCGATAACAAGAGCAGCAGATTATAGAGTGATCTCTACTTACCGTCACCATCATCCCAACCACCATCAGGAGCCCAATCACCCGCCATCTTGGATGAGACTGCTTGTCGAATCTATGTGGCACGAGTAAGCTCCACGATGTTTCACAGAGTGGGCTTCAAAACGCGTAAAGGCACGTCTGCATCTTCATGTACAGTGAATCAAATACAGGAGGATGCAAGAGTGGAGTGCAAGATCAACGACAAAGAGGAATTGTCAAGGTCTCTTCACTGGAGGAGCCAGCAACACCAGCCAAAAGCAGGAGCCTCTGTCACCAGGAGAGGAGATGATGGAAAGGATAAAAAGCTGGAAAGCAAAGGGACTTACAAGGGTTCTTAGGATGGTATCAATTTGCTGGAATGGCAGTGTGGGATGTCGAGGAGGAACACCAAGTGAGGGGAGGAGTAGGCAGTGGCAGAAAAGGAAACAGACGCGTCCATGTACACGTTCTCTGGGTGACAGCACCACATCTGACCGGACGTGCACCCGTCCCTCTTTGGTCAAAGAAATTTTTGTTTGATGTGGCTCCCTTGCTCCCTTCTGCCAATATTCTGTGTCTTCTTATGGAGCTTTCCAACTACTCTTTGCATTAGTATTCTGTACCCTCAGCTACCCCTGAGAATCACAATTAGTCTCAGAATGCTCCATGAAATACAGTGTTAGGGAATCAGCAAAGATACATTAGATTATGTTTTATCAATTTCCTTCGTAGTAGGCTTAAAAATTCTTTGCTTTATATCGGGTACATGCATTGCTACTTGTAGAAAGCCTAGATGCAAACGCGACCCGTTTCAAATGCAGTCTATGATCAACAGATGCCTATTTCTGCTATTAGTCTACTTATTACTGAGTGTCTACGAGATTCAGAATCTTGATCGTTATTCGCATCAAATTAAGTCGCAACCTTGTCTCAAATTGGTTCTCGTTCACAGACAGTCTTCGCTAACAGCCACGAGCACGAATGCCCTATGGGGTCTGGTTGAAATCATAGCTATTACCAAAACCACGATTCAGATAACTCGATAGCGCTTTTTCCCTCGAGATCCAGTCGACCGGAACCTCCAACCCAGATTGTCCCTCGATGACTGTGCGAATTTCCTCAGCAAACTCCAGTCGCATGGGATTTCTATACCAGGGTGCAAAATGGACTAGAGGGAAGTCAGAGCTATTGAATTGAAGGCATATCATGGATTGAACTTACTCATTGCTAGCATGACTCTTGGATCTGGCGTATGATTGCCCTTCCCTGCATGCCATAGATGAAGGTCTCGTATGACAATTGATCCTTTCTTCACGAAAGGTTGAGAGGGCGGCCTTGTGGCCCTTCTCTCCTCCAAGAGGTGTGATTTTATCCTTCCACTCGCCCTTTCTCCGTGGCGACCATCTTGAGCGTCCAGATCCGCATTGTTTTGGGTTCCTAACCACACTTCCGTAGAACCGTTGTTTGGAGTCATTGTGATCAATGGCACATTGATAACGAGGGCAAATGGATGAGCCGGATGCGCAAAGTCAGCGTCTGTATGCACTGGTTGCGACTGAGGAGGCGATTCTGGCGTCGGAGGCATTGCCGTATTCCCTGAGCAAAATGTCCATTTTGGGCGCGGTCCTAGGAACGTAGATGTGACTTGTGAAGTAACTGGGTCTGAAAGCTGTCAGCATCTATGTGAAATGTATACTGAAATAGACCCGGACTCACTCAAGAAGATGCTCCTGTGGAAATGTTCCAGTATCGGAGGAGGATCCTGCTGAATATTCCCAGGGTTGTAGTTAAACGGACTGTCAGGTTTGTCTCGAAGAACGTATGCATCTCTTGTCATGACTTCGTTCAGGGCGTCCAAAGAGCCGTGATCGACCACATCTTCTATCACAACTAAACCGTCCTTGTGTAGACTTCCGATAGCGGTCTCGAGATTCTGCGATGAAAGCTGTAAACGATCAACTTCATCTTTGGAAGGGGTTATGGTGATGGGAAGGGGATTGCCGCGCTGAAATGCATTCCCTGAAGCGAACCGCCGTTGTGGAAGGAAAATACTAGCATTTCGCAACAAGGGTTTCAACATAATCTCGGATATCGGAAATGGTCAGGTAGCGTAGACAGTTATCTCAGTGCTTGCCGTGCGATGTTGGCTTTCGACATCTTGTTCGCGCGGGGATATCCATGAGTTTATATATTGTGGACAAGTACTGTATAGTTATTGCGTACCTGTTTCTGACCAATAATGACAGCTTTCTTTCTTCTTTTTTTTGTTTCATCATATTATAGACTAGCTGAAGAGGTCTAGCATCAATGATTTCCGGGCGTTCGTAAACTGCTACGGAGTGGAACCAACCCTTCGTTGGTCTCGTCTTTCGCCCGCAATATGCATCCCTCGTCTTTCCTCCCCCGCATTCTCGCAAAACTCGGTAAACGGAGTACATTATCGTCGAGCGCATAATATGCCTAGACCCAGACAAGAGAACCGTAAATGATAGATCCTAAGCATTGTTTCTACCCAGAACCCAAACACTGAGACTGCACCAGGCTGGTATGACTCGAAGCATGCGATGGTTCAGTACAATACGCTGACAGCCGACCCCCGATCAAACGTTCCAGTCAAACCTGTCGTCTTCGTAAAGTGAAATGTCTGTCTTACGTTGGATTAAGTTCCTTGCTCGAGGCTAATGCGATACTAACAGGCGACGGATCGTTTCCCATATGTCGCACTTGTCAAAGGAGTGGGCGAATCTGCGAAAGAGAGATTCCGAATCACTCGTCAAACCATCGATCGTCCACGCAAGATACCACAGAGAAAGGGTATAACAACTCACAGCGACAGAATCTGCAATTACTCGATCTCCCTACTCCAGAGTACCCACGCAGTTCCCTGAAGAATCGTCGTGTCTGTTCCATTTTCCAACATTACATCAAAAATCTGGCGTCGTGGTATGATCTAAATGACAGATTGCGACGGTTTGAGGACGTTGTCCCTCGACATGCTCTTGATGACTCTCTTCTATTCAGCGCCGTGATTGCTTTCTCGGCGATACACCTGAGCAGGCTTAACCATCAGACAGAATTCCAATACATTGCAGAGTTCTATCACCTGGAGAGCATTCGAAGGTTGATAGCAGTGACAAATAACGGTGAACGAATTCATAATGGAGCCACTCTAGCAGCTATGTGTCTGCTTCGCTCATACGAGATACTTGCTGGTAAGCTAGTGATATTACAACACACAGGAATAACCTCTACAGGGCTACAATGTCAATTTGAGATGCGGTTCTGACACTTTAACCAGAGAACGTTGGTACTCAAAGCCATCTTCACGGGTCGTCATCGCTCTTGGCAGGTCAGCAAATTCAAATAGGTGCAGATTTGATAAGTGCAGGATTCTGGAATTATCTGCGAGAAGACATCACAGTTGCTCTGATGGAGAAACGCCCGTTGAAGATTGATCTATCGAACGTCTCGATGCCGAACCCCATTGAAGATAACGACAGAGCGAACGCGATCAGTCAATTATTAGGGATCGTGATCAATCGCTGCCTAGGAAAAGACGCACCGGCTCTTGCTTTGTCTGAATGGACATCACTTCAGACAGACTTAGACCGATGGAAGGCAGATTTGCCTCGGACATTCGAGCCTGTCTCACTTTCGAGTCCTCGAAAGAGCAAGTTCCCGGAGCTTGTCATGTTCCACGGATGGCACAGTAAGTTGCATATTCAACGGATTTATAATATTCTTAACTAATTACTTTTCAGTTGCCGCTATGCAATACTATTATACAGCCGAGAGTATTCTCACTCTCGCTGCACCGACCTCCGCAGGCCAGAACGCGTGGCAGAAGACAGAGCATATCAATAACATGCGTCGAAAGTTGGCATCCAATGCCATCCAGCTCTGCAGCTTGGCCATATCAAATGAGTCCAATGCCGCTAGAGTCAACGCCTTTGGTCCCATTTGTTTCTGTGAGTTTCGAGTTTACAGACGATCAAAGTAGCAGGATCACGGACGCTAACTTTCAGTCTTTGTGTTTAGGCGGGCCCTGGATCACTGATGCAGAGCAGCGTATTGAACTTGTCGGCGCATTGAGGCTATGGCAAGATATAACCGCTTGGCCTGTCGATACGATTATACACACCCTCTCCACAGCGTGGCAAACAGAATGACGCTCACGACTGACTTATGCGGAGCACATCCCTCTTGGAAGTATTAAAAATGAGAACGGCTCAACCGTGGTCAAATTTCGAAAGCATTGTATACTGCGCAAAATTCCTGGACGTTACGCTACCAACTTGAAACTCAAAAGTTGAAGTACACATGGCATTGAAGCTAGAACAAAAAACACAACAGAAAGGGAACAAGCAGCCACGAGCCCTCGAGTACTTCATTCCAGGGTGCCGTGTCGAGAAGTTGCCATAACCGCACGTTAAATTCATCTGAAGAGTCTGCTCAGCATTCCTCCGGCAAGGTTGCTCACGATGCCACCAGAAAATGCTCTGTTTGCCAAGTTGGACGCCTGGCTGAAACGGTCACATCGGGAGAATGCCACGGTGTTTGTGATAGTGAGAACAAGGGCAATAGCTAGATATATGTTAGCTACTCGAATCTTGCAGGGACGTTGCCTAGTAGCGACCGCGCAACTTACCAACTAGACTAAGCCAGATAACATTGTTCAATCTCACGATCGCCAGGATCGCAAGTCCGATCCAGAGTGCCGGAGTCGCATACATGCTCAGCCAGAAAAACCTCTTGTCGGTAGCATTGATGGTGCGTGTGTTCGGATCCGAGCTCTCGAAGACCCAATGCGAATCGCCCGTTGCTGTATTAACTTCGTTCCACCAGCGCAAGCCGACTAATCGGCGACCAGCAATATTCTTGAGATAGTAAAAATCGGCAGAGAGGAGAAGGAGAGTAATAATGAAGACCAGAATACTAAATGCGCAGCAGTTTGTCAGCATCCTAAGTATCCGCAGCCACTTAGGCAAGCATATATAGGAGCTCGCGGGAAACGTACAAGTTGTCGATGAAAAGAACACCGAATAGATACATGAGCAGACTTCCTACACATAGCGCATCACTATCAGCATTCATAGGCGGTATCGTAACTCCCACATGACAGGTTAGACAAACCGATCCTAAAGCCCAGAAAGAACAAGAGCGTAAGCGGATGCGCGCTCAGGCGCCAATTCAGCTCACCGATCTGTGGCTGATCCATGATGGGATGAACACCCTGCTGAAAACAGGAGTTCCGGAATTGAAACTTTTATTTCTCTCCTTCGACCGTGAGGTCACCGCAAGTTGTTCAGGCCAGGGACATTTGTCCGCATGTCAGAGGGAGACGTAGCCGTGTCAACGCGTGTACAGTTAGGGCGGTGAGGTGCGGCAGAATGTATGCCTACTACAGTACTTTAGGAGCCGATTACAACCTCGATACTATGACTCGATATGAAGCTGTTCGTAGGATCAATTCCTTCATTGTTCTTTTATATCCCGTTAATTTGCATGCTAGAAATGATACTGCTATTGCAACACCGGAACGCTCCTAACTGCAATATGTGATCCAGAAACAATAAGGTGCCGCCACCGTTCAAGTGATACGCAACTAAGATAGAAGGAGGAGGGTATCGACCTGTGAAATACGAATCTAGAGAAGCCCAAACAAATCCGACAGGTCCATGAAAATAATATGTGGAGAGCTGGGATTCTATTCTTTTGCCGGCGACATACCACAGGAGTAGCTCGGCTAAGGTTAGTCCCGACTTAACTTAATCGCCGAACGCTAAGAATGATAACCATCTCCCCGACATCCAGCATAACAGCTTCTGCTGGGCATTGTTGCGCTATAATCTCATTATCTGTTTTGATCCTGTGTGGTATATAAGTCGGTCATTTAGAAATGGCCGCCAGAAATACCTTGCGACGAGCTCTGCTCTATGGTAAGTACCATCTGCTGAAGAGATCCTCGGGAGCTTTCCCCGCAACTGCTCTACAGCTTCCTCCGCTTCGAACTAGAGCATGGCCTGTCAAGCAAAGATAACAGAGAGTCCTAGACGCTAATAGCTTCTATAGTCCCCGGCTCATCACAGCGCTTTCTCGACAAATCACGTAGTCTAAAAGCCGACTGTGTCGCATATGATCTTGAGGACAGCGTCACTCCGCATAAGAAGGCGGAAGCGCGGAGCTTGGTGCGGAGAGCTCTCGATCAGCCCGCTCCGGCAAACATAAAAGAACGTGCAGTTCGAATCAATTCAGTCGATAGTGGTTTAGCTCTTGCAGACCTCACAGAAGTGGTGAGATATGCCGTATGCAGTTAAACAACCCGTATGGGTCATCTGGCTAATAATGTTTCGAATCAAACGGCAGCTTCAATCACCCAACCTCACCACCCTCGTTATACCGAAAGTAAACTCAGCTTCAGATCTAACATTCGTGACTGACGTGATCACCCACACACTTTCAACATTGCCGCCAGAACAGCAAAACCCGAACAGACCCCCGATCTCTCTGCTCGCCCTCGTCGAATCCGCCAAGTCCATCACCAATCTCACGCAGATATGTTCTGCCAGCCCGCTTCTTCAAGGCCTCATCTTCGCCGCCGAAGACTTTGCTCTTGACCTCAGCATCACCCGTACCCCATCATTGACTGAGTTTCTCTTCGCGCGTTCCGCCATCGCAACCGCCGCTCGTGCCGCCGAGCTCCCATCCACAATCGATCTTGTATGCACAGCATATAAGTCCAGCGATGGCTCCCCACCAGCAGTCTTGGAAGAAGAATGCCGTGGCGGCAAACGGCTTGGTTTCAACGGGAAGCAATGCATCCACCCCTCGCAGGTGGAAACAGTGCAGAGGATCTTCAGCCCAGAAACGGACGAGGTAGAGTGGGCAGTGCGTGTCGTCATTGCAGATGAAAAAGCCGCGGCAGCAGGGCGCGGGGCCTGGACACTGGACGGCAAGATGATCGATGTCCCCGTGGCAGAAAAGGCAAAAGCGATCGTTCGGAGAGCCGACGCTTGTGGAATCAACATTGAGGAGATCCGGGAGAAGTGGAAGGGGCAGGAACCAGAGTAGATTTGTGTAATGTCTTCAAGCAGAAGACGAAACCAAGAGGCTATAGTAGCTCATATTTATATCGAACCTTTCGATATTTTCACATATACGAGAAAGTACGTACAAACGCACAATATTCTGTCTCTGATATTGAAGCATACATATATATCACCTTTATATAGAGTACAATTTCAATCCAAACAAGTCAATTTCCTCGAGTCAAGACTAGACTCTTGAAGTTACTATCCATCCAACACTGCCCCCTTTCCCTTCGCAGCTGGCTAGAGGTAGGTGTTTACTACATAGACCTAGGCCAGTGATTAAGTTCCAAAAGCTAGGTAGTTAGTTAACTACTCTTCATCTGGTCCCTCCGTACATACCATACAACCTCCTCCCTCAACGCAACCCACGTGATAACAAAGAACACCCCCCTCCCCCCGACACTCCCCCCCAGTCACCAACACTCTATATATACCACAACAAAGGTTCACCCCCCAGTCAGGGAGTCCAGATGGTGTAGTGGTACAAAGCTAGTCCACCTCCATCTAGCTAGAGGTTTTCTGTTCGAACCTCGGAGAAGGCTCCTTGGATTTTCGAAGAAAAACCCTGCCCGCCAAAATAGCATAGGCGGGGTTTTCGTAACACCCTCCATCTCTCGTCCTGTGGATGAGTGCCCGGGGGTGTGAGCTTTTTTGTATACAGTCCTTTGTTGTTGTTATTTATTTATTTATTTATTTATTTATTTATTTATTTATTTATTTATTTATTGTTGGTATTGTGTTTGAGATTCTATGCGAAATTGTGAGAAGCCTTGAGCGTTCTGGATAACGAAGTGGTTGCGTTAAGGATATACTAAGTATTACTTCTTCTGCGAAGGGGTGCAATCGTTAGGAAGCATCTGTTCGAGTATTTTTGTAATTTTAATCCAATTCTACTGCGACTTTCGGTTGTGTTTAGTAGGCTGTATTAATGGTTGTTATTTTGTCAATTTGATTTCTATGTACGGCTTCTACGCGAGTAAATTATATATCCGAAGAGCCCCAGACCGAAAAGACGAATATTCTATCTGAATCTATAACAGAAATAGATTGTTACCAACCCCTCCTTAACCTTCATCGTCGCCTTCACTATACTGAGACCTGGATCCGAAAAGATAGAACATCCAAGAGTCATGATGCATATACCCATACGATACATGGCCACTTTATCTGTTAGGATCCTCTTGCCCAAGAAATCAATAGTGATGACGTAGACCAGCTGCAAGTCCCGAAAGAAGAGGATGGATCTCCCGTTGGAAGGACTGCTGATAGTGTCTCAGGACCCATCATAGTGAACAGGATGGTATAAGTAAGGCGCTTAGAACGTCTACACTAAGGGGCAACCGGGCCGAGTTTTCGTTAGTCGACGCTCGTAACGAGTATCCAAGGGTGTCAGGAAGAGCAAGTCCGAGCCATAGGCGTTCTCAAAACTCCTATGATGTCAATTCACTTCTTTTATGGCGGTCTCTGGCAAACTGAGCAAGCAATAAAGACGAAAGCAGCAGCGAAATAAATGGGTATCCAGGTCGTCGGCTTTCGTTAAAATGTCAAATCAATTCCGATTGCTTGTTGAGAATCCCCGTGAGCCGTCGTCTCAGTTTATCAGTCGCTAGCAGGACTATTCGGGCTTCTTAAGCGCGGCGTCCTCACGCTTCAGAAGCTGGACCTTCCCCATCGTTATGATAGGCGGGTCTCCGTCAGTCTCGGTATCATTCTTGGCACCTTCCTCGATCTCCCTAGCAAGACTCTTATCGTAGCTCGTGGGATCAATTCCCAAGACTCCACCGACATATCCACCACGCTCACCGGGAACGCTGAATTCGCGGAAAACATACTTCCATTCGTTGAGCCAAATCTTAACGGCTTTTCCAACCTTATCCTTTCCATTCTTCGAATGGTGGCCAGTTCCCGTGATGGCATACAGGACACGGCGGCCCTGTTTGGCGTGCTTGAGGAGGATCTTCTCGAGATACTCGACGGCTTCTTCGGGATGGAGACCATGCAGATCAACGTACAGCTCCTCAGTGGTGGGGTTAAGACCACTGTTTAGTAGATGTTTATTCCGCTCCTCGTAAAGATGGCGAGCTGCTTCGCGATGACATTTACGCATTGCCTCATTCTCTGCCTGGCCACGCAATGATAGGGCCTTAGCGGCTCGCGCATCATTACGATTCCAAGCTTGTGCGGCGCTAGAGGATAGGGTTTAGTGACGACCCATGAAGGAGTATAGGGACCTAGGAGTTGACTAGAGCATACCTTTGCAGAAACTTATTCCTGACGGTTCCATGGCGGATGGCATCTGTGCGATATTTGATGTACTGTTGGTTGGCCCTGGCCCCTGTCTCTAGCCAGGGAATGTGCTTAGGGGCAGGTATTGCTTGTGCGGCCGCACTGTTTTCTCGGCTTTTGGGAGCTTCTTTGCTGTTTTTCGAGGAAGATTTACCCTTCCCAGGGCCAGGAGACGGAGACATGCGGACGACATCTGCAAGCGAGCTAGGCGTGCTTTCCTTGCTGAGGTTGCTCTCGCGAGTTTGATTTCCTCGTTTCCCTTTCTTTCCAGGATTTTTCGCACTCACCGCGGACAGGGTAGGGAAAGCATCGGGATCATCAACCGAAGGTGCTGTGGCGTTCACGTTCGAGTCCCTTTGCTGATGTCGACTAGTAGGTCGCGAATGGGGACGAGAGTTACTCCCATTTCTTCTTCCACCGCCAAATTGCCCTGGATACTTGTGCCCAGGGGGGGTAAGATTATTCGAATACTTGACATATGGGTTCATCCAGTGCTCTCCAGCGGCCGTCACAGGCTGCAAAGCAGGAAAAGCATCGTAGTTGTTGTCTATCTGGAAGGCCGGTTGTTGGCCTCCAGCTGATTGAGAATTCCCATCGCTCAAGCTCATGTTGCCGATAAGGGATGAGGGGTCATGTGAGAAAGGGCATCCATCTCCAGCAAGGCAGTTGCCCATCATCCAATACCTGCCCCGGCTGTTAGCTCTCATGGCTCTCTTGACTCTTCTATCTGTATCCTATTTGTACTTACTTGCAGACATGTGTAGTCAGATCGTGACTGAAACGACAGTCAGCTCGAAGGCACTGCCCTGTAGATAGCCAATACTTGCACACCACAGGACTTCTAGACTGGCCGGATGGGGTTGACGATCGCATATGCTCTACGCTCATGGACTTGCCTACCAAAATACGACCTTCCTCCGCTTGTTGGCTGGTGGAGTCAGAGCTCTGCTCCTGAGATAATGAAGCAATAGTGGCACCCAGGTCATAGCTATTGGCCTCCAGAGCGGCCTCGATCTCGTCGTTCGTTTTCTTGTCTCCCAGAACAGACCTTAATATATCATGAGGGCTCATATCGGGCACGAACTCCGGGGCTGCGGCGCTCAGCCCACCACCGGTCGAGCTAACTCCACCCACAGAAGACGTTGTACTGGCGGCATCATCCCCCACCAACCACTCGACATTGCTCTCGCTCCCAAAATCCCCATAGAAATCTGAGATCCCACTCTGGTCGGAGAACTCGTACGCATTCAGATTAGGCGAGTGTGGGATCGGTTGAGCAAGGGCCAGTCTAGGAGAAGGACGAGGAGAGGTGAAAGGAGAGGCTGTAGTAGAGCGTGGAGCGCGTGGAAAGCCACCGCGCGAAGGCGGGAGCCACGAGGAACTGGACGGGCTGGTGCCCATGTTTGGCGGCGAGGACAGAGGGGTCGAGGATCGTGCAATCTGCCATGGCGCAGGAGAAGAACGTCGGATGATCGTATGGCGTGCTGGAGGGAGCGAACCATCGGGCTGGGTGCTGTTTCTATGCCACCAGAGAACATCGAGGACGACATTCTCCAGTGAGCTGCCCGACAGTGACGTGTTTTCACGCAAGAACTCCTCCAGCTTCTCAACCTGCTCTTCTTCATCGATGTCCTTGTCCTGCAGGATGGGCAGACATTGCTCATAGATATCCTCCGCAACCATGTTGGGCGCGCAGTGATAGGCGTTAAAGGAGTATCGAAGCGGGGTCAGAATGGAGGAATGTGGCCCCTGGCGATGAGACACGAACGAGGACCAGCGTGATATTATATTATATCTCTGTCAAAGACCGGGATTCATGGCTTTCAAAAGCTGGACTCGTAAAAATAGAACGAAAGCACTGGGAAGATGGTAACTGGACCGGGGATAGGGCTCGTCCGGCAGCGGGCCGATCTCATCGCTGATCAGCAATCACAAAGAGACACAGGAACAATAGATCAAGCGCTGCAGCGGCCACGATCCACCTGCAGCACTGCTCAGTCTGTGTAGTGTGAGTCGAGGGATGATAAGCGATAGTAGATATCTATCTTTGAGGGGGGGCCAGGGTGATGAACGGGAGAGATGCAGCTTTAAGGGCGAGGTCGGGCGGAGGTCTAGGCGAACAACGAGCTCAGCAATGACCCAACCGGACAAAACAACGGGGTGATTAGTGCGCTAGATATAGCTGGCCATGAAGTGTCCTTTTGCGTACTGCTACAGTTGCTGTTCCCATTCCTGCAGCAGAAGTCCTTGACGCGAGCTGGCCTCTACAGACGGGGTAGAGCCAGCTGAGCCTACTCTGCCATCTCTCTCTTGGCGTACTTAGATACATGCTGGCTTGTCGCTGCTCAACCACGGGCAGAACCGGTCGGAATGGGGCGCCAGATGTGGGGGATCTGGATCTCTTGTCGCTACGGCGGTGGAGAGAGCCTCTGTTGCGCAGTTCTGGCGCTGAAGCAGCGCTGAAGCAGCGCTGAAGGGTCGCTGTTGATAAAGCGACTATCTAGTCTAGTAGAAACAATATCAGCAGGGGCAGGATGAGGAGATCGATCCTCCAGACCAGCACGGCGAGGATGAGAATTCCCTGGGGACTGTTAGTCTATCTATGGCGGGTTTACCATAGATACCTAGGTACCTGTGGATTTCCCCAGATGTAAAATATAGTTACAGTACCATACAGACGGATTACACCAAATACACCCCTTGCGAGGCAGCAACATTTCGTAACGTGACCAGACCCTGACAGCCCTGTTGGTCGGGCGCTGTCGTTGCAGTTGCACCAGTGTCTGAGATGTTCGTGCATCAGACTCTCAACGTCGATCATCTATCCCAATACTCCCTTCTTACTAGATTCAATCTTCCTCATTTGAATAACATTCCCATCTGGTTCTGCACCTGCTTGGCCCCCATCAGCATTGCCTGTACTAAACACGTTAGTTGGATGCGCTGGGCTACCTAGGTTTCAGCTTACTGAGCCTCCCACAGCCACATCCTCATGTTCTGCCCATCCCCGGGGGCACCAGATAGCCCTCATCGTTAGACTTGATTTCAGAAATCTGCAAAAAGCTCGAATTTCCTTCCACTGGTTACATTTCAATAGCTTTCCCCCTCTTCACCAAGCCATCCATTCATCCTATCTCCGGACAACCTCCGGAGCGATTCGACATGCCGGCCGATTATCAGTCGACAGCTCGAGCTCTATTGCTTCCTCTTTCGCCCGCAGAATCCACATCGTCAACAATTGGTGCCGTTCGTCCACCATGGAGTCGCCCGGATGGCGACAGGCGGAATTCGATAGCTGCATCCCTCCAAGAAGCAGTTACTTTTCGCGACAAGCTCATAAGCTGGGCTGAAGGGACAGGTCGGCGCGTGTCAGAGACATGGAAGCGGATGAGCTTCTGGAAGAGAGTGGGAGCCGTTTGTGCTGCACTCGTCACGATTGCTATAGGCATAGCCTTCATGCTCCTCACTGGCAAGATATTCATCTGGGTAGGCCCGTTGGCAGAGAAATGGGAAAAGTCACCACTGGCATACTTTGTCCTCTGGTTACTCATCTTCGGAGTGTCCTTTCCTCCGCTTGTCGGATGGTCGACGCTAGGAACAATATGCGGTTTCGTATTTGGAATATGGAAAGGGTGCGCAATCACATCTACTTGGAAGATGCATATTGGCGCTGACATCTCTGCAGCTGGCTCATCTACATGACAGCAACTGTCGTAGGCTCAACGTGCTCCTTCATAGTATCTAGAACAGTACTTTCGGGATTCGTGAAACGTCTGATGGAACATGACAAGCGATTTGCGGCCCTGGCTCTGACACTCAAGTACGATGGCCTGGCACTCCTCTGTATGATTCGACTCTGTCCTCTGCCATACTCCGTGTGCAACGGTGCCATATCAACATTCCCGACAGTCCATCCTCTGATGTACGGGCTTGCTACGCTGATTATTTCCCCGAAGCTCCTGGTCCCTGCTTTCATTGGCAGCAGGTTGCGGATTCTGTCGGAGGAAAACGAAAAGATGGGCGCCGGCTCCAAAGCGGTCAACATTATCAGCATCATTGTTACAGTAGCAATCGGACTTTTTACAGGATTGTACATATATAGAAGGTATACCTACCGCAGCTGCAATCCTCGCCGTTTTGCGATATTCATGCTAACACATGCTCGTGAAATAGGACCTTGGCCCGGGCAGAGGAACTCGAGGCTGAAGAGCGCGCTAACATCCGGAGTTCTTTACAAGCCGACCATGCTGCTCATCGGCCTCACCGTTCATTTTCAGATGACCCTGCGGTCGATGCTGCCGCGAAGACTCTCGCTCGTGATGAGGAAGAACGGATTGGCTTCCGTGATGATTTTGATGACGATGATGTTGACTTGGTTGTCGACGACAGTGACGATGAAAATTCTCCTCATGCTCAGAAGCAAGGATTACCTAGTCCGTACCGTGATGAGTTTACTGATAACGACTCTGATGTCTTTGGCGCCGGAGATGGCGACGAACATGAGGCATATGGGTTACATACGCACGTGAGACGGGGCTCGGACATTTCTTAATTGTTATAGACATGGCATAATGGCCCGCTGGAGTTCTTATACTGGGTTGGAAAGGGACTATCGCATCTTGCATCAAATGACACGATATTCTTGGAATGTATTCGCTTTCTGGCTTCCTGGAGAAGTGCGAAAGAAAATATAGCTATCAGGTAACATCCATAACAACGCTAGATCGAACGCACAAGACTAGACCGAAGATAGCCTAGGTACCTCTATTAGATCTTCGATGGCGTTTCTTTGTTATACATCTCGAGTTCGCTTATGTCCAAGGAAAGCCGTCGAAGTTCATTCGGCTTCATTCAAGTTAGCGCTGAGTGCCAAACGGGGTGCGACGGCCGGTCGTAGATTGCAGCTATACGACTCAGGGATTAGATAACTACTTAAAGAGTATAAGTCAGTAAAGAGATCGCATAGCTCGAGAAAGCAGTTCTCATTTTTTAGCACTTACTCCTTGAAAGCCAGGGATCAATATGCTGGAAGGGTCTCCGTAGATGGAATCCATAAAACCCTTTCGCGGATGTATAAACAGACCCAGTGGACGTTATGTACCTGTACGTAAGCGAATCTGTCTCATTTCAAGACATGAGAGAGTCTTGATGGCTCAATCGCGGTCGGTCAGTACGCATGACGGGACGGCAGTACCGCAATACAATTCAGATATACTACAACACAGCATCCCGTTCAAACCTAGAAAAATATCTTCACATCTGCGCATCATATCCATTACACCATAACGACGGCCTCGAGAGGGGAAAATATCGCGATCTCGGCATCGTTCCCTTCCGAAAGGAGTGTGGCGTGGCATGACGGCTCCCCTCTATATCCAATGTTCTGTGTTGGTCTCATAGTCAGCCAAGTTAGCCGGAAGCATCAGGACTCGACATCAACTCGGCCCAAACGGGTAGGTGTCAAAGAAATCGTGGACTTGATTCATTGAACAATAACATTCGAATTCCAACGTGGACGGGGTGAGGTCGAGTTCGAGTGCTGTAAGGTGCGGCTGCTCCCTTCTTCGGGCTGAGAAATACGCTAGCCCGGCTGAGGATCCGTGAGTACATCCGAGAGGTAAAATAGAGGTTCAGTGCTCAAGCTTTTATCCAACTGCAAAGCCACGGCGGGATCCCCCCTCAAAGATGATGCACTGGCATTGAATGCGCCTTATTGTTCATTCGAAAGCTGAACCCGGGGGTTGTGGATGTCTCAGCGTCCCAACTAGTCCTGAATCGTCTCACATGTGTTCTAGAGACTGGTAAGCGTGTTCCCCCTCTTTTTCTTCTATATGCAAGCAACCCCACGAACCCCAACTGAGACTTTGTGTAAGACTCGAAAACATGATTGACGTACATATTTCTAATTCGTATACAGAGTACATTCGACATTGGGATCGGTCTGACGGCCACGCACTACCTATCATTGAGCAAATACGTGAAAAGTGGGCCCATCATGGAGGTATCTGTCAACGTCTGATATCGCAGGCTACATCTGAAAGGCAATAATCAAGTTGTGTCCATAATCCAAGGGAAACACATATCCAGTGCTTGGGCGTGTGTATCAATCTCAACTTTTCAGTGCCTGGAACATTTCCTGGAGACATAGTCATCCCGCGAACCCCTTGCTGGCAAATATGGAAGCCTCTTCTACTCTCAAGACCCAGGGTCTTCAGGATCTGCCCGGTAGATCAGTGCCCTTGGCTGAATTCTTACCCAATAACCAAAGTGACATCAATGAAGCAGCTCCAGCTCCCTCCCACCATGCTCCGGTTCCTGATACAATTTTCGAGATGCCGCCTGCAAAGCGGCGTCGGAGGTCCGGACAGGGCGATTCCTTTAACGGCGCCGACGGTCTCTCAACTGATATTGGAAGTCCCTTTTCATATCCTCAGAGAGTAAACATCAAAGAAGAGATGGAAGGAGCGTCACAAAGCACAGGTCGTGCATCCCGCAGTACGGAACAGGACACGAGTCATCACACGCCAAGTGACTCGATGACATCGGCATCGATGTTTTCGCCCCATCCGCAGAACAAGTCGGCATCTCCTTTGACCTTTGTCCAGACCTCTTTTGAATCTGTTTCCTCAGTGAAGCGCACAGCGTCAAAATTGGACTTTGAGAAATACCGACCTCGGTCGTCCATACCCACAGGGCTTCCTGCTCCTGTCTATGCTCAACAATGTGTCGCTGCAGCATATGCATCAAGGTTAAATCCGTATGCTTTACATAAGAATGAGCAGGCATACTTGCAGGATCAACTATGCCATATCCATGTTACGACTTATCTCAACATTCGAAATGGGATACTTCGTCTCTGGACTCGCAATCCAATGGTGAGCGTCACGAAAGAAGAAGCCCTTGGTTGCGCGAAGGATTACCGCTGGATGAATTTGGCCGCTTTCGCCTACGACTGGCTTGTGCGAAACGGGTACATCAACTTTGGCTGCGTAGAGATCCCCAAAGCTCTAGTTCCGCCCAAACGAGGGCGCCGAAGAGAAGGACCAGTCATTGTTGTTGTTGGCGCTGGAATGTCAGGTCTCGGCTGCGCGAGACAGCTGGAAGGTCTTTTCAGTCAGTACAGGGATAGCTCTACCTCTCCCCGCGTGGTGGTGCTCGAGGGAAGACGAAGAATCGGAGGTCGTGTTTATTCTCATCCTCTAAAGAGCCTCCAGAGTACCCTTCCGCAAGGTTTAAGATCTACAGCGGAAATGGGCGCGCAGATCGTTGTTGGCTTCGACCACGGCAACCCGATAGACCCGATCCTTCGCGCGCAGTTGGCCTTGCGCTACCATCTCCTCCGCGATATATCGACCATATACGATATAGACGGGAGTCCGGTAGACGAAGTCAGGGATGCGATGGATGAGAGGCTGTATAACGACATCCTCGACCGCTCTGGGCTGTATCGGCACAAGGCTGTCGTCCAGCCGACCGCTGAAGGTGATAGGGAGGCGATCGATACTGGTCGGGACGTGTCTGCCGACGATGGAGTGACGGTAAAGCAGTACGAAGAAGCCAGAGCCGCAGGTACTATTGATTTATTGGTGCCTTCAAAACGCGTCCGACGCGGCGTTGGCCACAAAACTGCAGACATCAAGCCTGCTGGGCCACCTATGGCAGATTTGGGACCAACGGAAGAACAGCCAGCAGCATTCACGTGTCAGACCATGGGGTGGAAGTTAAGGGATGGTGTTTCGCAGAGAGACTCAATTAACCTAGATGCTATTGCCAAAGCGAGCAACCACCAGACGTTAGGAGAAGTCATGGATGAAGGAGTCAGGCAATACCAGCGCATGCTTCCGCTGACTCCAAAGGATATGAGACTACTCAATTGGCATTTTGCAAATCTTGAATACGCGAATGCTTGCAATGTTGGGAATCTCAGTCTTTCTGGGTGGGATCAGGATATTGGAAATGAATTCGAGGGAGAGCATGCGCAAGTGATTGGGGGATATCAGCAAGTCCCGCAGGGAATATGGTCTTTTCCCAACAAACTCGATGTTCGCAGAAACAAAATAGTCACAAAGATATCCTACAGCCCTTCTGGAACTTCCAACCATAAGGCATTAGTGCACTGCGAGGATGGAGAGACCTTTGCAGCAGACAAAGTGGTCTTTACGGGTTCACTAGGTGTGCTGAAACACCAGACTGTGCAATTCGATCCCTCACTTCCTGATTGGAAGAAGGGTGCTATCGAACGTCTCGGTTTTGGTGTCATGAATAAGGTGATACTCGTGTTTGAGAAGCCATTCTGGGACCTCAGTAGAGACATGTTCGGGCTTCTCCGCGAACCCACCAACACTGACAGCATGGTTCAAGCGGACTACTCAGCCAACAGGGGTAGATCCTATCTCTTCTGGAACTGCATGAAGACGAGTGGTCTTCCAATGCTTGTTGCGCTGATGGCAGGTGATGCAGCATACCATGTTGAAAGGACCCCGGATTGTGAGATAATTGCAGAGGTGACCTCACAGCTTCGAAATATTTTCAAGACCGTTAACGTCCCTGATCCTCTGGAGACAATCGTCACACGATGGGGAACAGACCGGTTCACAAGAGGCAGTTATTCCTCTGTTGCTCCAGAGTCTTTGCCTGGTGACTACGATCTCATGGCGAAATCGGTCGGTAATCTATATTTCGCGGGTGAAGCAACCTGTGGCACTCATCCCGCGACTGTCCACGGTGCGTATATTTCTGGGCTCCGCGCTGCGTCCGAGATCATCGAGTCTATCATTGGACCTATTGAGGTGCCTACTCCTCTGGTCCCTGAAAAGGGCAGACAGTCAGAAACAGGCACGCCTGTGCTAGCAGGGCAGAAAAGGAAGGAGTCAGCAGCACCCTCTACAACTGCTATCCCAGCTACCACACATGCAGCACCTGCGGTATCTTCCATCCAAGCCCGGAGCAACAACTCCTTCCCATCAGAAGCAGCGCTCCGCCAGGCTTATGATGAGGCAATGTGGGTAGCCATCTACGGCGAGCTCGGCCACCCAGAACCTCGTCCCGCCAAAATGAGCCTGAATCCTTTCCTTCTGTATCAGAAAGACTACTGGCATAAATGCAAGCAACAATGTGAAGACGCTCGACGGGCGAGTACCAAAAACTCCAATGCAAAAGTCTCCCGCGATGAGATCCGGCAAGCTCTGGGACTCATGTGGCGTGAAGCCAGCGAGGAAGTGAAGAGGCCTTACCTGGACCAAATCGCTGCCAACAGGCGGATGAACACCGAGATATTCGATCAATGGAAGGAGAGGATCCTTGAATGGGAAAGGAAGACATACGAAGTGAAAGATCGATGGGTTGCAGCGAATCCATTCGAGACATGGCAGCCTGGTCAGTCGAATGAAATGGTCCCGGCTCCTACTGAAGCCAATACGGCCACGAATGGAACCACAACTACACCACCTGTCCCTTCTGAAGACACCAACAAAGCGACCTCTGTGAACGGAGGAGACATTAGCACATCAAAAGAAGGAGACACAGGTGATGAGAACAATACAGTATGATATTCATCCATAGCAGACTATTACTTATATGTACAATAAATCAAACTGGACAATGCTTACTTATTTCTTCTCTTCTCTTCTCTTCTCTTCCCATTCTATGTTCTCTTCCTATATATACCTTGTATTCTACCTTGATATATGCACATAGTCAAGGCGTCAGCGCATAAAGCGAACGCCAGGTGATCTATCAATCATCCATTTGCAGCATGTCCTTTGAATCCTAAATATAGCATAGATCATCCCAGATTACTCTAGATTACTAGATTCTTTGTATACCCTATAGAGATAAATATTTATCTGAGGAAATACCCTGCTATTTAGGCTAAATAGTGCGCGAAACCTCGCTTATTATATAACATGTTCTTTTAAATTGTGATTATTTCTCTAAATCTCTAAATCTTAAGGTTATCTCCTCTTTGCCATTCTGCGACGTAGAAGGGTGAGCAAGAGCAGAGTGTGTTCTTTGTTCAGAGAGAAAGAAGTCTATCGTAGGAAGAGGAATGGATAAAGAAATGAAAAGGAAAGAAAGAGTTTGTAGAAGTGATCTATATAGTGAAATAGAGACAAGGTCATTAGATTTGGGATCTAGTACGTGAAAGAGCCAAAACAAGACATGACATGACAAGAGCGAAGATAAAAAGTCGCTCAGCAAGGATATGATCTAATGTCTAACGTAAATATGATGAGCGTATTGAGATGCATCCATCCGGTTGGGAATAAAGACCGGTGCAGAGATAGATGGCGTGGTATAGGTCGATCGAGAGATGTATCCATATGGATGAAAAAAAAAGGTGAGGGTAACGCCAATATCCGTTGTTATTTTGTCCCATCCGTTGGCATGCATCTACAGCAGCGGGTTCTGACGGTACTCGGGCACAGTGCCTTCGGCTCCCTTCTTAGACTCCCCAGTGGGCTCCTGGGCGGCCGGCTCGATCTTGGAGTTTCCGGCAGCTGTGCCGGCAGCGGGGGTTTCTCCCACATCCTCGACTTCCGCAAGGAACTTCTCAGCTTCCAGGGCGGCAATGCAGCCAGATCCTATGGCGTATTAGTATCTTGCCTGATTCTGTGATATGAAAAGGAAATTTCATCGGGTTTATGCTTACCTGCACTGGTGATGGCCTGTCGGTATCGCTTGTCCTGGACGTCTCCAGCAGCAAAGACACCCTCAACACTGGTGTAGCTAGTTCCGGGCTTAGTGAGAATGTAGCCGTCCTCATCAAGCTGGACCTGGCCCTTGACCAGGGCAGTGGCGGGGTCGTGACCGACGGCATAGAACAGGCCGTTGGCCTCAACGACCTCCTCCTTGCCGGTAGTGACATCCTTGATCTTCAGGTGGGTCATCAGACCACGGGGCTTGTTCTCACCCTGGACCTCGGTTGCGACAGTGTTGAAGCGGACAGTGACCTTGGGGTTCGACAGCAGGCGCTTGGCCATGGCCTTGCTAGCACGTAGCTTGTCCTTGCGGACGAGGACGGTAACGTGGCTACCGTACTTGGTCAGGAACATGGCCTCCTCGGCCGCAGAGTCACCACCACCGATCACGTAGAGGGGCTTGTTGCGGAAGATGGGCACGGCTCCGTCACAGACAGCGCAAGCACTGATTCCGTTCTGCCAGTAGGTCTCCTCTCCGGGCAGGTTGAGACGGCGGGCATTGGCACCAGTGGCGATGATGACAGCATCCGCAGTGCGCGCAGGGGCATCCTCAGGGCCATCAGACCACTCCGTCCACAGCTTGAAAGGTCGCTGCGACAGGTCGATTCTGGAGATGGTCTCGGTGATGATCTCGGTTCCGAAGCGGGCCGATTGCTTGCGCATGTTGTCCATCAGCTCGGAGCCGCCAATGCCGCTGGGAAAACCGGGGAAGTTCTCAATGTCGGTGGTGGTGGTGAGCTGGCCACCGGCAGCAGTACCGTTTGCCAGCATACCCTCGTACATGACCGGCTTGAGCTCTGCTCGGGATAGATAGATGGCAGCCGTGTGGGCCGCGGGGCCGGAGCCGATGACTGCATAGAGGAAAACAGCACGTCAGTATATAGAACCACAATGTAAGTCATATTCCAATGGCTGTAAATCCATTTTCCCAGTAAAGGCGAAGCAAGGGGAGAAGTCTCACGACCTCAAGGGGACGACGTACTGACTACCTTGGAGTGCGCCATCCTGAAGGTGGGGGAGCTCGAACTGACGCGCAACGGCGTCGACGAAAACGAAAAGGTCGCGGGCGGTGGAGAGGTCTTCTGCTGGACAGATGCAGCAGCAGCAGCAGAGAAGGATAAGGAGGAGCGAAGAGAGGAGAAGGGGAAACGGCGAAAGGCTGAGGAAAACACTTTGGTGGTGGTGGAGGGGAAGACGGGGGAAAAGGAAGAGAGGATATAGAGGGCGGGGTGGGTAATTATGCAAGCACGCTAGAGACGGCCAGACGCTGGAGAGAGAGCGAGAAGACTCGTCGGTTAGTCAGTTGGAGGAATTGATTAGTTACGGGAGAAGTCGACAAGAGGGCCAATATCATAAACGCAGCTGGTCTTATCTGATCTCGATCCGCTCTTCTTAGGAATCAAAGCCTTTCGAGACCCCGTCACGTGCGCCTGCTTAGAAAGCGAGATCGGCCTCGAACCTTCACGGGATTTGCAGAAGTCTCGCCGAGAAAGCGCCGGAGAGCAGAGAATATCGTTATGATCATCATCATTAGAATTCTTATATGTGATGTTCTACGCTTACTCGCTGGTTAGATCATTTCACGGTCTAGATCCGAAGCCCTTAGAACTCCAGCCACAGTACGACAGAGAGAGGTCATGATGTAATCACCAGGTACGCCATCCCAAGTATTCAAAGTAGATCCTTACAACAGTCCATAAATCGAAGATCATCAGTCGTTTATCAGTCGTTGCCAAAACCTAGGTACATAACTACAAGCATTAGGGTATATTATTAGTCATGAATCGTCCTCACATCCGGCCACCACCACCACCACCATCACCACCATTTCCCCAACATGCCACCTCAACCCCGAGTAAACCACTTCCTCCTCCGCGGCTGGTTGGTCTCCTCAACGCCTTCATCACTGTAGTCATCTTCCTCAGTGACGTCTCCAGAAGTATCCATACTATGCGCTCGCCCGGTTCTCATAGGCAGCGCCCCCGGTGATGGCGGGCGGTCGTCTTCGCTACCAGAGTACCCATCGTATCCATCCTCCGTGTCGCTGGCAGCTCCATGGTCCAGGTACCTGGTCTCTTTCTTCTTACCAATGCCCAGCCATTTCTTCCATCCCTTGGCGACCCGTGTGGGACGCGGATCGTAGCCGCCTTCATACCACAGAGCGGGCACCAGCAGCTTGTATGGCCGGGTGATACCCGCTGGGTCCATGGGGCTGACCTCCATGTGCAGCGTGATATCCAGGCCGCCCTCGAGATTCACATAGCCCCCAGCACCATCCTCAGCCTCTAAGGCTTCTTTACGAGCCTTTTCACTCAAGTTCGTAGGGCGACGATGGAAATTGCTTGGGCGAGGTTTCTGGCCTTGGGAGAAGTAGCCATCGCCCGACTCGAAAGGTCGCTCCGGGATATCCATACTTGCGCTCCGGCCACCGGAGTTACCCAGGTTGAATTCTTTCGTGGGCGGACGACTCCCGCGGGAGGAAAGTCGCCGCATCAAGCCCGTGGGCCCGCTGGTACCCCGCGTTAAGGAGAGCGTTCTCTTCAGTTTGCCCGGAGGAGATGGGGACGCGGGGGGCGTGGCCGGTTCAGGAGTTGCGGGCGGAGTAGATCCTGCTATATGTCAGAGAAACTGTCTGAGATACAGGTGATTCGTCTCGATCACACTTACCGGGTTGATATTCGCGGATGGCGCACCAGTTGCGCCGGGGCAGCAGCCTTTTGTTGTTCCGCGGCTTGTCGTCTACGTCGTGGGTAAAGATGGGAATCATGGATTCATCAGTATTAGAATCCATGTGATGGATCTTGTTCCGCTTGTTCAGCATGTCTGCTACCATGTCTGGCGGAGGCGTGTTGACAATGGCGGATGAAATAATGTTGGGCATATAGCGATAGTCCTTGTCCTTGGCCAGGTTCAGTCGCGGATTCGAGTAGAACTGGCCAATTGCTCCCAGATGAACGTCTCCACTAGAATCCTCATTAGCCAGGCACTCTCGTAGTAGACGGGGTTCTGTTGTCTTACCTCAGAATGGTGACCCGGACGGACTTCTCAGCAGCAAGGTCCTGAAGGTCCTCGACCAACCAGGTACGTTCCAGCTTGTGGTGTTTCGCCGTCCAGTGATCATCGAGATCATCCAGGACCTCGACGCTGCCGTCGAACTTGTTGACGAAGTGGCCAAACATTCCTGCTCTCCCCAGTGCTTTCACCGGGTCCATAACCCGGCTAGTTAATATATTCTCGAGCCAGACCTATCGTGCCAGAGTCAGGATCCTCACGTCTTGATATGCAGCTCGGCATAGACTTACCAGTCTAGGGTACGCAATTGGAACGCCCAAAAGAACAATAAGATGTTTTGTATCCCCTTTGACGATCTCACGGTGACAGCGGTCCCAAATAAGATCGTATGTCTGCTCACTAAGGATATCCCCTCTCTGTTCAAGCCGTAGTCAGTAAAGTTCTATCCGCTGCAACTCTCTCGAGGACAACCTACCATGCGTTCAGTACGACAATCCAAGCCTAAAAAGGCCGTCCCCTTGCCGAGGAACATGAATACGCTTCGGCTCCTCTCCTTGATATAGGGGCCCGGCTCTGCACCCAGAATCCAGCTGGGTTCATCCGCCTCGGTTTCTTCCGGCACGCTCTGGTGTTGGAAGAGCATATAGTATTTGTATGCAACGTTTCCAAGGCCAGAGAAAACCGGTGTTCTCATGAAGTGGTCCGGATACGAGCCAAAGCCGTCAATAATATCATGGTCATCCCAGATGTTGATCATTGGTATCTGGCAATTTGCCAGGCTGAACAGCCCCTGAGAGAACCACATGCAATACCGTTCCAGGAAGAATGTCTCCAGTTCGGCCTTCATCTCCGGACTGAACGGTGCATGATGTTTGTCGTGAGGATTCTTGATGTGGGTCCATTCTTGGAAGTGTTTTGTCTCCAGCATGACTATGTCATTGTAGATCTGGTCACCTCCTCCGATCATCACATGGAAGGGTCGCGTCTGATGCTCATTGAGTACGTCTCTCCAGAGAGGATCTGGCCCGCAGAATTTATTCGGATCCACAGATAAACTGAAGCCATTGCAAGTGTGGAACATGACGTTCATCGACTGGCCCCTTGCAGGAACCCAGAACCCAATGGCAGGACCCTGGTTAATGCGGTATGCAATCCGCTGCTGCTTGTCACCGAGTTCTACTTCGATACTGAATCTCCAGAACGTGACATCTCGGGCCGAATCCGCATACAGTCGGATACCTTGGATTTCTCGGTACCGCCCAGTCGTCTCTCCGTCCATCGGGTGGATTCTGTTGCTAGGAACTGGCGGACTCTGTCCGTCGTAGTCAATCGGACTTCGAGTCTCCTCAAAGAGCCCGTCTTCACTCTCAACAGTCGACAAGTCGACACCTTCTTCAATGTGCTCGACAGGCTTGACATACAGTACTCTTCCATCTCTCCCGACTTTTGTGAGACCAGCTGTGGGATCAACGTATTCAGGAGCAAGCTTTATGCCATCCTCGCTGTTGATTTCCACTGGAGGCGGAGGAAGCAGGTCCATTGGCTGTGAGAAAAGCCGTAATGTAGGAGCCGGGTTATAAGAGGACAGGGAATCCTTGGTGACTATCATCACACTTCCTCTCCAGGTCTCCAGATCAATCTGACCCTCGGGTCCGTCGATCTTGTCTCGTCTCATCCCTGTATACCGCAGCAATGGTCCACACTTCAAAAAGAGAAGAGGGTCGAACCGGTTGTTTTCTAAAGGAAGCCAAGTCAGTCAATCGTCACCCACAACAGGAACCTCTTTCAATATAGCATTGTGAAAAGTCCACCTATATCACTGCAAGCTACCAGGGACTGACGTACCATTGGCCTTCGGCACAGGCTTTTGATAATCACTGGGAAGTGCTCTACTCCGTCTGCGGTTTGTATTACCACCACGTTCCCACCATGCTTTACCTTTATCAGCGTCGAAGGTCTGGAACTCCATGTCCGCGGCCGAGAGCATGGCTACAGGCGCTTGCTTCCATTCCGACAATGGGGGAGGGGTAGGAGGCGGCATATCGAATTGCACAGTTTGTTTCTTCTGCTTGGGTTTCGCGACTTCCTCGACAGAACTATCGTGATGCTCTACTAGTTGCTCTTCTTGTTGTTGTTGATCTTGTTGATTATCCGTCTCCGGCGCCAACGTATACTCCATTGGTGCGGGATCCCCCTCCGCGGGTCCACGATCCATGGTAGGCCTCTCATCTTGATGTTCATCGTACGTAGCGCGATGGTAGTAGTTCTGCGGTGGGACCTTTTGTAGTCTATTGCTGTTGGACGTCTGGGACCCCGTGTCGCCAGGAGGAAAGTAAGAATCATCTGGCGCAGCGTGGTGATGCGTCTCTGGCTGCCATGAAAATCGTTCGTTTTCGGTGCTGTCTGCTCGGCCTGGATACGGCATCGGAGACTTCTGGCTTTTACTGGCAGGCTCCAAACTGCGGCCCTTCTCTGAAGAGTATTGGGGCTGGCGTGTACGCTGAACCTCCGCGCGCCGAACATTTGAAGATACCCCTGAGCGTGATACGGTACTGGGCCGCGCTGAGTATTGTAACTCCGTGTACCCAGTCAGCGACTCTGTTGGAGAGTCCAATTCCCAGGTGCTCAGACTCCTGGCGTATGATGGTGTCCTCTTGTGCTGGCTGCTTGAGCCTATGGCTGACGGAGCCTCACCGGTGGCCACTGGTGTAGCTGTTGACCCTTGGCGGGAGTGTACTCTCTCGGATGATGAGGTATGATTATGGTCACTGGCTGTCTTTTTCTCCTGTTCCTGTCGCGCCAGTCGTTCCTTCAGCCGGAGTTCTGCTTCCAAGACTCTTGCCCTCTTTTCCTCCTTGCTGATATCGTTCAGCTTGACCTCCAGTCGTTGTAGAGGAGACCTGTCTGGAGCCCAGTCACGTTTCTGGCCCTTTGCAGAACGAGTCGTACTCGATCTAGTGAGCGGTGTCGCCTGGCCCCCTTCTCGAGTAGAGACAGTATCTGATCGTTTCAATGAATATTGCGCTTGGTTAGGGGAATCGGTATGGGGTATAGACACGGATAGACCACTCGTGGAAAAGTGACGCCCGGGGGCCTGTCGTGCAGGATCAGTTCGCGCATTTGCGAGTTTCTGACCTTGGACCATAGCTTGATTCTGGAAGGCCCCTTGCGATCCTTCTGGCCCCCATTCAGGAGGTACTTCTCCTGTCCTGGCGGAAAATGAACGATGTCCGTCGCGGCGGTATCCTGAGCCGGACCCGTTTCGATACGGGACGGAAGGGTATTGAGGGGGAACTGAAGTAGCGGGGACATATTCTCGTTTTTCCTCGTTACCCACTGGGAACCCGTTGGCACCGGAACTTGGACGATGTCTCTTCGACGAAGTGTGTCCTATGCCATTTACTGGTACCTCTTGGTAGGGTACAGAATTGCCGTTGGTAAAACCCGCAGGCCGCGAAGTTGCCGTCGCCATGATGAACCACCTTGGATCCCCTGTCTTCAAGTCAAGGTGCGCTCGACCGTTCTTATCCAGACCAATGTTTCGTGATCGCAATTAGCAAGGCGTGGATCGAAGGAGTCTGCGATAAAGTAACTGCGCAACAGGCGTTAACATCAGTTCTAGAAAAGGGCATGTATATCATCAAAGCTCACCACAAAGAACAAGCTGGTGAATACCGCTGAAGGGGTAAGTTGTACTGTACGCCTGCGACGGAGATAGATTCGATCTTTGCGCCTGAAACCCTGGCGCACTTGTTGAGCTTCGATCTGTATAGTACTATGTCCAGCAATTACAGCGACAGTTCAATCGAAGCATCCAACTGTCACTGCTCAAAATCCAGTTATCATAACGATAAGCGCAGACAGCAGATTCCTGGAAGGATCTGTAGGTGGAACCAAAGCTGCGTTGTGTTGGTTCTTATCGAGCTCCAATCAATCGCTCCGCGGCCGACGAGTATATACAATTTGCGGGTGATCACTCGCAGGTAAAGGAATCGCAAGAGCGCAACAGATCGCATTAAGGTATCCAGAAATGGAGCACAATAGAGAAAAAAAAAAGGCTACAGAAGAGAAGGAAAAAGCACTGCCAACGATGGAGCGGTCTAAAGAAAGCCAACAGCAGCAGCTTGTTCTGCAGCTCCCAGCCGTTCGAACAGTTTATCCTGGTGGCTGGTCGGGAAGAAGTCAGGGCGGGCGTTGGTCGGAGAGGGGCTGCACACCAGTCACAAACCGGTCGGAGAGCTTCGCCCTGTTACATTCGAGAGAAAGATCATTGCATGCTAGAGGAGTCTATCTACTATCTAGTCTATTATTTGATTCTGGTGATAGGGAGAACTAAACTCCATATCATTCATTCCCTACTCCCTATACATCACCCCGGGGAACACCAGCACAACGGCCCGCCAAAAGCTTCACCTGGAACCATGGACGACGAGGAGTCAGCATTATTCTTCGAGAATTGGTTGCTAGACCACGTATTACTCCTTCGTAAGACGTCTTAGTTAAGTTAGTTAATTACCCGCCACAACCCGTACAACAAAGGGATCCACGAATCCTCGTCGTGGCAAGCTGAGCTGCCCTTGAAACGTGGTCTCTAGCTTTGGAACAATCCAGTGGCAGACCGCAGATTGTGATATATCCCTCCTGATTATTATTATTCTACTATTAGTTACTTTGTGTCTGTCTTATTGCCTTGCCGAAGATCGACGCCCGGCCGAAGCCAACAACGGCACGCCCTGAGACTCGCGGCCCGCCAAGTGATTAATCAATGCTCTAAGCTCTCCGCAAAAAGTCCAGTTAAGGACAACTCTGCTTCTCCATAATCTGCCACGGCAACATCTGGGAGCAGTGACAAGGGCTCACGCTGCCATCCCGAAACAGTTGCATTTTCCATCGACACGTTCCGTCGACTGTTCATCTTGCCATCGCCGGTCTGGGATCGTTCATGGCAAGCGCTCCGTGGCCCTAATCTGGTCGCCTCACAAGGGCGTCTCCCCGATATAACGCCCTTGCCATTATCGCTCATTTCAACATGCGATTCCTTCGCGCAGCAGCGCTTGCAGCGTTCTGTTATACAGCAACGGCCGATCTACTTCCTCGGACATATGATACCCACGACTTTATAGCTCTGCATCTCGATTCTTCAGTCTCCCCCGAACATATCGCGCGCGTGCTCGGTGCCCGTCACGAGGGCCAGATTGGTGAATTAGACGGCCATCATCGATTCTCACTACCCAAGGAGAAAAGCACAGAGACAGATGCACTACTGGAGGATCTCCGACAGAGAAGGATACAACGTCGACGGTCGCTCGACAATGGTGCAGCTTTGGCTAAGAGGAACGACGGTCTGGATGGGGTTCTCTGGTCCCAGAAGCTGGCGTTGAAGCAGCGCCTGCAGAAGAGGATACCGCCTCCTCTGGAGCGCCGTGGCCCCTCTGTTCGGGTTGAGAGAAGTGCGCAGGCGGATCCCATTGCCCTTCAGACTCAGAGAGATATCGCCACTACTCTCGGGATCACTGACCCCATCTTTCAGGATCAGTGGCATCTCTACAATCCTGTCCAGCTTGGCCACGATCTCAATGTCACCGGAGTCTGGCTCGAGGGCGTAACGGGACAAGGAGTCACCACGGCGATCGTTGACGATGGCTTGGACATGTACAGCGACGACCTCAGACCCAACTACTATCCTGGAGGTTCGTGGGACTACAATGATGGCACCAACGAACCGAGACCTAGACTCTTGGATGACAAGCATGGCACCAGGTGTGCGGGAGAAGTGGCTGCAGCCAAGAATAATGTGTGTGGAGTCGGAATGGCGTACGACAGCAAGGTGGCCGGAATCCGCATTCTGTCTAAACCCATCAGCGATGCGGATGAGGCAGCTGCTGTCAACTACGGCTATCAGAGCAATGACATCTACTCCTGCTCCTGGGGCCCGCCCGACGACGGCCAAACGATGGACGCGCCGGGAATACTGATCAAGAAAGCTATGGTCAATGGAGTTCAGCAAGGCCGTCATGGGAAAGGTTCTATCTTCGTCTTCGCTGCTGGTAACGGTGCGGCCAGTGATGATAATTGCAACTTTGATGGTTACACAAACAGTATCTACAGTATCACGGTGGGCGCCATCGACAGAGAAGGCAATCATCCCAGCTATTCCGAATCATGCTCTGCCCAGCTGGTAGTCGCGTACAGCAGTGGCGGCGGTGATGCTATTCACACTACGGATGTCGGCGCGTCTAAGTGCTCTGTCACCCACGGCGGCACTTCAGCTGCTGGTCCGTTGGCAGCTGGTGCTGCGGCTCTGGCCCTGAGCGTCCGGCCTGACTTGACGTGGCGTGACATGCAGTATCTGCTGCTGGAGACGGCCGTTCCTATCCATGAGGACGATCAGGGCTGGCAGGTAACCAAAATTGGGAAGAAGTTCAGCCACGAATGGGGATACGGCAAGGTCGACACATATGCCTTGATCCAGAAAGCGAGGGATTGGCAGTTGGTCAAACCGCAAGCCTGGTACCACTCTCCCTGGTTGAGAGTGGAGCACGAAATCCCGCAAGGCGAACAGGGCCTTGTTAGTTCTTTCGAGATCACGGAGGATGTCATCACGAAGGCCAACATTGGAAGACTCGAGCATGTCACTGTGACCATGAACGTCAACCACACCCGTCGTGGAGACCTCAGCGTTGAGCTGCATAGCCCCGAGGGTATTGTTAGCCACCTGAGTACGCCTCGGAGACTCGATAGTGCCAGCGTCGGTTATGTCGACTGGACTTTTATGTCTGTTGCTCACTGGTGAGTATCTCGAAGCCCCATTGCATCGAGCGGTATCAGAAAGCTAACGAATTCGCAGGGGAGAATCTGGCATCGGCCGCTGGTCTGTGATTGTTAAAGACACGAATGTTAATGAATTCACTGGTGTTTTTGTAGACTGGAGAATCAATCTCTGGGGAGAAGCTCGTGATGAATCGAACCAGCCACTTCATCCTCTTCCAGACGAGCATGACGACGATCATAATATCGAGGATGCGGTCGTGGCAACGACAACTGTTGATCCGGTCACGCAGCCGACTGAGCCGCCTAGTCTTCCTACGGATCACGTTGACCGTCCGGTGAATGCGAAGCCTTCGTCTGTTGAGGCAGTGCCGACAACTACTGCAGCCCCCGACTCAGCCGCGACGCCCACTGAGACTGTATCGGATAGCTTCCTGCCGTCTTTCTTCCCAACATTTGGAGCTTCCAAACGCACGCAGGTCTGGATATACGCCTCCCTGGGATTGATCGTCATCTTCTGCGCCGCTCTAGGCACCTATTTCTACGTCCAGCGACGAAAGCGTCTCCGCAACAACCCTCGGGATGACTATGAGTTCGAAATGATCGAGGAGGATGATGATAACCAAGCGCTGACCGGAGGATCTGGTGCTAAGAGACGTCGCGGCGGCGAGCTGTATAATGCGTTCGCTGGCGAGAGTGACGAGGAACTGCTAAGCGACGATGGGGATGAAGGGCCATACCGAGACCGTACCGCCAGCGATGAGGATCTCGACGAAAAGCACAAAGCAGGTCCCGAAAGGACATGAGGAATATTTTGTCTGTCATTTGTATTGTAGCGGCATTCCTCTATGGATTCTCCCTTTTTGGTTTTGTCTCATTCGTCTATTGATCGAGATTCCCGGCGTATATCTAGTGCATCAATACGGTTTCTAAGGAAAACCGGCCAATCTATATATATTATAGACTTAATCTTATAGAACTAGTAGCCATGTCAAATATTGGAGTTTCGGTCCTCCGTAGCTTTCTTGGTGATCAGGTATTGTTTGCTTTGACAATGTACTACTATTAATTTGATAAGTATCACAGCCTTGGGAAGTGGGATAAGCGATGACGCTCCTTGGTCGGCTTTCCCCGTCCTCCGCCCGCCGGAACTGCCGTCTCTTGGTCTCTCCGCAGTCACTACTACTACCAACTCCCAGCCTCCTGATACGATACACTCCTGTGTAGAAGCGCGAGCGTCTGAGATCTGGCGCATCTTGCGATTCTAGAGTTTCTCCAGCTTAGCTGTTGTCCATCCACATACATTTTATTCCTCTGAGAGCTCCCGCTTTCGCATCGATCCTGTGATCCCCCGATCCCCCACGGGACCGCCTTGTTGCTCCCGATGGATCACCACGACGACTTCGACAATGTTTCCTGGAGAAACGATCCCCAAAGTGACCAGTCCCGACCGCCTACCTCCGGTACAGATGTCGATGAACCACATAGAGCTGATCGCGACATCAATGGCAAGCGAAGGATGAGCTCGACCAGCGATGAGCCCCAGGCTGGACCGCTCGCCGATGCGGTCGACCTGGCAGGTATCGGGGATGGCGTGTTAGAGGTTACAGTGGACTCGCCGCTGAAGGAGAATGATGGGACGAAGGACGCATATATTTCCTACCTGGTCACTACACATGTGGGTGGTTGATTTCCTTTCGTTATATTTCATACTCCCTTGAATTCAGCTGCCTATCGGAGATCCCGTATCAGCCCGCCATGTTAACATCACTGCTTTACAGACCGATTTCAAGTCATTCCAGAAGCCAGACTTTGCTGTCCGGAGGCGTTTTACAGACTTCTACTTCCTGTACAAGACCCTGTTTCGGGAATATCCCGCCTGCGCCGTCCCCCCGCTACCGGACAAGCATAAGATGGAGTATGTGCGGGGAGACAGGTTCGGCCCAGACTTCACACAGCGGCGTGCGTGGTCGCTGCATCGCTTTCTCAAGCGCCTGACGCTGCATCCTGTACTTCGCCGGGCTCCGATATTGGTCATATTCTTAGAATCGCCAGACTGGAACGCGCATATGCGATTACGGTCGCAAAGAGCGTCCAGCACCTCCGACGGTACTGCCGCACCTGGCATCTTTGACAATTTCACCGATACATTCGTCAATGCATTTACGAAAGTGCACAAGCCAGACAAGCGGTTCATCGAGGTGCGAGAGAAGGCAGACAAGCTTGATGAGGATCTCGGCCACGTCGAGAAGATTGTGGCTAGGGTCGCCCGCCGCGAGGGAGACCTCGAAGCAGACTATGCTGACCTGGCTACGCAATTCCGGAAGTTGGTACCACTCGAGCCAAACGTGGAGGTGCCCCTACAGATCTTTGCGGCATCAGTCGAAGAGACGACACGCGGGTTGAAGATGCTCAAGGAACACACAGACCAGAACTATCTGGGATCTCTACGTGACATGGAAGCATACATCCTTTCTGTAAAGGGCCTTCTCAAGACACGCGAGCAGAAGCAACTTGACTTCGAGGCGCTGGTTGAATACCGTAATAAAGCGGTTGCTGATCGTGAGGCCCTGGCCAACAACCCATCCTCCTACTACGCCTCGAACCCGCTCACCTCATCTCCAGCCTCTTTCATCCGTTCCAAGATGGAGGACATGCGCGGCGTCGACCACGAACAGTCCCGTCGGGAACGGGTTCGGAAACTCGAACTTCGCATCGACGAGCTCACGCGGGAAGTTGAATCGTCAAAGACGACGTCCGAAATGTTCGACGAAGAAGTCGTCCGTGAAGTAGCCGACTTTGAACGGATCAAAGCCGTCGAGTTCCGTGATACCCTTGGCGACTTTTCCGAGAAACACATCGATTTCTACCAAGGCGTCATTAACACCTGGGAACGATTCATTGCAGAAATGGAAGGCGAACTGGAAGGCGAGGAAGGACATGACTACGGTTATGGAAATGGTTCGGAATCCAGAGAGGGCGTTGGGACTGTGTAATTTTCGGAATGCTACGAGAAAGAAAGAAAGAAAGAAAGAAATTCAAGCACGGGATGTTCTGCGGTCGTTGGTTCCTGTCGGAAGTTTGTGATGATCTGATTATATTAGTATTAACTTATCTACCTATGTTAAACCCTCGGGATGAGACAAATGAGAGCGGGAATAGTGATTCCACAATGTGATGTTTGAAAGCTTTCCAAATATTAATATTATTACGGTCATTACATATGTATGTATGTTATGTATCAGAATCGAAGAGTCGAAAGAAAAGGACGAAATGAACCATTTTCCTCTCGTGGAAGAAGAAGAAAAAAAAAGAAACCCCCTCGCTAAGTGACATCATCCATGCCCTGTGAAGAAGAGAGGGAAAAAACAATAATAATAACTATATAATCTTATTCCTTCCCCTTGCTCTCGATGTCCAGTTTCAGATATTCTGTGGCCTATCCTATCCTATCCTGCTTTCCCCAACCCCGCCCCCCCTTCTCCAAGATTCCTTATCGGTTACATATATGCGCTTTAAATAGGTATTTCATATTTTGTCTATCGTCGATGAGTTTCATTTTTTTTTGAATCTTGTTTCTTTCATTGCTTGGTAAATAGATACTGATGTGAGGAATCACTGGGTCTGTGCTTTGAGTGCTTGTACGCGTACTCGAAGTCGGTAGGGCTTGGTCCGGATTGAGGATCACTGACGGCAGGGTCCTGTGCGCGGAGATGTAGACGACGAGTTCGTTCCTGGATTTTGTTGGTTATTGTTAGGGATATTATTGTTAGGATGGTAGATAAGTATGTGGTTATCATGATTCAAGCTCAGAGATAGATCTAAAAATGAAGATGAATGGAATATTGCATGTCTTCAGGAGAGAGAGAATTATGAAGAAGAAGAGGATAATAAAAAAAAAAAGTACTCGAAGTGTATTTATGGAATTGCACAAAACGCACCTCCATATATATCTGATTCGGAGTCTTGATTTCCGCATTCGCCCCCGCCGTCAATTGGAGGTAGGTCTCGTGGTCATATCCGATCGATAGCTGGTTACCAGCCGTCGGTGACTTTTTGGGTTGAGCGAAGTTGGCAGTTAGATCTGTCGTCTTTTGCTCATTTGTCGTCGTGGCGGTGACACCTGAAGCAGACGCCATTTCGCGATGTGGATTATCAAGAGGAGGCAACTGGCGTCAATTCCAAGTCGCCTATGCAAAACACAGCCCTTTGGATGGGAGTTGGAGACTGGGGGACGAGAGAGAGGAACGCGCAAACAGGACAAAAGATGGATACTTTGGAAGAAAAAATACCAAGAATAGAACGGCCGGAGATCGTATAGAGACAGGTAGGTGCTTGCCCACTCAACGGCCCCGGATACACCACTATCTAGATCTGATAGATAGTAAGTAGTATTCCGATTCGGGTCGCGCTCGCACGGGCTGACTCTTGCAAGCTAGGTAGGTACTTTGAATCCAGCAAAAACACGAAAGGGTTATGAGCAAAAAAAGGTGGCTTCGAGTAGAAAAGGCGCTAAAGGAGGAGAGAGGAGGGGATTCTCCAAGATGTACAGCTCACTTTCGTAATCCATAACGTGAAAGCGTGGCATTTCCGCCACCAGTTACGCCCCGTCGATGGGACAAGGCAGAGTAAGGGTAGAGATTTGCCGCCTATCTGAACAGAACTCTGACCAGAATCCTTGTCTTATCGTCCTTTGATTGGAAAGCGGCTCAAGGGAAAGTTGTTGCTGGAATGCAGAAGGACGGGCGTTGTACTGTACCAGCGGTGGCTGAGTCTGCATTGGTGCTTGTCCGCGAGACGCCGTCGCAGATCACCGGAACAAGAAGCGATTGCTTTCTGGAACTTACACTGTGACGCTGGGGCCAAAAAATAGGACCATCGCCATGAATATCTCCTGCGGGCGTAGCTCGCTGACGTGGATTGGCTCTGCTTACCTGCATCTATTAGGCCGGCGCGAGCAATGAAGCCGTTCAAGAGGACTGACGACAACGTCAATTGGGTTTAGTTTGGAAGTTCTCCAAGGATTATATGCGGGAGACTTCTTTTCTGCAGGTTAGTTTCTATTGTTAGCCTGATAGACTGAATAATAACACAGTAATATTAATGGAAAGGATGATAATAATACCACTGAGTGGGCTGGGAAGAGGTTTGCTCTGTTTGCAAGAGACCTTGTCCGGCAGCTCGACCGCCGCAGAAGCATGAGTTCCTGAGCTATCCCGGATCTCCCATCACAGGGGAATTGCAGCTATGCGGCCTCTAACACGTTCCGCGTTGCGGTCCTATGTCTGCTCCTCATGTCGACGGGGCGCCTTCTTCTCCCCGCGAAGGCAGTTTGCCTCCGCGACGAACAACGTGCCGGAGGTCTATGATGTAGTCTGTGTTGGAGGAGGTCCCGCCGGTCTGGGACTTCTAGCAGCTCTGAGTAGGCCCATACAACGTCCAATGGCTAGATCCTCGAAATATATAACTGATAAAGAGAAATAGGAGCATCCCCCGTCACGTCAAAACTGAAAGTAGCCCTGATCGAGGCCCAGGACCTGGATAAAGCCCGCACATGGAGCTCGGGCCCAGCTGAATATTCAAACCGAGTCAGCAGTCTTACACCCTCGTCTGTCTCGTTCTTGGATAAGATAGGAGCTTGGCAGCATGTCGACAGCTCGAGGACTCAGCAATACCAGGAGATGCAAGTGTGGGATGGAGAGACTGGTTCGAAGATATCATTCGATTGGTCTGCGGAGGGCTCACCGTTCGAGACACCCCGTACCATCGCGACGATGACAGAGAACGCGAACCTAGTCCGGGCATTGCTTTCACGAATCAACTCATTGGGTGAGGATGGTGTTTCGATCTTCTCCAACACAACCGTGTCATCGATCGACAATGGTATCGACCATCCGGACGGACCGGATATGTCTGCATGGCCGGTGCTTTCACTCTCTCCAACAGCAGCAGCAACATCATCACCGCCAACGAACATCGCTGCTCGACTCTTGGTCGGTGCAGATGGCATCAACAGTCCAGTACGCTCGTTCGCGCAAATCGCCACGGATGGATGGGATTACAATAGACATGGGATCGTGGCCACTCTCGCTCTGGCTGGGCCAGAGAACCCTCCCTTCCCAGCTGGAAAGAGGACAGCATACCAGCGCTTCCTACCATCACTAGGTGGCCCAATTGCTCTGCTTCCACTCCCCGATAACCATGCCACTCTGGTCTGGTCTACCACCATTGAGAACGCAGCGTATCTGAAATCTCTCCCACCAAAGGCTTTCATCGCCATGGTCAATGCTGCTTTCCGCCTGTCGATGACGGATCTCAAGTACATGCTTGATCTGAATCCATCCTCCTCGTCTACACCAACTGAACATGAAGATGAGCTATCATGGCGAGTACAACACACTCCTCAGCCGCCTCATATTCCTCCCTCCGTCACAGCTGTCCAGGAACGCAGCGTTGCCTCCTTCCCACTCCGTTTCCGCCATGCTTCCACTTACGTCTCTCCACGCATCGCGTTGGTCGGAGATGCTGCCCATGTCATCCACCCGCTGGCCGGACAGGGCCTCAACCTGGGTCTCGGCGATGTCGCATCTCTAGCTAACACGATCGAATATGCCGTCACCCACGGAATGGATATCGGAGACTTGCTCACGGTGGAGCGCTATTCTTCCGAACGCTGGGCCGTGAACGCCAAGGTTGGTGGCGTCTGTGATATCCTGCACAAGCTTTACAATGTCCCTGGCCAGAGCCCGATCACCTGGGGTAGAAGCTTGGGTTTGAAGATGGTGGACCAACTACCTTTCGTCAAGGGCTTCCTGATGAAGCAGGCTCAGGGTTAAATTCTCCAAAATGATATGTATTGTACTACTAGGTACTCATTAAGTAAGGTGTGGGTGGTTCCATCAATGTATTATTTATATATCCAATCAAAGAAAACACATTCCACGTCTCCGTCCAGCATGAAAAAAGAAATAAAGCCGTTTTAAATTCTACATTAGGAGATAAGATGTGTAACGGTCTAGAATGGGTATTTTATATTCCTATTTTTATTGTTTCCCTCTTTATGTATGTATAAAGTAACCTTTCCGAAACAAGATATGTAGGAGGTCATGCTCTCTTTTTTTGGACTCATCATACTCCCGCATCCTCCGTCTTCGGCGCAGCTTCAACGTTTAGGCCCTCGACCTTTTGCGCCAATTCCGTCACGGCGGTTCCACTGGCACCTGTTGTTGGGTTGTTCTTCTTTGCTAACCGGGCCTTCACCTCCTCGGGGAGAGTCTTGAGGTCGACGAGAACACCTTCCTTCTCGGGATGGCCTTCTTCCAGACCCATCTCCTTGATACGGACCTTGCCTGCCTTGAGCTCCTCTTCGCCCAGGATGACGGCGAAGGGAACACCGTTCGATTCTGCTGCCTTGAATTGTTGGGGGAGCTTTGGCTTGACCTTGTAGCTGAATTCGGCCTGTAATTTGTGGTGTTGGTTAGTCATCTTTTTCATATGGCACCGGTAGATTGAGATTGTAGATGTAGGATCACCTACCTTAACGCCAGCCTTCCACAGGCTCTTTGCGACTTCCATACGCTCCTTCAGCATGCCAGTGAAGCCCTTTCCACCGAAGGCCATGACGAAGACGTCGACCTCTGTGCTGCGGACTGCGCTGTAGTTCCTCTCGCGCTCCATGCGAGCCTTGGTGATGGAGAAGATCCGGTCGACACCGAATGAGATACCAACGCAGGGGATCTGCGCCTTGTTCGAGAACATGCCCACGAGGTTGTCGTAACGACCGCCTGCGGCAATACTTCCGACGCCAACAGACGGATCATTTGATCGGTCGTCGTCCTCCAGGTTGGGGTTCTTGGACTTGTCTTTCTTTCCTGACTTTTGCAGGGTCTGCGTCTCAGCAGCTTTAGTTGCGGTAGCAGGCGCGGAACCTTCCGTGACGACTTCGTAGATAACACCGGTGCTGCAATCGGGCGCAAATTAGCTTCAGGTACTGACGGATACTGTTATGAAAAAAAGGGGGCATACTAGTAATCGAGACCTCTAGCGAGACTCAAGTCAAAGGAGAGAGTGTCTAGAACTCCAAAGGCGTCCAGATAGTCCATAAGCAGTCCCATTTCCTCCAAGCCTTGCTTCGCGGAGGCATTTGCCATGAGGGCTTCATCCTTCAGGAGCGCATCTAGCAGTTCCCGTCTTCCCTTTCTGCTGACATATGTCTCGATCTTGTCTGCCGCCGCAGGGTCCAGGCCCTTCTCCTCGACCATCTCCTTCCGCACGTCCGCCCAAGGCATCTTGTCCAGCTTGTCGACAGCACTCGAGATCGGACGGATCTTCTCTGGTGGCACGCCGCACACCTCGAACAGACCGTCGAGAATCTTGCGGTGGTTGATCTTGATTGTGAATTGCTCCCTGTTCCAGCCGAGTTCCTCAAACACTTCCGTCACGATATTCAGAATCTCCGCATCCGGCACCATGGGGTCGAAGTTGCTACCGGCGACATCGAAGTCACACCTGGTGTCTTGGTCAGCATTATATTCGACAGAAGACAATTGACTCCTCCCATTCTGGAACTTTTCCAGGTCGCGGGTTCCAGGCGACTCACTGGTAGAATTCCCTCATCCGCCCCTTGGCCACAGCAGGCTGATCTCGTCGGTAGACCTTGGCTATGGCATATCTCTTGATCTGGCTAACAGGGTTCATCGCCAGCCATCGCGCAAACGGAACGGTGAGATCATATCGGAGGGAGCACAACTCTCCACCCTGATCCTGCAGATCGTAAATGAGCTTCGAGTCCTCTCCGTACTTGCCCGCCAGGATCTCCCGCAACTCGAAGACGGGCGTATCCAGCGCCGTGCCACCGTGACGTTTGAAGACCTCCGAGATGGTGCTGAAGATGCGATCACGGAGCAGGGCGTCCGAGCCGGACCAGTCCCTGGTCCCCTTGGGGGTCTTCAGAGTGAAGGAGACCTTTTCCTTCGGCATCGTGGAATCCGGTAGAGGAGAGTCGTGACTGTAGGAGAAACGGCGATGGTGGGGGATGGTGGGGGTTATTGGGCGGAAGCCCGCTGTCCTGGCGTTCAGGCTCCGGAGGGGAACAACGGCGGGCCGGTCACCAATTGCTCGTCGTGCAGAGCGCAGAAGAGATACAGAGGCCCTCATACACGACTTGGGGACCAGAAAGGGAACTAAAAAGAAGACGATGGTGCGGTTGGGTTTCAGCAGGCAATTCAATTGGCGTCATCGGCCATCTAAGGTCGTCCTGGAGAGTCGCGACTTTTTCCTGGATACAAGGGACCGAAAGGGCAAGTTTGTCCGGTCTGGAAAAGGTAATTAGGGCTTGGGGTTAGGTCCGACCATATCCCCATCGACCTGAGATATGAACTATTATGACTCTGAAGTGTCCCCTCTGGTCCTGAAAATGCGATGTCTCTCTTACGAGAGGACCCTGATTTTCACTTCTGACACGACTGCAAGGCCATCCTGCTTCTAGAAGAGGCCCATCTCTTACTTACGACAAATCAGGTCTCGCGGCGTAAGGACGTTTGTTTCAGGACACGCCGATCGAAGCAGCCATCAGCCACACTCGGATAGCAGGCAGACAAATGGACCCTTCACGATGAATTCAGCTCAATTGCTGATAGAAATGACCGGACCTCGCAACAGTATGATGGAGTACACGTAATTGCATATTTGGCGGGGATCAGCTTTCGTTTAATGAATTTGAATATATTGTCTTGTTACTTCGATTCACTTATATGCATCAAGTGTGTCTCTATATGAGCACAATTATCCGACTACTCCAACCATGATCACCTGCTGTTTCGGCTCTCTTCTCAAACCGCGGAGACAAATCGATCTTGACAAGAAAAGGCTCCGCGAACGACACCTGCAAAATGCTCTCGTCTCATTGCCATCGACACGACAACGCTCACTGAGCATTCCCCTGATCAAGGAACCACTAATACCTGGTAACAATAAAATCAAGAAGAATAAGAATAAGCAATCGACAAGCAATCAGTTCCAGTCCTCATTCTTTTCAAAACTACCGGCGGAAATCCGGCGGAAGATCTATATCGAAGTTCTCGGCGGACAAGTCCTTAATATCTTCAAGGATGAGACTGCTCGTTATGTCAAATGGATACCTCAGAGGAAACCCCTACTTGCTTTACCCATGAGCTGTCGCAGGATGTACGATGGAGATATTCCCTTTTTTGTTTCTCTCCTTTTATTATTGTTATTATTACACTTTGGGGTTTCGGCAAATCACGATCCCCCCGTTCGCGTCCTTTCCCGTTCTAACGGAAAACAGATACTCTGAAACGATCGATCTCCTCTACAGCCACAACACGTTCTTTTCCAACGACTTCGACACCATCCTCTGGTTTGTCTCTACTATTCTCCCGCAGCGACTGGCAGCAATCCGCACTCTACACGTCGAATGGGACTGCGTGTGTTTCTGGCACGCTCGAATGCGGCCCCCACCCCCTTATGACAGGGATACGTGGATGAGAGTTTGGCGCACGATTCCATCAATGACCGGACTGCGGGAGCTGATGGTTCGTATCTGGAACGGGCCCAGGATGGATGCCGCGACGGAGATGGATGTATTCAGGCCGTTGACTGCGCTGAAGGGGCTGGAGAGATTTGAGCTAGAGTTGCCATGGAGGTATCAAGGCGTAGGGGACGAGGAAGAAGAGGAAGGAAATCGGGATATGCCGTTCAAAATCAGAAGAGTGAGGCGCGAGTATGACATGACCAATCTTGAGTGAGAAATCTGGGGAAGATGAACAGATCGATAAGAGTAGTCCATCATTTCCACCCTTTGGGAAGAAGGGAAGAGCGGTGCGACGCCGTAGCCAGAGAAAGTGTGAGAGAGAGATAATGATGCCAACTGACATCCAGCAATGATGTATTAATGAACCCCTTTCTTTTCACCTACACACATCTTGTCACCCATAGCACCAAGGAATCATACGTTGTGTAACAATATTCTGACCATGATCGCGGATAAAAAAGAAACCACCCGCTTCGGGAAAGGGGATTGTTGCCTCGGGGCGCCCGTATCAGGAAAGTATGTACGAAATTCTTCCAGGCTATCAAAACCAATCTCCGTTTTCCCAGGCTTTGCGCAAATAAGGAGAAAGTCTCTTTTGAACCAGTTCCAATATCAGCAGTAGTATTGTTCAATGTTCAGCATTTGTTCATCTATTATTATTGTACTGTAGTAGTTAGTTAACCTTCTTTTCGATGTCCTTTCTTTACATTTTCCACGCTAGCAGGGTCTAACTATCAATGTGGGGAGTCTGACTGTTAACTAATCTGGTAGGTATGTAATTGCAGAAAATGGAATTTAACCGACTGGAGTTTTGGTAGTTGGTTAATAGTCTGCATTGTGTGTAGAATTGATGTTCTCACTGATCCCAAATCGGAGCAAGGATGGCGAGGCTGCGAGAATAATAGGAATATAACCATTTATATCTACAGCTATTTCCTCTCCATCCTACTGTATTTCAGTCCCACACTTCAATGTCCCCACCACATTGTACTCGAGCAAAGTGGGAGAAATAATGTCGCTGTAATGCCGATCAGCAGAACAGAATGACATAAGTTGAGTTACTGAGCCCAAAATCGAAGGGGGGTTTTTGACCGCGTGGGAATACCATAATGACTATCGGATCGGCCAGTGTGCCGCACGTTTGCTTCGTCGTGGGGGTGCCGTGGTGGCGACCTATTAGGCTGAGAAGGCCCTGGCGAAAGAGTGGGATGGATGTTTGAAGTAATACGGTATGCTAGATGCTGCATCATGTAGCTAACTAGTATGTATAATTAACGAGTCATGAGCAAGTATGCCAAGTAGTACGGAGTATTTGATGATGGAGGAGAGGAAGATCCCATCCGATACGATCACTAGCCGCTGGTTTGAAATGCCTCACTGCGCACCATCCTTGCCTTCCACGTGGTGGGCGCATCCGGTGAGCAGAGGAGAAACAACTGTATTACGGCGAAGCCGGGCTGTACAACATAATATCCAACACTGGGGGAGTACGAGACCACCGGGGTTGGATCTACACTACACTACTACTATGGATCATAGGTACCTACACAGCGGCAGCTAACGACTGAGCAAGACTTCAATCGCAAACCTTCCAGAATCAGACCGGTGGCAGGCCCAAAACCCACCAACCACCGTTAACCCCGCTGTCTTTCTCCAACATCAATAGCCGCTAGACATACGCCGATTCAAGAAATCGATCCCGCCTGATGAAACGCAAACCACGCACTGCTTCAGCAAGGATTTCATGTGGGAGAAGCAGCAGCAAACAGTGATATGAGTGGAAGACCTGGAGAATGACAGACGAGGGATGCCTGTATGGTACTCTGCCATATGGAGATAGATCGGTTCAATCGAGTTCCTCGATGGACATTGTCCCGGATCCAATCGGCTATCGAGTTGTAACATAACCAACAGAACGAACGGCTAAGCGCATTGCCAGTCTGTTGGCAACAAATCACATTCCCTGTTCTCTGGCATCCCCATGTCCTTGCCTTGCGACGATGCAGGTCGATATGTCGAGATCAGACGGTCCGGTCGACTTGTTCATGGATGTACAGTACAGTAGGATGACATCCGCGCCCGTTGAATAGTTATGTCTCCGCGATCTCTCCGGTAGTCTGAGTGACTTAAGACAGTTCAATCCTAATAATAATAATAATGGCGGGGTCTAAACGTCCGACGAGGAGACCGTTGCGGCAGATGGCCGTGGTTCAGTGGCGCGGAAGAGAAAGTCACCGATTGTCCACGACCATTCAGTTGGATGAGAGCACCGCGAGATGGAAAGTTCTACGGTAGCTCTCCAGCGTGCCACTTCGCTGTGCATGGCGTCTGTTAGCTGGTGGAGTCGCCCAGAGATAACTAGGGATTAATTAATAACCTAGCCTCATGTTATCGGCCATGCGACGCCGCCACCACGCTGTCTGTCCACAGTTCGCACTGCCCAGACCGTGCGGAACTGGGAACGGAGGCTGGTTCGGTTGCCTCCAACGCTGTACCTTGAAGCTAAGTAACTTACTCGAGAACTCATCCAATTCGCTGTGGAGGAACAGAACCTGTACCATAAGTGTAAGCAGAAAAGAATCCGAGCGCAGTTCAACAATATATCTAACCGCCGCACATGAAGTAGTAGTAATAAGTAACGGCTCGTGTTGCCAGGGATAGTACTAACAACTAACACTAACACTCTAGACGCTCCGTCTCCATGATCGCAAATAATAAAAATAACCATACTACTACAAAAATAATAATAAATGACATTAACTAGTTCCCCTCAGTACGGAGCTGCGTACCATAGACGTCGTTAAGTCCGATTCCCCCATCTGTGCCCGCGCCAGCCTCGACGCTTAGCGGCGTCTCGTCCAACCGGCCGTTCCCCAAATCGCTCCAACCCGCCCTTCCTCGCTGGTCATACAGCTCCTCTCGTTCATTCTTCCTTTCCTTAACTTAACTGCCCTCTTTGCTGCGAGTCAATTACTCGTCTTATCGTTTCCTCCTGTATTCGCCGTTGTCTCTCGTTGTATGTACGTGGCCCAGGCTTCCATCCCGAAAATTGCATCTTTCGCCGCCACGGCCTCTTACTCAGCCCTTCTACAACGAACACTGCTCGCGCCTTGCACGGTAATTCTCGGAAGCGTACGTTGCCGTTGACGCCAGGACACTCCGGACACTATCGCAGACGCAACCGACTCAGAAGCTGTTGTTGATACTTGCATTTGGTGCTGGGTAGTGACTTGGGTCGCTTGGTTGGTTCAGGAACCCGGCCGCCGATTTACACTTTACCGTCTGCAATCGGCAGTGCTGCGGCCGTACGTCCTGGAGCCAACTGGTGGTTCCAGTACTTCCCTGCGGCGATTGCCGATTGAGGCTCATGGTGGACTCTTTTTGGATATATCAACATGAGTTTCCTTAGGAACTTGAGAGGCAATGGTGTAAGTGCTGCATCGCCCGTCGGAGGAACTGCATTGCATCGGATCGCATACACCACACGGAGCGCTTCAGACAACGCCGGAATGTCGCAATCAAGTTAAACTTATGGAGCAACATGAGACAGTTTGGCTGATAGCACTCTGCAGGGTAACTCAAATCCCAGTGTCGGACCAAGTCCGCCGAAAAAGGATTCCACAGCGCCACAGATAACGCCTCTAGAGAGGATGCTGCAGGATGTGGAAGGACCTGTAAAAGAGGATGGGAGCGACAAGTTCTTCGGGATGGAAAATGTGAGTGCTCTTCCAAGACGATCTACCACTTCAGGAACGATGGAGACTAATGCAGCTGTGACACCAGTATGGCAATACATGGTATGCATGCCTCAGATCTTCTTGCCCCGTTGTTCTATCACTAATGCGCATTGTCCTTCAGCTACTGTAACTCGATCCTACAATGTCTATACTACTCGGTCCCTTTTCGAGAGTCCGTGATCAACTACCCGAAGCGCACTCCCATAGACACTCTCGAAGCGGCTCTGGCAAAGACCCTGCGGTATCAAACTCCGATTCACGAAGCACACCTGGACGCAGAAGGCGCCGTTACGCGACAACGGGCAACGTCCATGGGACCGTACTCGGCTCGAAGTGCGGGCGTCACTCCGACCCAGCCACCACCAAAGCCAGAAGATAAAGATTCGCCAGAATACAAGAAGAAGATGGCCATGCAGACCCTGCCTCTGTTGGAGACAAAGGATAACGCAGCAAGCTATGGGATGCCCGAGTCATTATTCACATCTCTCAAAGATATATTCGAATCCGTTGTCGCAAGCCAGTCGAGAGTGGGAGTGATCCGGCCCCAACACTTCCTAGACGTCCTAAAACGAGAGCACGAGATGTTCAGATCGGCGATGCATCAAGATGCCCATGAGTTTCTCAACTTGCTACTGAACGAGGTCGTCGCAAATGTCGAAGCGGAATCTTCCCGATTGGAGGAGGAAAAGAGACTTTCTAATGCAGCTAATGATGACCAAGCGGAACACAGCCGTGAGAACGGAGAGCTAACGACATCCAACGTCGCAGGCTCTAGTGGTTCTAAGACTCCAAATACAACCCGATGGGTGCATGAGCTGTTTGAAGGCACGTTGACTTCGGAGACCCAGTGTTTGACATGCGAGAAGGTCTCCCAGAGAGACGAGGTGTTCCTCGATCTTTCCGTCGATCTGGATCAGCATTCATCGGTGACATCCTGTCTGAGGAAGTTCTCTGCGGAGGAGATGTTATGTGAACGGAACAAGTTCCACTGTGACAATTGTGGTGGGCTGCAGGAGGCGGAGAAGCGAATGAAGATTAAGCGGCTACCGAGGATCTTGGCTCTGCATCTGAAGCGCTTTAAATACACAGAAGACCTGCAGCGATTGCAGAAGCTGTTCCATCGCGTCGTGTATCCTTACCACCTGCGACTCTTCAATACGACCGATGATGCAGAAGATCCCGATCGCCTCTATGAACTGTACGCAGTTGTCGTCCACATTGGAGGAGGTCCTTACCATGGACATTATGTTGCCATCATCAAGACACAGGAGCATGGATGGTTGTTGTTCGATGACGAGATGGTAGAGCCTGTGGACAAGAACTTTGTTCGCAACTTCTTTGGTGACCGACCGGGGCTGGCATGCGCCTACGTTCTTTTCTACCAAGAAACCACTCTCGAAGCCGTACAGCGGGAACAGGAACAGGAGGGCATGACTCCCACCCAAAGTTCACCTGAGCTGAAAGATCTGTCACTCAGAACGAATGGCATGCCACCGGATCAGGTCCATATATCGCAAGGGCCGCTGTCGGATGATGCAAACCGTATGCCGTATCTGAACCACATACCGAGTGCGCCGCCCCTTTCCACGCCTGCTGAGCAGCCTGTGTATCCGACTGCTCCTCCCATTCCCCCATCTTCCCCAGGTCCTGCCAGGCCTCTGAACGTGAAGAAGAGTGATCTCTTGAAGAAAGAGAAGAAGGAAGAAAAAGAACGGAAAGCCGCGGAGAAAGCTGCCGAGAAGGAGAAGGATAAAGCTCAAAAGCTACGAAGGAAGGAGGACAACAAGCGCGAAGAATCTGAGCTGAAAGCTGCGCTCGAGGCCAGTAAAGCCACCAAAGCTGATGAGGACAAACGAAATGCAGCGGAGACCGACAAGGACAAAAGCAAGGAGAACGGCCATCCAAAGAACCTGTCACACGGGTTGGGGAGATTCAAGCGCGGCAGCAAGACCATTGGCCATAAGCTGGTAAAGGAGAAAGATCGCAGGATATCAAGCGACCTTGTACGCTTGGAAGAAGGCAAGGCTGCTGCTGGGCCTGACTCGAACCCTATGGAGGAACATCCACCGCGACAAGAGACTTTGCTGAAGAATCTCGCCCGCAGTGAGGACCACGAACTTCACAAACCGGAATCGCCCAAGCTGAAGCACGAAAAGATAAGTCATGGCAAGTGGCGGGGCTTCGGCGGCCTGAGAAAGAAATCCTTCAGCATCCTCTCATAGACGCGGTCTCCATTTTCATCTATTCTCCCGAACTCTGCGCATATACTTCCATTCTCGACCTCTCGTACATATCGACACACATCTTATTTATTTCTATCACTCGCGCAGATCATTTTGGGGATGTTTCGTGATGGCCGTGCGCATGAAACATGCTCCCTGTAGACATGTCACAGGCACTGTCGATTGTTCTTGATACCCAAACGCTGGGTCTCGATTTTCTGGCGCTCAAGGCGTTTCCTTTTTTTGGTTTCATCGGGTCGCATATACAGTCTCACCCGCAAAACATTCTGGGGTCAAAGGAGGGTTTCATTATCATATGATCCTTGGCGGATCGAGCATATTCTTTTTGTTGTCTTTGTTCATTACTAGGGAAAAGGAAACAGGCCCATGGACAGGCCCATGCATCTCTTCTGTTTTGGTTTTCCCTTCTATCTCGGGCAGATAATTGGCCATTTGCTACTCAACTTGCTTTATTGGACATGTGACTTATATCTTTTAGCCATTTATTTCTTCTCCTGCCCATGTCTCAATTGGGTTCGAACATGGTGCGTGTACACAGTTGAAAAATAGAAAGAAGATCAACATGATAGCATATCCTTGCGATCTTGAGGATTTCATGATGTCATAACATATACACCGTATTTTTCCACAGAGAGATAGGCGTTGAACAAAGAAACCAGTGTCCAAGGTGCTCGTTTCATTATGCGCAATATTTATCCGACATATTGTTGTAATCCGACGACGCAAGTCAATGGGTCGAAACTTATTCTGCCCATTTATTTTCCTTTTTCACCTACACCGTCCGCTGGAAACGTTTAGACTTTCAATCCTTTCGAATGTTTAAAAAAGAAAATAACAAGATGATCAGGGCAAAAGACCTCATCCCAGAATCAACTCGTACACGATAATAATTGTATTTATTGCGATTAGGGGTACTATTTATCGTCACAAGAACAGTTAGCTTCAGCTCCTATCAAGATTCATTTCTTGATTTTAATCCATCACCAAGAAAGCAACAAACATGTAAACAGATGGGTATAACGTACTCCGCATAACGGTTCTCACGCTCGCAATTAGATTCACGGACTTGGCTTTGATGCTCGTGCCATCGTACGCGCCGCCAAAACCGGGTTCGGATGCTTGTGTGCGGCCCCAGCCGACTGGATCGGATCGGTCAGTTATTGATGTTTCGATTATTGTGTGTGGTGAGAGGATAAGGAGAGGGGAGAAGAAGGAGGCAGGGTTAGTTAGTCACGACGACGTACTTCGTGCGAGGAAGCGGTCTTCGGAGAGGATAGAGACTGCGTTGAGGAGGAGGACGATTACTGCGTGGGAGAAGGAAAGGAGTTAGTCTGTTTGCCTTATAAGAGACATGCAATATACATGGCGTTTGTGGAGTTGGAAGCGTACCATATACGAGTTTCCCTAGGCCGAAGAGCAACATCTTGCGATATGTTCTGGGGTGTTCTTTTTGTTCTTTTGCCTGGGTTGTTGATGGAGAGGTGTCTAGAGAGGGGATTTCCTTTCTCAGAGTAATGTGAGGAGTACCTAGGTCGTGTATGGAGTACCTGGTTCCTGAATCTTGCGGATGTTCTACCGAAGCAGCCAAGTTGGCGTTGACTTGTTCTGTTCTGCCGGCAGCTCAAGGCGGTCGTGTGGGGAGAAGCTGCGGCGAGCTTGTCTGGGCTTCTGAATGAAACAGACAAACCATTCCCCAGAAATGAGACAAGATGGCAAGGGATTTCGGTACGTTTATTACTTTTTTTTCTTCTTTCTTTCTGAATTTGTCTTGGTGATAATTAATCCGCTGATATGATTAACTTACTGCTTTTGCCTTGCAGATATTCTACTCCTGGGTTCCATCCCAGCCTTGATCCTTCTCCACCTCTTAGTTTCCCCATACACCAAGGTCGAAGAGTCCTTTCATGTGCAGGCGATCCATGATATTGTGACTTATGGCATTCCTTCTGGAAACGCCACTGTATTTTTCCAGAAACATTATGACCATTTCTCCTTCCCGGGAGCTGTTCCCCGGACATTCGTTGGAGCATTGGCCCTGTCGGGCATTTCGCGGCCGTTTATATGGTTGAATGAGAATGTCGATAAGCAGTTTCTCGGTATGGTGATGCGCGGAATATAGAGATTTTTTTCTCTATGTTTGAAGTTAAAGTTATTTATTATCGTGGCTGATCATTTTTCTTGTATCCAGCACGAGGATTATTGGGCCTCTTCAATGCCTACGCCTTGCTTACCTATGCCTCTGGTGTGCGTCGAGCATTTGGCAACACTGCGGCCACTTGGTATCTCCTGTTCCAGGCGAGCCAATTCCATGTGATATACTATGCGTCGCGAACGTTGTCGAATATGTTTGCTTTTGGTATCAGTACGTCCCCTGTTCGCGTTTAATTCCATGAAAGAATCATATGGAAATAAGTGTATGTATATGTATACTGACGCGCTTCTAGCCACGCTGGCGTTGGGATACCTTCTTCCTGAACCTATCCCCCCAGAGCAGTACCGCAAGAGAGCCCGTCTTGCCCTGTACCTCTTAACGATTTCGGGGATCATCTTCCGCTCTGAGATCGCAATCCTCCTCGGTGTCCAGACTATTTTTCTCTTCCTCACCGGCCGCATCAGGATCCGCCAGGAGATCGTCCCTGCTGGGTTGTGCGGGTTGCTGATCGGTCTGACCATCACAGTCGGGATCGATTCGTTCTTCTGGCAGCAGTACCCCATGTGGCCGGAATTTGAAGCTTTCAAATTCAACGTCATTTCAGGTCAGGCCTCTGCCTGGGGCACCCATCCATGGCATTTCTATTTCACCAGCGCGCTTCCGCGGCTTCTCCTCAACCCCATGACCTATGTCGTTTGCATCCCGTTCTCAGTCCTTCATCCTTCAATCCGCTCTTCATCTCTCTATGTACTCCTGCCTTCCCTCATCTACATCGCTATCTACAGCTTCCAACCCCACAAGGAATGGCGCTTCATCGTCTACGCCGTCCCTCCCCTAACCACCGCCGCCGCCATCGGGTCCTCATATATCTGGACGCACAGAGCCAAAACCCTCATATACCGCATCCAATGCATACTCCTCATCCTCTCCACCCTCTTCGCCTTCACCATCTCCAACCTCGTCCTCCTCCCCGCCTCCTCCGCAAACTACCCCGGGGCCCACGCCCTGAACGCACTTCACAAACACGCCCACAACTCCCAACAGGTGATAAACGTCCACCTAGGCAATCTAGCCTGCCAAACAGGCGTGACACGTTTCCTCGAAATGCCCCCTCCAGCATCTCCCCTCTTTACCCTCCCGGGCTCCCCAGATGGATCAATCCCATCTCTCCGCAGCGGCAGCACCCGGTGGATCTACGACAAGACAGAAGACAAACAACGCAAAGAGAAGCGCAGCTTCTGGAGTCTGATCGACTATGCCCTCGTCGAACCACACGAGGAACGTCGTGTGATGGCTAGTTCCAGAGACGGAGATAAATGGCGCGTTGTCGATGTCGTAGATGGGTTCGCGGGAGTGAGGGTGTTACGGCCCGGTCAAGCTCCTGAAGGTCATGTGGAAGATGATATCGTTAGGTATGTTTTGGGTGATGAGGGGGTTAAATGCTGGAATCGGGTACGGGGAATGCTGCGGAAGTACGTGACGAGGGGATGGTGGGTTGAAGTGAGGATGGAGCCGAAGATTACGATTATGAAACATGTACGATAGATTGATTGGGAATTATCCATGATTGATTAGATTAATATAGTCACGGAATGGAATAACTAAAAGGGATATATAATATGAATGAAATTCTGCATGTACAAATTTATTTTCATTTGTTATTTCTTCCCCAAATACTATGTAATATATCGACTCGAATCATAGACATGGGGTATGAAATTCAGAATATGGGAGGGGGTATTATCTATCTATCTATGTATGTATGTATCCTCCACGCACGACTGGAACAAAATTCATCCTCTTCCACCCCCCTCGCCTCTTTAGAATTATTCAATCCAGCTTAGAGTTGAGCTAGATTGAATTCAATTCAATTCAATTCCCACCTTCCAACCTCTCCAATCTCTTCTCCAAATCCTTCACCCACGGACCCACAACATCGAGATTATTCTTCATCGCCTTCTCTCCCTCCACCACCTTTTCCTCGACAATCTTCAGTCCTTCACGCCACTGCTCAATCTCCTTCTTCATCTCCATCTGGCGCGTCTCGAGCTGATCGAGAGACTGACTTGCCTGCGCGGCTCCAGCATGGATAGCGCGTAGCGAGCGCAACCGTTCCAGAACGCTAGGGAGGAGCGGATGCAGGGACTGAATGGTCGGGAGGGTCGCGTATAGAGCTTGGATCTTAGCGGCTTGTTCGTCGCGTTGGGCTGCGGCTGGGTCGGTTTCCGTCGCGGAGGAAGAGGTCATGGAGAGGTCGTCTGTCACGTCGATATTGGACGCCGCGATGCGGGCTGCTTGGGCGGCTTTTGCGGCGTCGACGGCGCGTTTGCGAGCTGTTGCGAGTGCTTCTGCGTCTGCGGTGAGTTTGCGGATGCGCGTTGTCAGGGCCTCGACGTGCGGCGTGGTTACTGTTGTTGATGCCGGAGCGGAGCCTATCGTGGGCAGCGCGGAGGCTGGAGACGGGCCCAGCAGAGTGCTGGTCAAGGTGGTGAGGCGGGAGGTGAGATGGTCGAGAGTCGGGAGGACGGGTTGGAGAGAGTCAGAATTTGGGTCTGCGACGAACGGGTTCGAGGAGCTCGAGATGCCCATCGCGGCTTCGATGAGGGCCAGCCGAGCATCGAAGGCGGCAGCATGCGCCAGAAGACCGGGTGATGAAGCTGTCACTGCAGTGGCTACAGCGCCATCCTTTGGACTTCCATCTGAAGCATCGAGTTTGGAACCCAGTTTCTGAGATAGAATCGCATCCGGACTGAGCGATCCCGATACGGCACCACGCGCAGCAGAGACATGCAGATTATCCAACGCACGACTCAACTCGCGCACACCATCGCCCACATCTTCCTGTCCTGCATCATCTCCTCCCCCTTTCTTCTCATCAGCGCCTTCAACCTGTCTTCTCTTCTCCAATTCACTCTTCAATTCTTCCGCCTCCCGTCTCAGACGCGCCAGTTTCCGTTCCAGACTCTCCTCCTCGCCATCGCTGAGATCTCCCAGCTCCTCGGTCCCATCATCGCGTCTCCGTCTTCGACGACCTGTATTCTTGTACGCTTTCCGCTTCGTCGCGATACTATCGGAGAAATTGGCCTCGCGCGCATCTACCGTAGCGCCCATGAAATGCGCGCGCGCCTCGTCGGCGTTGACCCCGTGTCGGTCAATGTCTGAATTCGAACCGGCATCTTCGTCTGAATCGGCCGTGCGGACTGTAGCTGTCTGTTTTATATCATTTTTTTGCTCAGTGATCTGTCATTGTAGATAGTAGGGTTCTTGTTGTGTATACGCACTGGCAAGGTAGACGCCTCGTCCGTTAAGTCGGGGGTCTCATAGATATCGGGCGCGAGGTCCTATGTCAACATGGAATGGTTAGCGAATCCATCACGATAAAAAATACTATAATAAAAATACAAATACAACTGCAAAGTGACTCACGAGATCGGGAAGACCAGCATACTTCTTGTTGAACGCCATTTCTGCTGGTGGAATGGGTTCTTCTTCTTGTTCCAGCTGCGACGCCTTGAGGTTGAGCTGTTCGTTGTTTTGGGCCCGCGTCGGGGGCACGTGCGGCGGAGGTTTTAGTACTCCGTAGAGAGTCTACATCAAAGGCCAGGCCTCATAAGTTACAAGTTCACAACAGCCATCCGGACATACATAGTTAACTGATTACTTCAGACAGTCTACCTTGTACACATACATTATCATTGCATTGCTCTCTGAACTTGCAAGACTGGTTCATAGGACTGTCTTTGGTTAAGATCTGTCCATGTATTGAGGCTTCCTTCCACACAGTGCGTAAGCACATTGCAAACTGTCAATGTACGGCCCAGCTTGCGGAGTAATAATACTCAATCATTTATCAAGACAAGAAACGACCTTTTCTGTCCCAAGTGAAGCATTGCCGGCTACATGCGGCTCTGGTCCCGGCACTGCGGACCGTCTGGGGATGCAGCACCGAAGGCCGGGGAAAATCCGGGGATTCCAACAAGCGCCCTCGGCCTTCTCTCTCTCTCTCACTCCGCGACACCAGAGCTACTACTAGTACTGAGACAGTCTGAGAGACGTCCAGAAACAACCAGCACCCTAACTCATCTTGCTGATCTTCCCGAGACCAGTTCCTCTTTCGCTGTAGACGCAGCGACTCCGTACTGTAAGTAGCCTCGTTCACGGACTTGGTAGACTTACCCACGTTCCGCAGACGCTACACGCTTGGCGGCCAATCATACCTTCCAGATCTCGCGACAAAAATCGATGGCTCACGATGGCTCACAATCGCTCTTACGGATTGCGGCCAAACGCGCTCGACTCGCACTCCAGACGCCTCGCTCGACGATCCTGCTTGGTCATAACTGCCATTGGACCCCCTCCGCACTTGGCCAAGGCTGGGTTCTGGCGCTTCCCCTCCTTTGGGTCCGCCAATGCAATGCCGTGGGATCTACAAACCAGTCCGAGATGGTGGTTGCTCCCCGCCGACAGACACCGAGGGACCAAGCGAAAGTTAGATGCGCTGGGTTTCGTCCAGTCTCCCTCGGGCTTCCTCTCGTCCATGCCGAGGTGAATAACCGATGATGAACGTCCAGACACTTACGAAATGGATCAATATTACCCCACATCGGTGACCCGGTCCATCATTCAGGGGAATCGATAACCTAGGTGAATGTGGGGTTGAGGAGCTTTTGCGCCCCCGCTCCTGGAGATGAAAAGATCCTTGGGGCTATATGAATCCCCATAATCGCCAATCGCACTGGCTCAGGCAGTGTTCTCTCCAACGATACTGCAACACAGCTAGCTAGTAAACATGGCGCAAACTGGGGAGCTCAAACCTACCAAAACAGCGGCGCTCAACCTGCCGTCAGGGTCAAACACCTGCGAGCTGTCGATTCTGAACACCACTTGCGACATGACCCTTCCTACCATCTCTTTGATCGGTCCAAACATCAAGGGTCACGAAAACCTCAACCTTCCCACCTTCTCTTTCTACATCTATAACGCTCGTCAGAATAAACGCGTTCTCTTCGACCTCGGATCCCGGAAGGATTGGTGGAATTTCACGCCTGTAGTACTGGATGCCGTCAAGACCAAGGGCATCTCCGGACTGCGCATCACTCATGACGTTGCTGATGTCCTGGCTGAGGGGGGAATCGATCCCAAGACCATCGATGCCGTCGTTTGGAGCCACTTCCACTGGGACCATGTGGGCAACATCCAGCTGTTCCCAAAGAACGTCGACGTCGTCGTCGGTGCCCCTTTCAAGAGCGTCTTCCTCCCTGGCTACCCAACAGGCCCGAACTCACCGTTTTACGAGGCCGACTTCGAGGGCCGTAACATTGTTGAGCTCGAATTCGACGGCTCGCTGAAGATCGGTCAATTCCTAGCCCATGACTACTTCGGAGACGGCAGCTTTTATCTCCTCAAAGTGCCGGGTCACACGGCCGGGCATATCTCCGGTCTAGTCCGCACAACCCCTGATACCTTCGTATTCTTGGGCGGAGATGTTTGCCACTTCCCGGGAGCCTACCGGCCTTCTGAGTATATACCCATGCCAGAAACGCTCCCGGCGGAGACCAAGCTTGACGCGCGGATCCCACTGCCTTGCCCTTGCTCTTACTTCACTGCATGCCATCCTCACCCTGAGAAGGCTCGCACGACGCCGTTCTACCGCGTGTCGGAGGACCCTGGATCGTGGTACGAAGATGCACCGGAGGCGCAAAGGTCCGTGGACAAGTTGACCGAGTTCGACGGTGACGAGAACGTCTTCCTGGCCATCGCACACGACCCTGCGTTGCAGGACACCCTCACATTCTTCCCCAACGGCACGATCAACGACTGGAAAGCGAAAGGGTGGAAACGTACGACGCATTGGGGCTTTGTCAACGAGCTTCCGGTGGACGGAAAGCCCGGACGACCTGCCCTGGTGGAGGGTCTGCTGAAGGGTGATCTTCCGATCCAGTAAATGCGACTTGGAGGTTTTGATATTTTTGCATTAAGCTGCTGTTTATAGTTTCCGACAGGATGTAATGTGATGAATGGATGACTTGTATCGCCGTGTTGCGTAGATGTTAATAGATCTCCTCCGGTTGGGAGAGAAGTTGAGATATGTACTCAATTCCCACTCAAAAAGAGTCCTGGGGCCCTGATGTATCTTAAGTATGCATTTGCCCTAGTAGCTGTTCCCCAGGGTACTCGACTTCTATCCCGTCTCCGGGAGCACCGTCGCCACTGGCATCAAGCTTCTGCCAGTCACAATGGACATTGTGCCTTAAGTTAGCCTTGGCAGCAGTTATCAGTACCTTTTTCCGAATCGAGGTTTCTGCTGCTGTTAGATCGAGTTAGGCTTAATTTCATGTAGTATGTCATAACATTCATGGCAAGGCGGAATTGCAGGCTGTTGGCTAGCAGCAGAACAGTAAATCGAGAGGCTCAAAGAGCTATGCAGAGCTCCATACGACTTCGAAATAAATAAAAAAAAATGACGAGCTGCTGACCAAGGAACTGGCTGTTGTTTTCCTCCGCTAAGCATTGAGCTCATGGTAAAGCTGTGCTGTGACGTTTCCACATCTCACAATCCACGCACGGCATAGCTCCAGATCGATTACAGAAGGAGTATTCGATCCCATCGAGGCCCGGTGATTCTCAGAGATTTCGTCTGTCAGAATTATCAAGTAGGGTGGAAGGGAGCTGACGCACAAATGCAGGTATTCTCTTTCTGTATGGCCAGTCCACCAAGATCGTCGGTCGGGGATTAACCCCCAAAATCGCACTCATGCCGGATAGTCCCTGACGCTTGACGATTCCCCTGTCAAGACTGAGATTATAGATGCTAGAATCCCAGAGCGAAGAGTCATGGCCTCACATGCGCCCTCGTCTTCTGCCTCGGAGTTGCTGAGGCCGGATGCGCCTGCCCCCGACGACATTCACCAACAACACACCAGAAGCTACATAAAGAACTCTCTTTCTTCTTTCTTTCTCTTCTCCCTCAGTATTCATCCACCGCACTCTCCACTCAATTCCGAGCAAAACATCTCTTAACGACCTAGTAACTCATTGCAGCTTAGATATTCTTTTCCCTCGTTCTTCCTAGCGCTCCTCCTCAGATAAACAATAGAATTCGACACCATGGCGGCTCCCGCGGATGTCACCGTGCAGAACCTCAATGGCATCTGGGTGATGGTATGCAAATTGAACCCAGACACAGTCTCATGCCCCTGACGGAGCTGTTCTTTCGGTTTTCCCCGGATCTTGGCAGGGCACCAGCTCGTTGTTGTGGTACCCCTCAATTTGATCGCTGCGGGTGCTAATGATGGTGGGGTACTACAGGACTCGTCTCTCTCGACTCCCACGGAGCCGATCTTGCAGTTGGTATGTCGTCTTGTTTTCTAGTAATTATTAAGATATGACTCTCTCTATGTGCGATGTCTATTGTGAGGTGTCATCAGTGGTGTCCAGATATGGTTGTCACATGCGGGCACAGCCTGCTGCCCGTCTAGCTAGCTTCTTCCCTCTTCTGCCCAGACATGTTCTACTGTTCCTATCTTATGATTCTGGACAAGAATCTATCTGAACTAACGTGAATCAGCAAGGAATGGGCTGGATCACCCGCAAGGCACTCAGCTATGCTACCGTCACGCTCTATGTTACTCAGCACCCGGACTCGGACAACAAGTCTTTGATGCACATCGACATTGATCAGACGGTCACTGGTGGCATCAAGGGTACCAGTGAGAAGCGTTCCACAGACTGGAATAAGCGCGAGCACAAGGATCATATCTTTGGCTCCGTCGTCGGCCAAAGCCGTCTGGTCCGTGGATCAAAAGGCGAAGATGGCAAGCTCCGGCCAAAGACAGAGTATGTGACCAAAATCGGCGGAAACGGTGTCGATGATGAAAAGATTCAGAAGTTCTTGAACGGAGAAATCTTGCCGGACGGCACCGAGTCCGAGGGCTGGCTGCTGGATGCAGTTGGCGACGACTTCGGTGAGGGCGAGGGACTCTTCCTGCAGAACTGGGTCCGCAATGTTGATCAGGGCTACGGATGGACTGCAGAGCAGGTATGTACAGTACAAGGCGCTTTGTTCCTCGACGTGATGTGACTGAATGATACTGACTCTCGACCTACAGATCTGGGGCTTTGAAAACATCAACGGCAAACGTTACTACACTCGTCGTGTCGTCGTTGCTGCGAAGGATGGCAGCTACCAGCTTGGCCGCCTAGTCTACAACTACCAGGGCCCCAATGAGACCGCAGGCAACAAAGAACAGACTCCCGCTCAGTAACAAAGAGACTCTCAGGAAGCCACCACCTTGCCTGGTCGCGTTTTATTGTTACGGTTGACTTCATTTGAGCCTCAGGTCAAGGTGTTTCCTTCCTGCAAGCGCTCTTTAGAGCTACTTTTTGGCTCCTAGGTAGAGATAGCGTCGGCTCACGCCATAGAATAATTGCCTTTTCCATTCCCTCTCTTACGGTCCAAAGTTGCTGTACATGTACACTCAGTCATACGAGACTGTCAATCGCAGTAGGACCGAAGATAATGCTCCATTATCAGAAGCCAGAAGTGCTAGATTGTAAGATCAAAGATGATATAGAAGATCATATATAAACTCCCAGATGAAGCACAATTTTGGGCAGCTAATAAAATAGCGATAAACGCGCGACCAGCCCAGGACACTGGCTGCTTTCATCATCATGGATATTCATTCATTCTTTTACCTTATTACCCACCCCAGCGGACGAGTCACATCCAGCTCAAACCTCCCTTTCAAGGCATATAAAAAGCTCCGGGATATCGTTCTCCACATAAAATTAACACTTAGCATTCAAAACATCCGAAATCTCACGATTGCGTAGGCATCACGACACTAGCCTTGCTGCTGACAGCATCCTCACTTCGCCACAGGCTAGTAACGGTTTTCTGCTGAGTGTAGAACTGTAGACCGGGCTTGCCGTAAAAGGTGTTGGCACCGCCACCGGCGATACTCTTCTTGTTACCAGTGAAGGAGAACATGGGCAGCGGGACAGGGATGGGGACGTTGATGCCGACCTGGCCGGCTTCGATGTTCTTCTGGAAGTGAGTAGCAGTAGAGCCGGACTTGGTGAAGATAGCGGCGCCGTTACCGTATTCGTTGGCGTTGATGAGGGAGATGGCATCATCGAGCGTGTCGACGTTCAGGCAGACGAGGACGGGGCCGAAGATCTCTTCTCTGTAGCAGCGCATGTTGGGGGTGACGTTGGTGATGATGGTGGGTCCAACCTGAGAAGGGAAGAGTCAGTCATTCATGGTTCGTATGGGTATGGATAACTCGTGCGGTTGTCAAGGAGTAAGGAGGGGGGGGGTCTTACGAAGTTGCCGTTAGGGTATTTCTCGGGCTTGTAGCCTCGTCCATCGAGGAGGATCGTGGCACCCTCCTCTTCTGCACTGGCGATCAGTTCCTCAATGCGCTTCTTGCTCTCTGGGCTAATGACGGGGCCAAGGTCTGCGCCCTCTTCGAATCCACCGTTGACGTTCAGAGCCTTGGCTCTCTCTGCAATCTCTGGCAGCCAATCCTTCGTCTCTCCGACGGCGACGAGAGTGCTGAGAGCCATGCAACGCTGACCTGCAGCGCCAAATGCAGCACCCGCGATGGCGTTAAGAGCATGGTTCTTGTTGGCATCGGGCAGGAGGGCGGCGTGGTTCTTGGCGCCCAAGTTGGCCTGCACACGCTTGCCGTTGGCCGACCCACGAGTGTAGATATACTCGCCCGCGCGGTTGCTACCGACGAAGCTAATGGCCTTGATAGCAGGCTCGTCCAGGATGAAATCGACGGTCTTGGCGGCACCATGGACGATGTTGATGACACCGTCGGGGAAACCAGCCTCCTTGGCCAGCTCTGCCAGGATCATAGCCGCACCGGGATCGCGCTCTGAAGGCTTCAGGACCAACGTGTTTCCAGTCACCGTGGCAATGGGGATACACCACAGGGGAATCATGGCGGGGAAGTCTAGAGGGATTGTCAATTCCGATCTGCGGATATCGAGATTCGCAGGAGCTATCAATGCGGAGACTTACTGAATGGACAGATGGCGGCGACAACGCCCAATGGCTCCCGGTAGCTTCTTGTTTCCATATCCTTGGCGACTTCAAGCACCTCCCCGGTGATCTGGGTGGTGATGCCGCAGGCGGTCTCCGCCACTTGGAGACCACGGAGGACATCTCCCTTGGCATCCGCGAACGTCTTACCTTGCTCGAGAGTAATCGACGCTGCAAGACGATCCCAGTGGGTACGGATGAGGCTCGTGAACTTGAAAAGGACCTGCTGTCGGTGCATGATGCTGGTAGCGCGCCATGCGGGGAAAGCTTTCTCGGCCGAACGCACGGCCGCCTGGAGCTCCTCATCCGTGCTCTGGGGAACGCGAGTGACGAGATTGTTTGTAGCCGGATCGTACAGATCAATCCATGTTGTCGCCTTGGATGGAACGAATTGGTTGTCAATGAAGTTGGTCGTGTCGATTGGGTTGGCGATCGCTTCGTGAGTGGTCGGGTACTCTGTTGCTGTAGTGGCAGCGGTGGTCGTTGCAGCGACCAGCTGGCGTGCCGTGGCATGCAACCGCCGGGACGCGACCATCGAGAGAGAGACCTTCTGAGGAGCTGAATTCGATGAGGCAGACATGGCTGACGTTGAGCGGGAGCGAGATGCAGTCACTGCTGCAATTCTGGCTGACGAGATGGCGTTCCTGGAATTGCGGGGAGAGCAAACGCGGAGGGCGGGGAGCGAACGGGCCAGATACTGACGGGTGGCCATGGTGAGAGCCCAAATGAAACGAATAGAAGGGATCCTAGCAGACAGAGTGTGTATCTGCTCTCTCTGAGAAATTGAGAAAGAAAAGAGAGGGAGAATAGAAAGTATGCAGACAGAAGAAAAGAAAAAGGACAGAAGCAGAGGCACGAAGGGGGGAATTAATGATTGATCTTCCTCCGCTCTGCTTCTCCGGTTTCTCGCCCGAGGTATCGCTCATCTTCCCGGGGAAGCTTTCGGCTGTGCTGATTGGCGGTCTGCACCGAGCTCCAAGACTGATAACCGATAATTCATCCGATAAGAGATAGTCAAGTTAACCACCTCGGATGGACTACGGAGATACATAGATATCTAGATAGCCACAGTAAAGCGTAGAGTCCTCTCATGCCAGGAGCTTCCCAAGTAATAAAATGTCAATTGGTTTTAAAATCACTATGGAGTGTAAAAACGCCTTTTCTCCCGAAGCGAGAATGAGTTTGGAATATAAAACGACAACAACTGCTAAACAACAGAATCCAGGCCGGCTACCGTCGGGGTACTTTACAGGCTCATTCTCCTGGCTCGTTCCGGGTATTAATGTCCCAGTTTGTCATGGCTCATAACAGTGGAGCTGCGCTGTCTCCCTGGCGGAACAGACTAATAGCTGCAAATCTCACTGCCAATCACATTTACTCGACAGATTCTTCCTCCCCTAACACCTTTTACTCCGCCGAAGAGCGCGTGGTACGCTTGGTAGCGTTGCCCTTGGCGGTCTCCGCGGCGGAGCTGACGGCCTCAGCGGTCTGCTCCTTGGCGGCGGCAGCGGCCTCCTTGCCCTTCTTGGCCGGAGCCGCAGCGGGAGTGCTGGCACTGATGGCGCCAACGATGATCAGCACGCAGGTGAGCAGCAGAGCGCCCAGTCCACCAGCGACCTCAGGCACAACCTTCACAGCGTTGAGAGGGTCCTCCTTCACCAGCCCGACAAAGAGGTCGACCTTCTCACGGACGTAGGTGACGGGGTCCTCGCTGAAGGCGACGCTGGTCTGGGGCTTGTCCTCCTTCTTGGGCTTCAGGGACTCCTCCTCAGCAACCTCGACGGCGTGCTTGATGTCGAAGGTCTCCTGGCGGAACTTCTCAGCGTCCTCGATGGAGTGGCCAATGTAGATGTTGTCGAACAGGATGTCGTTCTGCATAGTCCAGATCTCAAAGCCAATCTGTTCCAGGTCAGTCTCACAGTCTCTTGTTCATCCTTGGGGATTAAACTTACAGCACCCATGGGCTCAAACTTGGAAGGAGTCTTGTCCTCAAAGTAGGCGGGGTTGGGGATCTTGCGAGGAGCCCAAGGTCCCTTGTAGGCGGGGTTGTCGATCAAGGGAGGAGACCACTTGCCCTTGTAGGCAGGGTTCTTCTTCATCGGGGGCGACCACGGGCCACATCCAGAGACTTCATTGCACTTGGGGTTAGGCACAGTAGGAGGGATCCAGTCGCCATCCTCCTCATCGTCCCAATCCTCGGGCTTCTCAGCCTCGGGGTCAGGAATGGAAGTGGGCTCATCCTCAAGCCAGTCATCGGGCTTAGTGGCCTCCTCATCAACGATCTCGTAGGGAGCCTCCTCATCCCAGTCCTCAGGCTTCTTGGCCTCGGGGTCAGGGATCTTGACATCGTCAACCCAGTCGGCCGGCTTCTTATCCTTAGGGTCGTCAATCTCCTTCGGGGGGTTGACTGGAGGGGTGAAGTCCTCCAGAAGAGTACCGTTCTTAACAGGGCTGCCGTCAATCAGGATCTGGAAAGACTGGTCGGGCTTGACGATCAGGGTGTAGAGAGTCGTCAGCTTGGTCGTGCGAGCCGCCGGAGGAGCCTTGAGGTGCTTCTCCTCATACTCGCCGGTCTTCGGGTTCTTGTGCTTGAAGATAAAGTGAACCTGGGTAAAAGGTTAGCTTCGGGCCATCCCAAGCTGAAGGCCCATCGTGCGCCTCACCTTGTTGGTAGCACCGCACTTGTCGGGACCAAACATGATCACATAGGGCGAGGCATTGGAGAATTCCTCAGCATGGAGCTTCTTGTTTTCCTGAAGGAGCTTCAGGTAGGCACCACCGCAGACCAGGGAATCTGTGGGATGCGGTCAGATACATTGCACACGTGATTTGAGAATACAGTACTTACTCTGGAGCTTGACCTCGTACTGGACAACCAGGGTCTTGTCCTTGTTGTCAATCTTCTTGGGGAACTTTGCGGAGATGGCATGGTGAGCGGCGGCGTTCTTGACCACCAGACCCTTATCGCCCTCAATGCCCTTCAGCACGGTGGGCTCCTCAACCGACCAGGTACCGACGTAGGCCCAATCCTCGTCCGACTTCGAATCCTGCTTCTTCGCATGAGAAGGCGTCCATCGGGAGTCCCAGTCATCAGTGAACTGCTCGAGGAATGGAGCCTTGAGGCTAGTAGGCTAGTCTGTTGTTAGCAATTGCGGAGCTCAGGTTGTGGCAACCGCGCGCGCAGCAAACGTACTGTGAAGGTAGGCTTCTCGATGACCGACGTCGTCGCGTCAGGGGCAGCCTTGGTCTCCTCCGCGTGGACGTAGCCCAGCAGCGTGGCGGAGGAGACAACGGCGGACGCGAGAGCTGCGTTGAACCGCATGATGAACCGGAAGCTCTACAGCGTCCAGACAAAGTGGAAGAAGGAACAACAACCACAACAACAGATCAGAGAACAATTCAATCGTCCTCCCGAGCGGGATGGAGGAAGGGCACAAGGGGCAAGAGTGGAGCAGCACACAGCACAGCACGAAGCAGAAAGACAGTCGGACCGGGGACGGGGCAGCAAATATAAGATGCTGGATGAGGCCAGATTCTCAAAGGTGGCCTCTTTGCTGGAGAGCTGCTGGATGGAGTTTAGCCGCCTCGGAGGTCAGCTCGAGTGGTCCCGATCGGGTTTAGTGCTGCTTCTTGAACGTTCGACAGAAGAAATCCATCAGTGTACCTGCGCCAGCTTTTAATTATTGATCAGAAACTTAAGGATTGAACTAGTTCGTAGTACCATAGTTTACTAGTTACTACGTGCGTATGTACTCTGTAGTAGTAGTACTGTAGAGTTACTTGGAGTAATAATTACTGCTACTCTAGTGTATTATTGTATCCACAGTGATCACGACATGTGCGCTCCTCTGGTCTGTGTGGTAGAAGTACCATAGACACGCTATCAGGCTTCACTACAAACTCCCTTCACCGCCGACGGACCGCGAATTGCGACATCTTCACAGGGCGGCAGAAAAAAAGATTCCTGGATCTACTTATTGTTGCCCCGCCGCCTTTCTCCCCCTCATTTCTTCCCCCAGATTGTCTGCCATTTTTTATTATTCTCTTCGACTTGAAGTTTCCCTTCGTTTTGACGATACCCCACTAGACTATCTCGCATCATGGCTGAGTCTCAGCAGGTTGTTGCTAACGGTAACAATGACCATTTGGTCCAATCTGAAGACCCCCAGCACCCGGCCAACTTGATCCCGGAGCTATGCCGCAAGTTCTATAACTGGGGTTGGGTAACTGGTACCGGCGGTGGTGTGCGTTTACGACCGATCGTACAGTATAGTAGTAATGAGCGCTCCTAGCTGACCTCTCGATGTAACTAGGCCTCGATCCGCAAAGATGACCACATCTTCATTGCTCCGTCTGGCGTGCAGAAGGAGCTGATCCAGCCGCACAACATCTTCGTCCTTCAGTATCCCACTCCCAAATACCCTCCGTCCGATCGCAAATACATCCGCAAGCCTCTCGACCTGAAGCCCTCTGCCTGTACGCCTCTCTTCCTGGCTGCGTTTGAGCGCGGCGCGGGCTGCTGCATCCACACACACTCGCAGTGGGCAGTGCTGGTGACGCTCCTGGTCGAACGGGAGAAGGGCCCTAACGGTCAGTTCGAGATTAGCAACATTGAACAGATCAAGGGTATCCCACGGGGTAAGGGCAAGGGCATGCTGGGTTTCTTTGACACCCTCAAGATCCCCATTATTGAGAATACTGCCTTCGAGGAAGACCTCACTGGAAGTCTGGAAAAGGCTATGGAGGAGTATCCCGACACATATGCGGTGCTTGTGAGGAGACATGGAATGTGAGTGAAACATAGCTCCCTCTTCCCTTTGCAGTGAGAGCGAATCTGACCAGGAGCCATAGTTACGTCTGGGGAGACGATGTCGCCAAGGCGAAGACCCAGTGTGAGAGTTTGGACTATCTCTTCCAGCTTGCGGTGGAGATGCACAAGCTTGGAATCCCATGGGTCAAGGAAGCATCTTCGTAAGGTTAGGAAATTCCTCTTGCAGGTACTCCAGGTCCTTACTCTGTGGGCTCCTGAGTTGCTTTTCTGACGATGATGGTTTGATGCTTGATATGAAAATTGTTGCGTATATGTCGCTATGACAGAAGACAACATGTTTTCACATGCTCGTGCTGTATTGGAAGGGGGTTGTTTTATGGTAAGGCGTCAAGTAACCATTTATTGGTGATTTCTGTTTCTCAGCAGGCGGCTGGAATATATTTGAATAGCTAATTGTCTTCCATCAATCGCACATGTATTGCTGGGCATAAAATAAATTGATTGATTTTTCCACCCTTAGTAGAAAGATACATCTGAAAAATGAATCCTGTAACAAGAAACCAACTCGAGTTGTAAAACGGTGCCTGGTGTATAGACCAGAGGCGGAGGTTGCTTGGCACCTGCTGAGGCTGCCCCGGAAAGCGGCTGCGTTGCAAGCAGACGGACTCCCGTGCGGGCTAACATCATCTGTCAGGTCCAGCTTATTCCGAACTACCCCCAAAGCTCTGATCCCCCTCGCGCTAGCCGTCTCTCTTTCTGTTCCATCAACTCGTTTCCTGCAGCGCGGTTTTCTGGTCGCCGTTTTTTCTGTCGAACATAGAGACCTAAGGTCCAAGTCTGCGCGGAGATGGACCTGGACGCTGGCGACTCCCCGTGGGGCGGTAAGTTAGGCAATCACTTACAATGGTCTTTGAAGCTATTCATTGTCTAATGGAATCTGCAGATGTCCCTTCGCAGTCGATCACCAGCCATGCTGAATCGCAGCCCGAGAGCACAGAAGAGAACTGTACGTGCGCACTGTCCGATCGCACCACCCATATCAGGAGCACATGCTAACCGCTGTCAACTGTAGCTTCCAACCAGACCACGACCCAGACTACCACACTGAGCGTTCCGCGCTCGCCTGCTCGACGAGGCCCCCGGACGCCGCGCAAGATAAGCGCGCAGGCGACGAAGTTGGAGGCCGTGGATGACACCGCTGACCCGTTGGGTCCCCTTGGAGATAAGTCGCTCGAGAACAATGAGGAGGCTCCCGTGCCCCCTCAGAAGGAACCTTTCGCAACGCGCAATGTGCGGCCGGATTCATCTGCGTCGCAGATTTCCAGCACAACCGGAATGATGGACTCCGTAGACCTCGATGAAGATGGGTTGGCTCGAGCGAGAGGACCACCACCGGTGCAGCCTCCGACGGACACGGATGCTAAGAGGGCAACGCAGCCGAGTGTGAGTATAGAGCAGGCTGCGAAACCGACATTCGATATCACGGTCGGTGACCCGCATAAAGTGGGCGATCTTACGAGCAGTCACATCGTGTATCAGGTCCGAACGAAGGTAAGCAGAACAGCACGCGACAAGTCAGGACTGGGAGGTGGTTAACGGGATTTTCGCAGACGACCTCAAAAGCCTATCGCCAACCCGAATTCGCTGTCAGCCGTCGATACAGGGACTTCCTCTGGTTGTACAACTCTCTGCATAACAATAACCCTGGTGTCGTTGTCCCGCCCCCGCCGGAGAAGCAGGCTGTCGGCCGTTTCGATACGAACTTTGTCGAGTCGCGACGAGCGGCTTTGGAGCGCATGCTCAATAAAATCGCTCTCCATCCGATTCTGCAGCACGATGGCGATCTCAAGATTTTCCTTGAGAGTGAAACATTCAACCTCGATATTAAGAACAAGGAGAACCGGGAGCCAGACCTTGGCCAGAATAAAGGCATGTTCAGCTCATTGGGTATCTCTGTCGGTGGAGGAGGGAAGTTCGTAGAGCATGATGACGTGGGTTATCTCGTTTGCTTTTTCTCCGCTAGAAATGTGAAACTGATGATGTCTAGTGGTTTCATGACCGGAAAATCTACCTGGACGCTCTAGAGAACCAACTAAAGGCGTTGCTAAAGGCGATGGATACAGTGGTTGCACAGCGCAAGGGGCTAGCCGAAGCAGCTGGTGACTTCTCGGCTTCTCTCCATGCGCTGGCTTCCGTGGAGTTGTCGCCTGCATTATCCGTGCCTTTGGACAGTCTTTCGGAGCTGCAATTGCGGATCCGGGAGCTCTACGAACGGCAAGCCCAACAGGATGTCCTGACTCTAGGTATCACCATCGATGAGTACATCCGGTTAATCGGCAGTGTGAAGACGGCTTTCACACAACGGCAGAAGGCATTCCACAGCTGGCATGCTGCTGAGTCGGAGCTACAGAAGAGAAAGCATACTCAGGAGAAGCTCCTTCGCCAGGGCAAATCTCAGCAGGATCGCCTGAATCAGGTCAATGCAGATGTAGCGGACGCGGAGAGGAAGGTGCATCAGGCAAGATTGTTGTTCGAAGATATGGGAAGACTCATGCGCAATGAGCTCGAGCGGTTTGAAAAGGAGAAAGTCGAGGACTTCAAGTCTGGAGTTGAGACCTTCCTGGAGAGTGCCGTTGAGGCACAGAAGGAGGTGAGTATCTGAAGATATCTATTCACTTGAACGGAAATAGAGGCTGACGTGCACCTAGTTGATCGAGATCTGGGAGACTTTCTTACTGCAGCTTGATACGGAAGATGGAAACCCATACTACCAGCAAGCACCTCCCACAAGTGATACCGCCGAGCCCGATACTGTTACTCAATCCCCCAGCACCGAAGCTGCTGCAACAACCTCCGAGCAGGAGGCATGAATGTGAAGACTTTGACTGTTTTTCTTTGATGTATAGCACCCACAGCAGCATGTGGTAACTAGCCGTCTGTGATATCATGTCTCCGAAGTTGCTCTTTTCCAAGCTATTCCTACAGCCTACCATACACTTCATTCCAACCAGTTTCATGCACCGCGATGCTTTGAAATGATCCCCTAACTGTTCCAGTAATACTCTTTAATGCGTACAAGAAGTCTCGATAAACGTCAGCGTGTTTATCGGAATATGTACAAATGCATCACTTAGGATGGACTCAACATAATGAAATCTATATCATAAAACGCTCATCTATCCGAGACCGATCACCAATCATCCCTCACTTTTTATTTTTAATCACTGGCGCGGTACCGTCTCCTGTACTCCTCCATCCTCTCCAAATCTCCCTTGTTACCCTTCGCCTTCAACAACTCAATCAAATCATCCAACGTAACGATACTCGCCGTCGGCACCCCATACTCCTGTCGAATCTGGCCCATAGCGCTCATCCTGGGCTCTCCATCATCAATACCCCCCTTCTCCTTCGGCCCAGGCATCTTCTCACCGCGGTCCAGCGCGACCGCGAACCCAACGACCTTTCCACCCTCCTTCTTGACGAGGTCAATCGTCTCCCTCATCGCAGTCCCAGCGGTGATCACATCATCAATCACAAGAACATTCTTATCCTTCAGCGCAGCGCCAACAATACCACCACCTTCGCCGTGGTCTTTCTTCTCTTTGCGATTGAAGCTGTAGGAAACATCCGACCAGGTCTGCGGATCGATACGGTAGAGCTCGAGAAGGGTGCAGCATGCGAGAGAAATTCCTTTGTATGCGGGACTGCATAGGAAGTTAGCGACATAGCATTCTTCTATCCTCCCACATATCGACTGGGCTCAACTCACCCGAAGATAATATCCGGCTTAGGAACGGAAGGGTTTTCACGAAGGAAGTTAATGATTGTATGAGCGTAAGCGGTCGAGATCGCAGAGACGAGAGGTGCGGTGTGGAAAGATCCGGCGTTGAAGAAGTAAGGGGATTCTAGATATAAATTCCATTTGTTATCAACAATTCATCCCATCTCACATGTGTAGAAAAGTCTTCAGGCAAAAAAGAAAAAGAAAGAAAGAGACTTACGCCGACCAGACTTAAGAGTAAAAGACCCAAAAGTCAGAACATTCGCAGACAAGCACGAGTTCAAGAACGCTGTCTTGTACGCGGGGATAGAGCCCGTTTGTTCGGCCATTGTGTGTGTGTGCGTTTATGCGTGTGTGTGAAATGACTATAGATAGATATATATGTTTGAATCCCGAGCTTCGTCGAGTTAAGTCAGAGAACTGATTCCAGTTTAAACCCTCCCAAAAAAAAACGTTGTAAGAAAAAAGAAGGATCTAAGATAGCAAAAGGAGGGGCCGCAAGTTTGCCGTCTTGAAAAAAAGCGCCTCGTTTTTGCGGAGGTGAGGGGCGGTCTCCGTGATAAGATTATGCGCTAGTCCTATATGGGTTGATGGGGGGAGGTTTTGCGCTAAACTGGTTATGGGAAAGGTTGGATTAGTTGGTGGGTCGTAGGTATATGTACTGCATGGAGTGTTTATTATTATTATTTTATATCATGAACATGAGCTTATGAGGTGTTTGTTGTCTTTTGTTCTTCGGATGGTAATATAATGGTACCTTGATTAGTGTTGTACTGTAATAGTATGGTGATAATCACAGTGTGTAATAGTTTATGATATGAGAACATGATACAGATACGCCGGCGCTTTCCTACGTGATGTGACGCAGGACGAGAATGAAGTATGATCCTTCCTCTTGCAATCACATCTAGATATATCTATTGGTTAGAAAGCAAGATGTGTCGAGAGATTATCATGATTTATTATTGAATGGAGTCTTCTGTCAAATCTCGCACGAGTTCTATTCCATTTATCTAGACACGCGCGAAACTCTACAACTTAGCGAGAACTGCCTCGGCAGAAGAAACAGTGACCTCTGGAGTAGTCTCCTTCTCAGCATAGGAGATGGTGCCGTCATTTTCAATAATGAGAGCGTATCGCATCGTGCGGTCACCGCTGGTCCAGCCGAGCTTCTTTGAAAATTGAAGTCCCGGATCGCAGAGGAAGAACTTTTCATTAGATCATGTATTAGTATATGCACCCTGATATATCTAGTCGAATATATATGTGAGAGAAGAGAAATGTAACATACAATGTCGTCATTCATGATATGATTGGCCTTTCCCCAGGCACTCATCACATAAGGGTCATTGGAAGCGATGCAGGCGATGATGTCGACTCCCTTCTCCTTCAACTTGGGTAGATTGGTGATATAGCCCGGGAGATGCTTGCTAGAGCAACCGGGGGTGAATGCACCGGGAACAGCAAAGAGAACTACTTTCTTTCCGGCGAACTCTGCGATAAATCTTTAGTGACCAAGAACAAGAACGTTGCATTTCCCTAGGGACGTCTCTGAAAAAGGTGGACTGAAGAAGAAGAGAGGGATGAGCATTCGATGGAGATATCATATCATACCTTTCGAAGCATCATATTTGATAGGGACACCACAAGCATTGATCTCGAGCCTGTCCTGCGAGTAGGGAATATACGTAAACGTAACCCCGTCAGGGAACTTGTCTCCAACTTTAAGCTGCGACATATCGCCGTGTATTCGTTATTAATCGTGTGTACCGTGCGATATAAAAGACAGATCGAAAAGGTGAGAAAGTCAGAAGGGACCGAGGGAGTGAGTGATAGACGGACAATCGATGTTGCGTACCTTGATGGGGTCGGGTTTGGACTCCGCACCGATTAGGTACTTAGCTTAAAGCTAATTGATCCGGCGCGAAGGCGACATTGCGCTTTACGTAGCTTGGGCGATGAGGAATTATTCCTTTTGTGGAAGGATTCTAGCTCAGGAATGATAAGTGAGATAAAATAAAATGGCCAGTATCGTTTCGCAAGACACTGCATAGACATGATGAATGTTAGTGGTGAAAGTGCGGGGTAGTGGAATACTGTATGTATACCTATACTATATAGAGGGGTGCTCGATGCCTACATAATCAATTCCATTGGTATCCAAAGCCTTATATCGGGCCTAGCCCGTTACATTAACTACCTCAGGGTTTGATTTCCACTCTTGCATGAATAGAATCCTGTTAGCTGAGAAAGTACCCGATAAAGTTAAATGCGATAAAAGGGAGATATGATGATCCCGTGAGATTCCTGACAATTAGAAGTGCCCAATTAAAGGATATAAGATATGTGACCTTGTCTATCCCACCCGGAGAGATCGCGTGAGGATTCGTGATCAGAATCTGGTTATTCGAATTCGAACCCACCTTGTCTGACGGGGCTGTATCAGATCCAGACAAACCAAACTGAAGGATTCTCATTTTTGGTCGAATAGCCTTAGCGCCAATAATATATGCTATCTAAGGTATAAAAAAGTGGCTCTTCTTGGCCCCTTCAGATCCGGTTCAGTTGATCTACTGCATCCTCAATTCCGGACAGGGCCGCATATCGGCAATCTTTACTTTGTATAGTTCTTTAGCATAGAAGTGATTTACATACTTCCATAATAGAGTCATGTACGTCCGTCGGGACCAATTGATTGGACTCGATTGCATCGCCGACTCCACGCGTTCGTGGCTAGGTAGCTTTGTTCTTCAGCTGGACTAAAGTAAGCCACACGCCGTCACTTCCGTGTATACCGAATCAACTGTCTGAGTGCTCAGATCTATGGCAAGCTGAAAACCAGCTTTATTAGATAAAGTGTGGATAACAGGTATGATCGCCAGGCCGGGTTCGATCCAAAATCCGTATGACGACATGAATCTATGGTTTTATGGGAACAAGTGGCCCTGGCTACTACGTGATCAACTTGAGAGGGCATTAGTTGTGTTAGTTCCATTCACAATATCTCTCATCACTGGCTGTCTGAGCATGTCTAGTGGTCAAGTTCATAGTGTCTAAGTTGCCTTGTAGGAAAGAAGTGGGTAAACACGTAACTGCAACATCTCAATCAAGAAGTATTTGTCAAAGGAAGAGATTAGCAGAAACTTTATGGGATCAAGAGCAAGATATAAAGGTCCAGTGTCATCTCGTGTCCTAGAAACCTTTCATCTCATCACACAAACATAACCAAAGGCAATCAATTTCAGCTACGTCGTGATACAGTTATACTTCTAAAGAAGATGGGTAAGTCACACATCACTAGTATGAAGGGTTTAATCCAAGGACTTTCATTTTGTTAATCTTGACATTAGGTGAGACCAGCTTGACATTAGGCGCCGCCGTCCAGGTTTCCTCTCCAAACGAGGATGATACTCAGTGGAAGATCGAACAAACGGAAGTAGGCAAAAATCTCTATATCCCTTACGGTGTCGCCGAGCTTGACTGGGCATTGGGACCTACCAGAGTAAGTCAATTGACTGTCCACGAATTCAAACAGGAACTTATTTACCTCTTATCTAGATCTCGGGATATGTTGATACAAGCACATTAGACATCCGCATTGATCCTGTCATCAATGGGATTTATGTGGGCGCCATTACCGGCAGCTTAAAGGACGGCGTGGCTATCCAGTTTAACCTCTTTACAACGAAAGGCATTACCAAAATTTACCTCAAAAATGGAAACGAGGTCTGGCTAAACTTGCACCAAAAAGTCAAATTCGACGGCACCTTCCAGGGTGACTACAAAATCTTGACTATTTAGTTATGTTACCAGGAGTGATTTGGGCTTTCAATTTGAATATCTGAGATCCTCTGATATGATAATAAGCGTCAATCCTACAAAGTTGTCATTGAAATAGCTGATTCCATGAGATGAGGTTTCCAATAACACCCATTGGCGTCTGTCATTACAGTGTCAGTTAGAGTAAGAAATGTTTTGCAAGCACTGCTTAGACCGGATATTAACCAGCTTTGATTTGGGCCATGACTATATGTAGACGCATACACAGCTCAGTAATTGCACAGAGGAATTGAAACTATAGATTGCTCAGAGAATAAGGCTAACATTATCACATATTATCTACTTCAAGCGGCGCACGATAAAAGATGAGGAACTGCAATTATCCTGGACTTATTTTTTTACAATGTACGTGATTAACAATGATTCTGTGGTGGTAGCCCCCTCCTCTCACTATCACCAAATCAGATTGCGCAATTGCGCGGTGAAAAATTGACAGTTCCTCGTGCCGGCTGCCGATTGCCGTCAAAACATCAAGTACTTACATTGACCGCCACATTAATTATTATCCAAGACCACTACAACGCTCATCAAGTGAAATCCACATCGAAAAAAAAAAATAGACAATTATCCTCACCCTGGAGGATGTCTATCATTTGCAAACCCCTCAATTTGCTTTACAATGAATTTGGCATCGCCTCAGTATATGCAACAGGTCGAGATGCATGCTTCATCATCTTGGCACGAACGTGCCGGATGTTCGCCTTCGGCGCAGCCTCTCTCATTATTGCTCTCTTCCTCTCCACTCTCGAATTCACAGACTTTCAAATCGGCCTGTTCATGACCTTAACTCTCGCAGGAGATGTTGTACTCTCACTCTCTCTGTCCCTCGTGGCTGATAGGATCGGTCGCCGTCGCGTCCTCCTGATAGGGGCATTAATGATGGCCATTTCAGGAGGGATATTTGCCGTTGCTGAGAATTACTGGATTCTCCTTGGCGCAGCTGTGGTTGGTGTGATCAGCGCAACGGGTGGTGATTTTGGACCCTTCCGTGCAATTGAGGAGTCTACTTTATCCCACCTTACCACGGCGGAGACACGCTCAGACGTGCTATCCTGGTACGTGACGGTTTCAAGTCTGGGTTCTGCTTTCGGAACTGAGTTCTGCGGACGAGTAGTCGATTTCCTACGGAATCGACCTGGTTGGGAGATTACGCGCGCTTACCATGCGGTGTTCTGGCTGTACATAGTCATGGGAGTCATGAATGTGATTCTGGCACTGTCAATGAGCGACAATTGCGAGATACATGAGAAATCACCTCATGAATCTGACGCATCTGATCCATTATTGGATGATTCATATCAACAACAACAACAAGAAGAAGAAGAAGGCGCGGATTCTAACGATACATCTAAGCAAAAACCAGAACCAAACGCAAAAAAGAGCCTCCTATCTCAAATCTCATCCGAGACTCGTTCAGTCATGTACAAACTATGGTTCCTCTTAATAGTCGATTCTCTCGCCGACGGAATGGTTTCATACGCCTTAACGAATTACTACCTCGATCGAAAATTCCACTTATCCAAATCCACCCTAGGAGACATCATGTCAATAAGTTATTTCCTTTCTTCCTGCTCCACCATCTTCGCGGGCCCTCTCGCTCGACGTCTCGGTCTTATCAAAACTATGGTCTTCACGCACATTCCATCTTCCACGGCTGTTCTACTCTTTCCTATCCCGCAGAGTGTCCCTCTGACGATTGTCTTGTTTTTCATCCGCACGGGGCTCAATAACATGGATCAAGCACCGAGGGCAGCTTTCATCTCAGCTGTGGTGAAGCCAAAGGAGCGAACGGCAGTCATGGGAATTACTAGCATGATGAGAACGCTTGCTTCAACTATCGGTCCTAGTGTTACTGGGTTACTTGCTGGGAATGATAGGTTCTGGGTCGCATTCGTGACGGCGGGGGCTCTTCGCATCGCCTACGACCTGGGTCTGTTTGCTATGTTCGTGAATATGAAGCTGTATACGCATGAATCGAATGAACGGGAATCAGACCCGAGACGGTCGAGTGTTGAGGAGGAAAGTACCTGAAACGCAGTCAGATGAATGGACTTCTTGATGAAAAGGCAGGCGATGAATGAAAATAATTCGTCAATTGCCGCCAATCAAAACATGTAGAAATTTCTCTCGTTGTCGATAATATTAAGTTTACGTTGTCTTTTTGTTGTAGAAATGGGAAATTTACTATTTGTTTCCCGTCTCAATGTGTTCAAGCTTAGAGTGATCCTATGCATTTCCCCCCGCCCTGCACCAGATCAAAGTATTGAGATTTTCACATACGGATGAGTCCGGGAAAAATACTACATGAAGCAGCATGAAGCTGAGCAGATGGTCAAATGCCATGGCTAACCGTACGCTTAATCTTAATTATACTGCTAATGGTTCTCTTGCGGACCGATGACAGTCGCGCCATCGACGATCATCGTCTCGTCAATTCTCGCCTCGGTTTCTCCCCATTCGACACGCTTATAAGTAACCACTCGTCCAGGACCCATGTCAAAATCGAAAAAGCGCATCCGGCGCACGTAGCCGCCATAGCCGCCATAGCCTCCAAAGCCGGAGCCACCGCCGTAGCACATCCAGAGGGATGGCTTGTTGCTGTTTTCGTCCTTCTCGAGCATACAGTAATCGTTTACGTGGTCACTGGGACAGAAAGTTAGCAGGTGCATGGGATAGAGTACGATAGTTCGGGCACTTACTGTCCACAGCTGACGAAAAGGACGTTCTCCTCAACGAGAGCGTCCTTAAAGCCGGAGTTGAAACCCGGCGCTGTTGGAGGTTCCAGCCAGTTTCCCTTCCAGTAATTATTCGAATTGCGGTATTCGGGAAGCGGTATGTGGATGAACGCCATGTTCATGTGCATATGAGTGTATTGATGATGTTTTCTCTTCAATCCTTGCGCGGTATCCTTGAACCAGTTGATCTGGTTAGGCTTCAGCCAGTCATATCCTCGGAACTGGCGTTCGTCCGGAGAGTAAGAGTGCGTGTCGAGGAGATACAGTGTCAGGGCAGAGTTGCTGGTCTTTCCACGGCCGAGGACCTCGACATAGTAGTTTCCAACTCCGTCGATATCCTCAGGACCAGCAACAGACAAAGAGTATGGCAGTTCTTCCAGAATCTCCATCAACTGCTGTCGGTTCAGATCGCCCTCATCGTCATGGTTGCCAAAAATGGCCACGTAAGGGATTTTGCGATCCACAAGTGGCTTCACGACCTTGAACAGCGCAGTCTGTGCATCTGGAGATGTTTCTCCGTTCACCTGATCGCCACTGAGAACGACGAGATCTGGCTTCTCCTCGTCCAACAACCTCTCGACGAACGCAAGCGTTCGAGGATCAGCATCGCACTTCTGACCCGGTGTCAGCTCCTCAGGGACAGCATCACGGCATTTCCCAAGGCCAGTGCTCAGGTGAAGGTCAGCAGCCTGCATAATTTTGAACCGCCCATGTTCATTGATCCTCGGAACCGGTTTCGTGATCTTAGGTGGTGGTCCTCTCCGTATGCTGAGCCGAGCTTCCTGCGCCTCAGTTCCGCTGTCCAACAACAACGGGGTATCTCTCATCTCCCAGTTGTGACGAGGATCCACTGCATCTGCACCGAAGAGAACGTCGATAGAGGTGAGCGCTTTCCCAGAATCGCTGGCGTGGCGTTCTGCCGTTCGTTTGAGCCATATACCCCCTGGCCTTGGTTCCCAGTCGTCTTGTCCATCTGCGGAAAGCTCACTTGTCCCGGGGTTAAAGCGACTGATTTTGAGGTCCACTACAACTTTGTCCCCGTCAGCGAGGTCTTCTTCTCGCTTCCGTTCAAAGTGAAGGTAGGCCCTGGACGTCCACCCCGTATTCAGGTACAGGTCCTTCTCGATGCGCTGCCAGCGATCGGGATCGAGTTTGCAGCTCGAGAACACATTGATAATGTTACAAGAGGCCAGCGTGACATCGGTAACAATGAATCCGGGATGGTGTGTGGGGAGATGGCCGTGGATGGCATCTGGTAGGACACGGAATTTGTTGTCGAGAATCACGACGAGCAGACAGGCGAAAAGGGCGAGAAAACCGAGCTGACAGCCGGTGCGAACCTGAAGATCATACGCTGTTAGAATATTCAACATATATAGCCCTCACTAGAGGAACAGCATACCAAGCGTCGAGTCATGTTTAGGTCACAATTGTCCTCTCCCCGGTCGACTGCGGCCTCGATAACAGGTCACGATAGACGGCCAGCGAATACGAGCAAAGTCGTCGGCGGCCCGTGGGCATGTTGCGAAGACGCAACTCCGCGAAAGTTGTCTAGGCGATCCAGCAGAGAAAGACCGTTGTCAGGTCATCTCAAGGCGCCTCCAACTGACAGGTGGGAATTAATTAATTGACCACGGATGCGCCCAGACCGTTTTCTGGGGAAAATGCAAGTCACATGCGCTCTAGCCGCTTCCAGCCGCCGCGGCCGATCCATGGATGATTTTGATATTGATATCTGGCTTATAGTAGTAAATTCCCAGCAGATTAAGATTAAACCTCTTAGAATAGGAACCTGTAAATTATTGGTATATAGGGCCCGCGGGATTTGCATGAGATGGACGAATTTTCTGTACGAGCGCGAATTACGTGGTTAAAATAGGCAAAAGTCCACCAATGTATCTAGCGGTACAGCCCCTGTTTATTTTAGGGTCAACATCATAATAATGATCATTGTATTATTCATTTTTGTCCATTTATACGCTTGAAAAACCAATGCAACGCAACAAGACCGCTTATTATAGTGGGGCGGTAATTCATGGTGCGAGGTAAGGTTGCAGCAATACTCTATATCAGAGGTTATTATCAGACGTTATTATTGAATAGATATGTAACCACTACTTAAGTATCATTATCTCACACACAGGAGTCTCGGTCGTGCACTAAATAAGTCGGTTGTTCTGACTTAGTGCTCGATTTCAGCGATATAGTGTAGTCGATTTTAAAACTTGCATGTCAGGTTTACCGTTTGCCGTACACAGTGGGGAAGAAGAGGGGCGCGACGATCGGGAAGATCAAAGCGATTATTTCAACAACCGATTTCCAGGTATTGCTGGTGGATCAGATCAGATCACATAGCAAAGAATGCACTCCACGTGGTGGATCAGTTTCCATCTGTCCGATTAGAGTATCTCTGGCGTGCTATCGGAATACTCTAGCGCAGGTCGTCATATGTTAGCCAGCCTGCTGCTTGCCGGTATGTGCTACTTAGGTATTATCAGGTTTCTGCAGGCAACTATTCCAAGCTAAGAGCTTCCCCTCAAGGGCTCACCTCATGCTGGCCAACAATTATGAAAGCTATGCACTGTCTTCGTTGGGAAATACATCGGGAGAGGTGCATCATATGTCACAGTAACATTCAGTGTACTGCATTGAAGGCGATGACAGGCTAAAACATATCTAAGATCGATACGGGTTTATCCTATATACATAGTGTAGGTGGTAGCAACAGTAGTGGTGAATATTCTCCTCTCATATGTCCAGAACGTTTGCCATTATTCCTTCGCCACAACAAGGCCAATGCCGATTTGACTCGACGCGGTAGCAGATGTGCTGAGACCGCACGTCTTCCACACGACTAACCGAGTGAAAAAAGCAAGTATTGTCCTCGTAATCATATATATATCCTTCGGAGATATCAAACCTCTCATCATCAATAATAATCATTATCTAATCAAGGAGGGAAGCAGGGTCTAACTGGAATCATCACTATCTATGTACGATCGTATCAAGAGCCCGATATCCTGCCGGGTCTCATTCAAACTTTGACAGTGTTCACGTTCTCACTGCTAGCGTTGGAGGCTTCCTTGGCGACGCGCTCAACGCTCGTAGTTCCGTCGTAGATTTGCTTCGTCGTTGCAAGGATTGTCGACCAATCCCGGAAAGTAGTGTAGGGAACTCCCTCCCTCTCGCAGTACAGAACTAGATCTAGTACAGCTGTCAGTACGGACAACGATTACAACGTGGCTATTCTGCGATAGAGGACCTACCCTTGCCCTCCTTAGCAAAGAGAAGATCTGTTTCACGCGCTGCGGACAGGTCGGAGATGCCATCTCCAGCATACAGGAGGGTGGGACGCTGACCCGCCGGGAGCGCAGCGTACGGCTTGATCTCAAGGGACTTGTCGTGACCGAAGGGACTTTCGACTCGTTAGTCATTTGTAACCAACGGTGATTCTGGATCCCCGTACCTGTCATCATGGTATTTGATCTGCCATCCGCCCTCGCTGTTGATGTCCTTGCCATTGCGGCTCTCGACTTCGTTGGCCACGATGGTGATGTTGTCCGTTTCGGGACCCAACATGACCTCAATCAGCGCTTTGATGATGGGGATCATGCCCGAGGAGAGGATCACGATGGGCACGTTGTGTTCCTTGGCCCACTCGTAGAAGGCCTTGAAGCCAGGATCGAGCTTCATGTGCGTCTTCAGGATCTGGATGCACTCGTCGAAGGGGGTGTTGATACTTTCCAGCATCTGTCGGAACATGTCACTGCAGTCGAGAGCGATCAATCGGGGCTCATTCAATAACGGAATATCTCCAGATACGTACCGGAAGGTCATTCGCCCATCAATAACAGCCATGTTCAACTCGCGGCGCTTCTCCACTCTAATCCCCAGGTTGTCCGACTGACTATCATCAGTCTACGATCAGAAAGGTTTCACGGTATCTTGACATACCAGGTAGTCATTGCCTGTACGCTGCTTTCAGCCAACCATGTTTTGAGACGGGGTTACAGCGGAGAGACTTACTGTCCTCGATGGTGATAGTTCCATCAAAGTCCGTGAAGAAGATGATCTTGGGGTTGGTCTTGATGTAGGGAAGGTCCTGCGCGATGGAACCCATGGTGAATAGTAATGATCGAGGTGAAGGGGTACCTTGACAAACGATGGGTCAATTGGCGTGTGGATATGGTAGCGAGAGGCACTGAGTTGCGGGATAGAAGATGAGAAATGTCCAGATGGATTGCGAGGCGAAGACGATCGCTTTTAACAATTAATGACTATCAGATAACTGGGGGCGAGGGGTCAAGGGAACTAGTTAACTTACTTAATACGGGGAGCTTGGACCTGCGGATCACCTCCGCGGAGACTGTCGAGGACTCTCATTTTTTTCGACTTCCCTTTATTATTTCGAGCACACATCGTCCACACATCCCTCTTCTCCGGACTGCTCTGTCCCGTCAACTTGGATGGCTCGTCTGTTGCAGTCCCTGCGACAGGCATTGGGACTTTCCTCATCCAAGCCTCTCCCCTCCTTTCGACAGTCCATCGACACCAACTTCACGGTCTTTCGAGGTGAGCAATGCGCGAAAAAGAACAAGCACCACACATGCTCCCCTTCTTCTCACGAGAGACAATGCCAATTTACAAGATGATTCGCAGAGGGCGATAGAGCCATCATTCACGGAAAGACGCCGGTTTTGACGAAGCCATTGACAAAAGGCCAGAAGACAGAGGCCCGGCGCGGAGTCCTCAAGCATGACGACATAATCGGAAAGAGAGTACGGGATCTAGTGCAGGCTCACAAGGGTGAGTTTGAGGAGAACTTCTTATTTTGTTGGCTTTTCGGGGTCAATGCAAGACAAGAAGAACACGAGAGCTGAAAGCATAAAATAACCGCGTGCAGGACCCGAGTATCGCTTGAGCCTCCCCAGTCTCGAGGAATATGTCGTCCTCACGCCTCGCCTTGTCACGCCGGTATGGTGGAGTGGAGATGAATTCTCCTTTATGAAATTATGCTGATTCGATGATCGACTTTGTTTGGCCGGTCAGATCTATGCAGCCGACGCCAATCTGATCGTATCGCTGCTTGATATCCATGTCACCCCGCCAGCCGAGGGCGACGAACAGCCTCCGCTGGAAATCCTCGAGTCCGGCACCGGCCATGGCTCTTTGACTCTCCATCTAGCACGGGCCATCCATGCCGCCAATGCCTCCCCTCCTCCCCTTCCGGGTCAATCGCAGATCAACTTCGTCAAGAAGCAGCAGAAGCCCCTGGTCGACGCGGAAACGGTGCCAGGGAACCAGCGCACGAATCCCGCCGAGGAGGATCCAGTGCAGCAACAATGGGACGCGTGGCGTTCCCGGCGCAGAGCCGTCATCCATACCATCGATGTTTCCCCCAAGTTTTCCGCTCATGCGGAGAAGATCGTGCGAGGGTTCAGACGCGGAATCTATGCTGGCAACGTCGATTTTCACGTGGGGCGGGCGGAGGATTGGATCGCCGATCAAATCCAACGTCGAACGAAATCGAGCATTTTCTCATCGGGAAACACAGATCCGTTCTTATCCTACGCGATCCTGGACATGCCCTCTGCTCACCTCCGCATCCCCCATGTCGCTCCGATCTTGAAGCGGGACGGCATCTTGGCGGTGTTTATGCCCAGTGTGACGCAAATCGGAGAGTGCGTTGATCTTATCCGCAGAGAGAAACTGCCGTTCATCCTGGAACGAGCTGTCGAACTAGGATCGGGTCTGAGCAGCGGTCGGCTCTGGGATATCCGTTTCGCAGTCAAAAAATCTCGTGCCGATCCATCTTCGTGGACTGATCTGGCTGCTCAAGGTTCGGATGGGCCAAAGATGGATGAGGCGTCTGAGGACGTTGACGTCGAGAATGAACCCGCGTCTGAAGAAGAACAAAAACAACAACCACAATCACAGGATAAAAACGACAGCGTTCTAGTCTGTCGACCAAAAGTCGGAACGAGAATTGTCGGAGGAGGCTTCGTGGGAATCTGGAGGAGGATAGAAGATGAGAGAGCCGCCTAAAACTCGTCTTGTTCATACATTGTGAAAATCTCAATTGGATACCCCTATACAACAGCGTGTACTATATACTATATCCTGAACTATGCCATCTGCATAAAATAGCATTTCGGACTATATACTATGATCTATGACACCATTATACCTTTTTCTTATTATCCAAGCGGAAAAGACAAAAGTAATCCAAGCCAGCCCCCGTCTTTCAATCACTTATGGCAGTAATACTTTAAACAAAAGTGAAAACAAAAAGACCCAATGCCTTACCGCGGTGTCGTCGACGCATCTCACAGCTTCGGTTTCACAACCTCCTTCATCCCCTGCGTCCAATCAGCTCTCGTCCCAGCATTATCATCCTCCACGGGACTTCTTATATTCGAATCTCCTTCACCTTGCACTACTAGCCCACCATCATCCTTATCATCCGAACTCCCAGCCCTGCTACCACTACCACTACTAGTATTTCCCCGCGCAGGACATTTACCCAGAATCCACTCAGCAACATCCGTAGCGAATTGATCTCCCATCCCATCCGGCTCAGCATGCAACCTATGATATCCCCCCTTGTACCGTTTAAACATCTTATCCCCCACATCAATCACCTCCGCGAATCTCCTCGTCGCATCGTAAAGATTAATCTGATCATCATCTCCATGACAGAACCACATCGGAGGCACACTCTCTCCACCATCTACATGTAGTTGTTGACCCCCTGTAGCGATCCCCTCCAACCAAAGACCCCGATCTAGCATCCCAGCTAATCCCTCCAGAGTACCTGTATCATGGCACAGTTCGTCCGTGGCATAATCCTCACAGACCTGCGGGTCTCGACTAACCAGATTGGCGTCCACAGGGGAATATAACTGCCAGCGCGGGAGGAGCTTTGCTGCCATTCGACCGAGGGTGACTTTTAGCATGGATGGACGAGTTGATGGATGTAATGCGATGAGGGGCGAGTATATCATTGCTCCTGAGAGGGTTGGGCGGGATTGATTGTTGTTGTTATTGTTGAAGGGTGATTCCGGATGGAATATGTAAGTGAGTAATTGGCCGCCACCCATGCTGTGGCCCATTACGAAGAGGGGAGCTTTGGGAGGACAGAGAGAGAGGAGGAATGAGTGCATGTCTGCGAGAACGAGGGTTGTTGGACCTGTTAAACCGCGCTCGGAGGGTTGGGTTACGGAACGGCCCCAGCCTCTGGTGGATAAGTATGTTAGATAGATATTTGAAGGATTGATTGTATGGGAGAAAACATGCGATGTCAAGCAAACTATTCCCATCTCCAATATGAGAAGCAAGAACAAGACATACCTCTGATCAACAGCCCTAACCTCAATTCCCCGATCTGCCAACGTCGGGAAGAACTCATAGTATGCATTACCTAGTTTAGATCACAGAAATAAATTAACCTCCCCTTCAGTATATCATACCCAGAAGACGGCGCAGGCAGTGGGATATTTCTCCCCTTCCGAAACAAAAAGACCACCAAATGGAAATAAAATTGTTAAATGAATGACACATACAGTGATCACTGAATCCATGGAAGAAGGCAAGAACCGCACGGGGGGGATTGCTTTTGGGCTGTGGCGAATCTCGAGTTAGAAGATCATATACACACAGGTAATACGGAAGTTGATAAGGGATTTATGCATAATTGCAGGGATATGTAAAGATTTCAGGGCAAAAACTGAACATAAGTACTTGCCTAGGCAACACGAATTAAGTAGAATGTCAAGGGGGAAAAAAAAGATCAAAGATCAAAACCAAAAGAGCCAAATATGCACAATTACAGAGTACTAGTTGTGCAACTTCAAATACCCAATCGGGGAATTTCCAAATCATCTTTGTTAATCATCACCATTACACACACAAACACATCACTGCAGGCTTATTACATAGCAGAGTAGTACAAATAACATCATCCACAGGAATACCGAAAAACCTCCAACTCAAAAAAAAAAACTAACCTTCCACATCTTCGTATATAACCCCTTTCCATCCGGAAGGACATGCATGCCCTCCTCTTCTGTATACGAAAGCGTTGTTTCTGTCGTCATACTGGCCCCTTGTTGCAGCAGTTCGGTTCAGTTCCTTTATAAGTATATATATAGTATGTTCTGGTAGCGTCTGCTATCGCGAGATTATATATATATATATTTGCTTTGGGTCATCAGACGAAACAAAAAAAAGAAGATATGACGGAAGAACACGAGGGGCTGGAATCTGAGGTCATCCTCGTTTTTTCTCGTTCAGCTGACTGGTACATGTGAAATGGTGGCTATTTCCGGGGAGCTGGTCTTGGCGGGCCACATGTCGAAGACGATACCTAAGGTCGGGTATAGACAATTAAATAATAAACATCTATGGTCTTTCATTTCATCTTCTACAAATATCAAGAATCATTACCGGCCAATAGCACTACGACCACCGTCTACATCCTACAAGCTCACAGAAGGTGTACAAGGCAACCAGTGAAAGTAGCAACGACATGCCCTCTCGCAACGTCGAGCGGCGGCTAGTTTTGAGAAAGCTACAAAAGCCAAAGCACATACACTAACGAAGAGAAAAAGCCCGTTCGCCGAATTGGAGAGAACAACCCCCCTTCATGGACCAAACCCAGTACGGAATCACGAAGGGCCCCGTCCAGCCTTCGAGTTTCACCCAAACACCGTCAACCCAACCCCCCGAGTGACAACCACAAGGGCGTCGCTGCAGCAGGGCGGAAGAAATCGAGGTCAAGTCAAACGCACCCAGCACTAACAGTAGAGGGGAACCGACAGTCAAAGAGAGGGAAAAGGACAGAAGGCAATAAGAAAAAAAGAGTTTACCACGCCGTTGAGTAATTTCCAAGAACATAGTACGCGAGAAACAGCTTAACAGAACGGGATGCCCAAAGGCGATAACGAGAAACGTAACTCAATAACAGGAGAGAAGAATAGAGCCCGGTAACAGGACGCATCAGACATACAGAATAAGAACCCCAAAGATTCCGAGATAGCGAGGAAAGCCGGCTGCACACAAAACACCAGTCTCATAATATGTGATATGCTCCATTCCATCAATTCGTCTTATCCCGTTGCGGCCCGAAATCCGCCTCCACGACTTTGCCCTTTTTCCCCTTAACAGAGAACTCCGCAAGCAATGCGATATGGTCACTTGGAAAATGATAATTAGGAAATCCGGGTACCTTTCGCAGGTAGTCCTTGTCGATCTCACCAAGGAGACCGGTGACATGAAGCGCGGTGGAAGAGTACCAAACGTAGTCCAGAATGTCTTTGAAATCGGGAGTGTAGTTGGTAAAACTCATCTCACCGATCGTGGAATATGCAGACTTCATCTTGAACGGATGGGTCATACCGACACGACTGAGGTTTCCGTACAACCGCTTCTCGAGATCGGGGTGTTCCTCCGTCAGCCCTCCGCTCGCAATGATGTTATATGCAGCAGAACCGGGGGACGAGTTGAAGTCACCGCAAATGACAAGAGGAATCTGATCACCGCTGGAGTATTCGGCCGATGCCGCAGGCTCAGGAGGCGCCGAGCCCTCCCGAGTTGCTTCCGCCTCTGAAAAGCGGAACGCAGTCTTATCGGTGCATGGAGGCCATTTAGAGTACTTGTCCGCAAGCTTCGTGATCTCTTCCATCAGGATGGCGGTCTGGATCAACTTGACATCCTTGAAAGCGGGATCCCAGTACAGGTGTGCATTAACCACGATCAACCGGCTGCCCGTCATGCGATTCTCCAGGAAAGCGACGACAGCGATGTGATCCTTCTGCCAAAGACGGTTATAGATATCATCTTGACCCTTAGCGTCCGGTCTTCTGACAGCAATCTGACCGAAGTTGATCATCTGCTTGTCAAGAAGGATAAACTTGCTGCCCTTGAAAAAGATAGCGCATCCATCCACCGACTTTGCCTCTTCTTCATGCATGCCCATGGCTCGGCCTCTGGGCCAGTACACACCCTTGTAATCATTGTAGGCGAGCTGCTCCCGGAAGAAGTCATTGTAATTGCCTTGGTCGATCTCCTGCAGACAGGCGATATCCGAGTCATGTCCTCGGATCTCGCTCAGAATCAGATCGCGTCTATATTCCCATGCCAAAGCCCGAGATGGCGTATAACCGTAATGAGACTGCGTGGCAGACTGGTCACACAGGGTGTTGTAGGATAGGACCGTAAATTTGTCAGATGCGGCGTTGGATGTGTTAGCAGTCTCATCAAGGACTATCCAGTCCCTCTCAGGGGGTGGCATTTGCACTGCAGAGACACACCAAGTTAGCTTCTCGAACGGACGACTGGCATACTAATACTGGTGACTCACCTGGCATCTCCTCCCTTAGGTACTTGATGAGAGCCCTTGTGCCTTCTTTCATGATCTGGGACTTCAACACATCATTCAACGGGTTACCCTCAATTCCCAGGGTGTCCAACTGGTACAAATATCCCATCTCATACGGGAGCGTGTGTAGGTTGTTGTCGAACAGGTAGAGCTTTTTCAAGTTCGTGAGCATGCCGATCTCCTCTGGAAGTTCGCTGATATCGTTTCCGGAGAGATCCAAGTGACTGAGCTTCCGCAATTCTCCAATGGAGGGAGGCACGGCCTTGAGCTTGTTGTGGTTGAGATACAGCTTTTCCAGGAAGACGTAGTTAAAAAGCGACGGTGCTATCGCACGGAGTCCCTGTCCACCAAAGTCGAGAGCTTGCCAACCTTGTCTTCGGCCATCCTTTCCACGTGTACCATTCCGCCCGTCTCCATTCTCATCGGGCTGAATGATCTGAATGCCCTTTGTCTGCTGTGCAACACTCCGGGCATAATAATGGGGGGAATTAGACTGCCGTGACTCCGCGGCCAGCTGAAGCTGCTGCTGCCAGTGTTCGTTCATGGATTCGTCGATCTCATCTTCGGCGGCCGCTGGAGTCCCGTTCTGAAGGTGGCTTGGCGTGAAATGTGGGGTCGTACTGGCCAAGGCGGCCGCCGTGAAGTTGTGCTGGTGATTGACGGTGTGAGAAGCCTGGTTGTGGTGAGGATGATGTTGCTGCTGAGCGTGGTGTGGGTGATGGTTCTGATGCTGGAACTTGGGCATCTGCATGCCGAATCTCTGGTGGGCTTGCCCGCCGTTCATCATGACATGTTGCCCTTGATGTCCCTGGCTGTACATGGTGTATGGATTGAGACCGTTCGTCTGGCCCAGAGGAGGAGATCGAGAGGGAGAGGGAGTATCGTTATTGAACTTCAGTCTTCCGTTAGGAGAACTGGTTCCGTTGCGAAGGAGGTGTCGTTGATGTGCGTTCTGTTGAGATTGCGCTTGAAAGAAGAACTGCCCGGCCCCAGGCTGCTGGAACCGGTAGGTACCATCTGCCATTTAACGTGGCAGACGAGACCGGAGATGATTCTCGTAGCGAGATACGTCCAACGAGACTCGAGTCGTGTGTTCAGGTCGTAGCTTCGGAGAAGGAGCGAGAGTGGGAGTGAGAGGTCGAATACGTTCTCTCCTTCTCTTCAACATGGGGTCCTGAGAGGAACCACCCTTGAAACCGCGCCTATGGATTGTCCAATGTCGCGCTGGTAGTCGATGGCCACAGCCGGCCTGTTGCCCGCGTCGGTTGCACTTTGTTGACCGGTTCGAGGAAGTGGTGGTTGGATGATGGGGTCGGGGATCGGCTGCGAGTCAGAGTCCGGATGGTGGAGAAAGAAAGGCTCCCAGAGTTGGCCTGAAGGAGGGAGAGAGACTTCACACGCAGAGAATCGAGACTATCAAAGGACGAACGTGAGCACCAAAGAGTGACCGTTCCCACAGAAAACGTCGCCGGCAGGAGATTGTGCAGCGCTGTCTCTTGTCGCTGCGAAGTGGTTTGCATCGAAAGCGGGAGTTGTAGCGTGTCACGTGAGAAAAGGCCAGCGGGCAGCTGCCTGGCGGTGATTGGCTGGTCTGGGGCCAAGACGTGGAAGAACTTCAACCAGCTTTTTGCCCCTTGAGCGAAATCAAGGAAGCACATGGAAGCCTCAAAGAAAGGGGCAGTGGTATATGGCCAGGTCCTTTTCAGCTTCGCTTCCAGACTCCTGCGGTGCCTACCTGTGTTATTAGAACGGGCCGGAATGGGGGGTATATTCAACTGCTACTCCAGACGATGAATACCTGACAGGCCATGTGTTCGTGAGACGCTCAGACGAAAACAGACATCCTCACAATTGCAGTTACGTCACGGATTAGGTCCAAGGACGATTACAACTTCAGACGAAAGGTGAGAAGAGTATAACCAACAATTACTCTTGATGTTAAGCTTCAGCTTACCCTTGATGTCTTCCTCTTCGCCTTCGAAAGCCTCATCTCATGCTAGGGGTATGAACTGTGTATACAGGTCTCGCCAGCTACTAAGGTAGAGCTTTTGAGACTCAGCAATAATAGAAAATCCATTTCTCGAGTACATCACTTGAAACAACGTGTATAAGATCGCCAAGAGATGCTCTAGACTTATAATATAATAAGATACTGCGGTAGAGAGTTGCCTCCCGCCATTCACGGACATGTTGTTTGAGAGACACCAAGACAGGCATTCCGCAAGGAACTGATTTGAACGGGTATCAAAACTACAATTGAACCATAAACAGTCGTCACTATCTCCTTCGCCATAACCATTGATCTTGCCATCGTTATCATTACCAAGTTCCCATATGACCTCTCTAGTGCAGGAACGAAGCTCGTTAAGCCGTGACAACAACGAAAGAAAAAGAAATCTAACTAATGTATTAGATACTAGATCGACCACCTGCATGGTCCCATTTCATTCCCATTTCGCATAATCCGGGAAATATCGGTCATGAATCCTTCCAGCATAGTCAAGGATAGCCGGGAACTGCTTGACCAGTTGCTGTGACTCCGGGTTCCTGTGTTTTGCTCACATCAGTCTCAAAATCAAGCTGATGGCCGAAAAAGGGAAGCAAGCAAATAGTAAAAGAAGGCTACAAGTGCCAATAAGAAATAAATAGTTAACTAAAACAAGGATGGGGTTAGGTAAGCATACGCAGTACAAACCAAAACCGACACAATGAAGCCAAATACGGTAGCATCCGCCTCGGTGGGATGGTCTCCTTCGAGGACCCAGAATGGTTGATCATTAGGAGCCCCGTTCACTGTGGCTCTGGCCCGGGACGAGATCAACAGGCCATTAATAGCCTCCCAGATCTCGCTCCGGAAGACACGGATCTCAGCCGCCGTGTAACGACCGGTCCCTTGGTCATGCAGCATCTGCGTCGCGTGGCGGTATAGCAATAGTCCGATGATCACGCGCTTGGGATATATCAATGCGGACAGCAGACGGTCGCGCATCGCGTAGTAGTTTTGTGTCCATCTTTCCCAAGCCTATATGTATCAAAAAGATAAAGGCAAAAAGGGTCAGTTTGCATCTTCTGCCTTATTTGGTGAAATCATTACGAGAGCCCAGGAATATAAGTTGTCATCTCATGACGGCAGGGTATATATTGGCTTGGACAAGAACTGCGGTACGAACATGATAGAAATAGAGCTTCTCCTCGAAGAGAGCCCGGATGGCAAGGTCCTGCGCTCTGACCGTAGGCGAAGAGGCCTGCGCATTGATATTCGGGAGGATGTCCCGCTCGACTAGATGCTTGATGATGAGAGTCGAGTCCGCGAGAATAACAGAGTCCGAGCCTCGCTCTCGCAGCTCTGCATATGGAATTTTGCCTCTCGGGGCATCCCGCAATGAGCCGCCTTTGGTCTCATATCGCACTCCAGCGAAACGGAGTCGGGCTTCAAGCTTAATGACAAACGGCGACCAGATGTGTTTTCCTGGATCGAGCCATCCTCGGTAGACAGTCAGTTCTGGTCCGTGCTCTGTTTCCGTCGGCGACATCCTTCCTCGGTGTGTATACAAGTTGCAGATCGTAGTTCAAGAGATTCTTCAATAGTTAGAAACAAAACAGATGATGATCAATGGACTACTGGCATGAGAAAGGGCTCTTTTTGAAGTCTTTTATCGCCCTCTCGCGGCAATGAGCGGACGTTGCTGATCCCGAAAGCCCGTATTGCTGTGGGAGGCCTGATTTTACCTGATTTTACCATGCCAACCCAACAGCCTAACACGGAATTCCATTCGAGCACCTAGGGCTAGCCGAGGGTCGCCCTCCTCCAGCTCCGACATGAAGCCCGAAGCGCAGGGCTGGCTATCTATCTGGATTCTGAACACTCGATGCGAACACAGCAAGCTACGACCGGAGACGAATGCACGAAACGAGTAACCGGGGAACCGGGAGCCTGCGGGGAGCAATAGCTCCCTAATTCAAAGACAATACTCTATCCAAAGTACTTTGTAGAGTCGGTACTACTAGTACTAGGTACTGACGCAGAGTCCAGGGTATCTCAGAAGTTGGGACTCTTTTTTCGAGGCAACCTCGAGTTTTCCGTATCGTTATTGGCCTTCACCATGGTCTATTGATCGCGCTACTGCGTTGCAGGGAATCATCCTGAACCATTCCCTCGGAGACCTTGTCATTGATTCTTATTATTGCTGCTGTTTCGCGCATGGTGCAGAATAGGGGATGGGCAAGGGGCCAAAGGTAGATCACGGACCCGGACGGCAGGTTCCCCAGACATCGTCGACAGTCCGTCCCAGGACCATTGTTCCCAAGGCACTGGAGATGGGTACATAGTGCGATGGGACACAGACTTCCGTTTCCCGTCCCATGGATGTGGCCGTGGGCTATCTAGTTCCAGTAACTGTCATCTCCCTTATTTCGTTCAACGGGAACCGCTAGAGCCTCGCAAAGCGGAAAAGGCGCGGTAGAGCCGAGCTAGTTGATTGTGATAACCCAATCAGTGTCTTGCCTTCGAGATTTCCAAGGAGATCATGATGATTATGGTGACTGTCCTCACTAGGTTTCGAGCAAATGTACGAATACGTGTACGTCCCTCTGCCATTCGATATGTCTGTGGTCTGATGCCCACAATCATAATATGCAGTCTGGTCCTGTCAGTTATCTCTGGGTTCCAGGGGGGCGGCAGATCCATCGACCAGCTTGACGGATATTTACGTTCCAGAAAGGGCATACACGGCTGCACGCACAGGCTTGACACCCGAGGTCACGGACGGTGGGGCGGGCAATGTCCGTTGCTAAAGAGCTAAAGGGTTAAAGGGCTAAAGAGCATGGCCATCATCATGCTTGCAGAACCGGGTCATGGTCCCCGAGTCTGGGGAGCGGTTGCTAGTCAGGCACAAGATGCAGGTCACATCCTCAGGGGAAGCGTACTCAAGCTTCCGACGGCCGACTAGACGCTAAGAGTTGATAGAATCCAGGGGAACCGGCCGAGTCTCGGCACAACGTGTAGACCCCGGTCTCTAAGAAGAATATCATTAGCGACTCCTACACCCTTGGATGTGGACCGTCGTGACAGATCATTCATCAAAGACACCCCGCGAGGTCTGTGATTTCGACCCTGATTGTCACTGGTGGCGTCCAACAGCATGTCCGAGGACGCCGCAGACAATTGGAGAAGGGCTTGTACCATACTGTAGATATGATGGACGAGGCGCCTTTCACTGTGGCAACCTTATATGTCTCTGACAACACCAAGCTTCTCAACAGATAATGCAGCCGCAAATGAAATGATATGATTAGCGGCCCACATGATGCTCTTTCAGAGTGCATTGCCAAGGTGAGCACTACCATTTCGATTTCAGCAGCTCACGAGCAGGATTCTGTGTCTGTGACTCTGTTGACGTTGAATGCTAAAAAGTAACAGCACAGCCTAGACTACTGCGTACTTCGACACGTGAGCCTCTTTAGGGCCTCAGAGGCTGACATGACATGATCCGGAAAAGGAAATAGTGCGTAGTGTTAGCGGAACGAAAAAATTTTCCAATCTTCACTCCATCTAGCTGAAGTGAAGATTCGGCTATAGAACGCGGCGCGTAGCCGAGAAGCCACTGAGGATGGCCGAAAAGGCCCTGACAAATTGGTAAAAATGGACGAGAATGGCAGTTTCTCGTCTGAAACGCTTTTTTTGCCATGGGACATCAGTCTGCCCTGTGCTCACCCGATTTGCGGGCCAGCGGACGATGCAACTTGCGATCGCCGTTTCCAAGTAAATGATGTCAAGCATTATCAATCTCCAACGGTCTGAGCCGTTAAGCCGCCCAGAACCACCGATCCCTCTGCATCCGCGGTGGTCGATTCCAAAAACGGTTCGAAGTAACATCGACGAGCGACGGCGGATCCAAAGGTCCGCCACCATTATTGCCTTTGCTCCTCCGCCAGGCAGTGTGGATGCCGCCAAGGGGCTGTCGACCGGACCTCGACCTGGGATCCATCGGCGTGGATGGACCCCCCTAGTGCTATGCTCTAGCCATACTTCCATTACATGATCCCCCTCCTCGTCCTACATCTAGACCGAGTCGCAGCCAGACACCTCCCAGTTTTCTCACAAGGCTTTTGTGTGATGACAATGCGACGGATGACGGCTGCGTCAACAACAAAGAGAACGAGACCAATTCTGACCGACGCTGCAGAACCGTCACGTCGAACATGACGTCCGGAACAACCTATACAACTCCGTCGCTGGGCTGGGGTTCGGAGCTCAAGCAGTCCACATCAAGCTCGACTGTAACCACCCGAACACCAGCGGCATCTTCTTCCTCCCTCTCCTCCGTCACCGACCATGCAACATATCCCCTCATCCGACAAAACGACCGCATCTATCTCCGAGACCCCGAAAACCCATATCCGCTACCTTGCGACCTTCCAGAAATTCATCGCCAGACGCTGCGTTCATTGATGCTTGTGCGCGTATTCGGTGCACCGTTTTGTACTCCGCAGTTCTCCAATGCTCCTCCTAAACGAGTGTTGGACTTGGGATGTGGGTCTGGCCTCTGGTCGAGCATGTGCCACGAATATTTCGCGCAAAAGGGCCACCACGACGTCTCCTTTACAGGTCTGGATATCGTGTCGCTGGCGCCTGATTTGCGTAAGCAGGGAGTAAATTGGCAATTCAAAAACCATGACCTGCGCAAATCGCGGTTGCCTTTTCCTGATGGACACTTTGATTTCGTCTTCATGAAAGACATGGGCATGTCTTCCTTTCGCTTATCGAACCAAGACTCTCCATTGAGCGAGCCTTTACGCGTTCTCAAATCGGGCGGAATTCTTGAGGTCTGGGATTCAGATATGGTATTCCGGACATTGCTCCCCAACCCCGCGCCAGCTCCTGGGCTGTCGGAAAAGGACCAAGAGACCGCCGACACGACCGCGACTTATACCTTTTCTTCCGCGACACCGTTCGCAAAGCCCCAGAACAAATATCTGCAGGATTACAATTCCTGGGTAGAGAAAGCCTTCGATGAGCGCAAGCTCACTGCGATGCCATGCGCCACCATCGGGCTTTCCTTTACCTCTGAAATGGACGTTTTCAAGAGCGTTGATAGCCGTCGAATTGCCATACCCTTAGGGGAGGTCAGATGGGAACGAGAAACTCCGACCAGGCATGCAAGTGGAACCTCGCGGAAAGCATTGAATGAAGACCAGCTTGCATTGCGGCGGACCGCTCTTCAAACAGTAATCCAGCTGATTGAAAGTATGGAACCTATCCTGATGGAAGCAAGCGAGAAAAGCAGAGATGAATGGGATAGATGGTGGACTGCTATGCAAGGCGACCTTCTCCAGAAAGGAAGTCTCGCTAGCGGAGAATGTCTCGAAGTGAGTGCCTGGTGGGGTCAGAAAAGATGAAAGTCCACATCTCAACTAGGGCATGGGAAGGAAAATAAAATTTCATACGGTGTTCAGGCGAATGCGAGACGAGGGCGCCATGCTTACATCATGTTTAGTGATACCGTGATACCCCAGATCTATTCATTGCTCTTCTTTTTCTATTCATGTATGCGCTCCCGTCTCTGTCCATTTAATCATTCTTTTCTCAGCCATCACGCAGAAGCAGTCATTGGCTTTCATATCTCTGTTTCAAAGTGCGATATCGTTTCAGATAGTACCTGTTCCCTTCTGTCAGTGTTTGAAAAAACACATTTTTTCTCTTCAGTTGTGTACGAAGTTATGAAATGTGCTGTATATAGCCCGGCCAGATCAAGCACAGAAAAAAGTGTTCCGGTCAATTAACTCTGATCTGTCTCAATCTTTTCTTTTGCTTCATCCCATATTGTAGCTGCGTAGAATTTTCCAGCGTACGCCATTGTTGATCATGGGAAATGGTGAATATCTGAAGGTCCAGGGAGCAACAGAGGACAGGCGCTGCATCCACTGTCCTAAGACAGCTCTTGATAGGACTTGATACTCCGAACAACAATGATGAAGAAGCGCTTTGTGACTCAAGGGGCAGACAGAAATGTCCACTTACAGCGCCTCGATTTCTGTAGATTGGGCTTCCCCCATTAGCTACCGGAACCATCCCAATGCACATCGTCTAGCCACGACCATCTTGTCGAACCATTCGAAATATTTCCCCATTATTATAACATATCTGGCGGATGAGAAGAAAAAGGAGCATACGCACCCTTCTTGACGAATTCAGCCCTGTGTATGCCCTTTCGAATTTGTTCTTCGTCAGTGAGATGTGCCTGGCTTGAGAACGCCCTGTGTAATCTGTTCCTGTAGTAGTCGTATCCGAGGGGGTAATCACGGCCAAGGAACAAGAGCTCTAGCAGATAATGGTAAGCACGAATCGAGAGATTGGTTCGAGTCTGGAGGGAGGAAGGAAGGGCGGGCGGGGCTGTGAGTTCCAAGTACCCTTGTAGATGTTTATGACCTGTCGACGGAGCTCTGGGTTCGTCATGTTCAATTGCTACTGATCGAACCGACTAGCATATGCAAAATCGCGGAATTTCGTGATATGGCCTTTTGGCCTCGAAGGAAGATAAAGAATGGGGTGAAAGAAGTAGCAAGAAAAAGGACCCTGAGATTGCTTACAGCTAGCTATGTTGGATCCGCTACCGCCTTTAATAATTCACGGGTTCCGTGACGTCGTTCCGCAACGTGCGGGGTGTTGGTCCGTGTCGGTACTTTTGTCAACCTAAGCTTATGAGTTTCTTCGAAAAACATATTTATGTCTTATTTTTCAAAATTATCAGACATATCTCCGGCGAGACTTTCCAGAGAGCGAGGTCTAATCGGGTTACCTGGGGTACCGTGTGTCTAGGCAATACAGTACGCAGGGGAAAGCTCAGTACAGTCACTCGTCTGCTTGAAGTAGATGGTATGGTGATAATATCTGCTTCATTCAATATTCGCTTACGCTAATGTCATATTGTACACGGAACCAATGGTCGTTGTATCTAATACACCCGTACTTTTTTCTCCCTGTCGTTATGCCTGCCGGATGCCTGAAAAGACAAGGGTAGAATTATTTCAGCAGCATGGCATCTGTAACCCAGCTTAAACAACTACTTTATATTGAAGAAACGGTTCAATTGATCCCACCGGTGCGATGGAGAACCAGCAAGACAGAAGGATTATTTGGACCCATGGAAGAGTAGTTCGCCCGCATGATGCTTTTATCTCGCAATCTCCGCAGTATGCGCAATTGTTGGAAACATGACTGAATCGAATCTGCATTACCTGCATTCCAAGTCGCCCTTTGACACTACTTATTGCATCTAACGCTAGATCACTGGATTGACCCAAGTCAAGGAAACTAAGCATTTGATATGTTTTGGACCTAGTTATGTGTGTCAACTCGTGTAACGCTGGCAGCGAGAATACAGCTTGCACAACCGTCAAAAATAACACTCAAAAATAACACTCAATGTTCATAGAAAGAGAACGACCTTTCTCGTGGCGGCTATAATGTCTTGTGTAAAGCAGCATCAAAGCCAGTCTAGAATGAAGGGAAACCGACCTCGGAACTCGGAAGGGTTCTCCAGGTCCCAACTAGGTAACTTTACCACTTGGAGCTAGCTGAGTAGAGCGCCGCGGAGGTACGACGCGGCTGGCTCTATGATTTAATATCCTCATTCTGATCGTCTCCCCAGGTTGTTAACTGTCATTACACGAAGGAACAATGGTTGCTGGTCGGATAGTCCAGCGAAAATTTCTGGGGCCGGCAGGTCAATCCGTGGCTTTTCTACAGCCCGTAATTCAAATTCAGTGTCGCTCCCTATCGACCTTCCCCGCACGACAAGATGCGCGCTCATCCACTACCTCTCCATCCGCAAAACCACATCCAATTGACCCGCGATGGCTTACACTGACGAAGAGACGACTGGGAAGATGCATGATGTTTGGTCTGAAGCCTCATCAGATAGACGAGGCCGGGAAGATACTTCAAGAGATCGCGAGGGATTGGCGAGGATTGATTGCTGGTAGCGAGGGCTTCTTGACGGAGGAGAAAAGAACTGCCCTTTCGCGCCATAATGTGGTTTGGGGAGAGATGGTAAATCAATAATTATGGACCCTGATGTGATGGTATGAGATCAGAAGACTTACTTGGCACCTACTGGATTGGATGTAATAGGATACCATGGTAAGCCCCCCTTTTGCTTCAGGGTACTCCCTACTTCTGGCTCTCTTGGATTTAGCTGACAGTGCTGAAGGGTATGTATGCTCTCCTGCTTGTCGACCTTCCCTTCGATTAGATATCTAACGCTGCCCTCTTCTAACCAGGGCATGTCAACAATGTAACCTATGTTCGCTATGCCGAGAGTGCTAGAGTAAATTTCATGCGGAATTTCGCTCTTCACATTGACCCTGAGCATCACAAAGAGTGGATGGGCTCCGTGAACAACACAGGGATTGGGCTCATTATCCGCAGCATCAAGGTTGATTACAAGTTTGTAAGCTTTCGTTTTCCCTCCATACTCTGTCCTGCTGGTCAACTCCAGGAAGTTGCTAAAGATTTCGCCTTCTAGCCCATGAAATGGCCCGACAAGATCACGGTTTACCAGAAGCTAGTACGCGACCCTTCGTCGCTTCCTCCGGACCACGCTGCCTTCGAACTCCATGTCATGATCCTTTCAGAGGCAAAACAGCGGCCAGCTGCTCGCGTACATGAGGAGAACGTTACGTATGACTATAAAGCTAATCGCAAGACATCTTCGTTGCCCCCCTTTATGATGGAGCAATTCAAACAGATGTGGGCTCTACAAGAGGAGGCTAAACGAACTTGGCAGCAGCGCATCTTAGATATAGAAGGACGGGTCAGGGCCCTAGAGCTGGACAGCTGGGATAAGGCAGATGCCGTGGAAGATATGGGCTCTGCTGCAGGACGATAGGACGATGCAGTTCCAAGTCCACATGTCACCCTCTTAAATAAGGATTCTGGTTACGTATGTGATAATCTATCCAGCTGTATATTGAACCAGCTACGTTCGCTGCATGTTTATTACGCACATGAGAAAGTATCCAGGTGCTGTCTTTGGCGGCATTTTGCACTCATCCAGATCTCTTACATTTACAGGTCGAGGGGGTAAGATCTATTGTTACATGTTGCAATCAAAAGACTCAGAGTAAGAAGCTGAAGCCCCGGTTATCAATACGTTATTATCCTGATGCGATTATACTGGCTCAATAGAACATAATGGCATTCCTAGAAATGATGAAAGTCGATCCGCTGTTGCTCTACTATGTAGTTAGTTCAAAGATGTGACTCACCCGGGTCATCGAGTAGGGCACGGCTTGGAGATCCGGTTGTCTTGCAGAGTTTAGACACGCTGAATATCCTGCGAGCTTTCGAATCGGACCCACAGAGCAACTATGGAGTCCCATACTTTGGTATGATCTATACAAGACGAGCTGGGGGTTAGAATGTCAACAGCGATGTAGACGACAGTGAGGGTGGAAGAGCTCAGTCTGCTGGAGATGAGAAGAATAGTATGGAGCCGATGACTGGTTACAGAATGAGGATATACCCGAGACGATACCGTTTGATACTTACAATTCATCGCGTTAGTAGAACTGAGAAGAAGCTCTTCTGACTCAACATACGGACTGCATTTCTCTATCTCCTCACCGGCGCCGTAATTAGCGCCGAGGTCGCATCGAATCTGAATGGGGATTTTCCCTTAGTGGATTGCACTGATGGGGCCGAAATTGAAGTTCTCCGCCGCTAAAGTCCTCTTAAGGTTATCTGATCGGGATCTTCACCCGATTCTAAATGAGAGAGCAGATAGCTTTTTTCTTTCTCCCCACCTTAACGGCCTTCTAAACTTCTGAACCTCCGATGACGCATCCTTGAAAAGGAGGAAGTATGCATGGAGCGTTAGAGTCGGTCAATAAGTATTTCGCCTACCGTCGGTTGCCCTCGTTTGCGCCGGTGACACAATTGTAAGATTTCGGGAAGAGAGAAATGGGTAACAACGAGCCTCTTGTTGAGGCTGCAAGTGCCAGTCCCGATGTAACGGATGAACAAGCCACGGGACAGAAGACGCGATGGCAGAAGTTTCAAGCAATTATTTGGGATGGAGGGGACCGGACCGAAGAGGAGAGAAAACTGGTGCAAACGCTTGATATTTTCATAATGTATGTCCATTACACTCCCAATATCTCAAAGATATAGTTGCGGAATACTGAATTGATCTCAGGACATGGGCAACTTATGGATATTTCATTCGGTTATTGGACTCGGGGAATATTAGTGAGTTGTATCACAGAGATAGGGAACGAATACGAACAGGAAAAGGCTAACTGCCTTATAGCGAATGCTTATGTTTCTGGAATGAAAGAAGATCTTAATATCCATGGAGATCAGTATAATCTACTCACAACTTTCTTTACTTGCGGTTATCTTGTCGCTCAGATACCCTCTCAGTTCATATTGACGTACAGTATGTTGTTCTTCCTTTGATACGTACACAGCTGACACATGCACAGTCCGCCCCTCATACTATCTGCCATCGGTAGAGTTGCTCTGGTCTATTGCGACTTTCTGTTTTGCTGCTGTTCAGAACACACGTGACGTATTTGCGCTGCGATTCATCGTCGGCATGCTAGAGGCGCCGTTTGCAGTTGGTGTCATTACTCTCATGGGAAGCTGGTATACGCCTAGAGGTCAGACAGTTCTCTCAACTTTCTTCAGCTGGAACATATACTAATATCGGAAACAGAACTGTCGAAGCGCATCGCGATATTCTACTCAGCCTGCTATGCGGCGACTATGTTCAGCGGCTATCTCCAAGCTGGAATCTACCATGGCATGGACGGCCATCTCGGTCTCGCAGGCTGGCGCTGGCTGTTCATTTTCTGCGGTGTGATCTCTCTTCCAGGCGCCCTTTACGGGTTCTTTGCCATACCCGACAATCCGTACATCACCAAAGCGAGATGGTTAAGTGCGGAAAAGCTGGCTCAAGCCAAAGCTCGCATGGAGAAGCTAGATCGACGACCTCCAGTCCGGTTGTCCAAGGCAAAGCTCAAGTATATCTTTACACATTGGCCTGTCTATATCATGACTCTTGCGTTGATGTAAGAGACCCATGTCCCTTTGTCTAGTTTTCAGTACTGACTGATATTCACAGATTCCATTGCATCGCCACCCAGCCACTCAACTACTTTGCCGTATGGCTCAATTCCCTGGATAGATTCTCTGTCTACCAGGTCAACCTCTTCCCAACTGCCGCTCAGGCTCTAGCCCTCGTTACTACCCTTACCTATAGCTGGCTCTCAGATGGCCTTGGAGGGAAACGATGGCAACTTATGACGATTCCTGCGGTAAGCAGCCTATCAAGACTGCCTATATAAAGTCACTCAACTAAGCTAATAATCATAAAACAGACTCTTAATTTCATCGGGATGGTCATAGTAGCCATTGGACCGAACTATGGCGCCACGTTCTTTGGCTACATGATCAATGGAGCTTCCTGGGGATACTGGCCGTTGCTTTTCGTAAGTTCATTTTCAAATCGTGTCCCTGCTCTTCTAGTTATTCTAACATTGGTTTTCTTCAATGAAGGCCTGGGCCAATGAGTTCTGTCATAAAGATGCCGAAGAGCGCGCCATCGTCATCGGCGTGGCCCAGACAATGGGTCAGGTATTTATCGCGTGGTTACCAGGTATATCTCACCCATCTTCTCCATCTATCCTCTTAACCCAATCTGTCTGTATGTATAAATCATCTAACACTCTCCAGTTGTCATCCTCAACGTGGGCAAATACGCACCCAAATTCACCATGGGATTCAGCGTCATGTGCGGTTTCAGCGCATGCGAATTCGGAATCATTTTCGTTCTGCGATATTTCGCGAATCGAGAAGCAGAGCTTGATCGACAAGAAGAGGAAAAGAGACTCTCTTCTCATGCTACTGCGGCTTCTACTGCTGCTAGTTATGCTCGGGACGAGGAAGAAAGAGGTATCACTCATGTTGGTGATATCCCACCGCGGTTGTCACTGAAGGATCTTGATCAGGAGGTGTTGGAGGTTAAGTAATGGAATATAGGATATAGTATAGGATGCTGGGTAATGTGGAGGACGTATCTATACATGGATGATACCAAAAAGAGGGGGCATGATGGTTATGGCTACGGTCTTATCAGATTATTTTAGACAATATATATTACTCCTTCGGAATTCGCTCAGATATTCTTGAGGCTCTCTGGAGACAAGCAAGATGGATACAGCTTTATGGTAATTTCCCCAACCCTGAAAGCTCCCTTCCTGCTTGCTATTATGCTTGGCTGTTACGCACCATGTGAAAACATCCCTGCGATGAATACTGAACCAGGTTCAAGCGACTACACGTAACTTCTAACACTAAAAACGGCAACCGAAGCCTCAGAACACGACAGATGTCTTGAAGCACTGTAAGGCGGTTCATAAAATCATTTCCCATAGTCTGACTGTTATGTCATCAGAAGTAGATACAACTAGTCTCCCATCCGGCGAGAACGCTACTTCCCTTACCCAACCAGAGTGGCCTTTTAATATCCTACGAATAGAGCCCATAGTTGCGTCCCAGAGCCTGACTGTCATATCATCTGAAGAAGACGCTATCGTGTTACCGTCTGGAGAGAATATCACCGTCCTTACCCAACCAGAATGACCCTCAAGGATTCTGTACGTGGAGCCCGTGGCGACGTTCCATAGTCTGATTGTCATATCCTTAGAGGCAGATGCTACCAGTTTGCCATCTGGAGAGAACACCACAGCCCTTACCCGGTCAGAATGGCCTTCAAGGATTCTGCAAATCGTCCCTGTGGACGCATCCCAGAGCCTGACTGTCATGTCGTCAGAGGCAGAAACCAATAGTTTGCCATCTGGAGAGAATGCCAACGCCCTCACCCAGCCCGAATCGCTTTCAATTATTCTGCAGGTAGAGCCCGTAGAGACATCCCAGAATCTGATTGTTGTGTCCTTTGAGGCGGACACCACCAGTTTGCCATCTGGGGAGAATGCCACCGCTCTGACCCAGTCAGAATGGCCTTCAAAAATCTTGCAGCTGTTTTTGGTAGTATCCCAAAGCCTGACTGTCATGTCATCAGAAGCTGATGCCACCAGCTTTCCTTCTGGAGAGAACGCCACAGCTTTCACCGAGTCAGAATGGCCCTCAAGCTTCTTGGATATTGAGCCCGTCGTAATATCCCAAAGTCTGGTTGTCATGTCATTGGAGACAGACGCCAGGATGGCACTTTCTTGGGATAGAGCTACATCCCAAACCCAGCCGGTATGGCCTTCCAATGTTTTACGCATCACCAGCTCGCCATATAAAGAGCTATCTGTAGTATTCTGCTTTGATGGCAGTATTGCCATCTTTTCCTCAATAACAAGAGACGTATCAGGACTTAATGACGGGCTCGGCGGGGGAGATCCAGAAAAAGCCGTCTCGGTTTCCTCCAGAAATCTGTTCAACGCAAAAAGCCGATCTGTGATTTGGAATCCAGTCTCTGGTTCAACGCTGCGCACTGTATCAGATGCAGCATTGTCTTGTCTCATTTTATCAATTTGAACCCGCATAGCCTGCATTTGTTGCTCGATAGTTTGCGTTACATACAGATTCTGGGATGTGTTGGCACTACGCACATTAGTGTAAATCGAGCATTCGAAACTTGAGGTTAATACACTCACAGATTTGCCGTCGCAATCGCGACATCTAATGTCAATTTATATGAGATCAGATGTTCCCTCCAAACGTCCGCTTCCTTTTCTGTAAACTGCCACCGGAACGCTGTCCATTTCCTCATTCTTACTTGTCCGTCACTTGCTGGCTTAGTGTACCTGCCAACCTTTTGCTGCAATTGTCGAAATGCAAAGAGGCAATGATCCAGCGGTTGTTGAAGACTCTCAAGCATTGGTAGAACGTTAGAAGGAAGGCTATCTTGGTGAAGACATGCCAGAAGACCTTGAAGTGATCCAAGCACAAGATATAAGCCTCGGACATCTTGAGAAATGGCAAGGACATGTCGTGGAGCGTTCTTGATGCCTTCAATAAACTCATATAGTCCTTTTGACACGCTGTAAACATTTGTAACAATTTGCATGATCCCTGAAATGATACCTATGGCATCCATGTTGTAGATTCTGTTAATGATGCGAGAGGGTTAGCAGCGTCGCTCCTCGTTGAGAAGCGTATACATACTCAAGGCAGGAAAGCTTGATAGTGAGGTATTATTAGCAAAATGATGCCATCTGTATGGTTCCTAGGAAGCTAAGTAGGAGGGGTAAATAGCTAGTATACCCCGTATTCATAGAGTAGTCCATACAGACCTAAAACGTCGACGCTCATGCCTAAATTCAGCGATATAGATGTATGCGCTTTTAGAAGAAAGGCTGACTCTTTATGACTATAGCGTAGTTATAGCAATATAATCCACGTAATATATACAAGATAGCATGGATTTTTGCTCTAACAGCTTCTCCTTGGTTTTTCTATAAATACCTATCTGCGGCCACGGAGAGCTATGTTGGATGCCTCACCATCACCGCCTTAAAAGCAGTTAATCGAATCACGTGCTCTCGCGCCTGCCGACGCGCAACTGGGGCTACTTATCGGAGAAAGTCATCGGGAGGCGCTTTTGACAAGAAGCTGTGAAACACGCTCCACGGACTTGTTTTCGCCGGGTGACAGCTTCGATTCGAAGCTACCTAAAATGCAAGTTGTGCAGTCTTTTCTTTATTTGTGTTCTGGTTTGTTTCTGTGCTAACAGTTCATCTAGGTGTGAGTTATTTTCTGACGGGGCACTGAAATCATCAGATCTAACACTGCGATAGCGAAGATCGATAAGCTCTCGATCCTTGGGTATGGCTCCAGTTGAATTCTACATACTTCATGAGGCATATTCTAATATACCGTGTTTATTTAGTGTTCGTTCGTTCGACAACACCCGGAGCGAAACCATACAGTTTCACACGCCTCTGACGTTGATTGTTGGATATAACGGATCCGGAAAGACTGTACGTATACCGGGGAAGATATAAGTTATGGGAGCTTATAGGTGTCACAGACGATCATCGAATGTCTCAAATATGCCACTACCGGCGAGCTACCACCCAACAGCAAAGGGGGTGCCTTCATACACGACCCCAAGGTTCGTTGGTCACCTACATTGTCGATCGAAACGTTTACTGAAAAATTGCACAGCTATGTGGAGAGAAAGAGGTTCTGGCTCAGGTGAAAATATCATTCCAGAGCACCTCGGGTGCTAAAATGGTAGCGACTCGAAGTCTGCAACTCACGGTCAAGAAGTTGACCCGACAACAAAAGACACTGGAAGGACAACTGTTGATGATCAAGGATGGCGAGAGGACGGCTATTTCGTCCCGTGTCGCGGAACTGGATCAGATCATGCCCCAATACCTGGGTGTGTCAAAGGCCGTTCTCGACTCGGTCATTTTCTGTCATCAGGACGAGAGTCTATGGCCGATGAGCGAACCATCTGTGCTTAAGAAGAGGTTTGATGAGATTTTTGAAGCTATGAAATACACAAAGGCGATCGATAATATCAAGGCTCTGAGAAAGAAACAGAATGAGGAGCTGGCTAAGTATAAGATCATGGAACAGCACTCAAAGGAAGATAAGGAAAAGGCGGACCGTGCAGAGAAACGATCCATTAAGCTGCAGGAGGAAATCGAAGCTCTCAGGGAAGAATCACAACGGCTTTCCGAGGAGATGCGCCGCGTGGCCGAACTGGCTGACAAGGCCTGGAAGGAATCGGAGAGCTACGCTGAGATTCTTGGTACACTAGAGGGAAAGCGGATCGAGGCCAAGAGTATCCAGACTACCATCGATAACATTAAGCGACATCTGGTCGAGCTTGACGATTCAGATGAATTCCTCGAGTCCGCCCTTGAAGAATTCGAGTCGAAGCAAATGCAGTACCAACAACAGGAGGAGTCAATGAAGGAGAGATACATGGATATCAAAGAGCAAATAGAGCGAGCCAGGCAAGAACTGGGTGTCAAGCAAGCCGAGCTTGGCAAGTGTGAGAGCGACGCAGCCCATTTTGAGAAGCAGGTTCAGAGGAGGGAGAACATGATCAAGGAAATGGCTCGGCGGAACAATATTCGCGGATTTGATGATGCACTTGATGATGCGCACATTCAGGAGTTCGTGAATCGGATGCGCAAGTTGCTTAAAGACCAGAACAACAGCCTGGAACGTGCAAGAAAACAAGCCCAAGGGGAGTTGCGAGAAACACAGAATGTCCTCAATGAGATCGGACAACGAAAATCTGCGTTGCAGGAATCCAAAAATGCGGCCAGAAAACAGATATCTGCGAACGATAAGGATGCCGCAACGTACCAGAAGAGACTTAATGAGATCGATATCGACGAGGGAAGTAAGGCTGTTCTGGAGTCAAAAATCGAGGACATTGAGTCACGGTTAACCCAGGCAAAGGAGCACGCGCGCTCAGCTTCTTGGGATAATGAGATCGAGAAGATCAACTCGGAGCTTCGTTCTTTGGAAGATGAGAACTCTAGGCTGAATACGGAGCTTATAGAGGGGACCAAGAAGGCAGGTGATCTGGCTCGCTTGGATCATCTGAAGAAAGAACTCAAAGATCGTGAACGCAGCCTTGAGACGATGACTGGAGCACACGGTGACAGGCTATCAAAGCTCATCGGCCAGAGCTGGCGACCTGAAACCCTAGAGCAAGATTTCCAACGGATACTAGACGAAGAGTCAAAGGCAGTGACTTATGCTGAGCGTGACCGTGATGGAGTGAGCAGAGAACTCGAACATGTCGAGTTCAAACTGAAGACTATAAAGAAGGATCTCAAGCAAAAGCAGAAGGAACTCGATAGTTGCATCAAGAGTATCCGGGAAGCAATCGATGATGAGCCCGCCGAGTACCCCGAAGTGCTCAAACAACGGCAAGCCCAACTTGATATGGCCAAAAAGGATGCTGATCAGTACGCTGGAATGGGTGAATATCTCAACAAATGTCTCGATGCAGCAAGACAGAAGAAGGTGTGCAGGACCTGTGCGAGACCGTTCAGAACCGAGGCGGAGTTCCAGGCATTCAAGAATAAATTGGAGGCACTTGTGAAGAAGGCAACGCAAGATGCCGAAGATGAAAATATGCAGCAGCTAGAAGATGATCTCGAAAATGCACGCTCGGTTAACACAGAGTATGACACTTGGATGCGTTTGTCGCAGACCGATATTCCTGCCTTGGAGAAGGAAGAAGAGGAATGCGACTCTCAAAAGGAATCACTGTTGGCCCGCATAGAAGATCATGACAAAGTGGTCAGCGAGAAGATGGAAAGGAGGAGAGACGTTGAATCTCTTTCACGAACAGTTTCGACCATACTCAGACACGAGAGCGATATCAAGACGCTTCAGGCTCAGATCCAGGAGCTTGTTTCCAAGCAACAGGACTCTGGCTCCTCGAGGACTCTGGAAGACATTCAAGACGAGATCGCTGGAATTGGGGAGAAGTCACGCGCTCTGAAGAAGACCCTCACAAAGTTGACGAACGACAAAGATCAATCGCGGACCAACATCAATAAATTGGAATTGGAACTGCGTGATGTCAAAAGCAGCCTTGATAATGCCAACTACCAATTGGAAAAGAAGACGAGTCTTCTTTCCCGGATCGAAGAGTACCGAAATCTGAACGCGCAGCAGAGAGAAGCAATCGAGAAGGCGGATCGAGACATTGAAGCTCTCGCCCCTGAACTGTCGAAAGCCCAAGTGAAGTACGATGATATCCACCATCGTGCCGAAGCAAGGGAGGCTGAGCTACAGAAGGAGATCTCTAACCTCTCGGATAACCTACACCTGCTGGACACTGCAAACGATGACATCGAATCGTACACCGAACGGGGTGGTCCTGATCGGCTAGAAAAGACTAAAGAGGAGCTTACTCGTGTCGAAGAAGAGATTAGGGCTTTTGAGACAGAACTCGGAAACATGACAAGAGAAATCAACAAGATCTCCTCTCAATTGAAGGATAGTGAGAATACAAAGCGGCAGTACTCTGATAACCTGACCTACCGCCAGGCAAACAGGGCCTTGGAAGAAGTCAGAGCAGAAATCGAGAAGCTGGAGGCACAGAACGCAGAAGTTGATCGCAGTCGCTTCAAGGAGGAATCTGAACGGCGCACTCGTGAACACAACGCACTCGCTGCTAAACAAGCTAGCAAGATGGGCGAGATGAAATCAAAGGATGATCAACTAATGCAGCTGCTTGCCGACTGGAATACGGACTATAAAGATGCAGCGGCCAAGTTCAAAGAGGCCCACATCAAAGTCGAAACGACGAAGGCTGCTGTCGAGGACCTGGCTCGGTACGGAAGTGCATTAGACAAGGCTATCATGAAATACCACAGTCTCAAGATGGAGGAGATCAATTCAATCATTGGTGAACTCTGGCAGAAGACCTACAGAGGTACTGATGTGGACACAATTCTCATTCGTTCTGACAATGAGAACGCCAAGGGCAACCGATCCTACAACTATCGCGTATGCATGGTCAAGCAAGACGCGGAGATGGACATGCGTGGTCGTTGCAGTGCTGGTCAGAAGGTCCTCGCTAGTATCATCATCCGCCTTGCTCTGGCAGAGTGTTTTGGCGTGAACTGCGGTCTCATCGCACTTGATGAGCCAACTACGAATCTCGATAGAGATAACATCAGATCTCTTGCCGAGTCACTACACGATATCATCAGAGCGCGTCAACAACAAGCTAACTTCCAGCTCATTGTAATCACCCACGACGAGGAGTTCTTGCATCATATGCAGTGTGCCGACTTCTGTGACTACTACTACCGTGTATCGAGAAACGAGAGACAGAAATCGATTATCGAAAGACAATCGATTGCAGAGGTATGTTAATCATGTCTCTGGACAGGGCCCCGGTTTGTTATATACTGACATCAAACTAGGTTATGTAATTATGTCTCCAGTATCAGTCTCTCGAGTTGCGTATCCTTCTCCAATTTTATGTCGTTATAGCCCGGGAAATTCCACATATAGTGTTCAGTATCATTTCTCCGGTTTAGCTTATCTACCACAATTCTTTATATGCAAGCATCGGCGTTGTGGTGCTTCGAGGACGAAAATGCGAATAAACTCGGGGAAATCAATGGGATCTACTACGTTTTGCTAAAACATGATACGATGCTAAAGAATAGTATTATATTATGCTTCAACTCGTTTCAATATGCTAATTCCTCGAAAGTTGTGTGTTCAAGATAATTGTTCTAGGAAGAATGACGTATCCACTCTCATATAACAGGAAATCATAGTCCTTTTCAATTCGATATGCGACTAGAAAATATCTTACTCTACGTCCTCCCCCTCTTCATCACGATCTTCTTCCTCGTACTGCTCTTCACCGTCATCAACTAATGGCACGAACCGGAAATCCACAAAGCTCACATGTCCCGCGAACCCGCCTGGAGGTTGGACTCCTCCAGTGGTACCGCCTCCGTCTCCAAGATCAATTAGGAATTGCAGACTCAGTACGCCTTGGACGTCACCTCGAATGCTCACTTTATTCGCGACCGCCATAGCCCGTGCAGCTTTGCGGATGAGTGCGAAACGATAGTTTTGCTTGACGCGAACACCCATGGAAGGTGGCGGGTTAACTAGGAAAGTCTCCGTGGCGGTAGGTGCTATTTTGGATCTCTTGGCTCGTAATCTGGATGATCCGTCCTCAGTTAGGATCTTATGAGTAGTGTCCGAACGGACACTGCCGGTTTCGTGGTCTTTGTCAATTGAGAACTCTACTGTTGATTCGCTGAAGGGTCCGCCTGAGCCGGAGAGAGCGAAGAATGGTTCGCGCTTCGCTGATGCGGAGATAGTGAGGATGGTAGGGGTTGTTGAGTCGAGTTCTTTGATAGCATCGTGGAGTAGAGCAGAGCGCATGATGATCTTCATAATGATAGCGTCTCGCTGGAGAGGAATTTCGAAGTCACCGGGCGATGTGCCGAAGGTTTGATCGTCAGGCTCATAAGCCGTCAACTCGCAGGTTGTCGTGACGCCTGCCTCAGAGAGTGTGATGCTTAGAGGGGCTCCGAGCTCGGGGTAATTTATCGTGCAAGACCGGTTGAGAAGCAAGGCTGGCGTATTGAAGGCGCTGGAAGGAGGCTGATTTGACTGAGGGGCAGAGCTGCTTGCTGCTGACGCGTCGTTCACCCCGAAGATCTGGAGGGTTTCCAGCAGAGCAGAGAGGGAAATGAGGAAATGAGGGTATATGATGCTACCGCCGTCATTATCAGGGCTATTTTGGTCATTGTTGTCAGAGTGGTCGGCCTCGGCGGGCGGATTAAACGTATAGCTGGTAAAGAGAGCTTTGTCGAGAAAGGCCAGGCCTTGCATGACCCGGCTTTCTTCGACTGAAAACCGGATACCCTCCGGCGTGATTTGAACCGATGCCTTGGGAGCAATCCCTATGCAACGCAATAGGGTGTAGAGTTGATTGGCATTGCTAGACACCGCAGACAAAATAGGTGCTCTTCCTGCCATCTTCAACGTGTGTAACGGCCTGGCCAGGAGAACGATTGCGGAGAAAAAGGTCTTCAATAGAATTGCCTGAAGAATATAACAAAAGATTCGTTCCTTATTCCAGCTTATGGTACATTATACAGCATAGGGGTATTGTTCGAGAATGGAATGGGAGGTTAAACGTAAACTCCGGCGGCGCAGATCATGAACACGGATCCGAATCTACGCAGTAAAGACTGATTAGACATATACCGCTTGATGTGAGAAATATGTCGCTTACCCGAGCGCTAGAGAGGCAGGCAGTCCCAGCAATGGTATATTCAGAAGAGAGCGATCTAGCAACATGTCAGTGAGCGGCGGCGTCAGCGTGTCTGTCATGAATGAGGTACTCACTGAGACCGAAGAGACCGGTGAGGATGATAGCTATAATATTATATGTTAGTTCCATGCAGACAAATCGGAATCTATTCGAGCTGACCACTCAGAATCAAGGTGAAGCCGACGAAGAATTGCGCGTCTTTGGAGACGAGAGGATAGTAAGGTCTCGCGGAGGTAGCCTCCCAGACTTCGTTGAGAGACATTGAGGTATTGTCAGCAAGTCGACGGCTTCAAATAAAGAACAGGATACTGGAGCTCCGCGATCGATTCTCCGTGATAGCGGTGATAGACCTCTTCATGAGCACCTCGTCCTCGAGGTTGATCTAGAACTAGAATGCGTTGATGCTCCGGTCGATCTGGCCCCATTGAGTGTCGGATAAACGTAATCCCGGAGCTAAACCCCATATCCAGAACGCGGAGATCAGCTCAAGATACGCCACCACCCGCGACATCACCTTGGTTGAACAACAGCACCCTCGAGACGGATTGATTGCGTGACAGCATGGCAGAAGTAACGGCAGAGGGTGAGCATATTCCATGCGGTCCTCTCCCTCAGGAAGGGCGATCTGACAGCCCTATAGGCTCAAAGCGCAAGGCCTCGGAAGAAGCCACTACCCCGGATTCGAGCCAGAAGCTCAAGAAGGCGCGCACTGAGTCCCCGGAGAGAGGCGAGAAGGTTCGTGGTTTTGTGCTCTTTGAAATGGTCGCAGACTAACATGTTGCGCAGGAAGAAGAGGAGAAGCTCGAGAAGAAGCCGCTCAAGATCGTTCCCTTCCCGGAGAAGGTATGCATATTCCATTCTCGCTTGGTCCTAGCTCGATTGACGCTGATTGCATCATATAGGCAGCAGTACTTGAAGAACGCCGAGGCGAGATCGAATTTCGTGTGGTGAATAACGATGGGGAACGGGAAAGCTTTATCATCCTTACGGGCCTGAAGTGCATTTTCCAGAAACAGCTACCTAAGATGCCTAAAGACTATATCGCACGACTGGTGTATGATAGAACACATCTGTCGATTGCCATTATCAAGCATCCTTTGGAGGTCGTTGGGTACGTTTTGTGAAATCGTATTCGGGGTATTGGTTCCGCTAACATCAAACAGGGGCATCACGTACCGGCCGTTTCAGGGTCGAAGATTCGCTGAGATTGTCTTTTGTGCCATTTCCTCCGATCAGCAGGTCAAGGGGTATGGTGCTCATCTCATGTCACACCTTAAGGTACCTGCTCTCGCTTTCCCTTTACCATATATAGTCTAACATAGTGTAGGATTATGTGAAAGCAACATCAGATGTGATGCATTTCCTGACTTATGCCGATAACTACGCCATTGGATATTTCAAAAAACAAGGCTTTACCAAGGAGATTGCCCTTGACAAATCGATTTGGATGGGATACATCAAGGATTACGAGGGAGGTACTCTTATGCAATGTACCATGCTTCCCAAGATCCGGTACCTCGAAGCGGGTCGCATGCTCCTGAAACAAAAGGAAGCGGTTCATGCGAAGATTCGCGCCTTTAGCAAATCGCATATAGTGCACCCTCCGCCAAAGGAATGGAGAAATGGCCCGTGCAAGATTGACCCCCTCAGTATCCCTGCGATCAAGGAGTCAGGGTGGTCCCCGGACATGGACGAATTGGCTCGTCAACCACGGCACGGACCAAATTACAACCAGTTGCTGCATCTTCTGAACGACATGCAGAATCACAGCGCATCATGGCCATTTGCTCAACCGGTCAACCGTGATGAAGTTCCAGACTACTATGAAGTCATCAAAGAACCCATGGACTTGTCTACGATGGAAGAGAAGCACGAGAAGGATATGTACCCGACTCCTCAGGACTTCATCAAGGATGCCAAGTTGATGTTCGACAATTGCCGAACGTATAACAGCGAGAACACGCCCTACGCGAAGAGCGCGAACAAGCTCGAGAAGTTCATGTGGCAGCAAATCAGAAACATCCCCGAGTGGTCGGTAAGTTTTGTCCATATCCTGCAATTATAAACTCCTCCCACTAACGCCTTTCCAGCATTTGGCCGACCAGTAGAAACACAATATGTAACGCTAGCACGGCTTTTCATTCGATGAGGACGGAGTTTTTCCGGTTATAAAATACCCAATGGTCAAGTGGATTATCGGCGTTGGAGAACATGTGATTTAGAAGTATCTATAATAAGGACTGTGTGCACATCTTGTACAGACCTCCTACTGGCCAAAGCGCTCGACTTCGACGTACAACATTATCGAATGAAGAAGCAGCCAGATGGTTTTGATTAGGCACCTGGGTATACAAGGTCCTTGGCCATCGCGAAGTCACTCGAGGCTACGTCTGCACTATTGGTTGATTAAGCATAGGTACTGTACTTGCACCTGGGGGCCATCAGATCAACGCATCAATATCGCTAGCCTTCCTGCGCTATTTTAATTTAGCATGGTCCTTTCCATCGACTTTGGGCTGCTAGTCATGACCGGTCACTGCGCTGATGTGTTAATTTCGGCTACATGTTTTACCGAGCCGCCAGGCCATGGCGACGGGCGTTTCACTTTCAGAGGGATATCGCTGCAGAGTACGAGAACAACATTTTCATAAATTCACTGGCAGGACTGGCTTTCAACCCTGCTTTATGCCAGACTGCGTCGACTGCTGCTTATCAGTTCCTGTCTTAAGTGTTCTACAGCCCAGGGTGAGCTGTTGCGGGGTTCTCTATCCGTCTTACAGAAACCACTGTTGATACCCGCATTCCTCTCACCATATCGGCTCTGGGCATTCACCATTGTGGCTTAGCGGTCGCAACACAGGGGCACGATCTCTTGCAGGACAGTATCCTGTCACTGTTCTTGGTGGTTTATCCACTCTACTGTCGATAATCGCGTTTGTGTGCGACTGGTGCACCGCTCCCTTATTACTGACGCGCCCCTGAGTTCCACGGTCGGCACTGTTGATGCCCCCTGTCACGAGGTGTTCATCAGAGGCTGCGATCGTTCAATTGTACAAACAAAAGAGGTGCAGAAGAAATGGCTACAGAATCTCTTTCAGAGATGGAGCGGCGCAATCGGCTGCCGACCCTTTTTGAGGTCCTCAGCCGTCGCACCCTTGCGCCAGTTGACTTATTCTCTTTCTATATCTACATGCGCGATCAGCAGCGCTCTGTGGATTACTTGGATTTCTGGTACGTTTAGTCTTGGTGTCTCAAAATAAAAGTGCGTCTTGTCTAATCACGATTGCAGGCTGGATGTATCGCAACACATGTCCTTGTGTCGACACTATGTCCGCGAACTACGCCGCTCTGTCTTGGTGGCTACTCCTGACCTCGAGAAGGCGGGAAGCAAGAGGTCGTCGACTGTCCTAGAGAACCTGGAGAACTTGGGAGATATCCCACTTGACGAAGCCGGTCCGTCTGGCTTTCACAACAGAAACTCAGAAGAGAAGGACGCCGATCAGAAACTCTCTGCTTTCCTGCGTTTAGAAGGTCAGGGGTCTTCTCCGCAAGGCAGTATAGGCTCTCAATCCGCCGGAAGAGTATCGTCGAACGAGCAGCGCCCTCGCGAGAGTTTCATGACTACGCCTGAGCCGGGAATCGATTCTGGCTCACCTGGCCATACTGTGACTCGTGCGGATATTCGCGCCAGTGCTGAAAAGATCCTGTATACATACCTACTTCCAGGATCTGAGCGCGAAATTATCCTTCCGGAGAACATGGTGAACAGCTGTATCAACATGATCGAGGATGATGGCCGAGATGATCCAGAAGTTTTCGACTCTGCCAAGGACTACGTCTTCCAAGCCATGGAGCGCGATGCTTTCCCTGGTTTCTTGCAAGCAAAGGCCCTGGGCAACTTGGTTCCCTTGAGTATTGTGGCCCGCTTGGCATTTGCGCTGGCGTCCTTCGGAGGAGGGTTCTGGGCTGCTTTCTACGTAGTGCTGAGTGATAAACCAAGACATATCCGCTGCTGGGTAAGCCATTCCTTTGCTTTGAACGATCGAGTCCCATTTTACTGACTGCTGGGATAGGTTATCCTTCCTTTCGCCATAGCTTCTTATTTCCTTGTTTCCTACCAGTACAAGATCGACCCGGTTATGGCCCTGGTTGGGTACAGCGAGTACACGTTCATGAATTGGACGCGGATCCAGGAGCCTTACGTGCGCCGTCTCCTCAACAAACGAGCGACTGCCACTCTCTTCATTACAATTCTCCTCGCTGTTGCACTCTGTGTGCTATTCATTTTCGTTCCCGGAACGATGCTCTGAACACCCAAATACCCTCTCGAAAATCAGCTACCTGCTGTCCTTTTCCTATGTTTCTTGTGGCGTTCCGGTATTACCCCGCTATCCAATCAGCGGCAATCTCGCATGGTTTCCTTTGGCCCAGCGTATCGATATCATCCCGAGATTTACTGTCCAGCCAGGCGTATGGTGTTATCGGTTTCTTAACAGGTCGAACGAGTTCTCGAGCATTATCCAGTTATGGAAAAAAGCAGTTACCGCTCTTGAGGGCGACAGCGACTTGTTTGTTCCTGTTTCTTATCTCATCAACCTATTTCTCTTCTGTCTGTCTCATATTCCGTCTTGATCTTTCCGATCTTCTCCTGTGAAATCTCCAGGTTCTTTTTTTTCGCAATTGAACATATCCCTCACCACGGCACCCGCCACGAGTTTGAGCGACTGCAATCTGTCTCCCGCCATTTTATCTTCTTTCTCTCTCCCTCGATACCTTTTTCCCAACATGCCCAGCACCTTTAGCCTCTCCGGTACAGAGTCTTTTTCTTTTCTTGTTTCTTTTCGATTCGTTGCACATAATACCCCTTTACTTTTTGTTCTCCCATGCAGTCGATGTTTGTAATGTACAATGAGTTTCTCAGATTACTTGTGGGCGGCCCTATCTCTCTTCAGGTGTGGATAATGGGGCATGCTTCGAATCTAACGCATTTCTCGCGAAAAGGGTTATATTGTTCTTAGTCATTTTTAGATCGTAGACTGTAGTTACAGTTTGGTAGTGAGATTTTACTAGAGTATGCTTGTATGGTAGATCAGAAGTCTCGTATTATAGCGTGACGGAGAAATACTCTTGAGGGGTCTTCTTTGGAGCAAAATAAGGAGGGATATTAATCTAGCTAGGACGGTATATCTGAGGGATAGTTTCCTTTCTTGTTGTCATTTCATTGATTCTAAGGACGGGAGAAGTTAGTCCATATCCTATCCTCCCTTTTCTACCCTTTTCTAAGAGGCCGTCGTATGTTCATTAAGTATGCTTTAACAATTGAGATAATGCTCAGGACTTCTTCCCCATATTCAATATGCGCTTTGCCTGTCTGGCCCCTGTCCCTCCCGCAGCTCCCGCTCTGGAAGAAGATCCGGCTCCCTCGTCGATGTCCATACGGGATCCTCCAGCACCCGAATCACCAGCGCCATCGCTCCCGTTATCCCAGTATCCGTCGTCGTCGTCGTGGTCAGCGTTGAATTCACGTTTATTGCCAGGACCGGCGCCGCCGCCAAAGCCATGCTTGCCATCTTTGGACCTCAGACCACCTCTGCGTCCGCCTCCTGACTCCCCGTCCGTATCATCCTCACCTTCCCAGCCGTTCAGGGCTCGCTCTAGGAGCTCTGCCCGTGCGCGCTCCTTGGCACGTCGTTTCTCTGCTTCCATTTTAATGCGTGCGATCTCGGCCTCGATGCCGCCGATCACGCCACCGCAGCGGTTCTTCCATTCCGTCAGGATGGCGATCATCGTAGCTACGGATTGAGGTCGAACATCACGGAGGGGTGCGACGGAGGTCACATGCACCGTAGGAGGGTTGGTTGCGGGGGAGAGACGTGCGGTGATTAGCGAGGAATAGATCGCTTTTGTAACGAGGGACTCCAGCTCAGACGGGGAAGAGATCGAAAGGGAAGTCATGAGAGATTGGTAGGTGAGGGGCTTGAGGGTGGTGGAGAGGGTGAGGAGAGATAGGAGACGGAGTTTCAGCTCTTGCTCCGGTTTGAGAGCGGGGAGGTTGGGGGTTGCTGTATATTGACAATAAAAGATTAGTTAGGTATTATACAGCGCTCTATGGTTGAAGTTTCCAAGAAGGAAAAAAGGTGATGGGAGATCAAAGAAAGCGGGGTACTCACATTGATACTCCTCCCATGTTCCCCAGGCGAAGATTTCGAGCAGTTTTAGATATCCCTTGTATTCCTCTGGCGTGTCTGCTGATCGGAGAGCTTGCACGGTTGGTGTCTCCAGAAGCTCGGCAAAGACGTAGGTGTTGGGGCTCGAAGTGGCATTCGTTATCAAGTTCGCAACGAACCGGGGGGAAGTTGCGCTGTTGGAATTCGCAACGTGTATGAATGGTTGAAGAGCCTCCAGGGCTCGCGCGTGAGCTTGATCCATTATCGTAGATGCACCCTTGTCACGATCATGAGCAGAGAGGGCTAGGCAAGAGAGATGTTGGAGCTGTCTTGAGGGACTGGGAGGGACGGATAACTAGTAGCTGCTCTGGGAGAGTGTTTCGTCCCGCGGGCTGGAAAACGGACGATTTTTAAGCTCTTGAAAGGCTAACTTGCCAACTTGATACTGTCGATTAGAGGAGCCTCCTCGAATATTGTTTGCAAGTCCTAGACTGATAACGATGGTGATGGCCGGCGGTGATGGTAGTTGGATGGGGTTATTCTGCATACAGTGCAAACAGCTCCTCCGCAGCGGATATACTTCATACGACGGTGCACTATATATATACACTGACAGTTTCTCGGTGCCAGGTACAGAAATCCGGGTCTATTTCAGGCTAAAGTATTATTCAGTCCTATTCTACACATAGAAAAGAAATATATGTGTCAATATACAGTAGCTCTCTCGGGGCCATCTCGTGCAGAATCACTACCAGCTGGGTACTCTTCCATTGCTGCAACAATGTCACAGCCCCATTAGTTACACTCTCATTGAGCTGACTGTACCCTGGGCTTGCTGAGATGCTCCAATCGATGGAGATGGCCGTGAGGGATTGTATAATCAGACACTGGAGTTCGCTCTGGAGGGCATTCTTGCATCGCCTGGTTTTGGTAAGCATTGACCTGGTCTGCATACAGATTCACCCTCTCGGGGTAAGCGCCCATGTGCCGTGCGAAATACTCTTCATTATTATGTATACCTCTACTGGGATCCTCGGAGGTCCGCTGAAACTTCAGAGGCCGCTCATAGTATGAAGTACAGTCTCGATCAATAGAATAATATCCTCCAAATGTACCGGCTGTTTGCAGAGACGAGTAATTAGGAGGTCGAGATAGCGCAGATTGAGAATAATCTTCTGGCATTAAAGTCCGTTTCATTATTTTCCGGGATCTTTTTCGGAGCCTTAACTTCACGCCCTGGTCCACGAATGATCTTGATAAAAACGTCGATTCTGTCATACCGGGGAAGTACTTCTGGGAAGACACGGTGAAGCGATCAGAGATGACAGATTCGAGGCCGACAACAATGTCTTTTCTCATCTCGAAGAGAGTGAACCTCAACCGAAATTCACCTTCAACCTTTATGAATAAGTTCCCGAAAATAAAGAAGCCTCCGTCGCTATTATCGACGTCCTTCAGTCGGTGAAGGGACGAAACCAGTGTTCCTGCGAGAGCGGTAGACGGCTGCACCGTAGCCGGACGATCCTCTGCGGCGTCGTACAGACTCATGCACATAAAATAATATGGGTTTTGCAGGTAGTTCTGCGCGAGATAATGATTACCGTCCCGAATCCTGAGCTGAATGATGGGTGGCGGATCGATGGGCTTGCGGTCTCTTTCTTTGCTGCCAGCCATTTTTGCCCGATCGGGCTGTTGGCGGATCAACAATTCGAAATCGGCTCTATGAGTGGTCGGCATAATCAGAGATGTAACTGGGAATTATTGAATCGTGTATGGAACCACAGAGATGTACGTATACCTGAGTTGTGCTTGCAATTGAATTAGAATGAATCTCGGATCGCTCGATCTGATATTCTAGGAGGGCTTTTACATAGTTAACTGATTCTCCTTGTTCCTTGCCTTGCTTTGGTAGAGCTACTTTTCCATTTACGATCCCTAACGAAATCATCTCTCCGCTCTGTATTGATACTTGAACCTATATTTGGAGTTTAATATGTTCATATTCTTACTGAGATAGGCTTAGCACTTTCCTCGACATGACCTGGCTCCTATCCGAATGAGGAACCGACCCGAATCAACATTGTTAATAACGGTTCCCGTTCAGCCTAGATCTAAAGACTGGTCTAATCTATTACCTAGTCCAAGCTCAGCCGCAAGATTAGCTGCCTAGGTATTTCAGAGCGGCTCCGAATCGAGACGTGGAGTAAGATCTCATCAACCTCCCGCCCAATGCACCCGGGATCAAGCAATAAGGGTTCACTCTACGGTACTTGTGACTCAGTCTGACATCCCCATCTGCCTAATATGGTCATGAGACTCTCAGGAGCGCGGGATTTTGGGGATGTTGTCTTTTAGAAAGATTACCCGGCCTTGAGAGATGGCTATCTTACAACCGTAGAAGAGAGTCTGTATTCACTTTTGTACTTATTTTGCAGAAGAGAACCATTCATTGTTCGTGGAAAGAAACCCACCAAGAGGGGTATTCATGAAGAATGCTCGATGCAACATTTTTACTTGCCAGGTTGATGCCGTTCGTCTCGATTTGCCTATAGCTTCAGCAGACAATCTCTGTAGACTGGCCAGAAGAGACTTCGGTTTCGACCTTTGAAACGGACATGTTTCATGTGTCTTTTCCAAAACCGGCGGCAAGCGTTTTTCTCTACTATCGCCGATGCGTGAATTTACCACACGGCGTGTGAGCAACCACAAAGAACACGGTTTTGTGCGCCAGCAGTTGGATGCAATACCTACTAGTTAATGGATTTCGGACAGAAGAACAGCTATAGAGTCTTTGTTTCTACTTCCTCTTCGATGCTTCGGGACCAATAATCTTCGTACAATGGCAACAATCCGATATCGGCTTTCACCGCGTAAGCACGGCGTATTAGATCCCCAAGGCTGCAACCAGAAAGAGTGGCTTGGCTGATCTTGTCCTAGCGAAGCTTGGGTGTTTCTTTGTTCCGGTCACAAAACATTGAGGCGATCGATGAAACCATCTAGTAGTTTCGTCAGAACCATAAGCGGGTCAGTGATAACGACCTGTGCTGTCGCTAGAGCGCCAGTGTAAGTCACTAGACAGAACGCCTGGAGTGAACAAGCGCTTCTGATCACTTAACTAAGAGCTGGCCTAATCTTGTCATCTATGACACTTGGGTCTGAGAATGACCAAAGACAGACGGTGGCTTGCGGCAGGACTGGGGCTGTGAGACTTCACCGGCTCAGAGCCTAAGCTAGCGCACTCCAAGCAGAAAGAGGTATGGTAATAACATTCTTTAAAATGTGCCAGGGAAGAGCTATAATAACGCAGACTCGATAGAGATAATAATAATCCTGTTCTGGGAAGCTGGTTATGAATCCCTGGCTGCTCCGTGTTTCGCGGCCGTCGCAGATCCAGTTTCACCAAGTTGTGCGCAGTAGGAATACGGAAAGACGAGCCGGATAGAGGATGGACACAGGACAATAAAATCTCAGGCCACCCGGGACACAAAAAGACAAGCCTGAGTTCCACAGCTCTTCGTTTCTTTCTTTCTTTTGTTATTTTGATCTCACCTCATCTCATCTCAGCGCTGAGAAAGCATCGACGACCAATCAGCCTGCTGGGACGAGCCGGGAGAACCGCTGGATGAACGCCGGTCGTTGCCCAGTATAACTAATTATAATTCCCGCCCGGGATTTGGACTGGATGTATCCCTCTCTAGAGAGCTGGTCTTCTCTTTAATAATTATTATCTTCTCTTTAATGTTCTCCTAGAGTTGCTTATTCTTGTTTCTTTGTGTTACCCATCCCCAACCACCCCGCTCAACCTCGTGAGGCAAGCCTGGCTTTGACTTCCGTTCCGCAAACGTCAATCGGCGGCGGACTTGCGTGTGCTGGATAGAATTCGAATTCGATAGCATCGGATCAAGCCCCCCTTGATAAAAGCACTCCATGTGCTAGAAGACACCTTGTCGGATTGTTTCTTCTGCTTCCTGCCTCGAATCCGAGCGCGATGGCGTCCTCTTCGTATGCGCCAGTGCCTACGACAGCCGATGACGAGTCCGCCGCTTCCAGAGGGCCACCGGCCGCGCACATGGCCACGACAACGGTGAAGGTGGACGGGATGACATGTGGAGCATGTACCTCGTCAGTGGAGAGTGCGTTCAAAGATGTCCCCGGTGCAGGGAACGTATCTGTCAGTTTGGTGATGGGCAGGGCGGTGGTCCATCATGACCCGTCGCAGCTACCGGCGGATAAAGTAGCTGAGCTGATCGAGGATCGGGGCTTCGATGCGCAAGTTCTATCCACCGACCTTCCAGATACCCAGGCAGACGAGATCGAGGACGACGGTCCGGAGATGGTGACAACTACTTTGGCAGTGGAAGGAATGACCTGCGGTGCTTGTACCTCAGCGGTCGAGGGAGGATTAAAAGAGGAGGCCGGCGTGCGATCGATAAGTGTATCTCTTCTGTCAGAGCGTGCGGTCGTGGAACATGACCCGTCCGTGATCACGCCGGAGAAGATTGCAGAAGTAATTGAGGATCGTGGATTTGGCGCTACAGTGCTGGACACCAAACCGTCAGAGGCGCGGTCTTCGAAGACAAAGGGACCGGCTGAGGAGAAGCCCAAGTTCTTGACGACGACGGTCTCTATTGACGGAATGACCTGCGGTGCATGCGCCTCGAGCGTCCAGAGAGCTTTTGACGGCGTCGATGGTCTCCTGCAGTTCAACATCAGTCTGCTGGCAGAGCGCGCAGTCATCGCCCATGATCCTCTAAAGCTGTCTGCGGAGAAGATTGTCGAGCTGGTCGATGATGCTGGCTTTGATGCGCGCATAGTGTCTTCCGAACCGCATACATCCGGGTCTTCCAAAACGTCCAAGTCAGTAAACCTTAGCCTCTATGGTCTTACAGATGCTGCTGCGGCAACCTCTCTGGAAGAAACAGTCCGCCAGAAACCCGGCATCATCTCAATATCTATATCCGTGGCTACATCACGGGCCTCTGTCAGCTACAACTCGTCCATCATCGGTATCCGCTCCATCGTGGAGACTATCGAGGCCGCTGGCTTTAATGCTCTGGTGTCCGATTCAGATGATAATAATGCGCAGTTGGAGTCCTTGTCAAAGACAAAGGAGATTCAGGAGTGGAGACGGGCGTTCCTGTTCTCCCTCTCTTTTGCTATTCCGGTCTTCCTTCTGGGCATGATCGTCCCTATGTATCTGAAGCCGCTGGACTTTGGCAAGTTCCAGATATTGCCTGGTCTCTACCTGGGGGATCTCATCTGTCTGGTCCTTACGATCCCAGTACAATTTGGTATTGGTATGCGCTTCTACGTTGCCAGTTTCAAGTCTCTGAAACACCGTTCTCCCACGATGGACGTCCTGGTCATGTTGGGCACATCGTCTGCCTTCTTCTTCAGTGTCTTCACCATGTTCATGGCTATCTGGTACCCGCCGCACACACGACCGCATACCGTCTTCGACACAAGCACCATGCTCATTACTTTCATCACTCTTGGTCGCTGGTTGGAGAACAGAGCAAAGGGTCAGACGTCTAAAGCCCTATCACGTTTGATGTCTCTGACTCCCTCGATGGCGACGATCTACGAAGATCCGATCGCTGCCGAGAAAGCCGCAGAGGAGTGGGAAACCTCAGCGAAGTCGCCGCAGGAGAAGACTGACGAGGCCACCCCTGCTCACACACGAAACGCGGGTTTGAAAACAATCCCAACCGAGTTGATTGAGGTCGGTGACGTTGTCGTTTTGCGACCTGGTGACAAGGTATCGGCCGATGGTATTATCATCCGCGGAGAGAGCTATGTTGACGAGAGCATGATCACTGGAGAGGCCATTCCGATCCACAAGAAGAAAGGCAGTCTCGTCATCGCTGGTACTGTCAACACGGCTGGCTCGATGGATTTCAAGGTCACCAGAGCCGGTCGAGACACTCAACTTAGCCAGATCGTCAACCTCGTGCAAGAAGCCCAAACGAGTCGAGCGCCTATCCAGCGTATGGCTGATGTCGTCGCCGGTTATTTCGTCCCCACCATTATTTCCCTTGGATTGATCACTTTCATCGGCTGGATGATTCTCAGTCACATCCTCCCCAATCCGCCAAAGATCTTCAATGCGGCAGGTAACGGAGGGAAGGTCATGGTATGCCTGAAGCTCTGTATTTCCGTCATTGTCTTTGCCTGTCCTTGTGCCCTTGGCCTTAGCACTCCCACAGCGGTCATGGTTGGCACGGGAGTGGGCGCCGAGAATGGTATCCTCGTGAAGGGAGGCGCTGCCTTGGAAGCCGCAACAAAGATCAACCATGTCGTGTTTGACAAGACAGGAACCTTGACCGTAGGAAAAATGAGCGTCGCTGAGACGAGAATGGAACGCATTTGGTCATCCAACGACTGGCGCCGGCGTCTATGGTGGCTGATTGTTGGTCTCGCGGAGATGGGAAGTGAACACCCGGTGGGAAGAGCTATCGTCGAAGCTGCTAAGGTGGAGACTGGAGGCTCTAGCGAAGAGACGCTGGATGGCAGTGTGGGCGATTTCGAAGCTACTATCGGCAAGGGAATCTCTGCCGTCGTGGAGCCCAACTCTGGTGTTGAACGCACGCGGTACCGCGTCCTGCTGGGAAATGCGTCCTTCCTCCGGGACCAGGATGTGCAGGTCCCTGAAGCCGTTGACCCCGACTCTCAGCCTCCTGACGAGTCTGCCTCTGCGTTTTCTGTGCCGTCAAAGCCAAATGACTTCGCCGGGCTGACCCTTATTCATGTGGCCGTCGACGGTCAGTACGCGGGCACCATCTCGCTCCGCGACTCGCTCAAGCCATCCGCTGTTGCTGCAGTTGCCGCAATTCATCGTATGGGCTTCAAGACCTCACTCATCACAGGCGACACATACTCCACGGCTCTGTCCGTTGCGAAGGCAGTGGGCATCCCACCTGTGTCAATCCGCGCTTCCGTGTCTCCCTCCCAAAAGCAGACCATCGTTGCCGAGCTTCAGGCCGGCGGAGATCGTGTCGCAATGGTTGGAGATGGTGTCAACGACTCGCCAGCCCTGGCTACCGCGTCTGTGGGAATTGCGCTCGCATCGGGTACCGACGTCGCCATGGAAGCAGCCGACATTGTGCTCATGCGACCGGATGACCTGCTGTCTGTTCCCGCCAGCTTCTCCTTGGCCCGCTCGATCTTCAACCGCATCAGACTCAACCTCATGTGGGCCTGTGTCTACAACATCATCGGTCTACCGTTCGCCATGGGTCTTTTCCTCCCATTCGGAGGCATCACTCTACATCCCATGGCCGCTGGCGCCGCGATGGCTGCATCGAGTGTCTCCGTCGTCGTCAGCAGTCTGCTCCTCAAATTCTGGAGCCGCCCACGCTGGATGAGCGTCGAGAGGCTGGAAAAGGAAGTACAGACGGGCAAGATCAGATCTCACCTGTCTCGAGACCTGCGCTGGACCGAAGTCTTAGCAGCCTCCGTCCCAAGATCTCCTCGTGGTGCGCTCGATCAATTCAAAGCTCTTGCTTCTGCCGCGATTGGCATTATTACCGGCAAGGGATCAACAGGAGCCAGAGGCGACGAAGGTTACATTCCACTGCAAACGGTCGAACCAGTCTAAACACCTCGGTAGAAAGTATGTATCATCCGTCATGTTCATGGATGAGTCCATATGTTTTTGTTCCTTTTTTGTGTATATTTTGTTTTGTCTGGGTTATTTTTAACTTCTATGATACCTCTATTGTTTGCTGGCCCTTTTTTTTTGTCAGATTTCTTTTGTTCATGGTAGAGTCCTGCTAGACAGACAGTACATGCATGTAGTTCCTTGCCGTGATGACTTTGTACAGTTGTATATAGTCTAGGCTGTATGGACACCGCAATGAGAGTAATGAACGAAAGTGTATAATTTATAAGGAAAGATAGATCTAAGATAAAGACTAATATGTAGATCCTCGTGGTTTCTATATAGCATTGGGCAATAAATACGGAAACTACATCAGACTATATCTCCAGGGAGGGATTCGATATTTGTGGATGGATAATCACATTTCGAAAATGATAAGTGAATGAAAATGAAAACTGATAATTGGCCGTGAGAGTGGAAATAGCGACGCCAGATTAAAAGCAATGTCCATCTTGTGCACATCGATCAAGATGCAAGAAGTAAGTAGCCCCTGACCGCGAACAAATAACAAAAAACAGGCCAATTCAAGCCCAGAATCATCGACCCCATCCATTTCTGTAGTATTCACTATACAAGACCCGAACTAGTAGTAAAAAAAAAAAAAACAAAGAAAAAACCCAGTTTCAACCATACTTTGCAGCCTGCGTCGGCGGTGGTGGGAAATACATCTGCGGCTGCGGCTGTTCCTGATACGCATATCCCGACATCGAACCTCCACCAGTATGCAAATGCAGAGGACCACCCGGATTCGGTGTGCTGAAGTGATGTCGAAGCGGGAGGTCACTTGCTTGGGATCCGCTGTCGAGTCGAGTAAACGCTAGAGTGCGCGGGGTCATTGCTGGGAATGAGGTCCCTGTCATTGGGCCTGGAGTCATGGGATAGGTTCCCGATGGGGGAGCTCTGAGGATCGAGTCTTCGTAGGCTTTGAGAGCGCGCTTCTCTTCGCGGCGTTCGCGGTATGCTTCGCGCTCGGCTTTGGTGGAAAAGCAGGAAATGAGGGCAATGATGAATTCGGAAAAGTAGATGATGCTGGTGATGTGTGTTAGTTAGTACTAGATGAAGAAGGAAAGAGAGGTTATATAGGATTTTTGCATACGTGATGATGATGGTGATGGCAAAGAGGGATTTTGCCTGCTCGCAGTATCCGATGTTGGACTTGTGAGCTGCTACGCTGCAGCTTTTGGTGATATACCATGGTGGTCCTGGCTGGGGGTGTTGCGGATCGGACATATCTTTGCCTGCTTGGAATGATGCCGCTATTGAGTACAGCACGATCAGAGCTCCGTGTACGGCGACGGAAATGGGTGGGTAAAACACCCGTAGGATTTGCATCGGGGCCTTGGTGAGTAGGAAAAAAGTGCTCAGCACTCCGAGAACGAGGTTATATTCCGTCAGGCTATGAGTATATTTGTTAGCTTGTATGTCCTTAGAGTGGATTCAATATCTGGCACAAAAACATACAATGAGCTCCAAACCATGGGGGCTGTATATGGTCTGTAGTTGGCAGCAGCGTAGATGGCTTCGTCTGGAGCGCTGTTAAAGCCATTATCGGCGCCGTCCTGCCAAAGCTTCGTTCGATATGTGTTATGATCCGCGATTCCGGTGAGTATCAGAATCACAACTGTAAATGGGAACTCTGCCGCCATCATGATCAAGGCCGCTTTGTGCGACCGGTACTTCTTTGGGAAGAACATGATGTCTGCTTTTGTTCTGCACTTTTGTCTGTCTGTCTGTCTGTCTGGATGGATGGATGGATGAGAGTTCAAGGTCGAGTAACAGGTGTTGGATATCGCGCGAAATCGCGAATCGCTTTCTTGGATCTATAAGTAATAGTAAACAGCGTCAAGTACTTAGCATCTATGCCAGACCGGCTGGCTGCCCGTTCATAACGCTGCCATCGAAACACTCGCTGCGGCCCTGACAAGAATTCAATCTCACGGACAAAGACGAGGCCTGGGAGAAACGGTCCAGATATGGGGAATCCGCTCCCTGGTCTTATGGCCGGCCAGACTGCCCTCCATGACTGGGATTGGGGAGAGGGGTTTGGGCCGTGGGACGATATGTCGAATACCAGAAGACTGACAAGCGCCGAGGGTTCCCTGAGATGCAGTGGCTTGATGCTTGTTGAGTACAAGGCGCCAGTGAGATTGCAGCATCGACGATCGTCCGCCAGCGCGAAGATGTGACGGCGTTGAAGATGTCGCCAATGAACGGCGCAAGAAGCATCTCTCCCGGGCGGCCCGTCACACGCTAACAAGTCAAAAGGTGATCGGATGGCGAGCGCTTGCAGGGCCAGGACATTCTGTTGGATCAGAAGCATTCGAGGGCGCTTTCAGTGGTGATCTTGTGGTTAGCAGCGCAGAGATACTTGACATATTCTATCCGCCTGTTCTGTTGATTCGAGCTTCTTTTGGCTCCAAACGTCATCGCGGGGAAAGTAAGTAAGATTAGATCTCAGTTAACAACTAACTGACACTAACTTACTGCATGGGGAATCTCCGATCACTGGCATCCTATACCACACTGGTGCGTCCGCGAATCTCCTGTCGAGCTTCCCAACTCCGTCGTCTGGCTATTCCCCAAAGCAAGATGAGTACAAGAGAAGACTCCATTCCGCATGAACTGCGGACAGCAGCAGAACCACGACAGAATAAATTGTACCCCGTCCGGATATCACAGATTGACCAGGTCAACCCCTCAATCCGCCTGCTCCGGCTGGCGTTGCCGCCAGGAGGCGACCAAACAGATGAAGGAGAAGTATGACGATCCATTCCCCATAATATATAAAAGTAGACATTCTTCGATCTTTATATGGATCGAGTGCCTGTTCTACAATGCTATCATTGCCTCTCACCCCGTGATATTGTTTAACTGTATAGATCAAGCTGATTTCTCGCGGTTATCTCGACCAGGCGGACCCCAATCCGGAGCAATTTACTTTTCTCCCAGGCCAATGGCTGGATGTTTTCATTCCGTCAATATCCCATGCGGGTGGTTTCACCATAACCTCCACTCCAGCAGATGCCCATCTCCTTCCATCGCCAGAGCCTCCAACGGAGTCCTTGTCCATCGAGGAGGAAGATCTACCTCCTGTGCGGTCAACGGGCAGAACACCCTATGTCGAACTAGCAGTGCAAAACGCGCCATCTAATCCTGCAGCTGCATGGCTGTGGAGACCCAAAGAAGAGATCCTCGGCAAAGAACTAAATGTTCGCGTGGGAGGCAGCTTCATATGGCCGCCAGCTGGGTTTAACACGAAGGATATCAGAAATGTCGTCTTCATCGCTGGCGGAGTGGGTATAAAGTTAGTGTGTCCATTTCCCTTTCTTTTTTTTTTTTTTTCTGAGGACATTATTGTTAACTATTATACAGCCCTCTCATATCCATATTATCCCATCTAAAAAATGACGACACGGCCACTCTCTCTCCTGGAACAGAAGTCCATTTCCTATATTCGACCCGGCTTCCTCCCAGCAAGTCCGTCAGCAACTTCCAAGCGGCACTAGATCAGATTCTCTTCTTGTCTCGTATACGGGAGATTATCCACTCGCATGCTCCGTCTCGACGTCTCCGTATCTCTTTGGACTTGTTTCTCACAAATCTGAATGAATATCCCGATTTAAAGATATCTACACCTCAAGATATGAAGATCCATGATCGTCGTATCACTGCTGAGGACTTGAAGACCGCCGTCACTGGATCTAGCGGAGATGAGACCGGCACCGGGACGGTCTGCTACATCTGCGGACCGCCGCCGATGACGGATGAGTTGGCGGACAAGCTCAAAGGCATGGTAGGGAGCGAGCGGGTGTCTTATGAAAAGTGGTGGTGAGAGAGTGCAGTCCACTCACTCGTCTTTGCTCGATCAACAGGTGCATGGTGCTGCGAGTTGAAGGGCGTGGGTAGGAATGCAGAAATTGACTCAACTCTCAAGTCACTCACCTCCCTGATCCCTTTGGAAATCACCGGAAGAGTATGACTGTTCTAGATAATATGTATTCTCTATCTAACTGACTCTTCCGCTACATACGTATCATCCTTAAAAATACCACCCCATGAAACCAGATACTAGTTATCCCTGAGCGATCCGCCATCAAGCATAGATCATAAACCTATCCTACCTACCACCGAGTCCATATTGATCAACCCCCCGAAAGCTTTTCCGGACCATTACAAAAAAATCCATATAAACAAAAGAAGATACAACATAACTCCTCATTTCCAGCTCCTCAAACAAAACAACAACCACCTCCCAGGACAAACTCGGACAAGGAGACACACGACACACGACACACCGAGATGGACACCGCCATAATCGGTGCTATAATAGGCGGAGTCGCTCTGGTCGTGATCTTTATCCTCATCACGCTCTACGGCACACCATGGGGGTTCCATGCAAGAGGGGTAAAATGGGAAGCGAGGAGGGATCAATCATGAGCTGGGTATATCTTCGCGGTTAAATGTCCCTCTGTGAGTGATGAGAGGTCAGGGTGTGTCTGTGGCTGGGTAAGGAGTACATGCATAAGAGTAAATGGGTTGGTTGGTTTGGGGGGAAGACTAGATTCTGATGGACTGGGCAGGTTCGACTCTTTCCTTTTGGTATGTTTTTCGAGGCCATATCCTTTTTTCCCCCTCTTCTGGAGTTAGTGAACTGCATTTATCTAGCTAGCTAGTCATAGATAATAATGATGCGTCGTGCTCTTCATCTGTTCGTTTGCTTCCTCTTAATAGTTATCTAGTTAGTTACTTGCTCATCGATGATTCCTCATCCAGGCAATTCTTCTTTCCCTTTATTTAAGACGGCCTAGTTCCAGTCTCTAATCTCAAAGATTTGAGACAATTGGACTGAAAAGACAGGATACCCTTCTCATATGCATTGTGCTCCAAGTGGGGAATCTGATTTGCAAGTGTACAGTATATATCCATACAATGTGTAACAGGAGCATTTGAAAAAAAGTAAATAAAATCGAACAATGCTCGAGAAGCAAGCAAACAAGCAAGAAAGCAAGGATATGCTTCGTGATATGTGTGTAATATATCCCATCCGTTCATTTCAGCCGACCCAAAAAAACAGCAGAGGTAGGAATTTCATGTAATAGGGCAAGATAAAAAGGGTCGGCTGTTGATGCAGGTTCGCTCGCGCCATTTCATCCTCCTCCTCCTCCTTTTCTTTCAGAATATTCGTACATAAATCAATGGTTCTGTCCCAGAGTGGGTATGCGTCCGGCTCTATTGATCATGAACCATCCCAGAGTGGGTGTATCGATCATGGAACCATGTATGATCCAACTCCAACTATCTTTCTTCTTCCTCACGGATCCCGCAGCACTTATTTCTTCTTCTTCCCAGCCGGTTCCTGCTGCTGCTCCTGACCAAAAGAGCTGATCAGATCCAGCAAGTTGTCTTCCTCCTCCTCATCCAGGGCCGCCTGAGCAGCAGCTTCTGCATCAGCCTTCTTCTTTTCCTCACTGGTCTGCACCTTGCCATCCGTCTCCTCTGCCGGTGGCGCTGCTGCGTCCCAGCTTCGACCGAACTTGGCTCGGAAAGCGGCCAATCGGCCGGCCTCGTCCTCCTCGACGTTCATCAGCTTCGTGCTGGACGGGTTCCAGAGTAGGGAATTGCGCGTGTCGCGAGTCGAGCGGTACACAGGGAGCGGGGAGGTGGTGCGGTGCGTGAAAGTGCTTCCGTCAGAAAGAGTGATCAGCTGAGTAAACGTATACGGACGCTTCGGTCTGCGTAGCAGAGTGGCATGTCGGCATTGAGTGCAGATGAAGGTGGGAGTGGACAAGATCGAGGATGTGCCGGCGGCTGCACTGCCCGTGCGGCGGACGGTGAGGTGTATCGACATTTTGTTTAAGACGTGACTGGACAATTGAAAGGAGTCACTGCAAGTTTTCTCTTGATGAAGCTCGTGAAAGAGAAAATGGGGAGCTCCTTGAAGTTTTGGTCTTATCGTTTCGGAGTTGGAGAAATTTAGCGGAGTCGGACACCGCGGGTTGGGTTATGTAAGCCGATCCCAGCGCAGTCAAAGTATCCATCAAACTATCTCGATCTTGCGGGCAAAAGCAGAGCTGCTTGTTTTACCTCCTACTTGACGGACAGATCACGATGGATAGCTGTTGATGCACTTTTCCATAGTCCCAAACTGGAGCTCATGATGAAGTCGAAGAGCTTCAACTGTTTGTATACCTCCTATAATTGCCGCGCCGTCCCGTGAAGCCCTTCGTCTGTACTCCGTCACTTCGTCTTCTCCGACGGAAGAAGCATGAAGCTGCTACTACTATATAGACGGCCGGTCTTTCTGACCTGGCGAGTTTCTAGCCATGGAAGGGGTATGTCATCATTCATTAAATATGCCATTGCTACTTTATACATACTAATAAATCAACTCCAACCAGGAATATCAACATCCCGCCTCCCCACCAGCTCACGAATCCCTCCACGACTCAGTCCACAACAATCGCTCCTCCATCGCTCCATCGCCACGAACGCAACGGCCCTAAACAAACACGCACAGCAATCCTCGCCCTCGAACGAAGAAGAGGAACAATCCTCTCCGTCCCTCTCAGACCAAGTCCGCTTCCTCATGCGCCAGGTCCCGCACCCTGTCGCCATCATCACCGCAACAGACCCCAACAGCCCAACAGCAAACGAAGCATATCGCGGAATGACCGTCTCGTCCTTCAACACTGTGACTCTCTATCCAGAACCCGTCATTTCATTTAACGTGAAACGACCCTCGGAGACGCTCCACGCCCTCCAGACCTCGGGCCATTTCCACGTACATTTGCTCGCGCCGAGCGAAGCGACTGCGAAACTCGCGCGCGATTTCTCAAGAGGGAATAATAACTTACAGATCGTGAAGGGTGAGGGAAGGTTTGAATTCTTCTCAGATTCGGGTTCCGAGACGACGGGTCAGGGGCGGGGCCCTCCAGTGCTGCAGAGGAGGAGAAAGGATAATAGCAATAAAGATGAGAATGACTCAGCCATCATCGACTTCCCGTTTATATTCGAATGCCGCGCTCATCCCCAGAAGATCGAAGTGTATGACCATACCATCGTGCTGGGGACCGTGGTGCGCACCCTTCGACATCCTGCTGCTGGACGACGGGGAGGTATAAGTGGAAATGCGAGAGATGATGACGATCCGCATTCAAAGGAGGATCTCTGCTTGACGTATGCGGATACCAGGTTTTGGAAGATGGGTGAGGTCGTATAGTCAATAGGTTAGGGTCATTGGCTCGTTTTACCTTTATGCAAGAGATACCATGGTTTTTATGTACAGTACAATATTTGCGGAATGGAAAAAGTCCAATGTCAATGTTACAAGCTTCAATCGCTGGGTTGGTCCAGCTATTCTTGGACTATCCTTATAGTGTGGACAATATAATATAGAGGTTATGTGAATCGAATTAGCAGGTAGAAACTTTTTGGCATTCGTTTTTTTCCCGTTCTTCGGGCTGGTCCGGCTAGCTACAAATGTCCCAATTCCATTGCAAGCTCCTTTCCCTTCTGCTGGTTCTTGTTCCATTCGTGTACAAAGCGTCTTACCGGCCGCCTCGGTGGACATGGCGACTAGACAGGATATTGTCAAGAGAACAAGATATCCGTGGAGTAGAATCGAGGATTCACGGAGGGTAGGAGGCTGACAGTGATCAAAGAACCCATCTATAAGACGTACGAAGAAGCCGATTCAAGCTGGAAGAGAAGAGCGAATCACGAACATGGTGGACAACCAAACGACCAAACAAAGCACGCAGGGAGAGATGCCCCTAACCGAGAGGACGTGCCACAGCTGAGAAGCAAGCTGTATATTGGGAGAACAGATAGATCTTCTAGCTCAATTACCAGATCCCCTTTCCGCGAGAAGAGCTGGGGCTACCACTGCCGCTTCCACTGCCGCTTCCACTTCCACTGCCCCGGCTCGCCGCCCGATTGAATGGACTAGCAATGAGTCCGTAGCCAAGGTTGGCCTGGAGTGAGTCGGAACCAGAGCTTCTTCTCTTTACTGCCACGCTGTCAGGCACATCAACCGCCAGTGAGGGCACCCGACCCATGTCCATCGCATCGAACTCAGCATACATGCTGCTACGCGCAGAACGGTTCGAAGACGAACGGTCGCGGTTGTTAGCATCCAGACCGAAGTACGAGTTTGCGCGTACCAGAGGGGACACAGGGAACTGGTTGTTCTGCGACGCGCGCTGAATAGGACTTTCCGGGTGAGAGGACGAAGCACCGATGGGCGACGGGGAAGTCTGATGAGGACTGGACTTCAGTGGCGGGAAGGTCAACGCCAGAATCGACCTGCCGTTCGCAGAACCGGCGTTGTCCGGGTGAGAATTGGTACCGGGCAGGTTTCCTTCAGGCGTGAGAGGTCCAGTTTCCATCAGCATCTGTTGCTGCTGCTGCTGCTGTTGGATAGCCTGTTCGATGGCGGAGGCCTGCTGCCACAGCTGGTTGGTGCGCACTTGGTAATCCTGCACAGATTGACTGATGCTTGCCAGCTGTTCATTGAAATTTGCCTCGATCTTCGCTTGCTCCTGCTCTCGGGCAAACTGTTCGGCAGCCCTACGCTCCCTCTCATTGAGCCCTTGCGCGTTGGCAGACACGATCCGTTCGTACTGTTCGTTCACTCTCGTCCTGCGACTCTGCAGACGTTCGCGCCTCTGGATGGTCTGGTTGAGCTCAGCTTCCAAGGAAGAGAGCTCCCGGGCAACAGCTGCACGGGCAGCAACCAGTTCTTCCTTGGCCGAATTCAGCAGTTCCAGCTCTTTTTCGAACTTCGCTTTCTGCGAAGACCATTCCTCCAGTTCTTCCTCCGGAATGTGCTCCAAATTGTCGAGCTGCGATTCAAGCGCTGCGGTGGCTTCCTCCGTCTGGCGAATGTTCCGTTCCAGCTGCAAAGAGCGTTGCTTCTGACGGTTCTCGTCATTTCCAGTATTCAGTCGGTGATTGTAGTTATCTAGCTCCTTCTTAATCCTCGAAACAACCAGTTTGTGATCATTCTTGGCTTTCTTCAAACGGGATCGTTTCTCATTCAGCTTAATCTCGGCATTGACGATCGAGTTCTTGAGAGTGGTGGTGGGAGAAGACGGTCTATACGACGGTCGTGGCGGGACAGATGGGGACAAGTTTACTGTAGAAGCTAGTTAGATCCGATGGCCACGAAATATCACATTGTACGGTCTTACCTTGTTCTGCGTGGGGTGTCGAGGGGGTCTTGACACTCACGACGCAAATCTCCTCGCCCGTATCGCTGCGCACAAAAGAACAGGTGTATGCACAATTAGGGGCAAGACCGGAGATCTCCCCACGCCACTGAACCGCACTTGAGCCTTTAGAGTCCTCGTGGACTCTAGAGATTGTAGCAGTAGCCCAGTGGGCGCCATTGACATAGACGTAGAATGGCTCCAACTCCTCGTTTCCCAAGCCTCCAGCCTCGCAAACGGCCGATGTAGACGGTTCTTCCATCGATACGAAATCACCTGCGGCGAATTTGATTGATGAACTGTCAATGCTCGTAATCCAGACCAAACCCTCTTCCAGAGTCACTCCCTGGAGGTCTTCTTCGGTCATTGGGAGACTTCGCGCAGTTTTCGACACAGCCCTCGAATGCTCGTATTCCCTCATAACGGTGACTTTTGTGCTCGCCAGAGCAGCCCAGAATGGTTGCCGACTTCGCACTTGATTTGCCTGCCTTCTTCGTTTCTTCGCGGATGTTAACCGGTCCCTGCTCTCTTTTAATGCGGGCGGCGTGACTACTTGGCCATCAGCGCCTATCATGGAGGAAACACTAGCGCCAGACTCGAATGCGGAATCAACCTGAGTCTGAGATCCCGCAGACGCTTCTGTATCGCCTCGTTTCCCAGTTCGAGATGGTGGGGTAGAACGGTTTTTAGCCATTGATCTTCTTGCCATGGCGGTTCCCGCCTGTGCTAGGATATGAACGGCCAAGAGACTCCTGATCCAGCTCGGTGAGGTTTGCGATTCAGCGCGTCTGAACTCAGGCGGTATGAGATGGGCGTATTGTGCGAGCATATCGGGGCTGATTATCTTTGCGGAGATTAAATGCCCTAACACGAAATCCTGAATACCTTTGCTGCGGATGAGATGCAGGATCAGAACGATACCAACACACAAAGCGTTGACACCTCCATTTTTCCCCGAACTACCACCTCCTAGCGTAATTGCGACCTGCACCTGGGCCAGATCCAGCGCGAAATTCTGCGCCCATGACCACATGAACAGACCCCACACCAGTAAGCAGAACCCATCCATCGCGATCATCGTCCCGAGTGAAGGAGTTCCGGCGGGTCCCTGGAAGATATCGAAGTTGGACGTCAAGGATCCGGAGGAGGCGCCGCCGGGAGGCATGAAAGTCAGCGAGGCAAAGAGAAACTGGACCAGCGTAAGGACCATTGGCGGCAACTGCAGGAGGAAGATGAGAATGGCGATGGTGTCGTACATCGGGCAAGACTTGAGAATGGTTGACGCGAGCATAAACGGGTTCACGGAGGAGTTCTGGGTCGACCGCTTGGTTCCTGCTGTCGCCTTGTCGGGGCAACGAGAAGCCTGGCCTGACAGGGTCGCGTCGTCAGGCGCCGCACCGTTTGTGTGCCTGTAAGTCGCATCCACGCCACCCTTGCTATAACCGTTGACATAGGCCCGTCCATTGCTTTCCATCTTGGAGCCCTCCGCCGCAACGTTCAACTTGACCGTCGCAGCCGCCGCCGCCGCCGCGGACACCATGGCGGAATCAGAGGCACGGCCAGACAGATCAACCTGGGAGCCTGAGCTGGAGGAAACCCCGCTGGGAGGGGTCCCGTCTAGGTGCCCATTAGACTTCTGCTTTGTTACTCGTTTTCCGGGGCCAACGAGGCCGTTTTCGTGCCGATTGCTGTGATGATTCTTCCTAGGCGCGGCCGCTGGACGTGGCATCGACGAGGGAACGAAACACCCAGGTCCGAGTCAGCTTGGCAGGAACGAGCCAAGGACTTGGACCAGGCTGAAGAAATTCGAGAGACACGGCGAAGTGAATCTAGGAAAGGGATTTCGGAAGGGAGGGGGGGGGTGGTGTTGGAGAGAGCGAAAAAGAGAGAGAATGACTGCGGGAGAGGAAGTGGCAGAAGGGACTCTGCACCAGAGAGCGAGACACTGGCGTGTGGCGGGGTTGGGATTTCGCCAAAGGTGAAGGAGAGTCGAGGTTCTGCGTAGTAGTATTATGGGAAGATCGATTTGGACGGGAAAAGGACCGGACAAAGACGAGATAATATTAGTTTGCAGTCTTGTCGATCTCGAACAGAACAAGAACGAAAGACTGTTCAAAGTTACCTTCGCTTCAGCCCTTTTTGCGTGTCTAGCGCTGTCTGGTACGGTAACGGCCGTGACCGTACGGGTACGCCTCAGTACAGCCTCTTGCCTGGGCTGTGGTTCCGACTGGCTGGTAAGTTACGAATTACAGATACGCAGTGCTTTGCTCTGGATCTGGAGGTTTGCAACACTGACTGACAGCTCAGTTGATAGCATAAAGGACGCTCTGGAGCTATACCGTAGAGCACGATGCCATTCTCCCCAGTCGCGTGTGAGGATCTGCTGTGTTTTCAAAGCATAGATTCGGATAGTGAACTTGGCAGAGAGCACAACTTATTACTGTACGTCCTGCTAAGCTCGGCAGTGGCGCGATCTTACCTTTCGGTGACGGGCTAAGGGGAGCCTACTGTAAGCCGCGTGACGGATAGACCGGACCTGCTCCGTCTAACGTGGACAACTGTTCCGCCAGCTGTCCATGATATGCTGGTGTTCGTGGGCGACAACGAATGGTCTGGTCCTGGTTCTACTGTACTATGTCTAGGTCTGTTTCAGGTCGAAGGCTCCGCATGATTGATATAGGATCCAATATATCTGGTCAGTCTAGGATGAAGAACGAAAGGCGGTTCATGGAGTGATATCAACAGAGCCTGTACGCAACTAGAGAGCTAAGAGATTTGTCCATTGTTTTATATATCTATATCGGACGGGCTACCAGCATCTGCATTAGGAAGCCAGCAACTAACGACGCGCGAACTGATGGTCAATGGGGAAACCGATTTCCTGGCTCCCAGAACACCAGACATATTATTATTCAACCCAGAAATACAGTTTCCTAGCCGTATTGCTATTTCTTTTGGTGAGCGCTTGTTAGGTTCCCAATCTTCGGTAGCCCCGACAATATGGTTTGCTTTTGTCACCCGGTAAACAGATCTATTCTCCGTCATTGAGGTGTCATCAGCACTGCGCAGTCCTTTCATGTCCAGCACAGAAGAGGAACAGTGACTCGGCACACGGTTTCTGCAACATCCTCGGTGGGCGGAAGCATGCGACGATCACCCCGGGGCGCAGAACATACTTACAGTGTGCGGGGAAGGTCACCGCATTTTTCATATACTTCGTGGCGATGAAGGAATCGTCAGTGGTACCATTGTTATAGACAGTATCCGGTCATTTGTGTGGCCGGTCGTGAAAGTGGTTTATCCCGTAGATAATATATCATATCATATTTCGGGTGGTCCATCATCCCCTCACCAGTGCAGGATGCATCATGTCTATGGTAGATAGCCGTTGGACGAAGACAAGGATGTCACGACATGATAGAACAAAAACTACTATATAGTTAGTAGATCGGCCGGTTGCTCAGGCAGTCCCCTGCTCATAGAGTGCAGTAGATCAGACCAAGCCAGACAGAGGAATGGTTCCCGAGGAATATTTCCGAATCGGGAGGGCGTACGATGAAACGGTAATATCATTTCCACTCGACGGAAAGAATCCTCCGCGGTGGCCATTGTGATTTGTGCTCTTCACAGCCGGATCCGCGGACTATCTCTCCATCAAAACGCTTGCCAGCACCTTCTTTTCTGCGTCCCCGGCTGATAATCGGGCTAATGCACGTCGATTCGCGGAGGGAGATGATGAGTTTTCCGGTCTGACAGCAAATCATGGATCGATCGCGACTCCCAAAACGGACGGTCGTAGCCATTATTACCGTATTGCTTCTGCCCCGCGATGCTGTGGGTGAAGATTTTGGCTCTCCCTTAACTCGTCTGTTCAACCTCCGAGGGTCTGAAAAAGAAACTCGGACCGGTCCCAGCTACCTATTCTATATTCTCCTTCGTCTCTGGTCGATAGTAAAAAAATAATAATAATAATAATAAGCCTCTGGTGCAAAAACTCGCCCTAGAGCGGGGGACCCAAGGCCTGGGCTGGTCAGCCAAATCCACCGGGCTGTCTTTTGCCAAGCAGAGAACATTTGAAGGAAATCAGCCTTTTCCCGAAAGGCCGTCGTTACCGGTCGATAACTGGTCTTAGTTTGAACTCTGCAGAAGAGCCTTCGTGCGCGGTACGATCATCGGCTCATGCAGCCTCAAGGCTCGAACTAACGAGCGATCCAAGCGAGTTTGTCACATGGTGCCTCTTCTCTCGCATTCGAGACGGGCTCTCTTGAACAATTGTGCCAGCAGGAGAAACCCCCCGCCAATTTGGCCGTGTTTGGATGCTGTTTCTATCATAGACAGCCTCAATGTTGAAGACGGGAGGGCGGGAATCCTGGCTCCATCGCGGCAGGAAAGCCGCCGAATGTCTGGAATGAGGGATCTCCCAAGGGCCAAATCTGGACCATTCCTGACTCATGGTAGTAATTTTTTTTTTGTTTTTTACCTTTCCTCTGCAGAAATAATCAATACCGTCCAAACTTCGAAGCTCTAGTTAATACGCGGCTGTGGCGCGGACCATTAAACGGTGGTCCTTGGCACAGACCTGTAACAACAATAATAGATCAACTCCTGTATGGCCTTTTTTCCTATCATGATCCCTCGCTTCTCTGACAGGTCATGGCCCACAAATGACGGAGCACACCTGACCATCAATAATAATAATACCAATATAGTCCTTGCCCTTGCGCAAAGATTGTATTTACCGCGTACTTATGTAGCAAGGGCAATGGCTAGGAAGAGAGCTTATGATGGTTCTCAAATGGTTAGAGATGTCTACATTGATAGATATGCTACTACAGTATTTTTACGAATAGATAGAATCCTTAGTGTAGTAATAGGGGGAAATAATCCTTATTACAGGGTGCTACGCTAATAATAATAATAATAATGATAATGATCATAGATATGCTAGAATATTTCTAATTTTGTAACTCGAGGCAAAGGCGGTGAACCCTGGCAGAACCACACCTTCCATTTGTATGTCGTCAAAAGGTATCTATCTCATTTGGCAAGCACTTGACTATATGTGAAATGGCCTTTGTCCAACTATCATGTTAACAAGGCAGATAGCACCATGGCAGATCCGGACAAAATTCTAATACCACCCCCACCATTGCCTAGCGATAACTATTTATGGCTTCTACGCATAGATCACCAAGCGTCGGTGCCTCCAGGGCATCGTCGGAAAAAATCAAGGGCATTCTCAGAGAATACTAAGCTCGCAGTTGGAAAGAGCTCAGAGCGTCAGAGATATTGGGCGTGCGGCAATACGCTAATCTATATTTGCCATGTTATTAATAGCCCAAGAGGATAAACAGGTAGGCAAAACACGCATTATATTATCTCTAGATGGTAAATCTAATAATATTTTTTTCAGGCTGAGCTGTGGCATGACCTTGGGCTCATAGAGTTTTGTTAAGCTTTAGATCACGGAAGCAAAGATGTCTGCAGAACATATAGGTGAGAATGAAAGAGTCTCCATTGCTTGCTATCTAAATGATAGGAATCTAACGGATATTTATGTTCCTAGACCTAGCTATCCTGATGAATCCCCCTTCGCTGCTACCTGCCATATGGTTACACATCCTACCCGTACAATGTGTCGAATCCACGATCTTCCTCTAAGGAGTTCTCCTTTTTGGTCGAATCAGTTAGGATCCTTCGACACAATGGAGTTGAGCCACGGCACGGTTTATTAGTAGGTGATACAGCACAACCGTAGCTCCGGATAGCTACCCATAGCAGATGCAGCTCGGCTTCATGCAGAGGTCTGGATTCCAACAATTTCCCGATAGCCTCTGTGCTAAATGCAATCCTGCTATGCCCGAACAGTTCGATTGTTATTCGGATCCTGGATTTGTCTTTGCGCCTGTTGATATCGATTTCTTCATTGATTATGAGATGAAGGATGGAGAATACAGGAAATCCGCGGCTGACCAAGGGTTACCCCGAAAGCGAGCGGTTCCCACGTCTGAGGAATATAAGAAATATTAAGTCGACAAAGGCTTAATCAGTGCTGAAGCTAAGGGTGGTCTATACCTTCCTCTATTTCTGAAATCCTATCTTCTTCGCGATCGGCTTGAGTTCGATATTAGGCCAATGCTATCAAAGCCTACAGTCTGGCACGGCGCCCCCTTGGCTTGCCTCAGACGATGCTTTCTATATCTAGGATCCCTGCGTTTGGGATCTGTAAACAAGGCAGTCTTCGTCAAGCTTCGGAAATTGTTCGACCTTTATTTCTTCGAAGATGAAGATTCCTCTCCTTTGAGAAACCAACTATCCGATTAGTCGGAAAGAAACGAGAGTTTACCGAGGTCTCGCCAGGAGGCTCCAGCGAGAGGTGCGTGCATACTGGAGCCTAGGACCAGACGGAGGAAGCAGTGCATCAATTTGCACCGTTACTAATTCGATCGGTTAATTCTGCGCGTGTCTCAGTCTGCTTTATACGTTATTATTTTTATTCTCCGCGCCTATGCTAGTTTATACTGTATGTTAACCGCGTATTCATCAGATCCAGAGAAGTTGTTTTAAACTAGAATTATTTCCTAGTTCCTACCTAACCATGGAAAGACCATATTGAGGTTTCTTCTCTGGAATATAGCGACCGTCTTGAACCCGTCCTCCAGACCCATCAGACGCCATGTGCCAGAACAAAATCCAGGACAATAATGGGTACGATCGATTTCAAAAGGCCTCGAGTTCATGGCAGATGACGAGGAAGACGACAATGATCACTGTAGACCTTCATCGGCTTCACAGAAGGGAAGAGCCCCAATTGCGCACCTCATAATGGACCCGCCGACCTACGTGGATGCTGTAGTTCAGCCAGCATATAGGAACAAATTACCATAGGGATACTGGAAACCAAGTTACCCGAACGCCAAACACCTGATGGAACCTTGGAAGCGGCAGAGTTTTCTGGTACCCTTGTGTCTTTGGATTGGAGATCCTCAAAACGAGGATCTGTTGAGTACGTATTAAGACTGGTCTTTGGGTTGGTATCATCATCGCCGTCTCTAGATAAGAATATTAATGAATTCTTTTACAGCTTTCCAACCGATCTTGAACGCTACCACTATGAGCTAAGTTACATGGTTTAGGTAGTTATTCTGCCTCTCATTATATTCGTACTTGCTTGTTTGTTTCAATAATAAGCAACATCCAGAAGGGCTGGTTACTTTACATAGTTATCCACTAGTTAGTAGTCAGCAATAGTTATAACTATGGCTCATAGTTATTTTTTTCGCGCAGAGCGCCCACGGGGACACAGACAGACCATGCCTATATATAGTTAGCAGAAGGCAACGCCCATGGTGTACAACCGGCAGACACAGTTGGGGGTTCCGTAATCTCTGCGAGGAGCCTTTATCATGGACAGGAAATTACGAACCCAGCCAAACTAAGAAAAGCAACACGGGGCTCGAGATCCGAGAAACGGATTTTCGACAAAAAAAGACCACCTAGAAGGGAAGGACCATGGCGAATACGAAAGGGAGCTTCGCTAGCAGATGCTCACAATGGACGGCAAGTGTGGATGCTGGGGCAATTTCAAACCATGATACAAGCTACTGCTGGGAGCCTAGCAGAAGAGAAGCCACCGGTTTAACAGAGGCATCTGGTGCTTAGGTACTTTCCACGAAATTCCATTCCCAAACAAACTTAAGCTTAACGGTGGAGGAAGACGGCGATTCTAGAGGCAGAACGCCTCGGTAGGTGCAGTGGCTTCACGGGGTAGCTTTCTCGAATCAAGCATCTTAGCAGCTTCAAGAGATTGCAACAGTAAGCTTCTCTTGAGCTGTGTCGACAGCTACTTTGCACCGTATCGGATGGCCAGGCATGCTTCTATCAATGCTAGTTCGGGCGAGATGTGAGGATAATAGGATACTGCATTGATGTAATCTTTCTCGATGGCTGACTCCTAAATCACTAAGGGGATAAGCAATATTCCATGTCTGGCAACAAACAGATCGCATGTCCTTGTAGAATCATTAAGCCGTGTCATCGTAACGGGAAAGTTAGGCGTCCTCGTCAGCTTCTGCATCTTGCTCCGTAGACACTAGCTTAGAAGCGCCCTCTTCCTGGTCTGCACCTCCGGTAAGGCTTTTCCCGGTGCCCTGCTGCCCTGTCCTTCCTGTAGCATCGGAGAGCAGGATATCACCGTCGCTGTCGGGATTACCATTTCCCGCATCAACGCCTTCCGGTTGACCTTGCTGCTCCGTAGCAGATATATCAACCCCGTTGTCCGGTGCCGTCTGCGAAGTCAGCGTCATTTCGACTCCTTTTCCGTTTTGTAAGCCCATATCCTCAACTCCTAGCACTGAAGGACCACGAGCATGTGGAGCATCTTCTTCAGCTTCTGGGGATCTTCGTGCTTCGATTCCTTCACTGGACGTTACAAGATGAGACGTAACGACAATGCCCGCTTCCTGTTCCTGTCTGATGAGCTCTCCTTGTGTCACTCCGCCAGATTCTCTCCCTATCATCCGTCGCTTGTTAGCAAATCTATGTCAAAATCCATACATATTTATCCGCCTTACCTTCATCTAAAGGATCAGACCCAGCATCCTCTAGAGCGGTGTTATTTAACCACGAGATCGGAGTCAATAGAGCACCGCCTAATGATTCATCGCTGCCCAAAGAATTGTCCGCTATCATGAAGCTTCCGCCATTTGACTGACCGTTCGCCGCGTTGATATCTCCCAGGTATGCCGTCTGCGGTAGCGGGAATATATCTGCGCTGCTAGAGACCGAAACGACTCTATCCATCGCTCTTAGGTAGGCGGGTAGTGTACGGTAATGTCGCGTCGGCCTAAGGATCAACTCTGCGAGTCTCTGGATAGTATGCGGGGGTTTTGAAGAGAAATATGACCGCAGGGTCGATTTGATCGAATTCAGAATAAGGAGCAAAGGAGGGGGCAGGGTATCATCGGCTGGTCCCGGTGCTGACTGCTGCGAATCGGGAATGCGCTCGGTAGTGTCTGAGAAAGCAGGCACAGGAGGTCTAGGAGGAGTCTGCAGGTCTTCAGGTGGAGCATTCTCCTTATTGCTGCTTGTGGGAAAACTGGCGTCTTGTGATGGGTATGAGGGGAATGACGAGCTAAGCGTCTGGGCGAGCTCCGGCGGCATCTTAGGCATCGGGAAGTCATTGTGGACTATCTAATCAAGTTGTTAGTTATAGGCGATCAAGATGATTAGAGCGTCACATACATGATCCAATCGCTCCAACAGAGGTTCCACCATGCCAGGCCATTTCTCGCTTGAACCATGTCAACATCGGTACTCGTAGAAGACGGTTCGAATATTTAACATACTATTCCATTGAGCCATCTTTGGCCACGGCCTCTAGGACCTCTTCGTCTGCAAATCCAAGGTCAGTAATGCTCCAATGCTCCAGTCAAAAACGGTCCCAAAGTACGCGCTAGCGGGATCAAGAGAAGAACGTGGTGATGAGGGTCAACAACAAAGAGATGCAGGACCTAAGCAGTTACAAGGTCCGCTCAAAGGCATCTACCTACCCAAAGCCATCGCGCCAACGCACGCAGAGTCCAGAGCGCAAAGCTGTGCGGGGGATAGGAAATATGATCAGGTCTGGACTCCGTCTGGCAATGCGACGCGATACGATAGGATCGTCTGGGTCTGGCGCGCCGCGGCTGTCCTAGCCTTGCGTCACTGGCGACAGCCGCGCTCTCTCCACTTCCGCGGTGGCATCGCATACAGTTGGGCTATAAAATCTCAATATGCCAGTTCACACGAACTATAAGAATATACAACTTTCGCAGGTTTTACTGAGAAACACAATGAGTGCTCTAGATAGTCTCGACATGTTATTGGTATGTAAGTACTTGGTGGGAGTTGAGTATCTCAAAGGGTCCATGAGCAATGCTTCTGACATTCTCCAGACAACGTAGAGGCGCAGAACTCTCTTTAACTGGTTTCTCATGATTTATAATTTCTGATAGATGTTCCGTGGGATAATGCAACAATTATCGGGAACGAAGCCGGTGCGGCTCGTTAGTTAGATATTGATTTTATGCCATTCCCCGGAGCAGCACCCGAGTCATGTATGTAAGTACACCGCAAACTAGAAGATTCATCTATACATATATCCGTCAATTACTTCACCGAATAGCATATCAGTTACAGTCAAAGAATTCCATTTTGACCAATTCCCATTTCGCGTAACCAAGATGTTTGCAGACGTACAACCCGGTCCGAAGGACCCTATGTTTGACCTGAAAAAGCTGGCTGACGACGACATTTCCCCGCGAAAGATCGACTTGGGAGTAGGTGTGTACCGTAACGAGGAGGGGGGCTACCACGAACTTCAAGCAATTAAAAAGGTGTGCATATGATCACCTCGCATTCCTAGCATCTTTTATCTGACATATTATATCGATCAGGCCAAGAAGATCCTAAATGAGACCAATCCGGGACACGATGTAAGTTGTCATATTCCAACGGTCCCCCGCTATACTGACTGTGATGGCTCTGACATAACCACAGTATGAGCTTACTACTGGCAATCCATCCTTTTTGAATGATGCAGCCGTATTGATGTTTGGAGAAAACAGCAAGGCTCTTAAGACTAAAAAGGTATCTACAGAGTGTCAATGTTTCTAAGACTAAATCTACCGTACTAATAGCCACAGATTGCTTCCGTACAAACCATTTCCGGCACAGGAGCCTGCCACTTGGCAGCATTGTTTCTTCGACGTTGCAAAGCATTCGCTCAGAGTGTCGTCTACGTGGGTACTCCAGCTTGGGGCAACTACGAACCTCTACTCAGACTTGTTGGCTTTGAAGTTCAAAAATACACTTACTATGACCCGCAAACGCATGCGGTGAACTTAAAAAACCTCCTTGACACCGTGGCCAATGCCCCTCAAAAAAGTATATTCATTCTTCAGGGATGTTGCCACAATCCAACAGGAGCGGACCTCAGTCAGGAGCAGTGGAGGTTGCTTGCAGATGCCATGGAGAAAGCAGATGTGTTCCCGCTCTTCGATGTCGCCTACCAGGGCCTCGGTGCGTCTCCCGACAACGACGCCTATGGAATTCAACTATTCGTCGAGAAGGGATTTGAGATGGTAGTATGCCAATCCTTCTCGAAGAACTTTGGTCTTTATGGTGAACGATGTGGGGTTCTACATGTTGTCACAGACGAGGAGACAATCTGTGCAAATGTCTATGACCAGCTCCGTTCCCTGATCAGATGGGAATTCTCATCGTCGCCTGCGTATGGCTCCCGACTGGTGAATATCGTTCTGGGAGATCCGGATCTCAGAGAAGAATGGTTTGTTGCTCAAAATATGTGTTAGAAGGGGCGTTTTTCAAAGCTAACTTTTAGATAGGCTCAAGGAGTTATCGACTATGAGAAATCGACTCGTCGATAATCGAAGGAAGCTCTACCATAATCTAGTACATGTGCATAAGGTATGTTCGAAGAACTTAGGGCAGACTTCAGAATCTATACTGACCATTCTCAGACACCAGGAAGTTGGGAAGCCCTTCTTACAACCACTGGTCTATTTTGGTATTGTCCATTTTCCTGCTCTGCTAGACTACGGGCCATGCTAACTCTATGCGCAGCTATCTACCTCTCGCGAAAGAGGAAATCATCAAGTTAAGAGAAAGGTTTCATATCTATCTACCAGACAATGGGCGTGTAAATGTCGCTGGTCTTAACCCGACGAATTTGGGCTCCGTTGCTTCGGCTATCAATGAGGTTGTGAGAGATGCTACTAAGCTCTGAGGCCGGATCATGAGCCAATGTTAGAGCTGGAAGGTTCCCTAATGCCTAGAAGAGTAGTTAACCATGGAAAACTATTTTGCTTGACGGCCCGCGCTCGATGTAGACCTACGGCTCCTGGACCCGGAGGTCTGTGAGTTTGTAGCCTATCTGTCAATTGCTTTTGCAACCTTGAAGAGTATAGTCATTCAATACCGAAGGGTCCATCTCATCCATCCAATGGGATCATATCCGGGATGTCTGCCGGTCATGGTATATCAGTCACGCGTCCTCGATTGAGTACCGGAACAGTTCCCGACACAGCAAAATAGTAAGCGTGTACACCATAGCATAAGGTAGAACGCGAAAATAATATCATGGATTTAAAAGGCTATGTTTTCTGACAGGTCTCTCAGTCAAATAGGACTACAAGTGAGACTGAGAAAGCGTCTAGACGAACCCCCCATCACACTACATTATACAACACAATATGGCTGTTCCCATTCCTCCTCCTTTCGGAATTTATCCCCCAGTTGTTACATTTTTCAACGAAGACGAGACGGTAGACTACAATGCATTTTCGAAGCATCTTGGAAGGCTTCTAGACGGCGGCGTTACGGGCCTCGTTATCCATGGGAGCAACGGAGAAGCCTCCCATCTTTTGCACGAAGAGCGCGCGGAGATGATTCGGGCGGCACGAAGAATTGCGGATCAGCGAAAGAAGTCAACTGTGATCATTGCAGGGTGCAGTGCACCTAGTGTTCGTGAAACGTTGCTCTTTATCGAAGAGGCGAAGCAAACTGGGGCGGATTATGCATTGGTTCTTCCGCCTAGTTTTTGGCCTGCTGTCATGACAAAGCCTGTGATAAGATCTTTTTACATTGATGTAAGGATCTATTTCCCAAATTGTATGTACATTTCGCGCCATCATCACTGACAATATACATCTTATAGGTCGCTGCAAAGTCACCACTTCCGATTATAATTTACAACTTCCCCGTTGTAAGCGGCGGCCTCGACCTAGATTCCGATCTTATCACCGACATCGCAACTTCATCCCCAAACATTGTGGGAGTGAAGCTCAGCTGCGGAAATGTAGGAAAAGTAGCAAGACTATCCTCATCTTTCGACCGCGGCAGATTCGCTCCCTTCGGAGGAAAGGCAGACTTTCTTCTTCCCGGCCTCATTGCAGGATCGCATGGCGCAATCGCGGTTCTTGCGAATCTTACCCCCAAGGCTCTTTCGAAGGTGATCAGTCTTTATGACGAAGGAAATGTAGCTGAGGCGAAAGAACTTCAAGCAAAACTGTCTCATGCCGATTGGACTTTGAGCACGTTGGGGGTTTCTGGTACGAAGTTGGCAACGCAGAAGTTTTTTGGGTACGGTGATCCGAAGACGAGGACTCCTTTTGTGACTGTCGGAAAAGACGCTATTGGCGTGAAGGCGCTCGAAAAGTTACAGGCGGTCATTGATGTGGAGAATGGGATTTAAAGCAAATCTGTAGTCGTTTAGGCAAGCGAATGGACCATGGTCATCATTAAACTATTCCTTTTTTTTTTTTTTTGATATAACCTTGCTAGTCACTAAGTAGACATAAGCGTAAAATGAGGAAGTCTTCATGCGGAACTGAAACTTAACAGCATTGACCATGGCTACTTTTCAGCTGGACAAGCATAAAAAATGGGAATATGCTTTCTGTTATTGATATGAGCAGAGAGCTCAGTTAGAGTTGAGTAATTCTGTGCTATTCTTAACATAGGTATAATATCCATCATTGCCACGATCCTCTAGAGCTTAGCACGAGGTGTAGTGGCCAAATCTGAACTCGAGCCTGTCCTCCACGCAACAGTGTCACCCGGCTTTGACTCCTTCCATTTCCATCTGGATACTCTCTGCTGGCCATCCACCAGGAGCTTCATCGCAAGGCCACCCATGACGGGTAACATCTTAAAGCCGTGCCCTGAGTCCCCGGAGAGGATTGCGAGTGATCTTTCCGTTTCTGGAACATAGTCTATCACAAAATTATAATCATCGCTATCTGCAAACCAGCACAGATGATTGTCGATGAGGGGTCTGTCAGCGAGATGGGGCAACGCCTCACGTAGCAGTCTTCTGGATGCCTCTTCATCCTCTTTCAAGATAAAGTCGGAATCTGCGAGTCTCGACGGTGGTAGAGAGATTCCAGTAGAGCCGGAGGAATTGGTATATCCCCCTCCCATGTGACAGACTTTCAGTTTATTTGTGGCCAGGTCAGGCTCAAAGAAGAAACCGATATCGCGCACGTTGATAACCGGAATTCCTCGGAGCTTTTCTGTTTCCTCCTGACTGAGCTGAATGTGGGAGACACCCCAACACCTCGCTGTTATCTGAGACGTGGCAGACGGTATTATCCTCACTGCATTCGCACCAACGGCCACGATAGTCGTGGCCGCATGGTAGCGCACGTCACCTTTTGTCCTCGCGCCGATACAGCGACGGGTCCCAGGCGCGAAGAGGAGTTCAGCAACCTCACCTTCGTGAGGTCCAAGGCGGAACGAGACTCCTTTCTGGAGACAATCTTCATAAACTGATTTCATTGCATCCGCGGCGTGAGCGTATCCGGCCAGAGAATTGAGATAGCCGCTCCAACCTTTCACGGGCCCAGAAAGTGCAGGTATCAATTTCTTGATTGCAGAGCTATCAGGACATGGCTGTATCTTGTCCCGAACTTCGGGGTGCCCTGAAACAGAAGCTAGATACTTTTGCAATATATCCCGCGATATCTTCGGTGCTGACCCAGAGGTAACATTTAGAAATCCGACCTGGTGAAAGTATGGCTTGTACAGAGGATCTTCCTGCCATTTCTTTATGGCTTCCTGAGCGGAGAATGTCAGTTCTGGCTCTTTTATATTAGGATTAAAGTGTGAGTAAATGCTTACCAATGTCAACGCAGTGTAGAACGAGTCTGCGTACTCGGGACGCACGATTTTGTTAAGATCGTAGCCTGCTGAGAAGCGACTTGGAATCTGGCCGTCTTTTTCCAGAACGGTGATATTTGTATAGCCTGCTGATGCCAGCTGATGGGCTGTGGCTAGACCAAAGACACCAGCACCGACAACAAGAACAGGATCATTCTTTTTGTGCTCGGAAGTCATGATTATGGGAGTGTTCTAATTCGGGTGCTCGCTGATACAAGATAACGAATGATAGCTTCTAATATATCTACTATTGGATCTTGAATATATTCGCGGAATCAATAACTTTATAAGCAATACCTAGGAGCTCCTGTACTAATCATACGATAACCTACTCATCGGCAGCCATACATTGCAAGGGATCTCCAGCTTGCCATTGCATTCATGACCGCCTGCATCCTGCGAAGTCGGTCGGGAGGATTCCCGGTGTGGTTACCCGCGGCTGTAGATAAGCTGTATGCTATAACTAGGTAGGTATTGATCGGAATCCCTACCGATGATCGTGATACGGAATTGATACCCTAGATAGGCAGTTTCTTAAAAGATTCTACGGATAGCATAACAGGAAAAAATTAGGTACATGTTGGAATATTTGCCACTCGACATGAGTGCACGACCATATCACAGCTGCTAGAGAGGAAAGGACTGGTCAAGGGCTTGTATTCTCTAGGGGGGAGCGAGCTCCAGCTCCAGCAACTATCTAGCTATATGCTGTGTTTTGGGCTAGGCCCTTCCATCCAAGGTTGCCTACTAGGCCATAGGGCCCAAGACCAGTAATGCGAACGTATCTTTCCGTGAGAGCCTTCCGTGATTGCACTTTGCTATATGTCTAATTTCTAGTGTAGCATCGTCCTAGCGACCTCGACCCTGGTTTATACATTAGCTGAAGATATTCAAGAGCAAAGAAAAGTCAAGCAAGATCATAACTTACATCGTAAATGTCCCTGCCGATACTGGAATTGCACGGACTAGCGTTGGTGTCAATCCACGGTAAAAGCCTTTAAATCCGTAGGCATTGAAAGTCTGGCGAACCGCATCAAGGGTGGTGCGATATTGTTGCTTCTCGCCGAAGCTATCTGTTTGCATTTTGCTCTTGATGATGTCCATCGGATAGTTTGTTATCCAGAGGATTTCACCGACGAGAGCTCCGCAACAAGCAATCTGCCATTTGGGAAGTTCGTCCCGTTTCTTATTTTGCACTTTGGAAATCTCCTGAACGAAAACCTCAAAGCAAGAGAACCAAATCCCATAGCTGCCGAACTCCCGCAACATAGTCGCCGTAAGTCCTCGATATAGCCCCCGCATCCCAGCTTGTCTGACTATCTTTCGTACACAATCCGCTGTTCCTGAGTAAAGGCGGCTGGACTTCTCATGAGTTTGAGTCTGGAGTCGTATCCTGACGTGTTCGGTAGGGCCTGAGACGAAACTGTTCACAACACCGGCCATTCCTCCTGCTAGATAAATTCGTCCCAGACTGGTCTTTCCGTCAATGCTGGTATGGCTATCGTCGCCAACAGTGTCAAAGAATTGACTAAAAGCGTGGAAGGACGAATACACTATGCTAATCTTTAGTTTGGTTTTGTGAGAGAGTACTCATCAGATAATCGGACAGACCGGACATACACAAGCCCCTACTCCAACCAGCGGAGCAGCGGATCCCTTATAGTTAATGAACGATGTTACTAACATTCCCCCCCCCAAAAAAAAGACAGAAGCGTCGATATTGGAGCTTTCAATAACACACCTTGTAGAAAGCTAGAGGGCCTTCAAGAGACCAGATATTGCGTGCAACAGAGAACATGTCCCCATTTCCTCTAGTCTGCATCCGCACCTTCATAATATCTACCGGCCATGAAGGTTAGGGTTTGATGACAATGGAAAGATATAAGAAATATCACAAACCAAATGGTTGCCCTGATGACCGTTAATGATTGTACACTGTAAATATTGTATACTTTATCTCCGTGGCAGTAGAGCTTTGCATGGATATTAATCCTGAACATACCAATCATAACCTGTGTGACTCCCCCTACAATACCAATAACCATTTCTTTAGCTGTTTCTGCGACATGGTCTCTCGGGATTTCCAAGGTAGGAACCGAATCAGTTACCTCCATACTGTCGGCGAAGAATCTCTATAGACACCGGTTCACAATGAAATATATTTAGCATTCCCTGTTCGAGGTTGTTCTTCCAGAGTAGTTGACACTGACCGTTGGGCCCATTACCTAGTTCAATTGACTGTCTTGTTAAGTCCAGGAATTCGGTAGAAGATCCGATCTTCATCCGCTAGTCTGAAGGATAGCATGCAAACGTCAAGTTCGGTTTAGAATATCCCCAGTATCTTATCTGTGGTCAATTCATTGTAGATTCCGGGAGTAAACCCGGTGTTCCAGTGGAAAACCCTGATAACACTGTAACAACCAAATTGCTCACCCCACATTACTGTTTAACGGCGGCATTATTTATGATAGCACTCCTCTTCAAAGTCAGGAATATTAAGCTGCTATACTACAGTATGTCCTCAAAACTAGGCCAAGGGACCTTGACTGTCACCAGCGTCTGTGTCTTTACAACGACGTCGAAAATGACATTAAAACCAACACGAAGTTGCTACAGAATCGTGCAACACCAGATACGTTGCAAGTCTACTATAGGAGTATCTCTGGGCAAAGCCCCCGCACCTACATTACGACCTCCACTTGCGGTTCTTCCTACAGGTACACTTCTTCGTTCGCTCTTGGTTTCCACCATCTCGTCGAACCGATATCTGTTGCTCCCATCACTTTCGATCCTCGCATACCTTTCTGATCCGCGGAGAGGCGCTCTTTTAAGCGTTGATAGGAATCCAGTCCTTCATGCAATACTTAAGAAGACGTTTTACGAACAGTTTTGCGCCGGAGAAAATGCGGAAGAGACGAAGAACAGCATGGACAAGCTCAAACGACTAGGCATTCGCGGGATTATTCTCACCTATGCACGAGAGACCGTCTTTGATCACAAGACAAACAAAGCGCAGCCTCAAGGACACATATTAAGCGAACAGAGTGTTGCCGTCGATTACTGTCCTAATATTGAAGCCTGGCGAAAGGGGACACTTGAAACCATTGACCTTATTAGTGAAGGGGATTATTTGGCCCTCAAGTATGGATCTTCCGTTCTCTTGCATTTGAATACAGATTAACTGGCTGCAGATTGAGTGGCACTGGCCCAGTGGCTACTAAAGCTTTCAGTGCCGGTGAATTACCACCGCAGCAAATGATGAATGCCTTGGATGAAATATGCGTTCGTTCAAGGGACCGCAAAGTGCAAATCCTAGTCGATGCTGAGTCTCAGCATTTTCAGCGAGGAATCGCTCGCGTGACTCTTGAACTTATGCGCAAGTATAACCGTGATGGATACGCTCTTGTCTACAATACCTACCAGGCCTACCTGAAGAGCACCCCGAAACTCATTGAAGAGCATCTCGAAGCTGCCAGCAAGGAAGGGTTCACTCTGGGTCTCAAGCTAGTGAGAGGAGCATACATTGCTTCTGATGAACGATCTTTGATTCATAACACCAAGCTGGATACTGATAATGCCTACAATGAGATTGCCCAAGGAGCTCTCAAGCAACATATTGGAAAGTTCGGTGGGGTTGATGGCCGTCCATTTCCTTCACTGAATCTGTTCTTGGCGAGTCATAACAAAGAAAGTCTTTTTGCGGCCTACGAGTTATACCGTCAACGCCTAAACTCGAATTTGCCTACCGTTCCCGTTCGATTTGGTCAACTCCATGGCATGTCGGACGAGGTCAGCTTCTCGCTCATACAGCTGAAAGATGTTTATGGTGACAACATCGGCCCGGAAGTCTACAAATGTTCTACATGGGGCAGCATGCGTGAGTGCATGGCATATCTGATACGACGAGCGATAGAAAACAGGGATGCTGTATCGAGGGCAAACGACGAATATTCTGCATTGAAAGCGGAGTTGAGGAGGAGATTGGGCTTTTCTTCGTGGCTTTCCTCTGCGAGTCACTAGACGCTTGAAAGGGCATATAGTTATGCAGCTGCTTTTTGGATATCAGAGATCAATGTCAAGAAACATCGTACTTTTGCTGAAGTCACCAGTGCAAATTGGAGAGTATTCTTTAACATAACATCAAATGAAGCCATCAATCCTCTCCTTCATTTATCGCGGACGGCCTACATCGTGATACATCCCCGCTCTACCCCGCAGGAGTAAGCGATCCACATCTACGGAGAGCGTTCGGGTTGAAGATATCCTGCTGTATCTATGTCGGAACCCCTTCCGTAGTCTCTGTGGATCTTAGGTATGGATGTTTGAAATACCGCCGAACAGCCTCTGCCAACTCGTTGTTTCGTGATTATGTATATATTTGAATCACAGATGGGTTTCGTTTGGAAGACCTGGAATAGCCAGTTTACGCAGGAATAGATCAGAATGGCACCGGAAATAAACCACCTTACGTTATGTGTCCTAGGTTGCGGTGAGTTTCAATGCTGTAGAGATACTTTCATAATTTCTGACGGCCGAGAAGGAAACCTAGGAACCTCAATCCTCGCTTCCCTTGTCGATAGTCCTCCGGAAGGCGACAGTGTACCCTCGGCAAACCAATTTATCGCCTGCGTCAGAAGCGAAACTTCAGTTCACAGAGTGAAGGAAAGATTCTCTTCGCACTTATCAAGGTTGAAAGTGATGATAGGGAGTAACGTGAGCGCGGTTCGCGAGTCGGACGTCGTTATTCTGAGCGTCGATCCGGCAGACGTCGAGAACACATTGCGACAATCCGATCTCGCTATTGCCCTAAAGAACAAGCTTTTGATCAGTGTCGTGGCCGGATGGACTAGAAAGAAGCTGGAAACGACGATATATGGAAGTGAAACCACGCTTGCAAACATAGAAGAGCGCTGTCAGATCGTCCGTACTCTGCCAAACATTGCAGCCACTGTTGCAGAATCAATTACCGCTATTGAAACTTCAGAACCGCCCTTGGCGCTTCACTATGTCCAAATCACAGACTCCATCTTCAATCGCATTGGGAAGACTGCGTATATCGACCCCAAATTGATGGATGCAGCCACTGCTGTGGGAGGATCAACGCCCGCACTTTTCTCTGTTATCTGCGATGCATTAGTTGATGCATCAGTGGCTGTTGGGGTTCCGAGGGCTATTGCACAGACTATGATCTTCCAAGCCATGAAAGGCACAGCTACTCTTTTGCAGAGCGGAATACACCCTGGGGCTCTTAAGGATCAAGGTACCAGTCCAGAAGGGTGTACAATTGGCGGGTTGATGGTTCTGGAAGAAGCTGGTGTTAGGGGCCACGTTGGAAAAGCGCTACGGGAAGCTGTTACTATTTCTCGTCTTATGGGGAACGTGGCTCATGTAAACGATACAAGGCATTAGATATCCTTTATTTGAAGACTTTCAGCATCTCTACTGTATGTAATGACTTGGCCTCAAGATAATTCTAGATGGACAAGACCTTGAATCACTGTAGAGTTTCACTCTATTGTTATGTATGCCTGCTATGTATGTATGTATGTACATACATACCAGGAATGATCACAACGGTGGCACTAGATGTTTATCGTCTCATCCTGGAGCGCTGCGTGGCCAGTCAATCGGAGTTCTCGATTCACAATGCATCCAATTCCAAAGGCAGGGATTAACCGAAAGCATCGTGCCGCAACAGTTGAGAGCATACCCTGGCGAATGCGGACAAGTCGATCGGAAAAGTGTATGGCGTGTGGTCGGTTATGTAAATCCAACCCGAAGAGATGGACAGGAGCAGCAACCAGCTGTGTTAGAGCTGGAACGACTAATTGGGACAGGATGGATTTGGTATGGGAATTCGCAGCTAGCGAAGTCGGAATGTAGCCCGATAACATATCCGCCAGGGTGAACGACCCGGAGATAGTAAGTGCATCCCGCAGGAGAAATGTCGCCCAAACACTCATAGGGACTCGGCTGGCCACTTTCGCAGTCACTGCCGAGGGAGTTGAGAGGCGTGGTGATGGTATCGCAGTCCCACTCTGTGTAGCGGGGATTGGCTCTATGGGACAGTCGGAAGCGGTTCTGTAGAACTGCGCAAAGCGAACATCTTTCCACAATCCCAGAGGTACGTTTACCAAGAAAGTAGAAATGAAGATGGTGCTTTGAACAGTAGCTGTATCTGTGACCTGAAATGCGTCTTTGATTATAGTCTCCGATAAATTTGCTGCCGAGTATGTGACTCCGTATAGAGACGAGACGATGAAGAATGGTTTCGATATGAAGAATCGCCGTGGTTGTCTCAGACAATAGCTAGTATGTCTCTTCAGGATATCAATGAGATTGTTCTTCGAGGATGCCTGTTCAACGATGGCTCTGCAAAATTCAGTCACTAATTGAGTGATATAGATCGTTTCATGCGCTCCTCACCTGTCAATAATTGTCACCGCAGGGGCTACCAATGTTGCAGAAACTAACGCGGAAGTCACATCACTTCCAAGTTCTCCTAGAAAACGGTAATTATAGCCATTTCGGGCTTCTCGTATCTCTGAAGACATGCTGCGGTATGGAGATCCTGCTGGACTCTACTCCGATCTTCATGGTGTTCAAAATACTACTAAATTGTCGTAGATATAAAGGTCGGGATATTTCCGAGAGGCAACATCCATTGTAGGGCTAGTCTGTCAGATAATGACTCTACCCAGTCTCGTATAGTGGATGCTATAAGCGTTGGTGGTAACTAAGCTTGTCGGTAACATCTCGTGATGGTCTCAATCGGAACGCTGTCCGCTTGTGCCAACAAGCGACTACTTACGCTAAGTAACGTCCTAGCACAATGATCAATTCTGTACGTCAAAAGAAACCACCATAGATAGCCTGAAAATATGGTAGATCTAACACAGGCGGGTCTGTCCAACCTCCACGGTTAGTTTGCGTGGGTATACTCGGATTCCCTACCGGTGATGAATCAAGCTGCGCCAGTGTTGTTCTGCGGGGTCGAGGCGGCGAGGTTACCGTGATTATGGCGAAGAGTGCAATAGATTCGGAACGAGTAGTTATGGGTACAAGCCAATACGATGCGATAGCAATCTATGAGCCGATAGATCAGCCTACGGGTTGAAGTCCGGCAAATCTGGCCACATCATAAGTAGAGCTTCGAATGTTGACTCCCCTTGAATCGTTTAGCAGTCAGTTGTATACCTGTTCTCGGCGTAACACTGACAACTCATCGAAGTATGGCACTTATGCAGTCCGTGACTTGTTTGCGTTCGAAGTCTCGACGACTGATTCGAGACGGCATAGCTTCATTGCCTTCAGGATCAATTGTGCCGTTACGACACGTTGCTACAGTGCCGTTCCGGTTACCAGCTCCCAGGAATGAACCCAATGTAAGTCTCGGACTGGCAGATCAGAAGAAATTCAGCTAACTGTTTTTAGCTCCAATACAAAAAAGGATCCCCTGAACGACTCCGTCTCGAAGAAGCTTTGAAAAAGCTCCGCTCACAGCTGCCTCTCGAGAGTCAAATCTTCTACAATGGCAAGGCACAGAAGGCACCAAAGTCCGTTGGACAGCCGATGCCCAGCGAGCATGGCACGACGTTTACCAACTTCCCACTTGCCACCAAGGAACAAATTTCGGTTTCAATTGACTCTGCCCTCAAAGCAAAGAAGGACTGGGAGAACACACCTTTCGTTGACCGAGCGGCCATATTCCAGAAAGCAGCTGAACTCGTCGCGACTAAATACCGCTATGAACTTATTGCAGCAACAATGCTGGGCCAGGGGAAGAACATCTGGCAAGCAGAGATCGATGCTGCAGCGGAGTTGGCGGATTTCTTCCGCTTAAATTGCAATTACGCTGCGGAGCTTCTAGGAAGGCAGCCTGATCGTGGGAGCGATGGGATGTGGAGGTTAGCCAGCTATCCCTAAGTTAACGTGAGGCATCCCGATCGCGCTGACCTTGAATAGCCGTCTAGACTATCGTCCATTGGAGGGATTTGTGTACGCCATCTCTCCGTTCAACTTCACTGCCATCGGTGGAAACCTGATTTCAGGCCCAGCTTTGATGGGAAATGTGGTGATTTGGAAGCCGTCTCCATCCAACATTTATGCGAGCACTCTGATTTACAAGATCCTTGTCGAAGCCGGTCTGCCACCAGATGTTATCCAGCTAGTGCCTGGCGATGCTGAAGAGATCACTGACATTGTTCTTTCCCACCGTGAGTTTGCGGGTTTGAACTTCACTGGCTCATCGCATGTATTCCGGTCCATCTATGGAAAGGTCAGCAAAGGCGTTTCCGACGGCTTGTACCGTGACTATCCCCGTCTTGTGGGAGAGACCAGCGGCAAGAACTTTCACCTCGTTCATCCATCGGCAGACATTTCAAGTGCTGTTAACCATACCATCCGTGGAGCATTCGAGTACCAGGGCCAGAAGTGCTCGGCAACTTCTCGTCTCTACCTTCCAGAATCCCGTGCTCAGGAGTTCCTCTCACAACTCACAGCTGGGGTGAACAAGATCACAGTCGGAAGTCCAGATAAAGACCTTGGTGCATTCGTGGGGCCTGTCATCCATCGCCAGTCATTCGAAAAGATAAAGTCCATCATCGATGCCAGTAACAAGGATCCGTCGCTGGAGCTTGTTGCTGGAGGAACCTACGATGACTCTGTCGGTTACTATGTTAATCCAACTGTGTACCGAGCTTCTACGCCAGACCATGAACTCTTTCATAAGGAGATATTCGGCCCGGTCCTAGCTGTATACGTCTATCCAGATGCTGAATGGTCCTCCATCTTGAAGAAGGTTGACCAAACTGGAGGCGGGTTCGCCTTGACCGGAGCTGTATTTGCTACTGAGCGCACGGCAATTCGAGAAGCAGAAGATACCCTCCGGTACTCTGCAGGAAATTTCTACATCAGTAAGTCATCCATTGAGTTATTCTATTTGAATGGCTTGTCGAACGCATATGCTAATTATCAATAGACTGCAAAACCACAGCGGCTTTGATTGGCCAACAATCTTTCGGTGGCAGCCGAGCCAGTGGCACAAACGACAAAGCAGGCAGCTCCAATGTTCTGCTGCGATTTACGAGTCCAAGGCTCATCAAGGAAGAGTTCTTCCCTCAGAGCACTTTCTTTTACCCTAGTAACGAATAAGTTGTATTGGTAAAGATGAAAGGTATGAAATCAAGACGACGGTGATTGGAGGGTAGCGTAAATGGATTATTCGCAGAGCTAGCTAATTGATTTCAATTATTGCCATAGACCTCGTACATCAGAAGACCACTACATAGTCTTTCGAAATTTAGAGGAAAACTGTGCAGCGCAATCAATATGAAGTGTATAAATACACATTCAAGAGGCTAGGCGTCATCACATACGGTAGAGGCCTTCATTTTCCATATAGCAACCTTCTAAGAAGTGTCGTGAGATCCAATTTTCTTAGTTACATTGATATGGAATTCTACCATATGTTATTTTGCGCCAGAGCTTGAGACACCCATTCCGCGTCTCCACTCTCAATCGAGTTGGCCACGGCCAGTATCTGTGCTGTCGTAAACCCTTCGTTGAAAGCATACTGTTCCTGGTTTTCTGAGCTGAAGTTATTTTCTGTAAATTGCATTGGGTGTTCTTGTGCAAGCGCGGGACCTGGTTGGTTAACAGCACCGCTATCTCGAGAAACGGCAACATTGGTAGCCGGTATAGGCCAGGACGATGATAAACGATCCAATACGCCCTCCACTTGTTGTAGCTCAGACTTTCTGAACTTCGCAATCAAATTTCCGCTTGATATCATGTCATCGATGATGGAGTGTGACTTTTGAAGCCATGGTGACCGGGTCTCGAGAAGCCGAGTATCAATCACGGGCGCAAGCAAAAGCACCATTGCTGATACGAATACAGACTCAAGATCGAAGTAGAGGAATGTCTCTGAGCGAGAATGTGACGTAAGTATAGATATACATAAATATATAGTTTGAAAACTACACCTTACCTAGAAGACCCTGTGTTTGGAGGTTTCCGAGGATATTGATCATTTGAATGGAAGAGTCGATGCACATCTGCAGCACATTCCGAACTGTCGGAGAAGAGCTTAGAGAATCGGCAAGAGTCTCTGGAGAGGATATTCGTATCTTAAGGAATGAGAACAACAGCGGTCTTGTGGCAAGGACAATGCACTGAACGCAGGGTTAGTAAGCATCAAGGAATGGATATGCCATACGCAGACCTGGTGGTAAAGAAGATGTATATACGCTGCCAGCCTGGATATACCGCTAGCGGAGTTTTCCAGTGGAATAGGTAACATTCGTCGCATCTCATCGGCTAGACCTGCTACGCTTGCGAGTGCTGACTTGGTGCTGAGCAAAAAGCTCGTGTTGAGTCGTCCGTCAGGACCATAGATAGCTTATTAGATTAGCCAGTGGATAAGTAGAAGGCCAGTTATTTTACATACTCTCGTTTATCCCTGCTATCACCCGAGACAACTTTATTTGCATATTTAGAGCCGCCGTCCGCTGTGCTGAGACCATAGACGTTGGTGCTTGGTTATGCAGATGATCGTCGCGTATCGATTGCGGTAGGCCGAATAAGGATGTCATTTCTCTGTCCAGTATGTATACCGTCCACCAGATCTTTCGACACCTCTGCACTAGACGCTCTCCCAAGTATTGAACTGGCATATCTGTATGCATTCCATATCCTAACGCCATACGCATTGCTTGCCCGATCTAAAGGTATGAGATGCGTCATTATTTCGTTTCTGAAATGCAATCCAGGTAACTTACATATTGGTGGGACGAATGCCTAAAGTCCAAGGACTGAAGGTATAAAGCGATGCAGCAAAGGATTTCCGTTGATATAACTGGTTCCTTGCAGAGAACGCTTACGTCTGGCAGAAGTTGAAGAGCGAGGACAAAGAATTCGGCACCAGGAGGTTTTCTGCCGTCGTTCTTCCGCAACACAAATGCTTTTCCAAACGCGAGAATGACGAGAAAGTGGATATACCAGAGGTTCGTTTTAGATGTTCGACTGTTAGAGTCCGAATAAAAATCGTAAAGTGACCTCATAAACTCCTCTTCATCGAAAAGGTGGAACAGTTGACCGCAATGGAATTTGACAGAGTTGATTAAGTAAATAGCGTGATCAGTAGTTGGAATAGCAGGTTCCTCGGGAATGGAAGTGCGGAATCCATCCCATCCTAAATCGTAAGCAGAACCGTCAAACAATAGTGTCTCTGTCGGGAGGGGTTCTTGGTAAATGTGCTCATAAACCATGGCTAAAACTCGTCTCGCAAATGACCAGTTTGACGAAGTTCCAAGATAAACTGGATTTCTGTTAGCTTTTTGCGTTCCATTACTGCAGGAGAAGCATGTTCACTGACAGGCCCTTCCGTTTGCTGCTGACATGTAGGCTGACGGTCCTGTAGAAAGTGGATTTGTTAAACCTGAGGGGATATTTTCCATTTCCTTTTCTGACGGAGCATCTCGGTCCTCGATTTGCGCTTGTTCCTCGTCCTGGATTGAACCTGCCTCCATATCTGCTGACAAAGGTCAGTAGATATCTCAAGGGATGTTAGAAAGCGAACAATAAGTATCTCAGCCGCCTACCATCTTCCAGAATTGTGTCTTGTTCTGGGTCTGTAACGTCCGGACTGGACGGAGTATGGCCTTTGCTCATTCGTCTCAAAGACACAATCTGTCGCTGGAGATCGATAATGTATCTAGACCACGCACTTAGCAAGTTTCCACTCTCGAATTCTTTCTCCCGTATTACCCTCTGGTCACCATCATTTTCTGATCCCGGTCATCGAAGATGCATGGCAGGTTTCGCTTGCTGCACCCACTGCACGGTTGCGATCCCGAACACTTGATCTTTTGCCTTCGACATCGTGTGCACCTGAACAGGCATTTTAGCAAGAGTTCCCATTCCTATCGCGGCGGGTTTACATGCGCATTAGAAGATCTTTTTCCTACTCTGCGTTTTTCCTTCCCAGATTCCATTTGTCTGAACAGTCTCTTCAATGTCTGGATAGCATGAGCGATGAGTGTTCCTCTCACTTGGTCACTGCGGCGTGTACAGGCTACTCCTAAGTACCATCGCTACCTACCTAATCTTTCCATCGGTTCGAGGGGAAACCCGGGGCCATTATCCTTGTCTAGCCCATTATGGTAATCAAATCGCAGCGCGTTAAGCTTTAATAATGCACTTATGGAATATATACCATAGTCAAATGCGGGGTAGCAGTTCTCAGAATTGAATTGGTCCTGTGGGATGGAGACCGATGATTAAGTGAATCGACTCGAAGAACGCCGCCGAGAAATGCCAGAATTCCCGTCTTTTGCCGCTCCAGTTTAGTTAGGTACTTACACCCGATAAGAGACCGGATGCTCTTCCGACCATTTGAGATAATTATATACGAGCTAGCGACAACTAACTACCTAACTACCTACTTGTTAGTTCTCGCATATCAATAGATAGAAGAATGATAGCGAGAACAACCAATAGTAATGCTATGCATATCTCAAGAACCTATGATATGACCAGGATCAGATCGATAACTGTCTCGCTTCCTATCTACTATCTATCCCACACATGGGACTAGAACAGATCCTATCTGTGCCTCCGTCTTACCTACTACTTACTAACTATTTTAATTATACAGAATTGGAGTTATCGGCGCAGGACCAGGCAGCGGATCCTCCCGATTCTCTGTAAGTATCAATAATGTTGACAATAGACCCATAAGTACCACCAACCATCAAGAACGTTCCAGAGAGTACAACGAAAACACTCCAGCAAACCATCAAAGCCCATTTGCGGTCAGTGGCCAGCTTTCCGCGGCTCCAGTTATCGTATAGCCACATGCAGCCCATCGGCTGAAATGCCATGAGTGTACCCAGTAGAGCACCCACTAGTGAGACAAGACTCCCAAAGACAGGGATCGCACTGGCAATGATATAGGCAGTTACCGCGATACCAAATGTACAGCCCAACCAAGTTGTCCAGTGTACTACCGTATTGGCGACAAGATGCCTGGATCCTTGCAATATGCGAACAAAGATATACTTGGCTGGCAACTGCAGAAAACAATTAGCAAATCTTCCTGGGTAGCATCCACTGGAGTGCTTAGTTACATGAATTACAAGCGTGGTTGTGACGATTAGACCGGGTAGAGCAAAACCGTAGGCAACCTTCTTTACCATAACACCAGCGGAGCCAAGGGCGGGCGAAGCAACATAAGACCCGCAATAATAGTAGACAACACAGCCAATTGTGATATATATGGCCGTTACACCACCCTGGCATAGTAGTAGTGATCGAGTATATTTGCGAGGGTCGCGCATTTCAGATACGATGGCGAAGAATGCCGGTGTTCCCGCGTACGCGAAGACGATAGAGGACACAGCAGACATGGCATCGCTGAAGCTAGGGTTGTTGACAATTTTATAGTCTGATTTCCAGGGACCACTCTGTGGCGCAGCGCTGGGACGATCTTGTATACCAACAGCAATGGTCACAATGAGGACTGTGAAGCATGTTAGATCATAGCTGGAGACTTATAATGGATCAACCCACTAGCAGTAAGGATACAGGTGACGCCAACCCACGCAAGCCAACTGATGCGGCCGAGCGTACGAATACTACCCAGGACGAAGCTTACGGCAGTGGCAATGGCAACGAAGACAGCTGTACATGTACCATGGGTAGAAACAGCATTGAGCCCGATCGATATACCTAGGATACCAGATCCAGCTACGAAGGTCCAATCTGTATGGTCAGAAAATAGTCTCTTTCGTTGCAGGAATGACCTACAAAGACAGAACGAGAATCCAAGCATCACACGGCCAATGTGACCAAACATTAATCCACCGGCATCGTCGATACTGTAGACTGTGGGATGGAGAAGCTTGAAAACTCCGATCATGTAGTCCGACCACGTCGTGATAACCGCAACAACTAACAAGATGATGACCCCTGGAACGAGGCCCAATATGTCAAAGGCACTTGGAATTGAGAGGACACCGAGGCCAATCTGGGTCTTGAGCATCAGAACGGTTGTTCCGAGCCATCCAACCTGCAAGGTCATCAATTCGTGCACGAAAATGGATCTTGGAAAGAGCATACGTTACGATAGTTGGGGCCGTCGTCGGTGATATCCCCAAAAACAGCATCGTGAGTATAACTCGTGCCATTGTGAATTTCTCCGATCTGTGAGGGAACTGTAGCTAACTCCTCGGGGCCAACTTTAGCCTTGGACATGTCAGACATTGTGCAGAAGATGTTATGAATAACCATCAATCCGGGCAATGGTTGTGTGGGGAGATCGAGTCTTTAAATTCAACTGAGGCACCCAACTTTCTCTAATAAAGAGGCCTGTCTGCCATTGTTGGGTTTCATAATCCCCGAAGGCCTGAAGGGTGACGCCACCAATCTGTGTTATCGCTAATCTGATACTGTTACTAGAACCACTTTATCGGTTATGTTCTCTCCTCTCCTAGCTCAGGATTAGATACCCGGAGGCCTTGCCGACAACGGAGGCAACGATCAAGCTTCCACGAGCAATTCCTCGGGAAGACGCCGCCATTAGACCGGAACCTCAGGCGACGTGTCACTTGTTAATGTTCTGTTGCTTCCCCGGATTCTTCGAATCTAGTTTGGGCATATGATCTTGGGAAGTACTGGATTGAACAGGCCGTAATGTCCAATTCAAAGTTATCACCGACGGAGACTGTTGGCCAGTCGTAATATAACTACATGTAACTCTATATGCCATGCAAGTAGTAGTAGCTTTAGGAGAGCGCATAAAGTCACGATGCGAAATCCTGTAACATCCCTACCAGTGAAGCAATACTCCATACTTCACATCCTTAATAAGATTACTGTTGATTTATTATTCTGAAGTTATCAGTCCTTTCGGGAGGCCTTCCGGAGTCTAACGATGTGAAATAACGTCAGATGCATCTGCATAAGTCCAACATTATTAAACTGCGAAGGATTCTTCATAGCTATAATCAGTTAATATGCGGCATTGTTGTCACTTGCTAGGGATGGATAACCCGGATCTATCAATTCGCACTTTGGACATACCTATGCGGGGTACCTAGTCTTTGTGTTACACATGAGACACCTCGGATATTTCATTCTGCAGATGGCCATAGATGCTTGTATAACTATACCACTGCCACGGATATTGCCGACCTGCAGAAACATTGTTGGATATGTGCACTGATCGGAACAATTGACTTCTGATCAAGCCCCAGATTTATTCTGTTGGGTCTGGGGTTGCAATGCGGGGGAACGGGCATGTCAATCACTGCTTCTTACGGCAAGCGGAGGGATAAGCTAATGATGGCACTGTTGAGAGACTGGCTGAGGAGTGGGACATTTCGCCATGGGCACAGAGAAGCTGAGCAGGACCTCTTGCTCTGTCTGAAGCTCATTTCAGTGGGGGTGAAGTTACAGCTACCTGTCGCGATACAGGATACATTCTGAGGATATCGCGCATCCGTGTGTACCTGAGACAATGGAGTCGAAGCCCACCAATTATAAGGTGGAGGTTGCGCGGTTGCAGTCTTCGCTCATTGATAGCGACCGTGAACAGCAATTAACAAGGAGCCTTCTTTTCAAGCTTAACATGAGGTATGCATGGGAACTTATACAACGGCTGCCCAAAATGCAAGAGTTACATAGTATTTATATTCGCAAAACCGTTACTCAACAACGCCTAGTAGCAGTCAAGGTTGACATCTATTAAGTCTTCGCTTGGCCTGTGAATGGACGAGTAACTAATGTCTGGTTAAAGGTTGCTCAAACGAGTCTTCTGAAGTTGTTAACATTTCGGACTATTTGCTCCCCATTAGCTTACCAGGGTACACAACACTGTATGTACAGAGCTATCCAGACGAAATATGAAACAACGACTGTTCCGTTCTCGATCGAATGTGTGGGCTCTCTTCTATTGGTATGGCTGTCTCGGTTGTATTCCGTATCTAGTCGATTCTTGGACGAAGGATATAGAAGACGGATACGGTGACAGGCTTCTGCTAACACTTGGCACCGCAGTGGTTCTCTTGAAGTACATGCATTAACGTACCTCATACTCTGCCGCAGTCTCTGCTATGTTTGATTTTGGCATTTTCGGGTGTTTTCTTTGACCAAGAGGATATTCTGTCCTCGTTAAGATAGTCTCATTAATTTGTGCCTTCTGACGAAGTAAACGGGATAAACTGAACAGAGGTTGTTTGAACGGGGTTTAAATGTACCCTATTATATACCCTCAAGAAGCTTCTAGAGAAATATTCTACTTCAACTGCAAGAATGGATCAACATGATAATTTATTGTCCAATGCCATATCGAAGAGCTTTCGCTTTCGTATGCTGCTGAATCTTCATATTGAGTGGTTCCCCTTTCTTTTCTTTTTTTTATATATTAGTTGTTTCCATCTGAACTAAAAGTCCTGGACAGAAAGCCCCTTGCCTCGCCGACTGGCGAGTGATAATATCGCTGTACCCGCTGCGAGATCAGTCATACTCACGCCGACGCTCTTGTATATAACAAATCCCTTTCCTAACCAGTTTTCCAATTGCTCATTATCCGAACGATCGTCCTTCAAGTTTATGACCTCGCCGACTTCTACCAGCTGCTCCGGTTTAAGTTGACTTTGAATTAACTCGCCGGAGCTCGTTCGTGCAACTTCACGATCATCCACTATCACAGCTCCACCGGCACCGCCTCTTGGGTTATACGCGGAGTTTGATGTGACGGCATCCCGTAACAGTTCAGGATCCAACTCAATCATGCTAGGCTGCCAGGAACCGATGCTCGATACATAACAACCACCTGTTTCAGAGAGTTGTCTCCGAAGAAAACGAGCGGGAAACAAAGGAACTTTCGACGGTGTCGTACAGAAAACAACATGAGCAGTAGCAAGCACGTCTTCTAACTGCCTCTGGAACTCGGCGTCTGTAATATCGAGAGAATCCAGCTGAACAGAAGACTTCCAACGTGACTGATTCTCTTCTCTTATCTGAGAAACCAACGATCGAGACCTCTCAGCAGATCGATTCACGATAGTAATCTGTTTGATCTCGTCTCCTCTGAGTGCCAAGGCAAGGCGAATATGCCATAAGGCTTGCTTCCCGGCCCCAAAGACTACAATTTTAGCAGTCCTTTCTCGCCATGAGAATGGGATCATAACAGAAAGCGACGTGCGGTGAGCTGTGATCTCGTCGGCGTTGATGATTCCCCTGGGCAGGCCGTCCTTGTTGCACAGAATCAAGAGCCCGTGCAGAGTAGGTTTATTGGCATTGGTAGTGTTCTCCTGCAAAGAATCGGTTTGTTCTCTCGACGTACTTGGATCAACGATGATCTTCGTTCCCACATATTCTGGCGAGGTGAAGGCTCTGAATAGAGTCTTGACGCCGTTTGAACGGGCCACAACGGCTGGTTCTGGCTGAAAGCTTCGTTCGTCAGAGGTGGAAAAGCTCAGCAGAGACGTGGCGAGAGTATTGAGGAATTCACAAATCTCATCTTTTGAGAGGCTGATTAAGATTTCTTGCACGATTTTATCGCCTAGGACGGTGCAGTTTTCCATAGTTTGGTTCAAATGAGATATGGTATTGTCAGAGTCTGTAGGATTCAAGTGATATCAGGTAGAGTTAATTGCTCGAGTATTGCAAATCATAGCACGGCTACAACGCTGATTTATGCTTCAACAGCGCTGCTCATATCACTCCGGATTCAGAGGGTTTCTTTGGCTCTTTCAAAACGGAGTTGATCAGATACGGCTCTCTTTGCCGAAATCGGCGGCGTTTCCGACTTTCATTTAATCGACACACGTCCCAACTGAGACAGCCAACAGAAGTCATTAATATGATCGTATCTTATAATATCTACTTAGCAAGGAGGGGGAAGTCTCTATGTGGACTGGTTGGTTGTCATCGTCCGAGTCCATACTCGGAGTGGTAGGCGCAGAAGATCTACCGCAGGGTATATAGGGACAGCGAATTCAAAATCTATAAACATTTAATATCCATGGACGACATTACCTGTCAACTTTATCGGGAATGTTACCGTTACTGAATGGATACTTATCGTATTTGCGCGGAAGTTGTACCTATATCGGTATCTCTCCCCATATACGCATAGATACGGTGCCCCGCAAGGCAACATAAAAGAAAATAGGAAACGCGCAAAGCGACATTTCATCTTTCTAGTTACTTATCATCATCATCATCATTATTATTATTATTATTTTTCGTCCTTGCATGTTCAAAGATAATAAATTCCATATACTTCTCAACGGCAACAGCAACAGTCCGTTTGATCCCTCAGACATCAAACCGGCCCGGTTGATATCTCAGCGGAATGGGTATCAGTCGAACAATTAGCATAGTTGGCTGCCACTGCGCGGGCGAAGTTGGCGATGTCATCGTTGGAGGTGTTCTCGACCCCCCTGGATGTTCAACGATGTATGAAAAACTGGTCTACTTCCGAGACAAAGCTGATGATATTCGTCAACTTCTCCTGAATGAGCCCCGAGGCCGGCCGGCCATGTGCACGAACCTCGTCCTCCCGCCATGCAATCCCAAAGCAGATGCCGGGTTTCTTATCATGGAGAGTGAAGAATACCCACCAATGTCGGGTGGTAATACTATTTGCACAGCCACTGTGCTGCTGGAAACGGGGATGGTGCCAATGAAAGAGCCGATTACCAGGATGCTACTAGATACGGCTGCAGGTCCTGTAGGCATCACTGCCGAATGTGAGAATGGGAAGTGCAGGGCCGTTGCTTTTGACAACGTACCTGCGTTCGTATTCGCTCTAGATTATAAGGTCCGAGTACCTGGTCTTGGAATGATTTCTGTGGATATTGCCTGGGGCGGCATGATTTATGTAGTTGTCGACGCAGCGTCCGTTGGTCTTCGTATCAACAACAGAAATGGTCCGAAACTTATTGACATCGGCGAGAGGATCAAACAAGCTGTACAAAACGCATACACTCCTGTTCATCCGGAAAACCCGGGGATTCAAGGAGTCTCTATTCTCGAGTTTACGGAACCTCTGCGGCAGGAACCATCAGGAGAAAAAGTAGCTGTTAACACAGTTGTGGTAGCTCCTGGAAGGTTTGATCGTTGCCCATGTGGCACTGGGAGCTGTGCTAGAATGGCGATTTTACATGCAAGGGGACAGCTGGAAGTTGGAGAAAAGTTTCAGCATCGCAGCATCATTGGGAGCAGCTTCGAGTGTCATATACGAGGTACGACGAAGGTTGGAGAATATGATGCAATCCTCCCAAGTGTGAAAGGAAGTGCTTGGGTCACAGGGTATAAGCAGATGTTCTTGGATTCTACGGATCCTTTTCCTCTTGGATTCAGGGTGGGAGATCAATGGCATATGTCAGATGCTGCTTGAAATATGTTTCAGCCGCGCATTTCGTATTCGAGACATCTCAACGCCTCTAGCAATGAGAATAAAAGAAAGAGATAAATCTAAGAATATATGGGATAACAAGAGACTGAATCTACCCTGTATTTTTTCTATCTCGCGCTCAAGTATTTAGAATGAAGGCATCGTACGATATTAACCGCGACTTATGGGACTAACAAGATCCCAACAAACAGCAGTAGCCTTGCCTTCCCATAAGTCCTTATCATTCAACGCCCGGAACGCAGGCACAGACGATCATAATGCGTGAAAAAACAGAGCCTCCCATCAGCTCAGCTGTCCTAAGCCACATACAGGCAAATTGGTAGCTAGAGGAACATACAATTACTGCGGTCTCCAAACCGGTTATATTGCGCGAGCGTCAATACCTATTTGAAGTAATTACAGTCCAGCAGTTACAGTATGTAGCGACTATCTTATAATTGATCTTTAATCAATATTATCCTTGTCGAAGCGATATTGATAAAGCAAATAAGGCGTTTCATCACAGATCACATTCTATTGCGGGTTTTATGTAACAGAGTAGTCCCATGCCAAACCTCATTCTAATTAGTTCATTTCACCCTAATGTTACATCCCCTTCCACCGCTTTTTTTCTTTTCTGTAGTCAGGCCACTTTACTGTCCCTATTCTCTTAGTCATCGGCGCTCGGGGTGCGTAGGATCCCTAGTAGGCTAGTAGGGTTCTATGTACAGTGTGCGCCTTACATTGGTGCCCTGACGATATCGGGAGAAAAGCAAAAGAAAAACAAAAGAAACAAAAAAAATAGCGTGCTAGAGATTTTCTATAGTGCTTTTTACTCTAGAGTATTGAGTCTTATGAAGAGTCTTTCAAGTTTTCGGGGAGGTACTTGTATATTGATCAATTGCTAAAGCTAGCTTTGACCTTGACGAGGATTTTAGTGACTTAACAACAGGTAATTACTTACCTTCTCAGTCCTCTCCGGGGAATGGTCTTTGTGTATGTGTATTGGTATGTGTTATCCTTGCACGAGTCACCAACTCTTCTTCTTGTCTTTGAAAGACGATGAATAATACTGCAGTGCGATTGACCAGTCGAGTACCTTGTTGAGGCGAGGTTATCAGGGTTCATCGACCCGTACCCAATTAGAATATGTAGTATCAATAAGTACGGGCTGGCTGAAAGACAACCCTCGAAACTCCAACTTTTGCCGACTCATCCAACATCATACTGGCTGACGCTGTCGGCCCCGGTGATGCCAAGCGCATACCAGAGGAAACAGGCTCGCGACCTCCCTCGAACTTCCAAGGGAGGGAGCGTTCGTGAGCGCCTGGCTGGTATTATTATTGATTAATGCTAGTTCTCAGAATAGCGGTGATCAGTTGCGGCTTGGTTTCTTTTGGCGTTCCCGGTCTAGATACATTACTTACAGCAGAAGTGAGAATACTTTGTACGCTGTTTCTTGTAATGGAGACGGATGTGCTTTGATTGCGAATCCCATTATCATATTTGTTTCCTTTCTTTCGCAGGGAATAATGATATTAATAATAACTAACAATATCATTGACTAACTACTATTTTTTTTATCCTAGCTTCTCCATGAATAATAACTAGCAGCGCTACAGCAGCACGCCGCCGTTTCGTACCTGTCAAACAATAGTAACTAGTGGTAAGTGAGACCTCGACTCCGCTTCCGAAACGCAGATCACATAGTAAGCGTGAAACGAGGGCAGTAATTATTATTATTATTATTTCCTCTCTCGCCACCCAGGAACCGCATCTCGTCAGCAAATCGACGGGCCTCAGATCGTCCGCAAGAATTTAGTTAATTATTCTAGATTGGGGAGTCCTTGCTGAGATAATAATTCCAGCCATTCTGGTGTTTCCTGTCGGGCGCACTGCTGTACGACCATGGCTGGCTTAGACACAAAGCCAGGACTTAGCATTGTGTCGCCTTACAGGACTTGAGAGTACTTACAATACTGTACAATGGATATCGCGGCTTCTGAGGTAGTTAGTTACTTATGCCTGGCGATCGATCATGAAAATCGAAGCTTGAGTCTGCTGCTCACAGGGAGTAGTAAACGGCAGGTAATAATAATAATAATAAGAACTATTATCGGTTCAGCAGCTGGGAATGCGAAGGCCCCACTGGCCCTATTATTACTGCTTGCGAGAGAGGCCCCTTGGGGAGATGACCGCTCCGCGATGTCAAGGAACGGTACCTTGAGCCTTGAGGCCTCCTGTGATCCTCAAAAGGAGCCTATCAAATCTGGATGCGGACCTTGTAAGATCGAGCGCTGAATAATGGTGACCCTTGCCACTCTCGTTCAGCTCTGCTGACTCGCACATGACTATTATTATCTGGTTCTGAGCAACAGGGAGAACCGGTGATAACTTAATAATAATTGTATACATCGGTGGCTAACTCGATGCTACCATGAGAGCCGGCGGATGGGAATCGTGCTGGTCTTCGCGGACACGTGTATCGCATATTACGTTAGCGAGGGGAATCATAGTTAACTAAGTTAACTAATAACTACCTAAAGAATAAGCAACCGGGGGTTGAATGCGAGATGGTCAGCTTCGATTTCAACGTCCTACGACCAATTTACGAACAATTCGGATCCGAACGTCGCCTGGTTTCCCCCCCTGGGGTTACTGGCTTGCAGCAGCCGGGTGACCTGCGGGTCAACTCGTAGCCTCTCTGATTCATGAGGTTGCCAGGCTCCGCTGGTTCTTTTTAAGACATCCATTATTGCTGCTGCATGTCGCGATATCTATGATCGACCAGATTCCCATCGGCGGGCACAATTGACGCCAGCTACGGCTTAAATACGCAGAAAGAACATTGTGAGATTCCGCATTCTAATCATCAATACAATCTCCAGAGAGCCAGACCCAAAGCGAGAGAAGTGTCGATGTCTCCACATTTGGCACGCGAATGGGGCCGACGTCTATAAGTTAGCGGTCCGTCGAACGAGCTCGCGAAGTCCGGAGGCGCTCCGGAAAGCCCAGGCTTGGGCCGGATTCGCTGGTAAGTTACGTAGTGGTCCCGAGGAGCGAGAATCGCCTCCCTTCCAGCTGGAGTTCCAGGCATTGGCTCTTTGTTTTTGCAGAGGTCGGCGGTGTGGTGACGCTTTTCAAGAAAAGAAAAATTTGGTGTTCGCTCTTACATTCCTCTGCGAGGAGCTGTAGAAACCGAGGCGTCGCGGCGGGTGATCTGCGGTCAGGGAACAGCTTAAGGCGAACCTCGTGGGAGGCTGCTTCCACGAAAAGGAAAGCTGTGGACCGAATGTAGTACGACAAACCGTCCAAGCAGAAGCAAGCAAGCAAGGCATGGTTGCTATCACATCCTAATAATCTTCTAGTCGTCTTCCCCGCTTGCTGGGCGTTAGAGACCCTGGTCCTCCCGACTCGATTCTTGCCGGGCATTAATTGATTAATGTTTCGACGGGCACAACTAGAGAAAGGCAGTCAGTCAGTCGATAGGGCGACAGGCTCCAGCTGGGAGAGAGCAAGACGGACGAAGCCATCGATTGATCAGTCCATCATCCTTTACGCCCCCTTCTGGACGACCAGTGGGGGCAACGCCGTGGCAGGGCAGGGCCATGGCGTAAGGTAGCGTCCGTAGCGCGGATAGCGTGCCAGAGGAGGACAAGTTCCGTATGGTCACGTCCGATGGGTGGTGTGTACACGCTGCGAAAGTCAGTCAGTCTGCCCGAGTTGACGTGGGAGAAAGAAAGGATAGCAGTTGGGTGAACCAGCAGCGAGCCAGAGTTACGAGCCAGACCAGACGGACGGGAACTGGGCTCAGAAGGAGAACATCAGTGATTTCCGTCAGTCTGGATGGGGAGAGAAGCATCTCGACTGACGATTGACTTCGAGGTTCGCTCTCAGCTGGACTCGAAGAAGCAGAACGCAGCCACTGCACCCGCCTCGCTTCGCCTCAAGCAGTAATAGTGCAGTCCTGCTTGGCACGCCTACCGACAACGAGGTACCCTACGCCGCTTCTCCCCACTGCCTCCTCACTCACTCTCACTCTCTCTCACTCTCTCTCTCTCTCATTCCCTCATTCCCTCAGTCTGTCACTCTCACTTTCTCTCTCTTCTCTTCCAGCATCCCTCCCTCCTGCTCGACTTCTCTGGGCTGTTGGCGTCCTGCTGGCCATGTGTCTGTCTCGTCCTGAGGGCTTGTTTGCCTCTCTCCCAGCAAACATCATTCCTGCTCCCTCCACCCTTCCGGCCATCGCCTGATCTATGGAGCTGGGCGACCTCAGCTTTCCGTGCTTCTGGTAGCTGAGAGCCAGCTCATAAGATCCTCCAGGTTGTTTAACCTCTTTCTCGAGACTCTTGACACTCCAATTCCTTTCCGTCACGGCCACATCTCTCGTCATGGCGGTTTTGGATGTTCCCGACACCGGGCTGTCTCTCCGGAGAGACCAGCCCGATGGCCTCTCCCCCGGACCGTCAGCCAGAACCACACAGATCATGCGGTTGAATCTCGCCCAGAGCACCCTGGATGAGCTCGTCCAAAGCCTTCGAAATGAACAGAAAGCTCGAATCCGCCTAGGGAGACACCAGACCCTTTACTACGGTTCCAAAGCTCAACATTTCCGCTCCTCACCCGAAGCCCACCGATCTGAGATCTACAGCGCCAATCCGGCAGATAAGGAAAACATGTACTTCACTGGTGTCCTTAGTCACAACCTCGAGGTTCAAAAGGCTAAGGAGGACACTGCGGCAACCGATGAGGCCCTGGCCAACCTTGAGCTGAGCCTGAATGCCTTCGAAAGGGGAAAGGAGTCCAAGAAGACACACATGATCACAAATATACTGGATGTGAAGGCTCTTGGCGCTGGAGATAACCGGTCTTCGACGGGTAAACAAGCCGCCCGTCTGGCTCGCATGCCAACAAGCAAGATTGATGTGGAGAAGGAGAGGTTCTTCAAGAATGCGGCGAACCGGTCCATCCCCACCAGCCCTGCATTAGGCGTTACACGCTCTCCCGTTCCCGCCCTCTCATCTACCTCCGCACCCTCAACCCAAAACAAGGATAGAATTCGTCTAGAGGCATTGAAGGTGCCCTTCATCCATCTACTGGCCATTCGGGCTGTCTCGGTGAAGTTCTTGGCGCGGCAGACTCGCTCTTCTCAAGAGGACTGTCAGGCGTTGGCTCGCAAATATGGCACTGAGAACCGCCTTGATCGTGACAAGTTCGATCTCAAGGACAAGGCATACCGAGATCTCGATGTCTGGAACTTCCCCTATCCCAGTCAGGAAGACCGCCAGGAGGCTATCGAGAATGCCATCTCGGCCTTTGACCGGATGCGTATCTCCCGCTCAGACAAGCTCTGGCAGATGCTTCTCCCCAAAGAAGAACGTGGTAAGGGCAAAGTGCTCTCGCGTCTGGACCTGAGCAAAGGACCCATCAAGAAGGCTGTCACTCCTCGTATCCATATCCAGCCGTCTGAGGATACTGGCAAGGAAGGATATGTCACTGGAAACGAGACGGATAGGACGAACGGAAGGCATACACCTAACACCACCGCTGGAAAGCTGACTCCCAAGCTTGGGGCAACGACGCAAAAGAAACGAGTTGGAGACAGAGATGGCCCTGCCAAGCGAGCATCAACCAAGGCCAAAAACACAACGTTGACTGGGCGGGTGACCAAGAAGACGGAGAAAAAGCCAACTGCCAAACCAGATGGCAAGTTCAAATCTGCTGAATATGTACACGACTCTGATGAGGATGATACGGATATGGCCGATGCTCCCCCACCCAGGAATCCAGAGCTCGAAAAGGTGAGACCGGCCAGTGCGGTTGCCAGCAAGGCTCCCACACCATCGAAGGTAGCCACGGACTCCCGGTCATCCGCCCAAAAAGCACCTAAGCAAGAGGCTGAACGTGCCAACCCAAAGCCCTCTTCCTCCACTGCCGGTACTACTGGATCGAAGACGTTGCCCAGCTCATCGCGACCCTCAAACTCGTCACCCCAGAAACCGTCCCCTCTCGCGTCTTCGCCTCCTACGAACGCATCCGACCTCGACAGTGCGAGCAGCAAGTCTGTTCCAGATGCTTCGTCGAGTTCCTCGTCACCTCTCATCACACAGATATCCAAGAATAAACCATCTGCTGATGCCCCTCGCGTGACGAAACCCTCTGTGAAGGTTAATGGTACTGCCCAGAGACCGCAAGGAACTGGGAATCCGCTGAAGCGCAAGGCTCGTATCGACCATGATACTAGCTCTACCGCCCGACTGAATGGGCATATCAATGGGCATCTTGAAGCAAAGCGGCGACGACCACCTAGTGTATCTAGTGGCAGCAGTACTGGCAGCGCCTCCCCGCCTCTTAGCCAGGAACTTCTCCGGCAGCAACTGCGAGAGAAGTCGCAAAAGTTCAAGCAGTATTACACCAAGTACCGCGCTCTACATGAGACATTGGCATCGCAGCCAAATCCGCCTCGTGCGGAGCTAGATAAGCTCGAGAGACAGCATACTCGCCTACAGCTGATGAAGAAGGAAATCTGGGATGAAGATCGGAGACTCCGCAGTGGCCTATAAGTCGATGGAGAAGAGCATAGTCGTGACGTCTACAGAGTGAAGTGTTTTGGAGCTTCATTTGATTTCTATTTGCATTCTAACTTTTCTTATCATGGAATATCCTGGAATATCCTGGGCGTTGAGTTACTGGAACAAAAGGTCAACTGCATTGGGCGTCTGGATAATGAGCCTCTCCGAATTTGAGTGAGCATCTGTTTATTTTTTACCCTCTATTTTTGCCCTTGATTTACGCCCTCTTGATGGAGCCGGCTATTGTCATTATTTTGTATAGAGGAAACCCAAAAAAGATTGGGGACCACGCAGCTACCATGTAGAGTTTCACAACCATGGCGGCAGTGCATCCATGCATTGTAGTATCAATCACGTTAGAATTCATTCGATGATAAATTGAATCCGTGTTGATTGTAAAGTCTATGTCCACTTGTCGTACTCCTGCGATATGCCGTTCGCAAGTCCTTGATCGCACCAGGGTTGGCTGCAAGTAAGCTATCATACGCCAACCAACATCCCGCTAATTATTCCTCAAATGCCCAACCTACGCAAAAGCACACAAGGCAACTTCCGTTTCTCTGTTTTGTTTTTGGCCCTCACATTCTCTAATAATACATCAAAGCTTCGTTCATCCGCGGAAACCTCTTCTAAGCTTCCCCACTCCCCGAGTCCCGGAACCCGATCCGACCTGGCTAATCCCATCGCGGTCTAGTCTTGATCTTGCCCCGGACTGGACTGGTACCCCGAGGCACGTGGCTGCAGCCAACTCGTAACTTACCGAATCATCCCGTCACGCTCGTGTATCAAAAATACCATACACCCAGCCATGATGTCATGACGAAGGCTGTAACCACGCTAGACTGAAAACGGGACAGCGCCATCAGTGACCACTGACCGCCCGTCGAGTGAGAACGTGCAAGAGCCGCAATCTGTTTGGAACGACGGCGGCAGATATCTCCTTGTTCTGGCAGTTCGCTCTTCTGGTTGCCCTCACGCAGGATATTCGGGTCTGGCTCATTGTTGGGGGGCTGAGTTGCGATTCTAATTGATTTTCCGTCGTGTCATGTTGAGATTAGCGTGACGTGATTCAAGCTGGTATCGGGAAGCTCCATCACGCATTGAAACGAGATCGACCACGGGCAACTCCACGCAGTCGTATCGATAGAGGATCGAATTCAAGAACAATACATCGATTCTACACACTGGAAAGTTGGTGGCTTGCCAGGTACGGGCAGAGCTGATCTGCTATTTGGCGCAGACTTTCTGTTCTCTCGTCACACCGCACCGCCACGATCGTGACACCTACGAATATTCCTAGCAAGCAGATTACGCAATGCCTCCAGCAAAAGGCCCGGGTTCAGGAAGGAGAAATCCAAGTGTGCTGGTGAGTGTCTTCTATCTGTGGGCATTGCTCCAGTCAAATGTGTAGGGGGCTTGCATTTGGGAGTTGGAGCTAATATCTGCCAGGTCACCGATTCTCGCGAGCAACAACAGCCAGCACGCCGCAGCCCAGCCTCAACACGTTTCATAACCGTCGATAATGTCCTACAGTATGCGTCTGATGTGCCCTCGATGCAGCAGCGGCACCCTCCGCAGGGCGTGCGACAGCGTCCGCGCTCCCGCCTGGCATCGGGCGGTGGTCTGATTGGCAGCGGGGGCGGCGGCGGAATGGGTTCGAGCAACGCGACAGGGACAATGGGAAGATTGGCTGCTCAGCCCAGACTGCCACCACGGACGACAAAGGTCAGCGAGAAATTGGTGTTGCTTCCGGAAACAGACCAAGTAACGCAGGAAGAAGAGGAAGAAGAACAGGCGGACGAGGAGGCGGTTCGCAAATTGGCGGAGGAGCGGAATCTGGACCCTGAGATTGTTAGAAGGCAATTGGCTTTGGGGAGACAACAGGGCGACTTCGATGTCGATAATGAAATTGCGCCATTGCTTGCGGACGAGGAGTTAAAGCGCCGTCGCCGCGTTCCTCCTGAGAAGGCAAAGAGCTACGCGGAACGGCTGCCAAAGGCCCGTCGGGCTGAAAAGCTGGCTCGGGTTACGGCATACTGCACGGCACAGGCTTACAAGATGAGCACAACGGCTGCTTTCCTGAAGGAATGGCATGGTGCAAGGACAAAGCTGTACGATGACTGTCTCTATGTCGCTTATCAACTGCCGCTGCTGCCCGGCCGCGGGGGCTACAGGATTAAGAGCAGCGCTGCCCTTAAGACTGCTGGCGGCAAAGCAGTTCTCGATGAGGAAATTGAAAGAAATGAGCGGAGAGATTATCATGAGGAATACTTCACGGAAGAAGCGGAGCACTCTGTTGGTGGGGGTCGTCTCGATCAGGGTTCAAGAGACAGCCATGAGAGCACAGAAAGCAACCGTGAACATGGCGAGGCTCATTTAGCAGGGACGGATGGCAGCAATATACACGATCAAGAGTCCCGATCAACGCCACAAGCTCCCGCTAGGATCTCGCCCAGTGTGCTCGCCGTCGCAGAGATGTTCGTTTTCAGCTACGGAGTGGTCGTCTTCTGGAATTTCACAGAGAGTCAGGAGAAAGATGTTCTTGCCGACTTGGCTTTCTCTCACTCGACGACCGGGGACCCTCTCTTTCTGGCCACCGTGCCGCTGCAGGAGGAAGATTTCGAGACTGAAGAGTTCCATTTCGAGTACTCTACCGAGATATCTCGGCCGCGCGTATATAACGACATGATCACTCTGCGGAGCGGTGACCATATGATCAAATTGGCAATCAGTCATGGAATTGCCCAGAGCACCAAGCTCTGTTTCTTCGAGGAGGTCATGGCCAGACAGATGAGCGAAGCTAAAGACGTGCCCAGGAGACTAGCGACGACAGGAAAGCTGGGTATGAAACGAGAAGAAGTCTTCCGGATATTAGGTCGGCTGTTCAAGAGCCGTGTTGAAGTCAATCTATGTGAGTTCTTGCCCATTTTATCTTCCCCCGATTCATTCCCAACTAACCGCAACCTCTTCCCCAATCAGCTTCGAATATGCTTGACGTGCCAAACTTCTTCTGGGAGAGCGAGCCGACCCTCTACCCGCTGTACATCGCCGTCCGGGAATACCTCGAGATCAAACCGCGCATCCAAGTCCTGAATGAGCGCTGTCGTGTGTTCCTCGATCTTGCCGAGATACTGTCCGATTCAATTGCAGATAACAAAGAATCACGTAAGTTTTTATCAATCTCAAACCCAACCACCTTTGCAATCAATCCTACACGAGGAAACGAAAAAATAAACACCCCAATTATATTTCTTTCTTTCCCTTTCTTTTCCTAACAATCCACAGACCAAACCTGGATCATCATCGTCCTCATCATCATCTCCATCTTCGTCACCATCTCCGAAGTCGTCCTCCGCTTTGGCCTCCTTCACGCCCGATCCGGCCCCGCCTCCGCATCCCCCTCACTTTTCTCCACCGTCTTCGGGTCACGATGCACGTGTCCTACAAATCTCAACTCGACCGCGGCCATTGGCTCGTCTTTCCCACAGGGCATGTTGGAATATACTACCTAGCTAGTATAGTAATGATTACATTCTATCTCTTGAGAGGTGTGAAAATGAAGGGAAGCAAGCAAGCCAATTAATGCGATCAATCCTTACAGGTAAAGGATCATGGACTTTGCATTTTCTCTTTCTTTTTGAGTCAAATGGCCATTGACCAGGTCACTGTTTTGTGCCTTTCTCTCGTGTCTACCTAAATTATTTGTTCTTTTTATCGGTATAATAATCACTGTAGAACATCCTCTTCCTCGCGTGGCGCATGTTTCTAGTCCTGGTAGGAGTTGCGGGTCTCGCCTAGATTCAGTACCTACTTTGCGGTACTACATGTCGTATGCTTGTATGTATGTATGTACAATGGACAGGTTCTTTTCAATCACGGTATTCTGTTTCGGATCTATTCTACACGAATCATGTAAGCAAGTACTAGCGTATTTGAAGTGTAGTATGATAGGTAGGTGAGGTTTGGTTGCACCAAAGAAACTATCTTGAGGTGTATGAGCAACTAAGAAAAGCCCTCGCGGGCAAGCAAATACGACCGGATAAACAATAAAAGAGCAATATGAGACACGTAGGAAATTAGTAGGTAGGTTAACATGAGAAAATAAGTTATCGCTGAACAAAGAATGATGAGAGACCAGATCTCCGATGCAGAAGAAACCCGAACCAATTCCATAGCCCAACCCCAAACCTTGACGTGAATATTTTCCCGCTCTCTATCTATGCTTCATTCTGGTCATACGGATCATCAGACGGAAGCATCGAGTAGGAAATCAACCGACAAAAATCGCCACTCAAACCGGACTCCTTCCAGTGCCAAGCCGGACTGCAGGGGATAATAATGGGTTCCCCTGAGAAGAGAGAAAAGAAAGAGAAAAAAAAAGAAATTAAAGATATCGACACGTGTATGAAAGCTAAATTGACAGACAGATGAACGAAGTTATATCAAGGTCGATTGCTTCGAGGGAATCACATCACAAGAAACCCAACGCACGAGAACACCGATAATGCCATATTCTTACAGAACCAAGCGCCCAGACGCTTGTTCGGTTCCTGGTGTAGCAAGAACGAACATGCGTATGCCCCATTTTTGTGTGATCAGACAGGTGTCGACCACGCATTCTCGCCAATTCGTGGCTTCATTTCGTAGTTGTCTGGCTCAGTGCTGGTGGGTCGTCTGATCGTCGAGTTGGGGAAGTACATATGAGGGGGCATGGAACCCGGGTACGCTGGACCACTGGGTTCAGGGTAGGCGTAGTCCGTTGCGGAGCCAGGAGAAGGCATGCTACCGTGAGATGGCGATGCCCATCCAAGGCTAGTCATATGCGGGCTTCCATTGACGCTGTTGGGCCGGTGGTCATTGTTGGCCGGAGGCTCAAGAGGCTGAGGAGGAGCGTAGCCACTCGGGTGAGATGTCATGGATGGTCGTGTGTGGGGGGCACTGCTGAAGCTGGATAGGGAAGGAGACGTGGCTGTCGGAGATGCCCGAGGGCTCGCCTGCTGGAAATCCCCGCGGACGTGAGGCGGAATTGATCCGTTTGGCATATAATAGTCGCCGACTGGACGGTGCATATTCAAAGGTGGCAACTCGCTACCAGGTGACATTGATGCCTGAGCAGGGGAAGGCGTCGAGTGGGCAGAGGCAGTCTCGGAGTAGACCCCGTCAGAACGACCAGATCTCTCCTTGTTCTGCCTTAGGTTGGCTTCCGTTTCAGCTGCTGCTTCCTCGATAGTCCCCGTGTGATGGTTCTGATGCCGCGTCAAAGTTGTGCGCCGTGTGAATGTCTTCTGGCAGTTTGCGTATGGGCACTTGTATGGCCGCTTGCCGGAATGTATTCTGCGGTGTCTCGCGAGTGAGGACGAATCACTGAAGGGCTAAAATGCATTCTGTTAGATGATGACCTATATATAGATTTCTGAAGCTGAAACGTACCTTGCCACATCTCTCACACATATGTGGCTTCTCTCCAGTGTGGACACGAGCGTGGACCGTCAACGCAGAGCGCTGGATAAACTGCTTCCCACAACCGGGCCATTCACAAGCGTGAGGCCTGATACCTGTGTGGATTCTCTCATGTCGCGCCAGGTCACTGCGACGAGCGAAACCCTTGCTACACGTCGAACAGTGGAAGGTCTTTGGGGCCGGTTCTGATCGAGGTGGTGGGGCAGTATTCTGCATCTGAGGATTCGGAGGGAAACCTCCATGCATATAGGGACTTTGCATCATCGGTACACCGTTGCTTGGATGTGTGGGCGAAGGATATCGCATTCCCTGGGTGATGTTCGCCATCTGATGGAGCGAAGGAGCGCTTGGGGGATAGGACAGCACTGGATGATCTCCAGATTGGGAGGTACCGTGTTCTGAACCCATGTCGGACGACGTTCGGGAATCGAAGTGGGCGGCTTGTGCAAGTTGTTGTTGAAATTGTGCTTCTGCAGCAGCTACAGCAGCTGAACCTTTTCTATTCAGAATGGTCGTGATCTCCATGACCCGACTCAGCGGTTAGCTGAGGGATTGCGGTCAAGGACTAGACAGGCCTCCAGCACGTGGTCCTCGAAGGATATATATCAAGACCTTTTCCCTAGGTATGAAAGTGGCCAGCCGACAGAGGGAGCGATATGCGACGCGGGGTTCCTTTCCGTTATGTGGCCCAAAGTCTAACTCGCGCCGGAATGCTTGTAGAGTGCCGGAATTAAGAATTGGCCGTAGCGTCCAGAGTTGGAACGGGCACAGACCCCGCGGTGGTCAACGCTAAAGCTATCCCAAACAATCAGTCTCCGATAGGTATTAAGGTCGCAGAATCAAAAGTGCACAGCTTGAAGCAAAACAAAAAGAAATGACCACGAGCGGCTAGGCGACCACCCAGAGAGGATCATATGTGGTGCCGCTGCGAGAACGTGAATAGAACAGTCTGCGCGAAAACTGTGCAGCAAGTACAGTAGGGCAATTAGAAAAAGCGAATGACCTACCTTGCGTGATGGTGTCTCGGTAACTCTTCTCGAGGAAAGCGCAGTGTGGTCGAAGAATGGTAGTTGTAAGATCCGGAAATTCCACAACGCGGAATGTGAGCAGGAGCGGTAAGGGTGTCGCCCAATGAGCAAGGAGAGTGGACGAGGGAATGCAACGCTTGACCTTGCCAGAAAGCGCTGTAGACTTGAAAAGGCAGACTGTAAACGGACTTCTCCCAAATACCTCTTGTCGGCTTCCGTCTTGCCCTCACAAGTCTGAATCACTCGCAGGTGCTGCGAACCTCGGTCACAAAGATTGGAATATGTGTCTAAGGAGACTGATGACTCAGTATTAACGTTGTTTAGAGATCCGTCGATATATTGATTTCCACGTCGAAAATTCGAGGACACGACTCGAGCGGTACAGGGAAGAGCGACCGGAGTCAAGAGATAATCCCTAGAACTTGCAGGAGACGGTGATGATGGGGGCTTCAAAAATCGCGTCTCAACCCAAGATCTTCACAGAATATGCGATGTATTTATCGAGCAAGGACGTAAGGCGACAGGATCTTGATCCGTGCTGTTGATCAACCAATCATCCGATTTTTTTTTTCTTCTCCTTTCTTTTTCAGATGGCCCGAAGAGACGATAGCAAGCGGAAAATAGGAGCACTCTGTGTGAGGCTAGCCCTCGATTATTGCCAGACAGCTCAGAACCTCTGTTGTCTGACAGACGAGATGGCCACGAAGGTGTGACAAGGTGGAGAAACGATGACGGTGGGATGGGAAATTGCACGGCGCTTCCCGCGGTCCAGGTCGCTATCAGAGTTCAACAGTCAGTAAAGCGTGGAAGACAGGGACTTGAAAGAGCTTCAGTCCGTGGTTTAATGCTCGCAACGTAAAAAGAAAAAAAAGTCGGCGACAGTTTCGTGCTGCTCTCATCCCAGACGGAATTTGTGCGGTAACTGGCGGAGAGAACCTGGGGCTGCAGCGTAGACGGTTGTAACAGCTCCGCTTTTGTCGAGTTCTCTAATAGAGGAACGACTCTGCATTTCAATCCACCAAGAGTAGACACCAGTAAAGGAGCTGAACAGTGAAAATGTTGCGGGATGGCTTGGGGGTTTCCACTGGCGTCATCGAGACAGCAGTTGGAAACGGGCCGGCCAGCGCGTCCAAAGAAGGAGAAAAAGGCACGTACCGTGATCCCGAAGCCTGCAGGCTCGAGTAATCCTGGGTCAAGGAGGTGCCTGGAGTCAAGACGATCGAGGTTTGCTGTCACAGCCCGAGGAGTGGAAGAGTTTCGACGTCAAGCGGCGCAACCGCGGGAGGAAATTCGAGAGCGGCAAAAAAGGGAAACAGTACAAACAATCCGCGGTTGGCGACGCCAGCACAATACAATGCAAAGAAAAGAAAATAACCAGGACACGAGAGTTGCAAGTGTCAGCAGCGAGCAGCTGAGCACAGAAAGGACAGGACGGTCGAGAAATCGAGCTTGGATGCCCGGCGGGAGAATAATGTTATATCGATGATAATATGGGAGGCCAGGAACGGACGGGCAGGTAAGGTAAATAATAACTAGCTGGTAGGTGCTGAGAAAGCGTCCCAGGCACGAGATTGAGTAGAGTACTTATTCCAGAACAGGGCTACACGGTCCACCGCTCGACATCCACGATCAAGGATCCCAAATGGGCAAAGCCAGCGTGATTATTATTACGGATGTTACAGCTTCCCACGTTTCCACTTACGGTGGCTCCCTGAAGTCCCTGGCCGGTCTGGTCATTGCTGTCGGTGCCGGGGCCAGGGCAGAACAACATACCATAGCGCTGGCGGCGCCAAACGGTCGTCTCTCCCTTCAAGTGCCGGCTCCACAGCGTGGCCTTCCCCGTCCCCTTGGGCGAATCTGTCAGTGGATATCCTGAGCGCAGATCTGAAGATTCGGCAGCAGCTCGTCCAGACTAATGGCGATGGTCAGCTTGGAGGAGAGGAATAATGTCTCTCTCAGCTTCCCGACGTCGTCCGGCAGAGAAAACGCAGGAAGGACTGGAGAGCTGTCAGATCTCGATAAGCATTCCAGGGAATCCCGTCTTGGGGATCGTTTGTTTCTTCTCATCCGTACCGCGACGGCTGTACGGATGCCTACTTGGAGCAGCAGCCACAGACACACACACACACACACACACACACACTCGAGCCTCGTGTCGATCTGCTGCGACGTGGAGGGAGGGCAGCCAGAGCCATACGCACCAAATGAACCACTTATTAGGGGTCTAGAGTGTATTATTTGTTTGAGACCAGCCCGAATGGGGTCAAGGTTGGCGCCGGTTGGCGGCACAGGGCATCCTCCAAGAGAAGCCAACCCCATTCAGATCATTTAACTATTCGCCATCTATCTATGTATTAAATGATATCTGTAAACCTGTTGTCCTATGAGTGTGTTCACTTGCCTATCCGCGTTTGTTCTTTCTCCGGTGATGGTGATAAGGGTCAACTACGGCTGGCATCCGCCGTCATGCTGCCGTCACTCCTCGAAATCCGGATGAAGATCGAATACCAAGAGGTCGTCCATGACCAGAATCTGTTCTCTCGAACAACAGGGACGGCCTACCCCAGTGCGCTTCCACGACAGGATCGGCCGTCTCCTAGCAAGGATAATGATGGCATACTCGAAACACCGCTGTCGAGTTCCCCTCTGCATGTTCTCCCGGGGAGTTATAGCAGATGTGGATGCGTGGGCCGCAGCCTCCCCTGGGCCCAGGCGTGCATTGGGATGCTTTTTGGATCATCTCGTGTCCGTCGGGGATTCCCCTGCGACGGCGGCTCTTCACTAACTCCAAAAGTGTGATAGACCGTCGCGTCTCCCCGTGGCCAAGCCTCGCGCGGCCCCCTTGGCGAGTTTCCAGAAGAATTTTCGAACCGAGATGGAAGCCTTCGAAAGCATCCACCGCCGGGGCCTGGAAGTAGCGCCAGCTGCATCTGACATGACGGTGCCGTCGACCGGGCGGTCCCTGGACAGGCCATCCTTGCACCATCGAGGCATCCTACTGAAACACGATCTCTTTATAGCATGAACGTAGCGGTAAAGGGGCTCTCTCGCTCTTCCCCTCTCTCTTAGCGTACGGCTTACCGTCGATTGGTTTTGGTCCTGTGGCAGAACAGCAATCCACATTCGATCGTGATATTTATCCCGCAGCCTTGGAGCAGCATGGAGCCCCGTCAGAAGATGTTGACCTTGGAGAGCTCCAAGCACAGACAAACACTGCATCCAATTCATGACGCTGTTCCGTAAACTTAATTCCTTCATGCTGCAATAATGTTCGGACCGCAAGGTCGTCGTCCCCACCGGTCAGGCCCTATCACTCGACGATATCGGATATACAGTCAATGAGTCGCGGGCCTTGCTCCATATCTCCTGGCACCATCCGATCTAGCTGGACTGATCGTCTCGGCCCTATGTCAACTATCATTGTTCGGGCGTGGATCGTGATCGTACGGTCTTACCCCTGTCACCTGGGCACTGACAGCCGTTGGAATGACCACGGCTAGCATAGACTAGCTGTTGCTGGGGGTAAAACATATTGCGTACGCCAAAGAGGCTGGTGAGAACCATTTTACTGTGCAGTGTGAGGCTCACTTCCCTCCACCGCTGCATAAAGAGTTTCTATTCTATTCAAGTTCCAGACTTTTGTTTGTTGGTTTTTTGAGGGGCTCCATTGCCGCACGATTGCAGTTTATGAAACATCCAGAAGCATGCAAAAGAGAAGATGAATCGAAGATCTACGGAGTACAGTCAGGGCAGTGCAGGCATCAACAATAGCACGGCCACTTGCACTGACTCGGGAAGGCATTTGGGGGGATTGATGACCCTTTTTTCTCGGGGGGGCGGCTGGGAAAGCCGTGGAGAATATCCACTGCGCCGGATCGACTCTTCTGATCCTGCACGATACTCTAGACTCGACTCTTTGTTGCTAAATTGCCAAAACGGAACATCACCAAAAATGTGGACTTCGTGGTTCGGTCTACCGTTAAACTAGGGCATCGGCAATTCTGGAAAAGTAACTTACGTGGACCCCGGGATGCAATAGTAGTGAAAATGGAGGCCATGAATATCAGCCACAAACAGACTGCCTACTCGACTCTAGCACCCGGATCGGTTCCTCTACCGTCCAAGGACAGATGACATCAGAAGGTTGATGTCATACAAATAACTCCCTATTTGTCTTCGGTACTGATTCTTGCAACTGGCCATCCTCCTGCGCCCTTCCTTGCGGATACACTGAACTCTTCAGGGACTCTCTGAGCGTCTCATACTGGAGTACGCGGCCGGATACAGTCGCTGCTGCTTCTCGACATCACCGCGCGAGTCCTCTTGGAGATCCACCAAGTCTGGTTAAGGCGACGTCTATAAGCCTGGGACCCCTGTTCGGACCTCCAGCCGTCCTTATCAACATCATCCACCCGGCCCCGGGGGATTCGGTGTAGGGGGCAGCTGAAGTCCTGAGCTCTACTGGTTCAAAGGACCAGAGGATAATCTCTCCGCGAGCGCTAAACAAGGTCCAAGGGCCTCCTTTCAACCTTGTTCTCTTCTTTTCGCAGGACGGTTAAATTACTGCTCGAGCCGGCGTCGTTCCAGAATTTTCTGGAAGGCTTCCTATTGTTGACCGTCGAAGCTTCAGAAGCGGGTAACCCCTGTCTCATCAATGATGACACGGTCCTCCGGTGGGCCTGCTCGTCCGTCGTCTTCCTGTTCCACTGCTAAGTGTGCTATACGGCTCAACGGACGGTGGTGGATCCCCGTTACGAGCGACGGAGATGAAGGACGGCGAGTATCGTCACCGCCCACCTCAATTCTCCGTGTTGATGGCAGCATAGTTATGTCGAACAGCGAACGTCAGGCTCGTAAAGCACGGAAGAGCCCCTCAATTTCCCTAGATGACTCGGTTAAACCTCCGTTCAAGAGGCCAGGCTCGAGTCGGCTCAATCACTCAGAAGCAAACGATCTACGCGCCTGGGCTTCTCCATCCCATGTTGACTTGATGCACACGGACGGGACCGTAAATCAAAGATCCACTAAGAAAATGGGCACGGAATCACGCCAAAAGTGCTTCTAGAAGGCCGCTAGAAACAAAAGGGGGTCCAGTGAACAACCGGTGAGAGAGGATGCAAGCGGCATTGCGGCATAACCCTGGAAGGAACCCGAAAGCGCAGTTGTAGGACTGCTGTGGCTTGGTCCTCTTTCTCGGGTACTCCTCATCCCCCAAGACGAGGAATGTAAGTGGTAATACCTACGGAGATGCGGTGTAGATACCGATCGCCTTTGCGCAGGCATCATGCAGCTTCGAAGCAAATCAGAAATCCATGTGCGCGTCAGGGGCACAGCCAAGGTCCTCGAGCGGCTTACTGAGCCAGAATCGACGTCCCCGGTGAGTTTCTTGAGGAGACCGGGCAAGAAACATCCTGATATCGTCTATCTAGATTCTAGAGATACATAACTCTTGGTGGTGTCCTCAGGCCCAGGCGCATAGCTGGGGATGATTGCATCTTCTATGGCATGTTCTCTATCATCAACTATCTAAATATACATAGTGGGGGAGGGTCAATCAGACGGTCAGACCTCGTTATCGCCGTGCGGACAATAATGCGATCCGATTGTCATCTGTATCTCAACGCGCAGTACCACAGATCTACTTTTCTTTTTCCCCCATCTGCTCGCGAGCACCGATATCTTCCAGACCCCTTCCATATTGCCAAGTATCATAGCGCCTATGCCCCTGCCACCCGATCATCGAGCCCTAATACTTTTTTTCTCCGATGATCAAGTATCATTATTTACCTCAATTTTTCCCAAGCTCATTGCAGAACAAAGAAAACTGAGAAGAAACGCCCGAGGCCAGCCACCACGTGCGCCACGCATCTAAGAATGCCACGCGGCGCATGTAGGGGGAAGAAAAAAAGAGAAGAAGGGAGCTGCATAATGCTAAACCCCGACTCTGCATAATGACCATGTGTTAACTAGTTCTTTTGTCCCCTTAGCCGCATCATCGATCATGCAGAGTACTCGCATAGAATCCTAATATAGACAGCGATCTTGTTTCAACCTGTTATGATTTGCTTTTTGTTTTGTTCATTCAACATTTTCCCATACTTGGGATCTTTACCATGCAGGAGTCGAACATTCGTTTGCATTGTTATTTTTCGTTTCTCTAACTATGCTAGGTTGATCTTCAGCTTAACATCTAGACATCAACTGAGCTAATAATATTTCCCATCTCTCATCTAAAAATTCAGCCCTTCTTTGTCCGTAAGGGATCGCCATCGCGCTAACTTCTTCTCTTTACATTTATTTATTTATACTTCATCTCTAATACCCCTTCTTATAATAGACTAGAAAGTATACCCCGTATTCGTGGAGGATAAACCTATGTATAAATATAGTAAAGACCGGGGTTTTTCTCTTTTCATTGTTGTTTCCTCGGGTCCGGAAAACTTTCTTTCTTTCTTTCTTTCTTACTAATTAATGTAGTAGCTATTTCTGGAAAGTTGTGCTTTAGTTATAGTAGTTTTTTTGAACGGGGCGTTTCTTATAAGCTTTTTCTGCGGTTCGGTCCAGGAGGAAGGAGTAGTGGTGGGTTTCTGTTCTAAGGGTTGTTGGTTTGTCCAGTAGTGGTGTGGTATATTCATTGTTTCGCTGGCTGGTTGAGAAGAGGGAGTGGCAAGCATTGTAACTTGAAACTTAAACTGGATAGAGTTGTTTTATTATTGTTTCTGGTTATTCAAGAATTGGAATCTATATATTTGGTTCGGGAAGAAGTATTTACCGCTGCTTACTACAAAGATCATACCTTCCTTTCTGTCATCGTTTTCTATTGATTTATATATATATATTTTTCCAGATTATTTTCTCCGTGTCACTTTTGTTTCTTTCTATTGGCTTCAGGTCCCATCTCTTCTAGGAAAAAAAGAATACACATACACATACACATACAGAATTGGTGGTATATTGATATCACATCATACACCCTTCCTCACAGCCCAGAAATAATTACCCCAGTATTCCGATCCAGGGACAAACTTCCACCCAATTCCAGGAATATATATCACACCAGCAGCCTTCCAGCGCATATCCTCTAGAGCCTCGCTGCCTGCTCTCTGTGCGGCGCCGTCCTTCGATCTCATCAGCGCCTCCTGAGCCCAGCTCTTGGCTTCGTCCACGTTGACGAACTTGTTCCATTCATGCGTGCCGGGGGGTACGACTCCAATGGGCCATGGCGCTTCTGCGATGGCTTTGCTGACGAGGAACGAGGTGCAGGTGCGCGCGATGGTTGATCCGACCAGCCATCCGCCGGGACGGACGAGACGGAGACAGCTCGTCAGGAAGGCTAGTGGGTTGTCGACGTGCTCGAGCACTTCGAAGAGCGTGACCATGTCGAAGCCCTCGCGGGCATCGGGTGTCTCGGAGAGAGCCTCGACGGTCGTGTTCTCGTATCGGAAGCGGCCGCTTTGTAGGTGGGCGTGGAGAGCTGGGTCGATGCGAGCGTGATCGCGCGCGATCCGGATCAGGGTCGTGGAGGGGTCAATGGCAAGGAGGGAGGTCGCGTGTGTGATTGGAGATAGTGGTTGTGCTCGTTCGGGAAGAGGGATTGTTCGTGCTAGAGATTCGGCGAAGATGCCCCCGCCGCAACCGATGTCGAGGTATTGCAAGCCAGGTGCTGTAGTAGAGCTACTTGCTCCATCATCTAAAGCTGTGTTGTTCTGTAAATGGCGAGGAGGAGCATCAGCTAAGCAGGATGCGATAAAGTCATGTCGTAGCGGGTTCATCAGGTGGAGAGGCCGAGATGGGCCTACGGGATCCCACCAGCTGCTGGCGAGGGCGGAGAAGTGTGAGAGTTCATCTGCCGAGACAGATGAGGAGGAGTGGTTTCGGATGAAGGATCGAGCGGTCTTGGAAGGGTTATAGGTGTTGCGGAGGAGGGAGGAGAGCTGTCTTGTAGCCGCCATGGGCCGTAGGCATGAAGTGGACGCCATGGGAGCGCCGTGATATCCTCAAAGGAAGGCTGCGACTGGGACCGTATCGCGAAAGGTCGATTCAATGAGATTGACGAGTATGCCTCTCTCAAGGATCTTTTATTTCGCAATCAAGAATCTGCTCATCATCCATCATCGATCAGTATGCTTTCTGGTCCCGGGATCGACACCATCATCAGCTATGCACCTACATACCTACAGCAAAATAAAACCCCTTGTTGCGATTATCATGATGATTAGTATAAAGCAAAAGCACTACTTGGCCATTGGCGCAATAACCAATTAGTTAGGCAAAGTTTAGGCTGGTGAATGATGAAATCAAGCTCGTCGAAGCTCCGGCGGCGGCCAAAAGTTGGGGAGCTTTCGGGATGTCGAGAACAAACACGCCAAGAAGTCGACTACATACCTGTACAGTACATACGAACCAGATCAACGATTTTCAAGAAAGAACTAACACTATAATGCGAAGAGTCCCAATCTCTGCGCATCTGATTATCTATCAGCTACAGCTGCTGGTGAATATTGGTGGTATCTATACTGTTAAGTACAGCAGTCAATCGAGGAACCCCCGCATATCCTATCCTAAGTATCCTATCGACCAAGGAGTAATTTGGTAGGCGTAGTAAGACTCTGATGGCTTTCTGCCAGTCGACCAAAAAGGAGAACTCCTTGTTGGTCTGCCTGGGTCTCTAACAGACTCCAAGGACGATGTGCAAGTACAACCCGAGAACACATGCGCAAAGTCGTGTGCGTGTGCTGCTGTCAAGGATAGATAGCATCATCGAAATCCACAATGGTACCCCTGGCTGAATGGTAGGCGCATGTACGAGTCTCGATCTAGAAACCGCTTCCATCGCTTTCCTCATAAGCTCCACATCCTCGTCCTCCCTTTACGATGTGCTCTTCATTATAGCCTCTCTCAGTTGTACTGAGAGCATGATATTGATATCATCGTCGTGGTCGTCTTCCATGTCAGCACTCTTGAATGTCGTGTCCTCAAGGAGGGATGGCGGCAGTTCACAACAACCACAGATGTTCCTGGCGAGAGAGATGAGAGTAGAATATCGCAGGTACGGCCCAGGGCTTGCCCAAAAGCGAGCTCTATCCTCGACCTTTTCTATGAATGATGTGTTGCCTGAGTTCTTTGCATGCAGGTATGTAACGATGAATCTGAAGCACAAGAAGCGCCTTGATGGGCGGTTCGAGGTAAGGAATGTAAGCTCCTTCCCATCAAGATCCTGTAGCCGGTATCAGCAATGTTGCCATAAAAAAAATAGTAAAATGTCAATGTAATGAGCTTACCTCCCATCTTATGAGAGTATCACCTTTCACAAGGCAGACAAGCTTCTTACGAGAGTTATCCACCAGAATACACTTCCATCTCGTACCTTCCCCGGAGTTGTCTTCTGGCACAGGTACTATCGCGATACTTCCATCATCCAGACCAGCCTCGATCCTGCCATGTAGGGATATACCTGGAACCATTTAGTATCTTGGAATATAACACAAGTATTGAGAGAGTAAGCAAGAGCGTACCGCTGCGCGGGTCAAATCGGACCAGTTCTTTTGTTCCAAAGAGATATCCGATCTCTTCCCCAGCCAAAGACTTGGGTACAAGATATGCAGCCTTTACGCATCCTGAATCTTCCCAGCCGGTGAGATGGCAGTATGCCGCAAATTCTTCCCTTTTACCGTTATGGTCTTGGACTTGAACGGCTGAGTAAAATTCGAGAACGTCCCGTCTGAAATCGCTCCGATTAAACTTGGCCTTCTTCTGCTTTGATAAGGCTCTCATCACGCGAGGAACAATAGCGTTGGCATACGCTCTCTCGAGAAAGTCCTGGTCAGGTCCAACATCATCTTTTCGACGTTTCCCCCGGAGCTTATCCTCGAGATCGTCCTGCAGGATGTTCCTCTGGCGCTTTATTAACTGAAGGTCCCCATAGGCTAGCTTCATATCGTCCAGGACCGAATGTAGCTCAGTTTTATAATCAGCGTCGTCGATCGTGTGAGCAGCTCTTACCTCATGCAGACCGTCTTTATAGGCCCGCAAGTAGTCTATTTCTAGCTGGTAAGACTCTGTCTTATCCTCCAGGAATTCAGACACTGTCGAGGACGCCGCGGATAGGCGAGAGAAGGCAGGGGTCTGACTGAAATTGAAATCTCGCTGCTTGCTTCGAAGCGTCTTTTGGCGGTCCTCTGACATCAGAGAGGAGTATCTCTCTGGAATCGAGGGTCTCCGTGACATAGTGGATAGATAATTAGAAGATAGAAGTCAGCTGAAAGTGATAGATTCGACGTCTCTTTCTGTAGTCAAAGAGGAGTTATCTTCTGCAGAGATAGAGCGCGTAGACGATAAGAAGGTGTTTGACCACGGGGTTGTTTCTGGCACCTTTTACCAAGCTCGAGGTAATGATAGAATGGGAGAGACAAGAATATGAGTGAATGTCAAATCCGTACGCGAGTGAGGATGAGGTGGAAACGATCAAGAGATGCTCAATAGTCGCCTGCAAAGGACCGGAGATCACAGTAGGAAAGGCAGGAAGAAAGAGATGATCACAGAGGCAGATGGCTTTCAGTGCCTTGTGAGGGACAAGGACAACACTATCCTCGATATACCAGGAAGTTTGAAGAGGATGGGAGAAGGGGGCAGGATGGCTGAGAATGATGGACGAGATGAAAACAGAAGAGATACGACGATGTGATGATTTCAAAGTTGCTCTGTCACGATTGATTGATAGAGGGTTGGGAAAGATGACAAGGAAGAAATGAGCTGGTACAAATAATAAAGCAGGCAACTATGTCGGCGTACAAAGCGAACGCCAGGTGATCTGTCAATTTGCGGCAGGTTCTTTGAATCCTGATCATAGGATAGAACCTACTGGATTATTTGATTGCTAGATCCTTTGTATACTTATAGAGAGATAAAATACGGGTTCAAATCCCCCCAAGAACTAGAAGCAAGCAAGAAATTCAAGGTATCCAGGTCAGGCTTTGCTTCCGTGCCAGTCAATATCCGACAGAAATAATAAAGCAGGCAACTAAGCCTTCGGTACTATACCAGACTGGGACATTGTTGACAACGGGCTTCCAAGGCTGCCGCATATCTGGCATTCACCATTTTCTCTTGAAGGGAATACATTAGAAGTGCAGCCTAGATCTGAATAGTTCGCGGAGTTTTCAAGATGCTTGGTTGAGGAACTATGTAGGGTGCTTGGTTAACGTGTTCTATCCTTAAGTAGATCAAATCTTCGTGTGGATTATGTACTACTTTTCTGGATATACAATGTTGATTTGATTTGAATAATAATAAATCGCATCTGATTGGCAACAACAGCGTCCTGGTTCATGCCAAGTTAATTATTTTAAGCGGTTCGATAGGTCTGGATAGCAAGATATAAGACCTTGGCGGACAGTCATTCTTAGGCGCCCTGCAGGGCCTAAACTAAACCTCAACAGGTCCCCGACGACGACGGGATACTGTGATTATAAAAGTCCGCGTAGGACCGCCCAAACATAAGCACTTGAAAGTACGGACTCAACTAGACATAGATCGACTGGCAGTATCATCAGCTCTTCTCAAGACTATCTACCTAGACTGCCTGTTTTCCGACCTACTGTGAAGAGCCCACTTCTACCGATTTCATCAACCAGATCCCATTTTGATCCGTACGCATCTCACATCGAGCGGCGACAAGTGGAATCATGGACGAGATCAGGAAATACGAGTTGTCTGATTTGGACAAAACGGGCATCAAGAAGAGGGTGCAACTCGTCATATTCTATGAGCTCCAGCCCACCGTGGATCTCGACAAATTGATATCCTCCGTGAGGGAAGGGGTGAATAACGCAACACGCCGATTACCATTCATGGCCGGGAATTTCAAGTTCGATAATACCGGCAGACCCTATATCGAAACACTTCCAGGAAGTGAGGTGGAAGTTTCCATCCGTCGGTTCGATTCCACGGAGCACCGGTCTTTATCTGCTTTGGCAAACCGTTCATACTCTCCCAACGATGTGCCTTTTGTCCAGTTTCTACCTGACGAGCCACCGGCTAAGAAACCGGTCCTTCTATCTGACGAGCCAGCGCCTAAGGAACCGGTCTGCGCCCTCCAAGTAAACCTCATCGAGGGTGGGTTGGTTCTGGGATTCCGAATGAACCATGCGGCTGGGGATTGGGCGTCTATCGATACATTCCTGTCTCTTGTCTGTCAAAGCAGTAAGGCATACCAGGAAGGCCTGAAGATGCCCACCTACACACCGAATCTCAATAGAACTCCATTCAATGCCCCAGCAGCTGATCCGGCCATTTCGAGGCAAGACCATCTGGAACGCCTCCGCATCTTTCATGTTATGAACAAGAGTCAAATCAAACCAAAGCAGCTGCCAATATGTCGATATAGCATCTACACTATATCCGAACCGACTATCCAACAGCTCAAAGAGCAATGCACCCCGCATCTGAGCGAGGTCGACTACATCAGCTCATATGACTGCATCTCGGCCCTCGTGTGGAAATCGCTCACGCGTATCCGCCTCCAAATTCACACGGAGAAATCGACCTCTCCATCCCATTTCGTCCACCCCATCGATGTCCGTTCGCGAGACCCAGAGAACAAAACATCCAAACAATACTTTGGCAACGCCGTTATTGGAACTCAAGCTGGTCCTCTTACTGCCGAAGGCTTAGCATCGCACGGAGACCGCAGTCTTACAGCTGCTGCTACTGAGATTCGTAAATCCGTCAACTCCGTCAATTTGTCCACAATTAGCCATATGACCGCCCTCAATGCGTCCCTCGCTCATTGGGAGATACTCGGTTTAACTTCAGATTTTGATGATATGGACATATTCATGAATTCCTGGTACTCAGGAAGCGCGGAAAAGTACGATATTGGGGCTGGTTCGGTCCCTGTTGCCTGTCGGCCGGCTGATGGTATGCCGGGATCTTGCGTTGTGATTTTGCCGAATTTTTCACGAGGAGAGACGAAGGTCTTTGAGGTTCTTGTAAATGTGACGGTTGAAGAGGACGAGTTGTTAAGGAAAGATGAGGAATTCTTGAAGTATTTCGAGCCTCTTGCGTGAGAGGTTGATGTTGTTGCTATACTCGATATCGTCTTTGCTTGTTTACTCTTGTTACATACAATCATCATCATCGTTATGATATTGCGTAGCGGCTGCTGGTTAATACATCTGAAGGTTTCGCACTTCCCGACAGAGATTAAAAGACCTCGACAGGTTGATACATCATGTTGCATGTTGTTTTGACTGACACGTATATAAAGTATAGTTGAGCAGATCAATAAATCTCCTAAGTGGATTGCTACTTTTTCTATCTAAATAATAATATATAGACCTATTCGATCAGAGATATAGTGGACTAACAATCACAATCCTGTGATCGACATCCGAAAAGGAGTCACTATCTATCAGAATAAACCATGATCCAACAGATAACAGAGGAGTAGGTGGATATGTCCAAATCATCAGGTATCATCATGATCGAGAACCACTGTCAAGCAAGACACAAACAAACAAAACAGCTTTACACACAAGTCAGCAGTCCAAGCGTTCATGTCCCAAGGTCAAATGTAATCATCCTGTCATAAGTCCTCGGTCATTGAAAACCAAATAAATCGTCGTTTAAACGCGCTCCACGAATTGAGCATTTCCAGTATTCTTCCTCGTGCTGGGGCTCTTCATGCTATCCAAGCCAAGACTCTTGCCACTCGTCCCGGTGAACGTTCTCGCAATGGTGAAGAAGCCCTGTCTTAAACCGAGTTCATGCCCAATCTTCCTGTGACCTTCAGATCCATGGCCGTAGTCTTCGCCTTCGGCAAACCAGCCAGTGTACCGCTTGACGGACTTCCAGGCCTCGATACCAAGGAAGAAGATAATGAGTCCGCCGAATGAAAGGCCCCATTCCCAGCTAATTCCTTGATGCTTGAAGACACGAGTATTCAAACCGGGGATATATATGGCAGGGAAAACAGAGATTGCGCCAATGACGACGGCCCAGAAGAGGAACTGGTTCTCCCAAACGTCGTGGAAGAAAGGGAAGGCCTTGAGGCCACGGTCTTCGCTACGGTCACGCACGGGATCCAGATTGAAAATGCTATTTCGGAGATGTTTGAATTCCCATGCGGAGATGAGGATCTGCCAGGTGAGTTCGGCAAAGACTGCGGCACGAGCACGGAAGACGATCTTGCATGAAGCGGATTCGTTGCCGTTGCAGTCGACTCCTAGAGCATCTTGCCCGTTGCCAACACCGTATACTATGATGACGAAGGTAAGTAATGTGGTGGTACCCATAATAAGGCCATACACCAACATGTCTGTGATGATCTGCCATGTGAAAACACCCTTCTTGGTATCATGTGGTGGACGATGCATTATAGATGCTGAAGCTTTCTCGCGCCCAAGCCCAAAGGCAGGGAATGAGGATGTCAACATATTGATCCAGAGAATCTGCAGAGGCGAGAGAGGGAAGACGGAAACTCCCTGTCGATCCTGGAAAGCAAGACCGACGACCAGAAGAACAACTTCGCCCACATTCGAGGTAAGGAGATGGAGTATGAACTTCTGGATGTTATCGAACATGCGTCTGCCTTCTTCAATAGCGTTGACAATGCTGGCAAAGTTATCGTCTGTGAGTACAATATCGGAAGCGGATTTTGCAACATCAGATCCTCCCATGCCCATGGCAATACCAACGTCGGAAGCCTGGAGAGAAGGAGCATCATTGACACCATCACCGGTCATGGCGCAGTAGCGCTTGCGGCGATGGAGAGCAGCGATCATGCGGGTCTTCGTATCAGGAGCGCAACGTGCGATGACGAGGGGCAGTGTGGGCAGGGCGTCAATTTGTTCCTCAGTCATACCGTCAAATTCAGCTGCCGTTTTGACGAGCGAAGCTGCCTCCTCAGCGGACATGGTCCCGGCATTCTTCGGGATAATACCGACCTCTTTCGCAATAGCACTCGCAGTGGAAGGGTGGTCACCGGTGAGCATATGAACTCGAATACCAGCAGTCGTACATTCTAGATCCGTCAGTAAAGTCAAATATCACATAAAGGAATCCAGCTCTGTTAGTAACTCACCTTTTACAGCGCCCTTAGTCTCCAGTCGTGGTGGATCATACAGACCAGCCAAACCCAGCAGCGTCAAGTCCGACTCAATATCCTCTCTTGAGATATCTTCTCCTTTTGCGTCTCCAGGTGCCTGCTTCTGAGCAACAGCAAGGACACGGAGACCTTGATCAGCCAAGAAGCTCATTTGCTCCAGGACCAGTTCCTTCATCTCAGAAGTCATCTGCTGCCGGTGCGCACCAGCGCCGACGGTCGTACATAAATCCAATATACGTTCTACGGCTCCTTTGGTGAAGACCATGGCACCATTATCGCCGTTTCTTTGGTAGATGACAGACATGCGCTTCACAGTACTATCGAACGGGTATTCAGCAAGCTGTTTCCAGCCCCTTTCGCTCTCGAGCACTTTCTTTCCAAAGCTGAACCGATGAGCAAAGACTTGCAATGCGATCTCTGTGGGATCGCCCATTGTCTTCCACTTGTTTGAATCGGCATCATGACGAACAGTGGCAAGGTTACAAAGAGCGGCAGCGTGGAGGAAAGACTCCAGTTCGGGAACGATTTCCGGAAGAGGAGGATTATCACCATTAGAATATTCTTTCTCGTTAACCTTTTCATCTGCATGGAGCTGGTCCTTCTCCCGCTTTTCAGGCGGAAGTTCGAACTTCAAAGCAGCAGCACTTCGCGACTGATCTCGCTCTGAACGCTGACGCTCTTGTTCCTCTTCAGCTTCTTTCTTCGAAGCCGGGGCCTGTCCCAGAGAGACAGTACCGCGAGTCGGATCATTGGCATCATCTGCGTTGCTGAGACTGTAAATCCCAACACCGGGGATCCAGGCCTTGCGCGTGATCATCTGGCCTTGAGTGAGCGTTCCTGTCTTGTCAGAGCAGATGTTCGTAATGCCACCAAGTGCTTCAAGAGCCGACAGCTGTCTCACGACCACTCGCTTCTTGCGCATCTCCGTCATTCCAACAACCATAGTGATGGTCAAAACGGCAATCAGGGACTCGGGGATGATAGCAATTCCTACATTCGTTAGCTCAGGACGAGGATGGTTCTTGAAGCAAGAGACGAAAACATACCGGTAGAGATAGCATAGATTGCAACCTCATTTGTCACATTGAACTTGTTCACTCCAAAGACAATGATAGCTAGGATGATAGCACACCCAAAAAGAGTGTACGCCAACTTGCTCAACTTGATCTGCAACGGCGTACCCTCAGTCAGACCTAAGAATTTACCAACACCATCCCAGATCCGAAGAGACAGACCCTTGACAGGCTGGAAATGGCCACCCTTCTTCCGGGACAAAGAGCGGTTTGGCTTCCTCTTCTTTCCCTGCATGGACTGTGCGATCTTGCCAATTTCCGTGAACATGCCCGTGAAGACAACAATGCCGCGACCACGGCCTTTCGTCACGGTCGAAGAAGAATAGGCCATGTTGAGGCGGTCACCTACACCTGTGGAAAGCTCATCCTTGTCCGTGGTGTCAAAGTCTGCCTCTTTGGCAACGGGGATAGCTTCACCAGTAAGGATTTTCTCGTCGCACTCGAGGTTCATGCATTCGAAAATACGGAGGTCAGCGGGGACGGTGTCGCCTGTCTTGATCAGGACAATGTCTCCAGGGACGACTTCGCCTGATGGGATAGTGGTCGTCTGTCCATTGCGAATGACTGTTGCAGAGGGAGAGGAAAGGGATCGCAGGGAGTCCATTTTCTTTTCAGCTTGGAATTCTTGGAAGAATCCAATAAGGACGTTAGCCACGATGACGGCGGTGATGACTCCGCCTTCGATGTAGTCCGAGACACCGTATGCGAGGGCCATGGCGAGAATAAGAACCTGTTCATCATCGGGAGTTCGTTAGCAAGAGTTCAAGTATGGTATCCGTAGTTTCAGGAGGAAGAGCCCAGAGTTGAGATGTGTTCAACTCTCCATGAGCGGCACAGTAAATATACTTCCGACAGATGGAAAGTGAGCAGAATGAAAGAAATGGAGCACAGTGCTTTTGATCGTAATCGGACCATTCCAATGTACCATAAGATTGATTTTCTTCTCCTGTCGAATTGCTATGGCAATCTATATGGAAACACCAGACAATTCCCTCTGGGGAGCCCAACAATAAAGGAAGAACAAGAGAAACTGAAATAGTATCGACCATCTAACTACTCCCACACTATACGCCTCTGAGAGAGCATAACATGACCACAAACCACCCATAAAAAAAAACAGAGAAGAACTAGCAACTCACCATAATCATCGCATTAGAAATCTGCTTTCCCAGAATCGAATACCACTTAACAGCGCCTTCGCCTTCCAGCCTATTAGGTCCATAACGCTGCTGGAGTTCCTGCACCTGAGTGTCCGAGAGACCATTCTCCATATCCGTTCGGAGAAAGCTCGTCGTCTCCTCGACGGACATCAAGAAGGGATGTCTCTCGAAGCCCTGCTTACGGGAGGCATCTTTCTTTGAACCACTCATGATAAATCGTGATTTAGACTTGTTCACTTGATGATGGTGCCGTTTCTCCTTGGCCTGTTTGCGTATAGCCTTGGGGGACCGGAGTCGATGATGCTGGTACTCATAAAAGAGGGTACGTCCTTGGATCGGATAGAAGATAGTTAATCTCGGTGATATATTCGTATAATATCAGAAAACGAACGAATAATTCAATCTCGGCCGTTATTTATTCAGGAGAAAGAAATTACAACCCCCCAAAAACAAGAAAGAAGCGGGGTACCAACCGCCTCTTATATAGACCTACCTTTTCTCCTTATCTTCAATCCTCAATGGCCTGACGCACTGAGATGCCTAGAACTCTGTTCCGAACCAAGGCTCCATTATCCAAGGAATAACGTTCCGTGATTCTGGGTACGTATATCCGCAAGCGTGCCAATATGAACCATTATCAACAGCCAAGAAAAGCTCGTATATCATCCGACCGTTCGCACAGACGCTCTTCGATCTTACTGGCCAATAGACCAACAGGCGGAGAGTATGGATTATCTTATCTTGGCTCTTGGCTCTTGGCGCAGGCGGCGGAAAGACGGCGGACTTGCCTAGATGAGGGGGGCCTTCGGAAACTTGTCCGCTAACATAATGCCGGTTTCTAGTGCGTTGAACTACGGTTCTCCTGTGGTGGTTATGGGTGCCGCGGAGAAGTAACTCCGGGTCTGTCGAACTCTAAACAATCATGACTCTTGCATTTTCGCCCCTGTGAAGAAGAAGAGTCAGAAGAAATGGAAATCATTCCAGAGATATGGATAATTCATTGATTCCATCTCAGAGATATTCTCTATCACTGATATATAGATCTATCTATCTCAAATAAACAAGATGATAAGCCGCCGAATCAAGCAACGGAACAGCATGTGCTTATCCCCAGAAATACTATAGTTACTATAGGCATAACACTATATAAGAAAAAGAATATTGATAAGAGACCTGAATATGCCGACATTGAATTGCATAATTGCATAATTGCATCAACGGCTTAAGGCACAGTGCCCCAGAAGAGTTCCAAGAAGTAGTTCCATGGAACAACGATAACTATCAGCATAGTGCCAACATCCCCAAGCCCCGCGTTACCAATGATACACCCACGCGGGGAAGCGTCATGGAGATGATGGTATTTGTCAGTCGACAAACTCCTAACTAGTTGGTCGGAGCTGGCTCTCCAACCAGAAATACCATGTCGCAACCGGTCGGACGTCGGAGGTTCCCATTTTCCACGACGGCGCCAAGGCCATGCCAAGCCCGCCGCTCGCCACGCCGAGAAGTCCGGAGAGGAGCGGGCGCTTTTGGTCTTCCTTCCCACCAATGTGCGGTGGGCAGGAGGCGAGATAGTCCTTGTTAGGCAGTTTGTACGCGGCATCTCGCATACAATATGGTGAAGAGGATATGCATGTGTATCTTTTTGTCTGGAAAGCCTGTTGTGTAGATAAAGGAGCAATGTTGACTGTGAATAATTCCTTCGTGTTACTACCACAGCGGGTCTTACCCACGACTAAATGGAGGATATTGCAGAATAGCTTATTCAGAGAAGAGATGGATTGTTGGTATATTGTACTGTCTGCTTATATTAACAATACAGGATGAGGGCACAGCTCAGATCGGCTGAATAATTCGCTTGAGCGATAATGCCAGCCGCATGGAGAAGACTGTTTTGATGCTATGCTCATCGCTTTTTGAGAAGTATGTACATACGTGTCTCTCAGCACAATGGATCAGTTAGAAACTGTCGCTAAGGCTGCCACAGACAACGGATAGTGTTGATCACCACGAATGGGAGACTGAACAGGGAAATGAATTGTGGTGTCTGCACTGTATGTCATGGATATCTTCGGAGACCACCAGTGTCACAATAGTGCCCCCAGTAGTGTCTGCACTTCTCTGGTCGGCTCGAAGTCTAGCATGCATCTCTATCAAATGACACGCCTGACCAAGGTCTAGTACGGCCATCTGGAGTACATTCCATCGCAGATGAATATGCTAAAATCTGGATTCGACTGGAGATAGGTCTAAGGAAGGACCCGACGTCACGTCGATCGTTTCTCAAGAATGCAGGCTCGTTCCCTTTAAATCTCCTATCTCTTGCCTTTCCCTCTGTTCTTCTTCTTCTTGGAACTTTCTGCCTCTGGGATACTTATTGTTCCCTCAACCACGTCTTCACTTTGGTTTTTCAGCCTTTCCGATCCGCTGATAAAGAAGGTGAGGTCGCGGTTCTGTTCGCTCAAGTCCGCATTCTCAGCCTTGAGCTTTTCTACCTCTGCAGTCAGGAATTCGACGCGCTGCATCAGACTCTCGTTCATAGTCTTCTCTTCACGCCACTCCTTTTCCATTTTGCGCGCCATGCCCTCGAATTTCTCTGCTCGCTTCTCCGCCCGGGTCTTATCGCGCTCGAGGCCGGGAATAGTCTCGTGGGTCAAAGTATCGTACTGTTGTTGTAGGCTCGTCAGACTTGCAGTGGCTTTTTCAGCAGCCTCCTGCGCCGCTGATGCAGCATTGCTCGCTTGCGACGCTTTATCGGCTGCACGTTCGAGAATTTCTTCAAAGTACGCACGTTGACTCTCAAGTTGACTGGTAAGAAGGTGCGTGTACTCGACACTCATGTTCTCCAGCTTTTCGCGCGGCACGGCGTCTTCCCAGTCTGGCGGATCGAGCGCACTGTCATCAGCGGCAGGCAATTCGACAAGCTTGCCGTCAGTCTTGCTTTGAATGATGCGATGCACGTAACCATCGCCCACGTAATCCCAAACCCGTTGTGTGGCAAGGTCCATGGCGAAGGCGTGAGACGTCTGCTTGAAGTGAGCAAATGCGTGAGCACCATCGTAACGGCCGCAGCCAATATTTCCGCATATCAGGCACAGCCAAAGATTTAGTTCTGAATGACAGACACTGCATTCGCAGGGCCCCTCGCCCAAATCCAAGCTCTGGCGTCTTGCTAAACCATCCTGCGTATATCGACACACTGGACATCCGCTCCCTTTCCATTTTTGTAGGCAGGTACAGTGGAAGACATGTTGGCATATGATGGTTAATAACCCTGTCGTCTCGTCCATCCGTTCCAGACAGACAGGACAGGTTGGGAGCTCTATCAGCGAGGGGGTTGGCGGAGCGAGAGGTTTGCTGGAGAGAGAAGCGGTGGACAGAGAACTAGTTTGGCCTGTTAGGTTTGCCGTTGTTGACTGTGTAAGACTCCGATCGCCGGAGTCAGTAGCATCTGCAGTCACTGCCTGTATTTCGACCGTCTTCACGAAAACGACATGGCAGGTCTCGGGCTGAGAAATATCCACTTATCAGCATCTCAAGCTATCAACAAGCGCACATATGCTCTTGTAGACTCACCTCCATACTGTTAAACACCTTCCCATTCCACTCCCTCTGCCATTCTCTCGCCCTCCTCCCATTGCGGAACTTCATCAAAACCATGTAGCGATTGGCCCTAGCCGTCCGGATCATGCGGAAGTGACTGACATCGTCCCTGGTCCGCTCACCGACAAAGCCAAAGAAATCAGACGGTGACATATACGACGGTACTGCCAAGATACAGAGGGTCGTGCAGTCTTCATCTGGTGGCGTCGTCGACGAGCTTCGTCCCGCCCCGCCGTCTACTTGATAGTTGCTGCTCCCACCCAGTCGATCGCGGGGCTGTCGCGCGGCAGACGATCCCTTCAGCTCTGCCGGGTAGTCATCTACACCGAGAGAGGGTGTCTCCTTAGCATCTCGGTACAGGTGCACGATACCCCAGACGCTGTCCGATACTTTCTGGTCTAGAGGAACGTATCGGCCCTTTGTATGCAGACCACCTAAGATATCCGTTCCAATGCCCGTGGTCACCGGATTGCTCCCAGCTAGACCTCTATCGCCCCGTTTCGACTGTGCTGTATTCTGTTCTGGTGGTACCATATCGATGCTCTCAATATACAACCTGTCCAATCTCAAGTCGTTGTTGATTGCGGTGAGAGTGTTCGGGGACTGAGTAACTGAGGGAGGAGGATGCGGGGGTATGTCCGTAACGGTCTCCGTGAAATCACTGCCGGATTGATACTGTGAAGCATTCACCACCTGTGGCGTCAGACATTGATCTCTGCGGCCGGATGCGCGCAGGCCGCGTCCTGAGGATTTGTGATGCCGTCGCTTCTGGAACGGAAGCAGAGCTTCACATGCAGATTCAAACGATAAGGATATCTGCGGGGAAGTCGTCTCGCTCTGATCAGCGTCAGCGGAACGGGATCGCTCGCAAGGAAGTAGCTCAAGCGATATATGATAAAAATATGAGGGCATCCCGGCGCCAGTTCATATTGCTGTCCGCGTCACAAAGTAGCTAGGCATTACTAGTTGGTGGGATAGCTCATTTCTGGGGTAGAGGAAACGGTTGGCACGTGACAGTATGCAGGATGCCAAGCCTGCGATTACGATAAGCTATCGGACCGCCACGGTGGCGAAATAATGAAGCAACTACGAGCTTAGACTACGAGCGGCAAATGGCAAATCGCTACAGAAACAAAGATCTTCAGGGGTTATGCAGAATGAAGTCTATTCATTCGGGGTCTCAATAGTTTAAAAGTCCATGTATATGTTAGAGAAAGTGGGACGCGAAGGTCTCCCGAGTCATAAAAGCCGTCCAGACCATCCAAACGCCATGCAGGCCATGCAAATCCATAGCCGAATCATAACCGAAGACAAGCAAACAGTATCATCAACCGCCTAGTTTCCACCACGGAGTCGCAGAACCAGGTGCAGGGTAGATTCCTTCTGGATGTTGTAGTCGGACAAGGTACGACCGTCCTCCAGCTGCTTACCAGCAAAGATCAGGCGCTGCTGGTCAGGAGGGATACCTTCCTTGTCTTGAATCTTGCTCTTCACGTTGTCAATTGTGTCGCTGGATTCAACCTCCAATGTGATAGTCTTGCCAGTCAAAGTCTTAACAAAAATCTGCATACCACCACGCAGGCGGAGGACAAGGTGGAGAGTAGACTCCTTCTGAATGTTGTAATCGGACAAGGTGCGGCCATCTTCCAACTGCTTACCAGCAAAGATAAGACGCTGCTGGTCGGGAGGGATGCCTTCTTTATCTTGGATCTTGCTCTTGACGTTATCGATGGTATCTGACGATTCGACTTCCAGAGTAATAGTCTTGCCGGTCAGAGTCTTGACGAAAATCTGCATACCTCCACGGAGGCGCAGGACGAGGTGAAGGGTCGACTCCTTCTGGATGTTGTAGTCGGAGAGTGTGCGGCCATCCTCAAGCTGCTTTCCAGCGAAGATCAGACGTTGCTGGTCGGGAGGGATACCCTCCTTATCCTGGATCTTGCTCTTGACGTTGTCGATGGTGTCGGAAGACTCAACCTCGAGGGTGATAGTCTTTCCAGTAAGGGTCTTCACGAAGATCTGCATACCTCCACGAAGACGGAGCACCAGGTGCAGGGTGGACTCCTTCTGGATGTTGTAGTCAGAGAGCGTGCGACCGTCCTCAAGCTGCTTTCCAGCGAAGATGAGACGCTGCTGGTCAGGAGGGATACCCTCCTTGTCCTGGATCTTGCTCTTGACGTTGTCGATGGTGTCCGAGGACTCGACCTCGAGGGTGATGGTCTTTCCAGTGACTGTGACGAGGAAATGTCAGTAAATGTCCAGGTGGCGATACGTCAAAAAGTCTGAACAGTCCGGTCTCTGGGAGAACGACAGAACGACAGAAGAGATGAGAGACGAGGGGTTTACTCACGAGTCTTGACGAAGATCTGCATGATGACTATCGACGATAACGGAGTCTCTGTAGAAGGTAGGGGCTCTCTTGAGCGACTGAGGAGTGTGGAGAGATGGAAGAGTGAGAGTTGGAGTGGATGAAAGATGAAAGATGGAAGAAGAGGAAGAAGCAAAGAAGAAGGGTGATGTCGGATCGATGGAGGGGAGGTTTAAGTAGGAGGAGGAGGTGGAGGCGAAGCCGGGCGGGTTAGTCAGAGCTGCCTAGGATGAGGAGACAGGCTGATACGGCGAGTGGCCACCGCTCACGGCAAGTGAACCTCGCAGCTGCCAGCAGTTTCCGGCCGACAGCTGGTCTCTGATAGGCGCGCGGCGAGTGCGTGGCTGGGGAAGCTGCTAGAAGCTTGCTGACCCAGGCAGTAACCAGAGGCATCCCAGAGCCTAAGGCCGTCACTACTAGGGACTATTAGAAGCAGGACCTTGGGGGGGAACACTTCGATGGCCATGGCGCCGCTGACGCCATTCACTGCGCTCTCGCCGTGCTTCTGTCGTCGACTGTACTCTATCTCGCAGCATTCGAGATTATGGTTATTAGTTATCATTGTCTCAATGCTGACTATGAAACTGGTCCAAGTCAACTACGACGTCTCCCGGCTGGATTGCGACACCCCCATCAGGTACCGACCCCCTCAAGGTTTCCCCTAGCCACAGACAGCCACAGGCAGGATCCCGAGGCCAAGATCGACACTGGACAGAGTGTCTGATTAACTAGTCTTGATGTCCTATTGATGTCCTATTTTACAGTCGAACGATGCCAACATCGCCTGTCAGCAGATGCATGCATTCATCTCTGATCAACGGATGTCTGCTATCGTGACAATGACGTGGTGACGCCTTATCGCCAGCAGACGCCGGTGGGCTTAGTGGACACGGGAACGGGCATTGGCGCAGATTACGGATCCGTTATGCTCGACGATTACGGAAACCTCCGACTATCTACTACTGCCTTAGTTGATCACTAGCGCTTCTCCGTTCTCTGCCCCCAGTCCTCACCGCTGCCACGACCTTACGACACTAGATCTACGAGACTAGCTCTCCAAATAGATGCACTTGTAGGATGTGACCACATCTTTGCAATGCGGGAGCTCCTGGTACTTCGCCAGGGTGATCGTAGCAGGGATGGAGTCTGTTACTACTGAATAACGCCTGGGACACAGGTTCAACACGCTAGGAATAGAATCGATATTGATGTCTTCGTCATATGTAACTGTCGAGCCATCCAGGCTCGTCACGATCTGTCCAAGATCCAGATTGTGGCCATGCCCAGCACGTCCGCCGCCAGGGCTGTCTCATTGTACTTTTTTCTCTTTTTTTGCCTGCCGGACGGCCTCTCGGGCCACAGCAACCAACGACCCCGAGCCCTGGAGATCGCCTTTTCCAAAACAACAAAAAAAAAGGAAGAAAAAAAAAGGAAAACAAAGCAGGTGAAAGTCAACGCTCAATGCACATTAAATCAAGAGAGAAAAAAAAAAACACAGCAGCTGAAAAGAAATGAATAAGCAGAACAAATCAATAACACATCGCATCAACTATACGCCGTAGATGAACTGGTTCGTGACCTCTGACCGTACAAAGTCATAACGTTCGTGATCCTCGTCGCTGCTGTTCGGAAAACATCTTGCGAGAAATATATGTCACTGCGAAGCAGAAGTAGAATCGGAAGGTCACGGAGAGCAAAGAAAACGGGAAAAGGAGAAGGAAAGAGCGCTTGAACGACGGCAGGACTCCGGTAGGCGCCGCAAAAATAATCGAAAGACGATCAAATCTCATACGGATCATATCGTGCCATAATATGCGGAGGCCATAACAAAAACTACATCAGTCGTCTCTCCATAATGCTTCGTATCGGGGCATGTTTTTTTTAATTAGCGCGGATAACAAGTTTGGACACGAATTTGTTCGACAAGCAATCAAAGTTATCGCGGCTGAAGGTCGAGCTGGGACGCGTGCGAAGATAGGCCTCTGTGAGAACGGTCAGCGATGTGTAGTCAATTGAATCTTGACTGGCTGCATAGTCATACCATATTCAGTGACATGTCGTCGGACTTCGGTCATGGTGTTGCAGACATCGGGATTCGAGTTGAGCAGGTGGTGATGCTTGTGAGTCTCCCAATCCGTAAAGGCTGGCAGCTTCTGGGAGATGGCTTGGAAAAGACCCACGATAACCCCGACGGGCGTGGTCTCCATGTCATTGCAGAACTTCTCCACGGCAGCCGCATCCTAACAATGGCGTTAGCAGGGCATTTCTCGAAAATAACGGCAGAACTACGAAACTTACGGGAACACGGTAATGGCAGTCAAACTGCATCTCCTCCCATACTGCGAGCAGAATGGATGCCAGAATGAAAATGGTTGGCCAGTTCTTCAGCTTGTCACCGCTGTAAACGCTGGAGTAGAGAGCCGACAACTCTTCCAAGACGTCCTTCTGGAGCTCACGCCACATGTTCGCCATGGCGCACTTGACTTGGAAGTTGATCATGACCGGAGCCATCGTCTTGCCCTTGAACTTGGAGGTCTCGTCCTTGATCTTTCCAACAAATCCCTCCTCCTCGCCGATACCTTCGACCATGGTCACGTGAAGCGTCAGGTTGTACGCCAGAATGAGCTTGAGAGCCTTGCGGATCACGGGGAGCTTCGTTCGGAAATAGAAGCGGAAGGCGGTCTTCAGCATCTGCGTCAAGAATGGCGTCCCCTCGAAGTAGTCATCAACGAACTTCTCGAAGCTGCCGTTACCGTCGATGTGGCGGTCGAGATAATCCGACAACATGGCATGTGAGATGCCTTCCATCCCAGCCGATAGCTTAGCGGTGGCAACCTCATACTGAGTAGGTTCACGGTGCATGCTTTCTACCCAGTCCATGTTGAAGCACTCGTCATCTCGCACATAAACTTCGCGAGCATTAATTGGGAGGATCTGGCCATAGCCGTGGGTCACGAAAAGAGTCCTCTCATGCTCAGAAAAGCCCTTGATATTGCCGACGGAGAATCCGAGGGTCATGTGTCGCTCATAGTCCGCCTTCCAGTCCTTCATGAAGTACCCGATCTCCTTGATGTCAATCCTGGTGCAGGGAACCTGCCACAACCTAGCATGGGATGGCTGGCAACCAGCGCACGGTTCTCCCTTGTCGCACTGTTTTGGGGATTAGCTTAAAATTCAAACGGGAAACTAATCGGGGTCCCAATCTTACAGTCTTCTTCAAGAACTTGCACCGCAGACAGGCTCTCAACTTCCTGATCTCGCTAGCCTGTTTGCGCTGGTCTGGCTTCAGGGGACCCTTCCTCTTTCCAACACGCTTCTCAGTTTCCGGCTTTCCACTTTGCGACTGCTTGCGGACCTTGGTCTCCGCCGTCTTCGCAGCGATCGGGCTCTTGCGAGACGGTTTCCTGCTGGGAGGAGAAGCCGACGAAGATGAGCCGGACGAACGAGTCGGAGAAGATGACTTGTTGACAGGAACCGGCATTGGTCGCACAATAGCAACTGGGCTAGCAGTGACCGGGCTGACGGCAGTAGGAGATTGGGAGCCATGGGAGGTGTGATCATACGAGACACGTCGACCCACAGAGGAGGTGTACATCGACTCAAACGAGTCCGAGCAGGGCGAATTCACCGGGTTCACATTGACGTAGCCATCAAACGAGGTGCGCGGGTGCTGGTCCAGATCGGAATAAGAAGACTCCGACAGAGTTCGGTCGTGCAGAGTGTGCGTCGGGTTGATGAAAATGCCTTGCTCCGGGAAGAAGTCAATGGAACGACGATTCTCGATAGTAGTCCAGCCATTATCGCTGCTCGAACTCGTCAGAGAGCGGACTTCCAGGTACGTATCCGTAGGCGAACTGCTGTCCGGCAGATTCGGCTGAGGCTGGTACAGAGGCATATCCGGCAGTCCATCGGGAAAAGCCATCAGGTCAGAATGGAAGTTTTGATAGGAATAAGGCATCTCGACCGGCGCAGACATAGGCAGATAGGATCCGTCCAAGAGGCTCGTTTCCAGATGTCCTTGAGTCGCAGGCATGAGCTCTACGGGCGATGCTTGCAGAGGCATGCCATAAGTCGACGTGAAGTGGTGAGCTGCCGATGAGTGCTCATCCTGAGGATATTGCAGGTGGGGATGCAGCTGTTGAAATTGCCAATCCGCCATCAGGTGAGAATCGTGAGCGACGGCCTGCTCGAAGGCGTGACCGCTGGTTTGCAAAGGTGAGATGTCTCGCCTTCCATCCGCTCGCTGACCACTCTGGTCCACCGCCACGGGCCAATTCTGGGGCTGAAGATAGCCTCTCGAGTCGTAATCGAGCCCGACGAGGCCATCGTTGGTGATATCAACATTGGACATGCTGGATGCCGCAGGTTCGTCAACAGCGAACAACCGGCTGCTGTATAAAAAAAGGATTGTCCAGGGAGGAAGGAGACCGTGAAGCCTGGAAAGAAGGGCTTCACAGATCGAGACGCCCAAAATCCGGGGGACACGAGAGGAAAAGAGAGCGAGAGGTTCATGGGATTAGGCGGCCCAGAGCCGGGCGGTGGGGGAGCAAAGCGGCGGTGAAGGAGGATGCGCTGGTTGAGATACGCTAGAGACTCTTGGAGGTTAGTTATCGCTATCGCGGGCTTGCGTTACTGGCGGCTGGGGTGACCCGTCAGATGACGGCGGCAGTTGCGGCCCCAGTCTAAATGCCACGCCGTCCCGTGGCTAACTCGGTTTGTACCTGCGAAGTACCTCGCGGCGCCCATATTTGAGACAGCATTCGTGTGTTGGTCGAAGCTTCGGTTGGGATCTACCCAGTCCTGCAGTGGCACTACACTGTAAATAGAAGCCATTATTCTTTTTTTTCTTTCTTTTTGGCCCTTTTGGAGCTATTCACGACTAAATACTATTTTAGCAGTTGTTGTTGTACGGTAGTACATCGCAGTTTTGCCGCATTGTGTACAAATGTAGTCCGTTGAACCGAGACATGGTATACACTACTGTCTAGTATCTAGGGCAACGTATCTAGATGATTTTATTACGTGGTCTCAACGACAGGTACAGGACACTCTGGAATAAGGCTATAGAGTCAATTGACTTGACTCACAAATTGCAACTGACTCAACGTTCTCCTTCACGGAGGGGGCTGGGGGCCACCTTATACTACTACCAACTTACTACTACTTGTAATTGTAGGTATACTCCGTAGTGAGGCGAGACACGGGTCACGGCCCGAACCCCGGGAAGGAACATCAACCAGGGTTGGAACGGGAGGAACATCAATGGGTACTTGGCCCTTTCGCCCTACTCGAATCAGAATAGGGTTAAACACGCCGGGCCGTGTTGATACGCCCCAAGAGGGCTGTGGCAATTGGGATCCGACCAGACCCCCCGCCGTGGGCAAGTCATCCGTCCCGTGCCCGGCTATCCAATCAATCCGCCCATGATCATACCTTCAACTTGTTGGCTCTGTGCATGCATGAGAAAATGCATCAGGATTGTCCGTGCGGGCGAATGGAAGCACAGCGAGTGCGCCGTCCAGGTCTTTTTGGTTCGATTGCTTGATGGAATTCATCGTCACGCAGCGTCGTGGATGGCTGATGCAAGGATCTGGGAGCAACTTTGTGTAGGGTGTAGACTAGAACTACTAGAACTAGGAAGGAAAAAAAAAAAAAAGACACCACACTCTCTGCAGCCCCCGTGCTGCTTGTTTGGGCTGGCAAACCCATCAGGATGAGCCGACTGGATTCTCAGCAGATCGGAGGATCCTTTAGTGTCCGGCCCAGACAACCCTGCCACAGGATAAAGTTCCCCGTTGCGTCTGAGCGGGGTTCTATTGATCTATCTAGTGGGGAATTATTTCGTGATAGCAGCAAGAAGAAGTAGATCTCTTTCCTGCTCCTCGGTTGTCAGATAGATCACCAAGGTCACGGCGTTTTAGTTACCGTTCGAGAACAAGTTGCCACGACTGAGTTGGCAAAAAAGAAAATACCCGATCTGGATAACTACGAGGGCCGTATCTACCTACTCTCTGACGGGGTCACATTGTGATAATAATAATGAACGAGAATGGGTTTGCTCTTTGTCCTCGCTACGGATAAGATACGAGAGCGCTATCGCACGCAAAAGAAGCACTCTTATCTCGGGAAGTTTATTATTCCCATCTTACGTGCAGCTGTCATCATAAACCATGCTTATACATTTACTTCATATTGCGTGCGCCCGCTGTGGCATGATCAAAATAACTCTGCATTGGCCAGGGACTCGTCGTTGACAACGTGTCGCATCCCGGAACAACCCCCCGTTAAAGGGCGCTGCTGAGCTATTGGCTCTGATATATCGGTTAATGCATCAAGTACAGTCATGCAGGCGCAGGTTCGCACATTGCGCATTCCTTTGCGGAAGCTCTCATCCTACCATTTCCCACGGTCGATGTTATCATCGCTCACTTATAGCAAAACAAGCTCCGTTCCTCGTGAAAGGCCGCAGCAGGATTTCCACATGACCAGAATCGAGCGATTGTGGCATTATATTATTGTAGATAGAGTAAATCTCCTGGGCGCTCTTGGCGACGGTTTTTTCGTAGCTATGTGGCTATCCCTTTGGTCCCGCACAAGAAACCCCCCTCACCAAAAGATATCCGAATAGTCCAGGGCTGTAATTTCGAAGATAAACATTTCCGCGCGAAATGGCAGTAATATATATGAAAATTCAGCCTTGAGCCACCAAGGCTGCTGCCGCACTGAGTTTATTGACGGATTCCTGCGCAACTGGTGTCTTCGCCCAGTTGGGGTTCTTTGTGGGAAATGGAGGGGCTCGGCGGGGAACACCTGGCTGGGCCCGACAACAATACCTACACAAAGCACCATATATAATTTTGGAAGGATATCTGAGTTGAAATAAGGGGATGACAATAGGATTCAATAGTTGGCTGCTCACTTTCTCTGTTCTATGTGATAAAAAGAAGACCATCCACAGCGGCTTCCATGCCTTCTGTTTCAGTGTCAGGAAAATACCGTCGAAAAGTTCGTTTTCCGTCAAGCAGCAGGCCCATTCCACCAGTGTCCCACAAGAAAATCCTGCGTGAGTCGGGTGACAAAGACTCTCACGGGGACGGTGACCAATCTAGCGTGTCTGGCTCGAAAGATCAGGCACCACGAAAGCAGCGCAGCAAGATGGCTGTGAGCGAAGAGCATCCTAGCATACCCAGGCTGTTCAAGGAACCACCTCCGATCCGGGACAGCTTGTCTACAGAGACCTCAGAACTCCAATATGAGACTCTAGAAAAATGTCTTCCATTCCTGAAAGGGACAGAAAGCAGTCTGATAGGCTCTCTAAACGAGCACGGAGTGCCGGCACTCCAAAAGGATGATCACATTGAATACCTGTATGATTCCTTAGAGGACTACCCGAGTAACTTCGTGGGCATCGATTCCAGCCGTCCTTGGATGGCCTATTGGGCCCTTGCTGGTCTGTCTCTTCTGGGTGAAGATGTTACAAAGTATCGTGAACGGTGAGGCATCCAGAGTATCTTCTTCTCCCAATCTACGTTTGATTATTGAATTCCACCTTTGTTTTCCCCGTGTTTTGTACTCTTCATAAGGAAAAGATAGATAATTCTTCTTGTCTGAGAATTGCTAATGATGAAACCCTACAGAGTGATCACTACATTTACTCCTATGCAGAATGCCACTGGTGGGTTTGGCGGGGGTCATGGCCAGCTGTCTCATTGCGCATCAACTTATGCTGCAGTTCTTTGTTTGGCGATGGTCGGGGGAGAAGATGCCTTCAGTATCATCGATCGAGAAGCGATGTACGTGTTTATTGCCCATATTGCATGGACCAACTGTTTCAAGCTTCTAATTCTGGATATCAGGTGGAGATGGCTGGGTGATGTGAAGCAACCCGATGGAGGCTTCCAAATGTCTGTCGGCGGCGAGGAAGACGTGCGGTAAATCTCCGTCCCAATTGCCCCACCATACTAGTGATAGCTTCTGATATTAACGATATCAGAGGTGCGTACTGTGCTATGGTGGTCATCTCTCTGCTGGATCTGCCGCTCGAATTGCCACCTGAGGCTGCAGCCAGACAAGCCGGTTTAGATACGTTCTTGAGTGGATTGCCAGAATATCTCGCAAGATGTAATGGTTTGAGAGTTTACCCCCGGTCTTGATCACGCATTGACAGACAGAGTTTAGGTCAAACATTCGAGGGTGGCATCTCTGGAAGCCCCGGAACGGAAGCACATGGTGCATATGCTTTCTGTGTCCTGGCGTGTTTATGTATCCTGGGGAAGCCAGAGGAGACCATTGCCCGGTATGCGCCTGTATGCTCTCCACTTGCCAACTGTCATTGCTAAGGTTTCTAGGTACATGGATATCCCGCTCCTGTTATCCTGGCTCTCTGCTCGACAATACGCACCTGAGGGAGGTTTCTCCGGAAGAACCAACAAATTAGTCGATGGATGCTACAGTCATTGGGTAGGAGGTTGCTGGCCTCTGCTCCAGGCTGCCCTCAATGGCACACAGTCCCTATCGCAGCCCGTGCAACCGTCTGTTGGCAGCCTCTACAGCCGTGAAGGGTTGACGAGATACATACTCGCCTGCTGCCAATCAAAGAGAGGCGGCCTCCGTGATAAACCTGGAAAGTACGTTGCGACAACACCCCTAGTATTCATGTGGCGATGGATCTGTTGACAAGAAGAAGGCACCCTGATTCGTATCATACCTGTTACACATTGACAGGGTTAAGCAGTCTCCAGAATTATCACTTCCACACGGACGACTCATCCGCATCCCGTAGTGTTTTCAGTTCCGCTTTCTCCTGGAAGTATACGCCTATCGTCTCGTCTTCTCAGGTTGAAGCTGATGTAAATGTTTTTGACGAGCGTGACAGGCTGCAAGCATTTCATCCAATTTACAGTATACCTCACAAGGCAGCGGAGAACATGCGTGCGTGGTTCGAATCGAGAAGCCTCGTACTCTAAAATGCAAGCTTCCGCGGCAATGGAGAGGGTTAGTTTAGCCTGGCCGGCATGTGTATTATTAGGAATGGAGTTATGCGATATTTGAGAGCATATAACTAGTCGTGAAAATGTCACTGTTGTCAAGGGGTCCAGACCGGGTCTCATGGCGAAAGGTGTCATCGGCGCGGTATCGTCCCTACTCTAGGTACCTAGAGTGAGTGGCTAAGTAGTAGACTTGGCTGAGCAATCTCTTAAAATGGCATCTAGGCGGGGTACAGAGCATACTGTGCTTGATCTCGCCGCCAGATCCAATCACGTATTATTCTGTCTATTGCTTCGATACTTCTCTCTTTTTATATACCAGAGATTCGTGAAGAAATAAGATGCAGAAACCATAAGAGCGTACGGCCAATGAGCCAGCGCCCTTGGCCGTGAATCTCGCCCGCACGAGACCTGCTGTCGACGGTGTGCAACATCAACTCTCCCGTCTTTGCCCCCTGTTTCTGCCACCAGAGTCAACAGAGCAAACGCTGACCGTTTAACTCCAGGTTGTTCAGGGTTACTGGCCGCCATCGAATCCATTGCGTGCGAGACGCTGCTGGGAACCTCGAGTTTACGATAACCTCAACGAGCCGGCGACCCCGGTCCAAGTCTATTTCTTGCCCGCCTCCTTGGCGCTTGCTCGAGCGGCAAGTTGGACTCTTTTTTGACTCCATGGAGCCTGGAGAGACGGGCAGAACACGGTGGGGTTTTCTAGGCATCCGGAAAAACCGCCATCGCGGTTCTACCAGGCAGCTTCTGAGGTGCACAGCATGGCAGTTCTGTGGCTCCTGAGGAACGAAGAGGAAATATGCTTTTTGGATAAATCATCATCTGAGGACGTGCCATCGTGCGTGATGGTCATCACACTCCCTCCGGAATCGCTGGTTACAAGATGTCCCGTCCTCTTCTGGAACGCGTCGCATGTGTTCCCCACTGCGAGGAGCGCCCAGCAGACTGCCAACTCATCAGTGCATCCGATGCGGCGACGCTTGTCCGTCGAATGATAGAGCACAGTTTGGAGGCGCTACGCCGGTACCCACGGCGAGAAGAAGTCTGCTCGCTATCACGATCCGCCAGAGGATCGCCTGCAAAGGAAGCGTTGTGCGATGCTCTCCACTCGTTCTCTCTCAGGTTCAGCAGCTCCCGAGTCCCAGTAAGTAGAACTCGGAGTCCAGCCCTTGACCCGACAAAGCGGTCAGCTTTCCTTTTGAGATCCCTGCCGAATGTCACAACCCGTCATGACAACTAAGGGAGGACTACTGACAATATGCTTGGCTTGGCCGAAATCTGATGGTACTGTTTTCCCCTGTCCGGACGTCAGCTTAGACGGGGGCACGTTCTGCGCAACGCGACTCCCAGATCTCCCCAATCATGAAGTACATTTAGTGGAAATCGACAGCGCTACCAGAATGCTCGACGCGCCACTTGAGGCGGTAGTTTCTGACGCGCTGCGGGGTTGAGACTCACGATGGCTCTGCCGTTGAAAGACGAGCCCCTTGATAGCGAATGATATCGGCACCGTTCTGCAGTGACAGTGGGCCTTACTAGGCCCAGCGTTTGAACGCGTTCTTTCAGGGTTGGAAGCCAATCTCTGATTCCTAGATCGGCGGCGCATCCTACGGTGATAGGTCAATGGGAAGCGCTCGATCTTAAGAAATCTATCACTGGTAAAGAGCCATGCCAGCACATCACGGTGAGAAACAGAAATGGCAGAAGGGAGATGAAAGCTCGCATTATTACACACTGAGTAGCGACCAATCTGGAGAACACCAAAGCGACCTGGGACGTCGGTCCTCATGTCTATTTTCAGCCCCACCTTGTTCATTTGCAGTTGCATTCAAGCACATTGTGCTGTCGACAGTGGCACGTCGTTTGCTTCAGCCGCCGGCTCTGCCGTCCACTTGTACAGTTTCTCCCCCGAGGACCAGCTGTCCTCTCTTAATTGACCCAGAAGTCGTCCTTCAATTCAATTCCTGATCTCTCCGGACTACCTGGACATCTTCATTTCTGAAGATCCACGACCGTATCCAGAAGGTCTGGTTGGCAGCAGCAGCTATATTCCAATTGCCATCAATGTGCATTTTGTGATTACGGAGCTTCTTACGGAATCAATTGCCTCCGACATTCCAGACTCCTGCGTCGATATCGTCAGCTTCCCTACTGGGAGAAGAAGGAAAAAGAATATCACTGGATCCAATTGCGCCGTTGAGATGTATTACATCCTTTACTTGGCTAGTACGTTACCATCCATTCACGTGCACCCCCTAATCTACATGGAAAAATTATAGCGAGAGCTATATCTTCAACTGCAATTGCACGATATTTTCTTAAGCTGCCCATGAAACACACTTGGTCTCTGGCCATTCAATATTACCCTTTCCCAGCAAGGCGACATGCCAGATCGGCCAATCCCAAGCCACTCCCCTCTAGTCTTATGACAGACTCCCTCATTGGATCTGATTCAGCTGCAGCAGATATCTTTAGAAAACGTTTAGTGTTTCATAGCCAATAACCATTTTGTACAGGTCTTTGCCGTCGTCGCCGTTGGGGTGATCCTCTATACGAAGCCTATTCCTGCCCCACAGGATATACATGCGTTGTGCGCGTCAATAATCGCGAATACCAGACAGACATAGTCTGCGAGTCGGAGACTCTGGCTCGCGAGAATGCTGCGATGCGTGCATACCTTATTTGCCGTAACTTTTCGGTCAACGACGGGATGTATCCCGCTGGACATGACCATGGAGGAGTGGTGCAGGGCGTTCCCGTAGCCATAGGCACCGGCCGGAGGGGCCGCTTCAATGACGATACAGACACATCGACCAGTGCAGGAAGCAGAAGCGGTGGCAGCAGCCCAGAAAGCTACGAAGGCCGGGTTGGCTTCGATCGTCGAACATCTGGCCCGGCTAGGGCTCTCGCCTACAGCGGTCGTGCCTTATAAGCCGAGCACCTGCGGCTACCATTTTATTTTCCCGTGGACAGGGACGACATCGAGTTTGGTTTTCAGGAGATCAGGGTGTACAAAGGGGGACAAAAATTACGACGTTATGACTTTCATGAATATTTTCTGGTTCTTATAGATGGAAAGAAAATTCAGCCTGAGCAACGACATGTTTCTCACTGACAGATGCGATGATAACGACGATCGGGCTAATGACTGATAGAATGTACTGCTCCTCTCGGATTTTTTTTTTCTTTCTCTTATCTCTTTTCCGGTAACTCAGCGGTTTCAAACTCTCTCTGGGTCATGTCAATGGTGCGTAGCGCAACATTGTTCGTTTCTCTTCGAAATCGCGTGGAGGCCAGCTGTTGATTTCAGGGGCGGAGCTTGTGGTATTTCTCTTCCTGCTGAGGCTTATGGTAGGCGTTACTATCTCCGCCTTCAATGAGACGTCGACTTGACAGTGCTATTTCACTGGATTGGTCACCATGAATCTTCGTCAATGAGCTATTGAATACTAGTTCATAATCTTCAGTGCACTTCTTTCGTGGCATTATCGGATCAAGTTGCCAGTCCTTGCACATAGTTGCGCGGGAGCGCTTCTGACGGTTGCAATAAGCTCTAGATAGATAGTTCCCATAGCCTTCAGAATACCGTCTGTCAATTGCCCTATCTACGGCCCATCAAGCTTACAATTACTGTATGTTCGTTTTATACTCCTAGCAGGAGGTCCCTTAAACGTCATAGTTGCCTGAGGCAGAAATAGATAGACGAATTTGCATTGTTTGCATGGCCGAACCAGTGATGACGTAGATGACGGCCCGCGTACCTGACAATATCCAAGGACAGTACAGGATCTAACAAGATCAGCCCCAAAGCTGGGGAGAACAGCGTAGTTATAAGCAATTTCTCCGTATACTCAAAAAAATCCCCTAGAGAAAAACATCCTGTTCCCCATCCAGGTTATCATGCGCTTCAAGGCACCCTGTCCCTACGCTTCCCGCTGCTAGGCTACTTAAGTATCTCACGAACCATGAGTTACGTTCCGGGCCGCGCAGTAGTAGCTGTCGCTCGCCCTTCGCTACGCTGCGCATCACCCAAGGTTACAACGGCTTGGAAACCGGCTGCTACTACTACCGTCCCCCTCGCGAAGACCTTCTCTACATACCGTGTTCGACCTACGTCAAGAACAATTGAGGCGGCTCCACGAATATGGAATCGACCACAATCGGTGGTTCTCGGTGGTGTCTATCTCCTACATGTTCGACAATATGGCTCCGAACCAGCAAACAAGGAGAGCCAGAGCGATGACCCGGAATATCTGAGGACAATTGAAGAGATCAGGAAGAAACAGCGTGAGACTCCGTGGCAGCGAGAGGGTTCGAGCGAGTCTCCGGTGCGCAAGCAGCGGTCTGCTACTGCAATGACCAAGGGTAAGACATGGCATCCTCGCAATGACAATGGATTTTCCCATCTGAATAGATGCTGATGTATTGGAACTCATAGGGAAGCTTCTAACCACCCCCTCGCGACTCTTGAAACTCATACTACCGGTAACGACTCGCGACCATAACGATGACCGGAAAGGTACGGACAGTCCTATCGAACTCCTGGGATATAGAGGCTAATTTATATCCATAGATATCGAGCCCTTGGCTCTTCTGGTGCATCCTCAACAACCCCTGTCTTACTTGGAACGGCTCATCCAAGCAGAAATACCTCCCGTCAAGGCTGCCGATGGCAATGTGAAGCCTCCATCGATCTCTTTCATGGCGATGGAGATAGAAGACGATGTAGTGAAACCGAGACCTGCAAAGGATCAAAAGGACGTTGAAGAGCAAAAACAAGAGGAGGCGCAGCCTCGTCGCTCGCGCAAGAAGGGTGGTCCGATCGAAGATTCGCATAGATACTTGGAACGACCAGACCCGGCGGAAAGCGGCCAGACTCAGCGGTTCGTCCGCTGGTCGGCTTCCACGGAGGTTGGAGATTTTATCAGAGACGCGGCCCGCGCGAAGGAATTCATCGTGGTTATTGAAGGATCGCCTCTTGGCGAAATACCCGTCGCAGTGCCCTCGTTTGAAGATCGGACTTACTATTTGAGGATGAGGCTAAGGAAAGTGTCGAAAGAGCTGAAGAGTATGGCCGTGATCAAAGAGGAGTGTGATGCGCTCGCCCATCGCGGGGCACAGAGGGTTGCGATGGGTGGTTTTGGTGTTCTCGTCTTCTGGTGGTACCTGGTCTATCGGTTGACTTTCGAAACGGACCTGGGATGGGACACCATGGAACCAGTGACCTATCTGGTCAGTTTGTCTACGCTAATGGGCGGTTACCTCTGGTTCCTGTACCACAACCGAGAAGTGTCTTATCGATCTGCTCTTGATTTCACTATCAATAAACGCCAGCAAGCCTTATACCAAACGAAGGGTGTGGATCTACAGCGGTGGGAATCGCTCATTGACGAGGCCAATTCATTAAGAAGGGAGATTAAGTCCATCGCCGCCGAGTACGACGTGGACTGGGACGAAAAAGCAGACGAAGGAGATGAACGAGTCACCAGAGCATTGAAGCAGGACAGAAAACAAAAGAACGGAAAGTCCCGAGACTCGAACTCGAAGGAGGACGAGGAAGACGAGTGAAACAACCGGAACCCCAAAGAAATATTTTTGTCCCTTTCCAGCCATTATTGCCTAGTTGTCCAGAAGCGCCCATCCGTTCTGTCAGTGAGTGCCGTTTCTGACAGGATCATAATATCCCTTTTTGACCTGTTGCACGTTTCCTGCTGTTGTTGTCTTTGCGGCGTTTTTTGCGGATCCCTGAGCTGCAAACGCAGTCGGTATTAGCACTTCTGTGAATCATGAAAATAAAGACAGGACGATAATACAGCATACCACCTGAGCTACTGTCATCGCCTCGACGCCGGTTACGGTTGTTGCGAACGTCTCTCGAGCGGAACACACTGTACAACAACCACCCGGTCACCCAGTTTGGGCCGTACTCGCCATTTGTGGCACCGCGATCGAAGAGCGGACGTGTCACCGGTCCCGCATTCCTCCAGATTTCAATGATGCCCCATCGCTGTCGTTCAGGTCGGATGTGATGCCAGAAGAAGGGCGGTCGCGTCGAGGGGTCGTTGCGAAGACTGTCGAGCAGGTCTGAGGTATCGCGATTCATGTGATTGTACACCACAATAGCCTCATCCTTGTGAATTTGTTACCACACGAACATAATCACACCTAGACGGTTTCGTTTCTTTTTTTTTTTTTTTTTTTTATGCTCTTCTTTTCTTTTTCATTTTGTCTCTGCCATTGCATATTTCTTGCGGAGTTTGTTTTGGGAATTTTCTTGAAAGACTCACCCTCATAGCTTTGTAGTAGTACTCATGTTGAGGATTATTAGCATCAAGGCCTAGAGCATGCATGAATTCCTCCTTCGAAGCACGAGGCCCAACAGCTCCTGCCATCTTCGTAGAAAGCGTTTATTTGATTCTCTGAACTTCTTTCCGATTCACTTCAAAAAACCATTTAAAAAAAGAGTAGTGTAGTAAGATCTAAGCAATTACACCGTGGAGAAGAAACAACTTCGCCCACAGCGGAGAGAATCAAGATAGGAAGAGCTAAAGAAACCTTCTCAAGAACTATAGTCAAGAGAAAAAAGGACAGAAAGAAGATGCAAAGAAATTAAATCGAGTCACGCCCGAGACTTCTTCATTTATACTAGAGGTACGGACAATCGCACACAGAAACAAGCCAGCCATGCTGCTCCCAGGTAAATTAAGCATCCCTGGTAACTGAGACTCGACTAGTAATGTTACAAGGGTTCATCAAGTTACTTGGTCTACCTAGCTCTTCCTACCTATCCTTGGTAAGTATAGGTAGCGATGGTCTGGGCTCTACAGGAACGTGTTCATGTATGTAGTATGTAGTATGGAGCAAACAAAAGCCATCGTAGCCCCACACTGGAAAAAGCAGTCTTCATACCAACATACAGTAGATAGCTGCGTTTAGCCGGCGCAATATGAACATGTACATGTACATCGTTCTATTTTCTTTATGCAGGGTGTCGAAATAGAGAGATGTAGAAAAACAGATCAAGGTACGTATCGAATTGTTGTATCTGCGGATGGGATGGATGGGGTTTGATACATCTGTGATCGATTGGTCGGTGGTATGTGCCTAGTTCCTAGTCTCGGGTAGATCAATGCGTTCGTGAGATCTGTTCCCTCACGGGTAGGAGGATAGATGCATCGAAGTGTTGTAAATGAGGCTGTAATAGTTATCTTTTATGCTATCGTTGTCTGTGTTCTGTTCTCGAGTCTCTGCTCTTGTGTCCCTGCATAGGTGATACAGGGAGCGGGTATGCTAGTACCCGTTCGAGGATGCGGTATTGGTTGTCGGCCTGGGGCTGGTTGAATTGGTTTTGCGGGGATGTAGTGGTAATTATTGAATTCGATGGTGGGTTTAGACTTTTGCTCGATGCGAACCGCTAGGACATGGTATGGATTTACGTCAAGCCAGAAGTAAGCTTTTCCAAGGCGTATGTCGAGAGATCTATTTGATTGAAGGCCAGGTAAAAAGAGAGGATTTGGAAAGACAAACTGGATGGGAGAGATAAGTGAGCGATGGATGAGAAATCTGACAGTCAGGAGCTACATCTAGTTCATCAAACAATAGGTAAGTTAGCGTCGCCTGGTCTTCATCAATATTATTTGGCAGAATGTAGGATGCATCTAGCAAACCAGCTCAAACCAGCACAAACACGCAGAAACACGCACTCCATTTCCTGTTGTTTGTTTCCATACTCTAATTGGGCATTCCTCTAATGTGTCTCATACGCAACAGTGAGCTTTCTTTATCTCACTTGCTAGGATTCTGATTTTGATTGCTTACTCACATCACGCTACGTCAGCATATTTCTTTGTCTGACAGGGGCAAACTGCCAGTCTGATTTGCCTGGGACTTTCACTTCTTTCTCTCCTCTTAAATAAAGCGGGCTTTGTGCGGGGTCATCTTTTTGTCATATGCGTGAAGCTCAAAAGAGCTCAGCTCATATTCTGTCTGTCTCCCAGCACAGTCTCATCCATTTTCCTCTCATCAACCTTCTACCACTACAGAGAATATTCACCTGTTTATCCACTGCACATATCACATAATATGTCTGGCAACCCCAAGCGCGGCGGGCGCGGACAGAGCCGTGGTGGTGGCAGGGGGGACTTCAACCTACCCATCCATTCAGGGCGAGGAGGAGGTCGCGGTCGTGGAGGAGATCGTGGTGGACGTGGTAGAGGCCGTGGAGCACCAGTCGAAGTTTACAGGTAAGCTACTTTGATATATTCTTCTTTCTGTTTTATATATATCTCACATCTGAGTTATGTAGTGCCAATGCTCCAGTGCCGGTTGATGCCAAAGCGGCGCAGGTCGAAACACAGACTGAGAAGGCCATCAAGCAGGAACCCAAGGCCCTCAGAGTTCAACTGCCCCTGAGACCCGGTTATGGCACCCAGGGTCGGCCTGTGGAGTTGTGGGCGAACCATCTGCACCTCATGCCTAAAGGCGATCTCATACTACATCGTTATAGCGTTGATATCGTGCTCGACGCAGGTAGCCGCCAACCCGCAGGGAAGAAGCTCCGGCGCCTTGTCCAGCTCTTGCTCCAAGAGCATTTCGGGCAGTACGACCGTCAGATAGCCACGGACTTCAAGTCTACTCTTGTCTCGCGACAGAAGCTGGACCTGGACAATAATGGCTATCAGGTCCGTTACCGCAGTGAAGACGAAGACGAGGCAGCGGACAATGCCCCATTGTATCGCATGCGCGTTCAGCCCACTGGGACGTTGACGGTTGCTCAACTCATTGATTACCTATCCTCGTCGAATGTCAGCGCTGTGCTGAATTCAAAGGAGGAGATCATCCAGGCGTTGAACATCGTACTAGGACACACTGCACGAGCCGCACCAAATGTCACTTCTGTTGGCAGCAGCAAGCATTACCCACTGGCCAGATCGACAGAGGAGAAGTTTGATCTTGGAGCGGGTCTCATTGCTGTCAGAGGATTCTTGATGAGTGTTCGAGCCGCAACTGCACGGCTCCTGGTCAACGTGCAGGTGAAGCATGCTGCCTTCTACCAAGAAGGTCCTCTCGAGCAACTGATGCAGGCTTACATGGTCGCAAACCCCAGCAAGGTCAAGCTGGCGAGTTTCCTAAACAAACTCTCCGTCAATGTCACCCACATTGTCCGCAAGAACAAGGCGGGCCAGCTCATCCCTCGGATAAAGGTCATCTGTGGCCTGGCAATGCGCGATGACGGCCGGAACCAAGCACATCCCCCTATTGTTCCTTCTTTTGGAGCTGGCCCTAAGGAGGTGCAATTTTTCATTGGAGACGAAAATCAATCACCAAGCTCCGGTCCTAGTGGGAAAGGGAAGAAGAAAGGCAAGAATCCGCCCAAGGCTGGACCTGAACCCCCGAGCCAGGAAGGCTATATCAGTGTCTATGACTTTTTCCGCCGCAGTAAGTGAGGAGACCGCCATGTCTTTTTCAGTATGCTCATAAACATAGGCTACAATATTCAGCTTCGACACACGGATCTACCAGTGGTCAATGTCGGCTCGCGAGAGAATCCGACGTATCTCCCAGCTGAAGTCTGCGAAGTGCGTGCTGGACAGGCGGCGAACGCGAAGCTATCCTCGAGGCAGACACAGAATATGATCAGATTCGCAGTACGCAGACCAGTAGACAATGCGCAATCTATCGTCACCTCTGGTGTGAGCTTGTTGGGATTCAATTCAGCTAACCCAACCTTGGTACGTGCAAGTCCCCATGATTCCGTGATTGTGCTGACTGTGAAGAACGCTTTCGGTGTCAATGTGAATCCCATCTTGATTACCGTTCCAGGCCGCGTGTTGAATAGTCCCGATGTCCGCTATGGAAACAAAAGCATTTCGACCAGGTCTGGTAGCTGGAATATGTCTGAAGTGCAGTTCGCAACCAAATCCACTCTCACCTCCTGGACATATCTGCGCATCTCCTTTCCAGATGCCACCGAGAGCCCATGGAAGAGTGTAGCTGAGTTTCAGAAGACCTTTGAGGAATTTACAAAGATATTGCAAAAATCTGGGGTAGTCACAGGGATGGCAGTTCAGGGAATGGATATCACGGTCGACCCGGATAACCCACAAGCCACGATCGATAACGCTATCGGTCTATTTGCACGAAGCAAAATCCGGGCGCCCCCCAAGATGCTTTTGGTGATCCTACCTGATACTACAGCTGCCGTCTACAACCGCGTTAAATATGCGTGCGACGTGAAAGAAGGTTTACTGAATGTCTGCGTGATCGCCAGCAAATTCGCCGAGAATTCGACCCCATACTTCGCCAATGTAGCCCTCAAGTTCAACCTCAAGCTAGGTGGCAGCAACCATCTCCTGGATAACTCCAAGCTCGGGCTCCTTGCCCAGGGCCGTACTATGGTTGTTGGCGCAGACGTCACCCATCCTTCTCCGGGCTCTGCAGGGAACGCACCCAGCGTAGCCAGTGTCGTAGCTTCAGTCGACCACCGGATGGGGCAATGGCCAGCTGCATTACGAATTCAGCCTCAGGCCCGGCAAGAGATGATCGGAGGTCTGGACGAGTTGTTCAAGAGCCGTCTCCGTCTCTGGACTAAACATAACAAAAACACCTATCCCGAGAACATATTGATGTATCGTGATGGAGTCTCAGAAGGTCAATACCAGCTTGTCCTTAACGAGGAGCTTCCCTTACTGCGAAAGGCGTGCAAGGAGATGTATCCAGCCTCAGATACCAAGAAAGGTCTCCCGCATATCACCATCGTGATCGTGGGCAAGCGTCATAATACCCGGTTTTACCCTACCACTGTACAAAACGCAGATCGATCATCAAACCCGCAAAACGGCACGGTCGTTGACCGCGGTGTTACAGAGGCGCGCAACTGGGATTTCTTCCTGCAGGCACACAGTGCGATTCAAGGGACTGCCCGGCCAGCCCATTATTATATCGTCCACGACGAGATATTCCAGCGCACGAAAGTGTCTCCCCCATTCGCTAATGCCGCGGATGTTCTAGAAAACCTCACTCACAATCTCTGCTATCTCTATGGCCGTGCCACCAAAGCCGTGAGCATTTGTCCGCCGGCATACTATGCTGATCTGGCCTGCGAACGCGCACGATGCTATCTTAGCGGGGTATACAACCCGTCTCCAGCGGAGACTCCTGCAGGGAGTGTTGCTGGCAGTGTGGCTGCCGCAGATGTGGATCCTAGCATGGTGCAAGTTCATGACAATGTGAAGAATGCAATGTTTTACATTTGATCTGTTTATCTAGGATGACGGAATCTGGTTTCGAGGGAATTTTTGGGAGTTCGGGTTTTGGTCTAATTGGAAGATATGTTAGCGAGGTTCAAATTACCTCTGAAGAAGGGAGAATGACTCGTATGATCACTTGGTGGAAGTTTCTTCAGCTGTACATACTATGCTGAGTATGCATCTCATGCATTCTTAGCTTAGAAGCTATGGCAATGAAGATATGGTACAATTCTATCGCATAGTATTCAATTGCATCTTGTAAGACTTCCGTCGTATTACCACATGTCGAGCTTCTACAATCCGTCGAAGAATATAAGATGGCACCAACCTGCACCATTTCACAGCCCTGGAAGTAAGTCCACTATCCCGTGAGGCTCGAAGATAGTCTTCCAAACCACCAGGAAATCACTCCCGGGTAGGTATTGGTTATCTGATTTGAGATTAGATACATCAGCAGTCCCTACGTTGTAGTCTTCTGGGATCCGCCGTAGCAAACTTAACCCCACTACATTACAGTACTAGGACAATTCCATTTCTGAAGGACCATATCGTCTGATAATGATCGCCTGTGTGATGAGATGCATGGTAAAAAATCCTCTCGGCTGGGAAATCAATGTGATCTGTCATATATACTCCAAGGACAAGAGGGCGTTCGATCCGCAGAAATAGTCAGTCAATACATCGCTACATAGGAGATCTCCATATATTCTCAGGGATACGATTTGGCCGGCTAAATTACAATGTATGGAAGTATGCACGTAGCCAAATTGTTCTGGGACCATCCTGGTATGTGTCGCTTTGGCTCTATCACAGAGGATAGTTACCGAATCGTCGTATCTACCTCACGCGGATACATAGCGGCATATCACAGAATATACGATTTCAGTTAGACTACTCGGTTATGTTTACAACTTCATTACTGTATCTATAGCCCTAGAGACAAAATAAAAATGCAACTAACCTATCATACTCGTACAGACATCTTTGTTTAGTTTTCCTGCAGGATCACGGCGGAAGCGGCTACGGACATGAGATCCCTACCCCTTATCGGCCCTCTGCATCGGTGAAGTCTGTGTATCGTGACTCGAGAGCTTGGATCCAAACAAGTACTGTACCTAAGCGGATATGCATCTTTCCTGACGAACGCAGGTCCGAGCGCAAAGCGAAGAGGTCAAAGCTTTGGAAGTTGAATCAGTCTCGGTTTAGGAATCGCTTTTATTGCTTTGCTCAGTGGAGTTCAGGTCTTTGTCATTCTCTATTTGGTTGTGCTCTTCATTATAGCCTCTCGATCAAGTGTCCTGAGAGTCTAGTGAGATTATGGTATTAATATCATCGTCGTGGTTGTCTTCCATGTCGGCACTCTTGAACATCGTGTCGTCAAGGAGGGAAGACGACAATTCGCAACCGCAAATATTTCTAGCGAGAGAAAATCAGAGTAGAAAGAATATCGCAGGTAAGGTCTAGGGCTTGCCTAGAAGCGAGTTCTGTCCTCAACTCTTTGTATGAATACCTACCCTGTTGCCTGAGTTCTTTGCATGCAGGTATGTAACGATGAATCTGAAATACAAGAAGCGCCTTGATGGTCGATTCGGGTAAGTGAATATAAGCTCCTTCCCATCAGATCCTATAGTCGATATCAGCAACGATGCTAGAAGAAAACGCAAGTTAGTAACCATAGAGCCTGTGAGCTACCTACCCATCGGAGTGTTAAAGCATACCTAATAAATGACTGTACCCCAGATACAGCCTCCTGAGTCACTATTGAAGCCATATCGCGCAAAAGGCGAACAATTCGCGAGTCTGTCACGAATTGGGGTATAGACCGCGGGTTTATAGGAATATTAGGGTGATTTAATGTCAGGAGCTGAGACCATAGAGCGCAAATGAGAGAAGGGAGATGTCTGATGCAAGAGATCAATCGAAAGTAGAGGGAGTGGAAAGACGGGAGGAGAATGAGGATGTGGGTTTAAGACAACACTACGGTCGATCTGTTTTTGATAGATGTGGGCCTTCTGCTTCCGCAGTGTCCAGTTTTCATCATTATCTTTTATTAACCCAAGTGTTCTGTTCGCAGAAAATTAAATAAGATTTTTAGTGTAAGGATTCGAGTTGAGCTTGATACGAGGTAAGTATATCGGACAACGAAGTCTCAGAAGAGCACGTTCGCGTGCAGCAGCACGAAGCAGCTCACTTGTAATCAGCACATCAATGGCCTTCATCATAAAGGATAACATATATTTCCACAAATGGTCGATCTCTAGCTGATATAGTTTTATTTTATCCAATTCAGACACTCGCACATAATGCCTTTTGATTGAAAAATGGCCGCCAGTATCTTGCTGACGCTGTTGTTGAATCGACCTTGCATGTCGCCTTCGTCAGAACAGGCGTAAAGCTCGTTGTAGTATGTGTTGCGATCAGGAAACTAGCAGGTTGTGATCGAGAATCGCATCTTTGAAGTAGGTATCGATCACAACTCTAGGATATTGAGCAAGTATAAGGACATACAAGTGCTAGAAGAAAGATACAACCCAGGTCCCTCTGGTTGTTTCCATAAATGGGTCTTATTAATAAAGTAATCCAAGAATAGTTTGGCTGCAGTAGCGATCAGATTATCACCTATACGCGAAACCTGGGTCACTTTTGGTCCAGATTTCGCATTCTTGGACAAGGAGAGCTGTTCCGATACTTGTTGCCATTCGGACTTGCATCTCAAGGTCCGATGCAATAGATAGGCGAAAAAAAGCAAAAGTTGGCTGAAATCCCGCTGCTTGCTTTGAAGTCTCTTTTGGCGTTTTCGGATATTATTACAGAGTACCTCTCTGGAATAGAGGGCTTCCGTGACATAGCAGATATATAATTAGAAAGGGGAAGCCAGCTGAAAATGATAGATTCGACGTTTCTTCGCCTCGATTGAATCACAAAGTGTTTTGGTTCTATTTGGTGAAGAATGGCCGAATTGGGACCTAGCAGCAATCCTCTGCAGGTAATCTTGGAATTCTGTAAAGCCAGGAGACGATCGAGTTCGGTATCATCCGAGGGATAACGGACGTGACGCGAGGAGGTGATCGAGGGGTCCTCACGTTCGGATTCGACCTCAGGCGCGTTGGAACGAGAGGGCGGGACGATTTCGATGACCTCGACGTCCTCATGACCTTCATCGTCGCCGCTGAAGACATCGTCAACATCTCGGCCCGAAAAGGAGGCGTGCCAACGACAGTTCCTATGATCGTTAGAACTGATCGGGTCGACCGAAAAGGAAAGATGATACTCACTAATACTGCAACGCTGTCTGTCTCCCGTCCAGGTGCAGTTCGCACATCGGCGACGTCACCTAAGGCAACGCACTCATCGAAGGGGCTGAGGCCACGACGGCAGTGAGTACACTGAGGGAGCTGCGCCTCACATTCGCACGAAGAATACCGGCGTGTTGATATTCAACGGACAGTCCAAAGACGTTAGGATCGCAGCTCCGTTTAACTAAGGGGAATAGAATCCGGAACAACATGAATTGCTCTTCTGTGACTTGAGAGCCAGATTTCAGATCGTTGCATCATTTGAATATCAGGACTTGTTCTGGCGCTTCCGTCTTAATCCATCCCTTATACCCTCCTATCTCTTTCATCAGATCATATATAAAAGTAGGAAGTTTTGAACGTTCAAATCCTGGAACCAGTCCCAAGCCGTCCAAAATGACCTGCTCGTGATATCGGCAGAATTCTAAAAGCCTTGTTTCTCTCATTGCTCTGAGTCCCATAATGAGCCTTTCGACTGCTCTGGGAGAGGAAGGTCCTTGTTGTAAAAGGTATAAGGCTTCACAGGGATATCGTTGACTAAATTCTGCAGATATCCGATACAAACTCAGGATAGCTTATTATCATCATCATCCTCAAGGATGCGCTTTTCGCACTTGACCAGTTAACTATATATCGTCGTGTGCCAGGTTGAAGATGAAGTTGAAATCGAAGTCGTCCAGGACTTGAATGCAAGTCAGTCCTTCGCAGATAAGTTGGAGACAGATAAAGACTAGACCATATATATAGGATTCGCGTATTCAATTCGAAACTGATAGGACTTATCCCTAGGTCATGTTTATATGAGAATATACATATGGGCTGCAGTTATAGGTATGTTTCATAAAAGATCAACGAAGATTTCACCCCAAACCGGGATCCTCACTGAAGCAAGCATACCACGATTCTGGGAAGGAGAGCACACGTAAGACCCATCAGGGATCGCGCTGAAGTCAGACAGGTAGTCAGCAATGGTATCGGTTGAACATTGAGGATCAGTGGGCGCGCATCACGAGCTTGGAGTAGCTCGGAGACTTCGCCATCAGAACCGGACTCGGAGGGCACCATGATGGGCGCTACATTCACTGAGTTAGCCATGGACAAATCATGAGATAGGAACACTTACCCTGGGGGCTACCCGCGGGGGGAGAACGGATACGGCCAGTGGGAGTAGGGGGCGGGCCGACTGCAGAACGTCAACTCAGAATCTTCGTATAGCGGCCGTTTGGGGTGGCGAGTTTATGTTCAAGACAAGAATTGAAGAAAAAACCTCTCAGCGTCGAATATATCTTGTTCGTCGGATCAAAACCCGCGAGATTTCAGTATAATATCAGCTATATCGCTGGATGTACGGCGACTAATCGTACAGAGAACCTTCGAGGAACTGACCAAATTTGAGGTCTGTATAAGCATATACTTTATGAAAGATAAGCATGTGTGTCTCTCCCATAGTTATACACACGTATAGAGAGCAGAGTGCATAGCCAAGTCCGATGCGCAGAAGAAGAAGTCCAGCCTACTCGATCCTATAAGTAAGTAAACGAGAGAGAGTCATCACAGTTCATTGAATAATCCATATAACCCCGCACGCAGCGCAGGCCCAGATTCACCGAACTAGATAGAGTATGGGAATAGTCCTTCCATTCTCGTTTATCTTCCTTACTAGTTGTAGAATTCATCTATGTATATCATTCACGTATCCGGTAGTCACTTATAGTGGAAATCGGGAGATGATTTGTCTTTTAGTGGCTGCTGCCGACAGGTTTCTGCTTTTGATGCGGACTAAGTATTCAGATAGGCTGGTTAATTGATTTTCGACGATTGGTAGAATTCGGATAAGGTCAATGACATTATCATCCCTGTCTAATGCGATTAAACGGTGATGTTTGGGAGTGGACTCCAACTGCGAACTGTAAGCACCGCTGTTTCCTAGCCATGTCCCTTTTGGTTTCCTTGTTCTCTGGCATGAGTTATGTTCTGTCGACGCTCACTACTTCTTCGGAGACGAGCTGCAAACGGCTTGTACGACTCTGCTGAAAGAGAGGTAGGATAAGCAATGTGAAGCCACCTTGAGCCACCAAGAGACACGCCGGAATTAGTAAATGCTCGAAATCACCGGTGGAGGCAGTGCTCCAGCCAGCAGGTAAATCAGGATGAAGTCCATGGGCATAATTATATAGCTGATAGATTCCGGTATCCTCTAGTTCTCTAAAAAATCAAGAATTCATTCCCGTTTTACATGCTTCTTCAGAGTCTTTGTTTCTGTGATCCTAGATCCTGACGTGTTTAAGTACTGTACTTGGTTTGGTAAGCATTTTCATTATTGCGGGAGAGTGAGTTTATTTTTATCCCGTTATACTTTTCGTATAGCTTTCTTTTCCCTTTCCAATTATTATGCCATCATCAAGGTACATAACTAATGGCTATCCTCATTAAGCGTCCCATGAACAAACGAGAGCAGTCAGGCTCGATAATCACCAGCGGGGAAAGGGCTGGGATCAGTGCGACAGGAATCGCCCTTAGGAGCAGCAGGATACCAAATCACCTGCTGCTGATGTCGCTGAGAATATAATCATAGATGATATATATAGATAGAGGTTTTATAACTGAAAACACCAAACCTTCCATATTGACTCTTCTCAAAGCACGCCTCTATACAAAACAAGCAAGCTACAATTTCGAAACAATACCGCCTTGTGGACCCCCAACCACCTCAGCAGCCGCCCTCTCACCACTCCTAATCGCACCTTCCATATAACCCTTCCACTCCCCCGCCGTCTCGGTCCCAGCAAAGTACAAATTCCCAAAGGGCTCTCTCAACGCATCACCGCCGACGGTATCCAGAACCCCCGGCGCGAGTGAAGTGCAAGGACATCCCCAGCCGGAGAATTCGTCATTTGCCCATTCGTAAGTATGCATCTGGACGAACTCCTCTTCGACTTTGTAATCGAATACGCTTTTCAGCTGATGGAGCAACTTGAGCTCCCGATCACGAGGGGATAGTGCTGCCCAGACGTGGCCTGGTTCACCACACATGAAGCAGGTGAGGATATATTTCTGATCTGCTAGGCTGGAGGTATCGCGTATTACGCTTGCAGGGCCTGTGAATGATTGGACGAGGCCGCAGAAGCCTTTCTTAATCCAGAATGGAGAGGAGAATTCCATCATGGCCTTGGTATAGTAGCCGTAACTCAGGGAGTCCACGTAAACGCGCTTAGTGACTGGTAATGGAGGTGTGAAAGCCATGGTCTTGAGGACAGGGCCAGGGACGGTCGTGATGACTTTTCGAGCAGTGTAGACACCGCTGGTGGATTGAACTTGGATTGAATCTTTGTTGGGTTGGATAACCTCTTCGACCGGACTGGAAAGACATACCACACCCTCAGGTAGTGATCCAGCAAGACCCTTGGCAAATAACTGGGTACCTTGGCGAATACGGAGATACTGCCCACCGTGCTTTCTGTCGGAGCGCATCTGAAGCAGGCCTCCGCCTGATTTGCAGTAATTAAGGAAATAGAGAGCGGATATGTCTCTTGGCTCTTGTCCTAACATGGCTCGCGTCCACACGGCAGCAGTAGCAAGGGCAATGTCGTCCGCACCGCGAGAACGTAAGTATGCCTCGAACGTGAGGGCATCAAGACTTGTGTTTTGCGGTTTCCAGGTGTCTACTTCCTGGCAATCGGCTTCGACCATGTCGCGGATCTCAGCTAGTTTCTGACGGGTTGGTTCGTCGAACTTGATATAAGAGAAAAACGTTAGCTTCGCGCAATCATTATCTTCACTCAAGAAGAAGGCACATGGCGCTCTCCTCGAGTATACCACGCATATCTCCTCAGGATCTTATAAGAAAGGGAAAATCCCACATAAGGCAACTCCCCATACGGAAATGAAGAACACTTCCCCTCAAAATCCTCCAAGACAACACTCCCCTGCGTATTCTGTTCAATCAACTCAGCACCATATCTCTTCGCCAAAGCATACACTCTGCTTTGGTTAGTATCATTGATCCAGGCGGCCCCCACATCCACCACCGCATTACTGCCATTTATCGACTGGCTCCATGTCTTTCCACCAACACGATCGCGAGCCTCGAGCACTATACATGAGAGCCCTGCACGGGTGATGTCGTGAGCTGCTGAGAGGCCAGCGAGGCCGGCACCGATGATGACCACATCAACAGCCCGCTGTGTAGCAGGTATTATCGCTGGTGGGATAGAAGATTGCTTCGGTAGGGCTATCAGGGCATCAATCTCGAACAGCCAGGATGGAACAGCCAACTTGGAGACCGGGATAAGCGTGATGGCCGGTCTGTGGCCACGGAGGAAACGCTGCACGTGGCGGACGTGCTTGCGGTTCGAGGCATCGTAATTGACGATCAGTAGAGTCAATTTGGCAATGTTTTCAATTGATGCACCGGCAGAGAGGATGACTTTGCGGAGATTGAGAAGAGCTAGGTGAATTTGTGACTCGTAGTCGTCGGGGACGAACCCGTTCTTGGTGCTTCCTGGCTGTCCGGCAACGTGGATTAGGTCTCCTGTTGAGATAGTCGCGGGTGCGTAGTATGCGTTTGACGTATTAGACAAGTCAATTGTCTTGATAGTTCGGGACATTGTTGTATAACAAATGTTTATATTCCCTGTATCTTAATAGAAAGTCTATAATCGAGTACAGCCTTCTAAGTTGCTGCAATGCGGGGGAGATAGAGACAGTCTTGGGGATCGTGATAACTTGTAACTCAAAAAACAAACTCGACAAGACTGAGAACAGAACTTATTTAAATGTCTATGACCCCGTCCAATTCCAATGGACGAAGCAAAATACCTACCTATCTCGAAGTAGCCTGTAATCCCGATATCAACAGACGGAGCGATAAGGGAAAAGACCGCCTGATAAGCTTGTTACACGCTCACTGGTTATCCGGACAATTCATATTCCGGATTCGTGGCGCCTTTCGCTGTCGCTTGCCTTTCTGATCACAGGCTAGGTTGGTTTAGAATCTCATAGCGGAGAATGCATGTATTAGACTACTAGCTACTGCAAGTTCCAAATTGGCGGTCATTTGAGAGACTAAAACCAACATCAAAGCTGCTACTGACTTGAATGTTAGTACCACACTGAACACCGCCATCTTGCTTATATGCGGAGCTCTGGCCGACCGCCACGATGCTCGCAGGCATATTCGTTATGTAAGGAATGAGAATAATACACACACATTATCACGTCGATCGGGATAAAGCAAGTCGTCTAGGACAATGGCAACAACAACATAGCGATGTACTTTTTAGGGATTTCTCAACCTTTTTGTCCAGTGATTTCGCTTTCGGGATTTTTTTTATAACCGTCTGCAGAAGCCAACACATAACCTACTCCACGGTTCATCTCTGGAGTGGGTAATGCGATATAGGTACTTATATGCATGAAGTCAAAAGAAAGAACTGTAAAGAAAAGACAAAAGTGGAGGGAATATAAACATCATGGACCCTTGAAAAATGACGGCCAAAAAGAGATGGGTCAAGAGAGGAAAATAGAAAAAAGCCTTTGCTGGATGCCATCTATCTCGTCCTCGTCCGCACATTACCATGAAAAGGCCACGCGTAACATGGGGAAACGTCCCAGAACCATAAAAAGGAAAAGAAAAGGAAAAGGACTCGTCTCAGATGGTTCTCGCTTTCGAATTACCGCTGATCGAAGAGGAATGTTCCGGAAGAGTCAAGGCGATATAGTTGTTGCACGGTGCAGTCTCCGTAGTGAGGATTATTGCTCTGCACCCGGCCTCTCGTGGGTTCATGTCGAGGGCTTACGATGTTGAGGGCTTCTCGCCGTAGAATCTCTTGAGGATGTCGGCTACTTCGTCGTAGTCCTTCTTGACGTCGGTCAGAGTCTCCTTGATGTTGGCCAAGGAAACCTTGTCGTCTGGTTCCTCCACGGTACCCGACTCATCTTTGCGTGCTCCGTAGTGCTGGATCTTCTCGCAAGCGTCCTTCACCTTGGTCAAGCCCAGAGTGGCAGAAGAGCCCTTCAGGAAGTGACCAAGCTGGGAGAGCTCGGGCAGATCCTTCCTTGATCTGTAAAAGTAGCGGTGTCAGCACGAGCGCGGTCCATGTCAGATCTCGGTGCCGCAGAGTTCCCTGGATCCTCATCCTTCGAGAAGGCTTCCACGGAGCTCGTTTGTCGGGACAATATGATCACGTGACAGCCGGTACGTATGTGTTGGCCACCTGGTGGGGTCGGCTGGGAAAAGGACCCAGCGCTTTCCCTTGCAAACAGGGGAGGGAGAGGGTGACAACTAACATGGCCTTTTCCATCTTCTCAAAAGTGCTGTCTGCTTGCTCGAAGAAGCCGTAGACAATGCCCTTGCTGAATTCCCTTTCGTCGTCATCGTCCATCTCCAGGATCTGTTCGAAAGTGGAGGGATCGATGATGTTTTCATATTTGGACAGGTCTGGAGGACCTCCATCAACCTACCAGTAGCTCAGTTAGCTTCCCGTCGGTTCAGCAAAAATCGAGAGACGGCTTACCTTCTCAGCAGCCTTCTTTTCTGCAGGAGCCATGGCTGGTTATGTTCTATCTGGAACGAAAAGTGCACTTGTCGTAGATTTCTTCTCGCTGTGATGGAGTAGTTCCCTGCTACCACTGGCAGAAACTGTAAAGACTGGATAGAATAGACTATGATGTACGGAGTTGGTGATAGTAGGGTCCGTATGCAAAAAGTAGACACCGAAACAGCAGTGGCGGTGGCGTTGGTATCAAAGTCTCGATGTCAGGAGCCGATCCACTCGCCAAAGCAATCCAATGTAAAATGACCACGATGGACTAGATAAAGATGCTCCTTTCAGTGGTGCCTGTACCCTCAGCCGGTCAGCACGCTATCCACACAGCATTGGGCGAGAGCTCTGCTGGCATAAAGATCGGAGTAGAATCGAAACATGTTTTCGCGCTTTTGATAGTTGCCTCAACGCAAGCTCCTAATCTTCCTGCACTTTTTTGATCTTGCAACAGTCTCTTGAATTTGGTAAAGACCCAGGAGCCCGCTGCTTGCGAGCCACGCGACACAGAGCGTGTTTTGCTTGAGGGCAACTTCGACTAATGAGATATGGGCGATTCACCTGCAGTATCCGGTTTTTCTCACCAAAGAAAGACAAGAAGTTTTCCCGATGCGTCTAGTATAGCTGACCGATCTTTAAGCTGCGAGTCCCCAAGCGAAAATCACTCTGGCACAGTGTTAGTCAAGGTGCAAAGAGGATATTCCCACTACTGATGACGAGGGGTGAGGACGGGATCATCTACCCCACGTTCAGGCGGTATCGGGAATATCTAAGGAGGACGTACAGGAACACAATATGCGCAGTTGAACAAGAAAAGCACAGATGAATGGAAACACGGCGCCAGGGGACCGCTTCGTGTACTGAGTCCCAAAGGTTGGCCAGGGAGGGGATGATGGACAAAGGAGAGGAGGGGTAGAAGGGTAAGTATCCCACCTTGGACGTTTTAGCTCCTTATCGACGGATAGGCGACGACGGACCGTTTTTTTACGCGGTTATACTACCTAGGGCAACTAGTCGCACCTTGAGGGGGGTTTGCAAAGGTGAGTGAGGGATGGAGGGGTTGGATTCTTCCTGCGCGCTTCTTCGGGAGCTGGACAAAGTCTTTTGGCGCGTTGACCCAGGGTGGGTTCTGCCTCTCTTGTCTGCGGTTTCTGCGTTTTTTTTGACGCAGTTCCAACGCCTGCAGAAAATAATAGGGAGATAGATCGCGTTGCGACGCCGATTATCACCGAAGCCAACGAAGAAGTCTAACCAACATTGCCCGATGGATCGAGCAGCAGTAGTAGGTTGTCACAGACAAACACAGTTTTGATAAATGTCGGGAGTAGTAGTGTGGACTATTCTTCTAGACTTAGTGGGGAAGGAGGGTTTCGCAAGGGGGGGGCGGTTGGCGGTGATCATGAACGGGGATAGGAAAAAGCGATGGCAGGGTTGACGGTTGGCGTGTGGGTTGGTTCGCCTGAAAGACCCGATTCAGGCGCTCTAGCGTCACCAGAGAGACTGCTGAACCAGAAGAACAGGAGAGTTTCTTCATCGTCATGCGTACCTGAAGGTTCTCTCGAGGATCCACGGGCCGTTCTAAGAAGCTCTAGTAGCAGCAACTCAGTACTAATATGACTTTCTTTCTTCAGGAAGATAGCCGATTAAATGGTAATGTCCATAATACTAATTAATCGGCTAGAAATGGGAGCTTTGCTGACTGATCTCATAAGAGGGGCGGCTATTAACCATGTAATGTAGTCTATACTCTAGTGTGTGGTTTGCATGTTTGGATGTGTCTCTCTGCATTCTGGGACTAAGTAATAAGTATTCACCTTGCGGCTTTCCTACCGGGGATGTTGCCGGAATCTTTAGCTTCTAGTTAGTATTGAGTCGGACCGGGTGAATAGCTTGTCTGATGCGTCCGTCTCCTTTCAAAAAAAGAAAAAGAGATTGCAACAGACAGTTGCATCTACGATGTCAGACGAGGGGACACCCCCTGGCCATCTGACAGTCTTCGACGGCGGTGATCATGCTGGCCCGGATCCACTGCTTCATAGTCCCCGATGACCGAGTCTGAACCCGAAAAAAAAGAATGGATATACATAGATAGAGTAGGGACGGTTGCTAGACTGACCTCGTGGGACTGGGAAAGAAAAAGCAGAGTTCTCCCTGCCTGTTATCCGGTGGTCAGGTAACTGATTTGCAATGACCAGCGGAATCCAACCTGGCCTAGGCCGCCGTCGACACCGTTGAGCTGGATCGCAAGTGTCCCGGCGACTGGCCAGTCAGTAATCCTCTACGGAGTACGACAGCAAGCATTGACGATCCCAGCGCGTGGGGAAGCGAACCAGACGCGGTACGATTATTGAAGTTGAGCGTCCGTCGAGAGAAACCTAAAATCCAATCTTTGTCCGGGACACTGCTGCTTCCGATATCGTCGCTGGTTCACCGCTGGCTGGTCTGTTAGTTTCGACAGTTTTCGAAGGCCACGAGAGGGAAAAAGGAGGGGGGAATGGAATTGTGTATTTAAACAAACGCATCCATGTGTGTGTGACGGGCAAACAGACCGCTCGGAGGGTCGACGTCTGGAGGGAAGTTCTCCGCCACCCACATGGCGCCGCCCATCCCAGCAGCCGATGACGTCGAGGGCGGATGCCGTCATTCCACCCGCAGACCAGCTCCCCTCGCGCCTTCCTACTCCATGCAGGTGCGGGCCCCCGGTGACGTTGGGAGTGATTGTTTGGGTCGTCAAAGGAAGAGAGGGAAAAAAAAAAAAAAAACCTCGCACAGTGAGACAGAAAGGATCTTTTTTTGGCGACGCTGGCCCAATATGATTGTACATCGAAAGGAAGGCCATGTTTAATTTATTTAATTCTAATAAATTCCTGGAGGATTGCATCGAGACTAACCATAATCCCTGTTGCCTGCAACGACCGTTGAGGAACGTGCTGGGATGAAAATTGGAAAATGACAAAAAGTAAAAAAGTCAAAAAAAGGTAAAAAAGAAACGTGTGTGCGGCTACTCCAGAGAGTCACGATACCGAGACATCCACACCGGCAAATCTGTGGTGCCCACACGACAATAATGCTACTCTCCCATATCTACGGTAGAGTTGAGTATTATTATTATGGTATCACAATCGAGTACTCTCAGACACCGAGGTCGGGATCTGTCCTGGCGGGCCTTTCTCGGCATTATTGCAGTAAAGCAATCACTCGCAAAAGGCAGGTGCTGCGATGCAAAAATTGGCAACCCCCGCCCAGCCAGCGCCAATCTCGCGCTAGAAACTCTTGGACGGCCAGCCATGACATCAGCCTGCATGGCCTGGAACCCTCCGAGAACCCGCGGCTGACTGCGCCGCCGTGATTCGCTCTCCTCCTCCGTTCCCCCCCAACTCGACGCTTTCTGTCATCCCGTGAGTTTCTCGGGAACTCCCGCGGGGCCTTTGGCTTCTGGTCTTCCTCCCTAGAGTAGACTAGGCCAATCTGACACCAGACTCGCTCGTACCAGAAGACAAACTGCTTCACAATAATGTTCACATCATCAACCACAAGCTGAAATCCACAAGACGATTGTAACTGCACTCGATCGGGGAGGTTAAACGCTCGATATCATATCATATCACAATCTCTTGGCCCGATCCAGCTTGGAGTCATGGACCCGGTTCCTCCAGACTCTCCCGCCATGGATCTGGGCCCATAAAATGCTGACCACTCTTGCTTGTACTCTAAACGGCTGCTTGCCCGCTGGCTCCCCGCGGGTGTCTCTTACACGGATAGGACACTCGAGTCCAGGGAGCTCCTCAAATCGGTTTCTCGCTTCCTTAAATCTATTTTGAGGATCATATCATATTGGGCTTGGGTATCCACCGTTGGAAACCCCGATCAATTGGTGATCTAGACGTATTCTATCGCCCTTCCTTGACTATCGGGGCTTAGGCCATGCACGAAGCTGATTCTGCGGTAAAGCAGTCGTCAGCAGCCGCGCTTGCATAACTGGTGTTAGTTATTGTCCTCTTGGATGTTTATACATTAAACTAGAATCGGAAAGATTACCAGTGATCGCTTCGTTCCAAGACCAAGCAAGTAGTACTTCTTCGTACTACGTACTCTATCATCGATCTCAATTGGGAATCTCTTCGGGATTCAATACTCGCTCACGTGCGGATATTCCTCCCCGAAAACTTGGAAAGTTTGATGACTTCTCCACGGTTCTCACCGTGACCATGGATAACATCTCGCAAGAATTTCTGGAAGGGTGGAAACCCCCGCTCTCGTTGTCCTTCTAATCATATACAACATCGGAGGCAGAATCCGATTCCTCATTGGTCCCCTGAAATGCATGTCCCTCACTCAAAGAGATTGGTTGCTATTTCGGGAATCCATCTCCACGAGTATGGTATATCTGTATCAGGACTCTTATCAGGATGTCCGATGAAGGAATAATGAAATCACTTTCCGCATAACAGGCTACAATAATACAGGACCTACCTTGCTTTTCCATACTCCACGAAGTGACTATCACTCTGTGCATACGTGACGTCAAACCCGATACCTTGTGAGAGGGAAAAACAAGAAGAGAACAAACTGATCAAAACCCCGCTTACCCTTATTACTAATGAATCTGTAGAATACTATAGTACAGTACATCTTACTGGATTCTATTCTAAAGCATCCTCACAGGTTTGTTGTACCATTGGTCCGGCTCAAAAGACCCCTTCCTATATCCGACTAATCGGAAGCGATAGGCCCTTTGTTTTTTCCAATCTCTCTATCTAACCAATTTTCTTCTTTTCGTTTTTTTTTTTCATTGGTCCTCCCCCGCATGCCTGAAGCAGTGCCTACTCTACTATAATTAGCATTTGTAGTATAGATACCCACGTGACTTGCGATGTGTGTACTGTAGCCTCGTCGTGAGGAGATATATACTTATCAATCGGTCACGGATAAGCGAGTTCTATAGACGGTAGGGGGTAGATGAATTCCTATAGCTACCAAAAATCAGAGAAAGGGTTAAATTTTGATCTAGTTGCGTTTGCGCATATCGATACCGCGCTCTGCTTAGTGGGGAAGTGAGATAGATACCTAGCTGCCCCGACAGGAAACATAGTTCCTAGAGTTAACTACTGCTCAACGGACAGAGGTTATCTGGTGGTTCTTTAGACTGTGAGCAGGAATTATGTTTTGTTTATTTGCACTGCGCCTATCCTATTATTTTGCCCGTGGATTTATAGACAACTAAGAAAACCGCATATATATACATATTTCCAGTACTCACTGCATACCTGTAGAAGCGATAATTACAGTACCCAGCACGTGGACCGTTTCATCTCACTTATATCGGGTTCAATGAAGTGGACGACGTTAATTGTCCTATATACCTCACGCAGCGGCAGGGCAAATCGCCGGGATATATATAGCTCCATGCTCTCTCAATTAAAAATATCCCTAACAGTCCCTGGAACTGACTCATGGGAAGTGAACTCAGGCTAGACATGTTAATCGTTTAGATAACGCATAAGTCCCGGAATAAGGCAGTGTCAGAGCCAGAGAGGGTGCTGGCTAGAGAGTCGAGGGGGTCACTGTGGGCGAATGCGTCGGAGGTTAGACTCGTAGTCGAGTGCGCTTCGCAACGCTCTAATTGCGCGCTTATAGCGAGGTCTAGTTAGGTTCTAGCGAGCTGCGCACGCATTTCTGATCGTAAAGTAATCCAAGGACACGTTTTCAGTGGTGGTACAACATGCGCTGGGTATCGCGCCATGGCACGGAGTCTCTCGCGTAGGAGCTGCTGAGCGGACGGGTTGTTTTCTAACAATAGCCTGTCTGAGTATTATGCTAGATCACATTGATATAATATGAAGCACTAATAGTACTAAAAAAAAAAAACTCTCTTTATTTTATCATTCCGCGCTCAATAATCATAACTAGATACCCTACACGAACTTGCAATTGAAAATGCCTAAAATCGCTACGCAAGCACAACAACAGCCCTTATAGCTCAGTGGTAGAGCGCAACACGTACGTACCTCTCAAAAACAGCTCCCATTTCATTGTTACTAATAGATCCTAGTTGTATCATACCTCGATATGTTGAGGCCCGCGTCGATCCCGCGTGGGGGCAATTATCCACTCAATCTTTTTTTGCCTCTTCGTCACGTGGTTCTGGGGTATTTTGGTTCGTATCCATATAAAGCCGGAATATTTTTTTTTTCTAGCTTTCTTTTTGATCGGTGTTTATGGATTCTGTATATTATAAGGTGTAGGTCTGTTATATGACTGTAGAAAGTAAAACGTAAAGATACCGTATAGATAGTTTCGAGAAAAGAGGAAGAAGAAAGCAGTTAGATGGAATCGTTCTGAATTAATTTATTAGTTCCTAGCGAAACAGACCTAACGATTCCCTAATGGCAAATACCTAAGCAGGCTATTAATCCATCTGGACTACTGACAACTCTACAAAGCGGTAGTATTGCGCTGGATGGCCACATACCGTAGGCATAGTTTCGCTAGCGCTCGACTGCTATGGTATTCGGAGACGGGGAAGTCTCCGAGTGTCTGACTGCAGGCGTCAAGATACTCAACCAGGTAGCTTCTAACAACGAGCGTAGTAGAAACCGAAGTGAATACATGGACAACCGAGCGGTTTACTAAACTACTATAGACCTCCCTGCAGATATAGCTAAAGACTGAGACTTAATGAATGATCTCGTTGAGATGAATTTAAGTATTTAGAGTAACAATTATTGTGACACTGTACAGGGGAGAGCTATGCCAGAAGAAAGCATGTAAGGGGATCTGGGATTAAGATGTATTTAATAAAGTGGGCGTTAGGAGTTAGCAGGACGACAAAGCGGGTACCTAGTCCTGGTGAAACCAGAATGACCTACCCAAACGAGGGATAGGATGATGATATTACTTCCCACTAAAAGGGGTGTTGCCATCTAATAGCTACACACAAAGCGGGCTCAAATGGCAGAATTCTCCCTAGAGTGGTGACACTGACTATTGCCATTAACCCTTATTCCAAAAAGTAGCTCAATCTCCATGTCAGACATGTTGGATCCCCCCTACAGTGGTCCCTGCTGGGCGCCCCTTTGCACTGGCGATCACGTGACCGGGAGAATCCTATATAGGATCTCCCGGGCTTCCTAGATTAGTAATAGAACAAGCTTCTCACCGCTTCCTTCAAGACACACTCACCACACATACTAAACTTCAAAATGCCACCAAGATCCAAAAAGGTTAAGACTACTGCACCAAACCACCATACTCAAGCACTGATTGGAAACCATGTGGAAATGAGACCACTTAATCCAGATGACCCTGAGTTCAAAGATGAGGAGAACGATGTAAGCCAGAGGCCCAGAGACCTGGGACTGTCAGGATAGCAAGTATCTCACGCTCTACTTTATAGGTATCCTTTTCTGTTCAGCCAGAGGTTATTATTCCTTGTTTTGAGGCTATCACAACTAGCTTAGTCGAGAACCTTCACCTGGAAGTCTGGAAAGAGTTCGATATTCTATCGTACTGGGGACATATTGAAATGCTCGGGGGGTTAAAAGCAGTAGTTTCGGAAACCCTCAGATGTATCCATCCAAAAATCAGGTCTCTTGAAGGCAAGAGAGTCACCCCTCAGACGTAAGTCCACAATTCGAGCATCTAACTTGGTATCGATGAGGTCTGTTAACACATAGAAGATTGGACGATATTCGGTGTAGTGATCCTGCACACTGGCCAGCCCACAGCGGGTACCTAAGTTACGTCAAGGATCTGAGAAACAGCCAATACTGGCGCGCTTATGTCGGTCAATCGTCGAAACCCGCTCATCGCATAAAACAGCATATGGATGCATATTTCAAACGGGATCAGTCTACTTTACATTATTATATCCTTTCTAAAGCACGAAGTCACAGATCAATGGGTTTCATTCCTCTCTGGAGTATACCTTTGAGTGATTCCGACGAAAGCGAAACTTGCCGGCATCTGCTTCTGAGTAATGTCCTTGAGATGGTTATGTGTCGAGCGTTTCAGACTTTGTCAAATGCTGCACTGCAGAAATTTTTTGGAGATGCGGACAAATCAGAATATGCGAATGTAGGCCTCAATATTCTTCCACCCCTACTCCAAGGACTTGAAGTTAGTAGGTCAACCAGGCGACTATATACAAAAGGTTTCGAAGATTCTCCCGACCCGCAAGTTCAACAATGGCCCAAAGTCAGGCAGGAACAGCTGCATTCATTTATAAGATCTTCAAATAATCTAGAACGCCGTATCCAACGGAAAGTCAATGGAGATTACTACAAAATCGCTCTGGCAAAAGCAATTGAAGGATACGATTTGCCCAATCCTATTCAAGATTTTGCAGAGATTAATTTGGTTTCATCACAGCCTGAAGACATGGTGAGCTTAATGAAAGAAGCATCATCTTCTATCGAAGCTGTTTCCAGCGGACCGGATTTAATACGACCATTCGGTCAACTTGCGGCGAAAATTGGCATTGTTTTAGATTGGTGCCCTGTCAACAGAGCAGAAAGCGAATATTCTATCAGAAACAATATCACGGCAGTTCCACCAATTCTTATGAACTGTGGCTTCAACCAAAATAACTCCCTGATTTGGACCTACACATCTAAAGCATGCATTTCTATCTAACAGCGCTGCTTTGATTGAAAGCGCACTTGAAGACCAAGTTATCCGATCAGTCCATTCCAAACTTATCCAGAAGTCTAACCTTCGCGTGATCCTACTGTGCGGTCTAAATGCCGAAAGGAGCATTGTGTCTCCTGGACTATCTCCTATTAAAATCGAACTTCAAGGGTATTCCTACTCTGCTTATATTGAATTAAAGGAGACTGGGGCTGAAATCAAACGACTATATGTACGGTTACCGTTTTCATTGACTTCCTTACGTTCCACAAACTGGAGGCAATGCATGCAATTTGGCGAATTGTTGAGATTCGTAACAGTAATTCTGGATACAAAGGAGATCCGGGGCTATTCTATGGCAAACCAATCTGTATATCGCTTTATCATTACGCAATATGCTGATGAGCGGGACTCAAAATGCGATCCAATGACTATTGGAACCCTTGACCCAATTCTCCTCGATTGGCTTGCATTGAAAGGAATAGTTCATCAAGATGCTATTCTAGAATTTGCAAAACTCGGTGGAAGTATGATCCGTGGCATTCTACTACTATTAGTGAGCCTTCCTAGGAAACCAAAGGGAACATATCCGTGTTCGAAGCGGGAGCTTTATCAAGGACATGAGACTCGTATCCCACTCTTCAGCCTAGAGCAACTAGAAAGATCTAGGAGGCTCTACAGAAAAACACGCGTGTCGCTGCATAGTAGCGAAAAATCTAATTCATTGAGCTCTGGTAGTCAACCCGACAGCACTCAACTCAACAACGCTGGACTCGAGGACGCCGAACTTGATGACGCCTTGATGCGCTCTCAGAAGCTTGATGAGATCTTAAAGGAACCGGCGCTTCTTGACGATGTCTTGAAAGAAGACGTGTTTGAGGACCTTGAAGAATATAATGTTGAATCTTTACTGCAGAATCAAGCAAGTGCAGCCTTCTCTGATGATCAAGATCCTGATGATGAAGGAGCGGATGATCCCAGGAGCCTCTACTATCGACCGAGAATAAGTCTCAATGCAATGAAGGAACTATTGAATGGCCGATTTTACAAGGGAAAAAATTGCATAAGACCACCCAATACTTTCCAAATCAATGTCTGGGAAGTAAATTTGATTATATCCAATCAAGATAAAGACATCGATTTTGATCGAGGGTTCGTGGTCACTATGGATATTAGCCCTCCTGGCATCCGGAACCCAAATGTTTACGTCGCAACAGCTCTAGATAGCGATCCAGCTTCAAGAGTTGCTTTTAATGTCACTGCGACCAGCAATTCAGGAGAACGGATATCAATATACCCGCAAAGCACTAAAAGGAATAAAAAGGTAATCATGAAAGTGAATACTCTTTTCGACTATTTACAAGGTATGCTTGCCAATAAAGACAGGAGATCTTCCAAAATTAATATCAAATAAAGGTCTGTCGCTGGGTGAAGTAATTGCAACTCCTCGGAGGTTTGTAGCGATTCAGAAATCGGAGATGGCACTTAGGGATACACGTTTGAGCAGATTCATCTATCCAGGTGACTTCACAGACGGAAGTTAACTGTCGATACTGATCATACTGGAACATCAACATAAAGCGAACATGACACCACAGACTATATCCTAGCGAGTCAGAGTTTAGGATTTCATACAATTTACCCCCTTTTCAGCGCAAGAGAATTTTCGTCTTGATATGTCCATAAATCTAGAGTATGCTTACATTAGTTAACTTCATCTCGCGATCTAGCATTTTGTGAAAAAATAACCCTCTTGTACCTCCAGACGATGACCACCTAAGAACTCCACACCAGTCCCTAATACAAGGCACGAAGCCTTCGTCTAGTGTTATACGAATCTAGCTCAGCAGTCTTACCAAGCAGCATTACTTAACTAGCACCCTATACATTCTCACAGATCTCAACAATATAGAGCGCAAATGCTCAATCAATATAAAATCATTTTTTGCACCCACAGCTCGCACATACGACCCATATATTCATTCTATTTCTCCACGAAGATCCAGCACTTTACTTTGAAAAAAAAAAAAAAAAAAAAAAAAAAAAAAAAAAAAAAAAAAAAACCTGGAACAGCTCATTGCGGGACTGTTTTATACTTATCTTTAACATACCATACCCACTTTCCCGATACGCCCGCCCTTGAGAATACGGATACGATATAATTTCCTACTCAGGGATAAATATACCACGGTTTTGACGCGGATTAATTAGCACAACGGCCGAAAATGAATTGCCAATAATAACTAATAGAAGAGGATTCTTTAGGTCTTCGGGAACCCGTGTGGATCCACGGTGTGATACCTATAGAGTACTAATTGAAAACATTATTGTCAAGGGCTCCTGGGTGATAATAATAATAATATGGGATTAAGGGGTCGAGCGCTAAAATGTTAAAGTTACTTCTCTACGGCCTAGGTAGCTTCGAGTGACTTGCTGTCCGTGAGGTATCCTTCCAACGATTATTTATAAATGCCTTGAGGCCCCCCCTCCTTGATGGTGCGTTGGGAGAGTCGCATCCTGCAGCAGAATGCCACCATGCCTCTTACCATCCATCTCGACAACCCTCTCCCTTCATACTCCGGAGGCGAAACCATCCGCGGTCGGGTCACCCTCGAATCCCTCACCCAAATCGAAGTAAAAGACATCCGAATCACGCTCTCGGGAAAAGCCAAGACCAAGATCAAGAAAGTGAAACACGTCGGCGCCCCCAGAACAACATATCGCGGCAAAGCTGTACTATTCGAGAAAGAAAAGATCCTAGTCCATATCGATGGCACACTTCCTCCGCAGACACTCGAATGGCGTTTCGAATTCACGTTTCCTACACATGTTCAAGCGCGCTCGGGTAAGAGCCAGTGGTCAAGCCAAATACCGTTCGATGCAGAGTCAACAACGCATTCGTTACCGCCGACGTTTATGGCGAATGTGGAAAATGAGTTGTGGGAGATAGAATCCGTCGTGGCGTATCAGATTCAGGTGGACGTGTCGAAGACGCAACGCATGCTTGTGGGGAGGAAATCGTTGATTTTTCATGAAGTGATACCCCTGACGTTCATACCGCCAGTTCCGTTCGAAGAAGAGAAAGGCTATGCGTCCGCATCAAGAATGGAGACGTTCACGATCAGAAGTCTCTTGTTATTACCGGAGAATCGAGGGAGGAAACTTGATATCCGGGAAAAGATGACATCGTGGCTATCACCGAGTCAGCTGCCCGTGTTTAAATTTCGGGTCATATTCAATTATTCCTCGTGCCTTCATCAATCGGATCCCATGGTCTGCACTTTAGATATCCAGCCTATGTTGGAAGACTCGACAGTTGCATCAGTCGCTCCCACGGTCTTCTTGAAGTCGGTTTCTCTCACGCTGCTGACTCGAACGGTGGCGTGGTCATCGCCGTCGATTATAGGCTCCTTAGTAGGAGACGTCGAGGAGTCCAAGAATATTCTCTCGGAGGGATCTTTGCGAATACCGGCTACTGGTCAGATAGACATCAGTGGTGCATGCGGACAGATCTCTCTCCAGCATCCAGATCCGTCATTTTCGACGTTCAATATCTGTCGCTCATACAGGTTACATGCGAGTATAGTTCTGGAATGTGCCGAGAAGACAGTTACGTTCTCTGTGAGTGATGCTGACATTCATATACTGCCTGATAAGAGGAGTGTCGATGCTTCTGAGGCTGGAAAGACAAAAGGACATCCATATTCGGCTGGACGGGTCGAGGCGCCAATGGAACCTGTGCCTGAACTTGATAGCGATGGAGTTTCCCCCCCTGCTTATGATTATTCGTCCTCCGTGTCGGTTGCTAGCTGCGAAAAGGGAAGCTTGTAGTAGTTATATCTAATATAAATCAAGTTGACATACTGAAAACCTAATATACGCTAAGAGTGACACGGCATGTAATTAATGACCCCACTACACTATTAGAAGGTCTAGAAGCATGTGCAAAAGGACGATATACAAATATCTAACGTATTGTTATGCTCAAGACATATCTTGTTCCGAGTCTTATGTGTCTTGGTATCTAACAATGTTCAAGCTTGGACGCCCATTGAATAGTGTACAATTATCTACAGTGGGACTTGTCAGACCCCATGGATTATTGCACCTGGAATGTTCAATACTGCGGAAAATATCCCATCATAAAACCTGTGTGATCCAGAGCCCTGGCCCATCTACCATTTATCCGTTCTAGAGTCTGGTAGTGAAAACAGGATAGTATACAGTACAAACGGGGACATCGCCGAAAAGGAAAACGTAAAATCAGTTCTGCGGGAAAAGGCACGTGGCAGGTATAGCAGAAACCGCTAGGATATCAGTACATCAAGGGGCCCCGAATGGATGAATCATCGATCATGAACAGCATTTTTAAACCCCATTTTCAACGTTCCGTGAATTATTTTGGTGGGCGTTTAGCCGGTGACCTTGTAGATGGCCTCGGCGAGTCTCTTGACGTTGCCGGTGGTGATACCAGCAACGGAGATACGGCCGTCCTTGGTAGCGTAGACGGAGTGCTACAAACAGTCAGTACGTAATCGTGATAGACTTGATCTGAAAAGAAAACTCACCTCCTTGGCCAGAGCGTCCATCTGCTCGGGCTTCAGACCAGTGTAGGCGAACATTCCGATCTGGACAATATTGGTTAGCACCGCATCTTTCTTAAACCATATCAGAGAAAACCAACCTGGCTGGTAATGTGAGACCAGTCGTGCTTGCTGCCCAGGTCCTCCAGGTTCTTCTTGAGCAGAGCACGCATCTTGATGATGCGGTCAGCCATGTCCTTGACCTCACCGAGCCACTGCTTGTTCAGGGCAGGGTCGTTCATGATGGTCGAGGCGATGCGGGCACCGTGGATGGGAGGGTTGGAGTATAGAGGACGGGTGAGGATCTTGATCTGAGAGTCGACGCGCTTCTTCTCCTCGGGAGACTCGCAAACGAGGGAGAAAGCACCAACACGCTCACCGTAGAGACCCTGAAACGGCGTCAGCAGACTCAGAAGAGTGTTGATATGTCGATTGCACTCACCATGTTCTTGGCAAAGCTCTGGCAGAGAGCAATGTTGTGGCCCTCCTTGACAAAGTAACGGGGAGCAAAGGCATCGCGGTCAGCGTTTCCACTGGCGAAACCCTGGTAGGCCATATCGAAGAAGGCAAAGTGGCCCTTCTCCTTCACGACGTCGCTGATCTTGCGCCACTGCTCCTCCGAGGGGTCAACACCGGTAGGGTTGTGAGCGCAGGCGTGGAGCAGGATGATGCTCTGGGCCGGAGCGGCCTTGAGGTCCTCAATCAGACCCTCAAAGTCCAGACCAATGGTGTCCTTGTTGTAGTAGCGGTACTTGTCAACCTCGAGGCCGGAGTCCTTGAAGACGGCATTGTGGTTGGCCCAGCTGGGGGTAGGAATATAGATCTTCTTCGCGTGAGGGTAGAAACGCTGGAGGAAAGCACCTCCGATGCGCAGAGCACCGGTACCGGAGATGGTCTGAGTGATGGCAAGACGGTCCTCTGCGATCACAGGGGAGTCGGCGCCGTAGGCCAGCTTGGCCGCAGCCGCTGTGAAGGCCGGGACACCAGTGATACCGGCATACTCCTTGTCGAGGCGCGCGTTGACAATCTTGTCCTCTGCGGCGCGGACGGAGGGCAGGACGTACGGCTTGCCCTGGTCGTCACCTGTTTACGCGAGAAGCAAGCAATCAGACGATGGCTCCAGTAGTAAATAATAAAAAAAAAAGATGATCAAGATCTCCCTTACGGTAAGCACCAACACCCAGGTTGATCTTCTCCTTGAATGAGTCAGCCTTGAAGGCTTCCGTGATACCCAAGATGGCATCCTAGTACCATTGCAGTCAGCCGTCTGCGCTCATTAAGCATGTGATGATTTTATCATCCCAACTCACCGGAGGTCCCTGAGGGACACTCGACCAAGTCGAGGCCGGACGAACACCTGCGAGCAGGGTGCGCAGGCCAGACTGACGGGAAGCCGTCTGGCGGCTGGCAAGACGAAGGGTGGACAGCATGGCGGACGTTCAAACAACCAGACACGATTAATTGGAGGCGACAAGAATCGAATAGACCACCAAGGAGATGGATGGAGAACTAATTGCACAGACCCGGGACTGGAAGAGAAAGAGAGAGAGAAAGAGTGAAAGTTGAGCGAGGGAAGGGAAGCTCCGGAGTAATAGAGTCGAGTCACGGAGCGGTGTCGCTTCGCGGCGTACCTCCAGTCTGAGCTTAGAGAGTCTCCAACCAGTCAACTAACCAATTCAATATTCACTAACTTACTTATTCACTAACTAACTAAGTTAACTACAGCTTGACACGGACCTTAACGTTGGATTTGACTTTTGTCTTGTGTCCGGTGAGCGCACAACGGGAAAAGTGTCGATTCTAGTCCAGCCAGACCAGGAGACAAAAAAACGCCCCCCGTGGATCGGCCAGCTCTCCGCACTCGCTCTCTGCGGAGAACAGTTGGACTGAATCTGATAGAGCCAGTCGAGTCTAGGTAAGAGAAACACTATCTACTGCTATGAACTAGTTACTGCTGATTGCTGATGATATCTCGATGAAAATTCAGATCTATTCTATCTACTACTCTCTGTGTGTGACCCGGGATATGCGACCAGGGAGATGCATAAACATCAATGCTGGACTCAACCATCACAAGCTAGAAAAGAAAAAGGGAAAAGAAAGAAAAGTGCCGACATCGTCAGATCTCCGAAACAGAACCCCACTCGCTTAATCCCAGCCTGGTTAAAGGATTGCTCCGTGTCTTTCTTCTTGCGACAGTCGGGATTCGGGCCAAAAAGAGCTAATTGTTATTATGGTACATAGATATTATGGTTCTCGAGATGAACGGAGCAAAGAAAAAGAAAAAAGCAGAAAATCTGGGGAACCCTACCCATCGTCCATCCCCAGCATTCTCTTTTATGTGACTAGGAGATGCAATTACGCAGAATAGTCTGATCTAGCCCGTGGAATGTATCCAGTGAAGCGTGTTTCGGAATGCCGCGCTGGGTAATTAATTATGTACAGGTACAGGTCATCAAGCGACGGAGATCCCGTCGTCTAGTCTAGCATTAAGTTATCTATCGCTGCTCGTCATCAACAACATCCCCAGACGATCGTCGGTGTCTTCCCCGTCTTTACCCCAATCTCACACCGGCCTGGCGGTTCCGACGGGCTGCGTCGCCCATCGCGTTGTTCATGCCCGTGTGCTGGCTGCTGTCCAGCGCGCTCATCGCCTCCCGTTTCTTCTCCTCCTCGATCTTCTTCAGGTGCTTCTCGGTCTTCATGCGCCCGCTGCCCTTGCCGTGGAACTGGTGGCTCAGGTGCTTGAACGCCTCCTTCTGGTTCATCAACCGACCATGCTCGTCGACGTACTTCAGCTGCACATCGGGCTTGTACTCGCGATTGAAGATCTCCGCCATCTGGCGCGATTCCTGCTGGTCGCGCTGCTTGTTCTCCCACTGAGCATACTCCTCGCGTTCCCGGGCCGACATGCGGTCCAGCTTGCCCGACGTGCGGTTCCGCTCACGCTGCAGCCGAGCCCGTTTCTCCGCTTCAGTCTCACGGCGGTACTTCTCCTGCAGGAAGCGCTGGCGGTCGCGATGGAGGGAGTTGAGCTCGGTCGCATCCGTCTGTTTGACGAGACCGCGCTGCCGCAGCATCGACAGAGTGGCCCCCAGACCCTGGTCAAGCGTCGCTTCTTCGTCCAGACCGGTGACGCTGATCTCCGGCGGCACACCACCTTCTTTCTTAATCGACTCTTCTCTCTTGATGCGCTCTTTGAGCTCCTCCTCATCCTCGACCTCATTGTAGACCCGTTCCATGTCAACATCAGGGGACTCTTCCTTGACAGACGGCTCCCGGGCCGCTGGGGTAGTAGAACGGCGTTCACGACGCTCTGGAAGTGTAGGTCTCTGTAGGTTGGAGACGAACTCGGAGGTCTCATCGATAACCAAGCCGGGCTCTTCTTCCTCTCCGGTTTCCATGGGAGTTTGAGACTCTTCTTCCCGGAGCTGTCGAGCAAGGTCCTCTGGTCGCATCTTCTTGCGCTTCTTGAAAGCGGCGCGTCTCTGCAGAGCTAGAGAAGCTTGTAAATCTTCGTCGTCGACGAAAGACGTCTCTTCACTGCGTTTACGGACTGCTGGTGCCAGTCCATTCGTAGCAGAGTCGACATCCATGGAATCTCCATTACTCGTAGCACCCGCTGGAGAGCCTGTAGATTCGGCAGTCGGGAAAATATCGTCATCGTCAATGACCCTTTGTCGGGTGGACTTGGCCTTCTTCTTCTTTGGCTTCTTGATCTTGACCTCGCTGATATCCATATAATCAGAAACCGGAGCGGCGGGCTCGGGAGCAATGTCCAGACTGATGGCGTGCGCCTTCAGCTTCTGTGAGACATCTTGTCGCTTGGCCTCTCGCTCCTCCGCAGTGGAACCTTGACCATCAAGCGTAAAGCGTTTCCGCTTCTTTCCCTCAATCTCTTCATCGTAGTGGCCCAGAATGCCAGAAGACTCCTCTGTCGGATCATATGCCGTCCGTTTCTTCTTCAGCTCCAGTCTTTCCTTCAGCTTTTCCTGTTCACGCAGCTCGAGATTTTCCAGCTCATCACCCTCCTCCTCATTCTCATCGATCGTAGTATCCCTCAGCGTAAGAATCTGCTCTCCGCCGGCCTCGAGATCGGCGATTTCATGCCCGACCTTAACACCAGCCAGATCAGCCGCCGTGTATTCCGCTATACGTTCCCGCTCAGCCAGTTCCTCCGCCAGCTTGCGAGCTCGCTCCTTCTCGATCTTCTTCTGCTTCTTCTTCGCCTGCATCAGCCAGGTTTTGGTATCGGTGCTCGCATCGTCCAGTTCACCAAGCGTCTGGCCCTCCAGCTGACGATTCCGCTGCGCAGCTTCGCGGGCTCTCTTGATCGCGGCGTTCTTCTCATCACGTCTGCGCTTTGCGTCTATTTCCTCCTGGTGTTTCCGCCAGTTGTCACCAGCCTGCGCAGAACGCGACTCGAGTGTACTACCGGGGTCTTCTTGCTCAGAGCCCGAGCCTGCATCGTCGGACTTGGACTCCTTGAACGTCAGACCGGTGGCGGGGGCAGCACCGGGGACAGGAAGGGGTTTCAGACCCAGTGCCACCCGGATTTTGTTGTTCTGCTCGATCGAAAGAGCATCCGCCATTTTGGCGGGTTGAATAATGAGGCTGGGACGTAGGTTGGGTGAAGAGAGAAATATATCAACCAGAGACTGCGAGGTTGATAGTTAATGATCACTATCTCGTATCACGGCGAACTATTGTTACTCTAAGGCTTAAGCAGCCGCCCAGGCTCCAGGTTCGAATCGCCGAATATATTTTCCCGTTCCGATCCTAAAATAGACTAGCGCAGGAAAACTCACTGGCGCGGCTCCACTCAAGGCCCCAAATAAAAAAGATCGCGTTTTCTCTTCTCTTTCTCTTTTTCTTTTTTTTCTTCTTCATTCACAACAAACCTACAGATCTGTGTCCTGCGATCCTGGCCACGGATAAGTTGCTTGCTTCTGCTTGCGACGGACTCTGTGTGTCCGGTTGATTGCTCGACAGTTCGACGACCAAGGAGCCATCACTACGCCTTTTTCAAAGGTGTAGGAAATGGTGTCAATTTCCGGTCGACAGATCTCAGAGCGAAGTCCAGCTCCGGTGCTTCACTTCGGTCTTGAGCTCCCTTCCTCTTCTCTCCCCTTACGGGGAAGGGAGGTTGGTGAGTTCGACTGGATGGCCTGGTTGCTGGCGGCGTCATATTCCCAGTCCCTTTGCCGAGGCCGTTGGCTGGTGAGGTTAGGGAAAAACCATGACATGCCAACATTACTTGACTTTCTATGCATTTTTGTAGTTCTGGTTCATATATTAAAATTATTTGAGCCTGTTCGTAATTTTTGTCATCGTAAGAGTTACAAGCATCATGCTTAATGCTCAACTAGAGCTTTTATGGACAATAATGTTGTCAGGCCTATCCGGCCTCCAGCTCCATGATAGCCATGTACGACCTGACCCAAAGTCACCATCTACAACAACTTCAAATGCCCCGTCACGCTATCGACCACACTCTTCGGTCCCAGTATTCCTAACACCGTCCTGCTACCACTGGCAATCTGCGTGCGGCCTGCATCCTGAATGACGCGAGCGCAGAGTCCCAGACTGAGCGCCTGCGCCTGGAGAAGCAGTATATCCTCTTCCGACTTCACTTGCAAAGCAACCTTTGCCTGGCCACCGCGCTCCCAACGACGGAGAATAGGGGAATTGGGCGAATTGGAAAGATAATATTTGTAGCAAGCGAGAGTGGCATGGCCGCATTGCGCGGCGATTTTGCCTATTCATCATAACGCAAGTCAGTATACTCAAAAGAATCAAGACCAGGCATCCAAAATCAGATAGATAGCATAAGAGCTCAACCCAGTCCCAGAAACAGATCAGATACAGAAGCAAAAAGGGAAGAAGGGAAGGGCATACCCTTCGTCATACCCAAATCCGTCCTAACAACCAACACAAGCTTAACTTCTTCATTATTCCCTTCGAAATTCGCCAATTCTCCTCCCTCCTCCTCCTCCTCCTCTTCCTCTTCCTCTTCTTCTTCACTTTCTTCTTCATCCGAAGACCCCCTATGCACTTTCACATCATAGCTATTCGGCCAGCTCTTCTTCTGGGTCGATTTCGACGAGAACAGACCCAGCGCGGCGCCCTGTCCGATGAAAAAGCCCGTGACTCCAGCGACGATGGCTGTCGCGACGACGTAGGATGCTGTCGAGGACGTTAGGGGTGGTAGTGATGTTGATGTCGCCATTGTATTGTATTGTATTTGTTTCCTTTCTGTCTGTGGTGCTTTGCTTTGTTTGGGTTGTTAAGTGTATGCGGCGAGATTTCGGCTGGGAGTGTGTTTTTAATTTTCGGCGGTGCTTTGGTTGAGCGGAAAGTTGCAGTAGTAGTAAGTAGCTTTGGTAGCTTTCGGCTCGAGATGAGGTCACTTTACCCGCGCGCTTCTGCGGCCTGCGCAGCTACAGCAGTAGAGTACATATGTGGGGCGATAGTTATAGCTCTAGATGATAAGCTACGTGAATAATATACTAGTTCATGGTTAAGCTATAAAAACAGATTTGAATTCTCCCTTTTTTTTGCCATTTCATAATGTCTACCGGGTAAAAGACAGAAAAGCGCAAGGTATATGTATCCAAGCGGTGTTTTCAATCAAGACATCCACGTTGAAAGCGTACACTGCGTCGATCCGAGCGCCCATTAGATAAATGCTAACCATTATATACAACATTTGTTAAAGATAATATCGTCAGTATAACCAGCACCGGATAACAGTTGTCTAGTTAGCGCCCCCAGCAGCTGGGCGGTTGGGCTGAGCGGGTGCCAGGCGACGACTCCTTTGGTACTTATTAGCATCATATCTCTCAGAAAATATGTTTAGGAAACAGGACACTCACGTAATCATCCGACTGAAGACACTGATACCGATCATAAAGAGCCAGCTGGGGATCAAGCTGAATCCAAACAGGACGTAACCCAGAATAACGTTGAGCCCGTACTCGGCGAGCCAGCCATCGGTAGGGTGGAAAGCGCCATCGTACTGGTCGAATTCCTCGTAGGTCTTCTCCGAATGAATCTTGTAGATGGTCTCGGGAGTGACAGTCGTAATGTTCAGGGGCACGATGTGCAGAGGTCTGGTCGGGCGAGCCTCGTCAGGCTGGGCCTGAGGAACCTGGAAGTGCCAAACTGAAGGAGCACCAGCCGACCAGATGGAGCACAGAACCCGGTCCTGCTCACAGTTCAGGTAACCCAGCTGGGGAGAAGTCGGGTCGGCAGCGAACAGGAGCACGGATTCCTACCCTCACTTGTCAGCTAAACTGGTCGCTTGAGTCGATCTAAATCGAAAACACATACATTGAAGGCCTTCTCGGCCCTCTCACAACGACCGAAACAAGTCTTGTTTCCTCCCGTCACAAAGATGAGCCAATCCTGCGCGGACTCTGTCGACGGCTCTAGGTTGGCTTGCCAGTTACTGATGTTGAACGGCGTCACTGTCTTCTCCGCGACCTTCTCTGCAGCCTTTTCGGCGACAACCGGAGGCGCCGGGACATAGGACTTGGCCTTGTTGAACCAGCCCTGTAACCGCTCCCCGAGGGGAATCTGCTCCTGTGCTGTCGCAAGGGCTGGGAGAAGGAGGAGAAAAGGAGAGAGATGCATGATGACGACGTGCGAGCCACCCACGGGATTATCGTCAAACAACAATGGAATGGGACAAAGAAAGAAAGAAGATATCAAGAACCACCGATTACGAGCAGGACCAGCGCAACCTGAGGCAAACGGAATTTAAAAGAGCTTGGGACAACTAGTTAGTTAGTTAGGAACCGTGTCGCAACTTTGTAAACAGAGCGCAGTTTCTCGCTAAGACGGACAGCTGGCTTCAGCGCGGGCCAAAAGGGGGATGGCGCACGTTGTCGGAGAGCGGGGAAACGAGCGGCCGTGCGGAGAGCTTGGATGATCGATTATTTAGTAGTTTACTATCTAGTTTACTAGTTCACTAGGTAAATAATAATAATAATAATAATAATCATACTTGGAGTATTGGCTATGCTGATTGTCCAGACTCCAATGCTATTGTGAGTCTCCTTGCTATCTATGTCGAGGTTATGACGCAGCCATGCTGGAGGAATCCCGCCCAAGAACTGTATCCTCAAGTACCTACTAACTAGGTAGCATACCTAGACATATGCGTGATAGATACCACCCAAAACACCCGATACGAACACCATGAGGCGAAATATGTAGGAATATCCACCTTGAGATAGTTTGTCCGCTCCCCGAAGTGGCACGCAGATAGAGGGGTAAATCCGGTAAACCTATGTCATCAGAACCGAGTCCTGTATTGTATGTACATACTACGATAACATTTCTCAGTACCATTTGAAACCGAGATAACGTATTCGTCGAATATGGCAACATTAACCTCCCGATGTGCCGTCGTCTCACCAACACCCCGAAGTCCCATCAAGATCCTTCCGTTTGAAGTTGGTCGACCCCCAGCAGACAGCATTCATGTCGAGATCATCCAAGCCGGTATCTGCGGCACAGATCCCCATCTCTGGAAAGGCGACTACGGGCTTCGCGCGCCTGTCGTGCTTGGACATGAAGGTATAGGAAAAGTCATTTCAATGAACCCGACAGTCATCACAGATCACGCGGGCCAACCACTTCACGAAGGTGATATCGTATATTGGACTGCAATCCGTCCCTGCCGGAAGTGCTACTACTGTACTGTTCTAGACGACGAGTGTGGATGTCCTTCGAATGGATTCATGCATAACTACGAGGCACTTGCTCGAGCGAAGGAAGGTACCTGGGCTACATATAGCCAATATGCAACTCTGGGACCGCGCAATTCCTTTTATCGCGTCTCGTCTGACGTTCCGCCAGAGGCTTATATTGCCCTTGGCTGTGCACTTCCCGCGGTCATTCAGGCTACTGGCCGTTTACGAAAAGGCCACATCGAACCTCACAGCACTGTCCTCGTGCAGGGCTGCGGAGCGGTTGGACTGGCTGCCATAATGATGGCGAGATTGTCCGGTGCTTTGAAGGTTGTAGTGATTGATAGAAATCCCATTCGACTGGCCAAAGCCAAAGAATTCGGCGCTGATGACTGTATCAACTTGGACGAAGTCACGGATATGGGAGAGCGGGCGAAAAGAATCACCACCCAAGTTGTCGGAGATCGTGGTGTCGACCTAGCCATTGAATGCAGCGGCCATCCCAGCGCTATCAGGGAAGGGCTCGGCTTGCTGGCACGCAACGGTACCTATCTTCTCATTGGCACTTGGGCTGGGAAAGCAGAAGTTCTATTCGATCCTTTCGTCGTGGTCAACAAGGCTTTGCATATCCAGGGAAGCACTTACGGCGCTCCTCGCGACTATTACCGGGCCTCAAAGGTCGTTGAGCAGAATTGGCAACGGTTCCCACTGGCCAGCTGCGTAACGCACAAATTCAGCCTCGACGAGACGCAGCTCGGGTTGGAGACTGTAATGTCTGGACTAGCAGTAAAAGCGGTGGTTGAACCAAACCGCAAGGGCAATTAGAATCCTTTGAGTGAATTGTCCAAATGCAGAACGAATCTTTGGTTATTGTGGCTTTTAAATGTATAGCACATTTCGCATGATACGTTGTCAGAAGTGTCGAACTAGTGGTTTGTTTCTCTTTTGATGGGGTTCAAATCATGGAGAATATATCGAGTACAGATCACTGAAAGGATGTTTCGTTGACAATGGGTTTCCATCCTTCTCGCCGAGGACAGGTAAGGAAATGTTTCGTTAGGATTACTGTATAGACAACTTTCGTTTACACGTAGGAAGGAGCAAGTAGACCGGTGATGGGATAGACTCGATGTTGTATTGATTGGGAATAATCCTTAAAAGCCCCAGGAACGAAAACTAGACATGCTAACTTGCTGGAAACGCCAAACACCTCGCTTTTGTGCAGACCAGAACCTGGGTATTTTTTTATCTCACGTCATGTGTGTGCACTGCTAGAACATCTCGAAAGGAGAATGACAAAATAACCTCATCTGACCTTGCTCATCAGAGTCTCGATGCCTCTCTCGACACTCAACTCGGCTGCCTTTGCCTTCACCGCACTGAGCATGGAACGCTCAAAGTCATCACGACTCCGCAGAACGGCTTCCACCCACGATAGCTGGAGATCCCAGTACTCGGTCTTAAACGCCTCATAGACTGCAACGACTCCAGTTTTGTCGGCCTCAAGCAGACGAACCAGATAGTCGACCAGTCGCCACTTCTGCTTGATGCTGGCGAAGGACTCGGGGTACTTCTGGAAGAAGTCAAAGACTGTGAGGATGTCATCCTTGAACTTGTCTGTGTACGGGTCCTGGCGGCGGAACTTGACACCGCGGTTGCGGATGGCGGAAAGGTAGCGAACGAGCAGCTCATCAGACAGCTCTTCGACGAGGATGTCCGTGAGAGAAGGATGGAGAACGGGCGAGTAATCGGCCATGTAATCCTCAAAAGTGGAAGTGATACGCTTGACCGCAAATTCGCCATACCATTTCGGAGTAAAGAACTCGGGAAGGACGGCGCTGAAGTCAACGGTGAACATGAGTTCAACAAACTGCGAGAGACAATAGGTACTAAGATCAACGTAGCCGTCGCGAAGAGCATCAAGCTCGGCTGTGGCCGTCGACGCCAGGTATTTCGGCGAGACAAGTGGCTCGAAGTCGCGCTTGAAGCGAGTGAGATAACCGATTTGGCCGGACTCGTCGTTATCGTCAATACAGGCGATTTGGTCGTTGGCTATTGCGATCAGCCAGTCCTGTAGCGCCTGTAGACCTTCTGACATGTCACCGCCTGCAGCCTTGTATTTGCCGCTCTCCTCGTCAATGAGAGCTTGCCAGTTGCTCTGATGGCCTTTCAGGACAAGGAACATGGCATCGATAATACCTTCGACCACGTCTGTACGGTCCGAGGCACTAGAAGCCCCGATTTGCTCGTGCAGCATACGCCACATATCGGGGAGCGTCTTGGTGCGGAAATAGCCGTCAGCATTTGGTTCCAAGGCATCTGGCGATCTCTCGATCATTGCCTTCTTGTCTGTTGAGAATATACGGTCCATCCATTCGTTGACTGCATCGATGATGATATTGCGCCACTGTCGAATAAGCTCTGGTTCGCGATTGTCGAGAACGTTGGGTACGAGATCGGTCTGCTTCCAGCCTAATTTGGACATCTTTTTGTAGTATTTCTCGGTCCAATGGATGATGGCAAGCAGGTTATCTGGAGGGAGTTCAGGATCATCGATAAGACCGATAAGGAAATCGTGCATCATCCGATGATAGATATTAGTGTAGGTCTGATAGATCTTCCACTTCTTTGGCATGAGGGACTGCATCCCTTGCTGGACAACGAAAAGGTCATTGAAGAACCATTTGAAGCTCTTGTCCAGGTGGTCCGGTTCGCCCAGGAAAGCCTCCTTGGTAGAATCAAACTGGCTCTGAGCGTAGAACTCGATAGCCTGAATGAACTTCTCCTTGTAACCCCTGACTGTCTTCGGCCCGATATTCATAGACTTAAACCGGCTTGCCAGGTCCTTATGATCTTTCTGCGCCTCCTGCAATGCCCGCACCTTCTCGTCGTTCTTTTCTTCATTCATCACCACAACAGCCAAGCGAACAACCATGCTGCGATTATCCGACTGCACAAGCGGAATGAGGTTCATACAGGCAGTTCCCAGATGATCATCGAACCAGTCAATGACCGAATCCAGTCCCTGAAAGTAATCCACAAGAGTATCTTCACTGCTAGAATCGCCCGCTCTGCGAATCTGGTCCATCGCCTCATCCCGGAAATCCCGCAACCTCGAAATCTGCATATGTGCCTTGAGCAGATTCGGCTGGTTTTCCAGATCTTCATCATCGTCCTTCAAGAGTTCTTCCACCTCGGCAAGGTCAGCACCGAAATTCTCAAGACCCTTCTTCATCATTAACGTGGCCTCAAAATTTCGCTGCACCCTAGCCAGCTTGTCGATTTGCGAGAAATCATCCACCGAGGTCTGCGACTCCGCGCATAGCTTGTCTATTCCTTGCAACTCGTCTCTTGTCTTCGAAACGTGCCGTTGGCCTTCAGTCAGGAGGTTGATACTCCGCTGTACCGTTTCCAGCTGGTTACTCAGACCTTCCCTTAGCTGCGAATCGACGGCTGCCTTCTTCCGCGAGTATTCCGCTTTCAGAGCGGGGATCTTATCCAAGTCTTCGGGGTGACGGAGCAAGTCCTCGAGACGAGGCATCGCCACGGATCCCGCATCATTTCCATTTTGCGCCATGGCTCTAGATGGCCTCGTGTATTGATATCGATCTCTTGTCTGACTGGAAAGACGTTCGGAGGTGAGGGTGGAAGGTTCGTTGCCCGCACGAACCGATGCCGAGTGCTGAGGTGACGACTTCAGTCCTTTCTTTTGGGACAATATATCTTCCTTGTAAATAAGCCCCCCCTCTAATTTGATCACTGTCTGGGCGTCTGGACCGGAGGATATCCGTGCACCACCGGTTGGGACACTGCGCGATTGCCCCGGGTACAGAGAGGAAAGAAACGGCCTGGGTATCTCCCTTTCGAATATCGAATTCCACCGTTCGAGCGAGCGACTAATGGAAGTATCACGAGTAGGCCTGCAATAACCTGATTCAGGAGGCGCAGCAGTAGCAGCGGTAGCAACAGAAGTAGCAGTAGTAACAGAGGTTGTATCCGGAGTATGTGTCGTGATCGGAACAGCTTCCGTTTCAATCTCAGCAGCTTCACCAGAAGAACCGAAACAGTCCGCACCAGAAGCGCTATGAACACCTTCCTTGCGTATATTATTCAATTGACCCCCTCGAGATTCACGGCGAACGTTGGCCTCGCCGTCAGTCTGGAAGCGGCGGAGATGCTGCTCAAAGGCGGCTGCTCGCTCGGCCACCGATGGGGAACCCCGGCAGAACGCCCCACGTGACTCACCGCCCGACTCCATGGCCCTCCGATTTTCCGCCTCGGGGAAACTTTTGAGATAGCGGATCGGATCGAGGTGATTGACACTGGACGCAAGATCGGAGACTCGTGGGTTCCGAGTCAGAGACGGACTTGTCTTTTTCAGTTATTTTTTTTTCTCGTTTTCAGTCTCTCAGCTTACCAGATATTTTTCCCAGTATCCTTAATTGTCAATCAACGAGCGTCAAACGAACTCTCGGGGAAGGAAACCATCTGCTTTCAAAAAAGCAAGCAGCACGAGAGCTGATTCACAACATCAACCCAACAAGTCGTGGACAACTTTTGTCCAGAAACGACATAACAAGAAGACAGTGAAGTGAAGGCAGAGAGAAACCTCACGCGAACGAAACAAACAAGAACCGCGTTATAACAAGGCGGTGTCCTCCGAATTCAAAATCACAACACATTCCATCCTTCCCTCCTCCTCCTCCTTCGTACGTGAAACTCTACACCATCAGCCAAAATGAGCTACTTCCGAATCACGCTTATGCGCTCCGCCATCGGTCTGCCTACCCGGACAACAGGCGTGTTGAAGGCCCTCGGACTGAAGAAGCGTATGGCTACCGTCTTCCACCCCGTGACGCAGGATGTGGCCGGACAGATCATGAAAGTGAAGGAACTGGTTGATGTTCAGGAAGTTGATCGTCCTATGACGAAGCAGGAGGTGCATCTGGAGCGGAAGCCGGATCCAGGATACTATGTCGAACACCCAGCCGGTGCAGAGTGGAAGGAGAAGAGACGGGCATGAGGGAGTGCTGTCTTTTTTCGATTGACGACTCTTTTCATTTTTTGGGGGGAAATGCCGTGGGTCTGCTTTCCATGAGCCAAGGGAATTGCACGGGTACCAATTGCCTGTCAGAATGATCGGATATTCAACGGAGGCATCAATGCCCTACGGCTCAATAATTGGCCTCACGCCTCTGACAAAGATGTTGAATGGAAAATACATGTGCTGATTTCTGAGATTTTCATTCAGCACATGTTCGATGGAGGTCATGTTTGATGCCAGTTTCCAGGGATAGATGGCCATGTCTTTGGTTTTGCTATCGCATACCGCATGTCCCACTACTCTCCTATGGTGCTACTTTGTATTTGAAACTTTGTTCTACTGTATTATAGAATCTCATCCTACGCGGCATAATGGCCGATTATCACAAGATACGAGATATATACGACATCTCTATTACTCAATGACGCTAGTAATAATAGACAGCCTAAGCAAGACTGTTGGAACACCAGAAGTACGCCGCCAACACCAAAAAATAACTATCCGTATCCACACTCCATCTGACCCCAAGCCATTCGTGTATATACATGGAGCTTTCCAAGGCAGCACCTGGAACTTTTTTGATTCTCAGTTGACACGCCGTGAGGGTGTAAGGCGGGCCTGATCTTTATGCTTTATAAAGCGTGTCCAGGAAGCCCTCTGCCAAACGGGTGACAATACTCTTATCGGGTATGCTACCTGCCACACCGTACAGAGCGGAGGTGTCTCCACGTTTGCGCGCGTAGGAGTTGCCCTGTCTCACCCTCTCTTCAGCTTTCTCAAGCTCTGCCCGGACGACGTCGATGAGGTCCTCAGTAAGCTTGTCCACCGCTGCGGCAGTCGGAATGGTGAAGGCAACGTGCATCGCTGCTGGAGACTGCAAAGCGTTGAGATGCCATCCCTTAGCAGACAATTCGTCGGCGATGTCATAGATATCGACACCGTCATTCTTGCTCGTCCAGGAGACAACGCTGACGAGCGGCTGTCCAACGACCACCAGGTTTTCCGAAAGAATTGGGTGCTCACGAATGGCAGACTCGAACTTCTTTGCTGCCGTCATGATCTGGTTGCAACTCTCAATGTATCCAGATACCCCCATACTCATGAGACTAGTCCAGCAGCCTGCAATCAAAGCACCAGGTCGGGATCCTGCCACGGAGGGAGAGGCATAGACACCGCCAGACCAATCAGGATACACAAAGTATTGATAGCTGCGGTAGGTACGGTTGCGGTAGAGAAGGACGGAGTTGCCCTTGGGAGCGAAACCATACTTGTGGGTGTCAACACTGATACTCGTGACGCCCGGTTGACGGAAGTCGAAACCGCCCTGTTCCTCGTAAGGGGATGGATAACCCGCCTTCTTGAGGAAGGCAATCACGAAGGAGCCCAAGCAGCAGTCAACGTGCAGGGGAATCTTGTACTTGGTAGCAAGACGGGAAAGAGCGGGGATGTCGTCGACAATGCCATGAGGGAAGTTAGGCGCAGAGCCCACCAAGAGGACAGTGTTTGGGTTGATAAGACGGCGAACAGCACGGATGTCGACTTTATAGTCGGGTGCTGGGCACGGAACACGGTGCAATTTGATCTTGAAGTATTCGCAAGCCTTGTAGAATGCGGCATGAGCAGTGTCGGGAATAATCCTGTATGAATTAGTCGAGATTTTCAGCAGCGTTGCTGGCCTGACTTACATTTCAGGTGCAGTCACACCACGCTCGATATACGCCTTTTGACGTGCTCCCAGACAAGCCATGATGATCGACTCTGTTCCACCACTGGTAGTCACACCAGCACCATCAGAGGGGCCATTGAACAGCGCCAGAACCTGATTCGATAATAGTCAGTTACTGCTTTGGATTTTTCAAGCAGAGCAAAAGAGATACTGACCATAGCAACGATTTCCGCCTCCATCTTGCGAACGCCGGGGAATACATCCGGGTGAATAGGGTTCGCGACACCAAACTGGCCAAAGGCTTCGGTCTGTAGCTTCAATAGGTCCTGGCCACCATGATACACGGCACCACTGACACGACCATCCTCCCACTTTGTATGCTCCATGCTGGCGAGCTTATTGAGTTCCTCACGCACATGGTCGGGGGTCCATCCTTCCTCGGGGAGTTCAAGGTATCTCGTCACGCCAGGGCCCGACGAGACGAGCTTAGATTCTAATTTCGTGAGAGCTGTCGTGACTTCCTTGTCCACCTGGCCGCGAACTCCAGGAATACGCAGAACTATCCGGAAAACCCATAGACGGATCAGAGCAAAGATATTCCGGATGCTGCCGATGATGCCGTAGCCGCGAACAGAGTAGAAAGTTTTGCGGGTAGCGCGGAGGATGAATAGGATAAAAATGATATTTCGCAGCCTGTTCCATCGTAGATATCAAATTAGCTGTGTGAACTATTGCCTGTATGTCTGAAGACAGCTGGGTTCGGTGGCATGCTACTTACAGCTCCAGATTCAACGCGGCGAGTTGGAAAGCGGATGAGCTCCGTGGCCCCATCAGCTTGTTCTGCAGGGCCACTGGAATGATGGTGGAAGTCATGATGGATGGACGATAGCGATACAAGTAATTATGTTGGCGACCCTAAGGAATGGAGGGATGCTTGTCAGAGCTCAAGAGACGACCAGGACGCCAGATGCTGAAAAAGCCGCCATAGGCATAGTTAGGTAGGCAGGCGTTTAACTAGTAGTTCAAGAGCCTCGGCAGGTGCATCCCCGCAGGCCGCAGTTTCACCATGACGTTGCCACGGACAAAATGCAGCCGCTATGGCACGAGACTTACGGAAGTATTACTACCAGACCTGAGGTTGAGATCGAAACAAAACACTGCTACAAAAAAGAAGTTCATGTGGTTGAAATGTCAATTGAGCGACACTGCAGATATTACTAATCTCTGCCAAAAAGTGCTCCGACTCGCGGTATAGTTAAATACTCGCGGCCGACTAAACAAGAGCATGCATGCTATGTACAGGGGTTGAGACTATCGCTCTCCAAACACCAGCCTCCCTTTTATGCGTAATAAATCAGAGAGCTTTTTTAAGACCCAAAGAAACCGAAAATAATTCCCAAGCAAAACGCAAAAAGAGCATAGACAAATGACGTCATCTTTCCGGCAAACTGCCCGTTAATATATCAACTCTTTAAATCGAGTTAATCTGGACATGAGGATTCTTCTTTTCTTTCTTTCGTCGTGACTGTTCAAATATCGGTCATTTAGGCGGAGACCTCAACTCCGTTCGCGGCCATCTCCTTCTCCTTGGCAGCGAGCTGGGCCTTCTCCTCAGGGGTGAGCTCAAGCAGGGGCTTGTCCTCACCGGTCTTGAGGTTGCGGTGGTAGGCACGGATGATGCTGTCGGCATCATCAACGGCGATGGGTCGGATATCAGCCAGAGCCTTGATCTTGGCGGTACACTCCTTGTACTGAGCATCCGTCATCTCGATGTTGAGCTGCTGAGCACGCGACTTGATGGCGTTCCAGCCAGTCAGACGGGAAGCGAAGTGGACGTAGCGGGTCATGCCAAAGTCGGCGGGGTTGATGATTTCGTAGGTGCTGGGGTTGTTGAGGATGGCCTTGGCGTGGATACCGGCCTTGTGGGTGAAGGCACAGAAACCGGTGATGTAGTTGTTGAAGGGGATGTTGACCTGGACGGCCTCGGCGACGAGGTCCTCAATGTCCTTGAGCTTCTCGAGCTTGTACTTGCTCTTGACGTAGTCGCGGTCGACAGCCATCATACGGGCCATCAGACCACCCAGGGGAGTGATACCGTTACGCTCACCAATACCCAGGACGGAGGTGTCAATGTGAGTGGCACCGGCCTCCAGAGCGCAGTAGGCGTTGGCGATAGCACATCCAGTGTCGTTGTGGAAGTGAGTCTCGATATCACACTTGACAACACCTCTCAGGACGCGGACCAGCTCGTAGACCTGGCGAGGAGAAGCGCAGCCGACAGTGTCCGCAATACCGACACGGTTGACACCGATCTGGTCGACCGCGGAGTAGAGGGACAGAAGGTCAACCAGGTCGGATCGGAAAGAGTCCTCGCTGGAGAATCGGATCTCAATGCCCTTGGACTTGACGAATTCGATAACTTCGATGGCAGCCTTCTTGATGTAGGTCATGTCCTTGCCGTGGGAGTGCTCACGGAGGTAAGAGGAGGTACCAATGACGACGTCACTTTATGCAGTCAGTCAGATATATATTATTCTGGGGAAATAGCCGGCAATTGAAGAAGTACTTACACTCCGTCAACACCAGTCTCGACAGCGATCCGGGCATCGTCCATGTGGCATCGGATGTGGGTGAGGATCTTGGCCTTGAGACCCAGCTTGCAGATGGCCTCACAGTCCTTTCTCGACTGCTCCGAAGCGCAAGGGCTGGTGAGCTCGATCTGTATAGGATCTAGTTGTTAGGAACCATTTCTCATCCGGGGGGGCTCTGGTGACTCTCGAGAACAGGTGACTCACGTAGTCGACACCGAAATCGTCGAGGGCCTTGGCGATCTCAATCTTCTTCTCCGTGTCGAAGAAGGCGTTGGCGAACTGCTCACCCTCACGGAGAGTACTCTCGATGATCTTGAAACGGGAGACATTGCTCAGGAAGTCGGTGACACCAGCGTTGTGGCCGTAAGGGTTGCGAGCGACCGAGGGGTGAGGGTTCTCGCGGCTCTGAACGGCCGTGAAGTCTCCATGGTCTGCAATTACTTTTGCACATAGTATTAGTGATCCGAAACCCCAGCAGATTTTCCCAACTGCTCATCAGGATGCCGTACCGTTAGCACCGTTGCCATTGGCATGGCCGTTGACACCGTTGGTGTGCCCATTGGTTTCGTTTGCACCGGGACACATTTTGTATGTGGAGCGGGGTTGTTACTGTGAGGAATATATACGGCGGGGAGCGATCCCGGGTGACGGACAGGGGCAATGCTAATGAGAAAGATGAAAAGAAAACGACCAGACAGAGCCCGGGATGGTATTTATCGCAACAGAAATTCGTGAAGAGGAGAGCAGAGTAAGAGTCAGAGTCAGAGCAGAGCCGGGTGGAGATTTAAACCCGGGCGATCTGGGAATGACTCGACCAGGCGCTTTTTCCTCTGCGGCAAAAAAAGATTGGGCGAACTGGGAAATTTTCTTTTCACAGGCCGGCAGCGGTGGGGATCGTCCGTAACGGTATTGAATAATAAATTACCGCCGGACAGACATCACCTTGTAGTAATTATTATTCCTTTCGCCCGTGCAATTGGAAATTGTATAACTGCTGACAAGCTGATGATCTTGAATTACTTTGATTTTATATATATATATATATATATATGGTCTGCTATGTATATGTATGCGTTGTTGTTCTCCGTCGACAGTATGAAATTCGGGGTTGCCGCCACACATCTTTTTCTTGTGTGCCAAAAAAACAGGCCCTTACCGACATCGGCCATCGGTTGCTGAGGGGGTTCCGCACCCGTCAAAAATAATTACCATTGACTACGATAAGATCACGAGTCTAGACATAGTTTGTTGCTAAGCAATCCTTTTTATTCCTGGGAACACTCTCTAATTCGCTCTATAGCGCTCTATATGGTACGATTCTAAGACGCCCGCAAAATCACTATGGGAGCAACGTCACCGCGAGATTTATCTCTGGCTTAGTAGGATTATTGCCTAGCACATAATATGGAAGTACCTTTATTCGTATCGCCGTCTGGGGTGCAGTAGGCGAGACGTCACCGTCCAAGGTTGTCGGCCGACTCAGCATCTTTTTCCGTCTTCCCGTTGGTCGGTACTGTCACTCTCCTTTCCTAGGCTAGAGATCTCGTAGAACTTAGTACAGACAAGAACACATCCGGTTATTAGTCATATTCTCAGCCCCTCAGGTGGGTGTTTTGGACGAACTACTACTATCAATCGTTTCCTAACGACATAAATACGGGATTGACTACTTTGAGAGTATCCTGAAGGCAACGCTTTGGGGGCCCAGCTAGGGACGAGCAGATAATTTCTACTAAGATAGTCTATGGTGTTGAGTTAACTAGCATGACCCCTTCTCATACAAGCCTTAACCCCATACTTCCATCTGGGCCGAAACAAATAGATACATGTCAAAACGAGCGTCATAGCATCAGATGCACTCTTCTCACTCACTCCAGCTCTTCAGCTTGGACACCTGGTGGGTGAAGACGCGACCGCGAGTGCGCTCCATCTGGTTGTACAGATCGCCGTCGATCGACTCGACCCTTCCTTCAGGGTCATCCCGGTACTTTCTAGGATTCTCGAACTCGCCCATGTTGACGGCAACTCTTCTGCGACCAAGGCGCTGGATCTTAGACTGGCGGATGCCATATCCACGGTTCCCTGGGCCCATAACATTACCCAGTCCAATTGTCCGGTTCTTGCGCATGCCAAAGTATAAACCAGCGATGACGAGAAGAACAGCACTCACACTGATTGGCAGACCGAGGATGAGTCCCAATTTATTGTACGGAGTCTGAGGCGGAGGCTTGTAATGCTCTATGCGTCTATGCGTGAGCTGAACTCTTGGCCCCTGTCGATAACTCGCTCGCTGATTCGAAGTCGGTTCGTTTTCAATGATATACAACGTCAAATTGTTTCGAGCCTTCCCTTGCAGCCATTCTTGACGCATCTTCAGAGGGATATATCCGTAGCTGTTCTCTGTTCTGTCCGACGTGAAGGCAGAATCGCCCTCCAGGGGAGTGCAATATCGCAGCTCGATCGTAATGGTTGCATTGACAGGATAATAATCAGGATTCCAAGTCACGTAGTATGTCGAGTCAACCGTAACATTGCTTCCGTCCTTGGGCAAGCAGAATGGCGAATATGGTTGATCAAACTCGGTACAGACGGGAAAGTCGCCAGCATATGGCCGCGGGTCTGTAATGGCGGCCGTATTGAACTTGGGCACGTCTGATGCCATAGCATCTGATGTCTCTAGAGTGGATACTGCAGACTCGGGGGCCACTGAATAGGTCAGAAAGAGAGGCTCACAGCAACACTCCAACGAGACGCGTCATGTAACTAGACATGTAAAAGAACAATTACTCACAAGTTTCTCCTCCGTTGATTGCCTCGCTGGTTTCTATGGCAGTACTCAGGGCTACCATCACCCCATAAACTAAGATGACGGGCCACAACCCGCATAGCTCGACAAGCTGCATGTTGCCTACCTAGAGTAGCCAGCCACCAGGTGCATGAAATACGATGGTTGCTGAGAGGTGTCGTTTTCAATTCGAGACAGGAGACTAGTTGGATAATCTTCTAGGCATAGTATCTAATACTAGACGCAGACGGTGTGTCCGTCGTGGATGTCAAGAACATGCTGTAGTAAGCAGTCAACCACCAGCACTGTTTCTTGTTGGGGAAGGTGCTATCCCCGAGAGGACAACCCGGTCAGGTGCAATCGGTAAAATCTCGAGGATCGATGTTTTCTGCCTTGGTCTGGGAACGAATCTGTATACGTATGGAAGCGGTGCATGGAAGGTCACCGGAAGGCTACTGTCTTGCAACAGAACCTATTAGGTCACTAGGATCTAGATCCTTTTGTAGGTGTATTTAAAAGATAAATATGAAGCCAACTCCCTACTTAGATCGAGGGTCAAGCCAGCAACTACCTATTCCCCCTAGCTACCTCAGTTCAATATGCTCAACACTTCCGTGCCATATGGTTTGACAGGTATTCCAGATAAAGTTGGTATGAAACGGCCATGGCTAGAAATTCTTCCTCAGATCTTGAAATTGTACATGATGTGCTAGCAGCTAACCGGTTTCAACCTGCATATAGAGATGCATTTCTCTTTTGGCCGCCTTAACTAGCCGGAACGCTGTTCTCCCCTGGGTTTCTCCATTATGTGCAACGATACTTCTATCTGAAAAGCCATATTGCCCCTTGAAAACTCGTGAAAAAAGTCGTAAACATAAGCCGGGCCCATAAGGCTTACAACTCCATCTCCTCCTCAGACATCCCGCTGCTGCTGCCGAACTGAATCTTCCAGTATTTTTGCTCGCCAGATGAGGCATCGACGACCCGATTCACTTTCTTTACCGATGTTCGGGGGGAGAGCGCGCTGGCACATTTGGTTATGCGGACGAGATGCGTCCATATCTTGTTTCTTGCGGAGGGGTTTACACCCCATTCCTGGCAATGCCAGAAGGAGTACTATAAATAAATAAAAAACTTAGATAAGAATTATTGTATCACAGAATAGTCATAGGAGCTCTTACTTTATCGTCGTTGTCAATACGCAAGAAGCTGAACATCTCACCATCCGTTACACAGCCGTAGATAATGCTGTTGATGTGGTTCTCTTTCTTGCGAATTTTGTGGACCATTGCTATGAAGTATGGTTAATTGATGTTCAATAGGGTGTGACTAGCTAACTTACCCATATAGGCCAGGCATTGTCCCAAACCAGTGCCGTGGTTACACCTATCCTTGGCCTCGCAAATCACAAGGTTCGTATCCAGCCCGTGATCCCCATACCACATAGTGTAGTCTGACCTGCCGTTGAGAATGACAGCTTGTCCCTTATGGACGATTTCGCATTCAAGGTGGGTCTCAGCTGTGAGAGTTACAGGCTTCTCCGTTCTCTCTGGATGTCTCATAGCAACATTCTTCTGTTCGACCCGGACACAGGCTTGGAGTATAATGTCTAACTTCCAGCGAACTGTAGCTTCATTTGTCGGGTCGTGCCCCAAAGCCTGCTCCATATCGTAGATTCTCGATACTAAAAAGAAAGAAAAGGTCAGAACTCAGAAAAGAAAACGGCATTCAGAAAATTCAAGACTTACGAACGGTCTCTGGCACTGGTATGATATCTTTTTCCTCCGGTCCCCAAATTTCCTCCAATCTATCGTCACGTTTGAGGCCGAACGCATCTCTCACTTCTGAGAGCCTTAAGCTGCTGGCCGCCAATACAGGCAGTTTGTCCATTTCACGCAAGACATAATCTACATCCTCTGGTGCAGCTTGCTTCCCTTCCTTCAGCCCACGAAGTAGTGATTTGGCTTTTTGGACCCAACGAAGCTTGTTTAGAGGCATATCGTGCAGAGATCAAGGGAAGTATAGGACACAGAAGATAAAGAGTAAGCGAACAGGGCAGAAAAATGAGCTTGTAGAGGGGAAATTTCAAGCTTGGCGGAAGTAGAGAATTGATTTAGTCAGAGAGAAGCGAGCTCAGCAAGCGGGGAGAAAGTGAGCTGAAGGAAAGACAGGAGGGAAGTCAGCTTGACGGAAGAGAAGAGAAGAGAAGAAACGAAGTGGGATGGAGCAGATGAAGTCGAGCTGAGAAGAATTTAATCAGAAAGAATCGAGCTCAACAAGCGGGGAGAAAGTGAGCTAGAGGAAAGACAGGAGGGAAGTCAGCTTGACGGAAGATAAGAGAAGAGAAGAGACGAAGTGAGATGGAGACAGATGAAATCGAGCTGAGAAAAATGTAATCAGAGAGAAGCGAGCTCAGCAAGCGGGGAGAAGTGAGCTAAAGCAAAGACAGGACAGAAGAGAAGAGTCGAAGTGAGATGAAGAAAGATGAGGTCGAGCTGAGAAAAAGCAGTCCTTCAGGGCTCCTGGATCTATCTATCCATCCATCCATTTGTCTGCCTGTTACTACTTTAGTACTAGTACGACTAGTACGCCTAAAGCATCTGCCTGGAGAAAAGGCATCAGTGCATATATGCAAGTGCTCAAGTATGCCTGCTTTAACTATGGATCAGCAATATATTTTGCATGGTTATAGTTGCTCTAAGTAACCTAAAACATGATACAGATGATAGGATACATAGAATGCTATACGGACCTTCTCTTCGATGCATTATGTACCCTACCCTACCCCACGAACTAGAGCGGTATGGCAGCATGGACTCCTACAGGTTTAGTGTCCTAAGTATATAACTTCAGACTCGGGGGGTGTTTCAAGGACATTTATTATCTATCTAAACTACCTAGATAAGATATAAGGACTTAAGACCAAATATCAGGATAATGCTTGATAAAAGATAACTATAGCATGACTAGTAATATGTCTGCCATGGCTTATGCCCATAGCTGAGCGCAGTCCATTTCTATCGATCTTGACCAGGTCAGATATGTGAGTTGTGAAATAGCGTAACTATATAACGTCCCTAAGGGTAATTTCTAGCACATACGACCATAGGGTGTGGAAAACAGGGCTTCCCGTCCGCTCAGCCGTACTTAAGCCACACGCCGGCAGGTTAGTAGTTGGGTGGGTGACCACCAGCGAATCCCTGCTGTTGTATGTTTTTCTTTTTTTTTAATCTGAAATCTATTTTGCCTCTCCCAATTCTTGTCGTTAGCCATTGTTGCTGCCTTGATTTCCCGTTGAAATTTCAAAGTGATAGAGGGCTTGTCAACAATTGACTGTGTGCAATATGTGGCTTCTCCGCTATCTTGAAGATAACTTAACTGGTCTGCCCTTCTAGTTGATTATCCGTGTCGAGATTGCTGACCGGAGCTTTGGTTGCTTCCTAGTGGCTGGAATGAATTGTATATAGTAGAGGGTAACAGAGACGGTTATCATGCATGCTATGTTGTAAAATTGGGACTCGTGCAAGGAATATGTTCCATATATTGGCTTCAACTGGATGTTTTCCTATAACCAACCTGGACCGTGGTATATGATTCGTATAGTTAAATAAAGTAAATTGCAGCAATATATGCCTCGCATGCTGTTCATCATGAAGCGTTGACGGCAACACCGCCATCCACACTGTTCGTATCCTCGTCCGCGGACGTATGTATGGCATTACGTGGACCGTGAAAACCAAGACTTCTTTCCGCAATGACCTTATAAGCTTGACTGAGCCGCTCGGCATTTGGATCGCCATTGCTTGCGTCCAGCTTCTTCGCGCCCATTTCGCAGATGCAGACCTTGTCGATTGGGATGTCTCGGGCCCAAAGGAAAGGGATCTTTGTGCTATCATCTGCTCCGGGTCGTTTGTTTTGCATTTGCTTCTGTTTCTTCTCCGGTGGCCTGTTTCCCTCGTCTTTACCTCCCTCAGCATCAGAATTGCTCTCTGCGGATAATTGATCCTCGGAGATACCGGTAGCGATTATTGTTGAACGAGGCTGCGTTCTGTCTGTATCAATATAATAGTCTCGGTAATGCGCGAGGATGTCTCGCGCATCGAAGGTATAAGTGCCGTTTTTGGGTCCACCGTCGCGACGACGTCCGCGTCCGGCATAGATTGTATTTACGATGGTAGCGTGGAGGAGAAGTGGTCTTGCTTTTGGCTTCTTTTCCTTCAGTTTAATTTTAGAGCTGGAGGGACCGGATGTTGGGTCTTCTGCGATTCCTGTCGGAACCTCCTCTAGAAGTGATTGCTGGAGTGTTGCTTCAGCTTCTGGGCGGGAGCTAGATTCCACCTGCTGCAAACCCTCACTGTTTCCTTCGGCCTTCTGCGATCCCTGATTTTCTGATGCTGCTGGCTTTTTGTATTCTCCCTCTAGGAAACCAGCCTCTAGGAATTTCTCGCGCAACAGCACGCTGAAGGGATAGAGACGAGATGTAGGGTCCACCGGGGCCGCATACAAAACAGTAGCAGAGCGGGCACGTGGGAGTGCATGCATAGATTCAAGAGACACAATCAAAGGTTCAGGCGAATCAGGAGTCACAGGACGGACGAGATCTGTACCAGTAGCCAATTGCTCAGATGCCGTAGGGAGGAGACCTTCCCGCGCCTCAGCCGTCGCTGGCGGCTCCGAATCAACAAAGTCTGGATTCAATGGCGTCTCCAATAAAGCTCTAGCTCGATTCTGCATTGACTTCGCGCGAGCTTCTGCCTCTCGCGCAATCGAAACCAGATCCAAAGACTGCAGCAGGTTGATCGCTTCGTCCAGGCGCTCTTTGGTCGGCAGACTCATTACTCCCAGCGTCAGATGGAGCGTCCCAACTGGCCTGACAGCTCCATCAGGAATAAGCGGCGGAGTGGGTTTCAGAGGATGGTCGTTTTCTGTCCGGAGACGAGACGGAATTGCTGCCTTGAATGTGGCAATGGACGATTCCAGTTGAGGCAGAGAAACATCATTGACGAGAGGGAAGCAGAGGAAATGCGTCAACGGTGGCTTCTTTTCTCTTTTCTGGTTGTGATTGTTATTCCTGAGATTCCTAGCCCTGTGAGGAGGACCAGGCTGGTCTCTAGGTTCTGACATGCCCGAGAAGCGATAGGATGCGGAGGATAAGGATGAAAAATCTGAACGGAATATCACAGGCCCAAGAGGCCTGGTTCGTAGCATGGGAACTGAATATGGGGGACGTTGTATTTCAATCTGATCAAAATCCCCCAAGCTGACAGGCTAAGTATACTGCCTCAGCTGGTGCCGTCATAGCATTTGCGCGAAAGAAGCACTAACGAAGTAGTGGCGAAGCTCAGTCTAGAGCTTGTAGCTGGTGTGGAAGCAAAGAATCCTGGGAGTCTGTTGGTTAATCCGTAAGAGTCGAACGTATAACAAATAACAAAATATAAATAACTAGATAACACAAGCAGTAAGCACAGGGTAATTAGTTCGAATGGGCAAATAGGAGTGGCGGTTAAGGAGCTGACGGGGAGAACCTTGGGAAGCAGCAGAAGCTCCGGAGAATCCATGATGTGATGCCATCTCCGCGTTTCCTTCCAACAAAAACCGCTCTGCTTGATTCCTCATCAACTCAATCCAAACCCACACTCTTCTTCTAGCTTCACAATCCTCCATCTCTGGCGTCCATCTGAATTTGTACAGTACATACATACATAGCTCACCATGTTTTCTCGAACTCCTCGCGCTCTCGTCTCTGCTCGACCATCCTTCCGTCTTGCCCGGGTGTCGCAGACCTCAACCCCGGCTGCCGTCCAGCGGTTCCAGACCAGAAACCGTGCAGTCCTCTCGTCCAGCGAGGCCTACAGCTCGCGATCTTTCCATTCCTCGTCGGTCGCCTTCAAGGGCATCACCCCAGACTCCTCGGACCCCGCTCCTCCCAAGTCTCAGACCATCTCCGCCGACGAGCCCAGCTATGTGACGGAACCTTCACCGCTCACGGACCAGGAGTATCGCGAATGCTCGGAGCACTACTTCAATGTACTTCTTTCAGAGCTCGAGAAGGCGCAGGAGGAGGGTTCCGATATGGAGGCTGAGTATGCGGTATGTTGAGCAGAGCTTTCTTTTCTATGCGAGGACAGTATTGAAGAGAATCAGCCCTGATGGAATGATTTTCCCCATCGAGCTTGAGGAGCCCTTCAGAATAATCTGCCGTCTCTTATGTCGAATGCTAACTGCTGCCATTCTTAGGCTGGCGTCCTAAACGTCATCGTTCCCAGCGCTGGAACCTACGTCCTGAACAAGCAACCGCCGAACAAGCAGATTTGGCTCAGCTCACCCATCTCCGGCCCCAGACGCTATGACTGGGTTGTTGTGGGGGACAGGATGCATGAGAAGCAGGATACACGGGGTCAGCTCAATGGCCAGTGGATCTGTCTGCGTGACGGCTCGAACTTGACCGACCTGTTGAACAAGGAATTGACATTGAGCATTCCCAAGATCATCTACGACGAGGACTCTTCGTGAGGCAGAAGTTGAATGTCGGACCAGCAATTCTACAGAGAGAAGATATGATAGAATAACCAGTGTTAGGAGTAATCACAGTGGCGGATATTAACCTGTACAGAGAGCTATTCTATGGGCAGGTAATATGCCAGAGCTTCTGCTTTGAACGTGTAATATGGATACACAGAATACGAATCCAAAGTCCAGTTGATAGTGTCCCATGATGCCAGAATAAAGCCTCTTCGCCATGAGCCTGGATACATCCTCTTCCCCATGAGAAGCGCATCGTCTCAATCCAACCTTGGCTATGCCCCGTACCTTGCCAGCTCCGCCGACCCAGCCTACCGTATACCTCAGTCAAGCAGAAGCTGCAGGAGTATATCGTAGCCAAGATGCGCCAATACAAGGCTGTAGGCCGGTCGTGTCTCTGCCGGCACTCACGACAGCGGCGCGTGTCGCGCTGGGACGGGCGCGGGAGCCGGAGGCCTCAAGGACAAAAGCGGGATGCTGTCAGAGTTTCCAAACCAGGCCGTAACTCGAGTGCTGTCCTTAAGTATGCGGCGGTCTGTCCGTGGCCAATCTCTCCTCTCCGCGAGGAGACAGAGCCGGTCTCGCCCAAGCCCCCGCAATAATTGCCGGATGACATATCACATCTCATATATCCTCTCCCTTATTTCCCTCGGAAGAGAAAAAGAAACCATAACCAAAACCAAAAGCAACACGCTAACTACGCCTGCACCGCAACACCCTCAGCCGGCTTCATATCCTCATCCTTCGGTAGATCAGACTAACAAACACAACACCACATCGTCAGCAAAAGAGAGTACAAAAACACAAACCCAAATCCAAAGATGGGGGGGCAAAAGTTCAAACTCACCACCTCAAAAATCACCCTCACCATCAAACTACAACTCGGACACACCGCAATATCCTCTCCATCGCGCAGATCCGCAATCGCAATCTCGAACCGATCGCCACATGGACACGGGTAATGATATATCTGGAGGTTCGGGTCGAAAGTCATATCTTCGATCTCGACTTCGTCGTAGATGGAGAGAGATTCGTCGGCCATGGTTGAGGACTATCGGATCGGTGTGCGCGTAGATACGTATGTAGAGTAGAGTAGAGTAGAGGAGAAGTATTGATTTCAAACTGTCGTTGATGTATGTATCTTTAGTGGATCAGTTGTCCGGGTATTTGGATATCGTAAAGTAGTCGTGAAAATGACACAGTCGGGGTTTTTTTTTTTCTTCGCGCAGGAAAAAAGTGCCAGTGGCGGACCAGAGATTCTTGAATCTTCACCAACTGAAAGAAGCTTTTTTTGACTTTCGCCGCGGCGGGCGGTTTTTTGAGGATTGTCACGTGATTGCGGGGGTTGTTGTATGCGCGGAATTCGAAGTAGTTATGTTGTTTTGACTATGTTTAATATTTGGATAGTGGGATTTGAATGAATGAGGATGAGTTGCTTTTTCCCTTTCTTTGAAATGAAATGCGTTCTCTTTACGTTCCCAGCGAAGTATCATAGTCCATACTGGATATCCTATTAGTAAAATATCTATAGATCTATACAGGCGACAATTACAATCTACCGCAGAATCCATATTCACAGGGGTATCAAACAGTCGAAAAAAAAAAGAAAAAGAAAAAGAAAGCCGCCACGCAAAATCAACATAATCCACCATCCTATCCTCCCAACCGCTTGACTTCCATCTTGACAGCTTCCATCTCCTTGAGCAGTGCTCCGTACCGCCGGGCGATTTCAGCCATAGTTCCCGCGCCGGCATTGTTTTCTTGAGCAGAACCTGTTCCTTCGTAGGATTCGAGTTCTTTGATTAGAGATTTTTCCTTCTCCTCCAATCTTCTGCGTGTGTCTTGGAGATGGTCGCGGTAGTTAGTCAGCGCGGCGAGCGCGTCGGGCGTGTAGATGGCTGAGAGTGTTTCTAGTTTCATGACTCTGGAATATCGCGGGTTGCATGTTAGTAATTTGCAGAAATGAGTCCAGAGTTGAATCAATAGAAAAGAAATAAAAAATAAGAGAATTCTCGACAATCCACATACCGAACTTTACCCTCCACCGCCTCAGCAACCGTCGCCAAATGCTCCGCCTTCGACTTAGACGCTCTCGCTAATGCCCCATGTTTCGTCCGCTCCAGCAACTCTACCGTTCGTTCCATGATCTCTCCCCGCACCGCAAATACCGCCGCTGCCGTAGCTGCCATCTTTCTCCTAGCCGCTGGAAGCTCGGCCAGTTGAAGGGCTCGCAGAGCAGCCATCCGTGCAGAAACCTGCGAAGACACCGTAACCTGCGGTGTCATCCTGGCGCTACTCTGGCGCGGACGGGCGCGAAGACGAGACTGATTCGCAAGAGAAGGAATATGTGAAGAAATCGGTGCCTGTTGAGAGGCCTCTGCTCCTGCTTCTGCGATGGCTCGGAGAGTGTCTAGGTTCGAAGAGAAGAGCTTCGAGAGAGCACGCGCGATGCTCTCGGCGTTGTAGTGGAATGTTTCGAAATCTGGTGATAGGAGAGAAAGCATGTCCTCTCCGTCGCGGATATCTCGTGTGGATTCTTCTGGAGGTATGGGGGACTGGAGATAGAGGGCTATGATGGCGATGAGATCACGGAGCTGTTGTTCAGATTATTTCAGTCAGCAAGTCGTTTCCAGAAGCACAATTGTTTCCCAATACACAATAGATCCAAGTAAATAAATAACAAAAAACCAACCTCATCCGGTAAAACACTTCTCAAATCCAGCGCAACCCTCTCCAGCGCCCGTTTCTTAATCTGCCTCTTCGCATTCCGAATCTGCAACTCCCTCAATTCCTACATTTTCATAGAAATCTCACTCGTCAGAAACCGTTTCCATTGCGCCTATACATTGGCTTTTGCTTTCCACGATCCACGGGTCGCATGTGCATTGTTCGGGACAACTTACATTCTGAACGGCCTTGCGCGCCGGGTGGGCGTCATTGGCGCGCGTGGAGCCATCAGGGTTTAGTAACTCGGTGGTTAGATGCTGGTAGAGCTTTTTGAATTGAGGATTGTTTTCGAGAATTGCTGGATCGCATGGTGGGATCATGTTGGAGCTGGGAATAGCCTGGGATTGTTGCTCACATTTACCCGGAGTCGCGAAGGCGTGCGGAGAACCTTAAGATCTACTGTAGCTTAGAAGAACGGCTCCCGGTGGGGACAATCGGAGCGATGTTAAGCGACGCCAACAACGCCTACTAGCGGATTTCACAATATTCTAACGCCATCTTCCTCATGGCACATGTCCGGCAGACCATGTTGACCACAACTACGAAAGAACTGCTGTATCGAGATATTTCATTATACATTACAGAAGAACCAATGTGCATCTCGCTGCAGTTTTCACATTTTCACGTTTCATATTCATACAGGACATCTGGTATTCTCCTCGACCGCCTCTCAATCACAGCCACATAAAAGTCGAGAAGAATTTTCGCTCGAGACCTTCCCCTCCACACCTGCATGCAGAGAAGACGAGACCGCCAGTCAAAGTGACTGAATGGAAGCACGAGAGCACGACGTTGCTCATCGAACCAGGACATGCCGCTAGAAAAAAAAAAAAAAAAAAAAACAAGCAAAACACGACGTGAAAGACCAACCAGAGGATGCCAAACCAACAATCAGGCTAGCCATAGGTCTCATCTAATCGTCACGAGAAAACGAGAAAAAGCTTGCATGAAGTGAAGACCGGTAGGAATAGCAAGTATGTACAGGGACAAACGGAAGGCGGATACGGGTGTCATATGACAAACCATGAGGTTGTCCCGAGTGCGCTGCCGACCGAGCGAGGCCTGAAGCTAGTGCCAGAAATTATGTTGATTGATTAGAGCTGATTGCCCCCCAGACACAGTCAGGAAGCCATGGACGAGGAGGTTTGACGAAAGGCACGATCCGAAGAAAGATTCATCCGAAATATTAATATTGAGAGAAGAAGCAATGATGCTGGCAGATGCTGCGTTTACTCTTCCTCACTCTCCTCAGAATCGTCGTCTTCGTCGCTGCTCTCAACGTTTGCTTCGACCGACTGAATTGGCTCTGGAGACCGAACCCCACCACCTTGGAAGCGGGAAAGATTGCTCTCAAGCATGTTGATCTGAGCTTCCTGTTCGTATTTGCTCATTGGTTTATTCTTCTTTGGCTTCGGAGGCGCGGCACTCGGGATCGGAGCGTGTGGAATAACCTCCTCATCTTCTTCCATGACATGGGGAGCGTTCTTCTTGACGAACTTGAGAAGCATGACAAGAACTTCGTTGGGAAGCTCATCAATGTCAAGCTCGATCTCAGTCTCCTGTGTACCTTTGAGAGAAGGAACGTTGTTCTGGATGATCCGCAACGCTTCCTGCATTTTCTTGTCGGGCAGACTACTGATTCCATTGGAGATGATCCGCTTCTCCTGGTAGGTAACCAAGCGCTGCTTCTCCGGTTTCGAACTCTTGGCAGAAGCTTTCTTGTCCTTCTTGGAAAGGCCACCGGCTCTCTTGAGGTCTTTCTTTCCACTCTTGGATTTGCCCGACTTCTTGGCAGCCGGGGGAGTCTTCTTTTTCTTCTGGGTGATCGCTTCCACCTGCCTCGACATTTCCTCGATTTGGCGGCGAAGCAGTTGCAGCTTCTCACTGTCAGCATCATCATCGCTGTCTTCTGCGTCCTCGTCGCTTTCCTCGTCCGAGGAAGAGACACTCTGATGCTCAGGATGAGGCTCATGCGCTTCGATCCAGCGTGCCTTCTGCGCCCATTTCGCGTCAAACACCTCCTGGAGCTTCTGGCCCGCAATGTAGGTGGGATCACCAGGGATATTGAATTTGAAGCAATTCTTGAAGATCTGGCGGATATCGATCTCGAATTCCTTGGAATTCTCGTATTGTCCAGCCTTCAACTTAGCCTGCACGGTAGAGAGATCCATGGGTCTCTTGATGATGTTATGATAGGTGGGGATATTAAGGGCGACAGGATCAACGGGAACGTAGAAAGGAGCGGCAATGTTGTAGTACTTGTGCTTGTGCAGCTCGTCCAAGACCTCTTGGCAGAACTTCAGCTCCCACTGGTACTTCTTCTTTTTTGGCTTGGTAGTATAAGGCAGGTCGCGCTTGGGAGGGTGAATGGAACGCTTGGGTCGACCATCAGCATTCGTAGAATCACGACGGATCAACGGCAAGCCTTCAGGTCCCAAGGCAAAAGTAGTACTCTGGGGCGGACTGGCAGCGGGTTTGGGAGGCGTCGGACCAGCAACAACTCGCGATTCACGGCGCGCCGCTTGGGTCTTTGGTACAGAGACTGCAGCCTTCTTCGGCTTCTTCTCCTCAACCTCGTTGGCCCTGGGGAGATTGGTCATAGACTTCTCGAAGCTCGCCTTCAGTCGCTGACCTTCCTGTGCGACAATGTGATCAGGCCCGTTGAAGACCAGGGCATTCTGGGCCATCAATCTGACATCATCAGCCACGGCCTCAGGAGTCTCGTATTCGTTGTTTTTGAGCTTGCGCTCAATCGTCCCGAGGTCCATGGGCCGTGTGATGATGAGCGGGTAGTTGGGGATATTCAGCTTGATGGGATCTACGGGCTCCTTGTAGAATCGCGCGTCGTGGGAGCGCTTCAGGTTCTGGACAGCCTTCAAAAGGAACTTGTGCTGCATCTTGGTAATACCAAACTGTCCGTCAGTTCCGTCAGTCGGTTGTCCCACTGGCGTCTCTGTCGCAGGCGTAGGCGTAGGCGGCAGCTCGGGAACCTTGAAGCCAGGAGCATCACCATTGGTCTTGGTACGCTTGGCAGCAGGCTCTTCGCTGCCATCGGCTTCACGTTCCCGCGAGACCTTGGTGGGTGACGGTGGCGCATCAACCATCTCCTGGTCGGCAGATGGCTGAGCCGAGGTTTCCTGTGCAGAAGGAGCGGGTTTCGAGGGGGAGGGGTGATGAGGCAGGTCTGAGGGTGCTGCAGACGCCGGCTTGGCCTCGGCCGTGTCCTGCATCTTGTTCTCAGAGGGCACGTTCTCAGGAACCGTGCTGGGGGCGGAGGCGTCCTGCGTAGAGACTGGAGTCGTGGAGGCCTGTTCAGGCTTCGGTTCTGAAGGCTCAGCGGGCTTGGGCTCAGTGTCTGTCTTTGCGGGTGCCGACTCATCCATCGAGTCCTTTGTACCGTTCAATGCGGGAGACTTCGGAGACGAGGGAGTGGCGACCTCATCCTTGATGGTATTGCTCGCGCCGTTGGTAAGAGCAGGTTGGTCAGTGCCGTGTCCATTCACCGCTGGCGGGATGTCCTTGTCGGCCGTTACCGCAGCGGCCTCTGCAGGTTTATCTGACGGTTGTACCTGCGCCGCTGCTTTGATTTCGTGAACAGTGTCCTGCGACCTGCAATGTGGTCAGCGGATCAGAGATCCAGAGCACGATGGAGAGAAAGATTAACATAGCAGACGTCGTCCCAACGACGTGACGTAAGAATCGAGACGAGAGTAGAGAGAGGGCAAAGGGAGCGTGATGCTTACCCAGTAATCTTGGAATCCAGAGAGACATCAGTCACGGCCGGTGGCAGCTGAGTCTTGTCCTCCTTCAGGACAGTCGTCCCCTCAGGAGGCGGCGTCGCCATGATAAGGTCCCTGCAGGTCCTCGACGGACCGATATACGCGATCTAACCAGTAGCAAAAGGCGGCGGAAAGCAAGCTCAGCTATCCAGGAATTTAAGGAGTGACGACACAATAATCAACTGAATACTCTGCGCTATCACAGGCTAAGACTCGAATCCCCGTTGACAGAGACCACCTGATTAGTTGACAGGAGATAAGAGGCGGAAGCAAGGGGAAGTGAGAGATGGTGGACAGAAGATGATTCAATTGCGAGAAGCGCGTTGTGGTAATCCGCGGAGCGGAGGGAAGCTGCCAGAGATACAGGAGATGGAGCAGCTGCCAAAGTGGAGAATGCGACAGAAGCCCTTTTATATCGCCAAGAGAAGAGGAAAGTTAGAGGTCACGTGGGCGGCGACAGTCCAACTAAAGCGGAGGCGGAAGGCAAAAAGGCGACAGACAGAGAGAGAGAGAGAGAGAGAGAGAGGAGGGAAAAAGAGACAGGCCGAAGGCGCCGAGATTCCCGCCCGCTTAAGAGGACGCGCCGGTCGGAACGAGCCAAGAAGGTGCTGGAGTCTGGAGTCAGGTGACCTGTGGCCGGAATGGGAGAGCACTGTCGCGAAAAGAAACCGGTGGTGCGTGTCGCGTGTCTCGATTCGCGCAGCTCTCTCGACCACAACAACCGCAGCTTCTGGCGGGCAGTCGAGGAAGTGGTCAATAGTCAATAGTAAATAATCAATAATAAATAAATAACGACAGGGTAAATAGATGGCCCGACGTGGCTGGGCCAGGGCAGGGGAATGGATGAGAGGGGGGTAGGGTAGGAGAGAACGCGACTAGCAGCAAACGCGTCTGGTAATAATTGCTGGGCAGTAGTAACCGAGGATACAGGGCGGTCAGGTCAGGTGCTCATAGCAGGGAGGCGGTAACCTGACTTGTCGGCGCGCAGCTCAGCTCAGCTCCAGAAAGAGAGACTGAGAAAATCGGAGGGGGTGCTAGAATCCTTAAGTACGAGCGCCCTGGTCGCGGTCACCGGCCGGCTGCCGCTAGCTCCGGTCGCCCACGCTAGTCCCGATCATCCTGGTTCAGGCCATTTCAGGCCGTCTGATTCGCTCGACTGGATCAACTAGCGCCACTAGGGCGATCTGATTGGCCGTCTGCATCCGGAAGCAGATTCGCGAATCCTGGATTCTGCCAGACTTCACCACCCAAAGAGCGAACAGACTGACATCGACCAAGACCCTCGAGACAAGGAGCGGGCCTCAGCCACATCCTCCTCTGCTTAGACCAAACCCTGTTCAGAACTCCAGATCCTGGCGCGCGTTCTGTTCTGCTCTACTACTACTATATCAGATATGTATTAAGATGTAATTTATCCTCATATCTAGGTAGATACAAGTTCAGTGATCCGGATCGGAGGTGACGGTCATGTGCAGGACGCTGAGATGCAGGGCCGGATAAAGGGGTTGTTGCAGGAGTGGTCATTATGGCCTGCCGTATTCTGTTTACTCAGTCCGCCTGTTGCACCTCCATAGTCCATACTGCTATTAATTATGTCTGCCTGATTGCCTAATCGGCAAGGCAACCACACAAACCAGCTTGGTTATTATTGCATTAGTTATACCGATTTATGTACTGTAGTTATGTAGTTTAGTTACTTAACTAACCAACAATAGTTAACTACCATCATCTTCAGGGCTCTTCCAGAAGAGTTCGGATGTATATATCAGATTACCAATTGGTAGCGCGTCCCTGATTTATGTCCAAAGCTCTTCTGGAACTAAGCCCACAATTCTCATCATCGACGGCTTATAACCAGCAATCTTATTGCATTTCTCAGAAGTCAGAAACGTATATTATTACTATACCATATAGTACGTATTTGGGATCGACCGCATCCACGCCAGGGCTCAGGGCTGAGCCCTCCCCTTGCGTCGCTTTGGGACTAGTCAGACTCGTCCCCACCGCCTTGGGGCTTCTCTTGGCGGTATCTGGCAGGCAGCAGCAATCTTCTTGAACGGGGAAACTTTGAAGAAATTTTCTTCCCGGCCGTCCATATCAGAATCACGACCCCCACAGAGCTGTAAGTCCCGTCGGGCGCTGAAGGTGCGCACAGCCTAAAAAAAGATGCTGCCCGTTGCCGACTATGACCACAATTAAGAGCATTTCCGTTCCATCTCTGTAGGGCAGATCAGGTCGCCTTTGTACGACGCAGACTTCAAACCGCACCAGTAACGCGGTTCAAGATGGGAGCAACCGACACTCTTGGCAATGTCCGCGGTTAGTCTCATCATGACCAGAAGACTAAAACTGGAAAAGCATGCCAGGCCAGGCCCAACGGCATAGTGACGCTTTCCCATCGATTTCAGCGTACGTCGTGGCGACCCCCAGAAACAAGCAATGTAAAGACAGCTAGCTCCGCATCGCGCGAAGGTATACAGACGATATCGAGACAACGCAGCTGTTATTAGTAAGATGAAAAAGCAGAGGCATTATCGTAAGAGTAGAAGCGTATTCAAGACTTCAGAGGTCCCATGAAGCACGCAATAAGCCGGTGGTCGGCTGGACGAAGGAACCGCAGACGTCCATCGATGGTAGCAGCAAAGGGGGAACACAGTGGCAGAAATAATAGCTTCATCTCCAATATAATCTATCAAGCAACCATTCCGGAGTCCAGGCAGATAGGATGAGGAAGAGTTCCTGGTTGGCGAGACTACTAGGTCGACAACGGAGCGGAAGTTCTCCCTCCTACTGCGGGCCCTAAGCTCCAATAGGCCAAGTGCGTATACAGAAGTTCAGAACTTTTTTCCCACAAGCATCACCGCCTGAGACTGCGACGGCCTGCGGCTCGACAGAGACTCAACAGCTCGATTTTTCTTCCTTGGTGAAGGCTGGGAATCGTTTCCCATCATCTAGAGCTCGTTTCTGCGACCCTTGTTCTTAGTCTGCCGCCCCGTTGCGTGCGGATCTATTCAAAATGGGGAACAAGAAGGCTTCTCGTCCGGCCGCCTCGAAAACTTCGTCCGCCTCGTCGCCCGCGGTATCGGGGGGAACGCAGCTTGGAAATAAGTCTGCGATCTTGCGAGCCGTCTTCTCGCCTTCTGAATACCAATTAGCGCTCTTTGCTTCGGTCATTCAAGGCCTGGATGGGCAACATCTTCGCATCCATGACACCAACACTGGACGTCTGCAATGCGATCATGCGGCCGCTCCCAAGGAGACGATCACTTCGCTGGACTGGGGTTACTACTACGGAGATCGCCAGCGTCCTCGGGAGCAGCAGTCAAAGAAGAAGAGAAAGAGAAGTTCCGGAGTGAACGGCGCTGTGGACGGACTAGACAAGGGAGATGCAGTCGTTGCTTTCGGAACAAGCACATCCGACATCCGCATGTACTCTCCCTCCGAGGACAAGATTGTTGGAACGCTGTCGGGTGGTCACGAGAATGGAATCAGAGATTTCAAATTTACCGCCAAACGGCCTGGTCTGGAAGGATGGAGTATTGGAGGTGATAATAAGCTGGTTCAATGGGACCTGCGCACTGGGCAATCTATCAGGTAAGAGATGAGCGCAAATACTCGTATGGTTCTACAGGATCTGATCTGAATCTCTAGAACGATCAATCTGCCGACCTCGTCAGTCGTATCGGCGCTGTCTAGACCGGTGCCTTCCAACCCGCCACTGGTCTGCGCATCACAGACACCCTACATCATTGATGTCGAGGGCTCCAGCGAGCCACGGGCCTTCCCTGCCATGCGCAACCCCATCCACACACTTATCGCCTCTTCTGCGGATGAGTCTCTGCTTTCGGGACACTTTCTGGCTTCGGACGGGGATCGGTATATCAACGTCTTTGACTCCCGGAAGCAAAAGCTGGTTCTCAATCTCGTGGCTGAGAAAGAGGTATCCGATCTGTCATTCTACCCTGGGTCGGATGCGCAGGAGAATGGCGATGAATCTTTGCCGGTCAAGAAGCAGCTTCTTGCCGCCGTCACCCAGGATGGCGCCATTGAGCTTTTCTCCAAACCGTTTTTCCAATCCGAAGAGTCGCAAAATACAAAGGCTACGAGTCTGAAGTCGAGAAGCAAGCAGATGACCAGAAGGGCGGATGCGTTTGTCAGGATCATCAAGTCCGACAAGTCTGGAAGCCTTGTCCCCGTCGTGACGACTACCTTTGAAGGACCAGACCTAGTCATTGCATATGCTGATGCAGCAGTAAACCCCGTGTTCGAACGCGTGCGATGGCAGGACGAAAATACAGATGAGCTCGCTCTCAGCGGTACCAAGGAGATCGTGAAGGGCAAGTCTTCATCCTCTTTGTCTGCTGCGACTCTGAATGGCATCAAAGAGGCAAGCAAGAGCCATGTCGATGAATCCAAGGCCGTGGTGGAGGAAGGAAACATCGCGGAAGACATCGAAATGGATGACTCTCGACAAGACGCTGTCTCCGTATCCAGCGACGAGGAGGTTTCCGACGATGAAGAGGATCGCAAGAAGTCAAAATCCAACGGAAAGCAACAGCAGCCACAGAAGCAGAAAGGTACGGATAAGGACGTCGATATGCAGGATGCCAATGCATCGGGCGATGAACAGGACGAGGAGGAAGCGGGTGAGCCTTCTTTCGGTGAGCTCATGCGTGCGAATGCCTCTGAACAGGCTATCGATGTGGAAGCCGAACTGGAGGATGATGTTGGCACAAGTGCGCTTGTACCAGGAAAATCAAATTCCACGGCTGTTCAGCTCCCCTCGGGTGTGTCCCTCTCCACTGTGCTTTCTCAGGCACTCAAGACGAACGACAGTGAGATGCTCGAGTCCTGCTTCCACACCGGCGATCTCTCCATCGTGCGCTCCACAATTCAGCGCTTGGATTCTTCTCTTGGTGCAACTCTGCTGCAGAGACTGGCAGAGCGTCTTTCTACGCGCCCCGGTCGCTATGGGCACCTTCTCGTGTGGGTGCAGTGGACCTGCATCACTCACGGTGGTGCTATTGCAGGAAAGGCAGACTTGCTAAAGAGAATGAGCACTCTCTTCAAGGTCATGGACCAGCGCTCTTCCAGCCTGCAATCCTTGCTCCTACTCAAGGGAAAGCTTGATATGTTGGATGCTCAGCTGCACCTTCGGCAATCTATTGCTAATCGTGGTATGGAGAGTGACGAGGACGAGGACAACATCATCTACGTTGAAGGTCAAGATGACGAGGACGACGACAGTGATGTCGAGGGCGCTACGGCCACTCCACGGACAAAGTCACTACGCGATAGGGCTGCTGACGAAGAGGATGCCACGATGAACGGCGTAGGCTCTGAATCGGATGATGAGGAGGACGAAGACGAAGAGGCAGACGAGGACGCAGACATCCTCGACGTCGAGGCTGAAGAGTCCGCCGGCTCTTCCGACGCGGAGGAATCTTTGGAAGAGAACGAGGACGAAGATGAAGACGACAGCGCTGGCTCGATGGCCGATTTCATCGCTGACACAGAAGATGAGTCCGAGGACGACGCTATATCGCATCAACCTCCTCCCAAGAAGAGCAAGCTCAGCAAGGGCAAGAAGGGCGGACGCAAGTAAAAAAACCTACACCCCCAATAGAACCTACTCGGGGAGCGGAAAAAGGGAGGCCATGTATCTCTTTTACTTTATTTTTCTTTCTTCAACCAAAAAAGAAAAGGTGGCGTCTGCATCGCATTGGAGTCTTTTGTCTTTTTAAGTTGTTCTTTCCCCGAGTTGCATGACCGTTCAAACAAGGAACAGTCCTGACTATCTCTCTTCTTCCTTTTTTTCTTATCTGTGTCATATTAGTTCCTTCGATTTCATCCTTCATCAGAGAGAAACTTGGGAAAAGGGACCGTGACATGTCATGTCGAATTTGTGTAATGTCACTTATAATTGAAGAAAAATTCTTTCGTTCCTATAAGTATACTGCCATATGCCATCTATACATTCGGTCGATGTAGCTTAAATCTCGTTTAACTACTTATGCGACGATATAGCGAAAGATATAAATAATAGCCAAAGTGAGTGAAAAAAAAAATCATTATCATTTCCCATGTTACGGAAATTGGCGTAGTTATACTTAATTTCGGTGCGGATATATATAGTTCTATACTCGATCACGCTAAGGGTCAACGTTTCTGATAACGATAAATATAACAGCAAGAATTTATTTATTTTACTCCGCGGCTTTTTTCATATATACGGAAAAACTGGTAATTTTTACCTGGATTATACAATAGTGCGTTACTTTTGGGTTATGATAGCCACTGGCGCTTTTGTCATTCGAAGACATAAGCCGTAGAAGTCTCCAAGGCTGCTTACTAGGTAGGAAGATTGACAAATACCTGTACCAAGATACAGCGAAGAGACCGATTAGCTTTAAGCTGGATGTCTAATAATAATGATTAATTGAGTCGTTGTTATTGATAATGGCTTCAACAAAGTGGGAAGCCAGCTGAGCGGCATAGAAATAAGTACACGGCTTGGCTTCTCAAGCTTAGGCACCGAAGACATCCGAAAAATCACCGGATAACCTCATTACTTTCCTTTTCTATCCCCTCCAGGCCTTCGAGGATCTCACTGCCTCCAAGAAGCCCACTGGCCCCTCCAATGCTCTTCCTTGCACCACTCCATACCTCGTGGAATTTGACGCTCTCGTCGCTGGACGCCACGATAATGCATCCCTCTTCTGCTGTCCTAGACCACCACAACCCGCCTTCCTTTCCCTTGGGAGATTGGACTGTCGAGCCTGACGAGATGGGGGATAGATCACTTGTGTCAAGACCACTGTGCGCGGACGACCTGCGGCCTATTGCACCCGTGACTGAAGGAGCAGGGGTTGCCGTAGCACTTGAGGATTCCTGCTCCGAGACACTTTCACGCAGAACGCTGAATATCGAATCGTTGGGACCACCTGGATAACTGATTGCCCAGAGGGCCCTGCCACAGTCACTATTGCTATTACCCGCGGTCTCTCCACTACCATTTACGTTCCAAGGAATAGCCACAACCTGTTCACAGCTCGGCCAAGCGAAAACGGCTATCCGAAATGGATGTTCTGGCTGTGCATAGCCGAAAGTAGCAACTATTTCGCGGCGTGTCTTGCTCCATATCAAGCTCGTCACTTGAGCGTGAACGTTGATAGTCGCCAGACGTGCTCCAGATGGCGTATGGTAGAAATGGATCGAACGATCATTTGAACCGCCACCGGTAGCAAGAAGAGAGGGCTGCCACGGCGCGAAAGCAATCGCTTTTACAGCTGCAGAATGGGCTAGCCTATGTTTCTGTCTATTAGAGGGTATCAGAATTGTCCGGCCTCGCCCAGATATCAGTGAGCCTGTGCGGACCAAGACCGATGGCGACAGACTTGGACCTTGGGTTGGGGCCCAAGATGGAAGGAATTGGCTCAGACGGCAATGTCGATCGAAAAGTCGATTGAGATGGGCATGTGCTGCGAAACGAGATAGAGCGCTCTGCGGTTGATCATTGGAAAGCCGCGAGCTAGTCGAAGACCGCGCTGAAACCTCGTTTCTGCTGGACAAGAGGATATCACGGAGCTCAAAGAGCAGGCAGGCGTTGTCATTACCTCCGGTTGCTAGAAACCTTCCGTCTGGCGACCAAGCTAAACCGCATATCTGCTGCGTGTGTGCGGAGATTTTGGCGATCAACGTCATGGAGCCATTCCAGTGGTGAGCATCTCTCGAGACATTGTCAGGCCATTCTACAGAATAATACCATACGTTGCCAAGGTCATCACCAACGACAAGGTCTTCGACCTCGACCTCAGTATTTGAAAACCTTTCTGACAGTCGGATCGATGGTGTTGGCTTGAATGCCACACACGAAACGGCGTTTGGCTGGCTGATTTCGAATCGTACCTCAGAATCGAAAGTACTCCATAGAGAGACCAGCCCACCTTGTCTGCCTACCGCCAGAATACTCCGCCCCCCTCGTGCGGAAGAGAAGGAGAGGGAAGTCACATGGTTTGCTGAAGGTTGACTAGAAAAAGGAGGATACTGGACACCAATAACCTCCGACCACAGATAGACCTGGCTGCTTAGGCCGACAGCAAGTATCCCCGCAGTGTAAGAGTAAGCGAGAGTCGAGCAGTAAAAGTCATCTCGTAATAGAGGAGCGTCGAGAACTCGGAAAGGCAAGGTTGGCACTGCTCGCTGACGAGAACCTTTCGAAGTGGACCCAGAACCTAGGTTTGTCACGGTTAGTGACCGTCTGAAGTGGAAGCGACTGCAATAAGGATATTGGGGGCAGACAGTGTCCACTTAGATATTGATAGGAGTCGGAGAAGCTTCACCAGCTTCTTATAATTTGATGGTTACGGTACTCTCGACTCGAATTCGTAATCTTGAATATAGATAGCTCCAATGATATATAATGCTTAAATAGCTTATAGTCCCTCGACGAACGGGGAGAAATTATACTATTCCTTGCATTGGAGTTGGAGAGGCTGCTGATGAACTTACGCTTGACTCCTTCTGCTCTCTTCCAAGCGTTATCCTTCCACGTAATAGGAGAATAACGTTCATAGTTCGAGGACGAAGGACTCGGTCTGGACTCGAAATGTGGCGAAATTCGACAGATATCAAGCATTCGGGTAGCTTGATCGATGTCTAAAGCTAGTGCCAGCCTTGCCTCGTGTTTTTCGCGCTCTTCCGCCGGCGTTGTCTTCTCGAGGAACTTGGCTATATACATAGGGGCAGTGGTCCCGCTCCCTAGAAGGCCTCCCATAGCATCGTTGATTCCAACTGGGGGGTTGCCGGTGGCAGCAGACGATCCCCCGACATTCCAGACTGCGCCAGCGCTGATTTGCCGTAGAGCATCGTTCAATCCTAATGCCCCATTACCTCGAAGAGCTGCTGCATCATTGACAAGATGTGGCATATAACGTGTAGAGTACCTGCGGTCCTGTGGTCTTCGTCTGGGAACGCTGGCCGCTCTTCGTGGCCGGGAGGGCATGAAGGGATCTGCACTATGGTCTCGTCGCCGATGAAATCGTTCCTCCGGAGACATATGTCGCGGAGCCTTGCTCAAACGAAAGGGCGTTGCAGGAGGATCGAAGGGTGCTCGAGCTGGTATAAAACGATCGGGAGACTTGGGGCTACTTGGAGTATTCAGTGCTGCCACAGCACTGACACATCGCCTCCCTGTTACGCTCTTTCTCTGAAGTCTTTCTGGGGTGGTCTCAGATGCGGACAGAATGCCTGCGATGATCGAATGGTCAACAGCGATGCCGGCATTTTGAACAATCCCCGTTTCGTCACACGGAGGCGTAGAAGCTCTTGCGCTAGCCTCTCCTGACGATTGTAGTGAGTGGAACTCGTCGGACGACGATGAACTTTGAGGGGTCAGAACTGGCAAGGGCTCAGCAGCGGATATATGTCCATTGTCATCTTCCGCGGAAACAGTGAGCTGGAAAGGACTAGGAGCTAGATGGTCTTTCGAGAGACGTGTCTCTTCCAAAGACTGGCATAACGGTATTGCCATCACTATAGCAGTGGCAACCTCAGAAAACAGGCATCAAACTACTCGTAACAAACATACTCCGGCAGAAGGAAGAATGAAAGTTGTGCTGGGGTCAGAACGCCACCAGCGGCCATAAAAATCATGTTAATTGAGACTGTAATTCAGGCGGGCGTCTTGAGCATTGCCCCCCGATGGTTATGGGAAGAGGTAACTGAAGAGCCTTGTCCTGCTTGCTATATTGGCCTGGACACGTGATGGGTGTTTTGAGTTTAGCGCTGAGATGTATGAGTGTCAACGCTGCTTCCCGCGCAGGCAGAGAGAGGCTTGATTAACCAGCAGCGACGAGGACGCCAGTCGCGAAAGGCTGCTCTTGAATTATTTTCGGGTTGCTGGATCAACTACGCAGGTATTGACTAGTATATATTTACGGCACTTAAGAAGATGTCCGGTGTAAATAATCCACCATCCCGTGATCCGCAGAATCCTCACTGATCGTTGATCACTAGCACGGCGCTCCTCTATATGGGACCTCTCAGACAAAGGCTCCCGAAGCTCGTCAAGAGGAAGCCAAGAAGATCGAGACTTATAGTGCGCTAGAGCGGCTCGTCCGTACTAAGGTATCCAGATAAGATGACATAGAGTTGCTGGATCTGCCAAATGCTGACCAGGCCTTGATAGATCCGTGAACAAGAGTTCACACCCGAGACATTGCAGAAAACGTCAGAGTTGTTATCATGGAACCCTGAGTACTACACGATATGGAATTACCGGCGTCTGGTCCTTCGTGACACGTTCTCAGTCGTGGCCGCAACTGGACCAGATGATCAGGCCGCCGATCAGATAGCCTCTATGATCAAGTCGGAGCTGCAATTTCTATTTCCTCTACTTCGCAAATTCCCAAAGTGTTACTGGATATGGAACCACCGCCGGTGGGTTTTGGAAGAGGCCCGGATTCTGCTTCCGACTCCAGTTGCGCGTCAATTCTGGCAAGAAGAGCTTGCGCTGGTAGGCAAGATGCTCAGCATGGATAATAGAAACTTCCATGGCTGGGGTTATCGCCGTGCAGTGATCGAAGTCCTTGAGAATTTCCCGCCCGACAAGAAGAGCATGGCTCAAGAAGAATTCGACTACACGACGAAGATGATCAAGACCAACCTCTCTAATTTTTCTGCGTGGCATAACCGGACTAAGCTTATTCAAAGGCTGTTGGATGAGAAATCAGCCAGTGATGAGGAGCGCAAAAAAATGCTTGATGATGGTAAGGCAGCTCCATTTGCTTGTCGTATAAATTACTGACGGGGATTGCAGAACTGGCCCTTATCCACCGTGCCTTTTTTGATCCCTACGATCAGTCTCTCTGGTTCTATCACCAAAATCTGATGTGTACATTTGACCCCGCCCTCGCACCCCAGACGATGGCTCCAAATTTGACGAATGCCGAACGTCTGGACTACATACAGACGGAGATCGAAAAGATCAAAGATATGCTGGATGGGGATGATGACTGCAAGTGGATCTACCAGTCACTTATTGGTTGCACCCTGTTGGCAGCTAAGATCGAGGGAGCCATATCCGCGGAAGCCAAGGCCAGTGTGTCGGGGTGGCTGAATCGCCTGAAGGAACTAGATCCTTTGCGGAGGGGTCGGTGGTTAGATCTGGAGAGTTCCTTGAATAGTTAGAATGTGGAAAGAAGCCGAATGGAATGGATCTGAAATATCTTGACTCGTGGCATCTAGAAAAAGCAGAAACCTGGATACCTATCCCGCAACTATGTAGGTGGAATGCTTTGAGTAAGGGTACGCTGTGGCGCAACTATGTATGTGAGATTGGGAGTTCACTGGTGTCGCGCGACCTCATAGTCACAGTGATAGAGCTGGCTTCCACACACAGAACCGTGCTTCTCCCTAACAGGGAATGTAGCCAACTCCCTCGTGGTTTCGTTTCTGGCAGATATGATATGACATGATAGACTGACGGGCGGTGGTTGTCCCTCCTGCCGATGTTCTGAGAACCGTATGGTAGAACGCTCTCCCAGTTCTGTGCCGTCCGTACCAGGAGAATCCGAGCCACCAGAGTTTCCGCGCCGAAGACAAAGAATGACAGCAGCGAATGAAGATGTCTTGGGTCCTGGAGTGGAGCGTTGACCGTGCTCGAAGCCCGCGACGAGGCGCAGTGGTTGACCCCTGGCGCCGTTGTTAAGTTAAGTTGTTAAAACCTCCGGGCGATGCGTCCGCTTCCCACGTCTCGCAACGCAATTACTCGTGGCGGTGCGATTCTTTTCTGGGTCCAGCTGGAGAACGGACAGGAAGATATCGAATGCTCAAAGGCCAGAATCCAGCAGATTCAAGAGGCAACGCTACGCCCCCGTTGGCCACTCCGTCCAGGCCCCGGGGCGGCGCCAGCGATCAACGGCCGTGTTAGCAACTCACCCGAACTACGGGGCTCCTCCCATCAAAAGATCCGTTTTCAACTCTCCAGCTCTCTCGTGCTCTCACCGCAAACACGCTGTTTTTTACCGCTGCAGCTGCAGTCTGTATCATATAGTGATTCATTGTTTTCCTCTCCTCCCTGAAATCCTTCCCCCCGTTGGATGACCTTGTGGGGTTCCACCCGTGTCCACGCAGCAGCGAGCATCCACGCTCTTGGGTTGTATGGCCTGTCTTGCTCCGTAGACGATTCTCTAGAACCGCACGGCATTGGGGACGGTCGTCGTCGGAGCGGTCCTGGTCTCCTCTGAGTTTACGAAATCCATCATGGCATCGAGTCCAGAGCAAAGAGACTACGAAGTATGGCCCAGATGTTGCCTCGACCGGAGCCGGAAATCATGCTGATCTCAGTGCTCATCAGGAATCCTTCGAAGATGCGCCCGAATTGAAGGTTAACGACGAGCAGACCCTCCCCCGTAGCGACTCGACACGTTCTCTCACCGGCCGTCGTCAATCGAATGGATCAGCAACCACCCCCCGTGCGGCGGAGCACCCTCCTCTGCTCTCTCCCCTAGGCGACGAACAAAAGGGCGACCTAGACGATGCAGGCTCCCCAACGGCTTTATCACCACAGTCGGAGGCAGAACGTACACCGAAGAAGAAGGTCAAGTCCCCGCTACTGACGGCTCATCGTCTGTCAACGACGTCGCTGGACGACGTCAACTTGAATGGAATCAAAGAGGAGGATTCAGAGCAGGATAGCCCAGTATCAGAATCCAAGCCAGCGTCGCCTCCACTGCCCTCTCGAGACTCGACATCGAATCAGAGAAGCTCAATACCGCCCTCCATCCCCAGTGGTTCCGCTACGACCAACAAGAGCCCACCCCCAGCCGCACAGCCTGCACCACCGACACGAAAGCTCACCAGCCCGTTTTCATGGCTGTCAAGAAATTCTTCTGGAGGCAAGGACGTCAAATCCCCTCCTCAGGCGACCGGGTACAGTCGCAGAAATACCGGTGCGTCGGTGTCAACTGTCGGCAGTAGCTCGGAGCTGCATGACGGGGACAATGCCAGTATCAGTTCGAGGAAGACAGGAAGAAGTAGCCTGAAGGATCAATTCAGAATACTAAGGATGCGCGAGGAAGGTGTTCCTGACAACGACCAACTGAGCCTTACATCCGGCCGGGGTAGTATCAGTCATGGGAGCCCCTCCAGCATACCGGAGGAACAGGAGGACGGGGTGCTCGTCTCACCACCCACCACTGCTTCTGTTCCCCTACCTGCGTCGCCTCTCCCATCGACAGCGAACCCGGATTTGCCCCCAGGTACTGTTTCAGGCATCTCGGCCGCCGCTGCGGATGTCTCGGCCCCGGTGGACTGGGAGCTCTGGCAGCAGGTTGTTAACAATGGACCGGAAGCTTTGCATGGGACAAATGCCAATGAACTCAATGCCGCGATCAAGAGAGGTATCCCGCAGACTATTCGAGGAGTGATATGGCAAGTGCTCGCAGATAGCAGGAACCCAGAGCTAGAGGAAGTTTACCGGGCGCTGGTTGCACGTGGTACCGACAAAGAGAAGCACATGAGCGTGAGCAGCACTGTCAATGGCAGTGCCGCTGAGAATCCAGTGGATTCTTCGAGGTCCTCTATCCGCTCAGAAGTCTCGGTTACACAATCCAACACAGGAGCTTCTTCCCCTTCTCCAACCCAGGAGAAAGACGCCGAGAGACTGGCCAAAGAACAGGCCGCTGCAGAGACAGCACGTAAAAAGAAGGCCAAGGAAGATGCGGCTGCCCTCCAGAAGTTGGAGAAAGCTATCAGAAGAGACCTGGGGTCTCGGACGAGTTACTCGAAGTATTTCCTCTCACAAGGCAATCAAGAAGCCCTCTTTGGCTTGTGCAAAGCCTACGCTTTGTATGATGAAGAAGTTGGATATGCCCAGGGTGTCAATTTCATCGCCATGCCTCTACTGTTTAATGTAAGTGTCCGCTACCGATCATACATGGCAGGGCCGCTAATTCCGGTTTAGATGGACGAGGGCGAAGCGTTCACCCTTCTCGTCAAATTGATGCACAAATATGGCCTGCGGCAAATGTTTATCAATGAGATGCCAGGACTTCATCTTCATCTTTACCAATTCGAGCGTTTGCTGGAGGACTTGGAGCCGGCTCTCTACTGTCACCTCCGCAGACGGAGCGTCACCCCGCAGCTCTACGCTACCCAGTGGTTTCTTACACTTTTTGCATACCGGTTCCCGCTGCAACTGGTGCTCCGCATTTACGATCTGATCTTTGAAGAAGGACTGGAGAGTACCATTCTCAGATTCGGAATTGCCATCATGCAACGGAATGCGAAGACACTGTTGGAGATGAAAGACATGAGTGCACTGTCGACTTTCCTCAAAGAGAAACTCTTTGACGTCTATATCGATCAGCAACCGTCGGCTTCTTCCATCCTCGAGTCTGGTTTCTTTGGAAGTTCCGGTGGAGACAAGGGGATCTACCGAGCTGATGTCATGGTGCAGGATGCCTGTGCTGTTCCTCTGACTCCACAGATGATTAAATCCTACACCCAAGAATGGGAAGAGAAGGTTCGCACGGAGAAAGAGCGAGAAGAGGAGCTTCAAAACCTTCGGCACACTGTTGCCTCGCAGACTTCGCGGATTCGAATCCTTGAGGAACACGCGGAGAGATCTGACAAAGAGCACGTCCAGCTTGCATCGGAACTGGTTCGTGTGAAGGTAGAGAACGAGGAGCTTCAGGACGCGAACGAGAGCCTGCGCGTCCAGGTCGATGAACTGAAGAAAGTTGTCGACAAGCAGCCGGCCGAAGTGGAAGAAAAGCTTCGGACTGAGATGGAGCGCATCATGAAACGAAACATTGAGGTGCAAAACGAAAACCGATCCATGGAAGACCAGATGGCCGAGATGGAGAAGGACCTGGTTGAGACGAAGATGAAATGGGCAGAGGTAAGGCCTTTGAAGCTTTTGAAGTTACCCGTACACCAGGCTAATTGATCCATGGCAGCTATCCGAGCAACATGAATCCCTCAAACAGAAATGGTCGGACCTTCGCAGAGCGCTGGATTAACGCGACGAACCTTCTTGTGTCTTCTATGTCCCTATGTCCCTGCTGGTTAGATTTTGTGACAAGATCAGTGGCGCTCGGCCCAAGCCACATGTTTTTATGTTCAATGTACATTTTACAGAGCGCAGCAGCGATGATATCCCGATGTTACGTTCATGTCGTCGGCGCGTGTACTTACCCTTCGCAACCGTTCTCTGGGAGAGCCAAATGATGTGTTTTTGATCGCGCAGCCTCCATATTCTGTCCTCCTGTTAGTGCCCAGATGTGTCGTATGATCTCCGGCATGACGACGTTCTATCATTGGATTGACACCCTATCTGTATGATATGATGTTAGTGGACAATGTATGCCACTGTTTCTCTCCCCTGTCCTATAGCACGTCTTTAGTACAAATAATACTCTCTATGATAAGTATATTACTCGGGGTTCTTTCCTGTTGTCTCTGGCGTGCTTGTATTCTGCTTGGGAGCTATTTCAACCGACCTCTTACAGACTACGAAGCTGCTTGGTATTGCAAAGACCAAATCAGTCAAAGTCCCATTGGTAACGAGAACTTCAATACACGAAAAGGTTGACAATCTAACCAATTTCATTTCTCTCGTAAATTTACCTCCATTTCCTCCACATGGTTACACTCGCAATCTCCTCCGTACCTCATTCATATACATACAATGCCATAGCTAGTTAGCATAGCTCGCATATTACTTTCCAATCAATCAACCCGCATCTCTAGAGATACCAGCGGATAAACATATACCCCCTCCTCCTCTTCTTCTTCCCAAACACTCATCCACATCCATCCATCCATCCGAAGCACACCCTACCTAAACCAAGCTCTCAAAATACGCCGAGATTATATCCTCTCTAACGGGCCCCACGACCGCCTTCAGAGCCTTATGCGCCTCGCACTCGGTATCGTAGTACTTCATATCGTCCAGAGATGGGAAGGCCATCTTTACAGCGAGGTTGAAGCCTTTGTTTCGGGGATCCGGGATCGTAGGGCCGAATGCGATGGTTGTGATGTATGGTTTGCCGTCCTGGGGGGAGAGAAGAGAAAGAAGAAGTTAGAATGTGAGAGTAGGGTAGGGTAGGGTAGGTGAATTAAGTATGTACATACCTTAAGAGCAGTCTTTGCGAGGACTTTGTATTGTTCAAGGACTCGATCGCGATCAGATTCATTTGGGATCTTGAACATGGTGATGCGCTCGATGGGGGCCATTTTCGACTTTCTTTTGGTTTCTTTTTCGTCTTCGGCTTCGCTTCGTATGTGATTTATGACTCGATTATGATTGGGTAAGGATGATCTTTTCGAGTAGTGATAAGATCGGATGGGATGATTAAGTTAGGTAGGTTGAGAAATGGAGTTTGAATCTGTCTAGTTAACAGATAGTTATAGCCAAGGCTTTATAAGTACTTATTAATATAGTGACGATAAGATTAACTAACGTTCTAACTAGTTAGCTGTTTCTTAACGATCCTCTATTCTCTGGAGTCTGTTGTGATCTTCTGCGGGGGGGGGGAAGTTTCATCGACATCGGAGAGGGACAGGACAGTATCCACTGCGGAATGGGAACCGCTTACCATACGAACCCCGCGTTGCTCGCGCCATCCGACGGAATACTAGTAGTAGTTCCATGGGACCGTCGGAATTGATTCGCGGCTTACTTCCTTTGTCCTTGGGGTTATTTCCGCTTGTTCTGCCGGGGGGTTGATGATTATGTTAGGGGACATATGTCTTAAGAGTCCTTTGAGCTTTGTTCGTTGGATGTGATACGAATAAATGCTTCTCGGCTTTACAGGTGAGAGACATGGCTCGACATACCGTCTAATAGTAGTTACCTGCTGATGCTAGTGACAGACAAAGTAATTACTAACAAGGACGGCAAGATCAAGAATAAAACCTGAATTTCTCTCTAATGGGGACGGTCCGAAATGCGGAGAAACCTGTAGCTGAACATAGGTATGAACATATGAACAGTAACTAGTGTGGGCTCCTAGAGGTTCCCTCGAAGAGCCTGATCTCTCTCAAAAGCCTCGAAGAGACTCTTGAAGTTGCCAGCACCAAATCCGTCAAAGTTATTGCGCTGGATGATCTCGATGAAAACCGTGGGACGGTCCACGACGTGTTTGGCGAAGATTTGAAGCAGGTACCCATTCTCGTCAAAGTCGACGAGGATGTTGAGTTTCTGCAAGATGTCGATGTCTTCGTTGAGCTTCATATCATTCTTGGCTAACCGTTCGCGCAAGTCGGCGTAGTATACTTCCGGTACGTCAAGGAAGGAGACACCCCGCTCTCTGAGGTGAGTCACGGCCGTAACAATGTCGTGTGTACGAAAGGCGATGTGCTGGACTCCGGAGCCGTTATAGAAGTCAACGAACCTGGCAAGATCAGTCAACAGGGAGATCTTCCATGGTATCCTATGAGTTCGAAGGGTAGAGAGCATACTCTTCGATCTGTGACTTCTTCTTTCCCTCAGCAGGCTCATTCATTGGCATTTTGATCACTTCATTGGGCGATGCGACGACGATCGAACGCATTGCGGAATATTCCGTACACATATTCTTGTCATCCACTGTCCAATAGCGGTGGAAATCGAGGCACTCTTCGTAACTGCCGGGGACCAAGTTACTCACTAATCATTTTCACGTCTCGGAAAGGGATACATACTATTGCACAGCTTTGTCAAGCCCAGCCCAGGGCTGATTACCGACACAGTGGTCGATTTCGATGAGTTCGATCTTTGGAAGATATTTGTTGACCGGATCGTCAGCAGTAATGGCTCGATAGCCGGGAAGGAACGGCCCAGAATAGCGTTGACGGTTGATAAGAGAATGGACTGTATCGCCGTATGTGCCAATCGTTGCAATGACAACCTGACCGTGATCGTGTTCATCGCCCTTCATTGTCGTCGGAGAGCTGATTGAAACGGCACCATTGTCGACTGCCTTCTTCCAAACAGTTTCGACATCCCCGTGTATTTGAAAGGCAACATCCTTGACGCCGTCGCCATGGACTGTCAGGTGCTCATGGATTTCCTTCAACAGACCCTTCTCCGCTTCGGGAACATCGTTGTCCTTGCCAATACCTGGTGCTGCACGAACGGGCGATGTAAGGACAAAAGTCGCCTTGCCGTTGGAGACAACATAGGAAGCGATGCTGCGGGAACCTGTCTCAGGCCCTCTATATGCGATCTGCTTGAATCCCATGCGCGCGATATAGTACGAGGCAGCCTGTCTTGCGTTGCCCACGTACCATGTTATATGATCGAATCCGACATACTCGGGTCCCAGTTTTGACGGAAAGATTGTCTCCTCATCCGGACTGGAAACTGGAACCGTCACTGATGGCGCCATCCTGGTTCCTAGATATTCACAGACAAGACACTGACGTTGTGGTAGCAGCAGCAGCAGCAGCAGCAGCAGTTTCTTGACCTGAACTAGCTGCTCTAGTCTATTAGCTATGACGCTGACGTTGTATCAGGCAGAAATGGATAAGCTTGTCTGGATGAGACAGCTATGTCTAATCGTAACGAAATCAGAATGATGCTTTGGTCATTATATGCAATGAGCTCCTAGTTGAGGATGCTTCTAAAGATAAAGATGTTGATAAAGAAACATTAATAAAGGGAGACGCATGGACGGACAGATAGGTAGGAGTGAAGGTTCTTTGTTCAGCGGTAGGTCCCATTATTCAACAATTAATGTGATGACGCCAGTGACAGAGTGCCATCATCCTCAAGTATCAAGTCGTACCGAATTTCAAATGCAGAAGGTATCGAAAGTTTCGGCCTCCAGCTTATGCATAATCTGGGTTTAGATCCTTTGTCTGCTCAAGATCACACTGGTCTAGATCCCTCACTGTGGGACCGTCCTTAAAGATAAGCCATCATGTTTCTCTTCTCACCATGATAATATCCGGACGTCCGTGGCCGATACGAGGCGAGTGGTTGTATGTACAATACACCGCTTAAGCTCGTTGATTAGCCAAGTCATACCGCCTCGACGGACGCGCAATCCAGACCGCTTTTCAGCCATTATCCCGAGAAGCGTCCACAGATCAGATCCTTGTCAACAACCTGATAATCTGGGATTGAGATCTCCGCGAAAGAGCCCCTTGCGTAGAAAGCGTCTGGCAGGGTCATATGCCGCAAGATCCTGTTCCGGTGACGTCAAGAACTTGTTGGTCCGACGGCGGCAGACCATGGAATCTTGCCAACACAATATCGTACTCCGGTTGATGATGAGCGTACCATACATGTAGATGAAACTGCTGTCCAGCAACTGCACGGCTTATTTCCAACCCTGAGATTGATGTGCCCAGAGCTGTAGAAAGACCCACGCTTTCATGCAGTACGCCACTGCATAAAACAGCGCATACCATTTGTAGCGCTCACTCATTGACTAGAGGCTCTGGACGTGATCCAAAAAGAATCTTATACTTCACAATCTCAACGATCTCGAGTTCGTCTTCGCCTTCAGTCACACCAGTATTTCCATCTCGAGCATCCGTCCTCTGCCTTCGCTGAACCACCGCCAATGGCTTCGGTAGCTTTTTCACTTCTCCCGTCATGCGTTGGTATTTTCCAACGTAGAGATAGACACGCTTCATCCACTTCGTATCGTCTGCGGGGTTTTGGGGCGAGTATCCGGGAAACGTGAGCTTCCCAATCGGTGTCTCGACGACAGAGGCCTCAGCACCTTGGGAGAGGCCTGTATCCCTTCCTTCGTCCATATCCTGATCCTGATTCTCATCAGGAGAGGGGATATTGATTGTTCCTTGAAGTTCCAGGATCGCAAGACCGGAGGGTGTCTGCAGAAGCTGAGGGAGGGGGTTGTAGAAGGGTTTCTGCGAGGCAGCTTGCGCTGCGCGCGGATGGAGAGTGATTGAAGGCATGGCCGATCTTTATTGTTCTGACATGGGGCGATAGAACTAGATACGAGAACTTGACTTCTTTGGCTGTGTTGGCGATCGTCGTAGCAAACCCGTTGATTGCGCTGCGGAGATTGATGGACGCGAAAATGGCGCGTTGCTTTTCATAAAGTGGAACGCGTGCCTGAGGACGCGGCAAGCTCCGAGGCGGATAACTCAACTCATCGTCCAACTTCCCCGAATTGCTGGTCTACGGTTAAAGTGATAAACAACAGGTGAATACTCAGCTTCAAGCATGTAACTCATTCAATTCTGATGGAAATATCCTCTGTTGAATGACCTATGAAACATGTAAAGAGTGACGGAGCATTGCATGCTATACAGGTTGTAAACTTCGTGCTCATAATAAAGCCAATGTTGTAGACTATGAAAGTCGACTAAATCAACTCCATAACTCTTAGTTTACCTGCGGTCAGAAGTTTTCTGGCGGCTAGCACCGTATTATGAGCAAAATCGTAAGACATTGTTAGATAGGGCCTTGGGGTCTCATTGACAAGAGCTATTCATGGCTATCTTCACTGCATTACTGGATAACAGGTTTCTATTCATTGAATGGGCTATTCACATGGATGAGCCTATTATAAACAATGACTCCAAGTTGCACAATGAAACTCATTCTCAACAAGAAAGTATCCAGGCTTCATCGGTCAAAGCACGTTCGGACAAACCAGATCATCACATCACAGGAACTCTCCAACGCTTGATAGCTATCAGATATAGGTTTGCAAAGCAATATCTATCCATAGCCTCTGGATTCTGCCACCAGTCAATTCAACTGTCGCACTTCTGCCAAACTGACGTGGGCCGGTAATAGGCAACACTGGCAGAAGGGGTCATATTCTTACCAGGATTGGCGATATAATCCTGAAGCCCTCCCTTCCCAAATAGGCAAGGCAATATCTGGTCATCTAATTCAAAATATTGTGCTCTTCTTAGCTCTTCTTGCTGGACACAGAACAAGCAGGCACTCCGGCTTCCCTTATTGAACGTGTCTTTCTTTATGTTAACTCTTGCATTTGAACTTTTGGACATCTAGGTTGCTTATCCGGCAGGATCTCCTGTGCTTTGCTCGGTCTCTTTCAGTGAGCTCGGAGACAACATCACGGCGTTATAGATCGTTGCCTAGTTATTCTCATGACTGCTTAACCCCCACCAGGACAGAAACACTTGTGCTAAAGACACAGCAACTCAGACTAACTCAAGAGATCTGACTTACTCCTCATACGGTCAAATCTGTCTTTCTTCTACCCAATCCGCGGGCTTGGAGCGAGCGTGAGATCATCAAGGTACGTGCTGAGCTCCGGCACATAAGAAGGCCCGGGTTAACATGGAGATCAGAAACCACAGCTACACGCGCCAGGTTATGTCCCACTCTGCCTCAAGGACGTGGGTGTCGGCCGAAACCAAGGAGTACGAAGCGTTCGTCAAGCTCTGTGAGAACGTTTTCTATGTAGCTCCTTACTCACCCTTCGTCCCTCGATCCTGGCCTGACTGGATCGCTCATCGTTTGACTGTCAAAGAGGAAGCTCGCAAGGAAATCGTCAAGAGATTGGCTGCAAGAGAGGCACAGAGGAAGACGGGAAACAAGCGCAAGGTCGAACCTTTGCTCGGAGGCAAGGATTTCGATGACTATCTGACCCGCGTCTTGTCAAGAGAATCCATATGGATCCCATCCATCGCAGAACGTCCGGACAGACCCCAGGCACCATGGCCATGCCAGGATGAACTTCAGCATGAAGGCTCTCACCGCAACAAATCCGGATTTAGTCGTTTCGCTCCGCTACCAAGGGTACCGGGGAACGCTACCGTGAACTGGAAACAGAGAGCACAAGTCAAGCAATTCTCCTTCGACGAGATCGGGCTCCCGGTGACGACTAAAGAAGAACAACTTGAAATCGATGAAGAGTTATTGATGTTGATTGGTTATGCCTTGATGAAAGAGTTGGATAATTGATGAGCTCGGTCCAAATTGCGGAAGAATCTCTCCACACATCACGCTGCACATTATGCAGAATCCGATCCAGAGACACGTTTCTTGAGACCGAGGAGATGAAGACTGCCCTCTCGTGTTGTTTTTCTGTTTGGATGCATAGTCTTCACTTCTTGTACTTTCTTGACAATCTTCGAGGATAAAGCATGTATTTTCTTTCTTTTTTTTTTTATAACCTCCTCTTCTTTCTAGTTGAAACAGGTCATGCCGCTAGCCATCCTTGTAGCAAAAGCCGAAGAATAGCCTAGGCATAAACGGCATTTCCAGATCATGAATCATATGGTAGTAGTAGACTGAAAATAAAGAGTTCACTGAAAGCCTACGTCCTCATATGACCTCACAAGGACCCTCCATGGAACGATTAGAACTCGGGCTGGGAGACATGTTCCAGTCAGCTTCGATCCATTGAGTCAATACCATCCGGAGGACATAGATAGGCAAGCTGAGAATATCAAGAAGCAATCAACCGAAGGCTGATTATTGCTCGGAGCCGGAACGTCTCAATCACATGGTTGCGCGATTGCAAGCGTCTTCGAGACTCTTGAGACCTTTGATAGCCTCGCCGGTAATATCGCCGGCGGTGCCTGCCGGTTTGTTGAATTTTCCGTAGCGCAGATCACTCATTTCGCCGACAGTAGTGTGGAGGTCCGCTAGCGTTGTGGCTGCTTCCTTTTCTGTAGCAGATATCTCAGCCTCGAGGGCGGAACAGGCTGCTTCCATCTCGGATAGCAGACTAGACAGTGTATGAAGAGTTTCCGGAGATTTAGTGGATGGCTGCCCAAAAAGCTGGACATCCATGTCCATTTCGCGCTGCTCGCCGTCGCTGATTCCATCTACCCCTGTCGCACTCAGGGCCTTTCGCAGCTCCATCTTTTGCCGCTCGCCCCTTTGAACTTCTTTGTCAATATTCTCATTGACCAAGTTCATGTCCTGTTCCCGTAACTGTTGCAGCTCTCGGTACAAGACCCTGATCTGCGGATGAGAGCGAAGCCTCTTTGGAAAAAGCTCGGTGAACTTTTGCAGAGATATAACTGTAGGCAAAGGGGCAGGAGAGAGAAGGAAATTGCCCAGAATGGATTCCTCCGATGGTGCCATGATTGCAAAGATTCAATGAAAGAGCAAAGTAGAATATCCGAAAAAAGGAATGCAGAGGGATAGAGAAGTGAAAAAGGCACTTTAACAGCTTCTAGAACATGCAGAAGCAAATGAAATGCAAGTATTCAGATAATTCAGATGCTTAGTCCTCTGATGACGCGTTGTTTGGCCAGAGATTCTGCCTTAGTCCAGTGAGATCAGATGAAAGACTTCATCAGATGGACGCGATGCTTGGAGATATGCGGACTGCTCTCACTATTCAAGGCGGTATATGGCCAACTAGAAAAGAAAGCAAGATGGATACTGTGAAACTGTAGTCTGTTGGTTGTGAAGTATGTAGTTTCCAGCTTTATTGCTGGTCCCAATGTCGCCAAGGGCGTCTGCTCGATACCTGTGGAGGCTTAACGCGTTTTTGCCTCCCGTCTCCGTACTCCCGCCATCTGCCAACCCTCCCTTAAAACCCCAACACGCGTGAATAGGAAGGCAGAGTCGGCTCGCTCCCCCATCCCTGGGCAGTGTTACATTGAATGCTTGGTCCTATATCTATTGGAATACCCATTACTGCTTTTCTGCGACTTTTTGCTCTCAAATCCTCAACTTTGAACATCTCCGCCTATACACAGCCTGCTCCTTGAACACCTGTATCCATCAAAAGGAGTCCTGGCTTGCTGAAATTCACGTTTTATCTGTTCTTACATACTTCTGAATCAGTGTATTTGTCTGGATTTCTTTCCGTGTGCTGCCGTTTGATTTGGTGCTTCTGTGATTCATCCCCCGCTCTCCGGTTTGGTGCAGTCCAGGTCTTGTCCATCGCCCTGTACATCAGGGACGTGTGTTTTTCCAAGTTTGATTGCACTAGCACCGATTTCTCTGCCATTCGAAGCCGAATCCCCGTTGTTGAAGCAAGAAAAGCCCTGTTTCAAGTGTTTCGGTTTTGTCTTCCGTGAGAATGGCGCCAACAAGCCACCTCAGCTATCAGAAAGATGAGAGGGTCTTGTGTTTCCACCACGAGATCCTGTACGAAGCCAAGATTATAGACGTCAGGCACGCAGATCCTGAGGACAGAAAAAGTCCCTACGAATATTTGGTTCATTATAAGGGATGGAAGAACACGTATGTAGCTCCTCTCATTCGGTTCTATCATCCACCAGGCGCTTGAAACCCCGTCATCGACGCATCTTTGTCATTCCTCTCGAGATTATCCGTTATTTTTTCTGTTTTCTGCGCCATCTATAACTGATGAGCCACTATTGTTTGTTTTTTCTCTCCTTCTACGACTGTGCTCTAGCTTTGCGGTTGGTTATAAGATGACGGAAGAGTTTTCCTTGGCGTCTGCTATGGAAAGGTTACGCTAACACAGCTACCAGATGGGATGACTGGGTGCCTCAAGACAGACTCCGAAAATTTACGGAAGATAACAGAGAACTGGCTGCGACTCTAAGGCGTGATGCCGAGTCTGCTTCACGGAAAGCCAACCCTCCAAAGAGCGCAACCAAGAAGCGAGGTGGTTCCGACCGAAGTTCCGCTCGCGGTAGCGAAGAACGACAGACTCCTGCAAGAGGAACCAAAAGAGGCAGAGAAAATGAAATTGAAAAGGTCAGCATAATTATTAAGTTCCTTGCTACGATCTATACGCGATTCTCTTGCTGACGATTTCGAATCAGGAGGAGCATTTTCATTCACGGCCTTCCGTCAGGATTGTCATGCCAGACAATCTCAAATCTCTCCTTGTTGATGACTGGGAGAATGTAACCAAGAACCAGCAGGTTGTCGCTTTGCCGGCTAAATGCTCTGTAAATCAGATCCTCGAGGCATATCTCGAAGAAGAGAGGCCTAAGCGAACTAGCCCGACCGATGTCGATGTTCTCGAAGAAGTTGTTATGGGCATCAAAGAGTATTTTGACAAATCGCTCGACAAGATCCTCCTCTACAAGTTCGAACGCGAGCAATACCACGCTCTGCGGAAGAAATGGGAGGCTGGAGCTGGTGACTATGCCAACAAAGGCCCGCTGGACATATATGGTGCAGAACACCTAACTCGGCTTTTCGGTAAGTTATAGTACTGTGCTCTCGTTCGTGACATTCGCCGTATTCTCCTATGCACATATCTTCATGATACTGGATCACTGACAGAACCCCAGCCACTATGCCCGAACTCGTCGCACAAACGAACATGGACCAGCCATCGACCAATCGACTCCGTGAGGAGCTATCCAAAGTCACTCTCTGGCTTAGCAAAAACTCCGACAAGTTCTTTGCGACGAGATACATGACTGCCAGTAACGAATACATCGAGAAGACACGAGGAGTCCAGAATCCCACCCCGGGAACTGCCACATCAAGACTTGTCTGAAACGGCAACCCACTAGCACTACGTGCAGATACGTTTTATCTGTTTTTATAATAACCCCCTTGACTACTTCTAATATGTCTGCATTCCAGTGTTGGTTAGGAACCAGAAGTTGATTTGAGAAGGACTCCCTTTTTCTCGGCAAATCTGTCAGAGAGCAAGAATTACCCCTATCTATCTTACTGCAACCTGGGATACATCTGACGGGGCCCTTAGCCACCTTTCCCAAGTCTGGTATTGACCTCACTTGAGAAAAGTAAGACATGGTATCTCAGGCTTTTCCCAACGCCGTCATTTCATGTCCCTTTTTATGAGTCTTTGTCTCATGAGCCGTACCGCAAAATTCAAAATTCTATTTTTTTTTCTCTCTCTTATGCTCCTGATCCTGGTTTGTCTCTTTTTTTTTTTTTTTTTTCTCTAGATCTGGGTTAGTGCGTATACCGGTTTTCTCTCTTATTTTCTACTTTGTTTTGTACTAGCTAGATATAAGCGTGAAGCTACCTACTTTATCCTTCCAATTGTGCTGTTTTCGCAGAATGTAAACTGGGATATATTTCAGTAAAACACGGAACATTTATATTCTCTTTTCTCTCCGCTACTATTATCGATTCTTGGTCTTTGATATCTTTCCTTTCGAGATCCAACATATTATCGGAAGATCTACCTAGATTCTACCTATCAAGAGCAATAATGATTGTACACGGAAACTTGCACATTCAGTTTCTCTGCTCTAAACCGAGTTTGTTTTAAGGTATGGCCCCAATCACCTTCCTATTTGTTGGGAAATGATGCTACTAACTTGAACTAATAAACAACCAATTTCCTCGCATCTTCAACGGCACATCTCGCTGCGCGCTTTAGCTCCGGTTTATAATCCGCCTCTCGCCACTTCTCCCACGCATCCAAGCCCTCATGAGTTTGAATACTCAACGTGTCATACCCCTGCTTGATGATCTGATGGACCTGACGCGGACTAAGGTTCCTTTTCCGCACGGTGGCAGGTTCGTCGCCTGAGGTGGCGGGTTTGACGTCGGCGTTCTTCTCTGGCATGAAGAGGAGGGAGTGGAAGTGTGACGAGACGGAGAGGAGAGTGTCGATGGCGGCGATGTTGGATGGTGCGTCTTTAGTGCTGGGGAGGTCGGCGGCTGATTTGGTGGCCGTGGACGAGGAGGGGGCATGCAGTTTGTAGACTTCGCCGAATTTGGTGAGGATGGGGCCTGTTTCGACAAGTTTGTAGAAGAGGTCGTCGTAGGATGCGGGGTCTGGGAGGAATGTGTCGCCGGCGGAGACACTAAAGGCGAGGAGGTTCACGAGGGAGGTGGTGAGAATGTTGATGTCGGGGCTGCTGGAGAGGTCCGAGGCGTAGGTGGTGAGGAAGCGCATCAGGGAGAGGAGGGTGCGCCATAGTTCTGACCAGTGGTAGGCTAGTCGGACTTTGTTTGACGAGAGGTAGGTGAAGAGGCGGAGGAGAATGGCGATGGTGTGGCTGTGGTCGTGTAATCAGCATGTAGGATTGGAGTTGTGATGGATAGAGGGGGAATTACCTATAGATGTTGATGTCGAGACGACGACGGAGATTGTGTGTGATGGTATCGATCATGATGTCGAAGATGACGGTCGCGAGAATGCGTTCTCCCTGGACGACGGGGAGATAAGGCTGTCTTTGCCGACACAAGCGCACCGCTCTCTTTCCATCATCACTACATAACCGCTTGGCTAGGACTGGGTCCTCGACGATGATACGTAGAGTGAAGAGATTGAGCTCTGCATAATGGGAGACCCTTGCAGACCGGTATGCGTGCTGAAGAAGGTACGAGGTCAAGGAGAGGAAGCTCGAAAATGGCGCTTCCTCGGTTCGTTTCTCAGGGGCGTATGAGACGAAGTCATATCCAAAAAGTTTGTTTGCATTGGTAAAATCATATGTAGCCAGGAGCAACGCAGCCTCCGGTGCGGGCCTAGGAAAGGATTAGCCTGTGATGATCCATTCGAGTGGGAAAAAAGGGCCATCATACAATGCCGCGAACATCTCTTTTGCCTCTTCTGGTGTAGGGGGCGAGGCCTTGTCCCTGGCGCCAGGAGCAAGCGCTCGCAGGCCGAAAAAGATCAACGTGCTCGTCAAGGACCAGCCTTCGGGGACGTCATCTTGGACGGCGACATATCCATTTCTGAGTGCCGCACATGACACTCCGATGCCTTTGACGATCTTCTGGATCGTAGCCTCGTTGACAAAATCTACCAGTCGCAGATGGTAAGGGTTTTGGAATTCAAATCTGTTGTAGTTTGCCAGCAACCCTAGAAGCAAGAAAGGCTCGAAGATTTGGATATGGGTATCTGAGTCATGTATGAACTGCAAGCTGTCAGTACGGATAATATGCGTACGGATAAGGGACCTGATCTGAATCTGACCTTCATAAGAGAAGGGAATAAATCACGATGCGTGAAGTAAGTAATGAGGCTTGTCTTGTATGCCCCGCTAGTCATGGAAATAGCTGTCTTGATGGCCTTGAGTCGCAGATCGACTGCATGCGAGATGGCGTTAATATCTCACTTCACGTCGAATACAAGCTCAGGTGCTTACAGTTACTGCCGCTTCTGATTGTGGTGTCCAGAACGGCGACGAATTCTGTCATCACCTGGTCGACTTGGTCCAGTCCAGCCAACACGGTGATAACATCGGAACTTGGGTTGGTGTACTTTTTGTTCAGAACACTACCCAAGAAAGTAGTTAAAGTCTGGCCTTGAGTGTCAGTATTTATCCATAAGAGAATCAGGGTACGCATCTGACTGACCTCGAGGGCATGTAGATCATTTGGCGCGGTCCCTGATGCCACTTCCTGAGTCGCGCGAGCAAACAGCTGCTGCGTTTGCAGCTACTCACATCATCAGCAAGATAGATACACTTGAATATGGAAAAGAAAAATATGTTCTCTTTGAACAACATATGTTCCAGATGGACGGATAGAATCATACCTGCAAGTTAAGGGTCTCATCGGGACTAAGCTTGTCTAAGATCCCGCGGAGCTGCGACCTATCTGGGCCCAGCAAAAAGAATTCCCTCCAAAAGCCCTCTGACGGCTCAGCATATTCCGTAGTCTACATGATATTCATCAGTAAGGAGATGCGGGATCGGTTCTCATGAGCGAGCTTTCATACATTAAATAGGATCTCATAAAGTTGCACAATCTTAGGTTTGAAAGTTTCGGGTCTACTCTGCTGGGTGAGGGGTGAGGCTTCCATGACGAGTAAGACTGACGAGGATCGGAGGGCAATGAGCAATCTGACAAGGCTCCGATCTCATGATACCGCGCGTTCGAGGAGTCCAAGGAGATGTCTAAGATATGCACAGAACACTTATGCCCGGTGGGTTTCTTTTAATCTTAGCTGGCATCTGACGGCTCCAGTAGTTTCAGAACGCCGAACTCGCCAAGGACGGCACCAGCCACACATTTCGGCTCCCGCCAGCCACAAGAGCTTTGTTGACGCTCGCACGTTCTCTTGCTATCGATTATTATTATCCTGTGATATGAAGATTTCTTGATGGTCTTTTCCTCTTCTTTGTTTCTTTTTTTTTTCTTTTCTTTTTTTTTTTTTGCTCTCGACTTCCATGTGCACGAATGACTCGGTCTGAGTGTATCTGAATTCATTTCTTTACTGAGTGCCCCGATCATTCAAAGGCAAGTCCGCCGACACGAAGCCACACAAAAGACCCAGAGGCCATTTATTACCGTATTTCCTAACGGTCCCACTTCGTCCCTACGCTCAGGAACCATATTCCAGACTTGTCATGCTGCCAGTGAGAAGTCCCGGCGACTAGATGACACGCAAGCTGCCGCCCAGGTCGGTAACAGACCTGCCACAGGGAATCAGTTTTGACGCAAGACAACGTGCTTTTGATATGGGACGACGAAGTACTGGATACGGACGATGGTATAAAAATACATACGGAGTACTTGTAAGGATTTTCGTGAGTTTGTGGAGTGCAATTGTGCACTACCAAATGCAAATCCACAGGAGACCGGGTCAGAATGCCACACACAGCGGGGCAGACTCATGGCTAGAAACCAGCACGACTGTCGGATTACGGCACAGCACAATCAGGGTTCTTGGCACTGACTGGTAGAATATGCAGTATGGAAGTACGGAGTACATATGCATCACATCTCAGGCTACTATGAATTGTTGTAACTATACATATGGGGTATGAGGTATGAGGAGTCGCGCATGAGTCTTCCTTGGCACCAAGGTCGTTGGTTATGAAGCCCTTGGCCATGGTCGCAACCATGTAGAGTATCGAGGGTGAATAGGGCCATGGTTGCTACATACTGGTTTTCTGCAATATAGTCAAGTTTGGCAGTGCTTGCACAGCAGGGTGCAGAACCGATGAGTAATAATAGACGGGTGACATAGTTATTCTGCAGCATTATGAACTGAGAACAAGTTGGCTGACACAGAACCCAGGGATGATAACTAGTTAGTTAGTTAAGCTGACCCCTTAATCACCAGAGGACCCTAAGATCCTGAGAGGAGAGCTACTCCGTAGTTGATGCCAGTTAATAATAATCACTAATCGTTGTTATTCTTCCGTCCATCCGCCTTTGTTACTATATCTCGATGCTTATTGGCCCACAGATCCTCAGGCAGAATTGCAGAATGTTCCAAACGCCCGAGTCGTGGGCCAGTTAGACTTGGTCTAAAGTATTTGTATCGATGGGCAAGGGTCCAAGGGATACGATACTTAGACCCTGCATCGTGCTACTGTACGGTTTATCAGTATGCAGCGTCGAACATCGATTTCTCCTGTAACTTGTAAGCGAAAAGGAGCGGTGACTCCTTCAGCCGACAAAGAACACAACGCAGCGACCGAGTCAGATGCACTCGTACGACCCCTGGCGTGACAAAGGACCTTGATGGAGGGAAAACATGGTCTACCAGTAGAATTGCAGCCTGTATATATATCAGCAGTGATCGCGAACGTCAGATGGAAGTCAGACGAGGGCAAAAGAGGGTGGCGCCACATGCGTAGAAACATCTTCACGCTGATTGGCCAGGGGCAGTGTTTCCCGTGACGATTGCGGTCCTCGCCGGGCAAAGCCCCGTGCTTTCTTCTCTCTCCGCGGTTATTTCAAAAGAGTCCATCTTGACACACAACAGTCCCCTACACTCGCAACACCACTCGACCCCCAGATGAACGACTCGATTTGATGATCCACGAGATATTATCTGCATCTTCATCGCCTCATATACACCAATCTTTCTGTTCACCATGTCTCTCTGTCGGGTTGCTCACCCTTCGGTGACATCATCTCAGATGCTCTTCAGATTCATCTCCAAGCCATCGAACACTGGATGCACTCACTCACTACGGTCCTTCTCTTCATACCAAAATGTCCACCGGACCTCGTCTCGACGGGACATGCAAACAGCGACCGCCTACAGACCACACACTCTTGACCAGTTCCCGCCTCCTCGAAACACCGGCTCTGCAGACACCTCTATCTCCGCTGACCTCCCATCCATGAGAGACGCACCCAACTATCCCGCTAGCCAGCAGAGCAATGTCAGCATGAGAGAATCTGAGGCGCAGAAACCGAAGCCAACTACGTCTTCCGCTGCCACCCCGTCTACTTCACAGACTACGAAGCCCCGGCGGTCAAAACTGCGCCCGAGGAAGGCGGCGATGAAACTGACGCCAACGGCCATCTCCCAGCTCAAGCAGCTCCTCGACCAGCCAGAGCCCAAGCTCATTAGGGTGGGTGTCAAGAACAGGGGTTGTTCTGGCCTGTCCTACCACCTCGAATTTGTGGAGAAACCGGGACCTTTCGATGAAGTCGTGGAACAAGACGGCGTGAAGGTTCTGATCGACAGCAAAGCGCTGTTTAGCATCATCGGCAGTGAAATGGACTGGCAGGAGGACAAGCTGAGTCGGAGATTCGTCTTCCGAAACCCGAATATAAGTAAGCAGCCCCGCTCTTTTGTGGATAGCCCTGAAATCTTTACTAACAGTGCAACAGAGGAACAATGTGGATGCGGCGAGTCCTTCATGGTCTAAAGTGATGTACATACATATAATCATTTCCATGGGTGCATTGGGCGGCGTTTGGAGGAACATTGATTTCGGTCCCACGATTGTTTTGTGTCGAAAAGCGACATAACCGACTTAAACTACCAGAATATACCCGTCTCCTTTCTTTCCGTTAGTCCGACCAATCTATTCAGCGCTTCCGCCAGACTCCAGATTGTTAGACCACCGTCGGAAGTCAGCTGGCTGATGGGAACTCTTACCGCTACTATGCTTCGAAGGGAAGCATGCATCTTAACTGTCCCTCTGCTGGGTCGCAATGGATGATAGTCTTCCGGGAATGCTTCTGTCGAGAGCCCTCGCTTCTCATCCCATTATCCATTGATACATCATCCGACCGCAGCGGACCAATAGGGTGAAGCAGGAGAGGTACTGCTATGACTGCCGAGGTCACATCGACAGTCTTCCCTTCGTGTGGCAAGGCGTCTGCGCGTTGTGCGGTCGACTAGCCGCATTCGCTTTCTGAGGAGGTACACTACTAGATCTGCTACAATGGCCATCATAGGTCAAGACACATTTCCTTGATGTATAGTTTTGTGTATAGACAGCGAAACGCTCCGTGATCAGCGGAATCGAGAATGATAGCTAGATACTTCTAATATCACTAAAGCTCTTGATAAAGCATCAAAAGGTTTCAATCCATACTCTCCTCTGGCGTACTTTCCCTTGAAACCGCATTCTCCAGTCTCAAACTTGGATCTGTCTCTGCCAATAAAGGAGATACTATGTAGTTACTCGTAATTCCTTAAAAGGTAGTCTCTTTCAAACAGGAGGCGGACGTCACGTGGAGACAACAGCGGAACATCTCCGCATGGACAGCGGCCAGAAGCACGTATACCTATGTCATTTCAGGTATCCGCGAGCCTCGCCCATTTCAGCCAAACACCACATCATATACATACTGTACATTCATCCACACATATACAAAAGACACTCTCAATTTCAAAGCGCACAACCTGCGCAACACACCTCCCCCTCTCAATAAAACCATGACCACAACAACACCCCTTCTCCCACCGGACTACCTGGCAGTCCCACTCACAATCCGCTTCTCCGCCTCCATCCCCGATATCCTAATCGACGTCCCCTCTCCTGCCACAACCACCGCAGCAGGTCTCAAGCAGCTGATCCGCACTCGCCTCCCGCGCGATCTTGCAACGCATCGTCTCCGATTAATCTACTCCGGTCGCGCTCTTGAAGATGCCGTGCCCCTAGCTACGTCTCTGCGACTTCCTCCGCAGTATCACCAGCATTCTCGAGGGCCGTCTCCGATTGTTTGGGGTGAGGAAGATGAAGAAGAAGAATTCAATGATGAGAATGGTAATGGGCGAGGAAAGGGCAAGATGCCCGTACGCGATCCGCCTATGCGAAGACTCTATATCCATTGCTCGGTGGGGGATATTGTTCTGTCAAAGGTTGAATTAGATAAAGAGGCAAAGTTGGCTTCGACGATATCGCAAAGACAAGCCCAGCAGCAGCAACAGCAGGGGAGGGATGGGTCGGAATGGAATGATATTCCTTTATCTACCGCTCAAGAGGATGAAGAGCAGGAGCAACAGCAGCAGCGAGATGAAGAAGCAACTACTACTCCCGCGCCGCGAGGTTTCGATCGGTTACTTTCAGCGGGGTTCACGCCCGCAGAGGTGTCTGCTTTACGATCACAGTTCTTGGCTTTGCAGTCCGTGTCGCATACGCCGGATACGATGCCTTCTGGGTCTGAGCTGCGAGAGCTCGAGGACCGCTGGATGGACGAGGGGACTGGTGCGGTGCCCGCTGGTGGTATAGGCGGAGGAGGAGGAGGGGCGTTTGGCGATGATGATGGTGGGTTTGGGACGGGGTCGAGGGGCGCGCTGGATGATATGCTTTGGGGTGCGGTGATGGGGTTCTTTTGGCCGGTGGGATGTGCGATGTGGTTGAGGAGAGAGGAGGGGGTGTGGAGTTGGAGGAAAGGGTTGGCTGTGTTTGTGGGAGTTGTGATCAATGGGGCGTTTGGGGCGATGATGATCATGAATTGATTGATCGCGCTTCTTGTTGGTGGTCCCTTTGCCCTGTTGGTGATGGGATAGAGAGGGGGGGTGGCCGGGTTGTATAAGACAGAATATGGGTCTTGCGCTTAAGGACTCAAGGATATAGTGTTGTACTATTATTTATGCTTGTGACCGTTTGCAGAGTTAGATGATACCCAGGATGTTATATTAGTTGAGAAATATTGATTCATATTTCATAGTGATGCGTTTATCGGAATTAAGGCATCAGCATGCCTGATTCATGCCAATTGATAAGGCTTGGTTTGTATCATACAAAACGAAGAACATTCCGTAGCGCTGTTCCAAAGACTCGAATATGAAAAGCTGCTGCAAGACAAACTGGCCAACGCAATGTAAGAACCGATATACAGAGAACGCCCGTCAACCAAAAAAACGTAAAAGGAAGGACTCAGTGGAACTTGCTGTAAATGACAGCGAAAATGAGAAGCACGAGAACGGTGATGATTGCGATGGTGATTATCCGATTCGTAGCCATCCTGTCGCAGCGGTGTTAGCGTTATGGCCACAGCGATATTCAAGACGGTTGGTTTATGAAGGGTACAAACCTACGGGCCATGCCCTTGAGCGTCTTTATGCTCGTGTCTACATAGCCTTCACTCTGCAGCAATCCCGCTCTGGCATGTTCGATCGTCTCGCGCTGCTGATGGAGATCCGCAAGCGTGTTTCTTCCGATGTCCTCCGTCTCCAGAGCGATCCGTTGGCTGTCCCGTAGCCGGCCAGAGCTGCGCTCCAGGCGCTCCGTACCGGATAAGAGTTGCTGTCTCTGTTCCAAATGCCGATCCTGCACGTCTGGTTCGTCCGTGTAGCGGTCTCCGAACAAGGCCTTGCGGTCATCGGAAAGAGACTTGAGGCGGCGCTTCAAGTTATCGATATCTGTGGAGTAGTTGCGAAAGCGAACGTTGACTTTGGATCTGGCTGCAGAAGGGATGTTCTGCTTCTCCATGCGCATTTGGTCGAGCTATGGCACTCGTTAGTCGGAACGTTAAGAGATCTCACTGATGAGGCGACGCCTAAAGGATAACGAACCAGTTCATTGGCCTCGTCCAGAACACGCTCAGCTTGTTTGATAGCTGCCTTCCTTTCCTCCCCGCTTGCCTCCGCGATCTGATCGAGCTTCTGGTTCAGATCAGCCTGCACCAGTTTGAGCTCCGCCTCATAGCTGCTGAACATCTCAGAGCCAGCATCTGTATCTAGAGGATTCGCCATAGTGATGGTATTTGCGACCGGAATGGACGATTGTTCTATAGGTGGAGCTGGTTAAGTGGACGCCTGATAAGGCGACCGTTGGCAAGTGGCTGGGGCTGAGACCGCGGACACAGCGGTATATAACAGTATCGAGGGTAATTGAGAATCTAAAGGACGTTGAAAGAGAATTACTACATAAAATGGCTGGACGGGGCGAGTGTAGGCCGTCAACGATGGATAATGAAGCGGGCTGGAGAGGCAGTAGTAGGTTCGCGGGCGGTGATGATGCTGAAGCGGATCCTGTCTGGAAGACTCGACCAGTCAACTGTTGGTCGCGCGGAATCTCCGACAGGAACGGGCACGTGAGGATCAGTCGAATCGAATGCCCGTTCGGGTGATACAGTATTTAAATATATCTCATCGACCTGTCATCTGACGGCATCACGCTCACTTCTAGATAGTGAAGGATGGAGTCAGATGGCTGGTTCCTGGGGTTTGGTCTTCGTGTCCTATATAAGTATGTGGTGTTCTCGTCTTTCGGTTCTCTTGGTTGAGACAGGAGACGACCTCTATCTCCAGCGCTAATCGCGACCCCCGCAGTACTCCGCGAAAAGCAAAGGGGGCTTCTCAGACAAGACTACTAATTATTGTTATCTTTTGCTCCATATTGTTCTTGAAGTCGATCCACATTCCACTCTGAAGCACATTAAATGAACCGTGGTTCCACTGCAGAAACTCGGTTTATCTCCCGAAGTACTATTTCCCCGGGTTCTCCGCACAAGCAGTAACAAGTAATTAACCGACTGTCTGCTTTACGCTCTGTATTGTGGCAAGAGATCCTTCTCTGAAGAGCTTCTGGGGTATTTCTATGCACCTCAAAAGGACTTGATTAGCAGTTGTTGCGGACTGCTTTTAACATGCGGCGCCCTGTGACACCTTGAAAGAACGTTATTACTTTTGAAGGTTGTCTTCAAAAGCCTTGAAAGGCAGTCGCTTGGTGCTGGGATAGATCACTTCTCCTTGTATCCATGAAGTTCAACTTCCATGCCTCCAAAGCGAGTTGCGATAATAGGGGGAGGATGCGCAGGTATCAGTTCACTCTGGGCGTTGAGAGATTCAGGCCATGAAGTGCATCTATTTGAATCATCTGATAAACTTGGTGGCCGTCTAAAAACGCTTCCTTTTGAAGAAAGTGGTCGTCGAATCGATGTTGATACAGGACCAGTGTTCTTCAATGCACATGCTTCCCGTCAGTGTGACCAAATACGACTATCTTTCTTCCATGCTGACCGTAACCAGCCAATTTTGACTCTCTCATTGATTGTCTCGGACTGCATACGTCTGAAGGGAGACTGAGCTTTGGCTTCTCTCAAGGGAGCCGCATTTTCCAATGGGGAAGTAGTCTCCTGAGAGATGTGCTCTTTCATCCAGGGACATTCTGCAGCCTGGAAACATGGCAAACGATATTCGACGTAGTCAGATTCAAGTATCTGGCTGCTGATGTCTTGGCCAATGAGGTGGAGGATCTCGGCTTCCTACCCAGCGTCCGAGACTATCTTGCAAAAGAAGGCTATTCTCACAGCTTTTGTGAGAGTTACTTGGTCCCTTTGCTTTCAGAACTATGGAGAACGAATTCGGCAAAGTGCCTCTCAAGCCTTCCTATCAAGCCCTTGATTCGCTTTCTGCATGACCATGGGATCTTGAGCACTTCAGGGCGAACACCAGAATGGCAAACGATCCAAGGAGGAGCAGAAAAACTTATAAAAGCCATGACCAGAACTATCCCAGCAGATAGGCTCCATTTGAAGGCGCGAGTCGTAAATGTTGAGCCTGCCGACATGACCGCCGGCTACACTCTACATACCAGTGACAGCCAGTCATCCGATTTCGATCACATAATATATGCCGTCGACGGCGAAGAGATTCTTAAAATATGCGGTTCACTACTAGATGTTCAGGAGATCAATATCATTAGTGAGCTTCGCACGTCGAAGACCGTTGGCGTCCTCCATTCCGATACTTCTGTAAGTGACTGCATGCTAAAATTTGCCCCATTGCGAGCTTTATCTTTAGCTATTTTCAGGAGACTAGCCAATATCTACTAGATCTCATCTTTCTGCAAAACTCACTAACACCGCCCCAGCTCATGCCCAACGACTCACAGCGGTGGTCCGCTTGCAACTACATCTCGAACCCATACTCGAAACCCAAATCTTCGCAACCCCAAGCATGCCTCACCTTCTGGGCGAACAACACCCAAAACATCCCATACTCTAAATTCGGCGACGTCTTCATCACCCTTAACCCCTTCACTCCACCTCATCCTCGCCTCGTGCAAGGGATCTGGGAATACACTTCCCCCGAACTGAGCGCATCAGCACTAAACGCAGAGCGAGAGCTTCCCACAATCCAAAATACAAAAGGCCTCAGCTACTGCGGTTCTTGGACGGGTTTTAACTTCTATGAAGAAACAGTCACGAATGGGCTGAGAGTCGCTGTTGAGCATTTGGGCGCAGAGCTCCCGTTCCAGCTGGTTGATCACCAAGCAGCTCAGGTTTCTGCTTCAGGTCGTTTTAGTAGTTTGAAGAATATGGTCATTAGGATGATACTGAGGCTGCTTGGCTTCTATATATGGATGGGTGGGATACTGCTTCGCCTTTTGGGCTTGATTAGCGTTGTGAGGTTTACGTCGGAAAGGAGCAGTAATGCTAAGAGTTGGAAGGCTGTGTGAACTCCTGTTGGGAAATTGGATATGCCTAGATAGTTTTGGGAATTTACATTTTTCATACTTGTTAAAGCCTCACCTAAGCGTAGGGGCTACGTTATATGATAACGAGCAGCGTAAGGAAAAAACTCGATAATTTCTTTTTTTCTTTGAAGGACAAAAGTACTGTTACATAAATCCTGGCCCTGATACATTAATACTGCAAACAAGCACGGAGGTAATGAAAAGCCAGCAAGGGAAAAGGCAAAGTATTCTTTGTGTGTCATTGAATACTTCACACCATCCTGATTTTATTCCACCCTTCGTGATAATCTCGAAAAAAAATACTAGATGCGACGACTCTCGTAACTCCGAACTTGATTTCCCTTGTTTGTTTGTCTCCTCCCCGTTTCGTTCATTTATGACAGGAAACCTCCTTGGTCCTGGCTGACAATTGCTGCGCTTCTCTTCGCGTCGATGAACAGGTCCTCGCATTCCGCAATGTCCGCCTCTTCGATACCGCCAGGTCGGCCGTTGACGCGGGCGAGAATACTAGCCGGTGTAAGAAGCTGCAATGCGTACCGCAGACTGATCTTGGAGCCGTGTTCGGCAACTTTCTCCAGTGCCGGTTCGGTGATGTTCAGACCTTCAGTCTTGGCGCGCAGGCGCACGATGGTCTTGATCTCCTCTGGGTTGTAGGGGTGTGTAGGGATGATGAGAAGGCGGGCAAGAAGGTCTGGCGGAATTCCGTGTGCGGCCGTGATGTCGCCGGTACCGCGAATGACAGTGTTGCCACGGTTTGAGGCGAGAATGACGATAGGAGAGATAGAGGACTCAAGGGCACGGTTAAGGTAGGTGAAGCACTCAATATCGAGCATGTGAACCTCATCAATGAAGAGAACTCCGGGGACCAGCTCTGCAACACCCTGGTCAATGTATCGGTTCACGACCTTGTTGATCTCTTGTCGAAGCTTCTCAGTGATCTCTGTCTTCTTTGGTTTCATCAACTGGCCCATCATGCTCATGACGTCCTGGCCACCTTGGGGTCGAGCGTTGGCCATGTCTAGGTCGTGGAGGGTGACGTCCTGGACGATCTCCTTCTTCTTGTGAACCTCACCCTTTGGTACAGGGACGTACTCCTCCGCCTCAAGGTCGAATTCCGTGGCATAGGCATCGGATCGGCCGACTCGCTTGCAAGCGCCAGTGTTGGCTTCGATGTAAATAACGTCTCCAACAGTCACTCTCTCCTTCTGGATCGCCTCGTAAATGCTGGGATCCAGACGCAGCTTTTTCGTTCCCTTCGCAGACTTGAGGCCGATGATGAGATGACTGATCGTTCTTCCGTAACCACCGAGCGGGTTCTCTGCTTCTTCCGGGGTGAGCTCTGTGACTTCACCCTCGTAAACTTCCTTGGTTTCGCGCACTCGTAGACCTATGCAGCTGTTAGAATGCCATTATCAAGAGCGCAAAAGAGAAAATCTGAATTACCAATAGCTCTTCGGAAGTTCTCCATAAGCGCCTCAGTCTTCTTCACTTCCGCGGAGTAGATCTCGCTTCCGACAATCGGACAGAATGGGACCTTCGTTCCCAGTTCTTGCGACACAGCTAGAGCAAGAGCTGTCTTTCCGGTACCAGGGCCACCGGCGAGCAGAACTGCCCGTCCCGCCATCTTTTTCGCCTTGATCAGATCTACTACAACGCCGCATGCCTGCATAATAAGTTATTGACATCAGCAGGAAGCTCATTTTAATAGAAAGGTTCCTAGGGACCGAGCGCGCGTACCTCTCTGGCGGCAGCCTGGCCCACGAATCCATCACCAGCGTTCTCAGCAGTGCCATCAGGGCGCAATCCAAGACCCTTGATATGGGTGTGCGCTGCCGTCCTGTTCTCTCGTGAATTCCCCTTCACTTCACTGATCTGAACCATGATGGAGGGTTGCAGCCTCACTCAGAAGCCGCACAGCACTCGCGTAAGACTTGGAGTAAAGAACTAACGTCGTTAGGAAGCTCGAAGGGTCCGTAGATGGGCGCGGGGAATCGTGAACAGGATGATCTGAGGAGCTTCAGTCGATGTTCTCGCGGAGAGGCTGTTGGTCTCGCCGAAATTCACAGCGCGCGCAAGGCTGGACAAAACATCCAATCACAGATCCCTTTTGCCAAGGCGGTCAACCACCCCAAATTCTTCTTGAACAAGCTGCTCCGCCGACACCTTCAACCGTCTCCCAAAAGTCCAAGTCAAAGGGCTCGGCTACGCCTTCTTTTATCTTGTGAGATCCTTTTTCTTGTGATGGTTGAGGCCTAGTCCTCTACTTTGATCGTCACAATGGCAGGCCTCACTACCAGCATGGGTCTCTCATTCCCGTCTTCCATCACCGCGGCCTTCCGCGGTCTCTCCTTGACATCGAAGCGCTCATTCTCCACGACTCTGTCGACGCAAAAGACCAAACAACTGCCCGACTACATTCCTCCGTACCCATATGGACCCAATTACATCTACAAACAATCCAACAGCGGTCTGTATGGGGGTACTATGATCCAATTCGGAAACAAGATTTCGCAAGGAAGAAATCACGGGCGGACGAGGCGGTCATGGAAGCCAAACGTGCGACGCAAGAAGATACACAGTGAAGCTCTCGGAGAGGATCTCTACATCAAGGTTACCCGCCGGGCCTTACGAACGATATACAAGTCGGGTGGATTGGATAACTACCTTCTGGATGACCGACCAGGAAGGATCAAGGAACTCGGTGTTTTTGGTTGGCAGTTGAGGTGGAGGATTATGCAGACGCCAAAGATCCAAGAGCAGTTCAGGGAGCAGAGAAAGAAGCTGGGTCTTCCGGAGCCTCCCTCGTTCGAGGAGTGGGTGAAGCAGAAGGAGCAGGAGATCAACCAGGCCATTGAGAAGGACAGAAACATCAAGGAGGAGACGAAACCCACCATTCCCACAAATGCAAGCACATCGCCTGCCTCAGAGGAATCACGAGTCTAGATAGCTCTCGAGTTCGGGGGCTTGGGGAATCGGCCGAGAGGAGACACGTTATGTACCATTATCAACACGGTGACGCTGCTCTAGTCAAGCGGCATACTTTGGGACGTCGCTTGTTTTCTCACGGACACTGGAGGAGTTCGGAAGATCAGTGACACGTCCATACATCATTTCTGTCGGAATTGTATATCAAACATCTCTGCATGTCGTTATAAGTTAAATTGATACGGTTTATTGCACACAATGCTCGTTTGTATCGAGTACTTATCCATCTCGGGATGAGATACCATGCTTAGGTTCTTAATTGTCTCAGGCATCTATATTCCCTTAAACCTTAGGCCGATACCAGAGGTGAAAGGTTATAGTCTCAGTTTCTACGGACAAAAGAGTAGGCGGAAACGCGATGGTATGAGCCCGTATCATAGCAATAGACCATCTTGCTACAAATACATGAGACCTGCTCTATTAGTACCCCACATGACGTTGGTTAAGTGACTATAAATCATCATTATTTCCAAACTTTTGGTGTCTGTTGTCGAGCACTAAATGTATATATATATCGATACATTGGTCGCATTGAACTAGCTGGAATTAACCAACAACACAACGCAAACACGCCACACAAGCTGCTTCCAAGGAAATCTAGAGACATTTCCAGTACTATACCTGGCAGCTAATACATCGAGAAATGTCCATCGCTATCATTGTCCACGGAGGACATTTCCGCAAAGTCACTGGGAAAAAAGATGACCCGGGCCGCCTATCTGGCTCGATCCGTCGCGAAGGAGGGATCAAGGAGATCTGCTATGTCGTGATTAAAGAGAAATAGACATTTTCTCAAGTCTCCCAGCATCGGCACGCTGGGGGGACTTACTGTCGCAATGCAGTTCGCTTTACCTCCGCGGAAGAGCCCTCATGCTCATCCTTACCCTCGTTCATCCCGTCTGTCGTTCCAGCGCCGTAGACAACTGAAGGCTGCCGCAGTGCTAGGCTTCGCCTTGCTTTCCATCCTTTTCCTCGCCTCACACTTCTTCTCATCTTCGGATACGGAATCTGCTGCGATCCTCTCCAGCGCTCCAGAGGTGGTGCTGGTCACCGTGTTTGACCGTGACGTCTTGAGCAAGAGCTATATCGAGAAAGTCAAGAAGAACCGCGAATACTATGCTGCGCGACACGGTAAGCATTGCCCCTCAGTCCATCGCGAGATAATTTCCAAGCTGATACAGTCGAAGGCTACGCGAATTTTTTTGCGAACGTTTCGGACTACGAATATGCTTTGAACAACGCCCCTCGAAGCTGGGCTGTTGTCCCTGCGGTCCGCCATGCCATGACACAGCACCCTCATTCGGCATACTTCTTCCATCTGAGCCCCCATAGCCTAATCATGAACCCGAGCGTCTCCATGAAATCCCTTGTCACGGATTCTAAGCGTCTTGAGTCTCTTATGATCAAGGATATCCCTGTGGTTCCTCCGGACAGTGTGATCAGGACATTTTCTCATTTGCAGGGTCAGGATGTCGACTTGATTCTCACACAGGACAAGGAAGATTTGAGCTCTGGCAGCTTCATTATCAGACAGGGTACCTGGGGGAAATATTTCTTGGATGTCTGGTTCGACCCTCTGTATCGCAATTATAATTTCGCAAAGGCCGAGATTCATGCTCTGGTAAGCCGCCACACGAGACATCACGGTTTCCTTTAATGATGAGAAGAAGCCGCCTATTAACACCCTCCTCTCATTATAGGACCACATCGTGCAATGGCACCCGACTATCCTAGCGAAACTGGCCCTCGTTCCGCAACGTATCATAAACGCTTACAGCAGAGATTCCAACGGAGCAACAACCGATGGTACATATAAGGAGGGCGACTTCCTGATTCGTGCAATGGGCTGTGATACGGAAGTGAAACGCAACTGTGAGCAGGAGCTGGAACCTTACTACAGCCAATGGCAGAGATCGATTTCCCATTAGGCAATTTAACAACATTTTACGGTACGATGTCAACGTGGGGACGTAATGAACAGAATTATTATCATCGACGAATGTGCATTTTCTTTTCTTATTTTCGCACCGAGAAGAGGAGGGTCTCCGCCATGTGCATTTGATCTGGTTTTATTAGGGTGCCTGAGGGATCTCAATATGTATTGTTTTTGAACCTTTCTGGTTCATGTACTTGTTCTTTTAACCATTTAGACGTTTTTCACCTAAATAAAATAATACAGAGAGAAATACTGCAAGTTTTGTATATCTTATTCTGTAGAATTATAATACAGGTATAACACTAAGCTAATTATAGTAATACTGTTTTGTCTCTTTTTGGTCTCGCGGCGGAATGCTTGCGGGACCCCTTCGTTCCTCATTTCACCATCTATAGGCCGTATCGATACAATCACTAACACCATATCCGCATGTCATGCTCTATTAATCGTGGCTGGGGATGGTGATTCGGTCTTTGCTTCTGTGGTTACTGGCCGCCTCGAGTGCCATGTCTTGATGATGACGGAGCGTCAACTGCTTTGGCAATGATTTACCTCCTAGGCTATCACCGACATCATGAATCGCCCGAGTTGTTTGTAATTTTAAACAATAGGAGGGAGCATCGTGAACTTCTTGGGCTTGTACTTGCCACCAAATTCCTTGCGGTATCGACGCTCCTTGCCACGGGCCCAGATAGCCATCTGGGTGGTACCAACGATCAGGAAGAGCAGAACACTCCAGCTCAGACCACTCAGCAGATAGACACCAATCCAGGCAATCACCTCGAACATATAGTTAGGGCAGGTGACCAGACCGAACCCGAATCCTCTGGGGATACCTCTTTCCGTGGATCCAGGCTTGCGGAGACCACGAAGCACCAGGTGAGTGTTCAAGTTGGCAATTTCACCGAATGCAAAGAGTGCGAGACCGCTGTACAGGAGGATAGTGTTAGGCTCGTCTGACGCAGCAGCAGCATCAGGACGGAAGACCCAGTATGCAATGTTGAGACCGGCTAGGAACCAGTAGTGTGCGCAGTTCTTGAAGATGTTACGCGCAGGCATGGTTGCGGAGCTGAAACGGTGGACGAAGATCGTTTCGAGCTCTCGCTTGAGGAAGTGGATTGTGAGAAGTGCGCATATGAGAACTTGGAGACTGGAAGGTTCAGGAATAGGCTTGTCGAAGTTGAAGTAAATATAAGGCCGTAGGACATAAAGGATCAATGCCGGAATGACAAGTGGGCCGAAATACTCGATGATGTAGACGGTTCTCCATCCCGCCTGAGGGCCTTAAAGCAAAAGCAGAGTTAGATATAGTTTTGTAAAAAGAGAGGGTGATGCTTTTTATCAGACAGGGATGCGCGGCACACACCAAGATCTTTGACGTGAACCAAGCTGTTGTTCTCAAGTCCAACATCCTCAAGAGTCTTGTCCTTTGAATTCGGGACAACGGTCTTGTCGACACCTTTGGTGATTCTCAAACGGTGGATCGAATATCCAGTAGCCTGGGCAAGGGAGGCATAGATTTCCTGTGTAGAGGTGTTGGAAGGAACCTGGAGTTCTTTGGGGAGCTTGCGAATCCGCTTGCCTGGCAAGATGTGAGCCCGATTGATCAATAGGATCTTAGATGTGAGAATATCTCTTGTGACAACTGACCTCTTGGCTCGACATTGAGCGTAATGACCTGGGACGCCATCCTTGTAACGATCTCTGGTCGATGTTTTTTATGCCCCGAAATGGCAACTTGCGAAGTAGGAGATCGAGAGGAGGTCAGTCAAAGATCAATGAGTTGACGGCAAGCTCACGAGATCGAGACCAGCAGATGGAGCCAGGTAGGCCGGATACGCAGAGGCAGACTACTGACAACCGTGTGCCTGCTGAAAATGGGCGAGGTGGTGAACTCAACAGTGTATTGGGAAGCTTTATGTCACATGACGGGAGGTCTCCCCAAAGTGCCGCGGTCGGCGGACATCAATTCAGATTCCCGATGCAAGGTCCATGGCAATAGTCACAACACCCTAGACGAGAGCCTAGATAAGGGAGCACAGTTCCGCAGCGTATCATTTCAAGACTTTGCAACATACGTCCGCCATAGAGCCTGATATCTGAACAATGGCGCAGCTGACCGTAGTAGCAACTTTTCCAGCCTGTCTAGTTATGAAAGTGTGTGAAACCCGAGCTTGGACACTCTCACTCCTTTGCAAGGTTCTTATCGGTGGATAAACCCCAAGCTGAGGCCCAAGTCTTCTAATATGCTCCTCTTCTAATTATGATTGGCAAGGCAATATAACGTATTCAGCAGAGTCCATCACGGAGTGCTGCAGATTCAAGCATACGGCATGCTATGTCAATTCGAATCTGGCACTCTGTTTCTTGACGCGGAGAGAGAATACGATGTTTGTTTGTGGCCCTTGGGCCGTCTTTACGCCATAGTTTGCTTGTACAGCGTGGCACTGCGCGTTCTAAGCTTGTTTGAGTGTGGTCTCAGGGTCTAAAGTGAGCACAATGATCATATAGCCGGCGATCGTGACAATTTCCGGCAGCCAGTCCTTCAATGACCCGGATGGGCTGACCAACCAGATCAGAGAATATCACGCATAACTTACACAATCCGATTGAGCTTCACCTGTCTTGAGTATGCATGCTGGACACTGCTACCGACACCCGGGTGGGCATGGATGCCAAATCTCCGGCCGCGGACTGGCCCGAGATTTCGGTCTATCTGAGTATCCTTTTGCTCGGCGCCGCTGCTCCCGCTTCTTGCCTCAAGGCTCAAGGGCCCCTTCTCCCAGCCATTGGCACTGAGGTGCCAACGAAGCAGAATGTTCAGGAAAAGCAGATTCGACCGTGACACGTACGAATCAAGGAATTGCGTTCTTCAGCACTCAGCCGAGCACCCCGTAGTATCCTGTTTACTACCCAGGAAGCCAACATCATCATGGCGAGCTGCGTCAACCGTGCTGGCTCCACCATTTCCGATCGATCTACTTACTCTAGTTCAGCCTACTCTCAGCCGCAGAAAGTTTTGAGCTTCTCTAGCCTTCTCATAAAACTAGCCGTTCCTTTTTCCGAAATTTAAGCAGTAGGTATCTCCACATCATTGCTTGTCTTGCTACACGTTCACCTTCCCACAGTTGTTGTGCGACCTGCGATTGCCCTGATTGTTGTGTTGTTCGATTGCCATTGCTAGTATAGGTAGATCGTTGAAGCAGACCTTCACTAATGTTTACTATTCAAAAGTACCCGATATAAAGTTTGCTTTGAACTTCAGTGGTAAGTTCGGGATCTTGAGGTAAACATTTGTGGTCCCGCTCCTTCCTGATATCTCCTATAAAGCATTCATCCAAAACAACATCGACCATGCATTTCTTCTAGATAGATGTCTAGAAAGTCCCTGTCTCGGCGAACAAATTATCCCTTCGGACAATTTTGCTGCGTCCAAAATATTATTCCTACCCAAAATATCATTCCTAACGCTTGTCTATACTAGCATACATAGTATTCCTACGTCATTCGTGTCACTGCATCCATAATGGCCAAATCGGACCGGAACTCCATTCGTGGTGAGATCAAGAGATCGTTCTCCCAGTTGAATAAAGTCATTACTGCTTCGTTGAGGTCCTTGCCGACAGAGACAGGGGACAGAACCTATGTCACGGAGCCTTCAGCCACGACTGGAGTATTGAAGGATCTCGGCCACGTACACATTAAGGATGTGGAAACCCTGATCGACGTGACCAAAAGCGCTGCCACCGGCGAGCCCGTCAATGACAGAGAATATATCATGGAAAGAGTCATTCAGGTAAGGAACAATTGCTCAGAGGACGACTGCATATCTAATAAACCGCAGCTTGCTGCAGAGTTGCCTTCTACGTCTCGTAACGGCAAAGCTTTGACGAACACTTTCTTAACCCAACTATGGAATGATCTGAAGCATCCACCGCTGTCGTAGGTTCATTCTGGAATAGACATGGAATATGTATGATCGCATCTGACATCGTGCAGCTACCTCGGGAGCGAGTTCGCTTACCGCCAAGCCGATGGATCTAATAATGTGGGTTGATCATTCTTTAAAACGATTGTATACCTGCTAACGTCTGACAGAACATCATGGCGCCTCATATTGGCCAAGCAGGATCGTCGTACGCAAGATCTGTGCGCCCCAAGACGATGCTTCCAGGAGCTCTACCTGAACCGGATGTTTTGTTTGACTGCCTTTTGGAACGGAAGAAGTTCAAGGAACACCCAAACAAGATCTCAAGCATTCTCTTCTATATAGCGTCGATCATCATTCATGGTAAGCATCCCAATTCTTTGTTGACGTGACTCAAGGCTAAGATCATCTTAGATATTTTCCTCACGGATCATGAAGATTACACTAGATCGCTTACCTCTTCGTACCTTGACTTATCGCCGCTATATGGCAATAATCAGGAAGAACAGAATGCTGTCCGAACTTTCCGAGATGGTAAACTCAAACCCGACTGTTTCTCTTCGAAACGGGTCCTAGGCTTCCCGCCTGGTGTTGGCGTGCTTCTCATCATGTTCAACCGCTTTCACAATTATGTTGTCGAAAACCTGGCCAAAATCAACGAAAACGGACGCTTCACAAAGCCAGCCGAGTCAAACACGAAGGCCTATGCAAAGTATGACAACGATCTCTTCCAGACTGGCCGACTGGTGACTTGCGGACTCTACGTCAATATCATACTGAAAGATTATGTCCGCACAATTCTGAATATCAACCGCACGGACAGCGTCTGGAGCTTGGACCCTCGCACTGAAATGAAGAACAGCGCTTTTGGTGAAGCCCCGGCCGAGGCAACAGGCAATCAAGTGTCTGCTGAATTCAACCTTGTGTATAGGTGGCATTCTTGCATTTCTCAACGCGATACGAAATGGACAGAAGAGGTATACAACAAAATATTCCCAGGAAAAGACTCAGACCAAGTCAGCATACAGGACTTTGTCCAAGGTCTTGGACACTGGGAAGCTAAGCTGCCCCAAGACCCTCAAGAATACCCATTTGCCGACCTGAAACGTGGAGGAGATGGTTTGTTCAACGATGATGACTTAGTGAAGATATTTGCCGAGAGCGTTGAAGACGTTGCCGGCGCCTTCGGTGCATCCCACGTGCCGACGGTCTTAAAGGCCGTCGAAGTTTTGGGCATCAAGCAAGCTCGTTCATGGAACTTGGCAACCCTCAATGAGTTTAGGGACTATTTCAATCTTGCCCCATACAAGACATTCGAGGAGATAAATCCCGACCCGTATATTGCTGACCAGCTTCGCCGCCTCTACGACCACCCTGATTATGTCGAGATCTACCCCGGTGTCATAGTTGAAGACGCGAAGGAGCCTATGGTAGGCAGTGGGCTTTGCACCAACTTCACGATCTCCAGGGCAATCCTGTCGGATGCAGTTGCGTTAGTCAGAGGAGACCGATTCTACACTATTGACTACACGCCTAAGCAACTCACGAACTGGGCATATAATGAAGTCAACTATGATACTTCTGTCGACGGGGGTCAAGTCTTCTACAAGCTTGTGTTGCGTGCTTTCCCTAACCATTTTAAGGGAAATTCCGTATATGCACACTTCCCGATGGTCGTGCCGTCCGAAAACAAAAAGATACTCACTGATCTGGGCCTTGACCACAAGTACAGCTGGGATATACCTGCCAGAATTCCCCAGCCGGAGTGGATTTCGTCTCATTCTGCCTGCACCACTATCCTCGGTGATAAGGAGAGATTCAAAGTGACATGGGGAGAAACAATCGAATTTCTGATGAATCGCGACGGTCATCCTTACGGTAAAAACTTCATGTTGTCTGGAGATGGCCCTCCTAATGCCTCTTCGCGCAAGATGATGGGAGCAGCACTGTATCGCCAAAAATGGGAGGCTGAAACTAAAGCTTTCTACAAAGACATCACCCTGAAGCTACTGAAAGAGAATTCTTACAAGCTTGCTGGCGTCAACCAGGTTGACATTGTCCGTGACATTGCGAATCCTGCTCAAGTGCACTTCTGTGCAAGTGTCTTCTCCTTGCCCCTGAAAACAGAGTCGAACCCAAGGGGCATATTTGCAGATTCGGAACTCTACATGATAATGGCGGGGGTATTTGCTTGCATATTCTACGATGTGGATCCAGCAAAATCCTTCCTACTCCGTGAATCCGCGCGCCAGGCCACTCAACAGCTTGGTCAACTGGTGATGGCGAACGTTGAAATCATTAGTAAGAGTGGGCTCATTGCAAGCCTGGTAGACTATTTCCATCGACATGATGTTCTATCGGATTATGGTACCCACATGATCCAACGTCTGCTAGCAAGCGGGCTGCCGCCACAAGAGATCGTATGGACGCACATCCTACCCACCGCAGGTGGTATGGTTGCAAACCAGGCCCAGCTGTTCTCCCAATGTCTTGACTATTATCTTTCGGACGAAGGCTCTGTTCATTTGGCCGAGATAAACAGGTTGGCGAAGGAAGATACGCCGGAAGCTGATGATCTGCTGATGAGATAGTGAGTCAATAACCCGATTGACATGAGACGTCCTTGACTGACAAATGTAGCTTTATGGAGGGCGCGCGGTTGCGATGTTCAGTTGGATTACCTCGTGAGGTGGCAAAGCCCTCTGTCATAGAAGACGAGGGTAAGAAGCTGAACCTGAAACCGGGACAGAAGGTCATATGCAACCTTGTATGTGCTCACTGATTCTTTTGTCGAAGTCTGAAGAAACCCCACTGATTGATTCCACTCCAGGTTGCTGCCTCCATGGATCCGTCTGTTTTCCCCGAGCCTGAGAAAGTCAGACTTGACCGCGACATGGACGCATACATGCACTTTGGCTTTGGACCCCATCAGTGCTTGGGTTATGGAATTTGCCGCCTTGCTCTTACCACTATGCTGAAGGTCGTCGGCCGGCTTGACAACCTGCGTCGAGCCCCTGGGTCCCAGGGTCATCTGAAGAGACTTGCAGCAGCAGGAGGGATTTCCGAGTACATGACTGCGGATCATAGCAGCTACTTCCCATTCCCAACGACGATGAAGATTCAGTGGGACGGAGAGATAGTGTAAGATATTGGGTATTACTACAGATAATTCTTTGTCTGCATAATTCTTTTTCTTTGATTAGTCCATATAGTTAACTGGGATATGCACCTCAGACATTTTAAAAGCTCAAACTTACAGTAAATTCCAGAAAAAAGAAAGTTCCTGTATGAAGACAAACAGTCGATTTCTATACTGAAAGATCTGTTAGGTATATAATATGCCAGTAAGCTTCACAACCGATGGCGAGTGCGTGACCATGAGGTGGCTAGGCTTGAGCATCTAGTTAAGCACAGATCAAACCTGTTACTGTCAAGTGGGCATAAAATAAAATCAACGATGTCGATAAATTTAAATATGACTAGTACATGAACAGCATCATGATACATTATACCAAGATCCACGGAGAAATCCACAGCTGTAGATAATATCAGGGTGAAGAAGGGTGAGGCAAGTGAAGAAGTAATTGTTCGGCGGTAGGAAGAAGACCCGCTCCGGCGGAGTGCCTCGCCCTTTCAGTTAGCCCCAAGCGCGACCATCAAAGTGGAAGGCGCCAGAGCTCCATCATCCGTCATATAATTTCACCCAACCTGCTAACCGCCGCAAATTCGCACCCTCACCCCCCCCATCCTTCTCTTTTCCCCTTTATTGCGGCTCTCTCTGATACCCTTTCCTTTCTTTTTTCTCTCTGTGCAACCAACTGTCAAAGCTCCAGGGTCACGACCTGCACCGTCTTCCCTGGTCTTTTGCAGTCTGCTTGTTCTGGCGGTCTCTGCAGCAGTGCTCAAGAGCCGCATCTCCTCGTGTTTGTCGGCTCCCAGTAGCCCTTTCCGCTGTCGACCATCGAGCGACCGAAGAAGTTCAGTCGCATCGTCAGCTACGCTATTCACGCTACCGTTTTCAATATTTGCCACGAGCCGTTCTGGTTGGATTCATAGTCGAGGAAACCCCGAAACGTCATAACATACCTTGCGACTCTTTCACGGCTGGACGGACACCCAACCCCCCCCGCCTCCCGGGGTAAGACGACCAACTGGGAGTCCCATACTTCTCATGGTCTCCTACCTGACAGTTTAACACAATGGGGAGAATTAAGAAGGTGGCCAGCCAGAAACACGAGGCTACGATCGTGAGTGATGAGGACCCCGCTTTGACAACCAGCAGTTCTGTGCTGACCTTTGTTTTTCTCTGCAGTCACCGTTTCTGACGGATTTTATTGCGCAATGTATCAAAATTTCTATTGCAGAGCTCCCCCGACATCTCTCTGCTTTCCCTCGAACATGGCCTTTCCCACGAGGGGACCTTTATCATTGGATCGGTGTTCTGAATCACTTCGACGAGATATTGGCATCTGTGATCGAGAAGTATGAACTCAACGCGGGGCCACAGACCAAACCTTTCAGTCGTCTAGTGCTAGCAGATTCATATACGAGTGGCGGTCAGGTGAGCGCCGAGGAAGTTGATGCCCGACTCGACGCTCTGGGCTATGGTCCTGAAGGTGATAGGGAGCTGGTCGAGTCCATCTTGGATTTCTCCAGGCTCCTCCAAGACAAGTGTGGCAACCGTAGCCTGTACAGCAGTAGTGACCGTCTGGGCGATCTCCTCAACACCACATCGCTGTCTCTTCTGCAGTCGACTCTAAGGCTGGCTCTCGCCCTGGCCCAAAGGTACCATTCCCGGCAACGGACGAGTAGTACGCATATACAGCAGAGTCTGTTGGCAACACACTACAACATAGATCTGGAAAAGCTCCAGAGACTCGCCGTGCCGTTTCCGCGGCCCTTTGTGACTGCTAAAGCATCTGTTGCTACCTCTCCTGCTGTCTTGGTGAAGGGTAAGGAGAAGGCGGTTCAGACCACCCACGACGCCAATGACTTGGTCTCCTTGACGCGGGAGAACGAGGGATGGGAGGAATGGGGTGTTGTCCGTGTCTTGTATTACCCTCCTGGTACTGTCGATCCAGCAAAGAGTACCGCAGAAAGCGCAAACGCGGAACGACAGCCACAGGTACCGACAACCCCGACCCCATTGCGAAGAAGCAACACCCATCCTACGCCACGTTTGAGCCGTATGTCGACGACTGAGGAATCGCCTTCTGCCTCTGTCAACAGCCCTGGGAAACCTGACGAGCCGTTGCGAGGCGGCAAGGTCTTAGAGATTCCTTCCTCAAAAGTGTCTTCATCGAAAGCTGAAGACCTCGTCGCCACCGGGCTGAAGGAAGTACCAAACGAGGCAAAATACGATTTCCTCCAGAAGGTCAGGGTAGCTCAGGCGCTGGCTGCATCTCCGTCGACCCGGCAGCAGATCCTTGCGATCAGGATTCTGGCAATCACTAATCTTGCGTACGTTTACCCCGAAGCCGTCTTCCAGCAGAAGATCCTGCAGAATGATTCAGATCTGCCGAAGCGTCTCCAGCTTGCCCAGCAATTGGCGGAGCTTGCCCACCTTGGTGCGAGCGGTGATATTTCTGCTTCCAAGTCTTTGCAAACATTCGCTCTCAATGCACTTGACGCTTTAGCGAAACACAAAGCTAGAGCAGTTGAGGTTTGTGCAGCCTTGAATGTCAATGTCAACCACGGCATTCTCATGTTTTTGACACGGAAAGCTATCAACGATCTGGGATCCGATGCGGCCGAGGCGGATGACGCTGCAAACGATGAATGGCGTGATGCATTATTTGCACTTCTGCGGACGTTGCCTGGTTCAAGTACTCGAACCCCTGAGACATTGGTCGCTGCGGGATTGATTCCTATGTTCGTCGACATTCTCAACCTGCAAACGGAGAAAGCTCGGAGACTCTATCCCCGTGTTATGGAATTCCTCGACACCTTTGTTCATGCTGTACGGGACGCATTCTCAACTCTGGCAAGCGCCAAAGGATTCGATGCTATTTCTGATCTTATTGCGCACGAAACGACGTCATCTTTTGAGAATGTCTCGAAGGGCTCGGGGCTCCCTCCCCAGTACAAGACGCCCTCAATTGATTATCAGATCCCTTATTTCCAACAGCAAGCTCTTAGGTGGTTGTTTAGGTTCGTCAACCACATCATGCAGCACAATGGCGGCGGTTTCGACCGTGTGCTTCGGAATCTGATTGACTCTCCGCCCTTGCTGAAGGCACTGCGTCTGGTGTTTGAGAACCCTAGGATCTTTGGTTCCCATGTATGGAGTGGAGCTGTCAACATTTTGAGCAGTTTCATTCACAATGAACCGACCAGCTATGCGGTCATTGCGGAAGCCGGTCTGAGCAAGAGCTTCCTTGAGACTGTGATGCTGCGAGAAATCACAACTCCCGAGAACCCTGAACCCTCTCCAGAGGAGGAAGCTGAACCTTCGCCGGACCAGGAAGCCGGTGTAGTCTCTGCCGCGGCGCCGAGCGCTGAACCCAAAATACGTGAGTACAGTATCGTTAGGCCAAGGGACAGTCAGTTAGCCAGAGGGATTCTTCCCGCCGCAGAGTCAATTTCATGTATTCCTCAGGCCTTTGGCGCTATTTGTCTGAATGCCACGGGGCTTCGGCTCTTCCAGGCATCAGAGGCTCTGGACAGTTACTTCGAAATCTTCGAGTCTCCTGAACATGTCAAATGCATGAAAGACGATGCAAACTTAGTTCGCTCTCTGGGAACGACGTTTGACGAATTGGTTCGACACCATCCTGCTCTTAAACAGTCTGTGATGACTGCTGTCATTGTGATGGTCGCCCGTGTTGGCCTCCTTTGCAAAAGCAAAGCCTGGGAGCATGGAGCTGGTGCTCGACTCTGGACCGAAGACAAGGAAGGAACACGTTCTATCTCCGGAGGACCTTCATCTTTGCTCGGCGAGATTGGCTGCCCTATTGATAAGACATCTGGCCCTCAGCATATTAGTGTTCCGGAGCTTGACGCAGTGACGCTCCCCAACGGTAGTAAACTCCTCCCTGGTGATCCTAACCAGCTCGGTCTATCCGAGAGCGGACCGTCGGATCCCAAAGACGAGGACAGCCACGGGCTTACAGTTGCGAACTATCTCTACCCTGTCCTTCGGTTCCTGGGTGCATTCTTCGAGAATCAAGCCAACTGTACCTATTTCATTGAATCAGGCGGAGTCGAGTTTGTGTTAGACTTTGCTACTCTACAGAGCCTTCCGTTTGATTTCCATAGTAGCGAGGCTAGTCATGAACTGACTCAGCTAATTCACATGATGGCTGAAACTAAGCCGCATCTCGTGCTACCGTCTCTAGTTAACCGTGCCCAAAAGGCCGTGGACAGCGTTGCTGGCTTCTGGATGGAATCGAAGCCTGCCGGATTCTTCTCTACATTGGCAAAGCCGACCAAAGATGGCGAAACCTCGACAGACGCTGACGAGAGCGCACAATTTGCAAACGCCCATGGTACTTATTTCGCAAAGCATCTCGTTGCAGTACATATACTCACAGACATCCTTCGCGAGGCCTATACGCCGCCGATGTACCAAACACGCCCTAGTCAACAAACGTCGGCCTTTATTCATGTCAATCTGGCGGACCGGTATTCTGCCCTTGTAACTGCTCTCGGGCGGTTACACGGCGCTTGTGTGTGGGAGGAGATAGTGCTCCAGAAAAACATTCCGGATACTTGGAATGAAGCCACCAAAACTGGTGGGTATCGGGCTGGTAACGAGGAATCGGGCGAAAATGCTGGATTGCTCACTGCGGACGAAACATCTAATCCCTCTGAAGCTGGGAGGGGAAATGCTGGGCTTTCTGCTGGTGGTGATACCACCCAAGAAGCCAGTGGCGCTGGTTCTGCTCCCGAAGCCGCACATAACAAAATCCCCGAAGAAAGCGCTGCATTCAAGAATGCTCAGACCCTCCGCTATCTACTAAGCTCCGTTCCTTCTTCTATCACTGGATTCTTCCATCTGCTTGGTCACGGGCTTATTGGAAAGCGTCGTATGGATGCCTATCAAAAACAGAATGCATCCATGGTAGCTGAGGCCATTGCATCTGCAGTTCTTCGGCAACTGCAACTTGGCACACCTAACAGGACTTCTTCTATAAAGGATCGCTTTTCCTACCTCATTGTTATCCTGTCGTCCTTCTCGCAGTTGCTTTTCGAGACTACCGGCGAACGTTCTCACTCCCATTGCTTGACCTTAATTCTCTTTGCCTTTAAGAGACAGAATGGCTTGAAGGTGATGAAAGGTCTGTGCGATATTTTCCTGCGGGAGATCAAGACTCTAGTTCGCAAAGACGGAACATATGAAGACCAGGACGTGTCTGCACGACTAGCTTCGGCGTACGGAGGGATTAAGATCATTCTAACTTTCTTCTCGGAAATAACGTCAGCTCGGTACATCATGGATTCGACACAGACGCAAGCTATGACTAGTAATGAGAGGGAGCGGGATCGTCCTGATTTTTTCCAGCCTTCGCAGTTCTTGGTAGATCTCCGAATGGAAGTTCTGCCTATGGTCCGGGAGATGTGGAGCTCTGACTTTGTTGACCAAGCATCCAGCTCTATTGTCAAATGCCTGGTTGACATTTTACGCTCTACTCTTGATGGCGATTACGAGACTGGAGCTGCCCGACGCTCAGAAACACAGCCCATTTTAGTCGAGGCGCCTAAGAAGACGTTCTCCATCAACAGAGAGCGCATGACAGTGCTACGTGAGAAGGGTTTCGAGAAGGAACTCGTTAAGGAAGCACTGTACCGATGTAACAATTCTTCATCTACGGCTGAAGAATACTGTAAATCGCGAAACTGGCTCAGGGCACCGCCCAGACTCCCGCCACCGTCAAACGATGTCGAGACTCGGTCCAGTCCAGCGGGCGAGGCTTCTGAAGATGCCGCTGTTGGTGATGCCCCGCCATTCAGCAGTGGACTCCTCGAGAGATCCACCCTTGCTATGCTTCTAGCACAGGCTACCGGACGAACTGCTGAGGAAGGGGATGATGCACATGGCCAAACCGGCGGTCCAGGAAGAGAGATTGGGAACGGCACAGAGTTCTTGGCAAGAGCCCTTAACCATATCCTCAATGACCATGAAGACCTGGCGGGCGAGGAAGATGGCCGGCCGTCCAACCAGAATCAGGGAAACAATCCATCTGAACGTGCCGAGCAGACAGGAGATCACCCGGTCAGGCGGCGCGAGGTCACGACTATTGAAGACCTGGATGTGGAGCGGGACAAGATCCGATCGAACCTGATTGAACGCTGCTTGGATGTGCTTAACGTTCATCACGATGTGACATTCGAACTCGCAGACCTGATTGCAGCTGCGACCAAAAAGCATCGCGATCCTGAAGGTTTCCGCAAGGAAGTTGGAGAGACCCTAGTTCAGTCCTTGGTGTCATTGCAGACGGAGGAAGATATTCGGCCTTCTGGCAAGAAGATCGCTGCCTATGCTAATCTCCTTGCATTGGTGCTTCAGGACAAAGACATATACTCTGCGACATTGGGAGACATCAAGGACTATTTCGGAACCTTGCTTGGATTTATTCGGATTCCGCCCTCGGATAAGATGACAGAGGAGGCGAGTCCGTGGGTAGGCCAAGTGTTGCTCATCATCGAAAAGTTGCTATCTGATGATGCTCAGCCGCCTGTGATCCGTTGGAACCCCCCGAGTTTCGATGATCCCACTGCAAGCGAGGAACCTGCGCAGCTGGAAGAACCCCTGATCTCCCTCGAGGAGAAGATGGACCTCTTCGGAGCTCTTGTCGATATACTACCCCGCATCGGAAAAGACGATGCTCTTGCGCTATCTGTGTGCCGTATTTTTGTCATCCTCACACGGAACCGCAAAATTGCCGAGAAACTGGGGGAGAAGCGGAACCTGCAGCGTCTGTTCGTGATGGTGAAGCAACTTTCCAGTTCCACCAACGAGAAGTTGCAAAGCGCCTTCATGTTAATTCTTAGGCACATCATCGAGGATGACGACACTGTTCGCCAGATCATGAGGAGTGAGATAGTTGCCAACTTCGAATCTAGAGCCTCACGACAGACTGATACGACTGGCTATGTTCGACAAATGTACCACCTCGTCCTGAGAAACCCAGAACTATTCGTGGAGATTACGAACGAGAAGCTTAAACTTCAGCGCTATGACTCTCATCAACGCCCACAGATCCTTGCTCTGAAGTCCGACAAGACTGACAGTCCTCTCGGTCCCTCTGCGGTTTCGACTGGAAACGAAGGCGAAAATGTTGATAAGGATATGGAAAACATTGAAGCAAGTGGTGCGCTTCCTTCTACTGAAATTCCAGCAATGGAAACAAAGGACAAAGGAAAGGCCGCGGAACTCAGGGCACCAGTGGTGGAAAAGCCGGATGGTGTTATCCATTACTTACTCTCGGAACTACTATCATATAAAGATGTTGACGATAAGGAGCCGCCAAACGCCGAGGCCTCAGAACCATCAGGCCCTGAGCGATCTGACCCTCAAGCTGACGTCGAGATGTCTGGAGGAGAAGCGTCGCCGTCATCTTCCAGTGCAGATCTACCAGCAACACGGGATCAGAAGAAGACAGAAAAGCCAGTCTTCAAGGCTGATGATCACCCAATCTACATTTATCGCTGCTTCCTTCTACAGTGTCTAACTGAGCTCTTGTCATCGTATAACCGCACAAAAGTCGAGTTCATCAACTTCTCTCGCAAGGCTGATCCCCTGGCAACAACGCCATCGAAACCACGGTCTGGTGTCCTCAACTACCTACTGAATGCCCTGGTCCCTCTTGGCACCCTTGAACATGATGAATCGGTTGCCTTCAAGAAGAGAAGCAACACCTCTGCTTGGACTATGCGGGTAATCGTCGCCCTTTGCACGCGGACCGGCGAGTTTGGCGCGATAAACCCTAGACGACGCAACACTCAGGAAGAGGAAGATGAGCCTGATTTGGCATTTGTTCGAAGATTCGTCCTAGAACATGCTCTGAAGTCGTACAGAGATGCAAATTCTTCCACCGAACCTCTTGAGGTCAAATATTCTCGGCTCATGTGCCTTGCTGATCTCTTCGACAAGATGCTTAGTGGCTACTCGTTTGCTGGTGGTGACACTGCCTACCCATCTTCCACGAGGCAACTTGCCAAGACGATGTTTGAGAAGCATTTCATCTCTGCCCTTACAGCTTCTATAGCAGATATAGATCTCAATTTCCCTGCGTCGAAGAGGGTGATCAAGTACATACTCCGCCCCTTGAATAAACTCACGCAAACTGCCGTCATCTTGAGCGAGAACTCGGACCTCTCGACTCTAGGAGAGACCGAGGAAGACGAGATTTCATCAGCCACTTCTGTCTCCGATATGGATGATGATCGCGAGGAGACTCCTGACCTCTTCCGTCACTCTACTCTAGGTATGCTAGAGCCTAGCCACGAGGAAGAGACAAGTGAGGAAGAAACGGAAGAGGACGAGGATGAAATGTACGATGATGAGTACGGTGAAGAAATGGATTATGATGAGGACCTGCCGGAAGATGATGGCGAGGTTGTCAGTGACGAGGATGAGGAGCTAGAAGGCGCTGGTCCCATTGAAGGTCTCCCGGGTGATTCCGGCATGGACATCGAAGTTCTCATCGACGAAGACGAAGATGATGAGGATGAGGATGATGATGATGAAGACGAAGATGACGAAGAGGACGATATGGAGGACGATGAAATCATGGCTGGAGAAATCACGGGTGACCATGACAACGATAGCCTCGAGGAAGGAGACGAGGATGAATGGGAGAGCGAAGACATGTCCGAAGAGGATGAGGAAGCTGAGATGCTGAACCAGTTCGAGAACGAGCTACAAGATATCAGACAGGCAGACCAGCGTGGCGATAGTCACAGATTTGATGATCTTTTCCGTGTCCTTAATGAAGCCGCTGGAGGCGTTGAAGACTTCCATCACGGAGACAGTCTTGCTGGAGATATGCAAGATGATTTGATGGATGATGAAGTGAACGAAGACGAGGGTAAGTCCCTTTCATTGTTTAGCGTGGACCAGTCTCTAACTGCTCTTAGATGATGAAGAGATCGATGAGTTAGAGGAAGAGCTCGATGAGCTGGATGAAGACCAAGGGTCGTACCAGGGATACGATGGTAAGAGTGGCCCAAAATCATGCCATGGCTTTCCTTATATTGACCATCAGAAGATGAAGACATAGAACCTTGGGGATGGGACGGCGATGAGCCTCTCCCTCGCCATCATCACCATCATCGATTCCGTAGCGTTCCACCCCCATGGACTGCCCTGCCTGGTACAGGTGCAAACCGTCATGGAATAATCCCAATCCCTCCCTACCGTTCCCAGCGTACCCAGATACCGGCACGTTCAAACGATGACGGGACCAATCCCTTGCTCATCCGTAGCGACCGTGGTCCTGAGACTCCTGGACCTAATCGTGGGCCCGGCAGTGAAGCGTTCACTGACTGGGTGCATAGTATGGACCCGACTTCTACCGGGCGTCTGCTATCTGTCGATAGCCCAGTCAGTTTCATGAATGCTATTATGCAGGCAATCGGCGGGCAAGGAGGTCCAGGTTTTGGAGTGATCACCCGCCCTGAGGCAATTCACGTTCACGTCGACCGGCGAACTATTTTGCCAAACCGCATTCAAGATATTTTCGGTCTAGGCAGGCCTCAAGTGGTCTCTGCTCGTTCCCGTGACGATCCATCACAAGCGGTCGCTTTCTCACTGGCGACAACGACAACCCGTTGGCAAGAAGAAGCGCGTCTGCTGTTCAGCAGTGCTTATGTTGAAAAGACGCAGCGGGTGGTAAACTCTATCCTGCGCGTTCTGGTCCCCCCTGCTATAGAGGAGGAGAAGAAGCGACAGAAACAGTTGGAGGAAGAGCGGAAACGCCGAGAAGAGGAGAGGGCTGAGCGCGAACGTCAAGAGCGGATTGCCAGGGAAGAAGAGGAGAAGGAAAGGAGGCGCAAAGAAGAGGAAGAAGCGGCCAGACAACAGCAGGAGCTTGAGGAGGAAGCACAACGCAGAGCCGCCGCTGGAGAGGTTGAGCCGATGGATGATGTTCGAAGCACCGAGCCTCATGCTGAGGAGGAAGCCCCACCAGCTGAAACTGGACCATCTGAGCCTACTCACCGTGTTCATACTACTATCCGCGGCCGCCAGCTGGATATCACAGGCATGGAAATCGACCCCGAATATCTGGAGGCACTACCAGAAGAGCTCAGAGAGGAGGTAATCATGCAGCAACTCGCGGAGCAACGCTCTCAAGCGGCTGCATCTGGAGAGGAGCCTTCCGAGATCAATCAAGAGTTCCTCGAGGCTTTACCTGCTGAGATCCGAGAAGAATTACTGCAGCAGGAAGCGGCAGACCGTCGCCGCCGCGAACGCGAGAACGCCCGGAGACAAGCCGCAGCGTCGGGCGCCCCTGTCCACGCTGAAGAGATGGATGCCGCTAGTTTTATAGCAACACTGGACCCGTCGTTGCGACAAGCAGTTCTTGCAGATCAACCCGATGATGTTCTAGCGTCATTGGGGCCCGAATTCCTCACAGAAGCTCGTGCTCTCACTGGTCGAAGACTGAACCAGTTCGGAGATAGTGCAAGAATTGACCGCCAAAGAGAGGAAGCAGTCCAAGACCAAGAAGCGAAGAAGCCTCAGCGGCGCCAAATCGTCCAAATGCTTGACAAAGCTGGTGTCGCGACGCTTCTTCGTCTCATGTTTATGCCCCTCCAAGGAAATGCTCGTCACCAGCTTAACGACATCCTCCATAATGTCTGCGAAAACCGTCAAAACAGAATCGAGGTCATTAGTCTTCTGCTTTCGATTCTCCAAGACGGAAGCACAGATGTCAGCGCCGTGGAACGCAGTTTCGCCCAGTTGTCACTTCGTGCAAAGACCCCCGCAGCGCAGAAGACACCTCAGCCTGTCAAGAGAACATTGTCCTTCCAGACCACGGCCAGTGCTAACAATGAGGTAACGCCGCTGATGGTGGTGCAGCAATGTCTCGGCGCCCTTTCTTTCTTGACCCAGTTCAATGCACACATTGCATGGTTCTTTTTGACCGAGCACGAATCTGCTTCTGCGCTGAAGCTGAAATCTTTCCGTAAGGGGAAGGGCAAGGAGAATCGTGCAAACAGATTTGCTTTGAATACTTTGCTCTCCTTGCTGGACCGCAAGCTGATAATGGAGAGTCCGACGTGCATGGAGCAGCTTTCTGGTCTCTTGAGCAGCATCACTCAGCCACTCACACTCCTGCTCCGCCGCGAAAAGGAGAAACAAGAAGAAGCAAAGGGTAAGGAGCCAGAAGCTGCTGCCGGACAAGAGGAAGAGAAGCGCCCTTCGATCGAGGGCGGTGCCGCGGATACCACCATGACAGAAGCTGCTCCCCTGGAGGCAGCAAAGCCTGCCGAGGATGAAAAGCCAAAGAGACGGACAATTGAACCCCCCGTCGTACCAGAGACCAACCTCAACAAGGTCGTTCATATCCTTGCAGCACGTGAATGCAACGGAAAGACGTTCAGAGAAACCCTCTCAACCATAAACAATTTATCCGCCATCCCAGGCGCTAAAGACGTGATTGGCAAGGAGTTGATCAGTCAGGCTCAGGCTCTCAGCATGACAATACAGTCTGATCTTGACGAACTTTTGCAGCATATCCATCAGGCTAACTCAGGTACTGAAATGCAAGGCTTGGCGCTTTCCAAGTTCTCGCCGCCGAGCTCGGATCAGACCAAACTGCTCCGTGTTCTCACTGCTTTGGACTACTTGTTCGATCCGAATAGAGTAGACAGGACAAAGGGTGCCGAGCCTGAATCCGCGGCCAAAGAAGACATTCTGAAGACATTGTACGAAAGCTCAGCCTTCGGTCCTCTCTGGGCTAAGTTGAGTGACTGCTTGACTGTCATCCGCCAGAAGGAGAATATGCTGAACGTGGCGACTATACTCCTTCCTCTCATTGAATCTCTCATGGTTGTATGCAAGAATACCACCCTGAAGGATGCGCCCATCTCAAGATACGTCAGGGAGCATTCCGTGTCCAGCCCTCCGCCAGAGACTGGATCCGCCATGGAAAACTTGTTCTTCAGGTTCACGGAAGAACATCGTAAAATCCTGAATGAGCTTGTTCGTCAGAACCCTCGTCTCATGAGCGGCACATTCTCTCTGCTCGTCAAGAATCCGAAAGTCTTGGAGTTTGACAATAAACGCAATTACTTCACTCGCCGCATCCACTCTCGCGGCACGGAAACACGACACCCTCATCCTCCTCTTCAGCTTTCTGTTCGCAGAGATCAGGTGTTCCTTGACTCCTTCAAGTCTCTCTACTTCAAGACAGCAGATGAAATGAAATACGGAAAACTGAGCGTTCGCTTCCATGGAGAAGAGGGTGTCGATGCAGGAGGAGTGACGAGGGAATGGTTCCAAGTACTTGCTCGAGGAATGTTTAACCCTAACTATGCGCTGTTCATTCCTGTTGCCTCCGACCGAACAACTTTCCATCCTAACCGCCTCAGTGGTGTCAACTCAGAACATCTGATGTTCTTCAAGTTCATCGGACGGATTATTGGCAAGGCGTTGTATGAGGGCCGCGTCTTAGACTGTCACTTCAGCAGAGCTGTGTACAAACGAATTCTTGGGAAGTCTGTCTCTCTCAAAGACATGGAAACCCTCGACCTCGATTATTACAAATCTCTAGTCTGGATGCTCGAGAACGATATTACCGATATCATTACCGAGACTTTTGCCATCGAGACCGATGACTTCGGAGAGACGCAGATTATCGACCTGATCCCGAATGGTCGCAACATTCCTGTTACGCAGGAGAATAAGGAGGAATACGTGCAGCGCGTAGTCGAATACCGCTTAATTGATTCCGTTAAGGAGCAGCTCGACAACTTCCTGAAGGGCTTCCATGACATCATTCCAGCTGATCTGATTTCCATCTTCAACGAACAGGAGCTCGAGCTTTTGATTTCTGGCTTGCCTGAAATCGACGTGGACGATTGGAAGAACAACACGGAATACCATAACTATTCCGCCTCGTCCCCGCAGATCCAATGGTTCTGGCGTGCTGTGCGATCGTTCGACAAGGAAGAGCGCGCCAAACTGCTCCAGTTCGTTACCGGTACGAGCAAGGTTCCACTCAACGGCTTCAAGGAGCTCGAGGGTATGAACGGGTTCAGCAAGTTCAATATCCATCGTGACTACGGCAACAAGGATCGTCTTCCAAGCTCTCACACCTGCTTCAACCGTAAGTGTTTCTGTTTTCTACTCTATCTTGAGAATTCGCGCTAACATTACCACTAGAAATGGATCTGCCAGAGTACGAAAGTTACGAGGATCTTAGATCGCGGCTGTACACAGCTATGACAGCTGGTAGCGAATACTTTGGATTTGCATAGACTGATCGATGCCTTTTTCGCTGGCTTTCACGACGGTTATGGCCATATTTGCGTTCTCATGCTCAAGCATCCGGCGGCGCTTGATTCTTTCCACTTATTTGTACCATTCAAATTGTTAACTGGCATTTTCTTTTTCGAACTAAGGGGACTTGTAATCTACATTTGGGGAGGGTGATTCTGGGGGTGAAGGGCCAAAGGGATGGTGTGCTCGTAGGAGAAACTTGCAATCCGTACAGAATTCAGGCTGAAGTGCAGGTCAGTCGGTTTTCTAAGGTTGCAAAATTCCTTAAGGTCAGGGTTCACTGCTCATTCATGTATTTAAATTAGTTCATTTGCAAAAGTAGAAATTATTCTTATGGTTTCGGTTAACTAAACTGATGACTTCATTTGTAATGGACATGTGCTGGTACTTCGTGGAGGGCTGTCTCTGGCCGATAGGTTGCCAAGGGCCCTTTTATACCAGTTCTCCATTAAATGCATCAAATGCCTAACTCCTGAAGATCCTGTTTGCCCGATCCGCTCCCGAGCCTTTATCCAGGCTCTGTTGTCCTGCTTCGAGAACTGAGATATTTTCATCTTCAGGATGAGAGGACTTACGAGTCGACGAACAAAAAGAATAAGTTATGGGAAAGAAGTAAATACCAACAAACAAACCAACGGATACCAATTTAACGTTACGTAGCGAAAGGTGCATAATACCTAGCCAGGCATTGTTGTTGGAACATGGTATGTGATTGATATTATCCACATAGCGATGTATCCAAACATGCAGCACCTTTGCTAGGTAAGAGGTTAACCAAGCTGTTGTGATTGCTTTCAAGATCAAGGCTTATCCGAAAGGGCGTGGGCGTGGGCGCGAGCATGAGCGTGTTTTTGTCGCCTAGTTTTAGTAGTGCTCGTATGGATCGAGGCGAGGTCTGCTTCAGATTAAAGGGAGAGAGAGAGAGGGAAGAGAAACTAGGTATCGTCCTTTTTTTTTGTGTGCGAAGTAAAAAATGGATGAATTGATTTGGAGTACAAAGAGCTTTCTTTCATTTCGCAAAACATATCAGCCCGCAGTGACGTTGCCGTGCCGTTGCCTTTGGAAAAAAGAAGAAATGCCATTTCCCCATCCCTTTGAAAAATTTTTTGCACTCCGGATTTTTCCGCCAGCAGACGTCGAAAGAAACCAATGCGGCTTTGTTCCTCGTTCCGTCTACATTGGGTCCCAGCTCCTTTCCTCCCGCCTGTCGTTAAAGCCCCTAGCCGTGGCCAGGGAGCCAATACAACCCGACCATTACTCCCCCGGAAGAACGTCTATTTCTTCATGGAAGAAGCTCTCCGCTTGCGGAGCTCGGTCTTCTTGGCCTTCTCCTCGTGGACACGGGAAGCCAGGAGCTTGGCGTATTCGTTACTATTGTCGTTGATGGTTAGTTCGATGCATAGACAACCACAGTGTATTTGGGGTTAGCTTACGCAGCCTCGCGGCCAGCCTCAGCGCGACGGCGCTTGAGGGCGATTCTGTGACGCTTGCGCTGGAGACGCTGAGGAGTAACAAGGCGCTGGATCTTGGGGGCCTTGGTGTAGTCCTTCTTGCCCTCACGGGTGACAGTGCGGCGGATGACGAACTTGCGGACATCGTCCTTCTTGTCGAGACCGAAGAAGCGGCGGATCTTGGTGGCACGCTTGGGACCGAGTCTCTTGGGGACGACGGTGTCGGTGAGACCGGGGAGGTCGTTCTCACCCTGCTTGATGATGCTCAGAGCGAGGACGGAGAGATCCTGACCAGTGATGGCTGTAGAGCAAATTCAACGTCAGCCTCCATCGCTCCGCACGTTGATTCGGGAATCAATCGAACATACCACCACGGATACTCTTGCGCTTGCGCTCACCAGTCCGGCGGGGGCGGTAGCAGCTAACAAAATCAATCAGTACCGATATCTTCCATTTCATACGTTCGTTTCTATCCTCGGGAGTCTGTACCTGTGGCCGTCGCTAAGGAGCAGACGGGTACGGGTGGGAAGGAGAACTGTTCGAATCGCTCAGTTTGCAGAACCGTGAATTTGCGTGTCGTTTGAACCTACCACCCTGCTTCATAGGGAAACCTGTTAATCGCTCGAGTCAGCCTATATGTCCAACCATAACTCCATCAAATATATGCTCCAATGCTCGCGTGTCCAGTCGTACCTTGCTTGTCGTTTCCACCGGTGATCTTGAACAGGTAGCCCTTGAATTCATCACCGAGAGAGTCACCGGAAACCTAGAGATTTCGAAAGAGTTCGTATCAGTTTTTGCTGTTCGACACATCGGAACGCCCCGACAGGCAAGATGTCCGGGGGGAGTAGGGATATAGCTGACTTCGGTGCCCATGCGCTTCTCCATGAAGGGACGGAGCTTGCGCTCATCGTCCACCTCGATGATCTTCTGCGACCCATTGGCCGGGTAGGAGATGTTGAGCTTCATCTTGACGGAGTTGCGCGGTCAAGACGGAGGCGCGGGTTTGTCGACAGATCGAGGGTTGTTGAGGTCGTCTCGGGGATCGTTCTTCGTGGGATTTTTCGGTGTTGGTGTAGCGAGATTTCCATGTGTGGGCGGCTGACTCAGCTGCGCTAACCGCTTGTGAGCGCCTTCCTGTCTTGGCGGATAGGGCTTGATTATGTCAGCTGTTCTTCCCCAGCTTCAACAGTAACTGCAGATCTTCTCCCAAAGGCACACTACACAACCATGTTCATTTCAGTCATCATAAGAGCACAATCCATCCATTTCATCTGATATATTTGCCGTGGTTCAGTCGATTCATCGTATAAATACATGCACAGCATTCGAGGAGGAGCTCTCCCGACTATTGTACTTGACGATCCTCGACCATCAGATTATCCCACTCACTCTAGAGGCAATTCACGTCGATACAAGGCGCCCGTGTCATTCTACACAGTACCATTTAACAAACATGGTTCCTTACTATACAGCTTCAAAATATGAATAGAGAAACGAACGCATGATGTTGGAGCGTTCGTGATGCAACTTACGGATCTGGGGACTGTCAGTCCGTCTCGCCTCCTGGATCTGAAACAAGAGAGCTTCAAATGCCTGTAACTAACAGCAACTACGAAGAATTCGTAGTAAGCCAGCACATCTTCTCTGGTTTCTTTGCTTTTTAGCTGACGTCTAAACTGAAGATAAAGAGGGCCGCAAAAGCCTATCAACAGCGTGCCCCAGTCACGATCATCTCGTGGAATTCCTTAGCACGCGACTCTGCTGCTAAGCCTCAGGAGGGTACATTGTCCTGGATAGGTTACAGGTTCAACGTAATAATGTATCCTTTGAGGCTACACCGGTACTCCCTACAGGGCAGCCAATTTATGCTCCAGAGCCCGGGCAATAATTCCAGGCCAGCAACGTTATTTATACCCCGCAATTTTCTAAAGCGATTACCCTGCGAGTTTGGAAACAGAGTAGTAGACCTCTGTGAATGGCCATGGGCGCCAGGGAACCCAGAATTGCTCCCATAAAATTTGAACAGAACGCAAGAATGAGACGGCGTTGACGCCTTAAGAATTCGCCTCAAATAGACTGGCCTATGTATAGTCTAGTCTTTACTTCTGGTAAGTTACGCCTTGGTGTGGTCTCCACAACAAGCTTTTTTTTTAAGATCGCGGGCGCGTCTTCTAACTATCTAACCTTCTTAGCATTATATTGGCCGAGCGTTCCGGCTTGAGGATGCATTGGCCCCCTAGCCCCCTACTAGACATGCGACAGCGAACCAGCGCCGCGTGGCCGGAGCGCTTCAAATAGTAGTTTCTTACGAGCAGTTGACGCCTGTTACAATAATTATGCGGACATTCTCTCTTCTTTTCTACTCATCGCGAAGTTGAAGCATTTCTTCATCTATCGCTCGTTCCCTTTTCTGGTCTTCGCTGCGGAATTCTGCTAATTACCACTTCCAAGATTTTGCGACAGTCTTTCCGGGTCTGCCGTCTGCTCAGCACGCGACTTGTCTGCAGATATTACCCGACTCATAGTAGCGACCTGAAAGAAGATATCTGCTAGTGTCTGTTGATACTGACGCGAAATTACCATATTATTGATCGTCACGGCCCGCTTCATTGTGCAGACACCATCTGCCGTATGCGATCGACCCCGCGATCTTGATCGGCCCCTATTCTTACCTGAACAGGTTCATTGCGTTTTCGCGATGCGATCTCTCAGCAAATTCCACGTTCTCAGCGCCCTGGCAGCTTGCAGTATATTGTACTCAGCCTGGGTGCTGACATCCCGTCGGTACCAGCTGATCGCGCCTGTGGGTTCTGGTCGCAACTTTCAGGTCGCCAGCGACTTCGACAAACGGCTGGTCGTGTTTGGCGATTCATGGAGCGATGACAAGGTGAAAGGCGCACGTGTGCGGGTATGGACAGATTGGCTTTGCTCAATGGTAAGGGTTTGCTGCCGAGAGAGAGACATCTTACGGAACTGCAACTGACTCAAGATGCTTGTAGTTCGACTGCCACCAGGAGAATCTGGCGCAAACAGCCGAATCATCTCAACAAAAGTACGGGGGCTCTGTTGTGGACAATACAGAACTGGAAGATCTGAGCTCGGGGTTGGGTTGGTATAAAGCACCACTGGCGGACCTGGGGTCTCAGATGCAGCAGTGGCTCGAAGCGGAACAAACGGTTATGCAGGGTATGCCCGCAGAGGCAGTACAAACTCGCCAGAACAATACGATCATCTCGGTTGGCTTTGGGGTCTGGGATCTCTGGAACCTAATAGGAAAGGAATATGATGACGCGAAGGCATCGGTTGCACACAGCATCACCACCATCTTCGAACGCCTCAACGACCTGTCCGAGAGATGGGGAACAAAGGATATGAGAGTGATTCTGACCATGGCTCCTGATGTGACCTTTTTCCCAGCGTTTCGCCCCACGCCTGAGAAGCAGAAAGATACTGTGAAATTAGTGGAATACTGGAACAATATTCTGCGACACACAGCAGAGGAGTGGGATCGCGGGACGATCTATCTATTTGACACAAATGAGTTCATGCTGGATCAGCTCCGTGACTGGCAGCTTTTCGCTGCTGGTATGGAGGATGCGCATGGCCTGGGTAAGAACGAAGACCCCGGTTGGGAAGATGTGACACGACCCTGTGTGCAGAATAATTCCACCCTGCTGTTCTGGACAGAGACAGCATGCGAACACCCAGAGAAATATCTATTTTGGTAAGCCTTTTTGTCCGGTGACAAAGAAGCCTGAAACTAATCGTCGTACAGGGACGATATGCATCTGGGTCCTTCCGCCCATAGAATGATGGGAGAGGAAATCTTCCACGGCATAGAGATGCTTTGGTTAAATCAGACGCTTTGGTTGAACCAGACCGAATCGACGTCTGCAGGAAGTGGTTCCCGCGATGCAGCAGCTTAAATCGTGGAGCCCGATATGAACGTCATCTATCAAATCTCCGGTCATCGATAGCTCACGGCCCTCCTGTCACCGCGACAGGATTAGCTCATAGAGCTGGCCCTATTTCATCGGTGCCTCGATGGCGGGTCTCTTCGCTGAGGCCCTGGTTCCGGGAGAGACTATTGTGGGAGAGATCCGATATATGAAACCCTGTCCTCATGAGCCACAGGTCGGGAACCACAGGCTTAGCAGTCATGATGCGCCCGTCTTCGTCCAGCCTACCGAGGGCCAGCAGTAGACTATCGATCGGAATGAGATCGTGGGGAATTTGAGTTCGCCCGTCAGTCTGCACATCATCGATCTGTCCGCATCAATGCTCCCCACACTCCGATTAGGTTCCTCTGGGTTCCTCTCCGAGCCAGGACGTCGACTTGTAAGAATCACAGTGGCTGATGGTCGTTTGTCTGTCTCATTCCTGAGCGGGGCCGTTGATTGGATGTTCCGCGTCAAAGAGCGGCGGAATCCTCTGCGGCGCGCCGCATTCGGAGAGGCGCCAGACAAAGGAACCCAAAACAATTGTTCGCCTCTCCATGAAGGAACTACGGCCATATCCCGCCCATAGCCCCACGGCTTTACACGGATTGTTTGCAATGAGCGCTGGTGACGAGGGGAGACAAAGAAATATCCGCTGGTTCCTAAATCTGGAAGAATCACAGGGTCTTTATAACAAAGGGCTTGAGCCACATCCCTCTCCCATGCTACATTTCGACTCAGCCCAAATTTTTTTTTTTTTGTACTTAGAAAGTCATAATTTGCGAATGGCAGGTCTATCATGATAAATCCTTTGGCAGCCGTCCTCTTCAATTCATTCCTTTCTCCTTTGCTCTTTTGTTCGCTTACTATAAATGTTCCTCTCATCGCCGGGGCCTCCCACTCGACTAATGTCTTACGACCGAGTGCTTCCCAAACCCATGGCTCTCTACTATGACCCCGCTAGAAACACCCTGCCCAGGCCGTCGACAAGCCTGTTGGAGCACAAGATTATGAATGATTCGTTCTCCAAGGTCACGCTGCCTCAGAGGGATGCTTCTATCTTGCGTTCCAGCGGGCAGAACGCCGAGCCCGTAGCGGCACCCGCTCCGCTATCACAGGCTCATCTCGCATCTATCAATCACGACAAGGTAGCCATTAATTCGATTTCGTCGAGGACTCCCTTGACGAGAGAGCGGCTGTCTCCAGTATTGACAGTAGATCTCCCCAAGAGTACCCGCTCCTCTTCTGCCAGTCCTCCCAAGTCGAGTTCCTCGAGAGAGACGACGCAGTTCTGCCTCTGCCAACCTGACCCGAAGATCCCACGGCCTCGAAATGGTGAGTTACTATTGTGGGCATTTGGAGCTTTCCGTCCCAAGTCCCCGAATCCATGCTTCTTGGTTTGAAGGGTATCTATCTCAATGATGTTCTGATGTCATACTAACGCTTATCTGAAAACCACAGCTTTCATACTTTATCGACAGCATTACCAGGCATCCGTAGTGGCACAGAATCCGGGACTGGCAAATCCTGAAATATCGAAGATCATCGGGGAGCAATGGCGGGCGCTTCCAGAGGAGGCGAAGAAGGAATGGAAGGCTCTTGCAGAGGTAAGCACGGCATATTCATCCTATCGTTTTCACTGAACGGGCTTGCTAATCTTTTGGGACAGGAAGAGAAAGCTCGACATCAACAACAATATCCGGATTACCGTTACCAGCCCCGTCGATATGGACGTGACGGTAGTTCCCGAGGTACGAAGAGTTCGGGGATCAGTCACAATCCTCCGGGAGCCACCAGCTGCAGTCGGTGTGGAGGCCGGATCATGCATCCCCCTTCGACTCCGGATACCCCTTTTACTCCAAGTGGGCAGATGGTCGATGCTCGTAGAGAAGAATCACTTCCCACCACGGCTCCGAGCTTGCCTTCTCGCGGCAGAGAGACGGTCCGACCATCAAGTGTCCCGGATCAGAGGGCTTCTCGGCCATACGAGGGAGACGAAGGATCCTGGTCTCCCGATCCTAAGCGTCGTCGGTTCAATGTGCATGGAATATATCCGAGTGGTGATGGGAATAGTAGTCCTGATATGGCATACCCGCCATCTCCGCAAAGGACATACGCCCGTTCCGATCCGACGCACAACCGGATGCATTACCAGATGCTGCCACCCCCTAAGCCATACCAGTACCGTGATCCTAGTCTTAAGCTCCCTCCACTGAAGACGGCCACTTCTCCCAAACTTGATCGGCAGGACTTGAAGGCGACTGTGATGACCATCCCCTCTGTCAACAAAGTCAAGGTCCTTGCCAAGATATCGCCTCCTTACGATAATGGTCCCAAAGCTGCAGACTCCCCAGCTAGAGGCTCGGTGATCGCAGTCGACGGACAGGACCCCGCCCTGGTCAGAGACATGGTGAGATACCTTGGCAGCCTCCTGACAAAGGAAGGCAAATATGCGGTCCGTGTCTTTGAAGGGCCAGATATCAGACCTCGTCAACCCTCTTCTCAGGCCGGCGACATGGGTGATGCGACAGTTGATTATCTGAATACGATCTCTGCCTGGCATCGTATTTCGGATGAGATGGTCAACTTTATCACCTCGCGATCCAAGCCAAGAGCTGATCGCTCACCCCAAGAACCTGGGTCTGCTGTCTCCATTACTTCTCGGACAGCCAAGCTGGACGTCAATTCCCCGACGTCTTCAGCCCCCGCGTCTCCCCAAAGCCCCATCCCCATCGCCATTGTTCCTCGATATCAACTCACCACGGCAGATGCATTTGCGTGTGCCATTCCTATCAATGACTCCTATGCACCTCTGGATCACTGGCAGTGGATGGCTTCTCTTTGGCGCGCTTGTATCGGACCGGATATCACTGTGCATATCCAGGAGTGCGAGAAAGAGGAACTGGACCGATATGGAGGCGGCACCCCTGTAGAGGTGCGGCTTTCCGACGCACGGATGCTGATCGTGAGGAAAGGGATGGATTTCCCCAAGGACATCGACGAGAAGGCCCTGCGAAGGGTTGGGTTCGAGGTCGAGGATTTCCTAACCAGGTAAGCTGACTTCGCTATTTGCATATGATGAAGTTGCATCAAGTGGTTATTGTTCATTGCATCCATTGGTTATTTTTATCTTGCATCTCCGGGGAAAGCATCTGTTGTGGCGCGGGGTGGTCATTTGCTTTTGTTCATCTGGCATCATCATAGCATCGTATCATTATTTCCTTGCATTGGTTGGGTCCCTGTATGTTCTATGGAGACTGGCTCCATTCGTTCTGTGCCTGTGTGTAGGTACACGGTGTGGAACTATGCATTTTGTATTCAACATATCATAAGAAAATTGAAATACTCATCAAGAATGGACAAGTTCCACGTAGACGATTAAGTGTCGCGGCTAAGTAACTTCGGCTGGCGGCCGCTTTCCAATATAACCTATTTGGGTAAGGCGCTCTGTTGCCTTGGGTCGGATTTGGATAGGCGGTGAGAATAACACCCAATGGGAAGATGCAAATCTCGGAGATAACAAATTCTGCCACCGCCTCAAATCTCGACTCGGACCGAATTAGAGGCTGATTGTCTCGACCGTGAAGCTGAGCATTCAATGGTGATAGCATTATAATGAAGTTGGAGAGTGAATCTCCAATCTTGCCGGTCTCTCAAGCCCTGGGCCTGGGGGACCCAGCCTTGCATGTAAGTGATAAACGAGCGTTGCTGAACTCCCGTCCGACGATAGTTGCTGATCTCCTTTTCTGTGCCTAGTCTGAGGAATCGAGTCACCTTGTCAAAATAGAATCCGGATTAATGTCTGCCTCTGTTTTGCAAGACGGCCAATCTTCCTCATCCGCCAGTCCTTCCTCAGTGTCGACGCCATCACAGACCCAGTCACAGAATAATATTAACGTGCTTGGCAATGAGACAGAGAGGCAGAGCCTTCTGGACAATCTGGATAACTACATACCTATCGGAGTACTTAGGAGAGATAATGGGTCAGCTCCTGGCGATGATGGATTTCCTGAGACGGAGCTGGCTAGCTTGGAGAAGCATAATTGGATACGAACTACAACGCATACGTTTAATGGCGACACTGATGGATACTACATACGGGTTTACGTCCTGCCAGATGATTCTGGGCGGAGGTTCGTCCCACGCTCGAGTACTGGCCTCAGGCGAGCGTTGAAGACTGTTATATCTAGAGTGGACAGCTCCTCCGACGCTTGGGAAGGGGGGATATCGAAAAATGAGACGAAGCGTCCCGACGGTGCAGAAGATGAGTCATTATGGTACATCTTCAATACCTTAGAGGATCCTAGCCCGGATGTGGGATACGTGAGAGATCAGTATTCCCGGAGAGCAATGGAAGATTTGCTCTCAACTACGGATCCCTCTGATGGGCAGCCATATGGGTATTCTCATGTCATGGGGCTGAAGACTCCTTTACATCCGTACCAACGTCGATCAGCGGCCACCATGGTGCAACGGGAGGCGCAACCTGCGCAGACCCTGGACCCGAGATTACAGGCTTACAAATGCCCTACTGGCGGGGAGTATTACTACGACAAAGAAGAAGGGTCTATTGTCCGTGAGAGAAGACTCTACTCGGAGGCCTGTGGAGGTATTCTTGCAGAAAGTATGGGTTGTGGCAAGACACTCATTTGTCTCTCCGTCATCCTAGCAACCAGAGGACATGTCCCTCGAATACCGACTGAGTACCAAGAGACTACAAATCCAGTTCGCCCAAAGGTCGGCTCTTTAATGGAGATGGCGGCTGCTTCTGCTGGCCGTAATTCACTGCCGTGGAGTGCCCACTTTGACCTCCTGCGGGAGAACGGTGTGTTCTATGAGCGGTGTGTGAAAGCGTGCGAGGCCAAGCGTGGAGCCTACACGATACCGGCGCCTACTTCGAAGTATGGAAATCGGGGGAGTGCGACTTACACAAGGCCTCCTCCTACACGTCTTACTCTCTGCTCAGGAACCCTGATTGTGGTGCCTCCTAATTTAGTGGATCATTGGGTACATGAGATCGCGACCCATACCGAGGGATTGAAAGTCTTGACTATTCGCACTGGCGCGGACAAAACGCCTCCAGCGGACAAACTCCTGAATTACGATATTATTCTGTATTCCAGGACACGTTTTGAGAGGGAGGCTGGCGAGGCAGTCAATAACCGCCGGGCACCTGCAAAGGTGGAATATAAATCGCCTCTAAAAGCGCTCCATTGGCTACGAATAATTGTCGACGAGGGACATAATGTTGCCGGCCACGGCCAGAAAAACAATATGATGCATATACTGGATCAACTACATATTGAACGGCGATGGGTTGTTTCTGGAACACCTTCGACGGGGCTGTACGGTGTCGAAATCAGTCTTGCTTCTCAGGAATCACTAACGAGCGACACTGACCAAATCGACGGCGACAATGCGACTGCTGCTGCGCTGAAATCGCGGAAAAAGACAGGAAATGCCGTGCAAGAGGAGCTGAAAGATGTCGACAAGCTCAGGCTCATCGTTGTGGATTTCCTGAAGCTTAAGCCATGGTCAAACTCGCGAGGCGATGATCCAGCTAGCTGGACTAAATACATCAAGCCTGTCGGTGAAGATGGGAAGAGGAAGAAAGCGCCTTCTCTACGGGCTGTTCTTCAGAGTTTGGTCGTGAGACATCGACTGGATGTCATTAGCGACGAATTACCCCTTCCTCGGCTATACAACAAGGTGACTTATCTTGAGCCTACGTTCTATGATAAGTTGTCGATCAACTTATTTCTGTTCTCTTTGACCGTGAATATTGTCACCTCGGAACGCAGGGACTTGGATTATATGTTTCATCCAAGAAACAGGAAGCATCTCAGCCAGCTGATTAGCAATCTGCGACAGGCGGGGTTCTGGTGGACTGGTTTTGAGAAGAAAGATATCGAAGCCACGCTAGAGACTGCCCTGAAGTATATGGAGAAAAATAGCGAGAAAGTGAGTGCAGAAGACGCCAACACGCTCAATAAAGGAATCGAGATTGCTCGCAAGGCGCTCAGTTGCAAAAGCTGGAATGCTTTTAGCAATATGGATGAACTGGGAATCTTTGTCCAAGACTTCCCAGAGCATGCCAGGGGCATGTGGGCTCTGGCCGAATCGGAAAAGGAACCTTTGCTTCTGGGGATATCGCAGGCGCGTTTAGCACAGAAATTTGTCAGTTCTCGCTTGACTGCCCCTGATCCCGGAGAGGGTCTTGCCGGTGCTGGTATCCGAGCTCGGCGTGAGATCTCTGACCGGACAGGGAAGACGAGTGCGTCGGAGCAGAAGAGCTCAAACTCTGCGGACAAACTGATTCATAAGTCAAAACCGGATCAGAAGCAGTCTCCTAAAAAGACATACTCAAAAGGACTCTATAAGGCCCTTCCACCAGAGTCCCCGCTTGCTAAGACGAAACTGGTGGGAACGACGTCTGCTAAACTGACATATCTTCTTGACCGGGTCTTGGAGCTCCATAAGACGGAAAAGATAATCATCTTCTACGACAACAACAATACCGCATTCTGGATTGCTGAAGGATTAGAGGTTTTGGGTATCGAGTTCCGAATCTACGCCGGTACGCTCAAGACTAGCCAGAGAACCGCGTATCTGTCACTCTTCGATGAATCTGAGGAGGTTCGTGTTCTCGTCATGGATCTACGACAGGCCTCACATGGCCTCCACATCGCCAGCGCATCCCGTGTATTTATCGTTAACCCAATCTGGAGACCCAACGTTGAAAGTCAGGCCATCAAACGAGCTCATAGGATCGGGCAGACGAGACCGGTGTTTGTGGAGACTCTCGTTCTCAAAGATACCTTGGAAGACAAGATGCTGAAGCGACGCAAAGAAATGTCGAACGCAGAACTCCAGCAAGCAGAGAAGGACCTACTCGATGACAGCACGATGAGTTATATTATCGAGAATGAACGGTTCATATCGATGTCTGAGGATGAGTTAGCAGCCCAGGCTGCATACCTGCAGAACCCACAGGGCTTCTTCGACCGACACAAGCTCCCTCTCCCCGATAATTACATCCTAGATACGCATGACCTAGACCAACCGGACCCGGCCACACCTAGTAAACGGAAACGTTCTCTAGAGTCGGCCAAAATTTCTAGGATCAATTTCGACATGAGCCCAGAGGCTGAACTGAGTGGAGGGAACCACAAGAGAAAGAAGGCTTCCTCGCTTGAGTTTGCACCCGAGAACGAGTCTGTGATGACGTCTGGCCCTACATATAAAGCGAGGGTATCATTGTCCGCCTCTTTCGCTGGTGTTGCTGGCGCGTCTGATGCCAGTGAACGTGTGGGCGTCGTCCCGAGTTTATTTGGAGATGGAAATCCGTCTCTTCATAATCCACCACGAGTATCGTTTGGCAACGTTACTCCCACGCCTTGAAATCGGCTTTTCCTATCTTCGTGCCTTACGTGCTACTGTACACTCAAGGCTTTTGTAATATTGTGAATATTTTGGGATGCTTTCATGTACAGGGAAATAATGCGGAGTATATTGTTGCGGTTGGGTTGGGTGTTGATCGGGGAATAATAACAGACGATATACCCCTGAACCTACTTCAATAGTTTTAACTCACACCAAAGCCTGGGCTCATGCTAAACCTTGGGCTAATACCGGAGGTTCAGCTTTTGCTAGAGTTGGGGCTCATGCCAAAGGTTGGGTTCACGCCGTAGGTTTAGCGTACACCGAAGTTTTGGCTCAAGCTGGACTTGACCATTTGAGATCTGCTAATCGGCGTAGAGCATTTCGCCGGCATGGAGCTTATTGCAGCCTGTTAGTAAGATCCCGTAAGCCAGAATGAGCTGGATGTATGATGAGGTAGGAGGTAGAAGACAGATTGGAACATAAGCCAGGAGTTAGGATCCAATTTTTATGACGATACGTGGTCTGTTTGAAGAGACCTATGGCGGCGGGTATAGATCTGTATCTATCTTGTGTAAGTTGTCTGAGCCTGTTTGCTCTAGGGCACAGCCTGCCACAAAGCTCCTTTGCTCTATGGCAACCCTGCGTTGGAGCGACTATCACAATAGAGCATACTTTCTCTACAGCTGCTTTTTTGCTCTATAGCAAATTTGGCCCTGGCAGCTCTCCTGCTTCACTGCGGATCCTGCGCCAGGGCACATCTGCCTTGTGGACACCCTGCCCTGTAGCAGAGCCCCCATAGAGAGAGAGTACCTGTGAGGAAGCATGCTACACGCTATGGCATGCTTTGTCACCATCGCCAATCCCAGCTCTTGCTCTTTGCAAGGACCTAGTAAACTTTGAAATTGGCCAACTTTGAAGGCTGTCTAGGAGGATGAAAAAGGCTAGTCCATCCAAAAACGACCAGCCCGTGTGAAAACAGCTGTTATTAAACACCTCAAGAATATCATACAATACACTGCCCTTACAAAATACATCACGTGGGTCAATCTTGCCTGCTGGAAATATATCCATGATACAGATTTTAACACAGCATTATGCTTATTGCTACAGACTAGATAATTTGATCTATTTCCGATCGGTATCTCCCATAGCATAATAATGGGACAAGCATAGAAAAGGGAAAATCATAAAACCGCGGTGATTACAGCAACGGGGAAAATTGAAGAAGCATAGAACCCATAGAAATGGAGAAGACGCGAAAGAAGACAGCAGATAATAACATGCATGAGATACCTATTACCCTCTCTTTTATACCTTCAATGATCACGGGATACGAACTAACCATAATTATTCGGGTTCACAGCTCTCGCAGCCTCGGCGAGAAACGACTTCAGGTATCGGAAGCCAGTATCATCCAGGGCTATTTCCCAACCCCACTTTATCAATATCTCTTTGCATCCCTCAATTTGATGACCACCCACCCTCTTAGCATCTGTTACCAGAATTTAAGTTCCTATGAGTTCAACCTCTACAAGTAAGATAGGAGGCCGTTTACGGCTTTCCCTCTCGCGTCTTCCGTCCGAAAAAGAAGTCTACTTCCGGGAGTCTTCATTCATTGTTCAGTATGGAATCGAGAAACTCCCGTCCCCGGCGAAGATCCGATCACTGCAGAAGGTATCCGGCTCGGGAGATCCTCCTCCAATACGATTTCCAGAAATAGGACTCCTTGTGAAATATGGCCACGGTATTAGCATTGCGGAAGGCCAGTGTCTATGGGCGATACAACAGTTCCTTCGAAACAATGTTCCGGTCCCCGAGATATATGGGTGGAGAGAGGATGGGGATGAGACATTTATTTATATGGAATTGATTGATGGTGACACGCTGCAAGAGCGATGGACTTCACTGTCAAGTGTTGACCGAGTGCGGTTATGTGAAGAACTTCGCGAGATAATCATGTCTTTACGTCGACTTGAGCAGTCGCCGGGTGAAAAGTTTATTGGTATGTATCGCCAGGTGGTCATATTATCTTCCAAATCAGTCGTTGAAACTTTCTCCAGGACGGGTGGGTGGCCAGCCACTCTCTGACGTGACCTTTTCCGGCGTTGAGGCCGGTCCTTTCCCGGCAGTAAAGGATTTAATGACTGGTTCTCTGCATTACCGAAGCAAGGATTCACTAATGCCACTTTTGATGATCCTTTTCGTTCGGGTCTTGCGGATGATGTACCAGTATGCTTTACGCATGGTGATCTTCACCCCACCAACATCCTGATTACCTCCAGCGGGACACCTCATATTTTGGCCCTCGTGGATTTTCATCAATCCGGCTGGTTACCAGCCTACTGGGAATACTGCAAGGCTCTCTTGACTTGTCGTGTTGGAGATGAGTGGGAGACACTCTATATTCCTATGTTTCTGGAACCATACCCGGAATGTTTCAAGGCTTACTCTTTCTACGCTGGTGCTCTTGGTTGCTAAAGGAGAGAAACAGATAAATTGATATATTGTTCTCTATACACTGCTCGACCGGCTTAAGCTATCTATCTGTCCGTTACCACTTTAGACCTTCGGGGCACGGTTCAGCTCAACGATTGCCGACTGTGGCAAGAGTCCCTCGTCTACTAACTTTTCGACATAGTCCTGAAGCCAGTATTGACAGTTCTTGCCCTAGAATTGGTCGGTTCACTATCTTCTGTTCATCGTACCGTACCAGCCTTACCGCATTGGGGTCCAATGGTGATGGGCTGACTCCCGGGGGTTGGACCAATTTGGCCCGCGCCTCCAAGGTATCGTGATCTTGGGTGTCTCTATCACATCCTGAATGTGGTTGTTGCTCACTTAACCGAGAGGGATTTTCTGGAAAGGTCGGTTTGTCTTCGTGGTGTCATAGTTGCGTTTGAATTCGAGTTTGTATCCGGTGAATAGAGATCCGACAACATGGATAACTTTGCCTTTCACCGCACTAGGTATTGGCTTCTGGAATGAATATAGACCAATGCGCTGCTGTGTTGCGCTTGGGAAGACGAGAGAGAAAGATTTCACGAGACATGATTATAATTCGAGTGGGGTTAACAAGATATGTTGATGGAATGGTACTGTTGTTCTTTTCTCTGAGGGGATTTACTGTGCTTTATATCTTTATAGCAAAGGACATCTCAACCATGCGATGAGAGATACTACACCAAAGTAAATATTTAGTCCTGGAAGGACGCCGGTGTTCATTTGTGGCTTTTCCGATCGGAATTCGAGCATGACCAGCATATCTGTTGTATTGCAGTGTTCATTATGTCTATCCAGCATCCAACAAATCCAGTCTCTTTCCATCCAGCTAGTTAGGGACGATGTTCGTTGTTTTTCGTATCGAATTAAATAATCACATATAGTAGCGATGATGTAGTTTGTTTTCTTGCCGCCCCGCATTCTCTCCATCTTCAACGACTCTCCTCCCCGCGCCCAAAAGACTTCCAGACTGCCTGCTGGATAGATATACTCTCAGCCAGCAGCTTAAGCTATCAGTTACCATTTGATACTCTGAATTCCTCACCTTTCTATTTCATTCCATTCGATTAACTCCGCACAATAATGCTATGAAAGCTATCTATCTACCCCACTTCGTCATTAACGCGCGGGACCTTGCCGTTACTTAGCTGAGTCTCGACTGGAGCTTTTATACTCGACGAACAAATATTCATTCAGATCGCATCGCAGAAAAAAGCCTGACCTCCATGACAATGTCGGAGGAAACGGAGAATCAGCCGGAAACCATCATCGTCGGCCTCTCTGGCCCGTCATCGAGCGGCAAGACGACTTTAGCGAGATTACTCAGGACAGCTTTCTCCGTGCATGGAATGAAGACGTTTATTATCCATGAGGATGATTTCTATCTACCTGATGATCGGTGAGCTTGCCTCTTCTTCACAGTTGGTATAACAGTTGCATGGAGAACCTTCGCTTCGGGTGGTAATACCTACGTATCATACCTAGCTAGCTAGACAAGGCGCTCATTTCACTAATAACTGACAACTGTAAAAAAACTATTCCAGAATCCCGTACACCACTACACCCTCTGGAAAAGTCGTCCAAGACTGGGACACAGTCGAGGCTATCAACGTCCCTCTCCTAGCCTCAACTCTCGCGTACGTGCGACGACACGGCGCGCTCCCACCAGAACTACCAAGCAAAGAAGACCAGAACGACGCGACGCATTCGGGGGTTGACGATGCGACATTGGAGAAAATTCATACGGAGATAGAGCGGAAATTAGACGGGTTGGTTGGAGTGGGAAGCGGTTCGGGAAAAGGGAATGGGAAATTAACCATTGCGTTCTTGGAAGGGTTCTTGCTCTTTGCGCCGCCGAAGTCTGAACAGCCAGATCATATTCTGAGGGTTATTCATGAGAATATTCACTTGCACCTGTTCCTGCCTGCGCCATATGATATCGTCAAGTCGAGGAGGGAGAAACGTTCCGGATATGTGACGAGTGGACCGGCGCCGCCGCCGGTTAGTCAGGATCAAATTCGAGAACAGGATAGTGAGAAGAAACAAACTAGCAAGGCACAGTCAAAGGAAGAAGCAGATCAGAGGAACCACGAGACTGACGTCCGCGACATGGAAACTCCCGAGCAACATCAGCCGCCGCAGAACTTCTGGACTGACCCCCCGGGCTACGTGGATGATATTGTCTGGCCGCGCTATGTCCGGGATCACGCTTGGTTACTCCTTCCAGAGCCTGGGAAGGAGGGCGAGGTCGGATCGGACGAGACAGAGACGAAAATAAAGAGGATCGGAAATGGTGCGAATGTCAGGACAGATGCAGGTGTAGCGGTCGCCCCTGGGAACGGGACGTGGCCTATGTCGCAGGTGCTGGAGTGGGCTGTTGATAAAGTATCCAAGTTTCTGGAGGAGAAGCAAGGACGGGCGTGAGCAGTAGTACTGAAGGTAGACCTTTTTCTTCTTTTTTTTTCCTTCTTAGTTTTCTTTTTCTTTTTCTTTTTATTTATTTATTTATTTATTTATTTTTTTTTTTTGAGAGGTTGACCGTCAGGAGCGTGGTGTGGTGTCTGCTATGTATATAATGCTCAGTCTTGGATGCGTATATAATATTAGATAGACCGCGAGGATGAGGCTAATTCCATAAATAGAACACTGGCGTTATATAGATAGGGGAATCAGTGGTTGTCGTATATTTTAATGGGCAATTGTTCGATGACGCTGAGATCCCCTTAGACCATATCCTACATGCGAGCAGTACCTGTTACAACGCACTGAAATGACGCGTGAAAAGAAAAAAATCCTTTTTGAATTCCGAAAAGTGCTAAGCGCGCCACAGTACATGCAACATTTTGGTAAATCGTAAATACATACACCCCATATCTATTTTTGACAGGCTCTTCTTTTTATGTATGTCTCGTTTTGATAATCACCCTTGAAAGAAACAAAGGCCCCCTCTTCTGTATAGTTCATCCATCTAGAGCGTAGGATCGAGAAAGGAAAGTCCTCTATATAAACACGAAAGCCATGTTTATGTACGTTAGCTGCTTATGCAGCTCCTCCACGACCACCAACGTTCGATAGAGCCTTCCTCTGGTCCTCGCTGATTTGGGCAGCAGGGAGGGGCCTGGTGGCCTTGTCGGTGGCAGCTGGCTTGGGAAGGAAGCCGATGGAGATGAGGTAGGATAGGTAAAGACCCATCAGGTCTTCAGTGACGCCGCGGCCATCGGAGGCGTCAACTCCGGACCAAGCCGCATCGGCACGTAGAGCCGCAGCGGCATTAGTATCATCAAGCTCTGGTGCCTTAGTGTTGGAGGGGAGGTCCGCAGTGACGAAGTGGTAAAGAGGCATCCTGAAAAAGAGCATTAGTTTGACATTTCTCGTCAACAGGCATGGTATCAACCTACAGTGCGTGCTGTGAATCCTTATCATCGTGCTGGCCGTCGTTGACATACTGCTCAAGCGACCTGGACCAGGGAACGTAGTCAACCTGAGGAACGTCATAGCCGTACGCCTGGAGAGTCCCCAGGAACTGGTTGAAACGCAGTCGAGGGTGACCGGTAACTTGGGCGACTCCTAAAGGAGTGGTAGGAGGATGGAAGGCAGAGGAGATGACGACACGAGCAACATGGTCGACGGGAACCATGTTCACGGTGTTGTTAATGTTGGGGCGTGCCGAAAGCTGGATACAACCCTTGATCATTCGGATAAGGAAATCATCGGTGTTTGTTGCTGTAAGCAGATTTGGTCAGCGGCGCACTTTGGTAGAAAGGAGAAACGATGAACTACTTACTTCCAGTGAGAGAATCACCCAAGATATATCCAGGTCGGACAATGGTTCCGCGGAGACCTCTGCGGCCAGCTTCCTTGACAAGGTATTCTCCTGCCCACTTGCTTTGACCGTAACCAGTACCCAGACCGGCACTGCTACCTTCAAGATCGTCAGCCTCGCTGATACCAGCTCCTCCAGCAGTAACAATGTGCTCCGATTCTTGAACATAGTGGTCGTTATCTAGGACACTCGTGGAGCTGACAAAGGAAAACTGCTTGGGCTTGCCGACGGCGCAAAGCTTCAGGGCCTCGATGGTTCCGAGCACGTTGGCGGGCCTGAGGTTCGCATACGGATACACCCAGTGCACAAGGGCTCCATTGTGAATGACAACGTCTACGCGACGAGACAAATCATCCCACTGTTGCTCTGAGAGACCCAGTCTGGGCTCTGCAAGGTTGCCAGTCACGCAGCGGATTCTACCAACCCAGGACTCCTCCCAGAAACCGTAAGCTCTAGTTGTAGCCCTGATCCTGTCGAGAGCTTGCTCCTCACTCTTAGCTCGAACATGGACAACGACGTTGACCACAGGGCCCTTGCGTGAGAGCAAGTCGCGGAGGATGTATGCACCCAGGAAACCGGTAGCTCCAGTGAGGAAAACAGTCGTGCCCTCATAGACAGCTGGCTCTGTACGCGTAGGGAAAGAGGACGGCAAGGATTCAACGAGCTTCCTGGCGTCCTTGGAATACTCATTATCTGGCTGGCCAGCACCGGACGACACAGCATCAGAGGTGCCTTCACCCTGTTCGCCGCTGGTCAGAGAGTCCTGATCCAACACGCGATCAATCTCAGCGGCGAATCCCTTGAGAGTAGGGCTGCGGAAGATGGCGTTCATGCTGATATTGATACCTCTCCACTTGCGTCGGATATCGAAGAACATCTGCTGAGCGAGAATACTGTGGCCGCCAAGGTCGAAGAAGGAATCCTCCAACCCAATCATCTTAGCCGTGATATTTGGGATCAGCTTAGCCCAGATCTGAGCCAAAGCCTGCTCAGTCTCTGAGTACGTCTGAAGAGTAGAGGACTTGCGGCGAGGAGCAGCGGCGCTAAGCTCGGCTGTATCTGGGAACGGCAACGCTGGCTTATCGATCTTGCCATTGGGATTCAGAGGCATTCTCTTGAGCGGGATGAACACACTTGGCACAGCATAAGCGGGGAGTTTGCTGCGGAGATGTTCCCTAGCATCGTCACGCAGAGGTCTAAATCGCCTGAGCATGCCAACCATTCCCTCAGCAGAATCATCGTCCTCTAAGCCTTTACTTTTTAACCAGTCTGCCCACTTGTTCATGTCCGGAACAATGTAGCTGACAAGAGTCGGTTCCTCAAACTTGTCTCGTCGCACCAGAGTGACGTTCTCACGCACTAATGGGTGTCGGGAAAGATGGGTATCGATTTCACCAAGCTCAATACGGAATCCACGGATCTTGACTTGGTCGTCTGCACGTCCAGAGCATTCAACGTCACCCGTGGGGGTGTATCTACCCAGATCACCGCTGCGATACAGACGGTCTCTTGGGCCCAGGTAGAACTGTCGCCAAGGCTCGTCCTTGGGTCCGGGTTCAGACTTCTCCTTCTCAGCCCAGACTTGCGCATCAACGAACCAGTTCGTGAGAAACTTCTTCTCATTCAGCTCCGGGTTGGCTAAGTACCCTTCGGCCAGACCTCCTGCGCGAACGTAGATCTCGCCGACTTCGCCGATAGCGCAGATCTTGGTGGGATCGAAGCGGTTCACGACCAGCAGCTGGACGTCCTTCATTCCGCGACCAGCAGGGATAACATCCTTCATAGTGTCGAGGTATCCTTCATTGCTGGAATAGCTAGGGATCTCGTAGTAGCTGACAGCCCGCTGAGTCTCAGTAGTACCGTACATGTTTACTATGTTGACATTGGGGGCGAGCGTCTGCAAAGACCGACAGTCTCTCTTGATAAGGATGTCTCCGACGAAGAAGGCGTGGTGCAACGCGGGGAACTGAGCCGTAGCACCTCCGACAAGAATCTGACCCATTGCAGGAGTCAGATGAGTGACCGTGGCACCAAACCCGCGCATCCATTCCGCAAGTTTCTCGTTCTGGATATCTTCTCGCGATGGTACCAACAACTGAGCTCCCAGGAACAACGGGGTAAAGATATCTCTCTGAATGGGGTCGTGGGCGATACCACTGAGCATGGTGAACTTGTCGTTGGAACTGAGCTTAAAGGTCTCGGCCATCCAGTCGAAGTAGTAGGCCAACGAGAAGTGACGGCCACGCACACCCTTTGGTCGACCTTCTGACCCGGATGTGAAGGAGAGCGTGGGGGTCGAGTCTGGGCCGACAACAACGCCCACAGGCTGCGACTTGAGAGCGACTTGCTTTGAGAAGACATCCTCCCCGTTGACTGAACCGCCCAACAAGGTGCCATCGTCCTGGAGAGCCAGAGCAGGGATCTCGGTCCGGAGCTCCAGGTTCTCCGTAATGAACGATCGGACCTTGTCAGACATTTCACCCGCATCTTTGGTAGCCTTCTCAATAATGACCAATGCGCGAGGACGGGCGACGTCCAGGTAGATGCACTGTCTTTCCGGCGGGTAAGCTGGATCGATGACGGAGAAGGTCGCTCCAGCCTTCAAGATACCCATGACGGCAACCACCAGGTCAACTCCACGGTGGGCATAGGCCATGACGACCTCTCCGCGCTGGATGCCCGACTGGACCAAATGGTGGGCGAGGATGTTTGACGCTTCATGGATCTGCTTGTACGTAAACTCCCGGTATGGAGAACTTTCCGACTTGGTCTCGACCACACACACTCTGTCTGGGTGTGCCTCTGCATTGCGAGAAAAGATATCATGGATGGCCCCGCGGAAATTGCCCCAATGTAGGTCCGACGTGGGGTCTGGCAGGATCGCCTTCTGCTCCGGTGTCATGAAATCGATCTTCCCAATTGCTTCATTGGGATTTGAGGCCGCATTTAGAACCAACTGAGTCAGCTGTCGCAGAATGGTTGCTATCCGTGCGCTCGAGAAGAAGCGCTGGTTGTAGTATGCTCCCAGTTCCCCTTCAGCCACAGATGGACCCGAAGCCACGTTGATGACAACATCAGTCGTCTCGAAGGTATTGGCAGGATACTCTTGGGACGCAGCAGGCGCTTCGTATGCGGCAAAGCGGAACAGGATAGGCTCTCGTTCCGAGTTGGTCTTCTGCTGGATATAGGTGCGGAGGTTTCTCAATGGAGCGATATCTGCGGCTCCTTCTTCAAAGGCCTTGTCTGTATTAGAACCAGCCGTGGAAGGGGGGCGATCAAGAAAAAACATACCTTGGTCACCTTCGCGCGCAGCTGCTCGAATGATTCACTGGCATCAATTGGCACTCTGAGGACGAATGGACGGCCATCGTCGGCGGAGCTGGTACCGATGGCAATGTCCTCATCTCCGGTCAGACGCGCGACGAGAATCACAAACGCCGTCAAGAAGACGGAGAACGTCGATTCCGAGGACTGAGACAGCTTCTGCAGTGCCGACTGAGCATCCTGGGGCAGCTTCAATGATTCGAAAGCCTCAATTGCTCGCTTGGCCACATCGGGTTTCTGTGTCTCGGGATAATCTCGGGTGAGGGGGGAGACGGTGAGGTTCTGCAGTCTCTGCGCCCATCGTTCAAGGCGCTCTTGCGCCCGGGCAGCTTCAGCAACCATGATTGTATAAACTGAAGAACTGGAAGCGTTTCCAGCTCTCCGGCCGTCTGTATGGTTGCGGAGTGAGTCAACTTGGAGGGGCACGAGAGCGACTCAAAAAAGCGGCCGATTTCGCTTTGGAGCTTTTCCCCACGCGGCAATTGGTAATTAATAATTACCGTAACTTACAGGACATTGATTGATTACATACGCTGACCGTACCTGGTAATTTATAATGATACCCTGGCGTCACCGCCTTTAGATAACGGCAGTAACTATGCCTATTCTGGACACCGCCGGAACAACATTGATACTCCCTGCTCAGCCTCGCGCACCGCCGCGCGTGGCGTCTCCCACGCCTGATCGCGTGTTTGCATAGAAAGAAGGATCAGGAAGTACTGAACGAGCCCGACTCGCTCAGTGTTCGTCGTTCTCCCGCGTGGATTCCGTGAGTTTTGAGGGCCCAATGATCATCCCATCTGCCTGAGAGCACAAACTAATGCACAGATCTAGCCTCTACTTCACGGTCGAGGCGGGCAGTCCACCAGGAGACGAGTGCCATCTTTCCTCATCTTGAATCCCCCCGGCCCCTGGCCTTCCGCTCGTTCTCAGGCTCCGGGACCTTTTCCCCGACGTGAAGATGATTCCTCATCGCACCATCTCCCTCGTTGCTATCGTCGTTTTCTTTGCCTTTCTGCTACTGATCTTCTCTTCTACTCCGATCTCCGATCAATCGTCGTCACCAGTCTTCGGGCCTGCCAAATATGTTCCGCATCCGAAGCTGCCATCCTTGAGCAACATCCGCTTCCCGTTTCGTCCAGCAGCGCACCGTCCTCCGGAACAGAAGAACAGTACCAGCGGAGAGTCCAGCTGGTTTAGTGACTGGAGCTGGCTCAATCCCTTCTCGTCATCTATCACCCTGGACGAGAACCGCTCCGTCCTGCCACCGCTGCGGGAGCGGCCCCCGGTTTACACCTATTATGACAACAATGGACAGAATGACAAGGACGAGCAGGCAGCAGATAGCAAGCTGCTTCTGGCCTGGCGGAGGGCGTGGTTTGCGCAGGGCTTCCGTCCGGTTGTCCTGAGTCGTGGAGAGGCGATGAACAACCAACTCTACGAGGCTGTGCAGAGACTCAAGTTGGATCCCCAGCTGGAAGCTCATTTCTTTAGTTGGCTGGCTTGGAGCCACATGGGCACAGGCATCCTTGCAGACTGGCGGTGTTTCCCCATGGCTAAGTATGACGACGAGCTGCTGTCGTATCTGCGCCGTGGTGCTGTCCCTACTCATATCACCCGCTTCGAAAACCTCGATAGCGGGCTTTTTGCAGGAGAGAAGACGCGCATTGACGAGGCCCTCAAGGAGGCGATCAAGAACGCGAACGATCACGCTAAATCCATCACCGAAATTATCCCGCCCGATTTCTTCAAAGTAGAGCAGCCCAGTGCGCTGGCTTTCTACGATTCCGCAACTATCACGTCCCACTACCCGACCCTCGCTGAGAAGCACGTGGACTCTTCCGCTGCAGGCCGCCTCGCGTTGACGGAATTAATTAACTCTCATTTGCACAATACTTTCCAGAACACCTTCGTCTCCGGTATTGCTGTTCTCAAACCGTTCCCGGAACATACCACCGCCCTGGTCGAGCCGGTGCTGCTCCTCGCAAAGGCCCTCATCCAATGTCCTCCGTCGACACTGCCTACCTCGTGTCCCCCCAATCGTCCCAAATGCGTTCCCTGCGCCTCAGCCAAGGCGATGCCGATCACCCAGCCGTCCGTATTCAAAAACACTTCTGAGATCTTCACGATTGGTGCCATCCCGCACCCGTATACCTTGATCAGTCTGCTGAAGGGATCTGATGATATCAGCACCCGGTATATTCGACGAGAGACACAGCGTGATCAGTGGTTGAAGGAAGTCACCCTCGACTTGCTTGGCACAGAACGTGGAGGCCCTTCCCGAGTAGTGACATTCAAAGAGGCCGTCGCTGGAGACGCTGCGGTCCCTCGTTCGCTATGGATGACTGTCGAATCCCTTCCAGCTAAAGCGGGAGAGGGTCTTTCGCCCTCTCTTCTGGACGAGATGGAGTGGCAATTTGGATTTGCTATCCCGCGGAACACACAAGCGGGCGAGAAGAAGGAGAAGGAGAAGGAGACGAGGGAGACGAAGGAGACGAAGGATGGAAAGGGCGCCGTAGGTGCCAAGGATGGTGTCGACAGAGAATATATTCTGCTCGACAAGGCTCGAGAAGTACTCAGGAGCAAAGACACAAACCGGATTGGTGTCCGAGACGTGGCTGAAGCCTGGAATCTTGCCGATACTGAGGCATGGCGCTTCGTGAGGGCTTATCGGTAAGTTGAAGATCCGTGTATCTTTACATCTCTTGGTGGCCGACTAACTTTGCTGTAATGACAGGGCCCGAAGTGTGGTCGAGCGCAAGAAGTGGGAGGAAGAGGAAAAGAACTTTGTCGGCGCGCGCATGGAAGAGTAGATGAACCATCAATCTCTTCTCGTATATGAGGCGCCGCGCCAAGCTTTAGGACACGCATCTAATTTCCTTTTCTCTTGTCGGGTCATCTACTTTCTCTGTTTAGCATACCAAGTATTCGGCCTTTTGTATATTTCCACTTGCTTTCCTTGTTATGGAGATTCGGACCGGCGTCTATATCTGAGTCTTCTTTGGGAGGTCTACATGTACCTTCCTCAATGGCTGGGAGTAAAAGCGATATGTTTACGGATCAGACAGCTCTCTAGAGATTATTTACTGTCCTTCCAAGGACACCGGATCTGAATTCAGCTACCTGCACTGCAGCAGCAGTCGACGCTTTTGCCTTATTCTGGGTTGAACGAGGTGAGATGATGACGAAACCTTTTAATTATTCAAGATATTCTTCAATCCTCGGCTTCGAAACTGAATAATTAAAGTCGCATCTTCAGCAAGGCGAACACACGAAGGAGGCGTGAATCCTGTAGCTAATAATAATAATATACAGCAGCCGAGACTTGGCCTGTCGGCAGGTGGCGATCCCCGCACAGGAGGTCGGCGATAAGCTCCCGGCGTGGAGAGGCCGGCGGAGTCCCGATAAGTAAGTGAAGCCTAAGCAGGTCGGTTGATGATTATCGATTGCTTGCTTTGATGGTCATTCTCATCCAGATCGGTATTCTGGACAGCTTCTTTCTTCTCTCTTTTCTCTTTCTTTCATAAATCTCCTCTGTTCGGACCCCCCTTGTGGTTGGTAGTTTTGTATATTCAATCATCCCTACTCTCGATTCCAGACGATCTCCACTCGACTCCGCCCAACGGCCAGACCGATAATTAGCTTGATGATCATCAATCACATCGCAACAGTCTACCTCTCTTGAAGTAAGATATCCTGACATCAACGTCCTCGACAGCAATTAGCTCTTCGGTATGGCTCCAGGTGTCGTTGACACGCCGCACCCTGCGGTAGCCCCCGATAAGGCTGTATCGCTGGCACGCTTGACGGAGGACTACGACGACACTCTGCGCTTCTACCTCAACGGGACGAAGATCACGTTGGATTGTGTCGATCCGGAAATCACACTTCTCGAGTATCTAAGAGGGATAGGGTTAACGGGAACGAAACTCGGATGTGCTGAGGGCGGCTGTGGTGCTTGTACAGTGGTATGTTTTTCATCAACCACTAGGACTAGATTACATATGTCTCCTTTCTTTCCCTCTTTTCCCCCGCGGGCTTATAGTACAGGAGACCTATGTACTGGGAGATCTCTGACAGGTAACAGGTTGTGTCACATATAAATCCGACGACAAAAAAGCTCTACCATGCATCCGTCAACGCTTGCCTGGCACCCTTGGTCAGTGTGGATGGGAAACATGTCATCACCGTCGAAGGCATTGGAGATGTTAAGAATCCACATGCGATCCAGCAGAGGATGGCTGTCGGGAATGGAAGCCAATGTGGTTTCTGTACGCCGGGCATTGTGATGGTAAAACGACCAGATTATCATTGTCTCGCAAATACAGCTGAACTGATTGTGGTATTTGACAGAGTCTCTATGCACTTATTCGTAACAACCCTGAACCTTCTGAACATGTCGTGGAAGAGGCATTCGATGGGAATCTTTGTCGGTGTACGGGCTATCGACCTATCTTAGATGCGGCGCAGAGCTTCTCTGTCACAAAGGGCTGCGGGAAAGCCCTTGCCAATGGCGGGAGCGGCTGTTGTATGGAACAGCAGAATGGGTCAGGTGGATGTTGTAAGAGCTCGACGGCGGACGAACCCATCAATGGCGATGGGCCTACGTTTGCGCGACCAGACTTCATTCCTTACAACCCCGACACGGAATTGATATTTCCGCCCGCACTGAAGAAACACCAATTCAAGCCTCTGGCCTTTGGAAACAAGAGAAAGAAGTGGTACAGGCCAACAACATTACAACAACTTCTAGAGATCAAGAGTGTGTATCCATCCGCGAAACTCATTGGAGGAAGTACGGAGACGCAGATCGAGGTAAAGTTCAAGGCAATGCGATACGATGCATCTGTATATGTGGGGGATATTGCGGAGCTGCGTCAATACAGTCTTAAGGACGATCATCTGGAGTTGGGTGCCAATGTCTCGTTGACAGACTTGGAGAATATCTGTGACGAAGCTCTCAAACTCTATGGTCCTGTCAGAGGTCAGCCTTTTAAGGCGATCAAAAAGCAGCTTCGTTACTTTGCAGGGCGTCAGATTCGAAATGTCGCGTCGCCGGCAGGGAATTTGGCGACTGCGTCTCCAATATCGGATCTCAACCCAGTCTTTGTGGCTACGAATACAACCCTTGTCGCTAAATCTTTGGGGAAAGAAACAGAAATTCCGATGACGCAGTTCTTCAAAGGATATAGAACCACTGCTCTTCCACCCGACGCTGTCATTGCCAGTCTCCGTATTCCGGTCGCCAGCGACAAAGGCGAGTTCATTCGAGCATACAAGCAGTCGAAGCGAAAAGATGACGATATCGCTATTGTAAATGCTGCCCTCCGCGTGTCATTGTCAGAATCGAACAACGTTAAGAGCTGCAGTCTGGTGTATGGTGGCATGGCACCCATGACTGTCTCTGCGAAAACGGCTGAAGAGTATCTGGTGGGAAAGAAATTTACCGATCCATCTACCCTGGAAGGCGTCATGAATGCTTTGGAACAGGATTTTGACCTGAGATTTGGAGTTCCTGGCGGCATGGCCACCTACCGAAAAACTCTCGCCATGTCATTTTTCTACCGCTTCTATCACGACGTACTTTCCAAACTGGAGGCCAAGGCGCTGGGAGCTGACCAGGAAGCAATTGAAGAGATTGAAAGAGCTATATCTACTGGCAAGAAAGACCACGATGCTTCTGTGGCGTATCAACAGAGAATCTTGGGAAAGCCAACAGCCCATGTGTCTGCATTGAAGCAGTGTACTGGACAAGCTCAGTACACGGATGATATTCCAAACCAAAAGAACGAGCTCTATGGCTGCTTGGTGCTTTCTACGAAGGCTCATGCAAAGATTCTCAATGTGGATGCCTCGGCAGCATTGGACATACCAGGTGTCTTTGATTACATCGACCACACCTCCCTTCCAAGTCCAGAAGCAAACTGGTGGGGTGCGCCCAACCGTGACGAGGTGTTCTTTGCTGTAGATAAAGTCACAACCGCAGGCCAACCAATTGGTATCATCTTGGCGAACTCCGCAAAGGTTGCAGAGGCAGCTGCAAGAGCCGTCAAGGTCGACTACGAAGAATTGCCGGCAATTTTGACTATTGAGGAGGCCATCGAAGCGGACTCTTATTTTGAGCATTACCGATATATTAAGAATGGCGATCCCGAATCTGCTTTCAAAAGTGCCGACCATGTCTTCTCCGGTGTCTCGAGAATGGGTGGTCAAGAACATTTCTACTTGGAGACACAGGCATGCGTCGCTATCCCCAAGGCCGAGGATGGTGAGATGGAGATCTGGAGCAGTACGCAGAATCCCACTGAAACGTAAGTACACTATACGTATTATATCAGAAGTGACCATTACTGACTTCGGGCAGTCAAACATACGTTGCTCAAGTGGCTGGTGTAGCTGCAAACAAAGTTGTATCTCGGGTGAAGCGCCTGGGAGGCGGTTTCGGTGGAAAAGAGACCAGATCGATACAGTTGGCTGGCATTTGTGCCGCCGCTGCCGCTAAGGTCAAGCGACCGGTCCGTTGTATGCTCAACCGTGATGAGGATATCGTTACCTCCGGACAGCGACATCCTTTCCTGTGCCGATGGAAAGTTGGAGTCAGTAACGAAGGAAAGCTTCTTGCTCTAGACGCTGACATCTTCGCCAACGGCGGCCACACACAAGATTTGTCCGGCGCTGTAGTGGAGAGATCACTGTCCCATGCAGATGGAGTGTACAACATCCCCAATGTCCATGTGCGCGGACGCGTATGCAAGACGAATACCATCTCCAACACGGCGTTCCGCGGTTTTGGTGGCCCTCAGGGTCTTTTCTTCGCCGAGTCTTTTGTGTCCGAAATCGCAGACCACTTGAATATTCCAGTTGAGGAGTTCCGCGCGCTTAATATGTACAACCCTGGTGACAAGACACATTTTCGCCAGGAACTCAAAGACTGGCACGTTCCTCTGATGTACAAGCAAGTTATGGAGGAGAGTTCATACAAGGAACGTCGGAAAGCGGTGGAAGAGTACAACAGAACTCACAAATGGTCCAAGCGAGGCCTAGCTATCGTTCCGACAAAGTTCGGCATTTCTTTTACTGCTCTATTTCTGAACCAGGCAGGTGCTCTGGTCCATATTTACCATGATGGAAGCGTGCTGGTGGCCCATGGTGGAACTGAGATGGGCCAGGGACTCCACACCAAGATGACTATGATCGCCGCTGAGGCACTGCAGGTCCCCTTGGAGGATGTCTTTATCTCAGAGACAGCAACCAATACGGTTGCGAACACTTCATCCACAGCTGCCTCGGCAAGTTCTGATCTGAACGGTTATGCGATCTTTAATGCCTGCCAGCAAATTAATCATCGTCTTCGCCCGTACCGGGAGAAGATGCCTAATGCATCTATGAAAGAATTGGCTCATGCGGCTTACTTCGACAGAGTGAACCTTTCTGCCCAAGGATACTACCGTACGCCGGATATCGGCTACACCTGGGGTGAGAACAAGGGCCAGATGTTCTTCTACTTCACCCAAGGTGTCACAGCGGCTGAAGTGCAGATAGACACACTGACTGGCGACTGGACACCTCTACGCGCCGATATTAAGATGGACGTAGGCCGCAGCATCAACCCAGCAATCGACTATGGCCAGATCGAAGGCGCTTTTATCCAAGGCCAAGGCCTTTTTACTACAGAAGAATCCCTCTGGCACCGTGCCTCCGGTCAGATCTTCACCAAGGGACCGGGGAACTACAAAATTCCCGGTTTCCGGGATATTCCGCAGGTCTTCAACGTCAGCCTGCTCAAAGATGTCGAGTGGGAGAATCTTCGAACGATCCAGCGTTCGCGCGGCGTTGGCGAACCCCCGCTCTTCATGGGTAGCGCCGTCTTCTTTGCTATCCGCGATGCGCTCAAAGCTGCCCGGCGGCAATGGGGCGTCACAGACGTCTTGAGTCTGCAAAGTCCAGCAACGCCCGAACGCATTCGAGTCAGCTGTGCTGATCCAATCGTCGAACGAGCCAGGGTTCTTCCGAAGGAGGGCGAGAAGAGTTTCTTCGTGGCTATCTAGATGACACTCTAGGATATCCGACATACCGAGAAGCGTCCTCAAAGCTCCCTTAGATTACAATTATATACAATAACTAGACAAGTAGCAAATTTGAATTCATAATGTTCACTCGAGTCCAGGTAATAATTTTTCTTCTCGTACGTACGATAATGATAGTTACTTGAGCTCAGTAGAGTAGCGAATCTCCAACGACCTTCAGGTTGACCCGAACATCCTATTCTAGTAACTATAACTATGGTGAGCTAATTGATGCAGCATCGAGAAATATTAATACAGTAACTGAGCTCCGTAGTGTTTATTATGATTCTAGGCAGAGGCTTAAGATCAGGAGAAAGAAAGAAAGAAAGAAAAAAAGCCGACAACAACAAATGCTCCTCCAACAGAATAAATCACAAATGAGATGCGATTATTACATGCAAATCCGTTGCAGTATTTTCTAGAATGAAACCTCCCAACATAAAGAATGCCAATCTGGTCAAGAAACAAGGGGGAAAAATGAACGACCATTTCGTTGTTTTATACAAACTCAAAACTTCTCACCGTACTCGACGTAACTACTCTCGCGAACAGCAGCGGCGGCATTATCGACCTTCAAGGCCGAGTCGTAGTTTCGTTGGCCTGCAAACCCGACTTTCTCATCTGGATAGTGGTCTTCGTCGCTGTCGTGGGCTACTACTCCTCTGGACACTGTAGGCATAGCAGTGAGTGGCACGTCAGTGAAGCCGTTCGCGTCTGAGAGACCGTTGCCATTATTGGGGTTGATATTCCAGGCATGGTTGTGGGTGATTCCGGCGCCTTCACCGCGCGTTCTTTCGCGAGTCCACCAGAGGGTGAGGGCGCGGATGATACCGATGAGGAGGATGAGGACCCATATAAGGAGGATGATGCTGGATATGATGGTTTCGGTCTTGATTTCGTCTGCGAGCTTGTCGACGACTCGTACTACGGCTTCGCTGATCTTGTTGCTTGTCTGGTCCCCTGGATCTGCCAGGAAGCTATTTCCCGGGTCGGAGTTGTCGCTGGCAATGCTGGCTGCTGCTCCTAGGGAGAAAGTGTCGTTGGGCATGAGGGGGAAATCAACACGAGCGTGGTCTGACACCCAGTCGAGGCCCTTTTGAATACCTTCGATCTTCAGACCGATCAGGCAGTTGAAGACTTCTTTGATAGGTTCATAGAGGAGCGTACCGCCGAAGGTCTCATTGAGGACTTTGGTTGTCTCGTCGACGAACGCGTTGAGCGTGTCATTCAGAGCCGTTGTGCTCGTGTTGACCCAGCCGAGCACATCTTTGTTGATGTCGTTGTTGGTTGTTTCGATGACTTTGTTGACTCCTATGGCCCATTGCTCTGAGGCGTTGTTCAGCGAGTCCACTACCTTGTCAGCAAAAGCGCTGACTTGGTCGGTCAACTCGGGAACGGTCTTCTCGACGCTTCTCAGTAGGATGTACTGGCACAGACAGGAGAAGAGGCCAGCGATCGCGAGACTGAGCACGAAGAGAGCCGGGGTCGAGGTCGCATATGCGAACACCCAGCGAACGAGGATCTGTCTCCGACTGTTGCTGAATCGACTGGCGGCTTTGATACCTGCTGTTGAAGTATAAGGGCGGGAGACGATGTAGACAACGTCCATCGGGTCGTGGGCGTCCCTTCGAACGAGTTGCGAACGATCTTTCATCGAGCGCCAGCGACGGATCTCGCGCCAGGCCATGGGGATGCAAGCCAGGACGGCGGCGATGACTAGAACGGCAATGAAGATCTTTCGCGCCAAGTTGACAAGGTCCGCCACGCCGTTAAAGAAGCTATTGATTCCATCATTATCGTTGCAGAAGGAGAGTTGTTCCTTTGCCGGCACAGGGAATACGGAGCGGTCGAATTTATACTGGACTGTGGACTCATTGATAAGCTTCTTCAGCTCTTCGAACGGTAGCCGGATCACGTTGTCTGTGAAGTTCTGAACCTGCTTGAAGTTCGGGAGGGAACTGTTGATCTTGTTGATGTCATCGTCGATCGACGATGGAAGTTGGAGATGGTCGAGCTTGTCGAGAGAGCCATTCACGTCCAAGGTAGGAATCTGTTTGTCCGCACCCAAAGCACTGGTGACGGAGTTTATATCCTTGATGAAATCATTGAGACTGCTCTGGAAAGTGTCGATAGTTGAGTGGATATCACTGCCGATATCTGGGAGAGTCTTGTTGAGGAAGTCCGAGGCATCTTTGATCAAGCTGAGAGCGACTTCTGCGCTGCCTCGCACAGCTAGAGTGATGAGGCACAGGTAAGTCGATGTCATCGTGTTGATGAAGAATACAACAAGCTCCTCCACACCGGTCACGGTCAGCGTCAGCATAGACATGAGGCCATTGACTGCTTTCTCAACGCCGCTGGCCGTCAACTCGTTCACTCCTTGTGACATGTAATGCGGCATCGATGCCATTGCGCTGCCCATCGACTCGACGGTCGTGCATGCTGATAACGCCTCTCGCTTGGCGGAAGCCATGTCGTTATTCAAGCTTGATACAGCCAACAAGGTTCGCGCGAGGACCAGAAGGAGCAATATCGTCCACCTGTTGATCCATACTTGCGACAGACGCGATCGTAGTCCCAGATACGGTGTGATGCCGTCGGGGTGCAGCGGCTGCGCAGAACCTTGGGGATCGTGCGCAGCATATGGAGGGAGTAATGGAAATATCGATCTTCCAGATCGTAAGAATGGCATGGTGAAAGAGCCGAGAAAGATAATGACTGTATCTCTGACGACCAGCGCCGAAATACGTCGAATGCAAATTAAGAGCTTGCCGTGACGCTGAACAGGTGTTTTTCAACTGTATAATCTGGAGGAATCGAAAGGTTGTAATAACCTATATCAAGAAGAGGACTGCAAAAAAAAAGAGTATGCTGTAGAAGATAGGAAGAGTAGAGTCAACTGGCGCTACACTGTATGCCAGACAATGAATGTAGAAGCGCTCTATCGAATCTATTGAACGTGAATAGCAGATTCAACAAAGGAAATTCGTGATTAACATAAAGGCCAACAACAATAAAGCGACAAGCTCAGTGAAATGAAAAAGCCATTGTAGGAAAATAATAGAAGAGCTAAGACCGTCAACTCGAATCAAAGACGATGAAAAATCGCCTATAAAGAAACACCTACCTAGGTATTCATGGCCGCGACTGGGCGAGACGCCTAGTACTTCCGCATCGTGTACAACCAGTCACCGGAGCAGGCCGCAGACGATGCCAGACACCAGGAACTCCCAGAGCCCGATATAGTCTGAGTCATGGATTCGCATATCGAATGCTGAACTCCTACAGGTCGATCGTAAAGAGCCTGCAAAGCGCTGCAGGCCAAAAATAGCGCCATGATCGGGGCGCTTGCACGATGCTTTCTAGCCATTCATTTGTTCTCCGCTCAGACGATCAGCGACACCAAGGTCGCGACCTCTCGATACTGCAGCTAGTTCGATTAGCTACTGCAATCCAATCTGAAACTAGGCTACTTGTTTCTTCAGCCATTATTTCTTGGGGTAGACTAGAATAGCGTTCCAAGCTTCTGGGATGCTAAGAGTGAATCATCGAAGGCCTCGCGGACAACACAAGTTCGGCCAATATTTTGTTCGCGCACGTAAAAATAGCTGATGACACGAAACAACTTAGCCTGCGAGCCAATTCCTAATGATCCACAGGTCCTGGCCCATTGTTCGCCTTGGAAAATGTTCTGTCGGGCGCTTGAAACATTGCCAGCCCATCATGGACGGCGGGTAGGATGGCGCTGAGGCAAAGAAGTACAAGTCAGATATAATGCGTCGCGATCCAATCAATAACAGATGTCCATCATTATTTGACACGTTAACGAGAATGCTGCAGCGTATAGATTTGGCGTCAGACCCGTTCAAGTCGTGCTCCTCGCAGACGAGTCTGCACTAAATACTGAAATAAATATCCATCGATTCCTAGTCATGGCCAAGAGAACATCCGCAGCATCACTCACGTCTCAGACAATTGGGTTTATTCTTATAGTGACGCATGCCCCTTAAGTAATGTATCGGGGCTGATATCCATTACACGTCTAACCTGTCTTCAAAACGCCGCGGTAATTCAGATTGTGGCCTTGTAACTCTCCGGATATACTGACAGAGCTTCACTGAACACGTTCCTTCGAACTTCTCAACGGGCAGTTTCGATATTTCTTAACACACGTTGAGATCAGTAATGACTCGGCTTCTCGCCTGGATGCAATATCGTCGAATGGACAAACCCAGTCTCGGTCATCATTCTTTTCTTTGGCCATCTCGGCCCCTGAAATACCATTGATGGACCATCTTCTGCTTTTCTCTGTATCCACCGATAGCTTCATGCTCTCGAACTAGCATTATGGATAAGTATCGCCGTACTTCTACTCTCGCTCAACTGATTCTAGGTTTAGGATGTAGATAGGGATTGTCATCAAGACCAGGCGAGTAGATATCCTAGACAAAGGTAGCACGCATTATTGTACCTAGGCAACCAGTGGTATTGTTTTCTTTGTAGCAATAACATTGATATGATACTGAAGAGCCCATATTTTCTGACCCAGGAGTCCGCCCCTATGTTATTCTGGGCTTTTTCACCAGCCGCGTCTGCTCAAAGAAACAACACCACACCACAACAAGAAAACTTTCACATCACTAGCCTCCACACCTGCGGCTTCACACTTCGCGGCTTATCCTATCCACACAATCTCATTCGCCCATAGCTATACTCCTGTGCGGCTTGACTCCTGTATGCTGAGAACTGTGCAGTATATGATAATAGGATCACAAGACGCGTTTAAAGGTAAGAATACAAACATGGAGAATGTACTCTGCGACATACGAAGCAGGCTGTTCATATCCATACACACCATAAATGAATATCCGCTTATTTTTATACAGATGGGCACTGGCAGCAGCTCAGAACAGTCTGGCGAAGAGACACTATGTCTGCTCGTGGATGACTGGAGAGAAGAAGAGCCATCAACCGTGCTCCTCAACGACGACGACGTGCCCTTTGATGGACCTCTCGACGACTGCTTGAATCCAAGAAGTCGTTTACTGGAGTTTCGTTTCAAATTCCCAGTCAACTTCCCCGGGGGCAAGCATAGATTCTTGAACATTACCCAGAGTCTCCTTTCAAACAAGGCAACCCTTGGCATCAAGACATTGTTTCTAGGGAAGAGTGCTCGAGGCTATGTAGATGACCTCAAAAAGTCAAGATATGGCCGCGTCAAGTGGAGCGATATAATCATGGTCCATGGCTGCCAGGTTTCCTGGACGGAGGACAGGCAAGGCTCTAGCATAACCAACTTCAAATTTCAGATAGACGAGGATGAATTTGCTGTTGCCATTGTTGACAGAGAACATCCGATTTTCTTCGGCAATCTGAATAATGATAAGGTAAGTCTACCAACTTGCTTCCCTCTTCATCTCATTTACTTACATATATGGAATGCAGCGGAAGTTTGTAGATGCCATAACCGTCCCCATTCGAATCTTACTCCGAGTCACATGGTGGAAGGAGCTCTTTGGGAATGCCGGAATCGACCTCTCTTCAGGCTCACTCTCTACAAGAGAGTCTGATGATTCCGAGGAGATCAGCCCTGAAGATCAATGGTGGTGGCCGATTGTACTAGAAGCACAACAAAGGTCCAAAGCAAAGGCTAAAGCCGCAGCACTATCAGCATCCACTAGCCTTCCTGCGGCTGAGGAGGATGCACAGGAATCTTCCGGAGCTGTGAAGAAAAGGCTCAAAAAGAACAAGGGCAAGAAACGAAAGGCCAATCACAGAAACCGTGCGAGGAACACGACCCGGACTTCTGATGCGGACGTGAAGACTGAGAAAGAAAAACAACAAACACTGCAGTCTCCTTCAAATCCTCCTTCACCCACTTCACCTGATTACCTTTCTGCATATGAAGCTCTTCCGTCTTATGACACGCTGAACCCCAAGTCTGAAGATCAAGAAGGCCCAGCAGTGAGCGACTCTGGCATGGTCACTTGTCCTACATCTCCCATTAAAGAGACAGAACACCTTTACGGGGCTGATCCCACTACAGGACCTGTCCCTGAGACGGTGCTTCACGAGACTCGTCTTTCTCATTCTTCGATCCCTCAGTCCCCTCTTCTCCAATCTCCTGTTGCTACTCCTCCTACAACCCATTTGTCTGAAGGAACCTTAGAAGTTACTTCTGTGCCTGAGGGAATTATTTTCAGCCACGACTCCTTGCCAGAAGGCCGTGTTCCTAGGGTCTCTTTGCCCACAGAGCCTCTGATTGAGACCACTCCTGGAGAATCTACTCCTCGTGACACAGTATCTGCTGCTATCTCTCCTGAATCTCCGCTCTCTCCCCAGCAGGACGCTGTTCTGCCCGAGAGTGAGTCCTCAGAAACTTGGATGGCCTCAAAGACAGAACATTCGAGCGAGGACCGTTTTAAGGATCCCCGGAAAGTTGAAATTCTTGCTAGCAACACCACTACCACCGAAAGACAGGACCAAGATCCTTCTTCTATCTTACTTTCCCACCCAAGCGGAACATCTTCCGTGAGGAAGGAGGTCAGTTTTGCGGAAGACCCAAATCAAAACCAAAACATTGATACTGTGAAATCTCCTGCCGTGGAACTCATATCCAAAACACAGCAGAGTCAGGATTCCCCTGACACCCAGAAGGATCCCAAACCAGATAACAGTACTGCGAGTACCAAGACCGGCATGGCGAAAAAGAAGCACGCGAAGAAGAAGAAGCGTTCCCGTCGTCAGCAGACAGATCCAGTCACAGAACAGGATGCTGAACATCAGCCTTGCGTGTCGCAGACACCAGCACAGTCATGTCCAGCCTCGCAGTCATCCCGTCCAGCTTCAGCTCTAAACACGACTCAGGTACCCATTTCAAGTTCTGATTCTCCGTCACTGCAACCCAATTTGAGAGACCCTAAAGCTACTCCTGGAACCCTTACCAAAGACTCCAAATCTTCTCTTGACCCTCTTGCTTCGGAATACGTGCCTAACTTCAAGCCAGTCCAGAAGACGGTCGCCCTACCAGAAACATCCAAAGCGCCTGACTCCAATGTATCGTCGAAGAAAAAGAAGGCATCTTCATCTACAAGGGCCAGAGCCAATACCTCACCATCAAAGTCGGCAGCTGCCAAGGGTCCTTCAGTTAATGTCTCCAGCATGAGCTCTCAACACAATGTCTCTCCTTCACCACATTCTAGCCAGCCAACGTTGACTGACGATATCATCACACAATCTCTTACACATCTACAGGACGATCAACGCAACGCACTGCTGGCTTCCAGGAGAAACTCCACGACGTCCTTTTTTGCAAGCTCTACATTGGATACAGCAACACATCGCGGTCGTGAGGTCACAGCCTCCAGATCGGACCACACAGAGAAACATGCTAGGAACCAAGGTTCTGATGGCATTAATGCAGGCAGCTCAGTCTTTGAAAGCACTGGTTCTTTTGAACGTATTCTCCTTCGCAATGAACACTCTGCGGTATCCGGCCAAGCTTCATCCCATTCTGCTCAAAGGTCTTCCTCTCCTACTCGACGCGCCTCCATTTCCAGCCAACGTTCTGCTGCTTCAACGAATAGCCACCAGACCGGCCATCTCTCTTCTAGTCCTGACCGCAGCAGACTGCCTCCAATTCAAGAAGCGACGAGAGAACACGGACAGCGTGATATAACTTCCTTGACTGGTAATCACTCTGCATACGCACTAAGTCACAGTCACCCGGAGCCTGATAGCACCGAGCTCACCGCAAGGGATCCTGAAGATACCTCTACCTGTCAAACACCAACAAACCTCCAAATCCCACAGGGAGCATTCACCACAAGCCCCGTCCAAACACAAGGCAATCCTCCTGCAACGTCACAGCTTATCGGTAGCCATGGCCCTCCCGCTCCGCCATCTACTACTCGAGCACTGCCATCGATTTTCGGACAAGGTGGTCCAGTCGTTCGTCGACCGGCAGGCTTCTTTTGGCAACTCGATAGCCATGGCTTTCCATGTGCGAAGGCCGACTGTGACAAGCGTTGCAGCTCTTGGGATGGCGCTTCGGTCGTCTGCCCGCGGTGCGGACCGTTCTCTGAGGTCCGATACTGCAATCAAGAACACCTTTATGAGGACATCAAGCCTCATTGGGCATTCTGCGGGCAGATGACCTTCTGCCATCCCTGCCGGGAGAGTACGATTCCCCGGCGTCAGAAGGAAGGGCCTCCTCTGCTGCCCAGCTATCACAACTGGGACACCCCAGAGCGGCATCGCCAAGCCGTCTACCATGCCACCAACTCTGGTGGTGACTACTTCATCTTCGCCGACTGGGCGGAGTTTGTGACGGCTGGGCAGCCAGCCAACAACGTGGGTGTGCGATGCACCAACCGGGTGCTCGCAGTCGTCAATTTTGACGAGCCGGGAGAGAAGGACCGGTTCCGTCGGGTGCTGGGGGTTTGCCTCTTCGGTAAGCCGAACCCCCTGTTTATATAGTTCCTCACATCCCGATATAAAGTCCATTCACTAACATACCATCCCCTCTCAACAGCCTCCATCGAGGTTTTCGACCTCGTGGACTACATGTTCCGTCTCATTCGAGACAACCTCCGGTCTCGGGGCCTCTGGTCCGGCGAGCTCGACAAGGCGCTGCGATACCAAATGCAGCACGAGCTCGCCGTGGCTGTGAGCCCCGAGACCAGCGGGCAACGCCATGCCTGCGAAACGGAGTGGGACGGACGCAACAGGCGTCGCTGCGGGGACCCGGTCTGCCGCGCCGAGTACCGCCCGCTCCTGGGCGACCAAAGGATGGGTCGTGGCTTCGTCGGCCTGTGCGACTACATGGAGTCCAACCACTGGCTCCTGCGCGCGGCGAGGCGCACCCATCCCGAGGTCACCCAGGTGGCGGCGCGGACTCGGGGCGAAGGATTCGGGGACGTTGCAGAGGAGGACAGGAGGCTGTTCCGCCGGGGAGAGGGGTGGGACGGGGCCGGGACCGGGGAGATGGAGATCGAGGGAGTCAATGCTTGAGTGTGATCCTTTTCCATTATTGGAAAAGGGTCTGAACTCGCAGCGATGACCTCGATCGATGAAGTCCTCCCGGTTCTTGGTGCCCGGGCCCAGGGATACGGTGTTTGGCGTTTGGTGTTTTGGTCTTTGTGTGTTTTCTTTGGTTTTTTGTCTTGTTTTGTTTTGTTTTTTACTGCCCTTGAAGATTCCCAGTCTTGTACATTTCCCCTTTCGTCCCCATTCGCGCCGTTTGTTTCTTTTTCACCCCCTTGCCCTTACGATACCCAGTCTTGTTTGCTTTCTGTTTCTAGTTTTGTTTTCTTTCCGCGCCGTCAGACCGGGTTACTGCCCGTGTCTTTCCCTTCTATGTTTGATAGTAATGTTTATTCCTTGGTTTCTTTGATGTACATGCAATCTCGACCAGAGGCGGATTGGCATTTTGTGTTTGTTTTTGTCTCTTCTTGTATTTAGTACTTGGTTTCATGACCAGTGGGGGAACAGGAGCCCAGTTTTTGTCTGTGTCTGTTTTTGTCTCGTCTTGTTTTTGTATGTAGATAGTACAGATATCTATTATTATCTTACAATTGTCGAAAAGCTTCTTTTCAACAGCAATCTGGTTATGTAACTATCTGACTATCTGGCTATCTTGAGAAGCTTTGATTATCGTGAATGATAGTTAGTCCTTTTCAAGACATGGTATTTCCTAACCTACCTTAGATTTATTGCCGCAGATTTCAGTGCAGAATATCTTCTACGCGTCTATCGTCTGACATTTCCAGCATCAGAGAAGCTATTGGTAAGACGCTCGAAGTCTTTTGATTTGAAAACAAAGATGGGGAGGACCGGAGCTTTGCATTTCTGCACCGGTATCCTCGATTACCTTCAAAGTGGTCACGCCGAGATAACCTTGCTGCAAAATATTCCTGAAGGAAGGCTATAGATATAAATCAGGGCCTTCCTTTAGCATTAATATATCTATAAAGCCCGATTATAAGCCTCAATGCCTCTCCTCGCCCTTCTCTTTTGCACAGATCATAGGGCTCAGAGTGAAAGACTTCGAAAGTTCCACTCAGAGGCTTTCCATGAGTGAGCTCTTCCATATAAGTAGGAGAAACCCTTGCCATAGTGAGTTTCAAAACCGTCCTTTCCATCCGCAGAACGAATGCCGTATGATCATCAATCACGGCCATATTATGTTCATAGGCGAGGACTCCCTGTAATAAGACTTGGGAGACTAAACGAGCAAGGTATGATGTATCATTCTCTTTCTTGACCTGTTGTAAGGCATCAGCTAGAGTATGAAGTACAAGAGAAACAGACACAGACCGAAAATATGCCAACAAGCTGCGGAGAAGCTGCCTCGCTTATGAGTGTCCCATCACAACCCAACGTGCCACGTATTCTGGACGAGAGTATTTCAAACCGGATCTTCGATTTCGTAGACATACGTCTTGGTCTGTTCATGAGCCTCTTCATTCGCAAGAGAGTGGGTGATCTACACTGACAGGTTTTTCGCTGCTTCGATATGAGATAGGAGAATTTCGCAAAGAAACAATATAGCTTGCTTCGATGTTTCTGACCAGCTGCTGTGTGATCTCATTGCTTCATTTAGTCTGGCGAAAACGGAATGGAAACTATTACGTCGATAAATGGAGCGCGTAGAACTGAAATTCGCTAGATCGTCTTCGGTTGGTTCGATGAATTCTGCGTGTAGAGTTTCGAACTCTGCGTTATTTTTAATATGCATTTTAGTATGACATGGAAGGAGAAACGATAAGCTTACCTTCGTCTTGGTCTGCTGGTAAATATTCTGGATCAATAAGATTAGCAGCAGGAGTGTCACTATGCTGAACTAGTCGAAGTAGTTCGAATTGTTGCGACGTCCACTTATGTGGTGACTGAAGGAGGAGCGATAAGGATTCCATGTTAGTTTACAGGCCAATTATTACCATGAGTACGTTGATGTTAACAAGGTTGGAAGTAATTACTGGACTTTCATTGCTTTGATTCTTCGGAGGGGCTTTGTTCCGACAGCTTGTCTTCAGTAAGATATTCCGCGCCGAAGGCGATCTTTCTTGTTAACATTCTCGAGTAAAGCATCACACTTAGTCTTCTAAGTAGGTATTCTAATTCGAACAAATTTAACCAGCTTTTGATATTTAATCTAGGAGGCTAGTGTGGCTGTAACGGATTATGCATTTCCGTGGTAGTATGTGCTATCTGGTCTGCAGAAGGAAATGCTAGATACCACTACTACTGGAGATGGATGCCTGGAGAATAGGATGGTTTGCCCAGTAGACGGTAAGTTCAAGCGATGCCTCATCTCTGTAATCATCCCTGGTTGGAGAAAACATGTATACCTAGGTATTCTATAGTGATTTAATTTAGCGTTGATCACGGAATCTCAAAGCTCACTTGTAAATAGTAATTATTAGGATGCGCCAGACAATCAATGGTAAGGTCATCTTCTTATATGGATAGGATCGACAGTCCGTATCGCAAGCTTGCCTCTTTGTTTTTGATTCCTTCTTTCCAGAACGCGGAAAATATATTTTCCTTGCCTGTAAGCCATCCAGATAGGGGGTTTAGAATCTATGCTGTCTCAGCCCTTCAAGACTTTAGCGTGCTATGCCTAAGACTCGCTGTTTGCTTCGCGGAGAGATCACATATTCTTCTGCAAGAGAAAAGGACACAAATGTCCTCCACACTCTTGGATATTGGGCCCAGAGGGCGGAGTTTTTTGATCGTCTAGACAAGAATAGGAACCTGATTCAGGCGGTAATTGCTCGCCACCTCGGCGTAAAGGCAGCGGCATGTCATGTCGCTGATCAAGCTGACTGGGTACATGGGAGCTTCAATCTTTGTGTCCCCGTCACGATCACAGCTTGGAGGAAAACAAGGGTGATAATCCGCTTCCCATTGCCATACCGGGTAGGCGAAGACTTCAGGCCTGGAAATGCAGACGAGAAGCTTCGTTGCGAGGCAGGAGCCTATACATGGCTTCAGAGCCACTGTCCATCAGTACCCATTCCTCGACTTTATGGATTTGGGTTGTCAACCGGTCAAAGTGTAAGTCATTACATTGTATCTTAGGCATATCGCTAATGGTCCTAGTTTACGGCTATCGATACGCTGCCCTTGATGACTCGTTGTCTGCAATATCTCCGTCGTTTGGCACTGGCAACACTTGGATATCCTGTTCCATCCCGTCTTGTGCCCCAGCGAGGCGATGGACCGAATCTCTTCGTTGGCTATCTTCTGATCGAATATATTGAGGAGGGCCAGGGGATGATGCTTTCAAACACCTGGGATGAGGGATACGTTGACACACGACTACGGACTAACTTCTTTCGAAGCCTGTCTCGAGTCTTACTAACTATCGCCCAGGTTCCTGTACCGCAGATCGGCTCATTCACTATTAACGATGATGGCGTTTTGACACTGAGTAATCGGCCGCTGACTCTTGAAGTCCATGAACTAGAGAACGAGAGGATTCCGGTGGATATTCCCCGGAATCTCACATATACATCTGTCGACTCATACGTAATGGACATTCTTGCTTTCCATGATAGTCGCCTTCGCCATCAGCCAAATGCGGCTACCAACGAGCAGGATTGTGTCTATCAAATGTCTGCCTTGTCCACCATGAAAATGGTTTTCCCTCAGTTCTTCCGACGTGATTTGCGCCGTGGGCCTTTTGTCTTTTGCTTGACAGATATTCATCAGAGCAACATCCTAGTTGATGCTGACTGGAACATTAAGTGTTTGATTGACCTAGAGTGGGCATGCTCACGGCCAATAGAGATGTTGCATCCTCCGCGCTGGCTTACGAATCAAGCGATAGATGAGATGGATGCCGACAAATACGCCCAGATCCACCAAGAGTTCGTGGAAATCCTACAGAATGAGGAAAGACTCCTTGACGCACGCACTACGATTTCATCTGTATTGAGAGAGGGTCTGGAGAGAGGTACATACATTTTGGTATACAGCAGCTCTACGGAGTCCCACTGGCCTCTTTCGGGTGTTCTACGATCATATACAGCCAAGGTTTGCAAAGGGACATGAGAACGATGAGAATTTTTATCGAGTTCTGATGTATTACTGGACGGAAAAGACTTGGGACTTTATCAGAGGAAAAGTGAGAGACAAAACTGAGTATGATAAGCGACTTCGAGATGCGTTCAACAATTGACCTAAGACGAAACGTGGACCGATTTCTCAGTTTGCGGCTACCTAGTAATCAACTCTTTCCTAGGTAGTGGCTCCAGTAGCCAAAGAAAGCTACATCTAACTTACGCTCAATCACACAAAGTACCTTCAATGGGTGAGAATCGACTTCCACCCGAGAAAAAGTGGTCAATCACAACGATTCCACGGCACCATCGAGGACGTAGAGTGACGTGTCCTCTATCCCAGAGTTGGATTCCCGTGAATGGCGCCCAATTTATACGAGCCACTTAGGAGCCACCAAGCGTTCTACTTAGATCTGCAATGGAGAAAGGGGGAAAAAAGCAACAGCTGATTCAAGAATCTTCACTATCTGACAGAGAGAAACCATGCCGGCGGTAGCCAACTATATTCTATAGTCATCTGATTTGGCGTTGATCGCGGAATCTCAGAGCTCAATTGTAAATAGTAAAGGCATAGCGCCGTTGCAGCTAAACATAAAGCCCAGACACCACTCCATGTGCTTGTCCCATCATAGTAGGTACATACTTTCTCTCATTGGCTAACTAAGGAAAGCAAGACACAAACTTAGCAACAAGGGGTTCTGATTTTTTTTTTTCTGAGCCAAATTCTACTGATTTTATCCTTTTCTCGTCTATATAGCCTCCCAAGGGTTTTGTGTCAACGCAAATAAGAGAGTCGACATGAATATGTGCATATAGCAGTCCTCTATCGGACAATGTACTTCTTCAGGCCCCTCAACCGCTCCTTTGCCAACTCTAGAACGTCGTCATTCTTGCACACCGCGAAACGGAGGTAATCCTCAGCAATGTGTGCGTTCTCGTCGGTGTAGAATTCCGTTGGCGGGATAGCAGCAACGCCAACCTCCTTGATCAAAAACCAGGCCAGCTTGAAGTCACGCGGTCTGTTAGCTACGTGAGGAGGGAATGGGTAGTTTTCGGGCAGCTTGACTGCGGACATGTTGGCCAGGACGAAGTAACCACCTTCGGGATCGGAGTACTAGAGTGGAATCGATGAGGTCAGTCTATCCGTGACAACAGCGAGATGTAAATAGACGGATTGAATAACTACATACCGGAAGGCCAAGCTCATCGAAGATCTCGCAGAACTTGTCCATCTTCTGCCTCATTTCTTTCCGACTCTGGTCCCAGAATCCGACCTTATCGGCTTGCTCAAATGCCACAGCCGAGGCTTCTTGAAGAGGAGACACACTGCTGTAGCATATCCGCGTGTGTGCAGCGGCTACATACTTGATCAGATGCTCTGGTCCGATGAGGTACCCAACGCGCCAGCCGGTAGCATAGAAGGCCTTGCCCGCGGAACCAACGGTGAGGGTTCGCTCGTAGAGTTCCGGTGACAGGGTCGCAATCCTAGTGAATGGTGTGTAGTAAAGACGGTCGTAGACCTCATCAGATAGGATAATGATGTTGTGCTTCACGGCAAGCGCACCAATGCGCTCAAGCTCCTCACGTGAGAAGACCTTCCCAACTGGGTTGTGACTACGGCTTTATCAGTAACCTCTCTCTCATCCAAAGGGACAGTAAGATGGTGTGCTATAGCTTACGGTGAGTTGAGAACCTACAGACAGTTAGATCATATCCAAAAAGCAAGCTTTGCAGGAGGACGCTTACAATCATTCTTGTCTTCGAGTTGATCGTCCGCTCCAGTTCATCGAAGTCAATTTTCCACTCAGCAGCGGAAGAGGTCTTGACCGCCCCATCCTTCGGTGGGTGAAGGGGGACATATCGAATCTTGCCTCCGGGCATCTCAATGTTGCTTATATATCTGAATTCAAAGTCAGTTTCCACCGTATTACCATTTGATAGCCGGTGCGCAAAACGTACTGGTCGAAGAAGGGCTCGAAGATGATAACCTCATCACCGGGTTCAATGAAGCCCATAAAAGCACTCAGCATTCCTAAGCCAACCACTTAGTTCAGTGCCATCACATTATGCAGGTTGTCGGTCCAACCTTCGTTTGCACCCGTCGTGATCGTGACCTCGGTTTCCGGGTTGAGCTGGCGACCAAAAGAAGCCGAGTATGCATCTGCAATTGCCTTCTTCAAGCGTGGTCGACCCTGGATGATTGCGAGATTGTGAGTCAAGATACAACATGCTAGGCTCAGGGACGCAATCATCCGGTACCTTTGTGGGAGAATATTGGTTGCACTCCACCCGGTCGAGGGCCTCTTTGGCGGCGTCCAACGCGAACTGGGGAGGGTTGTAGCCACTTTTTAAGTGTTCTGTCAGCTCCTCTCCGGGCCATTGGCACATGGAAGTTGCATACTTACAAAAATCCTTGTCCCATATTCACAATAGGCTGTACAGGGGATGCTGCCGCTGCTTCGTTGACGATGGACCTGGAATGGTTCAGCAACTCGTCCTTATCCGACCCGCGCATAAGATATCCACGCACCAAACATCCTGTCTCTGGCCAGCGACTCTCCTGGCCGGACGGAAAGGGTCCTGTCGCGCTGACGTTACGGACATTGTTCTAACACAGACAGCGGGTACGCGGGGGAGCGTCGATCGGGTGATGGAGACTGCGGGGATCTGTAAAGGAGGTGTTCGCAGGCTTGTGAGTACGGATTGGAAGCAACGAGAGGCGGCAGTCATATGGGAGGATATAAATGAGGGACTGGAGTAACAATAACGCGCTGCATTACTCAACTGACGAGTGACAGCGGAAGGAGAAAGATATGATATGGCCTCTGTCCTACAGAGATAGCAATTATTACCGCGGGGAACAATTGCGTGCTCGGCGACTTCCGCTCTCCATAACCAGACTAGACTAGACTAGACTAACTTAAGAATTAATTCCGTTCTCCGATGCTTCTCCGAAATTCGTCTTGTATGCCTTGTTTCTGCCTCGGAAACAAGGCACCTCAAGGGCCTCAATAATTAAGTCATCACTGAATTATGCTCTGCGCGTCGCGAGCCAGCACGCGTCTAGAGCTACCTAACCTAACCTATATCTTTACTGTCAAGCTGTCGATCGATTATCACTACCCAGTCTCCCAGACCAATCAAGTCATCATAGGCTGCGTATTTTACTTTGGTCTGATGAGCTGGTCGCCATGGTCTCGTGCCCGATATGCGGCAAGTCGGTCAGAGAAAGCAAGATAAATGACCACATCGACTCGGGATGCAAGAGCTTCGTCGAGGAATCCGGATCGAGCCAAGAAGACCTCTCTTCATCCCAGAAAACTCCTGTCCCAAGCTTCTTCCAGCCGGTCTCGGTACGGAAAGCTTCGTCAGGCCCAAAGAACCCTCCGTCGACTTCATCTCCCACCACTCTCACACAAAAGAGATCCCTTGTCCACGACAAAGAAAATGCCGGAGAAGCCAAACGGACCAAACAAGACGATTCCGCTGCCGATGAGGAGGGACGGCAGCTCAAGCGGCCCAAGGTCAATGCCTTTCAAAAGGCAGCTCCGTTGGCGGAGCGGATGCGTCCGCGTACACTCGATGAGGTCTGTGGGCAAGAGCTGGTCGGTCCCAATGGCGTCTTGCGAGGGCTCATCGAAGAGGACCGAGTTCCCAGTATGATCCTCTGGGGCGGTGCCGGGACTGGGAAAACAACAATTGCCCGGGTCATTGCCTCCATGGTCGGAAGTCGCTTCGTCGAGATTAATAGCACCAGCTCTGGAGTGGCGGAGTGCAAAAAGATCTTCTCAGACGCACGCAGCGAACTCGGCCTGACCGGTCGGAAGACCATCATCTTCTGTGATGAAATCCATCGTTTTTCGAAATCCCAGCAGGATGTGTTCCTGGGTCCCGTCGAGAGTGGCCAGGTAACCCTGATCGGTGCGACGACGGAGAATCCATCATTCAAGGTGCAGAATGCCCTGCTTTCAAGGTGCAGGACATTTACTTTGTCCAAGCTCACGGATGACGACATTGTGTCTATCCTAAACCGCGCATTGAAGGTCGAGGGCCCCAACTATAATCCTTCTGCACTAGTCGATGATGAGTTGATCCGCTATCTGGCTACCTTTGCGGACGGTGATGCCAGAACAGCGCTCAACCTGCTCGAGCTTGCTATGGATCTGTCCAAACGGCCTGGGATGACAAAGGAGGAGCTGAAGAAATCTCTGACCAGGACCCTGGTCTACGACCGAGCCGGAGATCAACACTATGATACCATTTCTGCCTTTCACAAGTCCATCCGTGGCAGCGATCCAGATGCTGCGCTGTATTATTTGGCGCGCATGTTGCAGTCAGGCGAGGATCCTCTGTACATTGCCCGGCGGCTCATTGTGGTGGCATCGGAAGATATTGGACTGGCAGACAGCAGCATGCTGACGCTGGCAGCCTCGACTCACAGCGCTGTTGAAAAGATCGGACTTCCCGAGGCCCGCATCAATTTGGCCCATGCCACTGTCGCCATGGCGCTGTCGAAGAAAAGCACTCGGGCGTACCGTGGACTCAACAACGCCCTCGCAGCTCTGCAAGAGCCTGGTATGGCTGGACTGCCCATACCAATTCACTTGCGAAATGCCCCGACGCGATTGATGAAAGAACTGGGTTATGGCAAAGAATACAAGTACAACCCAAACTACGTGGATGGCCAAGTCGTGCAAGAATATCTTCCTGAAAAGCTGCGAGGACGGCGGTTTCTGGAGGACCGGGACCTGGGTGACCAGGTCGACCCTGACCTGAAGCGTCCGTCAAGATGATTTTTGCCATTACCTCGTGCAGAAGCTATTTCCTCTTCCGGTACCTTCATAGTGACAGTATCCGGAGGACATATCGATGGCCCGGCGAGGTCATCGTATTGATCACGTGCTTCATCTGGACCAGCCTGCCAGTATACCATTGGCACTTACCAACAACTCGAGCTCTACTCGACTAGCATCTCATCTTCCAGGCTGGACGTATCAGTAGCTCTTGTGTTGTTCCGTCCGGTTGCAACCAGCCAACCAGCGAGGCGCGCTGAGTGAGGCTCGCAGTCTTTCCTTCTGACTATCCAGCGGAATCTCTGCAAGGGCGCTGGGGACAGTCTCTTTCGTGAATTCTCTCCTCAGTGCCAACAGCCTCATTGTTCTTCTCTGACGCCAGCCATCGTCACTGATTGAATCGAAAACCACTGTTCGGGATGCGGGGGAATAAACACCGCTCTGCCATATTTAACACACCGCCCTTGTGACCGCCTTAATCCAGCCAATCGCACGGTGCTTGGCGATCGCACTTGACCAATCCAGTAAAAGACTAGTCCTGATCGGGCGGCGGCGACCGGACGCTGGGCAGGTTGACTCGAGTTCTGCCTCTTTCGCGTCCAGCACAGCACAGGCTGCTGGTGCTGGTGGCCTCTTTCTCTTCTCTCTCTCTCTCTCTTCTCTCTCTCCTCCCTCTCTGCTGGTATCATATAAAATTGTGCCTCCCGTGTCAGTGTTCTCTTCTCTCTTTTTTTTGGAGGAAAATATAAAATAAAACGAATAGACGCTGCGTTACTTAGTCTTTCTCTTTTTCTCTTACCATGTCTGTGCCCTAACTCTTTGCCTGGGGACGGCTTACCTTACCCTCCCCCCTCCCCAGTCACCCATCTGCTCTCACCCAACACGGTGGGAAGTTCAAGTCCTCGTCTACCCTCACTGTCTTCCCTGCTCTTGGTCATCTATATATACCCCCTCTTGTCGCCTATCTCTTAGTTGCCCGGGACTCTCATCCCAGCCGCATGGTCTCAGCCTTGTCCTTGTGCAATGATAGCCTTGTCTCCCCTGCTTTTCGTTTCTGTGGCTGGAGCCTTGCCGCTGTCGTGGGCTGCATGTTACCATGGCCCATAATATGCTTCATGACAACCTCTCCTGCGGGCCACGGTCCTCCCATTCAAGACTTTTCCGCCGTACTTCCTCGGACTCCGCTGCTTCCCGTCCAGTAAACTCAGCCATACACCACCCATCACCAGTTGTGGTTCAGCCTAATCGCGATCAAGTGAGTGCCTTCTCTCTTGTCCATAGGCTGTCCTGCGAGTACTGATCGTAGTTGTGTCCGCAGGGTTTAGAGTCCTTCCCTATGCCGATGCCTGTCCAGACATCGCCGTATAATCCTCATCGCTATCACAGTTTCCAACCCCACTGCCCCAATGTACAGATTACGCCCGACAGATACGTCACATCAACGTTTCAGGGCTATCAGCCTCATGGTTATAGCCCCCAGATGCACATTGAGACTCACAACACACCCGTCTACTATGTTCCCAGGCCGAATGAGGCACAGACACCTTCTAACTCTGGTCACGTAATAAGCCTGGACACAGGAGACCACGCTCCTGTCTCTTCTTTCCGCGTGAATTATCCTCCTCATACGCACTCTTCCACCTTGAACGTCCCTTCGCCAGGTCACCTTGCTGTGAGCCAATGCTCTCCGCACGTCGTGAGCTCGCCGTCAAGTCCAACTACCTTGTCACCCTGGCCGACTCCAGGTTGGTCTCCACAGTACCAATATGTAGGGCCAGTCCCTGCTCGGGGAACTGGACCCGATTCTTATCCTATAAGGCAAAACGACCAGTGTATGCCCTCGATGTCTTATTTAGGTGACGACTCAGTACTGAGAAATTTAGATCCGCCAGGGCTGCGTCACGAGCCTTCTAACGAGTCTTCACCTCGGCATCTAACAGTGAATCACGAAGCCCCGCGTTGCTCCCCTGGTCCACGCTTCAGTATTGTGATAGAAGACCCCAAGAGTCCACACGTGCACCGTGAGAAGCGGGTGCGAACGAAGGAAGATACGGAAAGGCAAAGGGAAGATATCCGACGCCTTAAGGAGCGTGGCGGTGCTTGTGTCTGGTGTTATCTGAACAAGAAGAAGTGCGACATCAAAAATCCTTGTTCTCCCTGCAGCGTCAATAAGCGGGCTTGTTTCAGAGATGCTACGCAGCTGTGGCTTTATGTACCCCTTTTAGACCCTTCCACCAGAAAGAGCTCCGAAATCATCAAGGAGGAAACATTTAAGTCAGCCAACGAAGCCTTTCTGCGCTTGCTAGACATGTCATTGCCTCAGCCAGGGGCTACGCAAGCAGTGGTAAAGATACGCTGGCACGATCCAAATCCGGTGGATCTCCTCATAGCCGACATTTCGCAGCTATCCTTGGCTGATACTGAAGTTTCTGACGGGTTGAAAGAGAATCTTATTCAAAAGTCACTGGCTAACATCCAATCACCTACCCTTCAGAATCTAGACTCGGATGCCGTGAATGCACCCTTGATCCAGTCTGGGATCAAGATGTTGGGACTGCTGGCTGCTCTTGTCACGTTGTCCCGGTCACGGGTCTATGTTCGGCCAGCAGATCTTGGGCCTGCCAGGATGACGATGTTTTTCATCCTAGCCACCCATGCAAAAGCTCTGTGTGAGACTTCTGAACGCTTTTGTACGGAGCTCTGTGAGACAATGCGTCGTAAATCCTCGCATGAAAACGCTACTGCTAGATTGCAAGAGCGCGATGGTCAACGTCTTCACAATCCAGTGTGGGTTGCAGCTGCTATTTATCACCGCGTCATAACCGGCATCTTGGAGTTCGGCCCTAATCCATTGATCTCGGAGATCTTCGTGGGAATGAAGTCTCGCCTGCGCGAGCTGCGTTCTAAAGTAAACCACATTCAGGACAGCGTTCCGCAATACCAGGACCATGACAAACTTTCTTCAAAACCAACTTCGATCGAGCCCTCTGCTTGCGTACCCGATGTTCCTGTTTTGGATTACTTTGAAATCACATTTTGGCTAGAGTCCGAGGGAAAGTTACCAGTCCCTACTGCACTGGACCGACAAAACGAACCTTACAGTGTCCTGTCCGACTACTGGGTGAATTCTCTTCTCGATGAAAATTTTGACTTAGACCCGTTTCATCAGAGCGTCTCTGGCGAAGTGCCCGGACCGCGGGCCGTCCATTTTCGACCGACGCTGGAAGCGACTAACTTGATGCTGCCGAAGCAGGAGACAATGTCGTCCGATCTGACATCATTGTATGAACAACCTGCAAAGCAGAAGCCTACTACAGGCGGTCGTACTGACTTTTCCGGTCCCAGCCTTCCAAGTTATGCAGGCGACACAGTTTTAGATAGCGTCTTCAGCGATTTCACTTGGATCGAACAATTCTGTGACAACAATGGCCATATATACCACCATAGCGAGAGCGCATTCGATCCCAACGCTTTCTTCGGAAATGAGGATTCTATTAGCGCAAGAAGGGAAGGTATCTTTCCGGAGCTCCCTTCTGAATCGCCACCTGCTGGAGCGGCCTCAAACAAGGTCAGGTTGTCGCCTGATATGACCGACCCCCGGTTGAATGTCACTTTCACGAGCTGAGAGATATTCCTGAAAGTAAGATGATACATGTACCTACTGTACCAACTGCGTTGTGGTGCTCATCTCATCTGAAAGGAAATTGACAAAAGAAAAAAAAAAAAAAAAAAAGAAAAAAGTTTCATCTTTGAGCTGCCGATGCAGCTTTTTGTGCTTTTCTGTCTTCCTTTCTCGGTTCTGCCTCCTGTTTAAATATTTATACGGCTAGGCATCGCTGGGAATTGCTTGGTATCTTTTTGCTAGCCTTTCGAGTTTCAGCAGAGGAAAGTCAGGAAGCCATGTGTGTTGTTTGGTTGAGTCGCTACCGTTGATACCCCTTGAAGAAGCTCCCTGCGGAAAGAGCTCACAGAGTTGTATATAAAGATACCCCATACCCCTTGTGGATTGATATAATGCAATCGGCGTTTCTGGACGTGTTGAAGGAGCTTTGGAAGACAAAGGTATTTGGGCTCATGTGTCTTCTATAGATGTCCACAGTGACGAAAGAAACGTTCCCAGTATTTATCGTCGATTGTGAGATAATGGCCCAGCAAGGGGAAAGTTGTCGAGGCTCGAGCTGCCAGCCCCGCTTTCTCCCTTCCGCTTCTAAATCATCTTCAAGTGCCGTGCAAATCAATAATAGATACGCAAGTAAGAAAGCAAAATGGAAAAAGAAACGAAACACTAGCCCGCACCGACTAATCAGATTAGATCTTATACTAGCGATACGGGGGTCATTTACGTAAGTGTGGAAGATATCCCCCTCACCTTTTTTTTTCTTTTTTGTCCTCGTTGCTTCTTACATGACTTCAGCTGAGAAGGCGTGTTCTTGCATGAACAAAAAAGGTCATGAGATTCTTTCCCCATGGCTGGAGTTATGGTTGGTGCGGCATATATTGCATCAAAATACCAACGGGCACGCAACAGCTGAGGGGGGACTCTCTAGGTAGGAGACTTATCGATTAACTACATTATATTGATAATCTTGGTGCCATTTCATGAGAAAATATGCCCCGTTCCTGGAGCCTCAGGCAAATATAGTTACGACTACGGGAGAGGATGCTTCAGGAAATAGCGCAGAAGAGACTCGATAATAATAACCTTGATAACTGAACTTTGGTTACATGGCTGATCCTCTAGCAAAGAGGGGGAAAAGACTAAAAAAAAGAAAAAAAGACAGTATGACTTCCGCGTCGAATAGTCTTATGCCAAGTAAACTTATCATTAATGCCTAGGAGCTGATTGAGTCTGTGTGTATAAACCCTCAAAAGAAAAGAAAAAAAGAAAGAAAAGAAAGCGTCATCTCGGATATACTTCCCTCGGAGCTTCGGAGTTAGATGGGTAATTATGGTATTGGTTCTCGATGATGAATGATCCCAGTCTTGATTTACCAGACTAAGAATAAAATATTTCTGTTTATTGAAACCTGCATGAGAGGATAATCCCTTGAATCCTTGTTTAGGTCCATTCATCTCGACGAGGATTATGATTATCAAGAGGGGGATTGGAAAAAGTGGTGGCGTTCGAACGTGGGGTTGGGTTCTATCGAGTAGAAATTGATCGATTGCAAATCCATGCATCACCAATCATAATCATGATGATTCTTGATTACGACTGCTTCAGCCTCTCAGGATTGTTGTTGTGGTTTGATTCTGACTCCCCACGCGTAGCGTTTGCCTTGGCGAGGTGTTGTCATTTTTTCCTCAGGGATGATGAGATGACCTATTGATTCTTCGGTTCTTCTCTCCTTTGGGGGAGATAAGACTTGGTGATGCTCGACTGGTTGGTCTTTTTTTTTTCTTCTCTCTCTTTATCTGACCTTAGTATGATGTTGAGAGAAAGTATATCGGATGTAAGGTGAGAGATCTGCTCGTCGTCAGAAATGAGAAAAAAAGAAAAGAAAAAACACATGTTTTGCCCCGCCCAAGTTTCGATTCGAACTGCCCGTGTCGCGACAAGCGCGAAAATTCCACCCTGCAGCTAAGCAGCAGGTCAGTTAAACCACAGTAGATCTGGCGTGTTCCGGAAAGTATTGATAGCGAAGTGGGTAGGGAGTCTCCCTCAATGGAGGAGGGGAAGAGAGAGAGGAAGGGACAAAAAAAGAACAAGTCAATACCGGCTGGCCAGCTGGGGGTCTCTGATTTGTAGGGTTAGACATTGATTAACGCCGATTATGACTGTTCATGCATCAACCAGATCCACGATCATGACGCCCAATATCTGATAAGATGTGGGACACGGGATGATTGGGAATATTTAATCTGGAATGACCCCGGCTTCCAAAACATAGTCGAAGGGGCCTTGATCTGGTCCAGGTCAGGAAGTTCGTGGAATTTGTTCATATCCAATACGAACAAAAGCAAAATAAGAATGGCCGCAAGCATGTCATCAAAATCAACTCCATGGACATTCGTTTCCGCCTTCTACGAGCCTCAGATTCGTCGAGTAACCCTGCATATAGAGATCGAGAAGTGCAACTATACCAATGTCATCGTCGAACCTCATCCAGACTCCAGTCGAGCTGGCTCTGGCTATCTAGAAGATCGGCTCGTGGAGCTTCACGCGGAGGAGCCGGAGACAGAGTCGGCCAGCTTCGAACGGGACCAGATCATAGAACACATCGTGGACTTGTGCCGAATGAAATATGGCAGGAGTGCACCTCCATTCGGCAGCGTCATATATGCACTCACATTGGGCGGGATCTTCCAGGTCCGCTCGATGCCAGATCACCGTCTCGTCCCGGCCTTGAGAAAGCCAACGGAGACGTTCGGGCATGATCTTCCTCTTCCCCCGCTGGTTCCTCGATCAAAGCTCCGGCCAGTAGCTGGCATCGGGCAGTTTCTCCTCTCGCAGACCCGGCTGGTGGAATACAATGGCAAGCTTCACATTGCCAAAGGACCGCTGTACCCTCATCGGGCGCTGCTGGACCTGAGCGAGGTCAAGAATCTCATCGCTCTTCCGGCTCGACACCCGAATGTCATGGGTCCACCAACGGCGCTAATAACGCTCGGAGAGACGGACGATCGAGTCTGTGGCTTCTTGACCACGTATCATTGCAACGGGAACGTTGAATTCTATGCACGCGCGTTAAGAGAACAGGGCAAACTGTCGCCCAAGTTGCTGTTCAAGTGGGCTTTACAGCTGGTGGACGCCGTTGCGTTTCTGGCCCGCCACAGGACTTTCCACGGGGATCTGAAACCGGACAACATCGTGGTCACTGATAAAGAAGATATCGTCCTGATCGACTTCACCCGCCTCTTTACCACTTTCGTCACTGCGAGCCCAGAAATCAGGAAACTTTGCGCCGGGTCTGGGGGCACCAAGCTCGGTATCCCGGCCCACTGGCCGATGGAGTCGGTACTTCCCTCTGAAGTCTACTCCATCGGCCGCACCCTTTACCTGTTATGTGAAGGCGTCGAGATGGCCCAAGTCTACCGTGAAATGGGCTGGACCCAAGATGCTCCCTTCCCCACGGAATTCGCCCCGGGCAGTCCCACGCCCCCGGAGCTACAGAAGATCATCTCCCTCTGTGTCTCCCCAGAACCATGTCAGAGACCTTCGTTAGATGCTCTATCGAAAATGCTACGAACCGCACAGAAGAGACATGCGGTGAAAAAGAGGTTTTCAAGACCGACTAGTCCGAAATCCCACCAGCATAGTAAGTCAGAGGGTAAAGTTGGTCCTGGAACGTTTTATATGATTAGGTCAAAACTTCTATATTGACGGGCGTATTATTATATTATTCTGATTAAGTATATATGTTGGTATCATGGGCTTGTATATGTTTATGCATTTCATAGAGTAATGTTCGTTAGGACAGGATCAATATAGGGAAATAAAGTACCTTTCTTCGATGTGTATGCAGATCTAGGTTAGGAAAATGAGACGAGACCAAGAAAAAAAGTACGTAGATACATCTGTCCACCGCTATAGTTACTACTATACGCGATTGATAAGGCTTTGAGGTTCGTAATAGCTGCCTGGGCCAATGGTTCCTCAAGACATGAATATAAAGACTTTATGTTTCTGTCTGGTCGACGCGCGGTATACCACAGATAATACGCGGGTGATATGCAGTAGAATATAGCAGTTTATTGTTAAGGTTTTCAAAAAGATGTCTCCATAGTTCAGAGGCGTGAACTTGCAGTCACGGTCAGAGATCAATACTATCGACAGTCCCTAATCTCCGAGTTGCATTCGTTCCAGCAGAGCCAAGGCCCATTCTCTCATGCTCAGCAATGAACGTGATTCGCGGGTTCTTACCATGGATTATCAAAGTTTGCCCTATTGGTGGCCATAGCTAGAACAATATTAGTATGAGCTAAGTATATGCACGATAGAGTTCAAAGATATGTATTTGCGGTTGTTTGAAATAGCGATGAGAAAGAAACGTAATGGAGAAAGATGAAGATAAAGTGTTTGGAAAGTATATATAGACTAGTAGCAAGAACATCTCCTTTGACGCGATAGAATAACTGTTGGGCCTTGATGCGCTGTAGCTCTCTGCCACTCAATTAATTCTCTTCTGTCCGTTCATGATCAATATAAAGAGGTTGAGGCAACAGGATTGTATATTTGATGTGGGGAGTTAATCAGTCATAGTTGTAAGGTTTTTGGGGAGAGTATAAGGGATGAACGTTCCGAGACCCCAGCATATAGTCTTCTAATTGCTCACGGGCTTCAATCCAAATTATTGGATCGTCTTCAATGGAGCCGCGCTTGTTTTTGACGAAAAGAAATTTTGCCAACATATGGTTCCTTAGATTTGTAACGACTATGTTGCATCTATAAGCCTCGTTTTGGTTTGGCCTTGATTGGGCTTCGAGGCGCATGGTTGTAGAAAACACTTGACGGCGCCTATATCGTCGTCATTCGGATTGCTCGCCTTTCTCTGAAGACGGTTGACAGCTTGGGCGATGTCAGGGCAGGTTTTAATAGCTAGCCAATTTAGCTTTCCACCAGGGATGAAGGTGACTCTTTTGGTGAACTTGCAAGTAACCGACATACAGCAGTCCATACCGTTGGAGCTAGGGAGACCCAGGATAAAATCGATCGTTATAGTATGGAACGGAATGGCCGGTGTCAATATGGGTTGGAGCGAGCAGCCGAACGGCTTGTGGCGTCGTGTGGCAGCTAATATAGCCCCGTCGGGTTTTCAGTTTGCTGTCAAATCTGGGCTGACACAATCGTTGGGGTTTGGGCTGTTGAAGGCGCTTGACGCCAATGAATGTCTGCCTATCCTAAGCTTGTCATTCGAAAAGTTAACGATCTTGTAGCCTTCCTATACATCATTGGAAATCAGTATCAATAAGTTATGCTTATATATAGAGGGAAAGCGAAACATACATCGGGATCAACACCGATCTCCCAATTATCAAACGCTTCATGGATATCAACGGACAGAAGCAGACCGTCTTGCGGGGAGTAAAGGCCACTGGCGCCTATGGCAGAGGGTGGCCTTATGTCCGTGATGTGACGTCGAAAGTTTTGAGCCTGCCATTGTGATATTCTGCTAACGGGGAAGATATGAGCCGCGGATGATCTCTTCCACGTCCTCTGGCGTGGGCAGTCTCCTTTGTTGACCAAGAACACCGTCAAGCCAGACGTTAAACTCGATGATGTTAAAAGACTGAAAAATATTGCTTGACAAGATAGTATCAACCGAGTCTGTGATCATCATTATGATACTCTCAACCAGGCAACCGAAGGACCGGCCTGCACTGGCTGGCATGCATGCTAGAATCCTGAAGTTTACCTTCCATCCCATCTGATGGATCTTGCGGTACATGAAGAGATCGGAATCTCCCTACCGAATTCTCTTTAAAGACTGAAAACCCTTCCTTGACAAGGGGGAAACGTCAATTCGACTATCGACAAAGGTATCCACAAGCCACAAGATGATCCCAATGGACATACCGGCTGTTGTTTTCTCCATTCATTGTGACAAACTATACGTGTGATAAGAATATACCAATCTATTGCATAACATGTCAAGGAGAAGAGTAAATAGGTAGAGATGATATGTTCTATATTCTCAGATATTGATACGAAAGATCGCAGTGGGATGATGAAGATGATGATATTCCTCTCTATGGAGGGGAAGGCTAATATACTGGGCTAAGTATATGTGATTTCATGTCCCGGCCTGCCCAGGCCGTACCTGCTTAATCCTGTAACAGATATACTAGAGCGACTTCCGGGGTAGAGTAGTCTATCATCGATGAAGAGCTATAGATAGTAAAAGGTGGCCCAGAGCCTGAGGCGAGCTCAGAGGATTATCTTTTGTCAAGATCTAGATAGTCATTGCAGTATCATAATAATGTCTGGGAGGTCTCCTACATTGCCCTTCTGTAGATAGTGTGATATGGTATGAGGATGCGAAAGGAGGAAGAGTAAGGACGGGGAAAGGCATTAAATATCCATTGTGTGACGGAAAACTGGGACCGGAAAGGGCAGAACAAGAGGAAGTGAAGATTAGCAAGGTGAAAGATGGTTGCTCACGCAAATTCAATCACAGTGTATTAGAGTGAAGCAATAAGAGCATCCATAGAGAAGTGGACGTCTGGCAGGGCTGACGCCAAGACGCGTGGTTGCTGGTCCATCCGCTGGAACTATCCATCTATCCATCTATCCATCTACCACCATCACTGAACATCAATTCGACCATTTGCCAAGATGCTCGTCTGGACATTCCTGGACAGATCAGAAGTATCGCCGTGTCTGCCATGGACATCGTCAATGATCGGTTCACTGCGGGAAATCCATTGGCAGCCGCTCTCCGCTATGACGTAGGTGCACCAGCTGCCGGATCGGGACAGCGTCAAACGAGATGATATCAGAGACTCCAAGATGAAGCAGAACGGCCATTCCCTGGCCATCCACTGCCAGCCATGCGAATCCTTCCGCTCGCTTATTTCTTGTCCAGGCACGCCCACAGGTCGACCTCTTTCTTCTCTTCATCAGCACCAGTTGGGGAAACGCCCTGCTTCACCACCGCTGGGACGGGGATTCCTCTCTCGATGACTCGGGCTTTCACTGCAACTTAAGAGCACAGACTGATCCGGAACCACCTGCGCTATTATCAATTCAAGCATCGCCGATATGACCACCCAGCACGCGCCGGCAGGCCATTGGGGCGTCAATAATCCCATCCCCAATATCCAGCGGTTCGTAGAGAGCTTGGACAAGGACAAAAGAGAACGGGACAGGAGGATCGATGAGGAAGAACGCCAAAAGCGACAAGCGGAGAGAGAAGGGGGAGCGGTCCCCCACGGACAGCAGGATTCCTCCAAGCACAAGGGCACACGAAAGGTGACCGACCCCACGACAGGCAAAGAGGTCGAAATCGAGGATGTGGGACGAGATCTCGTGAAAGAATCGAAGGACCCAGATGTACGTACATTTACACTAGAGGAAAGGGAAGAGGCCACGTCTGACCCGCTACGTTGTTTCAACAGCTTTCGGTTCCCAATGCCAACCTGAACAAGCCAACGGTGAGTGAATACATGCGGTTATGAAATGCAGCAGCAGAAGATGACTGACTGACACATCGTGTAGCCCATCAAGACGGAGCCTACACAGCCGCTACCGGAATACAAGCACAACCAGGATGTCACCGCACCGCCAGACCCCATCGCCGAGGGGACAACATCGGACGTCCCCATTCGGGGTGAGAAGACCAATGTCCTATTCCATCCTACGCCGTCCATTACATACCAGCCAATGTTCGAGACCCTGGAGAAACGGGCTACCGGTCTTTGTATCGCCACGGTTATCGGCATCATTTTCGTGGGCAAGATGTTTGGCGGTTCTCTCTGGGGATTGATCCCATTGGCCTCTATCATCTCTTCAGGGACTTTCTTGTGGATGAAGGAAGTTATCAGGAGTGGCCGCGAAATGGAGTGGAGTAGTGAACAGCTGCGCGGTGAGACGGTAAGATTTCTCCCCTTTCGGATAGATGTTTGCCTATGGGTTCTTCTGACAGTCTCCAGGCAACGGCAAACCTGCTACCGGAGTCTGTCGAGTGGATGAACACGTTCCTGACCGTTGCATGGGGTCTGATGAACCCAGATATGTTTTCAGGCATTGCGGACACTATTGAAGATATCATGCAAGCATCTGTTCCGAGTGTCATTGAGAACGTCCGTGTTGCGGAGATTGATCAGGGAAACAACCCAATCCGTATCCTCAGCCTTCGTGCCCTCCCTGATAGTCACGTCAAGCAGCTGCAGGAAAATGCTCACGAAGAGAATAAGAAAAACAAGGATCCTCAAGCTGCCGCAGCTGATGAGGAGGGAGGCGACTACTACAATCTGGAAGTCTCGTTTGCCTACCACGCCAAGCCAAGCGAAGGAAGTATGGCGTCCAAGGCCCGCAACATGCACATGGAACTGGTCTTCTACCTTGGAGTGAAGGGCCTCTTTGGCGTGCCCCTGCCGGTCTTTGCGGAGTTGATTGAGATGGTAGGGACCGTTCGATTGCGGTTGCAGATGACACCACAGCCCCCGTTTGCGAAGAATTTGACATTCAGCTTCATGGGATTGCCTCACATTCGCGCCGGTTGTACTCCTATGGTCCGGAGCGGTGTCAACATCTTGAACCTTCCTCTCATCTCCAACTTTGTCAACTATGCCATCGGCGCGGCTGCCAGTCTCTATGTGGCCCCCAAGTCCATGTCGTTGGATCTGAGCATGCTGCTGAAGGGAGACGACATCCAGAAGGACACCGACGCCATAGGCGTCATGTGGGTCCGAATCCATCGAGCGATCGGTCTCAGCAAGCAGGACAAACGCGGTAGCGAAGGTGGCGGCAGTGATCCTTACATCAACCTGTCGTTCTCCAAATATGGAAAGCCCATGTACTGTACCAGGGTGATCACAGACGACCTGAATCCCATCTGGGAGGAAACAGCAGCACTGTTGGTGACGCCAGAGTTAATAAAAGCGGACGAGCAGCTCAGCGTCGAGCTATGGGATTCTGACCGGAATACAGCTGACGACATCGTCGGGAAGATCGAGGTGTCCATCCAGGAGATGATCCAGCACCCTGGAAGAATGTTCCCGCAAGTATCCAAGCTACAGGGAATGGAAGCGGGCAGCGAGATGCCTGGTGAACTGCACTGGGAGGTTGGTTTCTTTGGAAAGCCGAAGCTTCGACCGCAACTGAGGACAGACGGCCAATCCACAAACCTTCCGGATACACTCAAGGATAACCCCAAGTTTCAGGATGAGAAGGGTGTCATCACGAGTGACGAAGAGGACGCCGTTGTGCATACCCCTCCTGACCCTCTGTGGCCCAGTGGTATCTGCAGTATCGTCATTCACCAGATCGTGAACCTTCAGCTAGAAAACATCCAAGGAAGCAAAGGTAACAGGAAGAACAGAGAATACGAGCCTGCCAAGCCCTATGGTGAGAACATTGAGGAGCAGGGCAAGGAGCTTCCTAACAGCTATTGTACCATCTTGCTGAATGATAACTTGGTAAGTGAAGATTTTGAGGTCAAGCGTGGTATATCTGTTAACTTCTAACGTTATCCAGGTCTATCGCACTCGGTCAAAAGCGGTCAGCAGCAAACCCATCTTTAACGCAGGAACCGAGCGATTCGTCCGTGATTGGAGATCGGCGGTTGTCACTGTCACTGTCCGTGACCAGCGACACCGTGAGCATGACCCAATTCTCGGTGTTGTTCCCTTGAAGTTGTCGGATATCCTTCGGAAGAGTTCTCAGGTCACTCGATGGTACCCTCTCGACGGCGGGATTGGGTTCGGACGAATTCGCATTTCGCTTCTGTTCCGAAGTGTTGAAACCAGGCTCCCACCGAACATGCTGGGATGGGACGTTGGAACTTTCCAGTTCACGTCCGATCGCGTCACTGCGGAGAATTATGCGCATTATGCTAAGATCAAGCTACGTACGGGCGGAAGCACTGGCAAGATCTCCAAGACTGTGGCCCATGTGGACAGTGGGAACACCTACTACGACCTCAACCGGAGGTCTGGCAAAGATCGAATCAAGTTGCCTGTCAAGCACCGTTACCGCTCTCCAGTCGTTTTTGAATTCCACAATGCGCACACTCGAGGTACCGATGCCTATGCAGTTCTCTGGCTACAACACCTCGTCGACGGTGAGGACACTCAAATTGACATTCCCATCTGGACAACCAAGAATGGCCGCCGGCTCACCCAGAACTACGTCACGGAGGAGAACTGGAAGGCCAAGGAGGTACCCGGTCTAGAAGACCTCCAAGAAGTGGGTCGTCTGAAGTTCAGCTGCAAGTTCACCGCCGGGATCGACGAATCTCACGAGAGCTTCGTGGTGGACAATGATTCTCGCGAGACATTCGAGACATGGGAGACTTGCGTTGCAGAAGGCGTCCGCGAGCGTCATGTTCCCGCCGAGATCCCGGAGGAGGTTCAGCAACTCCACGAAAAGTCTCTCGTCGAAGGCCGTGACATTCTAAAAAAGGCGAACCTAGAAGAGCAGAAGCTCTGGCTGGATAAACAAGGTCACGACTGGAGTGGTGCTTTTGGACAGGATCCTCGTGCATACACTGACTCATTCGGTCGGAAAGCCGCTGAACCGGGCGTTGAAAAGCCTCCCCACGACCCCATCGTTCCTCCTCCAGTCGAGAAGCCCAGCGAACTCCAGAAACGCGACGGTGACGCTGCCGAAGAAGAAGTCGGCAATTCGGACTCCAGCGAGACGAGCGAGTCGGAAGAGAGCTCCAACCTGACCAGCAACACCAGCAGCGCAGATTCCGAAGCACCTAATGGAGTACCTCGCAGCACCAGCGATATCAACAAGCAGAACAAGCGGGCTGAACATCGTCAACAGCGCGGTCTCATGCAGTGGAAGCCCGTCCGCAACGCCGTTTTCGCCAAAGACGAGGCCAAGTTCGCCCTACGCAAAGTGAAGAGAAAGATCGGAATGGGTGACCTCACTGGCAGAGAGCCTGATGTTGAAACCGAGACTGGATCATAAATGTGAATTTGGAACACGAGAATGAGAATACGACAAATGCTGGAATTAACTCTTAAGGATACGCCATGACGTTTCGGATCTGATATTGATTATGTTATCTCATACCTATGCTCTGTACTGTACTCTAGTGTAACTTTACATCTAATTAAAACTTCCTTTTTCTTTTGTCATAAGCGGCTCTGCAAGTATTGATTAACTTCGCAAGTCTCACCCAGAATAGTAGTTAACATTAATTGGAAATGCAGTATTTTATCGAGTGGTATAGGGGTCGGCGTGTCCCACTCTCCTAAGGCTGAAAAACACTAAATTATGACAGTTTGCCATCATTGTTCCTTTCAATTCATCCTTCCAAACCTCAACGGTATTCATTGCATGACAAAAGGGTCGAACGTCGCCTCCAAAATTCCCCAAATAAGAAATGGCCCTAAGAACCGACTGGGTAACCCGTCATGTACTCAACTTATTGCCAGTTCCATAGCGAAACTGCCCATAAACGGGGTCTTGCTAGAACCGCCCTAGTAGAGTCATAACACCTGTATCAGTTTATGTCTTTTCTACTGCGGTGTTGGTCTAGTATCCAAGGTATAACTATCCATATCTTCTATCGGAGGCCCCCAACCTCCTCCACCTAAAATTTTCATATATTAGCAGGTTATTCAAGCAATAAACATAACGCATTTAGCATTGGAACTTCTGGCACTGAGATAAGAGACTCACCAGGAGAGTTTATCTGTATATAGTCCCCTGCCTGCAGCCTCACGACTGCTTTCGCTCCGATATTGATCTTTTCAAGCTTTCCGTGTGCGTTCTTTTTGAATATAAAGTTCTTGCCCACACTACCCGGCTTGCCTCCCTCCATCCCGTAGGGACTGTATACACGCCGCTCGGACAGGACGCTGAATGTTAAAGGGATTCTGGCTTCGACTTCTCGAATCACGCCATCGCCGCCATTGAATCTTCCTCTGCCCCCGGTCCCTTTGCTGATTTCGTCCCGACGGATAATCACCGGTGTCCGCTTCTCAATTACTTCTGGGTCCGTTGCTCGCGTATTAGTCGAATGGACATTGACACCATTCGCACCATGCCAAGTTGGTCCTGCTCCACTTCCTCCTCCGACTGTCTCTCCGTAATTCCATCCTGGAGTAACCTTTCCAGTCAGAGGGTCCTTTCCTCCCATTCCCCATCCCAGGCTATTAGCACATCCTTGACTAGCAGCAGCAGCACCAAATGCTTTAAAGATGACATCCGTCACACGTTGGCTTGATATGGTGGAACCACAGATAGCGACTGTCGGTGAGGGATTCAAAACTGTTCCTTCGGGAACTCGAATTCTGCAAGGATTAAGACAACCTTGGTTCAGTGGGATGTCCATGTCCACCATTATACGTAACGCGTAGATTATCGCAGAGTGCGTGATGGAAATAGGCATGTTCATATTGCCATAGGTCTGAGCACCGGTTCCCTCGAAGTCAAAGATCGCCGTACCTTCTTCGCTGTCAATTGTCACTTCTAGCTGGATTGGTGTGCCGTCATCTAACCAGTCAACGGCCTTGAGTGGTTTTCCTTTCGTCGTTCTGTATACCTTCTTAAACAGCTCCTTGATAGCAACTTCGGCATTGTCTTGAATTCCATGCATGTACAGATGCACGATAGGTAAAGTGAATTCCTCACAGAGCTGTTGGATCAAGGTGATCCCTCTCTGGTTAGCAGAGATCTTAGCCTTGATGTCGGAGATGTTATCATTGAGTCTCCTCGTCGCACTGCATCCTGGATATTCTGCGACCTTGTTGAATAAGTCTCTGATTTCCTCTTCAAGGAATACGCCGCTGCTAACTATCTTCATCGATTTGACAGCCATTCCCTCCTGCCATAGTTCCTTTGAATCAGGGACCATACTCGTGATCCCGATTCCTCCAATGTCAGTATGATGACCTCGTGACGCGACGTAAAATGCAAGCTCATCTCCATAAAAGGCCGGGGTGATAACAGTAAGGTCAGGCAAATGCGTTCCGCCAGCTTCAGGATGGTTTGTCAGGAGAACATCTCCAGGCTTAAGCTTGTCGCTCCATAGTCGATGTTGATATTGAATTGCAAATTGCATACTTCCCAAGTGGATAGGTATGTGAGGGGCATTCGCTACCAGGTTTCCACTTGGTGAGAATATGGCACAGGAAAAATCGAGACGTTCTTTGATACTGGTGCTGATTGATGTCCGCTGGAGTGTGTTTCCCATTTGTTCGGCAATGGACATGAATCGATTGGCGAAACAGGATAGTTGGATTGGGTTGACTTTGTTAGAAGTTATAGAGTTTGAACTCTGTTCTTGCTGATATCGATCTATCACGACGTGATGAGATGTTATGAAACACTCGTATCCTTTTTCGACGAGGATGGTTTGGGTTTCATCCGTGATGATAGCGGGGCCCTTTTGTTCATTAGCTTTTGTAATATGCTTCTTCTGTAAGTGCTTGATAAACTCACAGTGAGGTAAGAAGCGACCTTCATAGATTCTAGTTTATAAATTGGAACGTCTTCCCATTCACCCTCCAGATACACTTTCTGGAACGAGACGGGTTCGGGTTTGATTCTGCACCGTTTCGCTTCTTCAATATCCGCTGACAGAGATGCAGCATCTTCTTGTGTACTGGTCTTACTAGTACCTCGCAAAGTGATACTATCCACAATGATGTCTCTGTCTGCCTTGAACGCAAACTCTCTCAGATGGCGTTCCGTGAATGCAGACTTGTAGTCCCCATCGGCCGGTTGCTCGATACTGAGTATTGTATCCATACCCTTGTACTGCATATTCAGGAACGTGTGGAACTCAATAGCATGTTTGCCTATGCCTTGAGTGTGCAGGTCATGCTCGACCTTTGTCTTTAGGTGCTTCTCACGCTCTTGGAGAATGCAAATAGCTTCCGTTGATAAAGTAAGAAATGATGGCTCCGTAACTTCAGACGTTATTTGGGCGCAGCTGATTCCATATGCGGACAAGAGAGACGAATATCTATGAATCAGAATCCTTTCTATTCCAAGGTTCGAAGCAATTGCACAGGCATGTTCTGATGATATTATCAAGAAGTCAGTACATGAGAAATGGCTTTTAGGGGGGACATTTATTTGTTAAGATATACATACGACCGCCTGCACCACCGAAGCTGACCAGGTTATGATCATATGTCGCATACCCGCGAGCCTCAGTTGCATTGCGTATGGGTCTACACATGCTCTCATTTGCTACGTTGATGAATCCAAGAGCAATCTGCTCCGGAGTGAATTTGATGTCCGATTCTGCGTTGATTATTTCGGCCAACTCGTCGAATCTCTTCGCTACCACCTCTGTATCTAATGGCTTATCTGCCTTTTCTCCGAATATTGACGGGAATGAAGAGACCACCAGGCGACCAAGGAAGAGGTTAGCGTCAGTTACCGTCAATGGGCCGCCTTTTCTATAGCATGCTGGACCGGGGTGTGCTCCCGCACTCTGTTGCGACGTTAGATATTGAAGGTGAAAGACAAGTAACTATCACACGCATATAGCAGCTTACGACTGGTACTTGCCTCAGGACCGACAACCAGAAGCCCGTTCCGCCAAAATAACATGGATCCGCCTCCTGCGGCCACTGTGGCGATGTTGAGCATAGGTGTAGAGATCTTCCTGCCGGCAATGGTCGATTCAATAATGTGGTCGAATTTCCCGTCATATCGGGATACATCCGTGCTTGTTCCACCCTTGCAAGAAAGAAATGAGCGTCAGAATCAATATGAGACTGACTTATAGATAGTCCAGTGATCAACCTACCATGTCGAAACCTATTAGAGCTCTACCATCCCTTGTGTCGTAGCATGAGCGGGCAATACCAACGACTCCTCCAGCTGGACCGCTAAGTAATGCTGCATTTCCTGTATACTTTTGTGCCTTTCTCAATCCGCCGTCGGATGACATGAAGTCAACTCGTTGCGGGGGCACGTCGAACCCGTCTAAGAAGCTGTTTATATAAGTGCGCACCACAGGCGAGAGATAGGCATCAATACAGACGGCTGTAGCTCTCTGTAGCATCTTTATGCGAGGACTAGTCTCAGATGATATAGTTATCGACTCGAAGCCTTCTTCTTCTGCGATCTTCGCGGCCAGTCTTTCATGGTCTTGATGAGAATAATTTAGACAAAGTCATTCTATGCAAGAGACGCAACGCACAGAGTTCATACCTGGAAATATGTGTGAATGAATAAAGCATATCGCGATAGAGTCAAACCCTTCCTGTCGTAAAGACCGAAGACAAGCTCTAGTTAAATCCACGTCCAATGGTTGAAGGATGCGGACAACTTCTCCACTCTCAGTCTTCATGAGATTCGGATCATTCACATCGAATTCAGGTCGAGGATAAGGATCTAGTTCATAGTTCTCGATAGTGATTCTCTCTTCGATCTCCGCAACTTTGTCAAACAAGACCTTTGGTTTGCGAATGTTCAGATCGAACAAATGTGGACGCGACTGGTCGCCTATTTCGCATAGGTCTTTGAACCCTACAACGACGACGAACATAAGCGATTACCATGTATACAAAGACTGGAGATTCTCTCCATGGCTCATACCCTTGGTGGTGAGTAAGGCGAACTGCTTTCCCTTATGTTCCAGTAAAGCATTCGTGGCTACCGTAGTTCCAATACGGCAATCCTCTAAGTACCATATCCGACATTTAGCAAAGCGACTAGGTATATGTAGGACGATATGGAACTCAGATATCCCCCACCTATAGATGAAGCATTCAATTTCTCTTCTTGTGCGATTGATCTGCCTTCTGCAATCTCTAACACGCGCCGGATCGCCTCTCGCGGTGCGTCCGAATAGTTCTGGGGGTCCACGGAGAGCAGTTTGAACACTACATCTTCTCGACCTGGTATTTGAGCGATAACATCACAGAATGTGCCTCCACGGTCTGGGTAGATGGTTGTGTTAGCATATTGGGGTAAAGGAAAAGGCGAGATACGTGCCTATTGCGATTTTGATTCCAGACTGGATGTTTGCCATAGTTCACTGGTAGTATGGACTGGTCTAGCTTCTAAGAATCGTAAGATGTAGAGAAATTCCGATCATATATATATCAGCTGATTTAGAAAGAGGTACGCGTGTAAGAAGAAGAACCCTATATCGCTTTTTGCACTATTACAGCTTAATAGGTGACCAATCGCGGACAAGGGAGGAAGGGATCGTTATCAGCAATTATGTCTGTACATTGATAGCCAGTCATGTCCAGATTTATTAGCAAAAGCTTACCTAGATGATTATATCCTCAACTGGAAATGAAAAGTAGTGAGATCAAGCAACCGATCGAGAAACAGCGCATTGGCCTTAATCTTAGTACTGTGTGTCAGTTCCCCTCGGAATGGCGAAAGCGGAGAGATTCCGAGATAGCGGGCCATAAGTATACTTAAGTATAGGCTAGCGGGCACTCCGCTGATAGGACATCACCGACACTGATATAGAATTGATTATTCTACCTTCCTAAAGTGTTGAAAAGGGTAAAATTGGACGGGAGTGGCCCGACAGAGCCTAACAACGTGCGTTGGTACTTATTCTACTAGCCCGTATAACGTGCTCTTCACCATGGGGCACGTTATTGTAATACGAACCAGTCAGTCTGGGTCTGGCCACAGGATGGCTTGATTAAGGATAAGCTTAGAGTGCGCTCAAATACAGTCCCTCGAAGCCTATATTCCTTCAAATACAGATGGTTTGGAATCGCAACCACATAAACCATTTCAAACCGGAAAGAGTGGAGTCGCATCTGACAATGAGTGCCTTGCAAAGAGTCGAGCGCGAAAGGAAAAAGCAAAAACTGGGCAAACGGATCGCTGGATTACTATGGGATTCTCTAGATGACAAGAGCGACGAGGAACATCGCCTCGTTAGGCGACTGGACTCTGGCTATCTAATTTGGGCATGCTTCTACTACTTTGTTATGTATCTCGACTCCAGTACGTACCTCCCTCACGTACCCCGTCGCGATCGTTACTGATTAATATCCTGGATAGCTAATGTATCAAATGCATATGTCAGTGGTATGAAAGAAGACTTGAACATGTATGGAAACCAATTAAACTGGATGACAACATACTGGACCATAGGTAAGCTGTCATGGTCTTCTATTATTACACATTGAGTTGAAATTAACGGATCGCTGCAGGTTACATTGTCGGGACGCTCCCTTCGCAATTGATCCAAATGCATATACGGCCTTCTCTATGGCTTCCCTTGCTGGAGGTTGTCTGGAGTGCACTCGTCATGTGCATGGCAGCTGCCCCAAATGTAAACACTATCTATGCGATCAGGTTCCTTGTTGGCATATGCGAAGCATCCGCTTACCCTGGCATGATGACGCTGCTGGGTAATTGGTATACCCCACAAGAGCTGGGGAAGCGATCCGTTATCTTCCAACAAAGCAGCGCTGCTGCGCAAATGTTCAGCGGGTAAGATCCTTAGTTCAAGCTGTACAATCGAAGTTCAGCCTAACTTAGCTCTATACAGGTTCCTCCAAGCTGGCATCTACAATGGAATGAATAACACTGCAGGTCTCAAAGGATGGCGCTGGCTATTCATATTCGATGGCATAATCTCACTTCCCATTGCCATGTTGGGGTTTTGGTTGATCCCAGACGCCCCTTCGAATTCCCGAGCATTCTATCTTCAAGAGGTCGATAAACAGGTCGCACAGGCCCGTATGGATAGACATGGACGTGCGAGAGCGAGTGGGATTACCTGGAGCAAACTCGTCAAAGCCTTCACCCATTGGCCCGTATGGGTCTTTGCAATACCATATGTGTAGGTGGACTTCTAACTTAACGTTTTCAGCCCTTTCACTCTTTGGCTAACTATATCCTACAGTTCATACGTTATAGCGCTGCATATCGCCTCGTACATGAATCTATGGCTCAAATCGTTGGGAATCTATTCTGTATCTCAAGTTAATGTCATCCCTTCGGGGGGATATGCAGTTGAAATTGTTTGTGCTTTAGTCTATGCAATTGTATCTGATGCGATTGGCAAGAGATGGCCTGTCATTATGTTTGGAGCGAGCTTAGGGTTACTAGGAGGCATTCTCCTTTCTGTCTGGCACATCCCCTTCGGATTAAAGTACTTTGCATGGTACTTGACGTTTGCGCCTGTTGGGGGCGGCGCACTTCTTTTCGCATGGGGAAACGAGATATGCAGCAATAGCGCAGAAGAGCGTGCAATCTTGCTTGGTTGGTTAAACACAATGGGGTAAGTTTGGCACACAAAACGTACAAGTTACATTACTATGATACTGATCTGATCCAGTTATATATTTAATGCCTGGGTACCGTTATATGCCTACCCTGCCGAAGAAGCGCCGCAGTACAAGAACGGTTACAAAGTCAACGCAGCATTGTGGGGGGTATATCTACTTGGAATTCCGGTCATCCTGTGGTTCTCGAAGACATTTCCTACCTCACCCGAGGAACAGGATCTCACAGAGGAGGCTGTTACTGGAAGGAATACCGAAATCCCAAAGGATTAGATAGGAGCACCACTGGTGGGATAATCTTGCGTGTTCTAGGTGCGAATATTTATAAGAACAGCCTTAAGAAAGCAGCAGCTGGCCTAAAGGTACTCGAAGGAATGTAAGCAAGCCATGGGGGGTTGATCCTATATTTGTCTCCTCGTCATACAAGGGGTCTAATAAGTTCTATTCTACATTTAGGACCTGGTGAAAACAGAAGATATCACAGATAAATTCCCACATAAGTCTCTCGGGTGATAGGAGCATTGAAGATTATAAGATTAGTAGTATACGATGCCCGCCTATGTTAAAAGTCTAGGTACCTAATGAATGTATTGAGGCCCATTGTCGCCCAACGAGTGAATGCTTCTGTAATTCCGAACCTGTAACCCCCAAAAAAATCTTCATTCTTTGCCCTGAGTGAATCCATTAAATCGCAGAATCTGTCTTCGAGGAAGGAAAGAGATACCAATTGCTGGTTGTTTTTAAGTAAATACTTAGATACCTAAGTAACTAAGTACTGGCGCGTTCACTCGTCTCCACCGCCTGCCTCGCGTTCCGCATCGCGTCCGGCTGTCAGTTGGACTACCTAAACCAGCCAACTGAGCAGCATAACTCGACTTCTATATCGAGCTCCTCCGAGAACAATCGATCGCTCCTCTAGAGAGCCCCACGCTACTATTCGACTCTGAGATCGCCATCTTCGAAAGAACAATCCGTCCCGCATCGCGGAGCTGTTTTTGCTTTGCTTTCGGGCCTGCGCAGAAAAAGCATGGCGTCCGCACCGTTTGGATCGCGCTCCGCCTATGCTGGTGGGAAGCTGCCCGATCGATCATTAAATGCGAATCCGATTCCTTTTGGAGCATCTTCGTTCTCGCGTCATCGCGGTCTGGGAGGAGCTGCGCCGGGAGAGTTTGGTGCAGATGGCGCAAAGTCGACGCAGCAAGCCCCGGCTCCACCAGCACATTCGCAGTCGCAATCGCAAGATAACAACCCGTTGAATAGGTTGACGGAGGAGCAGAGGGAAGAGATCAATGAAGCTGTGAGTAGTCTATCTGTACCTTGCGTCTTTGTGGTGGTCATGGCTGTTCTGGGGCCATAATAACAACAACGACCCCAATCCTGCGGACTGTGGAATATAAACACCCAGAACAAATAAAGCGTTACATATAACTAATTCGATATAAACTCAGTTCACGCTCTTCGACCTCGACCGCGACCGCCATCTCGACTACCACGAACTCCGCGTCGCTTTGCGCGCTCTAGGCTTCACCCTACCCAAACAAGAACTCATCACCCTCCTCACGACCTACGGCGTTCCCCGACCACAAGTCCAACAACAGAACTCTGCTCAAAATCAATCACAATCCGCGTCCTCGAAATCAGCAGCCCCTCTCACGAACCCCCAACACCCTTCTGCCCTGCTCATGCCCCTCTCCGCCTTCCAGGTCGTGACGGCACACAAGATCCTAGAGCGGGATCCACGCGAGGAGATCTTGCGGGCCTTCGAACTCTTCGATGAGGGTGGAAAGGGATATATCGACTTGGAAGATCTACGACGTGTAGCGCGGGAGTTGGGCGAGACAGGACTCGAAGAGGAGGAACTACGCGCGATGATCGAGGAGTTCGACCTGGAGGGCGTCGGCGGTGTCACGAGGGAAGGATTCGTGAGCATCTGTTGGCAGTGAAATAAGTCTGTTTTTTTTCTTCATCGTTCTCGTTTTCTTTTTTCACACTTTTCTTTATACGATGACGGTATTCCCCCCAATCTTGGAACTCGAATCCGATAACATCACCGGCTCAAATCTCATGTGGAAGATAAGCGGGGCAAAAACAAACCCATGAAGCGCAGACTGAACAATAGCTGTTCAGCCCTCTCTTACTTACCATTATTTTCTTTTCTTTTTCACATCCAGTCGTCTCCAGCCTGTCCATACAATCGCATCAACTGCACGAGAACTCCCCTCCTCCTCCCTCCCTTTGACGTTTCATCCCATCATCCGGGATGGCCGAAATGGTCTTGAGCTGGGAAGAGAGAGGGAGTAACTCGCTTGTCTGGAAAGAATGCTTTATATTCTGTCTTTTCTTTTGTATGTTATGCAAGGGAATGTAATCGGGGAACGGGGTCGTGTTTGTTTAGGCTGCTTTGTTGTTCGGGAAGAGGGAGTTTTTGGGCGCATACATATGCAAGATCGTTCGAGTCATTCGCCTTATCTGGTGCTTCGTCTGGATCTATTATTAGTCATATCTGATGAGTCTTTGCTTGTTCAATATTCACGAAATGCAGAGATTAGGAACCAAATAGGAATATGAATGGAACAGAATAGCCAGTGACATGAAGGAGTGTCTCAGTTGAGTGTTAGCTGGAAGTGATCTCTATTCATGATAGACTAGTGACTACTCGTAGTCATCGATGTATCTAACCTAAGGCGAGCGGTCCAATTCTTGTTGCACCGTCGCAGAAGAGCAGCCCAAGGAACGCGGATGCCCGTAAATGTACATAGGTTCCCCCTACTACGGGAATGAATGCAAAAAAAAAGACGCATAACCCGAGCGAAGCTGAACGCAAGCACAAACCTATTTCAAAAACAAAAAATAGACAAGACACGGTAGACGTGACACATCGAATCGGACAATTGCCCGTTTCAACCAAAGCCAGTAACAGGAAAAGAAGTGTATGGACCATGGATACACCCCTTCCACAAATACGGACCAACTGTGCCAAGTCCCCGTCGACATATATATATGCGTGTGTGGAAGATGAAAACTGTGCAAGAAGATGCTCATACGTAGCGCCTAGCGGTTTGGTCACTACCGTAAGCTGGGCCTGGATATTTAGGCGGAGGATCGTGAGGATAGCCTCCAGACTGCCAATAACCGTCGGGGCTATGTCCGCCGCGCCATTGACCCATGGCAGGCGGTGGCGGAGGCGGCATAGGACCAGCCCATCCGTTGTAACGTGCGTCTGGCGGAGGCGGATATAGACCAGGCGGTGGTCTACCAGCTCCCTTGGGGCGCTTTGACTGGCGACACCGGCGGATGAGACAAGATAGCAGTGAGAACAGGAGAAGACCCCCAATCCCGACGGCCAGACCGATAACAAGAGATTTGTGGTCATCTACCCAGGATTTGATTTCCCCACCGGCAGAAGCACCAACGCAGCGACCGTTGCTACAGTGGCCACCTCCAGAGCATGGGGTTCCGTCAAGAAAGTTCTGGTTCATCTCGACGCAGGTGTTTGCTGGGTAATTGGGAGAATTGCAACTCAAAGTACAGCTGCTGCTGTCACAATCATGAGTGGAATTGCTGTTCAGCAAATCTCCCATGGCCGACTGACATTGCTCGTCGCGACTGGTACATTGGCCACTGGCACATGTTAACCCACTACCACAACTCTCACCGTCCGGTATATGGCTGTCGGATGGACAAGATCCAGAGTTACCAGTGCACTTCTCTGCAATATCGCAAGAACCGGTGCTAGGACGACAGACAGTACCGGCAGACGCAAATTGGCAACTCGAGCAACAGACTTCGTTCGACTCGTCACATACGGCTCCATTCTTGAACTTGCAGGTTTTCGCATCACAGCAGGCATTATTACCGCATGACTCCTCTCCTCCACAGTCGCATTCCTCCCCGGCCTCCACAATGCCATTGCCACACTCACTACCAGTGATGGTTGTCACACCTTTGTTGTCAGAAAGACAGCTGGACTTGACACTATTGCGGCCCATGGCAGAACAGATATTTCCAATCGTACATGGAGAGAACTGGGTGATATCGTCCCCAGTGCTCGGATTCATAATGTAGCGCCCATCTGCGCTGCACGTAGACTTGGATAATGGACAGCATTGAGATGTCGCTTCGAGATCTTGCTTACAGGTCTCCGAATCACAGTCATGCACGGCACCAAATGTATGTCCTGTTTCGTGGGCGAAAACCTGCCACCCAGCGGTGGTTTTCGCTACAACATTGGCTCCCGTGACCGTGTCTTCCCCGTCTGGCGTGGATTCTGTATTGCACAACTGTCCCAACCATGACACTCCAACTTCAGCACCAGTAGGACAGTTCGTCATGAGGGTCCAGTAAGCGTTGCTGTCATTCCTCTGTCCTCGCCACTGGGAGAACAAATCCAGCCGCTGCGTCATGTTCTTGCTGCCGCAGGCGACGTTCCAGGGCGCCGCCTCGGACGCAGTGCTGGGACATTCCGCGTCGCTAATCGTGAGATTGCGGAGGCCGATTGTGACGTTGAAACTGCGCTCATAGAGGTCTGAAGCGGTGTTCACCATATCTATGACAGCCTGACGAGCGGACTCGGTGGAATTATATGCACCGGTGAATGCGCAATCAGTAGCAACGCCTATTAACGCGACTTTCTTCGTGTTCGGACAGCCCGCAGTACTGCCGATAGTAGACTCCAAGTTGACTGCACCAGTATTTCCGGATATGCCGCCTGTATCAGACTGGCGCTTTGTCAGCCCAAAGAGAGAATTCACGGACATCGCACCCCATCGCGGCAATGGCTGGTGCAGATCGGGGTGAAAAACAGGGTGATCAGGGTCGGCGTTGAAGTTCAACTTGTCTGCTTGGCACGCGGACGAGTTCGATAACGATCGCTTGAATTCCGAATGCAACTCGCGACTCATATCCGAATCGCGGTACACGATCATATAATCGTCTTCCTTGTTCTCGACGTCAACATCAAAATCGCGTCTAGTGTGCATGTAGTTTGACCGCTTTTGGATGTGATGGTGGTTTCCCCTGATGGTGAAGGCGCCTTCGAACAACGGCTGCTTCCCATCACGTTGCACACTTATCCTCGCCCAGCCTACTCGGTTCCAGCTGCCATCTTCTGCCTCCGCCCACGCGGAACCTTTGAACACTCTATGATCGGACCTGTCGATAGGCTGCGCATGCTTGACGTTGCCATTCGAATCGAGATATTGAATGTGGGCGTCTTCGGAAAGTATATCATGGTTTGGCTCGAGGTCCAGCTTTATTCGCTGGTGACCCTGGTGGAGGCCGAATGTGACATCGAAGTGTGATAGAGAATGTACACGATGTGAGGGGGAATTGATCACTGGGGCTTCGACGACAGAGATATAATTGATGGGACCGGGCTGCTGTGAACGTGCTGTATCACTGTATTAGCCAGGCACAACAACCTAGCCGTGTAGGCTTGCTTACCATCAACACCGGTCTTTAGGATCGATACTGTACTGGCCAGAAATGGGACCAGGTTGCGGAAAAGTCTCATAATTATTCGTGGTGACAGCGGCATTCAACCAGCCGTGACGGAAAGCCCAAAGATAATGATACCAAATCGGTAGTCGCTAATCGATTAAATCCACTTTTGGTGACACTGGAGACCGTAGTATTATTATGAATATCCGCGCTAGCCGGGCCAGCTGCGCGATGGTGACTGCAGAAACGAGCGACGACCTGATATATGTATAACAATATAGGCGCAGTCGAAGACAAAAGTTATTCACCAGGATGTAACGACCGGTTCTCACACCCTCCCGAGTGAGACAAGCGAGCGAAGAAAATCGCCAAGGTGCGGCGCAAGACCTTTAGCCTTTTGGTGAGGAGGTCAAGTCAGATCAGCCCAGCCAGCAAGCTTGCTCTCCAAAGTCTGCGCCTGTCCGCACGCGGTAACTAACATCGAACCAGGGCTGTTGCGATGTTGCGAAGGGCCGGACCTCCGGTTGATAGACGTCAGAAGCACTCTTGCACTGGAGATCTATCTCCTATCTTCTGGAACAGCCGGATTGAGAAGGCCTCGGCACACTCTCAGAGTTACAATTGCACTGAAATCCTCGAACAATCAGATCCAATCCCATGTAGGGGGTGGAATCGCATGGGGCGCAGCAGTCTTGGCGGTTCATGCCAAGAAGAGTCGTTTTACGTACAGGATATTAGCGAGATAGATAGATGGAATCTAGAAAAGAATGTAAAGAAATCGAGAGGGATAAACGAGAGTAAGACTCGCGCAGTTGAGGTGGGAGAGAAGTTGGAGAAGAGACAATTGAACCGGGGTTGAGAGAGAGGGGTCTGCAGTTGTTGACGGAGCAAGCCAGTTTCCAGCTGAGACGGGCCATCCTTTCCCAAGCAACGCCCGCGACGTCTCGCATCCTTTCCCCCCCCAACAAAGCCTGCTCCGTGAGCGCTTCTTGCTCTAACAGTCGCCGCGTTTAATGTTCTCGTTTTATGCATGTTCGTCTCTTTTGTCAGGTTCTTAATCAGATAGATACTCTGGTATCTATCGAGAATCTATAGGTGCGCAAGCCACAGACGAATGCCGCAGAGACCACGGGCCTGTCCTCTGCCGCTGATCGCCATGACCTCCACACCATAATGAAGCGATCGTTTTCTCCGTATCTAGACCCTTCGCTATAAATAGGCTTAGCGGACCCATCTGCAAGTGTTGGGCCATGGTCCATTCTGAACAACAACTGTAAATACAGTATTTACCATCAGTCTGCCGGACTTCTACAGCATGGAGACCCAATATAGATCAGCTGATGGCCAACCTGTTGTCTCTACCATAAGATTGCACAGATATTTGACTGTGCGGCGATCCATGCGGGATCTGTGCCGGATATCCAGAACCTACCTTATGTTTGCAGATGCCGTGCTAAAGTGAGGGGCCAAGCGATGGTGTATCCATGAGTAAAGGAGCGCTCCGAGTAACTATCCATGGCTGATACAAACTCAGTCCATCGCCTCGTCATACCTAGAGTGGGAACACCAGGCACGAGCGCTTTGCGCAATCCTGGGACCATGGAAGCAGCTCTTGTCCCCGAGGGACAACAAAATGAGCGGAAGAGCCAAGCTCGTTTGTGAGGATCCCCTGCGACTGGTCTGTCTGTATAGAAAGGTATACAATGCCAATTAATCTTCACTCAGGAACCGTATGATAGAGTTCATGGGCCACAGAGGCGAAATGCGGAATTAGAACACCACAAAATCTGCATGGTTCACTCCATGTTGAGTCTTCACCATCGCTGTCCACCCAGGCGCCATCCGCCATATCGCCGGTAAAGACAACATCTGTTGAGGAGTCCCTAAGAGGGCGAGGACATTCGTGTGTTGGATCCAGCTTGTCGTCTTTCCATTTTGAGCTCGCCGTGGGGGTGCCCTGGACGTCATGTTCGGTGAGGTTTATATCGCTATCAGCCACCTTCCAGGGTCGAAGAAGACCTGTCTCCTGTCGTCGAAACATCTTTTCAATATCCCGACCGCTACTGTGCTTGTGCTCACCAGCTGTCTCGACCATGTTAGTGACGGCTATGTTGAGTAAGCTCAAATGCCAGTCAGCTCTTTCTGGATGTAGCTTGCGGAACATTGGGAGGATATTCTCATGCACAAGTCGTTCCGCGAGAGCATCGATGTTATCATCGAGATTGAAAAGAAATTGAGGGACGGGGCCCGAGCGAGATACCCTGTTGTAAATGTGACTGCGGGTGCCGTTTAGGTCCGGAGGGGACCTGGTGCGCGTTGACAGGCGCAGGGTACGTGGATGGGCGAGCCACCGTATTCTTTTTATAGAACTGGATTTGTTCTCCTCAGGTTGCATGGCATCGTCTCTTCCTTCCTCGGTCAAGTCTGTGCGCACACGACGGATCAAACTAGCAGCAAGTGACACGAGGGCTTTCTTGACAGCGTCGAAAGTGTCCAGTGTTCCATAAGAGTCTTCAATACTAATTTGGGTGGGGATGTCTCTCGCAGCACTGACTTCAGAGGTGTCAACACCATTTATAAGTCCCCACACTTTTGTACCAATGTCTTTAGGTGACCCGGGTCCACCTAGAATCTTCTCCAGCAAGAGAGGGCCCATATTGGGAAAGCAACGGACATCGTGTACTGTGACTTTGTTGTCAGTTAATGGAGTTGGTGTCTCGTGGGGGCCAAGATCGCTATCATGGCATAGAATATGAGCTCTGAGTCTATGTGCAAGCTTATAGCCGATCCCAGGGACCTTTCCGATATCATGAGAATCGAGGAAACGAGTGACGTTACTCTCTTCGTCGGGTCCAGTAGCAAGGTAAGGCGGAAGAAGTGTCGTCTGACTGCTTGGCTTATGGACATTCCCCGCCAGTTTGGCCAGCATTTTGGAAGTAGACACGCCAACAGAGGCAGTGTAACCTTTCTGATACTCCAGTTCATTTCGGAGATACCGAGCCAGATGGGAGGCAAGAAGAAGGCGCAGGCGGAGTGGATCGCCGAATCCTTTGGCAAGAGACGATACAGCAGGGGCCGGAGTATCTGTCGAAGGTGGAAATGTCGGGCCAGAGAACTTCGTGGCATCAAACGCGAAGCCCGCCGTGGGGTCCAGCTTGTCAAGGTGAAAGAATGAGTTCAACAGGTCGTGAGCATTGAGCAATTCGACGTTGTACTCGATCATTTCGGTGACATCTAAAAATACCTACATTGGGGGTTAGACTGACAGTTTACTTTATGGGGACATCCAATGGTGAAACCCAACGGTGAACTAACCTCGTCAAAGCCCAATTTCTCGACGCGATCACCCCAGATGAACGACCTGAGAAAGGCGTGAAGCTCCTTGGAAGCATCACGAAAGCGCGTGAGATCCTCACCAAGTACGACCACTACTTCGGGACAAATCTGTTTAGCTTCCCTGACGAGCTGTAGCTTTTTTAAGCCGCGCCGTCGAGCTTCGTAGTTACAAGTAGCGATGATCTGTTTCTGCTGCACCGCCAACGGTAACGACTTTAGGACGGGATTCTCCGCCTCAAAGACTGAAGCGTAGAAACAGTCATAATCCTGCGAGCCTCATGATGGTCAGTCTTCGCTTTCACTGCCGATAGGCAGCAGAGAATTCTTTTGGGGGCCTAACAAAATGAATGATTATGCGGCTATCATCCCTCCGCGGAGGCGCAGCCATTTCCTATCCTGGCTTTCACTGATCCTGTTCCACCCAGTGCAAGCACACCAGCGACCAACGAGTCATATCGGCGAAGTCACTTCGGTGGTTCCTTCGCGGTGAATCGCCTGTTCGTTAGGTGCTGTGTCCGTTTAGTGGCCTAATGTTGGAAAGGGATGGATCGCAAGCGCGATGCTCAGCGGCTTGGATTCGCTCAGCACGAATGCCTACAGGTGCAAGTGCTTCGGGCCGGAGGATAACGGTAGACTAACGATACTTATGCACGGGCTTCCCTAAGAATGAGACTGCGTGGACTCCGTGGAGTTTAGAGGACGTCGATCTCTCTGATCCCAACGCAACGCCGTTCGGGGAGTTGACGCGGGGAGGAGTTGAGCCACAGTATATTCGTATTGTCGTTCTGCTATTGGCTAGAAAGAGCGTCACCGCCACTGTGGCACGTGCTGTTGTTTCTATGAATACATTTGCATTATTATATAATCACTGGCACAATTTGCATATCTAGACTGTGTATGCAAATATTCTGCCCTTTCCGATATTATTATTCTCTTCCCATCCACTTCACTCGATCCGCATTGGAGGTTCGAAAAAGACGGATCTAGATAGGCGGCCTCATCCTGTCACATTATCAAGTCATCATGATGGGTGCGAGACCATCACGTATCATCTAAGTCGCCTCCTCCGCCTCTCCACAGTGCCTCGCAACAAGGTACGAGTACGCCGCACAGTTGAGAAAAAGTCCCGATCAGGGATTCTTTAAAAGCAATACTAATCTCCAGTGGATTGCCCGTACAAAACCAACGAGCGGGGCTATCATTATTCAACATGGCCTGATTCCAATCCGGCTACCTTACGCGCCGTCGACTATCAAGGTTTTCCTAGGACCTGGCGTTTCTGTTCAGCCTCCAGAGAAAGGATGTTCTGGCCTTCTGACTGATGAACCGGTGCTGTTCGTTGTCTTGGCAGTCCCACTGCCTTCGCGTCGGGGATCCTTTTTTTAGCTTGTCACCACGCGGCAAGCGAGAGGAGAACGTTGTACGGTTGACACCGAGAAGGTTTTTTGCCCCTGGTTCCAGTGGCTATCACGTATCCATCTTTAGGACGGCCCGTTGCCGCCGGAGACGTCCTGTGTGTGTACGCCGTTGGTACTCCTTCAGGATTCGGACGGGGCATGCTAACAGGAATGGACTGGGATATATTACTCTTTTTCTCTCGAGGAATATTGTGCTGTACATCGCTTTTTACGACCGCCCCGCTGGAGCCAAAGACGATCTATGATAACCCCCGGGAGTGCCAATAGGTTGGGGTTTCAGACCAGGGGCTTGGAGGATCTACTCGCACAGCATCGCGATCTCGATGGGTCCATGGCGCCGATAGTCAGCGCCCAGTGTCAGCTCGTTCCGATCTGTCTCTCTGTCCGGGAACCCACTGTTGCTTTTAAAAGGAATTCCAGGAAATGAGCATTTCATACCCAATAATCTGCTGGATCCAACTGTTGAACTCTGACGCGGCAAATATTATCGCCAGCCCGATCTGCTCTGCTTAAAATCATGGTCCTGCCCATCTGATCTCACAAGCGCTGAAGCACGGCGCACCAGGGCACGTTTGCGCAGGGCTCCTTCGTTCCCCGCCAGAAATAGTACTGCTTACTATTTCGGGAGCGGCGCTTATCATCCGTGATCTTCGCAGCTTGTGCCCTGTGGCCGTTATCGATTGGCTTCACCAATTTGTCGAGCACCTGTGTGCGGGGTGCAGAGAGCATGTTTTCCTTATAGCTGTCATTTTTTTTTTAACACTGTTAAATAACTACTCTTCCGTCCGTCATGATTGCAACTCCAATGAGTCCTCAAACATCCCATGTCCGACATACCGGTTCGGACTCCAGCCGCACATCATCCCATCTTACCTCGTCGTTTCCTTCCCCAGCCACTTTATCCCAAGAACCACCAACAACGCACAACATGCTATCTACACTTCCAACGACAGCGCCTAATGGCCATGGGGTAGGCATGTCGAAACGGCCAAAATTGTCTCTCCAGACAACATCGCTCCCGGTAACCTACGGGAAGTCAACCACGGGTCTTTCTTTGTCTCTCGCGACGGCCAACGCCACTGCCTCACCGACAGTCCTCAACACCTTCAATAATGCTTATGAACTGATGCGATCATCTACATCGACTGTTGGAGATGTATCGCCTTCCAAGGGGAAAATAGCGTCTCCATATGCCACCAACAGGCATAAGGAATCCGTTCCATACCAACTACCTTTGGGTGTGCGGAGCATTCTACGGAACTCTCCCATCCCCGCATCTTCACGACGACAGCGCTCGGTGTCTATGACAGGGAACAATATGAACGGGTCGCATTCGAATCGGCGCCTATTATTCCCTGCGAGTAAACAAGTCAGCTATCGATTTCCCCTCGAGGAGGAGGTCAAAACAGTCCGCTTCACTGCAAGACATTCGGATATGCTCGATGATTCAGAGCCAGAGATCTCTGACGAGTCGCAGTCAGATGACAATTCAAACTCGCAGATGTCGCGGTCCGACTCTAGCTCTTCGGACGAAGAGGCCAGCAAATGCCAGGGCATTTCGCCTCTTACACACTCCAAGAGAAAAAGGAGAAAAAGCGCAGGGGTAGAGGGAGGGAAGCTTCAGCTCTCTCGACTCGATGGACATGCCAGCAGGCTGGAAAGCCCACAAACACCGTGTCAGGAGCATCCGAAACGTCGCCGCGAATGGCGATGGACATTGGGTCCTCTGCCACCAAACAACTTGGCAACGGCCGTTGATACAGCTGCTGGCCTGACCGACTCAACCGATGAATCCACAGCATCTTCATCAACAACACCCTTGAAAATAGACATGCCATACAGCATTCCTACGACTGACTTGAATACCACTCTAAGCCACATCTCCGCCGACGCCTGAGAGAATTAGAACATACGCACGCATCTATTTCATATCAACTCATGATCTTCATGTCACACGACATTCATCATCGCATCCGCATTTATGGGCGTCCCGAGTATACGGGCTATTTCATGTGATACCATCTTTCCATTCTTAATATGTGATGAGCGTACGAGCCACTTTTTGTTTCTATTTTCATGTTCATTCATATACTATATATAGACCATACGCTAGGGTGGCCTTTTCTTTTTACCTCATACAGGTAGCAGCATGGATCTATTTATACCTTTTCTTTCTCCTTCGACCCTGGGTGGTGTAGTCTTGGCAAATATTTTTTGGCAGTCAAGGCTTTCTTTCTTTTCTTTTTCATTCTTATTATTATTATCTCTATACAACACACGTTCATGAGATACCCAATACAAAAGAATCCACATCTTCTAGAAGGAAAATAAGACTACACCTTCACACTCCTCTTGAACATCCCCCCTAGAGGATAAGAGTTCGTATTCTTATCTTTTTATTTACTCTAGTTGCATCGACTCACTGTAGATGCTGTGCGGAGTACACTTATCTCTTTTACATATAGAATATATGAGGACCTGCAAAATTGACACTGAAAATGACCGCTACTGAGGCCATCTGCAGTCTCATTTCCGTTCACCGTGTCTCAAGAACAAATTGACGCTTTAGCATAGCATCACGATGTCCACACCACTTTTTGAAAGAAGCGGCGGAAAGGGCGCTCACTTGCCTAATAATCGACGTAACTATGTAATGGGATAAAACTAACATAATCAACCACCGAGTAGCCCATTTCTCCGCACCCTTCCATGGATTTTGAAGCTTTTCAACCACTAATTCCATCGAGCTAGACTACTTAGAAAGATACAATATATAGCTGTTTTTACTAGTGCAAGTTCATATTATATGTCCAGTAGTCCTACAGGAAGTAACACTACAAACCCAGTATAGAGCTAGCGAATTGGAAAAGAGGGAAGAGGAACTGGCATAAATGCTGCGAAACCCAATTCATTTTGTATTTTGCATATTTCGTTCGGAAAAAGCACGAGTCTCAGTCGTATTCATGATCGAGATCCCTGGAAAGACAATCTACTCTCGGATGCTGTTACAGCTAGCTAGCTACTCGGTAGAACCTGAGTGTAACTATAAGCTGGAAACTCCAGACCAGCATTAGCCAGGTCATCAAGAAGTGGCACCTATTGGACTCCGGAGACAGTCCTCGATTCAGTCATTATCGAAGTCTAGAAACCGACGATTCAAGATTCAACTTATATAAAAATGTGGACGTAGCAATATACTAGTCGCTGGTGCGTTTCCACTCCTAGGATCATGTATCATACTTTGTGGACCTGGGAGAAATGAAGAGAAATGGGGTCTAAATGTGATGAGATTTAGTGAATGGTTACGGGTCGATAACTCCCCCGTATACTTAGAAAAGGCTACTTCTAATAGGAAGAGATTTTCATTGTCAACGGAGTTCCTTTCATGGTTATTTATCTGATGGGCAGGAATGAGACTGAGATTGACTGGATATTGAATTCGAGCTATTTTTTTGAAAATTGAAGTATCTCGTGCAATCTGATCTAGTTGTGTATTTAAGTAATTTGGGGAATTTGGGCAGGATTTCTCCGAGTCCAATATATATGTACAAGCACGTACCAAGCGCCACCAACAGTGGCTCTAGTTATAGCAGACATCCTCAAAAGAGAACAAAAACGTCACTCTATAAAACATCCAGATAAAGCCATATGTAACAAACCCAGCTACACTATAAATCAAACATGCGTGGCCGCTGAGCTGGTTGGTTTAGAGTACGCTACCCAAAACGAACTAGCGGAGAACCGAGGCGGGACCTCGCGCGTGTTCCAATTATTGTCGACGTCAAAGACCAAAAGCGTTAATTAACACATTTCAGATACTCACACGTGGACTTGCACCCCGGTTTCTGTGAGAGAAAAAAAGGGAAGACAGAAGAGCGCACTTCTCTTATTTCTTTCGGACATTGAGATCTTCTGGTTGGAGGTCCTTTCTTCTTTTCTGGCCCACTGAAGCCACGACGAAGGAGTCAGCGCATAGCTGGACGATAAAGAGAACAGAGCTTCTCTCAGGTTCCAGCTTGCTCGTGACCTCGACTAATCTACGATTTCATACGCCTGTGATACCCCTTTCTCCTCGACCTCTGTCGACAGTCCATATAATCCGAAATCCAGCGTTCATGTCGTCGACGGAAGAATCCCCCGCGCAGCAGGCGGCGCGTCTGCGTCGAGAACGTCGAGAAGCAAAGATCAAGGCTGGAGGATCAGCGCGATTGGATAAAATCAGCAGTTTGAGCGGACGGACACCGGTGAGCGGTATGAGTTCCATCTTCACCTTCATCATTCTCATGACCTGTCTTTTTTTTGTACTTGGTGTATCATGCGGCTTCGCGAAAATTATCTTTGAGATGACCACTGACCAGGTCGATCGTTTGCTTTTACAGAGCGCGAAAGTGCTTCTCCCTCCCCGGCTCCAAGGGCGCCTACACCTCCCATCGTCCTGCCGTCCGAACCGCAAAGCGAGAATGAGTCTCGTCGCCGATCTGTGTCGCCCTTCCCGCCTGCTCCTATCGGCATGGGCGCAGAGCAGTCCCCGGAGAGTATACAGGCGCAGCAGGAATACCTACGAGCGTTGCTACGGGCGCATCCGCCGAACCAGCCACAGGCCCCGGTCGAGGAGGATCCTACGATGAAGCTACTGAGTTCGCTGATGGGCGGTCTTCCGATGGGCGACGCGGCATCGGGAGCAGGGGCGGGAGCGACCCCGGATCTGTCCCCTGCTGATCTGTCCTCCGCACTGGGGGTACCGCCCTTTCTGTCCAAGTTGCTGCTAGGTGGCGGCGGATCGCAGGTTCAGACACCCGCAGAGCAGCGGTGGCAGTGGATCCTGAAGGTGCTGCACGCGGTGTTTTCGTTTGCGCTGGGAGTGTATCTGCTCCTGGTCATCGGCTCGTCGGTGGAAACATACGGAAGCCGGCCGCCGCCTCCGGCCACGGCGCAGAGTCCCTTTGTGATCTTCATGACGGGGGAGTTGCTGCTGAACGGGACGAGGCTGCTGGTGCGGAAGCGCGAGGGGCCGCTGGGTGGATTGGGAGTCGGGCTGGAGGTGGTGCGGGCAGTGGTGCGAGATGGCAGCGTGGCTCTCTTCGTGCTGGGGATGGGGAGTTGGTGGTATGGAGGATGGCAGCAGATACGCGAGTGACATCGCTTTCCTTATGAGGTATTATTAAGTATTATGGCAACCTCTCCTGGATGATCAAGAATATAATAACATCATGGATAAAATGAGCCTAGACGAGATACCAGTATTAATCGATCATCACATCAGTCAATGGATCAATAGTATACTAATACTAACAGCCTTCCGGATGCCTGACTATGCGCCGCTACTTCCCGCATTGTCATTATTATTATTCCATAAGGACCCAAGTACATAGTACAATAGCTAAGATTCCCCCAACCCGGGATAGAGAAGTATGGAAACCATTAATTAAAATAATAATAATACAAAAAAGGAAAAAATGCAAGCATCCCATGCATGGTTCCTTGCAAGGTATGTAAAATCGGATCCGCAGTTTTGCGGCACAGCAGAAAAGCAAAGACGTTCAAACCCCTGAAACTTAAGACTTTGACCTTGCACACCGGGATCCTGATTAAGGCGTCTAGACCCGACATGCGCTGCAGAACGTTGAGAACGGACCGTTTATCTGCAGAGGTCGCACGGACTAGTTCCTAACTTCCTCGTGTTTTGAGGTGGTTAGAGTTATACGGAGTAGAGTGTTGAATGCTAATGTAGAAGGAGACAGGGATGAGATGGGTTAATTATGTAGTTATTATATGTCAACTACTAAGAGAGAGGAGTAGAGATTTCTTTGTTCGTATGTACATCCTTGGCAACTTCTTAGTTAACTAGAGTACTGTAGTTAAATGGAGTATTTCCGTGGTGTATTTCGAGTGAGTAGTCAGTTAAGATGTCCCTGGGCATAGATAGCATAACTTGGGGCTGGTGCCTATTAGTAGTATTCATGCTGCGAGCAATTCCGAAAAGTACTCGTAGTTCCAAGAGTACTTCGGCTGGAAACATGGAGAGAAATGGCTTGAGGCATGACGAAGACCCCCATGGGTTGGACCTCGGTGCGGGCGAAGGAAGGGACTGACGACGACGACCGAAGCTCCGTGCAACCGTAGACTATCGCATCGCCAACGGGCATGCGGCAAGTAACGGGTAACGAAAAGCTGATAATCTACTCCGTATGGTAACTAATTGCTGCTTCTCTTTTGCCCCGGACCAGAGAGAGCATACCATAGGGCAGAATGTAGTGACGGAATATTACATTATTACATTACATATTACATATTACAGTAGTAAAAGTAATAAAGGAGGAGAATAATAATAATACGAACCAATTAGTTGTCTTTTATTTCTGTCTCTCCTTCACGGCGTTTTCTAGGGGGAAGAGCTGCGTAGATTATCGCCGAGAACCAGCCGGGCTTGAAGCGAGCAACCCCACAGGGGATGTGCTGGATCTGGAGGGTTGGGGATGGGCGATGGTGAGACTGGTTCTGGGATTGGCCTGTTGCGGAACCGATTTTCTGCTCTGGACGATTCTCGGTAATTATTGGGAAGAAAAATTGTGGATGACGATGATTTGATGGGTGCACACTATCTATGGTATGGGTATGGTATCTCTAACTATGGTACTGGTTTATCATGATGAGATGATGATAGAAGAAAAAGCGAAAACTTAGTGTATTATTATGTTTTCCCCAGACTGACTACTGACTCCGTACTTTTTTTACTCCTCATTATTACTACTCCGTACCCCAGGCTGCCTTTTTTTTGGTTTCTGGAGCAAATTCAATCCAGTCGAACTTTCGCCGCCACCAGAGAGGATCGATCGGTTTTCTTGCCCACGAGTCGACGACCGTCCAGACGGGCCGCCACGGGGCTGGGCTGGACGCCAAATGGACGGAAGGTCAAGTCACCTGCTTTTCCCACCCCCCGTTTCTGGAGATTGAAAGGGTAAGGTAACTAGAGTTAAGTCTAGTAATAATAGTATGGAGGATCTTCTGGGGAAAAAACGAAGCCAGGATGCGAACAGGAAGGCCAAGTTGTTGGCCGATTGGCTTCCCGGGGAGGGGGATCTCTTCCCCACGTCCGGTGGCTAAAACTATCGATGTCATTGCCTGGCTGATGCTGATGCTCGTACTCTAGAGTTACGCAGAAAGTTACTACTACTAGTATCTAGAGTATGTTGGTGGCATTATTAACTATGGCATGGATGAACCCCGCCTTACCATAGGTACCATACAGTCTGGAGTTTGGACACGGGGGGGTTCTCGTATTACATATCTTTGGGAAAGGATGGATGGATGGATTGATTGATTGATGGTAGATACAGCTGCAGTCTATCTGCTGTGTTCTCAATAATACGATAACAGTCTGCAGAGTATGTATTAGAGACAACCCCCATGTCGCCGGTAAGCCCTGAGCTTTCCCTGGATGGCCAATAATAAATGCAATGCCATAATGCAACCGGTCGCGAGTTCGTCTTTTCCCCGGAGCAACGGAACGACGGGCTGTCACGCCCCGCATGGCCGAGTGCGCTCAGCGCTCTTCGGGCGAGCGTCTGTCTGGACAGCTTAGTTCACCTGCCATCTAATTCATCGACACGGCTTAAACCCCAAGGAGGCAGATCAATCGACCGGAAACTCCTCGTCATGTATTATTGATTCGGGGTTGGGGGGGGACATCGTATTCAACATTTAAAGCTGCTGCCCGCCGCCGTCACCGGTTCCCCCCGCCCCCCTCTCCCCGGTTGTCACTTCTCCCGTTGTGTATACCAACTCTTCCTATCTATCTTATATATATATATATATATATATATCCTCATAGATACTCCTAAATACTCATAAAAACCTATCCCTATCGTCTTCCATCACCTCAATTTTCCCGTGTTCCCGGATCGTCAGGGTCTCGCTGCGAGTGTCCGGTCTTCGGCGGTCGAGAGCCCAACGCGCCGGTCGATTTCCGTCATAGCTTCTTGAACCCCGCCCGCCGCGCAGAAGTTGGGAAGGACTACTTTAGTAGCTCCTCTCGTGTGTGCGTCTCACCCCCGTTTTCTCTCGCCGTCCTCCGCCATTGCGCCTTCAAGCTGACCTGCGTGGCCTTTTTTCTCATAGAAGAGGACACAATTTACAGAACCAGTTTAATCACATCCGTCGATTCACCATGTCTGAGGGGGACGTTATGCCACCGAAGCCCGCCGTGGTAAGCTCGCTCTCTCTTTATTCTGTCTCTCTCGGCCAATCCCTGCTGCCGGATTTGCCAGCTGCTTTCGACCGAACTATCCCCGTGCTAACGCAGGAACGCAATTTGCAACAGGTGCTCGAGGCTCACGATGTCGACACTTTCCATGTTCCCAAGGCATTCTACGACAAGCACCCCAGCCGGCCTCATCTGAAGGATCTCGATGAATACAAGAAGCTGTACGAGGAGTCCATCCGGGATCCCGACACCTTCTGGGCCCGGATGGCCCGCGAACTCCTGAGCTGGGACCGCGATTTCCAGACCACCCACACTGGCTCCTTTGCCAACGGCGACAACGCCTGGTTCGTCGAGGGCCGGCTGAACGCCTCGTTCAACTGCGTCGACCGTCACGCTCTCGCCGACCCCAACAAGGTCGCCATCATCTACGAGGCCGACGAGCCCAACGAGGGCCGCAACATCACCTATGGCGAGCTCCTGCGGGAGGTGTCGCGTGTCGCCTGGGTCCTCAAGCAGCAGGGTGTCAAGAAGGGAGACACCGTCGCCATCTATCTGCCCATGATCCCGGAGGCTCTGGTGGCCTTCCTGGCCTGCTCCCGCATCGGTGCTGTGCACTCGGTCGTCTTCGCTGGTTTCTCTTCCGACTCCCTCCGTGACCGTCTGCTCGACGCCCAGTCCAAGGTCATCATCACCACCGATGAGGGTAAGCGTGGTGGCAAGCTGATTGGCACCAAGAAGATCGTCGACGAGGCCCTGAAGCACTGCCCCGACGTGAAGAACGTCCTGGTCTACAAGCGCACCGGCGCGGATGTGCCGTGGACCAAGGGCCGGGACCTCTGGTGGCACGAGGAGGTCGAGAAGTACCCCAACTACCTGCCCCCGGAGCCCGTCAACTCGGAGGACCCTCTCTTCCTGCTCTACACCTCCGGTTCGACCGGCAAGCCCAAGGGTGTCATGCACAGCACGGGTGGTTACCTGCTGGGCGCGGCCGCCACGGGCAAGTATGTCTTCGACATCCACCCCGAGGACCGCTTCTTCTGCGGTGGTGATGTGGGCTGGATCACCGGTCACAGCTACGTCGTCTACGCTCCGCTGTTGCTGGGCTGCTCCACCGTCGTCTTCGAGAGTACTCCCGCCTACCCCAACTTCTCCCGTTACTGGGACGTCATCGAGAAGCACAAGGTCACCCAGTTCTACGTTGCTCCGACCGCGCTGCGTCTGCTGAAGCGTGCTGGTGACGAGCACATCCACCACAAGATGGAGCACCTCCGTGTGCTCGGTTCCGTCGGAGAGCCCATCGCTGCTGAGGTCTGGAAGTGGTACTTTGAGAAGGTCGGAAAGGAAGAGTGCCACATTGTCGACGTAAGACCCCTCCTTTTCTTCCTTTCTTCTACAGAATATATTCTGGCAAAATTAATGGATCAAATTGGCTAATTCGCGTTTCTAGACCTACTGGCAAACCGAGACCGGTTCGCACGTGATCACCCCTCTGGGTGGTGTGACCCCCACGAAGCCGGGAAGTGCCTCGCTGCCTTTCTTCGGTATCGAGCCCGCCATCATCGACCCCGTCTCCGGCGAGGAGATCACGGGCAACGATGTCGAGGGTGTTCTCGCCATCAAGCAGCCCTGGCCCAGCATGGCCCGTACCGTCTGGGGCGCCCACAAGCGCTACATGGACACCTACCTGAACGTGTACAAGGGCTACTACTTCACCGGAGACGGTGCTGGCCGTGACCACGACGGCTACTACTGGATCCGTGGCCGTGTGGACGATGTTGTTAACGTGTCGGGACACCGTCTGTCGACCGCTGAGATTGAGGCGGCCCTGGTCGAGCACCCCCAGGTTGCGGAGGCGGCCGTCGTGGGTATTGCCGACGAGCTGACCGGTCAGGCCGTCAACGCCTTCGTGTCGCTGAAGCCAGGCAACGAGACGACCGAGCAGGTGCGCAAGGACCTGGTCATGCAGGTCCGTAAGTCGATCGGACCGTTTGCTGCCCCCAAGGCCGTCTTTGTGATCGACGACCTGCCCAAGACCCGCTCCGGTAAGATCATGCGCCGTGTTTTGCGCAAGATCCTGAGCGGTGAGGAGGACAGTCTAGGTGACGTCTCGACGGTAAGTTTTTTTCAGAGCCTTCTGCCATTTAATATCAATTGTCATGGATACTGACTGTGCGAATAGCTGTCCGACCCGTCTGTGGTGGACAAGATCATCCAGGTTGTCCACGCTGCGCGCAAGAAGTAAAGGGCAATCTGAAACGAAAGAAAACGAACTTAAAAAAAAAAGAACAAAAAACAAAACCGAACAGAACATAATCCCAATGAAATAAAGGGAACGAGGAGGAAACCCCCACCCTTACTTACGTCGGCTTCGATACCAACGAGTATAAGTCCGTGGCATGAGTAGAGTCTGCATGGATGAGCGACTCTTTTCTGATGCATTGATCGTGCATGACCTTTTGCAGATTCCCACGTTTGTACAGAGCATATTCTGGATATATCCATGTTTATATCTTCCAATTTTATTCCAGCCCACTACCGTATGCATGTTACTCCTCTTCATAAATAATGCCAGTAGAAAGAATACTAGATCGAACCTTGGAAAGGCCGTCAAGAAACCGTTTTAAGCTAGCTCTCTAGCACCTGCAGAGTAACGGCGCCTCTCTGCAGTGTGATGGCCGTGCTCCGATTGGGCCACTCAACACGATTAGTCATGCACTCACATGACTGCCTACCGGAATGCTCTGCTCCCAGCGTCTCTGCCTGGTAGGACCATAAGTTAATCGACTTATTATTATTTCTCTCTTTGTCTCTCTCTCTCTCTCTCTGGTTATTATTTATTAGACTATATATCTATCTACCTCTTATCTTTTTGCCGCTCTTTTCTCTTTCTGCTCTCCGTCTCTCTCCCAACCAGCCTCCAGCTTCTCCCCCGTCAATCCCGTTCGGGAATAGACTCAGCCGCTCTAAGCGAACCCGCCCTTCCTAACCTCCTCTACAGCTTTCTCTCCTCCTCTTAAGCATCGCGTGTCTCGTAGCAGGTCTCCCATCACCTTACCTTCGCCTCTTTCTCCCCTGCTCGTTCTCCGGTGCACCCTCCAAGCGGATTCTCTTCGATCCTCCGCAGCTTGCACACGGCTCTTTAGACCGCCACTCCGCATTTCCGGCGGCCAATCCCTGTTTGCATCTTGCCTGAAGCGCGTCGCGGTTATCTATTCCCCTTCTCGCCGCTCTGTCTTCAGCCGTCTCCCTCGACCTTTTCTTCTCTTTGTCCCTTGTAATTTAGCATACTACTTTGATCGCCTCACCCCCGCGCTGTCGCCTTTTGCGCACTCGATAACGTCGCTTGAACGGATGAATTAATACGAGGGAAGAAAAAAAGAGAGAGACAGCAAAGAAAAAATGTCTTTCGGTGGATTCGGTGGCTTCGGCCAGAACAACCAGCAGAGCTCCGGCTTTGGAACCGGCTCTGGGTTTGGAGGATCAGGAACAGGAGGAGGTAGGTGTTCACTTTTGTCAACTTGCGATTCAGAACTTTTCCCTCCGTGATTTGGGGACTTTGGACTTCCCGTCGCTGGCGCTCTCGATGTCAACCCGCGGCCGTTGGAAGGAAAAGACGACGACGAGAGAGGGAGAGAAGAAAAAAAGAATCGCATAGCCAACTACCACTCGCGGATCACCTCCCGGCGTCGAAGGCGCAAATCTGCAACGGAAAAGAAAGCAAAGGGCCAAAAGAAAAACAAAAAAGGAGTAATCCTCAGTTCAGAACAGTCTCTGACCGCGTTTTTTACCCCATGATCTAGGCTTTGGGTCTACGTCGTCACCGTTTGGCGGCACTAATACGACCGGTGGCGGCTTGTTCGGTAGCACATCGGGCGGCTTTGGCTCCGGCGGAGGTACGTGATCAACAAACCTGCCGTGAAATTCGCAGGATGGACGTTTCTTCTCGTTTTGCGACTGTAACGTTGGCGGTGAATGTGATGGCCGCGGTGGCTGGCCTGCCACGAGGCATTCACTGTCTGGCCACCTCTGGCGTCCGCACACAACACTTCGAGCCAAGCGTACTTGGATCCGTACCCAGGAGCGCCAGCAACACTTCCTTTCTCTTCTCTACGAATCAACGGCAGTCCAAAGTCTCTCTTTAACTCACAGCTCGTTTTTTTTCTTCGTTTTTTCACATCCTTTTTTCTTTGCACTTACTGCGATACGCAAGATGTCTCTCGCAGTTACTGACTCAGTACATGTAGGATTCGGCTCTACTCAGAACCAGTCGAACTCCCTCTTTGGCAGTCAAAATCGTACGACTGGCTTCGGATCCACCCCTGCGACAAGCGGTGGCAGTCTCTTCGGGGGCGGTACTGCGACGTCTGGTGGCACGGGATTCGGTGGCTTTGGTTCGACCTCGAACACAGGCGGATTCGGTAGCGCCAACACTGGTGGTGGTATGTTTGGCAACAAGACGGGTGGCTTTGGAAGCAGCACTGGCACAACTGGGTTTGGCACTGGAACAACAGGAGGCTTCGGGACCGGCACAACGACCACTGGGTTCGGTGCTGCGGCCGGATCCGCCTTCCAAGGCGCTATTCCTCCTTGCGAGGGAACTGGAGGCACTCCATTCAACCCTGTGACGGAGAAGGACACCAGCTCCAATGTCACCAACCACTACCAGAGCATCACTTATATGCAACCTTACAGCAGATACTCCTTTGAGGTGAGTTTCATTAAGTTGCGTATTCTTTTTTAGCCTTTGGTTACTAACAATAGCATAGGAACTTCGTCTAGCTGATTATCAACAAGGCCGTAGATACGGCAACGGAAGCGGCCAGGCTGGAGCGTTCGGTACCCCTGCCTTTGGTGGAACTGGTTTTGGACAGCAGACTACCACCACTGGCTTCGGCGGTACCACGACTACGCCTTTCGGTGGTGCTGCTACGAGCGCGCCATCTGCTTTTGGACAGACTGCCACGACTGGTGGTTTCGGTTCCACCTCGACGAACCCTTTGTTCGGAGCTCAGAAGCCAGCCACTTCCCTCTTCGGAACCTCAACCACCAACACCTCTCAGCCTACCCTCTTTGGCGGCAATACCGCAACGACTGGTGGCTTTGGGAGCACCGGCGGTACGACTGGAGGCTTCGGAACGGGTGGTTCACTGTTTGGTAGCAACGCCAACCAGCAGCAACAGCAGAACAAACCGCTGTTTGGAGGCACCACAGGAACCGGATTCGGTACTGGCACTGGATTCGGTCAGCAGAACACTACCAGCGCCGCCAATCCGTTCGGAGCGACGACAGCCACCGCTTCTCCGTTTGGTGGTCAGCAGCAGACTGGCACCAGTGCCTTTGGTGGATTCGGACAGCAGAACCAGACCCAGCAAACAGGGACTGGTGGAGGGCTGTTTGGTGGCGCGAACCAGCAACAGCAGCAGAAGCCAAGTCTTTTTGGCTCAGGAACTGGAACTGGAACTGGGCTCTTTGGCCAAAACAACCAGCAGACTACCACTGGTGGTGGTCTCTTCGGCAATACCAATCAGCAAACGGGCACTGGAGGATTGTTTGGTGGTGGTGCGCAGCAGCAGGAGCAAAAGCCTAGTCCGTTTGGAGGCGCCACGGCCACCGGAACCAGTGCCTTTGGTGGATTTGGACAGCAAAACCAGAACCAGCAGGCCGGCACTGGTGGTGGCCTCTTTGGCAGCACTGCCAACCAGCAACAACAGAAGCCGAGTCTTTTCGGAAGCACCACCACGGGAGGTGGTCTTTTCGGCCAGACCAACACTGGAACTGCTCAACCAGGAGGCACCTCGCTTTTCGTCGGTGCGCAGAACCAGCAACAGCAGACTGGAGGCCTGGGGACCACAAGCTTGTTCGGCGGCACTCAAAACCAGCAGCAGCAACAGCAACCGTCGCCAGCTCCAGGCTCCCTACAGGCTTCGCTGCTGGATGGAAATCCTTATGGCAACCAGTCTATATTCTCTGGATTGCCGGGTCCCAATGCCCCCAGCCCAGGTCCCCTTGCGACCCCTCTGTCTTCTAGCATGAAACAGAAGCAGCGCACCCCTCTGCCTGTCTACAAGATTACCCCCAATGCGGCGAACCGTCTCATCACCCCCCCTAAGCGCCAGGGATACGGATTTTCTTACTCTACCTACGGATCCCCCTCTAGCACGACCAGCACCCCTAATGGACTGGGCGGTAGCCTCTTGGGTGGTGGCAGCATCCGCGGCGGTGCAGGTCTTACCGGCAGCTTCGGCCGTAGTTTTAACAAGAGTTTCTCTACTAGCAACCTGCGCAAGACTTTCGATCCGGATACCGATAGCATTCTGGCTCCTGGCGCGTTCACTCCTGGTAGTTCGCGCTACTCGAGCGGTAGCCTTAAGCGGCTGACAATTGACCGCAGCCTGAGAAGCGATCTCTTTTCACGCGCAGCTAGCACCTCTTCTGGTGCCATCACCAACGGCGACGACGTCGCTCATCAGGGCAGCAAATTGAAGAAGAGGGTTAGCTTTGACTCCGAGTCGCAGGAGCCGGACGGTGCCGGCGAAGGTGCCGTTGTGCGTGCGGAGACTGAGAGCCCTGAGCCCACTGCTGAAGAACTCGGTTTCCTGCGATCCGTCCGCAAGGACGGCCAGGTCAACGGTGTGAACGGCGTCAAGGCCACCGCAACAACGGTCGAGTCTCCTTCCCGGCCAGAGATGGAGTCCGTCCGCGGCAACGAACTTGCTGTGGTCCCAGAGGCCGAGAGCCCCCCCACGAACGGTGTTTCCAAGTTGCCATTTGTTCCCACTGCTGATCCTCAGCCCGGCGAGTACTGGATGAAGCCTTCGCGAGCTGAACTCAGCAAGATGAGCCGCGATGAGCTGAAGCACGTCGTCGGTTTTACGGTCGGACGCCAGAAGTGCGGTCAAGTCACTTTCGACGAGCCTGTTGACCTGACCACAGTCGACCTTGACCAGATCTTCGGCGGAATTGTCGTGATTGGAGTTCGTTCGATCACCGTCTACCCCGATGATGTGCACAAGCCCCCGATGGGCAAGGGGCTCAACGTCCCCTCGACCCTCCGAATCGAGAACTCCTGGCCCCGCGGTCGAGACAAGAAGTCACCGTCTCCCCTTACCAGCGGCCCTCTGTTCGACAAGCATGTTGACCGTTTGAGAAAGGTGCACAACACCCAGTTCGTGGCATACGAGAAGGATGCCGGAACCTGGATCTTCAAGGTGCCTCACTTCACCACTTATGGTCTTGACTACGATGACGACGATGAAGGTGAGAGCCACAACCAAAGCACATTGAGTGCCGCTCCTGACACACCCACTCCCAAGGCTCATTCACCCGCGAATCTGGACCACACCGTGGGCTCTGAGCCGACCTCATCCTTTTCGATCGACGAGTCTTTCGTGGGCTCTATAGCCGGGGTGGAGGACGACACATTCGATTTTAAGAAGCGCAAGATGGTCCCGGGAGCGTTTGGTAACCGGATGGGAACGATTGAAGATGAGGGGGTAGAATCGGAGGGAGAGACGGAGGAGTCTTTTTTAGAGGACGGCTCCGCGGGTTCGACTATTGAACAGGATGGCGACGAAGACGTTACTGAAAGTCAGCAATCTATCGAGTCAGAAGTTGGATCTGATGAGGACGACGAAATGGAGATGGCCGGCTCCTTTCCTACGCCTCATCGCACCGCGGAGCAGGATAATACCACAGGCAGCATTATGTCGGATTTTGAGTACACACAGCGCTCGGTTAACCCTTGGGGTACGCCATCCAAAGCTCAGCTCGACCTTAGCGGAGACTGGGCAGACCAGCTGCAGCGAACGATCAGTCCAAGGAAGCAGAACCGTGATGCACTCCGTGAGATACAAGCAAATGCCTTTGCGGATAAGCATCTGCTGGATGATACGCCCAAGGACAAGACCGCGACGGACGGACGCCAGAAAGGTTTTACGACTAGCATTGATTTGATGAATTCGTTATTTCAGCAACCGCGCAAGCAGGGACAGGCTCCAACGAAGAAGCAGAATGTGCAACCCCAAGCTCTACAGGTTTGACTCCCTTGTTAATAATTGCTCAATATTCCCCTTTCCTTTCCCAAGATTGTATTTAGGAACCCCTGGGCCTTAAGCCCAGTCATATGCAGATAGCGAAAATGAGAATCCCAAGAATCGAATAGCTAAAATCTTTGTCTTTGCAGTGGCCCTATTCCAAGCAACCCAAGACCTTCGCCACCGACTCGAATGAGCTTACTGAAGACGATATTGCGTTCCATCACTCGTTCAAACCACGCTGGGGTCCTATGGATTCGATCATCTGCGCGAAGAATGACATGAGAAACACTCTTCCCGACCCTGGAGAGCCCTGGGAGCAGGGGTTTTCCATTACGAGCGAAGGCCGCGATATCGTCCTACTGGCTTTCAATAAGACTCCAGAGGTTGGTGGCTAACTCCACGAGTAGAAACCGAGCTTTATTTGCTGATCCCTTTTCTAGTCCGAGGCATTGCTAGAGACTCAGCGTGAACAATCTATCGTTCGTCGCGTTGATGGCGTCCCCTTTGCCCGTCTGGCAAAGGCTGATCTGCGCCAATTCATTCAGCTCTCGGCACAGACCGACGCGGAGCGGCAGATCTGGCAACTGGCAAACATTCTCTTTAATGACGATATTGAGGATGATATCTCTGCTAGTGTCCCCGCCCATCTTCGATCGAGATATGCGCACCGCATCAAGAAGGACCGTCTTAGTCGACTGTGGGAAAGTATTGTCCGTGAGAGGCACCCGAAGGATCTAGAGCAGTTCGACTCTGCAGAGGAACGTGCCGTTGCTTTGCTCTGTTCGCACCGGCTTGATGAGGCTTGCAGGACATTGGTGGAGAGTGGCAACTTGCATCTTGCAACACTCCTCGCGCAAATCGGCCGCAACTCAACTACGCGAGCTGATATGCAGAAGCAGGTCGAGTCATGGCGCCAGCACAATGTCTACTCCGAAATGAGTGAGCCGATCCGGGCTCTGTATGAGCTTCTCGCTGGTAACGCTCTCCGCAGCGAAGGCAAGCCGGGTGGCGCGTTGGAAGATCGCGCTTCGACATTTACTTTCAGTGAACGTTTCCGCCTCGACTGGTTCCAAGCTTTTGGTCTGCGTCTCTGGTATTGCATTGCTGAGGACGAACCGATCGAATTTGCTGTCTCCAAGTTCCTTCATGACATCACCGATGGTGGTGAGCCTGCCTTCCCCTTGCCATCATATCTGGAGGCGAATCGCGAGGCGGCACGCAACAACACCGATATTCTTGGCCGCGAGTCCCCTCTTTGGGTGCTTTTGAAGGTCTATGCGGTGGCAGCTGGCGGTGCTGATGCTGCTACTCTTCCCAAGTTGGAATTCCCGGCAGCAGTGCTTCCCGAGTCCGTATCTGGTGACAAAATGTCCAACCGTCTGTCATTCCAGCTGCACCACTTAGTCTGTGTCCTCGTTGGTCAGCATGACCGGGTCGCCGTTGACAATGCCCGCGCCGACCAGCTGGTGTGGGATTACGCTTGGGAGCTCAGCTCTGTCGGCCAGTTCGAGCAGGCGGCTTTCGTGCTTCTCCATCTATCGCGGGCTGTGGACCGCGAGCGTGCGGTGAAGGATCTTCTGGCACGATACGCGCGGATGCTTCCCAATCCAACAACCGCTGAGGGCGCTCCGGATGCGACCTGGCATTATTTCACGAACGATCTTCAGCTTCCTGAGGCCTGGCTGTGGGTTGCCAAGGCTCTCTACGCGCGCGATGCTGGGGACGCTGCGGCGGAGGTGGACTGCCTCATTCGCGGCAAGAACTGGAATGATGCGCATGCCACGTTCTGTCGCGTTGTTGGACCACGAACAATCATTGAGCGCGACTATGCCACGCTAGAGATGCTGCTGTCAGGTTTCGGAGATGGACCCGAGCGGAAGGTGAGAGGCTGGACGAACGGAGGAGGCGTCTACGATGACTTTTTGCGACTGGTCACTGCCAAGGGTGCCCGCAAGGAAACGAACCGTTTGAAGCGTCTGGTCGCAGCACTGGTTGCGATGGGAGAGAAGGTCAGTCAGGGAGCTGGTCCGGAGGGACTGGAGGAGAGAGTTGCTTTCCGCGAAATGAGCCGTGTGGCTGCGGGATGGTGTGTACAGGAAGAGGGAGATGTGAGTGATTTGGTGTCTTATATCGCATTGAGCATCGCTAACTCCAGAGTGCAGGCTGTCGCATTGTCTGCTGTCCTTAACTTGCCGCTGACAGGCGATGCGCGGTTGCAGCACACGACCGAGCTGAGCCGGCGATACTACAGCGTCGTCATGGCCGGTGCTTACTGAGGTTGACGGGGGAAGTGTACGATCAGATTGAGTTGGATCGCATTATCTTTGTGTCATGTTTCTGAGCGTCTGTTTGGATGGTCGATTTGACCTGTCCACCTTTGTCTTTTCTTTTAATCTGGATCCTCGGACTTGGTTGATGCCAGTCATTTATGGGTGCTGTTTAGCGCAGACCTTCGACTCATTCGTGAAGAAGAAGAGTACGAGTGCATGATAGTTTAAACGTCTTGGTTGGTATCCTTACGGGATCCTTGATTGCGAGGCCTTAGCGTCTAATAAAAGTCGAGAGATTGTTTTTCATCCAAGTCTATTCCTCACCAAACAGTAACTAAGCGAGATCTACTTCGGAGTCCGAGAAAGCATCCGATCTGCGCTTGCGCTTGCGGCTCGGGTCTTTTCTTCCATCGGGGATGCTGTTGACCGGCAATGTGACGCTCTCGCGCTTCGAAACCCGGTCCCGGCATGTCTATCATTGGCTGCTTCAGCTTTGCCGTTCCCGTTACCGGCTAACAAACAAGTCGGTGATGGTAAAACTGAAAAGGCAGCGACAAAAGTTCTTCATTTAAAGTCTTGACTGTTCGTTTGTATCCTGCAGAAGCTTGCTATTCATAGGAGTGTTTGTGTCGATTTGCTTTTGACCCTGACGCTGCAGACTGACTGACTGACTGACTGACCGGCTCTGTGTCTGTCTACTCCGATACGTGCGGAGACGGTTTTGAGTGGCCACCACCCCTTAAGTAGTGAGCGAGTGGGTGTGTCTGTGACCAGAGAAAGAAATAGGATATTACAACGGAAGATTGATTGATTAATTGATTGATCTTTTATGGTTCGATTGTATGTACGTCAGCTGAGAGGTAAGTACATATATCCATACGCATACGGATTGTTGATGGATATGAACTAGTTATACGATGCTGATTTCAAAGCCATAACTAGGGTCGATCCGTGCTATCTAGACAGAAGACACAGGTTTTTTGAAACGCGCCAACATGGCCAAGGAGGAGGAGGAGCCGGAACAGCCAGTGGAGAATGAAACACCATCAGCAGAGAGAAGTGATTACCAAAATGGAACCAGTCACGATGAAGAAAAGACAAAAGAAACAGCCACCACCGCGGAAGGAACAGATCCTCTGGAAGACCACGATCCCGAAGCACAACCCCCCACGAGGAGAGACTCCCGACCAGCACATAGCGCGTTTAGCAAATACGAAAAACTATTCATCGTCGTGATGGTCACTATGGCTTCCTTCTTCTCTCCGCTCTCAGGCCAGATCTATTACCCCGTCATGCCGACGCTCGTCAAGAACTACCACCTGACAACTAGCCTGGTCAATCTGACCATCACTACATATATGATTCTCCAGGGTCTCGCGCCAAGTTTCATGGGCACGTTTGCTGATTCAGGTGGTCGACGACCAGCGTACATACTAGCGTTTACGATCTATACCGGAGCGAATATCGGATTGGCGCTCCAGAATAGCTATGCGGCGTTAATGGTGCTGCGATGTCTGCAGAGTGCCGGCAGTAGCGGGACAGTTGCGTTTGGGTATGGAGTTATTTCAGACATCGCCACGACTGCAGAGCGAGGGACGTATATCGGACCCATGGCTGCTGGGGTGATGGTAGCTCCGGCCTTGGGACCCGTTATTGGAGGTCTCCTAGCCAAGTTCCTCGGATGGAGAAGTGTGTTTTGGTTCCTGGTCATTATCAGTGGGGGGTTTCTCGTGGCGTATATCATCCTGGTTCCGGAGACGTCACGCAAGATCGTTGGGGATGGCAGCGTGCCTCCACGAGAGTGGTGGCAGATGTCTCTTTTGCAATATATACAAGCGAAGAGGAAAGAGAAGAAACTATCGCCAGCCCAGCGGGAAGAATTGAAGAAGACTCGCGAGGCGTTGGATAGAGAGGGACAGCAGAGAAGGGGAAAGATTGGGATCCCGAATCCCTTGCTTTCGTTTAAGATCCTGTTGGAGAAGGATGCGCTGATTATCATTTTGTATATTGGGATTATTATGTTTTCGAATATCGCCTTGCTTACTTCGACGGCGAATTTGTTTCCGGAGCTTTATGGGTTTAATACTCTGCAGGTGGGGTTGTGTTATATGTGAGTCTTCCTTCCCTTTTTGCTTTGCTTTGCTTTTCCTTTCTTGTTTTCTTTTAGATCATCACACTGATACAATATGATACTACTTATAGTCCCCTCGGTGTAGCCGCCTGCATCGGCGCCTCTATCAACGGCAAACTCATCGACTACACCTACCGACGGGACGCACGCAAACTCGGTTTCTCCATTGATCGCAAACGCGGCGACGACATCCTTCACTTCCCCATTGAAAAATCACGTCTCCGAACCGTCTTCCCTCTCCTCGCTATCGGAATCGCCGCCTACCTACCCTACGGCTGGGTACTGCAACAACGCGCCCCGCTCGTAGCCCCGCTCATCCTGCAATTCATCAATGGATTCTGCTTCCTCTCGGCCATGAACACGCTGACTACGCTTCTGGTCGATCTGTTTCCTGATCGAGCGGCCACGGCGGCTGCGGCGATTAATCTGGTCAGATGCTGGTTGGGGGCTGTGGCGGCGGCGGTGATCGATTATATGCTTAGTGGGATGGGGTGGGGGTGGTGTTATGTGTTTTTGGGATTGGTGCAGTTGGTGGCGTTGGGGGGGTTGTTGATTGAGCAGAAGTATGGGATGGGGTGGAGACAGAGGAGGTTTGAGAAGTTGGCTTTGAAGAAGAAGGAGAAGGAGGAGAGGATGAGGGAGGCAGAAGAGAAGGAAAAGGATGGGACGGGAGGGAATGCTCAGTAAATAGTGAAGGTGGTGGTTTTATTCTGTTACATGTGCATAAAAGCTCCAATCTCTCTCTGTGTTTTGTCTGAGGGAGGGATGCATGATATCCATAATTAGATAGACTTTCTTCTTTCTCTCTCGTCTCTGCAAAAAGAGAATGAGTCGAGTAACCTAGCTTTTTAATGATAATTGATGAATCGATCCCGTGCTACTTGTTTATACTTAGATGCTAAGATGTAATTCTTCCTGCTAAGATTGACAAGCACTATCGATGTACGAATAATAAACACGCGAATATCTTATCAAATGATCTCAATGGCTTTCTTTCTTTTCTTGTTCTTTGGAACTAACAACACAATACTCGTTGCAACCTGCTTCTCTAATACCAATTTCATTCTTCGGAAAAGTTAACGTTTTCCAAATATCCAATTGTACTCATTACAGCCATTAAGAATTGGTATAATGCTAGTGATATATACATGAACCCAAACAATCATAATAATAATAATAAGCAGCAACCACAGCAAATCCAGCTGTCATTCTTTCCCTCAAAAATTGGGAAGTAATTCAATCATAACAACCCAATTCACCCATCCTGCAAAACCCCCAAAGTTATATACCTACTCATCCTCTTCATACTCACCATAACTATACCTTTCTTTCTACTAATTCGCCGCAATCGCCGCAACCAACGCGTCCATCGCCGAACTATGCGTCGACGCATCCGCCGGCGCCACATTAAACGGACCCGCCCAGTCAACACCAAGAAGATTCGTCGAGTCATTCCGATCGTTATTCCAAATACTATTCGCAGAGGCCTGAATGACCTGAACATAAGCATCTGAGGGCGCGACTTCGTGCAGAAGCTGCAGGTTCCGCATGAAGATGCCCTTGAATTGAGTTGCGTCGGGCTCGCAGTTCGGTTCGCATGGGTCGTGGAGGATATGGTTCGAGTCTGTGAGGGCGGTGATGGCGGCGTGGGCGATGTTGCTTGCGTGCGAGAGGTAGGTCGAGGATGGAGAGGCTTTGTTTAATTCGACTAGACCGCCGAGGATGACGCCTTGGTTGTAGCTCCAGCTGTATTTTATAAAAAGCACAAGATCGTATCAGTCTTGATATGTCTCTCTTTTTGAATATTCTTTTGTTTTGGGGAAATGAAATGAAGGTACATGACTTACACAGTTGCATTATTATTCTTACAATCCGTCGTGAGACCATCGTTGATGGTGTTGGCCGAGTTAATCATCCCGCTGGCAGCGAACCATTCCCATTCCTTCTTCGCCCAGTCGAGATAATAGTCGCTGTTATCGGCGCGGTTGGCCAGATGCGCTGCGACAGAAAGGAAGAGCTCGTTCGCAATGGCGGCTACGTATGTTTTCGCTGAGGACCACCAGATACCGCCATTGTTGCAGTTTGTTGGCCAGCCTTTGGTCTGGGGGTTTGTTAGTATGATTATTCGATCATATATATATATATATATTTTGTCGATACTCGACAATAAATGTTTGATTATAGGATACTCACCATGCCATCGAAAATCCCCTCCGCCAGACGCAAATAATCCTCATTGAAAGTGACATCGTACGCGGCGATCCACGCCAACGCCCACCAGCCATCATCATCATAGGCGCCGTCCAGCCAGAGCGAAGCATTGACAGTGCCTGGCTTGGCAAAAAGATCCGGCAATGGCGCCAAAGGCCAAATGGAACTGTACACCGTCTCCGGCACGCCGTTGGCACTGGAGACTTTCTCCACGCCCGGGTTGGGATTCACCCCTGGCGCGACGACGTATGTGTTATTGAAGACCTCGGTTGCGTCTGCGAGCACGGAGACGTCTAATGCGGCCAGGTCGGCGATCACCGTCATGCAATTGGCGCCGTTCCACCAGCCGCAGGTGTTCCAGATGCCGTTGGAGGAATTGTAGAAGGTTTGGAGCGTGTTGAAGGCTTTTTGGGCGCGGGATACGCTTTGGAGGAGCTCGGCTGATGTATCTTGGGAGAAGAGGAGCGAGGAAAGCAGAGCCGACGAGGATATTAGTGATGATAACATGGTGAAAATAGACGACAGATCGAAGATTAGATCTAGATTAGATTCATAGATAGATAGAAAGACAAAAACTGATACAACAAAGCAACGAACTCAACCAGCAGCAGCTATTAACATCGATCTGTCCCTCGCTCTCTCTCTCTCTCAGGACGTTTCAGTCCTGAGGACCCCTAAGACTTATTATACGGACCAGCCAATATGCTAGGCCAACATCATCTACCCATAGACCCAGCACAGACCGAACAGACTAATCAGACTAATCTCCATCAGACAGAGAAGCCCTAGACTCATCACTACCGTTCGTAAATCACAAAAAGCCGGACGGCATACCGGAAGGCTCCGAGTGGCATTCTTGCGATTTGCCCTAGTTCAGTAAAAACTGGATCTGCCAGGCTTTGGAACACACAAGGTACGGAGTAGTTTACAGGGGAGGGGCGTATGGGATTGTTATCTGCTGGATTCTTTACCTCTTTGGGACTGCTCAATATCAAGAAAACAAACAGACATTGGATGTTCATTGACCCTCTCCTGAGTAGTAGTATGTGTAGTGGAACCCTCCATGTCGACCGAGATACTCTAAAGTAGCCAGCCCAGTAGACTAGTTATGGAGTATGTCCATCATGACGTTGGAAGAACCCACTATTCTCCCTCCCAGCAAGGCATTCAATGGCTAGCTGATGGATCATCCCTACCTTTTTGCGGCGTTCATGATCATCAGGTACGCCCGCTCAGGGAACCGGGGTGAGAAGATCCTTGGGGTCACCTTGCATCGGTGCAGATCTAGTGCGTGAATCGGGCGCTTTGGGGCACGTGCGGAACATAGTCTATGTGTCGAGTTTCAAACTCGTCCATGTTTTAAACCAGGGCCCAGAGGAAAAAATAATAGATATTGGTTAATACTCCGTGGTGTTAGATTGGAAGGGCTCTCTCTCTTCAGAAGCGACGTGGCATTGAACAATGGCAGTTCCAGAACTCTTGTCTGTCAGCGAAGCAAGAAGTCAGTCACATTATTAGAGTAGAGTATATCGAAGTGAGACCAAACCTGAAAAGGTAAGGACGATGATAATGGAGATATTGTTGATCGGACTGCTCTTAGCCTCCTAGTCTCGAAGTTGATTGGTTTTTTCTTTTCTTTATTTTATTTTCCTTGTTCTCCCCCTTGATAGGCAGGATGTGCATCGAGCTATGCACAATAATATCTACGGGCCCGTTTATAGGTTCCTGATGCATTACGTGGCGCGACGCAAGGGAGATTCTTCCGAGAAAGGGGTTTGTTGTTGTTATTGCTGCTTCGCAATCTCTCGGAAAACAACAATAATGTATGCTAATTTAGGTATGGAATAATGTTCCCTGCTAATGGCTTTTTGAATACGAGATTAGATCGAATATTATTATTATATACATTTTTCTTCCTCTATATACTCTGTTCCAGAACGGGCTGGGCGCATGGAAGGGATAACTACCTAATGATAAGAATCAGATCCTCTGGAGTGTAGACGGATTATACTACAACCACTCGAGAGTATACCCAAGAACAACTATAACAGGTTATAGTATGAACAGTTGACTCAAAGCTCACTTGCTTGCATCCTCAGCATACTCTAATATATTAACTCTACTCATGAGGCTCCGTTTGTCCCTGCGATCGCCCTGGATGTGACGCTAGACTACTCCGAAACTTGAGATGATCATCCCCTTTCGACCATTCAGTAATCGGCTCGTGAATTGCCGATTTCGGTACTTGCACTTCTCAATTATACCCGTGCAATGTATAGATAGTCTAGTCACCTTGGTGCCTGAAAATGCGCTCTGGTTATTATTATTAGATGACAGCTTCGCTCCAGGCGGAAAAGCCAGCGGATCGCAGGCTTACCCACTTACGTTAGAAATAAGTGTCTATACGGTTCATACCTCTAAATGGAGGGAATTGTTCAGAATCTCGAGATAGATACACTACGTATGCTTTTTTTTTTTTTTTCTCGGTATCATCCCCTTCCCCGAGGACAGTCGACTAAGAACATCAAGAGGGATGATCAAATATACTGAGCACGTCAATCAAACGATGACTCTTGACAAGCTGCTGATGCACTGCATTGGTTCCCTCCAATTCAGGATTTGTAGAGTAACGAAATTGATCACTCGAAGATTATTGTAACTCACCCTGGCGAAAGTCTTGACAGAGCTGTTGCAATAGTCGTTTCACATCATCTTCATGCAGATAAGCACAGCAATCCCTCCACCACGGGCCTGTTAGTGGAGATTGATTGCATGCATCCAACGCTCATCGAGAACGTCAGTCCCCAGAAGAGAGTAATCTCGACCAGGGAGAATCTAGATTGAACCCTATCTAGTGTCCTTTGCATCGTCATCTTTGTATATACCATAACCATAGTTATCTGCAGACACTATCTATGGTAGTTTCTCAATCCGAACCGAATAGCTAGCTAGCTCAACATGAATAACAGGATTCAGTTCAGGACAGACAATTCAACCGCAATCTCTCATTCATTCATTATACAACCATCCAATAATAACAAACAGCAGCCTGTTAATGATCCCCGACCTCCAGAAGTTGATGTAATTGTAAGCCCCTGTTTGAACTAGGTCAGTACAATACTTACAGTAGCTAACTTGGCACGATATTATTTACAGTGGGCGTAGTTTATTTTTAGATCCAGAGAAATATGACGAAGAGACGGAGGAGCTATTCCGTTCTATCATGAAATGGATTTATCTAAGTTACTGTCTGCTTCGGTTTCTTGCTATATGGTACGTCTAATGAAACGCTTGTCGGTGCGTTTATCCGCGGAGCTTCATGCCGGGGGGGTATGTAAGTACAGTATATACATGGGGTATAATCGATGGTTAATGAAGAGCTTAACTATTTTGCCGGTTAACTATTTCGCTAGCACTACAGAAATAGATGATGCCCTATCCTGTCACCCTCCTGGTTGGGAATTAACCAGTCTAGGTTGCACCAGCAATGATTTACCCCAAATTGATGAATTTCGATTTCCGTAGGGATACACTTCTATCATGTCATCGAAAGCGATAAGAGCGTCTATGTAGATTCTTGTCGAATTCCGATCCAGATCAAGTCTACAATACAGACGCTTCAGCTTCAGCTTCGAAAACAACATGAACAAAAGAAATAACATTGAATTGCTATCGCAGGACTGTACATGGTTTATAGAGACAAAAACAACACTCGTCACTTCTCCCTTTGTAAACTAATTACCAGCTTCCGCTGGCTTTAACCATTCTGTTTCCCCCTCTCATGGTCTACATGCCAGGAGAAATCAGCTTGCCCTCATTCTTAGCCTCCGCAGGCCAACCACCGGCAAAAGGCTTGGTGCCCTTCTCCTGCTCGTACTGCTTGATTCTCGCCTCCAGCTCCGGCCGGAAGTGTCGGATCAGACCTTGGATGGGCCAGGCAAAGGCCTCTCCCAGAGCGCAAATGGTGTGTCCCTCAACCTGCTTGGTGAGCTCCTGGAGCATGTCGATTTCGCGCTCCTTGGCCTGGCCCTTCTCCATACGCTGCATCATCTGCATGGTCCACTTGCTACCCTCACGGCAAGGTGTGCACTGACCGCAACTCTCGTGCCTGTAGAAGGCAGACAGACGGGAGATGGCACGGACGACGTCGGTCGACTTGTCCATGACAATGACGGCGGCGGTACCGAGACCACTCTGAGAGTCCTTCAGGGCATCAAAGTCCATCAGCTGGTCGTCACAGATCTTCTTGGGAAGGATCGGGGTCGACGATCCACCAGGAATGACGGCGAGCAGGTTGTCCCAGCCACCACGGACACCACCGCAGTGACGGTCGATCAGCTCGCGCAGAGGGATGGACATCTCCTCCTCGACCGTGCACGGGTTGTTGACATGACCAGAAATACAGAAGAGCTTGGTACCCTGGTTACGCTCCCGACCGAAGGAAGAGAACCAGCTAGCACCACGGCGCATGATAGTGGGGGTGACGGCGACGGTCTCGACGTTGGTAACGGTGGAAGGGCATCCGAACAGACCGACAGCAGCAGGGAACGGAGGCTTCAGACGGGGCTTGCCCTGCTTGCCCTCAATGGACTCGATCAGCGAGGTCTCCTCACCACAGATATAGGCGCCCATTCCGCGGTGGATGTAGACATCGAAGTCGTAGCCAGTGCCACAGGCATTCTTGCCGATGAGACCGTTCTGGTAGGCCTCCTGGATGGCGCGCTGGAGAACGGTGGCTTCGTGGTAGAACTCGCCACGAATATAGATGTAGGCAGCGTTGGCGTTCATCGCACGGCCCACAACCAGACAGCCCTCGATGAGCTTGTGGGGGTCCTTTCGCATGATCTCACGGTCCTTGCAGGTTCCAGGCTCACCCTCATCAGCGTTAACAACCAGGTAACGGGGTCGGCTGTCCTTGTCCCAATCCTTGAAGTTCATGAAAGACTAGAGAAGACAGCAATGTCAGTCCCTCTCTCCAACTTACGCCATTCGTCCGCTGTCCGAAGATATCACTTACGTATTTCAGTCCCGAGGGGAAACCGGCACCACCACGGCCACGAAGACCGGAAGCCTTGAGCTCGGAAATGAGCTGTAAACATGAGCATAGTATCAGCATTTTAACCATCTCAGAACAATGCATCCAGAATCAATGCCAAAAACGCACCCAATCATGGCCCTTCAGCACGATATCCTTGGTCTTGTACCAGTCGCCGTACTTCATCGCGCTCTTCAAATCCGTGCCATGGTGGCCGTACAGGTTGGTAAATATCCGGTCCTGGTCCTTCAGACCGCCATACTGTCTCTTGGGCGCGCCCTCCTGGACGGTCGCGAAGGAACGGGCCTGGGACGAGGGGAGGCGGGCGGCCGCGGAGGCTGAGGGCAGGGAGCGACTCGAAAGCTGGGCGAGAGAGGCGCTCGTGGGAGCCGCCGCTCGAGTTATCATTGTGACGGAGGCCCAATGGCGCGAGATTGATGGGAGAGAAGCAAAGGGGAGGATGAGGATGTTCGCTGTCGTCGAGCAACAATTCCTGCGGTCGCTGAATACCCGGATTTGGAGCTCGCCTGATTGGTTGGGGATGGTCACGTGGTATCCCGCACTGCTTCCCCCGATTTATCAGCTTCAAGTTACAAGTTATTATTCCACGTTACAGAATCACTACGATCGATAGAGATTGTGAAAATATTGAATGTTTATGTTGATATACCCAACATAGAATCAATCCAGCTACGTATCCAGCGACATCTTCATGCCGACTCCACTTCCTGAGGAACATACAGATACGGACTCGTAGACAGTGCCACAGGACCTCCAGCACCAAGCCTCTTAGTCGTCACAAACTGCAGCGGGTCATCTACTACGCTGACAATCTCCTGTTCTGCCACCATCCATGCCCACCGCAGCCAGTTCGGAGAGAGCCACCATGCATCGCCTTCCCAATCGCCCGTAAGGTAGGAAACACTAGAGAAGAGAGCTGGCTTCCGCGCCCGCAGTGTCTCTACAATCTCATCAAAGGCACTGAGCATTTCTTCATCTTCCTCGTCTGGAAGAACCCAGGAGACATCCTCTGGAGGCGGTTGGTACGTCTCGAGAAGAACACTAATCCATCGTGTCAATCGCGGTGGAAGTTTGCTCTTCCCCGGGGATGACCCAGCTGACCGGTAGATCGAGGACAGCAGACAGAACAATACCGCATATCCTAGCGGGCCAGATGCATTTTCCGGCGGGGACGGTGTAATGAACTGCTTTGCATGCGATAGTATATCCCGCAGGCACTCTCGGCAAGGCTCCTGGATCTCCTGAGGAAGAAGTGCAAACACTTCGCTGAACTGGAACAGCTCGCCTTCTTTTCTCAAAAGTGACTTTGACTCTGTGAGTCTAGATTTTATACGTGCCATTGTCTCTTCAGAGAACTTGTCCGTCGGTATCCGGGACAGGTAGGAATCAGGAAGAAGAGCCTGTGTATTCTGTTGCCGGGCACGAGCAAGCGTCCACTCAGCAATGACAATTGCTGTCTCTGATAGCATCACCTGGCTATCACGGTAAATTTTGGCGTGAGCCTGCTTGAGGTTCTGCGGCTGCTGCAGAGACTCTCCCGACGATTTCAACTTGACGATGTGCGTGATCAGCTCGACTATAACCTGGCTTAACGAAGCGAGGACGTTGCGAGAATTCCCATACGGTGCTGAAGGTATCCGCACGCCCTCCTTGGTTATCTCTAGAGTCTGGAATTCGCGGTCATTCGCCGACAGGATGGAGACAGCCCCGAAGAGATCTGGTGAAAATATCGAATGCTCCAGAGAAGTTTCTGCAGCAAGAAGCGGGTACGAGACATTGAAGACGTAATACTGGTCTTCTTTGTCTCCTGTCTCAGGGAATTCCTGTTTCTGGCGGATCTTGACTTCGTCCAGTGGACTTCCGGGCGGTGCCCTCAAGCTCACGACACGGTAGTCGCAAGGATTCTCAGGAATACAGAAGCCATAGTTCATCATTACTATCACATGTCAGTGCCCTTACATATTAGTCCTTATAAATAATCAAACAAACGACTTACACTGTTCATTGCTGCGTGGTCCATAATTATTCCCGATTTCTCTACCCGCAGCAGTATCCTCCATAACAGCAAGACCGATCTTCTCGTTTCCAGCCTGCCATTCCACTTTCGCGAGCGGTCGATGATTCGTAACATCAATCAAAGGAAGAAGAACTGAAATAGTCTCTTCCGGCAGATCTGACAGTCCGATCACACCAGCGAGGACTTTTGCCGTGAAAGCCCGGGAGGCAATGATAGTCGACGCCCATAGATACACATCCCTAAAGAAATACATATATATAAATCTCCACAATCCGTTTTCCACAAGTCATGCTATAAGAAAAATAAAGTAAACTCACCAAGTATACTTATCAGCATCCTCAAACGCCCACTCTTTCAATACCTTGACGCCAGTCTCATATTTATCCTTCCATATCTCCAACCTCTGCTCCCTAGCAGCATAGAGACTAGTTCCTCGTAACCACTCCAGGTCCTCTCCCTCGTAGTACAACGGCGTGGTCAATTGGCCCGGCGCCGGAAGCGTTCTGATATAAGGATGCCAGAAACTCTCTGAGCCTTTCAGATAATGACCCATGAGAAAGAAAGCCATCGTTTCCTGCGGTCCAACGGCGTCAATGAAGCCGCGAGGGAATTTAACCCCATGGCTGGAAAATGGAGACTCTGCAGATTTGTCTTTGAGGGAGATGTAATCGATGGCGTCGAAATAAGACATGGTGAGTGACAATGGAGTCTTGATCACGCATGTGCCTTGGGGCACAGCAGAGGTCCGGTCCGGTCTCACTTGGATGTGGACGCCGCGGGAATCATCCCGGGCCAGTTGGACACTCTCGTCAAGGAGACCGCCATGTCGAGTGACCCATTCTTGAAGTGCGAGGTGGCCGTGAAGAGAGGCATCGGAACTGGTGGGATTGTCAGAGAAGTCCCGGGAAAGATGGGTCAAAGCAGAATGTCAATAAAGGTTCAAGGATGACCATATATGTATCCAATAAAGCAGATAACATAGCATGCAAGAAGTACTACCGATTCCAGCTCCAAAGGAATCAAAATCCAGAACATACCAAGTTAAATATATTCCGACAAAAACAAGTAATCCAAATAAAAGAAAAAGCCACTTTAATCAACATAAAATAAAACTCAAACACCCAGAACAAACACCACACGCAAAACATCACTATCACATCTAAAAAAATACCCAATATATGCATGCACGCAATACCTTCCTTACCTTTGCGAGGCCATCGTGGGGCCTTACCACACACACACACAGCAAGCAACCTAGAGCAACCAGTTCTTCTTCTGACGTAATACTCTGCAATACCCCAGATCTCCCCGAGTAAACCAGTGAAGATTTGCGTTCTATAAGGAACCGAGAATATGGTAGCGATGGTCCTGGGTAAGATGGTTGTTGTCGCGAGATGTTCGTCCAAAGTTATTTGTCGGACCTGGAAATGTTCGTGGCCCACTTTTCGCTCTTTGCGGTTCGCCGAGCCATACATATCTACCTTATGTACTGTACTACATTTTACATATGTGATGTGGTGCTTAATGTCAGCGACTTCCCAAGGAATACCTATGTTGACTATTTTCATCGGAGTAATTCCAAGAAAATGCATGTATACTGTAGAATCCTCCGAGGTTCACTCTGCACGTATAATAATGGTCTATCGCTCGTCTACGAAAGATCTAAATGCTCCCGGGGAATACATCTCTCGCAAAATGCAAAAAGAACATAGATTTCATGACAGGGCTAGTATACAGGCGTGTAGGTATAAATGAGACGACAGAGCATGCAAGGCAAAATGAAAATCAAAAGACATTCCTCATGACCAATCTTCCATGGGAGACAAACCCGAAATAGAATGAATCAGATATCACGCGGGACGATGCATTCTCATTGATCGTAACATGCCTCCATGCGACATCATGTCATGACGGACATCGCACATATTTCGTCCCAGAAGAAACACAACGCACACAAACGTTTATAATGCAAGGTTTCTGTTATCATATCTTTTCGTGCAGGCGCTTGGCTGACTCGCAACATGCGTGCAGCGAATCAGTCTCGTCAAAGTGTATACCGGCTTTGCTTTTCCAGAACCCGAAAGACTCATTCCAGAGTAAGCGGAATATAAACAACCCAGAGACGTAGTATCTACAACGTCACTAACGTTGGTATTGTACATGGCCGTAAAATGGTGATAACCTGAGGAAAGACGGCTAATCCAGGGTCATTCAAAGACCAAGGAGTGGCACCGATGAGTAGTTGACGAAAAAAGGAAACAAAGAGCAGTACCTGCGGCACGAAAAGTAGCGGGCAAATATCAAAGGAGCAGATAAAATTAGTTCGAGGTAGAAGATTTCCTTCCAGGAACCAAGATCTCTACTAGTCCTTCGTCCTCGCCGTCGCTGCTATCATCCTGATCATCTGCATCGGGACCGAAATGTGAACCGATCACACGGGATCTGCCCGTGGCAGTATACCGACCAGGGCCGTAGAAGCTTGCATAGCCGAGCGACTCGTTGATGATCGCTTCGTCCTCCTCGTCCGAGTCCGTCATGCCTATGCCAGAGGACATGTTAGGGCCGACCATCTCGCCCATTTCATCATCATCGTCATCAACCTCAAGAGGCATCCGTTCTTTTCGTCTCACTGCTTCAGATGCCCCTTCTCTTCCATCATCCGAGGAATGGGGAGAGGGAGATCCAGGAGGCGAGAAACCCGATCGAGGGAAAGTGGGTGACGACGATATATCCGCACTCCTAGATGGAAAGTCCAAGGACGGGAAAGTTGCTGAAGCCGGAGATTCTGTAAGATCATCGTCCAGTCCCGATATAACGAAAGGATTCGTAGCCCATTGGTCCTCTCCCTCTCCTGTTGCCTCCCTCTTCTCGGACTCGGAAGGGTTTTCTTCCGTGGCCGCTGCATCGGCAGCCTGCTGCTTCTGAAGAGCAAGTCGTGCAGCCAGCTGACGACGGGCTCGAGAGGGAGCAGGGTTCAGAGTGCCTGGCGGCGGGGCAAGGATCGGGATCGGCTGGCTGGTGGAGTTGGAAGAAGTCTAAAGGAACAAAAGTCAGCAATTCAAGGTTCCGCCTGGTCGTCCGAACTGGGGCCGAGAGTATTGGCGAGGAAGTCAGAGCAGCCGGTTTAACCAGGCATCGGGGAAGGGAAGATGGGGATGGACGTGATGACATGGACAGGCAGTGTGGGGAACAGCAACGACTCCATTGGCATTGCCGATCCGGCCAGCAGAGGAACAATTCTCATGTCGGGCAAACATTGGGCAGAGATAGTGGCCGGTTCAGAGACCGGTATGGCCGGCTGGCGGCTTATTTTCACTAGTAGGAGAACGGGACCAAAGAAGACGTGACACGAGTTCAGCGAGCTGCAAAAGTCCAGAATGCCTTGCTACATATTTGAGAAACGCCGTAAAGGAAATTCTCTATGCAACGGCCCTCCCAGACTTCGCACAAGACTCCTCTCATCCCGTGTTCACATCGACTTTGTCCAGCCCTCCAATCTCGGACACCATCCCGGAAATATCAATAAAAGAAGCAGTGTGGAGTATCCGCAAATCAAAAAAAAAGTATCACGTTATGTATTGCCCATGTCAACGTCCGTGAAGGAACTGTCGTCACCCACATTCTCTGAGCGGCCCTCTGCCGAGTCTTCCATTGAGTTCTTCCCTTCCTCGTCGTCCTGGTCCTCCATCTCTTCGTCCTCATCGTCGCTTGAGCTTCCAAAGCCGCTGAGAAGCGAGCTGCTATTACCGCCCAGACCAAACGCACCGCTCGATGCGCTACCTTGGTTCATGATATCGAAACTTTCGAAGCTGGACCCTGCGATTCCTCCGTTCAAGCCAGCATTGGCGAGAGCAGATGAACCACCGAAGCCTTGTCCAGCTCCGACAGCATTGAGCACAGCCTGACGCTGGCCAATGGTCATATCAGGCCGCACGCCCCCGAGGATGGCGTTATCACGCTCCCTGGTCTCAGACAAGGTCTGCTCGACGTAATCTATCCATTCTTGGCTGAGGACTTTCTCTATGACGGTCTGTGATAGCAGTTCTGGCGGGTGGCGTTCGCTGAACTTCACGACCTCCTCTGCAATGAGGGTAAGATGGCCCATGTATCCTAGTCTCATGTTCTTAGTCGCCTGAGCCTCATCACTCCGGCGCTGTCCTTCAATGACCTGCTCAGTGATACGCCCGGTGTCGAACAAGTCGATAGCGAGGGCTCGATTAAATCCACGGTCAATGGGCCCGTTGAAGACTTGTTGAATAACATCATATACTACATTGTGCAGGAAATTATTCCACGGGAACCGAAAGAAGAACGACTGTAATGGATCATCAGTCAGAAGAAATTATTGGACGAGATAAAAGAGACTACTCACCAAGATTGTAGGCACAACCTGATGTTCAACAAACTGGATCTTCAGATAGTCACCCACCACTGGCTGGCCACTATGTTCGAGCTGTACTAGAGAGTCGAAACGCTTATGAGCAGAACTCGAATCCATCCCTGGATTAGGAGCATCGGAGGCTTCAGGTCTGCTATCGCCCGTGGCCTGCTCTTCGGGGCTACCATTCTCCCCTTTAGACGCAAACAAAGGCGCTGGCGTGTCTTCGGGATGAGGAGATAATGAAGCATCGGCGTCCACTGTGTTCTGTAGCTGTTCGCCATGTGAAGTCGAAGTATCGTTCTCCGCTGCCTGGGGGGAGTCTCCACCCTCGATCTTGATTTGCCCAACTTTGTCGGTAAGGCCAGACGCCGTAGGAGATTCAGGTTCCTGAGTCAGCGACTCTGTTGGCTGCTCGCCAGGCTTTTCACTGTCTTGGCTCTGTTTAGCGTCCGTCAAAGGCTCATCAACGAACTCGTCGCTGTCAAGCCTGGGCGACTGGGATGAGATATCCGTGAAAGGCTCCTCGGTCTTTGCATCCTTCTCACCCGTAGTCTTCTCCTCGCCTTCTTTCACGCTGTCCACCAGAACGCCTGAGGAGCCTACATCTTCAAAGCCATCTTCTTCGCTGGCATTGGCCACTTCAAGAACCCTTAGATCTTCAGGAGAGCCAGATCCAAGGGCCGACCCATTGCCAAAGCCCGCAGTCGAATCGTTGTAATCGATACCAGATCTCTCATCTCGGTGAAGATCATAGGCTCCTTGCGCTCTTAACCGTTCGCGTTCCGCATCCCGTTGCCGGATATATTCTTCGCTCCCAATCTCATTCAATAGACCCATGTTGCTGCAATGCAACAGCTCAGCCATCAGTTCACAAGTCTTAAATCGGTCAAAACCGAGTGGCTCGATCTTGTTTCCCCATGCAGTACTGAGTTCCCCTCTTTCCACGATCTTGTTCTGACCGCCCTCATTCACAGTACGCTTCGAACTGAGAATGAGCGTCATGAAGTCCGGTATGTGGTCCGCGAAAAGGCGAAGTAACGTCCCGAGATAGATGGGATCATACGTCGTAGGCTCAGAATCGGGTCCACCGACATTTTCCGGATCGTAGTCTGAATTGTTTTTGCGAATCACCTCGATGATTATGCCGACCCCAACGGTGAGAGGGTTCCCACCTTGCAGCATATACTGTATGAGCGTTTCAACACAGGACGCAGAGACCAGTTGTCTTGTCAGACTGTTAGGTCCAATACACGACTGCTCAGCCTGGGTCGCATTTGCGGAAATCGTGATGATAGCCTTCAGGAAGTCACCAGCGGAGGTCTGAACCGATGCAGGATGCTCTGCTGAAAGATATGACAGAAGAATGGGTATCAAGTCTTGCGATTTCAGCCACTAGATTCTATCGTCAGTAACTCTCCAAGAGAACATTAGTCTAGCAAGACAACTTACGTCAACAATACCCTGACCGCCTTCTGCCTTCTCCAGACTTATAATCTTCAACAGCAGATCCATAACCATAGGGTTATCAATGTGCTGAAGCATAGCTGGGACAATCCCTTCTAAGGACTTGAAAAATCCCAGCATATCCTCAGTCTTCTTATCAAACAGGGTCTCGTTGACCTTTGTAAAATAGCTAGCCTGCAGAGAGTCCAGCGGGGCTGGCCTTTTAAGGAATCCCCAAAAGTCCCGAAGGTAGCTCTCGTTGATCATGATCGATTCCAGGATCGACCACGTCTCCGAGGAGAGAATCTCGCATGCGATGTAGGCATATTTGAGGCGCTGCTGTTCTGCGCGTTCCAGATCTTCAGGTTCCAACCCCTCCCTCAAGGAGGTAGATTTCTTTTCGCTTTCCGCATCACCCTCCTCATCTTCATTGTCGTCGTCCAGACTCGGAGCGATAACATAGTCCATAAGTCGTTTCAAGACATTATCATCCCGCAGGTACTCTATGAGTTTCGTATTACGGTTCTTCAGCTCCGAAATGACCTCTGACTCATCGAGAACCTCCTCGAGTGAGACATCCGGCTTTTCCAGTAAGGTATTGATCGCGGAGATATTTGCATATCCCCCAAAACGCCAGAACATATTGGATTGTGACACAAAGACGCACGGGGAAAATGATTCATGGACGAACTTCCGAGGGTATCACAGGCGCTTTTTTTTTTCTCTCTTTCCTCCTTTGCCCTTGTTCTCCGACGATTCGTAAACGGAGGAAGCTCTATCGATTGATCTTGGTACACGTTTGGTTGAAAGGGGGAGGGGAAAAAAAGGAAATCTAAATCCTGGTGCGATCGGGGGGTTATCGCACGAGCGGCAGTTGTGGATTAAGTGTCTTTCGTAGGGGCTTCGTCAATCGTGCGCGATTGTTTTGTAACAGCAGTCAGAAATACGATCCGAGCGACCGCGCGCTGTGTGAAGAGGTCAGCCTCGTCCCCTTCTCGGGCAGTTCGTGAATCGGGAAACAGATGATGCCAGAGTTGAGATTTAGGAACCCCCACAGTCAGATTAGGGCGCGAGGGAGACGGACTGAGGAGATGGGGCGGGATGGCTCGGGGCTGGCAGAACCTATTTACCTTTCGAATCCAAGAAGGGAGTGACGATGAATGGAAGATCCGCCGTTTCCTCTAGGTCAGGCGGACTGCTCAATGAGTTGGAAGCACAGGGATTGCTGTGCTCCGCGACGACGTCCGTCTTCCAGGTCGGGGACAGGATAAGGAAGACAGGTCAGGGTTCAGTCCAGGTGGATGTGCTGGCGTGGGCGGTTGCGTCTGGATCGGCCGGCGGGTCGTCCACAGGCGGGGAGAGAGAGAGAGAGAGAGAGACCAGACGCCAGTGCCAGTGCCAGGACCACAGGGAGCGATTTCAGCCAGGATGTGAAGTGGGAAAGGTGATAGATAGTGGAAGAGTTCAATGCTGCTAGCTAGCAATATTCTGATCCTCGGTTGTTTCGTGCCTCGAAGGTGCCTGGGAGGTCGAAACAGCCGCGTAGCACGAGACCTTGCGTGCGCGCCCTGCAGGGGAGGAAGACAAGTCTCTGGTACTTGGCCAGCCACTGTGTTGGTGCGGGAGCCAGAGGTACCGAGTACTTTGCCCTGCCGTCTCCCCCTTTCCGATCTGGTCACGGGAAAGGAGACTCCCTTCTTGGCGGCTGAAAACAATGTATTATTCGATAGTATTATTACAGTACATAAGTAAATTATCATGGGAGAGAGAGAGGAAGCGAAATCAGTCAGGTCGCAAGGATTTATCAGATAACCGTCCTCTGCGGGATAATAATAATGAATTAGTTAGCGACCACTAAATATATCTAATCGGCCCCTAGTTTCGGACACCGCGCGCAGCGCGAGTCTGCCACCTCAACGCAAACACCCAGCTCAACATAAATCCGTATAAAATCTATTACTTTTTGAAGCTTTTAAACCCATTAAATCTAACTAATTACCTAGTTAAATACAGTGCTATATAGAATAGGATCCCCTTTAGTCAGTCTATATCTTTAAAGCCACCTTCTACAGCTTTATCACCCGCCTGAGCTCAATTATTACCCGCTTTTATTTGGGCTTTAACTTCTATAATGCCTCCTTATTACTATCCTTAAAGGTTTATAGTTAAATATAGTCTATATTATATTTTATTATAACACCTTTGCATTATAGAACCCTTTTAAATATTTTAATATAGATCTAATAGGCTAGCTGTGCCCTAGCTAAGGCCTTAAGCTCCCTCTATATTTAATCTATAATATAAGACTGAGCAATGCTACCCTTTAGTAGTTTCTGAAGCCCGCTAATAAAGCGAGCTGAATTAGATTTAAGCTCTAATAGATAATATTAAAACTATTTAAATTATTAGGCAGTATTTAGCATATTGTCTAAGATAGATAACCTATTAGTAGGTTAAAGGATAGCAGGTCTATTATTTATTTCCTAAAGCTTTTCTAATATAATATCTAGGTTATATAGGTAAAGCCTAGTCTTTATAAACGCGTGTTTAATAATAGAAGATTTAAAGGTCTTTCTTTATATAGATTTAAGCGCTTAAAGGAACTTATGCTTACTAAACTTAGGATTATTTATCCTTATATTAAGATTAACGGCTTTATTATAGTAGTGTTTAAATACTTAAAAAATACTAATATCTAGTAATTAGATTAAATAACTAGTACAAGGCATTAATATAAAAAGGAGGATCTTCTTCTTTTTACAGTAATTAAACATTTTATATATTAAATAAGAGCTATATCTATTATATAAAAGAAGGCGATAAATCTCTTACTAATAATAAGCTAATTAGTAATTAAAGTATTATATCTACTAATAGGCTAAATAGTTATTTATATATCTAGAGTTAGATACTCTAATCGTAGTATTAATATCTAAGAGCTTAAATTATTCTGCCTAGATATACTTGCCAATTAAAATAATAAAGGGAGAAAATACTAATCTATTAGTGCTAATTGCTTTAACTATAATAATTTTTTAAAAATTAATATAATTACCTATATATAGCTTTTTTTTCCGCTCTAAGGTAATAATTTAATAATCTTTCCCTTCTCCTACTTAAAAGCCTATCTTATCTATATTATAGAGATCTATAAGTTATATATATAGACTAACTAGCATTTATTTATAGCGGTAATACTAGTCCTATATATTATTTAGATAATAAGCCCTTTTCCTATCTATATTAAGTGCTTATTACCTTTATATAAATATCTTAGAATATTAGAGAAGGAACTGTTTAAGCCAGTATCGGCTGACTTTTTGTAAAGATATTAAGGGGTCTTAATAAGCTTAAGCTAGGATTATATTTGCGTAATTAGCCACTATTCTTTATATTAGAGATAATCTAACTATATCCAGGCGTTTAATATACTTATAGATAGTAAGCTCCTAAGCTAAAAAAAATAATCAATTTATTAGAGATCTATTAGACTATAAAATACAACTAAAATAGCGAGATTAAAGATATGAATAAGGCACATTAAATTAACGCACAGCTTGCGCGAGATTAGGGTTTAACTAGTCAAATAATATAGATAGGGCATATTGGATCCTATTTTCAATATTGCTATAGAATTCAGATATTATGGTAGATTATGAATAATATTGGAAGTTGAAATTTAATAAATCTTAATGATTTTATATTGAGCTGGGTGTTTACATTAAGGTGGCAGACCCGCGCTGCGCGCGGTGTCCGAAACTAGGGGCCGATTAGTTAACTAGTTACTACTGCCTGCCGGGCTTTATCTAGTTAACCCACGCGATTGAATCAAATCACCGTGCACAGCGCAGTAGCCCTTCATCGATCGAGGTGCGTCTATGTTGTGCATTTAACCGCTGGCCGTGCCAGTCACGTGGCTGGGGAAGAAGTGGCGGTCCCTTCTGACGTTTGGTCGTCCCCATGAGCTGTCCTTGTCGAGTCGCCCTCTCACGGTCTTGCTACTCCGCACGATCGACCTGGAGGGCTTGAAGCTGCCAGACAGCAGTCGAAGATTTCTTTGGCTGGGGGTACTGTAGTGATTGCTGGGCCTTTCACATTAACATATCTCCGTCGCCACACCGCCGCCGCCTTATGGTACTTATGGATCGGCGGGCGGCTATCAGCAACCATATACGCAGCTGCCTATCATCCATCTTCGATATCTGATACACACCACCACGGGGCTCTGCAGGATAAACCACAACATGAATAGGCTCTTTGGCACCAAGAGTGCGGCGCCGAAGCCCACTCTGGACGGTGCTATCGCAAATGTGAGTTCGCAATCTCCTCTATTGAACCCCACCCACTACGATCTCCCCCTCACTGACTCTCCGCTACTCTTTGTGAAATAGGTAGACAACCGCATTGCCAGCATTGATGTGAAGCTGGCAGCCCTGAACGCGGAGCTATCAACCTACCAGGCTCGACTGGCCAAGATGCGTGACGGACCCGGCAAGAACGCTCTGCGACAGAAGGCGCTCAAGGTGTTGCAACGGCGGAAACAATACGAGGCGCAGCGTGACCAGCTCTCCCAGCAGTCTTGGAACATGGAGCAGGCAGGCATGATGCAGGATAACCTAAAGAACACCATGACGACCGTAGACGCCATGAAGACAACGACCAAGACATTGAAGAAGCAGTACGGCAAGATCGACATCGACCAGATCGAGCGCATGCAGGACGAGATGGCGGACTTGATGGAGATTGGTAACGAGATCCAAGAGAGCATCTCGCGCTCCTATGATGTGCCCGAGGATGTGGATGAAGCGGAGTTGGATGCGGAACTAGAGGCATTGGGCGAGGAGAACATGTTCGAGACGTCGCTGGGAGAGGATGCCGTACCCAGTTTTCTACAGGACGAGGTGGCACCACCCACCTTCATTGATGAGCCTCCAGAGGAAGGAAAGGTCAAGGAGGCCGCTGGGGGGGTTGGTTAAGGAGCTAGTGAAATTGGTTACCTTGGTCACGAAAGCGGTGTTGGGGGAAGTCGAGTGTCAAATGTGACGTGTCCGCTCAACCTTTATTTTCTTTTTCCAATGTTACTCAGTTTCCAGATATATGCATTGCTGCGGGTGCAAAGATAAACACTCAAGCACGTTCAATTTGTCTATGGGATGTCCGGGTGTTTACGTATTGAAGCGGTATGTAGCTATCTAGTAGCGATCCAAGGTGTCAGTATCTTCTGGGGCTCCGTCGTCCATTTCAAGCCTTGCCGAGTCCAACCAGGACCAGCAGCGCGATATTCATAATCGCAATAACCAACCAGATCAAAACACCCAGGATGGCAATGAACCAGTTGTTCCTCATTTTGGCAGACTCGACCGATGTGTCATCGCCTTCCCCGGTGCTTTCACCGCACCTAACGGTCATATACCGATTACGGCACGTGAAGTAGATGAGCGGTGCTGTGACGAACGGCAAAATGACACTGAGGACTACTTGGGTCGCATTCAGTGTAGCGTTCAGACCATCTTTTCCAACAGCACCAGCGATAGCGATGCTGGGAATGATACTGATAGAACGGGTTATCAGTCTTCGAAGCCAAGGTTTTATGCTCCATCGTAGCATCCCCTCGCTGACCATTTGGCCAGACATGGTGCAAACGATACCAGCAGACAACCCCGATAAGAGCAGAGCCAGTGCAAAGATCGTTCCAGCGGCAGGGGAGATAGATCCCGAGAGAAGATCATAGATCCCAAAGAGGTCCGCATCGCCTGCTCCAGGCGTCCCGTACAGCGCTGCCCCTGCCACAATGAGAATGGCGCTGTTGACAAACAGTGCGAAAGTGAAAAGAGACAATACCAGCTCTGCTATGGAGTACTTCATACACGAACGGATCGCATCTACAGAAGGGCGATATTCCACCTCGCCCCCATTGCTCCCCACCGGCACATCGGGATTGACATAGCCTTGAGCAACATCAAAACTCTTCAGTCGCGGCTGGATGATCCCGCTGCCCAGGAAGAGAGAGTGAGGCATGACTGTGGCGCCCAGGATACCACAACTTTGGTAAAGCCTAGTGTCAACCGTTAGCAGATCTGGCGTAAGAGCAAAGACAACAACCATGGACAAACCCGTTGCCTCTAATGACATCTGCAGATGGGACATATCCTCGAAACACCTCCCCGATTGATTGGTTGCGAATTAGTGACAGTTGAATGCAAAAGCAAATCACTACACCGAGGACCAAAGCCATGACGAAATATTCGAAGGCTCGCAACCCCAACATGGAACCGTTGGGTCTATAGAATATAAGGAGAAATAAGACATCGGCAAGCGTGATAGCACATCCGGCAACAAGAGGGATCTTATTGTCAGACAGTAGGTTCAAAGCAATAGCAGATCCAATCACCTGTACACTATTAGTCGCTTGAAGAGACTTGTTTTCAAACTGAGGATCGGTACCTCTGCGATATCCGTCGCTACTATGGCGGCTTCAGCAAAGATATAAAGGATAATGGTCAACCACCGTGGGAGATGCGCTCTACAATTTTCCGCCAGGTTGAGGCCCGTCACGCTGCCGAGCTTGATGCATAACGACTGCAAAAAGATGGCGAAGAGATTGGACATCAGCACTACGAAGAGTAAGGCATACTTGGTGTCCGCTCCGGCCGCAACATCTGTGGAATAATTTCCCGGATCAATGTACGCAACGGCGACCAGAAACCCGGGTCCAACAAAGCGAGCAAGCTTCGCAATGGCTTGAATCGCCCGTTGGAAAGGAGGAAAGTTCTTGGGGAAAACTGAAAGGTGAGGGAATCGGCTAGCACTCTCTGGCTGTTCAAGCTGAGAGGTAGCCGTTTCCACTCCTCCTCCAGCAGGTTTCTCGGTGGGTTCGGTCTCTCCGACATCTTCGCGGTTCTGTTGGATCTCCGATGGTAACGTCGTAGCACTTGCCGCACCGGCCGTCTTGGACACATGGTCGCGTTGTTCTCTGGCATTGGAAATGCCATTGAGATCCTGTCTGGTCGTACCATCTGCGTTCAGAAACGGTGGATTCTGATTCCAGTCGGGACGATCCAGAGTATCGTCGGGTCGAGAGGGGCAATTCATGGCTGCAATTACTGGACCACGCAAAAATAGAAAAAAATCTGGGTAGAAATTGGCGATCACGAAGGCGGCGGCTGATCGACTATAGTGCCGTGGAATGTGTCCAATTCCAGATAGGCGGAGCAGCAGTACTTTGACGTGAAAAGCTATAAGCACTCGATACTAATAATAATAATATAATAATACTGCCATTATTACGTGGTTTTAGATACGGATAAAAGGGGGACCTTGGGAGAAGAAGAAGCCCGATTTTCCCCGCAACCGACCCACGCGATCACGGGCCGGATCGGGAAAAGGAGAAGGCGGTGACGGAGCTGTCATGGTGTCGTCAATACATATTAATAATAATATTAAATATGAATCTTTTCTTGAAAAATAATAATACATAGTAATAATAACAATACATCCTAAAAGCTACATTGATATACAACAACAACAAAGCCCATCTTATTCTCGACTCGAGTATCAGAGTATTGTATATCTATATCTATATATGTAGTAACAGCGAAAACTGGAGAAGGCTTGGTGGTATCAGAGCTGCGGACTCCAAGCCATCCCAGACGAGCGTAGTTCTAAGGACCACGTCGAATCACACTGGCCGAGCCATATAATAATATGACTACTTTTTACTCTATAACAATAACAAAGACCGAACAGGCCCTAGCAAGGCCGGAGCGGATCGACTCGAGGTATCGGGTTCTGTGCGGTACGATCGAATTGTTTAAGGAATAAGACGGGGGCTGGACTCCGCGCTAGTCGAAGCAGGAAAAGTAACTACTGTACCATACTTACGTATCAATGATGCTGGGTCATAGTTAATATGTAATGTAAATGTTTCTTGGGTATAGTCTAGCGAAAATGCAAGTAAACATGATCATGAGGGGTAAGCTGAGAAACCGGATGAGCAGTAGATAGAGCAACGAACCAGGGCACCGGATACATGCAACATCACGACGAACGCATGGGGACCAGCATACGGTTGCTGCAGCATTGCCGTGGTCAAGGGTCTGGAATGCTGGGTGATCATATGTAGGTACAGGACAAGGCAAGGAGCTAACCAGAATGAAGAGTAACTGGCGTCGCATCTCAGCGGTCTGTCGCATACAGGACCCTGCGTATCCGTTTGGAGAGAATGAGAGACAGCGGCACACCAGGCGGGCAGCAGGATACGAGGCCGCTGGATGTATCCGCCTCAAGAATGAGAGATGTCTGATGGAGCAAACGTGTGATGCGAATCCCCCATAGACAGGCGACCATGGGGGCGGGTTTTATCGATAAGCGTCGCGCGATGGCATCGGTTGCCCCCAGCAACGACTTCCCCGGCATCCGCTGTTTACAACCACGTATGGGAAGCTCTACTACACCGCACGGTGCAGTTAGGCGCCTGTGAACTGCATATAGTGGAGTATTATTATTTTTGCTCCTCGTCGACTTCAAATGCCCAAGCTCGTCCTTCAAGTCCATCTCTCTGGCGATGTTCTTTTCCTCTTCGTCTCCAGGGTCTTGTGTGTCTTTTTTCGTCGTTTGATGTTTCTTGCTTCTCGCGTTGCTTCGCTCAGTCAGTCAGTCAGTCAGTCTGGTCTTGGTTCGATAGGCTGCGGCTTACTTGTGGTACTGCGTGAGTCGCCATCTCGGCCAGCCTCTGTTGCTACCGTAGCTGATGCCTGCCAGAGTCCAGTGACGAAGGACAATGGCCCCCAGCGTCGAAGTGCCCAGCATCTTTGACGATGCCACTCGTTCTCCCCCCGCCAGATCCTCCGTATTTCGCTCGATAATACCGTCAAGAACTCATAAACGGAGCCCTTCGGACGGAGAGGTCCCAATGTCGGGGCGCAGCAGTAACAGCGACCCGTTCGCGACTCCGCTCCTCCCGGCGGATCATCCCCACGCTTTCCCTGCGCCGCGTCCCCTCACAGAGCGAGCCCACAATCGAGACACCGCGGGCAAGCCACAGCAGACGGCCGGAGCGGATCAGAAGAAACCATTGCACAAAAAGACGAAAAGCGTCGTCTCTCTGAAGTCGTTCGTGAGAGACAAAGCCGCCAAGGAGGCCAAATCGGCACCTGGAGAGAACCAGGACCCTCAGGAACATACGCCAAAAAAGGCAAAGTCGACCGCAAGCTTCTCCGTCATTCTGAAGAGATCCTATCGAGGCCGCAAGGATGAATCTTCCAAGCAGCTTCGTGACAAGGAAAACCAGAGCCCGCGTACCCCCGTAGAATCCCCGAGCAGCATCACATCACCGCTATGGGATTACTTCGGGCCCGCGCAGCCATTCTCAGACCAGGCGAGAGACGGATACATGCCACAGAAAAGCAGAACGTTGGACGAGGAGGTCTCGCTGTACACCCCCAAATGTTACTCTCCATCGAAGCAGCGCAATTTCTACGATTTCCACCAGCCTACATTGGCGAAGCCGCGTCCTAAGTCGGAGTGCATCACATCCAACGCGTGGAAGGTCAGAGAAATGTTAGGTTCTGTGCAGCGTACCCCATCTGGTAAATCAATCAAAGGGGCCGGTCTGGAGAAAGTACGAAGCGCCGTTTCGGGATCCTCCCGTCAGAGCTCGGTATCAGATGCTCCACCGAACGGTGACAGGGGACGGGATGTCAATCCCAAGAGAGCTTCGCGTGTTATGGCAGCCATCTCGGCTTTCAACGCGAAAGACAAGGAGGCTGAAGTGCAGAGGAAGGTGGAGCAAGTCGATCCAAACGACATCGACATCGAAAGCGAGTTCGAAAAGCTTCTGGTAAGCAGATATCTCAAGATTTATTCTCTCAGATCAAATCTAATGCCGTCCAGGACTCTCGAAATATACCTCAGAACATGCGCGACAAGATGAGGTCTCTTGACAGACATATAAAGGCGGACTTTATCCAGAAGGACAAGACCGAAAGCGGCTCATCTTTCAACTCGTATTCTAGTTCCTCAGCAACCGACTCTGGACGTCAGGGACGGAAAAAGGACGCCTCTACCGCTGGCAGTCAATCTGACTGTGACCCAAAGGGCTCTCGCTCACGCTCTAGAAGCCGGACGTTTACATGGTCTAAGAGCGGTTCCTCGCCCTCCAAGAAGAGGTCGGAGATTGGGACATTTTACAAGCGCCCTAAATCCGTCGACCTGTCGAAACCCGGATCCTTCAAATTGTTAACACCATCGTCCTCCACGACTTCTCTCTCGGCTACTGCCCGTCAGGATACCGTTGCTGATCCTAGCGACTTTGTTCACTATCTTAGGGAAGTCCAGAAGCCTGAGATTGTCGAGGTTGGAAGACTTCACAAACTACGTCTCCTTCTGCGGAATGAGACTGTATGTTGGGTCGATACCTTTATCTCGGAGGGTGGGATGGACGAAGTGGTCCAGCTTCTGTATCGCATTATGAAGGTGGAGTGGAGGTGTGTAGCCATCTGATGCATGATAATATTGCTGCTAACTCGTTGGTCCAGGGAGGAGCACGAAGATGCCCTTTTGCATGAGACGCTGCTCTGTCTAAAAGCTCTATGCACCACATCCATTGCCCTGAAGAAGCTAACTGCGATGGAATCTGAGTTGTTCCCTGCGCTTCTCAGTATGCTCTTCGATAAGGAGAAGAAAGGCCCTAGCGAGTTTACAACACGCGGGATCATCATCAGCATTCTATTCACCCATCTCTCCACCGCTGCCTCAGAAGAGATCACCGCCCGCGCAGCCTCGATCCTGTCCTATCTCCGAGATCCTTCTCCACCGGAGGAGAATCAGCCTTTGAGCTTCATTGCGGACATCTACCAGTCTCGCCCCTACCGTGTTTGGTGCAAAGAAGTAACCAACGTCACCAAAGAGGTCTTTTGGATTTTCTTGCATCATCTAAACGTTGTACCGATTGTCGAAAGGAATGGTTCTGGTGAGAATTGCCAGGAGTCTCCATCCTACTATAAGAAACACTTTCCTCCGCCAAGGCCCCCTGTTCCCGCTGCGCCGTATGTCGGCGGCGTGGAATGGGATGCTACCAATTACATTGCCGCCCATCTTGACCTTATGAATGGTCTGATCGCGTCCTTGCCAACCATGGAAGAACGCAACAACCTACGCAATGAGCTGCGATCTTCTGGTTTCGAGAAAGTTATGGGCGGGAGCCTACGTACCTGCAAAGAAAAGTTCTACTCTGCCGTTCATGACTGTCTGAAGACATGGGTGGCTGCTGCTGTCGAGGATGGATGGGCCTATACCTATGTCAGGGAGGGCCCTCCTCGAGCCGGTGAGCCAGGATCGCCTACGAAGTCCCCAGTGAAGGCCGGCAGTCCGCAGAAGAGCCGGATCAATGATGAGCCACCCAAACTACTGCTTGCCGTCGATTTAAGCAGTGGCAACGAGCAGAAGCGAGACGGTGACCTCGCGAGCTGGCTGTGAACGTGCCTTTGGCATGTGGTATGAGCAGCATCTAACGAATTTCCTTTGTTCACCTTCAGTTCCTTTTCAGGGAGTTTTGTCCAAGCGTCGCCGTATTGGTGTGATTGCTTTCCCTTCTCTTCCCACCTATGTTGTTTTTACCTCTAGTTTCTGGACGTCGCATACGCCAATCATTTTGACAGCTACAGACTTGCCCTTGCATCCTCTGCTCGAGAACGAGAGAGGCAGACGAATAATGGAGTAACGGACTGAAGATTGACGATTTGTTCCTTTTTTTCTTGTTTCTTTTCTTTTTCCTTGGATGAATTACGAGTTGACGCTTTGTGCTTCAACTCCTGTTGTGAGCCTTCCAGCAGATTAGTCTCAGATATGAAATGAGAATGCATTATTGACAATTGATCGAGTTTTCTACAAAGAAAGATGCAGCATAAGTCTTCTAGAGGTTGACGCCATTGAATCTCTATGGTAGATGGCATAACTAATGCTTGCATTGTATAGCGTTTCTTTCCTGTAGTATACATATATATCAACCGGCGGACGACTTCCAATATGGGTTGAGAAATAAATCGACAGCTATGGGATATAGTTTGCCGTCCTTCGTCGAGACAACTAATCGGTTTCTCGACGGGGCCGAGGAATGGGACTCTGAGCGGAGACGAACACTTTCTTTGCACCCATAATTGTACAGAGGAGTCACGGCCTTCACTATTTCCCGTTTACTCCATACAATACTAACTAGCTAACAGCCTAGATTATCCAAAAAATACTCCAGTGTAAATCAATTAGAATCTCGCATGGACCTGTGTCTTCCCCACTAGCGCTTTTCTCGATCTTCCGCTCTGTGAACGGGCGAAGGAGGCTGTGGGTGTGAGAAAATCGAATTCATACCGGAGAAGAATTCCTTTCGGACCTAGAGAAGAAGAAAGAAAGGAAACGTAGATTAATATGAGGAATCATTCATTACATGCAGCAGGGGGGAAGGGGATACTCACCTCCTCAACGGGATTATCTTGAGGATCCCAATCCATGAATAGAATGGCGTATATCAGGACGACTGTGTTTCAAGCAGTGATTAGCATTCATTCATTCATTCATATATATTCAAATCTTAACTTCTCCCCTTGGACCAGCGATTCAGGCCTTAAACAAAAAAGTGGAGGAAAAAGAGAGAAAAACTCACATCCAATAATCCCCCACTGCACCAACTTCGTCGCTTTCGTCCACTTCGGCCGTGCGTACTTGAGCGCCGCGCGCCGTCGATACTTGCGCTCGAGTCGAAATTGATGCTTCTTCGAGAGCTTCGACATGTCTGGTGGCCAGGGTCGCTTTGGCTGGTAGGGACTGTAATATACTTCTGGTTCGACATCTTCCTGGGGGTGTGTCTCGTGGGGTGGTTGTTGTTGTTGGTCTTCAGGAGGAGATGATGGGTTTGAGAATTGCGTTTTGTCGGAGGTTTGGCGGAAGAGAGAGGAGTGGATGGAGGGGGTTGAGGAGAAGGATCGTGTAAGGAATGGAGATGGAGGAAGGGCGTTATGGAGGGACTAATTGGATCTATTGTCAGCTTTACTTGATTATTTGGGAGGGGGGGATAAGGGGAATAGGGTAGCTTGTGACGACGTACACTTGCGCGTGGGAGTTGGAGCTTGTTTGGAGAACAATTCCATGATGCGACGGAGCGCGATAGCGAGGATCGACACAGTCGAGCAGCAGATGAGGCTGCTGACGTTGTCAACCCTCGAGAGAGTGGTGCAAGAGACATTATAATGAAGTCGGGTAGTAAATCATCATATGTTGGGAAAAAAAGGCCAAACGCCTTGAGGAAGTTGTATGGATCAAAAAGTTCGGAGAGGCGGTTTGCATTCCGACGTCCGCGGCCGTTTTTAGCGTTGCAAGTGAGTAAAGTACCATACAAGGATTGAGTCGAACGTCAACTAACTTACGTGCCTCAACATGTTGAAAAAGCTTGAGATTGTTTCTTTATTCTGCTTATAGTAGGCTGATTTTGAATATATATATATATATAGAGGTATGTATGTATGAATGTATGCACATGTGTATAGTAGTTAGAACACGAACAATTGGACTGTCCTGCGTGTCTCTGATTTCTGTTAATACCTTTGGGAGAGAGAGAGAGAGAGAGAGAAATATATATATATATATATACTGATTTCAGGATGGTATCTATATGTGACTTCAATTTTCTAGATCTCTAACACTGTTGGCTACGGTTTTGCTAGTACTGGAAGGGTAGCAATACTACAAGTCGCGAGATTCGTGGAACTCTCTTGTTTCCAAGATGTTAACAGGTCGCTAAATATTTCTTACTCGACAACGACACTTCCAAAGTTGATCTGGCCATTATTATTAGCTATGGACGTCCATGCTGTCAATGTTCCATAGACTCTAATCTCGATCCTGGTCTCGTGAATAGAGATCCTCGGCATGGGGAGCTCCAGCCTTAAGTAAGAAACTAACAGCCATGACTGTAGCGACACCATCGTCATATGAATCCGCGGAGTAATAATACCTAAGCTCTACGCTCTCTGCAATCGACTTTCACATGCGGAGACGGAGAATTGAAAATCAGCTAAAAGACATTAACTATTAGTTATTGAATGAAGATGACAGAGGCAGACAACGGGGAAATTATGATGCGACCGAACCTCGGTACTTTCAGCAGATGACCTAAGTTTGGCTCCGCCGCCGACGAGATCCAGCAATACAAAAAGGCCGGCTTGCCGGTTGCAGGTCAAACATCCATCTCTTTGTTGCTAGATAAATTACTGTGTGTTACAGGAATCTTGGACGATTTTCTTTTATTGCTTTCTTGTGAACGTCTGATTCCAAAGACCAATATGTCTGGAGGTAGGTGATGACTTCTAGCTTGAGGTGGATCTAAGTCCTGACATGTGAACCCATCTTACAGCACAGCAACGTCTTGGCCAGGTCGCCTCGCACTTCAGTGCTGGTGGAAAGAAGGGCCCCTCTGCGCTGACTGAGAAGCACCCTGATGATATCGTCGTCACTTGTGCTCTTCGAACCGCTATCACCAAGGGAGGAAAGGGTGGTTTCAAGGATACCGCTGCGGCTGACCTGTTGGCCGGTGCTTTCAAGGCCGTCATTGAGCGCAGTGGCATCGATCCCTCGGCCGTCGAGGATGTCGCTGTTGGCTCTGTCCTGCCTCCTGGTGGTGGTGCCACTGAGTTCCGTGCAGCTGCTCTCGTCGCGGGCTTCCCCGAGACCACCGCTGTCAAGGCCTTGAACCGTCAGTGCTCGAGTGGTCTGCAGGCGATCGTGGACATTGCCAATGCCATCAAGGCCGGTATGATTGATGTTGGTATCGGTGCGGGCGTGGAGAGCATGAGTTCTCAATATGGGTATGTGGGATAAGATCCAGCTTGTATGTGGTGGCGGTAACGAAGATCTAACTGGCCAACTATAGACCCGGTGCAGTCACTGAGTTCTCCGAGCTCCTCGAGAACCACGAAGAGGCCGCAAACTGCAAGGTCCCCATGGGTGTTCTGTCCGAGCAGATGGCCAAGGCCCGTAACATTACCCGTGCCAAGCAGGACGCTTTCGCCGCTGCTTCTTACCAGAAGGCTCTCAAGGCTCAGAAGGAGGGACTTTTCGACGAGGAGATCGTTCCCCTCGAGGTCAAGTGGACTGACCCAAAGACCAACGAAGAGAAGACCATCACTGTCAAGGCAGATGATGGCATCCGTCCTGGCATCACCGCTGAGTCGCTTGGAAAGATTCGCCCGGCCTTTGCCAAGGATGGCTCCATCCACGCCGGTAACGCCTCCCAGATCTCTGACGGTGCGGCCGCCGTGCTGCTCATGAAGCGTTCGACCGCCGAGCGCCTGGGCCAGAAGATCATCGGGAAGTACATTACCGCCAGCGTGGTTGGCGTCAAGCCCCTGCTCATGGGTATCGGCCCGTGGAAGGCCATCCCCGTGGCGCTCGAGAAGGCCGGCATCACCAAGGACGACGTCGACATCTACGAGATCAACGAGGCCTTCGCCTCCCAGTGCGTCTGGTGTACGGAGGAACTGGGTATTCCCTTCGAGAAGGTCAACCCCAAGGGTGGCGCCATCGCGTTCGGTCACCCCTTGGGCTGCACGGGTTCCAGACAAGTTAGCACTCTGCTGACGGAGCTGAAGAGGACGAACAAGAAGATTGGTGTTACCAGCATGTGTGTCGGCACTGGTATGGGTATGGCCGCCGTTTGGGTTGCCGAGTAAAAGATCAATATCTTGCTTTTCTTTTTTTTTTTCTTCTTCTTTTCTTTGTTGTACCAGTAACGGGCAGGATACCAAGCTATGAATTGAATTGCATACACATATATATGAAACATATCTATTCCTTCCTCATTACCCTCACTCAAGCGGAGAGCCCAAAAGCAAACTACTTACACTGAACGAAGCAGATATCAAATCCTCACAGCACAAGTCATTTCAGTAAACCAAAGAAATATCCACACATCAAACAAACAAAATCACAAATTACTCCTATGCTTCTTAAACGCCTCAGCAACGCCCGATCCATTGACCACATCTTCCTTGACCTTGTCATCCTGCGCGACGAGTTTCGGCATCAATTCCAAGACATCATCGAGCAGGTCGCGCGGGATAGCAACTACGCCTTCGAGAGGGTCACAGAAGATAATATCGCCCTGTTTTTTTATATCAGTAATTAGCAATGGAAATTGGATAAAAGGTCTAGAGTTGGCCCTTGGGGGGCTATGCTGATCAGTAGGATACCAGCAGGGAGTTCAACTTACAGGAGAGACAGTGACTCCTCCGAAAGAGACGGGAACGTCGCGGGCTCCGGGCTTCGCGGCCGCGCCGGTACCGACGGTGGATGTTGCGCGGGCGTAGACCTAGTGTGGTTGGGATTTATATTAGTAGATGGTCTATTATAGATAACCAAAGAAGCAAGGTCAAGTTCAAGTTCTTGCATATAGACAATCAAACAAAAAAAAAAAAAAAAAGAATACTTCAACATACCGAAAGTCCCGAACTCTTCAATTCCGCCAAATCCCTCACTCTCCCATTAACAACAACTCCCCTAACGCCCAGATACTTCATCCTAGAAGCCATGATCCCGCCCAACACAGCACAAGTCTGTCCAGCCGGCTGTTCCAGCACGGCAATAGTGCCTGGCTGGGCCCAATCGACCCAGTGCTTCCCTGGGGGGAAACCATGCTTCTCAACGGGTTGGATGTCAGGGACGGTTTCGTCCTTGGGGATGAATTTGAAGGTTGATGCTGGGGCGATGATTTTGGGTTGGTCTTCCCTTCGGCCGATGAAGGGTGCGAAGGGGGCTGGATGGTGGGTTAGGAGGAGGATAATTAAATAAAATAACTCGGGAGGGAGAGAGAGAGAGATGGGTATGTATCAAGCAACTTCAGAAAGAAAGGGGTTTGATGAAGAGACGTACTTATATCGCTGAGAAAACCTGCATGGGGAGTCGTTCCCTTCGGGACTTTCTGTAGTCTTAGAAGAGCATCTGATACCTAATATTTAAACAATCAGTAAATAAACCAGATTAATAATAACAATGATGATAGTAATAATGCACTGAATTTAAGATGATTCTGGTTTTTTTCTTTCTAAGCTGGACATAACTTACATCACAAGCAGAAAACTCCTGCAGTGCATTGAGCTTCTGCTCCAACGTAGTCGCCATCTTGCGGTGCGCGTGTTCCGGGGTAACTTAGGTATCGCTGGGAACGAATGCGGGGAGTAATTAGACGTAGAAACGGACGCGATTTAGTTTACAGTGTCAACCCCGAAGAGGAGAATTTTAATGATGTGTATCTGATAGTTAACTCGAATAGATATTTGGAGAGGTAAGAGAATATCATAACCTTCGTCTAGTTTGCGATGATGATGTCTTGGGTGGCCCGCAGATCATTCCGATTGTTCTCCGTTCTCGGCTTGTCTCGGTAAGTAAGGAAGTCTGCGTGTGTCGATTCTGATAGCCGTACAAACACTGGCCTTATGGTAGAGTGGAACACATGATTTTATAGTAGCTATTGTAGTATTCTTTCCTTTTTCTTGGTTGCAGGATTATTTAGTTGAAATCTATCGATGCCGTCTAATCACTACTTGATTACTATCGGCTACTCGAAGAGAGCTACGATCGAACAGTACCATTGCGGGGTGATCACGGTCGAGACTCATTCTGAGACCAATCATAAAACAGATTCCATGAATATGATATGTATTCAATTGTAAAGCTCGTCTTCAGTGTACAACATGAAGTTATCTGTATAGTACATTTTCCTGTAGCTTGTTGATCTCCCTCTCGAATTGCCTTTCCGATTTTATAATAAACACCGTGGCACGCGGGGGTGCATTTGCGGGGGAAATGACGGAATACATAGTTACTAACAAGTCTTAAAAATCCTGTTACTGTAGGAGACTGTTCCACGTCTCAGACCAAAGCATCGACGATACACTGATATCAATCAAGCAGCTAGTTAAAGTTCGGAAAAGGAAAAGAGTTTAGAATACCTGACTGATTATTCGAATATTTTGAGTGATATTATCTCTCTCTCTCCACTACTACTACTACTATGGTCCCTCCACCACCAACATATACCCGCGATCAACTCGCACGATATCTCAAACGGATCCGTTATCCCGGATCTAAAGACGATGAAGAAGCAAACAGCGCGTTGGTGCATTTGGAGAACGCAATTCAAAACGACCCCTTGAGTGCATTATCCGAGCTGCAGAAACGACATCTAAGCACTATCCCCTTTGGCAACTCGGTACTGCATTACTCGCAACATCATACTATTTCTCTCGATCCTCAGGCCCTCTTCCACAAGTTGGTAGAGAGAGAGCTTGATGGATACTGTATGGAAAATACGGGGCTTTTCTATATTGTCCTGAGATCTCTTGGGTTCAAGGTCTACGCTACAGGTGGGAGAGTCAGTCATTTCATAAGTCGCAAAGTAGATGATGGGACGTTTGGTGGATTGTGAGTATTTCACTTTCATCTCAGGAGAGAAATGACTAGTCGGGGGAGAAATGCTGATGGTGGTGCTAAAGTGGTCATATGGTCCTTATTGTCACAATCGGTAGCGGAAAGTATATGGTCGGTTTCATGGCACGTTATTTATGCTGTACGGCTTACTGACGGCGCAATGTAGGTTGACGTTGGCTTTGGGCCCGCATGTCCGCCTCGACCATTGCCTCTTGAGGCCGACTACACTGCTGTGTCTGTTGCACCCGCAGAATTGCGACTGATCAGAGACAGCATACCCGAATTTACAGACGAGAGCCAGAAAGTCTGGATATACCAAGTACGTAGCAGTCCAGAAAAGCCGTGGGCTCCGGCATATTGCTTCTCGGATATCGAATTCTTACCCCAGGACTTCGCCGTGATGAACTTCAGTACAAGCAAGGGCGAACATAGTCCATTCACGAAGGATCTCATGATTATGAAAATGATCCTTGATGACGAGGAAGATGCTCTTATTGGGCAATATACGCTTTCTGGAACCGAAGTTAAGCAGAGAATCGGCGGAGATACTAAGATTGTCGAGACGCTGCGGACAGAGCAGGATCGAGTCAATGCGTTGGCGACATGGTTTGGCATGCATCTTCGCGAAGAAGAGATCAATGGGATCCGGGGAATGGTATCAGAGTTGGTGGAGGCCTGAAAGCTGTATTTTCACTGGAATCTGCTTGGCATATAGTACATTCTCGTTTCTAGAGAACTGGTTGGAATTGTGATATCTGTCTGAACAACGGCATAAAAAAGATTGGAAGCGTGAAAAAAGAAGCATGGTCTCTAGAAAATTCTCTTCTCCAGCTGTCGGACAGTTAGCACCACCAAACACAAAAAGGGAATATACTGATCGTTCCATACCTTCCACGGGTTGCTGACTTCGAAACCCTTCGGGGCCTCTGCAACTCCTGACTGCGCTCTCAAGCTTCCTGTGATTCTGAAGTCTCGTTCTTGCACTGTTCCGCCAATTAGTCACCGCATTTGGGGGCGTAGGTCGGCACATCTCAGATTATCATAACATACTTTGCTGTTGGACGTTAGTGTATGGCAACCAATGCAATTCGCGGTTCAGAAACTCACCCTGTCCCAAGCATCTCTGTTCCACCTAGCCTTCTTGTGCTCATTCGAGAGGTATTTCGAGGCAGTGAGACCGGCTCCGGTGATGCCAAACATCTGCGAGAATGAACGCTGCTGGTGGGAATGACGGGAAGAACAGCACCTACAGTGATGATGATCCCATAGGGGATCAACGCTTCGAAGGGAACACCCATTGTGTGCGGTGAGGACGAGGAACGATCTGCTGAATAAATGAGGGTTTCCCCCGTCGACAGTAAAGCGCAATTGGCAGCTCGAGGCAGACACGGTGCAGTGAGGGGAGCCTTCACTTCAAGCCGTCGTCGAAGTTCGAGGTCGTCGGGAAGCCGCTTGGACGGCCGTAAACGGTTTAGCCTCGTATTGCCTTGGCATGATCAGTCAGCAACATCCAACGACCTCACCAGAACGAGAAGGGGGTTTCGGTGCAGCGCGCATCGCATTTGACTGTTCATGAAGGAACTGGCTCTGATCCAGTAACTGTTTTACGCGTCAAGGTACGTATCCGTGTGCGCTTCACCTCCGTTGCCCTGGTGGTGGTGTCGCTTGTGTCGCTTGTGTCGCTTGCGTCGCCACGCGCATTGTTTGATCTCAAACACCCTTTAAGCGCCTGTTCTAACATCGAGGTATTTGAGCAGATAGCCTCCTTTCTGCACGCTGATCGCGATTGTGGACGCGATATTCTTACAATATACTCGATTATCGCGTATCCGGGGTCGGCGCGATACTTTGTTTGCCCTTCCCCCGATGCTCGCCGTACCAGATACCAGGTGATCGCCTGCTGCTTTGAACGGGGAGCCCCCAGAAAACATCACCGTGGGGTTCTTTAGCAAGATCTACAGAGCGGCTAGTGGAGCTAGGGATACGCTCAAGCTGGCGACGGAAGTGACATACACTATGGCGGCGACTGCGCCGGCCACTTATGATGATGATACCAAATTGGACCCGCAGGGCGACGTGGTCGACAGCGACCAAGATGCAGAGGGGGAAGAAGACACGGATCTGTATCAGATGGACCAACAGCTCCAAAACGCCGTCCACAAGGCAGCCTCGGGACATGACGACGACGATGCTTCTCAGGCGGGGCATCAAGATGATGCGCAAAACGATGAGACGCGAGAGAACAAAGGCAAAGATGTCGCGCGTCCTCTCCAGGAGGAGGATGACGATGAGGCAGCCCCAGTGGGAGCCGTGAAATTACCCGACGGTCAAGCAAACTCTGACAGCGAAGATGCAGAGTCGGATGCTGGAGATGCCGATGCTGCGTTCGAAGACGAAAGCAATGAAGGTAATGGGAAATCGGAGTCTGGGTCTGGCAGCGACGAGTCAGACGCTGAGGAAGAAGAATGGGAAGCTGAAAGCAATGATGGCGATGATGCAGAAGGCGACAAAACGGGTCGAGGGAACTGCATGTAAGTCTCGTTTTTCCCCTTCTGCTCAGCAAGCTTACATGCTAATAATGTGCAGATTCTGCGGCCAAGATGAGGAGCATGATCCAGCTGAGGAGTACGAGGAATACTTAACCTGTGCTGTTTGTGGTGATCATTGTAAGTTGCTAGCCGGGCCGAGAAAGCTTAGCCCAGTCCGTTTTGGCGATCTTAGCTCACTCCACCCTCCAATAGCGCACCGACAATGTGCCCGAGAACAAGATGCCCTCAAGAGCGATGATGGTATGAAAGATTTCTCTCTGATTCGCGTGGAACTTTACACTAACCGTGGTGGCAGATGCGGAAAAATGGAGATGTCCCAGTTGTGTACAAAACAAGCTGGAACCAGATCCAGGCGACGAGAGTACTCCTCGTCGCAGGTCGGGCTTGCATAACATCACAAAAGAGTTATTGCCTGCGCATATTGATGCGCAAGATCCTGAGTCGCATTCTATCTTCAACACGGTCATTCTTGATGATCCAACGGGCGGTTCGCGGTCTCTGAGAAAGAGGAAGGCTTCTTCTGTAGATGTAGAAGAACATGTGCCGGTGCTGCGGAAGCGACAGAGACAGACGCCATCACGATCCATGTCGAGAACCGCAGATGCTGGCCTTGGAGCGGTGGATGTCGGGGCGGCTGACACTTTGTCTGCAGCACGGACGCGTCTACGGCGTACACGAAAAACTGATAAGGAGCCCTGTCGCGTTGTCCAAAAATCTCTGGGGAAGTTGGTTCTCGCTTTTCGTCTCGACGAAGCCAGGGTATCGAGGATTCTCAGCTCTCGACCGAGACCGAAGAACAGGAAACGCAAGCCTCCCAAGCGAGAGCCGGTAGTGGAACAGCCGCTAAGTCACTTCGCTCCCATAAGCACGACCTACATCTCGCCTTTTTACTCATTCCATGATGGCGAGAATGACGACCTGAAATCAAAGCCATATGGGGGAATCTTATCAGAATCCGACGCCGACACGAGTCGAACTCTGCCTACCCAGGCCGACCGAGAGAAATTCGAGCTGGCTCGACGGAAAGCAGAAGAGGATTGGCAGAAGAAGATCAGGGAAACCGAGCCTATCGAGACAGTTAATCGTGCCCAGGCAAAACTATCAGGACCGCCTAGCAAGATCAAGTGCATCAATTTCGGCGGTTACGAGATCGAGACCTGGTACGCAGCACCGTATCCCGAAGAATACAGTCGGAACCGGGTGCTTTACATCTGCGAATTCTGTTTGAAGTATATGAACTCGGACTTTGTCGCCTGGCGCCACAAACTCAAGTGCCCTGCAAAGCATCCTCCCGGCGATGAGATATATCGCGACGGCTCCATCTCCATCTTCGAGGTGGACGGACGCAAGAATCCGGTGTATTGCCAGAACCTTTGTCTCCTTGCGAAACTTTTCCTTGGATCGAAGACTCTCTACTATGATGTGGAACCTTTCCTCTTCTACGTCATGACCGAATATGATGATCTGGGGTGCCACTTTGTCGGGTACTTCAGTAAAGAAAAGCGCCCGAGCTCTTCCAACAATGTTTCCTGCATCTTAACTCTACCTATCCACCAGCGCAAGGGCTATGGAAATCTTCTCATAGACTTCTCCTATCTTCTCACACGAGTGGAGCGAAAGACAGGATCTCCAGAGAAGCCTCTTTCCGATATGGGTCTCGTGTCATACCGCAACTACTGGCGTCTGGTTCTTTCATATCAACTACGCAACCAGAAGACTCCTGTCAGTATCGCTGAACTCTCAGAGCGCACTGGAATGACTCCAGATGACATCGTCTCTGGTCTTGAAGGGCTGCGGGCGCTTGTGAGAGATCCTGTCACGAAGACCTATGCGCTGCGTCTCAATTACGATTATTTCGAAGAATATATCCGAAGTTGGGAGTCCAAAGGATACGTGCAGCTGAATCCCGACGCTTTAGTATGGACACCATATATTATGGGACGCAGCAACCAGTCGCACTACGATCGAGCTCCAATCCATACCGTCGCTCAAAGGGATGATGAAGAAGAGCAAGAGGTAGATGAAGAAAATGCAGCTCGGCCTAGCTCAGCCGGTAAGAATATCAACGGGGAAGTCAATCATGATGCTGGCTCGCGGCCTTCTGGAGACGGTGTTCAGCGTGCAGATGGCTTGCCATATGAGCCGGCTGGGCCGCCACCGACGGCCGCACTATCATTTGGTGACATCTCTCCGAAGAAACCTAACGGATTGCATCCTCCTTCAACAACGGGGACGGCGGAGACATCCACGCCAGCCAACCCTGCTGCCGGTATACCGCCCACGAGATTTGAGATCTTCCCACCAATTCAGGGTATTCCCCCGAAGAGGCGGCCCGGTCGTCCTTTCGGTAGAAGCTCTTTCAGCAAAGTAACGGCCACACCAACGGCGCTCCGGACCGGTGGCCGAAGCACGCCGCGGAGACAAAGTACGTTAGCATCGGGGGACCCTGCGGCTGGTCCCTCTACTGTTAGACGAGGAAGAAGTGCCAAATTATTCGATGCTCTAACGGCCGAGTCACCAGTTGCCAACGGGAATGGGAAAGCGGATGAGTCAAACGACGGCACAGTCGAACAAGAGGCCGCTCCAGTAGCAGACCAAGATACTGCTGAAGTTCCAGAAGCGAATAGCACAGAGAACCTCAAGACAACAGAGGAACCAACTGTAGCAAATGGTACTGATGCTCCAGAGGAAAAGGCTGTCAATGGAAGGCTCAAGAGCCCCAGCAAGAACCCGACGACATTACCTAAGGAAGAGAGCACTGAAGGGACTACGCGTACGACTCGCTCTTTCGACAAGAAACCTATCGGCGCTGTCGAGAAGATCGAAGTTGTGATATCTTCAGAAGGCGGCGTTGCCAGCAATGATAGCGATGTGGATGCAGAAGGGGAAGATGTCGACGCTGAAGGCGATATTGTACTAACAGGACAATAAACTCACGGAGGCAGTCGTCTTGCAAATTAGACAGCGACTATCATTAGTTTTTTTTTCTACGAAAAAAGGAGTATCTCGACGGGAATGATTCAATGACGGATAATTTACGGGAATGCACGGGTCTTCTTTTCCTTTTCGGTTTGGAGCCCGGCAGAGGATAGGCGTTCGGTTTGTTATTTTCTTCTACAGCGAACTTGACTTTCATGCGGCATGTTTTATCGTCCTGTTGGAGCTGTATTCCCCCATCAAATCTTTTGGGTTTGCCGCTTAACACCTGTACCTAGCAGCTGACTTTGCTTTTCAGTTGCTTTCTCTTTCTTTTCGTTTCTCCTCTGTATTGTAACCATTGGCCGTTTCTATTCGTTTCGCAGAGAGGCCATGGCTTCTCTTGATCATTGTGAGATATCATATGAGCAGAGTTAAGCCGGGCAAAATGTGCAATAATTCATATTATCTCTTAAATCCATTGTCAGTATCCTAAAGACGCTTTTCTAGTCAGTAATACGCAATATATTTCCCGGATCTGATGCGACAGTGACTTTGCTTAAGAGTTCTAGATTCTGTCTCCAGGACAGCAAGGTATCATATCTTTCTTTCTTTCTTTCTTTCTTTCTTCCTTAATCTATAACCTGATCACTCCTAACTTTCTTCCATTAAAGCCCCCAGTACACGTCTCCTCATCACGAGTTAATAAAGCCAATAGGCATATCTAGATCTGATAATCAATCTGTCCCGGGATATTTCATATTATCAAGATGACATAGGACCTATCATTCCCGCTGTCTATCAAGCACACTTTCCCTCTGGAGAAAAAGAAAAACAAAACAAAACATGACACAATGAATGGTATTTCCTTTTGGGCGGAGTGACATTTTTCTACTTCCTGGATAAATCGCTAAATTTTACCAAGATAATATCTTTGTTTGTATTAGTTATTATCTCCCCTCTCTCTTCTCCAGGATGGAGATTGTCGTATACGCTGTATAAAATAAGAAGATGGGCATGGATGTTTCTTTTTTTTCCCTCTCTTCTTTTCTTTGCTTTCCTGTTTTTCTTTACCAGGTAATACTTACTCTATTTGGCCAAAGGCTATATACTATCATAGTGACGTCTCATTATCATTGTTATTATCTACTTGGATATAGTAACGCTACTGGCTGTAAGTATGGTAGTGTACTCCGAGTCTATTATTATTCCTATTACAGTAATGATATAATATAGTGGATGTACCACATTTGGAAATTCTATCCCCCAATTAGAAAAGAACCAGTTGGATATTGAAGTTTATATTGGAAGATCTCACCTCAATTCAACGAACTCTATCGAGACTCGAAAGGTGAATTATATCTCAACATAAATTGCTCCTATCGTCTAATATGACTGGTTATATTTGATCTTGGTTCCGCTCTTTCTCTCGACTGAATTCTATTATTCAGAAAGATAAAAAAGCAAGACACAGGACGTTACTACTCGACTGTAGAGCCCGAATGCCCGAATCATTCTAGATCCTTCGGGGAGTTAATAGAGTTTTCTTCGTCTCCTTTTTCCTAAGAGGTTAGTCTGACTGTCTGGGTTTGTTAATCAGATTAGAGGTTTTTAGCACGGGGCCAATAAGGATTGGAATAGGCCATACAGATGCAGAGGAGGGGAAAAACTAGAAGGAGGCTAAGCGGAAGGAAAAAAATGTGACACCACACCTGACTTCCGGAAGCGGTAAGTGACTGTGGAGCTGGAGAGTGTAGATACCAGTAATCATAAAAGAATAGGTCTAGAGTAGATGCGAAATGGAGATGGACGTGTGTGTGGCGCATTTAAAAAATTGTCTCCGGTTCCGGTTGAAATTTTTGGGCCACTTTTGGCTGATGGCATTCGCCAGAGAAGGAATAGAGTAGTTAGACAGATTCTTGATCTGCCGATGGTGTACTTTCTGTATAGAGCGATTGGAGTGTCTGATAGGCACAGGCGTAATATTGCAGGAGCGCCTTTTTTGGACCTATGACGCGGCGCGTCATCCTGGCGATCACTACCTAGGTTTTGCATTGTGTTTCAAAGCCGATTGTTTTAACGGCTATGGGTCCCGGGGAGCTCTTGCATGGCTTTTTCGTCCATGGTTTGAGAAGAGGGACAATGAGGCTTGTAGAGTCCCTTGAAAACTTTCCAGAGAGACTTCCTCGGTAATCAAATCCTTTCTACGTGACGGGCTCGCTGCCGAACAAAATCCACGGAGAAGCGAAAAAAGGACCGCGGGCGGAGCTGAGTTCCTTGGTGCTGTGAGCTGCCAGAAGGGTCTAAGACATGGGCCATCAGAATGCAACCGTGGATCTTGCTGCATTGGCAAGGACATCGGTTCCGAGTCACGGCAGGATGCACGACGCGGATGAGGCGTTGGTGATCCATGTGTCGCAGTGCTGTCATTCGCGTGTCGTCGATCTGGGATCCATTGGTGATCCAGTCTCTGAGATAAATCATGTGCTGTTTTGTTCTCCCTCTTTTGCCCGATTCGACTGATGTTATCTGGGGGTTTGATGGTAGCGAACTATTGCGCGTTGTATTACTGTCTGATCGCTCAGGAGCGCGTCTAGACCGTGCAATTCGCGACATTTTCTGGACCCTCAGAGGATCTAGATTCGCGGGGATGACGAAAGATTGTAAGCGCGCAGCCAGTCACGACGCTGCGAGGCATGTAATTTCCACCAGCTTTCTCTGATGTACCCGCATGGTCCTGTCGCTTACATCTGGGGCCTCCAGGAATGGGTGGAGATCGATATTGGACTTTGATAGACAACCTTGGGTTCGTTTGACCGTGGCTTTAGAGAACGGAAGCAGGAACGCCATGCAGCGGAATCCTGCATTAGAGACAACGTGGGATCTGGTCACAGCTGGTTTAGGAAAGGATTGATGTCCCATGCTGACCAACGTATACATCGACCAGGATCATCCCATCACTCTGATCTTTTGGCCGGAGAAAAACTTACGCCGCGAGCCACAGCCGCCGGAGATCACGGTGTCAGAGTTTGCAAGCTTTCGGAGAGCCAGAAACAACAACGTCACAGGCGCCATGGATGCGTCTCCCAAACGGTGGCAATAGCGAAAGCTGAGGGGAGAAAGTGGTCAACTTGTTCTCATCAGCTCGCTAAGCAAAAGTCAGAATGAAGGACAGCTGACCCCGTAACGAGTGCCAGGGCAGGCTGATCGCGGTCGTTTCGTCGTCTACAATCCCCTCTCCATGTGCTTTGTTCGACATGAACTATCTCACTTCGGATACCTAGTATCAGGAGCCGCTCGGCAGGGATTTTCCTCGAGCATTAGCGCTTTCAACCGAGCCTGAGACCAAGGGCGATCCGGCGTTTAATCCCTGGAATCGACATTCGAGCCAAATGCTTAATTGACTCGATTCATATCGGGCATGAGAAAGATCAATGCTTCTCTCCTTCAAGTTTTCCTAAGTCGTGTGACTCTCGATGGCCTCTAGATCAGACTCTGTGGTCGAGACTGATCTGGCTAGGCAATCTGCCCCGGAATTTGAATCCTGAAGATCTACGCTATCCTAGCACGGGCTGTCGGGTGGCCGCGGCTCGGAAACGCGCACGGAGCAACTGCAAGGCCAGCACGGTCTAGCGTCCTGCCAGTTCTTGTTCTTGTGTAAACAATGCGTCCCATCTATACGCACAATAGCTGATATCTAAGCTTGTCTGTGTTTATGTAGCTGGCGATTCCAACGTTAGATATGCCTCTCTATTGGGCTGCAGGGCAGAGTAAGACGATCACCTCTGACCGGTCGTGCGAAGTCATTAGACAAAAGCACCATTTTCGATGGTCTTCCTACGGAGTGTTTGGCCCGTATGGAGCCCGCATGGAGCCCGCATCTTAACAGTAGCAATAGCTCACACCTGGCGCTGAACATCATGCCCGGACTTTCCCTGCGTAGTCCTGGAACTATCGCGCATAGTCGGGTGACTTTTATAGTCATGGATGCACTGTCGAGGGCAGAGAAATTAGCTTCTGAACGCTGAACCGCAGATCTCTTGAGATGACCAGACAATCACACCAGCTAGATGATGGATTGAGATTCGAGAAGCTAGACATCGATCCATGTCCCTGTTATGCCGAGAGAAGATATTGCCGTACTCCCTCGTGAGTTGCAGTCTGGCGGTAAATATAATTAATCGCAAGACCATCGATAGAACTGTTCTTGTACCTATCCCCCGAAAGAGTATACCCCGAGGTCGTTCAACAACCCCGGCTGCGGCTAGATAATGAGGGGGTCCATTTTCAATGAGCTGCTCTTAGTACTTAGCTCCGTAGCGGGGGGTTTCAGCTTGCACTGGCGCGAATTGCTCTGGGCCCAAGCTAGTCCATACTCCATAATACTGTCTTGACGCACTGGGCCCATATGGTCCTTGCGTTCTTCCCCATCACGATCTCCTTCGACCACGGTCCATCCGACTCCAACGTCACCACTACTGTCAAACAGATGGACCACAGCGACGACGTTTATTTCCATGTGATGACAGTGCTCCACGAGGATGCTGTCCAGCCCTGCCTCATGCCTCTCCCGCTGGATTCTTGCGATAGGAGGATGCTTCCAACTCGCGTAGACACCTTGGAAGTGATATGGATCGGCAAGTAAAACGCGAGCCAGTCCGGCGAGGTTCGACAGCCTCTTTGTAGGTACCAGGATCACGGTGGTCTAGCGGCGCGTACTGAGCAGCCACAAGCGACTTTGGAGACTCATTCCAGCCGCATGCGCACTGGCCTTTTGCGCGCCCAGCAAGAACGGGCTAAAAGAGGCAAGTTGGACAGAGCGGACTAAACGAGCAGGGATGGTCCCTGGCCAAGACAGCTTCTGATTGCCAGAAGAAGCACTATGAGGCATTGTTTCTCATCATCGATAAGCCTCGATATGGCGTTTGGCGCTGGCTCCGGTGCGGTTATCCCTCCGTCACTCGACCCTGCGCCTGGAACCCTCCAGTTTGAGCAGACTAGGTAAGCCGTTGCGTCAAGCAAATGGATAGAAGGCGTTCAAGCGGAGCTGCAAGTCTTCTTAAGATCGTGAATCCTGGCCTGTATGCCGGAGGGGTTGATGTGATCCATCCAATGGTTTCTGGCTGTTTGTACACGGCGACAGTACCCTACGATATTGCGCCTCTCGATCGTGAGATCTGACGTCTCCAGAGCAGCCGGCGTAAGAGAGAACTTATCTGCTCCGCCGTGGAGGGGTTTCATAGTGTTCTGTCGAACCTTTTCGCTCCTTTGCCTTTATCTTCTCCTTTGTATTGTTGGGTTTCCTACTCGAAGCCTGAGACCTCGATTCGAAGGCTGCTTGCAGCGACTCCTGGCACGGAAATTGTACAATCTGGACGTAGCGGTACGGGGAATTATCACCATCCAGCAGAAAGTCCTGTGGATATATCTCAAGTGGAGAGAACGACGGGTGGAAAGACGAATTCCTGACGTTGGTGTCAGAACAGTCACGGGCGACCAGCAGGGGCTGTAGCAAGAACACGGTCCTTGTCTTCCTCAGAACGACGGACAGACATTGCTGATCAGACGAGCTTCTTGTAGCACCCAGACACGAATCGTGAACTGCCGTGGAGGGTACTGGGGGACGATCCTGTGCAGTCGCAGAGAAGAGTATTGGGGGTTGGGAGTATCCAACACCGAAGTGGGACCGGGAGACCCAACCAGGTCGATGTACGCTTCTTTCTGTCAACGACACCACAGTTGGATGGCATAAGGAATCACCTTGCTGCCGGTAAGTTCCTCTCGTTTTCCTTGTTTTCTTTTTTATTTTCCCCCTAGACAGACGGAAGGGGAGGAAAAGAATCAGACTCGAGTGGGAAAGGTGCTACGAGAGCGGCCGCAGCCGGGGGACGGGCTGTGTATATGTACGGTTTTGTTCTGACTGGAATGTTAGACGCGCCCCAGGATACACCAAGATTGCCCTTGCGTCTCCTAGAAGCTTTCTCCGGCGTCTACGCACGAAATTGCCTGCAGAACCGGGTCCATCTCCGCACTACACGAGGCCCTAAACCGTTGGTGGATTCGGTTTGTTCGGGGGACGACAGCGGGTTGCCGCAAACGCGGTGGTGGACGCCAACGATAAGTCGATACTAGAGTCTAAGTTAAGTCAATCATTTGAGTTTGGGCAGTGAACCTGCGAACGAACGAGTCGGATAGCGTCCCTGCGCAGTGCAAGCGCGGAGCAAGAAACGACGGTGGCAGCGAGTACAAGACAAGCACTTAGATACGGATACAAGGCTCCCACCACCAACACTATTGTGCGCATTATTATCTCTCAGCGGTACCTGCCGGAGCGTCTAAACTGATGAACACCCTAGTGTCTATACCAACCCGTGGTTGAGCTCTTCTTGGGAAGTCCAACGTCCGCCGTGCAGTCTCCACCGTCTTGTGCCATTCCCAGGACGGGCAGACGCTTAGAAGTCGCCTGAGGTCTTACACTAAGTACTACTTTACAACAGACTTTGTCTTGTCTTCGTCCCGCCATCCAATCTCGCCCTCGTCCCCCTCCGGCGGTCCGCTCATCGCCCAAACCAAACGTCTGTGAATCCCGAATCTTGACGGCCTGGTGACGGTGCTGAAAGCTGCTCTCCATCGCAAAAAAGTCGTCCGCTTTAAGGTTGGTCTCGATCGAAGTGGCTCTTGCCGCTGCGCGCACAAGCATTCTGACGACACCACAGCAGCGTCCGCGCCGTTTTCGTACCCCTCCACTCTTAGGGCTGTCATTTTGAGCAGATAGATTTATTCCACGGAATCCCCACCCATGGTAGTGGCGGGCTCATATTCTTTCGACTTGTCGACCTCTCTCCACTGAAGTCTGCAGCGGGCATCGCCTCTTTCTCCAGACCCGAGTAGTTATTTAGCAAAGACCCATCGTTTCTGACCAGGATCGCCCGTCTGCAGCGTTTCCTCTTTTTCTGGTTGATAGCCGTTGCGGATATCCCGAGTTTGGGTCACTAGGCTTCTGCCGATCCAGTACCATCTCCGTCCTGTGATGAGTGCTTCGACGTTTCCGGACGCTTCAGTTCCTCGCTCGGAATCGCAGAGGTTGGTCTTAAGATCCCTTCCTCTTGATCCCGACTCTTAACTCGAACTGTCCAGGGCTCCCACTGACCATGCTGAGCACTAATAGCGCTGACTTCGAGTTGACCATTCGCCAGCAGCCCGAGCGGGCGCGCGTGGCCGGCGGGAAAGAGAAAGGTAGGTGATCTCATCTGGTTGGAGATGGGTTGGAGACGGTTGCTTCTTTTGTGAAGAAGGACAGGCAGGGTTAACCTCGTGGACAGAGCGCAAGCCCGTCGATCCCCCGCCCATCGTTCAGCTCAGGGTTCGGGACGATAGCGGTTATCTCGCGCAGTAAGTCTTCTTCATGCTGGATAGCCGCGGTCCTGGGGGGAGTACTGACAGGTTCCAATCCAGGCACTATCTGCAGAGTCCTTATTATTTTATGTGCGTCAGTTTGTACGATGCTACAGAGGATCGTCCAGCTCCAGTGCAACCATCTACAGCTCTAGCAGGAACGCTGGTTTCGTCTCTTCACCGACTGAAGGACGTTGACAATACCGGTCAGTCATCCTAGGACGAAGGGGGGGAGACAAAGATTTGCGAAGAGCATCAATTAGACGCTGACTTTGGTGCTGTAGATGGTGGCTTCTTCGTCTTCGGTGACTTGTCCATCAAGGTGGAGGGTGAATTTCGACTGAAGTTCACCCTCTTCGAGATGCGAAAGTACGCTCTTCTTCAGCCTACAGAGCTTCTGGGCGGCAAAAACTGACTTCCTCTTTCTCAGGGACATCGTTGCCAATCTCAAATCCGTTATCTCCCAACGCTTCACGGGTCAGTATTCCCTTTTGGCACTCCCAGGACTGGGCCGACGTTGACTGGCTCAGTGTCGCCTCCAAAGAGCTTTCCTGGAATGGCGGAATCAACATTCTTGTCGAGATCTTTCGCGGATCAGGGTGTGAAGTTGAGGATCCGGAAAGAAGCTCGCACGATGGTGTGAGTGGAGCCCCCGTTGCTAAGACTGCGCAATCAATCACTAATCGTACGAAAGGAAACGGCCTCCAAGGCCTGAGGAATATCCCCAGCCTCTGCCTCCCCGATCTCCTGATCGTTCGGCAATGCAGATGCCAGGCCAATTTGCTGGTTACCCGGCAGCTGGTCGAGACTATAGTTCGTACTATGGTGGGCCTGTCAAGCGCCAAAGGACTTCTATTGATCTGGGGAGTAGAGGTATATATGATAACGATGGGCGGTTTGCACGGCAGATGGACGCATACCCTCAGGCAGCAGGCCTATACTCGAACCAGCCTGGGACGTATCAAACCCCGATGATGCAGGGCTATCCTACGGGACAGACTGCAGTACCTGACTATGCGGTTCGTCAGCCACAGCCTGGATCCAATGCAGCGTCATCTTACGGGTCCCCGGAAGATCCCATGCTCGCGATGAGGTCTCCCGGTGCCGGTTACATGACGCAGCAGCGTTATCCTGCTTACACGGGAGCACAGATTCCCTACGGTCTTCCTTCATCGGCCCAGGTCCCTCAGCTAGCTGATGCGGGCTCCCAGGGCCGATCAAGCCAGCAGGCGAATATGCAATCGCTCATGGCAGGCCAACCGGTAAATCAGCCCGCTACCCCTGTAAGGACAGTTGAATAGCGGATAGTCCCCAGAATTGATGCTAAGAAGGATGACTCTTCGCAGGCATCCGACGCGACAGGGGCTATGATGCAGCAGACGTATCCACGGTCGCAACTACAGCAATCCAGCTCCACGATTTTGCCTCCTCTGCAGAGGAGTCGCGGGTATTCGCAAACGGCGAACGGTGCAGCTGCTCGAGGCTATTATGACCAATCCTCTCAAGGGGCTACGCCTATCCTTCCTTCGCAACCTGTTGCTCCGACAGATAGCGATCGCTACGGGGCCGGCGGCCAAGCGCCGTTTGATCACACTGGTTCTTCGAATGGGACTCCCAGGTAAATAATGTGCTCGGCTGAGTCTTAATGTGTCTTGGATCTTAAGTCTTCTGGAGAATGGCGATGGGTCCCATCGCCATGACCGATGTATTGTTATGTCTTTCGTTCTTCTGGATAGACTGCGGGAAGGTGTTTAATGGGGTTACTGGCGGTATGGGTATGAGACGTGGGTGTCTCGGAACACACAAAAGGTGGCTGTTTTCCCTTTCAAGGCAGATAAAAAGTCATTTCTATCCATCTGTACATATTTTTATCAGAAAACAAGTCGCTGACACAAATGGCCATGCGTCTCTATCATTATCTGGTAGTCCGACAGTTGCTAGAAATCTCGACTATAACTGATAGGAATACCGGAAGTTATTATGGTCCGCTCATACCACATGCGTTGCTTCACTAATGTCCAGAACTGATGGTAGATTCATCTCTCTGTTTAGATCACGCTGAAGAGTATACATACTAGTCTTTCCCCAGCTGCCTCGACCCAATGATCCTGCCAGACCAGAACTTCCAGGTCATAGGGACCCTATTGTTCGAAATCTAAGCTCGTTGAAATAGAGACCCTCAAAAGACATGTCCAGTTGCCAATATGTGGGTTCTCTTGTGTGCTCATATAAGCTTAGATATATGTCCTGAGATGCGTCATCTAACATAGAAAAAGAGTCTGTCAGGCGAAGGACTATTCTCGAAAACTAAGCTTGGTGAGAGAATAACTAATTGATGTGCTTGCTGTTAGGGAGCTCCGTCCGGTAACTTCCTATTCATGATGTAGTGAATGTGGCATGGATGAAGGCAATCTCCATTCACTTTCCGCACCTGCCTCCCTTGAACACAACTTTCGACTCAGAAGTTTCGATTCTGATCTCATCCTCTCGAATTCGCCCAAAAGGAGTTCATTCTGTTCATTCTGATCTGCAATCAGCGTCTCCTTTCCTTGAATCAACTCTCTTCTGTCTCTGCAGCTTCCAGCAGTCAATATGGTGTGTGCGTTGCCGGTGACACCAAAGGTCACGAACCTTGAGATACGAGCGGACTGGGATGGCGATTCCAGACACCCACTTGATATTAGGGTGTCTTTCGAGGTAAGAATGTTCATATAGGATCTTGGTTAGATTCCTAAAGATAACTCGAACAGGTTGCTGGCACTCCAAATGCGCTCTTACAACTCATCGATCTTAGGTCGCCAACGATCGAGCTTAAGAAAGCGATTGCATACCGTATAGGATATTCTGAGAAATGCTACACTTACGAGCCTGAGCTTGGGTCTCCTCCATATTCTCCTGCCACGCCGGCCAAGACGACACCTATAATCGATGTGGATGAGGATGATGATACAGACTCTGAGAGTGGACAGACGACTGTGATCCATTTGACCTCAGAAAGATCATCACCGGTGGTCGAAGATACATATGACAACAGAATGATCGGTGGCTTGGATGATACAGAAGACCAGGAAGAACCAGAGGTCGAACAAGATTCAAGGGGAAACGAGGACACCAGTCCAAAAACCATCTCCTGCATAGAACCATATTCATGGCTGATGGACCCCAAGATCTTTATTTCAGAAGACTACTTATTCTTCCGAAACCCCATCAATACTCTTCCTGGGTCATACAAGGTTATCATCACTGCATCCATCAGGATGTCTACTAGGAAATCAAAAGGATGGCATGAGCTGGTTATATCAGGACTTCCAAGGTTCAGGGGTGGGGATAGTGGATTCTTTCTCTTCCAAGTCCCGGAGGATGTTGGAATGGAATTTCGTACAACGAACTTGTGCAGATTCGACATTGTCGAGGACTGTTTCTGTGCTGAGTTTATTGGAGATCTGGTTGTTCCTTTTCGCCGTTGCAATTCCAAGTACTATGGAACAATCCGGAGTTTCACCGTGGACTATGACATCCGGGCGGATACTGCACCTCTAGGGCAAGATAACCTCTCGGGGATATCACTGACATACTACGCTGCCTGTTCATTAAAGACACACAATTTCTGCTACATGTCGCAAAAATGCACCTTTCCTATTCACATCGAAGGTGGTCCTGATGGGAAGTTCAAGTGCAAACTGCAGCCACAGCAAGTGGACGTCCCAATTGTCCATCTCGAGACACACAACGAACACCCTACCGGCGTATCACAAATCGAAGTCATCTGTCCACCAAAAGACCTGAAACTTTTTATTGTGACCTGGACTCTCAAACTTCCCACGAGGTCATCGATCTGGCTGCCTAGGATCTATCGGCCCCTTTGTGGGCCTTATGGTCATGAGGGTGACTTTCTTCGATCCGATATTTCCGAATGTCTCATCAGTGATCACCCATATCAAGAGCCTGAGAAAGATGGATTCAAATATCTATCGGAATTCTCCACATACCCTGAAGTGGGTGTAATGCTGGACCATGACGATCCAGAATTGGAGGCGGTGCCGTGGCAACAACATCCCGATGTTAATATAGCGTCTTGTCCTCCGCTAGATCTTCATGAACAGTCACCATCGAAGTCCGAAACGGAGGCTGCTACTGTCCAAAGATGGGTGCTCACCAATATTCTAGTTCTGACGCTAATCGCATTACTCTTGGGTCTCAGTATGGATCAATCGGCAGATATTAAGAGTCGTTTAGCCGTTCCTTCCTGGGCACAGATCCGCGGAGAAGAAGGACTGGACCTTGACAGGTCTAACGGAGGATTTTCTGTGATAAGAGATGGCTTAAACTGCTCTGCAGGTAGTGACACAAAAGTTGGTAAAGCGCAGATGTCCGCAGGGAACAGAAGTCGACATATAACAAGCGTGTTGCCCAATGTGGATCCTCATCTCTTCAACGGTATCGGTGAGTTAGGCAGAAGATTGCAAGCAATTACAGACAAGACTACAGCATCGAAAATTCAGGAAAGTAGTGTTTCGAAAGTGGAGGTCTACAGGAACATGTCTGGAGACGAAAGCCCAAACGTGAGACCAAGTGAGAGTCCATCTCAAAGTTTGGAACCGAAGTCCTTGAGAGACAAGCTGGACTACTTGTTGGGATGGAGAGGTCCATTTGGCCGCTAGTGTATGATAGGACATGCTTGCGATCGGCGAGGCTGTCTCTGAGTTGATGGGTCTGAGATTTCCGGTTGAGATTCGCATATTCTCTTCATGTGTATTCAAATACGAGATATCCAGAAATAGAATTCATCCGTAATAAATATCTGCGTCCCGTTGTCGAATATAGGACCACTAGGATATTCTTTATTGCATGCGAAGTTCTTTCCTGCGTGAACGTAACTACCCAGGAGTAGATTCACTTTTACTTAATCTGCCACCTCTGAAAGAAACCCTGGACTTAATCCACAGGGAAGTATATCTTAAATTATTCTCACGTTTTACATTGACCCTACTGTAACGGCAAAAGGCTTGTGCAGCGTAACTAGTAGTGTTTGTGCTGTTCGTAAAAGCCCGAAGAGGAGACGCAATGCATATCATCGAAGGTGTAAAAGAAAAAGAGTTTCTGTTTTTTAAAGAAAATAAACAAAAAATTCATAGATCATCATACCAATAAGTATCTAGGTAGCCAAATTCTACACTAAGACGAATAACATAACAGTAAAATAAGTAGGTACTTTAAATCACCCGCTTCTCTCCTAAAGGAAAGGGGGTGGAAAACCACGCATGTGTTTTCTCGTGTCATTTGCATGAATTCCTTGCTCAGTTGCTTTTTTTGTATACTTTTTTTAGGAGGTCTGCTTTTTTTTTTACATCTGCTCGAAATACTTCTCCCATCCGAGCTCGCGGAGCTTGGTGCCCTTGAGTTCGAGGTTTTCTTTCTTAGCGTTCTCGGCGTAGGCTTCGACCTTGCGCTGGAGGGAGGGGTCGAATGAGCCTAGGAATCGGACAGCTAGGAGGGCGGCGTTGATGCTGTTGTTGATACCGACGGTGGCGACGGGGACGCCTGGGGTATGTTGTTAGTGCTGTTCGCTTAGGGGGGGGGTGGATGGATTGGGATTAAGAAGGATGGCTCTGGATATAAAGAGTGGAAAGGAAAGTAAGATTACGTACCACGTGGCATCTGGACAATACTGTAGAGGCTGTCGACGCCATCGAGAGCACTGCCCTTGACAGGGACGCCGATGACGGGGAGAGCAGTGTGCGCGGCGGCCATTCCGGGCAGGTGGGCAGCACCGCCTGCTGCGGCGATGATGACCTTGATACCGCGAGAAGCGGCTGAGGCGGCGTACTCGGCCATGTAGTTAGGAGTGCGGTGCGCAGAGGTGATTTCGACCTCGGGCTCGATGCCAAAGTAGTCTCGCAGAAGCTTAAGACCGGGGACCAGGGTCTTGAGGTCACTGTCAGAGCCCATGATCACTCCCACAGTCGGGCGAGGCTTGGAAGGACCGGACTTCACGGCCTTCGTCTTGATATCCGTACGCTGGGCACGGATCTCGTCAACGACGTCAATCAGGGGCTGAATGATGGTCTCTGCTTCCTGCAGAGTTGCGGCGGTGACGGTAACGTGGCCCATCTTGCGGCCAGGACGGGCATCACCCTTGCTGTAAAGGTGGATGCTGGCATTCGGTATCGAAAGGGCGTGCTCGGCCACCTTGAGGTGGGAGTCTGGCGTGGCACCGCCGATGATGTTGAGCATGATGGACGGCTGTCGGAGCTCAAGGCTCTTTTCAGGAATCGGGAGATCAAGGATGGCCCTGAGGTGAGTATCAAACTGAGAAAGACCGCAGCCTTCAATGGTGTAGTGGCCAGAGTTGTGGATTCTGCTGGCCAGCTCACACAGCAGCAAGCTATCGTCTTCCAAGAGGAACATCTCGACGCCGAACGCACCCTTGCCCTCGAAAGTAGCGACGGCTTTGCGGGCAAGCTCCTGGGCCTTCTGATTGATCTCTTCAGAGACATTGCGGGCAGGAGCATAGACGAGCTTGCATATCGAGTCCTCCTGGACGGTCTCCACTGTAGGGTAAGACAGAACACCGTCCTTGGTCTTGACAACCATGACTGCCAGTTCCTAAAATAATGTTAGAAGACTCCATTGATGGGAGAAAAGGTTTGATGCGAACCATCTTGAAATGAGCCCACTTCTCTGCATACAAGGGTCGGTCCTTGAGCGCTTCCAGAGCAGCGGGAATATCCTCTTTTGAGCGGACAACGTAGTTTCCTAATATCGTTGTAAGCGTACTGAATTTCTGAATAGAATAATATTCTAGAACAACATATCAACTCACCTCGGCCATCATACGCCAACGTCTTCGACTTCAGCATCAACGGATAACCCAATTTCTCGCCAATCTCGGCAAGTTCTTCCGGCGTATTCTTCACGAGCTCCAAGTAATCCGCCATGGGAATACCAAACTTCGAAAGATGCTTCTTCTGATTGTACTTATTCTGAATGATGCGAATTGCCTCCCAGCTCGGCTCCACCTTGACCTCCCCAGCAACTTCTTCCAGGGCATAGGTATCGACATGCTCAATCTCCGCCGTCAGGACATCTGACGACTGGGCCAGCTTGCGCACAGCCTCGGGGTCCTTGAACGAACCGACAACATGGCCGTCGTGAGAACTGATCTGCTTCGCGGGCGCGTTTTCAACATCCAGAACATTCATCTGGATGTTGAGTCGGTTCGCGGACTCGACGAGCATTCTGCCCAGTTGCCCACCTCCGAGCACGCCAACCTTGGGAGAGTTCCACATTGTTGCGAACCGACTCCGAAAAAATCAATGGAGGGAAAAGAAAAATAAAATCAACTATTTCGATACTGATAAGATGGATCGATCGATTCCTTCCAACTTATACACTCAGATAACGAAAAAGCACCCCGGCTGAGAAACTTATGACTCTTTTCGATGTCCAAACCTGGCGGGCTGGTGGATCCAAAAAATTATCGATACAGTCACGTGATATGTGAAGTTAAATGAGATCGCTTTGGAGTTTCTCTACCATACCACAGTTGATGGAGGGATTTTCAGCAGGATAGGTGATATGAGAGATAGTCGAAATTCCTCTGATCAGAGCATGCAGGAAAAGATTCGTGGCAGAGAGTAGCTTATGCAACAGTGTTCGAAATAATGAAGAAGAAAATCCGCCGCGGGGACCATTCCGCGGATCGGCCGAATCGGGAAACCGTACTTTTTTTTTGCCTTCTTTCCACTCGAAGGTCTGTTGTCAAGGACTCTTTATTCGATGGAGCCAATAATAGGCGTTTGAGCTGATATTATTCTTCATCTCCTCTGTTACTCTTTTCCACGCAAGTTTATAATGCGCCTGCTCCTGCTGACTTTGGGTGGTATTGGTAAGTTACCCCGCAACTTCCTAATCCGGACAGAGTTCACCTTTGACTGCCAGTTGTTTGTTACTGGCTTTAACAATAATAATAAAGTGTCATGTATAGTTGAATCAGATGCATTTTCCCTTCGAAGGCTCTGTTCTCCTTTTCTTGGTGGGTAAAGTCCCAAGTAAGGGGGGTTTATACCGTGTCTGCAAGTCTGCAAATACTAGCCCACTTCTATTTTTATAGACTCAAAGGAGCATTTGTTGCCACGCATCGGATTTTCCATAGTATCTTTCTTTACGAGGTTCCAAATAAAAATTGACTGCGTATTAATTGACTGTAGTAGACGAGTGTGGGTGTAGTAACTGATGGCTACTGTCCTTGTTCGTGAAGAATAGATGAACCCAGTCTTGTATGGGTAATCATGTATAGACGTATAGGAGCACAGTATAGACAGCCGAGGATAGTAGGAAATTAGCAAATATGTGATCAGCCGCATATCTACTCTTCAGTTCGTAGATCTTCGTAGATTTAAAAGTCTGTGCCATCGTACTTATACTTATACCTATTATTATTATTGTCTCCTGAGATTGGCACTTTTCCGGAGCTCCGGGGAGATATACGCATAGAGGGAAAGAGTACTCCGTACCTAGTCTATCTAGATAGCGTTCTAGCTCCGTCCTTTGATGCGGGTCATAGAACTTCTCCACAGTACTTACTATCTAAGTACAGTAATACTGAAACTAGAGACAAGGGTCGTGCTTCCATCGTGAACAACCCGGCTCGGCCCAAGTTCGGATACCTATATCTACATACATAGTTACATACTGTATACACACCGAGCGCGAGACTCAGTAATGATCTGATGATGGAGCGGAACCGCTAAAGATAAATATTCGGAGACGCAGACTCGCCAGGACGCCCTGGTGGGTGTCATTATTGACTCTGTTCCAGAGTGACGACGCCAGAAAATGAGTTGAAGACACGTCGTAGCGATTCCCACAGGCCATTGCCCCGCACCAGCGGGGCGAAGAGAGTTGAGAGAGTACCATAAACTGGGAGCGGTCAATTGTGAGTGTATATGGTGAATAATAATAGCACAGCACACACGCCAACTATTGCGCTGAGAAAAGCAAATATGGTTGTTGCTCTTCAGGCAATTTATAAGGGAAAGCAGGCTCTAAGGTAAGACTGCTTGTATGGTTAGCTGTTTAACGTGTTGGCTCACATCAAGGTTAGACGGGCCGTTTCTCAGGGGACAGAGTTTGGACAGGAGGGAACGCTCCAGGGCAATAATATCATCACCCCACATCAGGCCAATATTGTCTCAACGTCGCGAAGTGCTGTTGCTGTCGATGGGTAAATGTCGCACCCGCTTGGATCTCCAGTAAGCGGAGAAAGCCCTGAGGTCACATATAAAACAAGATATTGATTTATGCCGCAATCCGCGACAGCGTGGCCTCAAAGCAAGAGGCAGTGAGATTGTCATGTCGTAATAAACCCTGCAATCTCTATGCCAGCCATAGATACATAGTTATGTTCGCAGGTTGTGTGGTATGGATCCTCAGAAGCCGATGCTTCCAGGCGTCAATCCGAAGGTGACGTCCAATCGGTATTCCATCAGAGGTTCTAGAATTCTGTCCAGGGCTCAGAAGCTCCATCATTCCCCCCTCAGTCCGTCGTTCGACATCGAATAATATTATGGATCTTCAGCAAGTCGTAGAGTAAATAGGAGCTAAGATCATTTCCTGACGGGAAGACCGGCAAGCCCGGCTAGGCTTAACAGACGCGCGCTGTCGCACGTCTCAGGATGCAACATCTGGAGCCCCTGTATCATTAAAAATCATCATGATAATAATAGGCGGTGTGAGAGGGATGGGAAGAAAGAGGAATCATAGCACGATAGTCTTGCCGATACGGGAGATACGACTCGGGCTCCAGACCAACCCGATCCAGTAGAAATCGGAGCGCCATCCATCACTCACCACCACAACGCCAATAATGATCTCCCCACGCCGTTGGGGTCTCACGTTCGAGACACTTGATGGTAAGTAATTCGTTATTGGCAAACAAGTGCTTCTGTCAGTCTACCTATCTACTGGCTTGAGGATACTGACGATGCATCCAGATGGCCCTTCGTCTCTCTTCGAGCAGACAGCTCTGCTGGTGCGGAGTTGACCACTATCTACTCCCCAGAGCCCCTGGACCCAGGTCATCCCCTCTTCCTAAACCGCAAATAAATAACGGTGACCCGCTAGGCTTATCGACAAGGGGCACTATAGTCCAGTCGGGATAGATAGTGTACTCTCAATCTGAGAAGCTGCGGAGCGCAGGGACTCGGAACAAGCCTCATCTGATCATCAACCACCAGCGGGATTCCTCTAACCGCTGTCGGAGCGGGTGGAGCAGAGAGAGGAAGATGTATGTACACCAGGATGGTGAACGTGCCGCCGTCCGCGCGCCCTGCTCCATCTGACCAGGCTCGGCTGGAGATAATCACGCAGTGACGCCGGCAGTCATTCCACTAGAGCCTGGGCTTCCTCCACGCTTGCACGTAGCTCACAAAGCGCCCGTGTATGGTGTTTCACAGCCCCAGGATATAAAGGTCCGAAGACCGCCTCGTTTCCAGCAGGGAGTGATACTGCTGTCTGTTGCTTCTTCTCTGCTTACTTTTACCATAATCTACCACTAGTTTGGCTGAAAAGGTACGCGTCTCTATCTTATCCTGCCTGCTCTCTCCGTTTTGCCCACTATCCCGATCTACTGCCGCCCGCCACTCCTGTAGCGGATCATTCGGGGTTCTCTGGCGAAATCTGCATTCGAGTTCGAGTTCTTCGAGACTCCTCTTCGATGCGGATCGGCCGGTGACCATTGTCTAGTCTTTCTGAGTCTATTCGGAAGATTTTACCGGAGAACCAACCAAGGGGACGGTTAAGCTCCGCCTGCTGACGGCTCGTGGTCGATCTGGCCGTGATGCCCCGCCGGTCCCTGAACCAGACAACCAGGAGATGGCGTTGAACTTTTGAAGACACCGTGCTGAGGCTGCTGCTGCTGCTGTCTTATTGAGCCTCCGAGGCTCAGATGGCTGATGGCAGCAGTTTGCTGTGGCAGAGCTTGGCGCGAGATCTCTCTTGCAGATCCAAATAGTGCCTTGAATGCGCGTGTCTTGTCTGTCGCGCAGGGTTCGGCCCTAGACAGATCAGATCCTCAACGAAACCAAATTAAAATGGTTGACTGGTTCGGCGCGGCTTCGGGGCTCTGGTTAAGCCGGGAAGCTGGGGAACCGCTAGACCTGGGGGGCGTTTGGCTAGCGACGGCTCGTCTTGGCTATTTCGAAGCGATGAAGCTGACTGGCGCACCAATATTATAGACTACTCGAGTACATTGGCAGCTCGACACTACCCGGCAAAAGATCCCGAATCGCCGCCGATTTACTCTATAGTCCTTCTGTTCCTGTGCCTGCCAACGTCACTCCAGATCTGAACTTTTTTGCGCGATCCACCCGACGAGAGGTCCATAAGAAGATCAAAGATCTCCCCGTTGACTCATCTGGTGGTTGATAACTACAACGCTTCCCACGATGGTTGTGCAAGGTACGTTGGCATCTACATTCTTTCTCTCTCTTGGCTATCTCTGCCTCTTCCCCGCCTCTTGACCGCCAACCACTCCACCACATTATTATCTCTGCTCTGGCTTCTCCCTGGGCGCACTCATTCTGCCAAGATCTTGGGTTTCATTCCCCTTCGTGGTGTCGAATTCCCTTGATCTCTGTGTGATTGATTGATCGGCCTTGGGATACACAATCCTTGCCGTGCGCTTTCATTTCCCCCCATTCCCAGAGATTATAAAGGAGATCGCCAGCATGCCAGGGCGATTATTGCCTGCCTCTGCATGTCTTTCTTCCCTGGCCCTTTCTGGGAGGAGACCAGGCGGGTATCGTCACTTGTTGGCGTTTTCGTCTGGCAGAAGAGCACATTCCACCACGGATCAGTCGACTAGCACTGCATCATCCTCGTCGAACGCGAATTCTGCGTCGGATAACCAAGTCGTTTCGCGCGCTAACGCTTCTGCTCGAGTACCATCAGACCGTTACCAAGCCGTCCTAGCCCAGAACAAGGACTGGGCGAACAGAACCTCCAAAGAATACCCAGAACTCTTCCCTACCCTCGCCTCCGGCCAGCACCCCGAGATCTTGTGGATCGGATGCTCCGACTCGCGATGCCCCGAAACCACCATCCTGGGTCTCCAGCCCGGTGACGTCTTTGTGCACCGTAACATCGCCAACGTGCTGCACGCCGGTGACCTGAACTCCGCCGCCGTCATCGAATACGCCGTTGCTCACCTCAAGGTGAAGCACATTGTTCTCTGTGGACACACTTCCTGCGGTGGTGTCGCGGCTGCTCTCGCGAACAAGAAGCTGGGTCTCATCGACAGCTGGCTGATGCCGCTGCGCACCCTGCGTGCGCAGAACCTCGAGCTCCTCCAGTCGCTGTCGCCCAGCGAGGCCTCGCTGAAGCTGGTCGAGCTGAACGTGGAGCAGGGTGTGCGCACGTTGAAGGAGAACGGAGTCGTGCTGGACGCGATTGAGGAACGAGGCCTCAAGGTTCACGGTCTGGTCTACGATGTTGGCAGCGGAACCCTGAGGGAGATCGACACCAGCGAACCGCATGCTGCTATCAAGGCGCGGTTGACCGCTTTCAAGACCGAGGCATAGAGAGGGCGGGTCTTGCTGATTCGAGACGTTTTTCGCTCTGTATAGACCTGGGCGGTTTCAAGAAGAGCAAGCGTGTGCTTTTACGAAATTCAGTTGTTTGCGCATACATACAAAAACAGGCGCGTGGTGTATGATGAAGTTGCACGTTGGAGTTGCGTGTGGAGATTCCCCTGGAGAGCAGCATGGTTGCTGAGATGTGTTGAATGATTAGCGTTATCTTTTTCCGGAGTTACAGTGTTAGTTATGTTCTAGACCAGATCGATGAGTGATCACTCGTCCCCCGAGTACCCCATAAGCGATGCAAGAGCCAATGAGACTTTTTATATATATAAGATTCAACACCTATCCTAGTGCTTACTGCCTATGTGGCTATTATTAAGGTAGTCATTGGTACTGTACTACTTATTATTGATATGGCTTTTCTTTTTACTTTCTTTTTTCTCCCCTCCGGAAACTCATATCGTCATCTCACGGTGCCACCTTTTAAAGTCCAGATGGATTATACTTATCAATACCGATAAATTACCCATATGATACCCTCCAGTACACGAATCCAATGTTTTATCTTCCCTTCAACCTCTTAAATAATTAATCCTAAAACATGCACTGAAGCGTTCATTGAGATGAGTAAATACGGACTCCGATCAGAAAGCCCCGCACTAAGTATGTAACTAGGGTATTTATTTGGAACGATACGAAACAACAAACTTCGCGGGGTTACTTGACTTACCTAGGTAGTTAAACTAGTACTTACTTTATCTGAGAAACACGCTAACTTACTTGCAAATCTCTATGAGATCGTGTCGATCTTAGATAGCATTCTTAACGGGTTGGTTTTGTTTAACAAGGTCCTCGGGATTTGGGTGGTAGCTGATCTTGAGCTGATGGTTAATTCATTACCTTATCTTATCGCGAACCTCGTCGGGGTAGGTAGGTAAGTTATTATTAACTCCGCTGGTGGAGAGAAAGACAATAATAGGGATTTACATGAATATTATATATACATATATTCCACCTCTTATCTCTGATTTGTTCCTCGTTCATGCATTGATATATCACATTAGTTAATTGCCTTGTATTGTAATATAGATAACTAGTAATAATGATAATACCGGAGTTTAGACGGAGAAACGGGAATGACACCAATGCCGACTTGCGATCCGAAAGGCTAACTAACTACATCATTCTCCTCTTTTCTTTGGCGGGGTGAATTGAACCGCTTGAGCTTCCTTTTAATGCGAATGATTCCGCTAGGGAAAGCAATTAAATAATTGAGCTGTCCTCTTTTTTTTCTCTTTTGGTGTAAGTCTCGTTTTTATCTTTTTCAATATTGAAGAGTTACTGCTATTGCATCGATCGAATAATCGATATTTGAGAGTCATGGCTACTGAAATGGAATATACACGGTATGTTTTTTATCTTCATGCGCTGTGTTTTTTTGGGATTCTTCTCTCTTTTTTTTTTTATCATCATCATCGTTAAAGATACCCGAAAATACAACGAGACTAACGTGATAATGATAATAACAACAACAGCCTGGGTAATTCCGGCCTCAAGATCTCCAAAGTCATCCTAGGAGCCATGTCCTACGGTTCCAAGGCATGGCAGGAATGGGTCTTGGATGAAGACGAAGCCCTCCCGCTACTGGAGCATGCGTATAAAAAGGGTATTAATACCTGGGATACGGTATGGTTCCTCCTCCTCCTCTTCTTCTTCTTGTTCTGTTTGATCAATCAATCAATCCTCTCAATTAACGCTTTTTTTCCCCCAACAACCAGGCCGACGTCTACTCCCACGGCAAATCCGAAGAAATCATCGGCAAAGCTCTTCAAAAATACAACATCCCACGTTCCCGCGTCGTCATCCTCACGAAATGCTTCTTCGGCGTCGACGAGGAGGGTAAGAACCCGCCCATCGCGGCCGTTTCGACGAATGACGGCTCCGAATGGGTCAACCGTATCGGATTGTCGAGGAAGCATATTTTCGACGCTGTTGATGCGAGCGTGAAGCGCCTGGGGACGTATATCGATGTGCTTCAGATTCATCGTTTGGATCGCGAGACGCCTCGAGAGGAGATCATGAGGGCGTTGAATGATGTTGTGGAGAGTGGGAAGGTGCGGTATATTGGTGCTAGTTCGGTATGTTTTTATCTAGGTACCTACTTTACTTTGGCTTCGCCTTGTTTGGGGTCGTGGGTTTGGATTTGATTCGACTATTACTTATTTTTGATTGCAAATGCAAATGCAAGTGAGTAGTGCTAATGTGTTGATCTCCTTCTCAAGATGGCCGCGTGGGAGTTCCAAACTCTCCAGAACATCGCCGCCCGCAATGGCTGGCACCAGTTCATTTCCATGCAGAATTACCATAACCTCATCGCGCGCGAGGAGGAGCGCGAAATGATCCCCTATTGCCAGGACACCGGCGTCGGGCTCATTCCCTGGTCTCCCTTGGCGCGAGGTGTGCTCGCCCGGCCCTGGGGTGAGCGGTCGTCGGTGCGCGAGTCAACCGACAGAGTCGTGTCGTTCCTGGTGCGCGGTCGCGAGACCGAGGGCGATCGGATGATCGTCAATCGTCTCGAGGAGATCGCGAAGAAGAAGGGAGTTAGTATGGCGCAGGTGGCGACGGCGTGGTCGTTGAGTCATAAGGGCATGAATCCCATTCTCGGTTTGAACAGCAAGGAGCGTATCGATGAGGCTGTCGCGGCTATCAAGGTCAAGCTGTCCGAGGAGGAGATCAAGTACCTGGAGGAGCCGTATGTCGCGAAGGGGATCTCTCCTGTCGAGCGATAGAAAGTGAGCGCTTCCAGGGTTTGTTGCATGCTTGGTTAAACAGCTGGTCCCTATGACTATGCCATGCGAAATATATAGCAGAAACACCACGGAAATATTACGCAATTAAGTCAAAAGAAACAATGACTGTACAAGGAATACGAAAGCCAAGGGTTTTAACACCCGAGGATACTCCTGAGAAATAACAGATTCAACCAGTGAATTAAGTGGTCCAGACAAAGGAAATGACTCAGAATTGAGGTATACTCTGTCAAGAGAAGAAAAGATATAATATGTACACATACATGTCCAACCCTCCTGAGGGTGACAGTAAAGGAAATGAGACGATATAGATCCATATCGTGATTCGGTCTCGACACAAACTCCATCAGCCACCCAGATGCGATAATTCGATGATGCTAGTGATGCAGAAAAGGAGATAACGCAGTTGATGCAAATGGATAATGAGGGTATAAGAATGCGGTAGCTTTTTTAGGGGCCACTGGCGCTCTGGTGCTTGCGCAAGAGTGGTTCACTTCAGTCGTAAATTGCGTCGTCAATGGGTCAAGAGAGGAGACCAGCAGATACCGCCCCAGCGTACGTGTAGAGAGGCCTGGATGCAGGATCATTCCATGATTCATACAAGCAGCCCATTAACGGGTATTCCTTCTGCTGCTAAACAAATTGCTGAGACGACGCCATCGACTGTGCTTATCAGAGCTCTTCTGGTGCGTCTGATTGCCGGTTTTGCCGCATAATTTGACCCGAGGCTCACAACAGCCGCCTCGTTCATCAACAGTTGCAACCGACGGTTCGACAGTTGATCTATTCACCGTACCAACTTTGTTCTCTTTCCTATCAAACGCCTGGCTGGAGCTGGGCGGAGGTTGCTCAGAACCAAGTGCTGGCGAAAAGGAACCTCGATCAGGAGAGCCAGCAAACATGGTGTGGCGTTTACTAGCGGAAGAGGCGCTGCGCCTGTTGGCCCTCTCCATGAAGGCAGCGCCTGTTGACCTTGCCCGTTTAGGAACGTTTAAACTCGCGAGTGACTTCGAGCTCTCTGCTGTAGGCAGAGACGGACTCTGTCGCATGCTCGAGTGCCGCATTTTATTTCCCATCAGATTTAGACTCCTCCGGTGAGTATCCTTGTCCGCGGAGCCTTCTGTTTCGTCCAGAGTTGCCTGGTGTTTGGGACGAATGGGAGAGCACAAGCTGCCAGAGGATATGCCCGCCATCAAATCGTTGTACAGAGGATCCTGGGACCAACCTTCTCTGAAAGCTACATAGATCCCAGTGATCATGATGAGAGTGCGCAGATTGTCGTCTGTATCGAACACTGTGCCGGCTGGATCGTTCGACATGACCGACGTAGGAGAGAGTGGTGACATTGACGCATCGTAGGATGGAGAGGGGATAGTGTATTGATGGTAGACATCAATGCTGCTGCGGGTCATAGACGCGATGACCGGGTGCCGTCGTGTATTTGGGTCGATGACACTGAAAGTGAACCGTCTGTTGTCCGTCGCATTCTCGAGAGAAGACATATCGACCGGTGCAGAAACCCTTCGGTTGCTTTTCCCTCTCAGTACCCATCTCACGGTTCGACGCCCTTGCTTAGTCGCAGTGACGAATTCATAAGAGCCGTTAGGAAGGGGCGTGGCTTCCCATGGAGATCCGTATCTAAGACATATCTCAACTTTGCCCTTCTGTCTGGCATCTTCCGTAAGAAGCTGACAGATTGTGGCAATGACCTCCCTGTGATCCTCGGACTCATCTTCCTCTGAGACACTCCGCTCGTCGTCTTCTGCACCCAGCCCAGAGTAGATGTCACTATTCACTATAATCAGATCATTGGGACCCAGCCCATGCCTGCCCCTAAACATGGTAGGAAACCTGCGAGCCAACCTCGGCACAAAGGTAATCGAGGGCAGCACATCCAGCGCGGGAATAGGGCGTGGTGTCTGCGACACCTGCTGCAATTGAAGCAGCAATTTTGGTCTGATCCTTAGCCGCTTATGACGGGGGTTTCGTGGAGGGTGTGCTAGTCGGAAAGAGGTCTTGTTTCGACGCCTTCGTCCAGAGGCCGAAACGATGGTCTTGGTCTCCGTCGTATCTGAGTGTACGGCTGAGAAATCATCGTCGCTGGTGGAAGGTCGCCTGCTAGCTGGGTTGGACGGCATACCCAATGCTTCTTTGACGTTTTGTAGAGGTGCAGGGATGTTGAACGGGCGAGGTAGGTTGAAGGACGGCAACACAGCAGCAAAGGCAATGGCTGGGTTCGACGATGCAGCTGCGTGAGACGTTGGGGACATAGGCGGCGTGTTAAGCGGACTTTGGGAGGCCGACGAAGGCGTGGAAAGCTCGTGTCGATGAGCTGCTGCTGCGTCCGCTGTCATCCCCAGGTTAAAGAACATCGTTGACCGCGGGAAGGACAACCTGTAGATCAGGGAAGCATAACACCAGTGCCCAGACAGCAGCCAAGCGGGCAATTTACGTCAAGGTTCCCGATGAGCGCCAGTCCCGAGGCACACCGTATATTCCAGGTATTTTGTTCAAGTTGTGAGGATGTATTGATCCACTACCTAGGTAGTAGTATCAGATTGGCCGATGGATACTTTCCTTCCCAGTAGTGGCTACCTGCGCGTGTTCGTATCTGCCAAAGAGGAGACACGAGCGCAGCACGGCCACACAGACAGGGAGATACGCGAAAATGATTGAGAACGTCTGGGGTTCAACATAGATTAGACTTGAGGGGCATTCGCCAGGTTCGGATATGTAAGGGGTGGCTGTGACAAGGAGGTTGCGCATACTCTGTACTCCACAAACGGATCTCGTTGTACAGCCTGCTCTCTGGGCGTATCCTTCCAGAGCCTGCTGGGACTTGGTTTGGATATCTTCTTTCTTGCTTGACGGGATACAGGACGTTACTTGTCCGCACAGAATGCTCTCACCACGAGCAAGAATGAATGAATGACGGAGAAGTGCGAGGTCCGACCTGCGGCCCTCACGAGTTCATAAGAATCAGAAATGGGCGCTGTGGCAGCGGCCCGTATTCGAGGTCAGCTAGTTGACTTACACCGGCCTGCCAGGGCGCTGACTGGGCTGAAGCCTGAACCGGCAGCGATTGTTAGCAACGCTCACGATGGGGTTTTCGCTGGCGGTGGGGAAGGACCAGTCTAGCTCCGGCTCTCCGCCCTGCGAAATGGAGGCAACCTTTTTTTTTTCTCTCTCTTTTACAGTATTATTATTCACCGTCTTATGCCAGAACGGAGTCTCGGATCATAGGTGTCCGTTGCCGTGGATGGTTCACGATCTAATTACAGAATAGTAAAAATAATATTACCCCTCCCTTATGCATCTTCATTTTGCTCTGCATAATTCCTTTTTCATTCCGTTCCTACGCGGACTCACTCACCATTATTTTCTAACTAATGATTGTTTATTATTATTATCATTATTATCAGAATCCCATCAGCAATAATCAAATGGCCCCGTTTCATATGACCATCGCCACTTCAGAGGTGAGCTGGCCCCAGACTATTTGCGTCCTACACCGTCTAACTTAGTAATTAAGTAACATCCGGCCCCCGCCTACCAGAAAACTACTGAAAACCAACCACATGATGGATCCTTCAGCGGATCTGAGTGAGGATAATCTTTACGTGCCGTAAGCGGATCCATCCGGGCATCGCAACCAGTCATGAAGAGCAGATAAGTTATAGTCGAGAAAGGGTTCTTGTCTTACGGATCGCCGGATGAAATCTACTCGGGCGGGCAACCGAGGCTCCGACACGGCGAGCGGATGATCCCAGAGACCGAAAGGATCATCTGTACGGAGTACGGAGAACGAGAGTGCGAATATCCGGTGCCTGGACGTGGAGTTGTCGGTATATTACTCATTACATGTCCGCCGTTCTCTGGTCGGCTTCTTGGCCCTCGTCCCTGGAATGCGACCTGACCCGATTCGCCTAGGAGGATCGAGTGGCTGCTGATCATCTAGTTAAACATAACTAACTAATCGGCCCCTATTAACTATTCTGGACCCGCGCTTATTAGTTGACTAACTACAATGGCTCACGTCAGCGGGAGCTGGAAATTCTAGTTAGAAACGATTTGAATTCCGGATGAAGCAAAAAATACGAGCGCTGCTGACTGGTCCGCCGCTTCGTCCGGATATAAAATTAGATCGATCCCTGGTGCCTGGGGAAGTCCGCCACCCTGCTTAACCTAGGTATCTTTTTTCAGTAGTAGACTGTAGCCGCAAACGGTGTTCCGTTTCGTTGTGGCGCGGCGTTCCCAAAAAAAACCCCGTCTTTTTTTTTCCTGAGGCTGAGCACTGGATCGTGACGTCGAGAGTCGAGACACACGTGAGCTTTTTCCTAGGAGGATCAAGTAGAGTTACAATTGGTAGATAGTAACAGGTCTGTTGGGGATACACAGCCACGGGACCTTCTTCAGCAGTTGTGTAGAAGGGTAAATATGTAAAGAAGAGATGGATCTGACTTCGCCTCAATAACAATACTCCAGAGTAGAGGAGGCTGAGCAGTACCACGCGAGGTTGCTGACATCGCATCCAGGTCTATCTGGTAGTTTACGTTCAGTAGTTATGTCCATATGCAGAATGGTATGAGAGAAAAAGATCATAGGAATAATATGACACGAGCATAAAAAAATCAAAAAAGAAATCGTAATGGGGTGAACCGGGATCGAACCGGTGACCTTCAGATTGCTTGGCTGAAGTGAGCTTCAGTCTGACGCGCTCCCAACTACGCCACCGCCCCATTTGATGAAAGGACGCTTGATTTTACGCTAATTGAACCTTTTCAGTTTCGGAGAGGTGAGTTCCTTCTACTGATGAAAGCTACCCAAGTATTTGGCGTCTATAGCTAACGGGGGCCATTCGACCTAGATAATGCCCATGTGTGTTTCTATTATTCCGAAGCAAAACATCGTCCATTGTACCCTTGGGCTCTTTGTTATGCGCCACCGCTGTTCTCCGCTATGGAGACGGTCTGAAATATATAAACAAGATCAAGTGCCGATCTAGTATTGTGCATGAACCATCAGCCCCAACAGCCCTACTTAGTAGAGTGGTTGACCGTTGGGCAGACCGGCACTACGAGGATCATAGAGTCGGTCTTTATTCTAGACCCTACTAGCAGCCATAGCATCTCCCATCACTGGACACTGGATTATACGCAGGTAGTCTACTAAACATCTAGTTGGCTGATCGACCGGACAGCAATTGATGACATAAGCAGCCGAATGTTGCGTGTCCCTGACTGCTTGAACAGACTGCCAATGAGCACCAGGATAATACTTCAGTAACCTGGTCGCCAATTGTCCCGGTATCTCTTACTCGAGCGGAAAATAGACTAACATTGCTTCTCCGCTTCTTATCCCTGATCTACCGCCTTAGTCGATCTCGGGAGCATCCGTCGATAGCTGACCCAGCTGCAGCACCATATCGTGCATCGGTCTACATGAGTTCGCGCTGGCCGAGCCCGAAGACCTAGTAGTTCCACGGAGCTCCCACCAGTTCATGAGTTCCTCAACGCAGAGATTGACATGGCTACGTGGGAGCGCGCATACACACAGGCTCTGCTACACCCCGTGAAGTCACTGGCCGTTGTCTTCTGGGCCTGGAAACTCATCCTCTTTCTCACTGTTTCTCTCAGCCCGGGACCTGGATACGATACATGCGCAACACTGTTGCCATTACGGGAACCAGATACCTCGGACTCTGCGACGCGTTTCGGACATTCAGGTCTCCCATCAATCCTCCTGAGATTCGTCAGATGGGATTCCATCTATTTCCTCCGAGTGGCCGAACGGGGCTATCTGTTCGAGCAGGAATGGGCTTGGGGATATGGATACACTAAGCTGCTCTCCATTCTCACTTCGGGTACGCGGTTCTTTGCTCCCTCCCTTGCGGTGTGATGTCTAACTTTGACATAGTTTTCCACCGGACGGACGAAATGGGCGGAGCGGCTAAAATAGCCGTTGTAGGAGTGGGACTGTCCCATTTCACCCATTTTTTGTCAGTTCTGGCACTGTATGGTCTGACCAAAAAAGCATTCGGGACTGAGAAGATATCCGAGAAGGCTTTCTGCTTCCTGTCAGCTTTACTGCATATCATCACCCCCGCGGGCGCATTTCTCTCTGCACCGTATGCAGAAGCTCCGTTCTCCCTACTCAACTTTGCGGGCTTTTATCTATATGCATCTGCTCTTCACAATGACCGCCCCGGGAAGTCTGCCCTGAGAGATGCGCAGTTACTCCTGGCCGCATCTTCCTTTGCCACTGCAACGACTGTTCGTAGCAATGGTATCATCAGCGGATCATTGTTCGCCTACGACTGCGTAGTACTCCTCTTTCAGATCCTATCCCGCGGCGTGTCGGTGGATGCTGTTCACCGCCTGATCATCACCATATTGGGTGGTATCATCATCGCGCTGGGCATGATATTACCGCAGTACGTGGCCTACACATCGTACTGTGCAACAGAAACGCTCACTCGGCCATGGTGCCAACGGCTTATCCCAAGCATTTATACCTGGGTACAATCTGAATACTGGTGAGACCCCTCTATAGAAGGTACCTGGTTGCCCAGAAGTTAACTGTTTCCACAGGAACGTAGGCTTTTTGAGGTACTGGACGTTATCCAACCTTCCATTGTTCTGCCTTGCTGCACCAATGCTGGCCATTCTGATGCTATCCTCTGTATGGTCCTTCAAAACCTTCGCTAGAGCGACAGAGAAAGGCCTCGCGAATGGCGGGAATAGCCATCAAGAGAACATCAAGCAGAAAGTTCTGCTGCGGTTGGCCATTCCGCAAGCTCTGCTTGCTGTAGCTGCCCTTACCAGTTATCATGTTCAAATCATCAATCGGATATCTTCTGGATACCCGTTATGGTACTGGTACATAGTAGCCCATGTCCTCGAGGCCTACCGTTCCCCCAAATCAGGAAGCCGTAAGTATACGGCTATCGTACGGGGAATGGTTGTTTACGCGCTCACCCAGGCTGTTCTTTTTGGGTCCTTTCTTCCACCAGCCTGAGCTCAAAACGTGACGGTGATAATTTCCAAATAGATACCGAGTCGTGGTTTCACGGCGTGAATTTTCTCTAGATTTATTATGAGTACAATGCCTTAAGAATAATATCCAGCTAGTTAGTTAGTTATATGTGGATGATTACGCACATCGAGTCTGCCTGGAAATGCATGGGCGAACTATAAGAATTTGCAAGCCACCTGCTCAAGCACCTCCCGGTGATACCCCTCTATTCATTGTCAACCATCCAGCGGCTCGATAGTCTCTCCTGTACCAATAACCCCACAACAATAACCCTTTGAAGCGTCATTGTATAGGTGAATTGTGAGGTGACTCGAAAGGCAACCCCGAGGGCGAAACTGCGGCGGATGTTACGTAGAATTATGTCATCCCGCTCTGCCACTGTGACTGGCCGAAACTCAATCATCTCCAACTTGGGACAGCCTCAGTATCGCGTGAGGAGCTCGGTTCCCTCAGTCAAAAAAGCTTGAAACACCGCATACACCTGGCAGCTTGTTGGTTTCGGGTTAGCCAGCTGCAAATAAGTGACCAGTTAGTGTCGTGTTCTTGAAGTCTTGACGATTTCGCAAGGCGCCGTGCTCAGCTGGCCGCTGCGACCTGGTCTGACCAAGCAGTGCCCATGCGAACAACGCTGAGGACGTTCTCAGCCTCCTCAGTGTCAAACTATCCAAAATCCATGGGAATTCGTGGTTTTTCGATTTTATTTTACAGCAGGTAATGTATGCTGACCAGCAAACCTCATCCTGTACGGCAGATGTCAGCCAGGTAGCTAATCTGAAGCTCTGTTCACAGTGCTCACCTCTAAGACGTCACTCCGCAGCATCCGCCGCACAACTCCCTTTCCCTAGTCCTCGATTATGGAGCACTCAAAGCTGTCGAACCTAGCAACCTCGGAGAGCGATAATAATGGAAATAATGGACATGAGCTGTCGCGGGCTACCTCACCGGGTGGTGCGCCGTCAGAGACGAACGGCACCATCGACGGTGAAAAGAAAGCTAGAGTGAGGCCGCGCACCTACCCATACTTTAAATACATGCCGTATGAGCTCGAAGACGACAGCGATAGACAGAAGAATCTGCACGATATCCTCAGATGCCTCTATATTGCTATTGAAGCTGGAGATTTCAGCCCAGGTGCAGTACACTGGACTCGCGAACTGAGAGGATGGCTATCACTCAAATTCGACCCGACGCGGGAGGAACGGATCAAACTGGTGAAGCTTTACTATGAGCTTTCGCTGGCTCCGGGCATCGACCCCAATGTTGCGGAGAGATTCGCTAGCATGTTTATGTTCCTAACGAAGTAAGTTGGCTCCGCTGCTTGGATACGACGCTATGGCTGACCGTGCACCGCAGGCGTAAGCATTATCTTCGACCCGTAAAAGAGCTTCTACTGGACTGGAGGCCTCTCTACAAGGAGCTGAAGACCTTCGTCCTGCCTACGGAGTCGGGATTGGTGCACTCTACGAATCTCAAACGCAACATCAAGACCCTAACTAAGCTCTGCGCGTTTTCTCAGCTCTACTTTGACCCATGTGAGTTGCCAGCAATGCTGGAGGAGTTTCTTCCGCATTACACGGCGTCCTTCTCAGAGGGAGCGTTTGTGGTAGTCGGTCTCATCAACCTACTACTGCCCACGGCACCGCCTCCAGCTTCCAGAATGGACCTCCTGCCACAGAATTATTTGCCGACATATTTTCACCTTTGGTCTTTGATCAACCGATCCAAGACATTTGACATGAACTTCCTTGATTTCCTTTCTCGGCTGGCTCGAGACTCATTGCCTGCGGGCCATATCACCTTTTCGGAGTATGGTATCTTCACGAAGGATCAATCATCTCTCATCTTCACAGCCATCCTGAGACTACTGGAGATTCCAGTTGGACAGTCAACATCTCCATACAGTGCCCTAGTTGATATCTCATCGGGATTGGGTATCATGCTCGATAGGGATTCGCGGAAGCATCCCGTCGCTCACCACATTGCCCGATGGATTGTGATGTCGCTGTCTCCAGCTTGTCTCGAGACCGAAGAGTCTATTCTGTCACAACTTGAAGCTCTTATACAAGCTGTTGAGACTTTCTTCCACCCCTCAAATTCAGGAGCTTGGACGAGGACACTTGCCCAGCTTGTGTACTACCTGTCGGACTTCTTCGTCATGCGCTGGAACCGTGAGCACACGGGAGAGATGGAGATACCCCCTGAGCGGAGGCTAAACGAACCTCTGAAGAGGCGTTTCGTACTCTGTCTTCGAGATGTGATATTCATGGGCATCTATGCCAAGAGTGGCACAGCCATGAACTTCTCGCTCTCTACGCTGCAGAGCTTGGCCTACCTTGAGCCGCATCTGATCCTGCCTGGGGCCCTGCAAAGAATATACCCGTCAATGCAGGGGCTGGTTGAGGTTCACCGAACAACCTCGTCTCTCCGATCGCTACAGGTACTGTCAAGGATTATGACGAGGACGAAGGGGTTCCGCTGCCATATGACAACCCTTTTGGGACTTGCCTTGCCTGGCATCGATGCCAATGATCTGGAGAAGTCCCTTCATACCTTATCGTTCATTCAATCTGTCTGTTACAACATTCCCTTTGATGACTTGACGAAAGGCCGCGACGATGTGAACTGTAACATGTTGGCTATGCAATGGATTACTGGAGAGCTTGAGCGAATGGAGGAGGAAGGAGTCGGAATTCAGTTGAACTACGATACGGAACTCAGTGATGAAACTGAGGAGATGATCCTGCGCTCTTCAACAACTGGATTCTCCGAATTTCTGATATCCTTCCTCGGTCGAGTGTTCACGCTTTTGGAGAACTTGCCCGACGCTTCGCGGGTGCGCAGTGGCTCTCCTGAAGAGAATGTTGTGAACACTCTACCCGCGACTTTGATGCCTTTGCTGGCGTCTCTGTCTCCGGAGCTTTACGATATCGCCTTGACCAAGATAGTCGACTTCGTATCGAACCATGTGATCCATCAAGCGCGAGATGCCATGGCCTTTATCTGCAATTCCCTTTGCAAGGTGAACCCAGAAAAGGCTCTCAAGCGTCTCGTCCCTCTGTTAACTCAGGCTATACGCACTGAGATCGATGAAAATGGGGCTGCTTCAACCAGAACGACAGGATCTGACGTCCTTCCCCGCGATCGAGCTCTCGTTTGGAACGTCAGTATGTTGAGTATGTGCGTTGTGCACGTGGGAGATGCCGTTTTGAAGCATAAGGAGGCACTCTTTGATATCGCAGTGTACATGCAGGAGAAGTGCAAGGGGATACCGACCGTGCACATTTCCAACTTCATCCATCACCTGCTCCTTAATCTTACTGTGACATACACGATTGACTATTCGCTGTACGAGCCTGCAGCTATTGCTGAAGGAATCCAGCCTGAACATTGGGGCTATAGACAGGACCCTGACAATTTAACTGTCAGATGGCATGTTCCAAAGCGTGAGGAACTTGAGTTCGCCGTGGCTCTTTTCCAAAACCAGGCAGAAAGTGCCATCCGACAGCTGAAGGAGCTTACGACCGATACATCGAGTATCAAGCGTGATGGAAGCGGCAAGGAATGGTCTGACGAAGTGACCCGAAAGCTTGTGCTTCTCCGTCTTATCATATCCGGCATCTCGATGTTGTTTGACCCCAAAGCAGTTTCAAAGACTGACAAGGATGCACCGGATGGGCATATATCCGATGCGGAGATGGCGGACGCAGACGGCCGTGTATCCAATGGCGACAATAATGCCGAGGATCCCGATTCCACCCTGGACACTTCTGATGAGGAAACGGTCAGAGAGACGTTCACTTATCCGACCGGTTATCCTCTAGACGAGAATGACCCACTCTACGTCACAATTCATGACATTCGGGAGCGAGCCGGATGGGTCCTCCATGAGGTCCATAGGTTCCTGACCGAGAAACAGGAAGATGATGTCGCTTGCTTTGGGGCCCTCTATACTGCCTACAGGTCGTGGTTCATCGACGTGGGTATTGAGAGATCGGCCCACGTCCTTGATAGGGTCAGTCGGCTTCTTGCTGCAGATATCCATCCATACAAAGTCAGCGGTATTCGGAAGGATTACCCTCGTCCTTTGCTCGTACGCAGGGCGAATGTGTACCACTTGCAACGCCTAAGGCACAACGCCAATCCAAGGCCTCGCTCCAAGCTGGATGAGATCTTGCTGTTGGACATCGCGGAATCGTGTGTCTCTCTTTACACAGATACCCGCCGTAATGCCCAGAGTGCTGGCGAGTCAGCTCTCAAAGCCATCTGGGGCTCTCGGTTGGTGGTGATCCCCCCATTACTGAAAGCCCTGCAGAAGGCAGTAAAAGAGAACGATCATCCACGCATCAAGGGTGCTTTGTACTCGCTTTTGTTTGGCAGCCTTGCGAAGACTGTTGGAAGACACTGGAAGTACACACCGACGTTGATAAGAACATATATCGCTGCCAGCGCTGTTGACAAGCCCTCTGTTCAGAAACTGTGTTCCGGAGCTGTGTATCAAATCATGGACTATGGTCGTGCCATGGAGAGGATGGCCATTCTCGATCAAGATATCGTCAAGTCAATAGCTCCGACAGATAACGTTGACCAAGAAATTGAACAGAAGCGCAAGTCAATAAACAACAAGCGCGTGACGATTGAGAAGAAGAAAGCAGATCTCTCAGAGGAGTTGGTCAATCTGGCCAGAACTTCTCACTGGAAGATCGCCAGCCGGGCAGCCACGATTGTGATCAGTATGGGTCTGCGGTTTGACTACATTGCCAGTCAGAACCTGGTGGATCTGGTCACGCAGGGCTCAATCGACGACCATCCTGGTCTTCGCGGCATGTACTCCCAAGCACTTATTGCTCTGTTCACGATGATAGACGTTCGAGCAATCTGCTCTCATAATTACGAGGACTATGTCTTGGGACGCCAGAATTTCCCTTCGAGGATCCAAGTAGCCACTAAGCGCTACGAGAAAGGTTGGACGGAAGAGTACTTGTCGAGCTTCGCAAAGCCCGAAGCTGAGTACTACATCGATCATGACTTCCCCGGCTGGCTCGTGTGGGCAGAGACCATGCCGGCTTATAAATCCAACGTCAGGTACGATATCGAATATGACGATGTGGAGTGGAAGGTGCGCTCTCATATGGGCAAGCTCTTCGACCGCAAATGGTTCCGGAAGTTCTTTGAGTACCTCAAGCAAGAACCCCGAGATGCATCAGCCGACAAGTTCCGTATGGCTTGTGCTATGATGCTTCTCTACGTGTTTGAATTGATGTTCAGAGACGAATTGACTGCCGTGACCTTTGACGAGATCAAGGAAGAAATCGCGGCGGTCTTTGAAGATGGCAGTGACAAGCACCAGCATCGAGCCACGGCAGAGATTCTGGGAGCTTTGATTAGCTCCGTCACAGATACGAGTGTCGAAAAGAGAACAGTGGTCTGGGAATATGCCTTCCCGATTGTTAGAAAGATTTTTACCGATGGGCTGACACCGGAGAACTCTGGTTATTGGACCACTTTCCTTCATATGATCCTGCAATGCCGCGATCCTCGTCGTGCCTGGCCATTGGTTGATTGGCTCGCGAGCTTTAGGTTGGATATGACATCGAACGCTGCGTTCAAAGAGAGCTCCAAGATTAATCTACTGCACCAGTGCATCATTGATGCAGGATGGCATTTCCAACTAGAGAAGCCAATCCTCCAAGACTTCCTTGGGCACCTTGACCATCCGTACAAGGGGGTCCGCGAGGCAATGGGACAGACGCTTGGAACAATTTACCGCACAAGATATCACGAGTCATATTCAGATGTGAATGAACTCGTGAAGTCTCAGAAGTCAGCGTCGTCCATCGGCACTTATCCGTACCATCCAACAGAGGAATTCAGCAAGACTCTGCGTGATGTGTTCGAAAGACTCGAGAAGTGGCGACATGAGAGGGAGCCTGGTCAGCAGACACCTTCGTCCTACACTTCGGGTAGCAAGACCGTGCTGCTCTGGCTCGACTCTACGCTCTCCTCGCATGAATGCACGCAACTTGTACCTTTCTTCCCAGATGTCTTTACTGAGCAGCTGTTGCACATGATGGACGTCAAGGAAGACCCGGAATTGCAGTCCCTGGCATATCATGTCTTCCGCCATCTGCCAAACATCCCATATCCCGCGGAAGATAACTCACAGTTTATACAGTCGCTGATACATATTGGCCTCACGTCAGCCTCCTGGCATCAGCGTCTGCGAGTCATGATCAACATGCAAATCATCTATTTCCGCCGTTTGTTCTTGATATCTGGTGGAGACCGCGAAAAGCTCTTTGAATGCATTGCGACTATGCTTCAGGATTCTCAGCATGAGGTCCGGGCTGGTGCCTCAGCTACACTGTCCGGCATGATCCGTTGCTCTCCGGTCGGTTTGCGCGAGCAAATGGTTCAGAGACTGAAAGACCGTTTCACGAAAACCCTTGTCGAAAACCCCTTGCCAAAGAAACCGAGAAACTTCCGTGGATTGTCACCCGCTCCTTCTTCTGGAGCCAGCACTCCTACACCCGAACATACCCGTCTTATAATTATCCGACACGCAGCGGTTCTGGGACTGGGAGCTCTCGTGCAGGCCTTCCCGTACACAAGCCCACCGCCAAGTTGGATTCCTGAAGCACTGGCGATCCTGAGTACGAAAGCCGCAAATGACCCGGGTATTGTTGGCCAGAGTGTGAAGTCTATCATTAGTGAATTCAAGAAGACCAGACAAGATACATGGCACATCGATGCTAAGGTAAGGTTCCTATTCTACTGCTCTTCTCCATTTGGAATGACTAACACCTCTCCTTGTAGGCATTTACACCGGACCAGCTTGAAGATCTGTCTGGCGTGCTTTGGAAGAGCTACTTCGCGTGAGGAGGTAAGGGTCTGTAATCTACCATCAGCGAAAGGCGTCCACGACGCCTTCTCATCTTCATTGAAGCGGGCGCCGAATGCGGACTTGAACAGTTTACTCTATGTTCGCAGAATTGCCCACTTTCGCTATGCCACATTGGCTAGCTTCTCCTGGTATTCTTATCTCTTTATTATCGGTGACGACTTCTCCTTCAAGGATATATTGATCTATAGGGTAACGAGTCCGTCTTGCCGTTCGGACTTGTGGTGGTTGGAAATGCGATTCGGGTACGGTTGCGGTTCGTAAAATGGTGGCAGCTCCGAGATAATGTCAATTTGATGACCTGTATCTGATGCTTTGAAAGTGTATTTCATAATAGAAGCTTTTCATGTGAAGTATCCGAGACCTGCAAGGTCTAAATTGCATCTACCACTTAGTAGCTTTTCCTAGACTGATATTGAGTGTCGAAATCGGTATGTCCAGCACCTATGGGAGCTGAGCACTGCGCTATTATGTAGGATTTCCATGTTACAGACTTGGATTGTGACTTCAAAATACGTAGTCGGTAACGGGGGATCTCCATCGATAGTCATACCTGTAGCGTCGTAAACCGTCCAGATCACGTGATGCACGTGACGCAGCTGCATCGGGCCAGCGTCGTAGCTGGCTTGGAACATCAACCACCAGGGCTGATTCCTGAGTTGTGGCTCGTCTGCACCACGTCCTTTATAAACGATACCCGAGTGTTTTGACTGTCTTTGCCAACAGGCAGGTCCTTGTTTGAAGGCATTCGATTGTTGGCGCGGTTAGAAGGGCCTGTTACAGGCAGCTTCGCCCACCATGGCTGCTCCGAAGGACACCTTCTTCCGCTCTGCGGATATGAGCTTGACACAGCTCTATATCGCAAATGAGATTGGTCGAGAAGTCGTTGGTGCACTGGGAGAGATTGGGCTGGTCCAGTTCCGAGACGTGAGTTTCTCTTCCAACCTGGGGAGGAAGGAAGCAAGGATACGGGATGGAATGGCGACGCGCCCCGTTAGGAAGATGGGGAGAGCTCGGATGTTGACTTTATGATTGTCTGCAGTTGAACCCGGATACCACCGCTTTCCAGAGGACTTTTACGAAGGAGATCAGACGGTTGGATAATGTGGAGAGACAGCTGCGTACGTTTATGGTTGTTTGCTGGATATAGCATGCGAGTGCTGATTGCGGATTGTGTCGCTTAGGATATTTTCACTCCCAAATGGAGAAGGCGGGTATTCCGATGAGATCGTCTTCTGAATTCGCGAATGCACTGGCGGCTACTTCGGCCTCGGAGATCGATGACCTCGCTGAACGCAGTGCAAGTCTGGAGCAGCGCATTGCTTCCCTCAACGATAGTTATGAGACGCTGAAGAAGCGGGAGGTCGAACTTACCGAGTGGCGCTGGGTGCTCAGAGAAGCTGGTGGCTTTTTCGACAGGGTGCGTTATAGTTGTTTTGACGATTGGAGGGCTGCGGACGAGTAGGCTGACACTGGTTTAGGCACACGGCCATACGGAGGAGATCCGTCAATCCTTCGACAACGATGAGGCTCCCCTGCTCCGGGACGTCGAGCAGCAGGTTCCTCGCGGCCAGAACGGTGATGCTCAGGCTCAGCAATCTTTCTCCGTTATGAACATCGGCTTCGTTGCAGGTGTCATTACGAGGGACCGCATTGGAGCGTTTGAACGTATCTTGTGGCGTACCTTGCGTGGTAACCTCTACATGAACCAGTCCGAGATTCCGGAGCCTATCATCGACCCAAGCAACAATGAGGAGATCCACAAGAACGTTTTCGTGATCTTCGCTCACGGTAAGGAGATTCTTGCGAAGATCAGAAAGATTTCCGAGTCTCTTGGGGCCGATTTGTACAATGTCGATGAGGACAGTGAGCTTCGGAGAGACCAAATTCATGAGGTCAACACCCGTTTGGACGATGTTAGCAATGTCCTGCGCAACACCAAGAACACTCTTGATGCCGAGCTCACGCAGATCGCTCGCTCGCTTGCCGCTTGGATGATCATTGTCAAAAAGGAGAAAGCTGTCTATAATACACTTAACAAATTCTCCTATGACCAGGCCAGAAAGACTCTGATCGCGGAGGCTTGGTGTCCCACCAACTCTCTCCCCTTGATCAAGTCAACTCTGCAGGACGTCAATGACCGTGCCGGTCTCTCGGTCCCGACTATTGTCAATCAGATCCGAACGAACAAGACCCCGCCAACCTTCATGAAGACGAACAAGTTCACCGAAGGTTTCCAGACAATCATCAATGCCTACGGTATTCCCAAGTACAAAGAAGTCAACCCAGGTCTGCCTACGGTTATTACTTTCCCCTTCCTGTTCGCTGTCATGTTCGGTGATTTCGGTCACGGTATGCTCATGACTCTGGCTGCCTGTGCGATGATCTTCTGGGAGAGGAAGCTTCTCAGGACCAAGTTGGACGAACTCACTTACATGGCCTTCTATGGTCGCTATATCATGTTGATGATGGGTATCTTCTCGATGTACACCGGTTTCCTCTACAACGATATCTTCTCGAAGTCGTTCACCATCTTCCCCAGTCAGTGGCAGTGGCCTGAGCATATCCACAAGGGCGAGTCTGTCGAAGCTTCGCTAAAGGATAACTACCGCTATCCATTTGGACTCGACTGGAACTGGCATGAAGCGGACAACGGTCTTCTCTTCACAAACAGTTACAAGATGAAGTTGAGTATCTTGCTGGGCTGGTCTCACGTAAGTACCCTGTGGTTTTTAAGTTCTGACTGAAGGCGACATGAACTCACAAATGTCTAGATGACTTACTCTCTTTGCTTGCAATACATTAACGCGCGACACTACAAGTCGAAGATCGATATCTGGGCCAACTTTATCCCTGGAATGATCTTCTTCCAGTCGATTTTCGGTTACCTTGTTATCACCATTGTGTACAAGTGGTGCGTTGACTGGACCGCCAGAGGCCAGTCTCCGCCCGGTCTGCTTAACATGCTGATCTTCATGTTCCTCAGCCCGGGTACAGTCGATGATCCACTGTATCCCGGACAGGCTAGTGTCCAGGTCCTGCTGTTGCTTCTCGCGCTTGTCCAGGTGCCTATTATGCTCTTCCTGAAGCCGTTTTATCTTCGCTATGAGCACAACCGAGCCCGTGCTCTCGGCTACAGAGGTCTGGGCGAGCAGTCGAGAGTGAGCGCGCTTGATGAGGATGGCGATGCAGACGGTCGTATCTCCGAAGGACGGGACAGCATGGTCAGCGATGGCGAAACTGTCGCGATGATCACCCAGGATCTGGGCGACGAAGAGGAGCACGAGGAATTCGAATTTGGCGAAGCAATGATCCACCAGGTCATCCACACCATCGAATTCTGCCTTAACTGTATCTCCCACACGGCCTCTTACCTCCGTCTGTGGGCCCTTTCCCTTGCTCACCAGCAACTGTCTATCGTGCTGTGGAACATGACCATCGGGACTGCTTTCTCGCAGGAGTCGCCTGTTGTCCGTACTATCATGGTTGTCGTCACCTTCTACCTTTGGTTCGTGCTCACGATTTGTATCCTATGTGTGATGGAGGGTACTAGTGCCATGTTACACGCCCTCCGTCTACACTGGGTCGAAGCCATGAGCAAGCACTTCATCGGTGACGGTATCCCCTTCACACCGTTCAGTTTCAAGACCCTCCTCGAAGAGGAACCGGTGGATTGAAATCTTCATTCCTTAACCTCTTCTTTCTTTTTTGGAGTTGATCTTTCCCGCCCTTCTTTTCGTCTTCTTTCTTCTATTCCTGCTATCTGCACAAGCGGTGACGGAGCAATCCTGTATTCAAATCGGATTGGATAGTAGATAGGTAGTAAGAGCTGTAGAAATATCAAATATATACCAATATATCTATCATATCAATTATGTCATCCAAGAGAGAGAAAATAATATCTACTTAGTGGCTGTGGAGACAGCACATTGCGTAACTATGGTAGAAGTACTCTAAAATCGCCTTGTGTAATATAATATTTCCTATTGTCATAGGGCTTTCAGACGTGATTTACCTTGCCTTCCAATATGGTAGCTACTTGCCACTCTGTAGTGGATTCACATGGTATCCGCCCTGACGTCATTTGCGTAACCAACTCTTCCAAGTTGTGCGTATCTAGAGTAAGTACGTACGCAATTTACTACAATAGTACGTGCTACATTGGCAGGGCTCTTACGAAAGGATTTGATGATGTGATGATAATATTATAGAATTTTTTTTCTTCTCTAGATTGCATTTCCTTAAAACGAGGTCTCTATACACAAGGGATATACATACTAAACGTTAAGATATAGAGTGCGTATAGTAGGCCCGGTAGATCCAGCTCGGTCCTATCCCAGTCATAAAAAATAAATAGTTTTGATAAAGAAGTTGAATATAGAGACCACGTCATATGCGAAGGGAAAAAGCGCTCGCGTGTGTGCTAGTCACGCATGAGACTTTTTGGGGCGGTCGTGATTTGGGTTCGTTTATTTGTTGTACTTGTTGTACTTCTCGATGATCTTCTCAACCTCGCCCTTGGAGCCGAGGTAGACTCCGCTCTTGTCGTGGATGTGTTCTGGTACAACTTCGAGGAGACGCTCCATGCGGGAGTTGACGGCCAGACCACCGGCGTTCTCGAAGATCTGGGCCATCGGGGCACACTCGTACAGGATACGCAGTTTGCCCTTGGGGCTCTTGGAGTCGGAAGGATAGGCGAAGACACCTCCGTACAGGAGGGTACGGTAGGCATCGGCAACCATACTGCCGATGTAACGGGCGCTGTAGGGCTTCTTGCCCTCACCAGGGTACTTGAGGTCGTTAAAGTATTCCTTGGTCCAGTCGGCCCAGTAACAGCTGTTACCCTCATTGACGGAGTAGATGGCGCGAGTGTGAGGCAGCTTCATGTTGGGGTGGGTAAGGATGAACTCGCCCAGCGAGTTCTCCATGGTGAAGCCGTTGACAGTGCTGTCACGCATGGTGATGACGAGCTGCGCTGAAGCACCGTACATGGTGAAACCAGAGGCGACAAGCTCAGTACCCGGGCGCAGGAGGTCTTTGGCAGTGACCTTCTTGTTAGGACCTAGGACCTCCTCGGGGAGCTGGAAGATGCCAAAGATAGTACCAACAGAGACACCAGCGTCCAGGTTGGACGAACCGTCAATGGGATCACACACCACAGCATAGCGGGCGTGAGGGCTTTCGTCGAAAACGATGGCCTCCTCTTCTTCCTCAGACACGAGGATGCGGACCTTTCCGGATCCGCGCATGGCGGAAATAAAGATATCGTTACCAATCACATCCAGCTTCTTCTGGTCATCGCCTGTGGTGTTGGAAGAACCAGCCAGACCAGTGAGGTTGATCAGGGAGGCACGACGGATGTAGTATGCGATGGACTTGAAGGCAAACTGCAGTGCGTGGCACAGAAGACTGTAGGGTCGAGCTGTCAGCCACTTGGATCAAGACTGGACAGTAGGGAGGGGATGTTCACAACTTACGTGAAGTCACCGGTTGCTTGAGGATGCTTCGTCTGCTCCTCGGTCAGGAACCGGGTCAGGGTGACAATGTCGGTGTTAATCTTCTCCTGTCCGACAGGAGGTGCGCTGCCGTTTGCGGCCATTATGATAGATCGAGGGATAGAGTATTATATTTCTTGCTTTGAGAGTTTGGTGACCAGAGAAGGTCGATGATAGTCGCCCGATATAAACCGTGATATCTCAACCTCGGTTCGGCGGGGAAAGGGGAACTCTAGAGATCCTTCCGGATTGATGCGGGGTATGTTGGTTGAGCAGAGAAGCAGCAACACGCTGAAGTCAGGAGTGGAGGGGAAAATGAATAAGTTAGATAGTTTCAAGTGAGAAGAGAAGGGGAAGCCGAGGAGCGAAGATGGCCTGGATTTAAATGCAGGACGGTTATGGATCCTGCTGGAGCATCCTCGACTTCTTTGCCGGATCACAGGGTAAGACGTCAGAGGGTCTGGAGCGAGATAGCGCCAGCGATCCCGTCCAGGTACCTGTACCTACCCAGGAAGTCACTCTACGCGTATTCATTGCAAGGGAGATACATCGAAGCAGGTACCAATACCCACCGCGGGTGTCGTCACAGCCAACGTGCTATTATTGTTTTCCCCGCGCTAGACTCTCTCCGGAAGCATCCGACATTTCCCGGGAGCTCCCTTCATTCCCCGGTTCTCCCCGCGCCCAACCCCTTTGGTTAAATTTGGCCAGCTCTCCGCCAGTATACGTGTTCGGCCATTTATGTCTTGCTGTAATAAGAGATACCTGCGATAAGACGTGCTTCCCAGCGGTTATTATTGCTCCCATTGGACCAAGAAAGACCCGGATTGACTTGTCGATCCAACAATATCAACTACTAGTTCTGGTGTCTTAATGGGGCTGCAGAATCAGCTGACGGAACGAGTTTTCATTATGAACTACCTACTTAGTTATCGTGAAGCGGTCCCGTCTCTAACGCATTAATAAGAGGTTCTAGGCCGGACTCCTGAATATAATAATAGTGGACGGGGCACAGCGGAATTACTAAAGTTAGGAGTAGTCTACAGAGTCAAAAAAAATAATAATAATTATCATAATAATAACTAACTATTGAAGTAAACGCGCTTCCACATCGATAGCGCTGTCCTAATTGCGGGAGGCAAATGGTCTCGTGATGTGATGTGCCTGAGGCGCGTTGTTAGACTCGGATTAGATAAGCACAATATTCGACCATCCCGATTAGGAAGGACTGTTCTAGCCCGATTTGGGTTAGCATCTCGGCAACCACGACGGGCCGTAGCTCGAAAAAAGTTCCTCACTATTTCACGCGCCCTCACCTTCTAATTTTTCTCTTTGCTCGATCATCAGTCAACAGATATGGTGCACTGCACAGATGTCGTGTCAGGCACCAGCCATCTATCTCAAAAGATGGACCGATACAATGATCATCAATCTTGCTTCTGACACTAACAAGCAACTGTTCGCAGCAGCAAGCGAAACTGTAAGTGCTTTCCAGAAATTTTTGTTGAGCCACTCCTTCCGCACCCTGCATCATGATGATTTGTATCACCGCTAAACTAGAGTCTTTGACCCCCAGGGGCATGAAACTCAATTTGCACGTCAGGCTGAACCTGCATCCTTGACATGATTTGTGTGATGGATCTAATTGCGTTGCATGATGCTAACTGCGTTGCATTTAGTAGGGCTTATATCTATTTATCTTCTAGGACCTTGAATCCAAGGTCCCAGTATCATGACAGTATCCGGTACGTTGTCATATTTGCTTTATTTCTCATTTTCCAAATGGCTTCTGTGATGATTATTCGTTTAATATACGCTGGAAATTACCGACTGAGACCTTCGGGTCGTTGGCGATAACTTTTATGGCACATAACTGAGCAGCCTTTCGGAAAATTGAGAAATTTGTTTCAATCTCTCTCGGAGACATTGCTAACATTTGTGAAGATATGTAGGCGCTCACTGTAGCAGATCTCTGCTCTGCCCACAGATTCCATCATTATTGGTAAGCGCACAGACTCCCACAGAAGTCTTCCGAAAATATCACTTCGAAGATGAAACGGCACTGGGCTCCGACGGCGTCAAAAGGCGTTCGGTCGTGATGGACATGCCTCTTTGCGACAGGCCTAGAAAACCTCGTCCACTGAGATCTACCATTGATGTTTTTTACATGTCACTCGGATTTCGCAATAAAATTCTGACTGTGGATCCTATTTAGATCCTAAGCGAAGCTATTCTTTGTGCGCTCTAGTAATTCAAAAGGTAATGAAAATCCTCTTATGCCCCGCACAATATGTTTTTATGATGAACACCTAGATGACGAGTCTTATTCGAGTTTTCGATGCAGACAACCTTTTTAATTTTAACCATTCATGCTTTCCTGACAATCATTGTTGCCTCTATAATCATGGAATTTTTTCCAGAGCTAGTGCTGACTTCGGATCCATAGGTGGGGCCTCGATTGAATAGTCGACCATGCTGGAACCAAGACATCAGCCTTGAATCCTCGATGTAGGTTACAGTTACGACATCCTTCCTCTATCGCACCCATGTGATGATTCGACGTTATTTATAAAGACAAGCATATGTCCAAGCTAGCTTGCTAGCGAAGACGACAACCGTCATGACTGATGCCTTAGCCTATGCCGTCTACATTGAGGACTGTATGTGACTAGGTACTGACGGTTTGATCTTCAGGACTGCTACCTTTGGGGAACGAACACCGGTTATCTTGACAAAGGGTAAGTCCATAACTGATTTCTTATCCTCTCACCCCATTACATGATGATTTACTTTATATTTTATCACGACGGTCAACATAACTTTAACATTGATGACCATTGCCTGTGACAGGGCTATATCTGACACATTTCCCTTCAAAGTGCATTCTCTGAAGATGTTTTTGGTGCCGTTCAATCTTGCTGACGTTCGGTCTATAGTAGGTATACGAAACCCTTGCCAGCTTGGCTTTATTGCAGTAGGGCCTTTTTGTCCCTCGTAGGATGCTTTTATACGAAACATGAAGAATAAATAGCCAATCCAAAGATCATTGTCTCCAAAATTCCTTTCATAATTTCTCGCTCCCTAGCATCGAGTTTAAGTAGCCGCTAGAGATTCTGTTTGTATGGCAGCCTTGGCGCCTTTGAGTTAAGCCCCGCACGTCGGTTGACTCGTAATCTGAATATGGAAATGGACAACTCATCTGTCTTAAAAGTTGATGGCAAGAAGCGCTTTAGTCGGGAAAGCTGTCTCTTGATTCAAGTTGATTGAGATGTAGCCGATCGATTCTCCGCAGCAGAATATCCGCTGTGCATACTTGCAGCCGTCAGAGTATTACATTAGGTGGTAGACGTGTTGGTGTTGCCCCACGACGGTTCATATCTCATTATCGCCAGATGGCCAGCAGGCGAGCATTCCTTTGATTGGCACCAGCTATCAAGATGGATCGTTTGGCGAGCTCTGAGCTCTCGCGTCAGAACCAGAAACGCCGCTCGTGCGGAAACGTGATTGACGATCTCGATGATCGATCGGGATCATGTGGACTTGTAACCAACCAGGGAACAAGAATGCCCGCTCTGATATACTCGGATCAGCTCGTCTACCGTGGGCTGCGATCATAAATACCTTTCGAGACAGCGACAGCGGCCCATAGAGCTTGAACTAAAGAGGTGGGGAGTAGATAGAGTAGGCATCCGTAGAAATAAGTAGCAGATAATAACCGCAGGATCCCTGGGATCGATCTCATCTAATATCTAAACATCAATAAATCATCCTTGCTCGTGGGAGATCTCTAGTTTAACTTCCGTGCATCGTCAACCCAGTATGCCGCGTCTCGACGAAAGCACCGACGCCCTCCTGCGCGTCGGTTCAGATGCCCAGAAGCACGTCCGACGTGTCTGGCACGGATTCTCCGACTTCGTCCTCCGTGACAATGTGTTGGAAGTCTCTATGGGTTTGATGTAAACACCTCTTGCCCCCCTGATACGCATAGCCTGCAACTGGAAGCAGCTTTGAGTAACGTTCTCTCCGCCCAATTTTACTAGTATCGCCGGGGCGTTCACCAAAGTAGTCACGTCGTTCATATCCGATATAGTGCTCCCGATAATCTCGCTGCTTCCTTTCCTAAGTCGGAATTTGGATGACAAGTTTGCGGTCCTGAAGCCAGGACCGAGCTATGTGAGTGATGGGTATAATACGCTACAGCAGGCGCGCGATGATGGTGCCTTGGTTATGGCTTATGGGTATGTGAATAATATCGAAACTATACACTCTCGCTCCCCAATCCTTAAAAAAAGATACACACTGCACATACTCCAACTTCCATGAGACGGCATATAGAACGAACGATAATATACTTACTAATTCCCCTTTTCTGATTACCAGTGCATTCCTAAACCAAATTGGCGGCCTCTTCGGTATCTGTCTCGCCTTATACGGCGTCGCGAAACTTCTGATGTCTCTCAGTCATGATGGACTTATCAAGAGTCTGGTTCCATGCAGATATTGCGGGAAGAAGATCCACGAAGCGGTAAGTTAAAGACCCTAAAAAAAACGATTGTGTTCCCTATATGTAGGGTCATGTATCAATGATGTATGGTGTTGATAAAACGCATATAGGCCAAGCGGTGTATTTTCTGCTCTAGTTGGCAGGATGGAAGAGAAGATCTTCCACCTTCTCAATGAGCGAGTCGGTGATGATTGCGGGTGCTTTAGAGAGAGATCATGGTTTTGCCAATAAAGCCAATGGCTGGCTATCGTCGAATTCGAGAACCACGGAAAAGTGAGTTCCCATTAAGTATTGGGAGGATCCTGAGATCGAACGGCAGTCCTTCAAATTTCGATATATCTCACAGATGCAGGGAAGATGGAATTGTACGAAACCTATACGGATACTGGAAGAGCACGCACGATTCTCTCTATCCTGTGGCATTTTCTGATTATTGTTGATGTCATCTTCTATGTTCCTGCTTGGTTTGCTAGGACTTGGTTTCTCTTTTTCCATTACGGTTGTTTTTGTCTTGTTTTCTGATGAGTCTTTGATTTTAGATCATGATGGCTGGGGTGATGTTGTATCTAGGGAGTAATGGAGTTAGTTCTTTTTGATTATTTATTTATTTATTTTGCAAAGTTGACTTTCCAGCTAATTATAGGCAATCTTCATGGTTCCTGTCAGAAATCCAGGCAGACCAACAAGGAGTTCTCCTTTTTGGTCGACTGGCAGAAAGCCATCAGTTTCTAAATGTCCTCAATGTTTAAGGTCATAGTCCAGTATCCATTCTATTGGGGCCGCTGTCGAACATTTACTGGAGTATCTGAAATGGTCAGACTGAGAGATGTCTATATTGATTTCTAGCTGTTTTAATTCAAAGGACTATGCAAGACCAACATGGCATTTTTTCTTTTCCACTCTTTTCTAAAAGCCTCGTCTCGAAAAAAACGGCTTGAGCCCTATCTCTGACTTCAAACTGATCCTCCGACACAATGCTGGTGATGTTATCAGGGACCCGTTCTGTACGCTTCCTTAGACGACTTCATGCGCTCTTCACTACTGTCGAACGCTAGCTGCATCTTTAGCCTTTCGAGTTGTCCTTGCTGCGACCTTTTCTGGTAGAATTTACTCTCTGTGTTGCTAAGAATAACCATCGTGAGGGGTTGCGATCGTCCGAGGTTTGACTGGTTCCTAGCCCCAACTAAGTATGCAACAACTTCGCGGGGATCCGAGCCAAATGTCCGGGTTGTTACAGGCGGGCTCCTGTTGGACCAGGCCTTTGCCCACACCGATGGCTATCACTGCTGGGGAACGACCTGTCAGAAGGAGGAGATGGACAGCTGTAAGCGCCGATGGTTTGTGACGGACGGCACGACTTGCAGCGGCGGCACAGGGGCTGGAGGTCGCTTCACGTTGGGCCGTCGACTTCGCCATCCTCATTTGTTCTCTCGCGACTTGATGATCGGACTCGACCAGCCAGTCCTGGACCAAGTCCCGGCAGATGCTCGACTCCAGGGCCCCGATGTCTACTCAGAAACACGCGCTTGTTGACTCCTGCGCACCATGGACCTATCTTGTGCCCTGTCCGCCAGAGGCTCCGTCGTCGCGCCTTGGCGATGATTGTTGCAAAGCATACAAGTCCACATCTTCTTTCAACGCGCGATGGCTTTTGACTTGTTTCTATCTGGAAGCCAATGATACCTTCGTATATTGCTTTTGCTTGATGAAATACGCCCGCATGTTACCCTGATTCGTATCCTGTTGCTGCTTCAAGCGCATGTACTGGGCTATGGCTTGACAGCCTGCCCTCGTCCTGATATCGCGCCAATATGAATAGGTTCGCCAGTCCTTTTCTCCTGAGAGTTTTTAAATCCAATCTTTGTCTTCTCGAGATCCTTTAGGATACTGACAGGTCATTTCATGCTGAAGCCGGTATACTGCGAGTAATGCAGGTGCAGAGCCGCCGCAGAGTCCTTATCCTGTTGGCCTCTCACCAGCATCTGCCGGCGCCTGGAATCAGCCGTCTCGACGACGCCGTGATGTGGTACAGCCGCCTGCACTGACGACATCATTCAATGGTCCTCTGAATCCAGGGCTGGGTGTTGCGCTGAATGTTGGTTACACGCCGACGCCGCTGTCGACCACTTCCCTCTCCAGTCCGTTCTCTCAAAGCCAGTCCACGTACCTGCCTTCACCTGGAGGGGCCACACGAGGGTCTTCACCGATGGCCCCGAGGAATCTGTCCTCCTACACGGCGCCCTATAATCCTCGCGAATGGGGACCGGTAGGCAGTGCATTATCCAATGCAGGGTCAGCTGCATACTCTCCAGACAATGGGAACCGAGCGCCGCAGCCTCCGCCGCAGCAGTCGGCCTCAGGTCTGTTGTGAATACTTTTTCTACGTACCATATAGACATGCGCCCGCCATGAGTACTTGTACACAACCCAGGATCAACTATCTGACTTGTGGTCATAGATGCCCTGCCATCCCCTCCTCCGCCATACTCACCTCCTGCCCAACGTCAACCATCTAGGGACTTGGTCAATCAAACTATCTCACCGGCGGATTCAACGTCCTCTGGAGCAGGGACGTCCCAGTATTATACGCCAACAAGCGCTACAACTGCTGTGTCCGCAGAGACACTTTCGGAACCGCGACGACCAGGGTCTCGTTCTCGCCCGCTTTCTATGGTCCAAGCGAACAATGCGAGTAGTAGCATGCAGATGTCGTTTCCCCCTCCTCCGCCAGGTACGCCGGGTCCCGGGCCGTCCTCACGACCTGGCTCCGATAGGCAGCGCAAGGGGTTCAATTTTCCGTCTTTTGGACTGAGATCGAAATTATCATCTGGGCCAGCAAGGGCAGATGTGTCTCAGTCGCCGTCACCAGGTCCTAGCTACTCGACAACTGGAGCTCCGTACGCTGATAGCTCGTTGCGCCCGCCATCTGCCAAAAGAGCTGCCTCCACTGGAGCTATAAACAGCACTCCAAGTTCGTCAAGAGCGACAAGTGCGTCACGCAGCGGATCACCTCCTGGGCGGGGCTGGGAACCTGGCATGCCTCTGCCCCCGCCTCCTCCAGGACCACCACCAGGGAGAAGGTCACATAGTACGGGTAGGACTTTGAATTCGCAATCAAAGCTTCCTGCCCACGGTTCGCCGAGTAATTGGCAATCGCCGGTGATGGGTACTCGTCTAGGTACTGTCCCTCCCACGCCAGCAGACTGGGTAGACGAGGACTCCGCACAGAACCACATTGCTGGAAATGGCGGACTATCTCATATTGACGTGGAAACTGATTCTCGAGAGCTAAATGAGCCAAGTGGTGACGGTATCGGTGAGCCCCAGGATAGCATTACTCGCCCTCGTCGATCTTCAAATGGAGGTCTGTTCCGAACGCCAGCCGTTAGGGACATGAGTGCAAGAGGTATTAGAGAGAGGCGCCTCGAGAGTTGGCATAAACGTCAACAAGCCTCCGAGCCCTCAGGTGCTGTGTCTAGCAACGGTAATCCGTGGGCTGACGCCATGCCCCAGGTTAGACCATCGAACCTTGTGCTCTCAGGGGCAGAGAGCCGTGAGATACATATGGAATCACAACAGTCTATTAAGTCTGCTCCTCTCAGCTCCACATATAGCACAGGCTCGGAGGGCGCAGGAGATAGCAGCCGGACCAGAATGTCTTCTGGCCTCTTTTCTAGCCGGTCTTCTTTCTCAACTCCTAGGCAAGAGCAGAGCTCTGCAGTTTCCCATCAGGACAGATTTGCTCATACGCCACCGTTCTCACCACACGGAGATCTTCATTCATCGATGCATCCAAAGGGCACTGGACAGGCTGTGCCTCCTAAAGCTCTTCCAACACCACCGCCGCAGTCAGCTCATGATACGTCCGCGACGGGGTTAGAGATAAGAGCCGAGCAGCGGCCTGTATCTCATATCCTCCATCTGCCCAATGAACCACCTATGATACCTCAACCCTTGAGTCCTCGGCGAGCCTCTGCCGAACAGCCGCCATCTATGGATCCCATTCTCAGGAGAGATGACCAATTCATGCGTGGGGCCGTGCAAAGACACCAGAGCTTCATAGAAAAGGAAGCAGTAGCTTCGAGCGAGTCTGAAGCTTTGCGGCTTTTCACTGATTATATCGTCTCTGAGTCTATCATTAGGAGTGAGCGATACTCTACTGCTTGGGAATCGGCTAACCTGGATATTCAACGCGTACGGGAGACCCTCTTTCAACCTCCGGCGGAGTCAGCTACTGGCCAAGAAAGTAGCACCGCTAGACTACTATCTACCGGGAATCGACCTTTGAGAGGAGAAACACGAGAAATGCGTATCGATACTCCACAATCTCGTCCTGAGTCTGCATGGTGGGCTAACTACCAGCCCTGTCTCTCACCTATTGCGAGTCTCAGCATGAGCAATGATGAGATGAGCTCGAGGGGTCGTGCACCAAGCCGCTGGTGGGAATCAAAAACAGGTTCTAGTAGCGAAGGAGGCGAACGCAAAGTGCAACGATCGAAGCGAGAGTCGAAATATATGGGTTTACAGCGGGAGCTGCGTGAGGCTATGCAATGGAGCAATGGACAGTCAGTTGCTGAGGTTCAGGAGGAGATTGGCACTATCAAGTCGAGTTCGCAGCCCGTCGTCTATGGGCCTGATGAGTACCCTCCCGAGAAGGTGGGTTGGCACGAGCAGCCACCGCAGTCCCGTCCTGACCACTCTTTTGGTGATCCAAGCGAGGAAGACCGGAAAATGGATATCTCAAGGCTCATTACACTGCCGCCCCCTTACCCACGTCATTACCCAGCTGTCAACAACAGTCATCCGGACATGGTGACTTATCGAACCACGGTCAGATCTATCACAGACCTCTCTGAGATCAGGACGACCAGAGAGCGGCACAAGGCCCAGATGGAAAAGACTCGGGCAGACCACCAGGATAAGATACAGCAGAACCGTCTCCAGTTCAGATCAAACGTCCAAAATGAGATCCAGCGAGGCAACATTACATTCGCGGAGGCCGCCCAAGCTGAAGCTACTCTAGCCGACGAAGAGAAGCTGTTAGAAAAGGAGATGATCAAAAATGATTTTGTTTCTTTCCAGGAATCTGTTCTCCGGCCCATGCATACCATTCTCACCGAACGCATCAACAGGGCTACTGCTGGTATTGAGGAGCTGAGGGCTAAGTTGTCCGACGCTGCGCAGTATGGGACACCGGATCAAGCGCAAGAAGAAGGCGACGGGAAGCCAGAATTGCTTGAGATGCTCACACAGTTGAAGTGGCTGTTTGAGGCCCGCGAGCAACTACACCGGGAAGTCTACGATCTCCTCTGTGACCGAAACGAGAAGTATCGAGATGTGGTATCGTTGCAATACAGACAGAGCAATAACGAAGAAAAAATTCGTGAAACCGATTCCTTCTTCATCCAAGATGCGATGGATCGCCGCGTGCAGTATGAAACTGATACCCTCTCTCGTCTGGAGTCCTTTATGGATATTATCGAAGAGAATGTGGCGCGAGGAGTGGAGATCCAGCTCTCAGCATTTTGGGATATCGCTCCTTCGTTACTTGAACTGCTGCAGAAGTTCCCCGACGATCTGAAACGCTTGGAAATCCAGATACCAGCCAGTGAATACGAGGAGAGCCCTAGCTACCATGAGCACCCGCTGCAGTATCTCTACTCGCTGCTTACTCATGCGGAAAAATCCACATATCAGTATATAGAGTCGCAGACGAACCTTCTTTGTCTCTTACATGAAGTCAAGTCTGGTGTCATGGGCGCCAACTGCAAATTAATGGAAGCCCAACGTATCCGGCATGGCGAGGCGGAGGATGTGGTCCGGCACGAAATGCGTGAATCCCGCGCTCAAGAAGAGCGAGTTTTGATCACGGATCTGAAAGATAAGGTCTCCACAGTAGAAGGGCAGTGGACTGAGGCATTGGGTAGTCAGATCCAAGAATTACGAGAGCGTGTGAGAGACTTGCTCATCGCTGAAGGTGGTTGGGAAGAGGTAGAGCAGTTGGACGGGGTCTGAGGACTGCTGGTGTTCGATTTTGTTCTTTTTTATGCAAGATGATTTGCGATATTTACTAGATACCCCACATTCGTTTGTTATGCTGAATCTACCATAGATATACGATTATTATTGTTTTCTTATTCGCGACAAGCAATCAGACGATACATACTACACGCTGGAGGGCGCAATATATGCTGTACCAGTATATGTTTCTTATGAAGCTCTCTTGATTCGCCTCAGTAGTTAGCTCTAAAGAGCCATGTCCATAAGTAGCCTCAGTCGCTTTACCATAGTTCAATGCAATGAAGTGACAGTTCTAGAATCAGAGCTTCATTGCTCCATCAGGGCCGCTGGGGCAACGGTCACGTGACGCAAGCGCGGAGTCCTTCTAGAGCTTTCCTTCGGCTCTCGCAACAATCTCTCTCCTCTCCAATATTAATCGATAACTCCCCGCCGTCGCAACGGTAACTCCCTCTCTTGCTCACCCCTCCTGACTGGCATCGTTGATATACTCTCAGCAGAACCTCTTCTGTGGACAATCTATTTTGCGTGAACTGTAAGTGTTGTGTGATTTTTTTTTTCTGCCTTTGCCTTTTCACCCAACCCCAAGCTTGAATTTTCGCGACCTGTCATCGTGAACACGAGTGTACATGGTCTGCATTTTATGATGAGAACTACAGCTGGCACCAGTCCTAGAAAGACTTGTACTCTTTTTGCTGCGGATTAGCTTTGCAAAGGGCCTCGAGCCCGAAATCTGACTTTGTGTGCGATTTTTCAATTGAAAAAACTCTGCGCTTTGGCTTTTTGAAAGTTCTTCGATGAGGATTCATTGCTAACATGATCTCTCTCTGCGCAGAACATAGCTTTCGGAGAGGATCTCTCCTATATCGAATCAATCGTTCAGTGTTGACAGCATCGTTGCTACCGTCACTGTCGCCGTAGACCAGAAAAGCTCTTCATACAGCTTACTACACAAGACAAGGCTCCCGAGTGCAGGATAATTTTTTTTTCTTTGCTCTTTAAGATCTTTTCTACTACAAAATGGTTCTTCACAACCCCAATAACTGGCACTGGGTGAACAAGGATGCCTCCGCCTGGGCCAAGGACTACCTGCAGGAGAATCTCTCTACCATCTCCGCTGAGGAGGATGGCGTGACTGCCAAGGTTGAGAAGGTCCTTAGCATGGATGGAGATGTAGATGTGAGCCAGCGGAAGGGAAAGGTTATCACGTTATTCGATGTTAAGCTACAATTGGAGTACGAAGGTACGTCCTTGTATATCATGTTATCCAGCATAGATTATTGTAATCCCTAGCACGATTCCTCGGAATTGTACTGATCGTATGCTGCAGGTAAGACGAAAGAAGGCGAGGCCGTCAGTGGCACCATCAACATTCCCGAGGTCGCTCACGACACCGAGGAGAATGAGTACGTCGTATGTTCCCTTTTGACCCCGTTCCTCCCGCCTTCCTAGGCCGAGAGCATGTAGCTTATGTCGCGTTGTTAAATAGTTCGACATCGACATCTATTCCGAGTCTTCTTCCAAGCAGCCTGTGAAGGATCTCGTTCGTGCGAAGATTGTCCCCCAGCTGCGAACGGCGCTTGCCAAGCTTGGGCCTGCTCTGATCACTGAGCATGGCAAGGACCTTCAGCATGCGCCCGGCTCCAACCCATCCAGCGGATTCGCGACTCCTACCTACATCCCTCAGACGAAGAAGGCTGCTACTCCTGAGCCTCCCAAGACTACCACCACCAGTACTGGTAAGGTGTCGGTAAACACGACAACTCTGAACACTTCGGACGAGTTCCGCACCACTGCAGAGGAGCTGTACACCACGTTCACAGACCCGCAGCGTATTGCTGCGTTCACCCGTGGCCCTCCCCGTCAGTTTGAGGGCGCGCATGTTGGAGGCAAGTTCTCTATCTTCGACGGCAACGTCAGCGGCGAGTACGTGAAGCTGGAGAAGCCGACGTTGATCGTGCAGAAGTGGCGTCTGGCTCAGTGGCCTGAAGGTCACTACAGCACTCTGGAGATCAAGTTCGACCAGAACGATGTTGATCGGGTCACCAACATGCGGGTCTCTTGGACTGGTGTCCCCATCGGCCAGGAGGAGGTCACCAAGCACAACTGGGATGGCTACTATGTGCGCAGCATCAAGCAGACCTTCGGGTACGTTACTCCTTTCTCTTGCACGCTCTCTCCATCACTCACACTGGCTTTCCCGCGAAGCTCTCCCAGATCACCATTTTCGTGGACGCGCTGGCTAATATGTATCCTTGTTCTCTTGCTCGCTATAGGTTTGGCACGATTCTCTGAGCGACTTCATCTGCATGGATATAAATCTCCCCAAAGGCTTCAGTAGACTTTGGCTGTTCTCCTTCACGATACGAAGCTTGTACCAAATAGCCATCCAAGCAGTGACGGGCGTTGGTTGGGGATGTTCGTTCTTGCTTCCTTTTTCCTTTCCTTGGGGATCCGATTCGGTTGGGGCTTGATTGCTTATTACATCTGTATCCCTGATCCTTACACAACCATATTACAGCATGGCCTTGCATCAGTGTGTACTTCCTGATTGCTTGTGTCCTTTTCTACGATGAATGATAGACAAAAGATAAGAAAATATAATGAAAGACATTAAGATCTGATACACTTTTCGAATTCAAACTGCATGTTCCTTTTTCCTGTAGAGTCGACCCGCCAAATGAGCGCTTGCTTTTATAGAAACGTTTGCAACTTCCCGCTCTAACATGAGTACTCCATATGAAATGGTGTGTTGAGCATATTGAAGTATTCAGCAAGCGTCGACCATGAGTCTTTGGTGCTGGATGTACTTAGTGCTGGGGGAATGTTCGAGAAGTAAATATCAATTAGAGAAGGATAAAATTGCTAAACTACTAAGTTATCTGCTGCAGTACTAATATATGTGCCCCCCCCCTTTCGACAAGGGAAAACAGCGTCCGCGCTGTTATGCTGTCTAAATACAAAATAATTGTTGAACTTTTCGCTGAGCTCCCGGTCTGATAGGATCAAGTGAGAGAAAAAGGACAGATTCCAGCAGAGATAGCAAGGTCAAATCCGTAAGCTCGTTCGAAGACGAAGTTTAGAGATATTCGGTAGTCTCCTGCAATCCACAGTAAGTATAGGGGCAGATGGTCTTTGGAGCCTTGGGAAAAGTTGCAAGAGACAGAGACGTGGCTATCCTCGACGGATGATGGAGGTTCACAAAGGATGAAGGAGGAAAAAATAAGAAGGGGAAATAACAAATAGGCAGCAACAAAGAACCTGGCAGACATTTCGAGGAAAACCCATCGTTTCCCAGAATATAGGGCGTTTCCTTGTCGGTCCCGGAAGGGAGTTTCGATTTTTCGACTTGGTCCCGTTAGGGCTAATTCCCATGTGAATCGTTGTATTTGTCAGATTGTAGATTGGACTCGGTCCTACCATTGCTGCTCCATCTCTAGGAATTTGAATCTGGTTGACATCTTGAAGAATTGAAGAGTAGATATCCGGTTGTGTACGGCTTCAGAAATCTAGCAGAAGTTCCAGAAGAGGTGCAAATAGGTACTCTGAAATTCTTGTGGTATTAGACAGAAGATACACAAGGGGATCTAGCCAGATACACAAGCTTCAGTCTAAACAGAGAAAGGCAGCGAAGATTACTTAGAGCTTCAGCAAGGCTAATTCCCAAGCTTGAGTAGGTGGAGCAGTCATGGCTGTCTTGGCTTTCCCTGACCCAGGACAAAGGGGACTGATCAGCCACCTGCGACTGATAGAGAGAAAAACTGAAGATATTTATACACTTCCGAGGTGTAGGTATATCTTTCAAGCTCGTAGCAATAATTGGGGAAACTAGCCATCGTAAGGCCCATAGCATCTAGATACTCGACGGGTGGTCGTTGACGTTGAATAGTATTGGGCAGTTCGGCATGCTCTGGAGCCTTGCGCTTTGGCCGATTGGAACTTCGCGGTGGCATTATAATTTCGATATATATGGTTGCTTGAGAAGTTATCGGTAAGATATGACTGAGAAGAATGCGGAGGTAAGAGATAAGGAATAAATGGGAAGATTCAGAAAGAAGTCCTATCACACATTTAATGATAGGAGAAGTTACCAATATCTAATAACACAACCAATGGCCCCCTATAGTGCGGGAGACCTCTACTTTCCCAGTCAAGCTCCCGATCTCCATGCTCGTGAAGAAAATTCCTATTACAGTTCTTCAAAGTATCAATGAGCGCATGAACGAGATCGTCTCCTTTCGCGAGCCGGTCTGGGAACTCCTCCACGTGTCGTATGTGGTCAGCTTTAACGGAGAGATGGTGTCATCGAGATTTCGGCCCCAATAGCCTAAGTCTGGCTCTTTGCTCTCCTCGTTATAGAGGTAGTGGGGGTGGTAGGGTACCGACAGCGGGAAGAAGCATGGTTTCGAAGTGATAGGTTCGATGAGGGTACTATAGGAGATGGCAAAGCCGAAACTTATAATCTTTAGATGGCCTGACAAAAGTAGAGAGAGAAATGTTAAAATGAGCTTGTCATGAAGAACCTGAAGTAACTCGTAATTTTGAATTGCTCGTTTGAGCATCATAAGTACGACTGCTAAGACCGTTAGTACTTAAGCAGTTGCTCAGGTCATCTGCAACCACACTTGATACTGAGGTTATAATCAACAGTCCCCATGACAGCAAGGCAGACGGGAGGCGGAGACAGGACAGGCGCAACAGGAACAGAGACAGGAACCGGCGCGGAGCCAGGGGCGGCAACAAGCACCAAGGCAGGGGAACCGTCTCGACGGACAGGCGCACCAAGAACTGAACATCGGCCGGGGCCGAAACAGCTGGGGTTTCCCCAGTGGCTTCCCCAGAGGTGTCACAGTGGGTTGTTATTATTTTCCTTGGTAAAGGCTGTAAGTAGTCTATCGACATAGGGGCGAGGATCGCGTCTATAGAGGCATAGGGTAAGTATGCCGCTGCGGAGGATGGAGTTAAGATATGCCCTTAAACTGTCGACCTCAGCGGATTGGTCGCTGTATATTCTGGTGTTGAATAGATTGTAGGCATGTTTTTGGGTGTTGTAAAGTTTAATCACCAACTTCCAGAGCAGATTGGTGCGCATGGTTATTGATGTAACTGTCTGCACTTCTGATATAAGGTAGACAGTTCTCAGTGGTTATGAGGTTAATGTCTGCACGCCGGACGTGGTCCCTATAGAGGAACAGCGAGGCTTAGGTATATTGCAGAGCTTTATCCTCTCTAAATGCTGCTGTGCCCGCAGTCCAGCAGATTATGAAGCATAGACAGAATACAGACCCATGGCTGGGAAGTTTGTCCACAACCAGCCTCAACTTCAGACCTGATGCGGTTGAGGTGAAATTGCAATAGTTCCGGTGAACAGAGGCTGCAATGATCGATGGAAAGGAGATTCCGTTCCTTGAACTTTTGGAATCCTTTTCACTCATTGTGACATACTCAGAATTCGGACCGGGGATTCAAGTCAGAGAAGCCTGTCGAATGAAAATCTCCGTTCTGTCCGCTGCTTCAGCAGCTTAAGCGCGCTATTTAATGTCAGCATATGCAGAGTATATGACCTCTATAACTTACTTTTCTCCTGCAATTATCTCTGAGTGATGTTTCTTGCATTCGGATTCTCAGCTGCTGTCAGTAGTTCTGACCATCATTCGCATCCCAAGGTATGTACAATTCGCACTCCCAGTGGCCATGGCCGCGTCTCTTGCACTAACTGCACTGGCTTCTGTTACGCTTCTATAGATCTATATTAAATCATATCCAGTCATGTGTTGATGGGAATAAGGTATATACGTACGGCTTTCTGGATCCCCGTAGGGCAACTAGACCACGCCATTATCGAAGCAGGAAGAACTTACCCAGGAGAAAACAAAGGCAGCCTTATACTGTCTCAGCTCCGCAAACCACATTTCATAAGATCCTTTGAGATCGTCTCGTGTTCTCTCCAGTCTGCCGTGGATACAGCAGATTCTCCTCTCTTCATTCGTGAGGCATTTCGGAAAGGAGGACATGACTATCTCTCGTGCCGTAAGGAAGGTCACATCTTGTTTTTATGTCTGTTGGCGAGCGTGGCTCTTTGCCTTTTTGCCGCTGTTGCCTTTTGCCCTGTCGTTTCCATCGGGAAGATCAGGTTCTTCCGGTGCGGTGCTGATAGCGCGGTGTAGATCGGTTGCATAGTCGGGTGAAAACAAGTATGAATCACACGACTGTATTGGGGCGGGATATCATTTCCAATCTTGCGCTTGCTGCCAAAAGGAATACAGGAGAACAATGTGCGACGTATCATACACATCCCCATAACCAGGCCGATCAAGACACCAGCAGCAAGGCTGTCAACATCAGGAGAAGCAATAAACTTCTCAATAGTAGAGTGACTTAGCCGAAGGATCGCTGCAGGATCGTCATAAGGGACTTGGAAATGTTCCCAGCTTATAACCACCTCAGTGATGCTACCCGTGTTGTAGTAATCCTTGATGGGACTGATAGAGCGGATTAGAGTGAAAAAGGCGTTCACTGAATTGTAGAAAGGCGTTGCGGCTTTTCCATCAACCGTGTTGTGACCATGGTGTCAGTCGAATACTTCTGTACCCCATCTGATGGGGGCTATATAGTCATTTCAGTAATCATCGCCTGTATCAGCGTATGCTATCTGAAAGCTCGAGATTTCCGTTGCCATCAAGCCTGTGTATGGCTGCAAGCTCACGATCTGTGAGTAGGAAGCCATATCGTGCCTTATGCTGGACCATATACCAGTTCACTTGCGCTAAGGCCTATCTGAACTCTTTCCTGTCTTGATTACTGCCATACTCTAGTAGTGTGGACCATTTCCATGATGGCTTTAAGTCTCCAGGGGCGCGATTGGGCCTAGTAGATGGTGGGTCCCGATATACTTGGAAAAAGGCCGTGTTAGGGGTAAATCCATCGCGTATAGCGGTTGCAAAATATGTATATGAACAGCTTCAGAGAAGAGAAGAGAAGTTTCAGAGAAGAGAAGACAGTATAAAGATAAAGATCTTCGCAATGAAGTTAGAAGTCGCTTTTACCAAAATGAATGATGTTTAGTGTGATGTGTAGGTCCATATGCGGCCGTTATAAAATGATAGCTGAAAGTACCTGTTGGCAGGTACGGAAATACCTCGAGGATATAATACTTGTAGACCCCTATCTGTGTATAGTTCCGATAATCCCATCTCGAGGACAACAATGAGAAAGAAAGTAGTTGCGCTGGACCTAATAAAGAGCCAGGCTACTTATAGGAATCAAACCAGCATAGGATAGTGTGAAAGTTCCATATACTAGTGTTAAATGATTAGCTGACAACGTTAACTATCGGAACAATATATAGAGCGACTTACTATCGCCGACTGCAATGACTCGTGATGCACTTTCGGGAACCGCTGCAGCACACAAGCAACCTCGATGTTTCCGTTGAGTTCTGCCTTCAGGAGTCTTAGCATGGGCTGCCACCGCCTGGCTCTGTTCGAGCAGAAGCTCGGACAGAGCAGCGCGGCGGTGCTGGCCCGCTTGCAGAACGGGTTTCTTAACTGACTCTGGCCATTCAGGGAGATGTATAAACATATCTTTCTCCGCCCCGTTTCTGGAGCGTGCAACACTCAGCGCCTCCTTGAACGCCGCCTCCAAGTTCGCGGCACTATCCGTATCGTCCTCAACAAAGGTCTTTAGGACTTTTTGAAAGTCATTCAAGTCCATGGTGGGAGTATAGGGGTCTCGTGTCTGAACTGTTAGGTCTAAGACCTCATTGTGCCAGGGATGGTTCTGGTGTGTGGTCTGCACAGCACTCAAAAAGCCCGGCTATTGCTGAAGGCCACCAGGAAACTCCAAATCGTGTATGGCGCTTGATTGTGTATGGTACGGGCTGGTTTCGAGATTCGGCGCCGGGGATTCGACTAACTTCTTCGGGTCGACATGAGGCATTTCGAGAGATTTGTTTTTCTAGACGATGAAGCATCCTGAGTTAGCAGGCTATCCTACTACAGATTATAGAGAGCGTGTACGGACTAAGGAGTGAGCAATGAGAGCTTAGCTTGAAGGCTAAGAGCAGGGCCAAATGATGAAGACGATTGCGTCGTCTATGTCCGTGGTACATTGTGTATAACTTATGATTGAGCACGACTCGGAATAATAGTTCATAAGACACAGTATAACTGCGAGGATAGATCAAGAAGAAGATAACAGACACTCCTGTGCAGACCAAGTCCGTTCCACTATAATACGATTCACAAATTTCATCACTGCAGACAGTAGAAAGGTCATCGATACATAGAGACAACCCGTTGAAGACGGTGGCCTTCAAATATGCGTTCAATATCACTAAATATACTAGAGGCTATATCGGAAGAAATATCTTCTAGATCCGACACTACTTCGTCTTTATCGGCCGTTTATGGATTGTTCAATGAACATGGAAGTAAGTTCTGCTTGCTGCTGTTTTAAGAAGTGGGAAGGACGAGAGAAGCAAGGGAAGAGAAGGGGGGGGGTAATACTACGAAGATAAGTGCCGATTCCATCTTCTTCTCCCTTGTGAATGTCATCATAAGGGGAATGGACTTTCCGGCTGAATCAATTACCCACGCCAGCAATTCATCTCCATCTAATGGTGGGGTTTCCGTGAACAAAGATGGTAAATGAATGTCGGGTTTCAATCTGGCAAGGTTCTACCGTCGGAATACTCCGATATGTAGAGTTTTCTCAATCAATTCAATGCTGCACTCTTTGGTGAAGCAGTTGCGCCATGTTTAGGATACTACTACAGAATCAGCTGGTGAATGATCATGGTTATGAGGTCTGGAGTACTCCCGAGCTGAGGACCGTTACGTATCTACTTACACCACGCAGAGTGGTACTTAGTTTTAAGTAAAAAAGTAGATAAGTTCGCCTAGCAATTTTGGACTGTCGGCTTCCTCATTGTGGCGCAATCCGCCCGAATGACTATCTACAAAGCAGATAAAAGTGATTTCGGAGGGAAAAGATCTCGATTTACATGCTGGTAGTATATTACTGGGAACCGACATGAAAAAGTTAGACAAACGAAATCATGCCCCTGTTGTCTTGCTGACAGTGATGCTTTGAGCAGTGGTATGATGATGCTGAGAAGGATAATAATAATGATAAACCGCCGACCTGCGCGAGCAAAAAGTCCACATAACCCCATACACCGTTGCTACATATAAAATGAAACGAAAACGATTGACTTGTTGCAATGGGAAAGCAAGGACTCGGGAACTGCCATCTATAGACGGCTACCGGGCCTTGATTTTAGAGCCTTTGCTGGCTGCTGTTGCGATCGCATCGTCGTCAGAGACCTCGGACAGATCAGTCTCGAGTCCTTCCTCTACCTCTGCCTTTCCCTTTCTCATCTTGGTGATGCGTCGCTGCCAGCCCCACAGAACAGGCAGGAAGTGCCAAAGATCGAACTCTGGCCACAGGACCTCTAGAAAGACGATCTCTGTGTTCTGGTGACATTGCCATAGCATAAAATCACTCAGGCGCTCCACACCGGACGTGCGAATGAGCAGGTCCAGCGGCGGATCATCCTTGGTAAACATATGGTCTGTAAGAGTTTGGGGCGTGATAGTCTCTGGTGAAACATACACAGCTGTCTCCAAATCAGAGCCTTTACCGGAATTGGCCTCTTGCTGGCCCGAAACGAGATGCAGCGTCGTGGAGGATGAGAACGAGGATGCGGACTCGTAGATAGTCTCTTGGGCGAGATCGCGCTTGGTGTCTTCTTGAGAGGACGTGGATGAAGAGGATTCAGCGTCGCTATTTTGATCTTGCCCTTTGGAATTGAGAGCATGTGCGCGGATGTTGAATGCAATATGAGACTCTGAGAAGGGAGTGCGCGGGCTTTGAGCGGAACGGACGGGATCTAGGGGCTTGCTGTAGTCGACAACGGTGTCTCGGATAGCAGACGTAATTTCGTCTCTCGACGTATACGGGAAGCAGATATTCAGAATCCGGTCTCCGTTGCGACTGGTCAGTTCAACAGCCCGGTCGACAGCCGCGAGGACGTCCGGCTTGAGCATCTCTCGTCGACCCAGGACCCGAACCTTAGCTCCGTAGCGGTCGAGGAGGTCTCCATGCTGTGCTAATTGCGACAGCTTTATCTTGGCAATATCCATCAATGCGTCGACTTCGAACTTTGAGCGCTTGAAGTTCTCGATACTGAATGCGTATATAGTTACCACCTTCACACCGCTTTTATAGCACACTTCAAGGATCTAAGTAGTAGGGATTGTCAGCGCAGGCCAAATAAATTATACAAAGGTCGGATTTCGAGAATTCGACCATCCTTTGCACGCTCTGCAAGAAAAAAGAAATTCTTGTACGGTAGCAAGGGCGACAAGGACCAACTCACTCTTGCTAGTGATTCAAACCCCAGATTGTGACCTTCGACTGTCTCGATGCGGTGACTCCTAGCAAATCTTCGATTCCCATCCATCACAAATGCAACATGTTGTGGGACAGGGCCCTGCTTGACAGCGCCGATCAACAGTTCCCGGAGGTTGGAAAGCAGAAACTCGATAGGCGGGGAGGCTAGAAACCATTTTCGCAGCTGCGACAGATGCAGAGAGGCAGCCATTGTGTTGAATAAAATATAGAGACGATGCTATTGCTTCAAGGGCGACGTTCGACGAGCGGTGTGCGCTGAAGAAGGTAATGGAAGGACGGAATAAAGAGGTAGGAAGTGATGCAGGCAGTTGCGTACACAGCTCCGTGCAATTGGATTGAGCGCTGCTTTCTTCACCAAGAGCTATAGTGAATCTGAGTGATTGTAATTATCTCTAGACAACAACTGTCTGCTGGAGTAGTATTAGGTCGGGCGAGTCGGAGAAATCACGCGAGATGGGACGGAAAGAAAAGGTCGACGGAAGGGACCGTAACGATGGCTAGCAGAAAAACCAAGGTAAAAAGCGCTATGCCAGTATAACGGAGGAAAAGGGATTGACTGCTAAATAGAAGATATTCGAGGAGCGTCCATCCGTTGATGGAGCTGGGATCTCGAGGGCTGGTTGATGTCGAGCAGCGCAAGTGTGAGGCTGATGGATGATGTACCGCCGTTTCGGAGCGTCACTACGTGTTCCTTCTACGGTCTCGGCTCGACGTCAGCTGCCGCGCTGCTCGTCTTTGAATTTAACACGAGAACGAGGTCATGGGGACTGGTTTTCCTTTACATATAAAATGTGAGTACCTGCGAATTTGACGCTGAAGGCATTTTCATGTCATTTCCATCACTTTACTATCGTCTACCCACGTGACTTTCCGGTCCCTCCCAGCGTCATCTCGACATTCAACGTCCAACAGGTAACATTCGTTTCTGAGAGGTTCTGGTTCCAGGTCATGATATGGATGATGGATGTTCCTGCAGATGAGGTTGTGCGGAGGGAGGGACAATACTTGCTGGAATAGTTTCTTGAGGTCTGGTCGACACCGCATTGGACATGCAGAGGAGTGGCTGTATTCCAAAGCACATGTAGTTGGTGTATCCCGAGAAAGAGAAGCTGCCACAGTCTGCTTGCTGCCTTGTCCACTATCGTAGTACGTACTAACAAACATCGGAAGCCTTGGAGGTACATACATAGTAAGTAGTCCTGCCAGGATCTTAATAATGGTTACACTAGTTTACTTAGATACTGAAGCTCAAAGCCGGCGTTGCTGATGCTCAGACGCCACGGCCCTGTGGCAGGCTCCTGCATGGTGTGTAATTATGTGATCTGCTTTACATGTGAGCATGGAAACACCAAGGTGGTGTTCTGAAGTTGGTACGTACCTCTGAGTGCTATAGGAACAGGTTCGCTTTTTTATCCTCGAGATACGACCGTGGATTATTCGCGTGACTCGAACGCGATGCCTTTCAGCTAGCTAATGGGAATCATAACCATTCTACACACGCAATTTTAGCTATAATTTTGATTTGGGATCTTCATTAGACTGCAACTAAGATCTAGAATAGCACACTACCTGGTTTGATCTAGGTCTTTTCATGTGAAAACCACAGAGTGCAGACAACAGAGCGCTCTAATTCTAAACGGCAGTAGTAGTTATCAGACGATCTCTCTCTCTCTCCAACTAACTGCGATGCATAGTTATGAAACACTTCTTCCCCATTAGTGTCCCCTAATGAGAAAGGCATAGATAAGAATAGTATCACCTCGGTAAAGGATGCTGCTATATGAAGCCATCCAGAGGATTGTGAACGATCGGGAATTCAGTATTATGATATAGAAGGCCGAAATTAGTCTTCGCTTGGCTAGTGAAGGTCAATAGTAATACATATTAATACATATTTGTCTTGGTTGGCCTCCTTTTAAACCATGGTCGACTTTAGTTCTGGCTACATACACTTATGTTGATAGAGAATAAAATCATGATATACTTACTTCGTAGATATTGCCCAAGAATCAATCTTTACTGGTTCCTAGGCATGAACCTGTGAATAAACAATAAAAACCATTTGAGCACCAGAACCAAACCGGATGGAGTGTGATCCCTATACCAAGCTTCTATTCCGGACTCCAATCCTTGACAGTTACATCTTTCAAGCACTAAATAACAGCCGACATGATTTGTGCCCGGTTATCAATTCCGCTCGGGTGGCTTCAGCGGGCCGCTCCCCTTGTGCCAAGGCCTCAATCTGTACTACAATTACATGGCCCCAAAATCGCCTCTATCTCTCTCCGATATAAAACCGAAGAGTAACTTATCCGGGATTTCCCTTAGACTATCCCTCTCACAGGGAAGTAGTAACTAGAGAAACTGGCGTCGTAATGCAGTTACGTAGCTCTCATGTCCGAACCTAGCTAGCTAAGCTCTGAAACTTACGATTCAAGCTTCTGATGAATCGAGGCACCGACTCGGATCTAATGCAACCTGCAACCTGCAACCTAAAAAAAAGGCGAGCATTCATCAGCCGATGGCGCAGACATAAAATCATAGTCTAGCCCCCCCCTCCCCTCATCTAGATCATTCTCTCTCATCCAATTGATTGAGAATGTGTCTGGGTTGGTAGGGATTTAGGACACCTTCAGGGATACATACTATGGAGTTATCTTCTATCCATTGCAGGGTTTGATTGATAGCGATTCAGCTCCTAAGAGGAGGGATTGAAATGTGATATAGCATCATCAGACGGTATGTCAACGCCAATTATCAGGCGTAGATATGGTCGAGCTAGGATGGTAGTGTGATAGGAAATGACGTCGGTAAATACCTAGAGGGAATTAACTGGGCTTCTTGAGCTATAAGATATGGGGTTTTTGTTCTGCTGATATTCTCGTTATTCTTTTGCATCGAGCAATTCCTAGAACCAACCCCTTGACTTAATTGAGTGAAGTTATTGTAGTATCTGCTACAATCATGTCTGCTGAGATCTACTACCTGCCCTCGGTAAGTTGGTACCAATACGCAGAAAGAGTTACTTATCACCCCACGTTTCGCTATCGCTGACCCAATACTTAAATCGCAGGGCTGCAACTGCGATGGTAAGTGATTTCAACAGCAAAACACAACAAGAGGGCAAGAAGAAAGAACTAGACTCGAGATCTATCATCCAACTATCCAAAACATGCATAACTAACTAACAACTGAACTTCTCACAGGAACCGGCTACACTCGCACCGACATCCAAAATGCCGCCGATAAAGCCCTCTTTCTAGCCTCTCAGCACCAAACTCTAGGTCGCGACAAATATCCTCATGCCTACAACGACTACGAACATTTCAGCTTCAAGCACGCTCAGAAGCCCTATCTCGAATTTCCCATCGAGCGAAACGGAAAGACCTACGATGGCGGTTCTCCTGGTGCCGACCGCGTCGTGATCGGTAGTATTGCCGAGGACTATTCCAGCGCGGTCTTTTGCGCTGTTATTACTCATGATGGGTCGACGAATAATGGATTTACGGAATGTCAGGATGACACGATGAATGTGCGGGGTAAGGGCAAGTATGAGCCCAGCGAGAGCGAGTACGACAAGAAGCATCATCATCACCACCGGAAGCTGTTAGACAGAATCGATTTGTAAGGGTCGTGGGGATGCTGGGGAATTCGCTGTGAAAATGACTTATTACGGACTTTTATGAACCTAGTCCGGAGGCTGAAGGAGCTCCAGAGTAACAGAATATAGGGGGCTATGCACGTTGAACTAGAATAAACTTGCAAATTTAAGATCAATTAATCTCTCCCTCTGCTGGTTATGACACGATCCCTAAAACTCAAGAGGTATCGGATTTCAATATTTCTTCAACCATCCAAACATCATCAGCGTAAGCTACCGCATTTACATAGAACGCCGAACACCACCGCTATGACTTGAGCGCAAGGAAATGTTTCCCCGAAACTCAAAAAGTAGAAGTGTGAAACAGTACAAGCAGCGGTAGGAAATTTTGACACGCTCTGCCAGAACCCATTAGATATCTTTTTTGCCTTCTTCGCTTGGCGGCGTGTCTGTCCCGGAACTTGCCAACTCCCAGCCGGCATCCTCGCTGCGTCTGCGCCTCCGCTGGCCACGCTCTCTCATGGCATCGCGGATCTTCATGCTCACGTCCTCAAAGTTATCCTTTGTGGTGAATGCCTTCAATTGGTGACCGGAAGACCCAGGCCGGCCGCCCCTAGAACTGCTGCGGCTGCGGCTGCGGCTAGGCGGGCGTGTCGAGAAGAAACCAATATGAGAGAAGTTATGGAAAGACTCGTTCCTCGGGAGAGGTTCTTGTGACACGGTTCCTTCCCCGATGTCACCAGTGGTAGCACTCCTCTTGATCGTAGGTACATTGGGCAATCGGCGGTCCGGTCTCTCCACATCAAGCCTGTGATCACCGTGGGAGTCACGGAAGGGGTCTGCTACAATACGCGCAGCATCGAAGTCGGGGAACAGCTCAGGACCCAGCGTATTGATGAGATCCGTGACTTGCCGGGAAAGTTCTTCTCGTCGCTGTCGGAGTCTCACCAAGGTGTTCGCAGATGTCGGGTTAAGGGATAAGACGAGAGGCCGTATGGACTTGAGGATATCCATGCCAATCTCACCGATTCGCAGAGCTGCGAATGTTATCGACGGGAAGAGGACGACCCCAATAAGAACAACAAGCCACAACGGGACCCATTCCGGCACATATCCTTGAATACGGTTCCGATATGTCCAGTATGTAAACATGGTGGTGTAAAACGCATAGAGAGCTGGAGCAAACGCCAACCCGACGAGGAGCTTCCAGGTCGCCATCACGTCACGACCTTGTAGCTTGACTGTAGATGCTGCCAGAGCCTCCTTGGATTTCTTCGCTGAAATTACTTTCGTGGCCACGAAGACGGGAGCAAACAGAAGTAAACCAGGCAACGTGCCGATAGCCATGATGGCGATCTTGATCAGACGATAGAACAGAGTGAAGACCACCTGGAGGATCGAGAACTTTGCATACTGGACTTGATGGTCACGAATGCCAAGGAGGCGCAACTGTTTGTTATAATCCGCAACGCCTTTTCTCAAGTTCACAACCCGTGGATCATCCTGGAAGTGCGTATAACCCTTAACGAGACGGCGATTAAGCTCGACCACCATTGGGAGAGGCATCTTCTTGCCTTTGGTGTTGTACAAGCGGCGCGCAGCTTGGATAACCTGGTCCCAGTTAGCGCCTAGTCCCAAAGTCCACTTCAGAGAGATCATACCATCAAAGTTTCATAATCCGGGCTAGTGACAGTGACTGCTAAGAGAGACTGATAGATCGTGTCCAACAACGCACTGACGGCTTCACGTCGCTCTCCTCTCTTGTATTGGTCGACCATCTCCCGTGGAATCTCAATGGGGTTTCCAAACTCGACCACGGCCCTGGAACGAAACTTGTGCGCGTGGAAATAATTCATTCCGCAAGGTACAATCTTCAAGCCACAATCAGGATCCTCCGCGAGGGTACCAAGTGCCATGAGGGCCACACCAGCTGTAAATCAAAGATCAGTAAGAGCTATCTTGGCGAGAGTAAACCGTTAAAACGTGGCGAAACGTACCCTTCAGTGGAAGCAGCTGCGGACGATCATGACTACCGCCCTCGGGAAAGATACCGACACAACCACCTGCACGGAGCCTGGCAAATACTGCTTCGTAGACCGCAGACTGATCCACATGAGGAGCAACCTTGAACTTCGTCCCTTTGAACTCCGAGATGTCTTGGCCAGACTTATCATCCGTGGACTTTCCATCATCTGTGATATCGTTCTTGCCTGTCAATTGGAACAGAGCGTCTGGGTGCGTGAATGGTTTCTTAATGACAAGTTCCTCCGGTCCGCGGATTTCTGCAATATGTGCGGTGTGTGCTGTGCCATTGATCGTGGGCAAAGTGATGGTTCCCTCTCGCTCGTACTCGGGTGCTTCGAAGTTGGTGCCGATTCCTCGGATTAAGGTAGGTTGGTTGACGGGGTCCGGCATATAGATGGTGCCCTGACCAGGCTTCATGCTGTCCATTGCTCTAGCTACCGGCACTGCACCGATTCCTCTCGACAATAGTCCAATGAACTTCCGTTTGAAGGACTTCTCCGCAATGAGCCATGAGATGCGACGATGCGCTTCACTGCGGACCACACGCATCAGGATCAAGGAATCGACAAACTGGTGGATTTGAGGTCAGCAATTCTAGTTTTCACATATAGCCACGTCGAAACTAAATTATTGCTGCTTGGGGCGAGGAGGAATATCTACCTGGTTCGCATGAGGAGCCGCAACAATGATCATGGGTCCTCTTCTGGGGATCTTCCACGAACCCCGTGGATGGACCTCCCGGAAGAAAAGATCCACGAGTACGGAGAATGTCCATAGCACAAGATCATACACCCAGCCAATCTGGCGTGGGATGTACGGTTGTTTCTTCGCCATCTTGAGGTGATAACGTTATAAACTTCAGCAGGCTGCCAGCATCCGTACGAGCGTGCAAACAGGCAACTACTGACAGACTCGCGCCCACAGTGCTCCCCCGGATGCTATGTGTGGGTTGATATAGTCTGGTAATACACCGGTGAGGGCGAGCGCAGGCGCAGATGGCGTTATCTCTGCTGTGAAAAAAAGAAGTATGATCGATCAGCCTAAGCTCTGGTCACGTCATAAGCGCGATCTGACGTATTCCCAACTTACCTGAGACACAATTGGCAGCAATCAGAAGACGTGCTTCCAGCGAGAGATGGGATCTGGACGATCAGCTCATCAAGAGAGCTAATCAATCTTGCAGAATTGCTGTTGTGGGAGCGACGGTCCAGCGGAGAAGACGCGCGCTTGGTGAGAGGAAAAAGTAACTGGTGGTGGGGGGCGAGAAGTAGTTAGTAGTAGAAGCCGCCTGTCGCCGGCCGCTGTGACACTGCGACGCTGCGACGTTTCTAGAAAACCCGATCGATCTTACAGGCGCTCACCCGACTGTCAAACTACTAGACTCGGAGCATCAACCCCAGATAGATGGATAGACGACTGGAAAGATCGAAACTGTTGGGACCGATCTGCCGCAGCCCCAGGCGTTTTCCGGATACGCATAGCTCGGTTTAGCTTCGTTCCGCTCATCCATGGATGATAGTCACTGCATCGACTGGGCGAACCACTGAAACACCCCGGATTTCTGTCTCCAGCGCGGGGCATTTTGTCAGCGAGATAGACGAAGGAACTAACTTGGAATCGACAGATTGCGGGGAGTGCAAAAAAGTCACAGCTGATCGATGACTCTAAATGAGAGCTTCGCTAGTTGCGCTGTCGCATGACAATCGACACATTATACATAATATGACAGGCAGATCAGCATCCCGCAGTATGCTAGTGAACATTATTAATGAACCTTGCATTGCTGCTAAGCGAGCATATTCTTGCTAGCTGCATGGCTGTGTCCCAACATTTCTTTGACAGTCATCTACGGAGTACTGGCGCAAGTTTACGGAGTTATTCGAGTCTGACATACGGCGTACTGAGTGATAGCGATGCATTCAAAATACGATGCGAAAGAGAGCGCCCCATTCCACGCCAGCCATGTCGCAAGAATGTTGTTGGCTTACTTCTGGGAGTGCGTTGGCGTTGGCGCCCTTGTCAGTTGGATCACCCTTTTCCTGTTGAAACGAACGAGTCCCATTGACAAGGACATGTCAACAAACAGTACGTATCTATAAATGGCTATGTACAGTGCATCCGTGGAGACGAAGAGCGGACCGCGGATTACCATGTTGTCATGGAAGGACCGGATCTTGCTTAGCCACATCTTGTACCTGCTGGAGTTGTTGTGCTAACAGCTCGTTCTTTTTCTCCCACGTGGCTCTCCACTCTTCATCGCGTTGTGCAATTGCTTGCTCAATATTTCGCTGACAATCCTGTTCAATGCGGCGCATCCGCTCAACCAGATGCCTGTCGCGGTCTTTCCAACGCTTTTCCCACATGTCCTCGACTTCATGTTGGGCACGGTGGATTTGGGTTTCTACGCTCTGCTCAAGGGCTGTCAGCCGTTGACGGAGGTCTTCGATTGTGAAGTCTCGTGCCCGCAGTTGTTGTCGGTAGACCTGATCAACCTCGTTCAGACGCTCACGCATAGCTGCGAGCTCTTTATCACGCTCGTGGAGTGCCCGCCGATGATCCCGATCAATGCTCCGGATTACCCGGGTGTAATGGATGCTGATGTCATTTTCAGTATCCATGGGAGGCGGCTCCGCTCCTGCATACCCTTCCTCTATGTGCACTGGGCTTCCCAGAGTCCCAACTGGTCGATCATTACTATTAACCGCAGTCTTGACATATAAAGACCGACCAGGAGCAGATGTCGACGCAGAATCACTCTTGACGGAGATAGCTGGAGATGGGATCCTACCTGTCGCAGCGAGTCTGACAAGAGATGGAGATGACGAAGAGCCTTTTGATGACATGGTACTCCCTGCATGTGGTCCTGCGGAGCGGGTGACACGGACTTGAGTAGACATAGGTATTTCCTCTCCATGTTCGGACAGACTTGGGGAACTCCTACTGAACCTTCCTCCTGAGAGGGTTGTAAATATCCTGGGGAGCTGGGCGCCCGTTTTGCGGCGAATAGTATTTATAGGAGTTGACTGTAGAAAATCCCCAAGGTTGCCATAAGAGAGGGAGCGCCTCGTCGCCGGAGAAGTTCTTAATGTTTCACGGGACGTATCGATAGAATTGCTTCTCCGTGCCACATAAAAATTCCCCCTCTCATAATCTAGACCAACGGCTGGCTGGTCTCTCGTGGTCAAGCTTGAGGGCTCCGAGATAACACTGTTCGACTTTCTGTGCGCATGAGGCCTTCTGTCAGTTTGTAGACCAGAAAGCTGGCCCCACGTAGAATGAGACAGAGAGTAGCCCTGTGACTCATTACTTCGACCGTAGTCAGGGAGTTCAAAAGGCCGGCCAGTTGGAGTTGTAGGAGACGACAATTCAGAACCGTCAGAGTCCACATTTGGAGCATTAGCCACTTCAGCTATCGGAGGGGAATATGGCGGGAGACCATCATCGACACTGGTCACCCTTGAGCCGTCTCGATTTATATGGAAGGACCTGCCTCCCAGCACGAGATCGACACTCCGGGCACTCCGTGCATCTTCCTGGAGAGTATTGATGCTTATTCGCGTCCTTGTCGACACGATACTGGAAGCTCTGCTAGTTCGACCCGTAACAGGAATATGTGCATCCCGCGTTGGTTTTCGCATTGGAGTACGTTCCGAATCAACGACTGCGGCTGACAACGCGGGGGACTCAACGGTCGGGAATAAGACACTTCGTAGTCGTCTTTGTTCGTCTGACAGCTTTCTTTCTTCCATAGAGAACATATTGTCAGGATTGAAAAGAGCTCTCTATCTTGTCGTGTTGCAAGTGATGAGAAAAATCCCGATCATGAAAGAGCATATCCCATGAAACTCAGATCGCACCCAGAAACCTCAGTCTGACAAGCCCGCAGCGGCAAAAGAGAAAAGAAAACTCGAAAATGAAAATTAGAATGATTTTTTGTAGTGAGGCTGCAAAGCAAGGAGAAGTCCTATCAGTAAGTTTGGATGCGAGACTAGACTAATACGAGCACAACGGAGAGAGCATGGAACAAAAACCAAGCAGCATTCGCGAATTCAACAGAACATCAAGGCACTCCAGGATACAAACCGTATGCCAAATTGAACATTATACACAAGGCTAAAAGCCAGGTTGTCCTTGGAATTCTACTAGACGATAGAAGATGCTGACTTGTCCACAATGAATGTGGTTTGCTTTTTGGCAGGCAGCAAAGATAATATGTACGTGAGGGGCTGATGAGGCTGAGCGCCGAACAGCTCACAACCCGCGATCTTGTAATCTTGTTCATTGGTAGAAGTTTATCAACCCGACGATCTAGAGAATTGTAGAATTCGTAAAAAACAGAAATGCTTGGCAGCAATATTCTCAGCAAGGCGTTAATATGATTAATTCGAAATTTACGGTCGGTGTCACGTCGCATCTAGACTTGAGCATCCTCGGCCAATTAAATAGTCCTACGGGGCTATTTAGAGGTCCAATGGACCTGGCTAGAACTTCTTTTATTTTCTTTCTCTTTTTTAAGATATATATAAGCTATGTGTGCTATAATTCCTCAGCGCGAGGCAATCAATCTATAGTCTCGAATTTATGTCCCATTTTCAATGGAGAACGTCAGGGGACACAGGGAAATTATCGTGGATATTATGGGAGCCATTTGTTTGATAATAGCAGGTCTCTGATGGTATCGAAACTGCAGCCATGTTCGATTTACGGGGTCACTTCCACATTTCTCATTCTCCATATAAATACGTTGCTTCCATCCAGGATATCATCTGACTGTTTTCCATGTCTTCGGGGAAGCCTGAAACTTAGATGCAGTCAAATCATCGCTTGCAACAAATGCTTCAGACATCACCGATCGTATAGACCAGGAAAGCTTCTTTGCATAATAATTAGAAGCTAAATGTGCGTTTATATATAATCTATAGCTTAGACCCAAGTAAACACCTACTCAACCAGCTAGAAAGCTCAATCCACTATTTGCTTCCGTGCCGAGGATTCACAACTTGCCTGAAAATGCTGGCTCTCTGATCTTCTCTAGTGAATTCATGAGAACAGGCTTCAGTTCAGACGAATACTCGGCCGCCGGGCGGATTCATAATCACCATTGGTGTGTTGTACGGAGGGACCTTTTTCCAGGTCAGCTGAGGTACTTTTGACTATCTGATTACTATTAGTACCGATGTCCTACCCTTAGTTTTAAAATTTACTTGATCTCAGGGTACAGACTCCCATGAAAAGAGATATCTCTCTTTCATCCACTTCAATGACTGATATCAACGGATCAGGCCCACTGATCCGTTTAGCCCCGAGATTCAGAACTCACAAGTCTTCAGGGGCTTGAAAGGCGCATCGTCATACCTAAACAAGATTTCACAGTCACTGTGGTCCTTCTGCAATCAACGAGACATCAGACTATCATCGAACAAAGAGAACATGGATCCCTTTGACCGTCTCCCTTGGTTTGTGATCCGAGATATTCTCTGTCTCCTACCCGACCTCCCAACCCTGCACAGGCTTCATGATGCATCACCGGCAATAGCTGCCTTCCTTCGACATGAGAATGGACTCTTTTCCCAGATTGTGGAAACAATTATCTCCCAAGAGCGCGAGTTTGGTCTCCTGCCACAGGTTCAGGCATTACTACGCATACTTGTCTTCATATGGTGGCGGACTTTCCCTAGCGAATCCAATAGTGAGCTAAAAAGCGAGACTAATCCGCTACCGAGTTCATACAAAGATTTCTTTGAGCATATCCGTTCCACTGTGCAAGCGACGTTGAAAGACGGCGAGTGGTTTGAACCTTGGGACCTTGGTCCTAGCTATGCCGACGCACCTCTACCGAAGTCGACACCCTCCATCATTCTCTGTCGGCTCCTCGCTTTCTCTAGCAGGTTCCGTCAAATAATACATGTATACTTTCATGAGATGATCGCCCGCTGTATGGCACTCAAGCCTGGGTATGATCCGGACGATCTCCCATTTATGGACATTAAACCCGATAAACGCTGTTCGAGACTACCTGTCAAACCACACATGCCCAGAGATATTGGACCGCCATCTTGGATTGAAGAGCAGCGATTGTTACGATGTTTTATTCGCATATTTCTATTTTTGGAGCTCCAGCATGCGATTCGCACCCGCGGCCTCTATACTACGGAGAAAGCAGCGCTATCGGTACAAGAAGATAGCGTGGATAGCTTTTGGGACAAGATAATGGACATACCTGGTGAGAGATACCAAATGAACTCACTCATAGTATGGTTGGTTCGTGAAGCGGGGTCTGTGGACAGTATAGAGCACTGGATGATTTCTGCTTCCGTTTCAGAGACGCCAATTTACTGCTGCCCCAACTTGAGACCGCTGACACCAATCCAATTAAAGTGGCGGGAAACGAAACTGTATAAATTGGTTCAATATATTCCCTTTTGTCATCACAGCTACTATTGCATATTGCCTAATTTTCCCAATAACGGTTATCCTGAACATTCTGTCCTCTATCCACTCGGTGTCTTCTTCTGGGACGGAATTAGGGTCGAGGCTCTAGGATTTCTGCGAGAGAATCATAATCTTACCTTAGAAGCATAGTCTGCCCACTATTCTTCTTATTGGAAAAGAGTTGAAACTTATATCGTAATGAATTTATGCAATCTCATATGTTGGTCTCCCTCGATCATATCCTCCCATGATCCTTCTATCAAAGCCTCGCACTATGCAGACCTAGTCTGCCCATTGATGAATTTCCTTTCTAAGATGGCAGTGTCTTCGGACTTCACCATTAATACACTATAGGAGCTCCATACTCAGCTTTCAGGAACAGCGTCGATCTTCAGATAGAGTGCTGGCTGCCAATTCGCCCCGAACGTTGTAATCTTGGAGATTATTCTTCTGCCTAATTGCTGCTTGTGCTGGATTAACAGCCAGGCAACACCGCGCACATTTGGGGTATAGAGCAACGCATTGAACTCATCACTCTGGGGGTAGAATGATCTCCACATTGAAGGATCACGTAATTGATTCCAATCGTCCCAATCATCAGCTTTTCGCAGAACCCTTCGCATGATAGTTTGCGTATCACGATTTGTAATGGACTCTTGGAAAACGTGGTTCAGGTTCTGGACGTTCCCCTGCGCCATATGTTGCCATTGAAGGAAGGTCACGTCGGACCATTTTCTACATTTCGGGTACCTATCAAGGTTGGGAGTCGCATACTCAGGGCTATGAGCACTGTGCGAGATAATTACGCCGTCTTGGAGGTTATAGGCGCTTCCATACATAGCGCCAGTGGACTGATGAATAATTAGTATACGGGACATCAATGGATTGTATTAAAGATTACCATACCTGATATTCCTCGCCATCAACATTAACTGGGGTATACTGCTTAATCTCGATATAAATATTCTGTGCCGAATCTATGTTCAAAGCTCCGAATGCTGTGCGGAGGGCACGGTTGATGTCGTACAGGACGCCCGGCTGTGTCTGCGGCTCCCATCCCCAGGTATTCAAATCACCGTAGTCAACCCACGGGCTGTTAACGGGGACATCGGGCCGTATGTATTGACGAGCACCATCTTCAGTGGCTTGCATGGCACAGGAAAGAGCTGCACCATTTCGAACATATGTATCCCAGTCAATGAGGACTTTCGGGGCCACTGTCGTGTTATTGCTGAGAGCTCTTTCCCTAAGATGGCCATTTTGTTCTTCTTTATCGACATGGACAATAGATGATATTCGAGTAAGGGTAAAGAGAAAGGTTGCTAAGAGTAGTGCAAGGAATGATCGCCGAGGCAGATCTCTAGATAGTATTTCCATCATTTTGAAGTCGAATAGAGTCTCCTGGTGTTCAAAAAAAGAGACCAAGTATGCTTCAGCAATGAGTTCCAGTGACTGTATATCTCGAGTAGGTTTTACCCTTTATACAACGAGGGGGATGACTGCATCATACTCGAGAACAATAGGCTATGCAAGGTAGATACGCATCAGGAGATAGTACTACTGCTTTGATGTATCTCCCCGATACTAGAAGTATCAGTTCCCCGGCCGTGATACCAACCAGCCCACTCCCCGTACACACCCAATTTCGAACCCCTACTGGAACATAAGTACGATTTCATAATATCCTATCTGATTGGACGTGATGTATCATATTACTCGTTTCGATCGACATTATTCAAAGCGGGAACTGAAGAGACACAGACATAGGACTTTAGACGCACTCGTTATACTCTGTGCATGCTGATAAATGTCTTGTTATGTCAGGATCTAATCATTTGGTACGCATACGGATAATAATTTCTATTTCACGTACTTGGTTTTCATTACGTAGGAATCTTTATTAGCCCTGACTTAGGTCCTCGTTGGCTCTAATAAGACTCGAATTCATTGTTTTGTCAAAGAACAGAAAATGTCCCGCTGGTGCTTTTGTTCAACCTGATTCCTTAGTTCAGTAAGAGATGGCCTTCGTCTATGCTCCTTATTACCTTTACGGATAGACAGATCGTCTGGTTAGCGAAGCTAGTAGTTGCAGTTTCGAGTCAGTGCATTAAATGGTAATTATTCTGGCATACTTGTGACATATCCGGATGCGTTTCACGAGCTCGTGCAATGCACATACCATTTCTGTAAGCAGAGGTAGCTGCCATAGTCAGCACACGCAGGTAATGTCTATTTATAATCCCTTTACCAATCAAGTAAGCTACAGGGGTCTCTTAGAAAGACCGTACTTGTGCATGTACGTACTTTGTTTGTATTCATCTACCATGTTCAAGAAATCTGTTAGGGTGTGCAGGGAACAAAACATTCACGAGTGAACCTGTTGTGTCTCAGTACTTCGAAGCTATTCTGTATGTGACATGGCTCGGTTGACACCATACTGTTTCGGTAGTCAATCATCAGACATTTTCTGCAGGTGGATCGGATATGAGGAAATTTCGGAACTATTGCCGCCTCAATTGGACAGTCTGATACACTGTCTGTAAATTTATAGACAGCTTTACGCGTGTAACACCTCATTATTGCGAAGGTAATGCTGTTTGTTCACTGTTCAACTATGCGCTCCTACAGGGCCGCGCTACGGAATTGCTGGCTCATTTCGGTATACCATCTGTCGTGAGAAACTATTGATGGAAGCCTCGGTATGTAGTTGACCTTTTTGATAGTATCTTCCGCTAGCGGAAAATTCATTCGATCACTTGAGGATCGCTCCCAGACATTAAGTAGCAGTAACAAGAATCGCAATTCACAGGTATGCCTAAATTATGCAGCCTCTTAAGAATCACGAAACTTCTTCAATCTCCAAGTAAATAGCTGCATAGCACACTTCAGTTGTTCTTTTCCCGAAAATTGTAATCTTAGAAATCCTTCTGATACCAAGTTGTGGTTTATGCTGAATCAGAAGCCATGCCAAACCCCGTATATTTGGGCTGTATAGGAGGGCTTCATACTGTTCTTGTCCTGGAAGGAATGATTTGCCTTTAGCTAGCCCGTCATACTCAGATTCGTAGTACCATTCTTCCTCCTTGTCTAGTGCCGTTGCCATGAGTTCCAGCGTATCGTCATTTGTAACTGCACTGTAAAAAACATGCTTGAGGTTGCCTATGTTCTGTCCCGCAATTTGTTGCCATTGAAGGAAGGTCACATCGGACCATCTTGCACATTTGGGGTATCGGGGTAATTTGTGATCTGCACTATCTTCTGGGCTATTCATATTTGCTACTATTATAGCACCATCCTGGGTGTTATAGAAGTTATAGTAGCGTCCCCCAGATGGCTTTTCATAGTCAGCAAATATGAAACCAAGTACAAATACCTAAGAGTCATAATCAACATACCGGATATTCCTGTTCGTCCACTGTTCTCGGTTGATCATGATCAAGCTTGACCATGATAAAGTTGTCAGGGTTTATGTCTATACTTGTAAGGTCCTTTTGGAATGCCTTCACGATGAAATTTTCATTTTCATCGCCACTGCTGGAACTCCATCCCCAGGCTGCCAGATCGCTATATTGCACAAATTGACTGTTGACAGGAACGTTTTTAGGCATGTAGTGAGCAGCGCCGTCCACGGTATCATCCATAGCACATGAAAGTACATAGCCTTTCTCAATAGCATCATCCCAGTTGATAAGAACCTTTGGGGTGACTGTGCTGTTGCGGTCGATATCTCTCGTCCAGAGAGTCTTATGCTCAGCTCTCTGAAAATGAAAAATGACAGATAAAAGAGTGAATATCAGAGCTGACAAAAGCAATACGAGGCATGGTCGCGGCCGCAGGATTATCGAAGATGTTCTGGTCATTTTCGAGGCAGATCGATTGTGGTGACTGAAGATATCGAAACAACCGATACACTGTTCGAGTGCAGTTAAATGTTTGTTGTCGGATCAGGAAAAATGATAAAGTCCTTACGGAAATGCGAACTTTATACAATCATGCAGCCTTTCATCTGTATCAAGAATCCTCTGGCGCTACTACGCCTACAAATGTATTTCTCGAACACGCCGTAAAACTAGTTACCTACCTTGCCGCCCGAAAAGAGATACGAATGTAATCCGCACCCACACTGTTTTAGAATAAGAGCTTATTGTTACGCCTCCTTTTGCATGTCACATTCGATATGAAAAGCAAAAAGTACCGTGCTGTCATCCCTTTGATCAAACGAAAAGTCATGTTGGGATTTCGATCGACATTCTTGAGCGCTGGGTTTGAAGAGGCTGAGTGATGTAGAACCTAGGCGGGTTCCAATGTAACTTAGCATCAGTACCTGCTAGATCATGCCGTGCTTCTGTATCATCACGTACGCCGTGGAGTTTCAATTTCTCCTTTTGATGCTATCACATATAGCCCAATCTGTATACTTAGTCGACCAGCGCTAACCGTGTATGGCAATGGTTCGCTCCGCTCCCCCCGGCATTGTCCTTTATTGTAGAACAAAAAAAGCCAGTGGCGTTTTGTTCAAAGGATTGATCAGGGCAGGGAAAGTCTATGCTAATCATATTGTCCCCTACGACTAAACAAAATAATCATGGATACTAGCAGAAGCGGTCCAAAGTGACCACTTTGAATGGCGATTATACTTGAGAATATGATGTATGGCATATCTTCAGAAATCATATAAGCATTCAAGATGCGTGCTTGATTTTCTCTACATGACAGCCTAGTCGATGAAACAAACAGAAAACAATTTTAGTTATACCCATATAGTACCTAGTATAACATACGTGGCGTTGATTTATAATCTCTACTAAGCATATTGTATCTGCTACAGGGAATCCTTTGAAGGGAAGTGTCGCAAGTACGACCTATCCGCGTATATCTATAATCCAAAGAGAAATAAGACTACGACTGTCGAGAACAAAGGATAAAATACGGATCTCAGGTTTCACTAAATTTCTCGTAGTCATGTTTTGTAAGCTGCATATCAGAGCTCATGCGGTGACGACTCGGTGGCTCATGATCCAACGGTTATATCTATTCATGCCCCGATTGTAGGCTCTATTTTGACGCGCACGAACTCTCGTATATGCTTATCAATTAGTGTGGCATAGAGTCATGCTTTTTACTATCTTCACAGTTCTGCTGTGCGCCTTCCAGGCCCAGGCCAAGGCAGTATTTGCTCATTTTATGGTATACCATTCGTTTTTAGTTTTTTTCATATTTATACAAAAGATCAGATATGATTAACACAGTTCCAGGTTACGAATACGGCTGAATATGTTTGGGACGATTTCGAAAATGACATTAAACTGGCCCAAGAAGCTCATATTGACGCGTTTGCGCTCAATATGGCAGCTGGTGATGATGCGAATACTGTTGTGCCGCTATTCTTTCAGGCAGCTGAGAGCCTCGGGTTCAAGTTGTTTTTTTCATTCGATTATGCTGGAAACGGCGCGTGGGAGATAAATGACGTGCTAGGTTATATCAAGCTATTTGGATCAAGTCCGGCTTATTACCAATATAATGGCCAGCCGTTTGTGTCGACATTTGAAGGCCCTGCCAACGCGAAAGACTGGCTTTTGATAAAGGCGGAGACAAATTGTTTCTTCATGCCTGATTATTCTTCCCTGGGGGCCAAGCCTGCTGTGCAACTGGGTGTCGCGGACGGACTATTCAGTTGGGCAGCATGGCCTTGGGGTAATGAAGATATGAACACATACGTTGATGCTTCATACTTGCAGTATCTGGGCGACTTACCCTATATGATGCCAGCGTCACCCTGGTTCTTTACCAACTTACCTGGGTACACGAAGAATTGGTTATGGAGGCAAGTCTCCCACTCTGCTAAATCTCCAAGTCTAACTGTTGCAGAGGGGATCATCTCTGGTATGACCGATGGCAAGAGATCCTATTCGTGAAACCGCCATTTGTGGAGATAATTTCATGGAATGACTATGGAGAATCTCACTACATCGGCCCTTTAAGAGACTATGCGATGGACGCTTTCTCAATCGGCCTTGCTCCCTACAATTATGCCACTGACATGCCACATGATGGGTGGCGCCTATTTTTACCCTATCTGATCGACACATATAAAAATGGAATTGCTACGATTACAAACGAGGGCCTTATGGTTTGGCATCGCTTACAGCCCGGCAGAGCCTGTGCCACAGGTAACACCACGGGTAATACGGCCAGCCAGTTACAGGTTAGTCCTTCCTGTCAATACATAGTGTTTACGGATCCAGCCAAATGACCTTTGCTGCAGATTGAGTTTCCCCCTTACGAAATAGTGGAAGACAGGATCTTTTATTCCGCTCTTCTCTCTTCACCGGCAACTGTCACAGTCAGCATCGGCGGCAAAAGCCAGCAGGGAACATGGCAGTGGGAACCAGATGGCGGCATTGGCATCTACCATGGAAGCGTGCCCTTTGGAAGCAGTGTGGGAGATGTGGTAGTGACACTTTCCAGATCTGGGTCTCAAATTGCCCAAGTTAAGGGAAGTTCAATAACAACTTCTTGCAAAAACGGAATCGAGAACTGGAATGCTTGGGTTGGCAGTGATTCTGCCTCTAAGACTATCTCGGCGACCCCAAAACTTGCCCTATATGAGCAGAAATGTATTAATGGCACAGGTGCAAATAACTTCGAAGGAATTTGCAACTTCGCTTGTGAGTATGGATACTGCCCTATTGGCGCATGTCTCTGTCAGTTACAAGGAAAGCCAAAGCCCACGCCGAAGGCGACAGGGAAGATGGGTTATCCTTTAGCTGGCGAAGATGCCAGCTATAGTGGACTCTGTGCATTTGACTGCCCCTTGGGATATTGTCCCGACAATGCCTGTGGCACAACTTCCGCACCGTTATCGACGCCGACTGTTTCTGATTTCCTGCCTCCAGCATGCGTTGCCGGAACAGGAGAGGGAAACCTTGAAGGCCTATGCAACTTCGCCTGTAATTATGGATACTGTCCAATTGCTGCTTGCAAGTGCACAAAACAGGGAGCTCTGAACCCTTTGCCTCCAAAGAAAAACGTGATCGGCCATGTGGCTGCAGGTTTGGATGCAACTATATACGGAGGTCTCTGCGCTTTCACCTGTGAGTACGGATATTGTCCGGAGGGTGCCTGCTATGCCGTTAATGTTACTGGCTCTGGCTCTGGCCCTGGCTCCGGCATTGTCTATGTCGATCCTGTCATCTTTGTGACTCCAAGTCCAGTCATCGGTTGCTTCCCTCCGTGCACCTTGATAATACCTCCATCGACAATGCCTTCTCCGACGACAATTCACTTCCCAACTTATCATACCACCTTCTCTGTGGGCTCTTCATCATTTCAATATGTTGTCCCCTCCCCTGGTAAGTGTCTCCAGCCCGGAGGAAACTATCTCGCTAATCAAAATGCAGTTACGACTTCCGTGATAGACTTCTTTCCTGTGCCTATTGATCCTACGCAAACGAATCCGTTCTCCTTTGCATTAACGCCGAGTTATTCTCCACTACCTCTCGTCATTAGTGCTGGAACGGCTACAACAACTCTCTATCCGCCGCCAGTCACTGCTCCATCTCAGACATCATCAAGCACGACTGCCCCAGTTTACATATCCTTGGGGACGACCGACTACGTTACAAATGGTATTACTCAAAAATTCTCTGAAGCTCAGGATATCGCACTTCGAACCCTTAAAACTCCAACTGTATTAACAACCACGATTCCTGGGCCTACCTCAGGAACCACAACGCCCTCGCCTGTGGTCATCTGGTTCCAAAAGGGTGGCTTTTACTGGTCTCCAGTACCTAATCCGACACCGCCACCTATCCGGATCCCAACACTGCCAAAATTTCCCCCGATTCCATCTCCAAAGTGCTTCAAGTTGTTTGACATTTTCTCGATCGATTGTCCACCAAATAAGCACCTTCCTACCACTACGTTCGAAAGTCACAAGCCGGAGCCTACTTGCACCGGTAAAGGCTGTGGTAAGGTATGTTCTCACAATTGCGATACAAGCACCAGCTCAGAATGCTCCGAGCGGACTGCAACAGACTACTGGGTGACATGTTCCGGTACTTCCTGCAAGACCACTATGAGTGCCACTATAACCGGCTGCTCTGTTACTGGTACCGCTACTACTACTGGGAGGTACTGTCCTACTGGTATTACTCTTGATCCTAATGAGGATCAGGGGCAAGATGGCCCGGCACCCTCGAAGACAGTCATGGTCACGACGAGTATTCCCGAGGTAGCAATTGTCAGTGGTACTCCAGTCACTGTCAAAGGCGGCTCCATCACCATTGGTGGCAAACCATTTGCCATACCGGCCGTTACTGGCTCGGAAACCACCATGACTATCGGAGGTGTACCTGTTGTGGTTGTACCAGGATATACAGGTACAGTGCCATCATACGCTTACCCTACAACTCTGGCACCGGGAACAATTACCTCTACGTTCCTTACAACCGTGCATCCTACCACTATTGTCACTACTGTAACAGCTAGCATCCCTCCCTACCCGACCAAGTACAATTGTAAAGGGTCAGGTCTATGTGGCTTTTATCCTCATTTCGGAACATACTGCAAGGCAGCACCCAAGAACATCGTGGACAGCGAAATATACGGGCAAGTAATTCATTTTCTTTTTGCTCATCTTCTATCCGACCTACATTTGCTCCCTCATAACCTACGGTTGAAATATGCGCATCCCAAAAAGAGCCAAACTAACTTGTACCTTAAAGCACAACTCATAACGACAGTAACACCGGTGTTTGCGCTGGTGCGGGTGATACTGCCAAATTTGGAGACGGTTGCGGAGTATTTGTTAAAGGAACGGGTTGTGAGATCACCGGAGCCGTATTGAGGAAGTAAGTATAACCACCAACAACCACAAGCCCACACACATCTGCTAATGCTATCTATCCATCTCATAGAGCCGCTGATGACTTGTGGAATATTGAACGTTGCGGGGCATGTGGCAATGTTTGGCTCTCCAACGGTTGCCGTGTCATAGTTGATTTCGTCTCCCATTGCAAATCCCCGTCACCGGATACAATGGCACCACTATCATGGAATCGAACAAGCTCCGATATACTTATTGGTGTCGTGCCAAACAACTATACTATTTCTGACTGAGTCATGGCGGCCAATGAAATGCTCATGATACAAACAAGGAAGACTCCATGGACTAGGGCTTAGTATAATGGGAGACTGTCGACCTCTCTCTATCTGTTATTCTGAATTGAAAGCGCTAGTATAATTATGAAATCCAGATTTGATACGACGGTAGTGCGCAGTGAAGCTTCTTGAGATATTAGCTATCAAGGACCTAGTATTCCCCGTATTTTTACTGGCATGAAAGCCGTGGAATATTAACTGACTGAGTTGGCTGATAGCGATAAGTCGAGTAGATATCACTATATAGTATACAGTAAGATGAGGCTCTTATGAGGCGTCCGTCGGATTTTGCCAGTATAGAGATCTGAGCCAGAAAGTTCTTATAAAGAAGCTGGAAACAGATCGTCACTTGCTTACATAGCTCTAGGATCCTAACTAACTTTGTTATGAGTCAGAATAAATAGTTACATCGATCGGGATCGGGACCGGGTGCAAAGAGCGCTTCATGGCACCCCCGTCGTCGGTTATAGTTACGGCAAAAGCCATATTTCTTGTATACCGGAAAGGCACGACAGCATTGGTTTTCTTTTACATGCTCAATCTAGATCACACGCTAACATGATTATACTTTTAGAAAGCAAGGCGCCTTTTCAAGTGCATATTAATCTAACTACTGGCAACTTGGCACATCCGATTCTCTAATTGATTGATTCCATGATCTCACTCCAGGCTTGGTTAGGCGAGGACTATCATAGTGCTTTACTGACAAAGGAGAACTCCATGCGAGGTGACAGTTAGGTATTTACCAGATGATCAAACTGTTTTGAAGATCTTAAAAAAGGTGTAGTAGTAAGATCGCACACTAACCAGCTTATAATTGGAAGATTGAATGAAACTGGATAGTGGATCAAAAGAGAAACAATGTTTACTTGAACATAGAAGGCTTCTAGCAAAAGTAGGTCCTGACCCCTGAGTAGAATCTAGACCACGCGGAGGATTTTTCAGACCACGATGGGATCGGCACGCTAAGCTTCAGTTCCCAGTGGGACCACCGAGCTTAGCATTATTAACTTCATCTTGCCACTTATACATGTCAATATCTGAACGAGAAGGGATATAAGGAACGATATACTCCGTAGGATTCACACCATTAACTCTTGGTATTACCAGTGCTATTCTTCCAAGCCTTTCGATGACGAGTCAAGTTGCGTAAGGATGTAACTAAATGCTCCGCTAGGTACTGTATACCGTTTGCACTTTCCCTTCTCCCATCCCTTGACCTATCCTGCATCGACTGTGATCGCTAAAAGGGGAATTTAACCTGTCAATCAAGATGTCCCGGGTTCAGCCTTGTTCATGAGTACCGTACAGCTCGGAGGTGTGCTCCAGATTGATATAAATGTTTCAACGATCAGCAGCTCTCTAGATCGTTTTCTCGATCGTCCATTATTTCACTCGTGACTGCTTCTTCTCCTGCTTGCGTTCGATGAAGGTTTCCAACCTCAAATCCGGGCTTGTGCAGGCCATCCTGGTCCATGCCGCTGCCATCAATGCCTACCTTTACAACACCACTATTCAGACCAAGTATGGCGCTGTGAAAGGCATTCCTGCACTCAATGCTACATGCTGTTCCTACCTTCCAGGTTATGAGAGCGTGACCGTCTGGAAGGGTATTCCATTTGGCGCAACCACGGGTGGCGCGAACCGATGGAAACCTCCGCAGCCTCGTCCTGGATGGAATGGCACCCTTGTGGCCGACACCTTTGGTTCCGCGTGCCCAGCAGGTACCTCGCCCACTGGTGCAATTGACGATGTCTACGACGAGGACTGCCTCAATCTCAACATCTGGACTTCAGCCAACTCAACCGCTGAAAAGCGGCCAGTAATGATCTGGAGCTATCCCGCGGGTGCCAACGGCGCATGGAGCATGTTTGATGGAGGTGGCCTTGCGCTTAAAGATATTGTGGTTGTCACTTACAATTATCGGACGGGCCCCTATGGCTGGCTTGCGTTGCCCGAGCTATGGGAAGAATCCGGCAACATCACTACGGGGAACTATGGGCTCTTGGACCAGATTGCGGCATTGAAATGGGTGCACGAGAACATCGCAGACTTTGGCGGCGACCCAAACCACATCACGACTGTTGGCCAGTCTGCTGGTAGTGCCGCTGTATACCACACTGTTAACAGTCCTCTTGCTAAAGGGCTGATTGTCGGTGCTATTGCGGAGAGTGGAATTCGCGATCCTCATGATCCGGCGGCCACCGAGCTGGCCGAAGGCTACAACAACATGACGACTTCTCTAAAGCTAGGAGCTGAATTGAAGTCCGTCCTGAACGTTACCACACTCGAAGAGCTACGTCAAGTCCCTGCGGAGACTATAAGCAAGTACAGCGATTTCACTTCGTTCCAGAACTGGAGAGCCACTCTGGATGGCTATGCCCTTCCTGAGACATACTGGGAAGAGCTGCAGAAAGGGCCGGCCAATGACGTCCCACTGATTACTGGTAACACGAAGGATGAATCTGGCGCTGCATATGGCACGAATGTGACGGTATCACAGTACTTGAGCACGCTCAACTCTACGTACGGCTCCTTTGCCAGCCGCTTTTTGGAAGAATATCCGGCCGCAAACTCTACACAAGCGTCCATGAACTCCAACCTCATCGCGAGAGATACGTCTCTTGTCGGTTCCTGGAACTTTGGCAATTATTGGGCAAAGTCGGCTTCTTCACCGTTCTACACCTATTACTGGGACCACGCTCCTCCAGGTCAAGACCAAGGTGCCCATCATATGTCTGAAATCACATATGTGTTTAACAATCTCTACGGCACTGATCTCCCTTGGGAACCAGTAGACTACGAGATTGCGGAGACATTGAGCAGCTACTGGGCCAACTTTGTCAAGACGTCGAATCCCAACACAGGTGGCAGCTACCGCGGCAATGGGACTCTGGCATACTGGAGGCCAAGCACCAGTTCCAACGCGACAACCTTCCACCTTGCGCCGCCAGCCCCGATCAACAAAAACGGGCTACCTGTTGGATATGCGCAGGTCCCTGTTGCTAAGAAAAGTCACATCACGTTGTTGAATGACTTCTTCCAGAGCCGGGTGCCACTCTAAGTAAATGGCTACTCTGGAAAGCATGCTAAAAACGTGCTTGCCCTGGGCAGTCTGACATGGTAAACTGCTATATTTGACTCACAATAGTACTCATATTATGTTCATAGTTCTATTGTCTTCAGTATTCATTGCATTCTCCCGGGTCTCTCAGCTGAGAAGAGTCATATTCTTATATTATACCACGTGAATAGCTGATTACGCACGGAGCATGGCAGCAGGTCGCTTTAATGCACCAAAACTCAGACTTATCTATCCGAACTTTCTCCGGATTTGATATGAAATGTATAAGATCAGAAAGTCAACTACGAACGCTTAATGCTATATTAAGACCGGGTAACAGATCCATACTTCTAGTTAAGTGTTACATATTAATAATAAGATTAACTATAAGCTGATTTAAGCTCTTTTCAACCCATGTCTATCCCGCTAAAACAATTATCTTTGATACTAATGCAGGGGACCGAATAATTAGTCCCGCATGATCTGTAAGTATCCTTGCCCGTTCGTGATATGTAGATGACGCGGCGTTATAGCTTTTGACTGGCAATTTCACTCATGAATTCATGCCTCTATGAGAATGCTAAAAATGGCAAGGTAGCGCGAGCCGTGAATAGTCGGTCACCGGCCCGGATTCTGCAATAGATCTGCAAACAATTTGTATTTATCTAGGTCCGCGTGGGTCTTAGCAACGAACGTATTGCCCCCACAGTCAAGCCAGGGCACCCGGCACAGCCATATGGGCGACGCGGAGAATGAAACTTGTAGTCAACAGGGGAGTCCCGATTATTCTTGTGTCCTTCATATGATTATCTAGGTGGGGAGGATCGAGAGTCATGGGTTTAGCTCTTGTGCTTGCAACGTCATCACCCTCTTTTGATAGAGACCTCTATCTAGGGGAAACACGGGTTAAAGGAGTTATAAATGTCAGCGTCTCCCGTCTCTTCGGTGGCACGTTCTTGAGGTCTTGAGTGTGCCAATTACCTGTATGTAGTTGGTCGTTCACCATGATCATTCTCGGTCTTCTCTGGCTCAGCCTTTTTAGGGCTGAAGCGGCATTGAGCAAAAAGTCAACAACAAGCTCTTCCCTCTCAGCTGCGTCACCAACGGTTTCTATCCAGCACTATGGAACTATTCGCGGCGGTCGTTCAGAATACATAGATACGGTCTATAGCTTCAAGAACATTCCCTATGGAGGCGCCCCGACTGGGGCGGAGAGATGGAAGCATCCGCCGCACCCGACTCCCTGGATAGGAATTCGTGATGCTACAGCTTTTGGTCCTCCCTGTCCGCAGCCAGGTGTCAGCAATTATAGTGAAGATTGTCTGAGACTCAATGTCTGGACTCCTGAAAACGCAACATTCAACGATGTCACGAACAGCACAGGACAAGCTGGGGTTGTGCCGTCGAAGACCAATAGCAAGTACCCCGTATACGTGTGGATCCATGGCGGACGCTTTACCGGCGGATCTTCCAGTGATCCTCTCTATGATGGATCTGGACTTGCGAAAAAGGGAGTCGTGGTTGTCAGTATGAATTACCGTCTCGGTGCTCTGGGATTCCTGGCCCATCCAGAACTGAGTGCCAACTCCTCCAGTGGTACTTCTGGCAACTATGGGCTGGTGGATCAACAAGCTGCTTTCCACTGGACATATGAGAACATCGCATCCTTTGGTGGTGACCCGTCTCAGATCACCATTGGGGGTCAATCAGCTGGTGCAGCATCAGTTCTCGACCATGTCAACAGTGACCTAGCCGCGGGCCTCTTCAACCAAGTGATTGCAGAAAGCGGAGCAACCTATCCCTCTAATCCGCTCATCGGGAGTCTGGCACAGAGTTATCGCCATTTACCGGAGGCTGAACAACAAGGTGCAAGTTTTTTGAAAAGCCTTAACATCAGCTCCATTGCGGAAGCGCGAGCGGCTCCTGTTGAGCTGCTTTTGGCGGGTAGTTCCCTGAACGACAACACATATGATGACACAGTCTTCCAAAACGATTCGGTATATATGGAACCGCCGCTCTTTCGCCCAGTTCTCGATGGCTACGTCCTTCCTGCCACTTATGAAGAGATGCTCCGACGAGGGAACCATTCCATTGTTCCTGTCCTGACTGGAGTGAATAAGGACGAAAATGGGGCGTCACCCAACCCAGGTCTCGACGTTAGGAATTACACCTCATTACACACTGAGGAATTCGGAAGCGTCGGTTTGGCCAACGAGTTCTTTAAACTATACCCAGCAGGAGCAAACTCCACCACTGCTGATGAGGCCAGTAACGCTTTCTATCGAGACCAGTCTCGAGTGTCGACTTGTCTTTGGGCTAATGAATATGTTGCTGGCTCTTTGCTGAACACATCCGGTAACGGTACATATTCGACATATACATACTACTGGACCCATGCCCCTCCAGGCCAAGACCAAGGCGCATATCATATGAGCGAGATCAACTACGCGTTTAACAATCTCTATGCCACAGAGAGACCGTGGACGCAGAAGGATTACAAGATTGCTAACATCATGTCTGATTATTGGGTCAACTACATACGAACTGGGAATCCCAATGGCAAGGGACTTCCATATTGGCCTCGGAACTCTGTCAATAGTTCTATGATCATGGAGCTAGGAGATGCGTGGGGTAGAAGGCCTATCGCGAGTAAGGAAAGGATCTCTTTCATCCGTGACTGGTTCTCAAAGTGGCCGGCCTATTAAGTAGTACTGTACATATTTACCCTATATCTATTTCTTGTCGATTCTTCTTGCTTTCTATCTCGAGTTTTCTTAGAGTCCTCGTAGATCCAGGCTTGGTAATGATTGCTGCACAGGCGTTTTTATATTGCCTTTTGAGTCCTAGTATAGTCGTCGGAATATGAACATGTAGTAACCTTCGAGATTTTCAATGACCATTCGTGTCTCTTCCCGACTATTGCACTGACTTGTAGCGTCAAGAGCAAATGTATTCAATTCATATATTGGTCATCACGACTACCTTAGGTTCCCGCAAACCACAAAGCTTCTTGCTCCCCACCGCATCGACTATAGCCTGGGACAGCCGATGTTGAACGAACCTCTATCAACACCTGAAGCCTTCAAATTACTGTTATTATTATCGTGATTCCTCAGGCTGGCCCAAGGAATCACTGCAATTGCTAATCCTGGCGTGTGCGTCCCAGCACTAGACTCCCACCTTGCCGCCGCTACCGCGGTCATCTTCAGCCACAAGGCTGCTTGTCGTCTCCTCGCGATCCCCGCCCCCCAATCCCCCCTCATAGACCCCTCCCGAAGCTTCCTCTGCGAAACGAAAGCGAACGAAGCCGTGTTCACCGTGGGACCTCTTCAGACGACCCAGCTCCGTGTGTCGATTGCTATCCAGACTTTGGGTAGAAGCTCAGACCTGGATACTGTACGCTTTACTCCACCGCTATACGATACGCAACCCCCGCGTCTGGCCTACGATCTCCGTTCATACTTCGATACTATTCGTGGTTAGCAGTTGGCAGGGGTTATTGTCTTCGCCCCCGGGACGATATTCAGGAGATACTTTACGTTCCTTCCAACCTTTAGTGACGATCGTATCAGAACGGTTTCTAGGAGTCTACTCGTCCGATATCACTTGTCAGTCAAGGGTGGTCTGCGTTACCAGGAGGAGCATCTTGGAAATCGGAAAACTGTCGACTGAAAGGCACTACTGAGGTCGGCCCGGTCGACGATCCTCCCTAACGGCTCGTTATCATCGACTGCAGCAGAATCTCCCGCCGTCCAGCACTCGTTGGAAGTAGCCACACCCGCCGTGTGCGCGCCTTCGGGGCCCCCGGTCTGTCTTCAAAATGTCTATAAAGTGCGTCTCTACCCCCCCATGCTGCTGGTTTGATCGTTTTCTTGTTCTTGTGTGTTTTGACACCTATTCTGTCATGATTCCTATGCCTTATTGCTTGGTTTTCTTGAATGTTGATACTTGCGAATCGCTTTCAATATGGCGTATAAGACCAAACAGAAGTCAATGCTAAACAAATTGCGCCTTTCTATGAACAGCTGGGTGATGCTTCATGAGAATGAGGCTTTCATCCGCCTTCCCAATGAACGCCTTATTTATACATCCCCGCCACGGACGAGCTTCTCATTACAACCTCCAAGCGGCTACTCGGGGCGAGAATCTCTTTCTCTTCAGAGCAATAGCGGCCTTGTCTATCTCACAAACCAGCGTGTTAGTTCCTCTTTGCGTTACTGAATTTGTGCATCTGGCATGCTGACGCGCTTTGTCCAGATTGTCTATTTACCATCTCAACCCAGTCAAGAACTCCAGTCATTTTCTGCTCCGCTGTTGAATCTTCATGACACGCATGTCTCTGCGCCCTTTTTCGGACCAAATGTGTGGACTGCATTGGTGCAGCCCGTCGCGGGAGGCGGCATCCCGCCGTCGTTTCCGGCTGTTCAGCTGAAGATGAGTTTCAAAGAAGGGGGAGCATTCGATTTTCATTCCAATTTCGAGCGGGTCAAGGAGCGTTTGCAGCAGGCAGTCGAGACTTCTCAGGCTACGAGCAATTCGCAAGCATCACGCCGGGGCCATATCGACTATTCAGCCGTTCACCTTGAGGAACTTCCTGCTTATGATAGTCCTGGTCACGCGCCTGCTGAGCCCAATCGTGCCTCACCAGGCTCTGTTCCTTTGTCGGGATCAGCAGTACACCCTCCGGGTCAAGACGAGATGCCACCACCTCCCGTAGACAATATCGCGACTGAGGACAGATTCGAACCACCTACGGAACCGCCGCCGGGATACGAAGAAGTACAGCAGCAGAGTGTGGCGCACGAGCTAGAAAGCCGGTTACGTAGCGCGAGCTGATGCCGCGAGGATATCGCTGGGATGGAGAACATCATCATCATCATCCAGACTTTTTCTGTACATTAGCTAGGGACCAGTGGTTGTATGCGGGTGGAAACGGGTGGACATTGCGCGCGCTCACACACACACAGTGTCGGTCTTTCGTCCTGCAGTTGTCAGCGACGAAGGAGGAGAAGAAGAAGAAGAAGATAATGACTGAAACGAGCTTAATAGATATTATAGAATAATGAACAAACAGAAACCATCCTCGAGCGCGCATTCCATTGTCTCTGCTTATAACTAATAATAATAATAATCATGAATGTTGGTCGGGCATCGGCCAATCACGTGGGGGGTAATTTAAGCCAGTCGCGGGCCGCCGGACAAACCACCGCAGCGTTCCGTTTTTCCCTTGGGAACGGCGAGCTTCCCAAAACCACCCGAGACCATCAATCCCAACCTCTCCTGCCAACGTCCCTGCGCATCCCCCACGTCCTCTCCCAACTCAATTGCAAAACCTTTCCGCCATGGGTTTCTCCGATCTTTTCGCCGACGTGATCTCCTCCCTGGGCTTCGCCGAGGCCCAGGCTGAGGCTCCCCCAGCCGAGGAGACTCAGAACACCGAAGAGGAATCGACCCAGGACAAGTCGGCGGACGCTGAGGAAGCCCAGGAGCAGCCCGAGGAGCAGCCCGAGGAGGAAGAGGCCGGAGAAGAAGAGGAGGAGGAGGAAGAGGAGGAGGAGGAGGAAGAGCCCGAGGACCCCATGCCCAGACTCGTGCAGGGTAAGTGGATGACGACCTGCTTTCAGTCTTCGCGGTGGTCTCCAATGGGGCCAATTGAGCACCCGTACTTCCCTGCAGATTGCGATATGCGCGCTTTCACCAACATATTTACGTTGAGATACGACGTCTCTTCTCGTTTCCGCTCAATTGGCCCTTTCCAACGGACCCGGCGGAGATGCATCTCCCTTCCGCCGCACGCGGAGGAACTAATGCCAAGACTGAATACTGACTGAATATTCAAACAGAGTGCACCGACTCCCAACAGTGCGCTGCTGCTAAGCACCACTTCGACGAGTGCGTTGAGCGTGTCACCAGAGCCTCGGAGGATCCCGACTACAAGGGCCCCAAGGAGGACTGTGTCGAGGAGTGTAAGTGTGGTCAATTCCTTGTCCAAAACGGAAAACTGTTCCAAGTTGTCCCAATATGGCGACATTTGGAATCGGTTTCTCTATATCCCATATCTCAATTCGTCATGATCCGGGGTTGGACATCAGCTAATCCGTCTCTTTACCGCTGTACAGTCTTCCACCTCCAGCACTGCGCTACCCAGTGCGCCGCTCCCAAGCTCTGGCGTGAGCTCAAATAGATGGCTTAACAGGCCATCAGCGATCCTATCTACGGTTTTCTTCTCTTCGATCGACAACGGAACGACCGCGCGGGCGAGACCTGCCATTTTGCTCGATAGTGGGATACACCGAAATCGTTCGAAAGAGATATGGGGATGGTGGAAAAGGATCGCAGCGAACTCGATGGTGGGATAGATTCGTCCAATTATCTCTCTCCCAACCTGCCAATTGTATGCGTTATGATCTCACGCTCTGGTCAACGTGTTGAGGGGTATGGTCGAGCCTGTGCTCTCTCAGTCTTACGTGGGTCATTCTCGTGGGCGCAAGAAAACGTCAAATCACCTTGTCTGTACAGATAGCTAGTCACCGCTGTGCTTTTATTCCTTTTTTTGTTCTCTTATGTTTAGACAAATGGTTTCATGCTAGATTTCCTCCTTCTCCCGTACGTGTGAAAGCCATGTAAGATGGTTATTCTTGACGGTCATTTTCGATTAAACGAAATCATCATTCATAACCGCCTACATGAAAATGTACAACGTAGTATGAACGTATAGCTCATAGATACAGCAATAAAATCAGCAAGAGTGACATTATGTACATACAGGTCATAAAAACAATAATAACAACAAATAGACAGTCAAAAGGGGGTATCCGAAAGCAAGATTAGTTAACAGATTAATAAATCACCATATCGATGCAGGTGATCAACGGCCATTCTCATCATCGTTCTTATTGGCCGTGACAGATGATGTGGTTACTTCTCTGTTAGCGTCTGATGATGAGCTCTCACCGTTGATTCCAGTAGTGATGGTAGTAGCATCATTGACACCATAAGTGCTGCGATCCGCTCGCAGCCGACGCCTACTCACTTTCCGACCGAACAGGCCCAAGGAGAGCGGTAGAGGAACGACGACGGCCGAAATGACAGCGGAGAAGATTAGTGCGTTTCTCATATTATACGGTGGATGAGCGTCCGAGGGGGCCTTGAGGGCGTCTTGGACGATGATAAAGATAGCTCCGAGGAGTTGGCCACCTGTCCAGCAGATGGTGCTTCCGATTTCTGGAGCGAAGGGGTATGTGATCTCCACGAGGTATTCGAGGGTGACTGGGAGGAGAGAAAAGGAGGATGCGCCTAGGATTGCGCAGACGACGTAGGATGGAGCGATGCCCGCCGGGCTTGACGGGGCGAAGATCAGTCCGATGTATGAGGCGGCGACGATGGGGATGAGGATTTTGATTGTAGTTAGGTAGTGTTTGAAACGGTCTGTTAAGGGAGATACGATTGCGGAGGCGATCAGTCCGACGATGATCAGGATTCCACCGGCGATTCCGGCGTCGGTTTCGGAGAAGTTGTAAGGCGATAGGATCTGGTTCAGAAGGGAAGAGACGCTATTGAAGAAGCCGACGTAGATGGAGAACGGGATGAAGATGAGGTAGAACTCGACGGTGCAGAAGAGTTGTGTGATTTCCTTCCGGAGAGAGCCTCGTGATACCGTTGCTTGGGAGGAAGCACTGGGAGGAGTGGGAGGCGCGGCAGGGAGGAAGATTGAGGGAACTGTTGCAACCGTAGACTGCGGTTAAGGATCATGATATATTAGATTCCATCGTCTAGATATCTATGTCGATTCCAATCGGGTATGGTGCTAATCACTCACGATGATGGAGATATAGAGCACCATATTCGGCACATCACTAGGCTCCGTGGCCCAGACGGAGTCGACCAATTGGCCGATTGCTGCACCAAGAGGATTCGCAAGCGTCGCTAATGCCGTCGCGCTGGTGCGTCCATGGTCTGAGAACCATAGATCACTGTATCGTGTGGGAGCGCTCAAACAGAATGGCTGCGCAAAGCCGATAAGAATCTGACCGAGCATCGCGAGCCCAAAGATGCCTCCGTTCGCTTTGGTTCCAGCATAGCGTATCCAGTTTCCGACAAGAATCAAGGCAGAGGTCGCTAGGATGGCAGGTTTCGGGCCTCCTTTGTTGAGGGTAAAGATCGTTATACTGTATGCGATGCGATAGTCAACACTTCTATCTCAGCACAATATAGGAATACGTCATCTTTTTTATTTTTTATTTTTCCAACTGGGGCCTTCCACTCACGGCGTCACCAAGCAAAATGCAAAGAGAAAAGCAGTGCTCATCCAATTTATTGCGCCCTCAGAAACCTGGAAATACGCCGCGGAGGTTGTCGAAATCGCAGAAAAAGTCAGCCACTATCGAGCAGTTAGTCGCATTGCTCATAGTATGCGCTTGGGGAGAATGACGACGGCATACATCCCAGCTGACCACGATGTTGAGCAAAACGAGCTGAACCAAGCCTAGAAATCGCCTCTTGTACACCTTGTATTCGCCCGTCGTCGTGATGCCTCTTTCTTCATCCTGAAGACTGGACTGGCTGTGGACGTGCTGTGTCATGTCGGCCGTTTCCGAAGCTTGCCGGATCGCAACGGCCTCTTCGACTTCAGCGGGAGAACGCATCGTGTTGCGGGACGGTAATTTGAAGCTTCACATGGCCTCAGGGAATCCTAAATCATCTTTGCCAGAGGAAGAACTTATTGTATGGCGTCCGGGTTCTATGCCAAGTGTTGGGGGCAGCAGTAGCAGGCGGATGATGGAGCGATAAGGTAAATTGCCCGATGCGGACTCTGCGACAGCCCCGCAAGTGAATACTTAGTCTCTTCCCAGCTGGTTTTGTTGCGCAAGGTCGTACGAGTGTCAACAAAGAATTATTGAGCTTGCTACAGATCAGCTTTGTATTCTCGTGATCAGTTGGTCCTATGGTTCTGGCACTGAGTGGCTGAAGTATATTAACTAATAATAGTCTTTCAGTCTTTGCTCCTGGACTGGTCGAGGCTTCTCAAAGTATTTAGTATAGATGACTACCTCGGTCCTCGAAGGACGTTTGACGGTCCAAATTGATAATCTAGGAGGGGCCGTGAAAAAGTTGTGAGCTTCTGAAGAAGTCACAGTTTTCTCTTGTAGCACCATTTCTAGAGTGCTCCATCTGCGGCGCAGTGTTGATGTCGGCCCAGCTCGCCGGTGCCAGGAAACAGCAAGTTTGACTTATATAATAATAATGTCTGGATGCTCTCCGGTTGACGGAAGAGCACGGACGTGATGTAACTGATGAAGTCATTTGATCAGTTAGGCAGTGTCACAGAAGTTGGTAGCACGGATCGTCAGGGATGAGATGCGTTTTACCAATCTCAGTTTGGGACCTGTATTGGCTAACCAAGACGATTGACATGGCAGCTGTCCCATTTATTATTTATAACTAGATCTGCTGGCTTGAGTAGGCATTGTCAAGAGGTCGAGTATTCACGAGAGAGGTTCTAGAGGTTATTTATCATCGTAGCGGCCTACAAACGCTTTGGTCAGTAATAGTCCTTGTCTGGGCAAAAGCGTCAACCCCAGGGATTGTGCTCTTGACAGGAATGCGGCCAAGGCGTGGATTGCACGTTGGTCCCCTGAATAGACGATATGAGCTGGATATGATCTTTTATCCATGCTGTTGATCACCGTTTCTCAAATCCCAGTCAGGCATCCTTGTCTAGGCAGGTATGGCTGTGGACCCGTGGCTGACGTAGGAACTCGGAAGGTTAGTTAGATAGTTATATGAGTATAACTCAAGTCTATCTCCGTATCCTGCGCACCTTTAGCCAGTCATGAACTTGCTCCGTACTCCGGAAGCAGCAAAACATGACGGATGGAAGATCGGTCCCCGCAACCGAGGAACAGGTTCACGGCAATTTCGGGAGGGAACCTTGGGCCAGTGAAGGTGAGGCGTCGAGCAGTGCCTATTAATGTCCGGGGCGTGGAGACGGATGTTCTCGTTGGTAGAACCAATCTTTCCTTTCTGACAGCCTGTTTCACCTATAAACAAACACGATAGAGCTGAGAAGGATGCCATCAGCACGGCAAATGGATGTGAACATCACTGGAAGCCATTTGCCATAACTCGTCACTTCAACACGTCTATCTGTCTGCCTCTTGTCATTGTTTTAATGGCCGGTGACTCTCGGAAAGTAGTGTTAGCGTGAACTGGCAGGGGTTCGTGCAGAGCCAGCAGGATGGTTCCAAGTACTCCGTACGGAGTAATTAATTAACTATCTAATACATAGGTTAGACCTGTTTTCATATTAATGTCCGATGCCATTGCAAACCGGATCGTAGCATGGAAATTAGTTACCGGACAGCATCCGGATGACGGACTGCGGAGCGCGGTGGATGCCATTTCAGGGGTTCGTTCCATGGGAGACGTTCATCGCATTCGCAGCATGAATCTCCATCTTGACCACGCGATGGAAAATAACAAGGGGATCGTGGAGATCGAAAAAGGAGGCTAGGGTCAGCGGCGATCTCCTCCGGCGCTGCGCTACGGCGGGAGAAGTTCGTTTTGCGCTGCCACGAAGAGCCCGCTAGGACGAGGCGCAGTCGATCTCGACTTTCTTCGGGCTGTCCAAGATAGAATAGACTGTCGTTTTCTTCTTTTTTTCTCTTCGTGGTCGCTGTCCTCCCTATTATTGATTCTTATTCACGGTTGCGCCGTCTGGGTGTTCTGCCTGTCCACGTTGTTTCCTGTGAGCAGCTGGAGTCGGACTCCCTGGCGATTTCCCCGCTGGGCAATCGATCGATCCTAATAATCACCACCCGCCATCACATACAGCCTCTCTTCTACCATCCACAGATCGGAATGATGTCTCCCTCGCGTCCATAGATAGTTATTATTTCCCCTTGCTGCCGTCGCTCTTTCACCGCTCGCAGCCATGATGAACTTCGCGAGTCTCCGCTCCAGCCAGTCCTCCTACGGGGACTCCAGGTACATCTCGTCCGCTTCGTTTCCGATCCCTCCGCCGCCGTCCAAGGCTCTATTAGATGGTTATCGAGATTCCCTGGACCCCAATAATGAAGAAAAGCCGCGCTTCAATCCGGTACGTGTCGTCCGCCCCCGATTATCTCGCGTGGTTGGACATGGCTGACACCCAGCTTGTCTGCCGCATAGCTCAATGCCTCTCATCCTCGCAGTTCTGCCTTGCTGGACGTCACCGACCCGGTGTCCATGCACCTTCTCACAGAAACAGCTATAGGAGACAGCCTGGGGTATGAGGTTTTGTCTTTTGAGGAGGTCGAAGAGCTGAAGAAAGAACATTCACTACTGTCAACCCGCGTGGAGGCTACAAAGCGAAAACTGGCCCTGGAAACAAAACTACGCGATGCAGCTAGATCACTGAGCAGACTGCACAGCCCGAAAAGCTCGAGAACGAGTGAGGACTATGGTTCAGATCCGTCGCCCGGGTCACATCGCAAGCGCCGCAGCATTTTTGGACGCAACGGCGATGACTATTACGACAAGGCGGACGAGGAGCTGGCGGCGAGCACTCGAAAGTGCGAAGAGCTCGCCCAGGAGCTTTGGAGGCTAGAACGCAGGACGCAAGACATTCAACGGCGACTGCTCCAGCATACCGCGGGTATCTTACAGATGACACACAAAGGTCTCAAGAAGAACTTGAACAAGAATGGCGCAAATTCCAGTCATGATTCGCGGAACGGGGAGAGCATTTACGGAGTCAACGGTGGCATGGACTTTGATGATCGCAGCTTGTACAGGCCGGCGGACTACCTTGACGAGTCTAATGGTGGCTACGGCAGGAATGGGCATCAGTCCATGGGTGTTGACCTTAGTGCTATCCATAATACGGAGCGCAAATTGGAGGAGCTAAGCGGTCGCATGCGTGCCATGATTCTTCAGAATAGCACCGACTCCGACGTCGATCCCGTCCCTCAGTTTTCCAGCGATGGCGGCCCAGTCAATCCCACAGCGGCTGTCGAAGCACATATTGCATACATAGAAAACAGTCTCCAGACATTGAGTTTCCAGCAAGAGCGGGGACCCGGAGGGACTGGAGACTCGGATTCTGAGACTAAGCGGGAGCTGGAGGATATCAACAATCGTCTTCATGAAGTCTTGGGAGTGTCAGGCGCTGGTTCAGCTCGTTCTCCCACTATTGCGCCCCCTCCTCAGTTTTCGGATGAGAATACTCTGCAGGAGCACATGCGCTACCTCAGTGACGGTGTCGATACTCTGCAGAGGCGCGTTGAAAGCCTTGTTGAACAGAAGAGCATCCTGACCACACAGATCCAACAACAACGGGAACTGAACTCCAAATCTGATGCCGAAAGAGATTCCCACATAGCAGATCTGACGCAGCAGCTTATGGAAGTTAGAAGAGACTTGGAACACTCTGAGACCAACCACCAGAGCACTAGAGAGGAATTAGCTTCGGTAGTGGAGCAGCTCGAGGCTGCTAGACAGGACCTGTCCCTCAGGGACCAAGAGCAGGGCAAAGACGATAGCGAGGCCGTGGAGATTGAGAGGCAAGCACGCATCCAGGCGGAGGAACAAGTTTCTCACCTGGAAGATGTCCTTCAGCAGATTCGTGACGAGGCGGATGCCCAGATCAAGCAGGCCAACGATCTGCGGTCCCACGCAGAGGAGAATTCGAGCCGCTTAGAGGAAGCGCTGCAGCGACTCCGAAACGAAGCGGATGCCGAGGTCAAGGAAGCCACCGAAGCTCGCTCGCAGGCTGAAGAACGTGTTACCAGGCTAGAAGGGGAAATGAGAGAGCTGGAAACTGACATAGTCAGAGCTCAGACTGAACTGACCGTTGTAAAGGCGGAACTCGACGGTGCCTACGGCACAAGGGCAGAGCGTGCAGCGGCAGTCGCTGCTAACCCCGCTATCCAGAAGGAAATTGACGAGCTGAACCTGAGGAATATCAACCTTTCTGAAGAGCTTGCGGCACTCAAAGCAGAACAGTCATCGAAACATGCCGCAGGCAACAGCGGACTCCAGCAACGTGTGCAGACGCTTGAGAACGAACTCCGAGAGACGATCGAAGATTATGAAGCCATGACTAAGGCTAGCATTGAGTTTGAAAAGGAACGTGACAAGCTCGAAAGTGTTATTGACAGCCTGCGCGAGCGCTGTGAGAACCTGGAGTCTCAGCTGAACGATGAGCGTATCAAGTGGATGGGCATTAAAAGTCCTATTCCACTGACTCCCAACGGCCCCGCAGAGACGACTTCTACGATGGTACTCAAGAATGAGTTCAAGAAGATGATGCGAGATACGCGAGCAGAGAACTTGAAACTCCTGAAGGTGAGCAACTGGCATCTGCGAAAAGATCTTGACCTTTGTTGTCACGCGTTCTTAAGCTAATTAATCGACACTTAGGCCGAACAAGAAGAACGAAGAAAGCTGGAGGCTTTGGTTCGTACTCTCCGGAAAGATCAGATGAATGGCAAACCGGAAGAAGGCCAGAGTGCTACGGCTCTATGATCATGAAGCTTTCGGACTTTTCTTCGGCAACTATACCCACATACCCCTTTGCGTATTGTATACTTATTCTTGCATTGTATTTCTTTTTATTATGGTTGAACCTTCAACCCCGGGACTGCATACTATTCAGACCGTGACGCTGGGAGTGTATATAGAATTATCCAAAGTGATTGCATCATTTTCTTTTTCCTTTGCTCGCAAACGCCTTCCCTAGGACGTACGAGGACCTGTCTCTTGCGTTACCTTGGTGGGAAGGTACACCCGCGTTCATAAAAACAGATATATCACATGGAAACTGCGATATGCCATAATTTTCCGATGGCTATCTCGTGTATTTTCCTCTCGATGCATGTCTATCCTCCTCTCCCTCTTCTTTTCGAGGGCTCAGGGGTTGTCGTTCGTTTGGCATCCACCCAGGTGGTTTATTTCGCTTCATCGTTACTCAACATGGATAATAGTAGGTATCTGGATCGGACTGCCGACAAGAAAGCTGTCGGGAACATACGCTTCCCATTTCAGTCTCACTTTGTCGACTGCAGTGGCAGTAGCGAAGACAATACTCGACGTACAGCCTCCCTACTCGCCTTCGGGAGAGATCTAGACTCGTCGGAGTCTATACCAAGCGAGCACAGTTCCATATACGATGCTGCTAGGGCAAGTTCTGGATCCGACGCGGGTGATCAGACGTACTATGATAGTCTCTCAAGGCAGCCCACTGCAGACGAGCAGCATAGCCTCAACCTTGCCATTTCCGATCAACCTATTTATACTATGACATCTTCCCACAGCAAGTGGCCGGTCAACACCTTGGCAACCATTATCGAACGGAGGAGCACGTCGACCTTGCGCCATTCACGCTCAATGTCCTGCCTGTACGAAAGCTTCTCTGGCGAACGTCTGCAGTTGTCGAGGACCTCTCGATCAGATCTCAACACGTCTATCCCAAACCCTCAAAGGCGTAAGGCTCTCTCTTTCAATGATGCTGACAGCCGTTCTGGGTTATCCGAACTTCTGGGAAGTGACCTATCGCTTGGCAGTCCAGTACAGCCTATGTATCCTCCTCCAATCCGGTCGCCCACTCCTCCTGGTCTTCCATCCTTCGGGACACAAGAAGCCCTCTTCTGCGCATCTCGCTTTGCGATAGAATCCCCTACTCCTGGGCCATCGACATCTGGAGACGGTCGGGGGAACAGTTATGACAGTAGTCTCTCGGGCTCTTATAGCGAGGCATTACGAAGACTGTTCGGCTTTACTGCTCTAGAATCTCGTCCTGCTCGACTCCCTCTACACGCTATCGCAAGAGCTGAGGATGGTACAGCAGTACGTGGACGATTTCCGATTCGGCAGAGTGGACATGGCATGGATCTATCACGCCCTCTAGATAGCCATCCTTTCCACCGCATGACTCTTCCTGTAGCCCAGCCTCAAGTTGAGCGTCTTCACTCCACCGAAAAGCGGCGTAAGCCAGGGAGAAAAAGAAACAATAGTGAAGTCCGGACCTCTTCTCAAGGATCGGAAGTCGTGCTGAATTCCAATCAGCCTTCTTCTCTTCAGCGGGCGTTAACGGCCACCATGCGCAGGACAGACTCTACAACTCCTATCGGTAATTTGCCTTCTCTCCCATCTGCCCTGACTTCCGACGCCCAGTCGAACGGGCCACAGAAAAATTCTCGCGTGCATGTTACAGGCCCTGTCCAGGATGCCTCGGGATCCCAGAATGCCTCCACAGAGGGTAACCGCCCCGTTTCCTATCAACCCGTGTCAACACTATCCTCTTCAGGTGCCTCGCCGGAAGATGGCTCTCTTGATGTTGACGATGCCGAGGAACATACCATGGCTGCATGGTCAGAGCTCCTGAGAATGTATATCTTGGCCTGTTGCTGCTGCTTGGCAGAGGAAGATGATTATGATGGAGTTCAATTGGAAAACCAACCGAGTCCTTTGGTAGCTACGAGAAACGAGACTGGAACTGTCTCCGAAGATGTAGCTTCTTCGACACCTGACTGTGCCCCATTGAGACGTTCAACTACCGGTAAAAGCTCAGACGCGCGACGAATCAAACGGTCTTCAAGACCATGGAGACCCGCCTACGGATTCTCTCCTCAGACGACTGATGCGACCATGTCAGCAGTAGGATAGTGGATCTTGGACGAGGTGGTGATGTACCATATAGAGGCCATGTACCGCGTCTGCAAATATAGACCGTTCCTTGTTCGGTACCATGCCGGGATGGAGGCCATCTACTTGTACAAAGCGCTACATTCAGGGGATCCCTCGAGTGTTAACGCTTCAGTGAGGCCCTTCATCGGCTGCTGTCAAAGGTGCTTGGCAGAAGCAGGACTGTGGGTTTGATGGCGACGGAGATGCGCTTAGCATTGACCCTGCGGGAATATATTCTTACTGTAAAGACGGCCCTCTTACTGCACAGTTTGGATACTCTTATCCTGTGATTGGCTTTGCCTTTCCTCACTCTCCGCACCCTAGATAGCTGCATCTCCGCCAGTATAGTCATAATTCTCCTTAGCCTATCGCGAGCCTAGCTCAGACACAACTACTACGGAGTATACTATTCATTATTTCCAGATAACCTATAGGGTCTTTATGGCTATTCCAAGTCATGTTTTATCTTGTAAGGAACCTCATTTTCCTGACTTCTTGTGATACTTCTTTTTTTTTAATTTTGCATTCTTTTTTATTAAATCTTCTTAGCCTAGCCCGCCCCTCTTTTTTCTTTTCTTTTCACATTAGCTGTGCTTGTGTTTTATTTTAAGAACCGCTATTACCTATTCCTTGTTGCCAGTGTTAACCAGTCTCTATGTGACCTAAGGGCAATGCCAATAACTAATATGGAGTAAACCTCCACAAGTGTAGAATTGATTAATCGGGAGTTAATGGGCAGGAAGGGTATAGATAAGACCCTTACCTCACAATAGTGAGGACTGTAATAGAACAAAAGAATATATCCCAGAAGAAGCAATTAGAAAAAGCGAGAAGCTTCTATAAGAATATTATGAATTTCTTCCCCTATTTTCTCTTCTCTTTCCTTTTTTAAGCTTAAAGTTTTTATTTAGTATTACCTTTAGATAAATCGAATGTAGCTTCTTTCTAGAGACAGAGTCTTACACTACACCTTTACGGGATAACCGTAAAACCGTATTAGAAAAAAAAAAAAAAAAAAAAAAAAAAAAAAAAAAAAAAGAAAAAAAAAAGAAAAAAAAAAAAAGCCAAGCTAATGCTAATGCTAATATAACCGATAAAGAAAAGTGGCCAGTTAATACTATTATGGTAGAAACCAGTTCCGGTTGTCAGACGCGAGCATTCCAATATACCACAATGCCAATGCTACGGTTAGCACCGGGTGGGTTGCACTACCATGCGTCTCCCAGGGTATGCTATCCGAGAGCTCAAGATTTCCATTGCCATCAAGCCTGCGTATGGCTACAAGCTCACAATCTGTGAGCAGGAAGCTATATCGTGCCCTATGCTGGATCATATACTAGTTTACTTACGCCAAGGCCTGTCTGAACTCTTTCCTGTCTTGATTACTGCCATACTCTAATATTGTAGACTATTTCCATGATGGCTTTAAGTCTCCAGGGGCGCGATTGGGCCTAGTAGATGGCGGGTCCCGATATACTTGGAAAAAGGCCGTGTCAGGGGTGAATCCATCGCGTATAGCGGCTTGGTTCCCTTCCCCAAATCATACAACAGAGTTTCCATCAATGGAGTTCTGACTGAGAAGCCACTGGAAGCCTGCACGAAGGCTGCGCCTTATCCTAGAATCTAGGTACAAGGTGAATCGGTTTCGAAAGCTCGTCTCCGAGGTAAGCACCTGCGGAGGAGATGCTGGCATAGGCTCGGATGGTAGGGTTGCTCCGGCAAGAATGTTACCGTATTGGGCGGTTATTTGGGCGGTTATAGTGGCCAAATTGAAGATGCTCCAGTAACCCACACTTGTAATGTCCCGAGCATTGTATTTAGCGTTCTTCGTGTTTTCTTTCGAGTAACCTGGATTCGGTGCTATTGGTAGCAGTGGGGGGCCGACTTGCAGATATTCCAATAGACTGACGTTCATCGTAGTGGTCTGCACGAGATGTTTGTAAATAATATGGAAAGGTCGGCATACAAGTATGATAAGGTATGTTTGCTGAGATGGTTGATGTGATTCTTTAGAAAGCTCAGGCTATTATCTTTACGGGGTGGGACTTGCAATATAAAGTCATCGGAGAGCTTCACCAATAACTTTACATTCATACAGTGAATGACATGCAGAGTTATTGATATTTGCCGTACAGTGATAGGTAATAGATGAGTCTTCTAAATTTGTCAGATTCTAGGTACCTGAATAGTGTGAGCTGCAACCGCAGCTGTTGCTATGCGAGACAACAAATAGGCAGGTTTGCCTACATCTTGAAGCCATACTGGCGATTTGACTCCATTTCATGGGTAGGAGGCGAAGCAATGAATTCTAGATGTAAGCTTCAACGAGGATACAAAAATGAAAACCACATAGTTATTCACATTTTGTGAACAGTTACTAGGCTACAATTATTGTAGAATTTCGATCTTATTATAAAAAGTATTTGAAGTACAAGCTAGAGTGGCCAATCGATAATTAATGGAAGTTAATTAATGTGAACAGTAGCTAATCATGATTTTAAGGAGATCTATAGGTAACTAATCACGAGTAATACCAAGACCGCGCACGAGACAGTTTGCCATCCTTATAATCTTGTGCCTGGGCAGAGGTTAGTGAGAAGAGAAAAAAAATAATTTCTGCAATAAACGGAGGCAGATTGTATATACCAAGTCGTCAAAAAACTCATCCGCCAGTGCTTTTTCATCCCTCATCCACTCTAATTTCCGCTCAGGAACAGCCTCGTTCTCCGGAAAGGTCGGCGCGCGATCAAAATCGATCCATAGGACCCTGTCTGTGTGGTTTTGTATCATCATGTTTCGAGGGTAGGTATCATCATGTATAATGCCTGCGTATACGCTCCAGGATAGCACGAAGTTTGGCAGCGCGGGAGATCGAGTAATTTGAAAGATCTATTTCATGTATATCTGGAATATATTCAATAAGAATAGCATTTGGTGGTGATTTATCATTTAGGAACCGATCTAGAAAAGGCCGATATGAGTTTATCACGCCATGGAAGTCCGGTACTATTCCTTGTTGGCATAGCCTATGCTCTTTGAGGCGAGCGTACGCAGTGCTCTCACAAATAAAAGGTTGAAATTCCCGCCAAGTGGGATCAGCATGCGATCTCTCAAGGGTATGATACTAGGACTATGGTTAAGTACCACCTTGAGAACATACAACTTTCCCTGCAAAGTCACTAGGAAAACCGAGGAATAGTCAGACTCTTGGAGGATATGGAGGAAAGTAATATCGGAAATCGTAAATTCCATGGCTAGTATCGTACGAGAAATACTGCGAGTACAAGAGATCTGACAAATTGCTATGTAGTTGCGGGTTAGTTGAGGTTGAGTCCAAAGAATATCGACACACAAACCATTGAGTGGCGCCGGATAAGTATTCCCAACAAACCGTTAATTACCATGTGAAGGAAGCGGTGAGAAGCTTGCTTGAGACCTTATGGCTTGGCATAGCTATATAAGTTCGCACAGATCCTAGATACTTGCAATTAAAAATCAAAGATATATTAATATATAAAATTCTCCTACTAAAAATTCTTCTTAGAGAAAAATAAAAAGGATAAACTTAAAACTTAACAATTAGAATTTATTTATTATGGGACACTGGTGAAAAATGAACAACTGAGATGCATTGAACGCTCACGCAACATAGATGCTGAAGGAGTTCCCTCTTATACATGATCATGTTCCATAGACTGCGAATAAGTACTCTAAATCCTTCGCTTTTTTACTCGACTAATTCAAACGCCCCTGAAGAATGGAGAAGCTTCGATGATTTCTTCATCGTCACAAGCAAAGTCCCAGCCGACGATTCTTGGATCCTGGCTGGCACAGATGATCTTGCGGGCATCGAACTGCAGCTTGAAAACCCGAGCAGTCGGCTGAACGGCCGCATTATGGAACGCAGGACGGTTCAGGCCATGGTGCGCGTGATGGTGATGGTGTGGTGGTAGCTGATTGGCAGCGGGAGGCTCATTTGGAGCCTGTACATTGCCAGCTGCTGCCTGAGCATTCGGTTGGGCCTGAGGAATCGGTACTTGGACATTTCCCTGCTGCCCCGTCGTTGGTTGATATGCTGGTATTCCAAGTAATGCTGATTGACCTTCAGCACCACCATTCCTCGGGTCTGGTCCATTTCCTTGGTTGCCAACCGCCTGGTTCTGCACATTTTGCGGGGGCGGGGCTGCCTCCGTTGGTAGGTTGGGAGCAGCAGCTTGGGCATTTTGCATCATAAGCTGTGCCTGAGCCGCTTGGAGCTGCTGGTTGTGATGGGCGATATTGGGAACTCGAAGAAGCCCCCCGCGGGCTATTTGACCCCGATAGAAAGGGGACGCATTCATCAAGGCATCCTCTTGGCGGAGTCTCTGGCCAACGACCCAGTTTCCTTCACGGTCTCTCCTCCATATAATGACAGTCTCGTCGTAAGACCCAGAGACTATCCTTCCCCAAGGACCTCCACCCCCACCAGGAGGGATTTTGGCACCTAGAGCGATGATATCTTTGGGGTCCCTGGACCCCGGATTATATCTCTGAGCGAGTCGTCCGCGACGAGACGGCGCGATATCTGGCAGTGTACCCGCCCGCTTAGCCTCCCAGTAGCTGTGATCGACCGCCTCCGCTTCGAGCCGCAGCGCTTCCTCAGCTCCAGGCATGTCGCCAAAACCAGCCTGAACAGTCCTGACTAGGTTGTGGTGACCTTGCAACACAGCAACCTGAGCACTAGATGCATGGTCATAGATACGGACTGTGTCGTCATTGCTTCCGCTGACAACGCGCAAGCCGTCAGATTGTACACACGCGATTCCTTTGTGATGACCGACGAAGGTCCTCGTACACGTTCCATTGTGGATGTCCCACAGCTTAATTAGCCGGTCACCAGAGGCCGACACGATCTCATCCCCACAGATCTGGATCGCGTTCACCGCAGCACCATGCCCTTCAAGTGTCATAAGAAGAGAGTAGGGAGCCAAGGTTTTGATATGCCGATTGGCAATCTCAGCTTCGAGAACTGCAGATGGTATGTTCTTTGTGTCGACAATGTAGGATGGGAACCGGACGCTTGGGCTCTTGGTGAGAGTAGGATAGTCTTTGTCGGTCGCACTAAGTTCACTACGGTTCCAGACCTTGATGAACTTGTCCTTGGAGCAGGTGACCAGGTACCGGTGATCAAAGCGAAGGTTCAGCACTGAATCCTGGTGAGCGGTGAACTCGTGTATCTTTTCGCCAGTGGAGAACCGCCAGACAATGACGTTCTTATCGCTGCTCCCGGAGATGATCACGTCTTCGGAAGGGCTTGGATCGAACTGCAGACACAGAACGGATTTGGTGTGGCCCATTAGAGGGCGATGCCAGAGTCTCTTGGTGTCCAGGTCCCACACGCGCACAGAACGATCCCTACTACCGCTCACTAGCCATTTCCCAGAAAATTGAATCGCGTACACGCATTCCTGATGCGCGTCTTCCATATGAGCGGGATCGGGTAGTTGGAAATTAGTGAAGCGACCTTTGAGCCAGTTATCCTCCAGTCTTCTGCGCTGCTTGTATATATGAGGCCAGTTGAGTCGAACGGAACCGCTCGGTGACCTGATCAAAAGGGACGAATTGGACCGACGCTTCGACGAGGACGAGGAAGACGATGATTTCGGAACGTTAGCCCTGGCAGAGATCTCCTCAGCAATCCGAGATGACATATATTGACCGGTGGAGGATGACGGAGGGCGATCGTATGCGACATCTTGCATTTCACGATCACCCTCGTCATCTACTGACGGGGGAGCGTCTGCCTCTACCGACTCGTGCTGCTCGCTCCATGTACGATTCGAATTCCCGCTGGGCGACCCTGTGCCGCGAGACTCGAGCCAACTCGGTGGCACACGCTTCTTAAGCTTGGGTTCAGTGACGTCTGAGTCCGCATGTCTCGTCCGCGACTTGCGGTTGTGGGCGAAAGCTGATTCTGCCTGTTGCTGTTCGAACCTCCGGATCGCATCGACGTCAAGACCCCATCCTTCTCTGATGTAGAGCTGTCGCCATAATCGGGAGTCTAGAATGCGGGCTCTCCAAGCGCGCGACGCCAGGGAAGCGGTCAACAAGGTTGCTGGGTCGAGATAAGAAAAGATCTCAGCGGTGATCTCTGGGGGTAGCTTAAGAACCGGATCCATGTGCAAAAGAGGCGTCAGGCGTTCGACGACGGCAGCCACTGTTGACGTTCGTAGGGTACGAAGAAGACTGTAGGCAAGCTCTGGGATTGTTTATAAGTGTCGGTGCTCCGAACGAGCAGGGATTAACTCTGGGGGCCTGCGTTGGGACCTTACCAGCTCTGTCCGCTTCACTGTGAGCCAAAACCCATCCCGGCAGTGTCATTACATCCTCCGAAGAAGGATTGGCCTCATTCTCGGCTTGACTGCGCGTCTCGTCGGAGTAACCTTCGTCCAACTTGAACGAAGCCGCCAAGGGCGGCGCTGTGAAGTCGGATCGGTAGTTTGCCGCCTGCAAGCTTAACAGGTGAGGGATGCCCGCCTCAGCCGCGGAATCAGTGTCCATGAGGACGCCAGCTCAGCGACCCGGTGGGAAAAGTCGGGGACGGAGGCACACGACCGGAACCGCCAAAAGATCTCAAAAACGAGAGATCTGGGATGGGAGGGGGTTGCGTAGTCGAAATATTCGGTCGCAGTTCCACCGCGCCGTTGGGGGTGGTGAGGCTGAAACAGACGCACGCGCTGGGTATTATCACGACGGAGGGGAAACGCAGGTCGCTACTTAAACGGCCATGCTGTTGAGGATGGAGCAACCGGGGAATAAGTCTAATCAGTGACCACGCTGATTCGAGTGCTTCTGGTACAAGGGTGGGGAGATTGACAGGCTCCGTGCTTTTGCTGGGCCGTGAGTCAGGGCGGAGGTCGCCAAGCGTAGCGTCGTAGTGGTAATAGTTAGCTCGTTAGTAGAGTAGATAGTCGTGAAGCCAGAAGATCCCAGGGATGTAATTATTCGATACAACTCTCGCGAGCCATAGAATGACCAGTGGTGACAGATGTGGGGAGGATAGGTATGGATCAGATCTCCAGCCACACGATGGTAGTTAGAATGGAAGAGAGGTAGATGATGGTTACTGTGATGCTGTTGATGATCGTTGATGGTAGTGATGGTGGTTGTTTTGTGTTCCTGTCTGGGGAGAGTTGACTTGGTCTCTGGGTCAATAATAATATTCAGTCAGTCCCTCTGTCAGACACAGCAACAGCAGTAGTAATACTTAGAGTAAAGTAATCACCTGTTCGTCGCTTCTCTGGACTTGTTGTTCACATTCTGCGTCAGATAACTAAGCAGTTGATCCCGTTCAGATGGATTATTATGATTAGTTAGTTAACTAGTTCGTAGTGGCATGGACAGCAGCGAACAACAGCCATCCAGCGCCATCCACGGCCATCCCCAAAACCCACCGGCCCCCCTTTCCCGTTCCCTTCGGTCGAGCCCAATCGCCTTTTTGCCGCCGCCCGCCGAAACACACTAAACCTCCTGCTAACGGTCGACTCGATCGTCAATGACCACCTTGACTGACTCCTGATCTCTTGCTTTCCTTTCCCCTAATGAACTTCCCCCCCTACAACGCCTTTGTGTGATCCCAGCATTGCCGTGTTCCAATCCTGCAAGTAGACCTCTTCTCCAGCCTGTGAGTTTCATCCCTCCCAGCCCTGCCGTTATCCCCCTCTCTTTACCCCCCCGCTATCACCAAGGACCCCCGTCTGATAGCTCCTGTGCTCCTAGGTTCTGGCTTAGCGATCCATCTTGTGAAGTGGGAGTCATCACGTCTTCTTGTAGACGTGCCTGGCAACGTCCTGTGCACGTCTGATCCGACAGGGAGAGACCAACCGATTGTGGATATCGACATCGTCTAGATAACGCTGCTCTCGATCCATCCCGGAACTCGCACGCTTCAACCTTCTCCAGTTTCAATCAGACGTCTGCTGCAACTCACATCCCATCTGGCGACGGTCGACAGGAGGGGTTTTTGATTTTTGAGGGGGATTCTCATCGAACTTACGGAAACGCGCAAACGAACCAGGTATTAGATAGGAGAGGGTGTTTTCGTCCGATCTTTCGTCTGACCGCGCGCTGCGTCCCTAGGCCGCATCGACCCGCGGGCCACGGAGAGGAAATCCATGCTCGACGCTTTCGCGTAGGTCCAGTTTGGCTGGCCGGAAGTGTCATTATAATATAGAAACCGCTGCTCTCAATCCCGGAGGTTACCTGTTTCGATCGAATATAATAGAGACGGAATCGCAAAGATGGATGGCTCCATGAGCGCTGGCGGCCCCATGGCCGAAGACAATATCATCAACAGACGCGGTGGGGAGTCGATGTATCAAAGCTGTGTCAATTTGAAAAAGCGATTGGCGGAGGTGCCTGGATTTGAGCGTCATATGGCGGAAATGGAGGAAGAGGATCGCGCCACGGGTTCAACCGATCCAGTGGCTTCGCTATGGAACTGTCTGCGTGAAGGATACCCCTTGATCACGATCTTCAATGCGTCACAACCTGATGAACAACTGGAGATTGATCCAGCGAAAGTTCCGGAACAGAAACGTCCCAAGGCCGCAACCTTTAAGTTCCTGCAGGCATGTCTTCAAGACATGGCCTTTCCGCAGCAGGATTGCTTCCTGATCACGGATCTGTACGGTGATAACACGACAGGTTTCATCAAGGTAAGTTCATATAGATCGATTCCCGCATAACTCTACTTGTCAAATTGAACGGCGTGCTGATACGAGAACAGGTCATCAAAATGGTCAATCGCGTTCTAGACATTCTCGAGATGCAAGGACAGCTGAAGAGGCTATCTGTGAACTCGGGCAATCAAAATGCGAAGGGAGGGGCGGTCAAACTGACTAAGAGGGAGCATATCCTCAAAGAGCTCATGGAGACCGAGCGTGATTACGTCCATCACCTTCAGAATCTGCAGGCCCTCAAGAAGGAATTGGAAGAGACAGGTGCATTGACTGGGGACTCCAGCCATCAGATATTCCTCAATCTCAACAATCTGCTCGATTTTGCGCAGCGTTTCCTCATTCGTATGGAGCAACACTACGCATTGCCTGAGGAAATGCAGAATTGGGGAGAGCTTTTCATCCTTCACGAAGAGGCGTTGCGACAGTACGAGCCCTTTATCGCAAACCAGTTGCGGTGTGATGCAGTATGTCTGAAGGAATGGGACAAGATCCACGCGGCCCCTCGCTCGATTGATCTTAAGCAGATGGTCGCCCAGCCAGCAACCCTCAATGGCTTCTTTGTCAAGCCGTTCCAGCGTCTGACGAAATACCCTCTGATGCTATCGGTATGTCTCTCCCACACTGTGCAGAGCGTTGCTGTGCTGACTCGAGATTTTTACAGGAACTTCGCAAGCAGACAGAGGATGAACAACTCAAGACGGATATCACAAAGGCGATAGACACGATTCAGTCAGTTCTCGATTCGGCGAACGATGCAATCGACAAGGAACATCTGGCTTCCGCCGTTACGGATCTCTCGCAACGGGTAGATGACTGGAAAGCCCTGAAAGTTGAGGGATTCGGCGAATTACTCCGCTTTGGCACTTTCGCTGTGCTCAAAGGCGATAGCGGCAAGGATACTGAGAGAGAGGTACGTTCCATCTATGTCACTTATGTCGCCGAAGATCTCTGGTCGGATTTCGCTCGGCCTGCGGGCTATGGTCTTCAAGTGCGGCTTTGCCTCTGCTACGATCCAACTTCTTGTATCTACTCGTCACCAAGGAGTCATAGTTTTGAATGGAGACCGGTTCTTTCTGAGGCCTTTGATATTTTCGAAGATCTGGAATTGGAATCGGGCTAGCACTCGCACGCTAGAAGACCATCTACCGCATCCAGAAAGTCCGATCACGGGAGCTTCGCAGCGAGAATAGAGAACATGCATGCTTTTCTATTTAGAACTGCCTTCACAGCCTCATTATTGCCCCTGTTTCTGATCGGCGTTTGGAACGCTCTCCTGCCCAAATATCAAGCATAGGGCCGGGTCGTGTGGCCACATTACCGGAGAATCGCTTGATTCGCCTCTTTCCAGGAAGACCGAACGTCTGGGTGATTGTAACATGGTACTTTATTGCCATTTCAGAGAGCTCCTCTGATTGATGCGGGGATCTTCTCCGAATCAGCAAGACACCCAAGCGTTTACGGTTCTCCATTCGTGGGCTATGTTTCAGGCATCTATTGCTTCGATCCCTTTCGAGACTCTTATATCGCTATGGAGCTCCATATCGACCGACATCTCTTAGCTGCCACTCATTAAGTTCTGATGAATAATTGGCTAACTTGGCCTGTCTCTGCTCAACAGTATCACATCTATCTTTTTGAAAGGATCCTCCTTTGCTGCAAGGATATCAACCCCAACAAGCAAAAATCAAAGCTTATGGGGAAGGACAAGCCTGCGGCATTGGTCAAGGGGAAACCCCGTCTTCAGCTGAAGGGCCGTATCTACATGGCTAATGTGACGGATATTGTTCTTCTCCAGAAGCCAGGTATGACATGAACTCTTACCACTATAGACAGCGACACGGATTGCTAATAGAGCCCATGAATCTACAGGCTCCTACAGGATTCAGATTTTCTGGAAGGGCGACCCCGGGGTCGTAGATAACTTCGTCATCCGCTACCAGAACGAGGATATCATGCGAAAATGGTACTCTGATATTGACCGCCAGCGATCCATCCAGGCGGAGGAACGCAATGCTAGAAGCGTGTCAACCTCGGATTCGGAATTTACCTACATGAAGAGTCTCAATATTCAGAATCCCTACCAGCAGGAGTATGAGGCTGAAGAATCCTCTCTTGTGAAGGAGGCTGGGTTCTTCTCGGAATTCCCCATGAGTCGTAACGCGTCCAGCACGAGTCTTCGTACCCGATCCGCTACCAACGGCAGCGGCGGGTCAGGTCCGCTCTCTGCAGGGCGTCCTCCGCGTTTCCCGATGCCTGATCCCAGTCTGTCATTACATACCCAGTTTACTCCTGGAGGAATGTCCTTGTCCCCAGGTGAGCGAAACGTCACCTCATATTTCTCGCCCGTTACGGAAACACCATCGACATCTACACGGTCCAGCTCTCAATCGGTGTTTCCGTATTCACGGCAAGGCACTCCCAACACCACTTGGAGCGAGGACAACAATCGGTACACTGCACCTGCGATGGCCAGAGGAGCATCGAAGGACGGTACTAACGTAAACCCTTACTTCAACGCGGCCACAAATGGGCGCGCTGTCCAACGTCCTTCTCTACCCCCGATGTCTGCACAAGATCAGGCCAACGGTCTACCGAGGATGAGGTCTGCCAGCAGCCCAGACATCCACCACCATCTGCCTGAGTCACGTCGATTCATGGGTGGTCACACTGTCGACAATGTGCCCGTCCCGCCCATCCCGGCCCACATGGCAAGCATGAGAGCACCTGTCAATCGGAGCCAGAACAACTCCCCCACCAACGGATCTCTTCCTGTCCGGGGTACAGCGCAAACACCAAACGGACAGCACCCTGCACAACGGGGTGTCCATCACACTCATTTCAATGAGCCTCAATATTCCGGTCGCTCCGCAACACTGACGCCGACGCAATCCTCTCCCACCGATCCACTTCCCTCTCCTTTAAGTCAGGAAGTGCCCCCGGACCAGGCCACCCCGCAGGATCCGTATATGCCTACACAGCTTAAAGCCAAGGTCAACTTTGACGATAACTATGTCACCTTGGTCATCGCCAGCAATATCATGTTCCGTTCGTTGACCGACCGGGTGGACGCCAAACTCGCCCGATTTACGAACCGATCCATTGGCAGCAAATCAGTAAGACTGCGGTACAAGGACGAGGACGGCGATTTTGTCACCATTGACAGTGATGAAGCGGTTCAACTCGCGTTGATGGAATGGCGCGAGCAACACCAGAACATGCTCGCCCAAGGCCAGGTGGGAGAGATCCAGCTGTTCTGTCAGGCAGTGGAGAATTAAAGCTCCACGGATTTGGATAAACCGATATAGGATCCTGGCTGAAAAGCCAGGATGGTGAAGAAAGAAGTCGCGAAGTTGATGATATCCCCTGTTTGGTGTTGTGGTTTTCTAGGTTCCCATTGGCATTTCTCCGGCAGTTCCGGGCGTTTCGAGGTTCTTATAACATCCCGTGGCTGTCCAACAGGATTGGCTCGAGGCTTTTGCACTTGATTCACAGTTTTATCTCCCCAAGACTTTCTTTCCCTCGGGCGGTTTCCTGCCCAACCCCGCCAAACTGCCGCGAGGGAAGGAATCTTGAAGGATTCTTGATCATGGTCTGACTGTCTGGCTACCCGTGTCACGGGCCGGACTACAAGGCGCTTGTCTAGAAGATGGTTGGCTCTGCGAGATGGTTCTGCGATTTTCCCCTTGCTCCCTGTTACCCTGTTACCATCTGCTCGTACTGGCGCTGATCATGACCCTCTTGTTTTACCTCGAATGTCCACGAACCCATGACCGTATGATACGTATAATGCCGTTTGTTGTGCAGCGGCTGATTTTGACAAGCATGCAGAGAATGTACAGTGGTTTTCTACTCTCTCACTGAGCGGTTCTTGTGTCTGCTGTATTGGTCCGTCTGTACTCTTTCCTGCATGAACATAGAGCCATCTTCGACATTCTTTGACACTTGGTCGTAAGGATCTAGTGATTGCAACCTATAAGAATACTGACCACCTATAAACATTCTTGTCGGGTTTATGTCGGTGAAACTGTGCTCCAGTGTAGATGGCTCTTAAAGTCCCGCGATGTCTTTTTTTAGGAAAGATCCACTCAATGGGGCTCTGGACTCTGGACTCACCAGCACGAGGGTTTGCTGGACATAACTAGATTCTACCTCATAGCCAGCCAGGGTATCTAGAATCTGGGATCTGGAGAAGCAGCGCCAACGGCTCTTCCTAGCATCTCAAGTGTTCCTGAGCGCTGTTTCTCCCCGGTCCCGTTTGCTAAATATCTATCGGCCGGGTGGGAAAACGGCGGTTGTTCCCTTAAGGAGTGGGGAAAGCAAGAAGCCAACAGGACTAGACTAATTATTGTCATTAGTTCAACCATTGCGACTTGAACGGCCCGATGCGGCGAGCCGGGCATCCATTATTGGGCCCAAAAGACACACACCTTGGGACTGTGGATAAGAATAATATGGATCACGGTGGAAGTTGCCGGAGCGGCGCAAGAAAAGAGGGAAAACTGATCAATAATTATGATAGGTACTAGAAGCATTCCATTCTCGTAACTAACTTGTGGCTGGGACAATTGCCATCAATACGACAGGACCAGGGGTAGTTATCCAGACGGGCACGCGATCACCATACCATTACCAGGTAGTTGATAATAATAGATAGGGGGATAGTTACATAGTTGTACCAAATCGACAAGGGACATTTATTCCCGCAGGTCAACTCAACTGTCAACATCTTGTTTTCTTCCTCCACCGTACGGAGTAGTTAGAACTATTGACTCCATACAGGGAAGCAGAGATATACAAGGGCGTATCGGATAGCTTAAGTTCGTTATTATTACCCTCGTTAACGACCTCTTACATCCCCCGTATTATTATATTACCACAGTAATTAATTAATTAATACCTCCTGAGGCCTTTTTAGCCAGAATGATTCGCATCAGGGCTGGAATGGCGTCGCCAGCTTTCCCTTGCCGATCAACCGGTGTGAGAGATAGCCAAGGCATAAGTATTGGGCTGACGATGAGACAGGGTCCCAGTTGGGTTGCAGTCTTGTTGATGGATGATTGAACGCGTGCCGTTCTACCAATAATAGATAGTGGTTGGGGTGGTGTTGCGTTGCCCTTTTGGTTTCAGGAGAGAAGTTACTTAGTTAACGATGTGATCAGGGGTGGATATTCATCCCTTTTTTTTTCTTTCTATGATTAGATATCTCATCCGAACATGTTCAGTGGTAAGTTACTGACTATGAGGCATTAATTATTATTATTATTATTATTAAACCTTGGGGGAAAATACCAGAAGATAAAAATAAATAGAATAGAATAAAATATAATATAAAAAAGCAAGGAACAGACACGCGGACTCTTCTCGTTTGGAGAATTCAATTCTCGTGTTTGTACTGTACTGTAGTTTGCTATTCTTGCATCCTATTATTTACCCGGGTGTTCGAACCTCCTGTTATTTTGTCTAGATAGTCTATTATTATTATTATTTATTCCAAGACAAGACTGGATTCAGCCCTATTGTCTTTTCTTTCTTTTTTGATTTCCCTTTTTTCACCAACCCCCTGCGGATATCAGTCGGGATCTACTATTGTTGTCCTTCACCCTTGAGCGATTTAATTTCATTCGACCAAGTCTGAAACCAGGCGTGTGGTGTTGAACTGTTGCTGCCCCGAGCGTCCGGTACAATCGGCGCAAAAGAAGATTGAAGGAGTTCCCCCAAAAGAGGTACGAGCTGAGCTGAAGAGGGTAGGGAGTTGTGAATTTAAAATGGTTTCGAAACGATAACTCTCAAGCCGAGCGAAAGTTTATTTGCATTTTATTTAAAGCGCTGGGTCCAAAAAGCTAAGCAAGCGTTCGTTGCCATAGGAGAACAATCCAATCCGATTTCCCATATAATATTCTATCTATCTATCGGCTGCTTTTCTCTTGCTTTCACCAGCCACAAAAAGGGAAGCATACCACGCCAAGACCCCGCCAGACAAAGCAAGGAAGAGAGAGAGAACAGAACACAACAGACGGTCAACGATAGAATTATCGAATTGAATTGAATTGAATTGGATTGCTGGGAAGATCTGCTTGTGCCAAGATGTCGTTCTCGGGACGTCGCGTCAGTATTCTGCGTCCAGCAGACAACAAACGTTTCTCGACCGGAAGGGATCTCGCGGAGAACGGTAGGTTCTGGTCTCCCTGAACTCGCATTCCCATGCGCGCTCTGGCCCCAGCCAGCCAACGGCTTTGATGGCGCGTTTTCATCTGTGCCGCTTATAATTATTCGATTTTCTGGGCTTTTCCCCAAGACTGACTTGTGCGTTCGACTGCTCCAGAGAAGAAGTCCGAAATCCACCGTCAGTTCCGTGATGCCCACGAGGGTCACCGTCCACACGCCGGTCTCGACGCCTCTCGTACCTCCACGGGAGTCGTCTGGTGTACAGAGCGTGCCAGCGAGCATGGCTATCTAGAAGACCCTTCCTCCTGGGCCAACCTGGGTCAGGGTGCCCCCGAGGCAGACGATGAGATCTTCGGCAGTTTCCCCCGCCCTACTGCCATTCCTATCGCCTCCGCGTCTCGCGAGTACGGTCCGACCGCTGGTATCAAGCCGCTGCGTGCGGCCGTTGCGAAACTCTACAATGAGCACTACCGAAAGGGTAAAGAGAGCCAGTATACGTGGGAGAATGTCTGCATTGTGCCGGGTGGAAGAGCCGGTCTCATTCGAATTGCTGCCATTTTGGGCAACTCGTACTTGGGCTTCCCCATTCCCGATTACTCTGCGTATTCGGAGATGTTGTCGCTCTTCAAGAACGTAAGTCAGATCAATTATCATTATCATATCAGATCATATTATATGATGAGCATGCGAGGCGATGTGATCGGGACAGCCTGTTTGCTGACTTGTGCGCGCTCTGTAGTTTGCAGCAATCCCCATCCCACTCTCTGAACAGGACCACTACCACATCCACCCGGACAAGATCGCCGAGGAAATCGCCCGTGGTACCTCTGTCATCCTGACCTCGAATCCGCGAAACCCCACTGGTGATGTCCTCGCCAACCCCGAGCTCGGACGGATCCAGGACATCTGCAGAGATCGCGCGACTTTGATCCTGGATGAATTCTACGGCGGTTACAACTACAGCACTGGCTGTGACGGCACCACGATCAGTGGTGCTGAGAACGTCGTCGACGTGAACGAGGATGGTATGTCATATTGCAGCTTTCCCCAGAATCATATCAGTTCGTTTCACAGCGGACATGGCTGATTGGATTGGATAGACGTGCTCCTGATCGATGGTCTGACGAAGCGCTTCCGTCTCCCTGGATGGCGTATCGCCTGGATCGTCGGTCCCAAGGACTTCATCACCGCTCTCAGCTCGGCGGGTTCTTACCTGGACGGAGGTGCCAATGTTCCTTTCCAGGAAGCTGCTATCCCTATGCTCGAGCCGGGTCTCGTGCGGGCAGAGATGAAGGCCCTGCAGATTCACTTCCGCGAGAAGCGGGACTATGTCGTGAAGCGTCTACAGAAGATTGGATTCCGCTTTACGGACATTCCCCAGGCGACCTTCTACATCTGGCTGGACCTGAACTCGCTGGAGCCACCGCTCCCTGCTGAGGCCAACATCTCCGACGGTCTGAACTTCTTCAACGCACTTCTGCACGAGAAGGTGATTGTGGTTCCTGGAATCTTCTTCGATCTCAACCCGGCCAAGAGACGTGATCTGTTCGACAGCCCGTGTCACCACTTTGTGCGTCTGAGTTACGGACCGAAGATGGACGTGCTGAAGCACGGTCTGGACGGCATTGAGAGGGTCGTTCGTCGTGCCAGAGGAGAGACCGGCTGGGAGGGTGACGAGGCCGTCCGGGACTAGAGAATTAAAAGTGCTTCTGGTTTGAGCTATCAACACGGGTCGGGGGCTAGGCGGTAGATAGATAGATACCTAGATAGAAGGTAGCAGACAATACACTTTTGCTGGTTTCGCGAGGTCGCTTTCATTTCCGCCGTGGGAATCTAATATTAGAACCGTAGAAATCCAATAATAGAATCAAGGGAAAGCGATAGATAAAAATCCATGGAGGCAGCATAGATAAAAGTCAGGGGATGCCACGTGACGGGATGCTTCCCGACATCATAAATAAAGTAATGGATGATCGCCCTAACTAGAATACTTACTCTATCTACTTGACACAGCCAGCAGCAGCACTCAGCGCAGCTCGCATGCGAGCCAGTCGCATCGGGCCACTGCCGCGCGAGATGCGCCCGTTACCATGGCCATAAGTTTATTTCGCATCTTTTACAGCGCCGTCTTTGCCCTCCTCTTCTTCGTCGTCTCCTGCCTTATCCTCCTCAGCCCTGGAGACGCCATCTACCAGTGTTACAAGAACCATAACTTGACCAACATCTTCATCATCACGGGCGCTTACGTTATCACATTTCTGCTGGGCCTTCTGATCTACTCCACGCGCATCTATACGAATCGCAGCGTGCTGGCCGGTATCCCGAAAGCATGGATCCCCGTCGAGAAAGAAGATGTGGGCAAGAGCGTGAGGAGGCTGGTGGTCGAGGGCCTGGCGAGGAGCGCGATCACCGCGTATCGAGCGAGACCCAGGGATCTGACCGTGGAGAAGGAGGATCAACCGCTCGATGAACGTACGTTGGAAATGGACCGCAACCATCCGCCGTGGGGTCACGTCTCTCATCCCGGGTGGTCGGCGCCCTCCTCACCAGATTTACCAGATCTACACTATCAATCGGTTCTCAAAGAGTTGCCCTACCTCATCGAAGCCAAAGCCGTTTCTCTGGCGCCGCCGGATCCGATCCTGTCCTCGTCGCGTCGCTATCGTGATCCGTACAGTTCGTACTCTGACGAGGAGCCTGTTCCGGATCCACGTGTGGTGGAGATCCTCCAACGGCCATCGTCAATGGGATTGCGTGAATATATTGGACACTTGACGAATCTGAACTTGATCAGGCCACCGGAGTTGGGCGCGGAGTTTCTTGCTATATATGAACGGGCGAGGTTCTCGGCACATGCGCTGGAGGAGGAGGAGTTTCGCGCGCTAATGAGCGTCTTTGCTGAGATCTTGAGGGCGATGAAGTCAGTGACTCCGCAGTTACTGGATGAAGCCCGCGGAGGGAGTTCTCTCTCATACGGCGAGTCGGTTATTGGTCCGTCGGACGAGGAAGGCGAAACAGATTCAGTCTACTCTCCTGATGAGGGAGAGCAACAAACTCGGGGTCGAAGCAATAGTGTGCGGCCGTCCAATGTATCTACGTGGGAGAGCAGTCGCTCGCTTTATACGGCGCCCTTGGTGCAGACTAGGAGCTCACCGACTCTCTCGAGAGGACCCGCCCCCGATCGACGTGGACTGTCGGCTATGCGGACACCTTCCATGAATTCTCTTCGACCAGTTTCTCTTCGGCGGTCGCGGTCAAACATCTCCGGGAGTTCAGCAGGGAGCGTGATTCGCTTGGTAGAGGCTCGGAATCCGTTGGATCTGCCGTATACCATAGACGTCCCTCGAAGAACACAGCGGTGAGAACATTTGGACATATTATCCTGAGAATATTACAGCATCAGGACTTGGAACTGTCGCTCGTCTTTATTAGGATAGGCGTTTGGAATGGCATTGGCGTTTACGGGCGTTGGGAAGACGCTGGATAGAGCTGGCAACTCTTTTACACTATGCGCATTGGGCAACATTGGATCTCTAACTTTACTATAATTGCATACCCAGTTGAATACCACATGTTTCTTTCTACTACTCGCTTTTTGTTTTGCTTGGTCATATAGATCAGCTCTGCCATCCAATCTCAACCATCGGGTTTAGTAATCGGCGTGCAAGTCGGAATTCTTTCCGTCCCCAAGACGTAATTAATCAGATAAGATCTCGCCTCGTCGCCGAACAAACGCAACTTCTTCCTTTCATTTATCAAACAGCCAGCCATCGCGGCACGACGAGCATCACGATGCAGTCCCTTCTCCGTCGTGGAACGTCATTCCTCTCCGGCTCCACCAAGGACAAACCAGACGGCTTCACGACCGTCTCGTCGCACGATGCGCTCTTCCCCAAAGTCGACCCCGCCGTTGACGGCGAGGATTGTGATAAGGACTGCGCCACATGCACCGTGCGCTATCCAGCCAAATTCGATATCGATACGAAGGATAAATTATACGGACATGTCGATGGGTGGGCGACGCATCTGCTCGTCGCGACGGGGAAGTCGGATTGGGTGAGAGATGTCGCGGACGAGAAGGGTAGTGTGATGGAAGCGATCGAGAAGCATGCTATTAAGCCGAGGAATGGGGTAAGAGTTACCAATTCAATTGGCATGCATAAGCCAGGACAAGAAGAAGTATCCTGAAGAAAAATTGCGAGGAGAATTTTCCTGACCAATGTCTGGCTATAGAAGATGAAACTCTCCGCGTCCAACATGCCTGTTCCTGACGAATACCATCATCATGAACCGGGCTCGCAGCCAACGAACGTCCTTCTTCTTCCTTCCTTCACGATAGTTGAGCATGTCACGCCGGCATTGGCTTCAGATCTTGTCAGATACTTTGTGGACCCAGCACCAACGACAACAACGCCATTGGACGCATCATCATCATCAGAATCCAACACTCAACAACAACGGCAACAGCAATCCTCAACGGAAGAACAAGCAGAAAAGCCCTCCGAAACAGAGACACAAGCAGAGAAAACCGACATCAGCTCGCTCACACCCTTACGCTCACGACCCTGTCCCCACGCGGCTGTCATCCTGCTCTGCTCCCAACGCACCCGCGATGCGCGATGCGGTCAATCAGCACCGCTCCTCAAGCGTGAGTTTGAGCGCCACCTCCGCGCTCAGGGTCTATACCGCGACATGGACGACGAACGACCCGGCGGAGTGGGCATCTATTTCATCTCCCATGTCGGCGGACACAAGTACTCCGCGAACGTGATGGTGTATCGACGACGGGATTTCGACTGGTGGAGAAAGAAGGGCACTAGCACATCTGAGACCCAACCCGAGAAGACAGAAGAGGACAAGAAGAAGGAGAAGGAAGAAGGAGCTGCTCAATGTATCTGGTTGGCGCGAGTGAAACCTGAAGATTGTGAGGGTATCATCAAACACACGGTCTTGAAGGGAAAGGTGATAAAACCGGGATATCAGCTCAGAGGTGGATTTGATCGTGAAAGAGGGTTGATTAGTTGGTAGTTAGTTGGTTGGAACTTCTTTCGCATCCGCATCTGCATGTATATCTGCATATGGTGTTGTGTTTCTGTTCTATTAGGTTATATAGCATATATCGACTGGGAGATAGTAAATAGATAGATTTCCCAATCGATAGATAGATAGATAGGTAGTAAAAAAGGTACTTGGATGAAAACCACCTCTACACCTGTTTACTTTTTTCCCTATACATATTGTAGAATCATAAATAGCCCAGAAGTAAATAATCTATCCCTACCGAAGAGCAAGCTAGTCGCTAGGACGTAGAAGTATATATACATCTAATACTATATCCAACTCATAATCAAACAAAGAGGTAATCCTAAATATCTTCGGCATACAAGACGAACGCCAGCTGATCTGTCAATCATCGGATAATCCGCAGATTCTTCGTATCTTAAATACAGGATAGAAAGAACCTACTAACTAGATAACTAGGATCTAGAGATAAATATAGGTTGAAAACCCCATAGGAATAGATTCAAGAAAGTAATTCAAGGTGTGTAGGTCTGAGTACTTATGCTTCTGTAGCAATGTTAAATATTTAATAATATCTAACGGGTTCTTTATAGAGGATATTGAAGATGAAGGATGCTGTGGAATTAATATAGCGTGTTGATGGTGTTACTGTTGGAGGGTATTTTGGGCGTGTTTTCTGTGCATCTATACTTAACATATTATATAGAGAGATATATAGAAAGTAGTATATAGTTCTCTAACTATACCTGCTGTCCTTTTTTTTTGGCGTGATTATTTATATGAGGGAATGGATATTCATCCGTGGTATTCACACTACCACAGTACCACTACTAGTTATTCTCTATTACTCAGGTAATTAGGCACTCGCCGCTATAACTAAGAGAACCAAAAGGAATAAATACATGAATATAAATAAAGGAATCCTCAACGAAAAAAAAGCAAGCTACAACTCTGTAAGTCGTGTATATACCTATCCCTAGTTATACCTTGAAAACTACCTAACAAATGTCCCGAATTCACGAACGAGAAACCAACTACTGTATGTACATACATATATACATACATGCTACAACATCGTAATTCAATTCACTTTTAATCCCAGTCTAATTCAACTTGCTTTCATACATAGCAGTAATCAATCTTACCTTAGTACGTATATTAATTCCTTCGGACACGCGTACTCTAGGTACAGTACTGTACCCCTTACGCGTGGGGGTTAGTTGGGGGGAAAAGTTCGTGAAATAATACCGCAATTCACCTAGTGGTGTTCCCAGTCCACGGGGGAAAGAATGGAACGTGGGGTGTAACTAGACTCTAGAGTAAGTACTTAAACGTGGGGATGTTTTTCCGCGGGGGAACACGGGGGGAAATTATTCCCTTGCTTGCTGGCTTTTCTTTTCTCTCTTACGGGTTTTCTGAATATTGTTGAAAAATATCGTGGATAGGTTGATTTACCGCTATAAACGAACGGTTCCTAGGTTATTTATTATTTGTTGTTTGGAGGTATTTATGGAGGGTTTGACCGGTTAGCTTTGAATAATCATTTCGAGAAGTCAATGATGATAGTTTTGTGTTATTAAATACTGGACGATAGCTAGTCTGACGATGCTTTCTATGTTCATCTGTCGAGTTTCCTATGTTTTCTATCGGAGTCAGCTGGTACCTAGGTGCCTATTGATCGAACGGCGCCGATAGTAAGTATCTATCGAGTACAGCGCTTCCACGACAGACCGGTATAATCCCTGCAATGTACAGTGGTTACTCTGGCTGGAAACGCTTCAGTCTGCAGTCAGGTTATACTTGACTTCTGGATATTCTTCCTTACCCTCGACTATAAATGCTCGAAGCTAGTTACTTACTCTTGACGAATTCCATCAACCCTTCCTACATCTAGTTACAGTAGAGTATACGTAACCTGCGAACATCTCAGTCTGGAACACGCGCTCGCCTGATCTGCACGTGGCCAGACGGATACAATAAGTATCCAGAGTACGTCAGCACGTGCATTCAACCAGTCAACGCCGACGTATTCATCAGCAAGTATGGTATGTATGCAGTTTGGTTGCACTGCGGCAATATAATATCACAGCGATTCTGGAAATCCACAATGATGATCGTGTCCCGGATACGAAGCCGATGGATTTTAATTCTTTCGGTCAAGGAAGACATTATTATTCAAGCAGGGCTGCAGTTCACCTGCAGGGCCTGCGTGGTGCTTGTACCGATTTGTCCAATCCGGGCGTTCGTGTCAGTCATCGCAGAGGCGAGAGATCGACAGAATGAAACATGCGCGGCATGGCATGGCATGGCATGGCGGCGTGGAATCTAGAAAGGATGTAGAGTAGTAGATAGATAGTGTGATACTATGTACTAACAATGTTTCTCGTGGCGGTGAGCGGCTCATTAAAGGGGGAGGGGGGCCAAAGAAGATAGTTACGATACTCAACTGAATACTACTAGTTAGTGGCGGTAAGAAAAGAGTCACATGCCGATAGTAAGATTCGGGCAAAAAAGACACATGATGCGGTATAATCCTGGCGTATGAGGCCTCGTATTTATATGGATATTGCTCTAATGCGATCTTACTGCAGTAGTAGGTATATCCTCGGGCGCCTTTTTGAGTGGGAGGTGTACTGCTTTTGAAGTTAGATGGTTCCTGCTCGGGTAAGCAATCGTTGATGTCGATAATATGTGGATGGAAGGGACTCCGTATTCTGATACGATCGGATAGAAGATAGGGGATGCTGTGATCCAAACAAAACGAGATTCTCTTTTTCATGACTGGATTCGTCCTTCGGCAGATCCAGTCGTATGCTATAATCTAGTTTTGCGCCCATCCATATTATACTGGAAGTAAATGGTAAGGGCTTATGTTTTGAACTCAGTTCAAGGTAGAAGCCAGCACGACATGTCGCCGGGGATGACCTCGGGCAAGTTCGAACTGATTTCCTGATTACCGACATCAGCCAGGAGCTTCGCGCAATATCGCATCACCTAATTGCATTTTCCACAAACAAATTTCGTTTTTGTCTATCATCGTAGGCGCCTTGGATACTCGTCCCAATGGAAAACCGTACGTAAGGCATGGTGGATCACAATACAGTGAGAACATGTATCATGATCCTACCAGCCACTGTTGACCTATTTTGAGGCTGACTTACGACCAACTCTAATCAACAACACTAGTATGATGCAACCTGAGACCGCGGCCGGGTCACAGTAGAACGGGGTTACTAACAGAGCTAATCGGGGGTAGAAGAAATGCTAAGACTTTTCTTGGCAAATTTTCTCTATCTCTAATTAGCTCTCGCGTAGGCCTGCTAAAAATAGACTAGGGCTTAGCTTTACTCTATTATCTGTATCTATAGCGCATAGCAATAATAAATATTAAATTAAAATATTCTCTATATTATATATATATATATTTTAGCTATAAATTTTTTTAAACTCTATTCTTCTTCTATATAATTTTTAATTTTTATTTATTTTTAAAAAGCTTTCTATATATAGTATTACTATACAAGATTATAATAAGTTTATTATTTTATATATATTTAATTAATATTAACTATTCTATAGCTATAAGCTTAATATATATAGATTTTAATAATCTAGCAATATATAATATATATAATCTATTTATATTTAGCTATTATTATAGTAAATATATATAATATATATATTTTATATATACTAATAAGTTAAAAAGAATAGGTTTAAATAGAGTTCTTAAACTATTTAGTTATCTTAAAGAATTAATAATACTCTAGAAAAAAGAGTATTAGCTTATATAGTAAATATAAAGTATATCTAAATATTTTCTTAATTAAAGTAATAGATTTTTATATAAAGCTTAAGAAATAGTTTCTTTAAGCTATTTAATTTTATTAAAATAAAATTATTATTAAAGACTTTTTTAAAATAAAATCTTTATTATATTAAAAACTATTAGTTTTAACTACTATTTTATAATACTCTTCCTTAATCTAGACTTATTAAGTTAGTTAATCTTAGTTAACTTAAAAATCTTAAGAAATTTACCTTTAGCAGTAGTTTAATAAAACTATTTATTATTATATCTTATATTTTAATAAATTTAATATTAATCTTATTCTTTTAATATAAGTTATATATATAATAATATATAATATTAATATACTTTAATCTTTTATAAGTATAAATATCTTTAATTAATAATAATAATACTTAGTTATCTTTATAGACTTTAATTAGAGAACTAATAATAAAAGCTTATTCTTCTCTTATTATTAGTTTAAATTTATTTAGATTAATATAATATCTATATCTTATATCTCTTAAAAAAAGGGCTAATTACTAAGATTATTTTATAGCTTAATATATAGCTATATATTTAGCCTTTATAGTTAAAGTTATAATAGACTTTTATTTTTTATTTAATTAGCTTATTAAACTATTAATTAAAATAAAAATATTCCTTAAGATTAATATCTAATTAGTCTTATTTATTATATAATTTAAATCTAAGTATTTAATAAGTTATTAGTCTTAGTTTATATTAAATTTAAGACTAAGATATATAGTTAATTATAGGTATCTTATAAAGAACTTTAATATCTTAAAGTACTTTTTAAATAGATTTAATAAATATTAATTTAATCTATTTATTATAAATATAATATTTAATTTTATTAAGATTATTAAATAGATTAAGTTATTAATAATTTTTTAATACTCTCTTTAATTTATTCTTTTATTTTAAGAGCTAAATAATTTTAGAGAGTTATATCTATTTAATAAGATATTAACTAAATATATCTTTTTTTTACTTATTTTATATTATAATAAGAAGTTTTTAATATAATAAGATTAATCTATTATTAATATTTAGTCTTACTTATTTTAAATAATTTAAATATTAAGAATCTTCTTTACTTCTTTTAAGTCCTTTATCTTATATATTAATTTAAACTCTTATTTAAACTAATAAATACTCTTTATTTATTTTATATTAATTAAGATATTATTAATATATATTAAAAATAAAATCTCTTTCTTTAAAT